GAGATCGAGCGGCGTTTCCGCGCCGGCGAGTTCCCCCCTGCCGACGAGCACGTATGCGCTGCTGTCACGGCGCGATGCTGGCGCCAGCTCTACACAATAGCAGACCAGGTGGTGGCCGACCTCAAGGCTATCCAGGCCGCCATTGCACGTGGCGAAAGCCCCGAGACATGTGTTTCCCCGCCAAATGAGCATGATCAACCCTGCGGCGAGAAATGGCTCTACGGGCTCTGCGAGGAGGGTAAGAACTTAGCGACGCCGCCTAGCCGCACTCTGATCGGCTTTTAGAGGGGCAGAGTTGGCAGTTGGGCATCAAGTAAAGCCTTGAAAAACATTGTGAGTACGGGCAATTCGCGAAAGGATGTAACTTCAAAAGCTAGTGCCAGTTGACAGGAACTGCTTCTAAAACCTGGACTGAAGCGGCCTTGAATTCAAACCCCTAATAGCTTAGGGGCGCATACATTGTCGTTGCCTTCATCTCCCTCGCTCGAGCATCAACAGCTTGACAGTGAATTACTGTAACCCTCCAGCGCAATTACTACCAAGAAAGAATCCCTCCCTGCTCCAGTTGACATCTGTCTTGATACACTTGTTAGCGTAAACACCTCTCGAACAGTGTCGCTCCGACAGCTCACCAATGCTGCGCACGTTGAGAAGGTCCACTAGAAGAGAGATATATAGTATCCTTATTCACTTTCTGTCTTTCTATCAGATATAGAATATACAAGAAGCTCTCATAGGTCCACAAGTCTGCAGGAAACTCTGCCATGCTGTCGACCTCGCCAAGACGATAGGGATATACAAGACGCCCGAGTTCATCCGATAGTATGACGGAGACGGACCTCCTATTCTCTGGTGTTCCGGCAAAGGTATGTTCTGTGATGCTATCGTGTAATAATGCTATTTTCGGGGCCCCGCTAATGCAGAGCAGTTGGATCGGGAAAGACAGTGCTAAGGTTGATACCCTCTCCTTGTCTACTATACGTTGCTGACATCCGTCGTATATAGCTCTAGCGTTGTTAGCTATATCTTCGCGAACAAGTGCCCTGATGACCGTAGTACATTCTTCTTTATGCAATAGGATAATGCGGAATTACTTCAAGCAGAAACAATTGTACGGTCAGTCATCAGGCAGACTTTAGGACATTGTCACATAGTCTAGAGATATGGAAGGAAGGTTGCAAGAACTATAGCACAAGCCGTTCGTTGAACTAGGAATGTAGACGGAACTTCTTAAGCAAAGGATCGAGCTATCAGGTATATTCTACGTCATCATCAATGGACCAGACAAGTACAGCTCATCTAAGCGGCAATATCTTCTCGACTTAATAGTAACCCTTGCTACTCCGGGCTCTAGGTTAAGGATTTTTCTCTCCGGCTACGAGAGCCTATCTACATATTTAAGGAGTAGATTCCCGTATATAGAGTACCTATCTATAGCATCCGAAAGCATACGCTTAGACAGTAGTCTTTACGTAGAGGCGGCCTTATAGGAAGTGGTTTAGAATGTAGACGTACCGGACGACCCTGGCCCCTTGAATTAAATTAAAGAAATATTAGCCTATTACATAGATAGGATATAAGTAACCCTTTGGCTTTACGCGACGTATGCTAACTAGCTTGGGTTCTTTTAGGTTCCTTTCCTAATAGGCTAGTAAAGTAAGATTATATTAAGTATAAGGGATGTTATAATAGATATTAACTGGCGATTTAATTGTTACTGACCTAGAAGTATAGGTAGATAGGGTATTCGGAGAAGATATGAAAATATAAGATTTGCTATGTTGGCATAACGTATCTTATAAGCGAGCGGGACATATAAGCGAGCGGGACACTCTCCACCACTCTACAACAACCATCCTCAATTGCAATACAATAAGACCATTAACCAACTACAATTACATCAGAAACAGCTGAATCAGACCCTTCTACAACCTCCTGGCACGTACGGGCATTATGGCCAGGCTTGCCGCACACACCACAGCACCGAACCTTCGTACGAGCCCCCCCTGCACCACCACTATCCGGCTCCTTTTCTTGCGCCATCTCCCCAACCACGGCCTTCTGGTCCAGTAGATCCTTTGCATCTTGTACCGCAAGCAATCCTCCAAGCTGCACGCGTATTCTTTTGGCTCTCCGGCGCTTGCTGAGTGCCTCGTTGGCCTTACGGAGCGAAGAGACCTCGGCGCGAAGAAGAGTCATCTGGTGCATTATAGCCATTATACCCTTGGCCAACTGGTCCACAGCAGCCAACATCGAGGTTGGGGAGCTATTTTGATGGTTGGCAATACGAGTCTTGATGAGTGTGGACTGCGCATTGGCTTCCCGGGAGTTGTATGGTGTCTGGAAGACCCAAGACTATACAGTGTTAGGCCGTGAGGTTAGGGGTGTTGGTATACGAAGCTTGATATCCAGCTTAGAAAGTACCCTCTCTGGATCGTACGGCATAAGGCCAGCACCTATAAAGCCACCCTGTATATTCTTCTCCATTATAGAGGCGAAGAAGGCCTCGCGGAAGGCATAGAGGAACTCGAGCTTGCTTATATAGTTGATATGCATGCGTATCAAGTCCTCGACCTGGCGACCGTACGCCTGCTTTAGCGGCCCAAAACAGCCAACATCGAGTGGCTGGAGGAGGTGGGAGGAATGCGGAGGCATACAGAGTGTGATAATATGATGCTCCTGGCAGTAGAGCTTGAATTCGGTCGAGTGGTGGCTCTCGTAGCCGTCGATGATCAATAACCGATATTTGCCCTTTGTATAGGGTGCTATATGGAAGTTAAAGTGCTTGATCCAATCGAGGCCTATGGCATTGGTAGTCCAGCTGTTCTCGGTGGTCGCGATACGCCAGTCGGCCGGGAGGTTGCACTCTTGATACCAGTTGGCAAGGTAGTATTGCGCGGCCAAGATAATGAAGGGTAGGATAGCCCAGCCGAGGGCATTGACTCTCTGGATTACTGTAGCCCACTCGCGGTTACCAGGCTGGGCCAGCTTTGCCTTGCTACGGCCATCAGAGGTCGTAACTACCATGCCTGGGAAGATGATACCCATTATGAACCCAGTCTCGTCGAAGTTATAGATATCGTCATCCATAATGCCGTACTTGGCCTTGACATTCTATACGAGCGCGAACCACTCGCCAATAACCTCTGGGTCCTTGTACTTAGCCCTCTGGTAGTCGTATCGACGTGACCAACGCGTACAGAGAGCGGGCTGGCGTTTAACGAAGTTGTGAGCCCAGAGCTTGTCGACAGGGGGCGCATTGCGTACGCATAGCAGTTGGTTGGCCATATCTTCCATACCATATAGCCTTGGTGGAAAAGCTCGCTCAGATAGCTCAGTTATATACTGGACTACAGCCTTCTCTTCTAGATCGGTAAGCTTCCGTGAGTTGGCTGGAAGATCGCATCGTATAGGCCGGCCGGTACGTCGGTAGCCGAGGGTTGAAACTGGCACGTTATAAAGCTTGGCCGCGGCTCGGAGGCTTAGTTTCGTATCATTTTCAAGAGCTTTGAGGGCCAAGGTTACCCTAGCTTCCTTTGAAGTGGAAGACATCTTTAGTTGTAGGAAAAACGCGTTGTTGGAGGTGGATGAAGAAGGACTTGTCGTGCCAAGAACTTAGTGTCCCGCTCGCTTATATGTCCCGCTCGCTTATAAGATACGTTAGTTCTGGGTTTGATTTGTATTGTCATTGGAAGGACATGTCGCTTCTGCTTCCAAACGGGCTCGTAGGGGAGACTAACTCCTTAGACTAAGGACTGGATAAATGCATGTCATTCTACTGCAGTACTATATAAATACAACCCGTGTTAACCTGAGGTCAATGAGGGATTGGCCGACGGACTTGCTCGGCGCTCGCTTCGTCGCCGTGCAGGCCCATTCGGTGACCCCTATAGTCGCGGATGCCGCCGATTTCCACAACTGCGTTCGCAGGCTGCATATTGATCGCGGCTTTTCAGCGGAAACACGCGGCGACCTTACAGTAGAACGAGTAGAATAAACCCCGCCCGCCTCATCATGCTATGCGACCGGGCCGGGTAGTCACCGCGCTCGACCCAGGCATCCCTGCCGATGGTCTCGAATCGGCCATTTGTCTGGCCATTGACAACGCCCGCAGTATGCCTTGTCTCGTTTGTTCCTCGCTAAGCTTAGTGGGAGACTCCCGCCTGCAGGAGGTTTTCCCAACTGCGCAACTAGGATCTCGGAAAGGCTCACTATGTTCACTTTCCATTAGCCAATCGGTGCTATTTTTGTGAATGTTAATTACATTTGCACGCCAGCAGGGCAGCAAAGAAGACCGTACCTAACAAGCTGCTGCCTAGAGTCCATTTGCATGCTAGAATATATATGTAAGGCGTTCTGTCCTCCTCGTCAAAAGTCAACTTCGCTGCCGTTCTACACCACCGAATCCCTTCAAATCGACCGGAGACAGCAGAGAGTCTTTTGATCTTGCCGTTTCACCCAAGGTGCAGGATCCTATACTCCTTCCCTTCATTTACTAGCAACCCCTACTGACACCCGTATATAACAGTAAAACTTCGACTCCGGTGAACACTCTGAACCACCATGGCGAAGTGTTCGTCGTGCAGTGGTAGTGGGAAGACAACATGCGGAAGCTATGGCGCGTCTGGTTACTCGTCCACCAGTGAGACAGGCGCTTGCTATGGCTGCGGCTCAAGTGGCGAAGTGCCCTGCTCGTCGTGCGGCGGGAGTGGATCAGCGTCGGACAAGTAGAGAGTAAAGACACTACTGCAGGACTTTTGGGAACCGCCGGTCTGGAGGCGCGTTGTGCGCAGCTGTCACTTATTTTTCTGGGTTTCTCGTTGGGAGAGGAATCTATTTTGCGCGCCTGTTGAGGGAGCACTCGTTTTGTCAACACACACTCGTTGTAATGGTATGGTTGTTCGTGGTCTTACTCTGAGGGTAGTGATTACAAGCATTGTGATACGGCCTTTATATTTCTGAGCCCAGCTCCCGGAGTCCTGTTTTGTTCGAGCCGGCTTCTAACCTCCCACTAGCCTCAAGATAAATTCGTATACCCCCAGGGTGATGGCTGCGGATGGGATAGACCGTACAAGGTGCGGCGTGAGGCCACCATAGAGTCCGTGCCAGCCCTCTTGAACCCATACAGAAGTGAAGCACTGTAAAAGGCCCGTGTATCGAGGCCTTCCTTCCACCGTCGGGGTTGCCGGAGCCGAGTTCTCACAACCTGTATCCCATGTCAGCGCCCTGTAACGGCAGGGAAAGAGTAGATGTACCTCATGTGGGTAGGTCACCAGCACCGCAGCAAGTTTGGCCGTCCCTGCTGCACCGGTGGTGCTTGCCCATGTCGCCAACTCGCTGAGCATGTGATTATCCCAATTCTCGGGCCGCAACGACTTGTAAAAAAGAACTTTGAACCGCTCGTAGAGCATCAGATGAAAAGCGGTCTCTACGGTACCCAAGTAGCTGGCAGTTAGACCTCGATACAGCCCGGGGAGGCCTTCCTGGCGGAGGACTTGTTGAACGCAGTCGAGACTGCTTCGATATTGTCGGGTAGCACCGCCAGCGACTTGAGATTTATCCAGCTAAAGTCGTGTCTTCACCAACCAAATAGGATTTGTGGCAGTTGCAGTTGCGATACCAGCAAGAATGGCAGCTTGAGCATGGACGAATGTGTCGCCCTCCCCTCGGCCGAGTATGGATGCCCCTAAACGCTTACAATTTCCGTAGACGTAAAACTTGACGGCGGTTGCGGGAACGACAGCAGCGAGACTCGGGCCAAGACCCCGGAAAAGCCCGCGCCAGCCCTCTTTGGCTCTTATTGATCCCAAGATGCCAAAAGTTTCTGATGTATGGCGAAATGGGGCGATTATTAGATGTTGTAGCGTCGCGCCGGTATATTCAGCTGCCAATGTCGGTCGGGATGGGACGCGGTAGAAGCCGGACTGAAGGCTGTGTCCGAAGGACGTCCAGCGGCGCGGTCACAGTTGATGTCGCGATTCCTGCAGTCCTGCACCAGATCAGTACCTTGGCTGACAGAATAGGCGTGCTTGGGCTCACAACTCACACGCCAGCCACCATATGAACCCACGGCGGCATGTGGGACGTAGTCCTTACCGCAGGCTCAGGAGGCGAAGCCTCGATGCCATCTGCGACCACTGCTGGTTGTGGCATGGCGATGGAGCAATCTTGATGCGCACCGTGATGTGAAGTTTTTGGATTTAACTGCTTTGGGAAGTTCGTGACTTGGGTTTCAGCATGCTAAATTCTGATTCCTTCGCCCGGCCCACACCTAGTCCACTGCTTCGTCCAATCAGGCCCCTTGCTTCTTGCACCCATCGAAGTCTGGCCCACCGCAGTCTGGCCCACCGAAGTCTGGCCCACCGAAGTCTGGCCCATCGAAGTCTGGTCCCACCAAAGTCCAAGTCCCCACCAAATCCAGGTCCATGTCCGCCAAAGGCCAGGCCACCAAAACTGAAGTCCCACAGGAGTTCAGTGCCCTCACAGACACCAAATGTCTCGCTTGCGCCAAGAGCTTTGGCTCGTCCACTGAAACTCTTGCCAGGCCAACCTTCCAGATCGCTGACAGATTCGACCAGCGCGCGGCAGGGCCCACTCCGTCACCCTGGGATTCATCAAGTCCATTGACGAGGCTGCTGCGGTCGGCTGGAGTTCCCCGCCTTCATCAGTCCTCAACCTGGGCCCGAAGTGCCGGCAAGCTAAAGGTCATCTCTCCCCTGCTAATTAGCATAACTAGTTGAGCTTCAAGAAGCAGATCCATCTTGACGCTCGTCTCTCCACCATCATCAATCCGACCCAGCCTCTGTTCGCTACTAGGGAAGAGTAACAGAAAGTGTCGCCATGGACTACACACACACATCATATTTCCCTGGCGCCTCGACCTACCAGTTCATGGGCTCTGCTGTTCCTCCGCTCACTCCTGCGCACTCGAATTCAGTGGCCTCGGATGACTTCAACACCACCTCGCCCCCGGTAGGTCGCGTTTCCTGCAAAGAGATGGGGAAAAACAAGACAGCGAGGAGTCTCCCTCGGGCTTTTGTACTCTGCCGGCAGTCGGTTGGGTCGTTTCTTATGACTGTTAGCCTGGCCGACTCCGCATTTCGCACATCGCAACTGGCAGTAGCGCGCATCTGATTGCCGGACAAGGGGCTTACACAATCATTACTCAGGAAATCTACGACCAATTCCCCAACGGCATCCCACACGAACAGTTCCAGAACTACGACAATTACGCCCAGTTCAATGCCTCGCAGCCGTTTCCGGGCCCGCCCACGCCGCCGGGCCAGCGACCCGTGCCGCCCGTCAATGGGCTTGTTCACGGCCCCACCGCCGACCTCCTGCCCGCCCACAAGACAGAGCCCGATGACCAGGCTTTGAATCGCAGGCAAGGCTCTAACTCGGCGGAGGAGGATGACCTGACCCCCGCGCAATCAAGGCGCAAGGCCCAGAATCGTGCAGCGTATGTAGCAGATGTCGTCGCCTCTTGCTCCTCAATCCCAAGCTCGCCCAAGGGCCGCCGTGGAACCGGCATTGTCCTGACTTCCCACTGCATCATCCTCCCTTCCGAGTGCTGACTTCGTATCTAGTCAACGGGCATTCCGTGAGCGCAAGGAGCGCCATGTCAAGGAGCTTGAGAGCCGCCTGCTTCAGCTCGAACAGGCGAAACAGGAGGCCGTATCGGAGAATGAGAAGTTGAAGCGCGACCTGCAGAAGATCAGCACCGAGAACGAGATACTCCGGGCGACGTCGATGGCGGCCGCCGGCGCCGGGTCACCAATTGCCGCCCCACCGACCACGACCGGACCCATGTCCTATAAGCCGGAGAACTTCTTCTCGAACGTTCTCCAAGGTCACGCCAACAAGACGCGGAGCCACCGGATAGTTATGAGCGAGAAAGGGGAGCGCCTCCTCGCCGTAGGGGCAACATGGGAACTCATCATCAACCATGACCTATGCAAGCGCGGGCTCGTGAATATTTCACAGGTTAGCGAACGACTGAGACCGCAAGCCAAGTGTGATGGCCAAGGTCCCGTGTTCGAAGAAGGCGCCATCATCGAAGCGATCGAGCAAAGTGTTAGCTACGACAGTGACGAGTTGATATAAGTGCAACGAAACTCAGTCTTACTGCCACGCTCGTCTCTTCCCTCAGTCAGCGAGTACAGGGAGGAACTGGACATGAGCGCCGGCGGACGGCGACGTGACGACGAAGACGACCATGACACCCCGCTAACACCCTGCTAATCTTCCACAATCGTTTCGGATATTCACCTTTATGGCCCCGTCGAGACCTGTGACATTCATTCGGTATTATTCCCATCTAGGGCCACGGCGTTGTATTGGGCATGTTGGTCATTGTGGGTTTACCACGGCACCGTCGTATGGGTTGTTTGGATGTGGGATACTTCGTAGGTATTTGCACATGGGACATGTGGGCCCGGGACTTCCGGGGGCCCTGCTACATTGTATCTCTTAAGGGGGAACAGAAGGAGTCAGGGAGCAAAGAAAAGAAAACTCCGCGTACCGCTCTTCATCTTGAACCTCGTCGCCCTTGACTCATCGGGCGTTCTCTCGGCTACTAGCAGCTGGCGTCCGACCTGGGACAAGGCGTAATCATATCAACATTAGATCATGGGCACTACTAGCCACCTTTCCAGACTCCGTGTTTCTGATCCCGTCTCTTCAATCATAGCCTTAGAAAAGCCATACGCTATATACCTAACCAACTGGCATCTCTAGAAACTGAGGAGCAAACAAAAAAAGAGCAGGCCGTAACAGAAACACCGTCCGCATACGCCTTGCTAAGTGAAGCCAACCAGCTCTATATCCCGTCTGCGCCTGCCGCGTGTCCAATCCAAGTTTTGTCGTTCATGTTATCCAGAGCCTAGTCCATGATCATCATGGCTTCCATTCGCCGTCGCCTCAGCGGCAAAGATCTAACCCGATCATCTCCCCGGTCTCACGTGCGCATTAATCCCGGCCTCACAGCCAAAACTCCTTTTATCGTCCCTCATCTATCGTCCTTGTCGTCCTTGCGAATGTATCATTCCGCCCGCTTCGTATATCGACTGAAAAATCGAGGTGCGGCGTGCCAATGTTATTTGTCGTATCATGCAAGTGGTATCGTTGTCGACTCCGTAGCCCCTTGATCCAGGGGCACCCTCCCAGCATCTGGGAGCCCCCTCATTGCTTCTTCTTGTCTGCCGCACCATTCACCTGCATCGACGCGTCCCCGTTCGCCCCCTCGACCCACGGATGCTTGATGGTCAAGCACCAGATATCGAGGTAGTCGCAGATCGTGACGATCACATCCACCACAAAGCTCCCGTAGACGCCCACGGCCATGCCCAGCATGCAGAACATAAATGCAACCTGGTACACGCCGTCGCCCAGCGCCGACGGCCAGCCGAGCCAGGGCACGGGGCTGTACTGCAGCAGCAGCGGCCCCACCGAGTCGATGACGCCGCACGCGAGCGGGATCACCATGACGTTCCAGTACGGGAACTCCAGCTTGACCAGGTGCGCCGTGATCATTTGCCCGACCGAGTAGGCGTTGACGATGCCGGCGAACAGGGCGAAGGGGACGAGATGGTTATGCAGGATGGTGGGCTGCAGCGCGAGGTACGCGACGATCAGCGCCCAGGTGGCGAAGAAGGGCGCGAGCCCGACCAGCGCGTAGCGAGACCTGTCGCCGCGGGCGCGCCGCGCGCGGATCACGTTGCGCGCCGATTCGACCGTGTTGTAGACCAGCACCACCGCGCCCTGCACCATGTACAGGTCCGTGAAGGACCAGTTGTAGATGACGGAGGGGATGGTGACGGCGCCGCCGAAGAGGGTCTGCGGGATGCCCAGGGTGGGGAACATGCTGCGGGTCCAGAAGGAGGCGCCGCCTAGGTAGCCCGTCAGGGCGTAGACGGCGACGACGGTGAGGATGCCTTCGACGGGGCCGTTGACGATGCCCAGGGTGAGGGTCTTGGTGTGGTACTCGTCCCAGGTCTGCACGTAAAAGGTTAGCAGGCTGGCGAAGAGCGTTGCGACCGTCTTCCAGCTCTGGCCCATGTTGGTGGCGCCGGCGAAGATGATGACCTCGAGCGCCGTGTTGAGCGCGTCGACGCCATGGTCGAACAGCTCGCCTAGCGGGCCGGACTGGTGGGTGCGACGACTGCGAGCCTGAGTTAGCAAAATCCGAATTCTGACCAGCCCTCCCGTCGTGGCTGGCGGCAGATTTCACCCGAACTTACGCCTGTGTCCCGTCCACTGCGTCAAAAGTTTGGTAGAAAAAGAGGCCGGCAGCCCAGCTGTAGTAGACCCACGTTGGGCAGTCCTGGTCCAGCGTCGGATTGTACCACAACAGCGTCAGGAAGTTGGCGATGACAAACGTGAAGCCCGTCAGCGTGATGAGGTTGGGCGCCATGCTCATCGGAAAGCACTTGATGACGACATTGGTGTAGAACGGCTTGAGCACGTATTTTGACAGCAGTGAGTGGTCGACACTGGAGTACTTGTACTGCTTCAGGTTGGGCAGGTATTCCTGCCGTACGTAGACCATCTTTGCGGCGGGTGTGTCTGCGCTATCTCGAACCGTATTGCGGTTATGAGTCTGGGAGCGTAGACGGGCTGCTGCTTGTTGGCGTCCGCCGTTGTATCTACCGCGGAGACGGGAGTCGTCTCAACTTTCGAGGGTTAAGTAGGTTCGAGCAGGTATTGTAAACAATCTCTCGGCAGGTGGGACGGACGGCTACGCTCGGAGGGGAAGAAAGCGGTGGAAGAAGCAAAGTGGATCGTCAAAGGCAGACCGGAAGATGAAGTGGCACTTTGTTTTGTGTTTTTTTCTCGTCACAACCAAGCATCCCGGCCCGGTTGGGGATGCGCTGCGCCTGTTTTCCCGCCGCTCTTTGACGGGAAGAAGCGAGCTTCAAGCAATTGGGGAAACTACGTCACGCGGCACGCCTGACTTCGGCCCAATGACAAGCCGGGAACCGGCGCTGTTCATCTAAAGCTCATCATCAAGTCAATAAGGTTGGAATTTATTATCTATCCTGGTCGGGGCAGATTCGCGTTTCTCAGGCACGTCAGGCAGAATTTCGGGAAGGCTTATCGATAAGTTAACGTCAAAAAGTTCGTTGCAGATCCGGGCCCCATCGATCATCTCAGATCCACAGCAGTTTCGGTGTTTCCGATCTGCCGTTGGATTGCCTCAAGCCCTCAATCACATACTCTGATAGTCCCTCTCAACGAAGCAACCATCTTATATGCTGCAATTAAGCAGCCGTCTAGCAGTGTAATAATCATGATGAACTCATCTAGACGCCACCGCTCACACCGCAGCTGGGGAAGTGCTCCTCTCAATTTCGTTAAGAGCAGCGAAAGCAAAAGGCCGTGCGCCAATCCAGCCGTCATTACGCAACAGATGCTACCACCAGAGCCGCAACGCCCTCTTCCTCGCTCCGCACCGTGATCTTGGTCGTGACGCCCGTCTTGGACGAGTAGGCCATCCGGACATTGGCTACCACCCTCCCGCCGTTGACCGTCTTTCCGAGCAGCTTTAGCGTGTGCGTCGTCTGGTTGACGGGCACATCTGTTCCCTCCAAAGGCTGGAGGGACAGCGCCTTGGCTAATTGTTCGGTCGCCTCTGTTTTACGGTTAGCCTCGTCTTCTCCTACAAATAATATTACGGGATGAGTGAGAGGGAGTACCTGGTATGCTCTTCACGCCACTCAGCTGTAATGTCTCCTCTGCCTCTTCTCCCTGGGCACCGACTTGCTCCCATACATGGGCAAAGTTGCTGGCGAATGTTGGGATGACGTAATCGCTGCCCGATAGATCGAAGTCGGACACCTCGTACTCGTCTTCGTAACCGCGCTCCTCAGGCTCGTTGGTTGTCGGATCGATCTCCTTGCTAGTAAACTTGAGGACGTTCGAAAAGGTGCTCGTAGGCATCGACCCTTCTCCGTTGACCTTCCGGAACGCCACATAGACCTTGCCAGGCACGTCCGTCTCCAGCTTCTCGGCCTGAACGATGAACAGATCCTCGAGCTCTTCCTCGTCCGACGGGGTGGCCATCACCGACACATTTTCCAATATTGTTCCCGGGAGCGTGTTCTTGACGTCGTACTGCAGCACGACGTGCTCCTTGAAGATGTGTTTGACAACGCTCACCACGTACTCGGTCTCGGCTTCTGTCAGCTCTACAAGCGGTGACGACTTGAGCACACTGCCAAAAGCCCTGATCTCCTTGATCTTCATCAACTCCTCGGCGTACTTCTGAGCCGCTGCCGAGGCGGAAGCGGCCGCTTCGGCAGCCGACGGGGCCGCCTTTGTCGGGCCGGCCTTTGGTGGCTTGAGCGACGGGGTGGTCGCGGTAAGCTTCTTCGTCCTGTCTTCGGCGTCTGCTTGCTCCCGCGTAACAACCGGAATCTTGGAGATGTCGAATGGAGTCTCGAAGGCCGACTTGTCGTCGGATGTGACGTACATGACGAGCTGCTGCTCGAAGTACGGGAGAGAAAACATGCTGTCTGTGGCGTTTGTCAGCATCTCGAACAACAAATAGCAGTCAAACCGGAAGGCTTACCGTTCTTGACAAACCCGTTGGTTAACTCGTCCTCCTCATGCATGAGCCTCAGGCTGAGGGCCGCGCGATCCCTGACTTCGTCGTCGACGTCATCCAAGCACCTCGTGAGCAGAACGTCCACGCTCCGCTTGACCTCGGGATCGTTCTGGCCAACGCCGAACTTAGACAAAGCCGTAACGGCAGCAGCACGCACGATGGAGTTTTCCAGGACAACCCGGTTATAGATATACCGGATGTATTTGGTAGGCTGGGACGTCTTGGGACCCTCGACACCCAAAAGGTGAAGGATACGGACCGCCAGCTTAGTAAACTCGCAGTCCTCGATGAACTCGCACAGGTGGGCGAGCGCCTCCTCCCTGGACTCGGGGACAAACTTGATCAGGTCGAACATGCTCTCCACCACCGCACGCTTGAACTCGTAGCCGCCCTCGTCACGCAGGATACCGCTGAGGAACTGCAGCATACCGGCCTGCTTGCTGGGGAATTTGAGGCAGAGCGTCCGGATCGCCTCGACAATCGTGATCTTGAATTCGTCTGTGATATCGGACATGAAGCCGGAAATTTGCTTCATCAGCCGATCCACGCTGGCTTCATTACCGGTCTTGAGCAAAGTGGTGATTGCAAAGGTGGCGATCGAGCGATTGCTGTTGGAGATGAGAAGCTCGATATCGGGGTTGCACACATTGACGACGTGCGGCTTGAACGAGGCAATGTTGTGGAGGATACGAAGGGCGGCGAACTTTGTGACGGCGCGAGGGGAGCTGAGGAAGAGCTGAAGAACATGAACCGCCTGCGTCATCTCGGCGTCCGTAACGTCCCGCATGTCGCAGATGGCCTTGGCCGCTTCGAAGTTGACCATCTCGCTCTTGTGCCTGAGCCAGCCATCCAGCAGCTGCATCATGGGCTTCCTGAGTTGCGGGTCTTCGTCGGCCAGCTGGGCAGCGAGGCGGACCAGCATGACGATAGCGGCAGGGTTCTTCATCGCACCAGCCGCGCCAAACTGCTGAACCATCTTCACCAAGGCCATCCTGTCGTGCATGCGCATCTGGTACAGCAGGCCGATCGCGTGGTATTGCGTCATGGTCGAGTTGTTGACCGGGAGGTTGCCCGAAGAAGACGAGAAGCCCAAGGAGAATCCACCGGACGACTTGGTACTTGCCGCCGCCTCCTGGGTCTCGCTCTGCCAGCGCTTGACGACATCGCGGGCTATGGGGAGTAGGTGGTACGACGAAACGAGGGCGGAAGACGACACCGAGGGGTTTTTGTCGACGATTGCAGTCTTCATGACACGCTCGATAGACTGGACTGTGGTGGCCTGGCAGAGTCCTATGTCAGCACGTCCGAGACCCTCCAGAAATGTAACGTCTCAGACGCAGCCTCCTACATCGATAATGCGGCAGAGTGCTCGGATGGCATTAGGACGGTAGATAGAGTCTGTGCTACCGCCTGTGTCCTTCATGATGGTGCTCGTGACCATGATAATGTCCTCGGCGGAGCTCGCCAGCTCCTTGATGACAAGGTGGACCATCTGCCGTAGGCTGGCATCTTTGTTTTGAAAGAGCTTGGAGATGCCGAAGAAGAGTGTAGTTGCTTCGGTCGTTGGGAACTTCTCGCCGGTGTACAGGAGGAGAGCGATCTTGGTGAGCAGTACGCGGCATCTTCGAGGCTGGATGGGAGAGTTGTTGAAGAGCCGGGCTGCGGTTTGCGGATATTGGCTGCGATCAGCTGCTGTTGCTCCCTGTTGCTGTAGCCCCAGGGACCTGCTCACCTTCCTGGAAAACCTGGGTCCGGTCAATCTTGACCAGGCCGCTGTCGGCGTCCTCGTCCTTCTTCCCGTAGCTCATGGTGGGCGGAACGGACGCGGGTTGCAGTTGTGTGAATGGATGTCAGGCTCAAGCGGCATGAACCTTTGTGGGAATCCTAACTCGCGACGTTGCCAATTCGAGGCTGGCATGCCGCCAATGGGGGGCGCCCCACTCAACAGGGGTAATTCGACGTGCACGGGCCTTTCATTTTAATGGCGGTTTCCCACGAGGTGGATCAGAGCATTTCATACGGATACACTACAGCGGCTGTAGCCCAGTACAAGGTACAATACAACATCAACGAGAAAATCAAACACAGACAACGAAACACCTTACTCTAGTATAGGCAGAGCGCCCACCTCGCGGCTGGACCATCATCAAGCGAAGTGCTCAAACATTCCGCTACCAAGCAATGCCAAAACAACAGTGCCAAACTCTCCATAACCTTGGCTAGAGCACGTAGAATTTCGGACCTCCCGTAAAACCGCAGAGTATCGGCAACTTAGCAGAAGCATGGAACGCCCCCTCTTCCATAGGTAGCTTTCATCCAAGTCATCCTAGCCATAGCTCCAGTGATCAATGGACTCCTAAGCCATAGTAGGCTCCGGAACAGACGGCTGAGGCGCGGGTTGAGCGGTCGGCTCCGGCGCTGGTTGGGCAGCAATTTGGGGCGCCGGCTGAACACCCGCCTGCGACTCTGGTTCAACAGATCGCTGAGGTCCAGGTTGAGTTTCCTGCTGCGGTTCCTCCGGCACGAGGTCCGTATTGATAGGTCGTCCATTGGCATCGACATCATCTTCCCTGCGGTCGGGGTTCTTTCCACAAGCCTTGATGGCTTCCCTCTCCTTCTTGCCCAGAACGACGAGATCAAAACCCCGGGGAAGAACAGCATCGACTCTGTAATTGGCCGCGTATTAGCAAGCGTGTCGACAAACGGGGCGATGAATCAGCGGCCCAGTGTGGGCACTTACTTCAAGAAATCTTGCTTCAACAACCGAGCCTTATCACGAAGCGCCTGCTGGTCCCGAGGACGCTCAAAAGGAATCGTGCCCGCCTTGATTTCCCTCTCGATGAGGCTCCACTTGCATTGGTAGGTGTTGACTGCCCTGACAAGCAAGGCCACATCTTTACGCACCCAGGCCGAGCGAACCTGTGGCTCTTTACTCCTTTGGATTCGGACACGAGCCGACACCTCCTTTGAACGCTGGGATAGAGCTTCGAAGTCAGGCAGGTCATCCTCAGATCCTGGCACGGGCGGATATTGGGACGAAGCAGCACTAGGTGCGACTGGTGCGCCCTCTGCAACAGGTGCCGCATCTGCGGAAGCAAGAGCCATGTTCGCTTCCGAAACGCCCTTCTTCCGTCCTGCTCGCGACCTTTTAGCTGGTGGAGCGGCCGATCCAGCGGCTCCGTCGCCCGCCGCGGCGGCAGCGCCTCGGGAACGCCTCTTCTTCCCTGCGACCTGAGCGGCCGACGAAGCGTATGAAGCAGCCTGCCCCTGGTACCCGGGATGGATGTGTGCATCCGTATACTCCGCAGTGGAAGGACTAGTGGGTGGGAAAGGGATTCGGGGTCCAGGCGAGTAGGGGGCGGAAGGAGTCGCTATTTGGTAGCCAGAGGAAGGCGGTAGCCCATGATACCCGGCGGTCGATGGCGGCTCCATCTGCTTCATGAGCCGTATAGATTCTACGTTGAATGAAAGCGGAGGTGCACTGGAGAGAAGCTGGTCAGCTAGCTACAATGGAAAAAGTCTCAAGAGCTGACTTACCCTGGCTCGGCTTGCGTATAGTGGTGAGCCATGGCCTGTGTGTCAATCTGGGAGCCGACTCTTGAAGCGGCATCAGAAGACGCAACAGGCCAAGCAGCGGCCCCAGCAGAAGAGGGCCCCTGATGAAATGCGTCTCTCGTCTGCAGGAAGCAGTTCTTAACAAACCCCCGCAGACGGTCTTCGAAATCGCTGAATGGATACTCCTCGCGTATCCCATGAAGATCGAGTCCACGTCCTTGAACCACTTGATCCGGCAGCAAACGGCATATCGAAGTGAACCGGGTAGCAGCCCGCTCTTTTGCCAAGATGTCCACCTCGGAGTAGGGTCCCATTACAGGCCGGAGCTGGAGCGTTTCCCTGTTGTTTCCTAGGAAAGATTCGACCGCTTCGACCGAAACATTGCCCTCGCACCAAATCCGGGCAACCTCCTCATAAGGGTGGAACGGCTCGGTGCTATCCCTCATGAGCTTCTCCAGTGTGAAGATAGACAGCTGTGTCCGAATCATCAGGACCTGCTCGATGATGGTCTCCTTCATCTCTTTGTCCCAGGCACCGGGACCATCGCCGGCGAAGGCATTGAGGAACCATGAGTCCCAGACCTGCAACAGGGCCAGCGTGTCATCCTCCTCGCCCATGGACGTGACATCGTCGAGAAGCCGGGTGAGGTTGGCGGCCAAGATGATTCTGGAGACTCCCTGCCAGGATGGCGATGCTATGTCCATCTGCAGAGTATTGGCGACAAAGTTCGGGTCCACGACGGGGTCGCCAATACTGATGAGGTACTGAGCAAGATACGATTGGAAGGCTTCCTGAAGTGCCCGACGCTCCATACCCCAGATCTCGGGGTCGACTGTTCGGTCACTGCAAAGATGGGTGAAGTAATCGTCCGAAGCAGTAAACAGACGCGGCAGCATCTTGCTCATGAGCCGTTCCCTAACCGACTTTCGGCTCTGTGTTTCATCAGCCATAGAGGAGGATGGTGGTGCTACGCCTACAACGGCGGGTTAGCATGGTGAGAGACAATCCAAGCCGCCAAGGGGTTGCACTTTACCTGAATGCTCGGAGAACGCATCCGGGCCAGCAAGGCTAGTACTTTGGGGCTCTGACTGCGCATCCGTAGCGGCACGGCTTCTGATGGACGCGATGTCCTCCAGCTCACCGCGCCTCGTTCCCCGGCGGCCAATAACGCCACGCACGCTCTTAGCGATGGGGAGAGGCGGAGGAGGCATGCTAGCATCCTGTGGGCCTCTGATGGCCGGGTCGATGTCTTGATATCCGGGCGCAAACATGGGAGCTTCCGGCTGCTTTTGTTGAACGCTTGCCTGAGCCTCGGCCTGGAGCTGAGCCTGAACTTGGTCCTGGTCCTGCTCCTCTTGGGCCTGCTGCGGCTGAGGTTCAGGCTCTGGTTTCAGCTGCATATCATCAGTTTCCTCGTTCTGTTGTTGTTGTTGTTGTTGTTGTTGTTGTTGTTGCTGGTGCTGGTGGCGCGTCGAGCGACGGCTCGCGGCCCCAACAGGCTCCTGCGCCGAACGCGGCGGACGGCCCCTACCGCGTCCCGACATGGATGGCAAAAGTACCAGGTAGATAGCAATGCCACCAAAATAACAGGTCGCTGAAGCTGTTGACCTCAGTGACGGGCGCGATGAGCTGTGAGTTGAAGAAAAAGGGTTGGGGTTGGGTTTAGGGTTCACGCGTCGAGTGTTTTTGATTTTGATCGTGCAAACGAACGTCGCGACGAACCATCCGATCTGGTGGTTGAGACAAAAATCGGTTCGTGGTGGAGCACGTGACCAGTCAACTGATTTGCCGTCGAGCGCTCAATCAGCCGCTCAAAGTGCACACCTTCGGACCAAGGCACGTGCTTTCGCTCTTTATCGCCGCGGCCAAAGAAATTGCAGGGCTTGATGCAAAGTGAGTACGAGCGAAAGTCGGTGAAGTGATGTCCGTCCATCAACTGGTCTCGACGATGTTGAAACTTACCGTCCATGTATTCGGGACAGAGGAGCAGTGTGCACCATAACATTACTACTTAGGTATCCGTATCATCTTACGGAGTATTACACTGAGTGTAACCATTCGCACTGCCCGGCCCACTCGAATCGGCCAGTCGCCAGTGATAGTGCATTTCGCCAAGGGCTTCCCCAGAAAGTAACCCCTTGCAAGGGTCGAGACCAGGAAATCAACTTTCAGTTATTCTAGTCTATGAACTTCCGCTCATCTTGCCGTTGGACGCAAAGCAAGCTTTCTATTCTGACGTTCTCTTTAGACACATATTCTTTTCTTCCGGGTAGTTCGGCTTCGACAGTCCCCTTTGCTGCAACATAACGAGCTTATTGACGATAACTATTATCGGCTCCTGCTTGGGTGCGACCGCGTCCGAAACAGAGTCCCGGTTACCCATACGCTTACCACAATGAGGCTTCGAAATCGGAAGTCGCCGCTCCTTCTCCTCCTCCTCCCTTCACTTGCGGTCGCCGCCGCAGTGGCCGACAGGCGATTGGACAGAGATTCGCTCGCACTCTCAGAGAGTGCATCGCCCGCAAAGCGAGTTGGTACCAAAGATGCGCCGGTCGATGGAAAAGACGGCAAGCCACACGCCGGTCCCTTCGTGGAGCTTGACACGAGCTCGGAATCGGCAAAGGACCTGCCCACTTTGAAAGACCGCCCCGCGGACCCGTTGGTGGTAGACGGAAAGAGGATACCAGAAAGCCATGACGGGGTGATGGACGACAAGAACCGGCCAGGGCCCAGAAAGGGTACTACTGGAACCGAAGGAGGTGTGAGTGAAAAGTCGAAAGACCGGCAATTGAGGGAAAAGCAGACGGGCGAGAAGGTCGAAAACACGCCGCCGACTCCCAAAGAACCGCCTCCGCTGCCGCATTCGGACCATGAGAGGATAGAGGCCGATAGTGAAGCAAGCCACGGTGACAAGGCGGCGAGTGATATTTCCGGGCTTGAGGTTCGCGCCGCACCGGAAGGTTTACAGTCCCCTGTACGCCGCGTAGCTAACCCTTTCACAGAAGCCGGCCGATCTGCCCGACAAGACTCACGACAAATCTCTACCCCTTCCAGACTCTGTCGCGAACATCGATCATCTGGATGTCTCCAAGGGCGGACAGCCGGCGAAGAGCGCAGGAGTTGCCGATGAAGACAATGAAGGCCTCATCCGACCTTTCCACTCATTCATCCTCTCGCTCACGATGATCATCTTCTCCGAGATTGGCGATAAGACTTTCCTGGTTGCCGCGCTCATGGCGATGAAGCATGACCGCCTGGTGGTGTTCACGGCTGCCTTCAGCGCCTTGATCACCATGACCGTCCTCTCGGCCGTCCTGGGACATGCGGTGCCTACTCTGATTCCGAAGCGTGTGACAACCTTCCTTGCTGCCGTTCTGTTTATGGTATTTGGGTCCCGCCTGCTCCGCGAAGGACTCGCCATGAGCCCCGACGAGGGCGTGTCCGCCGAGATGCAGGAGGTGGAGCAGGAGTTGGAGGAGAAGGAAAACCTTGCGAGAAAAGAGGGCCGGATGGGCTCGGAGGTCTCGCCGTATGCCCTGGAAATGGGACTCGGCAATCGCAAGCCCCGGTCCAAGTCTCGCTTCCCGACGCCGCCGAGGAGCCCCTCGAGCTCCCCCGAAGGGCGGAGTCCGTCGTCGCGTCCTGGAGTCCTTGTAGGGTTCCTTTCGGGACTCAACAATCTCCTTTCGCTGCTTCTCAGCCCTGCGTGGGTTCAGACCTTTGTCATGACCTTTCTGGGAGAGTGGGGAGACCGCAGCCAGATCGCGACTATTGCGATGGCCGCCGGTCAGGATTACTGGTGGGTGACGCTGGGCGCCGTTCTAGGTCACGGCTGCTGCACAGGAGTTGCTGTCATTGGAGGTAGGGCCATTGCGGGCAAAGTGAGCCTGAAAGTCGGTAAGTCCATGCTCCCATCCCTCGCCTCTCATTGTGTCCGACAAATCGCTCACATGCGCTAGTCACGGTCGGCGGAGCGGTTGCGTTCCTCTTCTTTGGGTTTATCTACTTGTTTGAGGCGTTCTACTCATAGACGGATAACACTGGGCCTTTGGCAAGACTCGACCGTGCCAGATGCTCGACCTAACTGGATCACGGTAGCTATACTTTCACGGCTTATGTTGTAATTCCTCGTGTGTACGCCATACGAGACTGTTTTCATTTCCAGCTCAGCAGTATGCGGCACGGGTCAACTGCACAGAAGCCCGCCAACCTGCGGCTCGCATATACGTCTGCGAGTATGTACTATGCTAAAGGGACGATATAACGGACGGGGACAGTATTAATGTGGCGTGGGGTGATTCCTACAAGAGATGGTTGGCTGCAGGTTAAACGAAAAGAACAGGGCGGGTGGGGGATTGGCAATACCGTCTTGTAGAGGGGAATGCTAAGGTGTGTTGGATTGAGCTCAACAAGTTCTCCCAAGCAATAGAGGGGGATCAAGTTCAGCAAGCATTGCATGCCGTGTCGAGCATGTGAATTCTGGTATGTGACCTGTTTTGGCGGCTTGGACTTGAAAGGGCCCGTTTGGCAGGCCAGTAGAAACCGATGACGACATCGCCGAACCTCGACATGTTATCCCACTTTCTTGACGTATGCCGCAACAACGAATGGAATTCAGGGATTCACAGTCGTCTCTCCTCTATTCAGGTGGCCAGTTCAGTGTGCACAATGACCACGGCATACTTAAACTGTCACTGAATCACTGAATTTTCACAGTTACCGCTGAACCAATACACGCAAACAACTATCCGTTCTCAGATCAACAAGATCAAGATGGCGAACAATATTGCCGACAGGGCTCAAGAGATCGCGTGGGTCACCGTCAACAGAAGCATACAAGAAATTTAGAATTTTGTCGGCTAATAGACTGTACAGCAAAGAAGACCTTGGCCGAGCCAAAGTCCTTCTCAACGAGGCCGCGAGAAGTCAGTCGTATCTGTATCCCATCAAGGTTAGACAACATCTTTGCACGAGTGCTACTGCATAGCCGAGGATCTCGTGATGCTGACACTTTTCGCAGGGGATCATCTACTTCTTCACACATCCCGGCTTGTGGAAGCCTCTTCGCTCGAAGCTGATCCCGTACCTGACGCTCTACTCGGGGGTACTCGGATCCATGTTCTTCTTCACCTATCTGCCGCAAGTCGCCATCCTGACCTTTGTCAATGGCCCGCTCGCCATCTTCACGACCGTTCTACTCGTCCTGAACGAGAGCGCGACGATCACCTCCCTCATCTCCAAGAACTACCTGCTTCAGGATGCTCTCCTGGACACGTTTGACGGCACACTGATGACCAGGAACAAAGCCAACGTCGTTGCCGAAGGGAGAGAGTTGAAGTCTCAGGGAGACTTGATCCAGAGGCTTGGGAAAGTGCTCAAGAAGCCCTTCGGTCGCTTCAGCGTCAATGAGCTGATTCGATATTTCATGTACCTGCCGCTGAACTTCATTCCTGGTATGTGCGCCGGGTCCGAACTGCGCAACGTCACTCCTTGGAGGGCGCAACACTGACACGACGATACACAGTCGTCGGTACGGTGGCGTTCATCCTGCTACGAGGTGAGGACTTTTCCAAGGTTTTTGAGCGGGGATCCTAGGAGCGTGTGACTGACATCTGACAGGACGATCCCGTGGCGACTCGGCCCATGAGCGGGTGAGTTTGGGTTTATGCGGTAGCCTCCGAGAAGGCAGATGCTTACCTCGTCCATCTAGTACTTTCAACTGAAGGCGTGGTCCACATCGAGGAAGTCGGAATGGCTGAAGACCCATAAGGCACCTTATACCGCGTAAGTATGCCTTGTGTCCATCTCGGAGATGCCTGGGACGTGCGGGAAATTCGTGGCACGGAGACGGACCTTCGGGCATGACTACCTGCTTGCAGTATCCGCTGGTCCCACGTACTTTCTGTGATGACTTGTACTGTATGTACAACCTCGGTTGCATCTAGCTGACCATGTTCGAACTCCCCGCCCCTTAGATTTGGCACCGTTGCCACCCTTCTCGAGATGATTCCGCTGGCGTCGATTCTCTTCTCCTTCACCAACACGGGTAAGTTCCTTTCAACTCGCTTGCCACAAGCGGAGGAGGAGTTGCTGACAGCAGGCAAAACAGTTGGGGCTGCCCTCTGGGCAGCAGATATCGAGGCCGGAGAGAGTGAGATGGCGAAGGGCACAGCTCCCGGGCTGCGAGAGGCCGCCAAGAAGGCCGAGTGAGGCAGACCTGGGCTTTCGTATTGTACAAGGTCGGGGCCACCAAGAATGTACGAGCTGGTGCTAGCTTCATGCAGGAACGCATCTGAGTGCAGCATCGGTGGCGAGGGGGCAGATAAACGAGGAGGTACGGCATCTTGACAGCGCAGTGTATGCAGTGCTCGCTGTGTAATCGTGGGGGGATGCACCGAGTATTGCGCGTTCCGCCATCGAGTTACGGGAGTCAGGGCAGCATCTTCCAGATCATGTCATCGTGATGCTGTTGTTGAGTATACGCTAGCTTTACCTAGGCACTTAGCCGCAGATCTCACAGGTGCTTCGTGAAAGCGATGCATCTCCCCATACTTTTCGGGTCTTGTCACGAATGATGAATCTGACACCGCTCTGTGCCGCATCTGACGCATGTCTCTCTCATCCAGTTGCAATGTCTGGAGCTGGAAGGGAGGAATAGCTATCCCTGGTGCCCTGAATGTCTCGAGCAACTCTTCTTGTGGAGCCTAACGTAGTTCTAGCCTCGTTTCAGGTTCATGTCAACCTCGAGAAGCAAGACAAGACGGATCAAAGATAGGTACGTCCGGGGCGCCTCCTGGTCCTCGTGCGCTCGAAGTTTGTATTCGCCACAGTAGGTAAGGTATGTACACCTGCTGACGGATCTCAACATACTAGACGTCTGTGATATCGACTGAAGCGAAGAAGTAGGAGACCGCTTCTGTTAATGATGAAGCCATGAGCAGTTCCCTCCCGAGACAAAGCCGACGTGTCTTCCCGTCCTTCCAACATGGCATCCTTTTCTCCTCCCGGGTACCACCAAGGGGAACGAACCCCAATCGGTGGGAATCGCCCTTCATCTAATCCCGCAACACAGCGGCGCGTCTTCCCACTCTCACTCAGGCACCGCGAACCATGTGTGACATAAGGTACCGGTCGATGCAGGAACAGGCAATCTGACCAACGGCTACCTGCATGACGGCATCCACTCATCCCCTGCAAGGCCGTCCTTGCTATGTGGACAAGTGCCCGTTGCCATCAGTCAAAAACCTGGTGTCGTCTAGCACGACCGGTGTTGTTTCCTTTCCAGGTCACTTTGTTCCTCGCGAGATGTTACCCACAGTTTTCACAGCCGAAGCCAAAGAGCGAGGTAACCGTGGTTCAACCCCCCCTGTGAAGCCCAGGTTTCGAGTCTACAAGGATGGGGAGTGACACGCAAACAAAGGGCCCTCCAGAGACACACCCAGGCAAGCGTCGGGTCACCGGAGCACCTAGCGGACAACTTGAACAACACAGCCTGCTACACACGATGGCTTCAGCTGTGGGTCTTTTTTTTCGAGTATCATGGGTGTTGCTCCGAGTCGAGACCGCGACTTGGAGCATGTCCTCTTGGAACTATGGCAGATTACAGGGACTGTGGTTGCGCGAGCTTGTCCTCGAGACGTGGCAAGTATCTCTGTTTCTGCAATGGGCGTTCTTATGTGGCTATCTCTAACACGGTTTCCGTTCATTCTCAACAAGCGTGACACCGACGAGGTTCTACGGCCCTTGACCGGAAGCCAGCAGCTTCAAGTTTACACTACTCTCAGACAAGGCCGTCCTCCACCTGGGTAACCTCGATGGAGCACCAAGGTGACGAGTCCGGGACGTGTACGGGACGGATCGGGAGAAACTGAGTTGCCTCCTCTATATCACCCGTCCGTCTTCGCTCCCGTCTCCTGCCACTGAAGTCCCTCATGCTCATCTCCCAGCTCCCCGCAAGACCCAAAGAACCTTTGCCGCAGGTCTCCCACGAACCCCGCCCCCTGGCATCATCACTCGTTTGATACCATCCCTCCACAGAATACCTTATTCTTGTCGATCCTTCCGTTGAACTCTGCTTTGGGCAGTAGCCCTATTCCGTCTTCATCTTTTCTTCGTTCTTCGCCCTACGGGTAACAGCTTGGATCCAGAACGCTCCCCAGAATGAGGGTTTCCGGAGTGGTTGGCTGCCTCGTGTCGGCCGCCGCCGTCTTCGGCAGCGTGCCGAGTACGCTCGCATACAGAAACGGTCGTTGGGCCGGCTTTCGGCAACCGGGCGGAAAGACCTCTCCTGGCACGGGATCTAAAGACCATGCGCGCTTCCAGAAGATCGAGCCGAGGCAGACGGAGGCCTTTTCCAACCCGCCGTATGGGCCTCCGCCTCAGCCAGAGACTTCTTCAACGCTTGATGGTGGTAAGAAACCCTTCTCTTAGACATTTGCTGTTCATAAATAAGAACTCACCCACTCGGCTAGGATACGGGCCCCCTCCTACGAGCGACTTGACCCCTACCACATCGTCATTGGCCACCGCACCAGACAGCTCAGATGGTCCGGTCACTTCGTCTAGCGCGGCCCGTCAGAGCACCAGCAACGTGCCTGCGGGGGGCTCTTCTTCCCCTTCGAGCTCCCAGGCCACCGAGAGTCCCTCAGCGCCCACCGGTTTCCCTCAGAACAGCACGTCCTCTGGCACGAGACGGCGCACTACCGTGTCTACGAAGTTTACCATTACCGTAACGGTGACGAACAGGCTCACCCTCACGAGAACGCCAACGCCAACGCCAACGCCGCCTTCAGAGAGCACAACTAGCGAGGCAGCACCGCTTCCTTCTTCCACAACGTCAGGGGCACCCAGCAGCAGTACGACAGGTGCCGGAACGGAGTCGTCCTCTGTGGCGCGGTCCTCTCCGCAAACGCCAAGCAGTGCGGTGAAGACGTACACCTTGTCCACCGTCTCGGGCTCTATAACCAGCACAATCCTGTATACCTCGAGCGTTGACGCCATCACGGGGACGATCAGCAGCACCGTCACAACGACCAGTGGCGGTGTTACCATCACCACGGTCATTCCCATCTTGACGACCATCACCATCACTCCCACCATCACGGCGCCAGGCCCCAGCAGCTCAGTGCCCGACGCACCCCCGTTGTCGCTGCCCACATCTCTACCTCGCAGCGGGTCAACCGGGCCGTCAAGCCTGTCCTCCACAGCACCGGTGGCATCCTCCACTCCGAGCGGAGTGTTGACGGTTCCGTTCCCACTCCCCAATTCCACCTACGCGAATCCGACCGGGTTCCTCCCGACAGGCACGCCGCTGCCGTCGAGCCAGGCGTCTACCAGTGGCCCCGGAAGCACACCGGAAACCGGCACGTCCCCTTCTTTTCCCACAACTCTCACGGTCCCTACACTCCCCAGTACCCTTACGACCCCTTCGATTCCCACCACTCCTTCGACTCCTGCGGTGCCGTCGCTGTCAACCGCCCCCACAGTCCCTACAATTCCCATCCCCAGCACCCTTACAGTCCCTGCGTCTCCCACAACTGTCGTCACTAGTTTCCCGACGTCTTTCACCTCATCGTCAACTCCCCCTTTCCCGTTCTCGAATTCCACTTCCGGAACGGGGCCAACAGGCATAGCCCCTTCCGACGGGCGAGGCACCGTTCCGCTTTCCACCGGACCCCAGGACACAGGAGCGCCTACCGGCAGCACCGCGAGCGTCCCATACCCGCCGAGCTCATCGCCACACTGTGGCGGACCGGATTGCGAAACCACGTCGACTCTAGACACAACCGCCCCTGTGTCCGGCACTGATACTCCGGCACCGAGCATCCCCATCTCGGCAACCCAGTCGAGCTCAGCGCCGGACTCGCTGTCGCGGACGTCGACGAGTATTGACTCGGGAATATTGCCGACCAGCACGCTTCCATTAATAAGCACGACCGGCCAGAGTCCATCGGGAACGTCTTCGGCGCCGATCCAGTCACCGCCGTACCCCATCGGCAACTCTTCGCTCACGGCGGGACCAACCGACGGGCTAACCGGTACCGCTGGACGGGGAACCGCTCCTGTCACCTCAGCAACGTCTCAGCCAAGCCTCCCGCCTTTCCCGCTGAGCAACTCTACTGCGCTGTCCGGCCCCACGGGCGGTACGGGACTCCCGAGTAGCCCGCTTCCCTCGTCTGAGACGGTCATCCTGACAGCAACGCCTGGCCTCTCGTCCAGATGTCCCGGCTGCTCCGACAGCACCGCTTCCCAGCCCTCCACAAGCGAGAGTGTCGTCACCAGTGGACCGGTATCTCCGACCTCATCATCGTTGGGCAGCACTTCGGTGCCTCTGAGCTCGGGGGTGATTGGAACCGGCACTGGCCCTGGTGTCCCGGCCAGTAGCCCGCCGTTCCCCTTGCCGAACGCCACTACGCCCTTGGCGACAGGCACCGGCGGGACTGCGAGCTACACCTCTTCTCCCGTCTTGGGTACTGGTACTGGGTCGTCGAGCCTATCGTCGGTGTTGTCAACCCCCCTTCCGTCTCCGTCTGGGACAGGCTCCCTGCCGGTAACCATAATCACGTCTACACCAGCAGCAGCACCCCCGTTGACAAGCACCCTTGGCTCATCCGCTCCCCCTTTCCCCCTTCCCAATTCGACTGTGCCGTTTGGAGGGACGAAGCCAAGCGGCTGGCTTCCGGGAACAGGCGGACCAACTGAAAGCTCGACGGGAGCATTGCCACCCACAAGTACCGGATTGGAGTCGAGCTTGTCGAGCACAACCACGTCCAGGTCCAGGTCGACCTCGACCATAACAACGACCGTCACAATCCCTTCGTCCGTCGTGACCACTGTGACCGTGCCCACCCCGACCGGCGGCCAACCGTCTAGCTCCGCCACCGGACCCGGCGTCTCTTCCACCAGCGACACAGACGGCATCACAGGCACCTCGCCGCCAGCATCACCCCCCTCCTCCTCTGCGCCGCTCCCACCCGTGAGCTCCACATCGCCGGTCGACACAACAACAGGTGTCCTCCCGACAACAGGCGCCCGGAGCACCGCGCCGTCCTCTGCCGTCCCGCAGCCCACCGCTCCGCCCCCCCTCTCCTCCATCGACACCACCTGCACCACCTCGGGGACGATAGCGCCGTCGCCGTCGCCCCCCGTTCCGGTCCAAAACGGGACCACGACTATCGCATCAGCATCGTCACCATCATCATCTCTGGACACCACCTGCACAGACGGCACCACGCCCGCGACCCAAGCCCCTCCTTCTTCTTCTTCTTCTTCTCCTCCAGCGACCACCACCCCGTACAGCGAGACCATGACCGCCCCGCTCCCGGCGGGATCGACTTCGTGCAACGAGACGGGTATCGCCTCTGCCACTGGGCCTGGGCCTGCGCAACCACCAACAACCACGTGCCACGAGACCCCTTCCTCGTCCTCAAGCGTGGTACCGATAGAGAGCGCGACTTCAGCTTCAGTCTCAGCCTCGGCCTCAAGCTCAACGTCAACGTCCTGCAGCGAAACATGGCTCACCTTCACCATCCCGGCGACTACCACCGTCGCGGTGACGCTGAGTGCCCCGGCCTCGGGCTCGGGCTCGTCCTCCTTCTCGTTGTCGACCTCGACATGCACCGAGACTACCCTGCGGACTGTCACTGTCCTGTCTTCGGCGACGGGAGGCAGTAGTGGTGGTAGTGGTAGTGGTATGTCAAAACTTCTAAATTGTTCTTTTTGAGGGAGGATGACCAGGAAACTAACGAGTAAGTTTGAATGCAGGAGGACCCGCCCCGTTGAGTCCCAGCAGCAGCAGCGGCTTCTTCACAACCGGGACAGTCACCCCCTTCTTCCCACCATCTCCATCTCCGTCGTCAGTCTCGGTCTCAGTCTCATCAGAGACGCTGTCGCCTCTTGCGCCGCCTCAGCAGCCGCCGACGTCGCTGGCACCACCACCACCCCCCAACAACCCCTTGGACCCGGGCGAGGGGACGCTGGACCACCGTCACACCATCACCATCTCGGGCCCTCCTCCTCCTGCTCGCGGTCATCATCAGGAGCCGACGGGTACTACAGCTGCTGCCGCTGCTACTGAGATCTTTGTCGTTGGATGAGGGGTCTTTTCCAGTTTCAGTTTGGAATAAGGGAGCTCTCTAGGTTAGGTTGTTTTGTTTTTGTTTCGGGAAGCAGCAGCAGTTTGATGTTTGAGGGAGGGAGGGGAAACACGCACGGGTCTGAAAGGTGTGGTGTCTCTCTTCTGATGATGACTGACCTTATTAACTGACATTCGCTCGACTTGTTTGTTGTTTCGTTTTCTTTTCTTTTTTTCTCTTCTTTCTATGGATATTTTCGGACACATAACAGACCTGTCAGCTTGTGGGTATTTCCATATTTCCTTTCTCATATTGCCCGGGCGCGCGTCTTGGAGAGGGATTTCTATGAGGGGTAGTATGGCAAGAGAATGCAATGTACGCTCGTTGTGTGTGTGTTCACCGTCGCTTTGCCTCGGACATGTCGGAGAATGTGAAGTCCGTCGTGATGTTGTATTGTTGTTGATCGCACTCGGCATTTAACTATTAGGAGTTCAGGGGTTCTTCGGACTGTCACTTGCCTGTCACTCAGTCAAAACCCTAACCCTGCATCATGCCCTCGATCCTGCGATGCAACGGTGGTAACTTACAGCATGTCTTACTCAGCCCTAACCGACAAGGGTTTAAAGCACATTGCCGGCGCACATCTGAGTCCGACTCCCGACAAAGCGGCCTTTTATCGCCTTTTTCGCCCTGCCGGAGAAAACCGCTGCTGCATGATGCATCCGATGTTGCGGTTGGGCTGTAAAAGCTCCGTCCACGGCGAAGGGGCCTGAGGCAGGGAAGTGGTCCTTGCGCGAGCACGTCATCGGAGCTAGAACCTTTGGGGACAACGACAAGTCGCATCTTTTTTCCTTCCCTCCTCCGGCAGAGCGTTGTTGTCGTTGCAACTTTGCTGCCGTAAGCAAGAAGGCTTTCTTTGCTTGCTCTCCGTTACACCGTCGGTCTGCTTTTGATGTTGGTTGCTAATCAACAAGGCACACGTTGTCCCTGGGAGTGCACCAGTAGTAACATTGGGGCACCGTTCATGCTCCTTTGGTCATATACCACAGTAGAGTACAGATTTATTACTATAATAACACCCACTGGCAAGCTGAAGGGGGTGTAAGTGAAGCCACCGGCAAATGGGAGATGGGGATCTCGATTAGAAAATCCACTCAGCCAGGATTGCGGGCGTTGCTTGGCCGAGTCACGCACCGTCCATCCCATACTCTGCCCTGCTTCTTGACGGGAATGGACGCCGCTACCGGGGCCTGAAGTTTCAGTCCTTCGGTCCGTTAGCTTGCCACATCGATAGGATGGAGATCTGGGGACCCGCGGGGACGGCAAAACCGGAACGTAACATGCCTGCTGTGTACTGTGTATATATCTTGCGCTTGACCACCATCTCCTCTTAATAAGACAACCTTAGTCCACAATGCTCGTCTCTCTTTCTCTGCTCCGCCCACCTTCGCTACCCTGATCTATAAGTATCTAGTCACGCGGCAATCCGTCGCGTTGCAACCCTCTAATTTCGCTCACCAACTCGGGATCTCAGATCGAATATCATCAAATATGGCGAACGCTCCCCACGGCGGCGTGCTCAAGGACTTGATTGCGCGGGACCTTCCTCGCCACGCCGAACTTGCGGCCGAGGCAGAGACCCTTCCGGCACTCGTCCTCAGTGAGCGCCAGTTGTGCGACCTTGAACTGCTGCTCAATGGCGGTTTCTCGCCGCTTGAAGGTTCGTCAACATTAACCCTCCTCAACGCGGTGTCCTTCGCCGGAAGGTGGGATGGTGGGGCTCTCATGAACCCCGCCATCGGCCTGCTGTCTTTGCCCCCGTACCATGTACGCAAGGCACAGCAACACTAAATTGTTGACTGGATTGCAGGTTTTATGAACGAGCAAGACTATAATGGGTACGTTTTTGCAAGGAAAACGAGCAAATTGATCTTTCCGCGGGGGGGGGGTGCTAAGACATTGTTCACTGCCAGGGTCGTCAAGGAGAACCGCCTCGCCAGCGGCGCGCTCTTCAGCATGCCCATCACGCTCGATGTGGACCAGGAGACCATCGACGAGCTCTCGTTGAAGGCCGGCGCGAGGATAACGCTGCGGGATTTCCGCGACGACCGGAACCTGGCCATCCTCACCGTCGAGGACGTCTACAAGCCCGACAAGTAAGCTACCGTCCCCTTTGTCCCAAGACTTGCCAAGGGTCGCGTCATCCCGGGCTGCTATGGCAAAACTGATGTGCTGACCTCCGTAACACCAGGGCGTTGGAAGCCAAGGAGGTCTTCGGAGGGGACGAGGAACACCCTGCGATTCGCTACCTCTTCAACACTGCCAAGGAGTTCTACGTGGGCGGCAAGCTGGAGGCCATCAACCGGCTGCAGCACTATGACTTCGTCGAGTTGCGATGTAAGCGAGCCGATTCCTAGGGAAGTGAGTGGGTTTGAGGGGGGATGCTGACAGCAGTGTAGACACTCCTTCCGAGCTCCGCGCTCACTTCGACAAGCTCGGCTGGACCAAGGTGGTCGCCTTCCAGACCCGGAACCCCATGCACCGCGCCCACAGGGAGCTGACCGTCCGCGCTGCCCGCTCGCACCATGCCAACGTCCTCATCCACCCCGTCGTCGGCCTGACGAAGCCCGGCGATATCGATCACTTCACCCGTGTCCGCGTCTACAAGGCTCTCCTGCCGAGATACCCCAACGGCATGGCCGTGCTCGGCCTGCTGCCCCTGGCGATGCGCATGGGCGGCCCGCGTGAGGCCATCTGGCACGCCATCATCCGCAAGAACCACGGCGCCACACACTTCATCGTCGGCCGCGACCACGCCGGCCCTGGCAAGAACAGCAAGGGTGTCGACTTCTACGGCCCCTACGACGCGCAGCACGCCGTGGAGAAGTACCGTGACGAGCTCGGCATCGAGGTGGTCCCCTTCCAGATGATGACGTACCTGCCGGACACCGACGAGTACGCGCCGGTCGACCAGATCCCCCAGGGCGTCCGGACATTGAACATCTCCGGCACGGAGCTGCGTGCGCGGTTGCGGAGCGGGCGTGAGATCCCCGAGTGGTTCTCGTATCCCGAGGTCGTCAAGGTCCTCCGGGAGTCGCACCCGCCGAGGTCGCGGCAGGGCTTCACCGTCTTCCTGACGGGCTACCAGAACAGCGGCAAGGACCAGATCGCGAGAGCGCTCCAGGTCACGCTGAACCAGCAGGGCGGCCGCTCCGTGTCGATGCTGCTGGGCGAGACGGTCCGCCACGAGCTGTCGTCCGAGCTCGGCTTCAGCCGCGAGGACCGCGACAAGAACATTGCTCGCATTGCCTTCGTCGCCTCCGAGCTGACCAGGTCCGGTGCTGCCGTCATCGCTGCGCCGATTGCCCCCTTCGAGCAGGCGAGAAAGCACGCCCGTGAGCTTGTTGAGAAGTATGGCGACTTCTACCTCGTCCACGTGGCGACGCCGCTCGAGTACTGCGAGAAGACGGACAAGAGGGGCGTTTATAAGAGGGCTCGCGCCGGCGAGATCAAGGGCTTCACCGGTGTCGACGACCCGTATGAGCCTCCCGCCAAGCCGGACCTTGTGGTCGACTGCGAGAAGCAGTCAGTGCGGTCCATCGTTCACCAGATCATCCTGCTGCTCGAGGGCAAAGGTCTCTTGGATAAGTTTTAACGCGATTTTTTGGTTATGAAGACTAAAGCTTGCCGCGGCGCCATCAGCCGAGATTTGGTTACACAGACGTTTTCTGCGATTCTTTGTGGAAGAGTATTGCTTTTGGGATCCATAGAGTCGGCACGTGGCATTCTGCAGGTTAGACCTTTAAATAGAAGGCAAGATGGATTCATTCCAAGCCTGCCAGGTGATTTATCGCATCAAGTAAAGCAGACACGCGGCGCCGACGCTAAAGCCATGCTTTCGGCTCCGTTTGGCGGTTGGAGGACGCAAAACCATTGGGCGCCTCACCCGCATCCTGCGGGCGGTCAGCGCGTAAAAGTGATCTTGCAGTGCTTGACAATGAGGAGTCAGGCACAGGGTCCAATTAAGTTCCAATATCTAAGGTAGTCCTCCCACATACGAACCCGCTTGGAGATGGAAGTGGTCACATCGAATACGACTCTGCCGTTGTGCTGTGTGATGTCGCTATCCGTACCTTTTCTGTGCTTCGTCGAGTGAGACATGCAGTGCTCAGTCGAGCTCGTTTTCGACTCCTGTCGGGAATTCCAAGCAGCGTCAACAGCAACTGGCGGTCCACCTGCCGAACACATCAGACAGTGTGCAGATCTTCGGTTTACACACTATGGCGTTCTTCAAGCCCACTGTAACTGTTTGACATCTGGTTGCCAAGTCTTCAAGGAAAGCTCGAGGGCACCGTGTGGATACTGTCTTGACCGCTTCCGAATCCCTGCCCAATGGGCATCACCAACCTCTCTTGAGAGAATCGATCGATTTCAGGCATGACAGCTGGGCAGCCAAGTTACGAGTTCTCAGCAACTTCGCCATTTTCCGAGAAACGAATCAGTTCTCCCTCCTCAGGAAACACTGCCGCGACGGCTCTAAATCCTGGTGATACAGAGCCCTGGTTGGTCGCAACATCTGACCCAGGCCGAACCAACATCAAGCTTCTCCTGCTCTGCGCCGCATTCACCGTGCGGTTACGTTGCGTCCGGCAACCGCAGCCGCCCCGTCCTCCCGTCTCTAAGGCGGGTGCGTTACCCTGACATGGTCCATCATGTTTTCCTCTAAAGATCGCGATGTCGACGCTGTCGACGACCGCCCGCGCGAGAAGCCACACCGATCCAAGTCCGAGCGGATTCACAGAGAGCGCGATCGAGAGAAGGACAGGGATCGGGAGCAGCGCAGAAGGGACAGAGATAGATACGGGGACGGCGATAGTGTGCGGGACAGAGATTCTCTGCTTTCGTCCTCTCACCGCCATCACCACCACTCCCATCGATCGTCGACTTCGTCGAGGTTTTCCAAGCTGAGGCCGACCGATAGCGAGAGATCGCACCGACGGCCGAGAACGAGAGACATGGACAAGGAGCACCCGGACGATAAGTCGGCCGCTGCAAGGTCCATGATAGACCTGGTGCCGGAGCTGGCAAGGGGCGTGGAGAGCGAGCGGGGCAGCTTCCCGTATCCGTCTTTCAACAAGGCGCACAGCAAGGAGCTCCTTTATAGCAAGGAGGATGTCTCGGCGCCTGGTGTCAGAAAGGCGGACCCTCTCACACCAGATGCTACGGATCTCGGAGGCAGTGAGATGAAGCGGTCCAAGTCGGTCGGCGCCCCTCCCGTCGCCCGGAAGAACTCGACAGCGCGGGAGAATGGCCGCAAGGAGGACAGGCCACCGTCACCCCCCGAGACGGACCTCTCCGGTCAGAAAAAGAGACCCGAAACTCCAGTGTCAGTGAAGGAAGCAGATGCGTCAGAAACGAGGCCTTCGTCTAGGGGCTCCTGGGTCTCGAGGTCCACTTCCAAGCACGAGTCCAAGTCGAGACTCTCGAAGGCGTCCAGCCAGGCGACCTTCGTCATGCGGCCGGCACCTTCAGTCAGGGCGCCACGTGGCGACGATTCCGGAGCAGCGAAATCTGAGATAACCGACGCGTCTACGCTGGAGCCGGGCTCGACAGCTACAACGCTACCAAGACGGAGCGCTTCCATGGCCCAGCAGCCACCTGTGGATGCCGCGGATTCTTCACCAGAATCAGCCGTAGACACTTCTCCCAGGACACCAACACACACCCCTCACTTCCCGCCGCCTCTCATGGCCGAGGAGAAACATCACTATACCACATCCGACGTACCGACTCCTTCAGCAACCCCGGCATTCACTCCAGCCCCCCCGCCTCCACCGCCGCCGCCGCCGCCTCCGCCTGCACTTAACCTTCAGGAGGTTCCCCGTGTGGACTACCTCCTGCAGAATGGTGGCTTGCCACAGCCCGTGCCTAGACATTTCCTCGCCGTTCTGCCGCGACAGAACGGTACACGGCCGTCCAACCCCCCACTCCAAGGCGCCGAGACGCTCTTTGCACCCTTCTTCAACCTCCTGCAACAATACCAGACGGTACTTTCAGGCCACGGCTCCATCGCCGTTGCGACCGGCCACCGGACCGTCGCTCGCCGGCTCTTGGATAGGTTAGAGAACGTGTTCTCCCGGGATCTTCCGCCTGATGGCTGCCCCTGCGTGGTGTGCGAGCGCTCAGGGGAGCCCCATAGGGGTTTAGGATGGGGAGAGGTGCTTGAGAGAGTGAGTGGGAGGGTAGACTTGCCGCCGTGGCCACCATTCGACTTCTCGCTGCTGAGCAGCAAGGCGGTCGAGGATTTGGCCGACATCCCGCCACGGCCATCATCACCGGTCAAGATGGATCCGGACATTGCTGAGGAGTTTAGAGAACACTATCTCCGCCAGACCAAGCGAGTTCGGGCGGCCGTCGACAAGTGGATGTCCAACGTCGAGAAGACTGCCGCTCCGCCGCCACAGGACGTCGACGACGAGACGCTCGCCTTCGCCATCCTCACCAACCTGGAGCAGGAGGACCGGCCCTACTTCAACGCCCTGCTTGCCGGCTCACGGGAGCTACTGCCCGCGATGCGGGCCCCTACCCCAATCCGCAGACCCCGCAACGATTTCATCGTGAAGGCCGGTCTCTCGCTCCAGAGGTTATACCGCCTGCCGCAAGCGCCGCGCGACGCCGAGACAGCCGTCTACCTCGTCAAGAACCCGGGCACGCACGACCTCCTCTACACAATATCCGACATCAGCACCTCCGAGTGGGAGATCCTCACTTCGGGCCGCTTCGACGGCTTCCTCTGGTCCGGCGCCGAAGACGACACCACCGTCCAGTTCGGCGAGGGCCCGTCACGCCTGGCGACGCCCGCAAGCGGCATGTTCTCGCCTTCGCGCATGATGAGCCCCACAGGCCCCGCCGGAAGGGGCCCAATGTCCCGCACCACGACCCCGTTCGGGCCCTTCTCCCGCGGCCAGACGCCCGCGTCCTTCATCAGCGGCGTGTCGGCCGCCTCGTCGTCGGCCCCGTACCCTTCCCGCGCGGCCGTCACGCACGACGAGGAGGTCGAGGTGGCGACGCTGGCCGAGCTGGAGCGCGAGATCTTCAACGGCATGGAGGCGCTCGAGGACGCGTTCGAGAAGCTGCACGAGCAGGCCATGGCGGTGCGCGATGGCTTGCGGCGGCGGGGCGCCGCGCTGCAGATGAGTCTGCAGCAGCGCAGGGGCGGGTTCGGCACGGGTCGGGGTATCGATGTCTTGCCGTTGTCTGGGTCCAGCGGCACCTACGATCGGCCGGCATGGGCGGACGAGGAGAGCATAGATGGCGCGGATAGCGAGTGGGGCGGGGACGATATTAGCGAGCTCGCGCCGGATGACTCGGCGAGCCAGGTCAGTAGTAATCGGTTGAGGCGGCCGAAGCGGAGGAGGGAGCGGGCCACGCCAGCGCCGATTGAGGAGGAGGATGAGCAGTGATGATTACTCGGGATGAATCATTCATGACTAGGCATGGGAAATGGCACCGTATACCAACTTGGCTTTTTTCAAGGCTGTTGTGACGTTTCGTGTTCTTTGGCGGTTTGGATTCCCAAGTTTTCTCATTCTGGCCATGGCGAGCGAGGCGTTGGCGATACCTTTCAGTTGTAGTATCGTTTGGGTGTGTCTACTGGTGCGATTCAAAATGTGTCTTTGCTCTGTTTGATGATCAAGTATATAGGTACAATACAATACCTACATACGTTCATTCCCAAATACAGCAGATTCCTCGGGCGGGCCGTGGCGATGGGGGATGAACATCCAGATGAGTTGATCCTGGGTCTTTCTATCCCTTTATGCCTTGGGAGCATTTGACATCCGTTCCGCCCCAGCTTTTGAGGAGCATAGCACCTGGATAATGTGATAAGACGAGTACATGCCTGGACAGCCGACATTACGGGTCTTGGAAGACTGTCGCCGGGCTGGAAAGGCGAGCTCTTGTCTCCTCCCTAATGTACAAAGTAATTGACACTTTCAGTTGATAGCGAAAAGGAGGATCGGACGCTTGGCATATGTGTTGATGTGGGGCACACTTTCATGATTCTGGGCTTGGGGATCTCAGTGGCTTCGTTCTTTGATTCCGCGAAGGGGCCGCGGGCAGGACCGTCTGACCTGGGAGAACTATGTGTGTGTCTAGACTGGCTTGTGTTCTTCAGACCTACATAAGTAGGTACCTTATCCTATCAACGCCATTTTGGGGACTCTTCCTCACGATGGCCACGACTCACGAGGCACGAGGGATCCGATCCGGTCAAAGGCGGCCCGCCCCGCGGGCACAGATCACCAAACTTAAACGGCTACCAATTGGAGCCTACCGAGTGGAGATTGAGACACGGCTTGGCTTATTGGCAACTTTGAAGGTGCCGACGTCCAACCTGATAAGTCACCATCGACAAATCGACAATGGCCACCGAAAGAGGCTCCTGCCCGCTCCGGGAGAGGCAGAGCTGATGGATTTGGCGGATCTGTGCGGTCTGGCCTAGAATCAGTTAAACAGCAACGGTTTGGTTTCGCCCAGCCGATGATCACCCAATTGCCCCTCGAGCACCGAGCCACCAGAAGCTCCGCCAGACCCAAAATGAACCGGTGGGGTGATTCACGTCTAGGCTGGTTCAGGGGATCATGGCTCCGAACTGGCCGAGGCTCTCATACCTTTCGGAACCTTTCTCCTTTTGTGTAAATAAAAGTTCCTGGAACTTCAATGGCTAAGCTGCCGACAGAAGGGACTGGGAAGCTTGGATTGTCGCGATCAGCGTCGATATTAGACCTAGACCCCCTGCTGCGCTAGAATCTGAGGGCGTCCCTTCAGTCTTTGTCTGCTTTAGCAGACAGTTCCGTTGACGACAGGCGTGGAAGTGCTGAGGAACATAATATCATCGGAATCCCGCGACTACTTGATCGATACGAACACAAGCAAAGCTGCCGGTGACAGTATCCCACTCACCCGATTCGATTCCGCCCTGATCCTCGACGCGGCTTGCGTCCATCATGGCTGCTGAGACCCCCGGAAGCCCCTCACCTTGATTGCGCGGTGTCACGGTCTAAAGTGTCGACACTGGGAGAGTGTTCACCCTCCTGACTGTGTTGTCATCCATGTTCCCAATACTGGTTCTGGCTTTATCCTCCATGTCCCTAAGAGCCTCCAGCTTCGCCATGACGCCAGGGGACTACCTCCGTCCGTTTAGACTCATCCTCTTCTGCTTGGTCTTCGCCACGGCGAGTCGAGCCCTCGAGGTCAAGTGTGTTCCCGATTCCCGATTCAAAACCCCGACGCTAGCAGCTGTATGCCAAGGGACTAACAGTGAACAGATCCGCGCCTGCGCTGTACACGGGTGGCTTTGGTAATTGTCTGGGCGGCAGGAGTTCGTTCACCGTCAGCACATTCGATATCGCATATGATGCCACCGGCAACAAGACTGTGGTCTTCCACTTTGAAGGCACCAGCGACATCGAGAATGAGTCTCTCATGTGTAAGGCCAGTTGGGCAAGACCGCTTCGTATAAGTTACTGACAATATGTAGTTCACGTCTCTATCGATGCATGTAAGGCGAAGCGGCCTGTCAGGGCATAATCAGTAGCTGACCTGACTTCTTAGACGGGAAGAACCGGTACTCTTTGACTTTTGATCCATGTAACTTCAACATCACCAGGTGAGTTAGATGCCAACTGGAAGAGACGCGGTTACTAACGATGCGTATAGTCTCTGCCCCCTGAGATCGACCGTTCCTGTCACGGCTCGCGCGGTTCTGCCAGTCGGCAACCAGCCCCTCGGAGAGCTCGCAAGCACCGCATTCACTGTTCCGGACTTTGAGGGCTCAGCGAAGCTGCAGCTCTACGCCAACTCCTCCAAGACCGAAATCGGGTGCTATCAGGCCAGCCTGACGAACGGCGAGACGCTTTCCCATCCCGAGATCGTTGCGCCGATTCTCGGGGTGTATACGCTGGTAGCGATGCTCGCGTCGTTCTTTACTGCTGCGTACGGCGTCAGCGTTCCGCACATGCGAATGCACCATGCCCACTCGCTCCCCGTCTCCGTGGTTCTCGAAACCTTCCAGACCATCTTCTTCTCGGGGGCGCTCTCGGTCGACTGGCCTCCGCTGCTGACAGCATGGTGGTCTAACTTCGCCTGGTCCGCCGGCCTCATCTACAACGCAGACATGTTTCGGTCGATCTCTGCCTTTGCCGGAACGACTGGCAACACAAGCGAGATTGGCGGCAGCGCTCTGCTGATGGCTAGCACTAGGGATGTGTCAGGCGCTCATATCTTTGACGCGTCTGCGACCCAAGAGGCTCTGGGCTTCGTCCCCAATGGGACTAGATTCAACTCCAGCTTTCTGAATGACTACGCATGGTCCGGCACCGCCGTCGCACCTGGGGTGCCTCTTCCGGGCAACTGGTCGGGCTTCCCTGGGACATTGTCAGCTGTCAATGTTGCGATTGCTGACGCCTTTATGGTTGGGCTGGTATGGCTTCTCATAGCCCTCGCGCTGGTTCTCTTGGCGATGGGGGCCCTCAAGTTCTCGCTCGAAGGGCTGGCACGCAGCAAACGGATCCAAGGGGACCGGCTGTCATGCTTCCGCAGCCACTGGATCGGCTACCTTGGCCATGCGTTGGTGCGCGCGCTACTCAGCAGCTTCTTCATGCTCATGACTCTTGCAATGCTCCAGTTCACCATCAGGATATCGGTTGGCGCCGTCGCCGTGGCTACGGTCGTGTTTATTCTCGCCGTCATCGGGCTCGCCTCACTGGTCGCAACCGGATGCCGAGCTCGCACTCGAGATGTCAACCTCAAGGTCCAGTCCGATTCGATTGTCGTCTATTACAAGACAGTCCTTCGGATACTTCCCCTTGTCCTGACAGATTGGGAGAGCACACTAAGGGAACACGAGCTGGAGGTCCGGCCATTATGTAGCATCCCCTTTTTCCGAATCCGGTGCCAACACACAGACCCAGACCGCCAGAACATCCACCTGGACCAGTCCTTCGTCAAAAGGTTCGGCTGGCTTTCGGCAAGATATCGTCGCACACGATGGTGGTACATGGCGTACTACGTCGCCTACCTCTTCTGCCGTGCAGCGCTCATAGGAGGCGGCTGGCGGAATCCCCACGCGCAAGTCTACGGACTTCTAGCCGTCGACGTCCTGAACTTCTGCATCAGCGCCATACTGAGCCCGTTTGAAGGAGCTCGCAACACGGTCATGGCTGTCTGGGTACTCGGCATCTGCAAAATCATCACCACAGCCGTATCCACCGCCTTCCTCCCAGAGTCCAACTTGGATCGTACGAGGGCCGCCGCGCTCGGCGTCGTCATCATCGTCTTCCAGGGCCTGACCGTGGCTGCATTGCTGGTCCTCATCTTGCTCAGCACCGTCTCATCCTGGATGTCCCTGACGCGCAATCGCGAGGAAATCGATCCAGATTGGCTTGAGCCTGTCCGCGTTCGCTACTTCTTGAAGATGGAGAAGAAAGCGCGGGACAGACGCTTTGACGAGGAGACGCTGGACTCTCCGCCACCGACGCCGCACTTTTCCGTGGTTGAGGTCCGCCGCAAACCGAAAATCGAGGATGAGGACGAGGACCAGGGCGGCGCAGCCGTGGGAGTTGTGCATGAGCCAGAGCAGAACCCCGATGACAGCGCCGGCGACGACCAGCCCAGCATGCGGGGGCGGGCCCGCCACAGCCATGCCAGCAGCGTCAGCCACCGGTTGAGCACGGGGAGCTTACCGCGGGCGGCCCGGCCGTATCGCGCCTCGTGGTCATCAAGAGACTTTGGCGATGCTTCGCTCAGCCGCCCAGAGAGCGTGCTCTCACAACGGCTCAGCGGCATCACCTGCATCGTGACGGACTGCGATGCGTCCAACGCTTCGGCAACACCATCGGTCAAGCCGCAGAGCAGCATGTGGAGCTTGAACACGCCGTCGGCCAGCAGAGCCTCCAGCCCCGGCCCAGGAAGGCTTTCGCGGGAGAGTGTGAGGAGGCCACCCACGGCGTTACCAGAGGCTCCGGAGCCACAGGACTGAATCTACTAACATACCTATTTATCTTATACGATGAAAGTACTAGTTGTAATGCAAATCACATACTTTTTCGCTTCCAGCTGTAGGCCTATAAGCTGAAAGGATATTCCGTATCGCAGAGCCAAACTCGAGCACAGAGAGAGTACCTTAGTTTAGTTGAAGGCATGACCATGGGCCTCGCTGAGCGATGCAGTGTGAGCGGAAGCCCATCTCATCTCGGAGCCGCTACTGAGGCTTCGGGCGGGTCTGATATCCGGGGCACGGGTAACGGACGATCCCAAACACAGCATGCTCGGGAACAATGTCGCCCCCTTCGGGTCGGCATTGAAAGTTAGGTAGCACAGCATCAGCGGAGCCTGCCCTCGCAACTGCACCCCGCCTCAACTCCCGAACCCCTCCTTCCCCAAACCTTTTCCCCCCCTGGACTTACCCACAACCCCACACTGAGTGGCGGCGGGCCTTCGCCCGAACTCTCTGTACGGGGGGTTCCTCACTTCCGTCATGATGGACGGACGAAAAGCTGATTGAGTTTGTTATTTTGTAGACGATATCGTCAAGTACTAGTAGCCATTACGTTCAGGCTAGCTTAGCCCCAGCTGAACACAACCGGTGCCGGGTGCTTTTTTCCTGTCCGTTTCCCCCTTTAGGAACAGTACGAACGTATCCATCATCCGGTGTTTTGGAGTCTTGTTGGTCCTGAGTTCGGACGATCCGCCCCAGCGGATTTATCAGGCCTTACAAATAGTTAATAGTACATACAGTACATACATACACCAGACAGAGAGATTACCGCTAGTTATAAGAAGAATGGCAGACCAGGTTCCCCGGCGGGATTATTAGGGACCTACTCGACTCTCTCGACGCGACGTTTGCGTATTCATCTGGGCACTCGCTACCACCAAGGCGCCACAAGCACTCCCCCGGTTCGTCGACAGACAACAACAACAACAACAACAACAACAACAACAACAACAACAACAACAACAACAACAGCAACAACAGCAACACCACCACGACCGAACTCATCATCATCAACAAGCCATGGCACAAGAGTCGAAAGCCGCGGCCCAGGCGCCGCCGCCGCCTCTGCTGGACCTGACCATCGACAACATCACGCCCAACACGATCCGGATCAACTCGCAGAGTCCCAACGCGCGGCTGACATACCTGATGGCGCGGCTGGTGACACACCTGCACGACTTTGCGCGGGAGACACGGCTGAGCACGGAGGAGTGGATGGCGGCTATCGAGTTCCTGATCGGGTGCGGCAAGATCTGCAGCGATGTGCGGAATGTGAGTCGCTTCATTTTTTTTTTTTTTCACTTAACATTTTCCCAGAGAGCTTTGGATGAGGGCTATGGTGGTGCTAATATTTGAGGCCCCAAATATCTAGGAGTTCATCCTCTTGTCCGACGTGCTGGGCCTCTCGCTCCTGGTAGATAACATCAACCACCCCAAACCGCCAGGCGGCACCGAAGGTTCCGTGCTCGGGCCCTTCCACACGCATGACGCGCCCGTGCTGCCCAACGGCGCGAGCATGACGTCAGACCCGGAGGGCGAGCCGATGCTGGCCGTCTGCACGGTGAGGGACACGCAGGGGAACCCGATCGCCGGCGTGACCATCGACATCTGGGAGACGGACAGCTCGGGCCACTACGACGTGCAGCACGCCGACCGCGACGCGCCCAGCGAGCGCTGCGTCATGGTCAGCGACGAGCAAGGGAGGTTCTGGTTCAAGGGCCTGAAGCCCGTCAGCTACCCGATCCCGCACGACGGGCCCGTGGGGAAGCTGCTGCAGTTGCTGAACCGGCACTGCTGGCGGCCAGCGCATGTGCACTTCATGTTTGGGAAGGAAGGCTGGGATAAGTTGGTTACGTATGTGCCATATACCCCCTCTCTCTTCAAGGGTGTCGTCGGTTGACCTTTTGATATGATTCCGCGGCTGACATCTGCGTTCTTTAGTGCGCTGTATCTCAGGGGCGACCCGTATGAGACCTCGGACGCCGTTTTCGGTGTGAAGCAGAGTCTCGTGATTGACCTGGACAAGGTGGACAAGGAGACGGCCAAGGAATATGGTGTCGAGGAGGGCACGTGGCTGCTGAAGCATGACTTTGTGCTTACAACGCAGGAGGAGACGGAGAAGTTGAGAGACCAGCTAGCTACCGAGGCGTTGCAGAAGCTGGGTCTGAGCCTCAAGCTGGTAGACCATCTCCCAGTGCCTGATTTAGATTGAGCGTTAAGAAATAATCCAAAAGCGGCCCGCAGCCCAGCGTTGTCGTTGCTTTCCCTTTTGCCATATGCTCTCAGTGTTCGCTCGCCGATGCTGTAGACGTGACCAACTTGACCACGCTCTCCAGGTAGCCTGCGGTGCCTCCATATTTGTCGACAATGGCTTGGATGTCTAAGGTCGGACTCTGGGTAGACCGCTTACGCCCGACCAATGCCGTATTGCGCGTGCTCGGGATACGCAGCATCTCCTGCTCAACCTCCCAGCCGCAGTCTGTTGCAATATTCGAGACCCACACAACCAGTGACGAGTATGCCGAGTCCGCTGTGGTTTTGTCTTTCGGGGCGGGCGCCCGGAACCGCTCTCCAGCCAGATTATGGCTGCAGCAGGGAATGGCAATGAAGGGGCACTCGGAGAGAGCAGCAATGATGGGGGTCCAGGGGGTGAGTTCATCAGCATGGTTTGAGATGATAAAGGTGCCCTCGGGAAAACGGCCGTTGTGGATGAGCTTGTCATTGAAGGTATCACCCGACAGGCCAGCAAGCCCGTCTCGGCTGACCGGTGGCGGAAGCAAGACAAGCTGCTGAAGCGTGTCCTGTTCACCTGCGGGCGTCTTCATCTTGGTGTTGTATGCAGCCCATGACTTGCGCGAGCGCGCATCGAATCCCCATCCTGCGAAACCTTCCTGGTTGAGGATGTAGACAAGAAGACCGTTGCCACACCCAATGTCCACAAAACCTGGGAACGTGCCTTGGCCGTACGTGTCAAGCCATAGTTCAAGCAGGAACGCTGCGATGCAGAGATCCTCAAAGACATGTTTCGCGGGATCGGTTGTCTCGGCCCAGCTTTTGATGAGACTTCGTGCGTACTTCTGCTTGAGCCGGGTATAGGTGTTTTGCACCCGCGCCTGAGGAACCAATCGGTCGTGATGCACCCGCTTCTGGTATCCCTCTAGCCGGCCCTTGCCGTGCTTGTGGATGACCTCGAGCAGGCGCAGGGCAGTCCGTACAAGCCTGACAGAAGAACGGTCCTCCTCGCTGAAGAAGAGGTAGGAGATGGAGATGGACCCGCGAGATTCCGCGGCTGCTGTCCACTCGTGGAGAAAGGCTATTCCCCGGACTACGGGGTGATAGAAAGGCATCTCGGAGGGGGTGGAGATATGGGGCAGATATACCACGAGGGTCTTCTCTACCGCGGTAACAGCATCATCCTCTTGGTAAGAAGCTGTTCTGTAAATGAGGCATGTCTGATCCATGGGTTTGTCCCTCAGCGTATTCCTGGGAATAAGCCTTCGCACAATGCATCGCCGGAGCTCGAACCCGAGGAATAAAGGGATGTGGGCGTGCTCGACTTCCGGGACCGCTAAGGCAGCCAATGGTTCGACCGAGTCATAAAGGATATCCGCGCGAAAGAGCCACGAGGAGTTGATGTTTGGATTCTGAATCAGGTTGACCAAGACATCGTTGAAAACCTCAGCGTTGAATGAGCACTGATGTCGAAACAGCGGCCGCCAACATGCTGTCTCATGACTGGACTCGCTGTCCCCGAGAACAATGAACGGACTTGCGTCGAGCGCCACATCCTCTGGCTCGAATCCCATTTTTTGGGGAACCGGTCGTGCGACAGGCCGTGAAGGGCAAATCGGCCTGCATAGCCATCAACAGATGACGTTCTCCGGGTGATGCAAGCGGCGAAAACGGTACGTTACCGGAAGGCCTTCACAGTACGGAGTAGAACCGTAAGACGGGACAAACACAGTGTATTGGTTCTAGTACGAAGTACGTAAGTTGATATGCTGTAACGAAAATTACACGTATGTCTTGTGATCAATCAGTCCCAAACGTCATGGAAAACCAGCTGAAAAATTCCCATGAGTCATCCCAAACATCTGGACGAGCATAGAGCAAATATCTACGCTCGGTGACTTACCGCAATTTATGACTCGCAAAGGCTTCCAGTTGCAAACCACTGGTAGAGATCAGAAGGTGCTGACGTACTGGCCTTGCGCATCTTCGTGGAAGGTACAGTCGAGGTAGCGAAGAGGCAAGCACTGGTGGAACCCTGGCCCAGCGATAGATGACCGCGACTTGCCCAGTACGAGGCCGAGACAGCACGGTCTTTCCCCACTGAGATTCGCCCACCTGGTCCCCTGGTGGGTCACCCGAGCTGGCCAGTGCCCCCACATATCTACTTGTTCTTGCCCCCTCCCTCTCGGTTTCCAGGAACTTCGCTCTTCCAACATCATCTTGCCATCGCGACCGCATCCGCCTTTCTAGTAACCAAGGCTCACAAAGGCTCCAGCTCATCTTTTTAACTTTCACAAAACAATTCCATCAATCCACACCGCACATTAGCGAGACACTGCTACAGTCGTCGGTCGCTACACCCTCAACCTTCAACAAACAAACCATCTCCCAAGGTCAACCCGCAAACTTCGAGTTTATGTCAGGCGAAATCGAGATCCAGAATCTCAAGAGCCGCGGTATGTCCATCTACCGACTGCTTTCACTCATTATCATTCCCTGCTTTTGCATTCAACGGCGACGGCGTTTCCATTTGCGTCCACCTTTGAAGTGGATTGGTAATGTGACGTTGCATATGGGTTGCGCTGGAGGGACAAGCACCTCGTGTCCCGTCGCTTCTCGCGGACTACCTAGTGTCGGTTACTTTCTTAGGTGCACTCGCTGACTCGGATATCTGTTAGACCCCTTCGCCGACGCCGACGAGGACTCGGGACAAACCACCCAGACCCAGGAATACATCCATATTCGCATTCAGCGTATGTTTGATTGATACCCCACTGTCGCGTGACCGTCAGGTCCACCCCTCCAAACCACGGAGCAGTACCAAAGGATAGGCGACTGACGGAGAGTGTGCAGAGCGTAATGGACGCAAGACTTTGACTACCGTGCAAGGTATACCGGCGAAGTTTGACCACAAGAAGATTTTGAAGGTGATCAAGAAGGAATTCGGTATGTCTTTCCCAGTTCTGTGATAACCGAAGGCTGAGGTGCTAACCTCCGCCAGCCTGCAATGGCACCATCATCAGTGACACCGAGTCCAAGGGTCTTGGCGAGGTGATTCAGCTCCAGGGCGATCACCGCCTCAAGATCAAAGAATTCCTTGTTGACAAGGAGGAGGGCTTGGGTCTCGATGAGAAGAACATCAAGGTATGCATCCTGACTAGTTGCTTGGCTTGTCGAAGAGCCCGAACGCTAACTCTACTGACAGATCCACGGCTTCTAAGAGGGGCATGTCGGTCGTGCCGCCGCTCAGCGGCCCGGGCTCCAAGAGCTTCCGGGGCGGGGTTCACTCACAGAGGCAGAACTTGCCATCGATACCTGAGCAATGAAAGACCCTTCACAGGGTCGCGCGGCGCGCAAACACATGATACCCGGAAGTTGGCAGATGTGGCTCCTTCCCCTAGCAGAGATTGCGTTAGGAGGACGTATGTTAAGGCTGGGACCATTTGCTTATCGTCGTTCCTTCAGCGCTAGTTGACAGGACGGCCACAGAGTTAGCCTGCATGTCCTTCGTTAAGCGCCTGCGGGTCTCGTTAGTTTTAGGCAATGGAATGGTATTCCATCCAGCAAATTGTACGCGGCTGTCGACCGTGATTCCAGGTGGTATGTACAATGTTGCCTGGCCGTTGTCTTTTCCTTCCCCTGAGAGCTTCCACGTGACCCCCCAGTGCCCATACCCCTTCTTTTCGAACCGGAAACCACTCTCTGGACAAGACAACGCCACAAAACGCCTTATTCCTTTAACAAGCATCAGTGCTAGAGTTCCCTCGTAATATCACCATACTCCATGATTCGGATCGCCAGCTTGCCAGATTCGTGTAATACCCTCCGGATAACGTTAAGCAGGGGGATATCGGGGTAGTCGGAGCGGTTCGAATGTAGCTGGACCAAGAGTGCCACCATGCTGACGAAGCTGGCGATGGAAAACACACTAATGGACATGGACGTCTCCTTGCGGATGTTGATCTTGCGTTGGGTGATGTGATACAATACTGTCAATGTCTGTCCAGTCCCAGGGGAAGACGGGTGGTCAGCTCGATGGCCAGTGGACTAGAGAAAATGGGGAGCGGAAAGGAAAGGGTTGCGGGTGTTCCCTTACGGTAGAGATCACTATCCAAGCTGGGAGAATCAGCCGCGGGTCCTCGAAGCCGCCTGTAAGGTGGAGGACCCAAGAGGTAAGGTATCCGTTGATCGCGTCGACGGTCAGGAGCCGCACGATGGTCGCTTGTGGGGTGTAGTTCAGCAGCCAGCGCGACATGAGGCAGTCGGTGAAGAAGAAGGAGAGGTAGCCGGATGCGCAGCACTATTTTTTGTCTCTTGTCAGTCTGACATGGCTGCCCTGTTAATAAAAGGGGAAACCAAGGGGTAGAGTGGTGGGCGAACCCATATGGTGGCCAGCAGTGTCTCGGTGAGCCGCAGCCTGGCTTCAAATGCTGGGTCGTAACCCGACGTCGGCGAGGACGATCCTGCCCCTCGCCACAGCTTGCTCGATGCGCCGCCGTCGAGCACTCGGTCAAGGTACATGAGGTGCAGTGTCGCGAGCAACCGGAGAGCGTTTGGCAGGCCGAAGAGCACGCCCGGGGCAATCGAGGCCAGCCGGCAAAGGAAGAGGAAGGGGTACCATTTCTTGGAGAGGCCGAGCGCGACGGCAACGCGGGGTTGGAGGAGAGTAGACCGGACCGGGCCGGCGCCGGCGTGATCAGCAGCTGCTGTTGCTGTGACGCTTCCGGGTGTGGGGTTCAGGCCCGGTCTGGGGACGGCATGGTCGAGCGCGGACTTGGTTAATCCGGCAGGCGCCGCAGCGCCCCGGCCGCGGGACTCGGACAGGGAGCGCTTAGCAGCAGCGCCGCCGTTGAGTCCGTTATCCGCCCGCGGCTGCTCCGCCCTTGGCTTCACGCGGCTGTACATCAAGGTGCGTCTCCTGCCCCATGGAGCATCGACTTGAGGTTCTGCTCCGAAGGGAAACGAGGAAAGGTGGAGGTGCTGAGGTGGCGGCACTGGGCCTGAAATAAGCGGTGCAATAATGCGCTTCCTGAGGTCATCGATCGCTAGGGGTGAGCTCAATCTTGGCGGGGCTACCTTGATAAACATCCCGGTAAGCAGACCTAAACATATGATTGGTCAAATTGCCTTTTGGGCCCCCCAACTTCTCCCGCTCCATCGGGAAATTTTGAGCTCGGTTCAACCGGCGAGAGCTGGCGACCACTAACACCCGCGTACCCGGCCGAGCAAACGGCTCCTGTTCGACGTCGGCCGAGATAGAGACTCGGACCCAGCACAGTCCATCCGTCAGTGGGAGGGGGACTACGAGGGCCATTGCAATCGGGCAGCGGGAAACAGGGAGGCGCTTGGAACCAGAACCATGTCGCCCTCATCAAGGGTGTATCGGAGGGCCGGAGAGCTTCTCTTCGTCAATACGACGGCCCCCAAACGAATAACACCACTTTTCGGCACTCCGGGGTTTCTAGTGCAGTCGGCTTGTCCTTTTACCACATCTCAGATTCGAAGGGTCGGCTTGAACAAGCAGGCCTTGGAAGCTTCCACTCCCCGGGTCTCTACACACGAGTCTCCGAGTGTTTCGTCGTCGAAACGGACGCGGGAGTTAACCAGCGACGTCGGGTTCGAGTCCCTTCAAGTGGTCCTACCTGGTGCGTACCCCGGGATCTCCCCTTTTTCTCCTCGACGGCGACAGGGGATGATCAGGGACCATTGCTGATTCGCCATGCTGCACAAAAACAGGGACCTTCATCCTGCCCCCTCTATCAGGCTTCCCCAAGCCTCTCGGGCAAAAGCTCAGGTTCTTGTGGTACTGGCTTCTTACCAAGGGCCAGGAGGTGGTGACAAACGCCGCCGTCAAGTTCACGTCGAAACCGTCCTTCTTCACGCGGGCTGCCATGCAGGCTAAACGGTCGACCCTCGTCCCCACTGCCAAGGCACTACACCGAGCCATGGCGGAGGCGCTGGCCTCGGGAGACCGAGACACCATCAACAGGATCTGCACGAAGAAGCTAGCGAGCACCTTGATCGCGAGTATCGACGGCCGACCGAGAGGCCGCCGCTACGGCTGGGAACTGGTGGCGTACACCAACAGGCTGTTCTACCCGTCTGTAAAGTCGCACAGGATCACGGCCACTTCTCGCGACAAGTATTCGCCGATCCTGCGGCAGGCCGTGGTCGCCATATCCAGCCGGCAGCGCCGGGTCGAGTACGATGCGCGGGGCCAGGTCGTTCCGGGGAGCGAGAAGGAGATTGTGGCGGTGGAGAACGTGGCACTGGCGTGTACCTACGATCCCAGGACGTGGACGCAGAGCGAGTGGCGGCTCATCGGCACCATCCAGCCCACCTCGCTGGAGGCATGGAAGCATGAGGCGGAGGTTCTGAAACGGATGATGCTGCAGCTCAGGTGATGCACGCAAAGCGCGAGGGCGGATGGAAGTGTGTGAGCGGCACCTTTCCCGCTGTCCGGGTGCACTTGTATGACGGATGAAGTGATGCAACGAGACGAGTCCGGTGCGTTGGCGAGAGCGCAGTTACCCTGTGTAAAAAAAGTCTACTGAATGTAATATACAAAAATTCTACGGTTTCTAACCCCCTTTGGACTCTGAGTCGATGCAGGGCGTGTGGCAGCCTTCTCTAGAGGCCCGGACTTGACGAACCGGCATCATGTGCGGGGGTAACATGCAGAGTGCGAGACAGAGCAGCTCTAGCTCCAATGATATGGGCCTTGGGACAATGCACGCCTGGCTATCTTGTCGAGGACCGAAACAGAAAAGAAGCACGCGCTTTCTAGAGGGTGGCAGGAATGAATGGTCGGACAGATCGAGGATAAGTCTCGAGTGATGCAGTGTGTATTAACCGCCTACTTTAATACCCCATGAAGCTCTATCTCATCTCAGCAGGGAGGATTAGAGAGCAATAACCGTCCCCACAACCCAACACCAACAAAGTGCCCTGCCCAACCTTGGCGGCGCTGTCCACCCGCCAGTGCTTGCTTTGGACCCATCCAGTACCTGAACAGACCACACTTTTATACCCCGATCGGACAAGTCGAGGCTCGTCTAAAAGAACTTGCCGGTAGTCTTGGCAAGACCGGGCGCATCAGAAGAGCTGCTCCCAGTATCGCCAGCCACCTCCGGGTCGACGAGCTGCGGCGCGCCACGCGGGACGGGGCGGTCCAGGGCATCAAACCTGCGGCCCTGGACCCTGGCCATGACGTACTGAATGCTCAGGCGCAAGGCGAGGGCGCCGAAGCCCCAGAGCAGCCCGCCGACGGGCGCGGCAACGAAGGCGCCAAAGGCGCCCCAGTCAGCCGAGTACAGGCCTTGCTCGAGCAGCATCAGCTCGGCGCCGGTCTGGGCATCGCCGTAGTAGACGGTGCCGAAGAGGAACACGGTCAGCAGGCCGCCGAGCCCGCCCACGACCACCTCGAAGCCGCGCCACCAGTAGCAGGCATCCGAGAGGCCGATGACCAGCACGGGGATGGTGGCCGCCGAGACCAGGTCGGAGATGAGGTAGATCTGCAGGATGGAGGGCGCGCGGATGGCGATCACGACGACGGGGATCATGACCAGCACCACGCCGGCGCGGATGAGCCAGATGTTGAGCCGGTTGCGGAACAGGTCGTTGGACGCCGACGTAACCATGGCCGACTGCAGCGAGTCGAAGGCGGCGGTGCTCATGGTGACCGCCATGACGAGCACGATGCCGACGACCCAGTTGGGCAGCTGCTCGAGCAAGGCGAAGAAGGCGACCGAGCCCTCGACGGGGGCGTCCGGCGGACCGGGCCAGATGCCCGCCCAGGCGGCGATGAGACCGGTCGAGCCGACGAGCGTCACGATGATCAGCGTGGCCACGACGGCGCCCGAGACGCCGAGCCAGAGGTCTCGGTCGGTTTTGGAGGCGAACGTGCGGAGCCAGAAATTGGACTGTCCAGAAAGTGTTACAAAAGATTTTTTTTTTCCCGGAAGATCGGCATTGGGTGGTAAAGGGGTGGGGGAAACGTACGAGGAAGAAGTCATTGGTGAGAATGGCGACGGGCAGAATGTAGAGCAGCTGCCATCCAAGCAGGCTCGCCTTAGTAAGGCCGGACGGCTCGATCAAGCTGGTGTCGATCTTCGTCTCGACACCGATGGTGATGGCGGCGATGACGATCAGTGCGAACACCATGGCGCCTTGGATGTTGTCCGTGAAGAAGGAGATCTTGAACCCTCCCATAGCTGAAACGATTAGGTTAGAGGACCATCCCATACGCGGAGAAAAACAATAGAAAAAAGCCCGCAGCTCACAGGTGTAGATAGTCGTGACAACGCATTCGACAATCAAGACAGGCAGCCCGTCCAGGCCCGTGAGGATGTTGACGACCTGGCCAATGGCGGATAGCTCCGAGACCATGTACAGGAAGAGCGTGACCAGAGTCATGAAGCTCAGGTACAAGGCCGTGAAGATGCCGTAGCGCTGCCGGGTCCACTCGGTGAGGACGAAGCCCTCGGGACACCTGCGTCGGATGATGGGGCCGAGCACCGCAAAGATCAGCAGCGGCAGCGCCGACGACAGCGCGTAGACTACAACGCCCTGAATGCCCGCCAGCGTCGCCAGTTCCGGGTAGGAGAACAGGATGCCGGATCCAAGGGCTGCGGAGATTTAGTATGTCAAACCACGGTTGCAAAGGGAAAAGAAAGGGGGGGAGGGAAAAAGGGGGGAGATCGGAGCGGCAGCACGTTTCCCACGCAAGCATTAACTTGATCGAGTATCACGGTACAATCTCAGCTTCGTTTCCACAAGACGCTGGCTCTCCTCCCGCATTTTCTTTTGGCACCCTACACAACCCCTCCCCTCCGTCACAGACGGAAAGAAAGGAGGCAGGCGGACACAGTGCGAGAGGTTGGAGCCAGAGAACCTGCTTCAACTCGGCGCCCGTAGTGAGCCGCAATCTTTGGCCCCTCTAGACCGCGCAGCCCCCAATATCTCCAGCGCCGCCCATAGGCGGCTTGGAAGACACGGGGGACACGGGGAAAGAGGGCCAAAGTCTTGGTGAGGTATGGGTACGAACCTATGGTCAGCCCGTGGCTTTCCTCGTCGTCGTCGTCGTTGTCTGATACAGCCGCTCAAGTTGTCGCACGAATACCATTGCTTTGGTTGCAGAACTCTCCTTGCCGGTATGGATGCTTTCTCGGCTGATGCGTTGCCGCCGCTCTGATCTGTCTGGCCCATCGCATTTTGCTCACTCACCGGATGCGATGAAATTCAGGGTGAGCGGCAGAGCTATCGGAGGATCCCGTGGTTAGTATTCGCTTAATGAAAATGAACGGAGAGGAAAGAGAGTAGAAAACTCTGGACGCCCAGAGGGCCAGAAGCCACTGATCGCCATTCCTCTCCGCCGTGGGGGAGAGCAGAGTGTGTATGTTCTAACCCGTCTGAGTTCTGTTGCCGGCCAGGAACTCTCCCTTGCTCTGGTTCCTGAACCTCCAGGCAATGCCTGTTCCCAAGATTCTGCGCGTCACGTCAGTATACTGTCTCCGACGGGCAGGGTAACGGAATGCCAGCGCTGGGGGTTTGGTCTCTTCTCACAAGAATGCTCCATATGTCACCCAGATGATGGCATTGGACGCTTGGAAGGACGGTTGACCCATGGTTGCTTGCGTCAAGATAGTCAGAAGAGCTCGGGCCCTGGATACGGTATGTTTACTCCGTACTAGTATGTTGTTGAAAAGGTTTCGGATGGGGGCAAAGATCGAGCCCTCGCAGTCCCGGGCGTGCGGTCTTTTATAAATAAAGGGGAACTGCTCATGAATGATGAACCGCGCCAGCCCGCGCAACTCGAACCTTACCCAGGTCGGCTTCGAACGCCGAACTTTTTCACTGCATGACCAATGATTCTTAAGACCGAGCCATGCCTCCCACGCTTTCCTGCAGCAATCATGTGCGGAGTGGGGTGTAAGCGGGTCCGCCACAGCATTGGGTGATGCCAAGCCTCCTTAAGGAGGGCCCCCCTGCGCGGACCCGACCCGACAACCCTACCTCTTCAACTTCACTCATCATCGCCAACAAGCACTGCAGACAAGTTAATAATGTAAAGTTTCGTTCATTCGTTGGCCTCATGCCTCTACCTATCGGTGTGAGATAGCAACGCCAGGAAGTCATGTCGAAGTCATCTAAAAGCAGATGGTACACCCCGAATACCCATAACTCCCCCGGCTAATCCCAATTAACGAGGCTTTCAGAAACAAAAGAGGACCCAGACCGGAGAGAGCTCCAAGATTATGGCAGCCCTGGCCGACACAAAACCGCCGACCAATTCCCCCTTTCATCCATACCTCTGTGAAAAGAAAATAAGAAAACCTAAACCGACAAGATTGCTGAGTATCCACACACCAGCACCTCACTCTCAAGAATGCGATCATCGCCCAGGCAAAGCCTGACCGTTCGATCTCCGAAGACCGCCAAGGGGAGACGCCGAAACTAAAGATGACCGTTATTGTCGTCATCGTCATCAACCTGTCATTGCTCGACCCTTTGTTCAGGCCGAGTGGACAAGTCGTCGTCAAGTCGTGATTGCCCGCCCTTTCTTTGAGCGGGTCTGAAAGACTCGTCAGGTCGCCGTCATTGTTGTTTCTGTCATGAAGTCGACTCGATGGCGAGAAGCATGACCGGACATTATGGCGACGAGTGCTGTACCGCCGATGAATGAAGATGAAAGGAGAAAAAAAATGATGAAAATCGAGGACCAAAGCGATGAACGAAACGATGTTGTGTTAACCCTGACAGTGAAAAGATGAGAAGACACACGAGGCTTGTTTGATCAAGCCTTGTGGTGGTAATGATGCTCACGGGTGCGGACGCGAGTGGGCGTCTCCGGAACACGAGTGGGCGTCTCTGGAACACGAGCCGCGTGGGCTGAGGCGACCGGCGGAGTGTACGTGTAGAAGGTGTGACCAGTCACCGGGTCCTGGGCCATGGACATGCCAGGCCAGTAGCCGCCAGCGTACGTGAACGGGTTGGGCGCGAACGCGGAGCCCGTTGGGGTGATGGGAATGCCGGCCGCACTGAACATCGGGTGTCCGTCAGCGGGAGCCGTGGGGCTCGGAGCAGGGTAACCGAAGGGCACGAAAGCCTGTCCAAGAGGGCTGGGGTTGTAAGGGTAGCCGTTCTCAACACGGCCGGGAGTATCCTTCTTGGCGGAGAAGTGGCCACGGGCAGGTGTCTTGGGCGTGGTTGACGTGTTGATGTTGAACGCCTGGGACTTGACACGGCGAGGAGTGCCCAGATGCCGGAAGACCTTCCGCTCGACCCTCAAGATTTCGCCGCGGAAGACGGCTTGGTTCTACAAGCGAGAAAAGATTGTCAGCATCAAGTGAAGGCGGCACAAGTGTAGGCGTCACATGTGCGACAACTTACAAAATTCTGGACCGCGCGGTCCGGCATGTCAGCCCGGGCAAACTCGACAAACCCGAAAGCCTTGGTGACGCCGGCGCCATTGGTTCGCTTGACAATGGTCGCATCGAGGACCTCACCAACATCGGAAAACAGGTCCATGATCTCGTCCTCATCGACCTCAGAGGGCAGGTTGCCCACGAAGACAGAGCGACGGTCCACATCGTACTTGCGAAGGAACTCTTCATCGGCATCAGTGCGTGAGATGAAGTTCTTCTTCTTCACATCGAAAGCATCAATGCGGAATCCGTCATGCTGGCGGACAGCCTGTGAGCAAAGGTCAGCACGCTCGAGTTGCTTTGTAATGAGAGCCGAGTTGAGTTGACTGATGCTTACCGAGTTCAGGTCGCGCTTCGGATCAAACTTGGCAAACTCGACCAGGACAGCCGAGGGAATGTTCATGGCCTGCTGCATCTGAAGGCTCAAAGGCTCGCACTTGCTGAGCTCACCATACGGCTCGAGAATCTCACGAGCGATGTCGGTGGTGATGTCGTCACCGCGGCGACTGTACATCACGAAGGTGCCTAAGATGAGCAAAGGCATGTGTCAGTGTGTGTGGATGATGGAGCAGCAGGTCGACGCCACACTTACGGTTTGCCTTAACCTTCTCGGTGCGGCAAGGGCGACCAAGGATCACAATACCTCTACCCTGTTCCACAGCCGTCTTGGCATCCTCGTCGTTCTGGTGTCCGTTAGAGAGGCCAAGCTCGAAAACAAGGAATGGCCGACGACTTACGGTGTACTGGGCAAAAGCATAGGGCATGCCGGTACTGGTGCCCCTACCCTCGCGGCGGATCTTGACGAAAACAGTGCCGAACCGACTGAACTCACGCGTGACGGCCGCCTCGAGGGCGCGATCGTCCTTGCCCTCAGGGAGACTGTTTGATCCAATCGTCAGAGTTGATCATCGTCAAGAAAGGGCTTGGACGGAACATGACTTACTTGGCGACGAAAACGCAAGCACTGGGCGGGTAAAGACCCTGGGGGTCAACACCGCTGATCTCGTGGCCCGTGCGGTACGGAGTGACCGGCATAAGAGCGTTTCCAGCGGTCACGGAACGCAGCTGACGGCGCTCCTCAATGTCCCTGATGGGTGTCTTGGGTGCCATACCAAAGGTGGCATCCTTGTTGGGCTTGAGAGCGGTCTTCAGGGGAGAGGTCTCAAAGACATCACCGCTGGGCCGATCGCCAAGCTCGAAAGGAACCGAACTGCGAAAAAGGAATCAGTAAGTGGCCGTTGGAGATGCCAATGCCATCAAGACCTACTCAAGATCACGGTCCGAGCAGCTGGAGACATCGCTGGAAGCGATGCTCATCTTGCCGAACTCCTGGGTGATAGGAGAGAAGCTGGCCCGAAGTCAGCGAGTGGAACAAGCGAGACTCCCCTTGGTTCTGGGGGCAACTTACCGAACACGATGAGGAGAATCGTCCATGCTGGCAGCAGACAGGCGGCAACCAGCTGAAAGGTGTCAGCCAAAACCCGACTTATAAGCCATCCTGATGGGCTTCGCCATCAAGGTTCTCAACCTCAAAAACCATCTCTCCTCGCCGCCGCCAAAATGTGCGAAACAGGATGGAGATGGAAATGAGGGAGAAGACAAGGGAAGACAGATATCGACTATTGAAGCAGCTACTTACCATCATCCGAACCGTATCCGGTCGTGGACTCGTCGCTGAGACTGAACGAGCGGGTCCGGCGCGCCTTACCGGGAGTGGCGGCAGCGCGGGATGCTCTGATCATGGCCGACATTGTTGAATCGGTGATTGATTGATCTGGTCAAGCTGAAGTGATGGTCTTGCTTCCACGAGGGAAAGATGATAAGAGAATGGATATTGGTTTAAGAAAAAGAATGTCAAGTCCTGTGGAAGCGGGTTGATGATGGTAACCCTGCTGCTGGCCTTGTGAGATAAGTCTTCTGCCTTGCGGTGGTAGAATTGTTGGTGGTCAGGTCGGTCAACAAGGGAACGCGTGGTGTAAGACGCAAAAGAGGGCCAACAGTTGGGGATTTCTGGGACCGACTTTCAAGTCTGACACCGAGGTGACAGAGAGAAGAGGTATGACAGGAAAGAAGTATGACAGGAACGATGAAGCTGTGGAAGACGGAGAGATCTCTGGGCAGGTGAAAGATGGTATTCCTGACGGAGAACTGGAGCAAGGATCGGTGATCTCGGTTCGAGTTCAGCGTGTGAATGGGATGATCGGTTGAACTCGGGGAGGGAGGACAAGGAACAAGAAGCCAAAAAGATGGGGGAGCTGATCTTTGGGGGGGTGGAGGGTGGGAAGGAAGGGAAGGAGCGGCCATGGTTGCAACAAAGGTGATGGTGCCCGGGTTTGTGTCCTTGCATCTCAGGCCCACTGCCCACGCTGGGAGAGGGAAATCGGCTTCCTTCCACCCCAAAACACTTGTCTGCAGGCAGAGGGCCTTATTCTCACTCTCCGGAACCCAGAGGGACTGCAGAATCAGAGACGGAGCAGACGAAGCAGGCGAAGCAGACGAAGCAGACAAAGCAGACGAAGCAGACTGAGGCAAAGCCAAGGCCATAAGACAAAATCAGTTACTCGCAGACGCTGTGCTCAAACACAGGAGGGTAGGAGGTCACTCACCTTTGACGCTTTGCGGTTGCACTCCGGAAAGACACCACTGCGAGCAGGTTGTGGGTTGTGTGAAGGAGGGAAGAAAGGTTGAAGCTGCGGAAAATTTGGGCCGGTATTTATGCTCACGGGAGAAGGAAAGGCTGGTTTGAATCAGCAAGGTGCTCGGGACCGGCGAATCAGAAAAATGCGCCTTGGGTGAAGACGGCGGCGAATCACGGAGGCCGATTAGGAGACGGGGCTCCGGTTGACGTTGATTTTCGGCAGCTGATCCCGGGGCTCGGCGAGGCAGACCGGGGGCGCTGGTTATGCTGTGACTCCGGCGACGGCAAGCATGCACCGGAGGACCCGCTTGCCTGATTTGGAGGGCCATCCGGGGGTGAATGGTGGCTGACAGGGCAGCCTTGCACAGGATACAGTGCCGGACAGTCATAGGAGTTACTTCTCAGGACACTCCTATTATTGTTGCGGTATAAGTCAAGGGTATGCGACACTCAGGGGTGTGCAATGAGACTGTCAACATGACAGCGATGTTGTCAGTGTAAGGGGTGCTGACTTGCAGCAAAAGGGCGTCACAACAGTGACAGGTCTCGTTTGAGGAAAGGGGAGCCCCTGCCCACTCAGGGCTGTGTTAACAGGCTCCAAGCTGTTGAGTGTGATTTTGTTGTTTATATTTACTAATTCAGGGGTGTGGTTCCAAGCTGGTTCGATCAGAGGCGATGGGGATTGATGCAAGCAAGGGGTGTGGGCGCCTCATTTATGGGTAGACGTTGGCGAGTGACGGAGTCTGACACAAAATGTTGGAGCAGAACTGTGACTGGAAGTTTGATCCGATGCGTGGGGAAGAGCAAACAGAGGCATAGCGGTGTCATGTTGAAAGGGCTGCAGAAAGGGTGCAAACTAGAGTTCAGGACACAATGGATGAGATCACCACTTCTCGGAAATGGATAGTGTGGTTGCTCAGGGCCCCAGTGACTCCCAGACTAAGTTTGTGCCAACGACCAGGAAGTGGGGGAGCGGCAGTGAAGGGAGATGCCAAAGCAGATGTTGAAAGGAAACGCTCCATGGAACTCGCCCTTGCTGTTTGGATGGATGTGCGGGTTTAAGAGACTGTGTCCCAGTCACAGATGTGGATGTGATGGGACACCCAGAGCGCTACATTATTGCTTTGTTTGAGGTGATACTCATATCTTGAAGACTCGACCTTGTTACATGATACAGAAGAGACACGACAGCGGCGAGAGAATCAGCAATTTTACAGGGAGGTCTGGACAAGGATGAACAGAACTCCAATCTAGTGCGTTTATGTATGGGCTGGCTGCAGGATGAAAGTTGCAGGTATGATGGAGGATGGATGAGACAGCAATGGAAAGCCACCAGAGACATGCCGGCCAGAGAGGAACATTCAAACCCTTATTGTCACCTGCTGACCAGATCCCAATATGAAATAAAGTACGTACAATGAAAGATCATTCTTCCAGGAGCCATCTGGCAAATCCACCACAGGTCTGCATGAGACAGAAGGTTGGACAAAACAGAGCCTAAGTATACTGCACTTTCGAGAGGCAAGCTGTGATGACAAGCACAAGTTTGTGATTGCCCCATCCGGTAGGTGCAGAAGGTGCAGAAGAAGCAGTTGTGGAACTTTCACCTGGCAGGAACTGTAATGATTCCAACTCTGTAACCATGAATATGGGGAACCTTGCATTGCTCGACGAGATAAAGCAGAAGCAGTGAGTCCTTGTGGCGGTGATTTGAAGAGGGCTGAAATGTTGAGGGTTAGGAAGGTCGACAATGGAAGGACGTAAAGTACTATGCGTAGGAACCTTGTGCGGCAGACAGGAAACTTCGAGTCAACAAGTAATCCAGGCATCACTGCCACTCTACAACTGATGGATTTGGGCTACAATACGGCGGTGGACCGTGGTACTGTGCCATGAAGCTTGCCTTATCGGATAGAACTTATGGGAGAGATGTGGTCCGTGAGCCGATCCCGCGCTGGACTGGAAGAAGTTTGGAACAACTGCTTTGAGCTACCTACTACATAAGCGGCACCAAATCGCCGTCACGGTTCAGAAATGAGCCGCTCGGAGAGCTGAGTAATGAAATCGTAAAGCTTTATGGATGAGATATGGGAAAACAGGTATACTGTAGATATCTCAGCTCAAGCACCAAAGGCTGGGGTTGCTTGCCCTGGTTACTTTGCCGGCAAGGCACGTGGTTGAGGCTAACGTTAACCTTGGAATGCCCCACCATCATAGCGGTTACGGCCACCCCAAGGGGTATAGCCGGTAACCGCCGAATGCAAAGTGACGTCCAGTAAAACCATCAAATGGTCAACTTAATTAATAGGCTCTTATACTGTGTTGTTGTTGATGGATTAGGCACCTCCAGCTCGTTTTCCAAGTGGACTATGCTGGTGCAATCGAGAATATGCTCAGGACCCTAACCTAACTGGCGCTGACGCCCAATCGAGGATCAACTTACCCGGTAGCTCTCCAGTACATATTCCGTTCGTCCAGCAAGCTCCCTGGCTGCCCATCATGCAGGCTACAAGGCCCCTCTTGTACAAGGGCTTTATCGGCCGCAGCCTGGATGAGTTCAAGAGGCTTTCACACATTGGTACGTATCAACTCACAGTCGACCGGGTGATCATCGTAGCGCCGCTGACCGGAGGGTGTTGCCGACAGTCTTCAGCCTCGAAGGTATCAAGGGCGCCAAGACCCCCTATGAACTGCACAGTTTCCGCAGCCCTTCGTCCATTCAAGATTGCAAGGTCATGTCCGATGTAGAGATCGGCGGCGTCTCGAATGCGAACCTCGATTGGGTGCCCTCCCCTCCGCCTTCCTCCGGCGTACGACCCCCGTCTCCCCACTCGCCGGGCTACGCCCGTTTCCACGGAACCATTTCCACACAACTCCCCAAAAACCGCCCGGAAATCAAGCGGACAGGCTACGCGGCCTTCAGGACACGAGACAGGCCGCCCACCGTCTTCGGGCGCAGTCTCTGGAACATCGACCCATATGTTTACCTCGCCCTGCGCGTCAAGTCCGACGGCAGGAGCTACTTCGTCAACGTGCAGACCGAGTCCGTGGTTCCCACGGACCTGCACCAGCACCGGCTGTTTGTCAAGAAGCCCGGGGAGTGGGAGACGGTGCTGATCAAGTGGAACGACTTTGTGCGGACGAACCACGGCTTCGTGGTCGAACCGCAGACCGAGATCATGAGGCAGAAGGTCAGGTCCATCGGCGTAGGGCTTACCGACAGAATACCGGGGCCCTTCGAACTGTGTATTGAGAGGATGTGGGCTACGAATGACGAGAGCGAAGCGGATAGTGTGCTGGATGCCTCGACGGCTAAGGAAGGGGAGCTGATGACGAAGCAAGGGCAGAAGATTGCTTGGGGGAGTAAATAAGGCGGGAGGATTGTGTTGGATACGATTGTCTCGAGTGCTCCCTGCATAGGAGCTAGAGCGTGCACAAGAACCGGCGAAACCATGAAAAAGGGGCCCAAGATTAGCAACTACCGGCTGCTGCTGGAAGGCCTCGGAATGTCGTGTCCACTGAGTTAGGGATGTAGGCTGCGTCTTGCGTGCCTTGGTTCGGCCATTGACCGTATTGCCAGCCCAAAGACATTTTCGCGGTTATCAATTGGAGATTGAGTCAGACATCGGTCATGGGAAAGGAGCGTCTAGGTGGTACGACCGTGGTCCACTGTTCTCGAGGTTTGCTCGACCGTGGCAATGCTGACAGCCCGAGAAAGCAAGGATGATTCAGGCTGAACGCAATGCGAGTTCAGGTTGCAACCAAACCATCATTCGTCACCTGCTTCGTACATGCCATCGTGTCTGTCCCATAGTGATTCGACAATGTCCCAAGCCCTCCCTTTTCCGGAGCCATCTAAGTTCTAGTAGTCCCAACGCCGTTACCAGATACCGAAGAATGACACACAAACACCAAGAGTACCATGATACTGCCCTAAAACGCCAGTAAGATGTTGAAGATAGCCCAGTCGTTCCGTGTCAGCGTTCACTATCTTCCTTTCCTCGATCCCTAAAACGCCATATATCAGTTCCACAATGTCCTTCTGTGCGCGTCTTCCATTCAGGGTTCAGGAATGGGGATAACATAGATGGGAAAGCCGTACCATTCACGCTTCTCACCGACTTTGCTCCACCGCACGTCATCAATATCCTTCTCCCCTCCCTTCTCCCACTTCTTGATTTGCTCGTCTGTGAAGCCGGCTGCCCGTAGCCGTTCTGCTCCTTGGATTTTCCATTTCTGGCGGTCACGAAACGCCTCGAGCGCTTCGTCCCAGTCACCGTTTTCGGCAGGCTCTAGTTGCACGTCCAAAGCGGGGTCATAGTCCTCAGCAAAGCGATTGTCCATCGTGGCCGAGCCCCGGATCGCGCCTCTTCCGCGTGTGTGCACAGGAGACCTCGATGGCGGTGCAGGACCGATGAACTCTTCTAGCGGGTCGGAGTCATTTTCATCGAGAGGTATGGCACGTTTTGAACGACTGGAAAATGTCTCGTCGTCCTCGCGAAGCCGTCCATAGTCTCTGTGCCTGGAGGACTGGCTTTCCATCAGGTCCTGGTTCTTTTTCGAAGCTATTCGACGGGGCCTGGAATGACGCAATCTATTATCCTCCTCGCTGCTGTCCAGCGGTGACCGATCGCGCTGCTTGCGCTCCTTGTATCGCGGCGAGCGTGACCTGCTGCGGCGATCCCGAAGCTCTTCTGCTGTCACGCCATGACGTTCTCGGTGGGACCGACGTCCCTCTTTGTCTTGACGATCTCCGTCGCGCCTGATTCGCCGGCTACTTCGTTCGCGGGAGCGATCTCGAGAACGATCCCTGCTGCGTCGTCTGGTGTCCCGCCTTGGTGTGTCCGTCGGCTCTGTCTTGTTGGTCCGCTCCCGGCCTTTGAGAATAGATGATATCGCACCCAGCTGCCGGCGTCGTATATCTGAAGCACTCGGGTTGAGCTTGCGCCGTTTCTTCTCCTCTACCTCGGTCAGATTGTCGAGGCGCGCCTGGGCTTCCGCTGCTTCTTTCGCTAAAAGGGCGGCATTGTGGCTCGTCGTTTCTTTGATGATGCGCCCCAGAAAGCGTGTGTTCGGCTTGGCCTTGTTCAACGGTCTATGCGCCATCCATCACCGTAAGCCACTACGTCTCAAGCGTACCGGATGGGAGAGGCATACTTTGTGGATTTGAATGCCTCAAGGCCCATCGAAGAATATCTGATCGAGGCCTCACTCGCCTCTTTCGCTAGGAGTTCTGCGACAGCATCGTCGGTCAATATCGTGTCATGGCTCAGGCGTTGCTTGTCCATATCCTCCAAGGTGTGACACAGAGGATCCCAAGCCGCAAGATCAGACCAAGGGTTGCGAGATGCGGCCGATATGGCCGGTTGTTGTAGGGCAAGCTGTTCGCTGTTTAATGGACGTACAGAACGGAGTAGTACGTATCGTGCACAGGTAATGAGGGAATGGATCTTATCGATTATCCGTACGGAGTACCGCCGTCATCAATTACTGTGCAAGCTCGGGGCTCCCCACCACTGTGGGGCCTTACCTATGAAATTATCAACCGCTCTGTGAGTGGTATGTCGTAAGGTACCGTATGTAGGGTACTGTACTTAGCCTGAGGTCCTTCGTACTGTACCTACTCGGGGCAGCCTGGTGACAAAAGGGACTGAGTCCTTTCAACTTCCCTTATTATCTTACCTCTCTCTTTGTCACCGATCCAGGGCTTTCGCGGACCCATCCGAGCCAGAGTTGTGTGTACATACCATACAATGCTCAAACTTAACTGATCGTAAGTTTGAGAAACACAACGTCATTCAGACGAAATGGAATCGAGCTGGAGGAACCAATCCGACTCAGACAGCATCCATTAGACCCATGAAAGCACAAAACAATAGAGACAAAGACTCTAAAAACAATACTGTATCATTGACGCTCAAGCGCACTTGGAATCTTTGCGTTTTCGCATGTTTGACCTTAGACGGCGGACAAACGGGGCTTAAAAAGGGACGAGTTTGCCCGTCCGTCCGTGTGACGGTGTTACCAACACGGCGCCGCGGCACCCCCACCGACACGCGATTATCTCGCCTAACTGGACGACAGATTCACAAACCCCAGCAATTGCGCCGGCCGCAGGTGAAATCTCCAATTGACTGCGGCGCACCATTGTTACCCGCACACGGCGCCCAAGCCTGAGATGGATGCGCTTCAGCCGAAGGTCGACTCCATTACCCGGGAGGTGGGCGAGATCAGCAGTGTTCTGAGAAGCTATCTTGAACACGGCCTCACCTACGGTCGCAAAGTGCAGCCACCGAAGACGAAGGCAGGACGGGACCTGCTACAACACCTACTGGGTCGAATTGACCAGGTCTCCATCGGCCTAGTTGATATCTGTAATCTGGCCGCGCCGCGCACCTTACCCTCACCGCCAGCGGTCCACGAGTCGGTCAAGTCTTCATCACACACCCCTATCACCACTCAGCAGATTTCAGATCGCGCCGAACCAGCCAAGGAGCAAGCACCCCAGGTCGGAAGTGTGACGTCTTCATCACATACCCTTATTCCCACACAACAGACCTCAGCTCCCGCCGAAGCCGCCAAGGAGCAAACACACCAGGTCGAAAGTGTCACTTCTTCATCTCATACCCCTATCGTCATACAGCAGAATTTACCGTGCGCTGAACCAGCCAAGGAGCAAACACCTCAGGCCGAGAATGCCAGCAGCGACCGCGAGCCAACATCAGCGCATCTGCCTTTGGACGCCGAGCCAAAGTCGGAGTTGCCCACACCTGGCGCAACGGCCCCCTCTGCCGGCACACCAAGCCCTCACGCCGCACCTCAGGCCTCAAACGGCATCAGGTTGAGCGATGGCTCCGTCTACCAGACTCCGGTACTGTCTGAACATGCGTCTCCGCTCTTCGACTGCACTTACCAAGACATCCACAACCTGAATGAGGAACTCTTTGAACTTTACTCCAGCCACCCTGTCGTGCGAGACCGAGGTTACTTCAAGCTGCAAGTCCGAGAACTCCCACCTCTCAACGTGCAGAAGGTGGCTCGCCCAACCAAGAACCATGCCACTTCATTCACTTACAAGGCCGACAAAGTGGGTCTTGTCAAGGTCGATACCGGCAAGAGGGCCAGGTTCTCTTCGCCGAAACTGCCCCTTCCCGTGACTGATCAGATCGACTGGTCGTTGGAAGAGCAACGGCGTCTATGGAATAACTCAGCAAAAGAGCCTCCAAAGGGGTCCCGACCATATATCATTGGCAATCCGCTTTTCGAAGATGTCGAGCTTTCTCCCGGCGAGAAGCTGCGGCGTAGAGGCCGCGCCATTCTTGAAGGTATCAACACTCAGTATGTTTACTTCAACCTTAAGGGCAAAACAATCACGACGATGCACAGGGAGGATGCCCATGTTCGGTCGGAGAACCTCCTCCGCTCCGGGCAGCACAAGTTCTGGTGCTTCGTCAAGCCTGCTTTCGCCAAGAAACTGGAAGAGAGGATGGCACTCGAGTATCCTGAGATGCGCCGTTGTTCACAAGCCGTGAGGCATCTCAGCCGGCACATTCCTCCAGAAAAGCTGGACGAGTGGGGAATCGAGTACACGCTGGATTACTGCGCACCCGGGCAAGCCGTCGTGACGGAGCCAGGTACATATCACCAGGTTCTAAACCTTGGGCCCAACTACGCCATCGCCATCAATCTAGAGTACAAATCATCCCCGGATATGCCTGCCGATTATCGGTTCTGCAATAAGAACTGCCCTGACAAGTTCGCCATCTCTGCAGACGACTTCCGGATATATGAAACCCCCCCGCCGCAGCCGGGAGAGGAGCACTTACCGCACACCCCTGAGACGACGTGCTTACAAGAGCGCCATGCAACGGTGCCAGATGCTGTCGCGCCATTGAGCCCTGAGGCCACAGTCTCACAACCTACACAGTCGGCAACACCGCTCCCTGAAAAGGCGGCATCGGATACGCATAACCCACTAGAGTCACAGGCCGTGCGGCCTGCACCTCAGTTACCACAGGAAACAAATGCGGAAGGACAAGAGGAGCAGCTCTCGGAAGAACCTCTGAAAAGGACCGAATCACCTGCTCGGCCGCCACTTCCAGCCAACGCCGTGCAACCGCAACAATTGCAGCAGTCGCACGTGATGTCCGCAACTGCTCCGACTCCGGGACTGATTAATACATCTGAGTCTGGATCCGTGGAGCAGGCGAGCCCGCCGGGGCAGCGGCTTCCTCTGCAGGAGCCTCTACCCGCCCTGCTTGAGGCAGCGGCGACTGCAACGACTCAGCGACCTGACGTTGTTATGCAGCCACAAACCCATCTCCCAGAAGCCGCCGCGCGTTCCATGCAGATCCAACCCCAAGCCCACCCGGTTATTCAACGGCACCCTAAACAAGGTCTCAACTCTCCGCTGGTGGGGGCATTGCCACCGATCCGCAAGACAGCGAGGATGATCAACTCAAAAAGAGAGCTCGACATGTCGACGGAGAGGCCCTCAAAGAAGCGAAAAATAGAGCTGCCGCCTACTCCGCCTGCTCAAGAGATCCCCGACAAAGGCGCAGTGGAGCATGTTTTCGCCCTGCTTCGAGGCCGTGAGGCTGTCCCGGATGGAAGTGTGATCGCCGACGAGCTTTCGAGCAAGCTAGGATTTGACCGGCTCTCACTCTTGGTTCGAGAATGGAAACAGTACTCCAAATCAAAGCCAATGGTATCCGGCGGATTTGAGCTTGTTAGGTCGGTAGAGGGGCCGATGCACGGCTACCCGGAACTGCACACCTTCCTGTCGCGATTTTGTAGGATGCAAGTCGAACGATCTTTTGAAAGAGCCGCGGCGGGAGTGGAAGGCTCACAACATCAGCTCGTGGACGAATTGTTGCAACTGCTCGAATGGGACGAAACGAAACGAGAGGATCTACATGATTACTTGCGTGAAGGCCGGTGTTGGAGGAATATTTGTGGAAACGATGACGGTCTGCTCTGCCTCCTCCCCCTCGAAAAGGATTGCATCGATCTCGCATTGTTCAAGGACGAACTTGCGTCTTTCCACTCGAAACTCGACATCGAGTATGTGCATAAGTTGTCCGCTATCGGCAACATGCTGCAGAAGTCGATATGGGAGTGCTTAGAACTTCCGGAGTTCATCTGGGAAAGTACAGACACCACAGGGCTTACCGCGGACCTGATCGCCCCTCTCCTGGAGCCATTCCGCATCATCAAGTCGTGCTATTACAACGAAGGCAAGGCGTCTTATTGGTTGCGCCCAGCCGGATGGCGTTGGCATTGGCCGGCGGATCCCAGTGTTGTTATGCCGGGCGACCGGCCCTGCGATCTCTGCACAAGCAAGTCCTGTCGCTGCGCCGAGACCAGAATCCCGCGAATCCCCCGCATCTCGGACGACGGATCAAAAGGGACTGGCATCCGCTCGGTGGGCCCTTACAAAACACACGACATCCTCGGCGAGTTGGTTGGCGAGCTGGTGCCGCTGGGTGCTTGCGCTGGCGACTGGACGATGACCCTCTGCCGCCCGGACCTGGATGACGAGCCGGTAGCGGATATCTACCCTAGACGGATGGGCAACTGGGTGCGGAAGGTGAACCACAGTACAAATCCCTCTGCCGCATTCATGGTGATGAAAATCTCTGGGCGGTGGAGGCAGATGCTTGTGGCGATAAGGGACATCGGGGATGGTGAAGAGATCACGGCAAAATATGGGAGAGGCTTCTTCAAGAGGCAGCCCTATTCTCTTGTGGAGGGGCTTCATTAATCCGATCAGAATCGTCTTCGGGACGATATGCATTTCAACCTCGGCCTGCAGGGGATGCGGCGGGGATAGAATGAGCTGCTTGTCCGCGCTGTCTTGCTATATTCAAGGCCGCTTCCGGCGGGGGGTTGCTTGCTTTCCTTGTTTGACTCTTTCCATTTGGGTGTCTCATTCTTACACACTCTCTTCTGACCTCGGGTGGTAAGAAGCTGGGCTCCCACCAGGCTGAGGACCTGGTATCATTAAGTGAATAGGTTTAGGTGGTCATGGCTAGGATGGGGATGGAAAACAGCTAAATAGGATATGAATAGTTGCTAATTACTTAGCGGTACACATAGCATTCTGTAAGAACAGCTTTATAACATGATACAGCATCGAGATGCCATACAGCTTGACTCCAGTGTTCATCACGTCCATGTGCCATGAAGCTTTGGGAAAGGTACCTTGATCGTGAAGCCGTCGTGGAACTCGGAGCTTTGGAGGAGCAGAATCCAGGGTTAGGGGAAGGTTCTTATCTCATCCCATCTCGTTCACTAGCCGATTTTGGTAACAACATCAACAAACACCGCTCTCATTGCGATTTTAGGAACGCGATAAGCATCACCGCGTCTAACCAGCTCGGCCAAGGAGATTGCTCGAGAACCTCGAGAGGGGCGAGCTTAAAGCTGTCTCGCCCATATAACACGATGCGCCGCGCGCCCTCGCCCGCCGAAACCGATCGGCAGCGCACCGCCAAGGTTCTGCGCGCTCTCCAGGACCTGCAATCCGCCTCGGGTCATGAGTATACCATTCTGAAGATCAGCGAGCCCATCTCCTCCGCTGTACCATCACGCGACAATCACAACAACACCAACAACAACAATGAACCCGCAAACGCCGTGGCCCGCACCTCGGACGTCTCCACCTCCTCGCTCGATGCGCCGACCCCAGCCTCCCTCGAAGCCGACCTGGCGCACTACAAGGAGCTCTTCGCCAAGCTGCGCTTCTCCTACGTCGAGCAGGTCACCAAGGAGAAGTTCATCCGCGCCATCGTCGGCGACCCGCCCCTGATCGTCACGCCGCAGGAGAACGCAGACCTCGAGGAGAGCAATGCGGCGGCCAAGGCCACGCTCAAGGCGCGCAAGACCGAGGTGGCGGGGATGGTGGCCGATCTCGAGGCGCGCGGGCGCGATCTTGCGGGGCGATACGAGAGGGTTCGGGCGGAGATGGCCTTGCTAGAGGAGTTGCCCGGGAAGATTGCGACGCTCGAGAAGAGGGTGGCCGAGTTGAGGGCTGCGCAGCAGCTTGCCCCCGATGGGAAGCCGGAGATGAATCTGCCGCTGGGCAAGACGCTCGCGCTGGTGGATGAGAAGAGGAGGGAGCTGGCTGGTTTGGATAGGCAGCTGGAGCTGCTTGGCGGGCAGGTGCCGCGGAAGAGGAAGGAGATGGAACGGCTGCGGGCCGAGGTGGCCGCGCTGGAGAACAGGAAGGCGAATAGTGCTGCCGCGGCGAGGGAAGCGAAGCGGAGGAGGGAGAATGCGCAGGGCGGGGTGGAGGACGAGCTCGAGGCGAGGGGAAGGTGGTACAGAGCTTCCGAGGTCGTGTTACGGCAGGTTCTGGATCTGCAAGGGTGACCGGGATGTTCGAGCTGTTCTCGGCTCCTTCGGCTATGTATGGTGTCTGTGGAGATCATGAGAATTATGAGGTATGGGATGGACAGGATAACGTGGTACTGGTGTAGTTTGGCGTTGGTTGGGCATGGTTTGGCAGGTCGGGTAAGGTGCTTTGGGGATCACGGCGGTCACATCTCTCCTCACAAAAGGTGTTGGGCGACATCATCTGAGTATTTTGACGACGGGCTTCCAATGAATATCGGTCCTGTGTCACCGTTTCGACTATGAGGCAGGTGCTTGGACTGGGTACTCCATGGCGACATCACCTAAAGTCCGGTTCAACAGAGCTTCACCAAAGCTGGAATATGATGTTGGGCAAGTCTTGGAGCTGCCGTGTCACAAAAGGTTGCGGTCACACAACATTCAATACTGGATATCTAAGCTCGAGCTAAGGAAGTTCGCAGATGTGTAACAACCGAGAGCACCCCTTGCATATTTCTGTTCTGAAAGAGAGGGATCTGGGCTTTTGCAAGAATGGCACTTGGCAAATCCCTTCCATGGAACAGCATGCAGCGATTTCCGGGTGGCGTATGCATGCGATTGAGATAGGCATGGTCGGGTTACACAGCTTTATGGTGAAAGTCGTGAGGGCAGCGCTGGCTGAGACTCGGGTGGCGTATGCATCCAATTGAAATAGGCATGGCCAGGTTACACAGCTTTATACTGAAAGTCGTGAGAGAGCTCGACTCTGCTGCTCGTGTTCCATACGGTGATTGCCGGGTGGCGTATGCATCCAATTGAAACAGGCATGGTCGGGTTACACAGCTTTATGGTGAAAGTCGTGAGGGCGCTGCCTCTGGAAACGACTCTACTGCTTATGTTCCGCCGGGTGGCGTATGCATAAGGTTAAAACAGGTATGGTCGGGTTACACAGCTTTATGGTGAAAGTCGTGAGACCGCTCTGCCCTGGACGCGACCCTACTATCTATGGCTGCTTCTGTTCCATCGGCAATTGCCGGATGGCGTATGCATGAAGTTGAAATAGGCATGGTCGGGTTACACAGCTTTATGCTGAAAGTCGTGAGGGCTGCTGCTCTGCTTTGGACACGACCTTATGAGTGCTTACTTCCAAGCAAGTTCAGCGCATCTCCCAAAACCCTCCACCATGTTCTCGGAGACCCCCAAGGATCCCGAGACCAAACATGCTTGAATTTAACCCAGGCTCCAAATCATCTATCCGGTCCTCACGATTGTTTCAACGAGCAGACTCGAAGGTCGCTGAAGGCCAAACTGCCCACGCACGGCAGCTCACGATGAACGTGCTGAGACCGGAAAGGCACTGTCAGAGGTACGAGGCAACGACCCAGTGAACTTCGTGGTTACTTAGTTCTCTCGGCTTATCCGTCGAAGACACGGTAAGCGGGTGCCATACCGACACCGGCACCGGCACCGGCACCGGATGAATGACCTTGACCCCGAGCCCAGATACATTTCTGTCCAAGGGCAAGCATTCTAGGTCAGAACTGCCACCCGGTTCCCCCGAGACATGGCCCTGAGTCGATGCTACCTGCCTAGCTTGATATATCAGCTTTCGGGAACCTAGAAGGTAGATACCAAGAGGACTCTACCCAGTTAGTCTCAGTCAAGCAGACCTGTCACGAACGAGGCACAAGGCAGTATTCAGGACGAAGCGTGCGAAGCGTGGAAGCCTGGTTGTTGGCATGCGGGTATCATTATTCATCATCGAATCATACCAAATCATGTTGACCTGCCGAACAGCCTGCCGAGGAGGTTCGGACCAGCGTGTCCTCCGCCTCCCCGGTTCCCATGCCGTCTTGCCTCGTTCCTGATCCACTCTTCGAGGAACTTCCGATCCGCCAGCCGTCTGCCGTCCGTCACCTTGGTCTCTACCTGGGCCTCGCCGGCATCGAAGCTGAGCAATGTCGGAACCGAATTGACCATGTAAGTGAGACCCAGCCCGGCCGCCATGACGTCGGGCGCGTCATATTCGACGGTGCAATATCCCACACCGCCCTCGGCCTCTCCAACGCCAGACTCGATGAGTTCTTGTATCAGCGGTGCGACGACACGGCACGTCGAGCACCACGAAGTAGTCCAGAGTGTCAGCAACGGAGTCCGCGACGACGAGGACAGCAGCTGGTAAGTGTGGAATTGGTCGAGGTTACGGACCCTGCGGGTGAGAAGCAAAGAGAACATATGACCGGTCAGCTTTCCAGTGGTCTGAGTCCAGGAAATCGGATACACCTAGTGCAAGTCGGGTCGGTCTTACGGGGAATGGGTCTGGTTCGATATCCGCACTTGGCGTGACGTCGAAAACCGCAAACATGACACAGGCTGGGAATGAATGATAACCGGCTTCGCTCTCAAGAGCAAGCGCCAGGCGATTGAGGGTTGTGCGCCGAGAAGCTGCATGATGTGCCCAGATGTGACATGCAAGTTGGTGCAGAACGTGATGGAATATTCAGGCAAGTTGGATGGATATCAGGCGTGAAATCGACCGATGGAGTGAGTGTTGCTTGTGACTGCGATCGCCATGTCGACTACCTGCTTTGTTTGTAATGGGTACGGACTTATCGTAAATTACCATCGGCAGTTACCTTATTTGCCCGCTGTTCTTGCAGTGACCCCCACGTATTCCGTACTTTACCAAGCTTATTAACTTCTAGGGTAGCACTGCTACTGTGTAGTGTACATTGGCATGCGGAGCATGAAGCAGCATACAGTTTATCTCATAACCATCATCTCGGCCGGATAAGCGGTGAGTTGGTGGTGAGTGCGTCTCTAGCGTCCCTGTTATTTTTGGGTGTATAATTAGAACTAAGATCCAATACAGGATGTTTCCCATGGGAGTCGCGAAAGTGCGGCGTTGCGGTTTGTCAGGTGGCTCAGCTGCGTCATTCTGCATCGGATTCCAGGGTGCTCACGCCCAACCGCAGAACGCCGGAGCGCATGTGAGCCTGCGGGGGGAAGATGATCGCTCGCTTGTTGTTGCGGAGCCTCGTCTTACCCCTCCATTGTCAGACGGCAACAGTGGACCATTTAGCTGCAGTGGTGATCACAACCCTCAGGGTCCCCGCCGTCCGCGTCCAACGGTGAGGGAACCAACTTGAAATTGCCAGTGCGAGGATATCCTCGCGAGTAGTCTGCCGCAGACAGCATCACAAGCCTCGCTCCTTTGTTTTGAAACGGCGCCGTCTTCTTTCCCGTTTGACCGCCCCGCCGCCCCGTTCGGATTTGGCGGGCTTTCCTTGATTTTCGAGGGTTGTTGAGCTTTTGACTGGCAGTCAACCATCTTCCCCAGAGATCTGCTCCTGTACCCAACCCCAGGATTTTCCAACTGCACCTAAGGCCCGCGGTTCCCATGACCGCGCGACAGGCGCTCGGTTTTGTCCAGGCTGTTCTTAGTTGCTCTTGGCGGACCCTCTGTGCTCATCCTATGCCGTGAAGGATGGAGGAGACCTGTCCTTGAAACTGACCCACGTGTGTTGGTGGCCTGCTCGCGTTCTGCTATATCTCGGGTGCCGCCTCCTCTACTGTCTCTTTCATGTACTAGTAGTATCTCCAGCTCACCACTCCTCATTCCTCGCATCTCTCCAACCCTACCTGCCGCAGGAATCCAGGGCCTGGGGCGGCGGGTCTACCATCTGCTTGTCTCAGTTGCGGTTGAGCAGGTGACCTACAAAATACACCCCCTAGTGGTGGCGATACCGAAGGTACTAGTAGATATCAACATCCTCGCCCACGCTCTCAACCTCCAACCAACAACGTCTTAGCCTCAAACCGCGCGGGCTGGCTTTTGGAGACGGGTATTAGAATCACGTCAGAATCGAAAGCGATAGAGTTGGGTATACAACGCTTTCTCCTAGCGGCGAAACATGGGTCAAGGTACACAGGAAACCCCATCAAAACAGCCATGGCGATCTATCTTCACCCGCAAGTCGAAGGGCGTGCAAGATCCCCGTGAAAAGCGCGGCGATTCGCGATGGGCGTTGGGCATTCTGGAGGACAAGAAGACAATTGAGGTGCCAGGTATGCTATAGAACCCTTCTTTAGTTTGCCAACCAACTGATCCGGAAGTCAGGCTCGGTTCTGCTGTTAGCCTCTGACCACAATGAGCCGCTTGGCCTGCGGAACGCACCGGCAAGAACTTCTCACTCGTCCATCCCAACAGGGGTACACCGTCAGGTCCCCGATGAGACGGTGGAATCCCCGAAGAAGAAGACCCGTGATGGTAAAATCATCTTGGACCCGCAGCCCGAAGAGTCAGCCAACGACCCGCTCAACTGGCCGGCATGGCGGAGAGATCTAGCACTGCTGTCTCTGGGGCTCTTCTGCATGGTTGGCGGGGGCACCACCCCTCTGCTCGCGGCAGGGTTCACGGACGTCGCCGAGGAGTACGGTGTCTCCGTTCACAGCGTCTCGCTCACGACTGGTCTCTACATGATGGGCATGGGCCTTGGGTCTGTCATCTTCTCCCCTACCGCAATCTTGTGGGGGAAGAGGCCGGTCTATCTTTTCGGAGCGGTTGTCTACATCGCGACTTCGATCTGGTGCGCTTCCTCGCCCAATTTCATCTCACTTGTGTTAGCACGCATCTTCCAAGGCATTGCCGTCAGCCCTGTGGAGTGCTTGCCATCGGCCACCATTGCCGAGATCTTCTTCCTGCATGAGCGTGCATTTCGGATTGGAATTTATACCCTCTTGTTGCTGGGCGGCAAGAACCTTGTTCCGCTCGTCAGCGCCGTCATCATCCAGAATATGGGATGGCGCTGGGTTTTCTGGTACGTGCCTGAATTGAACATCGGCTGTCGATGGCCTCTAACGCGGTATATGCTAGGGTTGTCGCTATTGTGGTCGGCTTCTGCGGCTTGCTCCTGTTCTTTTTCGTCCCGGAGACATTCTGGGATAGGCATCCAGTTCCACGGAAGACAAAGTCACGGCCAAACTTTTTCCGGCGGTTATCGTCCAAGCCAGACGTCTTGCAAGCGAAGCGTCCTTCAGCCGCACAGCCGTTGACTGAACAAGCTGTGGATGGACCAGTATCACCCGGCGGTCGCCCAAAAGCTCACCATGTGGGATTTGCCCCAGATCTGGAGACAGACATTGCGAAGAACGCCGATGCGTCGAGCGAAAGCACTGGCCAATCCGCGCAAGAGGCTGTTCCTGACAAAGAAGCGGACACTGGCAACCAAGCTCACTCGGGTCACGAACCCGCATCGCCCCAGGTGCGTTTTCCGACGACAGCTACACGGCCACCGCCCCCGGAGAGGTTACCATCCGAGACAAGGTCGTTGGGCCCGGCCTCCAGCCGCAGGGAGCACTTCGATACCGACACCGAGTCGCAGTCCATTCGATCAGCCGGACCGGTGCCATACACCGCCGCCCTGCGCGAGCAACCGGCCCGCTCGTTTGTCCAGTCCCTCAAGCCCTTCAATGGCCGTTTGAACAAGGACAAGTGGCACAAGGTGGTGGTCAGGCCTCTGATTCTCTTCTCCTACCCTGCTGTCCTCTGGTCGGCCGTGGTCTATTCGTGCTCGATTGGCTGGCTCATTGTCATATCCGAGTCGGTAGCCGTCATCTACCGCGAAGGGGCCTACAACTTCAACGCTCTGCAGACGGGTCTTGTGTACATCAGCCCCTTTGTTGGCGGCATTCTCGGCTCCGCGGTCGCTGGCCGGGTCTCGGACATGATTGTCAAGTCGATGGCGCGCCGCAACGGTGGGCTGTACGAGCCAGAGTACAGATTGGTCATGGCGATCCCCATCGCCATCACGACGGTGATCGGTTTGATGGGCTTTGGCTGGTCAGCGCAAGTCCACGATCATTGGATGGTCCCGACGGCCTTCTTCGGCATCATCTCGTTCGGATGCACCATGGGCTCCACGACGAGCATCACGTTCTGCGTCGACAGCTACAGACAGTACGCCGGTGAAGCGCTCGTCACGCTGAACTTCAGCAAGAACGTCCTACACGGCCTCGTCTTCAGCTTGTTCGTTACCGGGTGGCTTGACGATGACGGTCCGAAGACCGTGTACATCTGGATTGGCATCATCCAGCTGATCCTGCTGCTCTTCACGATTCCCATGTATATCTTTGGCAAGCGGCTGCGTATGTGGACGGTGCGCAGGAATTTCATGGAGCGGTTCTAGAGGAGTTCTGGTATACATATTGGAGGTTTCGGTTCAAGGGCCGGGGTTGCTGGTTAATTTGGCGTTCGCTCGTTGCATGTCATACTATAGGGAAGCATCTTCGACATGTTGCACCTTGGATAGAGGCGGGCTTCAGGAGAGAGGGGCATTTTGACCTAATCAAGACACATAAGACACCTTGTACGTAAGGCTACGCAAGGCTCTAGCGGTCCCTACACCAACAATGTCCGTGACGTCATTGCTCCCTCCCAAATTTACAAGCTGGCTGTTTTTGCTGCAGGCTCCGTAGATCTACAGTCTTCAACCACACGCCCACGCGATCATGGGAAACAAGAACCGACCCGATGAAAGGGTAGTCTACCTGACCTTAAGAAAGGTGTTCAAAGGACCCAATGCTAGAGTACGACGGCCGTCGTTGATCCGGAAACTAATCATTGGGCATCAAGACCACGAGGACATCGCAGCTTTAATTAGCGCACACAACATCGACACATTATGCAATATAACGCGCGAGTTGCTTACAGAGCAGATTTTTGAGGCGACACTCAAGGCGAAAATTCGGTTTCCTGAAGTTTTTGACGTTTCGCCGGCCCAAAGCGCAGATAGGGATGCCTCTGACGCCGAGGCTGCTAGGAACGATGCGAAAGCGATAGAAGACGCTGCCCAGGGTCGCCAAGGGGTTGCCTCTGATATTACGCAAATCGAAGCAGATACCGGTGAGCAAAAATTTCCTTTGGCATTTAGCAAGCGCTTGATGGCTACCAACAGGTTGCTCCGTCCAGTCACGAACCGGGAAAATCGTCAGCCGACATCTTCCGAGCAATAGCACCGTATCCCGTCGCTATTCCTGTCTACCTGCCCTTCAGAACTCAGCATCGCCTTCTCGTCAAGGTACAAGCGATCATGGAACAGGCATGCTTCGAGTTTGGACAGCATACTATGCCTGATGTTCTGCGAAAGCGTCGATGGGACTGTCCCGAGTCTTGCGAGCTTAATCTCTGGGCTGCAGAATTCCTAGCGCGCCAGAGTATGTTTTCTGGGAAGGGGCCCGGCATCGGGAAGCTAGTTGCCGGCCTTTTTCGCTCGGTAGCCGACATCCGACACACCGCTGTTCACCGCCTCCGTCATCGCGCAAGGGGAATAGAGCAATTCTTGCTTGACGCCGAGAGCCTAGTGATACTCCTAAAAAACGATGGTGGTCTAAAATTAATCAGAAAACTCCGGCGGGATACGCAGTTAGCAATCGAGGAGCTGGAACGCAACAAGCACGTTCTGATATCGAAGTTCGAGGAGACTTTGAAGAGAATAGACGCGCAGCGGGCTGAGCTGGACCGGCTTGAGCAGGTGGCTATGGCTAACATGGTGAAGGAAGATGGCGAGTACAGGACGTTTACTGGCACGAACTTGGAGCAAGATATCGAATGCTTAGAAGTCGAGCAATACGATATTGGCCAAGTATTTTAAGAACCAGTGTTCGCCATCGGTCACCGCGAGTTAATCAGGAGGGGGATCATCGAAGAATTCATAAGCGGTGCTGCTGAGCAGCTCTCCAAAAGGCGCAAATGATTTCTTGTTGCGGGGTGGTCTGAGCGCCCTGCCCTCCATCTTCTTGCAGTCGGCCCACCACGACCTTTTCCTCCACTTCCACGACCGAGAACACAGGCAATACCATCATCATTCTCGCATGGTCCTGCACCGGAGGGTTTGCCTGGTAAATATTCACGGCCCCGCTGAGTGGCAATCAGCGGCTCACTGATCCGTGTGCCGCACCAGACCCTAACCCTCGCACCCCTCTGCCGCCGAGATGCACGGATATCTACGTAAAGCCGATACCTATTCCCGTAACGTAGTTATTTTGGAGTATCTACGCTTCTCGCCGAATTCCTCGCCAATTCGCGGCGAGCCCCCCGTAATACCCACCGGCTTACAGCGCATTACGGCACTATTACCGTTAGCCTTGCGGCAGTTTTAGCGCCTTGCGCGCGCCCAGCCTTTGCGCCACAGCGGCCAACGAACCTTCTTCCGCAACCTTTCATTCCTCCCGGCACGGTAGCGAAGGCTGCTGGCACCTCCTCCTCTGTCCCCGTCACGGCGCCGCGAAAGCAACGAGCGCCGGCGTTGGGCCAGTACAGGGTGGTGCAGGGCCTCTTCGGATTCCGACTCGCTCGAGGACGTGTATGGCGGGGGGTCGTCGCGCTCAAAGCGCGTGTTTCGCGAACGGTCGAGTCGACTTGGGTCGGCGGCGAGCACCTCGAGAGCCGGCATTGCCTGCGCCGTAATGGCGTTCTGTAGCTGTAACCGGTCAAGATGTCGCGGCCGGCTTGTCGGGAAGGAGAATGAGAGAGAAACCGTGGGAGCGACCGGAGGAAGAAGAAGGCGTTGGCCGGGCGGGGAGAGGGTTGAACGAAGTCCGCCAAGGCAGTTCCCGTCGGCGACCGTTGCTTCAAAACAGAACAGCTTGGCTATACAACATGGATAGGACATCATCTGTTAGAACGGAGTAACTGGCTCGATTCTTCATTTGCGAACGTCCATTCTGCTCGCTTCAATTCAATGTAAGGTAGGTCAGGTAGTCATCAATCATCATCAAGTTGCTGATCTCAACCCGGCCAGCCCATACTGCTTGCCCCACCATGTCAAAAGCTACCCCCACCAAAACTCTGCTCTCTCTCTTCACCTTCACACATAGGACCCCCCATCCTTTCTGAAACCAAAGAAACGACCAAGATGACCTCCCGTATCCCTCACCTCCTAGAGCCCTACCTCACCCTCCCAGACGAGGCCGGCCTCATCGTCTTAACAAGCGTGCTTGGCGCAAGCACAAACTGGCTGCTGCTGCGCCACATCTACTCCCTTCTCAAACCGTCTTCATCACCACTTACCTCAAGACCGTCACCGTCACATGTGACATGGCCAGGGGGGGACTGCAGGAGGGGGAGCACTGAGGACCAACAACAACACCAAGGACAGCAACAACAGCAACAACGACAGGAGGAAGAAGAGGATGTAGCCGTTCTGCTAGTGAGCTTCCTGCGCGACTTCGCCTTCTGGCGCGAGAACGCCGCCCGTCTGGGCCTCGACCTCGAAGCTGCTGCGCGCAGGGGCAGGTTCGCGTATGTGGATGGGCTGAGCTCGCTCTTCTCCCCTGCACCTTCTTCACACGGCCCGGGACAGCAGCAGCAGCAGCAGCAACAGAGGGGGGTTGGGGTGGAAGGATGGAAGCGGGTTCTAACCAGTCCTGCGCCGGGGGATATGGGACGGGTGTTTCTTGAGAGTGTGGAGCAGTTGAAGAAGAAGGAGAAGAAGGGTGGGCTTTCGACGGGGGCTGGAAACGGGAGTTTCGAAGGGGGAGGTGGAAGGAAGGTAGTGCTGGTTATTGATGGGCTGGATTTTGTGTTGGCTGCGTCGAATCCAGCCGCTGGGACGGCAGCGATCGCGCTGAGGGAAATGCTGATGGATCTGAGAGAGGTGCGTGTCCCTCCCTCCCTTCTGCTTCCTTACATCAAAAAGGCAGGGGAAGAGCTAACAGGAAACCAGACAACACACGCTGCCATTGTTACTCTGGCGGCTGATGACCCCCTGGTCAAGGAGCAGGAAACCAGCCTGGAGAAGCAGCATGCCTGGTTCACTCTGCATCTGGCTCACGAGGCAGACACAGTCATGAGCTTGAGATTACTTGACACGGGTGCCGCTAAGGACGTGAGCGGTGTCATTCGGATCACGGGGGGCGGAGGCATGTCCCACACCGAGGGCCACGAGTATCTGTATCATGTGGGAGGTGACGGTGGTGTTAAAGTATTCGAGCGAGGCCAATAGAGTAGATGATACGCCTCCTAAGAGGCAGTTCCCCAAATCGGCGGGCCATGCCTGCTGTTTGCCGGTGAATTGGATCGGCTTGAACCGGCTGGCTTCTTCGGTCTCGCTTGCACCTCTTGGACCCCAATTCCTCTGCCCCTTCACACAGAACTTTCCCAAAAGAAGATTTGGTGTGATTGGTCCGCAAATGTTACGCCATTTTTCATGACCTTTGCCCGGTGTCTAGACCGTGATACCAGGTCCCGCACGAAATCATCCCATTTGTCATGTAGCAGTGAAGAACCGAGTAGGTCCGTCTGAAAAGTGACCAGCCCGTTACACCGCTCGCCGAAAACGATCCATCCCATGGTCCACGCCCCCGCCCGCCATGACAGCAAATTATGAAGAAGCAGGAGCCGCGGGGCCAGCTGCGCCCTTGGGAACACCAGTCCGGAAGCCGTTCTTGAACCGTCTCGAAACTGTGCTGAGGTACCGCATCCGGCCGGTGCCAGTGACCTTTCTGCGCTTCGCCTTCTCGGACCAGTTGTCTATACCGTGCTCGTCAGCGGTTGGCCCTTCGGAGGGGATTCGACAACCCCCGGTATTCTCGGTGTTTCAAACATACACTTGCGGATCTTAGCGGAAGGGTAGCCGCACGAGGCGCAGACCTTCTTCTGGTTGTGGAGAGACCGGCGTCTGTGAAGCAGGCCTCGTCAATTTCTGCGTCGCAAGGAATCGGATCGTCCTCTCGTCATGATCCGAGTCGTCCAATCCGCTCGTCCACTCCTCGGTTTGTGACTTACCCGCAGCGTCTGCAGAGACCGTGGGTCTTGTTGTGGCTAGAAACAACAGTCAGAAGCCATGTCAAGCCAGTGGGAGGTTTCCCGTTAAGCTCAAACATACCGCTTGCCAAAGCTGGAGGTACCCTTGGCTGTATAAGTGTGTCAGCACGTGTTTCCCACCCGAATTGTTCGTGTGTCCGTCAAGATGTGCCCGAGCGATCGACGTCTAAGGAAACAATGGCGTGGAGTAGAAATGACAGCTTTTAAGAGTCGTCGTGCAATCGGGGAGTCGGTGCAGGGACAGTAGCGGGCTTCGACAGGAAAAACAGCTGGGGATCGCAACGGGTAGACGTACTCATTTTGGCGGTGGCTCTATTAGAGATTTCAATCAGTATCTCCGACAGCAGTCAAAGGGATAGCAGTCATCAAACTTACCTGCGTCGTCGTCGACAGGAGGGCGCGGTATGATGTGCTGGTTCTCAATCGGGTCCAGGATCACGAAATTTTGGCGAAAGTGTGGCCAAGCGATTTCCTTGGTTAGGGCTGCCGGACTTTGAGCCACAACTTGTACCGCCCCACCTGTGGCTGCTCCGGACCCACAGTCAGCCCAATTGCAGGGTACGTACCACCACTACCGCATAGACCCCACAAGGCCATTAGATCTTCATTAAGGAGTCGCCCAAGCAGATGTCTATCCCACGATTCCCGATACCCAGGAAAGGAGTTGATGAGCTGCGGCCATTTGACGTAAGGCGGAAGACAGGTGCGATGGTAATGGAGACCAGTTGATGTTAGGTGGTTGGGGGACTACGCTCCTTATACGTTCAAGCCAAAGGAGAGATACTATCTTGGCAGAGAACGCGCTTCTGGGGCGTATCATGTCCGCAGCTCAGTCTACGAAGTATCCTAGTGTCACTGGTGCAGGTTAAGTACGAGTAGGGGACACAAGAATAATCACACAGCATCCTAGCTACCCCTTTATACATTGGACTTTCACAACAGTAGAGAGAGCTAACACAGATGTATTATCTACTTCTGCTCCAGCAGTGGTCTCGGCGATCAGCAAGCCTGAACTGAACTGGTCGGTCTATATTATTTTTTCCCTCAGTTCAGCTTGAGTTTGCTGAATTCAGCCAGTGTCCTCTCGTAGTTCTCCTTTGCCGCCTGAGCATCGGAGAGCTTCTTCTTCTCTGCCGTCAGAACCATGTCGCTAACCTTCTCGAAGCCCTCACGACCCATCAGCTCCTGCTGTTTTTTGATCGCCATGTCTGTCTTCTGCAGCTTCGTGTTTATCTTTTTAATCTCCGCGTCGATGTCCTTGATCTGCGAGCTGACCTCTAGTAAGACAGCCACGTCTGCAGAGACCACGTACACTGCACAGCCCTTGGGCAATGTCGCCTCGTCGGAATCCGGACCAAGAACGCTGACCTCAGCAATGCCCTTCCCGGATAGAGTCTTGATCGACTGGAGCTGTGCGCTGACCTTCTCCAGGCTAGTCGTTGTGGATGCCTTGATGAAGGCACGCCCGTCGGACCGGATAGTGTAGTCGGAAGCCAGAGAACGGATGCCACCAGCGCACTGCAGACCGAGTTCGTAATCTTCGGCGTCGGAGATGAAGTCCAATGTCTTGTCAGGCTCTGGGTACGGCGCCAGCATAATAGACGGCAGCGAATCATCCTTGCTGCGCGGCAGGCGCTGCCACAACTCCTCCGTGATGAAGGGCATGAAGGGATGCATGAGGCGCAACGCAACATCTAGTGTCCGATACAGTGTCTGTTGGACGCTCTGTTGCTGCTCCGGAGTGCCATCGCTCAAGATGCCCTTGCTGTTCTCAATGAACACGTCGCACAGTTCGTCGTAGAAGAACTGGTAGGCAAGCTTGGTACTGGTCGAGAACTGGCGCGCCTCAAGTGCCTCGTTAATGCCCTTGACGGCGCAGTTCATGCGATAGAGGATCCAACGCTCCGGGATGGATAGAGCCGAAGTGTCGAGAGTGGAAGCCGGAACAAAGTCTTGAGGCAGCTTGCCCAAGATGTATTTGCTGGCTTGCCAGACCTTGTTGCAGAACCGGCGGTAGGCGTGCATGACCTTGATGTCGAAATTGATGTCGCCGCCGCCTGTGGTGTAGGAAAGCAAGGTGAACCGAAGCGCGTCTGCTCCGCACTCCGGGATGCCACCGGGGAACGCCGTCTTCTGGTATTTGGTGGCACGCTCAACTTCGTCTTCTTTGAGGTTGCCGGTGAGGAGCTTGGCGTGCAGAGTCTCCAGCTCAATGCCGTTGATGATGTCAAGTGGGTCAATAACGTTGCCCAGCGACTTGCTCATCTTCCTGCCCTCAGAGTCCCGGATAAGACTGTGACAGTAGACCTCGGTGAAAGGAACCTCGCCCGTGAGCTTAAGACTGAGCATGATCATCCGACTGACCCAGAAGAACAGAATATCCCAGCCCGTCTCTAGCATGCTGGTCGGGAAGAAGTTCTTGAAGTCAGGACTCTCGGTGTTGGGCCAGCCGAGAATCGACATGGGCCACAAGCCAGAGCTGAACCAGGTGTCTAAGCAGTCGGGGTCCTGCTCCAGACGGAACTTCTTCCCTGCGTACTTCGCCTCGGCCTTGGCCTGCGCTTCCTGCGGAGTCCTGCCAACAACCCACAGGGAGTTGTCGGTTTCAGGACGGTCCTCCTCGCCCTCGAATATGACGCGGTAGGCTGGAATGCGGTGGCCCCACCTACAAACGGTATTAGCGAGAGGTTCCATAGACACAGGCCTGTCATCACACTTACCAAAGCTGCCGAGAGATACACCAGTCGTTGACATTGGACAACCACCGGTCGTACGATTTCCTCGCACTCTCAGGAGAGATCTTGATTTTGCCTTCCTCAACAACCTTGAGAGCAGCTTCTGCCATCTCCTTCATGCGAACCCACCATTGAGGCGTCATGTACGGTTCAATGACATCCTTGGTCTTCTCGCATAAGGGAATGGTCATCGCGTTCGGCTCCTTCTTGACGAAAAGCCCGAGCTTCGTCAGCTCCTCGACGACGGTATACCGAGCCTGGAACCTCTTCTGTCCCTGAAACATTGGACCGGCATTCTCGTTGAGGGTGCCATCCTCGTTTAGAATGTTGATGAACTCAAGGTTGTGACGTTCGCCTAGCTTGTAATCGTTAAAGTCATGAGCAGGGGTCAGCTTGACAGCACCTGTACCGAACTCCGGATCCACGTAGCTGTCTTCAACAATAGGGAGGAGGCTGCAGTTTGTCAGCATTGAAGGATCTCTATGGTATTAGGGGGGGGGGGGGGGGGGGCTTGAACTGACCGGTTCGTGAATGGATGGCGCGCGGATTTTCCAACGAGATGAGCGTAGCGACTATCCCCAGGGGCAACGGCAATACCGCTGTCGCCGAGCATGGTCTCGGGACGCGTTGTCGCAACCTCAATGGTCAGGTCCGTGCCATCGATCGGGTATTTGAAGTACGTGAGGACACCGAACTCGACTTTCCTGTCATAGCCCGGCACATCGAGCATTGTACGGCCAGTTATCTCCTTGTTTTCCACCTCCAATGAGCTGAGGGCAGTCCTCAGGTGAGTGCACCAGTTCACCAAACGGCTGGACCTGTAGATGTATCCTTCATCGTGAAGGCGGCAGAAGGTCTCCATGGTCGCCGCGCTGAGATTCTCGTCCATGGTGAAGGCCTCGCGGGTCCAATCCATTGACCCACCCATAAGTCTCTGGGCATTGTTGATCCGCTCATGGTACTCGCCCTTCCATTCCCAAACAAGCTTCGTGAACTCGTCTCGGCCAAGCTCAAGGCGCGTCTTCTTCTGTTTCTTCCAGAGCATCTTCTCCACCACGGACTGCGTCGAGATACCGGCGTGGTCACAGCCTGGCACCCACAGTGTAGAGTAGCCTCTTGAAGCTGTCAGACCTGATCCAACATCATTTGTCCCACAGTCTTAGGGGCCCGGGCATCCACTCACCTCATCCGATACCACCGAATCAGAGTGTCCTGGAGCGAATTGGCCAGGGCATGGCCGCAGTGAAGCGCACCCGTAACATTGGGAGGCGGTAGAGGGATGACGAACTTGCCCGCGTCGGGCGAACGGGCCGGCTGTGGCTGAAAGAAGCCGCTCTTCTCCCACCATTGGTACCAAGCGGATTCGACGGCTTTGGGGTTGTATGCTTGGAAGTGCGGATGTTCGAACGACTGGATCTTCTTCTTCTCGCCGGCGGGGGTCTCGTCCACGTAAGGAGGAAGGGAGGGGGCCTGAGCCTTTGGAGTCGGCTGTGCGGCAGCCTTCTGCTGTGGCTGCTGCTGCTGCTGCTGCTTCAACTTGGCTTGCTTTGCTGCGAACTTGGCGGCCTTATCGGCCTTGGCCTTCTCCTTCTGTTCTGGAAGCCAACAGCTGGGTTAATACCGGTAGGTGCTTTAGGATACTAGTACGCGTTCAGGACTCACCATTCTTTTTGGCCGTGGCGGCGTCGGGCGCAGGGGCCGGGGGGGCCGCGGGATCCGTGCCGGATGCCATGTTTACCGGTCGTTGGAGGGAGTAGTGTCGGGGCGACGGCAGGATCACGGCCGAGGAAAATTTGGACAGTGTTTCCCGTCTCAGACTAGCCAGTCGCCGCAACGAACTCAGCATCCAGGCTTTGGTGGAGGGGTCGAGGCTAAGGAGGGGCGGGGAGGTGACTTTATTAAGAGGGGCACTTTAGGCTTTGCAGGAATTTCCGCCGGCGCAAGGAGGATCCAACAAATGATGAGTCAAAACGGTAATGGGTCATCCTCTGACGGAGACCGGAGCACAGACTCACTCAAAATGACTCCACCAGACGAAGCAGCAGATGGGATCAGAAAACAGCGACTAGATCTTCAGGTAGGCATGCATGTAGACTCTATGTAGTGTCCTCTGATCGGACTGAGAGTAAAGTACCCTTCAAGTTGCGTCTGGTCCAGGCGACCTGCCCTAAGATACCTCAGATGCCTACACAGCAGCGGCTATGCTAGGGTTAGGGTCGAAAACCTACCTATATACCCCGAGCCCCTGCTCGACCTGTTTAACTACCTTACCTAAGTTTCTGTCAAGCCCAGGGATATATCAAGGTGACCGTCTCCAACAAATTGCTTCAGGACTTTGTTAGTAGTGTGAATCGTCGCAGTGGCCTAGAGGAGGGTTTGTCTTCCTCGAAGTGAAGCAATGGCAATTCGTGCGCAAGACTCGGGAAGCTTTGGAGACAGTCTGGATCGCCGCTTGGCACAGTACAGGTGGACTGGGTTCTCTGCGGGAAAGAGTGCGGGGAACTCTATGATCCCTGCCAGCCTGATAAGCAACTCGCCTCGTACCGGTACCGTTGGGGCTAGTATTGCCTGCCGAAGGACATCGTATCTTTCATCGAGTATACATGTCTGGCCGGTCACCTCATTCCATCCCGCCCATGGTTCAGGCCGTACATGCTCAAGCAACCCAAGTGCAGGTGGTTGTGGCACACCCCACCTGACCTGTTGCTTTTCGACTGCAGTGCTCTCCTGAGCCCGACCTCTCTCGCGCTCATCATATTTCGTTGCTCGACATTTCCTAAGAATTGACTGATTACGAACTGATACAGCCTTCTTCACGAATGACTAGACGCGATACGGCCTGACTCTTTCAGCAGCGCCACCAGATCGGTCTGCGTTGACCTTCTTCTACCCTAAGGTATCTTCCACCGCCCCTATATCTAGGCAAGCGACCTAGATACGATTACTCACCCCGCCTCCCGTAACGACAATTCGACGATGCGGACTCCTCGGGTGGCCATTCTTGTGCTTTTCTTCTCCGCCTCCTTCTTCCTCGTCTGTCGTTCTATCAGTTCCACCCGGCGACCGAGTCATGCAGTGAAGCGGTTGACAGCCCCGAAGTCATCCTTCCGGGCCTTGTTCTCATTCAGTGCCCCCTTCTCTCTCTTTCCGCCAAGCGCTGCCATCAGTCTCACAGACGACAACAGCACCTTCTTCCCTGCCCGACCCGCCGCCTTTGGCCCTCGTTTGCCCAACAGCGGATTGAGTGGGCAGTTATGGATAGGCAGCGGCTTCTCCGAAGAAAGTCTTCAGGATGGCGAGGGGGAAGGCGAACTAGGCTGTAGCGATATTCCGGGATGGGACGACGGACAACACAAAGCGGCTATGAACGCTGCGGTCCAGCCCAGCGAAACGGCCAGCCCCACTTCTAATGAGCGGAAGAGCCCAGGCAGTGAAGATCTGGAAAAGGATCCTGTGGTTGACGGGGACACGGTCCGAAAGAAGATATCCGAAGCTCAGCCCAAGACTGTAAATGACGGGACAGACGACTACCTTCACCAAGGGTTCCAGCGAACTCGGAGCCCCAATAACGAAGGTCCTGCTACCTCAGATGCGAGCCACGCCGATATCCAGTCAATCCAAGAGACAGCAGAAATCACCGGAAAGGTTGTTCTACTGAGCCGGGGCGGCTGTGGCTTTCTTGAAAAGGTCAAATGGGCTCAACGCCGAGGAGCCATTGCTCTCATCGTCGGAGATAACCAAAAGGGTGGGCCTTTGATCCAGATGTTCGCGCGAGGCAACGTTGACAACGTTACAATTCCATCGGTTTTCACTTCACGCACGACTGCCCACCTCCTTTCGTCGCTTATGCAGCCAGGAAGTCTCAACAGGGACCCGCTGGAAGATATCCGGAATCCAATGCCCGGCGCTCAGCAGTCTCCCAATCCAACAGACCGTGAGAAGGTGGACATGGTGGCGCCACGTACCCGAGACGCGTCAAAAATAACAGCTGCGACAACCCCCTTCAATGATAACCTCAACGTAGGACGGAGGGGATGGTTGTCGCGATTATTTCCCTCAGGGAACCGTCAAGCCCTCTATTCTGATGCGAGTCGACCTCCACGCAGTGGCCAACTTGACTGGATTGCTGCTGACAATCAGAAGGAGTCGAATGACAAGGTCATCAACAGCGGGTTTCCCAAGGCAGGAAAGAACGGCGCGAAGGGGTCTGCCGAGGCTGCGGACGACGCCTTTGAGTGGCAAGATCCAGATCTAATCGGATCTACAGCAGAACGCGATGGGGAACCTACACCCGACAAGTCTGCCAACGGACAAAATCAGTCTAGCAACCTGGGCGCTTCAACTGAGAAAGCGGGCAGGCCTGGCCACGGTCCGTCTGCGGATGCCGACGGACTGAAGGGTGGAAGTATCATCCCAGGCAGCGGCGAGTATATACCGAGAGTCGTGGATGAGCCTGTCACACCAGGCTCCGGAGAGTCTACTTCCTCTTCGTCTCCAGCCACAGTGCCACCTCCAAGCCCTCCGGGGGTCGACAACAGTGAGACTCGCGAAGGCCTCTGGGTCACGATTACACCTACCGGCAGCGCCAGCCCCTTCTTCGATACTCTCCTAGTTTTGGTAATCAGTCCTCTGATTACACTGACGGTCGTCTATGCTTTGCTTGTTCTAAGAGTGAAGATCCGAATGAGGAGATGGAGAGCCCCCAAGTCAGTGGTGGATCGGCTCCCGGTGCGTACCTACCATACGGTCGCCCCCTCGACCGCTCAGTCCCCGAGAGCGCCGTCACCTACAAGCTCTTCGCCCACAACCCCACTATTGCAAGGCTCGTCCCGACCGCGGCCACGATCTCGCACCACCACGGAAGTTCCCGAGGCCGGTGACCTTTTTGGGACCGATGACACCCCGGAGACGGCGACGCCGCCTTCCCACCCATCCAGCAAGTGGAAGAAGTACATGGGTAGGCAAGTGGAATGCGTTGTCTGCTTAGAGGAATACATCGACGGTGTTAGCAGGGTCATGAGCCTACCCTGTGGGCATGAGTTCCATGCTGAGTGCATGTAAGTCATGGCTGCTCTCGGCCGCATAAACGCTTGGGCGCATACTGAACCGCCGTTAGAACCCCATGGCTCACGACGAGACGACGCACATGTCCTATCTGTAAGAGTGACGTCGTTAGGTCCCTGGCTCGTGGTTCTTCATCGGAGCCCTCGTACGAAGCGTTTCGTGAGGAAGAGTATCGGCGTAATCGCCTATATTCCGCCACCACTTACCAACCCTTGATCTCGGATCCAGGACGGCTTGTTGACCTTGAGCGAGGGCCTACGTGGACACACGGAACTCGACAAGAGCTGCAACACGAAAGCCGCAACGAAGTCTGGGCTACTCTCCTCGCAAACAATTGGGGAGAGAGCTCGTCCTTCTCGTCCAGGCGAGAAGGTTCTGGTGATAATCATGGCCGTTGACACGACAGCCTATCTAGGCTGTTTTACGGCTGACTCGACAACGAGTATGTCCTGATAAGGCGTTAATGGTGGCTTTTGTTGTATTGCGTACTCGCATTGATGATTTGAAAGGGATATCGGCGCTTTGAGCAGGGCTATGGTTGGGATGGCAGTGGACACTCGCTTTGATTGTATACATTGATACCCCTTCCTACTGTCACTTGTCTGCCTGAGCAATAGCAAGTGGCCGGCAGGTCGTAAGAGGTAGGGGTCGGAAAGGAATGTGGAGTGTAAGACCTCCCAAGGTTGGCTCCATAGTTGCGTTCTCGCCACTACGGCTAGCTCTTGGAAAGAGCTGCATTGATGATAATCCAAAAGTGTGTACCTTTTTTGATAAACATCTCTTCGGCTCAAAGCGAAATGCACTTCACTCAAATTCTGTGCCACTTCATTGTCTCCAGAGGTTGTATGGCGAGATAGAGTTCCTCTCAAGGTGAGCAGGTTCGGTGAGCCAGGAGATTCTCGTTAAGCCGATCACCCCACATCCTGCATACCTACGTTTGTGTTGGTCTCGACGCGCCCATCGTGGCTTCCACTTGCCAGGAAGAGATTGATAAAGAACCTTGGAGTCGACGGCCGTAATATCAGTTAAATTTAACGTCGAACTCCGTTACAACCTCGGAGATCCGGCCTCTCTCAGCCTCTGGATGCGCAACACTCCATCACCTTGAATCTCGCTCCGCCAAGCCCAGCCCACTCACTGTTCTCACTTCTCAGCGAAGCCCGAGTGACCGTGCAACATATCATCGACCAAAGCGTTGTGTTCTCAAACACACACTCTCTAGACCGCCGAGCGGGGCCCGCGTCCTGCGTTGCCCCCAAGTGATGCGATGTCACGATACCTTGCGCCTACCAAGATCGGCTTGCTGGCGCTTATTGAACTGTACGCCGAAGGAGCAGTGCCCAATGATGCCGCCATTTCGGTGCTCAACTTCATCACATCTCAGCTGCTGGACTCTAGCTTAGCGAGCCCGTCGCAGAATCCAGCGGAACGGTGGAAGAAGGCAGAGACCACGATCAAACTGACCGTATCTGTGAATCACTTCGAAGAACTGCTAGGCAGCTTTGCCACGGCGGATGGACTCCCCGGCCGGCGCCTGTGGGACAGATTTCTAGAGAAGCTTTGGGGGATAGACTCACTGCATGCCCTGCACGATTTCTTTCACCAGATACCAAACCTGCTGGCAAGGACGAAAGCCGAGCTGCGCGAGCTGGCGGAGCGTGGAGAGCGGCCTCCTTCGGGTGTGCTCTTTTCACGAAACTCTCCCTTTGGGCTCTTCATCAGGAGATCACACCTGGAGTTCTCGAAGCTGCAGTTCGATCAGGTGGCCGAACTATGGCGGATGTTTGTCAGGTATCGCCAGCCGACGGCCGGGTATTGGAGGCGTCGGAATCCTCACTACAGCCGGTATAGTTTCGACTCGGTTCTTCTCGAGGACCAGCATGAATGGAGGGGCCATACCGACGACGTTGCCGTGGCGGCTTACGGAAACATGCTGCTTATGGGCGACGAAGATGTGCCGGTGTCAGTCAGCACGGACGACATTGAAAGCCTGCTTGAAACTCAAATCGAGCAGATTCAGAGTGAGTTTGAGGCCCTTGATTTGCTTCCAGGCAGGATAGCTGACCGAACCAGAATACGGAACCAGAGTACCGCCGGATATCAGGGACCAGTTCGAGAAGCTGCTAAAGAGTAGCCGGACCATCCCAAGCATGGCCCGCTATCTCAGGTTTGTTCCTGGTCACTTTTATCCGTGGCTGTCATGTTAACGAAGGCCAGCTTTTCCGATTCATGGCGGTCGGGCGACTTCCCGGGAACCTTCGACGACCTTCACCGTTACTTCGACTACACCTTGCAGAGTCGGGATCGCTTATTCTACCAATACGCCCTGCTGAACCTCGGGATCGTGCAGTCGGACTTTGGCTGCCACAAAGAGGCAGTCGCAACCATGCTGGAAGCTATCACAACCGCGAAGGAGAACAGAGACACGACGTGCCTCAACTTTGCGCTGAACTGGTTTGCCCACTTCGCCCGGTCGCACCCTAAACTCATCAGGGAGGTAGGGGACAGCAGCATGCTTGGAAGCGGGAAAGAGTCACTCGTGTTCCTTCGAGCCAAAGCGAAGGAGACGGGATTGTGGATATTGTGGATTTCAGCGTTGTTGAGTGAGGCTAGCCTTTCGTTGTCGAGCGGCGAGAGCGTCTCGGCTGCCATGGAAAGCCTGGTACGAAGTTCGCGCCTTATTGTGGGAAAGAACGCGAGGACCCTGATCGGCCCTCAGCTCTCCCTGTGCGCCGGGCTGTGGGACAGGCTCGGGTTGACCGTCATGTCGACCATGACATGTGAAGTTTTTCACCGGTGTCATGCACGCAGCTCGGTCTTGGACGATCAGCTGAAACTCACTTGCCGTGTTGCCGGCCTCCTTGCCGGCAAGGGGCAGTACGACGAGGCATTTGCGAAGCTGGAGGGCATAGACACCAATGCTCTGCGGTCGGTGAAGGCCAACCATTACTGGCACCTCTACCGTGGCCTTCTCAAGCTACGCCGCGATCTACATCACAATAACCTCGAGTCCGCCGAAGCTCTGCTCTCCCAACTGCTCCAGCACAGTCCGGATGATACCGACGCCGAGATGCTCTCCACAATCGACACGTTGCACATCGAAGCACTCATTCGCCGTCAAGACTTCGATGCTGCCTTTACCAAGGTCGAAAGCCTGCTTTCCGGCCTCCGCGACACCAACACAGAGGTACTCAAGCGCATCCGGCTGCTGCTCATCAAGGTCCACCTCTTTGATTGCACCGGCCGCCCAGAGAAGGGCTTCAGCCTCGCGATGCGCGCCGCGAGCATGGCGTGGCGCTCACGCCTCGTAACGCTTCTGTGGCAAGCCATCGGCGCGCTAGCCAACATCCTCAACTGCCTTGGCGAGTTTGCAGGTGCCGAGCGACTTCTCGTTGCTCTCCTACCCCGCTGCCTCGAGACGGACGAGGCTGACATCGCCGGCACGCTGTACAGCCTGCTGGCGGATGCAAGAATAGGGTTGGTGGGTGAAATGAAGGCGCACCGCGGAAGCGCACCTGAGCGGGCTAAGCTGATAGGTAAAGTGCACAAGGCGCTGGACTCGGCTTTCAAGTGCTTCTCCGCGGTGGAGGATGTCAATAAGCAGTGTGAGGTCATGGCGAAGAAAGCGACACTCTATAAGGTTGAAGGCGATTATGACCGGGCCGATAGCTGTACGGACACGTACCTGGGGCTGTGGCAGGACGAGTTGGCGAGGAGATAGGATGGTACTAGCGGGACTCAAGCGTGTAATGCTAATGCCATCGACACATAGAGAGAAGTAGCTGTCAGACCAGATATCCCACAATTAATATATCATAGTCACTGGCGAACTCGGCGACTATCTCCCTGCACTTTCAACCTAGCCTGGGTGGCCTCTCCCTCATAGTGTCTCGCGCTGGTGGACTAGACATAGACTGTGTCTCTCTGGAAATGGGAGCTGAGGGATTACAAACCTGGAAACAAGTGGCACAACGTACTCGGGGCAATCACTGCACGTCGACCAGGAAACGGGTCCGGTCTCTAAACCAAAGCTCTTCGACTCTAGGAAACATGTACAGTTGGTTGTCGGCTTTCGCTGCACTTCTCCCTCCGTCTGCATGTACATCCCCATTGTCCTTGGGTGCCCCACGAAGGACGATACGATTGATCCTCGCCTTCCAACTTAGGTCTCCTTGTCCTTGTTGTGGTAGTTGACCTGGTCGTTCCAGCTGTTTTTTGTCCCGGTTAGCAAACGACGTGCACTTGCTACTGTTTTCTCTCTTGCTCCATTCTCCCGAGATGGGAATTTGAGCGGGTATACGTACAAAAGGGTCTGTTAACGGTGTTAGAGAGATGATGCTAACATAATGAAGCTGTCTATGTCGTTTTGTGCGTGTGTTGCAGAACGTACCTTGTCACCGTTGCCCCAGGGGTAGTTCCGGGTGCGGAGGTTCTGGTAGGGGTACTCGACGCGCTCCTCGAGAGGGGGCATGTGCGACCAGTGCTCCCAGTGCTCGTTCCACAGGTTGTATGCGTTCAGCATGGCGAGGATCAGAGCGGGAGGGACAGCACTATTCATCAGAGTCGTAGGTGTCAGCTTAGATCCTGTTTCGTTCCGTCCCGAGTTTCCACTCCTCGATTCCCCGCCCCGCCCCAGCCTCCGGTAACATCTCGAACAGCCCGTTTCTGATATCGTAGATGGGCCGTCGTCCGGTTTTGGAACGCTGTTGGACACAACCGGTCTCACGAAAACCACGCATCCCGTCACAAAACAAGGGAAGATAGGATCGGAGGGAGTATCGCATACTAGATGGAGATCTTGCGCCACAGCTCTGTTTTCCGGTCAGCTTCCCAGCTAATTGACAACTAAGGGACGGGTATTTCCTCACCAGTGGTGGCATGGGCGTGCTCCTTGACATGGCGGCGCTCACGGATAAAGGCGTTCTCGGTCTCGGTGCTGGCGAAACGACGCTGGGCCTGGGCGCGAAGCTGCGCAGTGAAGCGCGGCGCAGCGCGGACGATGCGCTGCGGGAACATGGCAGTGGAAGTGCTGCGTCGTCGGCAGGCTCAATTCGAGGTGGTGTGGTGTGTGATGGATGTGTGCGAGCTTCCAAGACCTGAAAGATGAAGCAACCGACCCGCTTTTGGCTCGAAGCTCCGCAGCCCGCTTGTTGGTGAGGTCAGACCCCCCGGGCGATCAGTTCATTTTTCGGGTAGACCTCGGGTTTTGGCGGGAGCTCGGGAGCGCACGAGCCAACGTCCAAGCAGCTGTATGACAGGTCATGTGACCTCGCGCTTGAACGAGCCCGCGTGCCTGCCATTCCGATCGCTGGACGTGGTAAACAATGTCGTGAAGAGGCATTCAATGATCCGTCCCATGTTACTGGACTGCCCGCGTTTGTAAAAGACCGAATGGCTTGAAGCTTCTAGGCCGTGCCTACTGGCTCATAACTGTTGGTGATGCATCTTCCAGATGCACAACATCAATTTCCCCCTTGAGAGTTTGAGACTGGGTTGAGTTCCCGATCGGCGTCGCGTTCGTGACTGTGGAAGCATTTGTCACCGCTTCCTCGATGCTCTGCTCAAGTCGTGCCCTTTATATCATAATACCACCTCTTCTCGTTGTTCCTGATCCTTGAGTCGATTTTTGCTTGTCAGATCCGCCTTAAAAGTGTTGACAAACAACCTCGAAGCGGTCGACGTCACTCCGCTCGGTGGTGACGACGAGCCAAGATGCCGCTTCGAATCACAACATGGAATGGTAATGTGCCCCAGTCGACCATCTTAACTGTATCGGTCATTCCTTTAATACCCCCGCAGTCAACGGCATAAGGAATCCGTTCGGATACCAGCCATGGCGAGAAAACCGCACATTTCAGGTATGATCCGCTCCATTGCCTACCACTACAGAGCAGCCAGTTTGTGCTGACAAGTCGCAGGCCATGTTCGACACGCTAGAGGCAGACATTGTCGTCATGCAGGAAACCAAGATTCAGCGGAAGGATCTTCGGGACGATATGGTCCTGGTACCGGGCTGGGATGTTTACTTCAGTCTCCCCAAGTACAAGAAAGGTTTGTAGACGGACCCAGCCAGCTTGGCCTGCTTGTTTCCTGCTCACTGACAGCACAGGATACTCCGGCGTGGCCATCTACACACGTTGCGCCAAGTGCTGCCCAATACGCGCGGAGGAAGGCATCACCGGTGTTCTCTGCCGCCCAAACTCCTCCACGAAGTTTCGCGATCTTCCTGTAGACCAGCAAATCGGTGGATACCCGAAGCCTGAGCAACTTCCCGGCTCCATCGACGAACAAACGCTGGACTCTGAAGGCCGCTGCGTGATCCTGGAGTTCCCTGCGTTCGTGCTTATTGGAGTCTACAGTCCGGCGACCCGAGATGAGACGAGGACAGAGTTCCGCCAGGCGTACATTGATGCCATCGACATCAGGGTCCGCAACCTGGTTGCAATGGGAAAGCAGGTTTTCCTCTGCGGCGACCTCAACATCATTCGCTCCGAGCTCGACACCGCTGGCCTGGCAGAGCGGCTGCGAAAGGAGGCCATGACGCTTGATGAATTCATGTCGACTCCATCGCGGCGCTTCGTCAACCACCTCGTGTTCGGAGGCCGTGTCATCGGAGAAAGAGATGAAGGGCGAGAGGAACCCGTTCTCTGGGATCTTTGCCGGGAGTTCCACCCCGCTCGTCCAGGCATGTACACCTGCTGGGAAACCAAGAAGAACGCGCGACCAGGCAACTTTGGGAGTCGTATAGATTACGTGCTGTGCAGCTCGGGAATCAAAGACTGGTTCATCGATGCCAATATCCAAGACGGGCTCCTGGGATCTGATCACTGTCCCGTATACGCTACGATTGGTGACGTCGTCGGCCATAATGGCGTCAAGGTCAATATTGAGGATATTATGAACCCAGCCGGCATGTTCAAGGAGGGCAAGCGCCAGCGAGAGTGGTCTCCCAAAGATCTCCTCCCCACATCAGCGAAGCTCATTCCCGAGTTTGACCGCCGACAGAGCATTCGGGATATGTTCTTCAAGAAAGGCAGCCCATCCACGAAGACCGAGTCCACGCCAGCCCAGACAAACAACCAGAACGGCCCTAAGAGCGTGGATGCTGTGCCTGAAGAATCGAAGAAGAATGAACTTCAGACGGATCCCAGAGTCCCCGTATCGCAGTCAAGCCGAACGGTGGCCCCGGCAGCAGCTAACAACAACACGACACCAACTAGCACAATCGCATCCCCGCAGAAGCCCGTTCCGACGAAGCGGCAAGCGGAACCCTCAGAGCCTTCAGGCGGATCCCAGAAAAAGACGAAAGTTGCTCTGACTAGGGAGAACTCGACAAGGTCGGCGTCAGGTTTCTCACAGAGCAGCCTAAAGGGCTTCTTCAAGCCGAAGACGCCAACAACGGACGCCAATCCCGTCGTCGAGGCAGAAAGCACGGACGGTCCCAGTCCCGTGTCAAAGCCCGACATTCCATCCACGACAAAGCAAATCCCTCGGCCCAGCCAACAAAGAAGCGGGGCCGCTTCAGAGAACGACGCGCAGAATATCCCTGGTGATATTTCAAAGTCCGAGGGCTCCTCCATAGAGAAGGTGTTCGACCCCATCGTGGCGAAGGAGTCCTGGTCGAAGCTGCTTGGCAAGAGAGTCGTCCCCAAGTGTGAACACGGAGAGGACTGTCAGATGCTGGTTACCAAGAAGCCCGGCATCAACTGTGGTATGTATCATTCATACTCTTGTCTCAGTGTTCTGCACTAGCGCATCTAAAAGTCCTGCGCCGCCCCTGCTTGATCTGCGCATAGCTCTTGTTCCCACAGTTCAGTCAAATCATCACCATGCATCTCTATCCCGAGCATGTTCCCTCCCTGCCTTCCTGCCATCGATCGCTGTTACCATCGGCACCCGGGCTGACACCCATCCTTAGGTAGATCCTTCTTTATGTGTGCTCGTCCGCTGGGTCCCTCAGGAGACAAAGAGCAAGGGACAGAGTTTCGTTGCCGCACCTTCATCTGGAGCAGCGACTGGAACGGTCGGCAATGAGCATAGCGGGCGTGGAAAGGTTGCTGCCCCCAAGTCACATCGGTGCCTGTGGCTCATGCATGTCTGCATTCCGTCGGCGAGTCTGGGCGAGGTGGGTCGTAGCATCAACAGCAGCATGACGACAGGAGGAGGAGTCGACCACCCGGGGCCCTTTGCTGGCGTCACAACGCGCTCGATCCTTTCAATGCCACCCAGGCATGCCGACCTTGCTCTTCCGAAGGGGTCTTCGTTAGCAACGAAATCAACAGGCATTCTTGCTTAGGCAGTGTGCTCCTCCGCACTTTGTTGCTTTGTGACTGTACCGTACTTGACTGCATCCGTGATACCGTCGACGGTCTCTCCGCCGTTTTCCAGTCGCTGTTTCGAAACGCCTCTCTCTCTCTCTTTTACAGTGTGGATCGTACCCATTGCCATGGCCCAATGCGTGCTCGGATTCCAATCTCCCCCGTCTCTGCGGGCGGTTCAACCATGGGCTCATTCACCCAACAGCCTACGGCTCGATACAGGGTCGGAGAAACGACGTAGGTGGTCGCCGGCGTCAAGATCATTGGAGGAGAGGGCTTCTAGCCGGGATGAAGCAACAAGGTGTCGAGGAACCTCCGTTGGGGGCATGACTTGTCATGTCCCGGACTGCGCTCTCTCAAGCATTACAAGCACACATGCAAAGTACCGAGAAGAGGAGTGACCCGCCAAAGTCTTGTGAATTCTCTACCTGTGTTCCCCCCAGCCACTGACTCCCCATGCTTGCTGTCAAAAAAAAAAAAAAATTAAGGAAAAAACAAACGATGCAAACGAGAAGCTACTCCCCCTAATGACAATGTCGGCTACACCAGATTCAGCTCATTCCGACTTCTCCCCCCCTTCCAAGGACCCCGAATCCCAGAAAGTTTCGTCTCCAAGAACCGTAGTCCTAGAGTCCGTCGTCGAGTGTATCCATCCCCCAGAGAGAACATAATCACAAGGGAAAATAGCACGAGTGACCATCATCAAATGCGGGTGCTCCTCCAACAAACAAATCAGAAACTGGTGTTCCATCGCGCGATGACGATCTTCAGTGATCGCCGGTCTAAACGGATCCTCGACCACCATCCCGCTCTCAGGACGAGCACACTGGTGCGCTGAACTCGAGGTCGGTGGGTGATAAAACTGCAATCTGATCATGGCCAGCGAAAGTGTTAATACGGGTCGCTAAGGACTGGGGCGGCGTCAAGCCGGATGATGGGCGGGGAAGAAAACTGACCTTTTTTTGTATTTCTCCTTTTCAATTTTTTTGGGGGGGGTGAATTTGAGTCTTAGTGGCTCATTGATCCTTCTCGACTTGTTGCTTGACTGTGGGCGGGTTGTTATCCGGTTCAAGGCACGGCAGGATCAGTGTCCAGCCGCAATCAGCCTCTGACCGATCGTCATCGGATCGTCCTCACCCTGACGCGCAGGCGTAGTGTGGCGGGTACCACCCTGGTAGCGATAGCCCGGGTACCTCGCCTTGTGCAGCCGGTCCTCTTCGATAGCAAGGGCCCTGAAGTGCGCTCGGATCTGCGGCTTCTCGGTGCGCCACATTTGTGCCACAATTTGCGCTAACTTCATGTCAGCGGAATCCATTAAAACGTCGAGACGTACTTACAGATGATGGCGGCAGGAATACTCGGGTCCCTGGCATGAAGCTTGGCCGACATCCACTGACGGTAGATGATGAACTGGTTTCGAGGTCGACGGATATGGATCTTGGTGACCCCCGAGGCATTGACAGGCTCATAGGGGATCGGATCCTGGTTAATGATAGGGTCTTATGGGTTAGATTTCTTGATTCGAGTTCCCGAGGTTCTAACCGTCACTCACCCACGTTCCTCTTCAGCATGTCAAAGACATTCTTGTCCAAAGTCTCCGCATACGTAACGCTGACAATCCAGTACTGGGTGGTACCCCTGCGACGGACGATAGCGCAACATTTACCATCGTTGATGTTTCTGTGAAATGATTAGATGGCAAGATTACACATTGGTTCAAGGATACTCACCGGTACATGTTCATGACGGGCTCCAGGATCTTGATGCAGGTTGACTGGTCCTGAGTGGTGGCAGTGCATTGGATAATCATCTCGTTGCCACTGAAGAGGAAGGCCAACGGGGAAGGCTTCACCGGTCCGCCGTGAGAAGCCATGATGATGTTGGTCGATGATAAGTGGAGGATTAATTGAGAACGGGCGCGAAACTGTTTGTTTGCTGCTGGGGCGACGGGAAGAGAATAGTTTCTCTCGAAGTCCGGTTGATTGAGAAACCGGGATAGTTTTCCAATATCAATTCGGAGCGGAGAGAAAGATTGCAGAAGAGATCTCAGAAATGTGTGGGTGCCATTCAAAATCTAGGGAATTTCTAGGCACCCTGAAATGGGAAATGTGCGGTTACAGTATTGTTGTTCAGAGCCTAGGCACAATACTAAATTGAGGCACAATAGTAAGGCAACACAAAAATTGGAACAATACTAAGTGCCCAAAAGCGTTGTGCAAAATGGGATTGGGTTACCACAGGAGATAACACCAAGCTCAGCCATCAGTCATATAACTCTGAACCTTTACCATTCATCCTGCATGGTGCAGTTTCTGGAACACAGACAGTATTACTTCACAAAAGCACTCCAGAATCCTGCCAATCTGATTCTGGCTCCGTCCCTTACTCAACCTATCCTTCACAAGATCAACAAGCAGCCATGAACAACGAGCAGGTTGCCATGGAAGGGCACAACTGATGCAAATCAATCTCAATCATTCCAGAAAGCCAAGATGGATCGGCTTGCGCTCAGCCAGGTGAAAATTCAAGGTGCTCATATTATCGCAATTTGCTGACATGAATTGCTTGCCATCTTCAGGCGGTTTTGCGCATGCAATCTGAGCACATTCGCGCTTCGATTGCTAAGGAAATTGAGGAATTCGAGAATGTCTTTGAACATATCCTGCAAACGACCAACACATTTCTCACCGCAACGGAAACGGTTGGGACCACCCCCTCGTTTGTGTTGATTGACAAAAGCTCCGTGGTCAAGACCGTCTGTCGATTTCTCGCTTCATCGAACACCATCCTCGGATTCCTTGATTTTCTAGAGAAGAAGACAGGCCTCGCTTCCGGTGGTGATATCTCGCTTGAGAAGGAAGTCAAGGCAGCTCAGGCTTTGGTGGAACAACTTCTCAGCACTTTTCTCCTCCATCAGAAGACCGAAAGCTACCCGGGAAAGGAGTTCGGGTTCATTTACAATGAGGATGTGAAGCTTTTGGGCGACGCCATCCTTCATAAACACCTCCACGTTCTTTCGGATGATATTCCCAACCCGGACAAGGACGATCTTGACCGACTCTTGGGGTATTGGCATGTTGAGGACAACATCTTCTCCCCACTGGTACACGTGCCCGGCACTCCTTGGCACAAATTCATTGGCAATATTCAGCAGGACCCCTCGAAGAAAACCATGAAGTTGTTCACGGAGAAGGAGAGCACCCCTCCTTTTTTCAAGGCCTACATCCCGGAGACTATTGAGTGGCTGAAGCCCGAGATCAGGGCTGATTACGACAAGTGGCGCGATGTCTTTGTGCAGGCAAGCCACATTCCAAATCAGAAGTTGTAACAGCAAATGCTAATATTGTTGCATAGACTCGCCGCTTGCCCCTTCCGTATCTCTCGGAATTCGCTAGAGAGGTGAGTAAAGCTCGCCCATCTAACAGTTATTTGCTAACACAGAAAAGGCCAAGGTCAAGAAGATTCAGAAACGTCTCTCTAACCTTTTCGTCGGCTGGAAGGTGACTGAGGACCGTGAAATTCTGAACTTCGAAGACACGAGGGAGGTACGTTGGACCATTTGGGTTTTGAATCCCGAGCAGAACGCTTACTTCATCGGTAGATTTCCGCCCCCGAGCATGATGATTCTGGTTTATTGAGACTGGAGCCGCTGAATGCTGAGATCAATGCAGTGGAGTTGACGGGAATTGCTTTGCCGGGACACGAGATCGAGCGTATCCCAGACTTCCTGCAAGGCGAAGCCAAGAGGTACTGTCTCGAGTATGAGGGCATGTGGGATTGAATGATGATTCTCTACGTTAGGTGCTGGGTTGAGCACATGGCCACAGATTGCCAAAGACTATGCATTGCGTTTGTTGTTGATAGAATACGATATGCTGACATGAACCATTTCCATCCTACCACGCCGAGGTGAAGTCTTTGTCTTTCGGATTTTTCAACTCGAAATTCGAACCGGAATTCGTACAAAGGAGTGACCAGAAGCCTATGCCATCTTAGGTAAGCGTGACTTGGATGCATGCAACCATGATTGGATAAGATAGGCCCGGCACGGTCGATACCCCCCCACCCGGACACGAACCAGAAGCCAAGGCCCAAGGGAGGCCAAGGATCTGCGGCTAATGCTGATCGCCCTACTACCGCTGTGGATCCGCATGGGTTGCATTAAGCGTCTGTGGAACCCCTTGCAGCTTTAAATCGACGACAGGTCGCCCCGCCCCCCTTAAGACTTCTCTCATCATTCCTTGCAGAAACACATGTTGCCAAGTTATTGGGTCATCAAGTTTTACTACTATGTAACCCGTGGAATTCCTAGCTAGACTAGTGTACATGCAAAGAAAAAGGAAGTGGGGAAAATGTGTGATGTGATGTGTGTGTTTCTTTGCCTGCAGGAGAGTTCCCAGATTTCCTTTGACGTGGTAAGGTCGGTCTTCATTCGTCAGAAGCTGGGTCCGCTTTCCCCGTTCTCTCTCCTCCGTTCCCTTTATCCCCCCATCCGTCCGTCTTTGTTCTCTGATCCCCCCGCGGACAAAGAGCAAGGGACAGAGTTTCGTTGCCGCACCTTCATCTGGAGCAGCGACTGGAACGGTCGGCCATGGTGCGCTTGTTGCTTTGTGGACTGTACCCGTACTGGACTGGATCACGTGATCCCGTCGACGACGGTTTCTCTCCGCCGTCCTTTCCAGCCGCTGTTTTCGAAACGCCTCTCTCTCTCTCTTTCTCTTACGAGTGTGGGTATCGTACCCCATTGCCATGCAGGAGAGAGGGCTTTCTAGCCCCGGATGAAGCAACCAAGTGGTGTCGAAGGAACCTTCCGTCGGGGGGAGGGGGGGGAAATGACTTGTCATCATGTTGTCCTGGACTGCCGCTCTCTCTCTCACGCAGCATCATCACAAGCACACACACACATGCAACAAGTTACCGAGAAGAAGAGAGGAAGTTGACCCGCCCAAAGTCCTGTGAATTTCTTTCCATCTACCTGTTGTGTTCTGTGTTCCTCCCCCAGCCACTGACCCCCCCCCCCCACGATGCCCACGATGCTTGTAAAAACGCAAGGAAAGAAAACAAACGATGGCCAGAACGAGAAAGCTACCCCTTCGCCGCCGGCCCCCCAAACGCGACCGATCGATTCCCGCGACGTCGACCACCATCCATCCGTCCATCCCCCGCTCTCTCTCTCAGGACGAGCACACACACACACACTGGTGGTGCAGCTGAACTCGAGGTCGGTGGGTGGGTGATAAAATTGGCAATCTCTGATTCATGGGGCAAGCGAAAAAAGTGTTAATACAGGGGTCGCCAAGAAGGACGGGGGCAGCGCGTCAAGCCGGAGGAGGGGGCGCGCGGGGGAGAAGAAAACTGACCTTTTTTGTGTTTTTAATTTTCAATTTTTTTTCTTTTTGGTGTGAATTTTGTGTCGCAGTGGCTCATGGATCCTTCTCGACTTTGTTACTTGCTTGACTGTGGGGGGGTGCCAAAACGTCAGGGCTTCTTTCTGTCTTGGGTCGACTTAGGCGGGGGATTGATGTGCGATGCGATGGGATGAGATCACACTCCCTCATTATTCTCAGCCCCTAAATCGCATTCTCAGCATCAATTTCAGCTTGGATCTCGGCATTCCACTGTTGAAGATCCGCCTCCACGTCCCAGTCATCGACCAGATCGTCGATTGTCGGATAGCGCGTGGCCTGAGAGGGCTGAGCAGTCTGAGTGGGCTGAGCAGTCTGAGTGGGTTGAGCAGTCTGAGTGGGCTGAGCAGTCTGAGCGGGCTGGGTAACCTGAGCAGCCTGAGTAGCCGGGGAAGCCTGAGCAGCCTGGAGAGCCTGAGTAACCTGGGCCAGCATCATCTGAAGCGGGTGCCAGCCAGGGGTCTCAACCGGGGGCAGAAACTGCTGAGAGCCGGGAACGTAGCGGGTGATGTCACTGGTCGGAACAAGGCCTGCGATCTCGATGTTGACCCCGGGGGCTGGGGGCGTATTATGCTGAAACAGGGTGCTGGTGGGGTTCAAGACGACCGGATTACCGTTGATGATCACGGTTCGGGGGTTGAGATTTTTGTTGCGGCGAGACCGGCGAGGAATTTCAGACGACCTACGAGGGCTGTACCGATATCCGGGATGCATTCTCATCAGATTAGCCTTGATTTCCGTGGCTTTCTTGTGGTACATCTCTCGGACCTCAGGGGTCTCATCCTTCCACATCGAGCCCGTGATGACCGCTGTGGATTGTTAGCCCAGGAGACAGGGAATCAACGCGGAGTTACTTACAAATCTCGTTGTTGTGAAGGCCGGGGTTGTGGGCCTTGACTTCGCTTTGCTTATCCTTGCGGTAAAGGATGTAGGCATTCGGGGGACGCGGAATCTTCTCAAGCTTCGTCGTGGGCTTCGGCGGCATAATTCTCTTCTTGGGATCCCAGATGGGAATTTTGTCGACCACGATAAGGTGCGGCTTAATGACTTTCTTGGGACCGAGAATCCAGACTTGGTCATTGTCTGCATCCTGGGCATACATTACATCTTGGCGCAGGAAGTTTCTAATGCAATTGTGAGCTGAGATCAGGATGCGAAATTGAAAGGAACTTACCGCATCTCACGAGCGAGCTCAACCTTGGCCTGGAGCGGCATGAGCTGGTACATCTCATCATCCATGATGACGACGTTCAACTTGTTCCAATGTCCCAGCTGGGTGGCGAGACGATTCCAGTATCTTATGCCCATGGCTCTGGCCATAGCGGGACTCATGTCAGGAGCGATCAAGGTCGCCATGTGTACTGACCGTTGACCGCGAGTCGGTTGATGGAAATTATTGCGATTGAAGTCGGTGATCGCAAGAAAACAGACCCGATCAGGATTCGATTTGTGTCCCGGGGTACTTGAGCAGGTCACCGTGACAGTTACCTTGAGGAGAAGTCAGCAGTGCAGATCGGGCGAGTGGTAAACGTTTGGTGGGAACGCTGGAATATTTCAGGAATAGGAGTTTGAAATTGGTGGGGTGGGAAGGAATTGAGGGAGGACTGGAAGAATATTATAGATTGTTAGCATAGGATCCAGGACTACACCAATTGGTGTAAAAAATAGAGTGTCAGACTTGAGATTTCACCAATTGGTGTAGATTAAACACAGGATACGGGGCATATGGCCAGATGTGGAAGGTGGGGCACCAACCAGGTTGACCAATTATGTACATTGGCCTATACCATGGCACGGTAGGGTTCCACCGTCATAGGCCGGTACCTTGACGTTTTAGGGCCGCCATAAACTAATCTCAGAGCACAATCACGGGTCCTTTACGACAGACCCTAGGATAACATTATAAGTACCTTGAAAAGTACTAAGTATCCTGCTTAGGATTCTTGCTATCTGCTAGGAGAGCTAAACTACTAGACTACAAAGACCTTGAATCATGTTGCGGCGAATAGAAGGTGAACAGCGACCAGAACGAGCAAGTTGATATAGTTCATAAGAGTTTGGTTTATTCTTACGGTTAGCATATTTAAGACTACAGTCCCAAGAAGTGAAGATCTCAGGATCATGCGTATTACATATGCAACTGGTGGGCCCAACCAATCGTGGCTATGCGCCTGTGTTTATCTACAACAATTGGTGAAATCTCAAGTCTGACACCGAATTTTTAAACCATTGGGTGTCCTGGATCCTATGCTAAAATCATTAGTCCGCCGACATTATCTTGGCAGCGCAAGAAAAGACCGATCGGATTCGATTTGTGTCCCGGGTACTTGAGCAGTCACCGTGACATTACCTGATTCGGGGCATCAAGGTAACTGTCACGGTGACCTGCTCAAGTACCCCGGGACACAAATCGAATCCTGATCGGGTCTGTTTTCTTGCGATCACCGACTTCAATCGCAATAATTTCCATCAACCGACTCGCGGTCAACGGTCAGTACACATGGCGACCTTGATCGCTCCTGACATGAGTCCCGCTATGGCCAGAGCCATGGGCATAAGATACTGGAATCGTCTCGCCACCCAGCTGGGACATTGGAACAAGTTGAACGTCGTCATCATGGATGATGAGATGTACCAGCTCATGCCGCTCCAGGCCAAGGTTGAGCTCGCTCGTGAGATGCGGTAAGTTCCTTTCAATTTCGCATCCTGATCTCAGCTCACAATTGCATTAGAAACTTCCTGCGCCAAGATGTAATGTATGCCCAGGATGCAGACAATGACCAAGTCTGGATTCTCGGTCCCAAGAAAGTCATTAAGCCGCACCTTATCGTGGTCGACAAAATTCCCATCTGGGATCCCAAGAAGAGAATTATGCCGCCGAAGCCCACGACGAAGCTTGAGAAGATTCCGCGTCCCCCGAATGCCTACATCCTTTACCGCAAGGATAAGCAAAGCGAAGTCAAGGCCCACAACCCCGGCCTTCACAACAACGAGATTTGTAAGTAACTCCGCGTTGATTCCCTGTCTCCTGGGCTAACAATCCACAGCGGTCATCACGGGCTCGATGTGGAAGGATGAGACCCCTGAGGTCCGAGAGATGTACCACAAGAAAGCCACGGAAATCAAGGCTAAGAGAATTATGCCGCGAATGATGGGGGCCGTACCTCAGCAGCCCGTCAAGAAGAAGGTAAACGGGTTTATGGGATACCGTGGTAAGTTTTCCGTATCATCTAATTCGCGACCCACCCTAACGTCGTCAGCATACTACTCGTCTCTCTTTTCCCAGCTCACGCAGAAAGAGAAGTCGCCTATTATGACGGCCCTTTGGAAGCGCGATCCGTTCCACAAGGAGTGGGATTTCATGTGCTTAGTCTATTCGGCGATCCGCGAGTTTCTGTCGAACGAGAATGTCTCGCTGCAGACCTGGATTGAATCCGCTATCGGGCACATGGGGATTGTCGTCCGCGACAACTATATGCGGACCTTCGGCTGGTCGGTGGTGCGGCTCCAGGACGGTACGCACAAAGTCGTGCGAAATCATCCTCGGACTGTCCAGAGCTTCCTTCAGCCGATGAACGGCCTCGGTATTTTCATGAAGTGTCTGAATAATGGTCTTCCGATTGCTGACCCGGTCCCGATCATTTCCAAACTTTCTGGTCTGACCAACGACGTCATTTGCATCAACACCCACCCGGGAGCTGCGCCGCAATTCACCAACACCATGGAAGAATTCCGCCAGTTTGCCAGAACTCATCCGCAGCTCGCAATGTCGGCGCTCTGGCAGGTCCCTGTAACCCATCCTCTCATCACTCAGGGTGTCAGTGTGCACAATGTTGAGGACCTGCCTGCCCCCGGGGCGGAACTTGACGATGCGGAGCTCGATGCGATGATTGATGAGATCTTCATGGACACATACGGGCCCAACCATCCATACTTCACATCCCGTCAGGCGAACAGTGCCTAAGGTAAACCTGATCAACCACCACCTACCAGCTACGCTCAGCAGATCAGTGATGCTAACACAATACTACCAGGCTCTCCTTGAAGCACTCTACATCAAGCAAGTGGCATTTCATCCCGGCATGAGATTGCGGTGAGCAAGCAAATCGACCTTTGGCGATCCGCACGGTTTTTCGAGAAATCAAACATGGGGGCCTCTGTCAGTCCCTCGGACCTGACGACATCGGCAAAGGACTTGATTGCGGAGATACAGCCACCTGCTCTCCGTCGACCCTGTGGTACACACCGTGCGAACAGTTTGCGTTTTCCTTTACGGTGTGGCTTGCGGCATGGTTTTCAGTGCTTTCTGCTAGCTGTTTCCACCAGAACAGTCAAGAAAGCCTGCTGCATATGGGCCACCGTTTTCATCATCTTCGGTCACAGCACAAAACATCATTTCTTACTCGTCATCTGCCCGCGGATCAGAGACAAAGACGACGGATGGGGGAAGGGACGGAGAGACGGGAAGCGGACCTGGCTCTGACGGATCAGACCTACCACGTCAAAGGAAATCTGGAACTCCTGCAGGCAAAACACACATCACACATTCCCCATTTCCTTTTCTGCATGTACACTAGTCTAGAGGAATTCCACGGTTACACAGTAAACTGATGACCCATACTTGGCACACGTTCTGCAAGGGATGAGTCTCAAGGGGCGACCTGTCGTCGATTTAAGCTGCATGGTTCCACACGCTAATGCGCCATGCGGATCCACAGCGGTAGGGATCACATCAGCCGCAGATTCTTGGCTCCTTGGGCCTGCTTTTGGTTCGTCTGGGTGGGGTTCTCGACCGTGCCGGGCTCCAATCCAGCCTATTGCCTTACCGCTGATGAATGACCCTGCTGCGTTGTTTCGCGTGCTATGCAAGAAAGTCAACTGCAGCGATTGATGTGGCTGGACCACAACTGCGACCCAAGGACGACACCGGGATTTTCAACGTCAGCGCACAATTTCTGGTTTCTTCATTTTGTGTGGCGACTCCTGGCGAGCTTCAGTGCCAGCTGCCCAAGGGTTAGGGGTCCAGGGCTTTGTTTGCTTCCCGTACCCTCCCTCACCTGACTCGGTGATGAAGGAGGCAAACTCAAAGAACCGGGGCCGCGAATGACCGATATGTACTAGCTTCCATCCCGATCAAAGTCGGGACGAAGCACAGGATAACATATGCAATAGCGCACCGTGACAGAAGGGAAACGCGGTACCATGTTGGCCTACACAATACCTTGCTACATAGCCGCTCCCCCGAGGAGACATCACACCGCACCGCCTTTGCATGGCTCACAAAGGGAAGATGTGTCATTGGGCCGACAGTGGTTCTCGTGGACCTGCAGAGGGTCTTGGAATGCGGGGTTAATGTGGGTGAGTTTGGCTCCGGCCGCGGTTTGCGATCCGCCGGCACCGGATGGCCGCAACGGTCCCGTCTCATGGAGCACTGGTCTGCCAACGGTTAAGGAATGCCAACGATTGGCACCTTTGCTCCTACAGTCTGAACTCTTCTGTTGTGTCATGGACTCAAGGTGTATGTTGGCAATGTTTGCTCTCTTGCAACGCCAGGTTCATTCCAACGGCACTGGCTGAGCACGGGGATGGTGTATCCGTAAACGTCGGACGAGAAACGAAATGTCCAGCAGCAGACATCAAGTATCGATCCAATTAAATACAGGGAATTTGTGTTGGACAAAAGAATTTTGGATAGGAATCAAGCGCTGCTTCGAGTTCCAACAACGGTCCCCCAGGTGGTATGTATGTACTGTACATACCGAGGGATGCGCTAGAGCCGATTGTCCTACTCCTCCCGATACGATATCTTGCGCATCTCGCCGAGCCGGTGACGGGCAGCAGCCAAAGCATTCTCGAGTTGAAGTATTTCCACCTGCGTTGCGGAAGACTGGTCAGCGAACGACTGGCGGGGCCCCAGAGCGGAAACGAGAAGAGAAGAAACCTGGGTGACATACCTGCTGATCCATCTCGCGCACCTTGAACTCGTGCGCTCCTAGCTTCGAGTAATCGACCTGGTCCTCGTCGGCATTGCGGTCCTTGATCATGCTCTGGACTTGGCGAACGAGAGCGCGACAAGCGGCACCGACCGCTTTGCTGGCTTGCTCCAAGTTCTCTTGGCTCTTGCTCATGAAGCCAGCCTTGACACGACTTGCGGCCACAAGCTGGGCCGTGGATGCAGCCACATCGTTGGATGCCACGATCAGCTGCTCTGGGCTCTTGCGGTTAGAGAGAACGCCATCGGCCGTTTCGATCAGCGTGTTAGTCGATGATGCGACTGCCTTGGCGGCCGAGATGAGACCTTCCGTCCACCTGTTGTTCTTCTTGTAGAACGCCGTCCGTGATGACGAGCCTCGTCCGGCTTGCACAATCTCTTGCTGGGTGACGGTGGCAGCCTTGATGAGCTGCGCAATGGCCGTAGTAATTGCCATGGCAGCGTCCAGGATGGAGTCGTGCACGCGGAGCTCGTAGGTCGAGTACCCATCACGGGGCTTGTTCTTTAGTTTGTTCAGACGAGCCACCGCTGCTTCAATGGCATCGGCCGCCTTGCTCAGCTCTTGGTCGACGATCTCGCCCAGGTCGCCCTTGTTAGCAAGCTTGCCAAAGCCTGGTGCGAAGCCCTCAACCACCTTGTTGAGCCTCTGCAGATCCATCTGCACCTCGTGGTTGCTGTTGATAACAACGTCCGTCTTCTGCAACGGATCCATGCCCTCCAACCGGAAACTCAGCAGGCTGCGGAAAAACTTGACTGTTGCTTGAGCGGACTGGCGGGCGCCATTGATCAGAGAATCGCTCTTTTTCTCGTCGGTGGCTAGACGAGTGAGACCCTTTGCATTACCGCAAACGTCCGCTATGGCACCGGCAAAGACATTGACGTTCTTGATCAGGTCTGCGTGGGTGCTACCCGGCCCGTCGGCGATGAAGTTGTTGAAGGAAGTCGCAAACTCGGTGGCGCTGGCAGACGCTTTCTCGATCTGGGAGAGAACGTACGAGGGAGAAGCGTTTTGGTTGCCGGCCTGCATCGTAGAGTCAAGCTCGTAGATGGCATCATCGACGCGCTGTACCGCTGCCTGGAGCACCGAGTCGATGATTTCGTTGATCTTGTCCAGCTGCGCAAGGACCAGGGCATCAATCTGACCGTCGAGCACTTGGTCCGTAGTGCCCTGATTGTTTTTCAACTCATTGAGCTCAATCAACGTCTGGTCCATGCCTGCCTTGTACACCTCGAGCTCTTCCTCTTTTTCGCGGAGAAGCGCCTCGAGGTCTGAGCTGCCGTCCCTCAACTTGGCTTGGGCTTCCTCGAGCGCCCGAGACTTGTTCCGTAGTGCTTCCTCGAGATCCGCCATCTCGCGGTTGTACTTGGAAAGCATCGTGGAGAGCTCGTTGCCCTTGCTCCGCTCCAGGTTGTCTGCACGATCCATCGCCATCCGGAGCTCCCGCTTCAGCTTTTCCACCTCATCCTTGTTGGAGCCCTGCAGCCTGTCTCTCTCATGCAGAGCCCGATCCCGTTCCCGGATCATGTCCGCAAGCTCGAGGTTCTTTGTCTTGATCTCGCGCTCCAGTTTCTCCCGCCGGTCAATTGCTTCTTGTGCAGAAGCAGCCTTGAGTTGGACTGACTTGAACTTCTGGAGCAGGTCAAGGTGCTCATGGCGGAGTTGAGAGTACAATTTCGCCAGCGCTTCATACTTGGTCCTCCAAGTGTTGACCTGCTCCTGGAGGGCACGGATTTGGTCATCCTTGCTCGACACTTGTTGGCCGTAGTTGTTCTGGATCTGCTGCAGTTCGCTTTCAAGAGCCTTCACCCGCTGGTCGTATTGCTGGAGCATCAGTTGGTCGCGCTCATACTGCGCCCGGGCACTGAGATTTTCCTGCTCAAGCTCGGCCAGCCGGCCTTGCGTCTGCCACTGTGCCTGCTGAGCCCTCAAGGCCTCCTGCTCCCGTTGCTGCTGCTCCAACAATCGCCGCTGCTGCTCTTCAAACTCGCGTTGTGCCTGAAGCTGGGCCTGTTGTTGCGCGAGCAGGGCTTGCTGCTGCTGCGCTTCCAATACCCGCTGCTGCTCCTCGTATTCCCGGTTCTGCCTGTCGATTTCGCTCTTCCAGAATTCCGAGATCTCGTCCGGCTCGTCATTTTTCGGCACTGGAGGCGGAGTTGGCCGTTTCTCAATCTCCTGTTTAGGGCGCGCAGGCAGAGCGGGCGCGTTCTCGTCCTCTGCCAGGAGGTTTGGCGGATCTTGCGGCAGCTTCGGGATGGTGATGAGACTCGTGAGATACCGGAGATTTGAGCATTCGTAGTAGAACTTGACGAGACGGTAATGCTGGGCGTCGTATCTCTGACGGAGTGGCTCCAAGGCATCGTTGTCACCGGTAGCTAGCCAAGGTCAGCAAAAGCCTGAGACAACAAGTTTGGAATACAAGAACCTTACTTGAGTGCATGGCCCTGAGCATGCTAGTAATGAATTTGTATATGCCATAGCTCTCCGTCACCAGAGGCACAAGGGCGGATATCCTACACTCGTTGTTGCCCACGTTGCGGAAGTGCGAGAAGATCAGCTTCTGAAACTGATCGATCTTGTCTTGCAAGGTCATGAGGTCGGTGATCGTCTCGTAGCCCTCGTTGGGATCATTGATCGCCTTCAGGCTGATATACTCCTCGTACTCAAATGTGCCGTTGAACTCCGGGTGTTGCTTGTGGAAAGAGAGCTTCGATAGCAGGTAGTAGACGTATTCTTTGATTAGGGGGCCGTAACCGCGAACACCCTCGCCGGCCATTCCGCGGTTCAAGCTGTCGATCCACCCTCTGTTCGCCATTGCTTCCTTCAGCGTCACCGGATGGCCCTCCTGGAGAACCTTGTGGACAGTAATCAAGGCCTTGAATGTCTGGACTTCGTCGGCCATGATGGGCTGGACCTTGAGCCCAGCCCAGAACGACTGGGAGGACTTGTGATCCCATGTGTAGACAATGCAGCTCCGAACATGCTTCCGCTTCGGGGCCGTTTCCTCGGGGCTCGTTGCCTTCTTGATGTTGATGGCCAGCTCGGCCTCAGATCTGCGCGCCACCTCTGGTCAGTCTGCGATGCCGGAAGCCGAGGGCGGCATGGGGTCCGGAGGGGTGGGGAGCGGCGCAAACGCACTTGGTATGGTCGAGACTGCGTATAGTGGCCATGTTGGGCACCTATCGATTATGGCCGCGTTGGGCTGACTTGCAAATCAACGCGCACAGGAGGTTCGGGGAGACGACACAGCAAGACGGCAGCGGACAAGTGGAACCATCGATCAGGCCCAGTCAGGGGCACTTTGCGACGACACCAAGCGCAACAGCAATGCCGTGCAGAAATGGACTGAGCAAGCTACCGCTACGGCAATTAGGCCGGACAGAACGGAATGACGAGAATAAATTATCTTGATCACCGGGGTGTCAGAATGTGAACTCCGATGCATCGCCCCCTTATCGTCGTCAGCCTGTCTGGGGAGTCGCTCATGAGAACTGCAGTTGATGGACGAGCAACCACCAATCAGTGCTTCCGCAGCGGAGTCTGGCGGGCCGTAGTGGGTAAGTCAGCTGCCAGTAATGAAAGGCGGAGGACATGGAAGCTTCAACCCCACTTTGCTGGAGCCTGCTGCCAAGACTGCTCTCGTCATCTGCGCAGCGCGCGAAGCTCATCAACTGCAAGGCTAATACTACAAGGTGCTGCTCAACCAAAGCCGTCACGAGGACCTGGACTCATCATATGAGTTTCTGTTTCTGCCGAGCGCATTCTCTCCACTTCCTCGATCATTTCTGATCTCCAAGGAGTTTGCACATCCTCTCGAGCTTTCCGACTGTTATCGCGACTTGTTGACCCCACCCCCGCTCCCTCTACAGCCAGCGGCTCCCGCAAATCATCGCCGAACATGAACCTCTTATATTCAACTGTAAACAGCCTCCGCGACAGGTACACGCCTGTGAGCCATACCTCCACATTCCGCAGTACGGGTGAGATTACACCGGAAGAGTTCCTTGCCGCGGGCGATTACCTGGTCTTCAGGTTCCCCTCCTGGTCCTGGGCCGATGCCGAGACACCGAGCAAGCGAATCAGCCACCTTCCGCCGGGGAAGCAGTATCTAGTGACGCGCCACGTCCCGTGCAATCGCCGGCTAAATGACGATTTTGCTGGCGATGCAGGCCATGAGGAAGCCGTAGTGGAGGGGGGCAAGAACAGCGACGATGATGGCTGGTTGCGAACGGGCGGTCTGAGTAGCTCCCAACCGCTCAAGGTCAAAGAAGTGCGGACGATGGATGATTCCGGGAACGTGGGTGACAGAGAGGTTATTGATGATGATGACATTCCCGATATGGAAGACGAAGAAGACGACGAGGCCATTATCCGAGATGCTGAGGGTGATGGGAAGAACCAGTGAGTGGCGCCGATCTGGAAGAACAACCACCTCCCTTCACTCCAGGCTGACTGAGGACCTTTCGCAGCGGACGAAGGACATATTCGCTCTACATTGTCTACTCGCCATGGTACAAGACCCCCCGGATGTACTTGTCTGGCTATCAGCCCAACGGCCAGCCGCTGCCTCCCCACCTCATGATGGAAGATATTGTCGGCGATTACAAGGACAAGACGGTAACGTTGGAAGACTTCCCCTTCTTCGCCAACAACGTCAAGATGGCCAGCATACACCCCTGCAAGCACGCCTCGGTCATGAAGACACTACTCGACCGGGCTGATGCAGCCCTGAAGTTGCGGAGAGAGAGACAGAAGGCTGGCCAAGCAGCAGGCAGCAGCCAAGGCCTAGAGGGACTGGAGAGTCAGATTGGCAACCTCAGCGTTGGCGGTGCAGATACAGGCAGCGACAACAACGACGAGTGGGAGGAGGTGCAGCACGATGTCGCAGACCAAGAGGTGGCCATTCGGGTGGATCAGTATTTGGTCGTGTTCTTAAAGGCACGTTCTCTATCCCTTTCACTTCCCCTCAAACTGAGCTAACACCGTACCGCAGTTCATTGCCAGCGTCACACCCGGCATCGAGCATGATTTCACAATGGGTGTCTGATGTTCCAGCCCTGTCTATACTCAGGTTCTCTGGCTGTGGTGTAGTTCTCTGGTTTGTATTCAGTTCATTATGGATAGATCGGGGCGGGACGGGCAAGCGGAAATCGCAGGGACGTCACGGAGTTAGCACAGATTGACCCATGATGATACAAATTTTCATTGCTCTTCCTCCTCCTCCTCGCTGACTTCTTCCCCCGCTTCTATTGCCTCCTGCCGCTTCTTGGCTGCCCTCTCCCTCTTCTTATCCAGCAGCTTCTGTAATCTCTTAGCCGCATTGAACACCCCATTGGTACCGGCCCCGCACGCTGCGCAGCTGGGGTCCTTCCTGTATCTCTTCAAGGCGCAGCTCTCGCAGAAGTAATGCCCGCATCTCGTGACGATAGGCGACTTGTACGGCCCCTTGCAGAGGATGCACGCGAACGGTATGTTCTCCAGCACGGCCGCCTCTTCCTCGTCCTCGTCTCTGTCCCCTTGCCCCTGGCCCCCAGCAGCCAGCTTCCTGTCCGCGCTCGCCACCACCGTCCCGCCCAGGACCTTCTTCCCCTTGGTCACGTTCTCCCACTCCTTGTCCAGCTGCCACCCGTGCGCGTAGTCCTCGCGCGCGTGCAGGAACTTGCACGAGTCCCCGAAGCCGCAGAACCCGGTCTGCTTGTAGTCCTTGCACACGTCCGGCGCCATGTCGGTGATGGTGATGGTCCGGATGTTGGTCGGCGCCTTGATGGGCCCCACGGTCCGCTGCGGCGCGTTGGGGTTGCGCTGGATGTAGCTTGTCTGGTTGGCGAGGCCTTTGTAGGTCCCGTCGGGCACGCTGTCCTTGTCGCTGTCGGATTTCTTGGCGGGCATCGCCCGCGTCGAGCCGAGGAGGTTGCGCGTGGAGAGAGCGCCGTCGCCTTCTTCGTCGAACCAGTTGGTCTGCTTGGTCGCTTCGCGCTTGCCGCTGTCGAAGTCGATGTTGCGGTCGGCTTCGAAGACGGTGGCGGAGAGGTCTGCATCTCTGGCCCCGGACGCGGCATTGTCTCTCGACGAGGCGACTACCGCCCCGGTGTTGCGTTTCCTGCGCTTTATTCTTTGACCGGCCTCGTCTTCGGACGATGAGAAATCCGAGTCGTCGCTCTCGGCCGCTGGCGGTGGCGTCGCCGGCCTCTTTCTGATGTTTGCTTTGCCCTTTGCGCCGCGCTTCTTGAAGATGGCAACAGGAGCAATCGGCGCCGCTGGCGCGTCCCCCGCCGTTGTCTCTGTGCCCGCCATGATGGTAAGGCTGAAGTTCAGGTATGAGTTGCGTTAGAGTGGCGGTTTCTGGACAAGGCTGACGTTTATGGACGGGAAGGATAAGTTGACAATGCAAGGTTATGTCATGCCTGATTGGTCCAAGCTCCATACTGTAGATGTTCTGGAACCACGCGATGCTGACAAAAGCGCAGAGAACCCGACAAAGTACGCAGTATAAACACAGGCGAAGACGACTTGGAAAAACATATTCACATGTAGTACAAGGCCCAGCAAGATTCCAATTTAGTTTTCTCATTCAGTCGTCAACCCTACCTATCCCATCTGTCTCCTGATCTGCGCACGACTCTCGTACATGCTCTCACTCTATTCTCCTCTCCTTCAGCTTCCGGACTAATCGATCAGCGAGAGCGGCGGTCCAGTGCCCGCCAACACTTGTAATCGATTGCCGTTGCGGTTTCCGCTTCCCAGGCGTCCACTTTCTCGGACTAGAAGGAAATCATTCTTGAATCACCAAGAGCTGCAACCAAGCAACCGGAGGAAGCTTCTAACACAACTTGGCACCTTGGCAGAGTGAAGAAACCCAAAGTATGCTCCAACGCCATGTTCGCCGAGAATGCGCCATAGAATTGTTTTTGGAATAGCCGGACGGAGTGGATGAATGACTGCGCCTTTCCCTAGTGCTTGATACACGCGCCGCAGCGGTGATCACCCGCAATGGTGGCGGCGGCGGCAGCAGCGGGGTTGCTTTGAAGAGTGCGGTGGTGGTACAGAAGACGACGATGAGCGGGAGGAAATGGAAAAGAAAATCATCAACGTCGTGAGAATCCGTAGTGTATGGCCGGTGTATGCATCACAGAAGTCCCAATGCAGTTGGAGAACGGTCCTAGTAGCGATCGACAAGAACGGTAAAAGATGCATGCGTAGGCGGTTGGACAGGAGGCTTGCGAGTTATTATTCCAACAAGGAAACTCAGAGAATGAAGCCAGATGATGCATTCACGCCCGGGACCTGATAGTCCCAACTGGCGTGGGGGTCGAAGGGCCCGGAGTAGGCGAGCGGAAGCCTGTGGCTGAGCTGCGGCCCTTTTTCGCACTATTAGTGAGAGTGCCGACATCGTGCTTGCCTATCGCGAAGGTTAACATCTGCGCTGCATATTTTTGAGTCCTTCAGGGTGGACTTGACTTACCATCGCAGCATGCTCGGACATTTTCGAGACGATCAGCCTCACGGTCCTGCTTCTCAATCATCCGCCTGAGATCCTCGGCACTGTCAGGCACTTCTTCAGCCTCGTAGAAGCCTTGGACGGAGTGGCGTCCCTGAACACTCCGGCTTCTGATGCTGCCAAAGGTTTCCGAGAGCTTGCTGTGGCTCAAATACCCGCTGATCCTGCTGAGAGTGCCATGTGACGCGCGAACCTGCGAGCTCTTGGAGCGTGAGGGCGTCAATGTAGGGATGCTCATTGAGTAATCCAAGGTCGGGGACTCCCGCGGCGTCCGCGAGTCGTATGGCGATACCGAAGGGGGTGCATGGTTGCCATTTGCTTGACGCCTCCCGAACTGGGGGTTGAATTCTTCAACGTCTTCCCTGGTGATACTTCCAGCGATCTCCTCGGCATCCGACTGCCCCTCGTTGGCGGTGCGAAGCAGCAGATACGACAGAGCATTGAACCACGTCTCATGCCGCTGGCCAGTGGTGCAAGTGAACTTGATGCTTCTGCCCGGAGACACAATGACCAGGCTCTTCCGGTGCAGACCGGGTGGCATGGGGTTGTCATCGGCTACCACTCGCACCGCCTCAATTTGAACACTCTTAGCTCGCAACTCTGAGCGCCCAGCGGTCGAAGGATCGCGATCGCTCCAGTAGAGAGTCCGGGTGTATGGGTGGACCCAGAAGTACCTGCGATGTCTCTTCTCCGACATCTCACCGCGACCATGTTTGCGTGTGTATTTCCACAAATACTCGCCGATCATGGTCTGCGTGATGGCCTGGATCATACGAGGATCGGTGTTGGGCCCGAAGCCTTGTGGATCGAAGCCGGGCCCGGTGTGCATGTTGAACCGGGTATCGACTTCGGATGTGAACGACGAGATTGAAGATTTCCGGCTGCTGCGGATCGTTCCCTTCGAGAGGGACTGCACCTCGTGCACATCGGCCGTTCCCGGAGTGAATCCAGACCTTGGCGGGGCACGAGGAGTTGGCGTCCCCCGGCCTGAGGTATAGGAAACCGGAGAGATTGGTCGCCTCGATCCGGTGGGAGTCCGAGGTCTGAGAGACTGGTTCTGCGATCGCATGGCAGAAGCAGGGATCAATGGAGGTCCCATTGAGCCAATTGTCCCCTGGCCGCCTTGTGAAGAACCACTTCTGGCTGCCTCGGTAACTTCCTTATGATTCGAGGGAAGCGGTGGAACTTCGTTGATGGAGTCCATGCCGCTCGCAGAACTGCCTGGCCTCCGAAGTGAGGCATCCAGCCCATCGGTAGCAGAATCGGACATTTTGCCTTTGGATCGTAAGGGCGTGTCGATGCTCCCTTCACGCGGGCGATGGATCCTCACCGTCGAAGGAGTACCAATGCTACCGAGCGAATTCGATCGTCCGAAACCAGCGACGGCTAGAGGCTCCTCCTTCTCCCTCAGCAGTTGGTCGATGGCCTCAGATGTCAACGCTGTCTGAGCGCCCTGGTCTGTCGTCATCGAGACATGTTCCTGAGCAGGTCCGGCTTTAGGTTCAGGCGTTTGAGGTAGCGGCTGTACTCCGTTGACCGCCCTCTCCACGTCGCGAGGAATGATGAATGCGTTCCTCTTGGGGCTACGAGGCTCAGCAGGTTCTGTATGCACTGAATGTACTCCTGAAAAGCTTAGCAATGAGGCAACAACCTTAGGCTCCTCTGGCTGACTGGGCTCAATGATTTGAGTTTCGATGCCCGACAGAGACAAGGTTGGTGGCAGCTCCTCAGGAGCATCCATTGGTTCAACACTCCAGGACTGAACGGAGGACATTGCTAGAGGCGACGCTGGTGCTGGGCGAGGCGCCAGATCGACAGCTTGAATTGAGGCGAGAGCCAGAGGAGGCACCGACGTCTCCAGTTCTTGGAGGGGTTCAACCTCTTGGGTAGTCAGGGATGAAACTGAAAGCTTGAGGGGTGAGCCGGGCTCATCGCTTAGCGGCTCGACGTGCTCTGAAACAATGGCAGAGAGCGAAAGAGGCAAAGACGCGGGTACGGCAATCTTGGGTTCCGATGCCTTCTCGACGATAGGTGCTGAAAGCTCGATGGGCTCGACTTGTTCAAAGCGAATGGTTGGACAGGAGAGCACGACTGGCGATGGGGGAGCCACCTCAGGCGCGCTGATGGGCTCGACTTGTTCGGCCTGGACGGTAGAGAAGGACAGAGTGATTGGCGTCGGAGGAACTGGCTCGATATCCTGATGAACAATCTCAGGAACACTGAGTGTCGGCGGATTCACTGACGGTTGCTCCGGTTCAGACACGGGCTCGATATTCCGCGAGATAATGGCCGACAGGTTGAACGACGGGAGCTCCGGCAGAGGCAGCTCCGGTTCAGACACGGGCTCGATATCCCGAGAGAGAATGGCGGACATGTTGAGCGACAAGGGTCCCGGTAAAGGCGGCTCTGGCTCGACTATGGGTTCGACATGCTCAGAAATCAGAGTCGGCATAGAAAGCGTGGGCAACTCCGTTTTCTCTATCACCGGCTCGGTATGTTCTGACAAGATCGAGGACATGGTCAATGGAGACGGGGTTGGAGGTGATTCCGGTTCGATCTGAGGTTCGATCGACTCCATTTGGATGAAAGAGAAGCTCAACGCGGGTGGAGGCGGGAGAATGGGCGTCGCAGTGGGCGGTAATGGGAACTGAGCCAGCTTGCTGTCCATGTCCCAATCGTGCTGGACACTGGCATCGCTGTAGGAGATCGAAGACAGAGGTCTTGACGAGAAGCCATCCCTCACCTCATCTCCTGACCACTGTCCCAGAGCATCCAACCCGCGAGGTCCAATCACGGATGCCCTCGACGCTGGTCGCTCCTGTGAGGCGACGCTCTGTGAAGAGGAACCAAACTTGCCACCCTCACCAAGCTGCTTTTGTTCCTCTACGACCTCGGAGAGCGGCCGACTTCCCATCGGTTCAGTCATCATGCCGCTATCAACCATGATCTTAGGCAGCGCCGGAACCTCCGGCGGCGGCGAAGAACGGCCTCGAACAACGCTACGGGGAGTGGCGGGTGTGGCAGACCGGACGCTCCTCCGGCTAGGAGTAGCGGCCCCTGCACAGGAGTCTTCATCACTATTATCGAGGTTGTTCAGCTCCGCATACAGGCTCTGCCCGCTAGGGGTTGCCGAGGCGCTGTTGGCAGGTTGGCTGGTCGGGCTGCTCGGCAGGGCAGGCTCTTCGCTGAATTGGCGAGATCGACGGGTGAGAGAACTACGGCTCATGCGCATGCGCATCCTGGGGCCGGCAGAGGGCGTCTTGATCTCGGAGCCATACGGATAATCATCCTCGTCGCTCGAAGTCGAAGCGGTGCTGTCAAACGAATAATGGTTGCTGGACTGGTGCGGAGGCAGAGGCGGGGGACGCTTGATCGAGCTGGCACCTCGGGATGGACCAGCCTCCGTCTCTGTCGCCGCATCATCATCCGACATATCCTCGGCACCAGTCTGGAAGTCTTCAGTTTCAGTGCCCCTCTCCTGCGCCGTCTCAAAAGCTGCATCGCTGGTTTCGTTTGCCGTCTCAAAGTGATCACTACCCGACTCGACAGGGGCGGCATTACTCCCGGCCGAGCGCAGCGCTAGGCTGCGATGCGACAGGCCAGGGGGAGAAGACCCAGCTTCTGACTGGTCCTCCCAGTCGGGGTCTTCGACCACTTCGATCCTACTCGATCGTGGAACGCCCAACTGGGTCACCTTGAACGCCGGTTTCTTGACCTCGCGCAGCTCAACCTTGCGGCTCCTCTTCGGCTGAGGGTGCGGGTCACTCCTCAGCTTCTCAATTTCATCCCGGGCATCTTGAAGCATACGCTTCAGCTCCAACTTCTCGGTCTTCTCGCGGTGGATGTTCGCCCGAAGAGTCTGAATGGTACGTTGGGCGTGGCCGAGCGAAGTTTTGAGCGTCTCAGATTCCAGCGCAGAGTGGCGAGGAGTGGGCTTCATTGGCGACGGGGGCGGCGAATGCTCCGGGGTGTTGTGGTCGGGAGCCGAATTGGAATCCTCCTCGCTACCGCCGTGGGAACCTTCGCGTTCTAATGCCCGGCCGCGCTGAAGGGCGGAGAACGCCTTAGCCAGCTCCTGGTTCTGGCCGGTGAGCTCCTCGACCTTCCGCTGCAAGGCCGAGCGCTCGGTCTCGAAAACGACAGCAGTCCGGCGGCTTGTGCCGAGCTCGATCTCGAGGTTCTTGATCTCAGCAGAGTGTTTCTCGTCCTGTTTCGCCAGGCTCTCCTTGACCTCTTCCAGCTCCCTCTGGGTGGCGTTTCTCTCGGACTGGACGACATTAAGCGCCTGCGTGAGCTTCTTCTCCCGCTCGGCCGCCTCCTTTTGTGCCGCAAGCAGCTCGTGAATCTGGGTCTCAAGGTTCCAGTTCTCATCCTTGTAACGACTTTCGCTCTCGTCCAGACTCTTCACGCGCTGCTGAAACGCTTCGACTTCGATCTCCAACGTCGACCTTTCTGACTTGACCTCCTTAAGCTCTTCCTCCCGCTCGGAGAGCAAGGCTTGAAGATTCCGGACCTGTGCGATCAGGGAAGTGCTGATCTCGGCGGCGAACTCGATATCGTGAATCCGGCTCGCCGGCTGGTTACGGACCTTGCGGTTCGGGATGCCGAATTTCGTCGGAGATGGAGCGGCGAGAGTCTCGAACTTAGAGGGACTCACGGAACGCTGCAAGTAATTTATTAGCACTGACGCGACAGAGAAGCATGGACAGGACATACCCTGTTCGCACTCTTGTCTGGAGAAAACGGCGAGCTGCTTTGAGCCTCGTTGCTTGGGACTCTCTGCTTTGGAAGCAGGGCACGGGCGCTCTCCCTGGCAACTTCGTTGTAATCCTTCTCAATCTCGATGAGCCGCTGGCGCAGTTCGGGGGTGAGCTCAGCCTCGGACTGCAGCTGTTCCACCTCGCGCAGCTTCTCAGTAAGCTGCTTCTGTTGCTGGACAAGCGCGGTGCCGAGCTTTCCTGCCTCTTCCATCCGCCGTTCCGTGTCCCGCAAATGGGCCTCGATCGCGCGCTTCACTTGTTCGGCGGAGGAGCCGGGCGCCAAAGCGAAGAGTTGGGTGTCGAAGTTCGAGTGCCGCAGATGCGTCGGACCCGAAGGGGTCGTCAAGAAGGGATCCAAAGCATCGCCGGCAGCGGAAGCCACCACCGGCTCATCGGAAGCGAGCGTCGTCGTCATTGTCGCCGGAATCGCCGGACAAACGGCTCGATGAGGCGAGAAAGCGCCGCCTTACCACCACTCAGGCCGCAGATGGGTGGCGCCTCGAGTCGGTACAGGATGCAATGTCCGTTTCAACACGCGCAGTCCAACATGTGAGAGACCGCACTGCCTTGCAAAGACAAATAGGTAAAAAAGAATAAAGGAAGGGTGTCGTCGAGAACAACAAGACAGAGTCCGTCAAGCAAAACAAAGATTAAAAGTATCAATTATGCGCAAGTGAATGAAAGAACGACAAGCGAGAAAGAGCGACGGTAGGGCGTTGAACTCGCCACGATCGAGTTGCTGAGGAGCAGATTACGCGACCCCTGGGGCGGTGTTGTTGACTGCAGTTCGGGACAATCGCAACACAGGAGCGAGGCCCGGGTGGTTGCAATTGGGGGTTGACGCGACGGGGGCTAGCAAATCAGACGACTCTCAGACTCTAAACAAAATCCGCCGAAACAAACGAAAAGCCAACGGCGCGCAAGCCGTAGGCAGGAAAAAGCGCGGTAGTATGGGGAACGAATCTATGAAGAGAAATATAATCGAAATCGTGGCGACGACCAGTGGTGCAAGGGGAAGGAGGGGAAATCAGATCCGGCAGCGAGAGGAGGCAAGTGTCTGCTCGACACTCGCGGACGGCTGAGGGGTGCAATCCAAGGGCGGCGGCGCGAAGCACGGAGGGTTTTCGATCTCCCTTCGCTGTTGAGATTTGACGGCCTCAGGCATCCACGTGACCCACAGTGCCGCCAAGACACTGGCTGTGGACCCCAGTCCCGCTAGGGCCGCCACCAGGTACGTTCCGATTTCCATTGGTTGCCGCATCCTTCTCGAAGCCGAGATGGAACCAACATTGCAATCTACCGTTGATGAGCGATCTCTCATCCCAAAAAGCGAAATGACCGCGAAGCGTGGAACGCGAGTGATATAACATTCATCGTGACATACATCCCGTGCACAACTTGAAGCGCTACAAACAATACCCTATCCACATGTACGAATCGAAACTCTTCCATCTCTCGGACGTTGCAGGGTCTAAAACAGATCCTCAACACCAACTTGTGGCACCACCAAGCCGCCTGGTCCCCTGCTCTTCCAGCTGTGACACGAGCCGAGGAGCGCCGTTTCGCACCTGAAAATAAGGCTGGCACTAGGCGAGTAATATTATAAGGCAGCAATGATTTCCCGAGATCCACCCTCTGGAAATGGAAGGGAACATGAAAATTGACATACCGCCCCGTCGTCAGCTCCGCAGCGAACTAGGATGCACGAAATGTCACATCTTTCCAGGGCAAACCCGCTCGCATTGATGTGCAGAGTCAGTGAGGCATGTTCACGCCGCAATTTCCGCGCTGCAGGCTCTTTGGTAACGTTATCGTTTGGGCACGTTTCGTTCGCTAAAGTGATGGATTGAAGGTAGGCCATAATAAGAGTACTACTAGGTAGTACTCCGTAATAAGTGACTTGTCACAATGGCCTGCTCCTCCCTTATTACACAGTACACGAGTTGTGTGGCCGGAATGAAAGTGACTGTGAGATTGCGATGGGTCACGGCGGTAGTGAGTAACGTTATTCGTTGTGTCCAAAGTTCACATGATTATCGACAAGCTGTGTGCTTGCTATGGACATCTTGAGACCGTACCACTTTCTATGTATGTACACATCAGCCCCTTTGTTTAGTCCGGATCCGCTGGTACCATGAACCCACCCAAGACATTCTCACAACATCAGAATAACAACCCCTCACCAATCGAACACCCTCTCCGCCCGCCTCCCCAACCTCCCAACAAGCGCCTCGACCACGCCCCGCTCCGCCGCCACGGCAGCCCGCTGCTTCACGCGCGTGTAGAAGACGGGACAGTCCCGGCTGTCGCATGGCACCACCTCCCCCTCCCCCTCCCCCCGCTCGGCGGGCGCGAAGCCGGCACAGGTCTGGCACACCCTGACCACGTCGGCGTACCGGCGCACTTGGCGGTTCAGCCGCGTCTGCAGCAGCGCCGTGGTCGCAGCCGGGTCGGCGGTGCATCGCGCGCAGAGGTCCCGGAGGGGGGGGAGGAGTTGGTCGTCGTCGTGATTGTCATCGTTATCATCGGTGGTGGTGGTGGTGGTGCGCTTTGTGGCCATTTTGACGCCGCAGGCTATGCAGGAGGTGGAGTTCAGGAAGGATTCGAGCGTTTTCTTCCTACCGCCGTTGTTGTTGTTGTCACGATTGATAGCTGACGCAGCAGAGGCGGTCTCGAAGCGACGAACGTGCTGGACCTTGGGCATCTCGTCGTACCACGCGCGGACGTTGGCGCCGACGAGGTTGAAGATGCGCTCGAGCGGGGGGATGATGTTCTTGGAGATGTAATACCCGGCGTCGAGCGACGCGTGGGGGTTGTTGAGCAGGTCTTCGGGCGCGACACACCGGTCGACGAGCCGCGCGCCTGGCGCGCCCGAGATGACGACGTAGGGGACGCGCTCGCCGTACTGCGGCTCGGCGCGCGCGTCTTCGAGCATGCGCTTGGTGCTGATGAGGGCGCCCGGTGGGCCGGGTCCCTTGGCGCTGTAGCTGCCCAGCTTGACCTCTTTGGCGAAGACGAAATCGGAGATGGAGACGGAGCCGCGCAGGATCTTCGCGCACTGGGACTGGAAATACGCCTTGACCTGGCTGAGGTCGGCTGTCTCGAACAGGATCCTGAGGGCCTTCTCCTCGATCTTCTGCTCGGCCGGCGTCCCGTCGCGGCGGACCGTCTCGATGCCCTTCGCGTCGAACTCCGGCACCGCCTGGTCGCGGCTCTCGTACTTGTAGCCGACGTAGCGCTTCTTGGCGAGCAGCACGCAGGGGTGGTACACCTTCTCGAACTTGAGCTTCACGGGCCGCGGATTCAGATCCGTGATCTCCCTGGCCATCTCGGCGCCGATGTCGAAGGCCTGCTCGCGCGTGCGGCCCTTGAGGTGGACGAACAGGCTGTCGGTATCGCCGTAGACCACCTCGGCGTTCCAGCGGTCCACTGAGTGTATGTAGGCGATGGCCCGCTCCAGCGTCTCGCGGCCGGTCTGCACGATGCTGTCGGCGATCTCGGAGCACGGCATCCTGCCGGAGAACGAGGCCGACGTGTAGCCGTAGGTGACGTTGGCCAGCAGCTTCAAGGCCAGCTGGCGGTTGTTGAGGAGCTTCTGCAGCGTCCTGTCGTCCTTGTCTTCCTTCATGCCGCTCTTGACCATGACGCGGGTCTCGAGGATCTCGGTGAGCATCTTCGCGAGCAGCGACTTCCGGATCTCGGGCTTGGTGTACATCATGCCGTTTGGGGCGATGTTGATGTGGTCTTTCAGTAGCCGCAGGAGGCCCTCCCTTCTCTTGTATTCGGTGAAGCCCAGCTTGTTCGTGCCGCGCCAGCTGACGACTCGGCCGAGGCACGTCGAGTAGCAGTAGTTGTAGGCGATCATGACGCTGGGGTACAGACTCTGGAAGTCCAGAACCAGCAGAGGGCTGGAGTAGAAGGCGCTCTGGGGCTCCATCACCAGCGGCAGGCACTCGAGGGCGTTCTGCGCGCCCACTTGCTTCCTGCTGGGCGAGACCAGGAGGAAGTTCTCGGGCTTGGCGATCCGGAACATGATGGACTCGACCTTGAACTGGGAGCCCCTCGAGAAGACGGAGAAGAAATCCACGCCGAGCAGTCGGGCCTGCTCGCTCGTCCGCGGGATCAGTTCGTTGGCCTCGAGTATCTCGATGTCCGTGCGGGCCTTTGCCAGGTAGTAGCGCAGGACCCTGCCCAGGTCCCTGGGTCGTCCACCCACGTACCAGTCCGTCAGGGTCCGATACGAGTAATGCGGGATCCGGCGATGCAGCAGGTGCCACACGACGTTCTCCATGCTGTACTGGAGGAGGTTCAGCTCGCCCCGCATGGCTCGCCAGATGTTGACGATGTGTCTCCCGGTAACATGCAGCATCGACGTCGTCCGGAAGCCCCAGCGGTCGTTGGCCTTGGACCTGCCGCTGGCGCTGCCGACGGACTCGGACTTCATGCGCGAGAACTCGATGCACAGGTCGTACTCGTACTTGTGCATGGCCCGCTCCACCAGGTATCCCCACGAGCTGCCGTGCACTTCGTAGCCCGTGAGGATATCAGGGTCGTGTACCCGCACGATCTCCACCATCCTGACCATGGCATCGAGCTCCGACGTCTCCGCGACCACCTCGACCGAGGTCTGGCTGCGTATCTGCTCGGCAAGCGCCCCGTCCTCCGACACGACGACGATGCCAGATACGGTGTCGTCTGCTGCCTGGCTCCCGCCGAGACACATCTCGTCGGATCTCAGACACCAGAAGATGCACTGGACCTCGTCCTCCTCGGGGTTCGGCACCAGCTTGCCTCTGGTGTTGACATGCAGTTCCAGGCTCATGGTGCTCATGTACTGCGCTTCGTGCTGGACGCTGGTTGACTTCTGTTTCTGCGAGTACTTGAAGTCATGCGTGCTCCGTGGCGTGGGCCCGACGATCTGCGAGAGCTCGCGCCGTGGCCCCTGCGTGGCAGCGGGGCCGGAGCGCGCTCTGCGAGGTTTGCTGCTCTGCTGTTCGGCCCACCACCCGCTTACTTCGGCAAAGGTGGGCGGCGGCTCGGCTATCTCCCAGCTCCTCAGCGTGCACTGAAGTTGCTGCTTCTCGTACGCCAGCTCCAGCTCGGAAAGGTTGGGCGCAGACGCCGGCTTCGCCCCGTACGTGGCCGGAGACTGGCCGGTTGGATCAAAGTCGGGGAGGTATGGTACGGTGTTGCCACCCAGTCGGTACTCTCTTCCGGCATACTCCCTGGGCCGTGGTGGCACATCGTTATCTTTGCTATAGAAGGCGTCTTGGTAGATGACATCCGGCAGTCCGTAGGCCTGCATGGTCGAGCAAACCTCTTCGGCGGACGGTGGCGTGCTGTTGACCAGGAACATTGTCGCCGATCCGCTCCAGTACAGTCTCGGTGTTGGGGGTGTGCCGGAAATCTGAGTTGCCGGGGGCGGTGTCCACGACGCTGGCTGTTCCGAGCCTGTGTCGACCTCTCGGACTGATACCAGCGGATCAAACGAGACCTGCTTCTTCATGGAGCCCGCTACTGTGCCGCCGTCGCTCCGCTGCGAGGCACTTCGCTGCGTCAGCCGCAGTACCGTGTCGGGATCATGGGCATTCTTCACGACGGGGAAGCTGAGGGTTTGATTCGCGGGCGACTTGGCAGCGGTGCCCTTCTGGGAGGAGCTCGGGGGTTGCGGTGTGTCGGCCGGCCGTACCCAAATGCTCGTGTGCTCCCCGGCCACTGAGTCAGTTGCCTTGTCAACCGTGACAGAGGGTGATGAGGAAGCTTGGCTCTGATCTTCGAACCTCGGCCGTTTAGGCGGGGCACCAGACTCAGGAGCCTCCGGTGGGCGCTTCAGGTTGGATGGTGGTCCCGCTGTTTGCGGTGCCAGCGGCTTGGTATCGCCGTCGTCCGTGGAAGTGTCCGTGGAAGTAAGCTCCAGCATCGCCGGGTCGGAAAGGAATTCGTCCGGCAGCGGGATGTATGGACGCTTGCCAGCGCGCAGCCCGCTAACGCCGAGCCCTCCGACTAGGCCCCCAACTCTCCGCTTGAGTTCGGCAACGAGCTTGCGCGGCCCTTCCTCTGAGCTGGCTTTGGAAATGGATGCCCCTCCACTACCGCCAGCCGGAGCGATGCCAGGGCCACCACGGGTTTTCTTCTGTTCCGGCTTCGAGACTAGTTCGGACGCCTGTCCCTTCCTAACCAGGTCTTGGTCCAAATCCTCTGGAAAGAGCTGTTGTTCTTCCTCGGAAACCGCAAGGTCAAGAATGCCCTTTTCGTCAACTTGTATGCTGTTGGCGACGTCTGGATGTTCTTCGTGCAACTGGTGCTCGAGCCCCAGAGCAGGTAGCAAGTTCTCCGGATACAAGTCCTCAACAGACTGAATAGCTGTCTGGATCTCGTCCTCGTTCGGATCCGGCTCGATGTAATCGGAGAAGCTGAACACTGGCCCACCCTCTCTGCTCTCTTGTTCAACTAACTGCTGCACCTGCTCGCGGTGCTCTTCCTCGTGAATCCAGCCCGGCGGTTGGGAATCTCGCGGGTCCGCGGACATGGGAATCAGCGCCTCGGGAGGAAAGGGGCTATCGCCAGGCGTAGACTTGCCCATCCGCTTCTTCCTGCGCTTGGTCTCGTCTCTCCACAGGCCGGCCATGCTGTGGACAAGCTTCACATCGGCCGGAATGGGGTGTTCTCGCTCGATGAAGTCGTGGTGCAGACGCCGCTCCTTCACGGCTCTGCGGTTCAAGATGTCCTGCACGCATATGTCCACCTCGATAGAGCAATGGCTGGCCCGGGGGAGGCCGTACTCATCCGTGATGCTTTCGGGAGGGATCGTGTTGCTGTCCCAGATCCCCGGGACCTCGTCGGGCCCAGCAGGGTCCGGGACAGGGGCGCGGAACCGGACCTTCCCAGCGTCGAGGAAGTCACAACCGTACAGGTTGTAGTCGGTCATGAACTGGAGCAGATACTGCAAGTGGGCCTCGTAGGGTTGGAACGGGCGGCCCATCACGAGCCCCTGCTGCAGGACATCGGCCAGCCGCGTCATGACGGCGGGGTTCAGCATGTAGATCTTCAGGTAGAAGCGGTAGCCAACGTGGAAGCCGTAGAAAGGCACGCCTTTGACGAGCGTGATGCGCGCGACAAAGCTCCGTGGCTCGCGGTACTGCTCCATGCGGTAACTCACAGCCAGCGCGGTGTCAATGGACAGGTGCAGTCGGTAGATGTACTCGGACACTGTGTTGTTACAAGTGAGCAATTCGATGTCCCAACGTTGATTTAAAACAGGGGAGCTCTGCCCACCTGCATGTTTGTCCAGCGGCCCTCGATACTCGATGTAGAGGTACGGGAAGGCTCCGTGGATGTGAGCACACACTTTCTGCCCAGTCTCGGTTGATCCGAAGACGCGAATCACCGGAACCTTGGGCTGTTTGGAGCTCTCCACGAGATGCGAGTCCTTTCTCAGCGAAGGGTCATATCGCGTTGGCGTGGCTTGGTAGTGGTCGATGCAGTTGAGTCGGACACGGAACACGTCCATCGTGACGATGTTGCAGACGCCAGATGCCAAAGCAGTCTCTCATGTTCGTACTCTCCAAGAAATGTTTGTGCAAGAATGGAAGTAGCCCATTTAGGGGTACATCGAATGTCTCGGCAAACTTGAAGATAGAGAAACTCGATGGGGCCCTCTGGTTCTCCAAATACTGCTAGGTCCTGGGCAGCGACGCGTCCGTCATTCCAAGCAGTCGCGTGGTGAAGCGGAAATCGCCAATTCACGTGAAGGCTACTACTAACTACTGCGCCAGGGAAGAGGCAGAGCTTGTCCCACAAACGGAAAATGGGCAGAAGATTGCCCGGTGCCAGCCATATCACTCTCCGGCTGAAAGTCCCATTACCTTCGAGTCTCGTCTTTGACAGGCTTGCGCTGATTCACGGCCTTTATAGAAAGAGCAACTAGACTAGGTACGGACTTACTCGGGACAAGAATACGCCCGTCGATACGCTACAACCTAGAACGCGTCTCAGTAGGAAGGAGTTAACCTAGAAGAGCTAGAAACAACGGCATCGTACCCAATAGCCAAGGGCAACCTTCGGGAAGCGAGAACATAAGTAGGCTCGGGGCATTAGTGCTCGTACAGTCGCCCGTATAGGATATGATAGATTGATGTTTCTGAATGGCAATTGACGGTTAGTTATACTGAAGTGCGCGATGGACGGGGTGACGGGTTTTAGGGGCGCTAGGCCTAGTAGTCCGGCGATACCTTTCCTACAGTCCGGAACACCCAGCTCTTTTAAAAAGAGTCCGAGTCATGTTGCTGGTTTGGTGAGCTTGACGCCACCCTCTTCCTCGAGGGTTAGGGTTGGATAAGATTGCGCTTCGTTAAAGCGGCAGATCGCTCCGCAACGAGTCTCGTCCCAAGACCAAACACACTTTGAGTGTTCCCCTCCGATAAGATCCGGTAGACAACTTTTCCGGCTCAACAACGCAATAAGCCATGGCTCCTCCTGCCCCTCGACGGCCGGAACGCGCGCCGGCCGCCAGCGCCAACACAGACAGCGGCTCCGGAGCGGGCGCCGCGCGCAAAGAAGACAACATCTACATCCCCTCCTACATCAGCAAACAGCCCTTCTACGTCAGTGGCCTAGACGACCACGACGACTCGCTGCAGCATCAGCGCTCCCGCGCCGCCCACGAAGCCGAGAACAACTTCACGATCGAGAGAGGAGCCAGGCAGACAGGACCGGCCCGGACAAAATGGGTCAAGGGCGCATGCGAGAACTGCGGCGCCATGGGCCACAAGAAGAAGGATTGCCTCGAGCGCCCGCGCAAGTTTGGCGCCAAGATCACGGGCAGGGACATCCAAGCAGACCGGACCGTCAGGGAGGTAAACCTCGGGTTCGAGGCGAAGAGAGACGTCTGGGCCGCGTTCGACCCGAAGCAGTATGACGAGGTGATGGAGAACCACAGCCTGATAATCGAGTCCCGAAACAAAAAGGTAAAGGCCGACGACGCATTCGAGGAAGGGTTCAAGTACGCGGAGGAGTCGGAGCTCGGCAAGGACAAGACAGTGAAGCAGTCGATGAGAATACGGGAGGACACGGCTAAGTACCTACTGAACCTGGACGCGGACTCGGCCAAGTACAACCCCAAAAAGCGCGCGCTCGTGGATCCCGGCGCGATAGGCGACAAGTCGGCACAGCTATTCGCCGAGGAGAGCTTCCTCCGCGCGTCGGGCGAGGCGGCCGAGTTCGAGAAGGCACAGCGGTACGCGTGGGAGGTGCAGGAGAGGACAGGCGACACGTCGCTACATCTCCAAGCCAACCCCACCGCAGGGGCGCTGGCGCGGAAGAAGGAGAACGAGGAGCGGGAGGCGAAGCGGAGAAAACGAGCCGAGCTGCTCGCGAGCCAGTACGGCGAGCAGCCGACGGTGCCAGAGGCCTTGAAGGCGGCCATCACCGAGTCGGAGGTGTTCGTCGAGTACGATGAGGCCGGCCTCATCAAGGGCGCGCCGAGGAAAGCGGCCAAGTCGAAGTATCCCGAGGATGTCTTCATCAACAACCACACCTCCGTCTGGGGGAGCTGGTGGTCGGATTTCAAATGGGGTTATGCATGCTGCCATTCCTTCGTCAAAAACAGCTATTGCACGGGTGAGACGGGGAAACTGGCAAGTAAAGAACGAGATCTATGGGATAAATCGGGTGGCGCGCAGGAAGGCGGAACTACTGAGGATGGTCAAGATGGTTCAACATAGCGATACAGTATACCCTTAAGGTTGTTGGTCCTCTCCGAATTCACCTTCAGCAACATATCCGGCGGTAAGACTGGCGGGCGCTTGCACTTCCTCAGTCTCCGCATTGGAACATTTCTTGGTGGGACATATTCCAGGACAATCTGCAGCAATGATACGGGAGTGAGATCTACTCATAGTTCGGTGCTCTGCTTTACGTGCGAATCTTGATGCATTCCACCCCGACTATAAACGCCGTAAGAGCATGATGCAGAGGTCACAAACCCCTGCCCAGACCAATTTTCGTATCCCGTACCGTGCAGTCCCAACCATTCCCATGGTAAAAAGCGTGTTGAGCTTACTCCTCGTCCTCGTCCTCACCCTCCTCACCCTTCTCCGCGGCCTTGGCCTTCTTTCTCCTGACACGGCCAGGGCGGCCACCGCCGAACGGCGAGGTCAGAGCGAAGTCGATGTGCTTCTGCGAGTCGAGACGGACGATGAAAGAGGGAACGTTGACGATCTGCTTGCCGACACGGATGTGGCGCTGGCGGATCAGGACACGGGCGTGGTGGATCGACTTGGCGAGACCGAGCTTGTAGACGAGAGTCTGAAGGCGGCGCTCCAAGAAATCTTCAGCCTTCAGGGCCAAGACGTAATCGAGCTTCATGCGCGACTCGTCGAGCACACCGACGCGGACAAGACGGCGAATGAGGGCATTGCCTTCGAAGAGGCGCTTCGGGTCCTTCTCGTCGAGGGTGAGAAGCTCACTGTGAAAGCAAATTGTTAGCGAATCATTCCAAGGAATGCAAATTTCAGGTAGCAGAGATCACATACCGAGCAGCACGACGGATCTTGGACAGAGTGAGAAGCACACGCCAGACCTCACGCTTGTTGCGGAGACCATACTCGCCGACGAGCTTCAACTCGGAGTCCCTGGGGTTCCGAAAGTCAGTCCATGATCACTATCGACATAAGCAGAGACAAGCTCTTGCTCAGTGGCCGGTGATGTTGCAAGCATGCGCGCCGGCGACGGCATTCGCGGTCACCACCGCGCAGAGGCTGCAATTGAAGAGGAATAAAATCCAAAGGTTAGACGCACAAACGAGCGGCCTCGAAGGGACGACGCGGGACCTTAGCGGTCTTGGAGTACGAGCGCGGCGCCATCTTGTCGTTGAGGCTATTGAAAGTTGGTCGACCGAGCGGAAAGTCGGGTGGTTTCGATTGTCTGCACTCGTAGCGTTGAGAAAATTGGAGGGGAGATTTGTGGTGGTCCGTGCGTCGCTTATCGTTTTCGCTTGCCCTAACGATAAGCGGCACCCGCACCCTGCTTAGTCACCCATTTCCGAATCCCGACTTGGATTCGCATCCGCACAAAAATCCCCAATTTTCGCAGCCCGCAGCATCACCGACTTCGACATATCGATCCACGCCGACACACCCAGCAAACAGGCAAGATGGGTCACCCCGCAGGTCTCCGTGCTGGTACTAGATACGCCTTCTCCCGGGGCTTCCGGGAGAAGGGTATGATCAGGCTCTCGACCTACCTGAGGCAGTACAAGTATGTTGGGGCGCTTCGTCCGACCGGTGGATTGTGACGGATGGATGGCTAATTGGCTACAGGGTTGGCGATATCGTCGACATCAAGGTCAACGGTGCTGTCCAGAAGGGGTAAGCAAATCCCCGGAATCTTGCATGGATGTGGAGGGTCTGCGGCAGCGACGGGAATCAACGATTGAGACGCGCTTCATCAGGGGTCATGCGGAGGATTGCGAACGGAATACTGACTTTGCACACCAACAGTATGGCCCACAAGGTCTACCACGGCAAGACCGGCGTTATCTACAACGTCACCAAGTCGGCAGTCGGTATCATCATCTACAAGAAGGTCAAGCACCGGTACATCGAGAAGCGCATCAACGTCCGGATCGAGCACATCCAGCCGTCTCGGTCACGGGATGACTTCCTCCGCCGGGTCAAGGAAAACGCCGAGCTCAGGAAGAAGGCCAAGGCCGAGGGCACACCGGTGCAACTGAAGAGGCAACCCGCCATGCCGCGCGAGGCCCGGACAGTGTCGATCGTCGAGAACAAGCCTGAGACCGTTGCGCCGGTTGCCTACGAGACCACGATCTAAAGGAATTCTCGGCGGGGTGCTGGTTTCGGTGGGGTTAGATATGGCTTGCTTGATTTTCACTGCATGGGGCTCATCGCGTTCGGCACGGAAGGATCTCCTGCATGGATTTGGTCTGGGATGCGGGAGTGCTCATAGGAATCAAAATACCAATGGCATGACCAAATAGCGGCTCGCAATACCTTGTTCTTCCGGTGTTATGCGGCTGTTGACACAGCGCGGCCAGGTCAGGTGTCAGCTCAACACTCAGGATGAGAGGGACATCGCACTGGGACCATCGGGGAGACTCGTCGTTCAGACCTGAGGACGGAGTGTCTTGAGTTTGCTCTGCTACGGGCACTTCCGCTTACGGGAATGAGCGCAGCTCGCGGCACAATAAAATGAATTCAAACAGGGAGCGATCTGTGAGCAAACATGTGTATGAAGGTATCCGCACTACTGTACATATCAGGAGCAAGCTGCGCACGCTGCGCACATAACCACCTACCCAACAGCCACCCCTTGACCTCCTCAACCAGCCGCAACCTTGAGATGCATTGAATCCACATAAACATCACAACGCATTAAGGTAGGTTATCCGTTTCGGCATCGTAAAGGCTCCAGTCCACCTCATCGCGAGCTGATAAGCTTCCCCAAGCTCTTCCATGCCTGTCGAAACGGTGGAGCACTAATCCTGCCTCTCAATTGGCAGAGCGCGGGGAAGCGAGGCCCACTAGCGGGTGCTACCAGCGACTCCCGAACCTTGACGCAATGGCAGCTGGGACGGGCTGCTGCGCCGGCCGTTGTCTGTCATCAACAACTGCCCGAGCTGGCTAGGTGAGGTTGGTTGGCCATCCGAAACGTGAATCTTACCTACCTTACCTATGCTCGCAACTCCACCTGTGTCGCAAACCGCAAGATCGAAGCTGCATTACTGCTTTGAATCGATGCGCCCCCTTCTCATCTTACCGTCAGGCAGGTAGCAGAGCCCTCTCTGCTGCCGCCACAGTGCAACAGCCAACGCCATGGGCTGGACTGTCTTCCTCTTGACCTACGTTCTCGGAGGCATCACGTTTCTCCCACTGCTCGTGATCGTCATTTTTGCCCATGCTTATTTCACCCTTCCCTACCGCAAAGATGCCGACGCCCCGCAGGCGTCAGCTAGCGACGATGACCTGGTGCAACCCGGTGACGACCTCGAACCTCTCAAAACAGCACAGAAAGATGGGCCCAAGGGCCGGTTCGCTCACCGCGAGCCGGATGTTGCGGCTGGCTACTTTGCCGTCTGCCGCGAGTACACGCCAATGGGCATCAATGCAAAGCCCATTGAGCGTTCGACGCCCGTCGGTTCCACCACCGTAGCGGCGCCCAGCCCCAGTGTCTACCAGACCATGTACCGCAGCATCTTCGACCGGAAGCAGGCGCCCGGACCACTGGACAATTCGACTGCCGGTAGTCAGCGCCCCAAGAAGGCTGGCAATGTGTTCTACGTGGTGCTGAGGTATGTTATGCAGCCTCGCCGCCTGTGCCGTTTTCCTAATCCGTCTCGTAGGCATGGTCATTTGATGCTATTCGACGATGATGAACAGCTCGAGGTACGCCACGTGGTGTCTTTGGCGCATCACGACATCAGTGTATATTCGGGAGAACCTGTGACGCCGGAAGGCGAGCTCTGGATCAAACGTAACGCCATCTGCCTCTCACGGCGTTCCGATGGCCCGGAGTTGGGCCCGGACAGTCAGCTCTCCAAGCCGTTCTACCTGTTCTCAGAGAACTGCTCGGCAAAGGAGGACTTCTACTTCGCCCTCCTGCGAAACCAGGAGCAGACGTTTGCAGGCGAGAACAAAGCGCCAACGCCCATTCAGTTCGACGTCAAGAACATTCTCTCGTTGGTGCAGAAGCTCCACTCGTCCGAGGAGCACATGCAGACGAGGTGGCTCAATGCCATGATCGGGCGAGTGTTCCTGGGTGTTCACAAGACCAAGGACATTGAGAACTTCATCCGGGAGAAGCTCACCAAAAAAATATCCCGGGTCAAGCGGCCAGCGTTCTTGTCGAATATCACCATCAAGGCCATTGATACGGGCGAATCGGCACCATATATCACGAATCCCCGTCTAAAAGACCTAACCGTCGAGGGAGAGTGCGGGATCGAGGCAGACGTGCGATACACTGGCAACTTCCGGCTGGAAGTTGCAGCGACTGCTCGCATCGATTTGGGATCACGTTTCAAAGCCAGGGAGGTCAATTTGGTCCTCGCCGTCGTCCTGCGAAAGCTGGAAGGTCACGCACTCTTCAAGATCAAGCCCCCGCCCAGTAACCGCATCTGGTTCTCGTTCCAGCAGATGCCGAAGTTGGAGATGACGATCGAACCCATTGTCAGCTCGCGACAGATTACCTACACGGTCATTCTCCGCCAAATAGAGAATCGGATCAAGGAGGTCATCGCAGAGACGTTGGTCCTGCCTTTCTGGGATGACACGCCCTTTTTCAGCACCGAGCATAAGAAATGGAGGGGCGGAATCTTCCACGATGATACAGTGAAGTCGCCGGCCGGCCCCGAATGCGCTGTTGCCCAAGATGGAGATTTAGACGAAGTGGAGCGTCTTGAGGAGAGTCACGGATTGCAGGAGACAGATCTTCCTCATATGGAGAAGAGCTACAGCCAACCGGTGCTTGAGAAGAAGCCCTCGATTGGATTCTTCGGCAAGAAGCTTCAGAATAAAGCAAGCAAGACAGACCTGGCATCATCTCCTTCGACCTCGTCAACCAGTCTTGACATTAGGAACGAGACAAAGAGCGAGATAAGCTCCCCGCCTGCACTCCCTGCCCCCTTCGCCCAACCCTCATCCCCTACAGTAGGGACCATCGCCGCCAATGCAGACCAATTCAGACCCTCATCGTCCCCGCCAAAGGATAATTCAGCCGTGTCAGTCATGGAGTCTCTCTCAGCGAAATCCCAGTCTCCAGCCTTGGCTCCAGCATCCAGTCCAAATGCTTTCAAACCTTATATTACGTCCAAGTCCTCTAGCCATTCAACTTCCAGCTCATCTAGGGACACGACCGACACGGAAAAGGAGGCGGCCAAGACATCTCAAGCCCGGCGAAATACTGTTTCGTCTGCGGAGAGCCATAATGGCAACGGGTCCCACACGCTGACTTCGTCTGCCAAAGGTTCCGTCCGGAACCAGACCGGTTCTACAGCAAGGGGGCTTTTTAATCGTCGCGAAACAACATCTTCAACCTCCTTAGGACTGAGCTCTCAGAGCGCGAATGAGCCCCATAAGCGCACTGCTTTGAACGCAGTCGCTAGCGCAGCTGCTTCCGCCAAGCGTTGGGGCTTAAACGCCTTCCAGCGGCGTGCCAACGAGGAAGCAACTGCAAACTGCAACCAGCATAATGATAATGTGTCTACGCTTGACCTTAGCCAGCCGATTGGGCGTGGACAACCGCTGCCACCGCCGGGTACACCCCTCCCAATGCCCGAAAAGAAGACCCCTACCGTACCCATTCACGTTCCCAAACGGAAACCCGTTCCTCCGCCGCCGTCGATGGAAGGGCAGAGTGAGCCATCGAAGCCAGCCACTGAGCGCCAGCCAGTGCCGCCTCCGCCCCTCCCTAAGAGACGCCAGTATCATCACGAGCAGAATGATGACGACAACATGCTTGTGGTCGCTGCTCCAGCGGATTCCGAGCCGACCACACCGCTCACAGAGTCACATAGTCCTGCGTACGTACAGCCATGGGTTGAGGACCTCGAGGAGTCTGACAGTATTAATGCTGTTCCGCACGAACCTGTGGAAGGAGCGGACCCAGTCGCTCAGACCAAATCAAGGTCTCCGTCACTGGTCGCAGTTGCTGAGGCAAGTCAACCAGTCGACACTGTCGCAGAAAAGCCAGACTCAGTTGAAGACGATGAAGACTTCTCGGCTTGGATGGATAACCTCGCCCCTGAGGAGCCAGACTTACCGGCCAAGCCTCAGGAGGCTTATTAGGTCCCTTGACTTGAATGGAACGGAGTTCACGGCTTTCGGTTGTGGGTTTAGAGCATGGCGTACTGGCCGGTTACATAGGGGCACTTGGGGATAAACTGTTTATTCATGGGGGCATGGCGCATATATCATGCCATTACGGCCCCCGGTCAACCTTTCACTAGCAAACATCAGTCTATTTTTTCTAGTACAGCACACCTGACCGCTTAATCAACGACTTGCAGCCGTGTTTCGCCATGTCTACGGTACCTTGCCGGCAGCACATGTCTGCAATACTCATTTCTCTCCAGCCCGGGGTCTGAGTCCGTCGGCGCTCTCCCTGTTCTTGGAACACTGTCATATTTGTGTGAAGCCCTAGCTAAAATCCTACGCTTATCACCAAACAAAATGTGATTGTTTTCATGACAAATGAAAAGGCTTGCTGATTCCAGTCCCTATCACTTCTAGCCGGGTCCCATGTTATCTCTTGACCTCGCTTACGGGCTCAAGCACCGAAAACCAGAAACGGCTATTTCCCTAGACATCAACTTTAATTGAGACAATCTAGAGGAGCTGTTCGACATTACGACCGGAAATCTCCCTGACCCGCAGCTTCCTGTCAAGACACGCTGCAGACGCCCTGGCACCGCTCAGGCTAAAATGAGGCTGAAGGCGGAAATGACTGCACGTCATGCTTTCCTAATTCCCATAGCCATCAATAGAGAGCCAAACCTACGGCCATGGAGACAGGTTTGTTCGTTCGTTTATAGCCTAGATCGAGCCTAGAGCAAGGTTATTGCATCGTATGGAATCATCCGGTACGGTGTGAGACCACCTCGTAGGAAAGACAAGTCTACAACGTCCCGTCTCGCAGAACGACTCAATGAGTGCCAAATCAGAACCAGCGGCCACCAACAGGGCGACCAATTTGGCGTGAGGTCAACACCCCAAGCACCCTCGGTGTCTCCTCTGGGGTGGAGTGGAAAAGCGATATAGCTGCTTTGCTCAGAGGAAGATAACCGTATCCCGGAATTCGGCGCTTGCTATCTATCTCCTGCATCCGCCGGCGCAGGTCTTCCGCCCCGAAACGGAAGCCAACTCACGACCGAACCCATGGTATATGCGGGATAGATTAGTTGAAATATCCATGCCACAGACGGCCGACGCCAGCAAGCGACGACGAGATGCGAAATAGTAGGCAGGAGCAGAGTTCCCTAGAGCCGAACGCTTACTATCGACGACAGTGTTCCTTCAGCCGGTTAACCCCGTGGGGGCAACCATGGTTCTGAAGAGCGACACCTGCAGTTCCAGAACGCGAGATTGTCACACTCGTTGTCCCTATACAACCTCGAAGCAGTCAAGCGGCCCGAAAGGGATAATGATGTCCTCGGAGCTTAACGGTTCCACATATGATTGACTGGGATAGGAACTCCTGCCCCTGGGGATAACAATCGATATGCCCAAGCCCTGGGTAGCATTGAAGGCAAGGAGCCTCAGGAGACGCAATACTGGAAGTCAGTTCATCCGGTAATCCCATAGAGCGGGCAACGACCCGGAGAAGCTAGGGAACTTCCCAGACAGGAACGAGGAAACACGGCCGGCCCAGAAGACCAAGAATAGAAACAAGGTTGGGTCCCAAAGGTCTCGCCGATCCTCGCACATATAATAATTTGGACTTCCTGTTCCACTTAGAAAAGGGAGTAGGAGATGACAAGCTGGGCAAGTTTGGACGTCAATCATATCCAGGCTCATCCGACGCATCCAGTATCCCCACGACCCACTGTGTCCTGGACTTCCAGGTAACGTCGAAAGACACACTTATTAGGGCCTACAGTTTGCTGACGGCAAAAAGCATCAAGGATGAAATTCTCCCTCGCCACCGTCCTGGCCTTTGCCAGCCTTGTCCTAGGTCAAGGCCCGCAGGCGCCCGCCTGCCCAACAGCAACTCGGACGATCCAGAACCGCGGCTGCGGCAAGACCTGCCCTTTCTCCGACTGCACCTTCCAAACCACCATCCAGAACCCGTGCGGCTGTCCCTCAACCCTCCCCACGGCCACACTCATCGCCCCCTGCGAGGCCGACTGCCCCTACCAAGGGTGCGACATAGCCTTCCACACTTCCCCCTTGCCCTGTCCGACGACCCCGTCCAGAACCACCACAACCCGCCGCTGGCCTCCTAGGCCAACAACAACGTCGACGTCTACCACGCCGACGGGCATCGTAACCAGCATCGTCACGCTGCCGCCCAAGACGACAACGCGTTCCATCATCACGACGCCGTGCCCGACCGTCACACGCACGACCCGCCCCGCCGACTGCCCCACGCTGCGGTGCCCCGTGCCGACGTGCCGCGTCGACACGAGCATGGCTGTGCCGTGCGGCTGCACGCCCAAGACGGTGCTCTATGTCCAGGGCTGCGCCACGGCATGTCCGGAGGGTTGTTTGACGAGGACGGCGACTGTTAGCGCGGCTTGCTAAGGTGGTGATTTGGTCGGTGAGGTAGGAGGTGGTGGTGGTGTTTTAGGGGTGCATAGGGGGCTGGCTGTATGTATGTATTCATGACGGGTGCTTTGAGTTATTAGGACCCCTGATAATGGATATTTGTTGTTGCCCCCTGGGCGAACTGTGACACTGACTGGTGGGACTTTGGCGGAGTGTGCCGATCTGCGCAACGTCGGCCGGCAGTGGCCGGGTGGAGCCGGTCCCACAGCCTACGACTTCACGTCCCTGATTTGCTGACAAGTGCTTTCCTGGACCCTGTGACATCATCCGCCAGCGTTCATTGGGCGGCCCCGCGGTGGAGCCGGCGATAGCCTCGACGACCGGGAGGGTCAGCCGATAGCTCCATCCGGACCTGGAGACTGTTGTTCTCAATTAGGACTGTAAGAAGCGGTGACTGACTCTAGTTGTGATTGCTTATTATCGTTCGTTTGATACTTATATTGGGCGCTTGTCCTTGAGATACCCCCGACCTTTACTTGATTAGCTGTTCAACCTCGACTACGTCACTCGCAACTCAAAACTCAGTCCCCGCTTGCATCATCATGACCTCTCGGTACCGTGTCGAATGTACGGATTTGAGTCACCTTTCTGCATGGCTAGAGACTAACAATGAGCCAGATGCCCTCAAGACTCACAGGCGAGATCAGTTCATAGGTAAAACATCCTCCCATCGAGTTAGACCTTCCATGGGCATTCAGGTGTTGTCGGCAAGAGGCGACGTTTGGGGTCGAGGGGGACGGTTGCTCGTGCTGGGAACTCAGCTCTGTGGAGCTAGTGACAGCCCTTCCGATACTATGGAGTGATGCTTTCATTCAATGCCAAGACACTGACATCGGAGTTAGAATGGATCAAGGGCCTGCTGGCGGTGCCATTTGTACTCTACTCTCAGCCCCAAGGCGTCTTCGACGGACAAGGAATGAGCGGTCTGGCCCAAACGCGTGAGGAGGCGCATAGGAGATACAGCGAAATCCTCCGCGATGTTGAGATTATGATTGATGACCACAGTAAGCCATGGCAGCTGCCCTCTCATTGCCCTCCTATCCCAAGGAAGGAACCCAAGGAAAGACTGACAGGATCACACAGTCGCCCACCAGAACGACGCCGAGAACCCCTTCCCATCAAAGCTTAAGCTTCTAGTCCCCAGTATTGGGCCATTCTTCACTCGCCTTCCCCTGGAAGCTGCCTTTAAGTTCCAGGACCGCAAACGCTACATCTCGTCCCGCCGCTTCGTTTCCCCTTCGTTCAACGATGTCCGCCTAATTCTAAACTCGGCCCAGATGATGGCCGTGACCACCTACGGCACCCTTCAGCTCGCAACATTCGACGGTGATGTAACCCTATACGACGACGGGGAAAGCCTTGAACCTACAAGTCCGATCGTTCCCCGGCTGATCGGTATGTACAAGCTCCTTTCTTCCTACGGCACGTATTTTTCTATTCCCACTAAACCCGTATTCTGTCCCAGACCTTCTCCGTAAAAACGTAAAGATTGGCATTGTCACCGCCGCAGGCTACACAACGGCCGACAAATACTACGCCCGCCTGCACGGTCTTCTCGACACCCTAGCAAACACTGCCGAACTCACACCAGCCCAAAAGCAATCCGTCATCATCATGGGCGGCGAAGCCAACTACCTCTTCGAGTTCGACCCTTCCTCTCCACACCTCTTATCCCCCGTGCCCCGTCACAAGTGGCTCACCCCGGAGATGGCGACCTGGGATGAGCGAGATATCAAGCAGGTTCTAGACGTTGCCGAGGCCGCGCTGCGCGACTGCATCAAGACCCTAAATCTCCCAGCCACGCTGATGCGCAAGGACCGGGCCGTCGGGATCATCCCCAGCCCGCCCGAGACACGCATCCCGAGGGAGTCGCTCGAGGAGACGGTGTTGGTGGTGCAGAAGATCCTGGAGCTGAGCAAGGTGGGACGGAGCAGGCGCGTCCCCTTCTGCGCGTTCAACGGCGGACGCGATGTGTTTGTCGACATCGGCGACAAGAGCTGGGGCGTGACGGTCTGCCAGAGGTGGTTTGGCGCATCTGTGCCGGGGGGTGCGATCAAGGGCGACAACACGCTGCACGTGGGCGATCAGTTCCTGAGCGCGGGGGCTAACGACTTCAGGGCGAGGAGCGTGGGTACGACGGCGTGGATTGCGAGCCCGGCAGAGACGGTGGACCTGTTGGACGAGTTGGCTGAGTTGATGGGGAAGAAGATGTCTTGATCTCCCATTGAGAGTCGAGCTTGAGAGACACGTCACTAAGTGTCTTGGATATCATTCCATCGAAGACGCCGTGCAATTGCTCTCCAAATTAATGCTGTGTTTCCACACGCCATTGAACCCTTCGTATGTACAGTGAAAACCATCATATGTGCAGTGAAAACCATAATATGTACAATGAAATCAGCATGTATAGTGAAACCCTTCGTATGTACAATGGAGCTCTTCACATATATATTGGGACCTTTGGAACTGAAATATCACTTAAAACAGATGAACCTAGTCCTTGGAGCAGAGGAACTCTTGGAAATGCAGAACGTTTGGAACTGAGAAACACTTGGAACTAAAAAAGCACTTGAAACTGGAGAACGCAATCTTGGAAATCATGACCACTTGGAACTAAAGAACTGAACCATTTGGAATTGAAGAAAACACTTCGAACTGAGGAAACTGGAACCGGAAAATGCTCGGGACTGAGAAACACCCGGAACTGTAAAAAAAAACTTAAAACTGAAGAATGCAGCCTTGGAGGTCAGAACCACACTCGGAACTGAGGAGCAATTGAAACCAACGAACACTTCAGAGAAAATTGGGATTGAGGAAATTGGAACGAAAAACACTTCAAACTGAAGAACACTTTGAACTGGAGAACGCAACCTCGAACTGAGGAACACTTGGGACTGAAGAACCCAACTCGGGAATTGCGGAGCACTTGAAGCCAGAGCACTTCGGACTCTGGAACGCTTGGAACTGGAGAATGCTTCACCATGAGTGAATGGAATGCTTCAACATGAGTGAACGGAATGCTTCAACATGAGTGAACGGTCCAATATGATGAACGCTGCAACATGAGTGAACGGAACGCTTCAACATGAGTGAAGGGAATGCTTCAACATGAGGAACGCTTCAGTAAGGAGCGCTTCAACATGAACGCTGCAACATGAGCAACGCTTCAGTGAGCAACGCTTGGAACACAAAACACGCTGTCAAGCAACCACCCGCTTATGCATCCTCCAACCCCGAGGGAAACTGACTTCAAGCCCGTTTCCTCTCGGGTAAAATACCTTCGAAAGACAAATGACAGTGGGGTATGATGCCGTACTCGCCAAACAACCGAAAGAAAGCACGCAAATGCCTCGACGCTAGTCCCGTCCCACCGATGCAAGGGCTCTCGCCAAAGCAAGGCCCACCCACCGTCCCCCTCGCACCGTCATCCCCCTTGCACCATTGCTATGCCAAAACAAAGTCAGACCACCCCGATGCCCATTCTAATGCTTTGCTTTGTGATCCTTAAAGTCAAAAGAAAGAAGTTCAAAAGGAAACGTCGAGAAACAGAAGACCCGACAGCACGAGAGGCTAGTGTCCTGTACAGTACAATGCTCGCACCTAATGGCCCCGGAGTACTGGCCGAACCTCGCCAAAGGGAGCGCCAAAGTTCATTTTCTTCTTGAATTTCAGCGGGATGTCCAATTCGTCTTCGTCCTTGCTTCTCGGGCTACTTCTGCTGCCCGCGGAGCCGGAGTCATCAGCATCGCCCGCCGGTTGCTGGGCATCGAATTGGCCTTCGGAATGTGTCTTCACTTGGCTGAGGACGCTCTCATCATTGCCATTGGCGAGCCCAGGATCTTGCAAGACGGCAGGCAAAGCGGCTTTGTCGTCCCTCGTAACTTCTTCCAATTTGTCTGCAAGCTTCTGGAAGAAAATCTCGTCATGAGCCGGCATATTTCTCACCATCAGGGGTCCTTTCAGCCCTCGGTCCTCGTTTGGTTCGAAGATAGGCTCTGGATGGTCGTCAAACAGCTGGGGATAGTTGCCCGGGATCTTTGAGAGTGACTGGGCAGCGGGTGCTGCTTCTGAGACGCCATTTCCTTCACCAGCCACGGGCAAGAATCCGGCGGCTACCCCATTCCTTTGCGTCATAGTCGGGGTACTACCACCCCCGCTGCTTGTCCCGGTATTTGTTCCCGAGGAGGCGACGGTTGCCAATTCTGAAAGGGAATGACTTGGCGTATGGCCAGCATGCATGGTGAGGCGATCCGCTTCGTTGGCCGCCAAGACTTGCAGTGTCTGCTCCTTCTTCTCCTGCGGGCTTTTCGCCTGGTCAGACTCGGTGGGAGAAGAGTCTGATAGACTGGGCGCTCTGGATGCGTTTGCCAAGGCGGAATCGCTAAATGTAGCTTTCTTCACGCTAGTGGCTTTGATCCGGATACCTTCCAATTCCGGGTGGATCTCGTGGACATCGACAACGGGAACGGGGCCGGCATCAGGCTGGGTCTCTCTAGCCGGTCTGAGGAAATCCGATGTGGGAGATTGTAGTCCAGTCAATGTTTTTGATGAGGAGCGCTCCACGGTTTTGGGCCCTGTCCCGGGCAGAAATGAAGTTCCGTTCTGGGTCGCCTGCTGAAAGCTCCTCCGCGTGGATGTCGACTCGTTGCTGTCTGTCCGCGACAAGCCCCCCGTGCCCCCCCGGATACCAGGGCCGAAGGGAGGTAGGCCGTTTTGGGCGCCGACGGACCCGCTTCCTAAGGCCTATTCAACAATGTCAGCCATTTCTTCCCCGACCGGGATGTCTCGGTGGCAATTCGGGAGTACAGGGCCTGTCTCAGGAGCACAATAACTCCCGAGGCAGCCAGAGTGGGGCATAAACAGCACGAATTTGACACTTACCAGCACAAGCTGTTGAAGGCGCCGTATCTCAGCCAGCAGGGTGGCTTTCTCAGCCTCCCACTCGGCGCGTTCTTCCTCCATCAGCGCTCGCTCTTCCTTGTAGACCTCTTCGGCCCGTTCCCGATTTGCCTCGAGATATTTCCGCTCCGCCTCCCAGGCCTCCCGGATCCGGGCGTTTTGCTGAAGCAGCCGCTGGTTCATCCGGCCATGCAAAGCTGGGTCGAGCGAATCTGCAGAAATGGATTGGGGATGGCCGGTAAGGGCTAGTCCTGTGGGCGATATGGACGCTTTGGCCGTGGGGCTTAACCCGTTGACGCAACTGTCGCCAACAGTTGGCTCTTCAACCGAGAGCATTCCATTGTCTGTCCCTCGGGGGACGGTGGTGTTATTGTTCACCGGATGGAACTGCCCCTCCCACGTCGTCGGCATAAGGTGGGGTGAGAGAAATGAAGCCGCACGTGCGGTTGGACCTCTGACGCCAGGTGAAAGCGGTGAATAGACTTTGATGCCTCGGGGACTACGGAGCCCCAAGCCATTGGAAAATGAAGGGATGCCCGGGGCGAGTTGGGTGGGCGCACTACCCTTAGTTGCGACGTGGTCGAAGTATCCATATGTCCCCGGAGGCAAAGCCAACGGGGATATGATAGACGACGACTCACTGGCAAGCCGGGGAAACCGAGGGCGCGCTCCGCTGTCGGTGAGGCCCAAAGGCAAGAAAGGCTCGGTAGGCTTTGGCATGCTGGGCCTACCCTACCGCCACGCCCAGGGCAGTTTGTCGTATAGAACGAAGCGGCGTGGAGTGCATCCGACGCGGCCGGTTTGAATCACGATGCTGAGGCGGGTTGTGACTTGCGTAACCGCCCGAGAATTTCGTTGGTGATGCCGGGTTGCAGATATTGACTAAGCGAGAGTGTGTTGCAGTGCCTCGGTGCATCCGCAAGTAATCCAATGGGCACGTGTTGTGTCTGGTGAAGGAATGAATGATACTCCGTGCTAGCGATTGGGGGTGAAAGGGTAAGAGAATGTTGTCAGGTGGAAGTCACAAGTGAGGAGGGATGGGAAAAGTGTGGCGGGGGACTGGATCATAAGTAGCCCTGGAGGCTGATTAGGCTCGGCCAGAGAGGAGCCGCGACGTGGCAGTGGCAGCCTCATCTCTGTGCTTGTGACGAAAGAGTCGACCGTGACCAGTAGAATGGAGCGGTGAAGACGGCAGGACCACGTCCGCTTCCCCATCAGGCTGCGATCGAGGCCCCACAAAATGAATGACGCCGGACCCGCAGCCGGTTGGGCGGGAGGAGGCACGAAAGCCAATGGACGTGTCATCGAGTCGTGTTGGCGAGAAGCAATCGCCGATTGATCGGGTCTTTGACTTTCGTCAAACGCGCCTCGACCTTTCCGGTCAGCATTTTGTTGCTGCCTCGATCGATCGGCCAGACCTTGCACTTCGATTGTTTCTTCAGATCTACTGTGTAACTACAGTGAGCTTGTGATGGGCAAGGCGGATCCTACTCCGCATTTCAGGGTCCAAAACCCTGCATGCCAAGCACTCACAGGCAAGTGATGTTTTCGAAATCGGAGTCCACGATACGTTCAACGGCCTTGTTCGACTTCATAACTGGAAGAAACTTTAGATGGTCGACGTAATAAAGAAACGCCCGGAGGAAGGTATATCAAGTCCCTTTTCGAAGCGATTCCCAGATAGCTAACTGTTAGCAGCTACTAATTACCTTAGTATAGGTGTAGTCACCGTTGACGCCCGATCGAAAAGGACTCTCGATTTCCAGGCAATACAAGCCCGACCGTCTACGTAATAGATAGGCCTTTCGCATCACTTACTTACGCGGCACGGCTTAAAAAAATGGATCTGCGGTCTCGAGACTGCCACTAGACCGGTCGAGGCACTGCTCTGCTTGTCTTGCTGGCGCGTCGTGGTTAAATGGACTCAATTGGAGGTTCCCTGTAGAAGTAATCATGACATGCAGCGTTTCGTGACATCATGGAAGTGAACAATATCGTTGATTCTTCCGACTAGGTAGCAGCGGCCCGCTAACGCAAAGCTCAAGTCAATTTCCCAGTGGTATCCCTTGAAATCACGAACCCCAGTGACTCCTTGCGCCAACCTCTCCACCAAAGGTAGTTAACGGTAGTAGTGTATCGCAATTTCCCACTTTTCCATGAAGACTATCCATTGAGGCGGCGTCTCCTTGAGTCTGCACTCGCCGCAGATGAACGGTCTATCGCTCCTGTCAGAGTCTGGCACTTGTACGTTTCGCACGAGAAAAGCGAAATTCCCATCTCACCGATCCTCGAAAGCCGTGATATCTGGCTCGCAAGCCCTTGGGTTTTGAGTAGCCTTGTACTTGGAACTGAGGGACAGGGCAGGTCAGCCTCTAGGCCGTTCCTTGCTTGTTTTCGTTTCTTCCTCCTCCTGACGGTGTTTGGCTCCATGAGACATACCAATGCTTCGAAGCCAGCCAGCGCATGTGGCCGCAAGAGAATTCTCGCTGAATTCGCTGGGTCATCGAAAAGCTCGTACGAGTGCAAGTGTCAGGGTAACGAAGCCGGCTCTGCTCACCTGCGTGAATTCACACATGTTTTACGAATATTGTCTGACTGAATTGGCAGTGTTGATTTCTTCTGGAACGTTTCTGGTGGATGGAAAATGCGTAGCAGGTTGGGTATCAAAGGAGGCTCAACCGTGGGCGGCGGGTGTGCGAGTTTCAGTTCGCCGGGAAGTCGCACGTCGAGGGTTATCTACTCTCCAAGATTCTTGCAGTGTCACCATCCCTTGATGCAACCGCAAGGTCAAGCAATAGTGAGTCGGTTGCATCTCTCTTTCAACCTTCTCACTGGTTGTCATCAAATGCGCACCTCGATAGATCAGGAAAGAAGCACAAGTTGGGGTGAGACACAAGAAGCAAGTTTGTTGGGTGGTTGATGGCAATGATGTCGGTGATGTTGCTTAGACTTACGACTAATTACTGAGAAGCGCCATTTGGCGGCAGAGCTCTTAACCCCCCGTTTTGTTTGAATGAACACATGGCACCCATGGGTCAGTGGTTCCGTCTGTGGCTTTTCTTTGGTCATATTGCAGCACCTACCTACTTGGGTGGTACTTACTAGTACTACATGTTCTTGATTCGGAGGTGACTTTTGCATTAGTGTCGAGACGTATAAAGCCACAGACGACCTACCAGGGTCGCCATCACTACCTACGGCCTATCGCTTTTCTTTTCCTTCTCCTTGTTGTGCATCTCTCTGCTGAGAGTCAATCTCTCCTCCGACCACGCGTTCCGAGATACTTGAGACACCGCTGGCAGCAATCAATGTGGCGGAAGACTACGAATGAGACACCTGCCACCTAGATGAAGAGGGGAAGGGCAAGAAATGGAAAGTGTCACGAGATAGGTGCCACGAACTGGACCTTTCCGGGATACTGTAGCTCCCAAGACCCAATCGGTTCTCATCGCCATCATTGGCAGTCCTATGATACCCCCGAGCCCAGCTGATTGTTAAGTGTCTACACGATGCTGTGTTATGGAATACGACTTGCCTTCCCCTCGCTTGAGAGAGCAGCGAACTGACATGGTAAAACTAGCGAAGCGCAAGCATTTGACCTTGATGATTTCCATGTCTCTGAATTCATATGACAGGTATTCGGCTAAGTACTATGTTCAAATACTGCCATATGGCCTAGTGCTAACAGTAGCAACTAGCAGCGTGGTTTCACCAACAGGCTCCTGTGAACCTACTAGCAGTATGAGACGATATACCCCTCGGAATCACATCACGCGACCAGGCGTATCGCGGTTCGCTTACTCGCGTGTCTATGTCCCAGTGGCGAACTGGATTATCATAGCTGCCCCAGGCGACAATTGCCGCCACGAACTTGGGACCTACGTTGTTCTCCCTGTTCCCATCATCACCATATGCATAGGTACTCTCGGCTTCATCCGACAGTGCCCCAGCACACAGTCCGTGCTTTTCATATGGTCATACCGCACTGCTTGGCGACGTCAAAGTTGTCGATGTTCGGTCCCTGAAGACCGTCCAAATTTCGGACATACCGTAGTTGAGACAACATCAAGCTGGATGACACGTCCGTACGCGCTTTGACCTGCTGGTGATAAAAGACATCCTTTTTTCGGGACTGCGCTGTACTATTTGAATCTATAATCAATCAGCAGCCTTCGAACAATCGAAGCAGATGCAAGCAGATATGGTGCTGGACTTGTTCGCTGCCGCTGACTCCAGAGTCTGAGTGCAAGCGATTCCTTGATTCACCAGGCGCTATAGGTAGGTAGTCTCCCCGTCTACCCTCCCTGCGGAGCGCATATGTCTTCGATGGCCTGGACCCCTATCTCTGCCTCAGCACGCTCAGTAGCTAGATGCATTCCCGAAGCAATGCCTTACCGCTCTTCTAGGTTGCTAAGGCGATTCCTTAAGTAAATATGTTGTCTACTATCTAAGGGGCAGATGAAAGCAATCGGCAACTCATGAAGCTATGTATCTGTGATATACGCTTAGCCTTAATGGTATCGACACAAACCATCACCTGAATGCGTGGCTATCGGACAGGCCAACTGCCGATCTCCGGTCTTTGCCACTGCTGGCACCACAAGATGCCGCTGCGGCTCGGGGGGACAAACTTTGGTGCGGAAAACCGGACCGCTTGGAAAAGGGGGTGTGCTCCTAGGTTAGCATCCCGGATTCCGGAGCCCATGCGCGAGCGGGTCTTCGGGTTCGGTGACGACCAGTGGGTCACTTTCCGCAAATATTTTTCTGATCCCAGTTCACCCTTTCCCCTCTCCCGAAAGCGACAGCGAGTCCTTTACCCGCCCTGAGAGCCCGATGCCACACGTGACGCTACTCACCTGCTCGGCTGCCTCCCTCGAGATGGTCAGCCGCACGCCTGCGCCATCGTGAACCACCTCACACGTTTGCTCCAAGCTATCAGGTCTGACATTCCTCCGCTCCAGCTTCTGCCACCCCCGACTACTTCCGACCGACTTCCCGATTGTCGTTGATGCAAACGCCCTGCCATGAATCCGAAACGAACGTACGAAGATGAAGAACCGTCTGCGAGCCTTCCGAAGCGGCCAAAAACCTTCGACACTCCGTTTCAGGAAAACGGTGAAGCTGGCTGTGCCGCAGAATGATGGTCATTCGGTTGGCCATCTTTTTGGCGGCCTGGGTGGCTTGCTCCATGAGGGCGATCTGCAACGCTGCACGAACAGCAGTCACAATGGAAACGGTACGAGTCGCTGTGGCCGGCCAATGCCACGTAGCAGCGGAGCTTTGCGAGCAAAGGGACGGGAGTCCAAGAGCGGAACTCGAGCTCAATCGCGACAGGGCGTTCACAGTTCTTGGCTTGCTACTTGGCCAGCTTGGAAAGGAAGCTGAGATCACAGAAGAGGTCGTCCAGGCGGCAGCGGCGAATATGCAGTCCGGGGAGGTGATGAAGCTGCTGCTTGACGGACGAGCCAAGATTGAGGTTACGGCGCAGTTGGTTAAGATCATTGCCGGTAAGTTTGATGAAGAAGTGGCGAGGCTGCTGCTAGAGAGAGGAGGCGAAGACGTCAAAGTCACGGAAGAGGTCGTTCAGGCGGCTGCAGAGAATTCGCGTGGCGAGGCGGTGGTGAAGCTGCTGCTGGATGAACGAGGCTCGGAGGTTAAGGTCACGGAGGAGGTCGTCAAGGCGGCGGGGAATAGGCGGCGGTCTGGCAAGGCGGTGATGAGGCCGAGGCCGGCGGTAGTCCAGCAGATCCCGACGACGTAGATCCCTGCGCGGAGGATCCGGCCGATCGTCGAGGCGCACTACGGTGTGCCTGCCTCTCGGCCCGGTCGAGTTTCTTACGTGGCCGGGAATTCGACGGGGGACTGTGGGATGCCCTGGTTCGCTTCGAGCTGGTTTGGCTCTGGATGAAGCTCAATGTAAAGCTCGTCGCGAAGCTCATGGCCGGCTCGGCACCAAGAGATGTGGACTCCTGACTGGGCTCTTCGTCCTCTGCATAAAGGTACTGGGGAGGAGCCAGCGCCTCGTCGGCATCTCCAAATGCAGGGTGGTTCTCGATGCCGACAACTTGTGATGCATACTCCTCACAGTCCACGAATTCGTCGGCGGTCGAGTCTTCATAGTGCTCTGCTATAGCAACTCTGACTTCCGCTTCAGGCGGCGCCTCTGTATTAGACTGGCGCGCTTTTGCATTCGCCGCCTGGATGAGCTGGTCACGGTACCGTTGCGCCAAGTCCCTCGCGTTCCGAAATGCCGTTGCTCCTTGAACGAATGTCTCGCGGCTATCCGTCATGTCGAAGCCTCCGAGCTTTGTCATATGGTACTCGGGCCGCCCCCCCCCCGGGGCGCGGTCGGTGGCGTGACGTGGTGCGCGTATAGCTTGAGCGTACCGGCGTGGTATGTCGAGCTCTACGCGTAGGCATTCCCATTATAGGTGGGTTCCTCATCGCCGTAGTTCTGCAGAGCATGCATGGCACGAGCTCCATATGCTCCGTCGTAGCATGCTTGTCGCTTCAATACATCTGCGGCTCCTTTTGGCGCCTTGGCCTCGAGGAAGAAGTTCGGCGCTACCGGAACGCTTGCATGCTTTATGGGGATGATCAGAGGATACATGTCTCCCTTGGGGTCCCTGACCTTCTTGTCCGATGTCCCCAATGTAGGCTCTGTCGAAGAAGTCCGGCTTGGGCCTCACCACCTCATCATAAGTGGACGTTAGAGGCGCAAGCTCGGTGAAGAGAACATTCTGCCTGCTGGGAATATCGACATCTCCACAGATAATAGGAACGACAGTAGCCATAACGTCGTTTTCGAAGGTGGCTCGCGCGTCTTTCCGCTTAAAGTCGCGGAATTTCGACTCGGGAAAACATCACGGTGAAAGAGAAGGTCTTGCAACGGAGAGGTCTTGATGAACTTGGTTACCAGGCTCAGGCGTTGAACGGTCCTCCGGATATTCGTACCCTTCAGGGTATATTCCATGGTCGGTAAGATGCGTTTCGAACTCATGACCATATGCGGATGACTTTCCACTCTTAGCGGAAAGGCTTGTCGCTTTTGTGGACCGCGTGGACTGCGTCCGTCGGCTTCCAGAAAATGCGGACGAACGGCTAGAAGTCATTGTGTGGTTGACGCCTTTCGGTTCGGAACACTGCAAGCGATAAATTAGTTTATGACCGTCCACGGGTTAGGTAAATCTTACCCCTCAAAGGTGTCGCAGGTCTGGGCCACCGTGTCTTGCAAACCGGGCAAGATCGGTGGTATAAACTGCAGGCGTCGCGAGTTCTGGGGTGGGCCGAGTGCTGTTCCGCCGGTCGAGTTCTCGCAGAGCGCGCGGGGTGAGCCAGACCTTGGACAGGTTGTCCCAGAATTCCGGTGGGAAGTTCGACGGCCCGGAAAGTCTGCCTCTCGACTTGATCTTGTTAGGACGGTGCTCTTGCAAGAGGTCGTCTGCTCGGGATCTCTTTCGATGATGCGCGCTCGCCATGGGCAGCCACTTGAGAAGGTTGGGATCGAGGGAAATCGGCATGGATATTCAGGTCGCGCTCGAGGGCCACAACTGAGCTGGCGCTGCAGGATGCCGGTTGGCGTGCGGGGCAATGCAATGGTTGGGTAGGGACGCGTCGTGGCCTGCAAGAGTTGCGCGCGTCTCGATTGCGGATACTACCAGCCAGTCGTTGGCTGCTTATTAGCAGGAATGCGGCGCGGGATGCGGGGTAATTGGGGAGGATGTCCGGGTCAGATCAGGCTGCAGGGTGTCCTGATAGCGGAGTGGCTGTCACCTCGAAAAAGATTGGCGCGGTGTTACTTGTACGATCGTCTCCGACGTACAATAAAACTAAGCAGAACGCTGAAAGTTGGAAATACTATCATTCCCGACTCGAGTCATGCATACTGTACACAGCTAACGATGCCCGGTATTCTGTCTCTCCCGACTGAGATCCTTGAGGATGTCTGCCTCTTTATGACACCGCCACTGGAGCAGCGACGGTACGCATCGTTACCTGCCATTCCCCAAGCTTCTAGTATTATATTATTGGTCAAGCCCTAAGAATCACACCTACTCCCCGCCGCGAAGTCATCATAGCCGGCGTTATGGACCTACGGAACCCTTCAGAAAGGATTGCGAGGCTATGAGATTATCCTGCAAGGCGTTCTCAATGCTTCGAACACTGGCAGCCGCCTTATTCTACGACTTCAATGTTTTCGCCACCCGCCAAAGCATCGCCAACTTGGAATTACTGTCACAGTAACCCATTCTTCGGAATTACGTCCACCGACTTGTCTTCTGTCGTCCCCCGCTGCGAGTACAAGAAGGGCTTCTCAGCAATGGGCCGCTCATAGCGAGATGCGGACTATGTATCTCTCGGTTCCTGATGCTCTCAATTTCGACATCCGGCCGAACGCAAATGCCCCGAGTGTCCAAAAGAAGCAACGCCCTGGTGCCGTCTCGTATACGATTTCCGACGAACTGCAAGAGGAACGGGATGAGATACGGGCGGCAAATCACCACACCGCCTTCGTCTTGCGAATATTGGCGGTTGCAAAAGTTCGGCTCGAAGAGCTCGTCACCTACAATGACTGGGGACCGACTTGGGAATTCTCGCGGGACTCTGTCCCTGGCTACCTTGACGGGCTGGATTTTTCTAGACTGACTCGTCTCGACGTCTGCTTGCGGGATGGGAGTGAGGCGCCTGGAGGCGCGGACTGGTCTGCAGTCCTCTGCCCACTGCTGGCGGAGTCGCCTGCTCTTATCGAACTGTATCTTCGGTTCACCGGCAGGCATAACGAGCATCCGACTGTCAGCGGGATTTGGGAATTGAGCTTTCCCCGATTAACTGTACTCTCTGTGGAACAGTTAAAGCTGCCACGTACGAAGTTTCGCAGCTTCCTTCGTCGCCACATCCATCTTCGGGAGCTAACTCTGCTGTTTGTGAGAGAGATTGACGGCATGTGGTATAGCATTTTTAAAACCATCCGCGAGCATCCTGAATTGGAAGATCTCGAGATCTGGCACCTTGATAAGTGGGAGTTAGATTGTCCCGTTCGCACTTTTTGTCAACCAGAGCTATCTGACGAGGTGACTTTGGAACTCTACGACTATTTACATGGCGAGGGAGGGTGGACTACTAGCTTGTCTCAGTTGTGGGGAGATTCGTAGGCGTACTTAGCGTAGCAATGAGAAGTCCTGACTGGGGTTCTCCAGAAAATTGCTGTTTGCGGTGACCGAACCGAATGAGGGATTCGCGTTGCCGACATGCCTGATTCAGGGAGGATCGTGCTCGAAAGTGGTGCCGACCAGCGGGATGACTTACAATGAGTCCGCGTGTGCTGAGAGTCAAAGCACAGCAACTGTGCGTTAGCTCGAGACACGGTGCAGGGTGCCGGGGGTAATCCACTCGTCAATGACTCGGGTCGAGAGCTCTTCGGACAATATCCGCTACTGCGTGGGCCCACTCTCAAGCAAAACCCCAGGACCTGGATCATTGGTCCCCACATTAGCACCGATTCGCCGCCCCGTGGAAATATCGCGGCCGATGGAACGGGCCCGGGAAATTCGGCACGAGTTACAGCAGACACAAAGGAACGGAGAAGCAGGTGCGGCTCACGGGGCGGCTCGCGTCATCGGCTTTCCGGCATGTTTCTAGCTATTAGCGATTTGCCCACGTCTTGACAGGCAGGCGACCAGTGACCGACTCCGTAGACAAAAGCCAGACTCTTGTTTCTCTATCCGAGAGTGTCTCTTTCACTTGTAAGGGACGCCCACACCAGTGCTGTGGCGAATGCACTTTGTTCCAGCCCCTTCTTGGCCAATGCCGTACTGACTGTGATTTCTAATACGCTTTCATGATGTCCGAACATCAGGAGTTAGGTATGAAGATGCTGTTCCAGCCGATTAGCCAAGTGCACAACGGACTTGTTCTGACTGCAAGTCCCAGAGCCGGACCCTGTGGCGGCGAGGAACCGCGGAGTGGTTGACTCGAGCCAGTGATTTGGCTCGTTGCGGGGTGGGCGTTTCGGTTCAGCCTTGTCACAGACGTGGCAGCAGAATCAAGGTTGAAACGTTCTTGGGGCATCAGGATGGAGGAACTGACGCGGCCAACCCTCCTAGATCAACGTTGCGCGAGGCGTGCATGCCATTGTGCATCCTTGCGGGATTTTCGTAGGGCGATGTCGGATGGATCAACGGACACGGCATCTGTGCTGTGTCTGTATCAAACGCCGATTACAACGAACGACACTGCCCATTCCTTCACGTTGGACTTTGCATTGACAATGGCCGCAGTACGTATCGGGGTCGGAAGTTGGCACAGCTCGCTGGCAGCCGTTGCTCATGTCCCGTCCCGCCTTCTGTCTGGTCACGAGCCGCGTTGCCTTGTCGGGCCGGCACAGCGGGGCAATCGCAGCTGTGCAGTCGAGTCCGAGTCGGCCACAGCCAATTCGCTGCCCTGCGAGAAGTTCTTTCCTTCGGCTGATGCTGCAAGCCCAGCTCCTGCATCTTGAATCCTAGTAAGAGCGGAACTCACACCGCTTCTTCAGCACACGGTTCCGCTGCCCCCCCACCAATCCCTTTGCGAATTGGATGGATGCATTTTTGAGGCGCTGGTGTCTTGTGCTCTTCGAAGTTCGAAGAGGGTAGGTGAGCCATTAGGGGTTCGAGTTCCACCGCATCATTCACCTTCTCCTCGGCTGGCAAAAACCCTGCCGTGGGTTAGTCAACCTTATGCAGCATCGGACCGCTCTCAACTTCCCCGTTGCCTGGAAGGAAAAGGCTGGCGAAGGATGCACCACTCCGTATGTACACTTGTACAGTACCTGCAAGGGGATTTCTTAGATCCCACGAAGCATGGTGTGGGACAGAAGAAAGGGAGTTTGGTAGTGTGGGGGAAATTCTGGGGAAACAAGCAACACGGCGCATCTCCCAAGCATTACTTGGCATGGGGAGCACCAAACTTACATTCCCTCTGGTTTTGGGGCAAAGCGTCTTACGAGCGTTCTGGACTGTCTGAAAGATCGTCTTCTGTCACACACTCGAGGGAATTGAATCAAACCGAGACAGACAAGTAGAATGCCCAGACGGAAGACCGCGATGCCGAGACGGTTGCAAGCTTGTGAGCCTATCCGAGCGTACTTTGAGATGAGAGACGGATGTGTTGTGAACGGTGTCTCGTTGTGCGGTACCTTGGCAGCATGGAGGCATGTTCCTATTCATCACTCCTTGCTTGTCCGACTGCGACTGGCCAAGGCGCCTTTCCGCTCTGAAAAAGAGAGCTGAAGTGGTGGTGTGTTGAACCTTGTGTGGCGTACTTCTTGGGTGGGATATGGAGGACGAGCCATGGTTCGCTCGACAGCAGCCATAAATACACAGGCGAGACAGGCCAGCTCTTGAACAACCGCTCGGTCTGTCAGTAATAAGAGGCTTTAGGGCTAGGTGCAGTCGATGGTGCAGATGCGCTACGACGAAGCGAGCCACTCCCTGGACGTCGATGGAGACCAGACGTGGGGGCGCGATTATTTTGGCTCGTGTGCTTCCCATCCTCCTCAACTCCAAGTCGTCCCCGTTTCCGAGCGCCCCTGGGTCGCAGAAAGACATTGATTACGGACGGAGGGCCGGTGTACCAGAGGTACGAAACAAAACACCATCCGTCGACCGGCGAGAGCCTAGGGCGACGGCTTGCGCAAAGCATGCCCTTCTGGATGACGAACGCCGAGATCTTGGCAACGGCTGGCTGCTGAGTTCCTGACATACCAAGCAACGCCGGCATCTCGATCTCTCGTCCAGGGGTTCCGACACCGGTTTGGCGTTGTGTGCAGTCAAACAAGCTCGACATGATGCAGCCGTCGATTTGTTGCGCGCTGTCTTTGTAGTTGGGTGTCTGGATCACTGAAATAGCTCGCCTGAGGATCATTGACGAATAGACATGAAGTTTGACGCTGTGAAGCACACAGAGGAGCTGAACCCCAAGAGGCTTGCTCGTGAACAGTGTAATCCGTATTGTATGCACATCCATACATACGGTACGCTACGTATATGTACGTCCGTACATACAGCGCCAACAATTCCATACACGAACAGAGGTGCTGATGCGTTGTGCGCCTCAAAACGCCATGTGTCGCGTGTTATACTCATCTATTAGCCAGCCAGCCGAAGCTAAGAATGGAAACAACGATGCTATCTTCGTCTGGAGCAGATGGTTGGGTGCAGTGACGTAATGTATACACATAGGTACAGTACAGTAAGAATGGGAACGTCGTTCAGCTTGAATCAACAAACTTGGAAGCCAGTTACTGATGATGACATTCCCCTCTACATAACATGAGCTTTTCCTGCTCTGAACTTCGGTCGGTACAAGTCGAGGAATGGATAAAATCAGCGGGTTTGGGATCCCCACACTAGCCGATGACGCAGTGGAGCTCCTGCGGTCGGTTCTCTCGGTGCTGCGATCAACCAGGAGTATGTACCAGTTACCGCCCTAGTCTGCTGTACAATACGACGAACAACACTGGGTAAGCTGGTAAGACCGTAGTGTAAGATGGGGTCGGGAAAGGGACCGGAGGGAATTCTCATAGGTTGAAACGAGGATTTCCGCGTAAAGAGCCGCGAATAGTTCACATAAGTCCGAGGTTGCCGCATCGGAACCGCGCAAATTCGTATGGATTAACATGAGGGACCGGGCACATGAGGTCTTCAAGCAACATACACAATCTTTGCCTGAGCTGACTGTTGTCAGCTTAGATGTACGACCATCAGCAGCTGGTTCGGCCTGGATATTGCGGCATATTTCTGCGGGCTTGGTCATTCCATTAAGCGACTTGGCGATGAAAGGACGAGTCGGTAGCGGATGGCAGGACGCAGCAACAGAGTCGTCGCTTTCTACCGCCACAAAGCCCGGCATGTCAGCCTGATATGAACTCGATGATGCTTCGCTGCGTTCCTTTGAAACCAGAAAATTGGCTGCCTTCCTTATAAGCCAAACTCGACAGTACGGACTTTTTTACCTTCAAGGTATGGATGCCGTCTGGTACCGTTGACTTTGCGCCTTGATGGACACCTTCCAAAAACGCGGGTCATGCCCATGGTTCGCCAATCAGAACTTAGGTGGCTCTGCATCTGGGGTTAAATCGCGCTCTCGGTCTCTCGGCGCTGAGGGTGGGGGTGGGTCAGTCATACTTACCTCGCGGTAACGTATCGCTACGAAGCTGACCTGTACTGTATGTATTCACTATGCCGTGACCGTCACCAGGTAGTGGCCTGTCTTGGAGGCTAGCCACTTGGGTACATACGTTAAGCAGAATCTGAAGCACGACATTCATAGTTTCATACAATGCGGGCATACCAGAGTGAGGGCTTCCTGGCTTCCAACGCTGGGTACGGGAGCTCCGTTGAGCCTTGACTTACCTTGGCGTGACTGGTCGTGACAACACGATTGGGGTAAGCTCCGGGGCCCTCTGCAGTGTGTCAGTTGTGTGGTTGTCCACCCGCTATCAGAGAGAACAGACGAGGGACGACCGGTGCCGGCTCTTTGATCCGCTTTTCATCGGACGGTGCCTTGTGGGATCGGGGTACCCTTGCGATACGATCGAGCTCTCAGTAGCCCAGAGACGAGGACCCTGCTGATGCGCCTAGTGAGGTGTATGGAATACGTGTATACATACGGATGTATGTATGTATGATTGTAACAGTACACCACCACAGCAGGTCTCGCTCCAGAGGTATTTGCCGATCCAATACGGAGTACCTATCTAATTACAGCTAGCTAGGCACTCCGCACCAGTTATCTGGAGTCCCCGCCCTCGATAGAGACACCGAGTGCTAGGCGCTTGTCGATTGCAAATTGATACGTTCGGACGACCAATGCACTAAACTGGGATGGCCAACCCCACCGCTCGGTCCCCAAACCCCCTGGAGACCCTACTTGAGTAGCCCGTCAGCCTTCATCCAGTCGGTCCGTCCGAACACTGGGACCTTTTTCTTGCAGGAGGCAAAAACCAAGCATTTCGTCAGTCAAATCAGAGACTCGCCCCCGGTTGCCCGATTGTGATGTTGTTATTGTTGTTGTTATAACCCTTCACCACCGGGCGCACCTTCTTCCTACTCTCTCCCCTTTTCCACCTGGGTTTCTTCTCGCAATCATCGCACCAACGACTGCCAAGAGCGCTCAAACCAACCGGCATTCGAACTTGTAGATCTCTGGCCGCTTTTGTGCCTTGGACAGCACGCCACACCTGCTGCACGGGGCTACACAAATCTCGCCTTAGACAGACTCCAGCCTTGGCAGCGAGCGAGCGATTGACGGTTCCTCGACGCCCAGCCCGATCGCTATACATATAATAGCCAGAGGTCCGCCCTCCAGACCCGGCATACTAGGTCAGCGAAGGCCATAGCAGTCAGCCGACGTTCGGTTCCATTTCGGGAGAAGCATTCGAAGTGCGTGCCTAGCAGGGCAGAAACGTTGTGACTAGCGACAAAAGGTCTTTGGGGTCTGTCAGAGCCGGCTTTCAGCGTGCTTGGTCACGCCGACGGGCCGCGCCGGAAATCCAGTTTCAGCGGCCTTTGTGCGGCCCCTCGTGCTGATTGCTGCCGAGCGGTCGCCGGGCGCTGACGTACCACCCTTGTTCAGAGGGACCAAGACTCTTTTTACTTGTCTGTCTTCCCTGCTTGCTGCCGCCGTCGGACCGCTTGTTTGCGCAAATGGCCGTCTCGGTTCTTGCTGCTGCGGCAACGCAGACCTCCTCGTTAGGTATCTTCACACTCCTCGATTTAAACCACGAACGGCTTCCCCCTCCTCCTCCTCCCCCTCGTTCTTCTACCACCGGCAAACCCGCAGTGGACCCATCTTTTCTGACTCCGTTAGACACTTCGTGCGACCCAATCTCCAACAAGTCGAGTCTCTCGTCGTCGCCACGGCAATATCCCACCGACTTGACACACCCCATCCTTGAAGAAGGCGATGAGACCGACAGCGAGGCGGTGATTGAGCCCGTGACTCCTGTAAGCGGCCGCCAGTCACAGGACTTCCAAACCTTCCCGAACTCTGACGGCCACCTGGACGGACCACTTGTCGACTCCTCTGCCGCTCCTCCGCCAAAGGCCGCTCGAAGTCCCCAGCGAACACCGAGGGCAGCACCCCCCTCAACTCCTGCCCCGGCGACCTCGTCAGCGGCCGACCAGGATCCACCGACTGCACAGCCTTCCAGGCGTTCTTTCGGCTCCACGTCCAGCTTTAAACGCACCATGTCGAGTTTTCTAAGGCGTGTGGGCTCCGACAAGGCTGCACTTGGCACCGAGCTTGGGAACGCATCGGCTTTGAACTTGTCGGAGACTGGGCAACGAAAGCTGCCAACGCGCCGGTGGTCAATGAATAGGAGCTCGGCTACTACCCGCTCCAACACGCCGCCGTCGCCCAGCTCACCGCTGGAGATCGCTATCAAGACAAGAGAAGAGGCGTCCAAGCCGACGGTACCAGCTCCGGAAGCATTTCTGAGGCATAAAGCGCGTGCGGCCACGGGCTTCACGTTGCGTTCTCGCCACCATGGAAGGGAAGCACCGTCGAGGCAGGAGCTGCAGCTCAGGCGTCGCGCGAGCAGTTTCGACTACTCGACGGAAGACCGACCCGCGGTGGATGACCCCGACAAGCCTATCCACATGGAGCGATCTCTCTGGGGGCTACCCGCTGAGACTGGTACCGGTGTCAAAGCTCGTCGCATGAGTCTGAGCCTGCCCGATGACTTCACTGTGGACGTGGTCGAGCTGTCTTCGGAATATGAGTATCAGCACAAGCTGTTGGGTCGGCACGGGAAGCATTTGGGCAAGGGTGCGACATCCAAGGTCACCTTGATGGTGAGCAAAACCGGCGGTGAGCTCTACGCGGTGAAAGAGTTCCGAGGTAAATCGTCGCGCGAGACGAAGGAGGAGTATGAAAAGAAGATCAAGTCCGAATACACGCTGGCTAAGAGCCTGCACCACCCCAACATCGTCGACACAATACGACTCTGCATCGATCGCGGCCGCTGGAATCATGTCATGGAGTATTGCGAGGACGGCGACTTGTTCACGCTCGTGAACAAAAAGTACCTCAAGACCGAGGACAGGGAAAAGGACCGGTTGTGCCTCTTCAAGCAATTGGTCACGGGAATCCACTACCTTCACTCCAACGGCATCGCCCACCGCGACATCAAGCTCGAAAATCTGCTCATCACCAAGGAGTGCCGGCTGAAGATTACCGACTTTGGTGTCTCGGAGGTCTTTTCGGGCATTCACCCGGGGCTCAGGGAAGCCGGCGGGCAGTGCGGGAGGAATATGGGAGAGGTGCGACTCTGCGCTCCGGGTATCTGCGGCAGTATGCCCTACATCTCGCCCGAGGTGCTCAAGAAGAAGGACAAGTACGACCCACGCGGCCTGGACGTTTGGAGCTCCGCAATCGTCATGGTGAACCTCATCTTTGGGGCACCTCTCTGGCATAAGGCCGAAGTGAGTGAAAATGCGTCGCCACGGGATAACTACGCCAGCCTGGTTCGCGGCTGGGAAAAGTGGAGGGCCAACCACACCGACGACTCTGACCTCGCGATCACGGACATGGACTACCCGCACGTGTTCGTGTTCGACACGTTCGTCAAGCCCCCGGCGCTGCGGCGAGTACTCCTCCAGATGCTCAATCCCGACCCGGAGAAGCGGATTACGATCGCGGAGGTGGTCAACAACCGGTGGGTGAAGAACATCGAGTGCTGCCAGACCGACAGCTTCGACGAACCCAACGGCGGGAGCATGATCGACGCCTCCAAGAAGCTGTGCCAGCAGCGGGTGAGTGGCAGGAAAATCTACTGCCACAACCACCTCCCTCCGAAGGACCACAGCACCCATTCTCTGGGCAAGATGCCGGGCAGTGCTGGGTATTAAACAGTCACGACCGGCTTCCCACACTCCGAAGGAAAGGGCACTCTTGGGCCACGCTTTTTACCTTGCCTTCTTTCTTGCATCAAGCATTTGACTATTTCCCTTTTTAATCGGGTCAGGAGCAAACCTGCAAAAACATAAATGGCGTTACAGGGGGCGGTCAAGATGCATCATACTACACATCATTCGGCGATTTATTGGTTTCCCAGCAGGTCTTTGACAAGGGCCTCCTGTGTTCAAAGTCTTGTTATTTCCTCTTCATTCTCGCTTGACGAAGAGGGGGTAGATGTGTCAACAGCAACACGCTGTTGGCCAAGGTACATATGGCTGATGTTACATAGATGGACGGTGCCGTCACGGGCCAAGTCGTGTACAGTGTCGCCCAGGGGGACAAAGGAGGCAGAGACGGGTCGAGTTGGGAGGGGAGTTGCTCGTAGTAACGCATTGCTTTCCCTCGCACTTCACTTTGGCTTGCTACGAGACAGACTCCGCGATGAATTGACCATCTGTCTACCCCATTCTGCTTCCTGGCCCCAGCGACACTCCTGAGATGAACTGCCAAGTTGCTCATTACCTATTACCCGGCCGCCGAAGGATGCGGTTGGAAGAGCTTCCACTGACAGAGCCGGGCCAGCGGACTCCTGGCGGATTTCACCTCGCTGCACACGCTATTGGACCGCCTATGGAACATGCCTTTATCAAAACCCCTCTGCGGTCGCGTTAAACCGGGCTCAACCGAGTCATGAACGCTTCCCTGCTGCAATTGGTGCCAAATTCGATGGCGATCCCGACTTGGCCCGCCGATGAACATCTCACATATTCGGTCGGTGTGAGGCGGCATTCCCTACAACAAGGAAGCTGTGACGACGCGGGACACTGATCTGCCATTTTCTATGCAGTCTCCTTGGTGAGCGCATGGCAGGCGGGCGAGACGGGAGGTATGATCGATTCTTTTTACACTACTCCGTACGTCCTCCAGGGTTCCCCGGACGCCGCCAACAACCAACCTCGAAGCCACTGTGCATGTATGGACGTGCATACCACCAACCCCCGCGTTCTCCGCTCCCCTGCTGCACATCCACTTGGCTTGCCCACAGACTTGCGGGCGCCTTGGATTGGGAAAGAATGAGGGCGAGATGAGAGGCTGCTCATCGCTTTCCCTCCGCGCCATCACGTAACTAACTCCACGATTGACCGCTTCTCTTTTCCTCACCTTCATACACCTCCAGTGAGTAGTTAGTGAACGGAGGTTTCCCCTCACTTTTTCGTTTCTCCGCGGCAAGCGTCGGATGGGATTCGCCTCTCGGCCATGGCTCGGCCACTCTGGCCGGCTTAGCTAAGGATTCAGCTGGCGTTCGAGGTGTGGGGATCACTCACTCCCCCAAAGTCGTTTATCCTTGGCTGTTAAAAAGTGTAACTATTCGTAACATTCGCATACGCCATGACCGGATCTTCCTCTTCTGGCCGGCCCTCTCTGAATCGGCTTCCTCGTTTTGGCCGAGCACTTCGTTTATCAGGGAGCGACCCTAATAATAAACGAGGGGGCCACGTGCGAAGTCGCTGATGGCGGAGTAAAGTCCGAATAAGGCCGATGGTTTTCTGTTGCTCTCATGTTACGCACCGGTTCTTTTCGCAAGGGATTTTCTCTCAAGGTTGGCAGCTTCCCGCAGAGGCCAAGCCAGTCTAGAGACACCTACCTGCACGATGAGACTCGTGTCGCCGTCGTCGTTTTCCTTGGCCATCGTCCGTTGCCAAGATGCCGAGTCTGGTCGGATTTCGCTACATTCCTCCTCACCCACTACAGCGAGCATTTTGAGATCGGGCCTAACATGACCGATAGCAGGTTGCCATACGGAATGACAAGCGAAATACAAAGGCTCACCCTGAGAGTAGAGAAGCGCACTACCAAAGGCGAAGAAGAGAGAGAGGTCTGGCAGGTCATACCCTCTCAACACAGCCGGAATCGCCTCATCAAGTCTTGCACCGGATCCTCTTTTACTCACTGTGACACCCGCACCAAGAACTGTCCAGCTGCGAGGTAGCGGATCTGATGCTACATGGCATGCATTACGTGGGGGGACAGGCCCACTCGCTTCTCTTCGTGGGACACAAGTAACGAAAGTACGGATAGTGCCTCTACTGTTGTGTCCTTTTCTAGACGTCGATCTGCACACTGATGAGCTGACTTCAGACCAGAAGATTTCTTCTACCTTGTGTGTACACAACAGGAGCCTGGTGCATGCATGCAGGCGAGGTATCGAATACCTGCCTAGATGCTGTGTTACTCCAAGCTTATTTTTCCTCTCCTCGCATCCCAAGGGGGGCGTAGAGGGAGCCCCGGGCTTGTGTTACCCCAAGGGCTAAAACTTTGCGGATGCGATGCATGCATGAGGATTCGGTGCCGGGAGGGGGAAAGTGCTCTGCCCGTCTGCGTAGGTACTGACCTACTACGTACCAAACCTTACCTTGATGCCTGCGCAACTTAACAGTACACGGCCAGAACCGGCCATCCAGACGCATCGCCATCCCTTCTATCCGTACTCCGGACAATCCCATCCATCCCTCCGTTCTCCAACCATCTACACACCCTCAAACACACCGCCTAGAGTGACATAATCCATACACGCGATGCAGTCAGAAACATTCCTTGGCTTGCCTACCGAGTGAGCATGACATTTGTATCCTTAGTATCCTCCACACGACCGATCCCATGGCTCAGCGAACTGTGAATACCGACTAGGTAGCTTGAGAGAACCCAGCCCAGTGTGACTGTCATAGTATGTACACACCTCAGCGATGCAAGCTCAGCGCCACCTCACGGCCATGCCAATGGTGGTGGACAATAGGAAAGCCCGTTCGCCCAAAGCATCCGGTTCTGATGGTGTCGCGAGAAATGGTGTGATTGGGTCTCCCGGGGGACGCACAAATGCTTGGTTCCTGCACAGTGGACAACGCACCTTGGTAGTGTCATACACACCCAAGCAAGACAGTTCTTCCACCCATGGGGCCTACCCAGATCAAGCTACTCACTGCGAAGTGCCGTCCCTTCTCGAGAATCTCTGAGCGCACGTGCTGCGTGAGTGTACAATAACATACCTTACGTACCATGAACATCTAGATGGGCTGAGGGTTGGGAAGTAGAAGTAACTCTAGGGCAAAGAAAACGGAGCTCGGCGATACGGTAAGAGGTGCGCTGGCAAATTACATACATACTCTTAGATAGGATACAAAGACGCTGGGGCTTCAAAGCGCTACACGGCATCAACTACCCCCGAATGCCGGTGAGAAAGATCGAGAGTTGGGTTCAGCTGCTATGATACAGAGATGCTGGATACCAATGCCCAATTCGCGGAAGTACAGGAAGCCCCACTCACACTCTCTCCCGTCGCCCACTCCTTTTACCCTAACGAGACCTCAGGAGGAAGAGCAAGCATGTATTCCGTACTGTACACCGCCCAGATTCTTCAGATGGTCTGGCAACGTTGCTTAGGTACGATCTTCAATTTGACATCAATCTCTCCTTTGCGATGATAGCAGTCACAGGACGGCAGCGTGATTCCAGAAAAAGACAACTCCAAGCAGACGGGGACGGCATCAAAGGCAAAAGCTTTGTTTGGCGGGGAGGGGGCAAGAAGAGGCATGAAGCTTCGCGACATCGATGAATCACTATTTACAGCTACCCCCAAAAGCCAAAAGAACGATGCCACCCAGCAAGTCAAAGATATCTTCTTGTTCACTCCTCCCCAAGACACACATGGTTTGCAATCCGTTCCTTTCTACTTTTCACGTGTCATGTTCGCCGAATCCGCGGTGCTCACCACTCCTCTACTCCTGACTAAATCTCAATGAGGAATGTCTTGACCGAAGGGAATAGGGGTGGAGGGGTGGAGGGGTAGGGGTGTAAATGGTCAGATAGCAAAGGGGCAAAAGACACAGAAGTCGGGACCCCATTCCCGAAGAAAGAACTGATTAAGATGTCCGCAGGCCTGGTTCTTTCCTTGGCCCAGACATGGTTCCCAAAGCGTGACACACGCTCAACTTTGCCCCCAACTCCTCACACGCTCGAGTCTCGGCTGGGTGTCGTTGTAATGCCCCGGAACACTCTTCGAGACTACCACAGTCATAATGCAGTCTTGAGACCATGTTGTGCTTGTTGATCCATACAGAACTCAGGGGTAAGGGGCGGCAGAGCTGAATCCGTCTGTGGTAGCGGTAGGCTGCATGGTTGGCAGGATGACGGGATGGGGTCGAGTGTCAACTGAAGCAGGTCGTAACTAGCCCCCGAAAATAGACGCTGCATATGTCGATGAGGAAAGCCACTAGCTTGCTCCGTTCACAGGGCCGCGCGGGCGCGATATAGGGAATGGACTCTGCATGCCCATCCTTTCTTGGGTATCCGCTCTCTGGTAAACTTCGAGAAGAGCCGTTTGATCTTCGGAAGTAAGGTGATTTAGCAGCGTCGCACAGAGCTGAGGTTGCTCTTCTTGCAGCTCTGCATGTCATTGTCAGCAAAAAAGTTCCTTGGCGCTCGCTGAAAGCATCGGAGACTTACTCTTGAAACAATCTCTGAAGGCAAGGTAAGGGTCGATCCTGTCAAGTGGCGACTCCAGCAACACACTATCTTCACCGAGTTCATCCCCGGATTCTTCCATGTCTGCTGGCTTCAGCTTCTGTGCCTGGTTGCAACGCGTGTCAGCAAATCTCCGCAATCGAGCCGTCCCGTGAGTGTCGATCGAGTGAGGTGAGACACCCGGAAAGATTCCCCCCTGATTTGCTTACCTCCTCATTCAGGAACTCCAAATAAGCTGTGCTTTCGTCTTTGGCGTCGCTGCTTGGCTCCTCTTCATTTTCCGGCTCGTTCCAGTTTGCCTCCTCATCGTCCCACTCATCGTCACTCTCGTCGTATCCGTATGTCCCGCTGTCGAACTGGAAATCATCTTTGAGCGCCTCCTCACGGTCTTCGAGGGCGTTAGCTCAGATGCATTGATATGCTGTTAGGGCTTGTACTCACTGCGCATGGCTTCTGGAAGTGTGTCAAAGAGGATCTTGATGCCCTGCCAAAGTGTCAGTTGATTGTTGCCGAGTAATCAGGAGTGGGGGGACCAACCTGGAGCAGTCTCGGCCATCCTTCCGAAACGCTGGCAGGAATCTGGTCCGGCTTGATATTAAGCAGCGCAATGATGGCCAAAATGCACAATTGTTTGTCATGGACCCGCGTGAAAGACGCCATGCTCCCGAACCACAGACTGAAGAACTTGTTGGTCCAGCCCTGAGTCTCCAGGATCTGAAGTGAAAGGATGGGGTCGTAATAAATGGCGTTGATGATCATCTCCATCAGGTGAACTTTGTAGGACTTCAGTTTCACTTCTTCGCTGCCGAGGACACCCATTGCCATGTTAATAAACCCGTGGACACAGTTGTTGATGTGGCCTCGGAGGCTGAGCATCATGGCTTCTGCAAGCTTGCAAGCGCATATCCGGTCAACACCGCCAACCTTATTGTCGGTGAACATATCCGAAACCATCGAGAATAGCGCCTCCACATACTCGGGCTTCTCCATGAGTTGTGGCGCGCCGTACTGCACAAAGTTGTCCAGCGCCGGCAGCATGTCCTCAAGGTAGAGTTCGGCGCCGGACTTGAACGTTGCATGAACAAGCTCAAATGCCTTCCACATGGTAGGTGAGATCTGCTTGGCGGCAAATGTGCAGCTGTCAATGATTTCGAACACCTCGTTGTATAAGTCTTAGACCGCGTTAGTAATGGTGATTCTGGTTTTGGAACGCTGAACTTCACGGCTGGCAATAGGAATTCCTTACCGTAGAGCTTGTTCTCGAGGGTGATTTGAATAACAGGCATCAATACACTCTCAATATGGAGCAGGATGTCCGGTGTGCTCTCGAGCGTGAGGATGAGAGTGCCGATGGTTTGTAGGACTCCCAGAGCTGTGATGCTCTTGTCATCGAGGAAGTCGCCGTACTCGTTGTCAAGATCGTCCCGCTTGTCGCTGTTCTCCAGCAACTCCCTGACGATACGCAAGTACGTGTCGCGGAGCTGTTCACTCAGAGCCACAGCGAATGGAGTGAGCTCTGCAGCGAACACTTCAACAAAGTCCTCCATGACATTGGCTAGGGCATCAATATCAGCCTCGTTGGCCAACTTCAAGAGCTGCTGCATAATGGTCGGGATGCTCGTCTGCATGCTCGCCCGGATGATGTCGTGCCTAATCAGCGGCTGCAGCGCCAGGGCTGCTGTCACACGAACGGGCAGTTTCGGGTCGGCCATGCGGTCGAGAATGTGTCTGTAGACGGCGAGAAGGTTGCTTTGATCCTTGAAGTCCAGTTGCTCAAACTTCTCGATGGTATCGCAAGCACGAGCGCGAAGGAACCCCTGCTCGCTGGTGAAGTCTGGGAAAACATAGCGAACGATGAAGTATTCCACCTGGGATGCTATCGGTGACTTCTTGCCTAGGATGACGGGTGCAAGGGTGCCGATCATGCGCAGAGCACCTTCCTTCGCGATGTGGTTCTTGCTCCCCTCAGGCGCTTGCTCGTACTCGTTGACCACCTGGTTAATGAAGGTGAGAAGCTCGAAAGTCTGTTTCCTCCTCGCCTTGGTCAGCGTGACTAAGAAGTTAGTGGCCGAAACGTCCGGCGCAGAAACCTCCTCGAAAAAGTTGAGTTTCCGGTGGAGGTACTCCTCAGGCTCATCCTCAAACTTCTCGATGTCCTCCTCTGTTAGGCAAAGGACCGGGAAGATGAAGTGAGTAACTAGGTTGGTCAAATGCGGCTTCAGATGCGCCCACATATCCTTGGGCCGAATGCACTCATCCAGGAACACGATTGTGTAGGAAAGGCAAGGCCGGCTGAGCCAGATGGTCTTGGCCACCCATTTCTCGATCTCCTGGAGGTAGTGTTTGAGGATCTCCGGGGCGACCTGGGCTGAGAATTCCTTGATAAACCGTGTTGGTGGCTCCACCGACCTGTCCAGAGCTGACTGCATGTTGCCATGTCTACGCTACGTTAGCACAAGAAGAAGGTTTCATCCTGTAAATGGTGCTATTCATACCTGATATACAGGCGGTTCAAATTGAAGTACGCCCACTTCTTGGCCTTCCACCAATGGTGACGCTCCCGTTCCAAGGGTTCGCCTACCATGGCAGATTCGGGAATGGGCTTGGATACGGTCTGAAGGAAGACAGTGCACCATCCGAGATTGACAGCGCTCTGGCGGAGGAAGTCACAAAGTTCAAGCTATGGCCGGTGTTAGCTCGCTTGCCCTTGTCTTTCCTCAAACAACCTGCAGGACCTACCCATGTTGCATGCTTGTAACACTTGAGGGCAATGTGTAGCATCTCGCCAGCGTCATCGCTATCCTGGTTCACCAACTCGCTGCATATCACCAACAACCGAGGGAAAGTGGCCTCGATGATCTTGTCGAAGTGAGCTCTGCTATCGCTATCGCTCGCCTTGAAACGGTAGGCCCGGCACACTGCCAATAGACACTGCAAGCCGGCCAGGACCGACCGTGCATCGTTGGTGTTGAGAAGCTGCACGGCGTAGTCCATGAACGTCGGCCATTTGTCGGGAAAGTCGAAGTGCAGGATACGCTGCAGAATCGGCACGAGCTGATGCCGCACCAGGTTTTGGGAGCCTGCGAGGATAGGCAATAACCGTTCTCGGAAGCGCGCCTTCTCATCGTCGGATATCAACGTATCGTTTAGGTAGTATTCAGAACGTTCCCAGGCACGGTTGACCCGGTTCTTGAGATAGATGACGGCTACAAGTGCTGTTAGCACCACGCCGGGAACCAGAGGGGAAGAAACACGGCTTGGATGTGCACAATGCCCACGGGCCTTGTCTCGGGAGAGGTAGGGGTAGCCATACTTGGGAGCTGAAGGTTGCCATTTTGCTCTGACTGGACGAGATCCAGTAGGACATCTGTGAAACCAGGTTGGCCCTCGGCCTGCGGGATATGAAGGTCAGCGTTGCGACATGAAGGCTACTGGCGAAGACATGTTGGTCGCGGGGCCGACTCGACGGGACGAGATGCGTCCTGACGACGCACGCACGCGCACGCAGACACAACAAACATGCCCGCACCCCAAACCCACATGAACGCACCTGCTTCAGCTGAATCTCAGCCCTCCGACGGACGTCGGCATCAGCGTCGAGCGTCGCAGCGATGCAGCTTCGAATGGCGGCGGCATCCATTGTGGGCAGAGTTGGGCGGGCCAACTATCGCATCAAAGGCGCTTCGTAGGGCTGTAGTATTGGGTAAGAGGAAATGGCTGGAAGCCAAAGGGTGATGTTTGTCGAGGGGTCCAGAAAAAATTTGGGCCAAAATCTGGTTGCGAAGCATCCAGGCTGCGAAATGGCGGGGCAGAGGTGAGAGTGGGTTTGTTGGGCAGGTGCTGTCAGACACCTTAACCGCCCAGCTTCCAGCGGCAAGGACCCCCAGGCCTACCTGTCCTGAACAAACACGGCCCTAACTGTGAACCCCGAGATTCAGATGGACAGACTAGATGGAAAAAGAAACGAGCTCTCTCATCAAGCAAATAAGATTTATCTCGAATTTGCACTCCTGCACACTTTTGCACGAATTCGGCTGTCTTCTCCATGCAGAGCGAGTTACCTATAGAGTGATCACACTCGAAAAACACCACTTCGAGGTCTCACATTCTCGCGGTCTCACCTGTGAGACACCAGCCCAGGGCTGAAGGAGAAGCTGGCCTTTCCTTTCCCAAGTTGTAGTTATTCGCCAATAGAAAAGCAGCTATCTGTCTCTACTTGCTTCCGAAAACGCCACGCTGTTTCTTGTCCCAAGCTCGGCAGACGGACTGATGGCAACGAAAGGCGAGACTCGAGGGTTGTCACATCATTGCTCAGAGACTTTGTGCAAGTACCTAGGGTCTGAGCACCATGTGGCTCCCACGTTACGCGGTTGCCTCGCAGTACCTATGTCAAACCGACTCGATCTCCTCGACGATACAAACAAGCGCGATCTGGAGTTGAGGTGGTTTTCTTTAATTAAGGTAGGCAGGCAGAACGTCCGGGATCAGATTCCTGTACCCAGATCTCACTCACCGCCTTTGTTGTCGCCTACCGACGCCCTCGGACCCCTCCCCCTCCACACACAGCGTCCTTGCCCCACCAAGCACAAGCCGATCTAAAAGGGCTCTCCACCCGCGGTGGCATCCATTGTGGATCACGCACAGGGCTTGCCGCCGCACACACAAGTTCTCTGACGACCAACACACCAAAGGTACGGATAAGGTAGCTCAGGCTCCAGTCAGGGTAGGTAAATCGCACGGTGCCAACTCTCCGAGATATCCCGGTATACTATTGACTCCCCTGGGTCAAAAACATTGAGTTTTGTTGCGTTGCACGATTCCTTGCCTTCAAGACCACAAACAGTAGTTTTGTCCGTTTCTCCTTCCACTCAGGCTGTGTGCCCTATGTACCGTATCTACCTTACCTATGTACGGCATTTACCCCCAACTACCTGTTGTTGCCCAAACCTGATATCGACAATACCTTAGATAAGGGAACTTGAGAGGAACGGGCACGACAAATGCGTAAGTCGTAAGTAACAGTGCTGTTCTGTTCAGCAAGCAGACGAAGATGAATTATTGATCAAACCCTCCCTCCTTGGCTGCTTGGAGTGACACCGAACCTGTCAGGAACCATGAAAGTGAGGAATAACACGACATATGGGTACCACAGCTCCGTATCTTATCAAACTCACATGATGCGCTTCAGATCGCTGTTCCATATAGGATAGCGCTGTTAGCCCCGCGGAGCATAGCGAAGATATGGATGTTGTCCACAGAAAAGCTCATCAAGAAAAGAAATAGTCGCAGCAAGTATCAAGCTTAACTTCTTGGACAACCAGATCTCGCTCTATCATGAAGTATGGTATCAGAGGGGAGCTGTGAGGTTCCTCAGTATGGCGACGGTGTAGTACACAAAGGAACCTGAAGTGACGATGGCGCATGTATAACCTCAAGCAATCCAGTCATGAACACACATTCAGCATAATCCGCGAGAACAGGGCTAAAAGACGCAAATGCTACTGAGGCGCTCATTTCATTTCCCATTCCCTGCCTCAATCGCATCCCAGAGATGGCCGGAACTCCTTCACAAAACGACGTAGACACGGCAGAGATAAAAACCACACAAATCAACAAGAGCCAAAGGTCCTAGAGATCCCCTCCATTGCGTCGCCTTCTTCTGCTCCACATCCAGGATTGTATACCACAGACGCTTTGGAAAACAACTGCGACCGAAAGCCCATTGACCTAGTTAAACCACATGCGACACCAGGCAGAGAACCCTCCCGAATCAAAGTGCATCGCCAGCCTCGGAGAGCTGTGGTTGGGTCACAGTCAGTATCTTATTTCGAGCGCGGTCTGGCAATCGATGGTCACCGTGGCCAGTCTCCGGGAGGAAGAAAAGGCGAGAATAAGAAATAGGACTGACGAATGACACATGCCACGACCAGATAGATCCAGGAGAGAAAGGTCCATGGCGGTATTCTTTGCAAACCACGTGAAGTGATATCAGATCTCGGCCATTTCCGGGTATCCAGAGTCCTATCACGGATGATTCCTCGAACGGAGATGTATCCATACCATCGGCTCTTGTTGAAATCTGGCGACATCCTTGGCTTCCTCCAGTGGTCTCAGTTGGGTGAGCGTGAATACCTGCCTTAGGTTGCCGGATGGTTCATGCACTGGATGTGTTCCAGACAACGAGTGCGCCCATGCAACAAGATGGTGTTACCCAGATTGCTGGCATGGACGTGGAAATCGGAAATCAGTTGTGATGAGCGTTCTTGAGCGCCAGAGCGATCCACGGCTTTCAGGGAAGCAAAGGACAGATCCAGAGTCAAAATGCAGACGAGAGCAAACGAGGATGTCCGAAAAAGTGACCCGGCGGAACGGAGGAGCACCTGACGCTCCACCTTACCATCTGTATCAGTCCTTGCTGTTTGAAGCATCACCCCTGTGGGTATGACCAGCAAAGGAGATAAATGAGTCCAAGGGCGGGGAAGGCAACTCTGAAGAAGCCCCCCACTCTTTTTTCAAAGAGGGGATAACAGAAACAGTGCCCATGCCTGTTCGGTTCCGAAAGGCAAGATTGTGCCACTTTCTTGGAGCTGAGTCCGTTCCCGGGGCAATGGTTAGAGTAGTCCATGGGTCGCAGTCCAGGCAGAAACCAGTAACGGTACTGAGTCCAGGTGAAATCCAGAAGCCAGAAGAGAAAGTGGTATGAACCGTCCAAGGGCAGCAAGACTCCATCATTTGGTCTTCCGACTCCAGGGTCCAAGTCCACCCAGCCTGTTTTGTGTTAGTCGACTTCAACTCACTTTTCGTCACCTGAGATGCCCGCGATGAGAGAATGGTGTAGCACATTGTGATCCGAGGAGGGGTGCATGTTGATATGTACAAGTTCGCTGGATGTTCACTCACCTTAGCTGTCCGGCCTCGGCGTCGGGCTGTCGTTGGGAGAAGATAGGCTGATTGAGATCCAGAAGCTGTGAACAGAAGCCAACCGGCCATCAGGTGGAGAAAGTCCAGGGCCAGCAAATCCATGAGGATGGGACGGTTCTGCCAGGGGTCCGGACAGCAAGGAGAGGAATCATCCATAGCGAAGAGAAATACCGAATCGACGTCACCCGCTCCGTTCCCAGTGCATCGGAATCCCAGGCCTTCTGGTATCATGCACGCCTCACACTCTGCCTTGAGGTGAGAAAAAACATAAAATCGCATAACATCATACGTCGTTTAACTCCCGTCCATTGATGCCGTCGCCTAGGTTTTGCCGGTAGTAGGTGGAATATCCGTTTGGTGAGGGAATCCCGGCAAGTCTGGATATCCCAGTGGCAGCATCGGCCAGCAGAGTCGGGAACGCGGGTCGAAAAACCAGAAAATCATCATCATCCGGAGGCCTAGAGGTGCAACTTGCAGCTCTGGAAGTCTGTCATCTCCTGTCCCTGGTCTATCCATGGATGATGGCCATTAAGGTCGAAAGTAGCGAGCCCCGGAAAGCGAAAAATCAGTAAAGAAAAACGCAAAAAATGGCCAATGCCAAGGCCATGCTATTAAGAATGAACATCGGACAAGTCCGTGAGATCGACAAGTATCGTGGCGAAGTGCAGGGCTGTAGGGCTCCAAATCCTGAGGCTGGTGACCATTAGCGGTGACGGTGACGGTTCCGGTCTGCGTGTCTGTCATCACGCTCCTGTTCCGTGCGGCGGGCCTTGTGGTCCCTGTGGTCTCGCTCCCGCTCTCGTTCCCTTGGCTCCGAGTCACGGTCACGGCGCGCGGGGGCCGCTACACTGCTTGCCGACTGAGCCGGGGCAACACTGGTAGGTGTTGTGGCGGACTGGAGTCCAGAATTCCTGACGTCATCATACTGAGGTTCTGGAGGGGCTGGGTAACCTTGCCGTTGTGTTGTACCTGCGGGTGAACCTAGCTTATCAGACGAAGTCCCGGGAGGTTTGGCTGCTGCTGTAGTATACGCACCCGGACCGCGCCCGTACAGAGCATCCGTTGGAAAAGCTTGGGCAGCGGGGTTTCCCGCGGGCGGGTACCCGTATGGATCTGGCTCTGTTCCGTAGACAGGCGTGCTGACTGGAGGGGCACTAAAAGTCCTAGATGGCGCAGCAGACGTGTGCGGCATGGCTGGTGGCATCCTAGGCGGCCCGGTCGTAGCATACCCGGGTGCGGCCGTCTGATAATTCGATCCATGAACAAATGCAGCGTCCTGGTATGACCCTGGAACGGGAGGCGGCGGAATCGCGGCATACCTGTCGCCGGGATTCTGGGGCTGCGGAGAGTACTGCGTGGGAGGGGGATTAGGCGGATATCCATAGGCCGGCTGGGCTGGGTACTGAGACGGAGCACCGGCGTGAACTGGAGGGGGATACGCGGCCGTGGAATAACTCGCGGGAGGCGCTCCTGCGTATGGCTGGCTTGCATAAACTGAATTCCCGGCAGCGCCTGGAGGGGGAGCATAGTCAATGTCCATGGCAGATCCGTACGTGGCTTCGTATTCCTGTTGTTCCCGCTGGAGGTTCTTCCACGCACTGTAATCAGACTGCCCACGAGGCTGATCCCGGGAGCCTACGGGCGAGTTAGAGTTCCGCTTCATAAACATGCCATTCGGGTGGCTCAAGTGCATTGTACCTCCGCCCGAAGACCTAGCCGCGGCACGCCTCTCCTGCTCCCACCGAGCGGAGTCGGCCTTGAGATCTTGGATCATCGCCTGAGTGGGGTTAGTGACCGCCCAGTACGACGATACCCTCGTCAAGGTGAAACATCCGGACTCACAGATGTCAAGTTGCGGTACGCCGTGATGAAGTAGCCCTGTGTAACACGACCGTCTGGTGACTGCAGATGGCATGTTTTGTGAGAAAAAGTGCGGGAAATGTAGAGAGTGAGGGCAGTCATACCTCATACGTCCCGGGGCGCACCAACGCGTCATTTCCCAGGTATCTGCAGATGTCCGATGTGATGACTTCCCGGTCGATGCCATCGCGAGGGACGAAGTACTCGTTCTGGCGTGGTGCGGCCGGCGGCATCGGCTGTGTTTGGCTTGACCTGTTGTTAGGTCTCCCCGCCATTGTAGAACTCTGGGCAAGGAGCGGGAATCCGAAAAAAGCCGTAACCGAAAAGAACTGAAGTCAGAGTCCGGGACAATAGGAATTTGGAGACCTCAAGACCTGGGATGAGCAGTGAAACAGTCGCAAAATTCGCGGGAAAGACGGAGGAGAGCCGGCAACGCGGTAGGGCAGGCAAAATAGGAGAGAGAATAAGGGCGAAGGAGGCAGAGGAGCGGAGAGGGCGGGCGGGCCAGGAAGAAATGGGACGAAGGGGCGACGAAAACCCGGCGCTTGGGGTTGGGCTGTCAAAGTGGGTCTCCGCTGCCTGGCAGAATGGCTGGTGAGTGGCGGCGTTCAGCAGCAGTGGACCAGGCCTTGAAGCGGGCCTCTGGCAGCGGTCTTTTCCCCGTTGGGCAGTGACTGCTGGCCCGCGCAAATGGCAGACCAGGCTCGGGCTGCAGCATGTATGTCGTTGGCTGGGGTGTTGTGCATACGTTGCGCTGTGTCTTTGTTTCTGGCATTCGGTGGCAATCAGAGAAGACTGGTTGAGAAGCACCTGCAGAGATAGCCACAGTTAAGGGGACGGGGATGAGATTGGAGACGGTCTCGACGGTGCAAATCTGGTGGGTGGGCGCCCAGCGGGAAGCCGATGTTACTGTCCACCGACTCCCATTGGGAGGATCCCGCCTCGGCGGTACTAACGTTGAAGCGGTGGATCAGCCCGTCGCTCAACTGGAGTTCACGAAACCTGGAAGAGACGCTCCGAGACACCGTTATGAGCGATGGCAAGAAGTTGAAAACGCTTCGGGCCAGCTCAGCTCACTCAGCCAACCCTGGAAGGCGACAAACAGCACATCCGGCGAGATGGGCAGCTCCGCTCCAATCATCGAAAGGCTGCTTGAGCTTCGTTGTCCTGTTCCTGAATTTCCAGGCTGCTCCTGCAACTCCAAGTGGCCGTCCCGGCCAACACGAGGCGGGAGAAATGCGGTTTGTGCCAGAAAACTCGCAGCGAGGACCTGCAGGCGCATGTTTAACAGACCTAATCGGAGACACTCCGGCAGGGACAAGAAGTTTCAATTGGCCCTGCTCAGCTCGCATTTATGCAGAGATACACCAGGGTTCCAGCAGTCATCTACATACATATCACAAGTAGGTACACGCCTCTGTGAATTGGTGCAAGGCTTGCTGGGAAACGGAGGAGAGGACTGAGAGCCGACGGGAAAAGATCCAGCCCCCACGGAATCGGGCTGTTCGACCGCGTTCTGGCAGCGTCGGTCGCCCAAACTGGTGAACATTGAAAGGCGGAATCATGATTAGGTGGACCCCGTCCAGGCCTGGATGACACGTCTGCCGATTGTTGTCTGGCAAATTCTCTCACACTGTAGGGCTGAACTGGGAATGGGCGTTCCAACATTCCCAACGCTGGCGTCTCTTCTCCTCTGTGAGTCAGTCACGCTACGTCGGGAGGAAAGAAACTGCAGCGTCCGCTTGCTTTCGAGCTAAGGCGTCAGTCACAGTGTCTAGGTACCCTTAGACTAGTGTACATGTGTAGTACATCCAGTACTGGGCGGAACCCGATCATGGGATGAAGGGCATCTTTCGCCGGTGATGCTTGTGGCAAAGCTTCAACAGCCAAAAAAAGGCATTGGGCTCTAGGAGTGGCAAATGATCTTAGAGACCAGGTGATACTGAGACAGGTGATACTGTGACGATGTTGTGTGGTCCTCGCAGTCGCTCATCGAGCGGACGTCTCTGCATCGGTGGGTGGAATCGGTGTGTGAGGCGGGAGTGGCAGTTCGTCTGAGGTGCTTGACAGGGTCGGGTATCAATGCAGCTTGAAGCGGTGGTTGTCTTGAAGCCCAACCTGCCCACTGGCCCCATTCGATGGGCAGCCAACCAATCACAATGAAGCACAGCACCCTTCACTGTCGCGGAGAACTGGAAGCGAGGCGTCGACTGCCCATGACGGGAACGCATGCACAGTACTCAGTACTGCGACAGAGGCGCGCTCTTGCCCATGCGCACGCCTGCCATCCTCCGGATATTGATATCATGCCTCGATCTGGGTGCCTCCCAACCGTTTCATGGCCGTCATGACGGCCACTCCAGGAGACTTCCAGGTTCTGTCTTCACAGTTACCCGGAAGCATCCAGGACGTTCTTATAACGACGTTCGAGAGCCGTGACGTTCCGCAGCACCACCTCTGCCGTCAGGATGTGTTTTGCGTGTCGAACCGGAACTTTGGATGGCCATCGACATTTGGCCTGCCGATGTACGGAGTAGTTGCGACCTAAATGAAGCTGATTTCTCAAATCTTCCAACTTCACATTGCCAGAGGCACTCGCGACTCGCGGCTGCTGATAGCCCGTCTTGCTGAAACGGAAGCAGGCATCCTGTAAGGCAGGATCGAAACAGAATGCACTGCGTTACGGGTAGACTCTTCTCTGCATATCCTACTGCAGACTCAGGTTCGATGTATGCGCTTCGCTAGCCGAAGTTCAGCTTCTTTTGCCCTCGCTCCATCTTGCGCGGCCTCCCGGGCCCCTTGGACGATGCAGGTCCTGCGTGCCGGCCGCCGGATGGTTGGTTTGCTGCAACGGCAGATGGCCGGCTGCCAAATGCCAGCGTGACACGTTCTTGCTCCTGGAGGTCTTTGGCAAAGTGCCAGTCCTGGTGGCTTTGGAGTGCCTCCGGGGTCTCCAGACACGCGCTGCACCGGGAGCAGGGGTGCGCGCCTGCCAGATCATTGGACTGGACCGCAGGCCGCCTCTCATCCGGTCTGGGTAAGCCACTCAGATCACCGGCCGGATCCGGCACGGCCTTGGGTTCTCGGATACCCAACGCTTCTTCACCGCCATCGTCCTCGACGGCAGCCTCGTCGGAGCCCAAGGACGGAGACGCCTTCGTCTTCGTCAGAAAACGCTGGATCCCGCCATCTTCCATGCGCCGCCGCTTCTCCGAGTGGGGTTCGTTGCCGGCTTCCACTTCTGCCCGTGCCCGACGGCCAGGGGCGAATGCTTCTGCCTCTTCGCCCTTCAATAAGAAGGCGCCAATTCCCATGTTCCCCGAGATGCCGTCTTCAAAGCCACCGACGCTCAAGCTGAGATTGGAGCAAGGCCAAACATTGCCCTCTTGAACAACCTGGTTGAGCAGGGTCTTGGCGAGCCCAAACAATGTCTGCTCATCCAGGGAACGGCCCTGAGGGATCGGGCTCTGGCGTGAACGGGTCAGATTGCCGTGGCGGTGGTGGAGGTTGATGGTCTTGGGGCGTCTTTTGTTCTCCAGAACGCCTTCCTCGACCAGTCGAGAGAAGATATCGGCGACGAAGATCTTGAGCCACCTCGTCGCCTGCTCAGTGGTGTTGATACTAGGCCGGAAGGATTTGGCCGAGAGCATCGACTTGATCTGGGTACGCGGATTCACCTCGCTCGTGTCGATTCCGCGCAGCGTATTGTAAACCCACACGCCCGTATCATCTCCAAGCTTCAGTTTGAACTGCTCCACGGAGACCCCGAGGAGCTCTTGGACCGAGTCTGTGTTGAAGGCCAGCCGGATCTGCTCACCCAGCTTGCCCCCCAAGTTTCGGAACTTGGTGAACTTGAAACCCGACAGAAAGTGGCGTATTGCGCGATTCCGGATCACTGTCTGTTGATTGGGTTTCTTATGCGCCGAACCAAGCTTGCTAAGCAGCTTGTTCCTGGCGATCCCGGCCGCGCATGTGTACCGGAGCTTCTCTCTGATTGCTGCCCGGATATTGCGCACAATCTCGGACGCGAGGAGGAAGGCCACGTCATCCCAATCGGGGTCGTCGAATTCGGCATGCTCATCATCCAAGTCCACAAGCGCGTCGGCTTGCCAGTCCAGTGCCGAAAGGGGGGGTATGGGGAGCGGTTCGGATGGGTCACCACTGGGAGGAGGACTGGCTAGCTCGGGGAAGCGTTCGAGGAGGACGGCATGGACGTGGGCGGATAAGTCAAGAAACACCTCATCGATACTGGCCTTCTCCACTTTCTGCAGGTGCGGAGGGAGTTGGTCCTTGATGACGCGCAGGATCCGTCGGGACTCGAGCCGATACGGATCTAGTGAAACCTTGTCGGTTGCGATATTCTCAGCAGCATCCGGTCGATAAGCCCTAGGGCGCGTTAGCATGTCGGTCCTGGGGGCGGGAAGCGGAAACGGAGCATTGCATTGAGCATACCACTTGTCATCACCCTCTCGCCAGGTCGCAACATGCTGGTGGATGAGGTTGGGGCATAGTTTCTTTGCTTCCGCCACAGTGCACATACGACCGATGCCGTAGGCACGGGCGGGATAGTTGACGGCAATCAAGCCTTGCCTTTACGCGGTCAGAACAGGCCGGAAAAGCCGTCATGCAAAGTGGCACGCACCATTGCTGTACGGCAAGAGGCTGATCCTCAGGTACACCTAGACGAACCATCTCGGCCTGGGCGTAGAAGCAATCTAGGTCTATATGAGTGATCACTCTGAGCGGGCAGGAGGTGTTGTATGAGGCCATCTGGCTGAGGTTTCGATATGTAAACTGCGAACGCCGCTGCTCGAGTGCGCCAGCCCGGTCCGGGTCCGGGAATGAGTGCTGTGGCGACGACATTGCGACGTGAGAGCAGTATCCATGGGCTGCGGTGTCATCCTAAAGGCATTATTCGTTTGTTATGTTGCTGGTTTAGAGCCTGTACTATCAGGAACATTCCGTCCTCACGTATCTTTTCATGACTCGGGTAGTGAGACAGGAAGTGCTCTGGTGTCACGCTGTGTGGGGTGGACGCGCTTGATTCGTCAGTGCAGAAGTTGGAAGGGCTGTAATGTATTGAATGCGTAGGGTTGGTTATTTACAGAACACGGGGTGAAACTTACCTATTGCTTAACGCCAAATGGGCAGAGCGCATACAAAGAGACGCGGTATTATACAGTCCTTCCATGTAGCGTTGTGTACACTACATACGAAACAGCAACACCGGCTGCCAGATATACCAAACAGTCCCACCATTGAACCAGGGCCGTTAGGAATCGAACCTACGGTAATCCTGATTGACATACCCGGACAGACACCGGGCCAACTACCTACCTTAGATAGGGCTGGACTCAGCTTTCGAGTCTCCCGAAGCGGCGGCCGGCGCAGACGAAGGGGAATGGAAGCTGTTGCGTTGTACCATAGTATCGTGCGGACTCCCCCGAATCCCGATCGGCACGGCCCGACGTCCGGCTCTGTCCATCTGTGAAGCGCCAAATGTAATACCCGGGCCGTCCTGCCTACTCTGCAGGTACCTAGAATCTGTATGACGGCCTGGAACACCATCTAACTTTTGAAGCCGGCAGATACCTTGTGTTTCCAGACACAAGCCAAAGTAGGTAGGTGCATCGTTCAAACCATGCCCAACGTTACTCGAGTCACATATAGAAAAACTAGGGTATCTCGTCCCGTCTATGCCATTAGTCCAGTTGTCCCATATATCCCATGCTTCTGCCGTCTTTCCGTCTCGGTCATCTCCACCCTCGTTTCCTCGGTCGACACGTCTGGGAGCCCATACCGGACCCGCAGCCGCTGGTACAAGGGGCCCATCTCGTAGAAGCTCTCGTTGTTCTCGTACTTAGCGCAAGGGGACTCGTTGAAAGGAAGCAGCCAGTCAATGATGTTGTCCCCCATGACGGATCTCCAGTTGCGATAGTAGCCAAGGTCCCAGGGATTCTCGCCCATCTCAGTCTTGACGATGGCGAACGTGCGTGTTGCCAGTTGATCCCGGGCGGAAAGCTCATGAGAGGCCGTTTGTCCCGAAACATCTGACGTACTCGTGGATGTCGGCAGGGGGTACGTGATGACGTTGTAGTTCTGACCTGGGGGTGTGCCTCGCGGTACTCGTATGGCGAGCTGGTGCACGACGTTCTTGGACTTCACATAATCGACTGTCGTCAGGTTGATAAGGATGTAGCGTACCGACGAGAGCGTCATAGTTAGAGTGAAGAGGCCAAAGAAGGCGCCGAGTACCAAGGCGGCAACGGCAAGCCCATCAGCACCATCTCCCCTGCGCACTTTGGACACCAAACAGATGATTGCAGCAACGATCACGACGGCGCAGTATAGCGACGTGTAAAACGTGAACTGCACGAAAAACTTGAAAGCTGCGAGCGGCCGTGAGTCAGGGGCGGTGAGCTCGCAGGCCATAATGATTAGGCAAGCAGATTGGCGCTGGAACTCACATGTCTCGGCAACAATACCACCGACCCAGGGGCAGTAATGGTCCATCTTCTTGACACATCGTTCAATCTCACTGCAGTGGTGAGCCCGGTCGATCTTCCAGTTGCAACAAGTGCTGCACCATCGCGGCCGCCCGTCCGTCTCGCACACAAAGACGTCCTTGCTGTAGAACTGTTCGAGGCCGGGGCTGTCGGGATTATCATCGGGCCGCGCCTCATATCGGCTGCCTGCCTCGAGGTCTCGTTCCCGTCGACTGCGGCTCTTGGCGTTTGCTTTGTGTTCCGCAGCCCGTGGCCCGAGGGGCGTCACGCCGGGGTTGAGTTGAATAACAATGAATACTCGGAGATATGTCAGGAGCGCAAGTAGAAGAAAAGCGAAGTACAGGACAAGGAAAACGATGGCGGCGCCTCTTTGCTTTCGGTCGGACAGGAAGAAATCCACTAGGAGACCGGTCAGAGATGGAGGTTGCGGGAACAGAGCCCGAGCGATAAGCGTACCGCAAATGTGCTTCACGATGATATAGGTAGCGAAGCCAACGCAGCCACCAAGAATGAGCGGAATGATGCGCGTCACCCACCGCGTTTCTGCCCGGCGAGCCGACACCATCGTGTCCCACTCTGTTGTTGGAGGGGGGGCGCCGCGTTGATCCGGGTCGGCGAAGCGGGGGATGGATACTAGTACCGATGGGACACCTTCGCGATGGCTTCGGTCGGCCGCATATCAACGAGACCGGTGGCGTCGAAGTGAAGCGCATCCGATGGCGGGCATGCTGGCCCGTTACCGGCGACAGTCGGGAGCGTCTAGGCGCATCGAGTTCAGGTTGCGAGACAATGTTCGGCGGTTGCCGAGATGACGTTGGGTGGAGAACCAGGAACCAGATTGCAGCGTTTCGCCGGCAATGCAGATGCCAAGGCCTGACGGGCGCCAATTTCGACCCACTACAGTCTCGCTCGGAGGGTAACATTAACATTAACGTTAGTTATTACCTTGGCGTCTGTTTGCGGGATGCCTCTCAACATGCGTGATACTAATAGTATGCCAATGTACTTCAGACTAGGTAGAGTCTGGAATTCCAGTCGGCGGCTATGACAGCCGTACGGCTTGGTATCGGGCACATCCCTTCACAGAGAGTCAAGCCAACTCCAGGGCGTTAGTATCGTATCAATGCCGCCCCTGCTATAGTAATAATGCCAAGCCAGGGTCTGTTTACGTACAGGGGGAGAGCTGTGATCACCTTATGCCTCGTTCGCAACACATGTCAGAAGGATGGCCAGACGCCGTTTCATGCACGTCACGTGAACCTCCTTCTGTTTTCCTGTTCCCGGGTAGCGCAGCCGAGTGTCCCCAAGGGAAGCCAGAGAGTGGAGAGTGGTGGGTGATACACGAGCGAGTGGAGCGTTCCCAAATATATCGATGCACTGGTTCACCTTCGAATCAGCCTCCCTATCTCATTGACAGGATGCACCGACATCTCGGGTACCGTTCCCGCAGCATCGGGGACAGAATGGCGCCACGACATCAGCATCTGGTCTCAACGGCACTATATACGACTAAAGGGTTCGGTCAACGACTGAATACGGCCTTACCTTTTCAGATGCCGCAGTCCGAGCTCTGGTGACGATGGCGTGATGCTTTCTCAAGTCCAAAAGCTGAGCTAACCTCGTGGCTATCAGCTACTAATATTAAATCCCCAACGCCGCCTTCGCGATTCTCTATGTGGCATGAAAGATGGCGGGCACCGTGGGGGAGACGACTGTATCAATACGAGAAAAGTACAGTTTCGTCTGCAGGGCTTGTCACAGGCGTGCATCGAAACAGCCATCGTCGAGGGTTGGCCCAGCGCGCTTATTATGCATGGAGTTGGTCATGGCTCAGACGCCGTGGCTGCGAACCCAGCCAATCAACCAAGCTTGCTATAGGAGATGTTAGAGGAATGGCTGGGTACGGATCGTCACGCTATACCGGATTGAATAGCACGGAAACCGTGCTATTCAATCCGGTATAGCGTGCTTTTCGCCAGAGCCGGGCTCTTCTGGGGCTTTCGTACCAGCTACCATCTATCCTCTCTCTATGCTCCCATCCAACTATGTCCGCCAGACGAGTTGACGACTTTCGCGGCGATGACCTCGCCTACCTTGGCTACCTTTACCTTGCGGCCACTAACGTCCCAGTAGCCGAGTTGATATCTCGGCTTGAAGAGCAAGTTGCGAGATTGCACCGCATCCAGCCTCAAGCCCCCAGTCACCGCCGCGGTCAATCGGAAGACGATGAAGGTCAGACACACACAGCGCCAACATGAGAGCCGAGTCGGCAAGCCGCGTAGCTCGCAGCTCATCGAGCCTGAGGACTCACCGTCTCTACATGTTGAGATCTGGAATCCAACTACCGGGGACAAGCTCGCGCAATCAAGCCCAGCGTGGTCACCTCTGTTCGGCGGTTTTAAAGGTCTCAAACGGCAAAAGAAGCAAAGAACCGCAGACGCGGCGGCAAGTAACGGGATTGAGGATGAGCTCGAGACTCCTCGCCGACCTGATTATGCGGCGGGACAAGGGAAAGAAGGAGGATAGCAGGAATTTGGACGTTTCGAGCGGCAATGGGAACGCTGCCGGCCGTGAGACAGCGCCAGCCACGACACGAAGAACATGGTCAGCCGCCTGACGCCGAAAGTTGTTCGGTGCTCGATTCGTCGGCTGCTCGCAAAGGTCGTATAGGTAGGCCTCGTCAATGGCCGAACGTCGGGAAGATGTCTCCCCCCCCCCCCTTCTATAAGGCTCGCCGTTGCCCGTTTCCCAACATCGGCCCATACCCATGTCGGCGTGCAAGGTGGCAGAGTTGTCCAGAGACATCCGAAATGTCCCGACCATTCCATGACCACGACTCAACTGATTCTTGCTGGCAGGGCCTAGGTCCCGTGGGCCAGGGCGCATCGATAACGGACCGGGATGGACCTCCAAACGACCGACGGCAAACCCCAAAAAACGAAACCGATTGCTGCCATCGAGTCCTGGCAGACAGAGAACATTGAGTCCGGACAGGGCACAGCGGCTCACTACCTACGTAATAGAGCGTCAGCAGAGCCGCATCGTTGACTCAAACAAAGCACTACTAGTATCTGCCACGCCCAGGCCCGGCATCCCCCGACGAACCTACCAGGGAATCTAGCAGGTACGATCGGAGCCCGCCGGTTTCAGGAGCGTAATAATACTCATAAGCGACGATCAGGTTATGCCTAACATGAAGCCTGGGCGGCAAGGCTGAAGGTTGCTCGGTGAGCAAAACCTCGTCCTCACGTACCCATTTCTGGTCGTTTCGGTCTGGGTGCGAAATAACCACCCGGTAGTCACGAGTTACTGCAGTAATGAGGTTGGAGCCTAGGATGGTGGGGTCATGCCTCCCAGAATGTTACAGTCCTACGGAGTACCTAGATTCAGGTTCCGGGTCAAAGCAATGCAATTAATTGCCCGAGCCAAGCCGCGATGGAAACGGGCAACTCGAGACAAAACGCCAAGACTCGAAGAGCCGCATCAGCTGCATCAGCCACAGTAACACCTCAGATCGTCTGTACCTGCATTCCCACTTTAGCCGAAAATCACAAGTCCGCAGCATCTGGCTTGACACCGTCTGTTGTTTGCGCTCTCTTTCCTCTACGGCTCGGGCAACTATGATAGGGTCGAATTCTTTTGCTTCCCTGCCCAGAGCTAGACCAATGTCCGAGACGTTGATGAACACTCGTTCTCCTCGTGGAAAGGCCCCCTTTTCCAAGTTGCCCCCAGGAACGGATGCTACGGCTTGTTGGGCACCTCTCATCCCAGGTCTCTCGGATCTTTGGACCCGGAGCCATGGGTCTTGAACTACATTGCTGCACCCCACAGGTGCACCGTTACAGTAGTGTACCTATGTACGACTGCTACCTACCTTACCTTCAGGCCCACTCGCCGGTTTCGACCGACAGCACTCGTCAGCTGCGCCTACGGGTAATGACTGCAGTCTCCGGGTGAGGCAAATAGCAGGAACACAACCTTCCAGTGGACTCCTCAACCCCGGTTTTGACCGGAGGCGACTGGACGGGGACAGCTCCGATGCACCTCCGAGCCTTAGACTCATCGGCCGGGAAGCCGTCCAACGAACGAGTGCTCTCTCTCCCTCCTGTGGATTCAGGTAATTGACGTCTTCACCGCAGTAGTCTCACTCCTGAGAATCTCGCCTTGCTTTCTCCCTGGCTTCATTGCCTGAGCTACAGCCCCCAAGTGGGCATCATCATCATGGCTGAGCTTATGCCCGCGGTCAACGAGCCCTGAGCATTGCTTGACACTCTTTTGTCAGGCAAACCAGGTTCATCTGCGCGATGGAAGTGAGGCAAATGGCAGGCAGGAAGGGCGGTCTCTCGTTGTTTTTGTTCCTTCATGTTCCAGGTCTTTCTCGTTGATATATATATATATATATATAAGACGCGAGTGTGTCTCTCTCTCCTGAGGTCTTCTAGAGACTAGATACTCAGCACCGGCATCAGCATCTCTATCGCAGCAAAAAGCGTCATCATCATCTCCTCTCCACCTGAGTATCTATCTCCATTCCTATCCGAATCGTCACATTTCACAATCCCCTACACCCACTACAAGCCCCCCCTTTTCTCTCCCTAGACAACATGGGCAAGGGCAAGGACTCGACCACGAAGAACTACACCTACGTCAAGAGGTGGAGATGCGTGCGTCCCTATACCTGCTAACAACTGATGAGGGCCGTTTGAGTACCGTACTGATACCTAGCGGGAAACAGGACAACTGCGGCCTCACCAACCTGAACCCCAGCACTGACCTCGTCTGCCCCAATCCGTACTGCTGCCATGCGCGCTGTAAGGGCTGTGAGGTCTTCAAGGTCAAAGTCCGGATTGATTGCTAGGGAGGTTGCTTCGACTCCCCCAGCTTTCATGGGACTCGCCTGAATGAGGGAGGCAGGATGGGGGCTGGACTCCACTGCTCTGAAGGACTGACTTGGCCCTTTTTCGTTTTCCTTCTGTTTCCCCCCCTTTTCTTCCCTTTTATACTTCTACGGGCATTGGAGAGGCTGGGAGTTTTCCCTTGGTGCTGTTGGTGTGTCTATTGCTTGTCCGTGGTTCCTTGGTCTCGTTGCTGTTTCTTTGTTTGTTTCTTCCTTATTAGAACGAGTTGCCTGGCATAAAGATTAGGTTGTTCGGTTCATTAGAAGAGGAGTTTGGTTAGACGATTTCGGCGTGATCGGAGGATTTGGAGCGGGTCGAGCATTGGGCGGTCTCTTGTTCTCAGGGCAGCGGGCTGCTAAGAAGGGATACATTGTTTGCTACCGGCAGTACTGCTGTGGCAGGAGTCAGTCGATGCCGCTTGCTTGTCTCTTACAGTTCTTCGGTTTACGGGCAAAGAAGCGTTACAGTTCGTCCCTTGTTACACATACCCTTTTACGCCCTTGAGCATGTAGCAAATTGTTGTGTCACCTCATCTTCCAAGTGAAAGAAGGCGGCACCCTCAACCCGCTCACAATAGCGTTGCACCCATCCGTCAGATCGACAACCCCTTTATCGCCAGCCAAGTCCCTCAGCACCCAGGCCGCATGTATCAAGCGCGTCAGGTTCGACGAGGATGAATCATGAATCATGGAAGAACAATCACCAACCTCGAGCGCCTTTCGCAAGATGTTTGCCAGGACGCAAAGTCTAGTCACTCCATGCTTTCGTCAGCTACCGTCATGGAAAATTCAAGAGGGACTGCAATAGATCGGCAGGATGGCGGCCGACTTGACATGTGTCGGGGTATAACAAGGAGGCCACTCGACCGGCTGAGTCTCCAGTTCGACTCCTTTCAGCATCAGCATTTCCCTGTCGACCGACAAGACTTGAGCGAGTCCAAGATTTTCGATAACAGCCCGATCCACCATGTAAGCACGCGTTTCTGCCAGCTCCCGAGTTGAGTTAAGGTAGGTGGTCCGGCCCTCGGAGGGCTCACCGAGAAAGATCCCACGCTTTCAATACCGGAGTCCTCCGGTACCTAACATAAAATTCAACCTCCGCTCCGATTGTGGATCCAAGTGGCCCCGAGCCGAGGTCCGGATAGAGCAAGGCTAGTAACACGGGAAGAAGATAGGCCTAGGAAACTAGCCAATCTCGGAACCTCGCTATGTAATAGTAACTTAGTAATGGCATCCTTCATGGGTCCTGGCCCAATGCACATCTGAGCCATAATAAATATCGGAAGCGAAGAGGGGCACATTGCAACTTGGGATTCAATGTTGCTCGACGAACGTCACCTGAGCAAGTATATCCCGTCTGACGTCAAGCACCCCTTGTCAACCGATTTTTCACTATTTTACCTTAAAGAAGAGCTTTAAAGTAATCCATTCTGTTGGACTCTACAAGTACCTAGGTAGTTACATTTATGTGACGCTGATAGAACCGTCAAACAAATGAGACTACGAGCGGCCATATCATTGCAGGGGATCATGGCCAAGGCCACGGTCCAGGCGTTGCGAGTAATGTCCCCCAGGCATCAGCCACGTCACCATTCCAAGTATAACATACTACCAAGTGTCGGCAAGAGCTGCGTGATATCCGTTCAGCAGACCGCCCCCCTACCGTTTCTGCGGCTGGCGTAGGTACAGTAGTACATAGTACATACCTGAGCTAAGTCTCCGGATGCTGCCCGGCCTCCAGCGCAAAGAGAGGACCTTTCGTATTACATGTCTCGAATCGATATTCCACTTTGCCTAATGTTGAACCGGCAAGGAAGCCGCGCAAATAAAAAATACCTTATGTACTGCACTATGCGATTACACCCGCTTTCCCCTGATCCAGCCCGAACCTACCCATGGCGCACTGAATCCGTGTCTGCCCCTGTGCACCATGCGCAGAACCAAAACCCTCCTGAATAAACGCCGGTCCCTCTTATTCCTATCGGCACCCCAGTTTCAAGAACAGTTGTGAAAAGCCGACCAGCCCCCAAGCAAATCATGCCTTTCTTTCCCCCATCGCCTGACGCCCCAAATTCCAATTCCCACGTTCCAGCCTTTGTTTCCGTACTAAATCGACCGGGGTTGCGAGCGTAGCTAGCCGCTCACTTGGAAGACTTGGAAGCACTGACGAACTTAATCTTGGTCTGCTTCAGGTGCAACCCCTTTCCGCTTGACGTCTTAGTGGTAGTAGCCATCTTAGCGGTGACAGACGACGCCGGACTCTTCCCCACCACCAGACCCGCCTCGATAGCCTTGCGCGAGGGAGTCCACTTGCGCGAGGACGTCTTGCCGCTGGAGAGGGTCAGCTTCGGAACCGTGCTCTTCTTGGTGGAAGACGAGGAAGCTGGCGTGGTCGGCTTCACCGTCTTCTGTGTGCGAGGTGTGGGCGACGTCGAGGAGGAGCCAATGCCGGCAGCTACGATGGTCAGGCTGGGACTCCTGGATGGGACGACAACCTTGGTTTTCGTTGTTGTCGTTTTCTTGCTCGAGGTCTTTTTAGCCACTCCTCCTGCACTAGCCCGTCGGGTCGTGGCGGTGATCGTCGTCTTCGTCGCTGTCTTCTTGGCGGCCACCGAGATGCTTGAGCTGGCCGACCCCTTTCCCGCTTTTATGCTGATGGAGGAGACTGTCCGCTTGGCGCCGTTCGTTGCCACAATCTTTCGCTTCTTGACTGCTGTCGCATCCTCCTCGTCGTCCCCAACAAAGTCGAATGCATCCTGTAGCTTCCGCTTCGCCGAAGTCTTGGGGGGAGCTTTGGCCATGGATTTGGCCGTGGGCTTGGCTGTGGGTTTGACCGTGACTTTGGCCGCGGGTTTGGCCATGGGCTTGGCCGTAGGTTTGGCCGTGACTTTGGCCGGAACCTTTGCCGCGCCCTTGGCAGAGCTCTTAGCTGAGCCTTTAGCTGAACCTTTTGCCGAAGCCTTGGAAGGCGTCTTGACGGCCTTGTTATCCTCCTTGGGCGACTTGGGCTGCCTCACCTCCTTAGATTTCGGGCCGAGAACGCCTCTGCAGTTCGGACTACCACACAAGCACTTCTGCACGTTCTTAGCTGAGAAAGGGTCAAAGTTGTAGTCGTACGTGAGCTCCTCGCCCGTCATGATTGGCCGGTCTCCGGCGAAGAGGGCCATGCGTGGCTGACCGGACACGATCCACTTAATCATCCGGCAATTAGGCGAACACGAATGGTTGACGAACCGCGCGATACTACCGGTGGTTGCGTCAATGATCATGTTCTGGTCGAAGGACATGAGATAGTAGCACTGGAATGGATGTCAGCCTGATCTATTATCCTTAAGAAGGGAAAGATCTAGTATGTGAGAAGAGAAAAGAAGAAGAAAAGGGAAAGAAAGGAAGAAGGATAGCAGAAAAAAGAATAGACCAACGTCAATAAACCACGTACCTCATTATCCTTGTACACCTCGTTCATCCGCCGCTCGCACTCTTCTTCAGTGATAATTTCACCCGTGTACTCCATGATAATCTGGTTCGGCTCAAAACACCGGTTGCTGCGAACGCCGTAGCCGCGGTCAGCTGTCTTGAAGACCTCGACGCCAACGCGATACCGGCCGCCCTTTTTGGTCCTCTCTTGGAGGTCCTGGAAGGCCCGGTTCGTGCAGTGAGCCTTGCCAACGTTACAGTTGGTCTCATCGCACTCATACAGCATGATGCGATTCTGGCAAGACTCGCCGCAACCATCTTCGAGCTTGCAGACACACTTGGACGCGAAGTCCTCAAAGTGAGGCGTCTTCTTCCAGTACGCCGCTGCGTTGCCAACGAAGCGATCTAAATTATCAAGGTGTCAGCATATATCACGGCATAGCGGTATCTTCTCATAACCGTAACTCACTCTTGGTCATTGTGCGATACGCGGCAGGCTTTGGCTGTCCGGGTGGCAGGGGGTTGCAGACGTCAAACGGCAGCTTGAAGTCGCGGCCGTGGATGAGCAAACGGAGTCCGTTGTACATTGGCGCCGGGAACGTCTTGTTAGGCTTGCCCCTCGGCATTAGCTCCGGAAGAGAGGCAAGCTTCTTCTTCTCCTGAGCCGTGAGGCCCCTAAAGATATCAAGAGGTGCTTCCTGGCCCGCGTAGAGACCCTTCTCAAGCCACTTCTTCACGCGTGTCTTTTTGACCGCCGGCGGCACTGAATCCCGCTTCTCGGGCTCGGCACTCTGCGCCTCGGGAGCTTCATCCTCCTCCACCCTCGCCTTCGTTCGGGGGGGTTCGGGTACCGGGGCAGTGGTGGCTTGGGCGGGGTCGACCTCGACATATTTTCCCTTGCTCCAGACCGTGTATCGGACGGGGCGCGTGTCAATATGGGCAAACTCGTTCGTGTCTTGCAGTCGCCTGAGCTCGAGAGGCAGCCCACTCAGTGCTTTGTCGACAGCTTTTTTGCCCCGCTTACTGAGCGCCGACAGCTTGGTCGAGAGAGTCTCGGCGGCGGCGCCCGAAAGACGCGTCGCGCGACGCGTCAAATAGGCCAGCGCCGGGCTGGACGACGATGCCTTGGTGATTCGCGCGCTTCTGGGCATGCTGACACGCGTGGCCGGCCGACTGACACCTGACGCGTCGCTCCTCCTCCGCGTAGACATCCGACTTTCTCTCGCCACGGCGTCCATTGAATCGTTCGCCTTCGCGCCGTCACCCTCCACCATGGCCACGCCGGAGATGGTTCCGCGTTTCCCGTCCTGTCCTGCATTTCCCTTCGGCCGTCGCCTGCCAAGACCATTGGTGTCGAGAAGCGCAATATTATATGTCGGTAAGCTGGATCGAGTTCGTCGCGGCCTGGCGGTTGAAGCAGGTTCGGTGTCAAGAGGTTCGGCGACCACAATGGCGTCATGGTCTATGGGTGTCTGTTGGCCGGATTCGCCCTGTTCGCCTTCCTTGGTCTGGGACCCCGAGCCGATAGCCTCGATGATGGACACAGCAACGCTCTGGAGCTTATTAAGCGCATCCGGCTCCGAGGCAATAGACATGCTGTCGGGCGAGATTGTGGTTGGAGGCGTCGAACTCATCAACGCCGAGGTCGACGAGGATGACATGTCGTCTGTTGAGGGAGTGGTGCTTGAGAAGCTGGATCCGCGCACCAGCGACTCGAACTCGGCCATTGTCGGCGCTGCCTCTATGGCTGCCATTGCTGTAAATTTTGCCGCTGGTTGTTGTTGCATGACGGATTTGGCTGAGGTTGGTACACGGTGGCCAACAAAAAGCGCGAGAATGCGAGCAAACGCCTGAGCGGGTCCAAGCGGCGTGAGCTGAGTGACCGGAGCAGGCGGCCCGCGCAGACACCGGGTTGCAGGTTTGCAGATGCAACCAAAACAGAAATGTGTGCGAGCGGCTAGACCGGCTAGGAGGATACGCGAAGCCTTCAAAACGAGAAAAAGAGCGAACGCGGTGTGTGGGGCTTGGAATGGTTGCAAGATGCAATGTCTATAAAGTGCGAGTGTCCTGGGAACGCGAGGGTGGGGATAACCTTAGTAAGGTGAGAGTGTGTGAGGAGAAAGGAAGGCGGACTGGGTGACAGCCAGGGGGAAGTACGGTATTTAAGGGAGAGGCTGGGCTGGGGCGAAGGGGGGTGAATTGGATGGCCGCTCAGACACCTCATCAAATCAACCACACAGCAGCATGAATAAAGGGACACACGTCACAAGAAAAAAACCACCACTCCTCCGAGCGAGGCTGACACTAGCCTCACCTCCACCGCGCAACCTCCCGCGACCTCCCGCAGACACCCATCATTCTTCGGTCATGGACAAGGTACCTTCGGTATCTGCACCCCTCACATGCTCACATGCCGTAAGTCGATGAGTGCGCGGGCTCCGATCTATCTAGGAGTCTACCTCTATGTGTCTTCCCACATTTTGCTCTTCACAGGCATCCTGGCCACATCCTTCCTAAACAGGACTGTCCCAAAGGAGCCGGTATGCAGCGTGCTGCAGCGGCGTTGCCTGATGTTGCCCTACAAATGTCCTGTTGATGTGGACAGCATGAACTTTCCCTGAGAGGTGCACCGGTGCTTCAATGACTGCTACTGCATTGTCCCCCTCACGGCTTCAGATAAACGTAGGTAGCTAGTACTACGGTACCTTGGGGGCTGAGACGCAATCATTGGTAGGTCGACTTTTGTGGATGAGCCGGCCATGACGGGGGGTGAGCAAGATGGGCCGGCTAGGGCCCGGCCCGGGGAACTCTCCAGAACACACCGGCAGACGGAAATCGCTGCGCTTCAACGGCATTCTAGACACGGAATGTAGTCAACTCCCTCAAGTCACCCCCCGAAGAGCTCTCTATATTGGTCAGCACAAGGGAGGGATTCCCACGAACATCGCTCGGACCTTCGGGGTTTTGGAGATGGTTGGCGGAAAGACACTGAGGCACGTGCTCGTGCTTCACCTTGGTTCCCTCCTTGGGACTGCAGGAGTCAGTATCCACACTCCAGCAGGAAGACTGGAGAGTGGTTGTGATCATCGCGGAAAGGCAACTTCGTTCTGAGCACTACCTATTTCGTCAATCCCCTCCCGAATCCCCGTAGACATCCTTCGCCGACTCCCATCTCTACCTCGTCTTCCGGCCGGATGACTTTGGGCGGCTCATGATTGCTGACTCCCATCACCATGAGCTATCGGAGCTCCTCTCCTGCATGACCGGCCTACCCTGAGCAGCGGCACGGCGATGCAGTTTCTAGGGAACCGAGCAGAAACGGTTGTTCGAAGAATGACCCGAGAGGGCTTGTTCAAGACCTTTGTGTAGGCACAACTGGACTGGCCCAGCGCTGGTTATCAGATTGAGAATTATCCGATGGGTGACGTTTGAGCCTTCTCGATTTCCTCGTTAAGCGCCCGAAACTGCGGGGCCACTCCTCGCAGATGCTGCGACTTGAGTTGAGCCTCTTCCGATCAGGAGGTGTGGAGGTGCACCATCTGCATGCTACCCAAACAAATACAGGCGAACTTTGCTCCCCTTGCACCTCGGAGCATCTGCATGAAATGGCCTCAAGGCTCACTCATGAACTACCTGGATTGTAACTCCATCGTCGGTGAGGCACCTCCAGTGTTTTACCTCCCCTCGGTCTTACGTATGATCACAGTACTCTTCAGGCCAAACATCTCAGATGTCCCAATTCAGCCCGAGCAAGTAAGTTTGGCAGCTGTCATGGTTTTGTCCCTTAATCCGTCGTAACTACATGGTAACCAAGGGCAGAGTCACGTCTGGATAGAGCTCCCCAGGCGACGGGATTCCCCCATCAAGGGGCAGTCAACGATGGCAGGCCATAAGAAGATGGAAAGAATGGAGTTTCAAGTGAAAACCGGTGACTCGGGCGGCAGTACCATTCATTGCTATCTTTGAGTTCATCCCTTTCCTTCCTTTGCCTCAAGGGAGTCCCCCTTACATCTGTCACTCATCAACCGACACGCGGCCGTTACAATGTCACCTCTTCCAAAAAGCTCTCACCAAGATTTCGATCCATCAACGGTTTTCGACCTCATATTCAAAGGTGAACGGACCGCCTGGCAACAACGGTTGCCGTGGACTGGGAGATTCGGCATCAAAGGGTGCAGATGAAGGACACAGGATTTACGAGCCCATACTATATGATTATGCTCTGCCACCCATTGCTGGCCATTATCCACGGTAACCACAGCACGAGGCTCTATGGGACCGCCAGTCCATTGAGTGGCCGTGCTGGGAGGCTTGGGCAGCTCATGTTGAGCATAGTCATGGCTGGAAATGGCGATCTGGAGTATGGGGAAGCTCCGGAGGGCGTTTAAGATACTCCCACATGGCGAGCCAGGTTTGCTCACTTATAATTTTCGCGACTGCTGTTCCCGAACAGCACTGTGACTGTGAGCTTGATGTCGTCAATGAAGGGACATACCTAGTCAGCAGCTGGTATCTCCAGACGTACGAAGATCATACGAAGTGATATCACAGGCAGGATGCCTCGACCTTTAAACCATCTCTTCCATACCATCCACATTTAGTCTCCAGATTTCCTGCTCCAAGGGTTGGCCTTTTCTTAGACCGCGATAAGGTATCTGACTTGAGCATCTTACAGCTAGGGGCTTCAATGAGGCATCCAAGCGTCCATGGGTATGTCTCTATTGTACAACACAGTTTCTTCGCACAGAAGCCCAGGAAGTACAAGTGCAACAGTAGCCTGCGCTGGTGACTCCACTCCGTGCCGAACGCGTGTTTGGTTCCGGCGAGTCTCTCCCGGTCAGCCACTGTTCACATATGGCAGACTCAGACAGTGTCAATACAGCGACAGCTTTACGTCTGGACTGTTCAGTCCGGACAGGCTTTATGACGCTCAATACTCCGGGAAGCCTTGGCTCAATCTTAGATGCTGACGCCCTCTTGGGAGCTCAGCTGTATGGGGGGTTGAGCTGTCCATCAGAGTTGAACCGGGAGCTCACCAGAACCCCTGAATCGTCTTGATACAGCGGACACTGGGATGGCGTACCACCATAAATCCAAGATGGCCGTGGAATACTATTGTATTGCCCCCAGAGAAAGTAGTACACACTTTGTTTGGCGACTTCTGTCACCCCTTGCACGCCAAATTCCTGAGATCCTTTTTCGTCTGGGAACATTGAAGTCAAGTTGATGAGAATACACGGACCAATCAGTTGGTTTCGGAAAACAACTTTGTTAACCCTTGCATCTTGGCAGACCGGCCTCGAAGCTTGGCAAAGCTCTGACCATGACCAGGGCCCCATTCCCCACACACATGCCAAGAAGATCGAAAGCCCCATACACTAATAACTCCAGCTACTAAATGGTGGGGTCCGATTTTGGGCACGTCACGGTCAAGAGAAGATCGCCAATTTCCGTCAGCCTTCAAGTTTCGCGTGCCTTGAGCCCCACCTACCTACACTACACCAAACGGACCGTCTTCTTTTCAACTTCTGCCAACACGCCTCGAGATCCCGCATCGCACGATTCCCGCAATCTAACTTAAGCTGGGGGCCGTACCTCCCACACCCCAGTAGTAGCGCCAGACACACAGCAGCAAGCCAGCCATGGCCGATCGACCCCACCGCGGAGGCGGCCGCGGCGGCTCACGAGGGGGACGAGGCGGAGGAGGAGGGGGCCGCGGCGGCGGCGGAGGCGCTGCTGCAGCTGGTGGTGGTGCAGCCGCCGGAGCCGGAGCGGACGGCAACAAGGAGCGGCCGAAGAAGGAGAACATTCTGGATCTGAAGAGGTACATGGACAAACGGATCACTGTCAAGTTCAATGGCGGGCGGGAAGGTGTGTTCTCCCCCCACCCCCCCTGATCAGCTACTTTGAGACGTCGTGGATCGGTGAAGAAAAAGCCTGGGATTTAGCTGACCAAGGGGTTGCTGATCTGTCTAGCTACGGGGATATTGAAGGGGTATGATGCGCTCATGAACCTGGTCCTGGATGAGGTGGAGGAGCTGCTTAGAGGTGAGCTCTGCCCCGGGGGCCCAGGACCGACTCTCCAGGGACAAGTGAAACTCTGTTGTGGAGCGTGGACGCTGACTTTGCGGTGGTGGTATGTGACAGATGACGAAGGCAATGAGATGACCAGACCGTTGGGGCTGGTTGTTGTTCGCGGGACGCTGTTGGTGATGGTCAGCCCGGTAGACGGAAGCGAGGTGATCGCGAATCCGTTCCTTCAGGCGGATGAGGAATGAATGAAGCCGCGGAACGAGATTGCAAGTTACCGGCCTCGCTAGGGCGATGGGAGCCATCCGGAACTAGAGCAAGAAAGCAAGGTACGAGGGATCCTGCCGTAATGCAAGTGGGCTTCCTTGCTCTGGTGATACCATCAAGCCACACGCTACCGGGGCCTAGATTAGCTAAGGGACAGGACGCGGTCTATCGATGACTGACAACCTACCGATGCCAGTGCTGTCCTCCCGGCAGAGGCAGGGTTTGCCAAACCCTGCAAGGACACAGCCAGCGCTCAGATGAAACAATTAACAGATATTCAGGAGTCTGGTGAGCTGCATGTGATCTAAGGCTCCGTTCAGTAGTACCAGGCACACTATGTGACCGATCCGAAAGAGGCAGAGGGAAAGATATTGATATTTTCTGTTGTGTTATATAGTGACAAAGCGATGCATGTGGTTGAGTAATCAACATGCTGCAGTTGACTTGCGATACCAGCTACCGTGTTTCTGTTCATATAAAGATGCATCATCCCACTCGCGAGTGAGCGCTCTGAGGCCCCCCCACTTCCCCAGTTGCACCACTTGACACTTCTGTGTCATCTTATACACACCATTTGGAGGGCTCCAAATCTCTGTGAGTTGCGTCCCAATGCGCTTCCCCTCCAGGTCCGGTACCTGCGACAGCTGGGGTTGCTGTCTGCTCATCCAACTCGTGTTTACACCCATCTCTGCCACCTAGGCCCGGCGGAAAAGACGCCGTTAAGAAACCTTGGTGGAAACGATCTCATGGAAGCAGGCTGTGCTGGGGCATTCCTCGGCGGCAAGCGAGACTCCTAGTTGTTCGCCCCGGGGGCGCCAGTCTTGCTATGCTTCACGAGTTCATTGAATGACCGATCAAACATCTTCTTGAGCTCTCGGTACGTGAGCACAAAGACAGTCTCGTTGTCGCGGCTGGTCAACATCACCATCTCATCAATCCCAGCCTCCAACTTGCTCATGCAGGTTAGCATGTGTCCGATGGAGAGGTTGGGCTTGCCGTCGGCTTCGACCCTGTGGAAGACATAGTCGCGGAAGAGCTTGAGCTGGTACCGGTCCCCCGTTTCGGACCAGCCCTGCGCGCCGCCGAGGTCCCCGCGTTCGACTATCGTCATGAGCTTCATTACGCTCCGCGCAACACGGCCATTCTCAAGTTCCTTAGCCAGGTGGAACTGTTTATCGTCGTTGTCCTGCAGACTCAGATCGAAGAAGGTCGTCATGTGCGTGGCAATGCCGCCGATGAAGTTCTCAATGCTTTTGGATTCGCCCGGATTGGGTGGTGCAATGAGCCACGCTACCGCATCTTTCAGGTTTGCCGAGTATTTGGTGACCAGCGAATCCAGCGCTGCTGGGATGTTGTTGAGGTGCGCAGGTGGTGTACCAGTAGCTAGTGAAAGGATAAGCCTGCCAAACTTGACAAGGTCTTCTTCCTGGAGCCCCTGAATAGGCTTGGTGTTGCTCTCAAACTGCACTACGTCCAAAATGGAGCATGCAGCGAGCCGAATTCGGTTGTTATCCGTTAAGATAACCTTACTTGGCTCGAGACACCGAGCTGCAAGTCGGTTCGAATGGATGGTCTTGAGTGCGTTGGCGATCTGGCACACATACCCCCAAAGAACATTCTCCTGCACGGCATTGGGTGCTCTGTACCGATTGCCGTGTGTGGATTGGAAGTAATGTTCTTGTAATGTTTTGGAGAGTGGGTGATAGTCAAAGGCAAAAATGAGGGAGCTGTCGCCGAACTCCCTGGTTGTGAAGGCTTCGTGGACCGTTACGACACCGGCGTTCTTGATCTTTTTCCATTCCTTCATAACGGTAAGAATGGCCTTTTCGTTGGTTAACCGGTAACCTAAGAGTTCATCGTCAGGATGGATCCAGCTGGAGGTAATCATCCAACACAGTTCAGCACAACGATACCTTCAAGCCTCCTGAGGGCGTAGTGAGTCCCAGTTCGGCTGTTTTGCGCCTTATACACCCAGCTCGGGTAACCGAAAGATGACGTGTTCTTCCTGTTGTTCGTGTCCAGGGGAAACAGTGAATGCCATCGCTCAAGCTGGGGCAACCCAGAGTCTAGTAACTTTAGTATGTGCGAAGCGAAAGGCAACGAAGACAGCTAGAACTCACTTGGCATCACTTGCTGGGTGGCAAACATCTTCTTCTGCAGCTCCTCCCGCACCTTGGCCGGCGTAAAGAAATCATAGGTTGTCCGTTGCCACGGCTGCAGTTCTTGACGAAATGTATCGAAGGGTTGATAAAGGTGATAATTGGGCGGCTGAAGCGGTCCCGTGGGGAAGGCTCCATGCTGCGGATAGAATGACGCTCCAGAACCAGCAAGGGCATTGTGTTCGGACGCATAGAGGTTGAACTGCCCAGCGGAGGGCAACGCCGCGGTTATGGTTCCCATTGTTGTGAACGGGTCATTGTACAGGCCATTGTCCTGTGCAACGCCGTTGGCAGACTGCAACTGGATCAGCGAATACGACTATCCAACCCGGATTCTCTAGGCTTACAGGGTTCCCTAAATCATAGTTCTGTGGGGTGAACTCCCGGATGGCTGCAGGATTGAACACCGGAGCTTCGGTGGCCTGCTGCAGGTTTGGCGCTGGGACGATGTTAGAGAGGGCACAATTTGATTCAGGTCGGATTCAACTCACTGCCTGCCCCACGAGGAGTAAATGGAGCCGCGTTTGCAGCTTGAGATAAGAGGGTGGACTTCTTTGCCGGCGCAGACTGCTGACTTAAGGGCGTGAAGGCCGGTGACTCAACGTTGAAGGTCTTTTTGGCACTAGTAGCAGGTCAGAGAAGAACGCTAGGAATGAGTGTTTCTTGGACACAGTCTGAGCAGCCGTTTTCACCATGAAAGACGAGAGACCGTCAGTGTTTGAAGGGGCGTAGATCTGGATCGCCTCCTGGAGGTATTGCCCAGCTCGCTCTCTCACGGCATAACTGTCCAAGTTGAATGGAAGTCTTCCCCCCTTGGCTCTTAGTCCCCCATGCTTCAAGCGGTGGCTGGATTGAGAATGCCATAGGCAATGCTCTCAGGAGCGGGTTTCTCGGCGACATGATAATGACGGCACCGGATCGGCTTTGGGTCATTAGTAACTTACAAGTCCGTTTGGGAAGATGAACCCTTGTTCTGATCATGGTTGAAGGTGCATCCTTGGTCTTCATAGCGACAGTTCCCATATATAAGAATGTTGCGACACAAAGTATCCTTGTTGTCTAAGTGGCGGCCGTTAGCACGGAGCACACCAACAAGAGACCGGGGCCACCCACCTCGCCCCTTTGACCGCGGCGAACCAACTTGACGCCGGAGCTCGTTCGAGGAGTATCGCGTCGCAGCCATGCTGGAAACTCGACCAAATCAAGGACAAAGAAACAGCGCCTTGACCGAATCTACGATATCTAGCGAAGGAGCGTCAGTCCGAAAGCGGGATCTCATCATAGTGATGGCTAGGGTAGGTGTCGGGAGGTCGTCCTCACTTGATGGCGGCGGTTTTCTCCCATGTTTCGTTCGGACCGGCGAGAGGGCGCCCATAGAGGCATGCGAAGTAAAGACAGGGCCGGGTGAGGATAATTGCACCAGGACGCCGACTCAATTGCGTCGGCAGATCGGGCAACACGAGAGAAGCGGCGTTATCGATGGGTGCTGCGAAAATCGGCGTAGCCTGGGATCGGAATCGAGGTTGCAGCTGCCGGCTATTCTTTCGGTGCAGGTCCCAAGTCCCTGGTGCTGCACAACCTGGAAAGAACGTCCAACCTAGAAGCAAGCGCGGGTGCCCCTCCCATCCTGGGCGATGCGTGCAGTCAGCCTCAAAGCGCACGAGCCACAGTTTGTGGGTGTTAGCGGGCCGCTAGCGCCTCATTTAAGGCAACGCACAGACATGGGCTTACGTGCATATCTGCTTCAATGACATAATGCAAGTAAGATGACCCAGCTTGCCTACGTAGTCTAATGCCCACGTTGCCAGAAGCATCCTGAGCCGACTGCTTTACACTCCGCTGAGGTTCCAGGAACAGCGCCCACACGATCCTCTCCTTCGTCCCCGCCTACCATTGCTGACCGCACTCCGAAAACGGCCTTGTTTCGACTGTCGCTTTGCTGCGGGACGCGCTCGACGCTCGAGAAGGACAGATACTTGGGACGAAGTAGTTGCGAATTCTCCTGCCAATCCGTGCTCTTTTACACGCCTATCATTCAGCTGTATTCTCCGGACGTACAACGCCCAGCTGTGCGACCCGGGGCAGGCCACAGCCCTCTGGTTGATGCGGCCATATCTTCCCTTGACAGCCCAGCGGTGGAAAGGAGCTGCGTTACCCCAAGAACGATGGCCACTGGCGGGGACATGGACCTATCCAGGCTCTCTGCAAGCCAACAGGAGGCTCTGCAGCAATATACCGATGTGACCAGTCAAGATATCAAGGATGCTATCCCCCTCCTCGAAAGGTCACAATGGAACGTCCAGGTCAGTATGCAGTTAATGCAGTCTTGAGATCCGAGGCTGACTCCGATGCAGATCGCGATTGCCAAGTTCTTCGATGGCGAGGGTCCCGATCCGCTCGCCGAAGCCCAGGCTGCACATCTTGATATCCCACGCACAACTGCGAGGCATGAAAATTTGCATGAGAGCTTTCTTGATGAGGATAGTCGAGCATACCGGCCATCACAACGGCCTCGGACAGAGCCTGCCCCACGTGTAGTACCCCAACCCCCAGTGTTGTATGAGACCCCGTTTTTGGTATCAGTACTGTTTGCGCCGTTCCGGTTGGGATTCAAGATCTTCTCCGGCGTCTTCGGATTGCTGTTTTACCTCACAGCCTTCCTCCCGCGGCCACTGCGGTTGCGATTCGTTGCATCATCTATTTCGAAAGGCTTGAGGCAGACCAACGGGCGAAGGGTGACCCTTCCCAAGGAGACGGCGCAGAGATTCAAACGCGACTTCGAGGAAGAGTACGGGACGCACAGCCTCCCATTCTTCGAGGGCGGCCATGCCCAGGCATTAGATACTGCCAAGAAGGATCTCAAGTTCCTCTTGACGGTTTTGCTATCGCCGGAGCACGATGACACCGACTCGTTTGTCCGGAACACGCTCTTGTCACCCGAAGTTGTGAGCTTCATCAATGACCCAAACAACAATATCATCATATGGGGAGGCAATGTCCTCGATTCAGAGGCCTACCAGGTGGCCAGGGCGTACAACGGCATCAAGTTCCCCTTCTCGTGCGTTGTCTGCCTCACTCCGAAGGAGGGCAGCACACGCATGGGGATCGTCAAACGCTTGGTTGGTCCCATGACTCCAGCGTCGTACCTCACCGGTATTCAGAGTGCCATCACCAAGTATGGCCCCGACCTGAACGGTGTCCGCGCAGAGCGAGCGGCGCAGGAGATGGCTCGCAATCTCCGGTCTCAACAGGACTCGGCTTATGAAAGGTCCCTTGCTGCAGACCGGGAAAGGGCCCGACAGAAGCGGGAAGCTGCGGCTGCTGCGGCAGCGGCAGAGAAGCGCGCACGGGAGGAAGCCGAGGCAGCGGCGCGGCAGCAGAGACTACGGCAGGAGTGGAGAGAGTGGCGGGCAACGACCCTTGCGCCTGAACCAGATGCCGGAGATAAGGACGTTGTCCGTCTGGCACTCAACATGCCCGCTTCGTCCGGGGCAGGACGGGTCATCCGGAGATTTGCCCGTCAGACCACCATGGAAGAGCTTTATGCTTTCGTCGAGTGCCACGATCTACTTCAAGAGAAAGATGCCGGCAAAAGAGTGCAGAAGCCCGAAGGCTACGAGCATAAGTACGGTTTTCGAATCGCATCAGTAATGCCGCGGGAGACGTTTGAGCCGAGTACCTCGACAACTGTTGGGGAGAAGATGGGCAGGGGAGGCAATTTCGTGGTTGAAGAGATCTCCCCAGATGATGAGGATGACGAATAGAGCAGGTACATGTGTGTACGTATATTGTACCATTGGATACATACATGATGGGCATGTGGTGTAAAGTCCCAGACGGCCTTCACATAATGTATTGGATGTACGCTAATACTTTGAACCCTTTCTGCAAGATCACTGCATGTACTGTAACAGTATGGCGTACTTATTCTTTCTCTCACTCGTGCTGAAGCACCTTAAACGTATCTACCCACTAGTAGTACCTACTGGGTACTAATAATCTTGAGGTCAGGTTCGGCCGTTGTTTGACTGGACGACCAACAGGAGGCCGCCCGATCTGCGGTGGGGCACGCCCGTTATCTTATCGCTGGCTCGGCAGCACCTCCGGGCCTTCGCCGGGCAGCTGCGGCCCTCAGATCCGGAAGGTTGCTTGCGCGTCCGGGACTGACAAGGAGGCTGTGCAAATCCCGGGATGTCAGCTTCATTGTATCTGGACTTCGCGAGAGCTACACAGGACCTTTGAGGAAAGAAGGAAAGCCTGGGGAGCAAACAGTCCCTTTACCCCACACTGATTGAGTGACCGCGTCTGAATCAGGTCCCGTGAGAGCTGCGGACGGAGTTAGGTTTGCGCATCCTGCATTAACTAGGCAGTTGATGAGTGATACGTACAGTAGCCACAAAAGTGCTGCTTTCCAATTGAAAAGCCGTACTTTTCGTCAGCCCGGAATTTCATCACAGCGTCGTAGTGGAAACGGGGTTCAGTCTAGGTTAAAAGGACCCTTGCTGCCTGGCTGGCGCCTAGACAGACGCGGCACATGGGAGCGCGCAGACAACACTCGGTGCAATTTCACCTCACAAACGAAACGGAACTATTTCCTCTGACGACAGTTGCGGTTTTACCAAGCCAGTCTTGGTCTCCCGTCAAGAGTTGATACTTGCGCGCGCCACTGGCGGCATTCCTCGAGAGACGTTTACGCGCCCCGGTCGTCGCATCCGAGGACATGGCGGGCTTCAGCATGAACAAGGTGCTAGGCACCATGAAGAAACGGCCGACGTTTGGCGGTGGTGAGGGCGCTTTTCCCCAAGGCTGGATGTGCATAAAGGGGACTGACAGTCGATTGGTTTGTTCGCTCTCGCGATGTAGGCAGCGCCGCAGAAACACCAGTCGATCCCGCGAACGAGACCCCTGAAGCAGTCGCCACGCGCTGTGTGGTATGACCCGTCCCAGCGCCGATTCCCAAGCATATTAGCACGCTACACGAATACATGGAGCTAACTGCGGCCTCAGAAACAATTCTGTAACTCGGTGGGAAGTGCGTCGGTATGTTTACGAGAGCTCTTTACCCCCAACCCCGGCGCTTGTTCGTTTGCGCTGAGAAGAACACGAAGCTAAAACAGAGTACCATGTGTGTCGCAGGGCGATGACGTTGTCTTTCTACCTTCCATCGTCGAGGCCGCCGTTGCCTCGCCAGTTGCCGCCGCCGAATGCGCCCGCTTGATCCGCAAGTTCATGTCCAAGGACTACTGGACAAAGCCGTCATGCCAATATAACGCCGTAATGCTGATCCGCATTCTGGTGGACAACCCGGGTCCGGGCTTCACGCGGTATATGGACAAAAAGTTCGTTGACACAGCCAAGGAGCTGCTGAGGACAGGGCGGGATGCGAGCGTACGCCAGATTCTGATGGAGACGCTGGACTCCTTCGAGAATACTAGGGCTTCTGACGAGGGGCTGGCGCTGATGATCGAGATGTGGAAGAAGGAGAAGGAGAAGGCCTACAAGGCGTATGGGGTAAGTGCCCGAGCCCTACTTACTAACCTGCTGGGCAACGCTGCGAAGCCGATATGCTGACTTGATGCGAAGGGAGTCCCGGTGGCCCCGGGTCCTAGGGGAATGATCGCGCCGCCTTTTGACCCTCGCCACCAGCACCACCAGCCGTACTACCAGCAGTCGCAGCATCACAGCAAGCGTCTTCCGGACCCGATCGAGCTGGCCAATCGACTGGAAGAAGCCCGGACATCGGCCAAGCTCCTGGAACAGGTCGTGGCGTGTACCCCACCGTTAGAGGTTCTCTCCAACGACCTGATCAAGGAGTTCGCCGACCGGTGTACGAGTGCTTCACGGAGTATCCAGGGTTACATGTCTGCCGAGAACCCCGGGCCAGACAACGACACAATGGAGAGCCTGATCGATACCAACGAGCAGCTGCAGCAGGCCCTGAACCATCACCACCGCGCCGTGCTGCAAGCAAAGAAGCAGCTTGGTGTCAATGACGGCAGGTCAAGCAATTCCAGCCCAGCACCGCCATCCCAGCGACCACCAGCTGGACAACCTCGCTCGCCACCACCACAAGTGCCAAGAAAGGGGGTCGCCGGAAGCAGCAGCAGCAGCAACGGCAACGGCAAAGGGAAGTCCAACCTCGATGTATTACGCAGCTCCGCCATCGCGGGCCCGTCCAGGTCAACCAACGCGACACCACGCCACGACACCAATGAGGACGACGATGACGGCCAAGATCCCTTCCGGGACCCCGAGCCGGCGGGATCCTCATCTAGGGCGGCCGGAAACATGAGCGGTAGCACGCCACGGCTGTCCTATGAACCATTCCATCCCGGGTTCGGCGGTTCATCGTCCTCGGCGGCCGCAGGAGGAGAGAAGGCAAGGAGGGAGCCGGCAACAGCGGTGTCGGATGAGGAGGAGGACGCGTACAGAGCCACGCCGAAGAAGGAGGGGCGTGAGAATCGGTTTTAAAGCAGATGCACAGCTTAAGGGGGTTGGGAAATCATTGTTCTTCTCTCTTGGTTCGCTTGTTTTTCTAAGCCTGATATCATTCTTGGCAAGTGGGGGGGGGGGGGCTCTTGGTTCTCTTCCTGCTCACCCGGTTTCTTTAACATATCATGCCTTTCCATTTCCATGAGCTGGATTAGTGTATCTACGTGATGATATTTTCCTGTGTGCTTTTCCACTAATGGGGGGTTCACCTGTCGCTATCTTCCTTGCTGTCTCCCAGATATGATGTGATCTTGTAGATAGAGAAGCGCCTAGCCGGGACGAACAACGCCCATCTGGAGACGGGTTCAAGGGAGATAAAGGCTCTTGTGTATCAGCTTCAGGCTATTTCATGTCTATATCTTGTTGTTAGTGATTGATGGAACATAGAAAGCTAAGGTGGCATCTCACATAGGAAAGGCATTTGATGGACAGTCAAGAAACGAAGCGAACCACTTACCTTAACAAGCTTAAAACGATCACGCCAGCATCCCCATCCAAGCTCATGGGCGATAAGGGAGACAGAGCCCCCAGCTATCCGTCCAACTCCTAGGAAGGGTGGACACTAGAAACGGATATGCCATCAGCTCTTGGCCCTCCGGTGCCCTTTCTGTGCTTGACTTGTCTAAATGGGATCCCGTTTTTCTTAAATCTTGTGCGCCTATTCCTCTGGATAGAGTTATGAGGCAGGGCGATGCTCTTTTAGGAGTTCTGAAGTATACGGGTTGGATGAGCTCCGTGTGCCCACCAGGATTCAAAGGCAGTGAGGTAGATGTATCCATAAAAGTATCACACGGGTAAACATTGTGTCTTTCTCCGTATTCCCCTTGTTATCTGTTGTATGCTTGGAACATCCTGCAATGTATTTTGAACTCGAAGTCGGTACGCACTGCAAAGTGTAGCCCCTCGGCCAGGAAGGCAGACTGGAGAGTCTCTTTCAGGCTTCTGTACGGCTGCAATGCTGGTATCCAGCTCACCGTTGGAATATAGATAACCATAAGGCCTGTTCAACCCTTAACACATTAAAAGCTCGAGGATCTACTGTATGGGACATGGGACAGCTATGGTTAACAGAGAACGGGGTTAGGGTTGTCGGTCCTCAGGGGTCTGTTTACATTTCACATGGTTCAAGGAGCCCACGAGATATGCTCTTTTTATGTTTTCTCTGTCTTCTTAACTCATTCTTGTTGTCATGTAGGGATCTTCGCTTGGTTGAGCCATGGTGGACTCGTAAAGTTGGCTCGGTGTATCGTACTTGTACAAGCTGAATTCTATGTATGAAATCACACACGGCTTCTCTCATCACTGGAGAAGACACTCAATACTGACATGTTCTGATCGCACCTATTCCCGCTCAACTCTGCTCCGGTCTGTATGACAGTACCGCCTGCTCAGACTGGCTCGGTCGTATAGGAATCGACCCGACAGCAGATAGCTCTCTGAGAGCAAAGAGTGCCCACGTCTCGTCTGAGAGGACCCCGGAAGGGGACGACGTGCCTTTGACAGCGACCTGCCATAGCGCTAATGGACTGGGTCACTGCTTGAGAATTCAGGCATGGGAGGGTGGTCCACCGTACTGATGCCAGGGACCGTCACCATGCGAAAAAGCAGAACAGTGCTGGACGAGCCGACCACAAACGAGTCTCTGGTCTGACTGGCCCCGCGGAGCTGTCGTCAACTTCTTCTGAAGACCTACCAAAGGCGCTGTACATGCCGCTTCACACTTTTGTGTCCAAGAAAGATCTGAAGATCTTCGCAAAAGCTTCGCAATTCCTCTTCTCGAGAAGGGAAGCAAATAGAAGCGGGACCGAGGATAGTTAATCGTCCTGCCCCCCTGGCTGTGGCAATCCAGAAGAAAGGAAGAAAACCGACGATTGAAAACCATTGGAGGCATAACTTACTCTAGACTCCACTCGCTTTGCCCGTTGTCATTGCAAAAAAAGACGAGAAGCGTCTATTGATTTCCCCCTGTTGATACCCATGCTTGAGTCTCCACCGTTCTGGGCACGATGGATTCAGTTCTCCCAGTGTATGTATGTATGCGTCCTCTGAGGGACCAAGAGAGGAACCGCTTTCTTTCCAGGTTGTCAATAACGGAGCCCTGGTAGGGTGTGGTGTATAGTATGTGGTAGTCGGAGAGCGTGGTGGTGGGAGTTGGGCGCAAAGACATGGTTCTAATTATGTGTCAGTTTTTGGCGGATTTCCAACAGAGTTACTACATCCGATTTTCCGTTTTGTGTAACATACCTCATACGACAATGACAAATCATGGCTCGGTCCTCACAAAGCCAACGGGTGACGTACTTTGGTCAGTGAGTTGTCTCGGTATATTGTAGCTTCGACTCGGAAGCGGGCGTTTGGATTCCCGATGAAATGATAGATATCTCCGAAGGCTTGTACATTGTTTGCCAACGGGTATTGTACCAGTGGCCTGGTGTCTCTTCGGCTGTCAGGCAGTTGGACAACTCTTGACTTTGCATTGTCGGCGACCTGGTCACGTTGTCAGCATCCAAAATGATACAAACGACCCCTGGGCATCCTTTGGTGCTTGGATATCAACGTCCATCACTGGGTGAGAAAGGGGATCAGTATAAACCGTCTGCGAATGCATCTCTTGTCGTTTGAATAACGTACCTGAGAGGATAAACCCGACGCTCCGCAAAGCCCTGGACAATATGAGCTTATCCGGTACCCTCGGACCGCGGATGCAGTTATCATCCGGGCTGTGTAGACCGGCCTTCCTTCGGATGAAGGGTACCTCAACGGGGGGCACGTCTGACATGGCCGAGTAAGCTGAGTGAGAGCTGCCAATCCCATCCCCGGGCAGCAGTATGATAACCGCCTGCCCTGGGTCGGCATATCTGCCTGGTATGGAAAGCATGTTCCAGCGCACCGGCGCGTGTGGCCTCGATCCTCCCGGGCGGTGCCAATGATCGTTTGAACGGTTGTTGCGGCGTCAGGGTGGTCAGCGTCCTACTGACCTGCGTCTTTGGAGAGGCTTTGCCCTGTCATTTTGCCCTTGTAATCGTCCGGGCTCCCGTTCGCGGCCAGGCGAGAGCTTTTGGCGTTCTTAAAGTCATCTTGGAGTGGTCCGTCAACGTATGAGGAGGTGGCCAGACGTCCAAGCCTGCTAAAGATAAGCCGGATTCGGAAACAGCAGGAGTGGTCAGCTGAGACGGAGCGCGAAGCGTGTGTTTGTTTCTGGACGCATAAGATTAGCTTAAGCTACCTGCAGTATACGCGCCTTCAGGGCGTCCAATGCATACCCAGCGCCGACTAGTAGGAAGCTGCAGTTTTTGGGGGCCGAAGTTGCTCCCAACCATTCTGGAGAGGCTCGCGGCGGGGAACCCTCGGAAGTTTGACTGCCGGGCCGAGACGTCGCGTTATGGTAATGGTCAGATCGCGCTGACAGCCGCTATGACATCCTCCACACGTCATCATGCCATCAGGCAGCCGCAGACAGAGAGTAGCCGCTACAAACAACGCGTCGACGCGTACTGTGTATTTGAACGGTAGTTTCAGTGATAACCCGCTCCTAAGGTATCCACGCCGTTTCATGCCCACGGTCGGTAAGGTACCGTAGTTAGGTTTGGAGACTCTTTGCACCCCGGGGTCTACCGTCAGAACTGCACCCCTATTTCGCAATGGACACACCTCCCTCTTTCAGTTATCTGTAGGCAGGGTTGGCCTGTCGAGGTGAAGGTTCAGCAAGTTGATTCATCCTGACTCGGTTACTGCGGGGGATGGTCAGCTGCTGGACTCACAGCGAGTGAGCTTGGATGTCCCGCGCGAGAAGACCAAGACAAGAACGATAGGGGCCCTGGGGACGCGGAACGGAGCGTTTCGTGCATGAAGAACAACGCTCTGGGCCCAGATCCTGCGATTGGCGGCTGTGTCGTTATTGATCAAGGCTGATGTGAGCTTCATCTCCCTGCCGGAATAGTAGGGGAGCTCCTGGACATGACATGATGGCAGCACACTGCAATCTGACATTTGGAAGAGACGCAGATGCTGCTGGCGACGGGACGAGTCTAGTTTGCAAGTCTCCAAATGGAATGTCATTATCATCGCTAGGTATGTCCCTTATTACGCACTGGCTGAGAGCCCGTACCTAGAGAGTCAGGGCGGCGCTGCCCCTTTCCCCTCCAAGGACCCTGCCCAAATTCATCAGAATGATGGGACGTTGTTGCTGCTGGGTCTATGGATTCGGATTTGCCGGAGCCGCCCCATCCCAGTGCCAACAGAAAATTAGCACCATGGATGGAGCGCCGCGATGGTTTGTAAGAATTGATGCATTGATTGGCGAGTCATGAGCCTGCACCCTGGCTGCTCTCACACGCTGCCCGTTTGAATTGTACCTTTGTGGTTTCTGATACTTCCCATGGTTTCGACGACAACATGTAATGCTGGTAGTACCTGTATCGGAGTGAAATCGCGGGTCATGGGAGAGGTGGTGCAAAGCCCCGAAGGATCGCAGCATTTTTTCGTGCTCACGCACGCCGCCGAGCCGCATGATGACCTGGCGACGTACAGTAGGTCTCATGCTGGCCGCTCTTTTAGGCATTCACTCGAGTGGCTAGTGATGTTTTGCTATGCAGCATCCCAACAAGCGCCCTAATATGTAAGCCCGACTTTAGGCTGCCCGGTGCAACAGAGCCCTGCCTCGCAGCACGCTGAACAGTGTGCGAGCGCACGCTGCCCGAGATGACAGGTCACTCTCAGCGTGGATCTTGTGAGTGTGAGTCCCTCTGATGAGCGCTTGCTCCTGTGCGTGGCATGGTGGGCTTCGCGAACTCCTTGCATGTTCTAAGGCTGTTGGCCTGGCTATTCTCGTTTCTTTTTTGTTTCCTTGTTCTCTGGTTGTGCAACTATCCCTAGTATCCCAGCCATCGTCTCTGGCGCCTATGTACTGTAATTCCACAATGAATAGTGCCTAGGGTAAAGTTCATCGATACATGCATCAATGGGACGGGGAAGCCGTGACTGCCCGCCTGTCATGCAGACGACTCATTGCCACGAAGAAGATGGTGGGGTTGGCGTAAGCCCAAAATGAGGTGGTTGGTCTCTCCGGTTCTGGGGCACTCCTGCCCCAAGATCTGCGATCGCGGTGCGCTGCCGTAATCGTCAGTTTTAACTCAACCAAGTTGAAGGAATCCGCTTTCTTCCCGTCCATCGCCCATCGCCTAGTATATGGCCCGTGAGCCTTGTAACCCCTCCTTGTTGTCGATGGTAGGAGGGGCTGAGCAAAAGGGACGGCCCTCATGCATCAGCAAGAGTCTTGCGCATACTGGTGGAGACGGTGCCGGATGCGGAAGAGGCCGTGCTAGCCAGGGATGAATCGCCGGCGACGGCACATCAAGCCCCAATAGTGCTTCTCATCGCTCTATTGCATCCGACTATGTGGCGTATGGAGGTGGGCTCAGCTCGTCCTTGGCTTGACCATGTCGAGACTCGGGAGGGGTGAACGCTGCTACAATGCTTTAGGAAAAGGTAGGTAAGCTCATACTAATAAGGTACCTAGTGTTGCTGGTTCGGCAATGAAAAGTGCCTTCAGCAGTGGTTGGTCCCTGGAACTCAGCCGAATCTGGCCCTCCATAGTGCTTAACTAGCGGCAGTCTGAAATGCCTAATCACGCCGGGATATCGTGGTTTGGAGCAGAGGGGAAGAGTGGCCACTGCTCAAGGATCATTCCGCTTTGGGAAAAGCGAACAACGAGAGGAGAGCTGGCCCCTTTTCTTACTGTGTGCCTGGTTCTTCTTCGTCTCGGTTCCGAATAAGCTCCTGCCAGCAGTGCCAGGGGAAATTAACATTGTTCCCTCGCTGACCACTCTCCACTAGCAGGTTCATGAATACCTGAAAGTGGACGGTCGTACATGTGTAGAACACATTAGCAGTGAGTAGGCAGTGAGCTGTGGGTGGAAGCGGAATAGATTCAGGATGCTACCTGTGGCAACTAAAGTTCGATTACTTCTGATCTGCGCTACTGAACTAAAGGAATAAACATGGTATTCCCCCGGCCCTGCCACATCGTAAAGAAGTGGAAAACAGATTGGAAAGAGAAAGGAAAGAGAAAGGAAGAGAAAAGAAAGAGTAAAGCAGATGACGGTGCCGTGAGGCAGTTCCCTCTTCCCCCCAATGCGCCCCAGAAAGCAAGACATAAGTGCGAGGAACCACAAAAAGCAGGGAAATCAAAGCATTGTGTTCTTGAGCCACAGTCTCCGTTCCATCAACGAAGGACAAAAAAGCATTTGAAGACTTCCACGATTAGATTTCGGAGACACATTCTGAGCATACGACGTTGCTTAGGCGATCTATGTTTCATTTCAAACCAGCCCAGAAACAGGAAGGGCAAAGAGCCTGCGAGCTCCTGAAATTCCTGATTATGTAGAGCAAAGGGGAAATGAGACCAAAAAAGCAGGCTTATTAACCCGCTATTGCAGCACAGAATGTTCGGTATTTGCAGATATCATGACCGCCCGTTCAACCGTCCTAACATGCTCCGATCAATGTCATTTGGCGCAGAAGGCGTCATCAGGTTATTGAGGCTCATAGGGTTTGAATAACTGCTGGAAGACGGTTGTGGTGGAGGACGTGGTTGGGTCGGAAGTTGGGACTGCGGCTGCTGCACCTGAGATGGCGGAGCTGGCGGCGACTGCAATGGTAGCTGCGGTGGCGTGGGACGGCCGGGACTTGTTTGCTTGGGAGTCGGCGGTCTGTCCCGGCCATAAGGGCTCTGCTGATATTGATAATAAGGTCCCGGTGGCGTGACGTTACTGCTGTTCATCGAGACGGGAGATCGTCTACGAGGGTCATCGTCAGGAGGGTAGTTCGGCGGAGGAGGCCGCGATAGGTGCTCCTCTTCTGAGGGCCGTGTCCGCCGGCGTCCAAGGTCTTTGTCGTCGTAAGCGGGATATGGTCCCGTGGGCGAATTCATTGGCGCGTTGAAATCAGGCGGTGGCGGGTACTGGTAAGCGGGTGGTTGCGGTGGTGGTTGCAGTGGTTGCGGTGGTTGCGGTGGTTGCAGTGGTTGCAGTGATTGCAGTGGTTGCGGTGCTGCCGGGGCGCTCGCGGGAGGCAAGGGCTGACCGTAAGCCCCGTAGAGCGGAGTTCCCGGTGGCACTCCGCCCGGAACAGCTGATACAGGAACAAAGGCCGCGGATGAATTTGAAGACACAGGTTGGAAAATGCAGTCAATTCGAAGCTTGTCACAGTTGGTGCATTTGCCGTTTTGTGTGTGGGTATAACCGCTGCAACGGATCTATGGGGAAAACAATCAGCTTATGTTCCAATGTTAGCTTGGAACTCCGTGCACAAACCTTCCGCTTCCTGCAATACCGGCAGGCGATTGACGTCCTCTGTCTCGGTGCGGTTTGTTGCTGGGCTGGGGGAGGCGGTGGCGGAGGGCCCATGTTGTAAGGGTAGGGCGCCGGCGGAAACCTGTAGTAGTCGGAGCCCGGGACATATGGGCCGCCTCTAGCCTGAACCACTGCTGGCGGATCGTAATACGGGTCAGGATAGGGCCGGCGGTCTGGGTACTGCCTCTGCTCCTCGTACAGTCTCCGGTCCTCGTACTGCCGTCGATCCTCATACTGCCTCCTGTCGTCATACGGCCTCCGGTCGTCATAACCAGCGGGTTGTTGAGCGGGGAACGGGGGAGGATACCGCGGGTCCGGCTGAGGATGGTAGCCGTTCGGAGCTGGAGGCTCCGGTGCCCAGCCCCTTGGGTCTGGCGGGTATCTTGGATCTGGCGCATAACCCCGTTCCGGGTAACGTGGATCCGGCTGGTAAGCCGGAGGCGGGGCCGGATACGCCATTCCAGGTAGCGGCGCGCCATCCTGAGCGATTGGAGCAAGCCGTCTTTGAGGCTCACTATCAGGCGGTGGTGGATACCGCATGTTGTCAGGGCTTTCTCGCGGCGGATCACCTGGGGGTCTGCGATGATCGTCCGCCATTCTGCACCGCGCTAAGAGTACCGCGGCGACTCAAGAAAAGGTGCCGTTCTCGAAATTAGGTGTGCAAGGCCCAGTGAGACGACGGGCAAAACCTTGCAGATGCTTCAGCTGCGACAGCCGCTTGTTGAGATACAAGACGGGTCACAGAAAGACGGGGAGATGAAATGGTAGGAGTGGCGTGCAGAGACCCGTCTCGCAACACACTATGTGCGCTCTGACAGATGGTCCAGGGTTAGGATAAGATGGGTGGAAAAGTGTAGAGGCGAGCGGCTGGCGAGCAAGGTTAAGGGAAAGGTGCGAATAAGTAAGCGTGAGGGAAGAGGGAGAAGGGAATGTGCGGGCGAAGTGGGGAGAGCGGGAATGATGTACTGTGCAGGTAGCGATGGGACGGGAACTGGAACGAGCCTTTATCAAGGGGCGGGAGTTCCCTTGTTGCTGACGGCCTGTGTCCCGAAGTTAGCGTAATGTTGATGCGGGTGGCACGACCAGCGGGGCTGAAGGAAAAATAAGTAAGCTAACCAGGGGCGCGACTCCCGGTGTGGAACTCAGTAGCCTGCTCTGCTCTTGTGCAGCGAATCATGCTGCTTCCCAGCGCTTGAGCAGTTTCGATCGCCCACAGTGGGACGACGAATGGCATGGGGGGGACCAGGGATGGAAGCGGGAAGGATACGGAAACGGGTGCAGCGTGCAGATGTTAGCTGCATGGTGCTGTGTGGGGTGGCACGAAGACATTGAGGTGTGGATGCATTAAGCAGCGTAGTCTGGTAGGGGTACCTGGGCAGCTGCGGGAACATGGGAGGCAAAACTTATTCGCACGGTCAACCGCCTGACCGCATGACCACTCAATTTGGAAAGCAGTGCAGTAAGTCCGAGCCGCTGCGGTGTCGCCTCGCCTGCAGCTGGTCGCCCACAAGACAGGCTGCCTTGGTTCTTTCCTCGCCGTCTCCCTTGGTTCCAGACCCCAAGCGTTCTAATGAAGCGGGCTTCTGCGGTTCCAACCGCCGCCCTTCGGCGGCTGCATTGCAAACGGCTTGAGTCGTTCTTTGACCTAAATAAAGTGCCTTGGTGCTGATGTGGTTTACGAGTTCAAGCAGCGTACAATACAGTACCTCCACGTAATCGTGGATAGAACAGGGTGGAGAAGCGTGGCGGGCACAGCAAGGCTTCCCAGGTTCGGTGGTTTCAATCATGGGACCCCGGGCCGGTCCATTGACGAAGCTGGAGGTTTGGACCGATTGTGGATCACAGAAGTTTGCTTGCTTCGGAGCAGGCGCGGGCCGCGTCCCTGTTCAATGGAAGCGACGGGATTGCCTGGGGTAAAAACGGGAACCTCCTTTTCAATCGCAAAACGATCGCCTTGAACCAACACAGTATAATACGGAGTGTGATATACCACATCGCATCTCACACTCGCGAGACAATACTACCTATCAGTAATTATTTAACTAGTGTATGCTTATGATTCGCCAGTGGTGTATCAGATTTCGACATTGGCTGTGAACACTGATATGTGATTATTCAAGTTTAGTGAAGCTGACCGCATGATTTAGCTCGTGTTTGATGTTTCCTGTACTGACACGAAGCGTAAATACATACAAGCCCATATCATGATAAGACCCCATGTAGCTATTAGTACCTTGTATTATACTTACATACACTACCTTACTACATACCCGAGGTACTCACGTTTGTTACACGTATTTCACCCGGATGAGGAGGGCCGCAGATGGGGTCGCAGGCGCCACGGAGTTCGAAGCCCGCTATTGGCTGAGTCTTGATTCTCATTCTCTGTGCTACCAGAGTAATACTATGGAATTGGTTTCGTGTGGCCGGCCGAAACAAATAATAACTTGCCAACAATGATGAACTTGGTATGCTGTGCATTCTCTCAATGAGCAGCTTTCCTGCAGAATAGATGAGCAGATCCACTTATTCGTCGTATTGTCAATTTGTCTCAGAGCAGTCGCCTGTGTCAATGTCTCTCCCATCTGACTCTTGGAGGGTCTGCTGACTTAAATACCGGGGCACCTATGTAACTACGGGGAGTTGGGGACTGAAGTCACTGGCAGCGAGGACTGCCTCAGAAACACCTAGCAAGAAGCAACCCGGTGAGACCGGTACGGAATTACGGGATCACTGTGTTGGTGTTAGATTTTGTGGAGAACGGATCTCTTGAAAGTAACGCAGCACACAGCTCTGTGTTCCCAGCACTGCCGACCAGTTTAGACTCGATCCGCGAAAGTGAACCCGAAAGTCGGCTTACTCGGCTGTGAGGCCCTCGGCCCGTGGCAGTACGCTTTCAGGATATTCGTAGGCCTGAACTGCCGGGTAGTTCGGAGAACGATTCGGCCTTAATACCAAAACCTCACCCTTGTAATACGGGTTGAATGCTGTGCCATTATTTAGGGAGCCCGCCTACAGCAAGAAACTTCCCAAGGAGGTGCTAGAGCAGTTTAGGTATAGTACGTACCTTCCGCAGTACGCACCCGGAGAGGATTTCTCCAGCCTCGATAGCTTTAACTACATGCTCAGCGGAATGAATGAATCCATCCACACGCGAAACGCACATACCAAATACAGCACAGACTTAAGGGCCGTCTAGGACTGACCACTGGAAACTCGGCCACAGGACACTTCGAAGATGTCCGTTGTACGTTCAGTTATGGCGATACTAGACTTTCTTGGCGTGGCCAGTCCGGTGCCGCCAGTCCAGCTGTCCCGGCTCCCGATGCACTGCGGCCCCGCTTCCAGGACGGAGTCGCAGGCGGCTGGACTCGGGAAACGGTGCTAAGTCGCTGTGGAGACGGAGCTTCCACAAGCATAAAGGTGCGGCGGCCAGTCAGTGAGACAAGGGTCCTCGCTTGCCGGGCTCTTGCGTCTCTCTTACATATGAGCTTAACATCCTACGACGCAGGCAATTAAGTGATCATCGAGCTCGTTCTGCCGGCAGGTCATGGCAGAGGTTTCAGAGCCTAGAAGGGAATTGCTCCGGAAGTAATGGATTGCATTCCCGTCGGTTGTGCTGCACATACGTACAGTCTTTAAGCAACGGGTACCATTGGTACAGTACCGGTACACACACCTGCGTTAAGAATCATTGTAGGACGGCGTTGGACTGCTGTAGGGGTGTCTCTCGCGAAATGATGGTCCCTGGTAGACTTGATAGCAGAAGCGCGCAAACTCAGGGTCGAGGTTGAAATCAGCAGTAGGGAGTACCGTAGGTAACGGGAGAAATCCATCCCGCGCCCCGAGAAAATGAGCCATCCGCCCGGGGTAGCAGTGAGGTGATGAACCAAAGACGCTGCTCTTGGTTCTTCTACATTACAATGGAAGCCTAATCTCACTGCTACACTAGGTACATTGCTCTGTCGAAATATCCTTGCAGGCTTCGGACAGAGACATACCTAACATGGTTACATCGAGAAATTAAAGGTCCGTGCCTGGTTCCGCACCATCCGCTCGTGGTCTGCTTTTGCTGACCTTTCCGCGTCCCCTAAAACGCTCCGAAGTTAGGTACCTAGATAGTAAGGTTGCCTTCCACGCCGTCCCAATAGCTCTGCCATCTCTGCCATCGAGGCCTTGAAGAAACCGTGCCGATAACTTTCCTAGGAGTAACCGTCGAAATCTAGAACTCGCCCAGGAGACGGTATCGACTTTGGTCGTCTTGCGAAAACCGCCTTCCACACAGGGTATTCGAGATCGAGAGACTCAGTTCCTTAGTATCCCGAATTGCGCTCACTGCGGTGAACGAGCGGGGTTGGACTGTAGCCGTTCCGTTCAAGTTGTCTAGGAACCACGCGACCAATCATTCGGAAACCAAGCGCAGGTGTATGGGATGTGTTATGATGCTCCCACTCCTATCGTCGGATGTGTGCCGTGCCGCACCTATCGCATTGTCGAATACACGTAGAGGAGGCCATGTACATACAAAACGCTTGGTTTCCGATCAGGATCCTTGGTCTAACGGTCCAGATGCCGCGACAACTCTGAGCGTGGGAGAGGTGGCTTGCCGAACGGTGCTTCTTCATTGCGCGTCGTGCGCGCCCCTTATTAGATAGCAATATATAAACTTCGGGCTGATGCAGGACGGAACCGCAGGTGACGGGTGACCAGTCCTCAAGGGGGTGGGAAGCAACATATAGCATGAACCGCGGACGGCGCGAGCCACGCCAACAACCAGCGAAGACGAAGAGCGAAGACTGCACAGTCAACAGCCAAGTGCGCCTGCGCGATAATGAGCTAACCACGGAACCTTTGCATGAAGTATGGTATTGATGTCGGCACTTCCAGTTGCATTCATCCGCAACTCTAGTATGACACGATTGTGATGGGTGGCTGCACATACGTACAACCGGCCGCCGGCGGATATTGCTGCGGTTGAAAATTAAACCAACCACGGAACGGTACCTATGGTGAAGACTTCCATATCTCTTCCCTCCTAGGTAAGGTAGGTATACATGTGTTATATATGCCCCTCGTCATTATCCAGCCGTGTGAAAGCGGAATCACCAGAGCGAAACTCAGGCGCGATGCCTCGAGAGCAAAAATGCAAAGCACGCCGTTCCTCCACTCCTGCACAGTGTACATACGGTCTTGCGAACGCTCGCTCTCCTCCACCTGGGCGGTGGATACAGGAATCGGATGGATCGATTGAAAGCGACCGCGGCAGGGAGTGCGTGCCGTCCGCCCCTCTTTAGGCTCTTCCCGTCGTCCTTGTTCCGGGCCCAGCCTCCCATTGGCTTCTTGACCCACATCCTTGGCCCCATTCGAGTGCGCCCGCATGGATAGCGTCCTGCGGCACATGAGTCTTCCAGAAGCCATTGGCTGGCACAGTTCTCTTCTGCTTGCCTGAAGCTCGCTTCCCCCGGTTGCGAGGCTGGAAAGGACGGCCATGCGAGCACACCTGGTTTCGCGACCGACCGGGCGGAAACTCCTTCTTCCGGGACAATGGCAAGGATGATGTGTCAGGTTTTTGCTGCCTGCGCGCATCCCAACGCAGTTTGTGGAGGTGATGAACGAAAGCACCCCTGATTTTCTCGACACTTTGTTTTCGCAGCCCTCGGCTGGGAGGCTGCATGTGTAATATGAACCCGTGCGACCTTGGGCCTCGAACTATGTTACACTTGGTCACTATAGAACACACACAACGCTTTATTACCTCCTTAGGCACTGATTCAGCGGGGAAAGTCCCCAGAAGTTCCAGATAGCTGGTTATTGGCTGAATACGGACGGGGTGAATCCGTCGCGTCTCAAAGGCCCGGGTACACCCGCATCCTGTAACAGTGACACAGAGAGGGGCTCGAGAGGGGGTCTGACAAGTCCTGCATTAGTTCTATTCCGCTCTCCTAGAATCACTGCACAGGCTGTATCGGTCTGTATGCTTGGTTGCGAAGGGTGAGACACCTGCCGGTTGCTTTGTTGCCACGTAACATGTACATGTACAATACATGGAAGTATGTCTGTGTGTATTGTACTGATATCCGCATACTAGTACTACTGTGTAATTTAAGTATGTGGTCCCGGCAGCGTTTCCAGGTTCCGTACAGGTCCCCGAACATGGCCAAATCAAATCTCCAATGACTAAGATTAATGAGGTGATCGTCAGGGCAGCGCACCTAAGCAACTCCCCTCAAAGCGGCATACTGTGTAGCTGACCCGTAAATCATAGCACAGTCCACTAAGGTTTTGTCCGACGCCAGATCGGCCCTCCCATTCGACAACGTGACTGATCGGTACCGACATACCAGTATCCGTAAGAGAGCTCACTTCAAGCAAGGTATCACGGTATATACATGTACCTCCTTAGGAAAGGTATTAACTGACCAACGCCTGGCCTTTATTGTATTGCCCGCGTTCTAAATTCCGTTCACCGCTCGAGACTCAAACAAGCATGTTTTGAAGAGGGAATAATGCTTGGACATTATACTGTAGCTTGGAAGTCCGGAACCATTTCTCTGCACACTTCGGACAATGGCTTCATTGTCCGTCTCTCACAATTAGGTACCGTCAATGTTCCCACTGTTGATACCTGCTCTGTTGCAACCCATAACGATATGCAGTTGCAGATGTAGGAGTTACCATAAGTACGGTACGTTCGGCCACCAATCATCAAATACCACAGCCCCTTGAAATACAGTACAGCATTAAGCTATAAGCGGGAGGGTCCGGGACGGTAGAGGGACCTATGCCTTTCCCTGATTTATAGTCTCTTTCAACATGGTGACATCGGGTATTCATCCCCGCCTTCTAGAGTTAGGTGAGGTGTTGAGCGGGCAACACAGAGACAGGGCAAACGGCCCTGATTCTAAGTTGGTTAAAGGGTATCTAATTGGTTGCTCGCGGAGAGATACGCCACACATGTAGTTTCCAGGCGCAACGCTCTCGAGGGGCCCCGAGCATGACCTATCTTACCCCAGATCATCGACTTGGCGTCATCTCATGGGTAACTACAATACCTCCGTTATGGATCCTCGCCAAGGCAAGCGGTAAGATACTGTACTGCGTACCACAGTACTGTGTAAGTTTGTGGTATTGCCATTGACGTTCACACTTCACCACTCCCTCCACCCCGTGCCAAGCCAGCAAGACGGACAGACATCGCATTGATGATATAGCGGGCATCCAACGTGAAGATCCTTCCCGTGTCTTTCACCCGCGACTTCCCGGAGGACCCCGGGGAGATCCTTGAGAGTCATGGCCCCGAAAGGTTGGCCCTAACGAAATGCGCACTAGATTCATTTAGACGTCCGAAGGTATAACAGCTGGAATCTCCAGGACGCTTACATAACAACATTTACACAGTCGAAACTGGTTGCGGCATAGGCTTACCCATCTCTCGATGAGGGCTTCGAGAACTTAGGGGTCCAAGTACCTATCAATCTACCTCCGTTTTGCGTATGGCGGGACTTAGCAGCAAGTCGCGGAGACCAGAATACCTGGCAGACAACAAGATCCATCCAGTCGCCAATTCCACTGCTGGATCTGTGAGGCGAACGGACACTCGATTGCCTACCTGGGTCTGGTGGCCTACATGGTACACAGTAATACGACATCCTAGCTCGTCCGCAGGTCGAGGACGGCCCTTGGTGGCAGTCCCTGAGCCCGAGGACTACTAGGTAAGGCCCTGTCTTTCCCTGGCATGACAGTCTGTGCAACAGAGGCGCCTAGCCCAGATCCTGCTGCCTCTCGGTATGAGAGCCCAACCTTCGAAACGGGCCGTTGCGGCGCATAAGAGTTCTCTGAGCGCGTCGTGTTCGAAACAATCACATCCAAGAAACGAAACATGGGAGCTTTGTTTGAAATATTCTTGTCCAAGAGGGCCGACCTACTCGCGTCAGCCAACAGCTCCTCGTCAGACAAGTGCATGGAACAGGAATCCGCAGAAACGGGCCATGGCAAAGCTCAAACCAACCAGCGGCGTTGCGCCCAAGCAGTCAAGCGGCGCAGGCCAAATCCTGGCCGAACGATCACCTCCTCATTCCACAAGCCAAAAAGGCGGTCAGAAAGTGAGCGTGCTGCGGCCCCCAAATGCGACTTAATTAACCGCTTCGCACCACGGACTCGGTAGTTACCGTCATCAGAGATCATCCGCCACAGGCTTGTCCTGTTGCGACTGGTTGCGTCTACTAGTCAATTCTTCCAAGGTATCCGCGAATCAGATCCTTTCTCGGCAGTCACGTGACAGAGGGCTCATGCACTCCACATCTCCTCCGCGCCCCAGTTCCCGAAGGAAACGGACTCTTTGTGTTTCCGTTCTCGAAGGCTGAGGAAAGGGGCGGCGTGCCGGGATCCAGCCTAGCCAGACGTTTTGCAACAACAACTGCTCCTCCGTTCCGTAACGTCAACCGGGCTGTCGTCGCAAAGTCCCGTCCTACTTCAGGTTCCGAGTCGGAGGCTCGCCAAGCATAAAGCCGCCAACGGACCGAGGTCATATGGCCCCTCGTTCTTGGGGCCAAACCAATGACTATGAATGTCCCAATGAGCTGTCAGAAGCTGAAATGCCCACAAGTTGGAAAGTGTGTCTCACAAGAAGACTCGCAAGTGCCGTTGATGTCTTGGATCATCCGGTGGGCGTCCCGGCAATGTCCAGCAGCGAGCAACCGGCCAAGGCTGCGCTCCTGCCCAATCAGAGTGCACTCCACTTTTTAGTGCAATTCGGAGACGGGGGTAGCGACACCAAGGGAACTGTCGTGCCACGTTGCGACGGAACCCATGTGACGGTATACATCACATACCTTACTGTAACCCGTACCCAACCCTCGTATCACAATACCTGGTCACTGTATTGTACCTTCGTTCCGCGCTTCCCGGTGCCGTGCCCGTCATTGCCTCCTTCCTGCGTGACGGTCGACCAAGTGGATGCTCCTCAGCGTCAGCGCTGGGCTAGAGCGACACGGGTAATAAACAGGATAACGTTATTGTCCCATGTAGGGCTGAGCAGCCATATCCGTACTTCTTCATTTCCTGACCACCGAAATCCAACATCCAACCAACCGAATAGTTATTATGAGGCGCCACAAGCTTCCTCATCGTCAGAGATGCAAAAGTCATCAGTCATCCTTGAGTGACCAGGCCGAAGCTCGCGTCCGATATCGCAGATACGAACGTGTCACCAGCTTTCTACATGCCACTTCGATGGACTTGCCGCGTACTGGTACCTGAGGAAACCCCGGTAGTACCTAACCTAAGGCACTGATCATGAGCATTCCTCAGCCACCACGGAAGTTGCATGTCCGTGTGCTTGGGCATCAGTCAGCACGGCTCGGCCACCACTCACATACTGATACCACCTGAGTTATCACACGGGCGCAACAGGATGTTGTGCGGGCTTGACGCAGGTCTTCGGCAATGCAGGCTTGCAGGCAGGCAATTCTTCCTGCAATAGACCTCGGTCCTCAGCTGAAGCCCGGTTCAAGCGAAGCACAAGCCATCCCAGCACGACAGCACGACGACGCGACCTGGCTGCATGACGCAGCGAATGGAGGTTGAGGTTGATTGGCAGCCAGGCGGGTTACCTTGCTTCTTTGCACCCTCGATCGGCCGGCCGGGTGCACCCGCTACTGATTGATTGGTCGCCGGGTACCGCCCTCGACGTCCAGGCCGGCCCGCGAATGTGGACTGAACATCGGCCTAAACATTGGCCCTGCGTGATGCGCTGGCAACAGAGATCATGATCCTCACGCGGCAAGCCTAATCTATGCAGGTTTCAGTCATCAATACTCTGAGCAAATCAACGGTGTCCTTCGCTAAGCCGCGCCGGCTCGGATAAGACGTTCTAGTCCCATGGATCCCTGCATCACCCGGCCGTCACAAACAAACCCGTGCGCAGAATTTCCCATTGGAGGGCAGCTTTTGGTTCTTGCACCTCGGGTCCGGTACCAGCTTGGCTGCGTTACTTCGCTGCGACGCAGTCTGGCAAGAAACGGTAACCCGAACAAACAGCGGTGAGACTGCACACTTGCCGCCCGTGGCCCCCATCATTCGGTCGCACCTCGACCTTTTAAGCAGGGCCGACTGCAAGCTTGGCGCCGCCACTGGACGTGTTCGGCTTTTGTTGCGAAGCGAGCTGTTTGATCACGCATGCATGTTTCTAGCTACCATATGGGAACTAGCTATTTACTCACTTGCGGTCTCAGGTTTGTACCACGAAGGTGCTCCGAAAACGAAGCCCGAGTGTGTCTCGCTCGCGCCGATCCAACGGTCAGGTAGGTAATCCAGCCTAGCTTTGCTGACGGGAGCATGAGGTGTCACTTCTCACGGCCCAACGGACGGCCTGACAGGCCCGTTGTAAGCCGCCCAATGGCCCGACTGGCGTCGCACCACAGAAGGCTCGAGCCAATAATGCGCGGCACAGGTATTGACCCAGCGCGCCCATAGCACCCTGAAGCGTACCGAGATGTGCCGCCGCAGAATGTGGGATCTGACACTCATTCCGCCCGGCACGGGTACGGACGGGAAGACAAGTCTTGTGAGACCCTATGGAGCACATCGTTCAACCCATCCCACCCCACTACAACTCAGACCAGACACGAAGGTTTTCGAAGCATGGACCCGGATCAGTGTGTCGGTTAAACCAACCACCCGCCCTGCGCTACTGCGTACTGCATCATCTGCAGGCAGTGCTCCGCTGACCAGAGCACCTGAGAGTCCACTCGATCATAAGGAATGGGGGGAGGAGGCTCGCATCTCGCCGTGCCGCCCGCTGCTCTTTTGCCGTTTCGCAACCCTGCCGGCGGCCCATCCTCCCCGCTCACTTGCAGGTATTGCAGCAAGCCTCTTTCCCTTCTCTCCCTCGTGCAGCAGCAGCATGCCGCAGCCAGCAGCTGCCCGTGTGAGGGATTTGCAGAGGCGCGCTCCGCACAAAACACGAACACACACGGCTGGCAGGCCACTCCCTACTGAGACCACCCAACAAGGCCGATGAAGCAGGGCCATGCCGCGCAAATCCTGCGCGTGGCGCGCTGAAACACGGGAGAGGAGGATCAACAAGCGACAAATTACAGGTGTTCGATACTTGTTATGTCCATACGTTCCGTACGCGCGTCTACGCCACACGGTGTGAATCGATGTACAATGTACCGGTGCTGTACGGACGTACGAAAGCAAGACATCCCGACAGCCGCCGGCTCGCTCGGCACACCCCAGGGGCGTGTGTCCCTGTGACGAGGAACTGACTGCGGACCGAAGCGGGGTCATGCATCCCGTCGCTGGGACGGGCTGGTGAGATCCTCGTACAGTACGCGTACCTACTATGTATGTAGCCGTTTGTGTTGCCAGACTCCCAGCGGACTCCCAGAGTCAAGACGACGCTAAAACCTGCTAGTCGGGAATTCATGTGCCACCTCTCCCGGGGCCACGGCATCCTTTGCCTATCAGGGCCAAGTGAGAAAATGCCTCTGGGCGAATCGGCCCCCGCAGCGTGCCAGCGAGTAAGACTAGCGTCATGGTGCAACTCTTCCATTCCTTCGTCACACCAATCGAGGCTTGCGGGGTTGTCTAGGAACTGACCACAAAGTGCAGAGCCAAGGATCCAAAATCTCAGCACGATTTCCTGTTTCTGTCTTGTGCATTGCGCCGAAGGACCATCTGCCGCTGCCGATATATGATCTGTCTTATTGGAACCCCCGAGTCTTGGACCAAAAGGTACGTATGTACGAGTACAGTGTGTTGCATTATCTTTTCTCACCCGCCCTCATCTCCTCTTCGTGTCGGTATCCTTCGCTTGCTCTCACGAACCTGGCGAGTTCCCGTCTGCGGGGATGGAGTGACGCGTGCATGACTTGGCTAAATGGCTCAAACGGATGATAGATCTGTATTGTAGGTATGTACATGTATGTATATACAAAAATTGTATATACTACTTGTACTGTACATACAATCCTGTCCGACTGATGGCTGTTCTCTGAGGTTTTGGGAAGGCACTGAAGCTATTCACAGCTGGCCTTTGGGACCACACCAGATTCGCCTGGACACTTTTCGCTGAGTTTCTTGCTACCAGGTAGTTTCTAGCTACTCAATGCGTTTGACGGGTTCCTCTAGAGGGAAATATATCTCCACGTTACGCTGAGCCAAAAGTGACCGAGATGTTTCCGCAAAGCTGATGTGTAATATTTATATAGCGTTCCCTATCGACAGCCAGCTGTTGTTGATAGACTCAAGAGTACAAGCATAATCGTGCAAAGGACTGTGGCTGAACAGTTCCCAAATTCCAGTTCCACGGACAGAATCGCTTGAGTTTGTATCGGAAGAATCGTCACCTGCCGCGAAACCTGTATCTTCAACATGGCCACTCCGTGCGCGCATCACCATCACCACGGCGCCGGCACGTCAGCCTCGGAGCAGAACAAAGAATTCTTCAAGTGGGTCGAGCTGGTCCTCATCAACTGTCGCGAGGGGGCTACTTCAAGCGCCCAAGTCGAGGCGCAACCAACCCAATGAGCCTCGGTCGTCTATGTCATCTACAACCCTCTAGAGTGCTCCTCTACGACGCTATGGGGTCCATCACTAACACGGATTTGTGTCTAGCAAGGAGGCTGCTCACTACGATACCAAGCATGAGAAGACCCTCAACAGGTTGGTCGAGGAGATTCGGGCGAAGCTCGACTTCATTGGCGCGGACTGGGTCGAGGAAAACGAAGAGGAGTCCAAGGAGGGAGCCCAGGAGAAGACCGTGAGACTGTTGGACTATGCTTGTGGAACTGGCGTTGGTAAGCTAATCGCTTTCCTTCCCTTGTTGTGGTCCCTTGGAGTCTTGTTCTTTCCCGCTCCGATGAATGCCAAGAGTACCTGGGCATTATGTGCCTATGAGCCTCTGTTGAACTCTAGCATTTTGATCTTGCCCCTGGTGTCTCGGAAGGCTAACTACATCGCTGCGCAGTTTCTAGGGTAGGAAGCCTCTCAGTGAGCTCTCCTGCTATCCATTGCTCAGAGAGATGAGACAGCTGGAGAGGCATCTGCTTCCTTGCGATTCTATGTTCCGTGATTCTGACCCGAGTCTCACAGGCCCTCGCTCCATACACCACCCAGTGCGTGGGCATTGATCTGTCGGAGAACATGGCAAGTGAGCCCCGATCGTCTACCACTTACGCTCCTTGCCAGGGAGGGCAGAGTCAGGTAGCCGGTCATTGCTAACTACGTAGTAGGTAGCGGCATACAACACTCGCGCTGAAAATCAGGTCAGTTCCGCTATATCGCTTCTCACTCTCCGTTACGCCAAAGGATCCAGGCTTGGGAGCTGATATAGCATACGTACCAGGGCCTCACGCATTCGGAGATGCGCGCCTACCAAGGCAACCTCTGCGATCCGGAGGATCCCACTCCGGAAGCCTTTGCCGCGCCGGAATTCTCCAACTTTGATGTCGCGGCCGTTGGTCTGGGCTTCCATCATTTCGACGATCCCGCCCTCGCGGCCCGCAGGTTGTGCCAGCGTCTCAAAACCGGAGGCGTGCTCGTGATTCTAGATTTCTTCGCGCATGACAAGCCGGATGTACGTCCCGTTCCAACCCCCATGTTGCAACCCCTTGGGGCTAGATGCCAGAGGAGAAAGATTGACTAAACTGTATCTGAAAATAAACAGCCCTCGCACCCTGCGTCGAATACCATCACGCATCATGGCTTCTCCGAGGAGCAGGTCAGGCGCATCTTTGAAGAGGCTGGTGTAGGCAAGGACTTTGCGATGGGGGAGGTTGGTGCGGTATTCCACTTCTCGAAAGAGGATGGCAGTGAGGTGCGGAGGAAGATCTTCATCGCCCGTGGCACGAAGGCTTGATGAGAGAGAGAGAGTTTGGAAAGAATCAGATCTGGTTGTGCCATATTGTAATCAAAATAGAAATGTAGACGCACATATCAAGTCAAACCTTGTCTAGTGAACAGATGGCGGTGTCTGAGCTTCTAGGTGATTCAACAGCTGAGAACGTATAATAGGTCTATGATGCCAATGTTTCGGTGTTAAAGTAGGCGTTCTCCGCGTGGTAGGTCATTGAAGATATCCCACATCCCGTCAATCGGACTCAGGGAGCTCTGATATGAACACAGAGCTGTCATTGGGCCACCCTGTCTTTCACCTCTTCAGGGAAGTCGTTAGCGAGTATGAAGGAAGAAACGAAGGATGAGCGAAAGGATGCCTCTCCTGATTCTGGGAGTTAACATACCAGGAAGGTCCACAACGAAGGCACCGCCGAGGAGGATTGCGGGTTCATTGATGTTGTGATGTTCGTAGCTAGTGCCGAAAGACCCGAGGTAAGTAGAGAGCTAGAAGGCAAGAAAGGGATTGCCTTGATCTCACCTCAAAGTACCTACGCCACCTGCTTCAAGTAAGAAAGATGGCCCGCCGTGGAGGGACTGGCCAGCCCAGCGCTGCGCAAAGGCCCGGAGGATATGGCCATGGGCTACAATTAGCACGTCGCCATTGCCTCCCTGTCCCGTTGGTTTATCCATGACTGGAGCATGCCACTTCTCTCGAATCTCTTTGATGAGTCGGTCAAGTCGCTCGTTGATATCAGACGGGCTCCTGTGATGTGAAGACGGTTAGTTCCACTGAACCCGGACCCGGCTATTGGGGGCAATGTAAAAAGGGACCGTACTCTCCCCCCGGACAGCCATCTCTCCAGATATCCCAGTTGGGATCTAGGCCCTGCTGCTTCCGGAGTTCTCTGATTTCAGGCGAGGTAATGCCCTCATAGTCGCCATAGTCCCATTCCCGGATGTCCTCCGTGACTTCAACTTGGGCTCCGCACTGCAGGTGCTCGCAGTATGGTTCGCCGTGAGCTTCCCATGGTAGCTGATGTCTTTGCACCAGGTTGAGGAGCTCCAGGGTCCGTTGTGCCCGGCGTCGCGGAGAGACGTAGCTGTACCGAGTCAGTGACGGGCTAGTACAGTCCAATGAGAAAGAAAAGCCACAGCCGCCCCGGAGGACTGAGATGAATACTCACATGTGCGCCAGCTTGCTAGGCGCAATCAAACGATCATTGCCGACGAGCGCCTTGCCGGTCGCCAGAACCCGTTTCTCACCATTCGCCGTCAGGGGAATGTCGGTCGACCCTGTATGACGGCCGTCGAGCGACCACTCGGTTTCGCCATGACGAACAATGAAGACACGAGGAGACGACATGTTGTTGAAGGTCCGTACTATGTTGGACTTCTGAAGTGGAGACACCAGGGGTAAAAGAAACACTGCGAGAGCGAGAAAGAAGGTCAGTTCAAGCTTCCGAGGGCCCTTGGCTGAGCTGTACTGGTGATAACTGAGATTGGTCTGGCTGAGCGACCGCGGAGGGACTGCGAAACGATTATCGTATACCTACGTTATGAAAGCCTGTCCACGTTGGTTTGAGGTATTGCTCTCGTCGTCGCCGGCGTTCTCCCCAGCAGTTACCACAGGAAACAGATGAACGAACGGCGACAGAGAAGCAAACCAAGGAGCTCACTCGCTTATCTCAACAAGCGTCATCTAACGCTAGCTTGGAACATGGCCCGCCGATCCCGCGAGCATGACGAAACGCAAGACACCAAGCTCCCGCAAACTTTGGATTTTGGCTTACAATAATCAAGTATATACGAAGTAAGGCTAGTGGATTGTGCCTCATTAATCAAACAAATCGACTACCGCTGCAAGGCGATTACTCAGGACATAGGTCGCTTTGTCACCACCAATTCAGTTAACTCGTTGGCATTGCGAACCTCGAGACGGCCAAGACGGGACGGGGAGAAACGCCCCGCCTTCGGCTTGTGGACCCCGGAGGAACACGCGGGGCCCCATTTTGGTCAGATTCACAGACTCTGATTCGCCCAACGTAAGAACTGAATCCGGAGCAGGCCCGCACTTTGGCTCGCCTGGCGACGGCCCGGCACGGATACCGTAGTTATGCCAAGCCTCGCAAGATCTTCGGCTACCGTACTGTACGTAATCCGTACACAAACGACGTTCCCACGGGATTGGAAGCTCGGCGACGGCGAGTACGATGGGCCGACGGCAAAGGATTCCATTGTAGCAGGATACAGCGAACTGGAACTAGAACAGCGAGATTGAGACGACCTAGGAGTACTGGGAGCGTCGCGAAAGGTTCTGCGGGGACAGATACTTCTATTATTTTCTGTATCACATTCCGGAAGCCTACGGAGGAAATCGAGTGGAAAGGGCGGCGATTGCACCTACTTTGGCGCCATACTAGGGGTGATCCATCCCGCTAAATCCTCTTTAGGCGGGCGGGATTCGCGAACCTAGGTACCTTACCTTAGTCAGGGGGGTGAGGTTCCCGCTGCAGCATGCCGCCATCACCATCCGCAGTACGAGCGGCAGCAAAGACCGCCGCCTCTGCCACCAGAGTCGCCGCCAGACAGGCAGCAAACCTCAGAGGGTCACCATCAGCGGCAGCTGCAACAGGCCCAAAAGCCGGCTTACTTCCAAAATGGAAATACATGATCATCTCCGTCAGCTTCGCCGCCGTGGTCATCACAGGCACCGTCTACGGTGCCGGACTCAAGGCGCAACAGGAGTACAAAGCTGTACGCCCACCCATCTCTCCCCGGCTTGCATACTCTTGTAATTTCTCACCCCGCTCACACACCGAAACGCATATAGGAGAAGAAGAAGGTGCAAGAGGCCACGCTAGAAGAGAAAGTGGCTCTGCTCGAGCAGCACAAGGCAGACCTGTTGAGGCAGAAGGCGAAGATCGAGGCCAAGCTGGCCGAGGTCAGGGCGCGAATCAAAGCCTCCCCCGAGGGCGGAGGCGGCGGGACTGTAGATGGGAGCAGATAGCGCATTCTGGCGAAGGGGCTGATGGGGTCGCCTGTACCAATTTGGCCATCCCCTCGCCTGCGCCTCGCGCTGACGTTGCCTGTCGCAAGGTACCAGCGAGCGGCCCGGTGAGCAAACGGATCATGGTTATGGGGGCAGAGGTAGATCGCCCTTATTCAAGGATCATGTTTCGGTGATTCGGGCATCGCAGGGTTGAGGGTACCTCATGCACAGCCGGGGCAGACAGCCTGACCCGCGCAAGCCACAACACTCCTGAACAACCAAGCCGCTCGTCGCCTCGAGCAGCGACAAAGGGAGCTATGGTGCATATCAGACATTCCACTGCAATAATCACCCTTGTTTCGCACAGATAACCCATGGATGGTTTGTCTAGAACCTCGTGACCGGTCTACCGGGAGCCATTTTCACCAGAATCCCGCCCCCCTTTGTTTCGGTGCGCCGCCCCGATAACCATATTCCATGGAAAGCCAAAAACACCAAATATTTCACTCCATCAGGCCTTCGGCAGTAGGAAGAGGAATGGCCTTGTAGAGGAGGATGAGGGCCGAGTGTGACTCACCGCCACCCGCAAGGGCATCGATCTTGTCAGCCGTCACCTCCGTAACCCTGTCGTCGTTGAACCACCACCACAGACCGTCCTCCTCACCGACCTTGCCGGTTACGGGGTCCTTAGGGCCAGTCTTCTTGACGTACGCGGTATAATGGCCGCTGTCCGCGCTGGCGCCCTGGTGGGTCACGACAGCCCGGAGTTCATAAAGGCCTGACTGATTGGCGCCGTCATCTTTCCGGAGCTCCGGGTCGATAAGGGCGTTCAGCTCCTTCTTAGCCTCCAGGAGGGCCGCAGCCTTCTCCGCATCCCACTCGGCATCCGTCTTGAATGTCTCGGTCATCTCAACATCGCCATCCCCGGACGTCGAGGGCTTCTTGTCGTTCTTCTTCGCGACCTCTCCCTTCCCGCCGGGCACGTCGCCGTCCAGTAGCGGGTTCCTCTTGCGCCGCTTGCGAGCCCGCTCAACATCCTCCTCTTCCTTGCGCACCTCGCGCACCTTGTCTCTGACTGGGACGAGAACCTTTTTCAACTCATCTGTGCAAAATTCAACCACGTCCAGCTCGTGGGGAAACGTGACCTTGCGCATGATCTTGGCTTTCTTCTGGACGTCGCGCTTCCAGAAGAAGCGCACAAAGTGGACAGTGAGATACTTGGGTAGCCGGGAGATCTTGGACGTCTTCGTGTACATAACATCCCTGCCCAGGACCTCCGACTTCTTCTCGATCTTCTCTGTTAATCCGTTGACCAATCCGTCTCTGAGATGGGCGGTCTGACTGTCGATATGGCAGTTGAGCTTGAGAAACGGCTCCTTGGCGGAGGTTGCTTGCTCGCCGCCCTCGCCGGCGGCCGGGTCGTCGCATTCGAGCGTGCTGGAGAACTCGCCAGCCATATACTTGTCAACGAAGGAAACGGCCCTGGCGGTCTCGCCTTCGCTAGGGTCCGCCCACTTCAACTTCTGCCTCAGCTGCGACACGATCTGCGACCATGCTTCCTCGGCATCCTGTTGAGCGTAGCCCGGACCTTTCTTCGAGCGCTCCGCGAACTGAGGGAAGGTCACTCGCAGCGCATTCAGAAAAATGAAGGGCGACATGCCACCCTGTGTCTCCGACATGTCCTTGAAGAGGTCTCTGAGCTGGTTCGTGATGTCCAATTGGGTGATCCCCGATGTTGCCGTGCTGTCGTGCTTTGCAAGAGCTTCCTGAAGCTCGGGGATGGAACGCAAGGCCTGTAGCGTTGAGTTGAGATAGCATGTGTTCCCTAGATTTACCAAGCCTGCCGGGGTCGCGCCGGCTTGCTGTGCGGCTTCGGCTTCGGTCATGTCTTCGAGGAACTTGATCTTCTCGGTCGGTCGCACAACGGCGTCTCCGCCATCTCCCGGCGTACCCATCATCATAATGACCTGGCCAGGCTTTAGGCCCAGCTTGCTCATGTCGGTGTCATCTTTCAGTTGGCCGCCCTTGACCAGGATCTTCTGTCGCTCAGGCTCGACACCGGTCAGGCTGAAGAGCTGGTACTTGAGAACCTCGCCGGTCTGTGTCGTGTCGACCTCGACATCGTACTTTTTCCCTTGATGTTTAATCACGACTAAGTACAGCTAGGTCAGTCCTGAGATCATGCTTCCCACTGGGGTGGAGGGGTCAAACAAGCCAGGTCCTTACCATTTACGGTTGACATCTTGAATTAGGAGACCGGGACGTTGTGGGGAGTGCTAATGAAACCGAAAGGTGAGTGATAGGAAGAAGAAAATCCTCGAGTTCCGCCAGAGGCCGTATGCTTTTGCCCCCGTCGATTTCGCGTTTCGAAAGTCCCTGGTGGCGGATGTGGTTGAGGTACAGTACAGTGTGTAGAAGCGGAAAGAATGGGGCGGCGCGCCCGGCGGGAACGAGTGGAACCCAGGCAGCCTAAATGTGGGTACCCGCCGCCGCACCCTGGCCCCGCCCTTGCCCGCATGCTCCGCCGCCAGCTTGACTGCCAAGGTACTCCGTACCCGAAGCTGGACCCAAGACGACGACAGCAGCATCGGCAACCGACCTGCTGGGCCATCGCTGGACTCAGGGGAAGCCATTCTGCACAGGCACGATGGTGAGACGCTCACACAATCAATATATCCTCGAGCACACGCTGACGGTCTTCTTCCCACGCAGTCACAATCGCTCCGCCCATACCTGCAGGCTGTTCGTAGCAGCCTGACAGCCGCCCTCTGTCTCTCCAACTTCGCATCTCAGACTGCCGAGCGGCACAATGTTCCGGAGGTCGAGGCGCGGACATCACCCGAGGTGTTGCTGACACCGCTAACGATCGCGCGCAACGAGAATGAGCGCGTCCTCATTGAGCCCAGCATCAACAGCATACGCATCAGCATCAAGATCAAGCAGGCGGATGAAATTGAGCATATCCTGGTCCACAAGTTCACTCGCTTCTTGACGCAGCGTGCCGAGTCCTTCTTCATTCTCCGGAGAAAGCCCATCAAGGTTGGATCACTTGCTGACGCCTCACGCTTTCCTGGAGACTGACATGTATTGTCCAAGGGATACGACATCTCCTTCCTGATCACAAACTTCCACACCGAGGAGATGTTAAAGCACAAGCTGGTCGACTTCATCATTCAGTTCATGGAGGAGGTAGACAAGGAGATCTCAGAGATGAAGCTATTCGTATGCCATTCCTCCGCCAGTCCTTACCTATGACCCTGGCTAACATTCCGGCCACCAGTTGAATGCACGGGCTCGCTTTGTAGCTGAGTCATTCTTGACACCGGTAAGACCTGGCATCCCGTTGTCAAGCATGGCCCCAATATCCGTCTGACCTGCATCTAGTTTGACTGAGAGAGGAGTGCCCTCCAAAGCAACGGAAACGTAATTTATGCCTCCAGCTTCAGGAGGAAATGTTTCTACGTTACCAAGTCCACGAAGCTATCTCAGCGTTAACACAATGGACTCGAGCTTCGTGGCAAAAGCCCTTGGATCAAAATCAAACGGCACTTGGGGCCATTCGCGCTCGACGCACTGGCCTGATGCTTATTGGGGGGCGTCTGCCGCATGCGAGCCATATACAGAAATCCTCACGACTAAAGTACAAAAGAGCATCCATGACCCTGGTTTCAGAATGCTTGGCTCGTGATCTTCAGTGCTGGGAAGGACAGTGACCATACCCGGCCGCCTCCTTCGTTGTTCTCTGATTCCCAGGAGAACTGCCCTCAAGACCCGGCAGAGGCTGGACGACATAATAAGCCCAATCTACGATTTACCCCAACCTTTTCAGGTCTTCAGGTGCGACGAGCTGGTTCCTCCGCCAAACCCCCTGGATGCCTTGTGAGCGGACAGTTCAGCTACTTCAGTCATCCCCTCTTCGTATGAGCTTCGCGTTTCCAGTCCTCTGAGAAATAAATCAAGCTTCCTTAAACTACCAGTGTCACTGGCGTTCTTCCTGTGGGAACAGAGGGCTTGCCACCTAAGTTGGACGGCATCAAGAGTGCTCAAGATAGGCAGTTATTGTGGGAGACGCCTTGCTGCTTCCCTGTTCCTCTTCTGTCCCTTGAAAAGTCAAAGCCAGTTCTGTCGTCATGGAAAGCATCTCTATTGTCTTGTTCCGGCTTTTTCGTCTCCCTGGGACTCACCGACCCCATGCTGCCCTGCAATCAACATGGCGTAGCCCATGGACTGGCGGCATCCCATCCTTTCATTCCAAGGCCGAGCGGTGATTGTCAGCGCCTCGATTCTCCTCTTTTGGCGACCACATCAACTTCCATTGTGTTTCTTTCATACCCTATTCATTGAGCGATTCCAACAATAGTCCTGTGCTCGATAAGCAACACTTCCAATCCCAGTGATGGTCGTAAGCTGAGCTTATTTCGACTTACAGTGGTATTGTACATCCCGGTCCTATTCTCGAATCTTGATTCCCCGTTGTAGTATTGTAGGTGCGAGGCATTCACAGCTATTCGTTTCATTCACTAGCCACATACAACAATCAAGGTCCCATAACCACTCTTACGATGTACGACTGCCTCATCTCCGGCCCTCTTTCTGAGATCTATATCAGACCTGTTCCCGCAGCCAGTTCTTCTTCACGCCTCTTTCCTACACCTGGTAGTTTACATCAACTACCTGTCCTCATCACGACTGTCTTCAGGAGGGAACCTGTTTGACATGAAGGTATGTATCATCACCCTACCTTTGCTCCTCCTTTCGTCTCTCCTCGACAGAAGCAGATCCTCTCACATGCCCTGTTCCAATGCTGAGCAACCATTCTTCCCTACGCCACCCGGGCTGGTCAAAGCGTTCCTCCTTCGGCCACACGAGCACCCCGCGTTCATCCCAAACACCTGCCTTAGAGATCAATCTTCCACACAACGGTCATCTCTCTTTCCTTGGCTCACTTAAAATCAAAGGCTCCCACGTTCCCTTGTCCATCGACCAGCAGTCACTCTTCTCTATAGCGCACACCTTGGCCCTTTACCTCCCTTGCCATTCCAAAAGCTGGCTCAAAGGCACTTATCATCCTCTCCATTCCCGCAAAATCAACTCACCGGCCATCGCCTGCTTTGTGCCCTACATCACGCACGCCTTGGTCTTACCTACGCCCTTCCCAGCATCTAACAGTTGCCTTGGAGGAATCCATCTTCTACACTGCCCCCTTTCCACAGGTTCAAAGTCCTCCCACGTGCTTGTACCAGTCTTCACCCACCCTTTCATTCACGGCACGGATCTTCCCCATTCAGTTTCTCTCTCTAGTCCCAGCTTGTTGGGGGTCAACATCTTCCTACTCGCTCACCCGAGCACCCCAAACCCTCACTCTCTATCTTTCTCATTAACATCACCCAGTCACGCCTTGGCCCGTTCACTTTCTTTTCGTCCCAAAAGCACTGCCCTGGTGCCTTGGAGGTTTATATCTTCCTCTTTGCTCACGCCGAGCTTCCCAATCTTTCTCTTCCTCCTCAATCACCACTCACCCACGCCTTGGTCATTCCCTTCCTCTGCCCAACTGACGCCGGCGCCGGTTCTTTGGCATTGCCAGCTTTCAATATTGATACCATCGCGCAAGACTCTATCGGTTTCAATTGCAACACAAGTCGTACTACGCTTCGCACTGCGCAGCCACGATGTGGAACGGGCAGCGACCGCGAGGCGATTCACGTTGGGCTCCCCCTTCCCCTACATGATTCTGCCCGCCCCTTTCGCTTTGCGAATTTGAATTTGACTGACTCTCAATTGCCTAGAGCCCGCCTTTCCATTTCAATCACTCATCTCGCCGTTTGGACTGACGAACATGGCCAACAACAACGGAAACTGGGCGGCTGAGCATTCGCCGACTCTGCGCAACGATCAAATGGCTGTGTACTCGAGGAACGCTTTTTCCAACTTCACCGACTTTGATGACCAGGAGGACACTGGTGGTGGTGGTGTCATGCTTCGCGATTTCGACGACGGCAGCGGCAGCGGTCATTTCGCTCCCACGCCGACCAACAGTGCTGCGTCTTCTGGCCAGTCGCACTCTCAAGAAAGCCGCTCGCGCAATAGCATGTCCTCGACTGCCTTCAGCAAGCCATCGACATCGGGTCGCCGCAACACGATTGCGCCCATCGGTACGGGACGATATGCCGAGTACGCCCAGAAGACCCACGCTTCGGTCGACGACCATGTATGTGCTGTTCCCGAGAACATCCCGACGTTCCCCTATTTCCCTCGTCCGCTTGTCGCTAATTGCTCTTGTCAGCTGAGCACAAAGACGACGACGACGGGCAACGAGGGCCGCGGACAGAATGCAGGATCCGACCACATTGGAACTACTAATACCCATTTCACCCAGACAGCCGGTCAGACCCAGGCTGGCGTGACGGTAACAAGCTCTGGAGTAAGGTGATTACTAAAGATGCGTAACTGACCTGTATACAGTCCAACCCCTACACCCAGATGAGCCCTACCCCCCAGAGAGTGCGGTTCGGACACCACACCCAGGGCTTGGACGCCCAAGTCAATCTTACGCCGAATATCCACGGCGGTGCTGTTCAGTACACCCCGTCCGCCACCGAGAGGGGCCACCCCTGGGCCAACAATGCAACGATGGAATACAACTCGGCCGGGCTTGTCTACAATACCCCGACCTCTGGATTCGGCATTGCTCAGGGAACGGCCCTGGGCACAAATCTCCCGTACATGAATCCGGACATGACGCCTTCCCATGTGCCAAAGAAATCGAGCCAGTACCTGGCCACTCCTGGATCGAGCATCGTCTACAATCAGTACAATCAGACGGAGCCGCGCAACTTCGCGCCGCGCACCGGCTCGGATACCGTATATGTGCAACCCCCTCCGGTTTTCAACCTTGGTCGTGGCACTACGGCCAAGAGGCACGAGAACACTTACAGCACTGCAGAGTCGGATGCCGACCCCTTCATGTCCCCGACTGCCAATAGACGTGCTAAGGTTCCAACTTTCTCCCAGACGCTTGTTCTCCCTTCGGTTCCTGAGGAGAACCATCAGTTGCTCCTGATGCAGCAACCGGCGTTCTATGTCCCAGCCCCCGGCGCCATCCTTGTTCCTCGTTCGGAGCAGCTTACCAAGCTTACTGAGGGCCCTACGGGTCTCCCAAGCCAGGAAGTCGGTCTGAGCGACAAGAACTTCCCCTTCATTGAGAGCGGAACCCAGGCTGCGCCTGTGGGATACGGGGTTATCAAAATCAGAAATGTGTGTCCCACTCCATGCTGTTTCTCTGCCCTGCCACGAATTTTCGACTGACCTAGATGTTCTGCTAGATTCCCTTCAACACCAAGCGCGCTGAGATCATTGCCTTCCTCGGCCGAAACTCGAGGATCCTGAACGACAAGGAGGAGCCTGTGCACATCATCATGGAGCGCGTTTCCTCCAAGACACAGGAATGCTATGTGGAGTTCATGGCTGTGTCCGATGCCGTCAAGGCTGTCGAGCGTTTCAGGGAGAACACTCAGAAGGGCCGGCCCAACCGCCTGGGCGACCGCCCTGTCGAGGTGCTGCTGTCCAGCCAGGCTGCCCTCATGCACGACTTGTTCCCTCTCGCTTCCGGTGTGGCCTGGGAGGGCGCCAAGCCCATCATTCACGCGCCTGTTAAGGGCGAGCCGTGGAAGACCTTCAAGGGCTTTGTTACCGACGAGGAGATGATCATGGTGGTCAAGCATGTTGAGATACCTTCGCGTGTGAGTACCCTGTCTCCTTAACAAAAAGCCAACCATGCGTTTTATTCTAGTGCTAACCGTGCATTTCTGACAGTCTCCCTACTCCAAGGACTGCCCGCAGCGCCCTTATGAGTGCATGATCTCCACGATCAAGAAGCTGCCCTGGTACATGACGGACCACATCACGCTCCGCCAGCGCCACTCCATCTACGAAGCCACTGTCAAGCTCATCGTGTTCCTGAAGCAGGCCCTGCTGCGCGGAAATCGCATGCAGGAGGCCATGATCAACGAACAGCTGCTGAAACGTCTGGTCCTGGCCGCCATGCTCTGCCCCGGTTTCTCGGTCGTGCAGAAGGACAACATCGCGGCGCTCGCGGAGTGGGACCACGACCGCGTCCGCATGTTCAACCAGCCTCGCTTCGCCGAGGGTTGGGTTCACCTGCATGCGCTCTGCCCCAAGCCCGGCACGCCCGACGATGTCCTGGAGTGGTACATCGCCGCCATCCGCAACGAGACGACCCGCTACATCCACACCAAGTCGGACACCGAGCTTGCCGAGATCCAGCGTACCGGCTACCACACCTCCCTGTACTTCGGTTATATCTGGTACGAGCTTGGCCTGTCGGCTGGTGATGCCCTCGGCAGCCTCACCTTGCGCCAAGTTGCTCGCCACGAGCTCCAGGTTCTGAAGCAGACCCTCCGCCGGGTCTTCCCTCCCGCTGGGCCCAAGGATGCGTCGAACTAAGGTGTCTGAGAAGAAGCACTGCATGTCTCGGACAACTCACCGAGGTTGGCAGTCTTCTATACACTTTTCTTTGTTTTTTGCACATTCTTAGAAAAGATCAGATCACGATCTACGGCTCGGCGCGTCGCGATCCCATGTTCTTCATGCGATCTCATCGTCAAGATCTTTCTTTTTCTTTCCTTTTGATCCCGCGGGCCAATCACGGCCCCTGGTCAGGCATCGCGATCCCATCTTGAGGGAGTCCGTGGAGGTGCGGTCTGAAGTCACCGCGATCTGAACTTCTATCTTGCGACTTTGGGCTTTATTCGGCTTGCTCATCTCAAGAGGGATCAGCATGGCTTGGCACACACCCACAAGTGTGCAGCCGCCTTTTGTTTCCCTTCTCGTTCTGGTGCAAGGCTCGTTCACTTTCCTTCGTTTTCGTTACGGCATGGCACAGGCACGGCATGGGCATAGGACTGCTGCAGTAGGCAGACTGGGGCAGACTGGGGCTGCCGGTAGCCAACAGTCACCGCCTTGATATGCCATCCCTTGTGATTTCCAAGGATCTGGTAGTCAGTAAGCCATTTGCGCCCGCCAGGGCCACCAAGAAAAGAACAAACACCAAAAAAAGGCAAAACCAACAAACCCAACAAAAAAAAGTACCACCAATTCTGCGTTGCGTTTTGCTTTGCACGGCAGTATTTTGCGCGGACGACGACAGATAGATACCCAAAAGAAAGGGACCTGGAAGGCGTTAAGGTTGATAAATCGTCTCAGTGGCGGAAGGTGAGGCCGGTAATGGTTGTTGATGGGCCTCGAGTTATTTCCTTATTGACTTCGCTCTCTCTCTCTTCAGCGACAAGGAAGTCAGACATCATCTTTTACCAGATCTCAAATCTCTCGGCTGTGATATATGGTGACCATATTTGCTTTGATATGTATCTTCTGCTGTGATCTGCTCTGCCTTGCGTTTAGTTCACTCAAAACTGCAACAGCATATCTCACCCCTTTGTGCCCCTTTTTGGGGTTAGTAAACAGTAAGCAAACAGAATAACACTGGCAAGCTTGGTATCACAACCACCTTAGCTAATCAGCTCCTTAGACAACACGGTATTACACTACATAGCTACCTGATGGGATCCGAGACTACCTCTTCTCTCAGAGGAAGTGGGTAATCTCTATGCCCTCATGCACACCCGGGGTAGACTTGGTGATTGGTTGCCACAGCATCGGTCTGACTCTTTTGGCTCTCACATGAAGAGCCTCACAGGCGGCGCTATGACGTGCATCATCGGCTACTGAATAGCCGGGGATTAGCCGCCGCAAGCCAATGGCCGTGTTTCCCTGCCCAGGAAAAAAATGTTGAACGCCGTCGCCTTATCGCGATATCGATCCCGATTGTTCGCTTTCTTTTGCGATTGTTCTCCCATCACCGACCCTGCTCCTCCATTGTCCTATGGCGATGCAGATATTTTAATCGGAGGACTTGAAAGTGACAAGAACCACTTTACTTCTCTCCAGGTCCCGCCGACAGGCAGTTCTGCGACGATTAGCTGTTCGTCGAAGAACCGGGGAAGCCCTTCACCATGGCTTCAGCTTCTGCCGCCAGGTCCTCGATGCCTGGTGGCCCCGAGAAGAGGGCATCGCACGGCGATGCTCCGCTCACACAGTCCCGTGAGACGGGCGATATCAACCCCGAATCACGGCAAGGTGATCCGATAGTAAACCGCGCCAAGGCAACACCCTTCGCGATGTCATGGGCGCACATGGTGGCCGGCGGGTAAGCTTGTGGTCACGCCGAGACAGACTCAGTCCACAGCGGTGCTGACGCTGCATTCTCTGCCACTAGGATAGGCGGCATGACGGCGGCGACCCTGACCGCTCCGCTTGATGTCCTCAAGACAAGACTACAGTCCGACTTCTACCAAGCACAGCTGAAGGCGTCAAGAGCGGCGCATGCTGGCATGAACCCGATCCGGGCCGTCACGTTCCACTTCGGCGAGACTGCCTCCATTCTCGCCTCCGTCTACCGGCAGGAAGGGCCCCGTGCGCTCTTCAAGGGCCTCGGCCCAAACCTAGTTGGCGTCATCCCCGCCCGCTCAATCAACTTCTACACCTACGGCAACGGCAAGCGCATCATCGGCGAGTACCTCAATGTCGACAAGGACTCAGCCTGGGTGCACCTCAGCGCGGGCGCCGTGGCCGGCATTGTTACCAGCACCGCGACAAACCCCATCTGGATGGTCAAGACCCGCCTACAGCTCGACAAGAATATGGCTATAGAGAGCGGCAGCATCGCGAAGCGGCGGTACAGGAACAGCATTGACTGCATCCGCCAGGTGCTGCGCGACGAGGGCATTCGTGGCCTGTACAAGGGCATGAGTGCGAGTTACCTCGGCGTGGTGGAGTCCACCATGCATTGGATGCTCTACGAGCAGATCAAGCGGGCGCTGGTCAAGAGAGAGGAGCGCCTCGCACTCAGCGGCAGGCCAAAGAACTGGTGGGACCACACGGTCGACTGGACGGGCAAGTTTGGCGCTGCGGGCTTTGCCAAGTTTGTTGCGGCCGTTGTGAGCTATCCGCACGAGGTCGCCCGCACCCGTCTGCGGCAAGCACCCCTGGCCGATGGCCGGCCCAAGTACACCGGCCTCGTCCAATGCTTCAAGCTGGTCTTCAAAGAGGAGGGCATGCTCGGCCTCTACGGCGGCATGACCCCGCATCTGCTCCGGACAGTCCCTAGCGCGGCCATCATGTTCGGCATGTACGAAAGCATCCTCCGCCTTCTCGGTGCTACGGCATAAAACAAGCACCAGCCAGGGGTGCAAGCTTCAGCATCGTAATCCGGCGACGGCAGATTCGAAACAACTGTACATCCACCTGTTACATCACCGAATAATTCTACCTAGCGTCGTGGCCCAAGCAGACCACGTTATCTGGGCGGCTCGCCATATCGAGCGGGGATATGACGATAACACCCTACTCCAACTTTTCTCATCGTCGACAGATACCCTCCTGTCCTGTACCATCTCGGAGACCACCTATAGAAAAGGGGACCATAGAGCGGATCGGTTGGGTCGGCATTTGGCATACTGTATTTGTTTACTTTCGCTATGGCATTTTCAGGGGGCTGCATTGGAGTTCTGGGATGTGGGGGTCACAAGTCAAAACGGGAGGCTTACCCAGGAACGTGGGGGAAAAAAAAGGGGGATGATGATACACGTTGCCTCATTCGCCCCGGGGATGTATGTACGATTTGGCAGTGTCTGGATGGGGCCCGCGGTGTATCTCATCTTGTGGAAAGATCGCTTATGTGCTGTACATGTATGATGAGAAGGAAGACGGACGACATAGAGTCGGGGAGTCTCTGGTGAACGGAAATTGGAATGGGGGCTTGTATGTACGTCGGAAGTGCATTCGAGCTGAATGGGATGCTGGATGGCTGAATCCATCTCTACTCCGGAAGGACCAGCCGATTGAGCTCATCACCAACATCTGAAACACGGTTAAGTGATACGTGTTCAAATGCTAGAGGGTTTCGATTTCGATATCCTCAATTCTCCCAATCTTGCCTTCACGATGCTGAAGGCCCTCCGACAGACGATACTAGTAAAACACAACTGGATATCTCGCTTGGAACTGCTCAACGCCCAAATCATTGAAAGCAAGCGGTGAGGTCAGAAGGGGAAAAAGGAAAAACGCGCGCTATCAGACTCGCCAGTCCGCCATGCGTTTCGCTCCACGAATCCCCATCTCCATAGCCCATGTACCGAGTAAGGAACATCCACAGACTGTGTCCCTCTTGGAGAGTTCCGGCAAGTTCTTCGCTCTGCATGCAGTCTCTCCTCCCTCCTGATGACTGGGCTTATAAAACATAAAGATGCGTTCCCTCGCTTAAACAAATCCCTCTTAATCGTCGTGTCCTAACTTGTGCGCTTCACACCAGTCTCGGGGCGGCCGTTTCCGCAGTTTCCGCGGTGTTTTGCGTGGCTTCGACCTTGTTATATTATGTCTTGGTTGCTGCTGCTGTTGTTGTTGTGGCGGTTGTTGTCCTTCCCCGGATCCGCGATCAATACGCCGGTCGGTATCATCGTCCTTGGTGCTTCTGGCCGCGGCAAAGATCCTCAACCTCGGGAAGGAGAGAGGTGCGGGCGGCGAGGATCGAGCGGGCTGTTTCCAGGGACGTCACCAGGCGTTGCGGTCCCAGTTTGGATCTAGAAGGAGCATCCATCCATGTCAGCCTCTTCTCCCTTTTCCCTCTTCGTTTCCAATGCATAAGGGCGCATAGGTAAGGTAGGTTGGGGTAGGTAAGGTACTACTACTAGTAGTAGTTACTCACCCTGCACAAAAGCCGCCAGGACCTTGCTCCCCGTCTGCAGCAGCGGGTGTCCCACGACGATCTTGAGGAACTTCTCCAGCCCGGCGCGGCGGCCCTCGATCACGTCGTCGCTGAACCGGTTCGTGAACACTTTGCCGGGCAGCGGGGGGATGGTCACGCGGGCGCTCTCGCGCTCGAGGATGTCGCGGAAGTACTCAAAGTCCGAGTAGCGCCGCCGCACCGACGACTGCCGCAGCTTGAAGGCGGGGATGTTGGTGCGGCACACGATCTCGTAGTCGGTGTACATGTGCCGCCCGATGCCGTGCGTCTGCGGGTCGCGCACCTCGATCTCCAGGAAGTTCTCGGGCGGGCCGTAGATCTCGTCGAAGGACTGCTGTCTCGTTTCCGGCAGCGACTGGAGGATCGGCCGGTGCAGGCGGGCCGCGGCCGCGGCCGCGGCCGCGGCTGTGGTCGTCGCTGTAGGTGAGGTCGGCGACTGCGACCGCGACTTCGGCTGTGGCTCGGCGCCGGGGCCGGGTGTCGTTGGAGGATTCGCACTGTCAGTTTGCGACGCCATTGTTTGTTGTGGTTGTTTGATGCGCTTGGCGGGGTTCTACCTGGAAGTTGCCCCTCCCTTTCGTTTCTTGGTCACTTGTAGAAGCGCTGATGCGTTGTGCCTCGTGGGCTGGATGGCTGTCGGTATGCCAATGCGATGGCGCGTGAAAGTGTCTCAGAGAGAGCTCGCGGCAAAAGCATATGACGAACGACCTGAGACAGTGGTGGTGATGTCTGCGAGCCAAGCTTCACGAAATGTGGGGGGGGGGAAGGGTGTTCCGTCACTTCGAGGAGCTTCCCCATTGTGCGGGTCGGTGATGCATGACCACAAATTGGGCCCCGCCGTGTCAGGAATACGAACCGAATCAAGCTCGTACATACCTACCAGTACTTTTCTCTCCTTTGAGGCACTGCACCCAGGAGTGACTTATTATGACATTGGACTGTGGTGGACTGTACAATACATTGTGTGCGTTGTAACTCCATCAGCTGGCATTGTAGTTCCTTGCAAGCAGCTCCCTACTGTATTCCCATACCATTACTGTACATGCCTACCCAGTTCCGTTCTGTATCGCCGAAAAATATCCCATAAGAGCATCCCGAGTCTTGTTGTACAAGTGTTGCTGTGAGGCCAGTCGGTATGAGCCTCGAGGATATTTGACGAGGCAGCATCCTCACCTTGGCTCACTACGGTCCACGTATATGCTCCGAACCGCAACCCCTCTCGTCACACCTTCTTCTAGGTTGTGACGGCGAGGTTCTGCTAGCGCTGCGCTGCCAAGTCCATTGGCCCACCTCTTCTATTCTCCCTTGGGCAGCGACAGGAAGCTCCAATGCATATGATAAACCTCTCACTTCTTGTCGGCGAACTTCTGATGGATTGCCCGGATCTGCTCGTCAAGGTTGAACGTCTGCAGCTGGTTGATGTGTGCTTGGCTCTTGCCGTCTGGATTGCCGTCGAACGCGTGCAGCGCAACTTTCTTCCTCCGGGCAAGCTCCTCCTCTGACACGGGCTGTCCCGTGGTAGTGTCAAAGACGTCGCTTCTCTGGCTGGCCAGGCGCTTGAGGTTGTTGGCCACATCTATTGTCGACAGATTGGTTGTAGCATATCTGGCCTCTGCCTTGGCTTTCTGCTCCTTCCACCGCGGGTCGAGCAATTCAACTGCAGCTTGTTAGCACTCCATCTTTCAATAAGGACCAACAACGTTGGGAGCTGGACACTCACTTCTCATATGATCGTCCATCTCGTTGAGCGGTATTTGTTGTTTGCAATTCGGACACATGGCTGTCTGTGTGCCGAACTTGTTGGCCGCTCTCTGCGCGGCGCGGGGGACATAGTTCTCCTTGATCTTCATAGGAGTGGCACCGCCCCGCGCGTCCGCCTGCGCCTGCTGCACGCGGGCTCGCTCATCTTCCCTCTCCTGTGTCCTCTGTGCCTCCGCGGCCTCCTGCTCGGCGGGCCTCGTACGTGCGGCAAGAGGCACAGGAGCACCGTATGACTGGGGCGGTGGAGTATTTGTCGCTGGGTATGTAGGCGGCTGCACGGCGGGCGCTTGCGCACCGTACGTTTGTGGAGGATGCGCATTGTAGCTTGTATCCTCGAACGGGAAGGCCTCCTCGATGCGGAGGCTGGAACTGACCGACGCCTTGTTTCTCTCCTCCAGCGAAGCGTATTGTAGATCGTTAAGCGTCGTCGGATGCGGAAGGTTTGCCTGGTCGTCTGCCTCAGTAAAGACGATGGTCTCGACCACAACGAAGTCGTTCCAGTCGATGCTCGCGAACTCCAGCTTCTTCTTCGCCTCCTCCTCCTCCTGCTTTGCCCTCTCGGCCTCCTGCCACTTAGCGTACACAGCCCTCTGCTTCGCGCGCACCAGAAGCCTGTACTTGTCGGTAACGTTTTGACGGAGCTCATCGACACGCTCCTGTTGGGCCTTGGTTCCCTCGCCATTGACCCCGCTCTCGCGCAGCAGAATCGAATATTGGTCGACCAGGCTCTGAAAGAAGTTGTGAAATGTGTGATTGGGAATGAGAAACTGGAATTGGGGGTTGCTTGCCTCACGCTGGGCAAGCTGTGTCATGAAGGGGCGCCCATTCTTTGCGACGAACAAGGCAGTTAGTCGGACGATCTCCAAGTCTTTCTGGCTCATACGTGGCATACGGGCTGAAAACTGAAAATCGGGAGGCTTCGGCGGGCCCGCGGGCTTCGCCTGGGCCGGCGCTGCAGGCGCCTCGCCGACACGGCCAGCCGATACCGCAGTTCCTCTCCCAGACTTGATCTCTTGCTTGCGCCATTCGTAGTAGGCGTTGTATGGGTCCGAGCTCGACATCAGAAAGCTGAACTTGGGATTTTTTCCATGATTGTCACGGATGCGCTGCTCGAGACCGATGCCGCCGCGCATCACGTAGCCGGCTGTTTTCTCGATCGCCTCGCGAATCTCGCCCGGCGGCGGGATGATGACGCCGGGTGGCGGCTTGAGGTTCTCGAGCGCTGCTGCAGCTGCGGCTGCAGCAGCTGCATCACCGTTCGTCATCGCAGTAGTCATGACGGCCGTGTTGATGGTTTTGTCGTAGGTTATGGTTTCGGTGTTGAGTGTGGATTGGTTATTTCGCGGTCATCGGCAGCCTTGTTGAAGTCCTTGTCGCGTTTTCAAGAGGCTGTTTCGCAATGGTCCGTGCATTCTGATCTGCGTTAGGTAGAGTGGATACTAGTAGGTAACTTACCGACCCGCTGTCACATGGAACTTTTGTTCCAGAATCTTTCCGTGGTCTGATACTGGGTCCTCTGCAATACCTATCGCACCTGGGTCTCATTCCTAGTTCCGAATAATCACACAGATTGTTCGGTTTGGCCTCTGACCATCAGCTTGGATACCTAGGGTCCCGAGTTACTACAGGTACCAGTTATGCGGACCGTAGATTCGGAGTAAACATCTTGTCAAAATTACAGCCGCAACCTTGAAAGCTTACCGCTCGTAATCAAGTCTTGCGCAGGCTCTGGATCGTGAAGTGGGCCGCGCTAGGTGCAGTCCAGCCAATCAGACGGGAAAATCAGCAGGGAGGACAAGGGTTGAGGCCACTTAAGCCCGATCAATTTACGGGCTGTCAACGCGAGCTTCGACTGCAACCCCCTTTCAGCTTCGTCGTCAGCTCTCCACGAGGTTGAAGCCAGGACTGCGAGACCGGCAAGCCTTCCTGTTTCTCCCTCTTCTTCTCGGCTGCCAATTGTTTTTCCTTTGCGGTCGTCGTTTGGTCTTCGGCCGCTTTTTCGTCTGGAATCACATGGTAGCCTTGTAATTGCAGCTTGCCCATTCTCGACTCTCGTTAACCCCGTTTTATGATCGACGTGCTTGTGGCTGAGAGTGCCGCACGATCCCGGAACACGCTTTAAACTCTGAAATCCAAAGATCCTGTTCATCGCGCTCCCATTGTTTCGAAACGCTGCCCGGGACCAAAACCATGGCTCGATCGGCGAGCTCCAAGCCGGCGGCCACGCAGGCATCTCCTCCGCCGGCTTCCAAATTGGCCGAGAAACCAACGTCAAAGGCGACGAAGCGCAAGGACGACTACTCTTCTGAGGGTGTCGAGGACAATGACGTCTTCCTCCTGCCCGGCTCAGATTTCCAACTCGTGCTTGGGATAACCGTGTTCGCTGCTATTGTCCGCTTGTTCCGCATCTACCAGCCTACCAGCGTCGTCTTCGATGAGGTCCAGTACGTTGACTACCGGTGCCTAGTCCTTGTTGAGAATATCTGAGACTGACGACAGCACTGCAACAGCTTTGGCGGCTTCGCTTCCAAGTACATCAAAGGCCGGTTCTTCATGGACGTACACCCCCCGCTCGCAAAACTCATGATCACGCTTTTCGGCTGGCTCGCTGGATTTGATGGAAACTTTGACTTCAAGGAGATCGGCAAAGACTACCTCGAGCCGGGTGTCCCATATGTTGCTATGCGCATGTTCCCGGCCATCTGCGGCATTCTGCTCGCCCCGACTATGTTCCTGACCTTGAAGGCTGCGGGATGCCGCACTTCCACTGCGATCATGGGTGCTGGTGCCATAATCTTCGGTTTGTCTGCCCTCCGGTCCCTCGGCAAACATATCGCTGACCCTCATACAGAGAATGGACTGCTCACTCAGGCTCGTTTGATTCTGCTCGACTCTCCACTGATGATCGCCACTGCCTTTACTGCTCTTGCTTTTACAAACTTCAGCAATCAACAAGAACTTGGCCCCTCCCGGGCTTTCGGGCTTAGCTGGTGGTTCTGGCTCGCCATGACTGGTCTTGGACTGGGGATGACCGTCAGCATCAAGTGGGTTGGGCTGTTCACCATCGCGTGGGTCGGCGCCATCACTCTGGTCCACCTCTGGGTTTTGCTCGGGGACTACAAGAACGTCACCATGGTACGGTTCCCGCTTCCATTTGACTGGCTTACAGGAGGCTAACAAATGAATGTGCAGAGGATATTCACGAAACACTTCATGGCCCGCGTCTTCTGCCTCATTATTATCCCTCTTACCTTCTACATGGCCATGTTCGGCATCCACTTCCTTTGCCTGGTCAATCCTGGCGACGGCGATGGCTTCATGAGCTCCGAATTCCAGTCGACTCTGAATTCCAAGGGCATGCAGGACGTTCCCGCCGATATCCTTATGGGCAGCCGGGTCAGCATCAGGCACGTGAACACACAAGGCGGCTACCTCCACTCGCACCCCCTGATGTATCCGACGGGTTCCAAGCAGCAGCAAATCACCCTCTATCCCCACAAGGACGACAACAACCTGTGGCTGCTTGAGAACCAGACCCAGCCCCTGGATCTCAACGGCCAGCCTATCAATGGCACGAACGCATGGTACAACATCCCTGAGACCCCTTATATCAAGGACGGTGCCATTATCCGCCTCTATCACCTCGCCACTCACCGCCGTCTCCACTCCCACGATGTGCGCCCGCCCATCACGGAAGCAGACTGGCAGAACGAGGTCTCGGCCTACGGCTATGAGGGCTTTGACGGAGATGCCAACGACTTCTTCCGCGTCGAGATTGTTAAGAAGAAGTCCAAGAGCGGAGTTGCCCAGGAGCGCCTCCGCACAATCGACACCAAGTTCAGGCTTGTCCATGTCATGACTGGGTGCGTGCTGTTCTCGCACAAAGTCAAGCTACCCGACTGGGCCTCGGAGCAACAAGAGGTCACCTGCGCCCGGGGCGGTACTCTTCCCAACAGCTTGTGGTACATCGAGTCCAACGACCACCCCAAGCTCGGTCCGGAGGCCGAGAAGGTCAATTACGCTAACCCGGGCTTCTTTGGCAAGTTCTGGGAGCTCCAGAAGGTCATGTGGAAGACAAATGCCGGCCTCGTCGAGTCGCATGCCTGGGACTCCCGCCCGCCTTCATGGCCTATCCTGCGGCGCGGCATCAACTTCTGGGGAAGAGACCATCGCCAGATTTATCTGATCGGCAACCCGATCATCTGGTGGAGCGCCACTGCGGCTGTCGTCATCTATGTCCTGTTCAAGGGCATTGCGGTGCTCCGGTGGCAGCGTAGCTGCAACGACTACTCGAATACGGTCTTCAAGCGGTTCGACTATGAGATCGGCACCTCGGTACTGGGCTGGGCGCTTCACTACTTCCCTTTCTACCTCATGCAGCGCCAACTCTTCCTGCACCACTACTTCCCCGCCCTCTACTTCGGCATCATTGCGTTCTGCCAAATCTACGACTTTGTTATGGCGCGTATCCCTGGCGTCGGCCTGAGAGAGAATCCTATCATCGGCAAGGCGGGTGCTGTTGGCTTCCTCGCCCTGTCGATGGTCGCTTTCACTCTGCTCTCTCCTCTTGCGTACGGAAACCCCTGGACGAAGGCCGAGTGCAACCGTGTCAAGCTCTTCAACACCTGGGACTGGGACTGCAACACCTTCTTGGACAGTGTAAGTGGTCTTCCTAATGGTGTGGTCCCAGAGAGGAAGTTGCCCCAGAGGGGTTGATGATAAGATATGACGTGCTATACACGAAAATTCTGGGGTTTTGGTCATGGGTGGCAACGATTTGAGATGGGGCAACATCACCAGTCACGTGTTATGATTATGACCATAGACATTCATGCTTACACGCTCTGCAACTGTCACAAGATGTCGATACTAACATCGCGTTTGTCTGCATAGTACGAGGCATACTCTTCTCAGACGTCAACTCTGGCGGCTGCTAAGACTTCTCAACAGTCTGTGAACGCTCCGAAGGGGCAGCCCGCTGTAGCTGGTGGCGAGATTGGCCAGATCCCTATTGGAGATGTTAAACAGGCCCAGGCGCAGGAGGATAAGCCCCATGTCTCGGGCGCGCCTGAGGTGCCAGCCAACCAGAAGCTGCTCCGCACTGAGGAGCGCATCGAGTACCGCGACCAGGACGGCAACCTGCTGAACGAGGAGCAGGTCAAGGCGCTTGAGGGCAAGGTCGAGTTCAAGACACGCTACGAGACACGCACGCGCGTCATTGACGCCGACGGCAATGAAATCTTGCTCCCCTCTGGTGTCGAGGTCCCGCAGGAGCAGGAGCAGGCCGCGGCGGGTGTCGCACCGCCACACCCGGACGTCGAAGGTAAGTCTTCATTTGCGTCCCACTCTTCAAGGCCTGTTTTGGGAAAGTGACATTTACTGACTCGAACGCTCGCAGGTGTCGACCGGGAAACGGCCAAGAATGTGGTTGCGGACGAGCAGATCGCGGAGCCCAAACAGAGTGTCGAAGGCGAGAAGGAGGCCGAGGAGAAGGTGGCGAAACCGGCGAGCGAAAAGAAGGAGGCCAGTGCCAAGGTGGACGAGTTATGAATGGTCCCAACTTTGGCTTCCTGACCAGGGGGGGCCAGTGTAGGATTGATGATGGGCGGCGCCGTCCGGTCTATGCCCCTGTTGTATTACCACCTTAAGCTTTACCCGCATCATCTGTGGGTCTCTACCTAATAAGATGGACAAGGAGAAATGGATGATGATTTAGGGCATTGAGGGGTTGTAAAAGCATCCACCTGGTTGGCTTGCTCAGGGGGGAAAGCTAGTATTTCTTTGATCTCATTTGTCTTTGCCGAGTTGACGTAGAATAAGAAGGAGGAAGGTAGAAGATGCTTCATACCTTATAAGGACAGAGTGGGTGATGAGGGAAGCATACACGAACGACTCTACACCAACAGCAAGGATCATGCACCTAGTTACCTGAATCCTGGATCTTGTGCCAACCTACGGAGTACTACACCTTCATGAATGCAGTGAACCTTTCCTGTGTTGTGTCACTCATGCTTCACGTGCCCGGGGGGTTGTGTATTTGTGTGTAAACCCACTGAACAATTGTGAGCTACTACACCTAAACTAAGTGACGAAACATTCCTACTGTATGTACAATACTCAACAATACAACACCCTCCTCGAAGAATAATGCGCCGGGGAAAAACCTTGACCTCAATCCAAATTATCCAATATTGAGTGTGAGGCCTGGACGAAAAACCCACCGCCCCTCCTCGAGTAGAGAAAAGCACCAAAAAAATACGGTTTTATACATACACCAGACACGAACAAACTGACAGAGAATGAATCTGAGAAAATGAAGTAGGAAAAGGGTAACTTTTTAGATAGGAAAAGAACAAAAGGAAAAGCTGGAAAGGGAAAAAAAGAAGAAGCGGGAGAGCACTCAATCCGGCAATCTTCAGTTTTGCTCGACATCGTGGTCCATGTCAGCCCTGGTTTCGACACACACACACACACACACACTGAGAGCCTGGTGAGCGTCGAGCCGGGGGGCAGAGAGAGAGAGATCTGTTGCCGCCTCTTTGTGGCATGATCAGGTGCTAGCAGTCTGGCTATGTCTGGAGAGAGATGAAACTCCCTCGCGAAGTGGCCGAGATGCTTGTGAGAGAAACCGGAAAAGCCAGATGTTGTCGATTTCCTTGGGCGACATCCAGAGTTCCGAGTTGCATCCCCTTTGCTTCTTCCTCCTCCTCGTCTTCTTCTTCTTCTTTTTTTCTTTTCTTTCTTTCTTATTTTTCTTTTTTTCTTTTTTTTTCTTTTTTTTCTATTTTTTTTTCTTTTTTTTTTTCTTTTTTTTTTCTTTTTTTTTCTTTTTTTTTTTGGTCTTTTTCATCTTTTGACCTTTTTTTCTTTTCTTTTTTCCTTGCCGGCGACAACAACATTGGCCCGCCAATCTCAATACCGATTCACACAACAACCACAACCAAACATTGCGTGTCAACCGTGATGATCTCAAAAAGCTGGCGACCACTGAGAACGGAGAGGAACTGCTGCGGTGGAAGCAGGCATCATCGGAGGACCAGATGGGCGGGTGGTGATGATCGCCTTGCCGCCTGAAAGGCCTGTCCATCAGCGGCAAGGCGACGCACCCCCGAACGGCAGGCGCGCTTCTATGTCGGGCGCAGGCAGGCCGTCCGGTTGTTCTGGGTAAGAATAATCCTCCCCGAGAACGGCCGGGTCTACATGAGGCAGTCGTTGTCCATCATCTTCTGTTGTGAGGCCGGCGAAGTGGAGGCAGTCGACGTCCATGTTGAGCTCGACGGAAGGGAGAAGCGTAGCGGGGTCCTCGACCTTGGGGGGGATCCAGATGTCCCCATGCAGGTTGTTGTAATCGAGGTCCCCCCCGAACTCGGCGTCGTGGTGTTGGTGGATGTGTTGACTATCTGGCGGTGCGTCCCAGAGGCCCGACCACTTGTGGTATTGACTGTGGTCCTCGTGCTGATGGTGAAGGTGACGGCCCTGGTGCTGGTGCTGGTGCTGGTGCTCCTGCTCGTGCTCCTGCTGATGACTATGCTGATGCTGCTGACGGTGCTGGTGCTGGTGGTCGAGATCTTTCTGCTGCTGCCGCGGCTGGCTTTGCTCGGGGTGCTCTGGGCCGTGATCTGACATGGCGGCGCTAGGGTTGTCACCAGGATCGGATTCCGTTTTGATGTACACGGCGTGTGTTTTGGCATCCGATGAAGCGCCACAGTCAACGTGCTGATTCTGCTGGTTGGTCTTCTGGATGTTTGGCGAGGGATGTGAGTCCAACTTCATAGGCTCGGAGAACGTATTGCCAACCTGAGCTGGCGCCGAGTTGTTGAAGAAAAGAGGGCGCGACAGCAACTCGCGGTATAGTTGCTCAGGAACAGTCGGTCGGCTCACCCGGCATGCTGCTATGCTTGCGTCTTGCTGCTCGTCGAAGCCAGCGCGGTGACTGACTGGCCTCGGTGAAGCGTTGCGGGTGCCGCTGCTCGACGGGGGAAAGGGAGGGTGGTCAGGCCAGAAACTAGTTTTAAGGACGTATGGTCCCGCTTGATACCAGGGACGATAGTAGACAGGGTCATAAATATCAGGGGCGGCAGTCATTGTGGTGTCGTTCCCGTCGATGCTGGCGTTCGGGCTCTTGACAAGGTCGCCAAGGCCAAGGTCAGACCCGCTGCTGGGAGAGCCATATGCCATCGGGGCCGCTCGCGGATCGACGAAGCCCAAATGGGCGGGCTGCGTGCAGCCGGCGACGGGGTAGTCCATCCCGATGTAACTGGGATGGACGGACATGCTGCTGCGGCCAGGGCCAGAGCCCATCACTGCCGCTGGGGGCTGGTATCCGCGGATGGTATAGCCAGACATACCATTAGCACCGGCCCTTTTGCTATGGGTAGGCCTCCCCATCATGCCAGCGCCACGTGCTCCCGGCACCAGGGGTGTACGCAGGTAGTAAGGGAACATACCGCCCTCGTTGTCCCGGCTCTGGAACCAGTATCTCCACGGGCTGGGCGGGTTGGGCGCGTTCTCCCCGCGCGAGGTCAGACGCCGAATCTGATGAGCTCGATTCCGGAGCACCTGTGACAGCGAGAGCGGACGCGGCACGCCCGCCCGATTCCCGTTTCCCTGGTCGGAATCCGGGCGAGGGGCGATGGGGGGGTATCGGTTGTACGGGCCCCTACAGCGGCGGGGACGGGGCTCCGTGCTTGTGACCTCCATGAACCGCCACGTTTCCATCGGCTCGCTCTCGCGAGACAGCCGTTCTACGCGAGGATGCTAGAATACTCATCGTTAGCTGGCTGGTCTCACTGCGGACATGGGGGGTCTATGACAAGTGAAGGGGTCGTACACGGGCGGGGACTTCTTTAGTAGAACTCCGAGGACGCTCAATGGGCGCAGGGGTAGTGGGTATGCTCGGGTCAACTAAGCTTTGTATGAGCCCTGTTTCCGTCGCGTGCAATGACCGGCGATGAAACGGGAATTCACACATCACGTCGTGGCGACTAGCCTAGCTACCCCTTACGGGGCCGCTGTTAACGACTTGATGAAAGGGAAAGACGGGTTGTGTACGAGATAAGCAACGTACGGGGCTGTTGAGATGGGTAGCTCGGCGAGCGAAGGTGGGCCTGAGCTTGTGCCTCTGTGCCTCTATGCTTCTTGAGCGTGTCGAACAAGGCGGATCCACTCGTGGACGACGACAACCATGCGTCTAGGGTAAGCGGGTTAGTTGGCTTGTGGGCAGACGTGATGGAACAGGTGGCAGGCGTTTGCTAACCAGATGTCGAGAGTAGTTTAGGTGGCTAGGAGACCAGGCGGTTGGTGTGCTTTGAAAGGGTTGGATGATATGATGGGAACAGAGCGAGGCTGAGAGAAAGGAAAAAACAAGCCAACCTCTGAGGAGAGTTTCGGGGGGCTCTTTTTTTATAGGTAGGTAGGTAGGATCATCTTGCTCTGACCGTATATCCTTTTTCGAGGTGTGTAAGCCTAGCTATGATGTCAGTAACGCTACATTGTTAAGACGAAAGCGTCTGTGCGTTGAGTGATAAGGAAAGAAATTCGCCTCGAAGTTGCCTCCCAGCCCTCGCGAGCAAAATCAAACTCAAGTCTTATTCAAAGCAAGCTGCGGTGCGAGTGTTCGAAGCCTCGTGGATCGGTCGCCCTGTCAAAGAGGCCCGGTCAGTAGCCCTTGAACCAACAATCGAACTACTTACCAAGTCGAGGTTTCTTGAATAGGACGCTCTCACCCTTGCTGATTGCAAAGAGTCGAGGAGATCTGGTAGACCTCGCTTTGAAAAGCGTAATCAGTAGCGGAGTGGCGGAAGTACACTCGGTCTTCTCCATTTTTTTTCGAGGGCGCCTAGACCTCGAGCGGGCGTTTATGGAAGCGATCTTATTTCTCAATGTAGTAATTCTATGTGACATCCTGGAGCTCTGATTGGGTCAAAAATGAGGGTTAGACTTACATGGATGATGACGGAAGGGCCTGAAAGTAAGTTAGATGTAAGGTTGAAGTTACGGACTCGGTCTGTGTTTCAGACCCCCGAGCATTGTGAGTATTGCCTAACAACTAATCCCTAGGTAATTCTTTCCTTGTTGTGGCCTCGTCCCTTCTTTTTCATTTTGTGATCTACCAGGTATCTCCCGTTGAGAGAGAATGATGACGAGGGATGGGTGGAGAAAGTGAGGACGAAGACTCGAAGTGCTTGAATCATAACGTCAACTTTCCACATCACCACCACGTAAAGAGATCACGGTAGTAGGTTTGTACACAGTGTCTGTAAGTCATCTCATCAAAGATCGGCTTCGGTCGAGTCGGTGTTTCCGGTGATAAGCATTATTAGAGCGGGTCCTTCGGGCCCGAAGACCGCACAGACATCAACTAGTTAATGTTACATCGAGCCAGTCCCGGGCCATGAGGATTTATAGAAAGGCACGTGCGTCACAGATCACCCGAGATCTTCAACAACTCGCGAATCATTCTCCTCTCCCCCCCCTCATCATCCATTCTTTGTTGTTTCATTAATACATGTATCCCATATAACAATACGCTCCCTATATTGACCTTCTTTTTCCAAGAAACGCGGGAAAAAAAGGTGATCTAGAATGCTCGATCCAATGCGTCCATTCAGCGAGCCATCCCGATCCCGCCAAAACGCCGGACTTGATGGACGGGGGTTCCTCTTCCCCCCGCCCCTTTCAAGCGCGTATGTATGTCCCAGAGAAAAAAAAATCGCCTATCAAAACGAGCCCGAACGCCTGAATGCATGCTCTCCCTTCCTCTATTCAAGGCCCACTGCCCTGATGATTCCTCCAGCAACCCAACCCCGTCATTATAAGAGATAAGATAATAATACAATGATGTGAGGCGAGGCCACACTTCGTGAGGCGGAGAGAAAGTCGTGATTATGTAGTCCTCAAATGGCCATGGTGACAGGTGCCGCCAGTGGCAGCTGTAGTTGATCCCCGCCTTCAACAGTAGGCTGTTTCTGATCGTCATCTTTCACGGGAGATGAAGCATCGGGCTGTGGATCGACAATTTTCTCAATTGTAGGCGTCGAGAAAACCTCATTCTCGCCGTCCGATGCGTCCGCGAAAGGAGGTGCTCCATCCCCGCCTTCGCTAGCTGGTTGCTGCGCCGGTCCAGAAGCCTCTTGGGAGGGTTGCGCATCTTGGGAAGGCTGTGTCTCTTCAGATTCGTTGTGCTCCGGTGTCTCGGGCAGCTCCAGAAACTGCTTCGCGGGCTCGGCTGGCCCGCGCGTGCTCTCATGGCTCGGCCTCGCAGTCTTCTCGGTGCGCAGGCCGGCGTCCACACTAGAGCTCGACTGGTGGCGGGTGTGGCCCGCAGGCACAACCCCGCCGCCGATGCGGCTCCAAAACATCTGCTCGCGCAGCCGGACGCTCTCTTCCCACGCCGCCTTCTCGGCATCCTCATCTTCCGCCCGCCAATGGCCGTCTTTGACAATGCGGAGAAAGCCGAGAAACTCGCACGTCGACCGAACTCGAGCGAGGCAGTAACTACAGAGCGGATACCCGATCTGAGTATTGTCGGACTCATTGATGCGGAAGCGGTGCGTCCTGAGGTGTTCCTCCTCTTTCCTCGACTCGCCGCAGAGGGAGCAGGGATAGAGCTCGGGCTTGATCACCTTGCCGAATCGGCCGGTAGCTGTGGAGGGAGTCGGCTCGACGACCAAGGAACCCTCCGTCATGGATGTCAACACGCTGCGGCGGGCAAGCCAAGAGAGCCCTGGCGCCGTGTCTAGACGGAGGGTCGGCTCGATGTCCTCGGTGAGCACTCGCTTGTAGAACTTGGTCTCCTTCAAGTGCGGAAGGGGAACAGGCGTGGCGGTCGACGAACTACTGCTGACGGACGAGGCTGGCGTGTGTGGCGTTTGAGGAGATGCTGCAGGGGGGGTCCCTGTTGTGGCGAGAGACGTGGTCGAGCCCGTGGCCGCCGAGACATGTGAGCCAATCGAGCCAAGGCCGATGCCCAAGGATACCAGGCCGGACCCGGATGATCCCGAGGGCAGCCGCGGTGCGGAGAGCCTCTTTGACGTTCGCAGGAGCTCCCTGAAATCGTTGAATGCGGCTAGGTCGGTACGCAGGACGGGGTGCAGAAGGTGGGTGAAGCTGGTCGGATATGACGGAGATACAGGCACCGAGAGACTCGCATGGCGCGTTCCAGCCGAAGAGCCTGCAGCTTCCCGATCATCGAAGCTCTCCAGTCCCGGGGACGAGGGAAGCGTAGGTGGTGATTGTTCCTCCCTTTCCACCGTCATCTGTTCCATGACATGCTTCAGCTCAGCGAGCTGCTCCTGCTGAGACCGGAGAAGGCCTTCTGTGTCGGCAAGCTGTGCCCTGAGCTGGTCATTCTTTCGCTGCAGAGCCTCTTGCTCGGCCCGCGCCTCTTCCTTTGCCGAGATGACCATCTTGTTCGCTTCTTCGAAAAGGGCAGCGGTCAGGTTTTCCAGTTCCTGCTCGATTTTCTTCTTTTGCTGCTCCATATCGAGGCGAGCTCGTTTCTCCTCGGCAGCGAGGGCTACCAACCTCGCCTTCTCTTCCTCAACCGACTTTCGCCTCACCCACACATCGCCCGCAAGCATTTCCCTCTGCTCCTCTACCACTGCCTCGAGCTGCCGTATCCTGTCTTGAGACTTCTCCAGCTCTAGCCTCGTCGCCGAAAGGTTGTCGTCAAGTGCGGTCTGATGGTTGATGGCGTTGATGAGCTTTGTGCTCAGGGTGGCGACCTCATCATTCAGATCGGGGTGGTGCGGCGTGCCAACCATAGCATCCCCGTCGGCAAGACTCATTGTCCTGCTCCGAGGATCGGGAATTGTTCTCAAGTCATTCTCGTCGTTGAGCGAGCTGGGGACGAAAAGCCTCTTAGGCTGGGGGGTTGAAGGGCGCGAGCGTGCGATGTCGGCGGTCATCGACGGCTCTACGGTCGAATTCGATCTGACATGCGCAGACGCGGGTTTTGGTGAGGCGGTTCTTAAGATGCTGGATAGCGACCGGTGGTGGCCATATGTCGGCCGGCCACTAGATGGGACCTGGTGCGGCCAGCCGCCGGCCACGGCAACGAAGCTTCGCCACTTCCGTTAGCAATCGGGCACCTATGTAACGCCTTCCGAGTCAAGCACCGAGGCGCGCCTGCCAAAACGTAGGCATCCACCGCCCATACTGGCGGTCTCCGAAGGGTCGCGAGCAATTGGCATGACGAATCGGTGCTTTGACGTGCAGGACGAGGGTCTGAACATACGGATAATCCAGCTTGGAGATTGGCGGCGGACCACACCAGAGACTGGCGGGTCCTTGAAGTGAAGATCAGGCAGTCTCCGTTATCACTGTGTCTTCGAAACTGAGTTGATTTTTTTTTTCTTTTCAAATGACTGCTCCAGGTGTGGATGCGCCTGTTTTGCGCCGAGCGAGGCGAGAGGGACACGCTCGCGGTTGGCGGATGGCATTCGCTGTCGGCGAACTGAAGACGCGAGCGAGGCGGCTAAGCAAAAATTGTCGGATCAATTTCTACTTGGAAAGGGAAGAAAGCCCGAAAACGACAAAACCAGTGCAGGTCAACTACGGTAGCGCCTGGACGGGCACGACGCAGAGTGTCGAGATCGGATGGATTGGAGGAAGAGGCGCCGGCGACTAGTGTAGAGGATACGAGGGCCAAGTTGATTGCGTTTGGTGACCTGCAAACAAGGTCACTGGGTTGCAGCGACGCAGACGAGGGGGGCCCGGGCTGCCAGGCCAAGATCTGCGATTGGAAGGCCGCCCCGGCCCGCCCCAGATCATGACCAAGGCCGTGCAGCTTTATTGGGTCCCAAATTTTACCTCATTGAGTCCCACGCAGCAATACGCGCGAAGACCGTTACGTTGGGGCAGACAACCAGCATGCATATGTATGCTGAAGCTGTTGGTTCATCATCCCGGCACGATGATTTTGGCGCCGGCGTTGTTGGCTACCTAAGTTGCGGCGAGCTTTGCGGCGCAGATACCTCAGCTTGAAGCGTCGTCGGGCAGGGATGGATGCTGCCCAGGTGTGTCACGGGCAAGTGGCACAGTGTGCTGCCCCCAAATACTATGAATTGAGCGTTCCAATCAGCCAGCTGCAGAAGTTCTCGACGCGAGTTCTCGAGGCTACTCGTTCCCCGTAATAGCCAAAAGCCGTAGCCATAGCCCAGATAGTTGGCCTTCATGGCCAGGTTAGTGCAGATATTGTTTGAGGTTTACGTCGGTTGGGTAATGATCTCTGATTCCATGTTTATCTTCTGTCGCCTAGACTCTCTGTAACGATCAAGTCTGGCTTTCTCTCATTTCTCCTATGGCCTCAGTTTACGTTAAACAGCCTCCTCGTCTGGCGGTTCACATGCCGTAGTGTCCAGATACCAAAGTAGCCGACGCAAGCACGGCGCCAGATGCTTGTGCAGGTGATGAGAAACCGTTTGGGGTGCGCAGCCCACAGAGCGGGCGCCCAATTAGAGTGACCCGTGATTATTCACGTGACCTTGGGTTGCGGAGTTCCGTTGGTCGGTACGTGCGTTGGAACCCGGTTGGCGAGGCATGGTTCGGCGCAAGAGGGCTGCACACTGCCAGGAGGAACATCGCAGGACCACACCTTCTCCTGAACACAGCCGTCGCTAACAATCCAGACGATGCACTTATCTGGGATCAAGTACCACACCATTACTGAATCCATGCCACCTCCCCGACAAATAGTATCAACAAACTCCGTGGCTTCGTAATACAAGCAGCTTCGGGAATTCTTTTGAGTATCGCAAGGACGTCGACACTGTGTTTAAGGAGGAGCTCGGCCCCATGTAGCTTGGGCTCCGCAACGCCCTGGCTGACGACAGACCCGCTCCAGGTTCCCGAACACGATCAAACACAATCGGAAAAGATCTCATCATCCCATCCCATCCCCGTTCATCCGCCATGGCTCTGCTCTACGGCGACCTCGACGACGAGATCGACTATATTTTTTCGCAGGCATCGGCCCCCAGGGCAGAATGCGACGATTGGGCCCGCACGATGTTCTGAGGGTTGGTCGAGCCTGTTTCGGTCCAAGGGGCGACTAGCTGTACCGTGGTGGCGGGGCTAAATCGCGAGAAGATCGTCCAGTTCCGAAACATGAACGTCCAGCTAGACATGAGGATGTTGGACCTGGCTAGACAGATTCATGGAAAAGTTGTGCCTGTAGGTGCTGCCCTGGGCCAAATTGGCGACGACGGGCAACGACAGCTCGCAATATACGAGATGGACAGACTGCCGGGAGACAACTACGCCATGGTGCGCACCTCTCTAGCGGAAGTACCCCAAAGCCAGTTGGCCGCCGTACACAGCCTGGCGAGGTTCGCTGAGACTCTGCATTATTCTTTGCTCTGGGTTGGCTGAAATAATAAAACAAGGTTCTTTGCGCAGGCCTGGCGCAGGCCGGTGGCTCTAGATCGGTGTGCTCTCTCAGCCATTGCTGCCGAGCTCTCTAGCAGGCTCGACGACGTCTCTTCCTCCGGCATTCTCACCGCTCGCTTCTAGCCAGCCCTCGACGAAGTGAGAAAATATCTGCCGATGCTCGTTTCTGGAGATTTTCCACTGGTGCTCACTCACAGCGACCTCAACGAGTTGAATATCCTTGTCGACGGCCGCAGCGGCATTATCACAAGGGTTATCGACTGGACTGACGCGGGCATCCAGCCCTTCGGTCTTACTCTGTACGCGCTAGAAAAATTCATTGGCAGCATGGGCCGAGACGGATGGGTCTTCTTCGATAACGCCGGCGCGCTGAGGGATGAGTTCTGGAGGGCATTCACTCTCTACCCTGGGCAAGTGTCCTACTCACAGATGAGGATTATTCAGGCTGCGAGAAAGGCGGGATATCTTCTCCGGTACGGAACATTCTACAGCACCGGGCAAAAGGGAGTTGTAGGGATCGAGAACATGAGCATTGAAAAAAGACGTCTGTATCTTCAGGCGATTCTTTAAGGCGGCCGAACGCGGTCCTGCGCAAGCCTTGGCGTTCCATGCTTAGCTGTAGCATTGGCCGTTCTGAAATTAATCCTCCAAGGCCGCCAAAACTAGGATGTTATTGTGATCTGTCCATTTGACATTGTCACTCTAGGGTATATAGCTTTTGCCCATAAATCTTCCCTGTCTGCTCAAAAGGGTCCAGAACTAGTCGTTCTAAGGACAAGAAACCGCCTCCTTTAAACAACGACGAAAACAAAAAGATATCGCTATTATAGGGAGGCCGAGAACGTAAATCTAAACTAAGTAACGTTAATTTACTTTCAATTTAGGTTAAATTGCTAAAACTCTAAACTGGAATGGCAAGGCTAGACGGCGTTCTAAGTAGGATTAGGGCGGTCAAATTAGATATCTATATCTATAGCCAAGCAAGAGAAAGTAGAATACTTTCTATTCTGATGCTTAAAGTGGATAGCTCTAGGGGAAGGCATACTATCATATATAGTAACAAGACGACGGAGCCTCTCCTTATATCTAGGAGGGGAAGCGCTATCCGACCCAAAGAAGTAGTCGCTAAATATAAAAGCGGTCCGGGAGACGATCAAGTATATAATAGCGACGGGGAGATTGGATATGGACGATGAGCAACGACAAAAAACTGAATTAGTTATGGTAGCGGGGTTATACTAACACTATATAGTCTTAACCGGCAGATCCCGTTTAGCTACTGAAGATGCGATGCTAAACACTTAGCGAACGTAACCTCTAAGTCGATCTGCTAACAATCAAGGCAAGAGACAAGAGGTACTAGGAAATTTTGTGCAAAGGTTAACTCAAAGGGCTTTTGCGAGACTATAGGAGAAGCGGTCCGGATTGTAAGTACTTAGTGTGCCAGGGCCCTTTAGGCTTAGTGCCTCCGGCCCTCTGGGCGAAACAAGATCCATCCATCCATCCGAGGTAGGCCTGTCAACTGACGGCACCACCAGGCCGCATCTTTTACCTCCTCAGAACAGTCGGTGCCATACTATTCTCGCGATGCCCCTCGGGGAGGGCGTCGAGCTGCTGTCGCGATCGCTGCTGTCGGCGTCGTTGTATTCCGGGTTTGGGGCAGCCTAGGTCGCGGCGCCGGCGGCTTGTTGGTATTGGCATGGGCTTGCGAGGCTGTCGCCGCCACCGAAGTGGTACGGCCAGGCGACATCAGATTTTGGAGACGATCCGCACCTCGGACTGAGCGCTTGAGCATTCCAATTTTCTTATTGGAGAGACGTCCAGCGGTCGCACACCATGAACGTGTAGTACCCGGTCTTCTTGACCAAGACATACTTGCCGAGGAGAGCAGCGTCCGACGTCGCGTCCAGGCCGTAGACATAGTTGGATCGATCCCACGAGATAGCCCAGTACCTCGTTCCGACCACGGGCCGGTTATGCCTCCAGCGGTCCTTCATCTCCCCCCAAAGCCAGTTCAAGACATCTTCCACGTTCCTCTTGCCCTGGGCCCTGAACCTTTCTGGGTCCTGGTTCTCCTTCTTGATGTTGCAGTTATTCAGCAACACGACCGGAATGCAGCCGCCTAGAAGCACCTGCCAACAGCCCCCCTGCCTTCCGCTCGGTCCGTTGAAGTACATCATGGACTGCTTGTCGTCGCCGCGGGCCAGCACCGTCCCGTCGAGTGCGCTGCTGGTGAAGGTGTACGGGTAGATCTCCTTTTCTGTTTCATCCAGGTTCCTCGGCGTCGTGGAGCAGAACACTCCGTCTGGCTCGCTCGTCCACGCAGACAGTTGGCATTGGCCCCTTTCGAGGCGCAGGTTCGGGATCCTGAGGAGCCGGTATTTTTTGGGACAATTCGGGTCGGGCGCCAGGCTGATGATGTGTGTTTGCGGGGTTTTCCAAGGTTCCGGCGGGTTGTCGACGGGCTGGGGGCGGTTGCCCGGTTGGGTGTCCTTTAGGATGTCCGACACTTTCAGCTGTGTGTCGTCGGGGAGGGACTTAGTGATGAAGGTTGAGAACTGAAAGGCGGTCTTCGCTTCATTGAGGCTCAGATACTCGACCTTGACGACGTTCTGGGCGTAGAGCTTATCGAGAGCAGCCCCTCGCTCGACCGTCTCTCCCGGGTAGAGCCAGCCCTCCTTGGTCTTCTCGGGGCCGAGAAAATCTGCAACAGTCTGCAAGCCCGACCAGCCGGTGACGTCGGCCCAGAAGCCGACATAGTTGGTCATAATGCTCTTGACGGTGAGCAGATTGAAGAGTTGGTCAAAGCCCGGTATGAGGCTGATCGTGTCCACGATGACCGCTTCGGCTTTGCTCTTCTCCGCATCCGTGATTGTGTATTTCACAGGAACACACAAATCATTCGTCAGCTTAGCCGTGGCCTTAAAATCGACTTCCACCCCAACCTCGCGGTCGAAAGGACGAGCCGTCAAGGACTCAGAAGCGTCTGCCATAGCTATTGGGAATTTCGAGATGAGGGATCGGGAACAAAGACCTGGTGAACTTCTCGACTTCTCCTGAGAGTCTGTCTCTACCGTCTGAGGGGGAGTAGGAGCACTTGGATCTTATATAGACATTTCGAAGAGTCCTGGGTCCGACAGAGCGTCGTCCACGGTGCGGTCGAGAGCCCTCGAGAATTGAGGGAACGGAGAAGGGAACATGTCTTCATTGGCTCATATGTGCCATGCTGCAGAGCTTCGTTCCGTTCCCAACTATAAGCTGCCAATCGGAAAGCCCATGGGAGAGCAAGCGAGAGGCGGGGTCGGAGCAAGTCGACAAGTCATACGACAGTTCAACCAATATCGCGGACAATTCCCGGCAAGAGTTGGAACGATTATCTATTCAAGTGAGAGATGTAACGTTAAAATGAGAGATAAATGTGAAAGGATTGACAGCACTTATCACTGAGAGCGGCACGGCTGGACAGAAAGAGCAAAACGAAAAGGTAACAGCAGAGCTGAACGAAGGACTAGATAGGAAGGCGCCTTGGATATTGGCTACGGAGCTGAGCTGAGTATAGATTAGTGCTTTCTAGTGGACAGTGGTACGAGCTGAGAGAGGATTTCAGCTCGGTAGGAGAGAGCATATCCTTTCCAGTTTGAGGGAATGGTATTACCTGGTTCGGCACCGCAGCATGTCGAAATCCACCAATGTCCGTTTGGGACAGAAGCATATTTGCAGGTCTCTCTAATGAGTTCTATTGAGTTGGGAGCATCTCGCAATACGCCGGGTACCAGAAAGGTATATAACCCTCCTCTGTTGCCAACGTCCATGGTCGGTGAGTCTTAAAGGTGTATTTGGAACATCTTCCGACACCATCTGAGCTGAACAGGGCCCGCGCTTCCTCGGTCATCTCAAACTACTTCCCTCGCCAACATTCGCCTCTAAAACGGCAATAGGCCCACTTATCTGAGATGTCTTCCGGTGAGTACAGCTGCCGGGATACAACAGTTTGGAGAAAATATTTGAGGCGCACCTATCTTATTGACCTCGCGCCCCAGGAGAGAAACCGCTCAATCCTCCCACCCAGGCAGGCGAGGCCGAAGCCGGCGACGGGAAAGGAGGAGGTCACGTCCAGGCGAACGCCGCCCGCAGTGTCGTCTGCGTCGTCACCAACGAGACCAACATGGACCTCTCGCGCAACAGTGAGTCCCTGGCGCACGGCATCTGGTCCACGAACATGTACCCGCCGGAGATCATCCCGGCGGGGACGACCGCGCAGTTCGAGGCCGAATCCCAAGGGTTCATGACGGGTTGCGAAGGACAGGTTAACTATGAAGTCGACGGGGCAACGACAGTGACGTTTTATTTCGACAATCCCTATATCGGCGACAACGGTTATAAGACCTGGATGGACGGCCCAGACTCGGACTCCTACAACACCCAGTACTCCGGAGGTAGTGGCAACAATGCCACGGTGACCTACAGGATCAAGCAGAACTGAGTGGCCCGTTCTTCAAGGGGATAGTTGATACTAGATAGGAAGAACAGATGGAGTAGTTCTTGCATGCCGCGGCAGATATCGCATCTTGTCTGGAATAGTGGAGTTTTCGAAGCTAGTCATGCTCTACGTGCCTAATGCCCAGCTACCTTATGCGGCGATACTAGGTGACTACCTAATTCTGCGTAGGACCACATAGGAACGTCACTTTGGGACCTGGCAGCTGCCGTGGTGGTGACTCGCTTTAACGCATCTAGCATATACGCACCACCTGAGCGTTCTTGTACTTGAATGTGACGGTGGAACCCACCGGTCCCGGCATTCTGCCTTATCTTACCTAGAGTAGGGCTAATGCCCCACTTCCTATAATTAGGGGCTTCCCTGCATCCTTGCAGTCTCTCGAGGATTCAATATTCTTATAATACAGTCAGGAAGAGACCTCTAACCGAAGAAGAGCCACCTCGTACATTACAGCCATCGTACCCTTGGCAAGCTGGTCCACCGCAGTCAACATCGAAATTGGAGAGCTATTTTGATGGTTGGCAATGTGAGTCTTGATAAGCGTTAACTGCGAGGTCGCTTCTCGAGAGTTGTATAGTGTCTGGAAGACCCAAGGTTGTAGTGTACCGGCCCGCGAGTTCAAGGGCGTTAGTATACGAAGCTTTACATCCAGCTTGGATATTACCCTCTCTAGATCGTATGGTATAAGGCCAGCACCTATAAAGCCACCCTAGATATTCTTCTCTATTATAGAAGTAAAAAAGGCCTCGCGGAAGGCATAGAGGAACTCGAGCTTGCTGATATGGTTGATATGCATCCGCATTAGGTCCTCGACCTGGCGACCGTACGCCTGCTTCAACAGCCCAAAGCAGCTGACATCAAGTGGCTGGAGGAGTGCGAGGAATGGGGAGGCATATAGAGCGTGATGATGTTATTCTCCTGGTAGTAGAGCTCGAATTCGGTAGAGTAGTGGTTCTCGTGGCCGTCGAGGATCAACAACTGGTTCTTGCCCTTTATATAAGGTGCTATATAGAAGTCGAAGTGCTTGATCTAATCGAGGCCTACTATATTAGTAGTCTAGCCGTTCTCGGTAGTTGCAATATGCCAATCAGCCGGGAGGTTGCACTTAGTATACCAGTTGACGAGGTAGTATTGTACGGCTAAGATAATAAAGGGCGAGATAGCCTAGCAAAGGGCATTGACTCCCTAGATTACCGTTGCCCATTTGCAGTTACTAGGCTGGGCTAGTTTTGCCCTACTACGGCTATCCAAGGTTGTAACTACTATGCCTAGGCAGATCATTCCCATCATAAACCCAGTCTCATCAAAGTTATAGATATCGTTAATGTACATGATAAGCGAGCGACGCAGATAAGCGAGCGACGCAGATAAGCGAGCGACGCAGATAAGCGAGCGACGTACTTTCTACCACCCTACAGCAACTATCCTCAATTATAATACAACAAAGCTAGCAACCAACTATAATTACATCAGAAATAGATGAATCAGATGATTCTATAGCCTCCTGGCAAGTGCGAGCATTATAGCCAGGCCTGCCGTATACCCTACAGCATCGAACCTTTGTACGAGCCCCCCTTGAACCGCTACTATCCGGCTGCGTTTCCTGTACTGCCTCCCCACCTACAGCGTTCTGATCTAGTAGATCCTTTGCATCTTGCACAGTAAGTGAACCTTCAAGCTGCACACGTGTTTTCTTGGCACGCCAGCGCTTGCTTAGTGCCTCATTGGCCTTGCGAAGCGAAGAGACCTCTGACCGAAGGAGGGCCACCTGGTGCATTACAGCCATTGTACCCTTGGCAAGCTGGTCTACAGCATCCAACATTGAAGTTGGGGAGCTATTTTGATGGTTCGCAATGCGAGTCTTGATGAGCGTTGACTGTGCGTCGGCTTCTCGTGGGTTATATGGTGTCTGGAAGACCTAGGGTTGCGCAGTGCTGGGCTGTGAGGTTGGGGGTGTTGGCGTACGAAGCTTTATATCTAGCTTAGAAAGCACCCGCTCTGAGTCGTATGGCACAAGGCTAGTCCCTGTAAAGCCACCCTATGCGTTCTTCTCTGTTATAGAAGCAAAGAAGGCTTCTCAGAAGGCATAGAGGAACTTAAGCTTGCTAATGTAGTTGATATACATGCGTATTAAGCCCTCGATCTGGCGACTGTATGTCTGCTTGAGTGGCCTAAAGCAGCTAACATCGAGAGGCTGGAGCCTATGGGAAGAGTATGGAGGCATATAGAGTATAACAATGTTATTCTCCTTATAGTAGAGCTCGAATTCAGTTGAATGGTGGCTCTTATGGCCGTCGAGGATCAACAACTGGTATATGCCCTTTGTTCGAGGTGCCGTATGGTAATCGAAGTGCTTGATCCAATCTAGACCTACTGCATTGGTAGTCTAGTGTCACGAACTAAACCAACAGGGCCCAGCTATGCATGCGGAACGGGAGCGCGGGGCGCCCCGGACCAATCGTTACGGAAGCAGTTGGTGGAGCCCCTGGATGCTCCCAAGTGGAGCATTCCCCGGACGGGATCACCATCTGCTCCCATTGCTCCCATTGCTCCCAAGGAGCACCAGGAGCATCAGGAGCACATCAATAAGCATCACCAAGGAAGCTGTATATAGTTCTACTATTCTGTCACTCATTCAGATAGCTAGCTTCCTCAGTGAGCAATTACAAGCAATAGCCCATACCTATTGTGCAGATATTGCGGCAAGCATTGTTGTGAACCTTTTGGCTTCACCGAGACCTACAGTCCGACTAGCAGTTACCTTCGACCGGCGAACCCTTTCAGAGGCAGGACTGCCTGTGGTTTCGTCACATCTAGCCATTATTGGTGGTTGTAATGCGCCAGGTAAGTAGTAGGTTGTACTCCCGGTACTAGTTACTCTGGTAGTACTGTGCGGCTAGGATAATGAACGGAGGGATAACCCAGCCAAGGGCGTTGACTCCCTGGATTATAGTCGCCCACTCCTGATTACTAGGCTGAGCTAGTTTTGCCTTGCCACGCCCATCCGAGGTCGTAACCACCATACCCACAAAGATAACACCCATCATAAACCCAGTCTCATCAAAGTTATAGACATTGTCATCGACAATCCCATATTTAGCCCTAGTATTCTACACAAGTGCAAACCACTCGCTGATAACCTATGGATCCTCGCATTTAGCCCTCTGGTAGTCGTACTTGCGTGTATACCGCGTACGGAGCTCTGGCTGGCGTTTGACAAAGTTGTAAGCCCAGCGTTTGCCGACAGGGGGCGCGTCGCGTTCGCATAGTAGGTGGTTGGCCATATCTTCTATACCACTTAATCTAGGTGGGAATACGCGTGTAGATAGCTCAGTTATATACTGAACTAATGACTTCTCTTCTAGATCCGTGAGCTTACGCGAGTTGGCTAGAACATCGCGTCTTGCAGCACGTCCCTTGCGCCGGTGGCGAATCGTTGCTTCTGGAACGTTGTATAGCTTGGCTACCGCCCGGATACTGAGATTCTCGCTCTGTTTGATAGCTTCGAGGGCTAAAAGAAGCCTGGCTTCTTTTGAGGGGCTACGCATGGCTTGTTGCGGTGGTATTTGGTGGAAAAGTTTAGAGGAGGCGCGTCGTACTGAAAGTGCGTCGCTCGCTTATCTGCGTCGCTCGCTTATCATGTACGTTATGTCTTCAATTCCGGCCGAGGCTAAAGTGGTTCTTGCACTTGAAGCTTTTGGAAATGATGCTAAGCTAAGCCTCCGGGCTGCAGCAAAGATCTAGTCTGTGCCTTATACTACCCTCTATCGCTGGCATACTGGCCGGCCTGCACGACGTGATACTCTAGCCAACTCGCGTAAGCTTACAGATCTGGAAGAGGAGGTAATAGTTCAGTATATAACTGAGCTATCTACACGCGCATTCCCACCTAGATTGTGTGGTGTGGAAGATATGGCCAACCAACTATTACGCGAACGCAACGCGCCCCTTGTCGGTAAACGCTGGGCTTATAACTTCGTCAAACGCCAACCAGAGCTGCGTACGCGTTATGCCCGTCGATACGACTACCAGAGGGCTAAGTGCGAGGATCCAAGGATTATCGGGGAGTGGTTTACGCTCGTACGAAATACTAAGGCCAAGTACGGTATTATGGATAACGTACATGATAAGCGAGCGACGCAGATAAGCGAGCGACGCACTTTCAGTACGACGCGCCTCCTCTAAACTTTTCCACCAAATACCACCGCAACAAGCCATGCGTAGCCCCTCAAAAGAAGCCAGGCTTCTTTTAGCCCTCGAAGCTATCAAACAGAGCGAGAATCTCAGTATCCGGGCGGTAGCCAAGCTATACAACGTTCCAGAAGCAACGATTCGCCACCGGCGCAAGGGACGTGCTGCAAGACGCGATGTTCTAGCCAACTCGCGTAAGCTCACGGATCTAGAAGAGAAGTCATTAGTTCAGTATATAACTAAGCTATCTATATATATATTCCCACCTAGATTAAGTGGTATAGAAGATATGGCCAACCACCTACTACGCGAACGCGACGCGCCCCCTGTCGGCAAACGTTAGGCTTATAACTTTATCAAACGCCAGCCAGAGCTCCGTACGCGGTATATACGTAAGTACGACTACCAGAGGGCTAAATGCAAGGATCCACAGGTCATCAGCGAGTAGTTTATACTTATATAGAATACTAGGGCTAAATATAGGATTGTCGATGACGATGTCTATAACTTTGATAAGACTAGGTTTATAATAGGTGTTATCTTTGTGGGTATAGTAGTTACAACCTCGGATGGGCGTGGCAAGGCAAAACTAGCTCAGCCTAATAATCAGGAGTAGGCGACTATAATCCAGGGAGTCAACGCTCTTGGCTGGGTTATCCCTCCGTTCATTATCCTAGCTGCACAGTACCACCAGAGTAACTGGTACCGGGAGTGCAACCTACCACTTACCTGGCGCATTGCAACCACCGATAATAGCTGGACTACCAATGCAGTAGGTCTGGATTGGATCAAGCACTTCGATTACCATACGGCACCTCGAACAAAAGGCACATACCGGTTGTTGATCCTCGACGGCCACGAGAGCCACCACTCAACCGAATTCGAGCTCTACTGCAAGGAGAACAACATCGTCACACTCTGCATGCCTCCACACTCTTCCCATAGGCTCCAGCCTCTCGATGTTGGCTGCTTTGGGCCACTTAAGCAGGCATACGGTCGCCAGATCGAGGGCTTAATGCGCATGCATATCAACCACATCAGCAAGCTTGAGTTCCTCTGTGCCTTCCGAGAAGCCTTCTTTGCTTCTATGACAGAGAAGAACGTACAGGGTGGCTTTGCAGGGACTGGCCTTGTGCCATACGACCCAGAGCGGGTGCTTTCTAAGCTAGATATAAAGCTTCGTACGCCAACACCCCCAACCTCACGGCCCAGCACTGCGCAACCCTGGGTCTTCCAGACACCACATAACCCACGAGAAGCCGACGCACAGTCAACGCTCATCAAGACTCGCATTGCGAACCATCAAAATAGCTCCCCAACTTCAATGTTGGATGCTGTAGACCAGCTTGCCAAGGGTACAATGGCTGTAATGCACCAGGTGGCCCTCCTTCGGTCAGAGGTCTCTTCGCTTCGCAAGGCCAATGAGGCACTAAGCAAGCGCCGGCGTGCCAAGAAAACACGTGTGCAGCTTGGAGGTTCACTTACTGTGCAAGATGCAAAGGATCTACTAGATCAGAACGCCGTAGGTGGGGAGGCAGTGCAGGAAACGCAGCCGGATGGTAGCGGTTCAGGGGGGGCTCGTACGAAGGTTCGATGCTGTGGGGTATGCGGCAGGCCTGGCCATAATGCTCGCACTTGCCAGGAGGCTGTAGAATCATCTGATTCATCTATTTCTGATGTAATTGTAGTTGGTTGCTAGCGTTGTTGTATTATAATTGAGGATAGTTGCTGTAGGGTGGTAGAAAGTGCGTCGCTCGCTTATCTGCGTCGCTCGCTTATCATGTACGTTAATAGTATGGTGGAGGAAATTGATGTTGTAGGTAGAGACATGCGTTGCAGAGAAAATTGATCCGCTCGCTTATCTGATCCGCTCGCTTATCATGCACGTTATTAGGAATACTAACAGCAAGCTAAGACACTTCGATCGAGGAGCAGTTCAGCCCGAGAGAGAAAAACAGGTGGAAGAGAGACAACGGTAAATAAATACCGTAAGTTAGAGATAAAACCTGACAGATTACCTTACGCACGTCAGCAAAAAAAGAAGAGGTGATATCAATATCCAAAAAGGAAAAACGAAGCAAAAGATTCCAGTCAAGTAGACGACGCCACTCCACGACCGACAGATCGATCGATCGATATATAAAAAGAAAAACAGAATCAGGTATCCCATACTGTGTATATGATATGTGTGCACGAAGAGAGAAAAAATCAAACACGACACGACACGATTCCTCCTCTCAAAGAAGAAACAAGAAACTGGAAACTGTGATGATATCAGTCATCCCACGCTTCGTAACCCCCCTCCCCATACGGATTCCACTCCTGCCCGGGATAGCTAGTCGCACTCATGTGCGGGACCTCCTCGTCCTTCTTCCTGCCGTTGACCCCACCACCACCGTACGCGTCGTTCTCGTCTTGGTGGTGGTCGTTGTCGAAGACAGGGATCTTCTCCTCGAGCACCAGACGCCTCTCGGCCTCGCGCTGCTCCTCGGCCTTGCGCTTGGCCCGCTCGAAGATGGCCAGACTGTCCTTGTTGGCGGCCGCGGCGGCGGCAGCAGCTGCCCCCGCCGGGCCGCTGTTGTTGTTGTTGTTGTTGTTGTTGTTGTGGGGGGAGGACGGGCTGCTGGTGGGGCTTGCTGTGCTGTTGCCGGCCCCATGCACGGTTGCGATGGTGGCCGACTGGATGATGGGGGACTCCAGGTCTGATGAGTCGTCTGATGAGTCAAGGCCGTCATCATCATCATTATCATCATCATGGGCGACATGATGCCTGTTGAGTATTGGCTCAGGCGTCTCCGCGAAGGGTCTAGGCCTTGTCGTGTCGTGCGAGAGTCCGGCTGACTTGGGCTCGACGACGCCATTGATCGTGATGGTGTTGATCGGGACATCATCGGCATGCTGCGATCCCTGCTGCTGTACGGGTACTTGCGACTGTTTAGCGGCGGGGCTGTCCTCATGTTGCTGCTGCTGCTGCTGAGCAGGGAACTGGGATTGGCGTGGTGTCGCGTCATAGATGTTGTCCTCGGCGACACGCTGGGTCGGCGTAGTCAGTTGCTTTGTTGTTGGGGACAAGGGTTCCTGAGCTAGGTGCTCGGGGCTGACGGCTCTCGGGTCGCGATCGACAGGTGGAGGAGGAGGACTGGGTGAGCGGGGTGGGAAGCCGGCGTTTGCCGCGACGGAAGCCGCACCTAGATGCGCGGATGGCGTCTGCCTGGCTTGTTGCGAGGGAAGTGATGCAATGCCGCCCACACTCATTTTCCGATCGTGCAGCGCCTGACTCGCTCCTTGCGTAATTGTCTCATTCGGCGGGGCAGAAGACTGTTGATGCACTGCGTAATGGATCGGGGGAGGGCCTGAGACGTTGCGATCTTGGCTATACATGCCAACTGGCTCCGGCCGATGCTGGGCCTGCTCCTCTGGAGACGGCACATTTGCTGGGAGAATCTGCGTAGCCGGCGGGTCCGTGGATGACTGTGGTGAACCGCCTGCAGTAACATCAACTGCGGTACTGGCAGGCAACGACTGCGGTTGCTCCTCTGTCGCAGGCCCAGGCACTTGGGGGGGAATCTGCTGGCTTGCGAGATGCGCCTCTACGATCTGGGCGCCTTTCTGATCGCCGATGTCCGTAGCCTGTGGGGCCTGGTGCTGCGACTGGGCTTGAGAGGGGGTCTGAGACCGGGGGGTTGATGATGACTGCGACGCCGTCGAAGTATGAGGTAACGGTTGTTGACCAGCAAAAGCCGGCGGTTGACCCTGCTGGACCCCTAGGACCCCTAGGACCCCAGATTGCACCCAAGGGATCCCGGTTCGGGCCGGCAATAGGCTGACGGGGGCGTGTGGGTTGGCGTTCTGTGCGGGGCCGACGTAGAACGGAGCAGGAGCAGGAGCCACTCGCCCTTCACCGTGGACATATCCGTATCCTGCAGGAATCGGGACTTGGTCGTACTCGGGTTCTGGTGCGAGCACACGCATTTGACGAGGAGGGTGTTGCAAAGGTATTGCTTGCTGGCTGGGCTGCGCCAGCGCTGGAGTGGGGATTGGACCGGTTTGTTGTTGTTGCGTCGGCCTCCGTGTCATCATACCAGGACTGGGCCCGGGCGGGACTTGCTGCTGCTGCTGCTGCTGCTGTTGTTGCTGAGGCGGGAACTGGGCCTGGGGTTGGGGCCGTGCAGCAAATTGCTGGATTCCAGCAGCAGGTGACTGTCCTTGAGCAGGCTGCCCAAGAGTCATCTGGGCTGGTGTTTGTGTCTCAGGCTGTTTAGCTCCGCGTTTGAATGCGCTCATGGCACTCAGGACCGCCAACTTGGAGCCCTTCTCCTTCTCTGCTTTCGGCGCGGGCCCTGTAGGAGTGGGCGCTTTGTTGCCTTTGAACAACTTGGAGAGCGTGCTCTGCTCCTTCTCCTTCGGCTGAGCATTCATTGGGAGACCATTCGGATGGGCAATACCAGGTCCGAACTGCCGACGAAGATGAGGAGGGAGGACAGAACCAGGTTGATACGCAACGAAAGACTGCTGACCAGCGGTATACCCCAGACCCGGGGCTGCCTGCGTCGCTGGTGCATTGGTAGGTGGCCGTAAACCGGGCTGACTGTTGAGTGGCTGGCTAGGCGGGGACTGCGTCGGTCCGGGGCCTTGGATCGATTCTCCAGCTATAGAGCCCGGAGCACGAGTAGACAACGGGGTCCCTTCTCGGGGCAATGTTGCTGGCGGTGATTGCCGCGATGGCAATACGGAATCCGTTGTTTGCATTTGGGCGCCTGTAGCCTGTTGTTGGGAGGAAACGGCTGTAGTCTGCTCCATCTCCTCGCCCGGGATGCCAGACAGAGGCGTCTGGGCTTGTGATGACGGAGACACGGGCCTTTGGGATTGATCGTCGACGGCATAGTCAGAGCCCTGTCGGGCGGATCGATCCATGGCAGGGCCAGCCGGTGTTTGAACAGGCTTTCGGGAAACTGCCTGGGTAGAAGGAGCTGGCGTCCCGTTTTGAGGGTCCGGGACCTGTTGATGCGTCTGATTCGGACCGGGCTGGGCGGGAGCGGTGAAAGGCTGCCTCGGGCTGACCGGAGATTCGGTTTGGAATCGAGGCTGCTCGACGGGGAACTGCGTAGCGGGCTGGGAATGCTGGGAGATGGGAGAATCAACAGTAGACGCGGCAGATGGTGGCTCAGCCGGTTTCGTTGCTTCTTGCTGAGCGGTTGGATGACTCCGTTGGAACACGGTGGTAGTGCCCTGCGGCTGATCCGTCGTTGACTGGTTCGGAGGCCGGGCCTGGATTGACGCTTGACTCGGCGGGGTCTGCATCGGCGGTCTTTGCCCGTCAAACTGCACATCCCGCTGCTGGCCGGGAGGGAACCCAGACTGCTGAGGCATTCCCATCATCTGACGTTGAGCCGGCATTTGACCTTGCTGCGACTGTAGCGAGCCGGCACTGCCGGGGGCCCCGGGTTGCACGAAATGCGGTGGAGGAGCCAGCTGTCCCGGCTGAGGCTGTTGGCTGGCACCCGTCTCTGGACGTCCGTCAGGACCTAGGGGATTCCGCAAGCCGAGTTGCTGGCCCGGGAAGTGGCCCTGCCCGGGCGCGAAAGCCACCTGTTGCCCTGGGCCACCCTGTAGGCCGTGTTGTTGCGGCGGCGTCTCCTGTGACTTAGAGTCTGACCGGCCTCTCAAAAAGCCAAAGATCCCCCCGCTGGGCTTCCGGTCTTGGTTTTGATTGGGGAAGAGGCTCTGTTGAGGTGGCATGGCCATCGGCGTGCTGTACCCGGGCCGCGTGACGCCGGCGACGCCCGTGACAGGGCCGGTTTGCTGTTGTCCAGCGAAGAGTGACCCGGCCGCTGAGCCTGGCTGGAGAACAGGCCCGCCGGGCGGAGCGTTGCTCGAGCTCGACTGAAGGCCGGGCACAGTTGGCGGCGCGCCCATCGGCCCTGCTTGCGCAGTCATGCCCCCCCCTTGCGAAACTGGATTACGAGTTTGAAGCAGAGATTGACCTTGGTATTGGGCTGGGATTTGCGTTTGGGGCGGGCTTTGTGTGGGCATCCTGACGGTAAAAGATGGCCCCGAATTCTTCGGACCGTCGTTAGGAGACGACCGGGAGAAGACATCTTTGAGAGCAGAGAAGCGCTTCTTCGGGCCACCGCCAAGGCTTGCGGTATGCTTGTGCTCAGGACCGGTGGCGGATGTTGAGGACCGTGGTATGTCCGGCAGGTACTGACTGCCTGGCTGCGAAGGGTTGGAGTGAGCACCTATGCCAAAGAACTTGTTAAGCTTCCCCCCTGGGCCGCCTTGGGTCCCTGGAGGCGCGAATTGGGACGCAGGCGGAGGTGTCACGCGCTCGCCCATCGGCGTTCCGGGACCATGGGCAACAACGCTGTCTTTGCTGTGGCTGTAGGACAGGTTGTCGGGTGTGGGCACACCGCCCCTGGGGCCGAACATTGGATTGCGATTCGGTTGCTGGCCCACCACGTCCTCGGTCGTGGCACTAGCCACCGAGGCAGCGTCGCCGTTGGCGCCCTGGACGCTCGGGCCGTTCTCCGAGTCATGCCGCCTATCCGAGTGACCGACGGCGAGCCGGCCTCGTAGACTGGTGAAGACGTCAGAGTTGCGCTTCTTCGGTCCATCCTTGGCAGCAGCAGACATGGCACCGGGCCGTGATGGATGGTTCTGCTGGGAGCGCAGCCGCGACAGGGCATCTCCATCCGCGCGTTGACCGGCGGCGGTCTGATGGCTTGTCGATGGATCCTGGTCTGGTTGAGAAGCGGCGGCAGACTGGTCCTCTGGGCTGGGAAAGCCCGAAGGCTGCTGGGCCCTAGCTTGCTGTTGCTGCTGTTGCTGTTGCTGTTGCTGTTGCTGTTGCTGTTGCTGTTGCTGTTGCTGTTGCTGTTGCTGTTGCTGTTGTTGTTGCGTCGGCTGAGCCTGCTGGGTCTGTTGGGCTTGCAGGGGTTTGTGCCGCTGCAGCGTAGATGTGCTCGTAGACGACGTTAAGCCAGTCTCCTTGTCGAGGGCATAGTACTGCTGCTGCTGCTGCTGCTGCTGCTGCGAAGAAGCACTGCTCGGCGAGCGTCGGTGACGACCTGTGGGCTGGAGAGGCTCGGATAGGTGCGATTCTTGCAGGTTCCAGCCGCCACCGTGGGGATGGAATCTCTGAAGGAGGTTGCCGGGCAACAGGTGAGGGGGAACCATCATCGGCCGTCCGCCTCCAGGCACAAACTGCTGGCCCTGGCCCGTTTGCGGCGCCGCGCCACTCATTCCGGAGGCAGCTGTCCCAGGAACGCCGGCGAGATTTCTCGGCGGTATCTGGGACGCCCCCTGTCCCTGCATGCCCGCATGTTGGAAGCCACCCCCGGGGACGGCATTATTCGGGAAGGCGTGGTGCTGGTTGGGATTCTGGCCCTGCAGCTGCCACGTCTGGCCTTGCTGTGCTGGTCTCTGGGCACCTTGAGAGCTCTGGGCGCCCTGCGTCGGCCGATAGACGCTCTGGACATGGTGGCCGGAGTGCTGTGAAGCGGGCATGAACTGGCTCGTCGGTTGTCCCGCCATTCTGGACTGAGACTGGCCTCCCTGGGAAGCGGACGTGGACTGCTGCGGTTGGTGCGGTTGCTGCTGACGGGAAGTACCTTCGCCATTGTTCTCAGAGGGCATGAATTCCTCTGCGGTCAGGCCGAGGGAGGACCCGAATGTGGAAGCGCGGCGAATAGGCGGCAGCCCGACAAACGAGGGTGGCCGGGGGACACCGTCGGGGCCGAAGTGCTGCTGGTGTTGCTGCTGCTGCGACTGCACATGGAGATGATAACCCTGAGGATAGCCGCCGGGCGGCGGGAGCGGCTTAAAAGCTGAATTCTGCGCGTATGCGGCCATGATGCTATATAAGCTTGGTCAGGGCGTGGCTTGCGAGCGTTGACCGCGATCGGGGAGCTTCGTCCAATGCACGGTCGAATTCCCCTGACGCTGCGGGTCTCAGGGTCCTAGTCAATCGAACCTATGGTGCCTGGGACTCAAGTCTTCGGCACGACGGTCTCGTCTTGCTCTTCGTCACCGTGAATTGCTGAAAAAAGCCTTTCTGTCAATCCCGTCGACGGCCGCGCCGGTCGAGACGCCTTGCCGAAGCTTAGCCTCTGCGCGCGGATGGGTCGCAATTGTGCGGCGCAAGCTCAGCCGCTTGTCAGCTTGCCAGTTCAAGCGGGAGCTCCGCGAGCTGAGAATTAGGCGCGGACTGTAGTACGGTACCGCCTCCCCCAGCAGCCACCACGTTGGCTGGAGGCGCGCAGGAATAGGAGACCCCGTGCAAAGTGAAGCGACAGGCACGAGCTTGCGCTAGACAGGCCGAGAGAGATGGAGAGCGATGTGATTAGGTGTTGAGGACTTCTGGCAACGGTTCACCCGACGTTCCATGGGGAAGCTGAGGGTGAAATGAGTTTAGCTAATAATGGGGCCTGGGCTGGGCTGGACCCCGGCTCTGACACTGGATGCTCATGGGCATGGGGATTGGCCAGGGGCTCTTCCAGCTGCAGCTGCGCTAACTCCTTCTGCTGATTGCACATGCGTGGGCTGAAGTGGCAGCCTGATCTAGGAATACCCGCGAGATGAGCGACGGGAATCGCGAAAGTGGTGCCCTTGGACATCCATAGCGAGCTTGATTCGTACCTCCGTAGCCTACCGCGGATGGTCGACACTCATTGCTATGTACATACAAACCTCCGCGCCTTCAACAACGGCGGACCTCTGCTGCGCCTCCCTACCTAATAAAGCCTTTGAGTTTACCAGGGTCCATGTGTTGTTGCTCGGGTGGTGGAGATCAAGGGCCGTTTAATGTTGTCGAGGCTTGGCTCTATGGAGAAGCGAGGGGTCGGTCGAACCGGGTCGGTAACCATTCCCGAGCAATGGAGTCGAGCTATCAGAACTTAGAGCAACACATGTTACGCACCACTGCCCTCACTTCTGTGCTCCGGCTGCACCAAGCCGAGCCTCGCCCTCGCTGCGCCAAGGGTCTGCACGGCCGATGATCCTATGATGCCTCTGCTTTAACGCAAACTCGATATGAGATGCAATGAAGATGCGCCGAACTAAAAGCCAGGTCCATCCAACATAGGTAGATTAAACGCTGTACGAAGAAGTGATGCATCTTATGAACTCGAAAACACTTTGTCCCCCGTTCCACGGAGCTTGCTTCTCCCCTTACTTAGTAAACCTTTACCAAATCCCTTCCCAGCCTTGCCAGCAGCCATCAAAAGCTCCTTGCTCTTCGCACCCATCTGGTTACTCGAATGTCCGAGCCCGCCCAGGCTGTGTTGGAGGTGAGCCATAGGTAAGTGTGCTGGCGCCCTTGCACCCTGGCCTGAGGCCGGCGCTGCCCCCTGACTGCCATGCTGTGCCTGGGATGCCGCTGCGCTGGCGTAGGACATTACAGCATTGGCATGCTCCGGATGCCGAGACAGCATCGCCTTCAGCCAGTCGTCGAGGCCCGTGTCAACCGCGGAGAACTGCCATCGCGTCTCCTTGTAATGTTTGATACGCTCCGAGGCCAAGGACATCTCCATGATAGTTCGGAAACCTAGAAGGTTTTGCGGAGAAGGAGGAGTCGCCGGCTCGGCCCGTCGCGACTCCTGAACAGTAGCAAAGACAGGGTGTTGTTCAAGCGGTGGGGAAGGAAGGTCGGGCTGAAGTACGATCTTCTCCTCTGCGAGAGACAACCGCTTTGATTCTTTCCGTTCGTCCGACAGGACAGAGAGGGGCGAGGGTGATTCTCTCCGACGGTCTGTAGAGGGAGCTGGGCCGAGCAGTTCAGGAGCAGACTCGGCTCGGAGGTCGTCTGCCGACTTCATACCTTCGGCATATTGGGCCGGCCGCGATGGCTCGGTCTCTGGCGCGGTGGGCTTCGTTGTCGGTGTACTCACGGTTTCGGCGCCGGAACCGAGAGCCTTCTGCTCAGTGAAGAGTGCTGCGCCCGGAGACGAGAGACCTACGGGAACCGAGCCCTCTAGAGCCGCTTCCCATGAGAAGCGTCTGCGGAGCCCTCCGCTTTCGGTCGCCGTCTCAGCCTGGACTTCGGGACTTTTAGCCAGCGTGTTGATAGAGGGAATGGACGAGCTGGTTGAACCTCGTTTGCTTTCAACCACTGCCTGGTTATCTGCCGGGGCATTCGGTGATGGAGGTGGGTGATTCTGCGCCGCCTTTCCTGGCTCATCCGCCCTGGCCGACGTGAGCACGCTGGGCTCGGCCTTGTCCTCGGTTGTCGCCCAATAATCACCGTAGACATCTCCGAGGTAACTGCTCTCACGGGTGGGATCGGCGACGGGAGCATTGTACGTCGCCGTGGACCCTTCAACAACATCTGTCCCACTGGCAACTTCTTGGCCGGGGCTGAGGGACTTAATGATCTCCGCGCTCAACATGTCGCTATCTTTGACTGGCGAATCAGTTGACGCCTGTAATGTTGAACCCGTTTCGAATGGCGGAAGCGACAAAACCGGCTGCGACATGGTGCTAACCTCTGGCGTTGCGCGGCGAGGATTCAAAGGCGCTATGGGCGTAACCTCAGGATGCTCCGTATCCGCACTCGTCGGCAACGAGCTGGCGGATTCAGTGGTGTCAACCCGTGGAGAGGGCGATGCATCGCGTGACTGTAGTTTTGGTGTAGTCTGCTGGGAGCCCATACCAAGTTTTGCGCTCAGAGCTGGACTAGAGGTCCGAAGCGGAGGGAGGTTATGCGGTGAAGCAGGATGTGACGGCACAGGGCTATGATTTCTTGCCGTGTCCCTGCCCTTCAATAATGCCGTTCCTTGGGACTCTGTTTGAGGAGTCCTCGTAACATTGAAGGGGGTGCTCTCACGTTGGGCAGCGCCATTACTCTCTGAAGATACCTCTTTAGGCTCAGGAGCCTTGGCTGACATTTCCCGCCCAGGCGCTGGCGGAGTTTCGGTAACCCAGCCGCCCGGCATCGACGGCCTCGTTGCTGTGGTGGCTGGTGGGTCTTCAGTGCGTGGTGCAGGCTCCCGAGGTGACACTGCGGCGGATGCATGCTGCCCGGTGGCGTCAAACACCGGCTGCGGTGCACTCGGCGTGCCTTGCAGCAGCGGTTGCCCGATGGGCTGATCCTGGTTGGGCCCGTTGGGCGGCGAGGGCGATGCATCAGGCACGGGTTGTGATATTCTCTCCTCAGAGCCTGAGGCCCGTTCTGTGATTGTAGCTAAGCTCCGATGCGTGGCGCTATCGGCCGATTTGCCTGGCGGATCTACTGTACCAGGAGCGGCAGGTTCAGCAGATTCAGCAGAGGCGCGTTCGACTTGACCCGACGATGGGAAACTGGCAGAAACGGGTGAGCGCAGCCCTGAAGCGGGGAAGAGGCTGGACGAGAAGAGATCCTCGCCGAATCCCGATATGCGACTTAGATCCGGCAACTGGGGACTCTTCGAAAAGCGCCGCAACGCTGCGGGAGACTCGGATTGGACAAACTTTTGAGACTCGGCAGCTTCTACCTCTTCCTGCGCCGTGGCAGGCTGAACGACCGGCTCCTCAGTCCTGTAGCTGGCAAGTATTCCCTCGATACCGTACTCGCTTTTCCTTTCCGCAATAGGAGCGAGCTCGTTGGCAGGCTGCAGGGCTTGTGCCTCTCCGTGCCGTCGGGTTTCCGATGCGGATGAGTTTCCAGCCCCTGGTGTACGGCTTTCTGACGACCGCCGCTCCTTCTGTCTCTCTTCCTCCATCCGTCGATAGACGTCGGCCGGACGAACGAACGGGAGCGGTTTGTTTGGTGAGACAGGTGATTGTGCGCTTAAGGGGGATGGCGAGCCTGTCTCCATCCATGGCTTCGGGCTGTCGCTTGGTCGAGCGCTAGCGCCGGCTTGCCGCAGCTGCGAAGGGAGCGGGCGGGCACTCTGGGGAGCAGCGGAGCCGCGCCTGCCGTCAGGAGAGAACGCCGGGTGGGCATGTCCAGCGACATCGTGTGGTGCGGGCCCTATGGGTTCGGTTGCCCTCCGCTGGGTCATGCTGGGCAGTGATGACGGACCGGACGCAGCCTGATTCTGCCCCGGTCTCACCGGAGCCGCGGCCGGGAACTGTTCGGTGTGGGTACGTAGAGGCAACGATCCGGGAGGCTGGAATTGTCTCGCGGTTGGGGAATGTCGTTGGTCGATGGGTTTCGGCGGCGGGGGAGGTTCCGGTTCGTATGCTGGCTCGTCATACTCGTCGCCCCAGTCATCGCCGTCGTAGTTTTGTGGTTTAAAATTTGCCCATTTCTTCGTTTTCTGGCGGTTCACGTTGACCTTGTATTGGGTGGTGTTGCTCGGTGCCGTTGCGCTCGGCGGCCTGTGGAAACAGCAAGTTTAGATGCATCGCTCTTCAACGGTAACTTGCAGTACGGGCTTTGGCTTACATGACCCTTCCGGTAGGGAAGACATTCCCGTATGAACCATCCATGGCGGCAGTGTCTGCGCAGCAACCGCGAAGCTACATTCGCGCTCTCTTGTTGTGCGACTTAGGCTGGGAAGGAACACTTGATGGGGCTAATGAAGCGAGCTCGATGATGCAGAATCGCAGCTTGGTCTGCAGGTAGCCGGCAAACCACGGCGGGGGCAATACGGATGGGCGGAGACGACGTAATCCCGGGTTTCACAGATCAGCCGCGAGACAGCCGAGGAGAACAACCATCGGCTGCGTATATTGCGCCCATAAAGAAACTCTTGATGTTGAACCAAGCAGGGCGTAAAGGGGCAAGAAGATGTCGTCAGGCCAGTCCCCACCGAAATCCGTGTTGGTTTGGACTGTTCGCTCGATGCGTGGACAGAACCCTGGACGCAGGCATGGAAGGATTGTGGCTTTGAGCGCGCGCAATGCCAAGATGATCTGCAAGCCTAAAAAGAGATTCGGCACGACGACGTGTGCAATTGCATGTTCCGCCACGAATTTCGACACAGCTTCCAAATCCCTTCGATGCCGAATTGGAGGCTGCGCTTTGTATGCAAAGAGGCAACAGCAGCTCTCCAGTCCTTGAGACAACATCTCAAGGTTTGACAGAGACAAACGACTCAAGTTGACTTGGGATATCAGGGACCAATAGAATTCTGAAACTAGGTAACTTTGAATGCCTGCACGCTGCACCCCCGCAAAGTCATCGACCGTTTCGACACAACAGTGGGGACTCGAGGACAACCTGGCTCGCCTGGGCCTGGGAGAAGATGGGAAGACGCAAACACGGTCCCAGTACCTATGCGGAGCAGACTTCCTTCAGCACAACATGTCATTCAGTAGAGCTATGGACAACAAACTGCGTGGACTGCCATATCCGAAGGTGTTTTCGCAACTTCTGCTCGGCTGGGGTTGAGAAACAGGTCACGGTGTGAGCCACAGTTCCCGTGGGCAATATACACTGTATTCGCCAAGACGGAGATCGAAGCTGGTCCGAGCGCGGCGCGAAACAATAACCACGTTTGCCTCAAACACGACGGATCACGCAGAACATCGCCGAATCTCAACCATCGCAGACTCGCCTCCAACGTTCTCTTTGGCGCCATTAACCCCATTGCTTTTGGCGCTTCACTACCGCAACCTAATACTTCCAAGAACATTCTTTCGAGGTCGACGGGTCCGTTCAGTGGGGATACGGGCATTCGCGAATTGCCACCAAATCCTCCGGCGCAAGGTTGAGAATCTGTCCAACTGTTAACCACCGCTAAACCGCTTGTCCGCCGGAATGGCCGTTGCCATCAACGACCGCACGGCGGAATTTCGTCATATCGTCACTGCCGCCCAACGGAAACAGGCTGCAAAGCCAGGATCGCAGAAACTCCTAAGCGATGCGCAAAGAAGCGCGGCGACCGGGGGACCGCAGCCACGGCGATCAGAGTTCGCGCGCCATGCGGCGGAAATCGGCAGGGGAATATCGGCGACGATGGGGAAACTCCAGAAGTTGGCGCAGCGTAGGGGTATCCCATGACAAAAGAGGTTCGGAGAGGTACTGAACAGTTACAGTGGCCAAGAAAAGATCACTCTTTGACGACAACCCGGTTGAAGTGAACGAGGTATGATTTGTGACTTTCCGAGGAATCAGACTTCGGCCGTGACTAATTCCGGGCAGTTGACCTTCATCATCAAACAAGACTTGTCCCGTCTCAACGAAGACATTCGCAACCTACAAGCACTATCGAAGCGCTTACACCCAAAACCGGACCAAGAAGGGGAAAACAACAAGAACATTTTGCTGCTGTTGCAGGGAAAGCTTGGGGATGTGAGCGCGAACTTCAAGGTAAATCCACGTGAGTCCTTAGGCGAGGACAAGTGCTGATGTCCTGGCAGGACGTCTTGGAGATCAGGACAAAGAATATCCAGGCCTCGAGGTCAAGAACAGAGGCATTCGTGTCGACAGTGGGCCAGCACGCTCATGCATCACTCCCGCCCTCCGCATCTCCCCTGTACAGCACTCCGAACAGGGCCACACCTTCGCCGGGGGCAGACCTCATTTCACTCAACCCCATGGGCGGGGACCAGCAGCTACAGCTCCAGATGATGGAAGAGGGCCAAAACACGTATATCCAGCAACGAGGGCAAGCCATCGAAGCAATAGAATCTACCATCAACGAGCTGGGGTCAATGTAAGCCAGCAACCCGAGACGATGAGGCACTTCCAAGTGCAAGACTGACTGATATCCGTAGCTTCGGACAGCTCGCTGCCATGGTCAGCGAACAGTCAGAGATGATTCAACGCATCGATGCCAACACGTGTGTTACCCCCAGCCTTTGTGCCAGGTAGCCTTTGCTAACACTAAAGCAGAGAGGACGTGGTCGACAATGTCGAGGGAGCGCAGAAGGAGCTGCTGAAGTATTGGTCTCGCGTCTCGAGCAACAGATGGCTAATAGCCAAGATGTTTGGTGTCCTAGTATGTCGGCTATTATATTCCTCCAGGACAGCTTATACTGACCTCGTCACGCCAGATGATATTTTTCCTACTCTGGGTGTTGATCGCCGGGTAGATGAGTCAATGCGCTGTGTTCTTCTCTTGCTTGTACACCTCCTGTTCTTTTCTGTTTGCAGGCCCGTCACGATAGACTATCGCATGATAGACCTTGGTAATATGTGTTCAACGATATTGTCTCGAGCGAGCTCGGGTGCTGGAAGGGAGTTCGGGATTTATTCTTTATTGTATGATGGGAGGACAGTTGACGATGTGATCGGCGGGCGAAGCATATCTTTGTAGATGCAAACCATGAGTGCGAGCGTCTCAGAGACGTGATACCTATTGGGGTCCGTTTGCAAACTCGTTAAGAAGCTGACGACAGCTGAGATGGATCTAAAGTGGATGCCTGGCATAATAAAGGGCCTCACGTACCTTGAGTGAGTTACATACTCTGGGCTAGGCTGGTATGGTCATTACAGAGAACTCAATTACGTATTTACCAAAAATGACGCCAGACGCCAAGACAGTTGACGATCGAAGCAACCAATTTTCCACCTATCAAGCACCGAACCCCGAACGTCTCTCTCCCCCGCCGGACAGGGGCACTTTGGCTTGACTCCTCGATGATACCCCGCCAAACCCCACGCTGAAGAAAGTCAGCCATTGAGGGGCAACGCGCAGTTGTTTTGTGACAAGACTTACGGTCCCTTCAGAGTACTACTACTAGGAGTTAAGTTACGGTGCCCGGGGTTCTACATAGCTGATGGAAACCTGTAAAGCAATCCCAGATAACATTGGTAACATCGTTGGCAAGAGCCGGTCAAGCCATGCTAGACTCTTTCAAGATGACGGTCCTGGACCTCGCCCACGGCAAATGATACACCGAGCCTCAAGTTCCGCTCCACTGTCACCGTCGTGATAGCGCCCCATTTAGCCGGTTACCGGGTTGCATACCCACTCGAAACGGCGCCGAGCAACATGCCCAGCCCGTGCCAGTCCCGGCCTGGCTGGGACTTCCACCTATAATCTGTCCCTTGTCTCAGTCCTGCTCGTGTGGCCCTCTTCAAGAAGAAGGCTTTGTTACCTACTCCCCTACCCCTCAACGCCAAACGCACCGAGCGTGATATCGCAAAGCTGCTGCTCCTCTCGAGACTCCCGCGTAGTAAAGGACTCACAGCCCTGTCCCGTGGCTTCCTCTCTGCCCCGCCGACCATCCGGACAACCCCCCGAACGACCACAATGGCGAACAAGACCTTCAAGCTCAACACCGGCCAAGATATCCCCGCCCTGGGGCTGGGTAAAGCTCTCTCTTTTCCTCTTTTTTTCAATAACGTCACCGGATTCTCCTGCGGCAAGAGGAAAGAGAAAGAAAGAAACTGACCGCCACGGCAGGGACATGGCAATCCGCGCCGGGCGAAGTCAAGGAAGCAGTGGCGTACGCGCTCAAGGCCGGGTACAAGCTGATCGACTGCGCGTACTGCTACGCCAACGAGGAGGAGGTCGGGCAGGGACTGGCCGAGGCGTTTGCCGCGGGCGTCAAGCGCGAGGACATCTTTGTGGTCAGCAAGGTGTGGGCGACGTACACCACGCGGTGCGAGCTCGGCTTGGAGAAGAGTCTGCAGAAGCTCGGGCTGGATTATGTGGATCTGTACTTGGTGGTATGTCTGCCGAGTGTCTTTGATGAGATGACCGCGACGCGCCAAGACGGAGAAGAACCTGACGTGAAGCACAGCACTGGCCGCTGTTGATGAACCCGGAGGGTAGGTGTATACCGACTTAATCTGAGGTACCTTGGATGGTATGCTGATTCCCCCAGGCAACGACGATAGATTTCCCAAGCTTCCCAACGGCGAGCGCGACATCATCCGGTCCCACAACCACGTAGACACGTGGAAGCAGATGGAGAAGCTGGTCGCAACGGGCAAGACCAAGGCCATCGGCGTTTCCAACGTATAATGCCACTCCCCCCATTCCCGCTTCTTGCTGTCAACATCTGACTCCCATGTAATGTAGTACAGCAAGCGCTACCTGGAGCAACTCCTGCCCCACGCCACCATCGTTCCCGCCGTCAACCAGATCGAGAACCACCCGGCGCTACCGCAGCAAGAAATTGTCGATCTCTGCAGGGAGAAGGGCATCCACATCATGGCGTACAGCCCGCTGGGCAGCACGGGCGGCCCACTCTTCACGGCGGAACCCGTGGTGAAGATTGCCGAGAAGCACGGCGTGAAGCCGGCGACTGTGCTGCTGAGCTACCATCGTATGTTTTTTTCTCTTTTGCTTTGTTCTCCTGTTGGAAATTGGGGATGATACTGACAATGGCACGTGTTTAGTTCCCCGCGGCAGTACCGTCCTGGCCAAGTCGGTTACGCCGGAGCGGATCAAGGAGAATATGAACCTGATTGATCTGGACGGCGAGGATATGAAGCTGCTGAACGACTACTCAGACAAGCTGACCAAGGAGGGCAAGCTGCAGCGGTTTGTGTATCCGCCGTTCGGGGTCGATTTTGGATTTCCGGATAAGTCATAGATATGATGCCACCACGTCAAAATGGGTAGAGGACGTTCAAATAGACCTTGGAAATATTTTCTCTTTTAAGCGTGAAGGTCTTTTCAGCCCAAGAATGGTCGTGTTTAATGCTCATGCGACTGAACACACCCCCAAATCTGACCTCCTGTCCTGTCCTTTACATGTCCACCATAACCTTCAGCACCAGCTTTCCCTCGTCGTCCTTCACCCTCGCGGCCATATCGAAAGCCTTCGGGATGTTCTCCATACCGGCATACCGTTGCGTGATGAGCTTTGTGAAATCCGGAAGACGCGGATTCTTGCTGGCTAGCAGCTCGATCACGCGCGGGTAGGTGTTGGCGTAGCGGAAGACACCGACAAGGTCGACTTCACGCAGGGCGGCTGCCGAGATAGGCAATGTCTGGATGGGGTTGCCCATGCCAATAAGCAGGATGCGGCCGCCGGGAGCCGTGGCCTGTAAGGGGGGAGGGGGAGGGGGTCAGAAATACTACCTAGTTTTCCCCCTTTGTCTGCTCGGTATTGGGGACAACTCACATAGATAGAAGCCTGCAGGCACGCCTCTACGCCGGTGCACTCGTATGTGGCAGATACCTCGCCCAGAGGCTGACCGTTGTGGGTGGTTGACTTGACAGCCTCGGCGACCTCCTTGGCAAACTCGAGCTTCGCTTCGACGGTTTCGGGCCGCTTCATGGGCACGACGATGGACGCGTCAGCAAACCCGTTCTCGACAGCGAACTTGACCCGGTCTTCCTGAATGTCGGCAATGACCACTACGGCATTGCCGACCGCTTTGCTGATGGCGGCGCAGAGAAGGCCGACGGTTCCGGCCCCGAAGACGAGGACCGTCGAGCCGGGCTTGAGGCGTGCCCTGTCGGAGGCATGCAGGGCAACGGAAAGGGGCTCGGCCAGAGCTCCCAGCTCAAGCGAAACTTCTGATGGAAGCCTATATATAGTAGCTTTTGTGTCAAAACGAAGACCTTCCATTGGCAGCTCCAATAGGGCTGGTAGACGTACTTGTGGCACCATTTCGCCGGGTGTGTGATGTGCTCCTGGAGGGTGCCCTGGGCATGAGGATATGCCTTTGCCGAGCTCCTGAACTTCATCTCCCTGCAGATGTTGTACCGGCCGTCCCGGCACAGCTCGCACTGCTCACATGGCTGGCCAACCTCGAGCGCGACGTGGTCTCCTACTCGCAGTGAAGTGACGCCGGCGCCGACGGCCGTCACCACACCGGCCGACTCGTGGCCCAGTGTCAGGGGCTCCCTCACCAGGATGTCGCCGTTGCGGAAGTGGCCGAAGTAGTGGAGGTCCGACCCGCAGAGCCCCGTTGCTTTGACAGCCACTTGCACGTCTTCGGCGCCTAGGGGAGGCAGCTCGCGCTCTTCCTAGCAGACGTTTGTGTGTGTGAGCATGAACCCTTGAATGGGTGTATGAGTCGTCGGGTCACAATCTCACCACTCGCAAGTCCTTAGCCCCATGCAGGACAGATGCTTTTACTCTTGTGGAGGCCATTAGGGGAAGGGGAAGGCAGGGCTCTACGTCGGGAGGATGAATTGGTACCCGTATGAAGGAAGGATGAGTTGCGCAACTGAGATAAATGCTCAGGAGATGAGCACTGAGATCTACAAAACAAACTTCAAGAATACATCGGAAGGGGATCGGATGCAGGTAGCTCCGTAAAGCACGTAACACTAGGGGTAAGGAAATACCTTACGATGGGCGGCTTCCAGGCTCTCACCCATCCAACCCAACCGCTCCGCTCATGGGCCCAAAGCCGACGCCAATCCCGACGTCAATAATACACTAAGATGGAAAGACCACGAGACTGGGAGACGTGGAGCCGAATTCAAGACCTAGGACGAAACTTCCAAGTTCGAAAGCTCAGTGGGGTAAAACCCCGCGCTGAGTTGTTGTATTCGGGAATCGGTTGCGAAGCCCGAGAGGGCGGGTGTGGGACGCCCGATTCCCGGGGCTGGTTCCGAGCGTAACCGGGATGGTGGTAATTACACGGCTGTACGATACCAACTCTTATGGGGCTTTCAGGAAATACAACCAGTCCTGGGTGCAATACAAGGGTAACTTGCTACTATATGTCAGTCCACTTACACCAACCACACGAAGTGTACTGAACACTCCTGTACATACAACCTCTGAGCTCACCATCTCCTTATCAAAGTCTCTCCATAAAACCCCACGATCACCACAATACATAAAAATCATGACGACAAGCAACGCCACGAGCATGTTCTCCCTAGAGGGCCACACAGCTCTCGTCACGGGCGGGACTCGCGGTATTGGGAAGGCCGTCGCCATCGCCCTCGCCGAAGCCGGAGCCGACATTCTGCTTGTCCAGGTTCGCATGCAAAACCATTCCTCCTTCATAGGGTGCCTCCCTTACGACATGCGCACGCCCCTGACTGACTGATACACCGGAAACTAGAGAGATGAGTCTTCCACCGAGACGCTCAACGCGGTCAGGGATCTCGGCCGCAAGGCCAGCATCTACACGGCCGATCTGAGTTCGGCCGAGGATGTCTCCAAGCTCGTGCCTCGGATCCTCGCCGACGGGCACCAGATCCGCATCCTGGTCAACTGCGCCGGGATCCAGCGAAGACACCCGTGCGAGAAGTTCCCCGACTCCGACTTCAACCAGGTAAAATATAAAATAAAGCCCATCTCCCACCGCTTCCCTTACCCCTTATCCGTAACTAGTATTCATTCATGCTAACCCATCAATCTGAAATCACTTAGGTGATCCAAGTCAACCTCAACAGCGTCTTCACGCTCTGCCGGGACGTCGGCGCGCACATGCTGCAGCTGCAACCGTCGGCCGTGACGGGACGGCGGGGGTCCATCATCAACTTCGCGTCGCTGCTGACCTTCCAGGGCGGGCTCACCGTGCCGGCCTACGCGGCGTCCAAGGGCGCCGTCGGGCAGCTGACCAAGAGCTTCGCCAACGAGTGGACGTCGCGCGGCATCACCGTCAACGCCATCGCGCCGGGCTACATCGAGACCGAGATGAACACGGCGCTGCTGAATGACCCGGAGCGGCTGGCCAGTATTAGCGCGAGGATACCGGCTGGGAGGGTATGTTAATTTTTTTTGTTTTTCCCGATCCCGAGAGCAACTTCTGAATCTTGATGAAGCTTGTATATGCTGACGCTAGCGGCACAGTGGGGGAGCCCCGAGGACTTCAAGGGCACAGCTGTGTATCTTGCGAGTAAGGCCAGCGGCTACGTGAGCGGCCACGTATTGGTAGTCGACGGCGGATGGATGGGACGGTGAGCAGACAACTTAATACAGTCAAAGGCGAAAATCCATGGTATAAGTCATACTCAAGTTTTCATTTTCCTACCCCAGCAACGGTAAAAATAGGCACAGTAAAGCTGTCTTGCACACCTAAGTGGAAACCGCAACACAGAGCAATAGACACATCCCCCAGGCTTGCTTCAGTCCCTCACAGATGCCATGACCTCTTCCATCCAGGGGTAGACGGACGAATTGGCCATCGGATAGCCCATGTGCAGAGCGCCACTGAAGAAGCGTGCTTCCTTGGGCCGGCCATACTCGAAGAGCATCATGGAGTCTTCAATGGGCATGAGGCCGTCGAGAGTACCCTAGCATAGGTACGGTCAGCACAGTTTTACGACCTTCGGCAGAAGAGTAGTAGCTCTTTCGCTAAGACATGGAAACTCACATTCACCAACAACAACCTGGTCGACGGCTTCTCCAGGATGCCCGTCTCGAGCAGCGAGAACTTCTTCTGCGCATTGGCCTTGAACTCGTCGACCGAGTCAAATCCATGCTTCATGGCCATCGCAGGCGTCAGACTAAAGTCAACAAACAGTTAGTTAGCTGCCCACTTCATATCTGCCATATCAATGGGGGGGTAAACGGGGAATGGAATGCTCTGACTCGAAAGGATACTCATGCCCATCCACCTTCTCCAGCCACTCCCGGTCAAAGAAATAGTGGCAGCCGGCTCCCTGCGCAACGCTCCCAACGAGCTGGTCCTTGTGCGTGTGCGCGATGCGAACGGCGTAGTATCCGCCGCTGCTCAGTCCCCAGACCATGACCCGTCTCACGTCGAACCGGCCGTCCTTGGCCATCCACTCCAACAGGCTCGTCCAGAGCCGGTCAGGCGACTCCGGGTCGGCGCTGTCGGCGGGACAGTCGGCCGTACCAGGGATCTCTACCACGACGGACGCCCTTGAAGAAAAGAAAAACACCGGTCAGCCATAATATTATACGCTATGTGCTGCCTCCCTGATAACAAATACCGGTCCGGTGGTTGGTGTTAGTAGTAATAGCAGGAAAAGCAACGACTTACCATCCTCTCTTCAGGAACTCATCACACCGCATCGTATTATCCGGCCGGTACCCATCCAACCCAGTCATCAGAATCACCACCGGCACACCCTGCTTGCCCTTCGGAACCCGCACGTACACCGGAATGGCATCCAAGTCCCTCCCCTTCCGATGCGCATGCTCCACAAACACCTCCTGCACCGGCACCTCCCACAGCGCCCCGGCCTTGAGGTACACCCTCTTCTGCGCCTCCCAGGCCTCCAGCTTGGGCTTGTCGTTCCCCGCGGGGAACTTGGTGATGTAGGGGAAACGGGCGATGCGGTAGACGGCACAGGCACGCAGGTACAGGGCCGAGGCTTTTGACTTGTTGTTGTTGCCCGTTTCCAGCAGCGCCGTGTCGCCGGCGGCCTCGAGGCGCTGAGCCACGGGGACGAAGGAGGCCGTGTAGTTGGGCGAGAACGGGTCGTTGATGTTCTCCTGGATGAGGTGCTTGAAGATGGGGCCGAAATCCTCGTAGGCGCCGTCGTGGAAGGGGTAGACGGATTGGGAGCACTGGTTTTGGTTTGGTAATTGGCTGTGGTTAGTGGTAGGTACTATACTTCCGTATCTCTCTCAACTCAAGGGCAATGTGCTCGTCCACTCTCTGGAATAAATAACACCGAGGAATAAACACAAAGGTAAGGTATATATTGTTTTTGTAAAATCAAGCCGTCTGCCAGCTCGGACGACAACATCAGCAATGGCGGGCCGCTTACCGGTTGCTTCCACCTGGTCACCCACAGCGCCTCGATGCCGTTATGATGGGGCATGCGCTTCACAAATTCCTCCTTGCCCATGATCCAGTTTCTCGTCGGAGCCTGAGATTCGTCGGTCACGGCCGCCGTGGCGCGAAGTTCCCGAATGATATCGAAAGACATGATGAAGTGAGAATTTGTCTAAAGTGAGAGAGAGAATCGGAAAGATGAGATTTTGGAACGAGCTGAGTTGTTGCTAGTAAAGAAAAACGGGCTTATGCAAGCCGCACAGTCTTCTGTCGTGTGAAGATAGGTGCTCCGTCCTTGCGAAGCGAAGAGACAGTGACACTGCTTCGTCTTCGTCGGTGAGAAGGTGAACTGCGTGGAACAACACCGAGTTTCTCGCAGGCTCTGGGGATCGGGGAGGTGAGTTTATTGCACTTTATTGACTTTCAGTATGGCGGGAAGGAACCCACTCTAACTGAACCAGAGCAATCCGGATCCGGGTGAGAGCGATGTGGAGGTCCCGGTCCATTTTCACTGCCGGAGGAAGGAACGGCGGCAAGACGATCGAGTTTGGAAGTAAGCAGGGAGGGACGAGGAAAGCGCAAGTCACTATGAGAGGCAATTGGCTGGCCGCTCTCTTCTCTGTCTCTAGAATCTCGGTCCGTTATAGTTGGGGATATCCGTAGTCCGGAAATAGCTAAGTAGCTTGGCTGGGGGATGCTAGCACGAAGTTGATAGGATGTGGACTTCGAAGCAGTGAAAGGTAGCAGAGGAGTTGACAAAGGGTGTGGACGTGAGAACATGAAACCCGACGGCAGGACGGACCACACACAGAGTGCCGAGGGTGGGTGAGATTTATATGTAGGTAGGTACTCGGTTCCAGGCCGGGGCTCTCGGCTGAGGATGGCAAGTTACTACTCTACGAGCCTACGCCCGGGCGATTTGGGCTGCAGAGACCCGTCAAGGAGGCGCCGAGCCAGCAGCATGACTGGATCCAACGTCTTACTTCAGCTCCCATTACTCGGTCGAATAAAAGAATCCTGAGAGCCAACTCCGCCATATCGTGCGATCGAGTCGGGATTGCTGTGTCGTAGGGTGGTTAGTGTAACGCTGGGAACTCCGATGGAGACCCGTTTTGGCAGGTCGCCCACTTACAATGGGCCAACCGTACGCGGACCGTCAGCCTTGGCTTGGCTGATGTCTGTCGGGAATCACATGCATGCCGAGATGGGGAGGAAGAGACTATGCACGTCTGACACATACATACTGCGTAAGGTAATGGAGTTGCTCACCGGTCCCAGGCTGCCAGTCGAGTATATAAAGCCAGAGGCGACTGTCACTCAATGCCCCAGTGCTCAGTGCTGGGACCGTAAAGATGCAACCGGGGCAATAAGGGGGCCCCGAGCTGACCTTCATTAGGAAGTAAGTCAAACCAAGGCTGCTCTAGATCTATCTCTATGCCATCGCTCATTACCGTATCGCCCAAAACATGGACCAAAAGACAACGCCTCTCCGCGATGAATCCCCACATAGGTCAAGGAAGGCACCCGCCCCTGGGACTGTGTCGATGCCTTGCTTGACCCGATGGGAGTCTTCGTACCTGGACATCGTGCTGAGGCTATAATGAATGCCTTAACTGAAGTCGGCGGGGTGATAGCATCGGCCATCAAAAGGTTGGCCGTCTCGCTGCCTAGGGCCATCGCGCACCGACGATGCTCTCTCAAGTCAGTCGCACTGCTTTTGCAGTCTAGCCAGTTCCCTTGACACGGGCTGCTATTGGGCGGAGGCGCCGTTACTCTTGGGGCCCTCGTGGTAGTGAGCCATCTCCAGGCCGGCCCTCCGGAAGCCACACTTGACGTAGAAGCCCTCGTTGTGGTCGCTGCAGTCGAGGATGGTCTTGTAACACCCTAGTTGCTTGGCGATGTAGTCGAGCGCGTGGATGATGCGCAGGCCCAATTTCTTGCCCTGCTGGTCTTTGGCGACCGCGATGTCCTCGATGTGACCGACCGAGCCGAGATTGTGGATGCTGACGCGTGGATGAAGGCTCGTTAGCTTCTAGGTTTCTGGTGCATTTTTTTCTGGCGGGTGTCGGTCCGCTTCCTTACAACTTGCGCTCCCTCAACAGCGCGCCGGTGCCGACAATCCTCGGCGGGCTGGCGTTGGTGTCCTCGATGACGAGGACGTAATAGCTGTTGTCTTGCTTCGCCATCCAGTCATAGCGGTCTTCGAACTGCTCCTTGGTAATGTCGCCCACCGTGGTCAACACGCGGAGGCAGTCGAGGTAGCCGGCGTCGAAGTCGCTCCGCCGGAGAGCTCGTAATTTGTAGCCCTGAGGCAGTGCCGCTTGCACCTCGGGAGACAGCAACTCATCGGAGAAGAGACCCTGTTTGGCCATTGCGCAGAAAGCAGTAGAAGCTGATGGGATGCAGGGTTTGGTTCGGTGGTTCGTCAATGGCAGGTTGCTACTACTCCCAGAAACTGCCTCAGGTGCGGCTCCTTTATGGAATTGGCTGAGTTGTTGGACGGTCGACGACGAGTCTTCGGCAGATGGCGTAACAGTACTACCCGCTAATAAGGTGGAAGAATCCGAGGTGCATGGAGGCTGAATTCCAGCCTATTGATCCAAGATACGAGGCCAACCTTTCCTGAGAATCCTCAGCTCCCTGCCAAGCATTGACCGCCAACCCAGCCCCAAGGCACAGCCCCTGGTTTCCGCTAAACCATATTGAGGGGATCTTCATGCCAATTCCGAGCCCCCTGTCTCCCGGTTCCGATGCAGCCCCCCCACTTCTTGTTGAAAATGCTCATGGGGGCCAGGCTCAATCGCAAATTGTCTCGATTCCCCGATGTCGACGAGGTTGATGGGTAGTAACCCTAATAATAAAGAGGCAGAATGTATACTATCAGGTACCGAGTACCTAGTATTGTAGATGTGAAAGGATCATTCCGCATCCATACCTAAGGTAAGGTACCGGGACAAAAACTCCCAGGCCTCCACTGCCAGTTCTTAATGGACATGTGAACGGCGGGGTTGAGAGTGGGGACACTCCTGACGCCTGACGGTATCCGTACCTTGCTGCTGGTCCGAAGTCGAACGTGTCACCACACGCAAGGGCCGCCAGGAACTCCAATGGCAGTTGACCGACCATTCTTGTGAATGTTTCCGGTATCAAATCGCAACAGAATCATGACTCTTGCGTGGAAATCTTGGTTTCTGACCCCTGGCACTCGTTCTACACTGTATTGTACATACAACTAGTGTGCCGAGCGTGCATAACCCGGGCTCTCCCTGGCTTTTATCACGACCAGTATTGCCACTTCGAACCCCGTAGAATATGTCACCGCCCATTTACTTCCTCCTGCCAACCAACACGGCGTGTCGATGGTCTGCGGCATCGTCGAAGAGAAATCGAAGCCCCTGCATGGCAAGCACTCCCTCGGACTAGACTCCGGAGTGTCCGGATCACAAGAATGACGACACCTGTGCGCAGGGCAGGGTTTGCTGTCGACAGGGACAATGCAGTCTCACGGATCACGCACCGTCCCGATCAGGATGTCGAGGCCCAGCTCCTGAGCAGAACTGGTGCTCATTTTGAAACCGGCAGCCCCCTTCTCCCCACGCCGATAGCCAACCTCGTCAGTTTCGCCACGCGGTCCACGAGCTTCGCGATCCGGACGAGCAGCACCATCGGCGGCTATGGCGTGGATGCTGCGAAGCTGGCCACACTGTCCAGCCTCGAGCTGGGCCGCGCCCTTTTCCAGGGCGTCCTCGTCCGGGCCAGCAAGGACACCAACTCCTCCGGTTCCCACTCGGCGCAGGCGGCGGCCGCGAACCTGAACAGCTTCGTGGACCAGATCGCCCTGTGGGCTGCGAGCGGATTCAACTTGACGAGCAGTGCACTGTCGATGCTCTCCGAGTCGAGCCAGGTCGTGCTCTTGACGCTTGATCGATTCTTCGGTTCCACCGAGTCTTCACGCGCCATAGCCAGCATCATCAGCATGATCCGCCGCGAGTTTCAGTTCCCCGCTCTGGGGGGTTTGGGGGAACAGGTGAAAGCTACCGATCTAGTGCTAGCATTTTGCGCCCTGGCTTATCTCCAGAGGTCATGTCGTGGCTTGCTGGAAGAGGAAAGGCGCGCCGCTCGCGTCGAGGAGACCGTGTGGGACGTCGTGGTCCTCAACGATGACAGACGACTCGACGTTCAGGAAGAAGGCTCGTATCGTGATTCTACCAGAGCTGTCATCGAAAAGGCCCGGAACGGTGTAACGCACAGCGATCAGAAGGCGCAAGGAGACCGAGAAGACCCAGAGAACCAACGACTGTCGATGCTGCAGCTCGAGAGAGAGATTTTGCGGTCCCTGCCGGACAACGTCAAAGTCTCCATCTCCAAGGAAGTTGCCACCTCGGAGACCATCACCGTCAACATCATTGGTGATGCACAGCAAAGCAGCTTTGAGCCGCCCGTTGGCGTCGAGCTGATCGAGGAGAACAGGGGTATCAGCGAAACGCAGTCCGAGCATGGAGGAAAAATTGCGTGCTCGCAGTATGTCTTACGACAAGAGCGTCGCCATGAGAAAAGGTTGTCCCTGGGAAGACTAGGCGCAGATGCCGGCCATGCCACCGGCTATGTGGAGGAGCTGGACTCGAGCTCGGAGGAAGGTCCCGGGGATCCGAGTCCTTACACAACCACTCCTCGGCTGCCAATGCTTCCCGACTCCTCGACCGGACAGAGCACTCACGAAGCCAGTGTTCCGACGTCTGAGGCAGCTTCTTCCCTGGCGGCATACCCTCTGCCATCCCACGGCCTCACACTCGACAGCGGCAACATAGGGGGCGAGAAACCGCTTCCAGCACTACCAGGCACTCCAGCATTTAATACACCAGCTAGGAGTCCACACATACATATTCAGAGGCAGGCGTCGAGCAAGGGATTGCCTCCATTGGACGTCGACGAATCTGCATCCGGTTCGAAGCACGCAGAGAGGAAGGGGGGTTTCCGCAACGTGCTCAAGAAGTCCATGTCGGTCTTTCACAAGGACGACTCTGGGTCCGAAGCTATTGTTGCACGGAAGAAGAAGCACGCTTATGGCATTTCCCCTACGGAAAAGACACAGCAACGTCATTCATCTGAAGGACGCCATGAACCCAGCCCTTCCCTCACCGGTTACTTCGCAGTAAGCGAGAGCATACGACAGTCGACGACAACCCTCGCTGAAACGCACTCCATAGTGAGTACCGACTATTACCGGTCTGCCTCTATAGTTGGTGATGCGTTGGGCCGGGGATACGGGGAAATGGTACCAGAGAGAGAACCCGGTTACTCGCCGCCAACACCAATGAGAGACCACCGATACGTAGAGCCTCAACATCCAGCTCTCTACACACCAGCTGCGAATCGGTCGGTGTCATCTCTCGTCTCATATCACCCACAACACCTGGCGAGTACCTTCAGTGCCACCGAAGAAGCCCCCAGCAGGCTCAGTCAACGGGGGACTTTGAATGGCATGTTTCCCGAGCGGCATTTCTTGGCCAACATCACGCGGTACATGCGCTTCGCCTCGGCGTCGTATGGGTCCAGCTTCCTCACGGTAATGGGTATGGCCACAGAGATGCCGATCCCGAAATCCCTTGACGACACACACCACGAGCTGCGGTCGTTTGCCCACCACACCAGATGCGACCCCAGCAGCATTCTTCTGTCGTCGTTCGTCGATGCCCAGGGCGGGTCGGACGGAACGGGGGCGACCAACACCGGGGTGCCGCTCGTGCATTACGTATCCCTGGATCACCAGTCGAAAGCCGTTGTGCTCACCTGCCGCGGGACGCTGGGCTTCGAGGATGTCCTGGCGGACATGGCCTGCGAATACGACACGTTACTTTGGCGGGACAACCGATACAAGGTCCACAAGGGCATCCACGCGTCAGCCAACCGTCTCCTCTATGGTGGCGATGGCAGGGTCCTGTACACGCTCAAGGCGGCGCTCGAGGAATTCCCGGACTACGGCCTCGTCCTCACGGGCCACTCTCTGGGCGCGGCAGTAACCTCGCTCCTGGGCATCATGCTCTCCGAACCGGGCCGCGGACCGCCGGGTACACCCTTCGTCACGTCCCCCGAACCGCGCACCAAATTCCTCTCTCACCATCACCACCATCACCACCATCACCACCACCATGTCTGCCTCCCCGCGGGACGACCAATCCACGTCTACGCCTACGGACCCCCCGCCACGGTCTGCACGCCGCTGCGCAACGCCACGCGGGGGCTGATCACGACGGTCGTCCACGGCGCCGACATCGTGCCCCACCTCTCCCTCGGCCTGCTGCACGACTTCCAGGGCGCCGCGCTGGCGTTCAAGATGGACAAGATGAACAACAACCAACGGGCGGATTCTTCTTCTTCTTCCAACAGCAGCAGCGACACCAGCAGTCCCCTGAAATCGGAGATGTGGCGTCGGATTAGAGGGACGTTTTTGAATGCCATGTCGCACCCCCTTAGCGAAACCAGACGGATCTTTGTTGGCGGTGCCGCGGGTGGCGCTGGAGACAACGACGACGACGACGACGAGTGGGCGTATTCCACGCTCAAGGCGCTGCGGGCGCACATGGCGGGAGACAAGCTGGTGCCGCCGGGGGAGGTGTTTGTGGTGGAGAGCGAGGAGGTGTTGAGGAGGGAGGCGTTTGTGTTCGCTAATGCTGCGCCTGGTTCTGGTTCTGGTTCTGGTTCTGGGTCTGGGTTGAGGAGTGGTAATGGTAATGGTTACTATCGGCTGGGGAGACCGGCTAAGAGGATGGTGCTCAAGTATGTCAGGGATGTGGAGAAGCGATTTGGGGAAGTTAGGTTCTACGGGTCCATGTTGACGGATCACAGCCCCGGGAGGTATGAGGCCGCGTTGGAGAGGTTGAAGCTTGGTGTGGGCGTTAGGGAGTAGAGGTAGGTAGTAACTCACCGTTACTGCTGCCTACCTACCGTCTAAGTACATACCTACAACCTGTTCCTTTACACGTGAATACTATATATCTTAGATATACCTCATTCGGACGGCGGATAGAATCGGACGGGAGGGAAAGATCACAGGATGGAAATGGTAGATAGATACCCTCATCTATTTCTTTTTTGATCTGCTTGTATATTACACACAAAATGCCTGGTAGCTACTACCTTAGTTTATTGCGGCTTCTCACTCACGATCTTGCCATCGGCATCGTAGAAGATCTCCTTGACCTTGACGGACCGCAGGTGGTCGACGCCCTTGCTCAGCTCGCAGTCGTGGTGGAACAGCCACCAGCGGCCCTGGAACTCGACGACCGAGTGGTGCGTCGTCCAGCCGAGCACGGGCTCCAGCATGCGGCCCGCGTAAGTGAAGGGCCCGTAGGGATTGTCGCCGATGGCGTAGCACAGGTAGTGCGTGTCGCCCGTCGAGTAGCTGAAGTAGTACTTGCCGCCGTACTTGTGCATCCACGCCGCCTCGAAGAAGCGCCGGTCGTGGTCGTCCGCCAGGAGGGGTTTCCCCGTCTCCGGCGCCAGGATCACCACCTCGCGCACCTCGCCGTCGAACTGGCGCATGTCGCCGGTCAGCTTGGCCACGCGCGGCCCCAGCGCCGCCACGCCTTCGCCCGACGGCTCCTTGGGCCCCTGCCAGGCCGCGTCGAACACGTCGTTGCCCTGCTGGTAGCACTGCAGCTGGCCGCCCCACAACCCGCCAAAGTACATGTAGGCGCTGCCGTCGGCGTCGTCGTCGACAAACGTGGCCGGGTCGATGCTGTAGCTGCCGCGGATCGGCTCCGGGTCCGGCACGAAGGGCCCCTCGGGCCGGTCGCCCACGGCCACGCCGATGCGGAAGATGCCCTGCTTGTCGCGCGCGGGGAAGTACAGGTAGTACTTGCCGTCCTTGCAGGCCGCGTCGGGCGCCCACAGCTGCTTGGACACCCAGGGGATGTCCTCAGTCTTGAGCACGACGCCGTGGTCGACCACGGGCGCGGCCGGGTCCAGCGACGTGGTGCTGAAGACGTGGTAGTCGGCCATGTCGTACTGGTCGCCATTGTCGTTGAACTGGATGTCGGTCTCGCGGTCGTGCGACGGGTAGATGTAGATCTTGCCCTCGAACACGTGCGCCGACGGGTCGGCCGTGTAGATGTTGGTGATGAGAGGGGCCATGTTTGTTCTGTGTGTGTCTTTTCTTCTGTCTGGGGTAGGGTAGTAATAAGAAAAGTTGGGGTAGTGTTTGTTGGAGTGTGGGGTGATGTGCGGGGGAGTGAAGTTGGGGAAAAGACTGATGAGGGAGAGTCGACGAGGCAGGAGAAGGGTTGCGAAGGGAGAAGAGAAGCTCACGAAGACTGATGATGAGGGACTACCTCTCAGGCTATATACCTACATGCCTCATCCGGCGCACTCCATCGCTTGTTCTCCATGGGCCCTCCTGGGTTTACCTGGAATCCTGGATATATCCGTACTCCCAAGACGGCCGCCGGCCCATGGTGCTGGGTCGAGTCAGACGCGTGGATGTCGGAAGCAGGAAGGTCTGGTCCCATTTCCTATTTATCCCAATTTACCCGTCCGGCCTGCGTTCCGACCAGAGACTTGGCGAATGTGCGGGGCCCCGCTAACGCACGACTCTGATGCTCTGAATACACTTCTGATAAAAGTAAGAGATTTGGTCTGAAGTTGAGGATAGCTGTGGGACTGCTGGCATGCGGAAGGCGAAAGCGGCAGAAGATGTAAGTTGGAGATGCTCGACCGCCGGGTTCAGGCTTCAGCCGCCTTGAGAAATTGTTAGCCGCCGGGCCGGGACTCAATTTCAAATGTACAACTGTCAACAACTCCAGGTCTCATTGATCACTCACCCCGGCTTGAGAGCTTTGGATTCTTTAATATCAGGCGCGGCCAAAGCCATCCTCGTGTCTTTGAAGCCACCGATAACTATTGGTATAGTTACTGTGGTATGCTACTCGACGGAGATGGCGTTCTCAAGCTCTCAGCCTCAGGACGCCGCTCGTGAAAGCACGCCTATCAGCTTCACTCGGCAACGCCACAAGATGCAGGCTCTTGCTGCCAATGGCTCGCAATTGGGCATCGCGACCCGTGCGGCATCGAATATGGGTATGGGATAGCCGCCAAGGGTTCGTCTGGAAATAGAGCTGCCAGCCGTTGTGCGCTCCATGACCATGCATCAGAGAGAGCAGCGCGAGGCTCGCGGTCTGCCGAGTAACCGGATCCGTGAAGAAAAGGTCAGCGACGCGCTCTCGATGCATGTTCGTAGCTTTCGCATCCAAGTGAGCCACCATAGGGTACTCTACGATGATAGCGGCACCAGCATCCTCCCCAACGCCTACGCCTACGCCTGCGCCGACCCTAGCCAGCGCGTACGGCCTCGGCCTCGGCCTCCAACCTCGAGCGACCGACTATCTCGACTACGACACCTCTTGCTATGTACGTATTTTGCAGTCGCCGGGCCAACTCTTACTTAAGTTCAGGGGGGTGGCTAACAGATCGCTGCCTAGTACAATGTCAATGGCCTCCAGTGCACGACCATCCTCACCGGCTGTTACGACGCCTTCCTCAGCGAAAGTGACTACGACGAGGCCGCCTCGACGTGCTACTGCAACTATGGCATCTCCTACCTCGACTGCTACTACTCCCAGGTTGCCACGGGAAGCTGCGCCAGCTACTTCTTCACCGGAGGCACGTCTCACTCAGTCTGCCCTAGAGTCCAGGCTGATATTATCGCAAGAAGGGACCAACTTTCCGCTGATACTGCTCCAGACTACGCCGAGTTCCAGATGTCCTTCTACACGGAATATTGTGGGAGCATCCCCCCGAGTGCCATGGCCCATATCACGCCGCCGTGCGTTACCTAGATGTCTTGCCTGCCATTGCTCTTGTTCCGGCTAACGCGCAGTTCAGGGCAAGTGTGTCGCTGGCTCTCAAGTATGTTATTGTCATTGCTATGCTTTACTTGTGTACCCTGTCTGTGCTGACATCATGTCCCTAGAACCGTCGACGTTGTCACGGCCACGGGCGCGCTGGAGCAGCCCGACTATAATGCTCCGGCCCTCTACCAAGGCTCAGGCGAACTGCTTCAAGGACGCTGCAGGGAGACTGGGTTTACCCTTGTCGATGCTGGCAACACGGTTTACTACGCAGGGCTGATGGGCTGCAACATGGCCAGCCCGGAGTGTTGTCCCTGGGCCGTGGCTACCGCAGCGTCTTCGTCAGCTGGCAAGGACAACGTCGACTATGCCTTCCCGCAGCCTGCCGCCACGAACCTGGCTCAGCTGGCCAAGTGTGCCGATGACTACTACTCCATTTCTGGAGGGTGCTGCCCAATGTACGTATCTCCCCTAACCTACTAACAGCATCTGAGAATCCCTCAGTCACGGGTCGCTGATTCGGAGCAGCGGCTTTTGGCCCTTCACAGCAGCTGTCGGTGGGATCACGCCTTGTTGGAGCTCCGTCAGCAGTGTCGAACCTCCCACCCTCACCGTCCAGAAAGACGCCCAAACGCTGGACAAGCCCACGTCAGCCGTCGTCAACATCATCTGGTCGATGCGGTACACCCTCGAATCCGGGCATGGCGGCCTATCAACCGCTGCCAAGGCCGGGATTGCGGCAGGAGCCGGTGTCGCAGCCATTCTCATCGCCGGCCTGGCCATCTGCCTCTGGAGATCCCGCCGTGAGAACAAGAAGCTGTCGGGAAACCAGCCGTCGATCCTTCCGGTCTTGCTTCAGCAACCTCCACAACCACAACAAAAGCCGCATTTCCAGCAAACGCCAATGAAGCAGTACCTTCCCGAACTAGGCGGCCAGCCCGCTTACGGCGGTTACCCACCAGCCGGGATGATGGTATCGCCGAGCAGCACCCTCTCCCCGCCCTCTGATCGCACCAGCGTGGTGACTACCTTGATCCCGACGTCGGCCGCGGCGCTCATCCCACAGCACACGGGTGCCTCAAACGGCCCCGTTAGCGAGCTGAACTCTCAGTCTGACCGGGCAGGGGGTTACTTCGCTGGCGCGGCGGCAGTAAATCCGCGTGTATCTTCTGGCACATGCAGTCCACCGACGGGAGCAGCTAACGGACAGGACGGCTACCCAGCGCCCATTGCCGAGGCGGACGAGGGTCAGGCTCAGTATCACGGTCAATACCAGTATCAGCACTATCATCAGCAGCAGCATCATCAACAGTTCTATGACCAGGGGCGAGGAGCAGGGTATTATCCTCCCGCTCATCCGCAAGGCCATCCACAACAGCAGGGAGGTCATGTCTACCTCCAGCAGCCGCAGCAGCAGCGGCAGGGGTATCAGACGAATGTGCCAGGGATAAGCGCCAATCGTGAGGTGGATTCGCCGCAGGAGGTCATGGGGAGTCAGGGGCACTATGGGATTCAGAGGCGCTGAGTTGCTGTCTTCTGCTGGCTTGAGGTAGCCTTTGGTCGTGTTTTTGCTTGGCTTGATTCCATTCAGTCGAGCATGTTGAAGCACGATATCGGATATGATACCCCGTGTCGTGTTACCTATTGGTCGGGCGCGAGGGGTTGGTTGGGTAAGGTATAATATCTGGGATGTAATGTACACACATGCCGGCTGTCGGGTACCAATAGGCTCTGATTTCTTTTTCCTTTTGCCTACTCAGTGTTGCTTGCGAAGAAGAGGGCATTGCTAGCCCAACCCAGCGACAATAATCAATGACAATGCCCGACAGACTGGCTCGTGGTGTCCCGCAGGGTGCGTTATCCGGTGCAATGTGCGTGCTGCGGCTTACAACACATGATTCGATGCGACTTACGACTCGACAGGACCTGCAACTGTATTCGCAGGCAGGTGGCTGGTATTGGACAAGCAATTTGACGAGACCAACGTGGCGTTAAGTAAATAAATGCACTTGAGAAAAAGCCGATACATGCTCAGGGATGGAATAGATCATGCTTTAATCGACCAAGTGGCGGTTGTGAAACTCGAGCTCGGCCGAGGAGATTTCGATACTTCTTTGGCTACACAGATAAACATCTTATATATGTACATTGGGGTTCATACTGAACCAGCAGCCTCCCTTGGAGGCAGCACATGCACAGTAAAAGACATACTTCCAGAAACGGCAATTGTAAATCTTCCATGCACTTCCTGCCCAGGTGCGGCTGAACGGTGAGCTAAGACAATCCCACCTGATTGGAATATGCATGCCGCTTGAAATGGTAAGCTCCAAGCATCTAGCAAGGTTACACAACTTTATGCCGAATGTGAGGATGCTATGTGATATGTTCGGCACCAACGCAGAACGCAGTGCAAGGCTGTGTGCCTTGCGCAGCGCCAACTACCCCTCCCTTACTTGCGCCAATGAGCAAATCCGCCAGAAGTGCTTTTCTGGGCTTCGCCAGGCGTTGCTCGTCATATATGACACGTCTGCTCTTTTGATGTTGGTAGTCTGTACTCTGCCGCCCTTTCTCTTATACTGTCCGGGCTCTCTCTCGACTTGCTCTTCTCTCAGTTTCGGGCAGAAAGCTGGGATTCGAATCAGATTCCTGACGACCAATGACCTAGCTACCTGCCATGGTGGAATACAGCTCTTTACTTAAACACGAAACGTGGACGAAGACAATGCCTGCCGCCGGAACGTCCAGCCCTCCATCACCCGACGCATGGGACGAGTCCCCAGACGAATACTATTATAGAGGCACGGTCAAGACGAGTGTAAATAACCAGTAGAACCTTAGCTGACCATCCGGGATGACAGAGGAAACCACGGTCCATGAATTCTTCCCGGCGTCTCGGGATGATCCGGATAACATCTCCCTGGGATCTGAATCTGACAACGGGGATGTCAACGACGCGCCTCTAAGATCCCTCGATATCAAGGTTGATATTGATGAGCCCCCCACTACAGCCCCTAAGGAAAAAGAACACCATTCTCCGACCAAGGAGTATGGTGCCCGCTGGACTTGGGATCCCACCGCCCGAGACTACGTCAGATGGAGTGAAGGTATGTTTGTTGACGACGACTTTGGGTCATTCTACAGCCGAGTGACAAAAAGAACTGACTCTATGACAAGACGGCGTGAAACTGTTTTACACGGAATACCAGAGATTCGGAAGCAGGGCGCCGTCTCAGGGGACGGCAGACACCAACAGCAATATGAACAACGATCAACAAAACCGTCCCAAGGCAGGCTCATCAGAACGGTTAACTAAAATAGTCCCAAGTGGCATCCCCGGAGCCCCTTTGTATAAACTGCCACTTGGCAATGGTACGTTTCGAAGCCACTTCTCCAACTCTCCGGACTTCCTCACCTGCCCAGGCTGTAGAGCCCCCCTGAGTTTTGGTAGTACGCTGATGGGAAATGGGCTTCTTGTAGCGTTCCAGATCGTGGCCAAGCCCAAGCGCTTCTTCTGCGCCGGGCGCATCTTCAAGACGGTCTGGTTCGAGCCCGGCGGCAACACCATGCCGCGAGCACGGACCGACCTGGCCGAGTGGTCGGACCGGTCTCTCCCATTCCACGGAGAGCGGCCGATCGCCCGGTTCCGGTGGTTCGTCGTGGTGCGCAGACGGCTGCACCACTCGCTGTGCTTCAGCATCACTACGTTTGGGGGAGGGTTTAAGCCGCCGACGATGAAGACGACGAAGGCTCGGAAGAGCCACGGTCGCCAGGCGGACTTTGTCGTGCTGCATTCGGCCAGCGTCGAGCCGCCGCGGCCGTACGACGAGGAAGGGATCACGCGTGAGCCCATCGCCATCATCATCGAGGACGACGAGCAGTACATCTCGCCGATTGCCAGGCTGGACTGCAGCCGCATCTACACGGTGGAGGACAGCCTGCGGGTTATGAAGACCGGGCGGGTGCACCCGGAGTCGCTGCCGCTGCTGAACGAGTATTACAAGGAGAGTGTGTCGTAGAATGGGAAAAACGGGGGACCTGAGTTTCGTCCCCCTTTTTTTCAACACCACGCTGGAATGGAAACGGTTTCTTTCTTTCTTTCTTTTTTTTTTTTTTGTACGGTACGCATTGGATCAAAAAGGATAGCACAGGCGTACCTTAGGTCGTCGGTAGGCACGTCGTATCAGTCATATAGATTATTAGTATCGCCTCAATCAAAAGTCCTGTATGCCCGTCTCCCCCTCAAGCATCTTCTCCGTCCTTGCATCATCGCCCTCCTCGTCACTCGTCGCCCATCCGGGGTCTTCACTCTCGAACCACGCCTCTTCCCTCTCTTCCCTCTCCAGCACATCATACTCATCATCCTCGTCCACCTGAGAATAGTCAAAGTCCTCGTCTTCCCCACGGATGAACCGGTCCCGCAGGAACTCGTCCCACTGAGCCCGCCCTTCTTCCTTCGTCTTTGGCGGCGGCTTGAGCTCGGCGTCCAGGCTGCTGAAGGTCGTCCCTGGGGCATCATCATTGCCACCCTCACCACCACCACTCATAGTAATAGTAGTAGTAGTAATAGTAGTAGTAGTAGTAGTAGCGGCACTAGAACTCAGAGGAACAGGATCAGGAGCAGAAGCGTTATTAGAACCACCATCCATAAGTGTAGAAGTAGCTGGCTCTTGCTGTTGCTGCTGCTGCTGCTGCTGCTGGTGCTCCCTCCTAAGCCGAGCCAGCCGCTCCTCGCCCCGCAGCAGCGAGCCCTCCAGCACGCGAGCGTAGCCCTTCGCGCGGGCCTCGGCCTCGCGCTCAGCGGGGGTCTGGAAGCGCCGGATGAGGAAGTCGTAGAGTAATGGGTCTGTTGCACGTCGTCAATTCCGTTATCCAGAAAAGAAAAACAATGAGTTGAGTTGAGTTGAGTGAGTTCAATGTAAGACAAGTACTATATGAGGAAGTAGATACTGGTATGAGATATGAGACATGAGACATGTAAACGCGTATTTGCTCACCTGCAAGCTCGTGGTCGCTCGACTGGAGATAGCTGGGGTGCCGCTCGAGATATGCCCGCCTCCGGTTCTGTGCTCGGATCTGGGCCGAGCGGCCCGGTGATCTCGGAGGGCGCGGCCGGGGTTGGGAAAAGCTGCCCGGGTTCCCGGTCGCCGGCGGCGGGTCCGGGGAATCGAAGGATGGGGCCATGAGATGAGGTGATGATGGAAGGTGCTCTCGGCTGCACCTTGTGTCGCTTGTGAGTGGGAAGATGAGACTTGAGAAGTGCGATGCTTCGCCTAAGAGAGCTGTGGTTAAGGGAGTCGCGGCCTGGGAGTTCCGATTTAAAGTTTGGTGATGAGCGTGTTAGATTGAGATGCCACCATGCTGCAGTGATGGGTTGCTCCACACGGGATGAAGCTTGGTAAAAGGTCGCTGGGGATTGCGGGAGCGGGGCTTACACGGCGAATATTAGGGGTGTTACCCCGGGTGCGGACACTCCGACGTCCGCGCAAACCTTTTCCTTGGGCCATCGCTGACTCCTAGTCTAGCCTACGTCTCGCTGAGATGGCCGGCATGCGATCTAAGAGTTTATTACGGCATCGCACTCTATCGTCTACAGGTAATCTATCAGCGGGATGTCCAACCCACTCATCCGGGCTCCCCTTCGGGAATCCAACAGGCTACCTCCCTGGAGAGTCTAAACAAGCCATGGTATCATAACACAAAACAACACAACACAAAAACCCGAGTAATCCTAACGCCTGCTCTCCCCAACGGAGCCCTCACAAAGCACGGCAAAGACCCCAAATCCCAACACACCAAAGGACGGGGAAAACGCGGAATTAAGCAGCCATGATGCTGCGCCCTCCATCCGCAGTCGTACGGTTCCGAATCCGCACCTTCAGCACGCCGTGAGCGAGGCGTTTCACAACTCCCGTACCGCTCTCCTTCTTCTTCACCCCGATGATGGCGCTCGGCGCAAACATCAGCGCCTCGCCAACCCGCAAATCCACAATCCTGGAGAACAGCTCCAGCGCCGGATCCGCGTCGCCCATCTTGAGCGCCCCAACTCCACCCTCTTCTCCTCCCTCCCCCTCCTCGTCGTCTTCCGCTTCGCCACTCATATTCAGCCGCCTCGCCTTCTCCAACAGCCTCGCACCGGACGACACGCCGGCCAGGTGCTTCCGCAGCGCGTTCAGCCAGTCGGGCGACGTGAACCGGTGCACGACCGTGACGCTGCACAGGTCCAGCAGCTTCGGGCTGATGGTGGGCTCCTGCGTGGAGATCACCACGCGCGCGCCCAGGTGGCGCTGCAGCCGGATGGTGGCCAGCAGGGCCTCGGTGAGCGCGGCACACTCCTGGGAGTCGGTCATGTATTTGTGGGCCTCGTCGAGCGCGACGATACGCCCCACGGCGGCCGGGTCCTGCTCGAGGAAGAGGGAGAGGCAGATGTTGAAGAGCGAGCAGGCCATCTCCGGGGTGACGCACGGGCACGAGAGGTCGACGATCGTGAGGTGGCCGTTCCGCGGGGCCCAGGACGTGCCGGGACTCTTGGCTGCCGCGGACTTCGCTTTGCGTCCGCGACCCTGAGTCGCGTTGAACATGTCGTAGGCTTTGGCCTGGCTCTCGACCATGAAGGACTCGAGCGTCTCGAGCCGCTGTTTGAGCGGAGCTAGTTGCATCTCGGTCAGGTTCTCCAGAGCCAGCATTTGCTTGAAGGCCGTGTAGCTGAAGGCCATGTTGGTCTTCTGCTGAAGGACCCGGAGCTCGCGGAGGATGCGCTGCACAACGTGGAGATAGAGCGGCAGATTGCCGCCAGTGGTGACAGCCATTAGGTCGAGCATCCGCTTAGTGTTGAGGTCGGACTCGTTGAGGCGCAGCTCTTCAACCCTGATGTTGGGAAACCTCTTGTATATCCGCTGGAGTAGGCTTGTTGGCATGTTGTGACGGGGACGGATATGTGGGAATCGGGGATGCAACCACTCACCTGCATTGTACCGATATTGGTCGGCGGGCAGAGAACCCGTACCTTAATGTTTGGGTTGGATGACAACCAAGCTGCTTCGCACGGCGAGCCGCCCGAATCGGAAATGAAGGTGTCGTAATGGAAGACGATGCCAGTCAGCGGACGCGGCAGCACATTCGCCTCGCACGGCGCAAGCGCATTCTCGAGAAGACACGACAGAGTATGGCTCTTGCCAGATCCCTGACTGCCACAGATGAAAAAGCTAGAAGGCGCAGCGACGTTCCAGAAGATGCGCGGGTCGGCGGTCTCGCGATCAGTGATACCAGTAAGGTCGCCAGCCAACAAGCCGAACTGACTGAAAGGTCGATCCTGGCTGAACCCGGCCAGCGAATTCGCATACCTGCGAACGGATTCCGTGAATATGGGAGTCGTCTTAATTTCGTTGAGTTCGTCTAGCTCGGGACGGCGCTGGAGGAGGCCAAGATGGACCCTGAGGTCTGCGTCGTCTTCCACACCGCTAGACTCAGACTCGACACTCGTCTCGTCCGAACGGCTATTTCCTGCAGTATCAGACTCGAGTTTGCGCTGGTCCGACGCAGAGGCAGCGGAGAGCGATGCCATTTCCTCTTTGTCCCTCTCATCCTGGACCTCGCCTCCGCGGACCTCAAGATTCGCCATGTCGCTGGAGAGATCGGCCATAGACTGAGACCGGCTGCCTGAATCCGAGGAGCCGCTGCTACTGGCGCCGCTTGGATACTGGCGGCTGACGAACGGGCACTTGATAGGGATCCCGTCAGAGCCTGCGGGGGCGAAGGTGAATGAAGAAGAAGGAACGTGGAAGCCGGGCCCGCTCAGGGGTATCGATACATCCGATGGCTTGAAACTGAGCGCCTGGTTGCTGTGCGTGAAGAGAGAGGGCCCCTTGTGCCCTCTCGCGCCGAAATCAAAGCTAGGTTTGGGCCCCATCTTAAGGCATGAAGCTGGACGCAGCTTCTGTATGATTTGTTGCTCTTCTGGTGCGAGTAGCACGGGGCAGGTCTCGCAGCGATCAACAAACGAAACGACTTGGCTCAACGAAAATCGGAATGCAAGGCAGAAAGGAACATAACAGAAAATCGATGCCGGAAGCCGAGCAAACAAAAAGGCCAGACTCAAGGAGAGGTGCCAGGTAAGAAAGCGGTCGGCAAATGCTGCAATAAGGCTGACGACAGGAATACCTCCAGCTGGAGGTCGGCTGGCTGAATGATGCAGACCAGCCTTGGTGTTTTTTTAAGTGTTGTGTGAGTAACGTTGTGGGTGGTGTTGAACTGAGCTGGGGGAAGTCGATGTTTGGTATGAAAACTCCGATCATCTAGTTATGACTTGCCCGATTGGGACAAGCTGAGGTGCGACTTACACAAGAACCTACACAACAACATTCAGCTGATCAAGGTCCGGTACAGTAGGTTCCTGCACAACTCATAACTTCCATATTAGCGCAAGATACATACAGAGCCACATGCTAATAACAACCGAATATGAAGACCACCATAAATGCCGCCTACGATGTCGAACCAACGACGAGAGAGCATGAGTCGTGAGCATGACGGTAAATAGCAACATCCCGGTTCCGGTGCCCATCACCTACCTAAATAACGACGGCAACTGAGTCGGATGCAGTGCCATCGACATCTTTTCTGCACGCGTCCCGATCTGAATGCACCACTTCGTCCCCCACTTAATCGCTCCACTCGATTGCTCTGGACAAACTGCCTGACATGGGTTGCAAGGGCCAAAGCATCCGATTGGCAAGCAAGCTGTCTGTAACGGTGCGCGGGCGGGCATTTGTTTGTGCCAAGCCTTTCTCCATGAATCTGTAGCGAGGCCGAGCTCCGCTGGGGAGATTGCGGAGGAAAACGACAAAAGAAGCTCAACCAACCGGCGCCGCGTCTGTCTATCTTTCTTTTTTGAGCGATGAGGTTGCGGACGAGAAACACACTTTGCGACGTCTCCGCCTTCCGTGGGGTTTGAATCAACTTAAGCTTAATCCTCAACTAGAGAGCCCAGCAAGCCAGCATCTAAGTCGAGGACTCCGCCGCTCGCTGGGCTCCCCGTCATGGGGGACCTCAGGTCTATGCTGCGAGCCAAAATCACACGGCGGCAGTCAGGCAACACCCTCCCGACCGCGAAACCGTCTAGCGACAGCAACAACCCGAACACCAGCAGTTCCCGACCTGGGACTGCGGTGGACAGCAGTACCGGCGTCAAGGATGCTGCCACCGCCACCGCCACAGACTCTCCTCCACATGCGGACGGCAGCCACACCCGACAGGGCAGGAGGCTGTCCGGTGCGCAGTGGGCGGAAAAGCTGAGACAGGGCGCGAAACACTTTTCGGCAGGAATGGTCGCCGACAGTAGCGATGCAAACAGCGGAAACAATGGCCCCGTGGATCAGTCCCAGAGTGCCGCGACCGACCAAAACAAAAGCGGTGGCAGAAATGCCACTAACGTTGATGTTCTTAGCAGCTTCCCGCCACCTCCGTCGCCTGGCCCCGGTCATAGCGATGGGCAGGGCCCGGCCAGCCCGGGCAATGATCGCCCTCACCACAACACCAAAACCTGTCCTGACGATTCCAGCCAGCAACAACCGGCACCGCCGCCGACCGCGCCCTCGACAGATGAAGTTGTTGCCAAACAGGGAGTCTCCACCGATACTGACCGACGAGTCCGTCTGAGCGACCCGCCCGTGCCTAGCAGTCGTCCGTCCACCCGCCAAGGAGACACTGTGGACCCGACGTCAAATCCTCACTTGCGACCGTCCAACCCGCCCTCGCGTCCGTCCGCACCGCCGCGACGGCAGAGCCTTCTGCCGAGTCGACAGACCACGCTCATCCGGACGCTGCTGAGTGCCGAGCAGGCCGATGACCCGGACCGGAGCGGCTCGGAGCAACTGCTGCCCATTAGCGCCAACATGGTGACGCGCAAGCTCTGGGTGAAACGTCCCGGCGCTTCGGCGACACTCGTGACCATCAGCGAAGAGGACCTGGTCGACGATGTGCGCGAGGTGATTCTGCGCAAATACGCCAATTCCCTCGGCCGCCAATACGATGCCCCAGACTTGACGCTGCGCATAGTGCCGCGCGAAGGGCAGAGACAGGAGCGGGTGCTGGGTCCTGAGGAGCCAATGACGCGCACCTTGGATGCGTATTTTCCTGGCGGGCAGACAGTGGACGAGGCGCTGCTCATCGACGTTCCACACCGCCGCACACCGCGAGCCTCTCCGCGGAACGGGCCGCCGCATGCGCAGCACCTTACCTCGGTCAATTACGATGATATTCGGCCCCTCGAGGTGAGCACCGACTACTTCGGACCCGGCGCTATCGCCCACATCCCCGTCACCATCGCCGGCTCGAACGGTACGACGCACGCGATTTCCGTCTTGAACACCGGGCAAGTGCCCCAGATTCCTTCTCCGGGTGGGGCCTCGAGAGCACGCCAGTACCGGGAAAGGTCCGACCGGCCGCGGCTAGGGAGACAGCACACCTCGTCCCCCACAATACTCAACGTTGTCGGCGCGGGGGGCCACCCAGCCACCATTGCTGTAGCCGCAAGCCATGGTACGCACCACGCGCCCTCGAATCGTTCACGGACTCATTCCAATGCATCATCAGAACAGACCAACGCGGGACAGCCCGTTCCGCCCGCTCCGCCACTGCCGACACCACCGACCCAGGAATCGGCGCCCGTCCCGATCCCGCGAGCTGCAACCCCGCCGCCCAGGGCAGCCTCGCCCCGTCCGCCTCCAACGACACGGCCGAAGAAAAAAAAGACGGTCGACCCTCCCGCGCTCCCGGCTGGCATGCTCAACGGCGGCGTGCCCCCCATCAACGTCCTGATTGTTGAAGACAACATCATCAATCTCCGTCTGTTAGAAGCATTCGTCAAGCGGCTCAAGGTGCGCTGGCAGACGGCCATGAACGGCCGTGAAGCTGTCAACACGTGGCGAAAGGGCGGCTTCCACCTGGTACTGATGGATATCCAACTACCCGTCATGAGTGGTCTCGAGGCGACACGCGAGATCCGCCGGCTCGAGCGCCTCAACTCGATCGGGGCATTCTCAACTACTGTTACCAATGCGGCCGAGTCAGAGGAGTCCAAGGTTGACATACCGGAGGAGGATAAGCTGCAGAACAGGGAGATGTTCAAGAGTCCCGTCATTATCGTTGCCCTTACCGCGAGTTCCTTGCAGAGTGACCGCCACGAAGCGCTGACGGCGGGGTGTAATGACTTCTTGACCAAGGTATCTTCCGTTCGCCCTGTCCTCGTTGATTTACAGAAGATCCCCCTTTGCTAATCATTTGTCTCCAGCCTGTTACCTACGTCTGGCTTGAACGAAAAGTCATGGAATGGGGCTGCATGCAGGCCCTGATCGACTTTGACGGCTGGCGCAAGTGGAAGGCCTATACCTCCCAAAAGCCGGAAGGCGAAGACAACGCGCCGAAGAAAAGCAAGGCCAAGAAGCACAGGGGCATCATAACCACCGCCCCAAATAGTTCTTCCTCGGACGGCCAGTGAACATACGGCGTTGTTGCGGCACGCAGTGTACTACCTCGGCCTCGGCAGGATCGAACATTCTCAAAGCACGATCTCAATAGCCATGTTTCGACCTGTCTGAGCTTCGCGATGGGATTTTCGGGGAGTATTTTGTCTCCGGTCGGACAGCCACCTCCTTCTTGAGCTGTGGAGGAGTGTTTGATGAACCAGCGTTGGAAGTATAATGAGTGAAAATATAGAGAAGGGGCCAGGAGGGGGGGTTGCATGCATCGGGGTGGCTGATGCCAAGATTGTACCGGGCTACCTATGTTAGATAGTAGGGGCATTTGGGCTGGTGATTCTTTGGAGTGATCTGTGTTCTTTAGTGGGTAGGGCAGGGCCTTTTACAGACAGGCTGAGCGGAGTTTGAACGGTAGCCAGAGGATATCGAATTATTGAACTTGGCCTCGAACTGAGGCTGTAATCTGTCTCATTATCAACAATCACTCAGCCTTCACTCATAAAGTCTAAGTAGCCTAGGTACTCAACGTGAGTGTTTAAGAGGCCGCGGTCAGCCCTAACCCTCGGCTTCCGGTAGCCAGAATCAACTCCATTGGTGGCGCTCTCCTTGCGGGTCCAACCCCTTGTTACCTGCTTGAGAAAATTCCGAATCCAATCCCAAGCTTCACCCATCCACACCACATCCGACATTCACCACAGCCATGCCACCCCGGATACGCGGCAGCGGCTGCCAACCACAGCTGTTGCTCAATGCCCTTGAGCCAGTACCCTCGTCATCCCTACAACCGTCAGCCGCGCTAGCAGTCACTCTACCCAGGCCAGCGGCCTCGCGGTCACCACAATGCAGCCGGTCCTTCTCGACAACACCAGCACGCCAGGTGACGCGCTTGCGACGTGTCTTCAAGGACTGGTGCGTCAACAACGCGCCGCTGTTCCAGAACCCGCAACCGGGGCAGACCAACTATGTCAGCCGCATCCTCAAGCAATCAGACTTCCAGCCCGTGTACCCCAACCAGCCCTTCCCCAACAACCCGGCCTTCCGCAGTGAGCCGGTGCTGTCCGAGAGCGCGAGGGAGACGATCTGGCGGGCAGTTATGGTGGAGGGCCTGCCCCTCAAGGCCGTGTCGGCGGAGTACAAGGTGGATGTGCGCCGGGTGGCGGCGGTGGTGAGGATGAAGGAGATTGAGAAGAAGTGGGAGCGTGAGGTAAGCATTTTCCTCTTATTCTGAGACTTAATTGTGCTGTTATTCGTGGGATGGAACTTCTGTGATGAACTACAACACAAAATTCGATTAGTCTTGAAGACATAACCGTGGTTAGAAAATGCTTGATGTCTGAAGGAAGCCACCCGATACCCTCGCTTCTGCTGAGTTCGTCAAACATATAACCCATCCCGACTGACACACCCATGACAGGGCAAGCCAATGGCCATCCCATACGCGAAAGCGATGATGGAGATGCTCCCGCGCGCGAATCTCACCGAGTCTGAGCGGCGCGAGGGCCGTCCGTTCGAACCCATCAACGACATCCACGTGCACAGTTATACGATGCAACAGCTTTTCGTGCCCACGTCAGAATCGCGCGAGTTCACCCGCGCCGATGCGGCCAAGGCCTTTGGTGACCACATCTTACCGCCCGACAGCAAGATGCGCATTCCCGAGTTGGTGGAGATGGAGCGGAAAATCTCCCAGGGTGTGCCGCCACATCAGGCGCGCGCAGAATTCATCGAGGAGACTAGGAAGAGCGAGCAAGAACTCGCGGCGAAGGCGCGAGCCAGGTTGCAGGCTGCTGAGGACAGGCGGGTGCGCGTGGACTCGGGCCGGTTCGAGTTCAGGTTTGAGAAGATCAATGCCGAGGATGTCGGCCCGACCGGTCGGGCGAGGAGAGCCGTGGGATGGCGGTATGGCGTGCCGCATATGGACCGCAAGAGAGGCCAGATCAAGATCCCCACCAGCGTTGAATGAGCTAGGGACCGACCGGGTGGTGCAGATGTGCTTGGCTGTGAAAGAAGCCGAAGCCGGTACATGTAACTGGGGGGCACGATATAAGAAGGGGCTTCAGCCCCGTGGACGATTTCTGATTGCTAGTCTAGCGGCCGTCTAGAAGAGGCGCTAGGGAGCGGCCTCAGCCATGTACAGCACTCTATCTCTTGTATTGTAGCAGACGCCAAGTCTAATCAGAGACGCGGTTCGTTCTTCAGCCCAGCGAGGTTTCCCCAGTCCAAGGGCTCCTCGCCTTCGGCCAGGTCGACGATCAGGTTCTTCCGAATCTGCTCCACGCTCGCCTGCGACACGCCGAGGTGGTCCACGACGTAGGTCTCGACAGAGCCGTACTTCTCGCGGATCAGCTTAAGAGTGAGCAGCATATTCTCTTTTCTGTTACTCCGTGCGGAAGCAGGGTCGTCACAATCAGCAGATAGGACGGGAGAAACAAGCGCATACGTCACGAGGGATCGAGCGAGAAGACAAAGACCGGAAGAAGAAGGACCTACTGCGCTCCAACCATGCGCTCAGCCCGCTCTCGCTCCCCGAACAATGCCGCGCCCGGCGCAGTCAGCTGTTGCACAATCCGCTCCTTGCGCGGCGCCAGCCCGGCATCGGTTAGGCTGTACTCCGTCGCGATAGCTTCGTCCTCGAGACCACAAAGGGCGAGGATCAACGCTATGATGACGCCGGTTCCTTTATTCCGGTTTCGGTTAGTCTCTTGTGCGTATCCTTCCGCGGCGGGAGCAGGGTTGCTTGTTGGCTTGGTGCAGGAAAGGGGCGGCGGTTGGGATGTGAAATGTTTCCGGAAAGACAGATGGACTTGGGGAGGGTGCGGAAGTGGCGCAAAGAACCGAGAAGTGGTGAGAAGGGGCATTCGCCTCTCCTTGGCGGGATAAAAGTCTCAGGACTTACTGTCTTTGCCTGCGGTGCAATGCACCAAGACCGGGGAAGGAGGCGTTGCCGAGGCAAGATGCTCCAAGATGGTGCGGAACGGCGCGTATGGGTGGTCCGGCTCGGCGGCGGTGGCCAGAATGGCGGCGTAAGCCTTGACGAAGCCCTGTCCCCCCAGATGGGTATGGTCAGCACAGGTTTTTGGTTGGCAGACAGCCCTGGAGGAGAAATGAGACAATATCAGATGAACGGTCTCATCGCGGCACAGGAGCCGGCAGCTGCCATTGAGCGCCCCTTCGGACGCCGAGAGACGGGGCGCGTTACACAGCAGCGGTCAGCCGTTGCGACGTTTAACAATGTGTGGTTGCCCACAAGGGAAGCATATTGACGCCCTCTGCCACACATGAGCTTGACACCCTCTAGGCGGCCTCCCGGGCTTGTTGCATCGGCGATACATGGGGTGTAGCACCCAGCCAGCAGAGCTACCGAGGATGCAAGTCGGGGAGAGGATGGGTGTATCTGGGAAAGGGGCAACATGACATGTAAGTGATCAACTGACCTGCGGCCCATCGCTGTAATTTCGGAATCTCAGGGCTAACGCTTCCGGGCTGTAGTCCTTGTCTAAGAAGACGGGCACGAAGACGTGGGAGGCGCTCTGCCAGAGCTCCCTCGGTGACTGCTCGCCGCTCTTTGCAAGCTCAACTACGGACCGCAGGTCGAAGACGTGGGTGATGCCGAGTCGCTGGAGAGTGCCAATTCCTTCACCGCCAAGTTCGGTCAGGTCTGCGGATCGAAAGAGCACGCCGCGCTTGACAGCCTTGCGTGGTTGGCTTGCAATGGCATAACCGCCTGCGTCGCGCAAATTCGCTAGACCAGGCGCGTGGATGAATGGAGGCGATGGAAGCGTGGTGCTGTTGTTAGTGCCAGTGCCGGTGGTAGTGTGGCCATCAGCCCAACCTGACTCAGGCGCCGCCATCGAGACTGTCAACGTTCTGTTTCAGAACTGCGGTGGCTGTGTGTCGGTGACGGCATTCCGGTATTCAATGTCGGCCACGCAGCCTAAACGCCAAGCCGTCGGTTGCTGCATGCACTTGGGAACCGTTCGTCCCACGGACCCACAAACTCAGCCTACATTGTGGGGTTTGAGAGCCCATCAACCAATCAGCAACCCGTCGCAGAGCCTCCTGTGGGTCTGTTGCTCTTGCCCGTGTCACTGTGTAGACGGACGTCACACAGCATTCCTCGCATGCGAGTCACACAGCCGAACCGGTTCACATGTAAAACGCAACCCAAATGGCGGTCAAGGGAGATTAATAGTACGGATGGATGACATGGTGGTTGAAGAGGTTTTCATGTTTCTTCGTTGCCTTGCCAACTCAGTCTCTGGGGGCCGCAGCCTTACTACCAACCAGCCCAGCCTCCCTGGCAGACGCATCCGAACCACTCCTTGCCATGCAGGAGATCCGGAAAGGTTCATACCGGCCAGCACATGTTCACAGCGCCTAGTGCCGCCTATGATCCATACGGAACGGGATCTTGGACGGATGTACCTGGGTCAGGCACGAATGGTCGTGCTGCTTACGGTACTTACCTTTTCTGGTACCCAAGTGTGGCCAAGCCGCTGCAGTTGTGTGGCATCAACGCACACACTCGGTCGAAAATTTCATCATTCACAACTTCCATTCGTCAATCAGATTGTGAGAAACAGGTACAGCATCCAGCATGTGGTCTGCGACTGCGAGACGTGCTGCCCGCAAGCACAGCAAGTTTGCCGCAATCGGGCCGTGATATCAGGTGCAGCCGGGTCAAATCTAAAATGCATCTACGTGTAAACCTTACCACTACGGCTTCCATTTGCTATCAATCCTTTTCCTTTTTTTTTTTTTTTTGTGATGCAGGTAGATTTCACCAAGGAATTTCGGCCAACATCCTGGGGCCCCAGATCTTACTTTGTAAACAGCTAGAGGTTGAATATCTGCTTTGGGGAGTACACAACCGCTCTGGGGGTGCCCCTGCCCGTACAAGGGTCATGGCAGAGCCTCGTCGGACCTAAGGCACTTATTTGTAGTACTTTGTAAATACATGGTACCTTACACCGTAGAAGGGTCCCCAGTCATATCTCCAAAAGCTCCCCTCCAAAGCTCCTCTCCAAAAGCTCCTGTCCAAAAGCTCCTGTCCAAAAGCTCCTTTTGGTCAGAATCATCCAGCTCTATTAAGAAAGATGTACTAACTCGAGATGCCACTCACAAATACCCACACAATCTAGAACCCTATGAGACGGTGAACCTTTTTCCATGCGCCATCCAATGACGTGTCCCAGGACCAAGGACCCGGAAACTCGCCCAAGGTAACCCAAGCTCGCATGCAGGAACCCAGAAGTTACATGAAGAGTGGGACGGCTAGTGTCTCAATGATCTTGACCGCAGACAAGCTAAGCGGGAACATTTTTCTTTCAGAGCCGCACACCGAAATGCAAGGCCTAAAACACTCTCGGCACCCTGTCCGTTGACCTGCCACACAGCAACAGCCGCCTGCCTCATTCATATATTGCAGACCTAAGCCACCCACCCAAAACAGAATTCTCCTCACTTCCTCTCTGAACTCTTAGGAACTCGGGGGCGGGTTGGGCTCGGCCGCCATCTTGACCCTCTCGGTCCAACAGGTGCAGTAGGGTGTGCCCTTGTACACATGCTGGCAATTGACGTTGATGCACTGGACGACTTGGAACGTGTTCCAAGTCGAGCAGCCCTCGCACACCCAGTATTTGACCGTCTGAGAATTTTTGCACGCCTAGAGTGAGCAGTGGATTCAAGACTGGATTGGCTAGCCTCGGGAAAACGCACCGGCATATTGGTCTTTTCGAGGAGTATCTCTCAGTAGGCTGAAGTTGGGGACACTTCAGGGGCCGATGAATTGACTGCTGTCGATTTCTCTGATGTAGCTCTCCGTTCTTGGGGATGATGAACCGCTGCTGATAGTCGGGAACTGAAGCCTCTGATCCAGATACAGATTGCGGCCCTGGTTGTCTTATACTCAAGGCCATCATGAAGACCCCAACGAGCTCTCATCAGGGGGGGGCTTGGGTCGAAACAGTGAACTGTCCCCATTCTCGGTCTGAAAGTACACCGGCGAAGTCTCGGGGGCCAATCGTGGCATTGTAGGGCGTGTCCAGAGGCTGTCCTAGGGCCATCCGTAGACGGTGACATACACAATCTTGAGGTGGTGAATTTGCGAAATTTCCTGCTGTGTCCAATCCGATCGTTGAAGGTCCCTATGTTCGACAGCGATGCCATGCCGACCTTCGGTAAAGCCCAAGGACCTGTAATTGCCATCTTTCGGTGAACCGGGAAGGCCCTGATTTGTGGAAAGGACAAAACGTGGTCGTTCGGCGGCGAGCAAATCGGACCTCGATCGGTGGTTGACGATAACCTTTCCGTCTAGGCCCCCGTAGGGCGGGAAATTGTTCATGTGAACTGTTTCAGGGAAGCTAGTGGCTCGTCGATGAAGTCGAGATAGTGTGGGCGGAAATCCATGTTAGCCCTGTCCTAGCCAGCACTGCCCCTTAGATTGATAAACAAATGGGGCGCCCGAGGTCTGTAGTTTGTGCGCCTTTCTCATGACCCTGCCATAAACAGCTGTTAGTTTGGAACACTGAACAATACTAAGTCGTAGAAAAACCCAGGGAATCAGCACGTGTCAAGTGTAACGTTTGTGATTTAGGAGAGCTGACCAAGCTTTTCTGGGGGGGCCATTTACCACAATCTTGCTGCTCGGTCCGAATCTGGAAGTTTCAACAAGTTCCATCTCTGGAAGCTGTTTAAGAGATGAGCCCTAGTGAAACTCGAGGCTGATTACATGCGTCGAGGATGCGAGGCTGGTGACCGGACGGCTGGTCCCTAGCTTCGTCACCGGTAGTAGGCTGCAATATCGCGGAAGACGCCAAGTCTCGAGTCTTAGAGAGCTCTCGGACAGTTCCGATAGCAGCCAATTCGAGTCATCAAAAAGTGACATGGTTGATTGGCCTGTATACGGCGAATACTGGGACGGTGTTGCATCGCGCTTTCTGCTCGGAAACCGCAGAGTTCGCTGTCTTTCCGGTATGGGACGCGAACGAGTGCGCATATTGTGGCGGAGGATATCGTTGCCTCGCTCCTCAATGCTTTCAAATTATCATTAGGTCGTCATACTTCAATGTTGCAGGAGAATTTGGTTGGCAAGGTCTGAACTTTCCTACAGCAAGAGAGGACAGAACACAGAGGACGGTGCGGCTCCTTTATGCCATAGAAACTTTCGGACTACGAGACACAGAGCAGCGGCTGAAGATAGAGCCTCCTCACTATGCACATGAACTCCGAGTAAGTCGTTGCCCAGTCTATCTGTACCTCGTGCATTCAGCCCTTTCAGCGCCGTCTCTCACCGTGAGGTTCTCACGAGGTACAAACATTCCGTGAAGACAGCCAGGGTTACACGATATTTCTGAACGTGATTAACACTTAGAACATCATTGGACAGGTAAGAATATGCTCAACCTTGCGGCTCTGTTGAAGTTCAGCTATTAAGAATGAGCCGGACGAAATTGCACTTCATGCCGAGTTCCATATGCCCAACAGCTCGGTCAAGTATAGCCTCTGCTTGACGAAGCTGACCTTGGCTGAATTATGTCAAAGTATTGTGCAATCCGGGCTGTAGTTTCGTACAGGGATCGGGAGTAGACGTAGATGCCGGGCGCTTGTGATTGTTGAGGTTTGTCCAAGAGACAAGGCTGCGTGCGGTAATGTAAATTCGGTCTAGCATGCTACCCTGATCCAGTCATTCGGCACATGAAGTGGGTACTGGAACAATTCCCCTTTCGCCCTGATTCATGAACCCAGCCTCAGCCGCCACGAAAGCCGTTGCCTTGAAGTCACGGGGTGTAGTATTCGAGGGTATGTTCAAGAATGGAGTGCAGTGATATCGAAAGGGGCGGGTTCTGCTTTGGCCGCTGACCGAAGGAGCGCGACAACCGTACTATAGAAGAAAGAAAAAGACGTTAAGAGAGGGATATGCAAGACCAGTAACTCCAACCGTTGGGGACGCGCTTCCTATACGGAGTATGTAGGGTAATATCTACGGAAGAAGGAACACTGGCATTGATTGAAGCTCAAGCTTGATCCTGCTATGGGGTTCAAGGGCTAGCAGCCTAGCACATCGATCAAGCGGGAAATCTCCGTATGTACCGTGCAAGGGCTTTGACTCCACTAAAAAGCTTAACCGGAGTAAAGTTAAACCTGCATTTGTTAGACGCTGCAGATGACTGAGCGCGACTGCATTTGGCCGTCATACAAGTCATTGTGTAGTTATAGCCGTGATTTGTTGATGCATCCCACAAAGTCACATTGGGCAATTGCATCGAGGCCTGAGGTTCACAATGTGGCTTATATGGTGTGCGGTGCGGCGTGGCCCAGTGTCTGCCAAATCTGGTTAGACTCATCATCTTTTGTCCGATTGTCCTGGAGATAACCGCTACACGTGTAAGGCTTCACCTACGTCATTGCCGCGCAGCTGGCCAAACGCCGGGGCGCAAACTGTTTCAACTCCAGCTTGGGATCGCAACACTGAGCAGCATATAAGTGGCTTCATAGGGATCCAACGCGTTTACCATTTCTGCTTTTAAACCTGCATCCAGAGGTGAATCTCTCGACCTTACTTCCCCGATTTACACTGATCCGCCGCAGTTTTCCTTTTCCCGCTGAACTTCAATATTCCTTCCACTTCCTGGCGCCCTTTCCGGCACCACGCGAAGCCAACCATTATCACTCGAGATATTGACCAGAGAAAGCACAAGTCAATCTTAACGCCAACGCGTAGCCCTCCAATATTCAAACCTTAACCGACCTTCGTTCCCGGAAGATGGCCCTCGGCGACACGTCCCGAGCCTACCTCTTTTTTACCCTCCTCCATTTCTTTCAGTTCGCCCTTGCGATCACAGTCTGTGCTCTCTACGGAATAAATCTAGACCGCGCTCGAAAGGCTGGAGCACACGCGGATGGACGATGGGTAAGGGTTGATTAGCTGCTGTGATGGATTTGCTAGGTCTGTAGCTGACGGGAAGTAGGTCTATGCTGAGGTGGTGGGAGGCCTCTCCGCCTTAACGGCAATCCTCTACTGCATCCCCTTCATCCTCCGGTTTGCGCTTGTTTGGGCATGGAACTTGATCCTTTTTATCCTCTGGATTGCCCTGTTTGGCGTCTTTGGCCGCGTATGTGATTCCTGCCTCTCATTCTTTTATACGGAGCTGACGCTCGATGTTACAGCTGTACATCCATGAGGATGCTGGAGGGAACGGCGATGTTCAGCGTATGAAGAACGCCGTCTGGGTCGTCCTCACCAGTGCTATTTTGTGGCTCATCGGAGTCCTGGCGCATTTCATTTACTGGTGGGGTCATAGGGAGCGCCGATCTCGCTTCACGAGTCGCGCAAAGGTGTAAGGCTGCCCGCTGTGGATGGTCGTTGACTATCTGCAGAGAGCTATCAGGGGCGTCTACTTTCTTACCCGAATCACTTGAGGTTTGTGCAATGAATCTGGAATGGGCGCAGACAGGATCTGACGCGACGGCTGGGGATATGACAAGTGACGCTCGTTGGCAACATCTCCATAACATTAATGCGTAGTATTAATATCAGATCGTCCGAGGAGCACACTGAAAGAAGAGTGCGAGTGAATCAAATTAGAAATACAATCTCCGAGTCATGATACCTTCAGACTAGCAGCAGGAACCTGGTCGTGCTCGTTGTGCTCGACAACTCGAGCTCCACCGGGGCTCCACGATTCCGGCAAAGTGGGTCCAGAATCGGCGGGCCAAGACCGGGCAGTCCCTCCCCCGCCGGCCAGGTGGGGTACCGAAATGGGTCCGGATCTAGCAGACGCGGGGTAGCTTGTCCTCCTGCACAGAATAATGGAGACAAATCCACAAAGCACAAAGGGGGGAATCTGCCTCCTTTTTTGCCTCACCCGGAGCTGTGTCTAACCAATCGTATATATTCACGGCGCACTGTGGTGTGGATGTCTACCTGAGTCGGGTACTAGCAACCTGGAAACGCGCAGGCTGCCGTCTTGCAAGCCCACACTATCGCCACCGTCCTCCGTATCGGAAACCGTCCTGCCGCCCTCCGTGACAACTATCCCGAGCGGCCTAACCTGTCGCGCTAGCTGGACGACCCATCTTGACCCCTTCCGAAACGGGTGACCAGAGCTTTAGGTGGAAAGGGGCAGAAATCCCGCGATTGGGCGGCGGAAGGCGGCAAGTCGGGATATGTAAAGAGAGCCAATGAAAATATACCAACCATTTGGGGCATGCAGTACAAAGATGCCGGATATTGGATTCACGCAGCTGTCATGGAGAATAGAGTGAGCGGCCAGCTAGCAAGACCCGTGGAAAAGGCCGCTACAACTTCCGTTTGGTTGAGAGATTGCGCCGGTTGACCGTCATCCCACCTGAGGTACGCTGCTGTGTCCTGCTGTTGGGAGCAACCAGTCTGGGCCAACTTCATGAAGCGCTGTCCGATTTGGTCATCGCGACATGTCATTTCGGTGTAACAGCTAGCTAAAGTTTAGTTCCTGGTTTGCGTTTCCGGCTGGGTGCGATGGCCTTTTACCGCGCCTTCATGACGGATGGTATCAGTGGCATGTAGGACACCTCCTGAAGCGCATACCGTAGGTCGGTACCTTAAGATAGGTAGTCTACATTACGCTACCTTAGAATGTGGTCAGGGCTAGGCGAACCGGATTTGTGTTCAATACATACGGAGACTGTTGACCAGGCCTCCGTTTACACACAAAAAGAGGATGATATCAGTGGTTGGCTGTCGATAGCGAGATCGAGGAACATGACTCAACTGCAAGCAGTGAGCGAAATGCCAAGATTTCCCGCTCTTGAATCATGTTTCTCTAGCTACTAGTAGTATTTAGTATTCTTTGCAGTTGGCTGATCCCACGACCATATGGCAATGGCGCGTTGCACTGTGTAAATCCGTATGTAGGATCCCACACCACCCCGCTTGGCGTAACTCAGGCCTGCCCTTCAACCTTTCCAACGCTATATAGGTAGGTTACCTTAAAGTAGGTGCTGTGGCATTATGCAGAATAGACACCTAAGTTATCACCAGACGCTGCATGACGTTGCGCATGAAGCCGCGCAGAGAGCCAAGCAGCACCTCATCAGACACCTCCACTCTATGGTACCCTACTCACTGGTATGGCATTTTGCCGTGGAACAAACATTGGCCCGCCAAGTTCTGCAGCAAGCGTAGCTGCATGCGACGCCCCAGGGATGCAGACGAACAGGGTTGAGCGGATCCGTTTGAGAAATCGTGGTTCGCTGTGAGTAGAAGTTTGCCGTGGTCGTACGAGACTCGCGTCGATCATCAGCCATCGGGGTCCCGTCGTGGTCGCGTCGTTAGTGTAAGGAGGGGCCTGAAGGGTGCCGACGACGCGATTGCCGCGCCGGTTGAGAAACACCCCAAATTTTGCATCCCACCTTCCTGACGTACCTCAGGTGCCTTTGCAGTGTCTATCCTACACCATCACTACTACACTACCGCCATGTCGTTAATGCCACAGCCACAGGCATTTACCGCAACAGCTTCCACCTGCCCAATCCTGAGGTGTGGCCATGTGGGTCCAACTCGGGCTATCCGGCACTCACCCGTTTGCTGACGACCCAAGGACGTTCGTCATGCGGTATCGACGGGCTGTCGCCTCCCCTTCCCACTTAAGTACGCTGGTGGATTTGCACAAAGCGATCGGGGACCAAATCGCACACCTCGTTCCCGATGTGTACAGTAGACGCGTGCTAGCAGAGCCTGCGAGCAGTGCAAGGTTCCATGCTCGACGAGAGAAAGCAGAAGCAATTGAGGTGTGGTGTGGCCCCTCGGGCAGATCCTGGCACAAGGAGCGAGCCGATCATCCGCTGCCCGCACGGAGCCTGCCAGGGTCCTCGTAAGGATGGGATATGAAGCACACAAATGCCCACTGTATGCAAAAGTGATTGCATTTCTGGTGATTTCCCATTCCTCACTTCCCATCGCCGTTTCCCGCAATACCTGACTCGAGAGCGGATCTCATGCCCTCAAGCAACCCTGCCAGCACCCGGGCACCTAAGCTGAACGTTCCCGCTAACATTCGCGGACTCGGAGATTCGCCGATCATCCTTTCTTTTCACCACCAGTATTCTCCTCGCAACGTCCCGTGCTGCTATGGCCTGGTCCGCCATCCATCAGCCGTAGAGCCTGTCAGCAAACGCATACGAATGGCCGTGGCAGCTGGCCAGGAGGCCCGCTGACTTCGGATGAAGCACCATCCAGACCGACCACCCACCCGTCTGATGTCACCGTCCTCTAGCACTCCAGCGTGGTGCTCGCTCCCATCATCCAGTTTCCCCTAAATTGCCACTGGAGATCCAGGATTCGGGCAAGTAGACGAGAATAAAGGCAGCCATAAGTTTAGAAACAACTTGGACTTAGCGATACCATCCCAAACCCGAGCCCAGAAGCACCAAGGACACAACACAGCACCCCGTGCCTTCCAGCCTCTCTGTTGAAGCCGGACCAGAGGGAGAACGCCAGCATCAAACGGCAGAAAGTTTGGCATCCGAGATACGACCCATGACCGTTAACCTAGGTATGTAAAGCCCGAACTTCTATCCTAAGCCCACACCCGGTTCTCCCGACCCGGCATTGCAGTTAACAGCAGTTCTGAAGGGCCTGGCTCGGCCCGTCTCTCAGCTGCTCTCCGTGATCTTTCTCGCCCCGCAGTCAGAACTCGTTGACTGATACAAACACGAGATAGCTGGCGTCACGACACCCGTCCGTTTAGCAGATCGTTGCCGCATCGTCCTTGCCCAAGATGGATCTCCGCTCGCCGTTGCTCGCAACGAGGCGGTTTATACACCGTCGAGCGGACTCCAGTTCGTCCAGAGCCTCCCGTGTGTCCAGTGATTCTGATGAACCCTTCGCCTTCTCGCCCGCCAACACACCTTCGGAGGAGACTCCTCCCTTCCGAACCTCGAATCCACGGTATGCGATGGATTCATCAGCTCCTGGCAAGCGCCTCCCTGGCAAAGGTACGTCCTGCTAAAGTTTGTTACCTCATTGCTCCCGTCCCTATATTGACCGTCGGATTCGATTGGTTGCATGACCCCGGCAGTGTTGTCATGGCCAGGGACCCCGTCGTGCCTGCCGGGCTGGACAGTGTGCGGGAATCCCCAGGGGGGTTCTTTCTTTTTATGTCGGGCTGCAGTGGGCAAAGGAGAAGAACTGACGAACCCCCGGACGGCCCGATCAAACCCTGGAAGGAGGAAGTCAAGAAAAATCTAGGGACCCACACGGCCCAAGCCCGGTCTTCAGGTCCAGGGTCTGGGGCACTGCGTCATAGGGCTGTGGCGTTTTGGACCCTTCTCTCGGTTGATTAAGTTGGTACCCGAATACTGATCTGCGTTCATTTTAGAAGTTGAAGATAACGCCCGAGACGTTGCGAGTGATCTTGCGTTAAGTCCAAGCAGCAAAACCCGGCCAATCGACATCGAATTGCCCAAGCGCCGAAGGCCTGACCCGAACTCGACATCCACGTTCACCCCACCAGCGCCCCTATCAGCGAGAGGCGACATCTCTGGGTATGTACAACCCGGCACGGCTTATTGCTTGCCTCCTCCAAGGTCGCGTAAGGTTGTCGATCGCTGACCTGGACTACATTGTTTGCAGAGCCTACTTCCCTCTTCATGAGGACCCCGCATCTCGCATTCGAGCTCCCCATCCCTTTCAGGCAGACACCGAGATGGCTCGACGAAGCTCATTGCAACGGGCCGCTGAGCTTGGCAGATGCGACACCGGTGCTCGCTCATCGGGGCGTCAGAATGCTTCCCCAACCTCGCAGTACCCCGGCATGAAGCCGACAAGTGCGTCGGCTTCCCCTTACACGCCCATATCGTCATACATACCCAGCGGTCTTCACGATGATGTAGTCCTTCCCATGGGAAAGTACTATCCATCCAACTGGGAGAAACGACATGGAAAGAAATCGCATCTTCAACCGTCAACAACGGCGAAACCTGCTGCTCCGGTTGTCACAAAATCTGAGCCGCAGGTCCCAAGGCCCCACGACGAGCACCGACATGCCCGGCCCGACCTTGACGTCAAACGGCGCTTGCAACAATATCAGAGAGATATGGTGGCTCAAGCCGCGATGGCTGCCAGTGCTGTGTTAGCCAAAAGCCAATCCATGGCAGGTTCAGCGCGCGCCTCGTCGCGCGGTGGAGGAACTCTTCCGACAGCGCAGTTTGCAGCAGCCTTCCTCAAAGCGCACAAGCCCCTCTCGCCGAGATTGCAGCCCGTTGGGAGCCCTGGGGTCCCAATCACCCCAATGTCACTGGAGGATGAGTCGTACCTGACTCTCGGCTCGCCTGCAACTGGCATGGCTGCCCAGCCCCAGACCACGGAGGCTGGAGATGCCATGCGACCTGGCGAAAAGAAACGACAACGAAACAAATCCCGCTCCCCGTCCATTGGGCTGAGCGCTGTATCCGTTTAAAATTTGTCTCTCACTCGCTTTTTTTTTCATTTTTCCAGTCATTATGCATCGCGACAACGGCAACGCCTATTTGGTTTGCTTCTCATGGTTTGATACCCCCAGGTAGATCGGAACAGGGTTTTGGCATGTGTACAGCTCGGGTTTGGCGTTCTGTTTGTATTGTAAATATCCGGGACACATGGGTTCAGCACCAGCCAGGAGCAAGGACGAAGTTTAATACATCCCTCGGTTTAATGATTACGCTATTATCCTCGTCACTGATACATCACCCAATGAATAAACCCGTACCCTGACAACACTCGAAAGAACCAATCCAGAAGACCAGCAGAACTCGAAGCACGCCAGCTCGTCCAAGGCTAAGACTCCTCCTCAAAGTGCCCCTGCTGTACTGTTTTCCTGAGTCCAAGCAAAGAAAAAAAAACGGAAATGGAGGACAGAAAAAAAGGGAAAAGGAAAGAAAAATGCCCAGGCTTGGTAGCAACATGATCTGCCATTTCTACCCTAGGTTCCACTTCGTTCACCATCGACATCAAAGTGACTTGCGGCAGTAGTTGGCTGGGAAATTGCCGGTATGTCCTCGAAGTTCTCCTACCCACCTGAGGGAGACATGTCAGCCAAACGTTCAGGTCTTGAACTCCAAAATCGAGAGCGCCCCCTGAATGGGGGAAGAGCGCTAAGGAGGAGGGATGAAACACATACCAGTCCTGGTCCGTATCGGTCTTCCGGACTATTTTTATCCTATCGCCCTCCTGGAAGGAGAGGTCGCCTTGCCCCTCGCCGGCGAATGCGAACTGCGCGACCACCCACTCGTCTGGTGTCGCCGTTGGCACCCGTTTCGGCGGAGGCGGTGGGGGCTTCTTCTTTTTGGCCGCTAAGGCGTTGGCGGCAACTAAGGAGGCGGTCGACGCAGGACCGGGCTTGTTGAAGTAGTCCTGCTGCTTCCCTGACGTCACGTTCGGTGAAGTGCCATTGAATCGGTTCACCGCGCCGCCGCCTAGGATCGTGGCGGCGGTGAAATCGGTTGCGTTCGAGTAATCCGGCCGCTGGTAACGCGACGCCGAGGGTGTGCTGTCTTCTGCTGTTTGCGACGAAGCTCCCGACTTCATTCGTAGGGTTCGCGCTTGGACACCGGTGAGCAGGCTTGACGAAGTGCTACGGGCGCCATCGTTTGGGGCAGAGATAGGTTGATGTGCCGCCTTGCCGCGAGTTATGAAGCTGATGGACTCGACCTTGCTTCGGGCGGGATCGAATGCGGCATTCCATGTGCTGACCACATCTTGCATCGGCGGTGGTGGCGATGGAAAATCGAATTCCTCGCAGTAGTTGTGCAATGTCGTATAATACAATCCCAGCAGCCTGTTCTGAATCAGGACGAGATTGGCGACCAGAGGGCCCACCAGATTGAAGGCCGCGGTGATGATGGGGGGCAACGTCTCCCGAAGGTGTTCATCAGCAACGCTGAATTCCTGTTTCGCTGTCAGCCTTCGAATTACAACCCAGGGCTAAGGAGTCGTTTGGCTTTCTCACATCTGCCGTCCTTGACATCTCGGCGTCGGCCTTTGCTAGAGCTGCGTCCTCTTTTGCAGTCCGGCATGGCTTCCTTTGGAGCTTTAGCGCTTTCTCCTGTGCCATTTCGTAATCCAGTCGCTTGTTCTCCCGCTTCTTGATGGTCTTGCGGATGGGTGCGATGGCGCCCCGAGCATCGGAAGCGGGCTGTAAAATGTGGCCCTCGATCAGCGTGATCTCTTCCATCAGCTCCACTTTCAGCTCGCTGTACGCCTCCTTCAACCTGAAAGTGCGCTCTAGTTGAAGTTGAGGCGTAGCAGCGCCCTGTTGCCGCTCAGAGGAGGCGCCGACAATGGGGTCATAGAGACCTTCGTACTCGGAGACGGCCTGCAATTGGCATGTAACCAGACTAGCCCATGACTCCCTCCACATTTTCGCATCCTCAATGATCTAGATGCGTCTCAGTTCGGCGATGTCATGGTGAAGCTGGCGTCAGGTCCACGGGCCAACGTACCTTGGCTAGGACATTGTCCGCATCCTCGTAGTCGCTCAACAGGACAGAGACTTTGGCATTGTCTCCCGGACCTTTGTTCCGCAGCTTGCCGAACTGCCTCTGCATTGACTGCATACTGGAGCGGTGGCGAAGAGCAGAAAGGTTTGGCGGTAAAGTATAGGTGTTGGCTGCTTTGAGAGCAGTGAAGGGAGAAGCGGCACTGAGACCGGGTGAGTAATAAGTACTTCAGTTGAATGATGGTTAAAGGTGCATCTCTGATTTGATAGCGGTGAAGAAATATGTAAGTACGTTAGGTATGCTTCAAGTTGAGGATGCGGGATGAGAATTAAAACCAAAGATGAGAAGGCGAAACAGGCAAGAAATACACCCAATCAGCACGTCTGTCAATCCCATCCAACTTTGGCGGCACAGCCTCAGGCATTCGCTCCTTGCATATAAATACCTGTTGCAAGCGGGTTTGAACGTCTGAGTGACGTGCGCACTCCGCAGCTTGAAGGTTCCCATCGAAAGTGTTAGTACGGATTACTTAGTAGTACTGTACGTAAGTGAAGCTACACAGTGAGGGGTGCCTCAACACCAGAGCACAGCCTTGGAAGCTCATTAGGTGGCCGGTCATGCTAACGTTACTGTGTAATAAAGTTACCAAGGACACTGAGAGATGCGGAACCAAATGACAATCATGAAACGAAACGGGCAAGGAATGTTAGTTACATCTCTGGTGGGGCTTGGGAGATCTGCCAATTGGAATCGTGCGAGCTGCTTGTGGGGTGGCGTTGTGAGCCTTATGTACTGTGTATGTACTGTACGCAGGAGGAGTGGAACGAGTATCATGTGTCAGCGCGTCGTTAGGTACCTCGCTACACGCGCCTTCCTCAACTCGTGCACGGCGCCGCAGCCCATTCGCTCGCTCATTCGCCTGCTCAAAACAACAAAACGACGTCACCTAATCGAAGTCGGCAGACTGCAAGCTCTCTCAGGTCCAACAAACCCGGTGATGCGATGATGAAAAGATACCCGGCTTGTGAAACATGCCGTTGTCGTCCGCGATAGCCGGGAGGCCGGCGTCTATCGGGTTAATGGATTCCAGCGCCGTCGCCCGAAGCGCTCCGGTTTTGGAATTTGTGTGCTTGTTTACCCACGACCTCCGGAGAAAGCAGAAGAGATGGGAAGATGGTCGCCTCAGATACCACACGTTCAACAAGCGCGTTATGGTCTACGATGAGCGCGGCAATTTCGTCGGAGACATGCACTGGCAGCGCGACTGGGAATTCGACGAAGGCGAGGAAGTCCAGCTAGAGCGCGGAGGTGTTATTGTGCAGGTTGTAGAGTGCGTGGGACGCCAGGAACAGGACCTGTCTGAACTGTTGGACAGAAGAGCAAAGGAGAAGGAACAGCGTCAAACGCGGGTACCAGTGCGCCCCTCTCCGCCGGGAACTAGGGTGCCCGATCATTTTCAGACTCGGCACCGTCCCCTAAACCAGCTTCTTGGGACACCAACTGGCCACCACGGACGTGCTGTGGTCCCAACCGAGTCGCCGTTCGAGCTGCGCCAGAGGGCTAATGAGGCGAGCGACAGCCCCGCCGATCCGAGGGCCGCAAAGAGGAGAAAATGCGACGCCACACCACCAACCAGGCTGGGCTATGCTCAAAGCTTGTTTGGTGCGACGCTGTCTTTGTCGGCAGTGCCCATAAGCTCAGCTCCTCATCGGCGATCTACCGGACCAACATATCGGGAGCAGCCGGAGATGTCTTCACTGCAAGGAGAGCCAATGCCGGATGTCGAACCTGTGGGCGAAGACCGAGCGGTATGTGGTGGTGTGAGTTTACAAGTGAATTCCTCTAGGAGTAAAGCCATTGCCGCTCAATCACGGACCACCGTGGAAGTTCCTGGGCGGGCGAAGTTTGGGAAGGAAAAAACAAGCAAACCCGCTGCGGGACCCGTTGCTAGTGAACCTTTTAGAGCAGCAGTAACGGTGCCTCGAAATGGCAGCCCACCCGCAATGGGCATCAGCGATGGCCGTCTACGCTCATCTGGCAGTGCTCAGCCTCGGGCAGGTTCTGTCGGACAGGCTATAGTCTCCAAGACCTTTGAGAAAAACACAGGGTTGCGAGCCACGAACGCTATTGAGCCAAGTCGAGAGCAAGCCCAGCAGAACTCCTGCGTGACCGATAACCTAGGCCTCCGTACATCGCTTTCACAGGCGATAGTCCTGGAAGACGGCTCAAACCCAAGACCAAGCAGTCCTGCGAGCAACACGAATTCGACGCGTATAGCTCCAACAGCGGTAGGGCAGAGACCGCCAATACTTCATGCTTCATCAAGGGGGAGACCGAAGAGCACGGAAGCTCCAGAAGCCATGGAGGACCGGTCCAACGAGGCAAGGACAGAGCTGCGACTTAAGCCCCGGCAGAAGCGTGGTCTTCTGCTCCTTTCTGAGAAGAGGACCAAGACACACCACCTCAACCGACAGATTCCACTTGCTGAGGATGAAAGCCCCCTTTCAATACCTCCACGGGGTCTAACAAACGCCGTAGCCCCAGAGGCTGATCTTTCATCCGGCGCAAAGCCCGCTAACCATGAGGCGGCAGTGCATGAAGATGACCCGTTTGGGTCTTCAGCCCACCAACCTGGGAAACGCACGTCAGAGCTGCATTCGCTATCCGCCATGCGTGACCGGCCAGTTGCCCTCGAAGATCAGACTGGGGCCGAGAAGGTGTCTCTGATGCTGACCAATGCAGCCGGCGATAGAAGCGAGGATCAAAGCACAGCGGAGGTAGGACGCCGATTTGGGGGACCAACAAGTGATGACTCTAGAAACACCACCGATAGCGTCCTGCACCTGGCGGCTTCGCCTCGAAGCAGGAGAGTAAGACCAAGGAGCAAAGATTCTGCGCAACCTGACGCGAAATCGGGCGAGCCAACAAGTCCAAATCGGCGATGGGGCGTGAGAGATCTTGCTCAAAAATCGAGCAGAGCAAAACCTGCCCGTCAGACCCGCAGGATCAAAGACCCAGATGCCCAGGACTCAAACCTTTCAACCAGCGAGGTACCGGAGGCACAACTGGGAGACAGTGGCGACGAAGAGCAACCTGAGGCTCGTGTTGGTCCACGTCTTGCAAGACTCAGCAGGAAAGGTCTCAAGAGCAGGGAGGTCATTGGGTTTGTGCCTTCCAGCCCGCTTGTCTCGAATCCTGTGAATTCAGTGCAAACACTACCGAGCGTCAGCGGTTCCCGGATTGCGGCTGACACAGCGGCGGCCAACTGCGTTTCCGAGCCCGGAGGCAAGGGTTTGCTAGTTCCGGACAAGAGAAGACCTCTCGTGGAAAATCTTCAGAAATCCCTAGCGCCGATAGCATCAACGACGGACGCTCTGCCTGTCCTCCAGCGGCACAACTCGTTACGCCAGGATAAGGCTGGCGAAAGGATGGTCGACGAATCAAGCCAAGAAGCAGGTCTTTTTGCTGCGCAGCCATCCGATCACCTGCTCGACACTTCCAAGCGACACAACCTGGTCCTTTGTGAATCCAGTCCCTTGTCTGTAGGAAACGGCACAAATAAGGAGACAACACCATCGATATTCGCGCCTGAATCGAAGAGCACCGCCGCGATCGAAAAGGAGAGGTCCCCGACGATGAACGGGCCGGCCAGTGGAGCTCCAGAGAGAGCGGTTGTAACGAGCATTACAGCCTCGGTGTCACAATTGGACAGCTCGGCCACTCTGCCAGCAAGCGGCACGCGCAAAGTCGAGGGAGACTCTTGTGTAACGCAAGGCGCCGGCAAGCCGCTTCCGGAAGCTTTACCATCCGAGCCTGCCCGACCCAGAATCGCGAACCCAGCTACCCGAGGCCGGAAGGCTGCGTTGATGTCGGATGCGGCAGGCCAAGTGCCTCAATCCATCTTACCGACCGAGGCCGTCCCTGCCGCAACCCGTATGCGACCAACTGCGATGCCACAACCGGAGGCTGTTGCTCACGAGCGCCCCAAAAGAAAGATGACGTTTCCCGGTTTTACATCGGCCAGGGCTGGGGGGCCATGGAGCAGGGAGGCGCACGATTTGCTGGACAGTGCCCGTCCCGGGTGAACCTGTGGAGGCTGAAAGACCATTAACCCGGATGCAATTGTATAATTGGGCTTCCTATTATGGAAGCCGGACGTTGCTTGAACTGCATTCATGCGCTGAGGGGAACGTTGGAACCGCACTCTCTAGAATGCATGACAGCGAAATGCTCTAAATTCGCCTTGCAGAACAACGCAACACGTACGCTTTCGTTCAAATCCATCACTCGCCTACGTGCATCAGCCAACGGGATATACAATACCAGACCGATGTGGTTGGCTTGCAGTTTCTGGTCCTCGGCCAGATCGGCGGTATTTCTATTGACCCTGAACGCAATCTCTACTCACACCAGACGGGAGAATGGCCATGCGGACATCTTGCAGATGCCGGCGTGCCCTGCCGGCAAGTCCGGGGAAAAATACAATGGGTGTTTCGGTCTGTTGCGTGGTCGCTAGTGTTTCCAGATTGTGACTCAACAAGCAGAGACCTTAGCCGTCTTTTGGTTTTTGTTGCAATGTATGTACAGTACTAGTGGCCCGGTATAATAACACGCCTACAGGAGCGTACGTTGCTTCTATCCCCGGCCGTTCGTTGGGCAGCTACATAGCATCCGGGGTTCGCATTCATACATGCACGATTCTCCCACAGGCACCTGTCCTTGCTTGAGCGCTTCCCGGATTCTATTATAGCCCATCTCTAATCTTTCTGTACTACGGTGTACTACTGTACTTTGCAGGTGGGATCGTTGTCCGCTCCATGTCGATCTCGAAAACGGTGATCGATGGGCCCTGGGCTTTGAGACGGTGCTACCAACACTCCTCGACGCCTGATCCATTAGGTAAGTGAGCTCCATGCGCCACACCGGAGCATCGTTTGCTACGGAGGGAGGGAAATGCTGCCCCCAAATCCAGAACGCAGGACAATATAGAGGCGGTGAGCCCAGGGGATACCTAGTGGATACTCCACTGTTCTCAGAGTAGCCTTGGGTTGCGTACCCGTGGACATCCAAGGGCCCCTGGAAGTAATGGAACGTGCAGCAGATCGTAAGGCTGGAGGTTAAGTTGACGCGAAGCTAGCACCCTGGCCGTGCACCACTTTCCATGTGGGAACGGTCATGATGGGGAAGCGAGCCCGGGCCCTAATGGATTGGCTGGATGTATTGGTAGCGTCTCAGATCGCACATGTATCATCACGCCATCGGCCTCTCGGGCAAAGCACGGAATAGATCCATGTGTTGATCTCAGGGCCGGGCAATGTTGGGCAGCAGTGCTTGAACTCGTGGGGAAACCCAATTGACCACAACATGAGCCCCCTAGGCCCCCTCCTGTTCATGGTGCCTGTTCATTGCCCCGCCATGCGCTTATCTTATCTCCAATGGTAGCGCGGGGCAACATCGAACGGAATGTCTTTTCGCCCTCCGTCATCTCAATTGCCCAACAAATCTCTTGTCCGCGAACCATCCGACCAGGCCTCGAAAAGGAATCTTGTGTTCAAATTTTCACATGATGTCGGGTCACACGCTGGTGTGTCAATGCTGCCGTTGGCGGGACAGGGGAGCGAGCACCTTGGGCACCTAATGTGCATCCATACGTGGAGTGGCCTCCGAGCCGCCAACTCCAACCCAAAGTTCAGGTGCTCGTGCGCGATCTCGACACGCACGCTGCAAACCGAGCCATCTACCTCAAAATGTTGTACCGTTACTTACCGGTCTTCTTTTTCCATATGCCTGCAAGCACGTTTTCATGTTTCTCTCTTTAAGGCCTCGTCGCAACGGTGTTGTGAGAACCAAATTCCGAACTTCCAGGTTGCTGCTGGCGTGTCAGCGAGGCGCGTCCGCCTTTCGATCTGCCTTGCCCGGTGGTCAAGCACGATGACTACAGACTCATTTATTTGAACCCTCTCTACCCCGAACCACATTGGACTCCCACAGTTCCCCCTTTTACCTATATCATACTTGACTGTTGTCTCAATTTTGCTCCTCTCTATTTGTGCTCTATCCTGTTTTGTTCTGCTATTTCATCTCCTTGACACTGTCCGGCTTTCGTGGCGCCAGCCCTCGTCCACGGCAAGGCTCGCTCGTCCGGCACGACATGCCTAGGCCTCCGAGAGACCACTTCGACCCACGCAATGAATCCTCTGGCGCCATGGCTTCTCTGACCTCTGACCGAACGGGTGCCCTCAGCCGCCCAGTGCCAACTCCTGAGACGCAGGACCTATACAATAGATGGCGCGAAGAGGAGGAAAAGTTGACCCCGGAGTCATTAGAGCAGGTGCCAGAAGGCGCTTCCGATTTTCTACAGCTCCCCTCAGCCTCCACAGGAAGAGCCTCATCCCCGTCACGGTCCCACGGCAGCACTGCTCCATCCATATCCCAGGCCATGAGTGGCATGCAACTCGACCGGGACCGGTCACCGGTCAAGAAGACGGCATCTGGTCGGCACGGGCCACTGCCCAAAAAGAAGCAACTGAAAGCCGCGCTGATGCGTAAGCTGAAGGCCTGTGACGACTGTAGGAAGCGCAGAGTGGGAGTGAGCTGACCAGAATCATAAACCCCATTATTACTACCGTCTTTGGCTAACTGTTGCCCAGTGTAACCACCTCGACCTGTCTCTCTTCGAGGCCGCATACCAAGCCACCAAGCCAATAGAAACCCAACCACCCGATCCTCCGTATCAGTCGCCCTTGGGTGACCCAATCGATCTGCTTGGTGTCGGCGCAAGCCAGGACTTCGCGAGTTATCCAGTCCCGCTTATACAAGTGCCTAGAACTCCGGGCGGGACGAATGAAGCTCTCCTGGACCACGACCTCATATTAGAGCCCAGAGAGCATCAATATTCTACAGTTCCGCCGCACCTGGCATACCCGCTCGCGAATGTCGACTCAATTCCACAGTATCGACTTGCCACCTCGGCCCAGAAAGTGACAATGGCTCAGTACCAAGCTGATCCCGCCCTCCAGAGCATGCGCTCGGCCATTGGCATGCCAATTGGCAAACAAGTATCGTCGAATGGGCAATGGGATTGCTCTTGGGGCAGCGAAGAATGCGACTCCTCTGTGTCAAGCGGCGGGGTGCCGTGCTGCCGCCAACGTTGCATGACGTTGGAAGAGTTAAAGATGCACTTCCAGTCGTCCCATGCGTCGTTTCATGGAGACTGGTCCATGTGGCGATGCACCTATTGCAAATTGGATGATGCGAAACCGACTGGGCGTTGCCCTCAATGCTCCAACCCATACTGGCAGCGGTGGCATTGGGCCAACGTGGGCGTCATGTCAGGACAAACGTCAAGACTTGTCAGCCGCGTTCCCACCGAAGATGCGTCGCCGTCAAATCGGTCCTCATGGACCAACCAGTCGGCGTACTTCTCACACCCAGGTGGAGGCCACAGCGGCTCCTATACTTCGTCCTGGGGTTATGGGTATGGAAACGCTTCGGGCCAACCATCTTGGACCGCCCAAGCGGCCGCCGCGTGGCGTGATTCAGAGCAGCGTGCGTCTTGCTGTGAGAAGTCCCCCCTCACGGTTTACCGCTCGGTCAACCCTCTGGGCAAAGATGTTTGGTGGTCTCTGGTTAATGACGCTCCCAGGACTGTCTTGATCACACACGCCTGCCCCGCGGTTGTGGTTCTCGCTGTCTTCCTTATCGTGATAATCGACGACTGGCTGTCCAGCGGCACTTTCGGTGGCGGGTTCAAGCAGATGGTTGCTGAGCTCGCTTCTGACATCATTCACAACGTCGGAAGTCGGATCCCGGAGGTCTCGATCGCGTGCATTACAACCGGGTTGTTTTCCTCATGGTTGGTTCGACATGTTATGGTTCGTCTAGGTCAGCATCATAAAGCGGAGGTGTGCCTCGACAGCTTGATTTCCCTCCTTGACGGGACGCTGACCGACACATAGGCGCATGAGCGCTGTTTGATGCGCGATGTTTTCAGCATCTCATCTGCAGATCGGAATCAATCTATTCCGGTCGCTGCCGATTAGCAGGTCGGACACGTCGTCAGCGACAGAATATATATATCGAACGACAGTATAAGGCGAATACAGGCGCCGGCGACATTTCGATACATTATTCCATTTGTTTTTGGATTTCGTGAAGCATTGTTTCTTAGCTCTTTTTGCTTTATGCCCTGCCCTCTTCGATTGGTATCGGGTGGATGGGTGGTCAACAAACTACTGCCTACTGTCTTGGCGAGTCCTGATTGTGCTTTGGAGTTTTGGAGTTTGGGGGGTTACGTTCCTGCAGAATGCAGGTTTGCGGAAGTCTTTTGTCATGCCACCCTCGAGAGGAATTGAACAAGCAGATCGCTAAAGATCTATACGATAAAAGGACGTTTGGCGCATGATGGAAAGCTCCGAAGTTGGATCGGAAGGACCGGCGTATTGGGAAGGATAAAAACAATGGCCTGTTTTATAGAGTAGACTGATGGACGACTCTCAGAGGCCTGGACGCTTGAGCAATCGACGCACTTGCTTTCGTGACTGTCCCTGGTATCTCAACATCTCAAATTGATTGCCGCGGATGTTTCCTAACAAGATGCGAACAGCATCAGCTATTGAGGTGGCTTCGACAATCGCTCAGATGAGTCTCGCTGCACTGCCACAGCTGACACCACCAACCATCTATGGTGTTCAAGCACATGCAGTAGGACGGCAGCAACCTCATACAGTCTTCTCCAGGAAACCCGTATGGACGATAGGTCCTCAACAAGATTCAGTCACTGCTGATCTGGAGTGAAGAGCCATCGAGCACACTTCATCGCCAATCAGCTCATGGGATGCCTTGTCGAGCCGAGCGATACAGTTTGAGACTAGGTAGCCTAGCCAGGAAGGATGCATCTTTGACTCATTCAGTTGTATGTATGATACTGTGATCTCCTTATTCGTAGTGAGTAGTAGCAACAAAGGGGTGGATTACAGACGGTGGAAAGTCTGACTCTGCATCAGACCACGAATTCGTAGATCTAAGGAATCAAGGATCGCGTTGGAAGTAACCTCCCCGGTGGGGCATTTTCCAGGACGTGAACATGACCCACCTTCAACACCGTAGGCACCTATGTGCTATACCACAGCTCATCAGCAGTTTGTCAACCTCGTGAGGCGCCTGTCTGCAGGACCATGCAGATTTTTTGCGGTTACCCATGACGAGGCTATCCACCGATTGGAGTTGAGGGCGAGAAGTGTACGGAATACTCGATCTTAGACCCTCCCTCCACTGCACGGAATCGCAAACAAGACTGCATCACGGTGTTGAAAGTTTTAGGAGGATGAGACCCCGTATCCAACTTCTCTCAATTGAATGCAGAACGCAAACCGGTGCCGACAACCACCTTCCTGATAGGTCAGCGAAATTGTCTTTTTGACTCATCTACCCCGGCCAATTATCCGTCGTCACGCTGGTGCGCATCTGCTCCTGTCAGACTGGTTTCGTCCGTCCGATGGACAGTGGGGCCGTTGTCCGCAGATACCGCTCGCCGTGCTCCGCAGCCATGCAAGCCACTTTTCCGCTGCAATCTTGGGGTAGCTGGTACGGAGGAGAGTGGAATATTCTGTAGCCCGGAGGAGCTATGGATGGGATAGATTGGGTAAACCACGTCTCGTTCTTGACTCTCTGGTTTCGGACTCTCGTAGAACAATGGACGTTTCAATATTTTTACATTAACCGGCAAGTCATACTGCATTGGCCTCCAAGAGAGAATTGCCCCAGCGGTCGAGAACGGGCGGTTGCGCAGAGAATTGAGCGGCTTCAGGTACCCGTGCCGCCGGCGGGTCGGGGCGCACTATCCCTAATTCGGCTCGCCGAACGACTGGGGGAGACGACTTTCGCTGCGCCTTGAATCACTTGCCAGTTCTCGCAGCTCGACCCGTGAGGACGGAAGTGAAATATCGGCCTGACTCCTCGGGACGCGCTTCTGCCCTTCTTTCTCTTTCTTCCTCCATCTGAACTCTGTCAGTGCAATTGCCCAACTGGTATCAGCCTGTTTTGGTGCAACTCCCCTGAGGCATTACCTCAACAGAGAACAGAGAGAGCTTCGCTTCGAAGACCTGGTGTTCCTGCCTCGACTCAGCCTAGCAACCTCACCGTTCACAGACTCGACCATATTCGAGCTGCGAATCGAGCTGGGCCCAATTGCTTCCTTCAAGTCAGGCAATCGTGCTTTGTAAGCAGGATCACTTCAACCTGAATCACCCAAGAGCCGCCATACCCTGCACAGCAGCTTTGCTTGAGCCAAGACTGGTGAAGTCTTGTGACATCTTCGCCATTTCCGACACCTATTCACTTTTGGCTCCGTGCTCTACCCCTGACGGAACATTGCCGATGGCTGCCGAAATGGCCCGACACGGCTCCGTCAGTGCCTTTAGCGGGTTCTCCGTGTGCCAGCCGGCACTCGGAGCTGCCCTGCAGTGGCTCCCCGCTATTGGCACCCCCGAACTCGACAGCATGATCAACGCTTTCCTCCCCGGCCCAGCTTCAATCCAGGACAAGCGGGCACACATCGCGATGGACTTCTTCGAGTACTCCCGCCAGACAGGAGAGAATCTCAAGTTTTACCCCGTTCCCTCTGCAGCTTCTTTCACCCCGGTCACTGCGTCTCCGGCCACCTCCCTCTACGACTCGGGCTACGCATCGAGCTTCAACCACTCTCCAGTCCTGTCTGACCACGGCTCGTGGACTCAATCCCCTGCTCCGCTTGCGCCGGTGGCATCGGATGCCAGGACAAAGTCCCGCTCTTCTGGGGCGAAGAAGTCGAGCGCTTCTACGGTGGACTTCTCGAACCATCCCGGCATGCGCATCCTGACCAAAGACGGGCGGGACATCACTAACTCGGCTTCCCGCGGCTGCAAGACCAAGGAGCAGCGAGACCACGCCCACCTCATGCGGATCATCAAGGCCTGCGACTCGTGCCGCAAGAAGAAGGTTCGCTGCGACCCTAGCCACAGGAAGCGCAATGCCTCGCAAGCCTCGACTTTGGGAGGCGAGCAGAAGCCGGCCAAGAAGCCGAAGAAGGTAGAAGAATCACCTCCAATAACAGCGGCTGATCCCACCGCCGAATTGCTTGCGGCACATGCCTTCGACACCTCTGAGCCCACGCTCTCGTTCGCAGCGATCGATGCTGGCTTTTCCCAAGAATTCGACGACTTCTGGAATGACATTGTCACATTCGAGGAGCAGCAAGTCACAGTTGCTGCTGAGCCCAGCTTTGACGACTTCGTTTTCGACTCTTTCACCGACCCACAGAACTTCTCGCCAAGCTCTGGTTCTTCCTCCACTTCGCCGTCGCAAATCTTCACCCCCTTCACGCCAGCACGTTCCGGCGCATCTCCCAACGTCGTCTCCGACTCTGTGTTTGATGTTGCAGGCGAATTCTCCATTGATGATCCGACCGTTCCATATCTCAATCCGGGTGTTGCCCATGGCACCAACTACGTCGACTTCAATCTCTATTCGCCGGGCCCTGAAGTCTTTGACGAGGACCCTGTTCTCCAACTACGGGATCTCGCAAGCCGACAGCAATCTCCACAATCGGAAGCCTTTGCCTTGGAGTTTAGCGTTCACAATTCACCACACACCACCACGACGGGCATCGCCGAGAATGTGTCCATCTCTCCGGTGACATCCACAGGCGAACACTCTGGCGGCGCTGGCTCGATCGTTACTGCATCACCTGGCGACGTTGCTTGGTACTACGATACAGGATCGAGCCTTGATGGCCTCCAGCGCGACAACCGTCGGTCGCCAACCAAGAGGCGACAGAAGACCAATCACAACAGGTCTGTCGGAGAGGAGGGCGGTGCCCGTCACTCGCCTACTGATGGGCAACCGACTAGCCACCTCGGATTACACGACGGTCATGACGCGGGCATCGCAGGACTAATCCACTCTTCGTCAGCCGCTCTCTGCGGATCTCCTTGCAGAGCCGTTGCCAGCACTGTGTTTGCCAGCATGTCGCAGTCGTCAGTTAGTCCGAGCCCGTTGCCTCGACCCAGGAGGATAGACACCGCGCCCGCTCCCGGATCACCCTCATCACTCGGCGGTTCAGCTGTCTCGACCAAGACCACCCAGCCTGACGTCATTTCTTCGCCCGCGGAATACTCGCTGCCTGCCGTTACGGCATCGTCAGCGGCCCGCCATCGGTCACACAAGGCCGTTGGCGAGAAGGTGGCTGCGGTCGTTGCACCGTATGACCAGAACTGTGTGAACAGCACTGTGTCAAGACAGCTTCCGACCGGCTGCGGGTCCGGGTCGTCTTACCTCCATGACAGGCAGCATGTTGTCCATCAAGACAGCGTTGCTGCAGTCAATGCGGTTTTGGCGACCATACCGTTCTCAACCCTGCCGACGCGGCGTAACGTTGCTGGGGACGATGTGAAGATCAACTTCAACACATTGTGCTTCCAGCTTGCCGTGTTCGGTCTTGTCTCGCTCCTCTGTGCTTGTGCTGCCCTGCAGGCACACCTGGCAAGTCAAGCCACACTCGTCAACATCATTGGCATCACATTCATATCTCTGGCCCGGTTCGCACCTCGGTGCTCCGGGCCGTCGAGCGCGACACAGGTCGCCTCGGAAACCTTGCTATCACCGACGTCGTCTGGAATGATTGACAATGTCAAGTCGAAAATACAGGCCGTTGTCACCGAGAGCTCGAGGCAGCTTCGGTGTGCGGCGTCCGACCGGGCGAGGAACATTGTTCCAAGCTTTGCGCCGGTGCGAGGCCTGAGGTTTTAACACCTCGGTTGCTTTAGCAAGTGTTATGATTTGTTTGTGATGTTCCTACCGTTAGCGAGTGCATTTTGGCTATGATACCCCGGGTCGGATTTTGAGACATGTGGTCGTCCTCTTCTCTTCCTCAACGTGTATGTTATCTTCGGGCTGGCTCTGGCGGCCAGCATGGGAGCATGGTCTGTGATGATGGAATGGGGGAGGACGAAGCTTTTGATGGACTGTGGAGGACCTGACACTTGGGGACTCGAGCTCTTTTCTCCCTGCCATTGTTCTCGGAGCAAGGTAGTAGTACTGGCTCAGTCCTTCGGGCTTGACAATTGAAGGTCCTTTGCAGGCCATCGTAAATTTTACCGGTCCGGTCCCTTCGTGCAATTGTGATTGTGGTCATATGTGAAGATGCCGTCGAATTGTACCAAAGGATGCAACAAGACGGGTTATGCAAGTGTCTGCTTGGTTGATTTTATCGGGGTTGACAGTATCACTGGGACCCACCTTTAGTTTTCTTTGCTCGCTGTTCCGTCTCACGGCTTTTTTTTTGTGTGCCATGCCATGTGTTCAGAGGATGCCACTGAACTCTTCCTTGCATGGAAGGGACTACGGTAACGAGCTCATCTCAGGAACCCGTATAAACACTCCCAAAGCAAGTGTGACTGCTGAGGACTTGCTCCCAGCTCCCGAACGCAAAGGCCATGAACACAAACCACATCTTTTACTTAGACCATCTCTATCGTCACGCAGTTGACTCATGAAACATCTTTATGGCAGTATCTGCTATTCACAAGCTTGGATATCCAGGTCCTTTTTGACACGCAGCTAACCGGCTGTAACTGTGCTGGCGGTGGAGCATAACAGTTCGAAGGGTGGCGAGAAAGAAATGGCAGTCGCGATCTTCAAAGACCTCTGGGCCATTGGCCTCAAAACATCTGCATTTGTGCAGTCGCTCTTTCTGTTTCCTTTCAATTTTTTACTCAGAGCAGTGGATCGCTTTCCGCTCGGACGCAGACCAAACCAACCACTGCTCCCATGCTCGACATCTGGATCTGCATCCTCCTCCTCTGAGCAAAGTCAAAACACCGGCGTTGACGACGTCCACCGCTTGAACGGTAGCGATATGACGGTGGCGAATGAGCCACCAGGTCAGAACCCATCAGTCTCTAACATGGCTGCAACTCTTTCGCAGAATCCTTCTTCCGGGAAAGAGAATCGCGCTCCTTCAAAACCGTCCAGGACCACCGACGACGCCGGGCTTGTTGACGGTATCTCGCGCTTGAAATTAAGCCAACCATCAACCCCCGTTGAGGATGCCATCAACGGCTCTCTGAGCATTGCGCAGGATGGGGCTGGCAACAAGACGGTGCCGAATGGCACCTTATCACAGCCAACTCGGCCGGACGACATCAGCAGCAGTACTGTGAGGGAAGTTACGCGGTCATCTCCGGTTCCGCTGAAGCATTCGGCCTCTTACACCAATAAACTGAATGGTATGACCACCACGATGGATATGGGCGGCCAAACGGTACAGATCCAGGCCAAGGTCGAGACGCCCCAGCAGGCAGCAGAAAGGGCCATGCACAGCCGGTTTATGAGGGAGGCTCTGGATATGGTAAGTCCCTTTCATCCGACCTTCGTTATGGTCACAATGCGATGCTCAGTAGCTCCAACCTTTTGCTAACACTTATCATGTGCAGGCTAGACTCGCCCTCAGGACCAATGAGACTCCTGTGGGCTGCGTTCTCGTCTACAAGGAGCGAGTGATCGCGAAAGGCATGAACGCCACGAACGTCACCCGCAACGGAACCAGGCATGCTGAACTGATGGCGATTTCGGCGCTCCTGTCCTATTCGCCCGCCTCTGACCTCGAGCGGTCGACAAATGGCACTCTTGCGAAAGGGGCCGCAATCAAGGCGCCCCTTGGCGACAGGACGAACGAGTCGCAGCCCACGGAGACCAGCAGTTGGGGTGACGTGGATCCCAGCGACGGGCATCTCTACCCTTACGGCCAAAAGCTTCATCCGTCCCCTCGCGTGGATCCGTCAGTCATTAGGGAGTGCACCCTCTACGTCACAGTCGAGCCGTGCGTTATGTGTGCCTCGCTGCTGAGACAGCTCGGGATTAAGAAGGTGTACTTTGGCGCGGTCAACGACAAGTTCGGGGGTACCGGTGGCGTCTTCCGGATCCACAAGAATTCCCCGTACTCGATGGCCTCGGCACCTCCGTCGCCTGTACCACAGGACGGCAGAGGCCTTGCGAGGCCAGCTGTCGAGCATCGTCCAGCGTCGGAAAATGTTATCACACAAGAGCGGGACATAGTGCAAGACGAGGCCGAGGATACCACGGGCAATCTCGCTCCGTCTTTCGTTGCACCGGCCGACCTCCCCGGTGACGGCGGTAACATCGAGCGGGGGTTTGAAGCCGAAGGAGGCTGGGGCAGAGACGAGGCTGTGACTTTGCTGAGGCAGTTTTATGTCCAAGAGAACAACAGAGGTTGGTTGTGACGACGCCTTCGTTTCCACCTCGCGTGGCTACTAACATGATGGCAGCGCCAGTCCCAAGGAAGAAGGAAGGCAGGGCCGCCCGTCTTGCGGCCATGATGGAGCGCGACGGTCACGCGGGCGGTTCTATGGCTGCCTCTGGAATTCGGCCGAAGTTCCCGGAGGGGTCGCAGACAAGCGGATCCGACACGCAAGAGTCCGCCGCTGAGGTCGCTGTTGAGCATTCCGCCGCAGGGGTTACTATCGAGCCGTCCGCTGCTTAGGTTAAGCCGAGAGTCAGCGAGCTTTCGCCCCCAGCTCTCACACTCATCACCTCACGTCGTACCCGGCATTCTGCAGAAGTGGCATATTCAAGCACGACTGAATATACGAGGGAAGAATCCCTGCTTGCTCAAGCCGGCGGGCCTTCTTCATCCAGCTGGCATCCGGCATTTCGCTCTTCTTTTGAGCTGTACAGAGGTGCGTTGAGCCTTCCCATGCAAGAGACTGGTGCAGTCGGTGCTGATATTCTTGTGACAGTGGTCATCGTATCTTTGCCGTGAAACGGGTGCGGATCAGGGACGCTTACATCAGTTGGAGAATTTTGGCATGTCGATCCATCATGTTTATCCACTCGCTGTATGTACTCCTATGGCCTGGGATCGGACGTTGACGAGTCATCTTATATGTCCGGCATTATGCGCCTATATGAGAGAGCATATACCATTCATAGATGGGTCTCGTGGCCTTTCAAACACATTTCTGATTCTCCCCAGCCGCTTTCTCTCGTTCTCACTGATGTTGCCGCGCACTTAACCTGCCCTCCAACTCCACAACGATGCGCTCACCCCAAACCTTCGCCCCTCCTTCCCTTCCCTTCCCAGCCTCCTCCGAGAAACTGACTCGTCCCCGCCACCACTCGAGCCAGCTTTCTGCCCTCGCACCTTCTCCTGCCCAAAATAGCCCAGCGCTGACGTCGATCAGATCAGGCCGGAACCGGTCGTGCCAGAAGACAGTCGCGCCGCAGCGCGCGCAGAACTCCCGCATCCGCCCTGCGGACGACTCGTACTGTCGCAGCAGCGACACCCCTTCTTCGGGTAGATGGGCGAAGTCCAGGGGCTGGTGGTGGTGGTGCTCGGTCGACTCGGGAGACGAGGAGGAGGAGGAGAAGGAGGAGATGAGGATGTTCCGGCGCGGGATGAAGGCCCATGTCTGAATCTCGAAGCCCGACGTCAGGCGGCAGCTTGGGCAGGCGCATGTTCCTGCTAGATACCGTGTGCTGGTCGCGTTGGAGTCGGGCTGGGATAGAGGGTCTGTGGTCGACTCGGGACTGTCGTGGGTAGTAGTGACGGATGAGGGGGAAGGGGAAGGGCGAAGGTACCATTTCTCGCGGGAAGGGTTGGCCACCTCGTCGGATGGGGTGCTGATGTATGGTAGGAGGAGGTCGGGGTAAGGCGAGTCTGGATTGACGGAAAGATCTGAGGACGGAGGAGTGATTTGGAGTGAGATGGATTTGCATTGGCATGAGGCGGAAAGGATGCTGCTGCTGCTGCTGCTGTTGTTGTTGTTGCTGCTGTGCTCAGGCTGGGAAGGCGGGGTTGGTGAGGTGGTGATGGGAGGCGGGTTCGGGAGCCATAGTGCTAGGCCACCGTCTCTGGTGTCGTTGACATGTAAGTGGTGCCATTGCTCGGGTATCTTGGAGTTTGGGGCGTCGATGATAGTTCCCGTAGCTACCTCCCATGACCAGTCCTCAGGGAGCGCGGATGGAGAGCGGCGGGTGATCCGGAAGACGTGGCATCCGCATTTCGAGCAGAAGTACCGGATTGATATGGGCGAGGTGGAATAGCTCTCCAAGCCGACGATGGATGGAGCAGGGTGCGGCGAAATAGGGGTATAAGAAGTGCACAGAAGGCCTGTGATGTGACGGCAGGTGTCACAGTGGCAGAATGACGCGCCGGAAAAGAGGTCTTGGTTGGCAAGGGGCGCTAGAGTCTGCCGGGCAGCGCCGCAATGGCATGAGATAGTGAGGGGCATATTTGAAGCTTCCATGTTAACAAATGTCTTTTCGATTTCAGGTGTTTGGACGGCGCGGCTCAGGGGGACAGATCTTGGACTAGGTTCTTGCCAGAAGCACTTATACTGCCATCACAAGTCGTGCAAGTGACCCTGGCCCGCTGTTACGGGCCGTTACAGGCCGACAATCAGCCGACATACGGTCCGGCGTCCCGACCATTCACTGAGGGAGTGTGGGACACCGCCGGCAGGCACGTGTGTCCTGCAACCTGTCCGAAACCTAACTTCGACAATAGGAGACACAATTCCCTCACTCAATGCGTGTCGCATTCAGGTCCAGGCCCCGAACAAGCGCATGCATATTACCGCGACTCGGATGGTATAGTAGTAATGCACTGCTAACAGCTGCTTGACGAAAACTGAAGTTACCCCCTATTGGGTTGTTTACATTCGTTGCATGGAACGGAGTCCCGTTTTTCTCCCAACCAAGAACATTGACCTCAGCCAACACTACGGCAGAATCGATCCAGTTCCACGATCAGCTGTCAGATCGACGAGGTTGCCCCTCCCAGCTAGGTACAAGCCAAGGCACCCAGCTCCACCAGGACAAGTTGCTGTCGGCAGGTGAGGTTAGGGCATGTGGTGTTGCAGCCTCTCGGTCTCATCATGCTCTAGGGGGGGCCTTCACTGCCCATAGCCTGCATTCATGGACGACGCGGCCATGGGGCCTCCCACTCACAGTCTTCATTTTGCAAATGAGGACAACCCTGTCAGCAACGAGGTGCCCGACACCAGCCTCAGGCCATAGACCAGTTACAGCGTGTGCAAGACACCGCAGGGCAACCCGAGGGGACATCCACTCCGACTGTCGAGGAGGTATCCTCAAGAGAAAGGCGAAGCGACGCACTCGCAGATGCAAAACAGCGCAAGGAATGCCTTCGTCATCGCTGTACCCAAAGCCGCCAAAGATAAAACTCCGGACAGGTTGCAGATCTCAGTGCTGGTCCCAGTGCCGGTCCCAGTGCCGGTCCTTTCGACAAGAAAGTGGAACAGTTCTTCGGGATGAATGCTGGCCGCCGAGGTCTCTGTTGACATCCCTCCCTTGTCATCGAGCCCCCTTTTTAGATGCAGCTAGCATCGCGTTTCCTTCGACTTCCCAGTTCTGAATCTTCCCGTCAGAGGGTTGACCGGGCTGTGTTCAGGGCGAGGGCGCCAGGGATGGCTGCATAGGGCACGATGCAGCACAGGGGCTTGCGATCGGAACGCATCGCTGGATTATGTATGACAAAATCATCCCTCAGGGGAGATACAGGGGCTTAGCCAACGGCACCCTTTTGTTATACCGTCTTCTCAGATCGCCCAGTGGCGGCAGCCGTGTCATTCTCCGATCCAGATGTCTTGCCATCGACGTTGACCGCCACTCCCTCAGCCTCGGAGACAGACCCGCTGTGGTTGGCGCGCCAGAAGTCCTTCTTCCCGCTCGCTAACCGTCCCATCCACGGCGGCATAATACCGCCTTCCGTCCGCCATGTCCATGGTTCCTTCAGATCCTTGTTGGGCGGCACGATGCGGCCGCCGCTCGCCTTTTCGATGATCCAAACTAGGGTGTTGATCAGGATGTACAGACAGACGCCCGCGATCAAGCCGTCGGCGATCGAGTACGAGAAGGGCATGATGGCGATAGTCACAAAGGCTGGAAGCGAGTCGCCGAGGTATTTCCAGTTGATATCGGTCACAGCCTGGACCATCATGGAGCCGACCAGGACCAGCACGCAGCCGGTTGCCCAGGGCGGGATCGAAGCGAAGATGGGCGCAAAGAAGATTGAGATGAAAAAGCACAGCCCGGTCGAGATAGCCGTCAAGCCCGTCTTGCCGCCTTCGCCGATACCCGCACCGGACTCGACGAATGCCGTGACCGGTGGAGTACCCATCACGGAGCCAATCGAAATGGTCAATGAGTCGACCATGTAACTGAAATGCATCAGTGTCAGCATTATCAGCTCAGCAAAGCAAAGCAAAGCAAGCAATTACAAAGGAAGAGGCACTGGGGGAGGTACGTACGCCATGGTAGACCCCTCGAAGTCCTGAGTGACGGGATCAACGAGGTTGGCGTACCGAGCCATGGAATAGAGCGTGCCGGTGCAGTCCAAGATGTCCACATAAAGGAAGGTGATCAGGGCCAAGCCGAACTGTCCGCTATAAGTCGACACATCCCAGCGCTGGACATTCAGGACATTCTGGATCGGGTGGAAGTCAACGACCTTCTTGAAGAAATCGAAGTTGGCGTTGCCGAGGTCGGTGTAGGGGAAATAGGTGACAGGCGTGGTGCGCGGCCACGAGATGACAGAGACGAGGAGGATACCGGCGATGATGGCGCCCTTCACCCGATACATCAACAGCATGGCGGTGAAGACGCCGCCACAGAAGATGCCGATCCACATGGACGGATTGCGCATCTTGACGCCATCCGGGCACTGGCCATCCTCGCCCAAGTACTGTTTCTCGCAGCCCGCCAGCGCGATGGGCACAGACGTCCCGCCGACAACGAGGCCAATGCCCTCGGCATATGTCAGGCCGATCAGGGTCAAGAAGAGCCCAATCCCGACGCTGGTCGCCAGCTTGATGCAGCGCGGGATGATGCGGGCGAGCCACTGCCGCATGCCGAGAAGAGCAAGGGCGAAGAAGATGAAGCCTTCGATGAAGATGGCGGTCAGGGCGACATTATACGGCACCGGGCCTGATCCATTCTTCCCAACGACAGTATAGGCGAAGTAAGCGTTCAATCCCATCCCAGGGGCGATCCCCACAGGCCTGCGACCCCAAGTGTTAGTACCTCTTGTCTCGTCTCGTGGTCTGGTCTGGCATTTGGTGGACGTACATGTTGGCAAACAACCCCATGCAGAATGTTCCCAAGGCAGCTATGGCGGCCGTGGCGGTTACAAGGTCCTTCTTGATCTCGGCAGCGCACAGATTATACTCGGTGTCGTTCAGGCACGGTGGCTGTCCAGCAACCGGCGGCGCATTGCACACACACGTGCCTCCCGTGTCGGCAACGATGCCGGCGTTGACAGCAATGATGTAACTAAGAGCAAGTCTGTGAGCACTGGCTCCCTTGACCTCGGACCCGAGGCATACAGAGCTCTTAACAGGATGTAACTCACGCCATGGCAAAGAATGTGGCGAGACCAGCGCGCATCTCCGTGAAGAAGTGCGAGCCTTTCCTTTCTTTGGGCTGTTTGACCAGCCTTTAGCACAACCTCCAATGTCAAACATGGCTCAACAAGCGCTCACATGTCCACTGCCATCCAGCTGGAACCAGTAGCCGACCGGGCTGGCCGCGATCCGCCGGTTGGTCTTCTCAATCCAGCCCATCCTGCCGGTTTCCTTCAGAGCAGCCACTCCAGAGAAGCTAGGTGTCGGGTAGTAGAGCAAGTTGGGGTTGAAGAAGGAGGGGGTGGGGAGCGAAGCTTTCAGCAAAGCTCGGGTGAAGAGGAGCACTGCTGAAGAACTTGAAGCTCTAATCCCAAAGTTGTAGGTGGTCATCCATCTTTATTAAAGACGCCAGAACTGGTCCCCAGTTGCGATGGAGTAAAAAAAAAGGCGCGAAAAATCCTTATCTCTGGGCCCGGCCATTCGGAGACGGGGCTGCCCATCTGATCCCACATTGGGGTGGCCACTTACACGGCAGGGACCGGCTTTCTCCCGGTCAATGCCTTGCTATACCGACGCCAAGTTGGGTGTTCGAGAAAAAAGGAATGCATGTTGCTGCACCCCACCTTCACGTCAGGATCTGCATGGAGAGAAGCAAGTTGCCCTGCCATCCCGCAGGCGCTTCAACCCGGCTTCAATCACTTGTTCATTAACGCGGGGAACGGGTGACCAAGGCGTCTTTGGCAAGCCTGTGGCGATTCATGTACATAGGTGGTGTTCAGGGGCGCCTGTTGTATCCACATGTTCGGCTCGGTCCACAAGTAAAAGGAAACTATCGTGATGAGGATCATGAATTACAATCGGGTTTTCCTATCAAGTAACTAAACGCTGCCAACTGTGATTGGGACAGCATTCAAATCTTTCCTGAAACGATTCTCGCAGCTTATCTCCACTATCAAGAACCCTGAGCTGACCCTCGGCTAGCCCATCCACGATCGGTGCCAAGTCCGCAAAGACGTTAAACCCGAAAGAGCTTTCTTCAAGGGAAAACGCGGTGCAATTCCCGGCCTGATTCGCGGAGCCGCTACTACTGCCGGGGGATAAAGAGATAAGACCAGCAGTAAACAGGAGCGGGGCGCCCCTCGGGGACGTCGCTGGCACGCGACAGCGTTCTGTCTTATCAGTCCGCATGAGAAGAGCTGAGCTTTGAGATGAATGAAACCTGCCCTGCGGACCGATCCGATACCCCGGGTTGCTGCGCGTCAGGGCGACCGCCGACGAGACCCCCCACTGATTCTGACAGCGGCCGGCGGCCTACTCCGACTGTGCCATCCCGAGGTGATACTGCCTGGGAGTTTGAGACATTCCAGTGCCAGTGAGACACAACCTCGTGGAAAGCGTGTTCTGATAACGGTAATTTAATCAGCGGGTGACACGGCGGCGCTAACCCGGACAGCCAACCCACAAGGCCCACCCGTGCTCGTGCTTCGGGCGTGCCAGTGGAGCGTTTATTGGTGTAGTTATTTCTTTGCCGGGACCTCGGCTCTCCATATAATCCGTACCATTACGGAGTCCCTTACGTGCTCTGCTGTGCGGCTCGGAACCGCTAGGAGCTTCAACATACTAGTATCGGACCTGATACACAACTTTGACTGCCGTATTCCAAAAACCGTGCGGTCTAAAGCCCAGATAATTGCATTATCACGTGAATGTGGTTCGTGCAGACCTCGTCGGATAATCGTAGTATCGGGTGTTGCATCTTGCCGTAGTCTAGGTATCTAGCTAACCGGAAGTGCCACCCCTTAACCCGGACTTCTGCCTGCAAGTTGCAAGTTGCATCCGAGTCTTTGACACGATATTCCGGCACTGATCCTCTCACTAGTACCTGAAAAAACCGTCCGCCGAGCAGAAGCGGTGTCAATATGGTATGGGCCCAGAACTATCTGAGAAACAAGTTTGGGCCGTGCTGGCCAGAACTCGGGGAATCTGGTCGCCGCTGAAGCTGCCATGATTCACGACGAAGAGCCAAGATACCAGGTGCTAAAATCATATAAGTGAAGTATGCTGGCCCGGGCAATAGAGCACAAAGCAAACTCAGTCAACATCCCCGGACAAAGACGAAGTGATTAGCCACCCACCCACACACCGCATCCCACATCCCGAAGGGCTTCGCCGGCACCAGAGCCGTGCCCTAGACGTCACCTTCAAGACGAGACTCACGATCCCCAAAGACGTGACGGCCGCCCTTCCACTTCCACTACACCATGGTTCAGTTGGTTCAGTTCTACAGCAAGCCAACAGACCATGATTATGCGAGTTGCCGGAACTTGTAATCAACGAATGCCGTTGACCCGCGGCTCCGAAGACGCACTTTCACATTCAGTTCCGTACAACAAGCACTTGACTGGAACGACTCGCTATGCTTCGATCAACACTCACCTTGGTGTTGAGCAGTGCTGTCCTGACGACATGGAGTCTCTTGGCCACTAGTAAGTCATGCTGTACTTCTGCCATGGCTCGCTCCCCTTGCAGGGCCTCAACACTACCACCAAAAAGCAGAATTACTAGTATGACCGTATCATGACGCCTGTGACCCTCTTACCTAACTTTTCCAGATCCCCGTTCACTTCTTCTTGGTCGAGCGGCACAGGGCCGCCACCGTCCAGGCGCGGCCGCCGTAGCTCTATGTAAGGATACCTAGGTGAGGTGCTTATTAGCGACCTCGGTCTCGACGCCAAAGTGCTGGATGATGTTGGTGAAGAGGAAGCAGCTGACAGGAGCCGTCGAGGTTGGCGCCATCATCAACCGCCTCGGCGCCGTTTACACGGGGCACGTTGGTGACGGGCTTGGACTGCAAGTTGAAGGCTTTGATGGCGACGGTAGGCATAGTGCAGCTAAGCTCTTTCCTTTTGGATGTTACTAGTAAGGTACCCTCTGTTATGACAAGCCTGAGCAAGTAAGGTACTGTATATATCCAACGTGAATGTAAGAACGACAGAGCATACTGCCATGATGATCAAACACAAACTGTCATGACAATGAAACACCCTGTCATTTATGACCGGCCGCGCTGTTATGACACTGTGCGGACCGTAACAGTACGGCCAGACCATTATGACGACCGAGTCCTGTACGTACAGTCCTACTCTGATCCTGTGACGGCGGAACATACTTACGGTCATGACAACCGGTCAAGCTGTCATGACACCGAGAGCGGTATCATGACGGCCGTGCACAGAACCGCACATTTCCGTACGTGAAAAATTTACCACCCTATTATTGGGGAGCATTTCGGAGAGGCTGAGTGCTTCTACTCTAGCAGTTGCTAACTCGCCACCGTGCCGGCAGCAAGTGCCAAGTTGGGATCTCAATACTAGTATATTTTTTCTGGTCTCCCAGCCATTGATCGACTTGAAACCCGAAGTAGTCAGTCACTCACGACTAAAAGACAACTAAGAGCAGCTCGGCGTTTGAATGGAGTACTACACATTCCGCCCACACAGTCACAGCTGACAATGTCAGGCGCACTGAAAAGCCTCATCATCCTGCTAGCCCTTACCCATACTCGTACATACTACTAGTAGTAGTAACCAGCCCAAGCAAAAGCACCGGTAAGCCCGCCCTCACACGCATCCCATGCTGTTCTATTCATTACATGCCGCAAAAGCCAACTCAGTCCTCCGATCACGGCTATGCCCTGGAGTCATGACCTGTTCATATACCGTACAATGCCATACCGGTGGCATCTTCCGAGCCAACCCGCTCTAGTACTAACTACCTAGTATAGAGTTTTATCCATGCAAAGGCCAATTTGCCTACCGGCTTTGGATGTGCTGGATGGCAGCAAGCCATTTCTGCTCGTCCGACCTATATGCATCTGGTTAGGGGAGAGAGAAAGAGAGAGAAAAGGGGTAAAGCTCAGAAGACGGGATACAAACTCACTTGTCGAACTTGAGCAGCTTCCCCAGCACCGGCACCAGCTGCGCCCGAAGCCTGTTGTCCTTCTGTTCCAAGAACTGGAGCAGGATCGTCTTCAGGTACATGGCGTCCTGGTTGTTGCCGGCTGCGGATCCGTTGATGGTGCTGGCGGACCGGGTCGACTCCATCGAGCTCCTTCCGGAGCTTGCCACGGCCGGCGAGGACAACTTGGTCTGCAGCGTCTTGGCCTCCTTGGCGAGCTTGTCATAGCGCAGCCGGTAATCATCGAGCGCCCTGCGCAGCTCGGAATTCTTCCGCTCCGTGTCCCGGACCTGCTGCTCCGACGCATCCAGCGTCGACCTCAGGTTCGACACGGTCGTCCGCATCTCGGCCACCTCGGTCCCGGCGCGTTCCTCGTCCGCCTCCAGCTCCTCCCTCCTCCGCCGCCACTCGCGCTCCTTGTGCTCGAGCTCGTCCTTCTCGCTCGCGAGGGCCTTGACCTCGCGCTCCAGATCGCGGATCTTCTGGCGCAGCTCCTCCGTCTCGCGGGCCCTGCGGCGGGCGAGCGCGCTGGTCTCGTCCTCGAGCCTGTCGCGCTCCTCGATGACGGCGTCCATCTTGGCGCGCATCTCGCGCACCTTGCTGTCGGCGCGCTCGTCCACGTCGGCGAGCAGGCGGCGCATCGTCTCGGCCTCGCGCGTGCGCTCGCCGAGCATCTTGCGCGCTTCGGCGAGTTCCTCGTCCAGGCTCTCGCACTGCGACTGGCTCTCCTTGAGCTGGATGCCGAGCTCGGCCGTCTGGTCGCGCATGCTGGTGAGCAGGTTCTGCGCGTTGGTGTATTGGCTGGTCTTGAGCTCCGTTTCCTCGCGGAGCGCGTCCTGCTCCCGCTTGAGCCGCGCGGCTTCGTCCTCGAGCTCGCGGATGCGCGGGCGTAGTCTGGCGGCCTCTTCCTGGATGCGTTGTAGCTCGCGGGTGGCCTTTTCCTCTCTTGCCGATATCTCGATTTTCTCTGCCTCGGAGCGGCGGAGGTCGCGGCCTGCGATTCGCTTTTCGTCTTCTAGACGGAGCCGCGCGTTTGTTTCTTGCGTGACCTTCTCGTGGAGGACCTTGATCTCACTCTCACGGTCGGAGGCGAGGCGCTGTGCCCGCGTCAGTTCCATCTTGAGCTCCTTCTCGCGCTTCTCGAGGTTGCGTAGTTCAGAGTTCTTGGCAGCGAGTTCTTCACGTGTCGTCTTCAGTGCAGCCGAGTCTTGCCGCAGGCTCTTCAGCTCGGGCTGGGCTTTCTGGAGGACTTCTCGTAGCTCCGTGAGATCTTTGTACCGAGTCTGGGCTAGCTGCTGCGCTGCAGCTAAGTCGGATTGCAGAGTCGACGACTTCATCTTCAGGTTGTCGAACTCCTGCTTCAGGGAATCATGCTCACTTTGCAGTTCGGCATTGCCCTTGGCGACTGATGCGGAAGATTCCACCTCCTTTTCGAGTTCTGCGATGCGCTGCTGTAGCGCTTTCTTCTCGGCCTCTAGCTCCTTGATCCGCTCCTTGGCCTCTACATGGTCTTGACCGATAGTCATCAGGTTCTCCTGGAGATTCTCGATCTCTTCCCGCAAGTCTTCTTCGGTCTTGCGTTGCTTCGACAGCCTCTCGATCCGTTGGTCCTTTTCGGCCAGTTCCGCCTCGAGACGGGCCAGTTCGGCCTGCAGCTCTCCGATTGCAGGGCCCTCCACTGGCGATGGAGGGACTTGGTCGGCTGCTGTTGACGTCTCGCTTGGGGCGGGTTCCGAGGCGGCAGCGGCAGCAGAAGAAGCCCCGCCCTTCTTCTTCTTCCTGTTCTTCTTCTTGCCGCCACCTGCTGCAGGAGGCGCGAGCGAATTATTCTCTAGGGTTGTTGCTGGGCCGGCAGAGGGAGCTGAGGGTGGCGGTGCTGCGTGGATCTGTTCGGTAAGCTCCTTGATCTTTGATTCATCTTCCGCCTTGGCCTTCTTCAGTGCCTCGATCTCCGAGGCTAGGCCTTTGATCTTGCCGTCAAGGGAAGACTCAGCCTGGCCAGCTTTCTCTAGCTCCGTCTCCAGCTCTTTATTTCGAGAGGTGGAGGTCGTGAGCTGGGCTGTCTTTTCCTTGATCTCCTCAGCCGCGTCAGCCTTCGCCTTCTCAACCTGGGCCTCGAGATCCTTGAGCTTAGATTGTGCCTCGTTCAGGCGTTCAGTCAACATCGAAATCTCTGCATTTCTAGCCTCAAGCTGCGTTTCGAAGGACGTCTTGACAGCAACGGCGTCTCTAGTCTCGCTGAGTTCCCGCGTGGCATTCTCGAGGCTCTCGACCAGACTAGCGCTGTGCTCCTTTGCGAGCGAGAGCTCATCCCTTAGATTCTTGATTTCGGACTGGAGCTTTTCGACCTCCTCTGTCTTGCTCTGCAGTTCACCTTGGAGCTGTGGGATTTCACTGTCATACGAGAAGAAGTCCTCCCCCTCTCCGCTATCTGCGGGCTTCCCCGTTGGTGACTTGTATCCTCTGTTAGTGACCTCCAACTCCCCGCTAGGCCCTGGGCCCTTTGGCGAGGTCTGGGATTGCGCGGCTTTCAGAGCCGCGAGTTCGTCCTTTAACGTCGTCAGCTCCTGTTCGGCCTCATTTGCCTTCTTTTTGAAGGCTTCCTTCTCGGCCGTAACGCGTTTGAGCTCCTCCATCACCATGTCGCCTCTCAGGTTGATCTGATTCAAGTACTCGACTAGTGCTTCCGGATCCTTGATGGACGTGAGCGGCGTGTTCTCTTTGAGCGCCTTCTCAAACGGCTCTATGGATGTTGCACGGCCATGTGCAATGCGGTAGGAGCGCAGCAGCTCTGGATACGTCTTCTCCAGCTTTTCGAGCTTCCGTAGCCGAGCTCGCACCTCTGGCGGTAACTCAGAGACAACATGCGGGGCAGTTGGCGGAGCCTTGGCCGCTTGTTGCTCTGCGGTGCCTTTGCTGACGTCTCCATTGTCACCGGCTTGCGAGGTGCTCGCGGCACCCTTGAGGGGAGCATCGGCAGGAGCCTGTGCTGTGCCCTTCCCTAGATCATTCGCTGCTGCATCCTTGTCCACCGCCGACGGTGTCGCTACCCCCGAGGGACCTGCTGTGTCGTCGTTATCGTCAATCACAAAAGCCACCTCAAAGACAGCGGGATCCGGGTTGGCCGAGCCATCGCCATTCGCGGTCGCATCCCTCGACGTGAGGTCTTCGCTGGCTTTCTTCGTCGGCCGGGGTCGTCGAGCAGGCGAGTGAGTCCCTGCGGTACTTGATGATCGCGATCGCCTGGGCCCTGAGCTTCCCGGGGGCGGTGTCTGCCTTTGCGACTCGAGAGCCCGTTGTTGTCTCGCTTGCTCCTCGGCGATGGTGCGATCAATTGCGCCTTTAAGTCGCTACACGGTTCTTGTTAGTCGCCGCGGCGACGAATGTTGACAAGCCGTCAACCTGGCACATACCTGGAACATAGTTGCGGATTAATCGCCAATTGCAACGAAAGATCAATCTTGGTTTGGATGCTCGCCTCGATTGTTGGTTGCTACCCTGGTTGTTTCAAGGGACAACAATGGGAGACGACGGCATGCAAGAGTCACAACCAGGAGCTCGCCGTCAGACATCAACCTTCAGAACGGATCACAGGGGCACAATGGGACACATATGCCGATGAACGGAATGTAGAGGAATCCCTTCTCTTCGCTCTTTTCTGCTTGGTTTCAGGAGACTTGTCGTTTCGCCCTTGCGCCGCGGTTCGCTTGTGCACACTGCACAGCCCTGCACCCTGGCAGCGCCAAGTTTGAGCTTCGGCGGTTTCGGCCAGTTAGGATGTCAGCACCCTTGCTATGCCAAAGCCATGTGGCATATCCAGGGCTTTGTTAATTAGCTTACGATTCCCGTACCTCAACCCCGATTGGAAAATATCATCATCGTTCGGTAGTATAATGCTCTCCTATGCTGTCTCTGGTGTAACAGGACCGTGGGTGAGACATACCACATAAACTCACAGTCGATGGTTCATGGCGTTCCCTTACTTCCGAGGATGATGTTGTTGATTATCTGTAGTCAAATATAGAGGACACAAGGGGACTTCGTTTTCGCAATATATTCCGATAAGCCGATACTAGCCTAACGAAGGATGATGAGGTCACCGTGCGTGAGCTTCTGCTAGCCCCTTGTCCTTTCAGGCTGCTGCCACCTCCTGCGGGACAACAAAGCTCACGGCAAAACTGCCTCCGTCATCTAGCCCAACTCTTTCTGGCAGGGCCAAGCGGCCTTTTTCTCTTCGTTTCGTTCTCTGCCTCTTGAAGGCGACAAATTCTACAACGATGGTTTCGTTTTGGCCATGGGGTGTAAGTGATTCTGGCGGTCTGAAACTGAAAGGGGCAGTTGATCTCTTCCAAGCACGAGGGCTAACGGGCATATCTTGTTTCGTGCAGAAGGATAGTACCTCCCCGGCGTCCTTCGAGAGGGCGCTCTCCGCGCTCTCGGCCAAAATCACAACAACGCAGACCCAGCTGGACCAAACCCGGACGAAATCGAGACGCATCAAGCTACTATGCATGCTCTACCTTGGCTTCGCATACTTGGTGTACGCCATCGTGCTTGTCTTGGTGGTTGGGTGGAGGAACATGGGCCCTTGGGAATGGACTGGCATGGCTGGCGGGCCGGTGGTGATCTCGCTCGTTCGCGCCATAACGACTGTATTTTTCGACTACCGGATTGAGAGACTCAGCGCGCGACTCAAGGAGCACCAGACAGAGCGCGCTAAGACCATCCAGAAGTTGAAGGAGGCGACCAAATACGACTCTACCCTCGAGCTGCTGGAGAAGTACGGCGGGACCGACAACAAGCAAAAGAGGGGAAACAAGACGCTAGAGAAGGAGGATGCTGCTGCTGCTGAGCGAGAGGAGGACCGGCCGAAGGGGAAGCACCTGGGGCTGCCACAGCGCACCAACATGCCGCCACCGCCTACGGCGAACATTCCACGGCCGCCTATACCCGGGCCTGTCACCCCACAATCCAGACCACACAGCAGACTCGGTACCCCGTTTCAACCGCCACCTGTCCAGGGTGGCATGGACCCCTCCGCCGAGTTCGCGCCGAATGCCTTTGACGAGAGGACGCCTCCCGCCTTTATGCAGTACCCGCCAGCGGCGATGGCTCCCCAGGCTGAGTCGCACTGGTACGACCGCATCCTGGATACCCTGCTCGGTGAGGACGAAACTGCGCCCAAGAACAGGATTGTCCTGATCTGCTCCAAGTGCAGGCTTGTGAACGGGCAAGCGCCACCCGGGACGAGGTCGCTGTCCGAGCTGGGGATGTGGAAATGCATGGCCTGTGGGGCCACGAATGGTGAGATGGACGAGGGAAAGCGGCTTGTGCAGGAGGTCCTGGGAGGGCGCAGTGCCAGAAAGTCCGAGAGTACGGACGACAACGCGAGCAGGAGCTCGAGTGACCTTGTCGAAGTAGGCAAAGACATACCGGAAGCCGAGCTCAAGGGACAACTCGGCTGAAGAGATCCAAGAAACAGAGAAGGAGGGAACAAAGAACTCCCGCTATCATATGTACGATCCTTGCCTTTCTTCTTTTCTACTTTTGCATTGTTCAACAGTCTTTTCCTTTTCTTTGTCCGATGCCACAATGTCATTGACTCTATACCCGCCGGGCAGCGTAGGGGCGGAAAAACAATGGTATTATTCACCCACTACTGAAAGGAGAAGGGCGAACTGTACAGGAAGAGGAGACCGGGCCGTGAATCATATAAAAGCATCCCTTCGGCTTCGTTCGATTCCTAGTTTGTGTAACCAACCCTCGGCCATACCCAAAGCCTGGAAGACACACAATCAGAAACTAGATCCGCCGGTCTCTTTCAGGGGAAGACATTGTAAATATACATACAATGGCAACCAACGCGAGAGTGCCAGGTGGCATCGACCCGAACCAGGTCATGACATGCTCCATTTGTGGCAGTAGCTGCAAAGTCCGCTGCATGATCACCCATATTAATGACTTCACATGCCACAACAAGAACTGCCTCCTGCATACGGGTTCGGTATTTCTCGACCCGTTCAAAGGGAAGATCTCTCCGTGGGATTCGGACCCTAAGGTGAAGCGGATCGGGCCATGCTACGTTCGCCCACCCCGCGATCAGAATCGGGATCGTGGCGAGCCCCGTGGTGCTAACTTTGCTCCAGACTCGGATCGGGCAGAAGAGCGCGAGAAGCGGGACCGGAAGCAGGACCGACGCCGTGATGCCTCGGTCCCGCGCGGCCGGGATCATCGTGGTGATCATCGTGGTGAGGACCGCCCTCCCCGTGCCGATCGTTCGAGAGCATCAACACCGCCTCGTCGCCGCAGTCCCTCTGCCAGGGGCCATGAGCGCAGGGGAACATCATCGCCCCTTGCTGACCGTGGCCGCGACCGAGACCGCGCTCGTCGGGTACCTCCTTTCCGCGAGGGTGGTACGTTCCAAAGAGACCCCTTCGATGACGATTTCTTCAAGCGCAGCCGCGACCGCATGGATAGGTCCTTCTACGGCGATGATCCGTTCGCTGATGACTTCTTCCAGCATCACCACCCCAACGGTCCCCGTCCCATGCGGGATCGTTATCGTCCTGATCCGGACTCGTTCGGGGCCGCCGACTACATGGACCGCTTGGCGGACAGGTTTGAAAGGGGCTTCGGCATCCGGGACGACCAGTTCGGCGCCGGCCAGTCTCCGTTTGGCCGCACAGCAATGCCAGGGGGTGGTGACCGGAGAGAGCGCGGGCCGTATCCAGGCGGACCTACGCGGACAAGCCGGCCTGACCCGTACCACCGTCCCCAGGAGCACCAGGGCCGGAATCGTGGTCAAACCGGCGGCCAGCGCACACGGCGGACCCGGGAGGAGCCATTCCGGTACGAGTACGTGGGCACAGAGGAGCCAGATTTGGAAGACACTTGTGGCTACTACAAAAGCCACACAGAACGGCGTCGTCGTTGACACGTACTACTTAATCGTTTAAGTTACACACAGGTAGGCCGAGCATTTCCTTTGTCATTGCATGCTGATGTTACAAATCCAGGTGGCCCGAGTCCAATGCATAAGGATGCAGGGAGGGACGCACTTCCCCGCTCAGCTCGGGCAGCAACGGACTGGCCGGTTGGGCCATAGGTGAGTAAGTCCGACGTCACATACCTATCAGATATCGTAGATAAATAATCTCATTTGTTGGGTTTCTCATTGCTTCGCATCAAACTCGTCGTGCCCGATGTGAGAGTGAGTGTGTGCACAGTTCGGGAATGTGGAAGTGGGGAGGGTGAAGCTCCCGATCCCCCTCTTGGCTGGTCCACGTCGAGGACACTTGTGCTCTCCATCTCCAGCACTTGCCGGATGTCGGGCAAGTTGGCTTCACACAAGCAAAAAAAGATGCAAGTGCGTGCGGTGATCACGTTCCCCGAGCCAATTATTTGGGCCTTGACTTGGTCACCTGCCGGAGGACCGTTCTGTGGCCGAGGTGGTCTATTTTCCACTGTCTAGGTCCGCATCCACGTGGTTCCGCCTTAAGTCACGGTCACCACACCCTCCAACGCCAGGCAACAAATCATGCTCCTTCACTTTGACTTGTCCCTTTGTCCCTTTCGTTGGCAACTCGAGCCGGTTGCTATCAGGCTTCGCAGATCCACCGAACTGTTTATAGGTCTGCCACGCAGCCAGATTGAGCAACCTGCCTGGACTCAGGCCACACAAACCGGGCCACACCTACGGCTCTCTCCTTATTCGACAGGCCTTGCCTGCAACTGACACTCGAGTTTGTGCCCTGCCATTTGGGTCGTGCCATGTTCTTGTCATGATGGACACCCGCGGAATATTTCACCTGTGAGCTCTCCTGCCCGAGCTCCTTCGCTTTCTCTCTCTCCTACAACGAACAGACTGTATATATCCAATGGCCGTTTTGGACTTCCTCGCCACCATCTCTTTCCAAATGTTTGAGACTCTTTTCACCGTCCCCCAAGGTGTAGCCGCTGTGCTGCAACAGAAAATCAGGCAACATGGACATCCGCGACGACCCGAGTACTACCACCACTACCACCGACTACGATTCCGGTGACAGTGAGGACGTCAAGTACGTCTATGAGGGGCATGGGCGAGCTGAAAGGAAGGACACGAAGGGGAGATGCGCAGGGAGGAACAGATCTCCCAGGACCAGGGCTCGCGCAGCCAGGTGCACCTGCGGAGCTGGGCTGGTGGACGACAATGCAGAGATCACTGTCCTCGAGGAGGAGACCGATGTCGAACACGAAGAACACGTGCACAAGCACTCGAGACGGCCTCGGCAACCGTCGGGGTCGAGCGGCGTCTCAGGGTGCCACCGTTGTCACGACAAGAAGGTCAAGGACAAAGCCGACAAGAAAAAGTCGACAGAGAAGAAGGCCCGTGGCACGTGGGTTCCCTACATCGAAGAATACCCGGACGAATCCCCGCGACCGGCAATCCTCTTGAAGGAGCACAAGATTCCACGGAGAGCCTCCACCTCCGACGCGAAGCATCTGCGGGATTCGAGTGGTAATTCACTGTCAGCGGGCTCCAGGGGTAGGTCTCCGACCGGGAAGCGTCTGCCGCCGCGGCCTCCTCGCCGGCCTTCCAAAGATTCTCCAAAACATTCTGAACACATTCGTCGCCTCGATTTACGTGAGACGCATGCAGGTGAGTGTATCGCCGTTACGGAGTTGAATTGCCTGCATCCCACTGACAACACTGCGATAGATGAATTCTCAGATCACGATGCCCGAAGCTTCTCCTCTGATTCCGACGAGCCAAGCCTGGCTAGTACTCGTCGCTCACATCATGTGTCCGGCCGCGAGCTGACATCTACTGTGTCCCGGAGTTCGGCGTGGCACGGAAGCCAGCAGCCGAAGTACTCTTCCTCTTGGCCACTGAACGTCGGTTCACGGATGCCCCAGAGGAGACCCACGCGTCCGCATGACGCCGACGAAGAAAGCGAAGAGCATGAAGACTTTTCCGAAGATCACAGTTCTTTCAATGAACAGCAACATGCTCGAAGGTACAATCGGCCGGCATCTTTCCACGAGCGAGACCGGGACCGGGAGACTCGACACCGGGTCTCACCGCCACCCCAGCGTGAGCATGCGAGATCACCACCTCGTCAACAACCTCGCCGGCGGCAGGCTGCCACCGACGCCGGCAGCATAGCAGCAATGGACCAGGACCGACGTTCCGTTGCCGCATCAACAGTATACGAAGTCTGGCGTGGCCATGCCTCTGATTGGGAATCCCCCTACGTCTCAGCCGTGGACGACGACAACGACAACGACTATGATTCGGAGATCGAGGAGTCTGTCAGGCTCTTGAGCCTGAACGACCTGCCGCCACGGACGCCTTCTCCTCATCTGCTACCCCCACGCGGAGAAAGAAGGGGTAACTTCGGGTTCCAGAGCGACAGTCGCTCGCCACCTCCACGTTACCATCATCATCATCATCATCATCATCTTTCTGTCTACAACCGGGGCCTTCCCGCCGGTCCTTCCGCCATCCGTGGAATCTCGTACAACCTTACCTGGGACGGCGACGACGACGGTGGCTTGACCGGTAGCAGCAACCAGCCCCTCCTCCTCCTCCTGGACGGACCCCGTGTTTTAACCACGGAGCAGCCAGATGCGATAACAGACGAGGAAGATAGCAACAACAACAACACACGGCAGTCCCGCTCTCTCTCATCTCGCTGGTCAAAGAGACACGCGTGAGGTGACAAGCCTCTTCCTCCTCTTCCTCCTGTTCCTGTTCCTGCTGCTGCTGCTGCTGCTGCTGCTGCTGCTGCGACAAGAGGCCGGACATTCACATTCACACAACCCCGCCTTGCGCTACCGCGGTCCCCTCGCGCAGTCTCGTCCGTGTTCTCGGCCGCCAGGGAGACGAGGGAAGGATTCCTCTCGCCCAGGCCGACGCGGTTCGATTTCGGCGCGTGGGAGGTGTGAATGTGAATGTGATCGCGCTTCACGGAGCTTTCGTGGCTCTGGGCGGCCTGCTGTAGCATAAATAGGCGAAGATGGGGTTACTACTACTACTAGTAATGATGGCTTTTTTCTTTTGTTTGGTTCCGGTCCGTTGGAGGCACTGGGCTGGCTTGAAGGTGGGGGATAAACGCTTTGGTGAAAAGAAGGCGACGCGGACGGCTGCGGTTGCATACATATATATTGGGGGGTTGTTTCCGGAGTTGGGCCGGCGATTAGACCGGGGGTCACTGGTATGGGGCTTAGAAAGGTTTGGGTTTGGTGGGTTTCTCCCAGAGATTCCGGCGTTATGGAGTTTTGAGAGGGATGGGGAATAGGTAGACTGGCTGATTCATCTGGGGTTCCTCCACAGCTACATCTTTGGTCTTGGGTTTCGGGTTAGATCTCTTGACAGCTTTGGGGGCTTGGGAAGGGGTAGATTGCTTTCGGAGGAAATGGGATAAATATTCGGCATGGCGTGGTACGGGTGAACGAAAGAGAATGCATGGGACGGCGTATGGTTAGGCAGATTGACAACACCGGATTTCTCTTGGGCTGGTTACGGTAGTTGGTCGGTAATATTATGGGCTATCGGATTGTTCTTGATGGAAATGGGGAAGTGGTTCGGCAGACCACCCACACCCACACTCATATTACGACCCTTTTCCTTGCGTACACGTATCATTGCATCCTGCTCCTTGTAGATTACTATATATACCGATGATTGGGAGACGTGTCCTTCTCGTTCCGCGCAACAGGTATATACGTCAGAGATCGAGTGCTCCACTAGCCCATGGCCTCCTTAAGGTGATCCTCGACCCCAAAGATAGGTAATGTTACTAGTAGATAAGGTAGGTAGAGGTAGGCACCCGACCCGTTGTCCTAGAATTACGGTGACTTCTCGACCGCAGGCTTGTTGATGTTCGGAACGGCATGCAGCGAGACAAGACGATTATCTTTGCGCACATTCACTCTACATGGTCTTAGCTGGCGTTCTCTACCTATCAAACGGGTTTGTTTTCTCCTTGTTCACTACGATCCACTGGTAGCAGGCAGAGGTAGACATTTTGCAAAGACTTATAGAGCACCGTTGTTAGCCTAGCAATGAATTGATAGATTCTCCTATGTACCAGGTACTTATGGAAGCGAGGGTGGAGGGCATGCTGCTGAAGGCATGAGATTCTCAGAGGGTTGACGTGAAAGTTGAAAGTTGAAAGAAGTCGGATTTGGAATCCCAAAGGGGAGGGTTTATACTTCTGCTTCACCGCCTTTGCCTGGAGTTCTGCCGCTGTACGAGCCTAGAAAGACGCCGTTCCCGAGGACGTAGCTTCCCTTTTCCCCAAGCTCGTGGTCCCCACACTTCAGGAGCCTTCCCCGGATTCGTCACGGGGGCTCCGTACATTAGTGAAGCTTCTAACTCCCGTCGAGGAGCCAAGGAGGGACGGACACGGTAAATTGTCATGTACGTGAATACTGTAACCCTGTTCATGCTCCCAGGGCTCATTTGTGCGCGTGAAGCTGGGCCAGGCGCACGTGGATGCGCTAGGCTAACTAGTAGATCTTACGACTTACACGGCTCGGGTACTGTACAGGGCAAGACGCCTAGGTAGCTAGCTTCATGATGACGTCTGGAATTCCTGGATCCACCTCCTGCAATGGAAGGGGAAGCTCACATCTGTTGTAACCGTACTGTGACCCTCACGGACGGTGACTACAGTAGCGGCGCTAGTACACAACGGTGGGGTCACCATAGGTACTACCTCGGAGTCACGCAATGGATCTAGTAGTACTACTAAACGCAGTAGTAGTTCCCAGACTGGGCATGCAACGCTCTGGGCCAGCCCATCGACAACCTAAGGTACATTTCGCTGAGCCTTCCGTCTGAGCCTTCCGTCTGCGCTATGTCAGGGGTAATCCGAGAGCTGTACTACTAGGCTAGTACTATGATTCAGTGACCGTGACCGCCATATGTAGAAGCTCGAGCTCTCCTGAAACCGACATGACTCATTTGAGGCTACTACCTAGGTACCTTGCCGCTAGAGCCTTTCTTTGCGTTGCATTTTACCCGGGCCAGCCAGGTAATGTACACAGAGAAAGCAAGGAAGGAACGCTTCGCTTGCAGTGTCTTACAGAGCAAAACTGAATCCTCCAGAGTTTCTTCAAGTAGTGATGGGTGCCTCAGCGGCACGAACACGGGTGACGGAAAACATACCAGTACCGTACCACGCGCAAGCTACACGCTGAGAATACAAGGAGGCCGAGATCTTATAGCTGGTCTGCGAGCTATAGTTAAGCAGCCTATGAAATTGTAAAAGACTCGCTATTAAACACGTCCAGGCATTGTGTTGGATCATGTGTCACGGTATGTACAAGGTAACTTGACTTTGAATGCAGAAACGATAAGGATGGACTCCGGCTCATTAGTACCGCTAGGCGAGAGGCTATGAAAATGTGTCCGAGAAGGCATATCTCTCTGCTCTCTGTCTTGACATCAAGCGCGCGTTGCAGGCAAGCCAGCCGTCCCCAAGCGCCTAGATACGGAACCCACAAGACCTGCAAGGGACGCTATCCTCTCAACGTTTTGAAATACCGTGACCTCGTGACTAACCTGACCGTATTCGCACCAGTCTTTTGCAACGCAGGCCACAGTATGTAAATGTCAAGGGACCGTACTGGGGGGTAAGGTTCAAGAAATTCCGGTTGGCTGATGGATACGGGCTACATGCGTTACTGGCGGTCAATAGTTGGGTGATGGTTTACCTCGGACGGATTCTAACGGCTACTCCTGAGTACCCACTGTATTAGTACGGTCATACTGAGCCGACGTTGTGATTTACTCGGTGGGTCCTCTAGGAGACCTAGCAAGTGAGTGACCACAACGCTGGCTTCAAGACTGGCCCATACCGTATGAGAGCCGGCTCAACACCGCAGCCGAAAACTGGTAAAGACATGTAGCCACAACGTCAAATCTGTATAAGGTAACTGAAGCATTCTATCACTCACAAACCACAACACGAAGTAAGGTTTGGGAGCATTTCGTATTTACCTAAATTCCATAGGCACCTGGTAGTTACTTGCAGGCTTCCATACAATTGCCTAGCAACAGTCATATTTTCCTGTCCTTACCGGACATGCAGGATACGCACGGTATAATACAGCGGCGATGTATGTACAATACTTCCGCGCCAAACGGCCATCCCGTGTCTCTGCCAGATCCCGGTGACGCACCCAATACGGGCTTGAAAGACTCTAGCGAGTAGTTCCCACAGTACTGTCGAAGCGGAGAGTTTCTTCCTCACATTCTTCAGTATTGTACGATACACTGTCTCAGGGCATTTCCATATCAATGTTAATGACTTGGACTAGGGGGTTGGAAGGCTCATTTCGTCGTCACAACCGTCCATAAGAGGTCGCGGTAACGATCCCTCCTGTGCCTACTAGGCTATCACATTCCCAGTGTAAGTAACTTACAAGAGAAAGACTCGAAACAACGATGCTCCGCTTGCCAATGAATTACAGAAACAGAACCGGCCCAGGGCAACATCCGTCGCCAGCAGAATTGGTCCGGACTTCTTGAATCAATCCTGAGGAGCACACAGCTAGCTCACCCCAAAAAGAATAGACATCCAACCTAGGTACCTGCAGACGGACAGGATCTGCTTTGCACCTGCTAAAGGACAAGATGGTTGCAGATACACATCGTGCTGCAGTGCGTGCGTGAGATCCGCATGCTGCTGGGCATGCCGGGCATGGATTCCCCGTTTCAACGTGGATATCGAGCGCTTTTACGGGATACTAGTACTAGAGATGCGGTTAGGGCGAGGAGCTTACTTGAGCTGTGAGCGGATGAGGAGAGGTATAGGAGGGAGTAGTCTTGTCTGTTGTTTCTATTCGTTGCGAGATAGGGACAGGTGTTCTAGCTTTTGTTTCGCTTGGTTTGGGCTGGCCAGTATGTTTCAAGACTTCAAGTCATTTACTAGACCACCCGTCCGTATCAGAGGGAATGGGATGGGAAGTTACGGTAAGGTTACGGTTATTGGCTGCAAACATAGTCGAATCACTCCGGTCCTTCCAGCTTCAAGAGTACTATGATTTCTCTGACACTACTTAGGTGTTTGACGGGAAGAAAGCGGCAGATAGGTAAGTGTTTAAATAACATTGGGGTACCGTAGACAAGGAGTAGTCTTGAGGACTCAAGGAGGATGTCCTCTTGGGATGACTCGATACGTCACAGTAATGACACCCCTTGCTTTACTCCGTACCACTAAGAGCCTCGGTGTTGTCACAATATAGGTTGGTAAGGTATTCACCTCAGGTAAGATACGACTTAGTTAAATTCAACCCTGCGGCAGGGTTATGGACGCGTATAGCACGACGCTTCGCTTGACATTTACAGCGTCATAACGTTACGGGGGCGGAGATCGAAGGCAAGATCGCAGAAGCCATAGTGAGATGGTAAAATACCGTTAGTTATATCGCTGTGTGTACGGAAGTACCGTATCGTGTCTCACTTTGTTTGTCCCTACTCCGATTGGCCTGCCAATGCAACCTCACACAGGACAGTTCCAGTTACCGGAAAGTTTAGCCTGATGACAGTCACAGTTGCGCAAGCCCCAGGCTGGTGTTGTTGACAACGGGCATTCGGGACGTTTCCAGAACCCCAACGCACCGCTGGGGCCTTCTCCATTGCCGTCATGTCTTCTCCTGAGATGAGATGACAGGAAGCCCCTGGTAATTTACGACCACAGCCTGAAACGCAATGCGTAACCATATCGTTATTTTACATAACCCCCGGCCGGGGCCCCAGAACAACGTGGATCCAACTGCCGGTGGAAGCCAAGCGGGGCGGGCCAGGGGCTGGGATGCAGCCAGCAATTCCCGAGACAGCGAGCCGGCTCTCGGGCAATGGCAACCGGGCGGGTAAGATGGAACTGCGAGATAACCGAGCGTAGTGGGATAAATCTGATGGGGCCCTGGGTGTGCCGGCTTCGAGGGATATTTGGGTACCTAGCCAGAGAAGTGGACAGCAAGTCAGCAACTGGTTTTTGACTTCAAGAGGCCATTTGTCGTTCAAGCTCCCACTAGAGTTTTAGCAACCCGACACGTGGAAGCTATGAGTTCCAGTTCTGCGGCGGCCTACTCGGGGTCACCCCCGGGCAAGATGCCCGTCCAGGGTGTCTTCGACTTCGCCTTCAGCCAGCCATTCCAGACGGCGAGCGACTTTGTGCCGCCTGCACACCAGCTGCCGCAGACCGAGGCAGGGAGGCCCATCTTTGTGGACAACAAGTCAAGTGGGTTTCTCAAATATCCCACTCTTTTTTTTGTGTTCAACAGCACGTCCACTAACACAAAACAGATCGGACGCTCACCTTCGGGCAGATCTCCCAGGATGCGCTCGCGGTGGCCGCGGGGCTTCTGCGTCTCGGGCTGGACCCCAAGGACACGATCAAGCTACCGCCAACACCGTCCTGCCCCGCCGGACCGGAGATCGCACCTGTCGTGCTGATCCAGCTGCCCAACTGCCTCCCCTTTGCGCCGCTTTTCTTCGGCGCGCTCGCGGCCGGCACCACGGCCACGCTCGTCTCGCCGGCGCTGACGGCCGACGAGATCGCGTGGATCCTGCAGAACGCCCGCCCGCGCGCCATCATCACTGCCACGGCCTGCCTGCCCGCCATGCAATCCGCTCTCGCCAAGCAGCAGGACTCGAAATACTTCTCCGCCATCCCCGTCTTCACCGTCGACGTGGCAGCCGACGCCTACCCCTCTCCCTCTCCCTCTTCTACCTCTACTAGTAGTAGTAGTAGCAGCAGTAGTAGTGTCTCACCTTCCTCCCCCGGGGACTGGAAACCCCTTCTTCTTCACACCCCCTCCCGCTCATCCCAACCCCAAGCGATCTTCCCCCCGGAAACAGCCGCCTCCCGCACGGCCGTCATCCTCTGGTCGTCCGGCACGTCCGGGCGCTCCAAGGGCGTGCTGCTTTCGCACCACGCGCTCAACTTCTCGGTCGCCAGCATGTGGCACGACGCAGACTACTATTCGGCCCGGCCCCAGCCGCAGTCCTGGCTGGGCTACGTGCCCTTCTACCACGTCTTCGGGCTCTGCAACGTCTTCCTCCTGGCCGTGGCTGCGGGCGTGACCGTGTATACCATGCCGGGCTTCCATCTCGAGACGGTGCTCCGGGCGATCCGGGACCGGAAGGTTACGTATCTGCACATGGCGCCGCCCGTGGCCGTCATGCTGGCCAAGGCCGCGGTGGTGGAGCCGTATGCCGCGCAGGGGGCGTTCAGGAGTGTCGTGGCCGGCATCACGGGCGGCGCGCCGCTGGGGCATGAGGTCGTGGAGGAGGTGTATAAGCGGTGCGGGTTCAGGGTCCGGCTGGGGTACGGGCTCAGCGAGACGTGCAGCACGGCGCTGCAGAGGGGGGTTACGGAGCAAGACATGCGCGAGCAGGCCGGGGACACGGGGCTGCCGCATTACGGGGTGGAGGTCATGATTGCGGACGGGAATGCGAACGGGGGCAGGGGGGGTTATGCGAAGCGCAAGGGCGAGACGACGGCGGCGGCGCGGGTGGACGTGGAAGGGGAGGTGCTGGTGCGGTGTCCCGGCCTGCTGTCGGCGTATCTGCCCGTCGGCGTGTTCTCAGGCCAGAAGCCGGACATGTCGGTGACCGAGGAGGCGCTGACGGCGGACGGGTGGTTCCGCACGGGCGATGTGGGTGCGCTGGACGCGCAGGGAAGGCTGCGCATCACGGACCGGCTCAAGGAGCTGATCAAGGTGCGCGCCTACCAGGTCGCGCCGGCCGAGCTGGAGGCGGTGCTGTGCAGCAGCGAGGCGGTGGCCGATGCCGGCGTTATTGGCATCTACGACGAGAGCGAGGCGACCGAGTGGCCGCGCGCCTTTGTCGTCCCCCGCGCCGGACGGAACAACATGTCCCAGGCGGACCTCGAGAAGCTCGCGGGCCAGCTCAAGGCGCTGGTGGAGAAGCGCACAGCAAAGTACAAGTGGCTGGTCGGCGGCATCGTGTTTGTTGACCAGATCCCCAAGAGCCCGAGCGGCAAGATCCTGCGCCGGGTCCTGAAGAGCGGCGGGGACGAGACCAAGGGGGTCGAAGTCAAGTTGTACGAGAAGAAGAAGAGGGATGCGAAGCTGTAGGCTGCTGATAGCTACTACTAGCAGTAGTAGTATTTCTTTCCAATAATCACATGGAGCGGTCAAACTCGAAGTATGCACTGTTCATAGTGTAGATCTATCTGGTCTCTGGACGACTGTGAGAGAATCAATGAAGAGCGCCAATGATAGTATTCAGAATCAGTTCAGCTCTGTGCTACCTAAGTACTAGTAAGACATGGCTCGCCGCGGATTGGAGCGGCATATTGCCGGGGGGGGCGCTGAGGGGGTGGCGTTTGGCAAGGGCGCGAGGTTGGATTTGCCCAGCTAGGAACACAGGTCTCCCTCTTTCATCTACTTCCAAATCCAAACAGTGACCGCCCAACATGCCAGTTACTCTGGAATTAGGCTCGAACGTAGGCAGCGCATTGAACGCGTCAATGCTCGGCCGCGTGCTCATCACCGGTCTCAACGGCTACATCGCCGCGCACACCGCCGCCCTCTTCCTCAAGGCCGGGCATATTGTTCGCGGCACCGTCCGGTCGAGCGCCAACGCCGAATTGGTTGTTCGCGCCCTCAGCAAGTTCCATGACGGCAGCAAGTTGGAAGTCGTTACGGTACCCGACATTACCTGCGATGGGGCCTTCGACCGCGCCGTTGAAGGTATGCCGAGACCGCCCGGGTTGATTGATTGGGAACTTCCATGAGCCTCCCGCCCTCGCCCAGTCACTGACAGTCTTGATTGAAATTAGACGTCCAAACCATAGCACACCTAGCCAGCCCCGTCTCCATGACCGTTACGGAGCCGGAGGCGATGATACGGGCGGCTGTCAAGGGCACTACGTCGCTCCTCGTGTCAGCCGTAAGGGAGTACCGGCGGAATTCCGGGAGAGGTGTGCTGAAGACGGTGATTTTCATGTCCTCCATCAGCGCCGTCTTTGACCCTACCTCGCCGAGCACGCGTGTCTTCACCGACAGCAGCTGGAACCAGCATGCCGAGGCGGCCACGCCGCAGGTACTGAAGAGGCTGAAGGAGCAGGGGCCCGGATCTGACGACCCAGCCTTGGGGTATCTGTTCTACCAGGCCACCAAGGTAGCTGCCGAAAGGGCGTTCTGGCGGTTCGCGCAGGAGATCATATTCCCATTGGACATGATAGCCTTCTGTCCTGCGTGAGTCCCTCCTTAGACCAAACAGAGTACAGAGTACAGATTCGAAGGGATCACTAACGATCATAATCCCCCTACCCTCAAGTCCTGTCCTGGGCCCGCCGCTCTACCTCCCGGAGTCTATCTCGAAGCTCAGCATGCGTGTCAGGGACATCTACGACATCTTGCACGGCGGCCCGATACCCGAGCCGAGCCCCGTCACGAGTACCTTTGTTGACGTGCGTGATGTGGCCCAGCTGGTGTTCAACGCGGCCGAAGACGCCGATCCAGGCTTACTTCGGCGTCATCGGTATTTGGTAGTGGGACAATCGCCCGTCTCGCCCCAAGCGATAGCCAACGTCCTGCGGGAGAAGTATCCGGAGCGACAGGACACGATCAGGGAGGGGAATCCAAACTGGCTAACTCCTCTGAGCCAAAGACCGGCGTTCGACGTCAGGATGGCGAGGGAACTGCTGGGCAGAGAGTCGATCGGGTTTCGGCAGAGCGTCGTGGACAGTGCAGAGGTCTTTCTGGCGGCAGAGGAGGCCTGAAAGCATTGCCTGCCCTGGTAATCGGGCAGGATGTGCTCGGCATAATGTTCGCAGGAAACGGGAGGAAAAGTTCGACATGAACGCCTGAGTGCTGGTGCTCGTACTCCGAGACTCAGTAAGGATGATAATACGCTTGGTCCTCACCGTCCAGTATTAGCGTAACTTTGTTGCTGTCAGGTATCAAGCAGAAAGAATCCGAATTCATGGTTCCGAAGACGGTGCGGACGTCCCTGTTTTCAGCCTATCCAGTTCTCCTTTTAGGATCAGGCCGTGAAACCGAGTCGACTCGAAACGGCCGTACTATCGTTAGCACTCATCCTATCCCTGCTCTGGTTCTCTTTCAGTCAAGAGAATCCAGGAGCACGGTTGCTAACCACATCCCTCAGAGGTAGAGTCAACATCCCTGACATCAGCCACCCTTCTCTAGCTCCCTACCACCCAGGTTGCCGGAGTCCTGTTTGAGTCCCGGATGTAGGGATCCAGTGCCGCCGGGGCGTTCCCCTTGAGATGCCCGGCGTGATTCGGTTACCACGGAATCAACGACGGCATCGTGCAGAAGGGCACCACAGCAAGGGGCCATGGACTATGATATGTACGTGGAACTCTGTACCTCTAGTCGCTGTAAATGCCATGACCATGCTGCCTTCTGCCCGTCTATCGCTATGCAATGCATATAAGCAACCACCGAGACCGCTGGACTCTCCGCCCCCTGGCTTGGGTATCTGCCAACGCACCTCTGGCTTTTGTTTCCTGCGCAACCTATCCTCTTCCCCCTTCTCTACAACCCTGCCATCCAATACAACCAGCACCCCTTCAAGAGAGAAGCAACCCCTCCCCCCTCCCCCCCCTTCCCTCTAGAAACCCGGCACCTTCTCCAACAAGCCGTCATACAACCTGCCCACCCAGCCCAACGTCTCCCCTCCCCTGGCCACAACCCCCAACCCCCCGACTGCCCACACGCCCATCACGGCGACGGCAACCCCGTTGATAAGCAGCAACCTCCTCCTCCGCATCCGCCTCACCGCCCTATCCACCTTCACATTCCCCGTGTGCCGCTCGAGGCTACTCCACGACCAACCCGCGGCCTGCGCAAAGCCGAGCCACTTGGCCCAGCCCCAGACCATATGCCCGCACCCGGCGCCCAACAGCACCCCGTACGCAACCCAGCTTGCGACACGGTGCCGCACAAACCCGTGCGCGACATACGCCAGCCCGATGTTGGCGCTATCCCCCTCGGAGAAGAGGGGCAGCAGCCGGTTGACGGCCACGTGTGCGCCTAGTATTCCCGTGAAGATATACCCCGATACCGAGATTCCGCTTAGAGGCGGCCAGCCGTGATATCCCCCGGCTGCCGCCCGTCTAGAAGGGAATACTACTACGGGGTTCTCTGCCCCGTCGTTATCGATCTTTAAGTTGTCGAGCGAGGAGGAAGAGGCGGGGTGGTGGTGGTCGTGATCGTGATAATGATCGCCGTAATACCGGCGCAGGTTCTGGTTGCGGCGCAGGAGGCGGAGGGCTAGCCCGGATCCGACGTGGGCGAGGATCGGCAGGGCGACGAGCAGAGGTTCGGAGAGTGGGGTCTGGTAGATCTCGCGCGCGAGGAGGAGGTAGGACTCGGAGGCGGCCACGGAGCGGGCGGCGAGCGGGATGAGGGAGGTTGTGGCTAGGTGTAGCGTGCCGAAGAGGGTGAAGGCGTAGGAGCTGTAGCGCTGGATGCGGGTTACTGTTTTTGGTTGTTAGCATACGTGTATGTGCTATTAGTACTTAGTGGAGTGAATGAGCATTGAAAGTAAGAAAAAAGGGAAGGATGTACGGTAGTAGATCGGACTATGGCCGCTGCCGCTGAGCCCGAGTCCGAGGGAGGTCGAGGTCGAGGAGGCTTGGAGGGATGGTGTCGAGTCCGAGAGGGCGCCGTCGGCCTGTTGCTCGGGCAGCGGTGGGAGGTCTTTGTCGACGTTGGGGGGCTCCATCGGCGCCGGGTCGAGCTCGACCAGCGATATGAGCGTGGCCTGGGACGCTCGGGACCGTAGTGACCGGGCGTCGTCCATGGTGACGGCTTCACCGTTCTGCGCTTCTTATGGTGGCCGGGATTACTGTTGGCGTGTCGGTGTGTTACGTTCCGCGGGCTTCCCTATTTTGTTGAGCCGGCACAGTGGGTTGTTGGTTGACCCGCTGCACGTTCCCCTGATGCGGAGCCTTCCATGTGTTTAAGGCGATGACGACTCCACAGCGGCTCCGGGGTTTCTTGGCAGACATCAGCCAGACATGGCAGGGCTTCGAGGAAGGATCTTGACTTTCCCAACTTCATCACACCTTGGGAGAGCATCGAAACCCGTCACAACAAGGCGATTTTACTGTTTCGACCTCAATTCCAGCTCCTCTTATTAAACCACCCTACATCTAGGACAGAAAGCAACAATGCCTCCAGTAAGCCCACCCACCCAGCTTCCCCCCTCCGTCAAGGACATACATCCGTACAGTAGGTACATACAAAAACTAAACCCATCCGCATAGCGGCACCAGACCCTCCCGCCGGCGCAGACCTCGTCGGCGCGCGAGGCGCTCCAGTCCTTCTACTGCCAGCTCTGCAGCAAGGGCTACTCGCGCATGAACGAGTATGAGGCGCACCTGAGCAGCTACGACCACAGCCACAAGCAGCGGCTGAAGGACATGAAGGCAATGGTGCGGGACCCGACGGCGGCGGCGCGGGCGCGGCGGGCCGAGCAGAAGCAGAACGAGGGCGGCGTCATCAGCATCAAGCTCGGCGGCGGCGGTGGTAACAATTCTTCTGACGGAGTGGGAGGGGGAGGGTTTAAGAAGGGTGGGTTTAAGAAGACCGGGTTTAAGAGTGCTTTTGTGCCTGTTGGTACTACTACTGGTAGTAGTAGTACTGCACCGGCGCCGGTGAGGGAGGATGTTGGCGGGTTGGGGAAGAGCAGGCAGGAGGGGGATGTGGTGAAGAAGACGGCGGCGGCGGCGGCGAAGAGCGAACTGGTCGAGAGCGATACGGATGACGAGGGGTATGAGGTCTATGACCCGCGGAAGCCGACTGATTGAAGCGTCGGTTAGAGAGGCGAAGTGGGTGATTTGCTTGGAAGACCCGGCTACCGAACATCGGACTTGGGGGAGCTTTTCCGTGACAACACCTAGTGTCGCCGGGATAAATCACGGATATGACGGAGTCCATTCCAGCGTGGATGGGAGCTATGTTCTCCTTTTGGCTATGTCCAGAAAGCAACATCTACCACCCTGAAAGTTACCACGCCTGCCCATACATACGAACCCGAAACGCCGTCACCGTACAGCCCGACCTACCTAGCGAGTCATCGTCCTGCCTAGGTACCTATGGCCCCCCCATGGACGACCACAACCGCGGCTCAAACTCGGACAGATCCTCCTCCAACAGCCCCAAAATATGGGTATTCCCGGAGAACCAGTTGCCCAGCTCATTCGCCTGGCTGGCACCGCTGAACTCGGCAATCGCCACATCACCACCCTCCCCACCAGCGAACGGCGGCGCGCCCGGAATCGTCGGATGAGCGCCAAACTGCTGCTGCTGCTGCTGCTGCGGCGGCGGCGGCATGAAGCCGAGCTGGCTCAGGTACATGTCGATGTTGCTGCCGACCATGGCCATGTCTTCGTCGCGCTGGCGCGGGTCCTGCTGGCGCTGGGCGCTCTTGGCGCGGATGCACAGGCTGGCCACGTTGTGCAGCACCTGGCAGATGCGGTGCAGCTTGGCGACCGCCTCGGACGCCTCGCACACGGGCTGCAGCGACTCGACAAAGTCGGCCAGGCGGCGGAGGTCCTCCTCATCCGACGTCTCGACGATGTGACAGAAGAGGATGATCACTGGCGTGAAGGGGACATAGATGATGTTCCTGGGAGGGGGAGGTTTACAATTAGTACTAAAATAACCTTTCACCGGCTAAACGTGGAAAGTTGTGAGGTTTTATATTTGAGACACACCATCGAATACACCCTGCTTTCACCGCCAGACTGTCGCCGGCCATCTCCATGTACTCCTGGTGGCACGCGAAGGCCTGCCGCGCCGCGTGGATGCACTCGTGGTTGAAGGTGCTCGGCGAGCCCGGCGGACTCGGGATGGCGCGGTAGACCAGCGTCAGGGCCGACCAGTGCATGAGCTCGTCGCCGAGGATGGACATGTCCATCGGGAAGGGGCTGTCGGCGTTGAACTTGATGCCCCGGACCTTTTCGCGCGTGTGCCGCATCAGGGGCTCTTGCTCTTTCGCTAGATTTTCTGTTCACATTCACAGTCCCGGGATGTTAAGAGAATGTCTCATAAAATAGTAAATCTCAAGAAGGTCGTGGGCTGGCTCACCCATAGTCTGGACGAGCTGCCGCGCACTCTCGGCGCGCTGCTCCTGCGGCCGGGCCAGCGCGGCCGGACTGTACAGCTGCTCGTACGCGCGCCCCAAGAAGGCGGCGTACGAGATCCACTGGTTCAGGACGACCCTCCACGACGCGTCGGGCAAGTCGATGCCCGCTCCGAGGCCCCTGGGCACCGTGATGTCGTAGTCCTGGATGACGGGGGCGCGCCCGGACCGGAGCGACAGGGCCTTGTCGAGGAGGTAGCACGACCAGAAGAGGATGGCCTTGGCCTCGCTGTCGGATGTCGGCGCGCGGATGCGATGGTAGCCGAGCGTCTGGCAGAGGTTGGCTGCGATCGAGTTGAGGTCGCGCGCGACGGAGAATTTGGAGATCTCAATGGCGTAGAAGGCCTGAACTGTGTGTCAGTGGAGAAAAGAAATGGAGAAATAAAAACGAATATCGGGGGAGGGGAAGGACGTACACCCAGCAGCAACACCTCGATGCTCTCCTTACGAGCAGGCATCAGCAGAGGCAGGTTGGCTAGAGCAGTCTCGAGGTTGTCGCGGCAGAGAGACTGATACTCGAGCAGCTGGGCCCTCTGCGCTCCTTCGGCCAGCGAGGCTCGCTCCTGGAACAGAAAGTACAGGCCTGCGTTCACGATGCCCCAGGTCATGAGGCTATAGTCCTCGGTAGCGAAATATACCTTACTACACCGTTCCGGGAAGTTCTCGGTGGCGACGAAGGTGCATATTGCTATGAAGCTTACCGGCGGCGTGTCTGTCCGTCCGGGTTGTCAGCCATGAGATGCCCTGTTAGCCAACAGGAGGGGGAGTGAAGCAACAACCTTTGGCCTCTCGCAGCGCAGAAACCACAACGTGGGCCGGCGGCATGGGCAGCTCGCGGAGACCGCCCTTGGGTAGGGGCTTCGCATTGGCAAAGCGGTTCTCCGGGGCGCTCGGCCGGTTCTGCATGTTCACGATCTGCTGAAGAGACGACAAAGCCGACCTCATGGCCGGGTCGAGATCGTGGGGCAACGTCCGCGTCACCGCGTTCTCGAGGAACTCGCTCGCAAAGACAGCCTGGGCCGTCATGGACGAGTCTCCCTCGAACGCAGAGATGCCGTCGTCATCGTCACCGGGCCCGTACAGCATGTCGGTGCTGTCCCCGGCGCCCGGGGGGGAGGCGGTAGGGCCGGAAAGGCCGGAAAGGCCGGAAAGGCCGTTGGACCCGCCCTCAGCCACCGACACGGACGGACTGCGGTTGCTGTTGATGGAAACGGCCAGCTCGCGGATCATGCCCTCGATGTTGGCGAGCCGCGACTCAAAGTAGTCTATCTTGCGCTCGCTGTGTCAGACGGCGAAAAGGGGGTGTATGCTGTCAGCTTCAACCACTCGATGGCCCGCATGCTTAGTTCATGGCAGTCTCACTATTGCGTTGAGATGAGCACCCGCTGGCGGGCCTCTTTCGGCCGCTGCCCTGCTCCGGTCGAGCTGCATGTTCGGTTGGCCGTCCTGCAGTTGGCGCACGGCGAGTCCTTGTCACAGCGTATCTATGTAATAAATTTTAGCATATTCCCTCCCGTGAGGGGGGAAAAACACTGCGGCCGGACCGTTCGACGCTACACGCAACGACCCGAGCGGTGCGAGTGACGGGGTGTCCTGCTCTCCGTTCGGTCAGGTAGGCCGGGTGCTGGTAACCTACCTTCCGGAGCCGGCATTGATCACACTCCACACAGGGGACAGTCAGCATGGGTCACTGAGATTGTGAGAGTAAGGTAAGGATGTGCGGCACACTGCAACAGAACCTACAGCTCTCCTGGCCGTGCTGTCCCCTTCGTTTGACTCGCTCTCCGGCATTGTTCAACTATGGCGGTCGGCGTTTAGTACGGGGTGGTGTCGCCGAGCGATATCCGCCCGGCTTGAGCTCAACCGCTCACCTGTCGCGAGGCGGACCAAGTCTTAGACCAACAATAGGTAGAGAAGATGTGTCTGACGTAGTTTACTCGTTGCAGAGCCGCTATTTGGAGCAACTTACTGAACGCTGAAATGTCAAGCAGAGCTTTCCAGCCCTTCCGCGTGGTTTACGGGTATCAGGACCCGGAAGACATCAAATGTTGAACCGTCCGCTTGTTCCGCGAAGTACCAGGACTCGGAGATGTTGCAGCGGGGCTTCCCTGGGTTAGGGTAAGGGTCATACCGACTTATTGACCAGGCCGTGCGAATCTCTATTTCAAACGTGGAAGGTCGTATACCTTCCTTCATGAACCACGCAGTCCGCAACCATCAGTGCCACCAACCTCGCGGCGGTGTTGAGCAGTAAAGATCCCAGTCCTCACGGTAATGAACCACTTTTGCCATTTCAAGCGCCTTTCCATTTGAAATAGCAAGCTAAAAAAACAACCCGAGACAGATAATAATTCGCACGGTGTGCCCGACTTACACGGAAACAAAACCTACCAGCTAGACGGGCTACGGGTCGATCTGGCACCTACAAGTATGTCCGCTTGTGACCCCGCCGACGAGACCTTCGTGGAGAGTGCTGACAGGTGTAGAATGGATTTCGTCAACGCCCCGCCGGGATGTCGCTCTGCCGATGAGTATTGGTTCAGTGACGAGCAAGCCGACGACATACTGAGGACTGTTGCCTACCACCGCATTGATTACGATCGTGCGATGTTGTCGTTTCCCCCCGTGGACGACCAGCTCCGCCTCTTAATCAGCACATCGTTCCGCCGGCCGTCGGCCCACGGTCTTGGTATACTTGATCGGTTGCCAACGGAGCTCCTGTGGGCTGTGATCTTCCGCCTCGACATGAGGTCCGTTTTTAGACTCCGCCAAGTGAACACCAGGGCTAGACAGACCTTGGAAGCCCTCATCGAGTACCGAGCGGTCGCCTTTTGGGGGCTGGACGCTTTCTGCGCCTTGTTGCGCACGGGGCTCGCCGAACGTGTCTCCTTGACCCAGTTCTGGGATGCTCTGTGCACCAAGAACTGCACCCTCTGCGGCGAATTCGGCGGCTTCATCTCCCTGCCGACTTGGACTCGATGCTGCATATGGTGCGTCCACTGGGCGCCGGAGACCCAACTGCGATCCCTTGCTTCTATTCGGAGGCAGCTTCGTCTTCCCGGCCGTCTGTTAAACAGCCTACCGCAGATCAAAACCCTGCCTGGGCTTTATTGTGTCTCGCAGAACAAATACGTCGCGCAAGTTCGGATAGTCCCCATGCTCCAGGCGACGGCGCTATCGGCGCAACGCCCTCCGCCTCAGGGCCAAGCACGACCGCAGTGGGTCGAGCGGCATACGGATCGGAAATACAACTTTATGGGATCCTGTGCTCTTCCATACTATGACATAGAAAGGGGTCGAGCCGGTGGAGTCGAATTTGGAGTGTCGTGCGCTGGGTGCCAGTTTACCCATATACACACCGATCCGCGGGGAGGGGATTGGCTGTGGACATTGCTTGCCCGCGACATGGTATATTCACAGGCTGGCTTTCTGGAGCACTTCAAGTGGTGTGCTATGGCACAGTATCTCTGGGGGATGAGCGAGGAAGGAACTGTCGTGCCTGCCCAGCTGCCTTTCCTTGCTCGGACGGGAAGCATCTTCATGGTGTAGAGGGACAAGAATGGGCAAGGGATTCTACGGCGAGACGTGTATTTCGCTGTTGGTTATTGTATATACAGTAGATCTGGAAAGTTCCGCCTCCAAACCAATCAAACACACCTACTAGTACATCCACATCAACGCATGTGGAGAGTCTACTGAAAGGGGGCGACGAGACGGTCAATTCTTCACAGGGGTAGGATAAGTGCACCGTATACCAAGGTCACCACGACAGTCGAAACGATCAGAAGAGAAAATAAGGAAAAGGAGAGAAGGCAGGGGAAGAGTGGAAAGGTAAGTCAATCTAAGAAGAAGAGAGGGACAACAGAAAGAAGGGAGTCATGCCGCATTATCTCCCAAATCTTAGCCTTTTCCTCTTCCTCTCCCTTTCTCTCCAGTTGGAAGATACTGCATGGAGTATTACCAGCCGAGTCTGCCCAGCCGACGTCGACGCTGATGGACGGCTTCTTTTGACAAGAGGGAGTCTAGACAAGAAGGTCGATTGGTTGCTTGATGACTGGCTCCTGGACCGCGTACAATATAGTGCGGTCGAACAGAAAACGGCCAGAAATGAGCACCTGGCCACTTCCATCACCCAATCGCCTCAAGCCGTTGCATTCCACCCTAGTAGCTCCCTACGAAAGGTCTAGAAAAATCTGGGTCCCATTTCTCTGAGGACCTCATCACTTCCTTGTCCTCCTAGAGGAGCCGAATGAGCTCGGACAAGGAGCCAAGCAGCGCATCGATAGCTCGCCACACCTCCTCGAAGACCACCCCAAGACTGTCCACGCGCCCTCTCAACCTCGGCCATGGGGTCCGCCATCTCTCGGCCGATCCGCGCAACCTCCAGACCCAGAATTTCCATCTGGATCTCCGAGAGTCCGTACCGCATTCGACCAGAACCAGAAGCCAGGAAGAACTCGTCGAGCCTGCGGCGCAGCTCCTGGATTTCGCGGATCTCCTCCTCATTTCTGCGTCGTTGCGCCTCAACCGCGGCGATCCGGCGACGATCCTCCTCCATAGCCCTCTCCAGCTCGTCGATACGAGCCTGGATCTCGCGAGTCGCTACGTCGTCGTTGCTGGGCGAGGCGCTGGCATCGCCATCGACAGCCGCCCTGGCTTACTCATCGGCGCCGTTGGACGTGCTCATCTTGGCTAAGTTGCTAATATTTTGTCACGTCAGTGTTATTAGGGTTTTCAAAGGTGTGAGCGATTAGAAAGAAGAATAGACAAGGGATGAGAAGGGGACGGACAAGAAGTGGAGGAAAAGGACGAGGATTAAGCGGGAGAAGTTAAGATCTGAATTCTTTGAAGATACCTGTATTGAGTAGAGACGGGGATGGCTCTTACCGGGTTCGCTGATGAGATATGCGAGTAGCTTGGTATGGACGGGAGGAGTCGGCGGGGAAGATTGAACACGAGGTGTGCGAGAGTGAGCTGAGATGTAACAAGTTCAGTAGAAATGCAAGAGAAGGTCTGGAATAAGCTATGGGATGGCTATGCTGAGGGATCATAGCATGAGATGGCTGAACGACTCACCTGTTCTCTGGGTGAGAAAGTCTGGCTTGTCAAGGTACTAGTAGCCAAAACCTGCACATATGCCCATAGAATTTAGATCCTGAAGACAATGATACGAATAGATAGCTTGATCACATGGAACCAGGACGAACCAAAATGAACAGATGTATTGATCAAAGGTGAACACGTGACCTGGACCAAAAACCGACTAACGATAGTATGTGTGGCATATACCAACCCAGGTTGTTGCCAACCTCAAACCATCACCTTTACACCTTCCTACCCCGCCCCCCGCGGGGTATATCGCCACAAGACAAACAAAGGTGAGTGAACGGCAATGAAGTTTAGGAAAACAGGCGCATGAATAGAGATTGAGTTAACGTCGTCCCTAGATGGAATCAGTGAACCCGGAACCTTATTACCGTGCATAAACGGTTACGGATCACGCGACAGAAGGAGAGACTAGGAGAGAGATAGGGACAACCAGAAGGACGAGAACAACAAACAAGAGAGGATAACATGAAGGAAGTAAACAACATGAAGGAAGAGCACCACGAGAAGAAGAACGATAATACGAAGGAAGAAGGTAACAAGAAGGAACAAGATAACAAGAGGGAAGAGAACCACAAGAAGGAAGCAAACAACAAGAAGGAAGAGGACCGCAAGAAGGAGGAGGACAATACGAAGGAAGAGGGTAACAACAAGGAGCAAGACAGCGAGAAAGAACAAGACAATAAGAGGGGCAAGATAATAAGAAGAGACAATTAAAAAGAGGAGGATAATATAACGGCAGAGGACAACAAGAAAGAGAAGGATAATACGAAGGAAGAGGCCGAAAGGAATAAATGGGATAACAAGAAAAGAGAGGGCAACATAAGTAGGAAGAGGACTACAAAACTTAAGACCGGAATACAAGAGGGAACACGACAGCGAGGAAATAAGATAACAAGAAGGAAAGGGATAGCAGGAGCAAAAATAACAAGACAAGGAAGAGGAGGGAAATAAAAAGAAATAGGATAGCAGGAAGCAGGAGAATAACAACACGGAAGAAGGCAAAGTAGGAAGGGAGAAGACCACAAGAAGCAAGACAATACTATAAGGAGGAAGAAAGAATAAGGAGGACCACGACAGTATACAAAGGAACACGACAAGATAACGAGGAGAACCACAACGATATGAGAATGAAGCTGATAACAAGAAGGAAGAGTGAAGGATAAGAAGTGACAGGACCACAAGATGAGAGAGGACTACAAAATGCAACAGGATAATATAAGAGGTATAAGGACGAAAGGAAGAGGAGGATAACAAGCAGGAAGAGGAGGATAACAAGCAGGAAGAGGAGGATAACAAGCAGGAAGAGGAGGATAACAAGCAGGAAGAGGAGGATAACAAGCAGGAAGAGGAGGATAACAAGCAGGAAGAGGAGGATAACAAGCAGGAAGAGGAGGATAACAAGCAGGAAGAGGAGGATAACAAGCAGGAAGAGGAGGATAACAAGCAGGAAGAGGAGGATATATATAATACGAAGGAAGGGGACACGATAAGAAAGAGTAGGACAATATACGAGCGAAGAGGATATGCAAGTAACAGGAAGAGGCCAACAAGAAGGAGGAGGATAGGTGAAGAGGGAAGAGGAGGACATATACAATAAGATGGAAGGGGGTAACATATAAAAGACGAGGATAACATACGACGGACGAGGATATACAAGCAACAAGAGGAGGCCAACAAGCATCAGGAGGATATGATAAGAGGGAAGAGGATATACAAGCAAGACGAGGACAACAGGAAGGAAGCGGGTATATATATTGCGAAAGAGAAGGACGATGTAAAAAGGAAGAGGATACGAAGAACGAGGACGACAACATAAGAAGGAAGAAGATAAGAAGCAACAGGACGAAAAGCAACTTGAAGAAAGAGGAGGACAATAAGATGGAAGAATACAACGAACAAGATGAAAGAATGCAAGGAACGGCCACACCGACGTCCGCTAGTCAAAAGGACGCTCTCTAGAGAACGCAAGATCACAAGACTCGGCTTCCTCCCTAGCTACTATCGACCACAATAACACCAGAAAGCGCATCCAACCACACCACAAGTCCACGTCTTCACCAACCGTCCGCTTCACGAAGCACTTAAGTATTCGCCTCAGACATAGCCTGTTCCGCCAAACCACAGTTCCAATCATCGCAGTTCACCTCTGGCGGCAGATAGTCAACGGCCCAAAACAAAAGGCTGCGACCCGTCCTCGAGTGGCAACTCGGGCGCGTTGAACTCCCGCGTATCCCATCTGATCTCAAGAACAACCTGCGGGGCGGCTACGGGATGACTCGGCGTCAGTCATAGTTCCCCTTGGGTCTTCCCCCCGCCAGGCGACGTGGCTGTGGTGGTCCGGGCTGTCGAGATGGACGCCGTCCCCGCAGTTCGGGGAGTATATGGTCGTCAAGTTGCCTTCCGGCCATGGGTTGGACGGGAAGGTTGCAGACCGGTTCGTGTAACGCGTGTCGCCACGGACAAGGCACGTGTAATCGATACCCCTGTACTGCGCGGGATCGGCATCGGGGCTGCCGTTGCGCATGCGAAAGTCCTTCCTGAAGGTCACGACAGGGGGTGGTGTTCTTGTGAGGCGCGAGGCAAGTAGATCTTCATGCCGCCCTCGTGCGCGCCCTCCAAGTACGACACGCCCAACTGATTCACGCGCTTATAGATCCCGTTCCGGGCGCGGAAGTACATCAGGGCGGCCCAGTAGTTGGAGAAGTCGTCGGCAGGTCGACAGCTCGCCGGGGCCGTTTCCTGGGTTCATGGTCGCGTTGAAACTGTTCCCTCCGCGGATGATCTGGTGGATGTGGTGCGAGCCGATCAGCCGGAGACTGATCAGTTCGGCAACGGCATTTAGGGCTGCTTGGGAGGAGAGGGGTGGAGGCTAAGGTTATGTCTGTGCAAAGGGTCAATACGGTCTACTGGGAGTTGGGCGCAGCCTACCTTCAAGGACGCGCCTTCGTACTCGCAGGCTCCTGGACCAGGAAGATCCAGCACGCTGCTCAAGCCAACCAGTGTTCCTAGGTTCATTGCATTGAAGATCTGAGAAGGGAAGGCAAGACGGAACAACACGGCAAAGTCATTTGGAAGCTACTGGTTGCGAGCAACTCAGGCTCATACACTGATTCGGCTATTGTATCTTGGCTAGCGTAAAGGGGGTCGTGGGTTTGAAACAAAGGGAAGAAAGCAAGGGAAGGATGAGGAACAAGGGGTCTGTCCAGACTTGAGACCGTTCATGTTACTGTCTCGCTAAGACCCCCAAAAGGCCTCGAGGCGTATGCACTTTTGCCATATTGTGTGCGCCGCGTAGTCATTTACTCAGCGCCCTTTCTCATATATGCGTACGGACGTAGAAGACCTATACCTCGGTTCGCTGCAACGTTCCTCCGCAGTAAGCCTGCCCAAACTCAAGATGACCTTGTGCAACCCACCATGTCCCAATAATGCCCTATCCATGAGATCCTTCGCTTCAGAACCACTTCCATCACTGCTCACCTTTCACCTTCTCCTCCCGCACCTCGGCGGGCACCGACAGCGCATACGCATCGACATGGGCCTCGGCAAACTTGCGCGCGGGCGTCTTGTTCGCAAACAGGATATCCAGCTCCTCGTACGTGCGGCCTTTAATCTCGGGCAAGCGGAAATAGGCCCACACAAACACGACAAACGCCGTGCCGCCCCAGAAGAAGCCCGACTTGCCCTTGAAGTTCCAGGCGGCCGGGTGCTGCATATAGCTGTACAGGACCTGCGAGACGATGTTGGTGATCTGGTAGGCGGTGCGCGCGAGCACGACCGACAGCGGCCGCAGCCGCACGCTGGACGTCTCGGAGATGATGCTGTATGCCAGCGGCCCGATGGTGAGCGAGTAGGTGAAGAGCCAGAAGACGCACAGCCCGCCCGACGGCCAGAGACCCCTCGTGCCGGCCGAGACGTCGAGTATGCCGATGATGAAGAGCACGACGGTGAGGATGCCAATCCCCGTCACGTAGAGTGTTCGTCGGCCGAAGTAGGAGATGAGCCACCAGGACCTTGTTTGTTGGGTTGGGGAATTTGTCAGCAACACAGAGCCTTCATGAACAAGACAGAGGAAGGACATTATACTAGTAGTACTAGTAGTACTTACAGGACAGTCCCCAAGAAGGCCATTCCCTTAGCGCCGAGGCCAAGATTGAACGCATTATACGTCTCCATGCCAGCGGTGGTGAAGAAGTAGGTCGGCGTGTACGCAAAGCTGCTTCCCGACAGGATCTGGCCCATGAAGGCGACCATACAGATCTCGGTGCGGCGGAGATCCACGCCGCGGAAGCAGTCGAGATACGTGGCGCCCTTGGTGACCTCGGCCTCGAGCCTGGTCGTGTGCACCATCATGGCAAGCTGGGCGCTGATCTGCTCTTCCGTCTTCTCGCCGCTGAGCCTCGCAATTGACAGCTTCGCTTCGTCCAGCCGGTCCGTACGCACAAGGTACCACGGGCTTTCCGGAGCAAGGTACGCGATAACCATGAGAGGCACAGGCCACACCCACTGGATGGCGAAGGGGATCTTGTAGCCCATTGCCCCCGCGATGGGAAGGCAGCCTCGGAGGACGCCACTGGCGAGGAGCTGGCCAATCGCCCAGCACAGGTTCACGTAGGTGGTCATGTAGCCGCGCAGGTTGGTCGGGCACACCTCGGAGGCGTACGCCGGACTGAGAGTTGCAAAGACACCCCAGCAGAGCCCGCACAGGATCTGGGCGCCTACCAAGGCGGCGGCATTGGGCGCGAAGAAGACGACAAAGATGAAGGCGTTCAGCAGGCCCATGGCTCCGATCATCACCCAGCGGTAGCCGAATCTTGAGGCGAGGTATCCGTTCATGAGCCCGCCTTGGAAAGGACTCGTTGTTAGCACCACTCCAAGAAAGTGCAAAGGGTACAGCAAGGCGAACCGCACATACCAAAGATAGCACCAACCGTGCTGGACATATTCAACCCGGTCTGCCACGCAACCGGGACCTGCCATCCCGTAGTGCCTCCGTAGTCCACTCCGAACTTCTTGGCGAACTCCGGGTAGGCAAAGAAGTTGCCTATGAGAATGGTGTCGTATCTACAGTGCTACTCGTTAATTACAGACCGGCCCCTCGCAAAAGCCAGGGGACATCCGCAGTCTTCTTGTTTAGTACTTACCCTTCCATGATAATCGATAGCGAGATCATGATACTCCAGAAGACAGCCCTGCGATTCTCCCGCAGGGCTTGCATCAGGGTCTGGGCGTGCTCATCGTCGGTCGCCTGCTTCGCCTGCAAGATGGCCTGCTGGCCCAGCTTCTCCTCGAGGTCCTGGTCGACCACCTTTTGAAGGTGGCTGACCTGTACACTGTTCGTCGCCATGGCGACTCCGAAAGGGAGGCTTTGCGCTTGTCCGCGCTGCTAGCGATCCCTGTGTTTCAGTCTCAAGAGGGTGGAAGGGGGGGACAGTATCCGTATGCGGCGTCTCGTTGATAGTATGATAAGAACGGGTTGGATGCGATGGTTGGACCGCGGGCTGGGCGAGCGAACGAGAGTACTAATAATATGTGCAATGTGACGGTTCCCATTGACATGGACCGGCGGTTCTAGTCCCCTGTCATAGGATTGTGGGGGATCTGCATGGGCCTTGCTGGAGATCCTGGGGAATCTGGGGTTGTTGGAGATTCTGGACGTCGTTCGGTCAAAACTAGCCCGAGAATGCGACCCTACTGCATCCGGCCATGTTGACATTGGCCCAAACGTCTCTCGCTCCTGATCCTTCGGGTTGCACTCGGTTTTCCTCCACCACTAGGAACGGACATGGTCGTGGGAGGATGCACGAGATCAAGGTTCCTCCTCGATGCCAAGTACCTGGTGTGATAACCCAGTGGCTTGGAAATCGATCTCGGCCCGGTTTACCGCTGCGAAACACACAGTCTGTTGCTGGTTGCTCGGACAGACATTGAAAACATGTCAACACGCTGCTTAAAGCGAGGACCCACGACGGCGGGCAAAATAAGGTGGGTAAGTTATATAAGAGGTACGCGTGAGTCGTGACGTCTTCTTGGTCCGATTATTTTACGGTAGTAGTTGATTTGAGCGTCGGCGGACCCTGCATTGCTACCTTACTATACCGCCGCAGAGTAGGCCGCTTACATCCTAAGCTTTCATACCAAGCTTCCGATCCGATCAAGACGCATGCGCAATTGCTCTACAGCCCAGAGATCGTGACACAAATCATTTCCTTTGTCGAGGGCAAGTCCAAATATTCGACCAACGTCCCGAGTGGCCTGAAATTGAGCATGCCGGACTTGTTGAGTCGTAAACTAAAGTACATTGATGGGGCCAGGGCAGCACGAGTCGAGGTCAGGGGCATATTAACCTTGGATGAGATACAGGCCGCCAAAAAGACGCTTTGCAGAGTGAGACCAGCCACAAGAGTTGGATTGAGGCCATTGACCGGTTGGGGAAACAAGGCCAAGACGGCGTTTGAGACCACGCTTCCTAGCGGCCTGTTTCCAGATGTGGCGAGGAAGGAGCTGCTGGCAAGTGACGTCCCAGACCAGGCTCCAGACTCGGCTCCAGACTCGGCTCCAGACTCGGCCGCTCCTTCCCCCTATGGAAGATCACCGACACAGAAGCGCAGGGCATTTTTGAAGCAGTTCATTCCCTTTCTTCGGGGCCATCTTCAGAGAGGCCTCGTGCTGGACACCCTGGCGGCCGTGGCTGGCCTTGGCTGGCCTTCCAAGCCGTGACCTCGTGTCGGTACTCCTCAACGAAGTGATCCGGTTCGACGAGGAGGGCCAATCGGTATCTGCTCTGAGCAAATTGATGTCGCTATGCGACCGTCCGAAGCCCAAACCCACACCCTGGGTGGGATGGATCCAGCCCCCTGCCAACGACCTCTGCACCATTTACATTGTTAGCGATGAAGCCCCTGGCCCGATCTAGATCGGCGGCCTGACCTACGCTTTCCCATACCAGTCTGCCGACAAGCGATCCCGTCAAGCTGAGCTCCAGTATACTGTCCTCCTTGGATACCCACGGCAACGATGTCGGTGCGCTGCAGTGGCGCACGGCGGGAACCGTCCTATCCCCCGATCGCCGAGACGGCCCTTCTGCCAGATTACGTCGGCCAGGACGGTGCTGTCGTGTTCGAGGCGCTTTGTAGAGCTGCGCTGCTCGTAAATGTCCTGAGACTCACGGCAGACGAGGTCGCACATTTTAACGCCCGTTTCACCGCCGACAAAGCCGGCAGCAGCTTGTTGCGGATTACGCAGGGGCAACTGGCCAAGCTCTGTGCATATGTCGCCCTCCGCAATACGCTACCGAAGGGTGCTACTATCACGCTGCTGGAACTCTTCAAGTGGTGCGAGAACAACCCCTAGATAAGGGTGACGATATCCCCGAGCAGATCGCCAAGGCCACTGGCTGGAGTGCCTCCCTGCTCAAGGCGGTCGTGGCCGGGGTCGGCACTGTACGCCCCAGTCCGGTGCACTTTGTCGACGTGACCAATCCTGTCAGGCTTCAGATCATGCTCCAGGTCGCTACTAAGATTGGTGTGGACATGGATAGCATCATTCGCTGGACAGCTCCTCTATAGTCCGGCGCGGACTCGTGGACGCTCCGGCAGGCCATAGCCACCGATATGTAGCGAGGGCTTCGGTCGAGGTACGACGCGCAGACGTGGCAGAAGGTTGCTCGGCCGGTCCATGACGTTCTGCGAGAGAACCGGAAAAACGCGCTCATTAGCTATCTGTTGGTCCAAGAGTTACTCGCCGGAAAGGGAGTGATCGACGGCGATAGTCTTTTCGAGTTCTTCCTTATCGACGTGCAAATGCCACATCTGGTGCAGACGTCGTGTATCAAGCAAGCCATATCCACTGTCCAGCTCTATATCCAGCACTGTCTCCTGGGCCTGGAGGCCAAGACGAGCGGCGTTCCTGCCTCGGCCGTGAGTCCCTAACGGTGGGAATGGATGTAGAAGTACCGTGTCTGGGAGGCCAACCGCAAGGTCTTGCTCTACCCGGAAACCTATATCGAGCCCTCTCTGCGAGACGGCAAGAGCGGCTTAAGTCGGACCCCCCCCATTCCGACCACCCCACTTTCCGACCACTTGGCAAATCTTGGTCTACAAACCCACCCATCTTCTTCAACACCATATATTGCAGTCTATTTAACCTACCACAATACAGGAGACCTCTGATTCTGCACTTTCTGACCCGCTCTCTTCAGCCACCGAGTCATCTATACGGCCGGCCTCAATTTGAGCCTGGTGGATCTGTTCAATCGAAGCGAACACACTGTTTGGATCAAGAACTACCTTCTTCCTCCTTGACGGCCGGGCCGCTTCCAACTGAGCCTTCAGAGCTTCGTTTTCCTGTCGTAACCGAGCCAATTCAAAGTCCTTCTGATCAAAAGCTTTCTCAACCTTCTTGAACAAAAGCCTGCGGGTAGAGAGGTCTTGTTTCCGGATGGCCAGGTTGTTCAGTTGACCATGTAAGTCTGACTTCTTCTGTGGTGTGTTGAGGAATGCGATGGTGGCTACTGTCAAAGCCTGAGAGGCTTGAACAGGTACCGGGGTCTGTATAGAAGCCATTTGTTCATCAACCCCGGCTACGCTGTTTGAATTTTCCAGTAGAAGCCGGCTCATCAGGGGTTTAGCCATATTGACCGGCCATAACCCAGATGCCCTCCATCCCGCCTTGATATTATGGGCTGTAATGGCCTCTTTACGAGCTTCCACGATACATTTGATCATCATCTGCTTGCCTAATACTGTCGATTCGGACCAGGAGGTCAACTTGTTGAGGAGCTTCCGGTATATGTGCTTCAAGGGGGAGAACACTGACAAATCCAACGGTTGAAGAATATGGGACGTATGGGGAGGCAAAAAGAGCAATTGGATATTGTTCTTATAGCATGCCCACATAAAGTCGTCAGTTCTATGGCTGTCATGGCCATCTAGTATCAATAGCCGTCTCTGGGAGGGATCTTGTAGCCGGGTCCGGGGGATAAACACCTCTTGAAGCCATTCTAATGCAACCACTCTGTTTATCCGGCCGGTAGCAGTTGAAGCCCACTTCCACTCTTTTAGTTCCTCCTTTTTGACCGGGAACCATTGTTGTTGAAGGCTCTTCCCTTTGAAGATGACAGTTGGTGGGAGCGCTACCCCTGTCGCTGAGACACACTCAAGAAAAGAGGTCCAGGCTCGCGAACCAGGAACTCTCCGTTGAACCGCACGCGTTCGTGAGCTTCCAACCACCAAGCCGTTGGTTCCCTGGCCTTCCATAATGCCGAATTCGTCAAAGTTATAGCGGTTAGCTGGTAGGATGTCCTTGATAGCTGGGATATTCAGTCGCGGCCACCAACTGCGGATGACTGAGTCAGTGGCCCCATTGATGCGGACCGAGTCTATCTTACGGGCTCGCTGGGTTCGAAGGACTGGGTTCCTGCGAAGGAACCGGGTCATCCAGCCCTTTCCGACAGTCGTACGGCTGGCTCCTTGTGCCTGTAGAACTCGGCTGGCGAACTCCCTGATCTGGGCATGAGTTGGTGGAACACCGAGGGCAACCTGGGTCAAGACCCATCGGGTAAGATGATCTTCCTGTACCCGGCTAAGGGTCTGTTGCGATTCGGCCGCAGTTGAATGGGTTTGGGAGCCAGAGAGGCGGTCGTGAAGTGTAGTCCTTGGTATGCCGAATTCCCGGCAGATACTTCTCATCGAACGGCCACCCTGGTAGTATTCTGCAATCGCATCATGTAAGTCCTGTTCAGTATAAGGCATCTTGAACTGACGGAAATATAGTCAAAAATAAGCTTGTTTGGCCTGAAATTGACTGAGTTGTGGTAAGTTAAAGTGGTTGGGTTGGAAGAGCGGTGAGAATTTGCTAAGTGGTCGGAAAGTGGGGTGGTCGGAATGGGGGGGGTCCGACTTATTCCGCGAACTCGAGGCCGACCTGCTATCCAAAGACATCACGAAGGAGAACATGACCGAGGCGCTCAAGGCGTACGTCTTTAAGCTGGACTAGGTAGCTAACCTGTAGCCCCTTGCCCTTTGGGTCAAGCCCGGTATGAAGTTTTATGTATTTGCGCGCACGTACGCAGCCCTATACACGTACTACTTGCGCTCGTACGACTATCTGGCCTGGAATTGGTCTCCGTGGGAGAAGATGGATATCGATATACCCGACTATAAGTTTTCTGATGGGAATGGCTGCTATCTGATTCCGTTCGAGTGGTAGAACTGCCTTCTCCTCTTCCCGCAGTTCCTCAAGACCACGTCTCAGGCTCCGTTAGAAAAGAATTTCAACCAGCTCGGAGGGGAGAATGTTGATTCCAACAAGCCTGTCGAGCAGTGGGAAATCACCATGGGCTGGATCGAGTACCGTGGCGGGAAGTGGCTCCCCAAGCAGCTGTCGGCCGACGCGTACCCGACGCCCGAACTCCCTCCCATTGAGAGCATGGTCTTCTACCCAGGCATCATTCCCGGCAAAGCAGGGGGTCCCGCCGAGGTCTTAGCCTTCAACCTATCCATGTACAGGCAGTTTCCACCCGTAGTGGCAGAGGTACCTGTACAGTTCTGCTTTAACGGAAGCGAGGTAAGACTAGCCCGGCCGCGCGAGACGGTCGTGATTGAGTGTGACAGCCTGGTCGCAGTTCAGTCAGTATATCGAGGAGAATGATGCGCCCCTGTCAAGAATGCTGCGGTCGCTTCAGGGAGTGAGCCCAGTTCCGCTCAAAGTTGACGTTCAACTTCCACCACCCGTCGGGAAGGTATCCGTAACGTGCACCCAGGTACCGACAACATCCTTACTACCACGGATCACATTTGGCGAGGTGAAATCAACCACTGGAACCCTGCTGTACAAGTCTCCGCCATCGCCCAAAACGCAGAAATCATTTTTCCACAAGCAGGCCCCCCAACTTCTCAGCCACCTTCTGGCAAGCCGGAAACATGGCTGACGTTTACACCTGGCTGTCAGCCATTGACCCGTCCACCGACCCCACGGCGTTTGGGCGCGACAGCGATGGCCACTGCCACGAGCCGAACAATCTGTATTCTCTCTACAACTGGGAGTTGGGATTTCACGCCCCGATGCTGCTGGCCGACCGGCTGCTCAAGTCGCAGAAATACGACGAGGCGCTCCAGGTGTGCCGCTTTGTCTTCAACCCGCTCGGCACAGGCGTCGAAACCGGAAGCCAAGATCGACGACCGGCTGTTCAAAGATCCGGCCCTCGCAGGACATCAACGGCATCTTCCGGCAGCTACCGCTCTTTGAGCCGCCGATCGACTCGTTGATGCCGGTGCAGGCACCAGCGACCAGTTCAGCGTTCTGCAGCTTCTCTTCCCTCCACCATCTCCCTCAACTCCCTTTCATTCTCAGCGTCCTCTAGGTCCTGCTCCGTGTTCGTGTCTGTGTCCAAGTCCCACCAGTCTGTCTGCTCCGCCGCCTGTCCTTGGCCATGCACGACCACAACGTCGTTCTTCGCTTGGGAATGCTTGCGTGCATGGCTCAACGTAGATGGTGGGTGCGCACGGCAGGAAATTGTATCTGTTTGAGAAAGCGAGACATCTGCTTTCAAGCAAATTTGGCGACTTTGGTGAGGTCTTGGTGTGAATGTGGCCAGATAGATGACTGGACTGGGTAACAGAGTTGGTTGCTAGAGAATGGGTTACCCTGCTTGTATCACGATATGCGATGCGGATCCACAGATACCTCTGGGACGCATGTCCGATTGGATTGGTGCACATGCCTAAAAGGTAAGGTAGTCAACATAACTCAGCAACATTGGACTATCAAACGAGGAGAATCGCAATGAGGAGATTGCTCTCTTGAACGCTAATCACCGGCAGGTTTGCAAATTTAATACACGGGCAGATCCAAATCACATGATACTTGGGAATGCTCTATTTAGCGCAGTTGACTATATCCGCGGGCGGCCGGGGAAACCAAAGCACCACCTTCACACTATCGAAAGAACGAGTCGGCACGGTCAGAGATTCATACGGATCGGACTTGGGGTTGGCCGACTCAAGCGGTTCCCGCTCACCATAGTGGCCAATGATGGGGGTGCCCTACGGTGAGAACGATGGAATCGGGGACGTCCGAGGTTGGGCTGCGAAATCATCAGGGCGTTAAATGCTCTGGTCGAAGCCGTGAATCGTATCGGGAACCGGCAGCCTGGGCCCGATCTTTGATAGGACTTTTCTAGTGAAGGGAAGGCTTATGGGGACGATAATTTGTCAATGGTCAATCCAGGGGTCAATCACGCATTGCTTATTTAGGGAGAGAGAAATAATAGCTGCTTATCCGTATCTGACTTAATGCATGCGTACTGTGATACAGAGCACAATGTTACCCCATTTCCTCTTCTCAGGTACCGACAAACAAGCACAGTCGGTGCCCACACCAGGGAATCCCCCAAGCAGCACATTCATCGTTCCCCTCGTCCTCCAACACCTTGACAACACTTATCGCTTGCGAAGGAGCCGTAGCAACAGCTGACTCCAAGGAGCAACCGCGATCCGGGCCCGGTTCACCGTGTTCGGAAGGTGGCGAAACACCGCGGCACTTGTGTTGGGAGAGGCGGGCAAGCGGTAGTGGCCTGAGAACCGGAAGAAGAGGGGGACCATGGAGGACTGCAGGATGGAGGACTGCAGGGGAGGGGAGGGGGGCCTGGCGATGCCAACCCGAGCCACCTCGCTCATTTGGATTGCGTGCAAGATCTCGCTGTATTTGATAGCAACCTCGATGCTCGGGTTGCGGTAATCAAGATGCAGACGGAGCTCGCCGTCCGGATTGGCGAGTTTTTCACTCGTAGTGACAAGTCCGTCGCCGTCGCGGGTCCAGGTGACCACCTCGGAATGGTTGATAATGCGCTGGATACGCCGCTCGAGCTCCTTCTTGTTGACGGGACGAGGATTCCTAGGGAGGCCACCGATATCCAGGCGGATCATTGTCTCGATTGGATGACGAGCCATGGTGTGCGCGAGAATGCTATTGGCTGGTCTGTTCCTCTCTCCGATGGCAGCGACGCTAATGATAAGAGTAGGGTCGTCGCCATAATACATCGATGGGTAAACACCAACAAGGCAGTGGCGGACTTCGTCGATAATTTGAGTGTGATCGATAGGGTCGACGAGAAAGTGGTAGTCCTGGACCTCGTGATCGGAGGAAAGGCGATCGTAGAGGGTTACCACGATTTTATCGAGCCGCTGGGGCAGATGAGCCTCAGCAGCAGCATCAGCAGGAGCAATCTGCGTGCGTCAGTTTCCACGCTTTGAAGCGTGTTCAGAGGAAGGAGAAACCCTCACCATGGTAAAGGAATTGCAGCCCTCCATCATGTCGGATTGTAAAGTGTACTGACAGAAAGCGCTGCTCAAGCGAAAGAACTAAGAGCATGCGCGAGGAGAGAGGAGAGAGGAGAGAGAAGGTGCCCCATAGCGAGAGTAGAACAAATATCTTTGAACCAAGCTCACGTGCTTTGAGACCCCAAAGTAAAAGAGACATACCTAACTAGCTATATACACGTGACATTTTATTGAACAGTAGTGATGTTCAGGCACGCTCAGGCAGCAATGATGGGTACAGAAGATTCAATCGGCTGCTAATTCTACTTTACCATCCTCTTTATCATCTGCTTTATCACCTGCTTTATCATCTGCTTTATAATATTCCCTACTATACAGTGCACCACAAGTTAGAATGCATAGAATTCGAACATTGTTCTAATGCCCAGGCAATACGCTATGCCTTTCTATATATGGAATCCATGTAAAATACTGAGTAGGTAATTGCCAAGGCTTCGCCCTATACTCCTGAGAATCCCACCGAGAACTCGTACGTTCCAGCATCCAGGACCCAAGCATGTGCCTTCTCATCGAAGTGAGCCATATCCCGGCCTTTGGCGGAAAGACGGATGTTTTGCGCCTCGCCGGACTGCAGACGAGCTTTCTAGTAAGCCACGAGGATCTTCACCAGGTGTTCCGAAAAAGACTGGACGGTATTTCCGACATAAAGCTGGACTACGAGCCCCAGGCAGCGCTCCCGTGTTTCGTGACCCCGGCCGTAACTATAAACTCATCTGCTACGCCATTGGCTTTAACATGTAAGTTTCCAAGCGGAAAGAATGTGTATTATATAACCCGTGGCCAAAGGCAAAGTTGACGGCATCCCGAGCCAGACGGTCGTAGTGTCGCAGTGGATATACTTTGGGTCGTCTTCTATGTTCCAACTGCCGGCATCTCTGGGCCCAGGCGATGCAGTGTAAAATCGAGGGAGAAAGGGATGCTTTGATTTTCCTAAGAGTGGTTGGACTATCCCAATCCCCATTGGCCCTTCTTGGTCCGTAATGATTGGACGCGGGCGCTGCCGCGGACCATGCAGGTCGGCCCCTACCGGCCTCTGCAGGTTAATTCATGACAGGTAGCCTAAATTGGAAGGCGGTAAAGTTATGCCTGGGATGGACTACGTCACGATGATTCATATAACAACGCTCGGATCCGGTATATCTTGGCTTACCCACCCACCAAAAAGTCACTGGATGGCCGGTACAGTACTAGAACGGCCTGAACAGAATCAGGCTCTAAATGGCAATTACCACTGTAGGTTTGCCCCTGCGTTCTACAAGTGCCTCCAAAAGAAGCTCTGTTGCTGTGCGAGGAGGACGCGGCGGTCTGAGGCGTCTTGCCCAGCCTGGCGTCAATGGAGGCATTGATCTGCTTCGGGAAGGATCCGGTGGTCTGCCAGTCAAGCTTACAACCCCTACGGAGCATACCCCTACCCTAGGCAACCGGACGACGAGGCTTTTTATTGATATATATATAGGTATAAGTACCTAAGCATCTAGGGGAATACCTCCGCTTCTATAGCCGAACTATCGTATAAGATAGACACTATCTGGCTTCGTATAACTTCTTAGACCTAAACCGTTAACCTGTCGTCAAAAGCATATATATAAAAGATATAGTTAATAGTAAGTATAACATAGTACAGATAGACAAAGGCGAATCTATTAACATTTTGTATAGGCAACGCCGGACATGCCATCGCTATATGGCAGGTTGTGAAGAAACCTCAGCAGTCCTGCTTCTAAAAGGGTTCGCCGGTCAAAGGTAGTCTGGTCGGGCTATAGGTCTCGGTAAAGCCAAAGGGTTCACAACAATGCAATCCGCAGTGTCTGCACAGTAGGGTAAAGGCTACTGCTTGTATTGCTCACTAAGGAAGCTAGCTATCTGAATAAGTGACAGAATGGTAGAACTATATACTGCTTCCTCCCTGAGGTACCTTCGTACCTGGATCACCACCGATCACCTCGGCCCGGTGATGCATGGTGATCCGCTCACCGGGATCACCAGTTCCCGACTGATCTTGCCGTCCCTGGACGCCCATTGGCCCAGGGTCCCGGGGCCGTGCCCCACCCGGCCGCCTTATATGGTTGGCTCATGACATATAGCCGACAAGCTTGAGAAGAGCAGGATTCGCGGCCAAATTAGCAGCATTCTCGAGACTTGCTTGATACCGGCACATGCTCACGCCATGAGACCTGAAGTTGCAACGAAGGTCTGAGGGTATTAGCCTAAGTCCCATAACACCCTCTATAACCCGTTACGATGGCTGTCACTCGGTGGCATTGCCAAGCTCGAATCTCCACGCGCCCCAACCAGAAGTTTGGATCTGAGGTTGTTCACGCAAACGACTTCGGCAGTAATGTCGGCAGTACAATGAAAGTCGTGATTGGGCGGTTGTATATTACCCAAACGGGATTCACACCCTGAAACCAGGTACTTGGTACGGGACTATACTTTAAAAACTCCGGTGGTGGAGCGAATGCTACATTAGATCAAGCACGGATCTTCGGATCGAATTAGTATCCGCAAGCACTTCCCGATGAGGCTATCGAACGGGATTTGAATTGCGAGATGAATGCAGACAGAACGAACCAGGCCTTTCGTTGTTCATGTGTCAAGCGAGGGTGGGCTGAGAGTCGGTGCTGGACATATAAAGGACCTACAAGTGCGCGTGAAGACTTGCCCCATGTTCAAGCCCTCCTTGTTGTTCTGGCCTGACGGATTTGCAACAATGAAGGCTCTGCTCCCTGCTTTGATCCTCGTGGGTCTGTCATCTGCCAGCCCTGTCTTGGACAACGAGGCGCGGCAGAACGGAGGCGTCGGCAATGGCCCTTTTGCACCAGCCGTATGTCCTCGCCTCGTAGCAATTCCGAGTAGCGGTGCCACTCACCCCGTGACATGGCTAATACACTGCTGACAGGGCTACTACACGACCAACGCGCTCGGTGGCCACACCTTCTTCGCGCCTACGTCCGCCCCTCCAAACGTCAAGCTCCCCGTCCTCGTCTGGGGCAACGGCGCGTGCTCGGCCGACTCCCTAGGCCAGGCGCCCTTCCTGACCCAGCTGGCGTCGTACGGCGTGCTGGTCATCGCGAGCGGCACGCCCCGCGGCGGCGGCAGCACCACAGCCGACACGATGAAGCAGTCGATCGACTTCATCACGCGCAACGCCGGGCAGGGCCAGTTCGCCAACGTCGACGCGTCGCGCATCACGGCCGCCGGGTTCAGCTGCGGCGGCGTTGAGGCCTATGCCCAGATCAACGATGCACGCGTCCAGCACGTCGGCATCTGGAGCTCGGGCCTGCTGAGCGACTACGACGCGGCCCGGAGCTTCCGCAAGCCGGTGTTCTTCTTTCTCGGAGGGCTCAGCGACATTGCCTACCAGAACGGCGAGCGCGACTACAGCTACATGCCCTCGGGTGTGCCCAAGTGGAAGGGCAATCTTGATGTGGGCCACGGCGGGACTTATGGCGACTACAACGGCGGCAAGTTTGGCGTTATTGGGGGTTATTGGGTGCAGTGGATGATGCGCGGGAACTCGTCTGCCGCGGCGTATCTAACTGGCAGCGGAGCGAGGAATGACGGCTGGTCGGTGGTGCATGCGGATCTGGATAGGCTCAGTGTCACGCCCATTGGGGACGGCTCCGGTGGCGGCGGCGGCTCTAGTACCACGACTTCGGCCGGCGCAGAGCCAACTGGTGGCGGCAACGGCGGCGGTAGCTGCTCAGTGCTTTACGGGCAGTGCGGAGGCCAGGGCTGGAATGGGCCGACGTGCTGCTCGCAGGGGACCTGCAAGTCCTCGAACCCGTGGTATTCGCAGTGCTTAAACTGAGTGTCGGTTTGTCCGAGGCATAAGATTCACGTTCTTGGCCTCCCCACAATAGCGACATCTTCTTGTCCTCGTTGTTCTTTAAAGGGGGCGGTTTCTTGTCCTCAGAGCGACCATTTTTGGACCCTTTTGAGCAGATAAGGAACATTCAAACGTATTACGGAGGCGAAAATCCATATCATCTGCCAAAGAGTTGTCGAAAGACTCTGCTTCCATTTGGCCTTGGAATGCGCGGCTGTTCATCGTGGTCGTCGAGCTGCCGAACGATTGCTCTACGCCTTGCTGTGCTGCACCAACTATCCCTTGTATAGCAATCGAATGGTTGTCTGTCTTCATATCACCAAACTTCTGCCTGGTTCGCCGTGCGCGAGTTACCGACAGAGTCTGTTGGCAGACATCTCGAAGGCTAGCCGTCAACTGCGCGCTTAAATTCTGTTGACGCCTATGCCATCATCATTAGCTTGTAATTCTGCTTCTTTCGTGAATAGTTGCGCGCCTAGGTCGGCTAGAGCCCGCTCCTGTGTGTCGAATCGAGCCCGAAGCTGATCGATATTCCCGGAGGTGTGGTGGGAAGCGATCCTGTCCATGTCAGTGTAGCTCGTCAGCTTTAACGGTGGGAGACCGTATAGCATGATCGAAGAGAAAACCATCGTTATTGTCCTCTGACAGTCTGCCAAGTCCCTATTCAATCTCTTTATCTTCGACTCGTTGAATTGCATAATGAATCTGTCGCGCGTGCTGAAACGCAAATCGTTCGAACGGCTCGGAACTGTTGTCAATGATGGTCGCGAATTCTTGGCAGAGGGACTGTGTCGACTCCAGCGCCTTGCCGAGCTCTATCGCGCCTTGCCGAGCATTATCTCCCTAAGAACGGAGCCAACGGCACCGGATAAAGAGTTCGTTTCAAGCGTCCGCGTTAGAGTGTCTGGCCATCAGCCAAGCTGCGGCCTACATTCAGGCAAAGGTACCGCGGAGCTCGCCCGAGAAGTACCTAGCTGAGTTCCGAGAGAGCGAACGTAAAAAGAGCAGGCTGTTGCAGTACTCTGCGGGGGACCTGCGGCGGGACGGAGGCCAGTCGAGTGCGATTCTCACCACATGGCAGATATCATTTGATCATATACAGTCTAAGCGGCCATCCGCGGCGGATCTCCTGTCGCTTATGAGCTTTTTCGACCGACAAGGTATCCCTGGGTGGATTCTGAAGTCTTCTCGAATCGCTAAAGACACGATACAAGCAAGAGGACTAGACGAGGCTAGAGAAGGGGATCCCGACGATGGTAGTAGTGCCACAGACAGCGATATAGACGACGGCGGATTCGAAGATGATGTGGCGATGCTAAGGGACTACTGTCTCATTCTCGCAGACGACGCAGAGGATTTTGAGATGTATAGGCTTGTGTAGTTATCAACGAGGAGGTGGCTGGAAGCGTCTAGGCAGCAGGAGACGTTTAAGCAGCAGTTCATTGAACAGATGGCAGCATCATTCCCGACAGGGTAGGACGAGAACTGGGCGAAATGTCGAAGCCTATTCGCATACGTTCAAGTGGCCCTTGGCTACGGACCGAGTAAGGATACGGTCGAAACGTAGGCGAGGCTTTTATATAACGGGGGTTGGTATGCGTGGTCGTAAGGGACATACGACGTTGCGTAGTAGATGGCAGGTAAAGCAAGAAGGGGCCCGCGAAATAAAGCTGGGAGAAGAGGATATGGCGACTCTAGCAAGTATCTTACAATTTGCTCTAGTCCTTTCGGACCAAGGCCAATAGGAGGAGGCTAAGAAGCTATAGGTGAAGGTAATAGAGACTTACAAGGCGACGATCGGGCCCGACCATCTCTATATGCTAACGAGTATGAACAACTTGGCGTTATGCTATAGTAACCTAGGCCAGTTGAAGGAAGCCGAAGGACTACTTATGCAGGTAATAGAAACTTATGAGACGAAGTTCGGGACTGATCATCCCAATACGCTAAAGAGCATAGGTAACCTAGCGTCGACATACCAGAACCAAGGCCGGTGGTCAGAGGCAGAGGAGCTAGAGGTATAGGTGATGGAAGCTTATCAGATAAAGCTCGGGCCTGATTATCCCGATATACTAACTAGTATGGCCAACCTGGCGTTAACGCTTTGCAATCAGGATCGGTTGGAGGAAGCTGAAGAGCTGTTTGTTCAGGCGATAGAGACTTGCAAGACCAAGTTCGGGGCCGATCACATAGAGACGCTGGCGAGCATATATAGCCTGGCGTTAATATACTCGGACCAGGGCCGGTGGTTAGAACCTGAGGAGCTGGGGGTGCAGGTGACGGAGACATGTAAGGCCAAGCTCGGGTCCGATCACCCAGATACGCTAAGGAGCACGGCCAACCTGGCGTCGATATACTAGGAGCAGGGCCGGTGGGAGGAGACTGAGGAGCTAGAGGTGCAGGTGATGGAGACTCGGAAGACCAAGCTCGGGGCCAATCACCCAGACAGGCTGACGAGCATGTACAACCTCGCCTTCACGTAGAAAGATCAAGGTCGATACTCGGACGCTTTAGCACTGATGAGGGACTGTGCCCAGGCCCGACAGCGCGTGCTTCCCGCGGAGCACCCCGATACGTTGTCATCCTTAGCCGCTGTGGCTTATTGGAGTAGCTAGAGCGTCTTGTCTGATGGATACGGTCTATTGTAATTCAGATATTCACTTTTGCTTTTGTCTCTGAAATACGAGGACATAGTTATGCAGCTATCGGGCCGTCGTGATATGCGGATTCGTGTCGGCCTCAAACTTGCTTCCAGTACCTGGGCAGCCCAACTTATTAGAGTGACGAGCGCCGATCAACAGACCGAGAAGTTTGCTGGTCGCGGGTGTTACCAGTTCTTCATAGGAACTGAAGGCCGAGGTTATGAAGATAAGAACCTCATAAGTCTGCGTTTTGCTCTTGCGCAACGCGCGGCGCAACTTTCTTCGGCCAACCCGCCGGCGGTAACGCCCTACAGATACTCGATGTTGTTACAAGGGTGTTGAACTCGTCATAGAGCATCTCGTCCCAGTACATATCGGGTTTCCCAGTCAATCTTTCACATAAGGTGCTTAGCATACAGTATAGGATTGAAGACCTTGTTGATTTGACCGCCTACTAGGTATTGATCCTAAACTGAAAACCAATATTCTAATTCCCAGCCTAAGGATATAGCCTTCCAAATACGACTTACCGCAGTTCTGTGGGGAGTGGCATTGAGCACCTTATTTCGGATACCGAGAAAATCTGTCAGCATCAGTAGCTCAGTAGGTTGCCGGATATACTAGTACTCATATTGAAAACGCTGACTTACCCGACGCTCCCTTTCACTGCACTTGTATTACCTTGGTGTTGTCCTCCTTCTTTTCAATGAAGCCTTAACCCAAGCCTCAACCTCGTCCAGGGCACGACGCGGTGCTTTCTTCCGTTTGAGTAGGAAGCCTGGAATCTCGGCGGGAGAGAAGGTCTGGTTGCTCGGGATGCGGTTTGTGAACTCGGCGGCGATCGAAGCCAGCTCCTCAGGAGAAATGGTGCACCACTCCTTGCTGTCTTCGGTTGTAGGAGGTAGCGTCGGGGCATTCCCATCCTTTTCGTTATCCGAATCGATGGGTTTGCCGCTAAGGCGGTTGCCATCAATTTGCTCTGCATCTGGTATTGCCGATGCCGGGGTCGCTACCACGGTATTGCGCGTCTAGGTTCGCATGTAGTCCGCTTCGTCCATGCGAATGAAGAGCTCCTTGGCTTGTCTCTGGGTTGCGTTGGCGAACGCAACCTGTAGGTCGATACGTCATGGGCGGATGAGAGCCTTATCAAGCGACTCCGGATCGTTGGACGTTATAATAAGGATACGGCCTTTGTAGGAAGCGACGCTATCGATAACGTTTAGGAGTCTAAATAGCGAAATTCCCTTTCTATCGCCGCGATCCGGTTAGTTCCTTAGCTTATGTATAATATCCAAGACGCTCTAATCCGCCTTCCTTATACCTCCTTCCTTGCTTGCCTTATCTTCGACATAGACTAAGCTAGTAAAGTCTCTAATACGAGCTAGGCCTATAGAATCGATATTCTTAGGTAATATGTCACGAGGGCCGTCGTTCAAGGCCAGGGTCAAGCCTCTGGTGGTAAACTGACTGCATTGTAAGAATATTGAACTTGCAGGAGGAAAGAAATCCTCGAGACTGCAAGGTAGGCTTTAAATACAGGATGCGAGTAGGTCTGAGCTTGCATGCATGATGTAATGGAACATACGTAATGAATCATCACTTGGTATGATGAATCATTATACATACAAATGATATCATCATCATGGTCGGTGCGTTCCACCGTCACACTATCGTCGCAGGCTAAGCTTAAGGCTTTGGTAGGCAACTGACTATATTGCAAGAATATTGAACTTGCAAGAGGAAAGGAATCCTCGAAGACTGCAAGGTGCGAAGAAGTCTAAATACAGGATTTGGGGCATGTGCCCAGATGTGGAAGGTGGGGCACCAACCAGGTTGACCAATCATGCATGCATGCATCGGAAGCCGGGCACATGACTAAGCAAGGGCCTGTGCCATGGTACGGTGGGTTCCACCATCACCTTCCCTCTAGGCTTAGACCAGCTAGCGCTGGTATTATATGTAGTATCTGATTGGCTAAAAGGGGTGCGGGGCTAGGTGGTGCTCTATAGATATATGTTTATAACTGCTGAGCGCCAAAAGCTATGGCTGAGCACCTGAGACTAACAAACTCTACTATCGGCTTCCGTATAGCAGCCATCAGCCTATTTTCTACGGTCTATGATGTCATAGTTTGCTTCCCTCGTATTCCTACCTAGGTATAAATCCCTCTGTCTTTCATGCCCCATATAGAGGGAAACTTGCAGCCTAATCACACTTTGCCCACCGCTCTTAGAATCTTTCCAATGTAACAGACAACCGTTGAGATCCTTCTGAGGAGTTAATTCTTTTGGGCCCATCCCCCTACATGCGACGATAACACTTCGATTGCTGTGTCCTCTTTCGCAACTATTCTCCTACTCGCGCAACAATGGTCTTTATTCCGCCAAGAAGGAAAATTCGTCGTCTAGAGGCGTATCTTCTTGAAGATCTGTCGCAAGAAGAGCTCCGTGGAGTCAAGCGCGCATTCGAGCTCGGCGCCTGCTCACGTTTCAATCCTCTGCTGGAACTGAACATCCAGAAAGCACCAGAAGAATACCTCAACCAACCGCACTCATACATCCGCATCAAGGAGACGGAAGCCGGGCGTCAAGGTCCATTCGTCTTGATCGACAAGCAAGCCGTCTCCAAGGGCGCGGTGTGGTACATCGCCAAATTTGCCACTGAAGACGACCTCGAGTACGGGCAAGCGGAGAGCACGTCCGTCCTGTGGAAGATCCTGGTCAAGATCGACTGCCTGCCTCTCACGTGGATCAACTACGATATTGGGAACACGTCCATTGTGGAGGACCTGGGTAACTGCGGCGTCGATTACCCAGTGAAAGAGGACTTCGCGCAGCCCGAGGTGTACTGCTGCGGGGGGTTGGATATGGTGAAACAGCAGTATCATCAGCCAGTTTGGGTCACTGCGGTCCCCGGCGAGTTTGAGGAGAGTACTGGCGACGAGCTGAGGAAGAATTTCTTGCCGCGGCCGGAGAAGTTGGCTCGGCTGAAGGAGGGTGTCGCTGAGGATGCAGGCCTGGTCAACCAATGGACGATTCCCACCAAAGCTCGGTCTGTCACGATGCCAGATGGGAGTGTCAAAGAATTTCCGGAGGGCAGCGTTGTCTTGCAGCTCTTATGGAATCCGGACTTTCCCTGGCCGGAGTACAAATGGCCGGAAGGGTCAAGATGATGGTGTGATCCGCTTAGTACCCTCGGTCTCCTTGCTGCCGCGGAGAAGATGCGCACCGTCGAGTCCCAGGCATTGTTACCCCAGATCTTGATATACAGAGCCGCCGCAGAAACTACGTTATCCATCCATACATATGGTGAAAGCTGGTACTTGATGTTTGATAACAGGTTCGAAAAGATGAAACAGCGAAACCCAAGGCCTCCAGTGCCGCTGGACGCTCCGACTCTTCCAACTCGACCATACCCACCTTTGAGATTGTGCGTGGAGGATGGCCTGGCTAGAGGAGATTACATACCATTCTCGACCACTGCTTACTTAACTGTGTCTCACCCAAGCCTCACTTTCGCCAGCGCCATGTATCAATCAGCCTCACCACACGAGACTCGTCCATCCGTACTTTGTGAGATGCCTTGAGCCCTGCCGTAGCAGAGCCGTAGAAGCCAGAATCCTCGCCTATTCAAGAAGCGCCAAACGGGAGCGTTCCCGTGACACGGTAAATCACGGTCTCAGAGCTCATGCTGCTGATTAGGATCACGATCGATCAATAATGTGTCACGGAATACATCCAGTGATAGACTTGATGATTCCAGAAACTTTACGGCTGTATCGAGGTGCAACTGATTGTCCCTGCACCCGGACACAGTCTCGGCGCCCTGGATGGTCGAGTGCTGCGCCCCCAACCCCGTCAGCCTGATCGCTGAGTGCTACGTGTGGTGCAAGATCCCTGCCAGCCGGATCTATACTACGAACGACGGTGGATTGGACTCAGGCATTACGTCGTGCATGAGAGAGAACAAAGGGGGCAGTCGTTGAATGAATCGGGCATAACGGCGTCGCATGTTGTGAACGAGGCGAGTTATGGGATGGCAGCGGATGGGATGGTGTATCTACTATGTTTCGTAGCGAGCTTTTGGGGTCGTCTAATCATGGCAGGGCAGAGCTTGGTTTCTTGATCGTAGGCCAGAGATACGCTAATCAGGTTGACCCAGAATCCCAGACCCTGCCAGACTCATAGATCCGGCCACAAGGACCTGCCACTATCGGGGAAGGAAAGTGTAAGATAGGTTATACGCGGGGCCGAAGGGCTCAACCTACTGTTATTGATGGCGAATACCATCACTCAGTCAAACCCCGAACTGCCAGTGCACATGAAAGCAGCGGAGAGGGTGGGGTTCGAACTGTCAGGATACATCCATGATGGACCGTCAGAGCTCGGGGAGTCTACAAGAAACCAACCTGGGTGACCCGCATAGTATTCCACCGCGGCTGGTGTGCCTCGATGAGATGCCAATGACAGGGTCGACTCGGTCCGCGACCTTGCTAAGCATGTAAGCCCGGAGAACATTGAGAAGATGCTCGACAGCCTCTCCCCCTCGGTTCCGGCAGACTCAGGGGCGGCCAAGAAGGAGATCACAACAGCTATATTCCGCCGTCTGCTTGCGACGGAGCCAACCGCGGCCCTCCGACGCCTGGTGCATGATGATGCAGCACTCGTGCCAGACCCGACCGAGCGCCAATACGTCCTGCTCTTCCTTGACCACAATATCGACTGGGATATCGCAGCCACACCCGTGGCGCAGGTTGCCCAGAAACCCGCCGCATTTGAGGGCATTCTGGCCGAGCACCACCAACGCGTCACCGAACACCTGCAGAGATTGCAGTTGCTCAACTCCAAGACGTCCACCCCCGAAGCCGTTTCGGCCCTGGCCGCGGTCGACATGGCTGGCCCCGCCGACTTTGCTCGGATGTCTCTCACCAGCTTCCAGGAGGCGACCAAGTTCGTTCTGTCATCCGAGGTAGCGGCCGAGACACACAGCAACGGTGTCGGCGCGGCGATGCAGTACCAACACATGCTCGTCTCGATGATGCAAGCTGCTCGCGGTACTGGGCTCCAGGGCATCGATGGGCCTACGCAAGTGAAGGAGCGCTTCCCGATGATGCAGGAGGCAGCAAGTACCCGGGGCCTGAACATCAACCTCGAGACGCTGTTTGGCAGCAACGACATGTGCGAGTGCGACGACTGCACCACGGTCTACAGCCCGGCGTCGTACTATGTCGAGCTGGCTCAACTTCCTGCGGGACAACAACCTCGAGACGAGCGTCAATACGGCAGGGAAGGCTTCGTCCATCAGAGGCACCATCCTGGAGAAGCTCTTCCGCCGCCGGCCCGACCTCGGGCACATACAGCTCACGTGCGAGAACACCAACGTGGTGCTGCCGTATGTCGATCTTGTGAACGAAGTGATGGAATACTTTGTGCTTTCTCTCCAGCCCCTCTCGCGCCAGCCAGAAGGACACCATCCAGGCATTCAACGTGGGGACCAAGACCACGACCGAAGAACTGCTCACCCAGCCGCAGAACACCAACCCAGAAGCCTACCGCGTCCTCGCCTCGGCCGTCTATCCGTCATCGAAGCTGCCGTACGATGCACCGATGGACTCCATCCGTGCGTTTGCTGGGTAGCTTAAGCTCGGCTGGCACGATGTCATCGAGGCCTTTCGTCCGCTAGCCCTGCGCCGGAAGAGCCATGACATCGAGTCCACTCTTGACCGAGCTGTTGCCGCCGAGTCTCTGGGCCTGACACAGGAAGAGTACGTCATTCTCACCAAGGAGGCCTTCTCTCCAAGGGGCCAGAGCGTGTCTCTCGATCAGTACCAGAAGGAGATCGGCGTGCAGCCGGTGCACGCCCACTACGGCTACCCAAGTGAGGCTGCCTTGCTGGACGACGACCGAAACAGGCGTACTGGTCTGATGTTTGTCAAGGCTCAGTTTGTCCCACGGACACAGATCGAGTACGCCACTCTCGTAGATGTGGTGCAGACCAAGTTTGTGAACCCCTGGTGGCCGGACGGTTCGGATCTGCAGATCATGGAGAGCCTTCGGCACAGTTACCGCTTCCTACAGGGCCTCGTCGACACCGAGCGGACTGGGAATGCACGGTACTCGGAAGTGGTGGCCGATCTTTCCAACAGCCAACTATTGCTAGACAAAACTGTGCCAAACTGGCAGGACGACGTTCTGGGGGGGGGGGGGGGGGGGGGTTGGTTCGGCAGAAACTTCGATCGCCTGGGCGAGTTAATTGTTCTGGATGCCAGTCAAGGCCCTCAGCTGGAGGGGTACGGAGAAATCTGGGTTCTCTTCACCGGGCTTGGATGGGCCGACAGTGAGCGCGTCGGCACGCTCCACCCGGATGTCAGCATCACCGACACGTCGGGCAACATGACGGGCCAAGTCCGGGACGACGGCAGAGCGATGACGGTCGGCACCCCTCGCCCTTGGCCGCAACAGATCCCGACTAACTCGGATCCCAACGATCCTTTCAACTTGAAGGAACTTAGCAAGATCTCCATAGCATACCCCTACGGCGGTATGGAAGGTAACATTGATCTGTCAACGGGAGCGGTGACTCTGAGCTCCTCGTCCATTCCTTCACGGCCAGCGAAGAGGCTATTGCAGTCGACTGGATGCTAGTGGTGGCTGCAACATTGAAAACACAACGCTCGTCCACCTGAACGGAAATCCCCTCACAACCGCGGAATGGGACAAGATCCACCGCTTTCTAAGGCTGCAGAGGAAGCTGGGATGCACGGTGCACGAGACCGACATGGCCCTCATCGGACTCCAACCGGTTCAGCCACAGCCACCGTCTACACAAGACGGCGCCAAACATACCGATATTTCCCCTGCTGTCATCACGGAACTCGCGGCCGTCAAAAGGCTTCTCGAGTTGACACAGCTGCGCCACTCGACCACCTGCTGGCCTTCTGGGGGCAAATCCCAACGGTCGGAGATGATTCGGTCTACTCGCAGCTCTTTTTCCGCTTTGACCTTCTCTCATATGAGGAGACCTCCGAGATCTTTGACCCGGACGCGAAGGGCAGGTATTTTTCGGGCGAAAGATCCAAAAGCCTTACTGCACACCTGCCCGTCGTTATGGCCGCATTGGGCATGACCGCCGAGGACATCCAGTCCCCGCAGTTTGCCGAGCTTAACGATACGCTTAACCTAGAATCACTTTCCTTCCTGTATCGGCACAACCTTCTGGCTGGGGTCCTGGATATTCCCGCCCGCGATGTTGGAGGGTTCATCCGTGTTTTCGAACCTATTACCGGCAGCCCCTGGACGAGTGCTGTCAGCGCCGTCGGCATGGTGGAGGCATGGAACACGCTCCAGAAATCCGGCTTCGGCTACCGGCATCTCCGGTACATTTTCCAGGGCGTCGACGATGTTGCCGATCCCATCCAGCCTTCCCGGGCCGCCATGCTCCGCCGCCATGCTCGAGCTGGTTGACGGTCTCCGGGCGATCGAGGCGGCCCATCCGGACATCGGAGCCGACAACCCGAAGTCGGTCGAGACACTCTATCTCAAGCCTTGGCAGCAGTGAGATGATGCACTAGATATGGGCTCTCGTTCTGTTCAGTTTCTTTTACCATTTCTTCTCACCCTCATAATGTTCTTCCCTGGTTGGTCTCCGTTTCTTGGCGAGGGAAACCCTAAGCCTCGAATAAACCAATAATATCAGCAGCCACACAGTGGCTTGGTTGCGCCACTATGCTGACGTGCCAAAAGAACAGATACACGGAGACCGGGTTCACGTTCCAACCCCTCACCGATCACAAAACCACACTACGTCAATGACTTCTTGACGGTCAGTCACAACGCGAACTGAAGAAATCCATTTAGCTTCTTCATGAAACCAATTCGCAGTTTAGAGGATCAGATATCGTCGCATCAGCTCAGCACCAATCAGTCTAATTCAAGATGGGGGTCCACAAGTCCGGTTACCACCACCATTCCTCCATAACCAAGTACAAAGTCCAGGGCACGGTAGACTTCCTGCGCGGGCGTGGCTTGCTCGGCCAGGGGCGGCTCTTCACGCACCAGCAGGTCTTCGAGCACTTTAATATCAGCCGTACGTCGGGCTACAAGATGCTCAACGAGCCGCGTGAAGTGGAGCCCGTAGCCTTCCATTCGAACTCCCCGGATCCGCGTGGACGGAAGAAGCTCCTCGACCACCAGTCGCTCGTGCAGATTGAGCGATGTATCGATCAGGGTGTCTTCGACGGGCGCAATATCTCCTGGAAAGACGTCCCCAGCGCCGCCGGCCTCGATATTCAAGTCTCCGGCCGTACCGTTAGGAGGGCGATCCGCGAGCTAAACTATCGCAGGTGCATCAGCTGCGACGAGGAATACCGCTCATCGCAATCTAGGGAGAAACGGGTAGAACACGCGCGCACGATGTTGGAGAAGTTTCCGGAGCCAAGCGACTGGTATCGGGTGCGGTTCTCTGGTGACTGCCACTTCGGCTGGGGGCCAACGGGCGAAGTGTCGGTTCTCCGCCAGCCGTGGGAGCGCTTCTGCCCGGACTGCATGGTCGAGACGAAAGGCGCGGGCGAGGAGGGTTTGCGGAGACTGCACTGCTGGGCCGCTGTCGGCCACGACTTCAAGAGCGACTTGGTCTGGTACGACAAGCCCAGCGAGAGCAACGGCAAACTCGATATGACCGCGTACCGGGACCAAATCCTCGAGCCGGTGGTGGGCCCGTGGCTCCAGGCCGGGAATGACTTTGTGCTGGAGGAAGATGTCGAGTCTGGCCATAGCGGGAAGAAAGGGAACAACATCGTCAGCAAGTGGAAGAAGGAAAACAAGCTTGAGAGCTTTTTCAACTGTCCCATGAGCCCGGACTTCGTGCCCATTGAGAGGGCCTTCCAGCTACCCAGGCAGTATGTGAAGAAGCGGCCCTGTTGGGAGGACAGCAGTGTGAAGGAGCTTGCGGAGGAGGGCTGGGCTGCGCTGAGGCAGGAGTCCATCAACCGCTGGGTGGACCAGATCCCCCAGACCTTGAAAACCTGTCTGGACAAGGGGGGTGCGTAACTGGGGGTTGTTAGAGGGAGAACGTAACCCTGGTCGTGGTTGTCATTCTTAGCCAAGGTACCGTACTCAAGTACTCGCTGGGCCTCCCAAAGCGGAAGGATCCAGCTCCCCGCCAAGGCGGCGGCGAGTTAGTGGGTTTGAGCCTATTCCTATGCGGAATCGAGCTTATCGTAGCCGACCGGCGAGATTCTGCTCTAGATGCAGATATTATTCAGTTGCGTCTCAGCTCTTTTGTCCAAATGGTTGCTTGCAGCGTCCCAGTGAAATTCCCAGTGCCAGATCATATAGTACAGTATTAGTAATTGTGCAGATCATGGCCACACCACACCGTGTATTGCATGCAGATTTCACATTTTGACTTGGATGCACCCAATACGTGCATAAGCACGCAATTCTCAAATCCTCCGCGAAGGCCAAAGCCTGACTGCCCGGTTCGTCGCAGTCGGCGTTTGTCTTCCCTGCATAGAGCCGGGCTATGATGATCATGGCAGCTCCGGTGTTGCGCGCCCTGCTGGCAGCCTGGCATTACCGATGATGTCATCGTCCTCCCGAGCCGTCATCCTCGGGAGTAGCCGACCATCTTGATAGACCCTAACGTTATTCCACGTCGATCAGTGCATATATTGCAACATATAGCTTGCGGGCAGATCCAACTCAGATAAAGTTTCCGACCTGATCGACAGGACCTCAATTGAAGAGATCCAATGGTGAAAGCCTGTATGTTTCACATCGACATCAGCCGTGAGACACGCTGATGTACACCGCCGTCAGCACGCACCTCGCAACCTTGTTGCATCACTTGTATGCCCCGTTCGGCAGTCGGTCGTTAGTATTAGTACAGGCAAAAGTCCGCCCACGACTCTGTCATCTATCTCCCCTCCTCACGGTCCATACCCACAAACCACATCAATTACGCAGGACCATGGGGTCAATCGGCACCCGAGTCATGGCTGGGCCAAAGTTGCCCACCGTCAAACTCGACACGACCATCACCGAGCTCTACAAGCGCGCATGTCCTGATGAAGCAGTCACCAGGCTGGGCTGGGTCCCTTGCGGCGTCACCAGCGGCGTCGACCTCACGCCGGACTTCCCACGCAACACCAAGTTCATCTACCAGGACCAGGCCTTCATCACGGCTTCTCGGCACGAGCTGAGGAACGGGAACGGCAAACTCCAATGGTCGCTCGCCAAGAAGTACCTCAGCCACATCTCTCAGCGCGACGCCTTCGTCTCGGGCAACGCCCCGGTGATCCTCTTCAATCTCGGCCAGACGCCCGAGCAGCGCGAGCATGATCGACGCCAAGCGGAGGCCACCATCTCGGTGCTCGACCCTTCGCAGCGGCCGGAGCTGATCTTCTGCCCGGGGCCGGCTCAGATCCCCGTTAAAGAGCACGGCATCGAGCGCCTCCAGTACAAGGTCGTCCTCGACGACCTGCAGCGCTACCCTCTTACTCACGACCTCGAGACGCACTGGGTCCTCAACAGCAAGGCCGAGTTAGCCCGCTCCGGCCTGCCCACGCCACGCGCTGACATCATCGAGACCGACGGCTACCCTCCCGATCCCAGCTCCTGTTGCAGCCTCTGCGCCGAGGCCGCCCGCGACATCTCCCACCTGCCCACCATCCCCGCGGAATGCACCGGCCCGCGCGGGCAGTGGTTCGAAGAACAAACAACCCGCATCCTCTCGGCCGTCCGTAACCGGCCCATCCCCTTCGTTTTCAAGACCCAACAAGCCTTCGGCGGCGCTGGCACGTGGCTCGTCACCTCCGAAGACCAGAAGGCGGACCTCTCTTCCCTCACGGGTACTACTACTAGTAGCAGTAATAGTACTGACACCCAAGAACAAGAAGGCCTCCTCCGCAGACTCCTCTCCCTCCTCACCCCAGCCAACACCCACCTGCGCCCAGCCAGCATCCTACTCACCGACCTCGTCCCGGACCCTGTAGGCGACCACGGGCTGACATTCATGGTCACCCGGTCCGGCTCGGCCGAGTTCCTCGCCGCGGCCGAGCAGATCATCACCGACGACGGCTCGTCCGCCTGGGTGGGCAGCACGATCCACTACGGCCGCCAGGACGCGCTGCGGGAGCGGTTCGCGCCGCTCATGGCGCGCATCGCGCGGTGGGTGGCCAAGCACGGCTATGTCGGCCCCGTGGGCGCCGACGTGCTCGAGTCCCGCGAGGGGGGCCAGTTCTTCATCGTCGACTTGAACGTGCGCGTGAGCGGGTCGGTTTCCCTGCCCCTCTTGCGCGGGCATTTTGTCGGGCGCGGGCTGGAGTGCGCGAGTAGTTTCTCGATTGTGCTCCGCGGGGGCAGGGAGGAGTTTGTGAACAAGTGGAGGCGGCAGTTTGAGGAGGGGAGGATGGTGATTATGAGCTGGTATGAGGATGGTACTGCTAGTAGTAGTAATGGTGGGGACCCGGAGAGTATTGCGGATGTGGTGGTCGGAGGGGAGGATGAGGCGAGGTTGAAGGAGTTGGTCCAGGCTGTTAGGGAGAGTACGGAGGACGTGACGTTTTAAAGGGGGTTTGGTCAGGGGGGTGTGCATGTTGGGTATACTACTAGGCTAGTAACAGTAGTAGGCCAGGAGGGGAAATATGGCACATGGTGGATACAGGGTTATGTTAGAGGGTCAGCAGTGGCAATTCCATGATCTCCTATACACCCGTATACACCGATTTTCAAAGCAGAGTTGGCGTAGATTGTAATCACTCTACAAAGCTGTTGAACACGTGTATACACTTCAATGACGGCTAGTAGCCCATGGCCTACGACATACCGGCACTGAAAGCAGATATTCGGTAGGTACTAGTCCTAGACTCCTTGTCCGGCTAGGAAAGCAGTAAAGCCCTTGAGAACACCCCATCCTAAGCTAACCCCCTGAAATCTGATCCGAAAGCCCTTCGTTGAAATACCCAAGTAGTTTGCCACTGTAAGCCGGTTTATAGATCTTGATATCAGCCGCTTGTCGGAACCTAAAGGGGTAAGCCTCCTTCAGATCCAACGGCAGGCTCCTCTCGGACGAGCGGCTCAACCTTCTCCCCTTCCCCTTCAGCACCTTGCTGTCCCACATTGCTTTCGGGATCTTGCTCGTTTTTCCTCTCCTTCTTCCTTTCCTTCTCCTTCTTCGTGCTGGAGTGATAGACCACCTTGCTAGAGTAGTAGATTAGCGCTGTGGCGACCAACACGGTGGTGGGCAGCCCAACGGCAACCGCCGTTCCGTAACCCAAGATCGACGCACCAAGCCGGACGTCCTTGAACATGCCGACGACGAACGAGGACAGTACAAGGGCCCCAAAATCCAACCCGACGCTCACTAGCGTAACGAGCAGCAGGGGCCGCACGAGCCTCACGTACAGGACCTTGTGGTGGAGAGTGCTCTCGACCTCATTCAGCAGCGAGAAGACGAGCATGGCAAACACAAGCAGCGCAACGGCAGCTGCGAGCAAGACCACAACGCCGAAGAAATCGTACAACAACTGTCCCAAATCCTTGAACCGTGCCTGCATGCTAAGGATACCAGCGGAGAGCGAGAGCGGGAGAAATATGGTCGCGAGGAGCGTGAGGATCTGCACGTTCTTGGACTGGCTCATGTCGCGAGATAGGCTGAGCAGCCTGAGGTGATGCTCAAGGTTGTCGGCCATCCTTCTGCGGGCGCGCCACCAGGTCCTTACAGCAGCCTCTCAGCTCCGCGGCGAGCCGTGTCAGCTTGGGGATCCTCCTTTCCCGGTTCCTCGAGAGATATGGCGACGGCGAGGAGCGATTCCGTGGTAAGCGTGAGCTCGCTGGCGGCGTTGATGAGCCTTTGGTAGAAGTGGCAATCCTCCACGATGGCGTTGAAGCTCCATTGGCGTAGCTTGGACTGATGGCTACTACTAAGTCTCCGCAAGCGTGCACTGGCGTAATGCACCTCCAAGGCGGTAAGGAAGCTTGTGTATACGTTGACGTGAGCGTGATACACTTGGAGGATGAATATCTGTTTCAGGTTCCGTTCTGTTCTCAATGGGGTGTATATTGCATCGAGCCCCTGAAGCTCAGCCAATAATCGACGAGTCGGAGGGAGCGGGCCCGGAATCTTTCGGATCGATTTCGGGAGATATCCGAGTCCGGGGACCCATTGTACCAGCTTTTTGTTTGTGAGGACGTTTCTGAGGCGGTTCGGTGCTAGCTGGAAACGATATGCTTCGCACACCATGGAAGCTGGGATCAGGCGTGCCGTTAGAGACAAGTTGATAATGGTGGTTCCAGTCAAAATGGAACGAGACCTACCCTTGACATTGGCATTGTCTGGATGCTCGAGTGTGAAGCTGCGGACAGTCCGAGCACAAAGCAGCTGGAAATTTGGATCATTATGGCGATGAACTCCCTTGCCAGGCGGCTCGTCTGTCGACTCTTCTCCCATAAAGTCGTAACTCACTGTCCGGCACCAGGGGCTCTGGCCGGCCTTCCTGCTGCGCCATTGCAGGACGGCTGTTGGGAACCCGGTTGATGGGAGGTCATCTGTCCTGCCTTGGGATAGCGGAAGCACAGTATATAGCAAGGCGATAAAGACGCGTAGTAGTTTCCCGTCGTCGCCGCTCTCTTCGACGGACAGATCGACAGACGCTGTGCTGTTCGATATCGGGAAAGGGACGTCCCTGAGGCTCCATGATTGGGACGGTCTGACGGGCAGCTCCTCAAAGCCGTGCGAGGCCCCGAGACTAAAGGCACTGCTAAACCACGAGAGGCCCCTGAGGCACAAACTAACCAAGATATGGCTATCCATGTTGTTAGAGCTTTCGATATGACAGTATGACTGGGGAATGGCTTCTGATGATCCCAATGTTGGTGTGTATGTAGATACCTTACGGTTGACGTGCGGGGTCCCGATGTCACCTGAAGGCTTCCGCGAGTCAAAATACTGTACAACTTGGAGTTACATAGATCATATAGTACCTTACCATGGGTAGGAGGCGTTAGCCTCAGTTGACTGCGAAGTCTAGGTACTTTGGATGGTAGGCTGACGATTATCTTAAAGGCCTCCACAAATCCGGCACTGAAGTAGGCATATACATGTACAATACAGTCCTATGATTCCTCTCTCCTGTCGCGCAAACGGATGATTGCTTGCACAGCTGACCACGAAGCAACTTCTCCCGCCCTGCATCCTACCCCGAAATACAAGGCTCTCGGCATTTGATATGGTGCCGACAGTTAGCTGTGCATATGCACAGCACCATTGGCCCCCTCCCCCCTCCCCCCCCCGGTCTTGTCGTACATAGGTACGCAGGATAAACATTAGTCAATGCTTCCTCATCCGTTCCGTCCAGACCACTTCCCCGGAAACTGGCACGCTAGCGATGCAGCTAACATTATTGAGCAGATCAGGTCTAGGAAATAGACGAATGGGACTTGGGCAACCGCCGGGGCCGCTCACCAACACGACTAACCAAAGTTCCTCGGGCCGCCGGTGTCACCTCCCCAAGGCGGTACCGTGCGCCACTGCATACCTACCTAGTATCATTGAACCACAGGGAGCACGGTTGAGCAGTGCTACTCTGTGCCGCAGAATTACACCCGGAGGCGGGGAATGTTAAAAGGATGCAGCACCTCATTGCGACGAACTGTGTCTGTTGAGTCTCAAGAGAAGCTCCTCTTGCTTCTATTTGATAATCACCATAGCCCTGCCATTGCCTACACCTCTGCAGTTTAGTTCTCCACCAGATATGGCAACCAGCGGCCCCTCGACGGCAACCAACGGAGTCAACATGGCGGTCGACGAGGAAAAGGGCCTCCACCGGACCCAGACCGGCGTGACGATGTCGCCCGAGCTGTTCGAGAAACTGTACCTCACGCCCAAGGTGCCGCATGTCGGCGACTACAACAGGCGCTTCGCCAATCCCACGGCGCTTGGGTTTGTCGGGTGAGCTTGCAACAACACCTTCCCGCCTGACAAGTCCAGCACTCAGACTTGGGAGGCTGACGGGACAAACAGCTTCGTCATCTCCACCTTCACCTTCTCCATCGTCTGCATGGGATGGGGCGGCGCGCAGGGGTTCTCGCCGGTCGTGTAAGTCCCTTTTCTCCTGATCCGATCCCTTCATCCCCGCCAATCACCCCTTCATCATTGCTTAACTCCCCGCTTCCCAATACAACAAAAAACAGGGGAATCTTCTTCTTCGTCGGCCCCGTCCTCCTCATCTTCGCCATGGTCTTCGAGTGGATCATGGGCAACTTCTTCCCCATGATGGTCATGGGCCTGTTCAGCGTCTTCTGGCTGAGCTTCGGCATGCTGCAGCTGCCGACGCTGCAGCTGGGCTCCGCCTACGCGAGTGCCGCCGATCCCACGGGCCTGGCGTCCCCGGAATACAACTCGGTGGTGGCGCTGTATCTGATCGTCTGGGGATTTGCCCTGTTCACCTTCTTCATCTTCACCTGCAAGATCAACGCCGTGTTTGCCGCCATTTTCTGCCTCGTCAGCGTCGCCGCCTGGGTGCTTTCGGGTGCGTACTGGAAGCTCAGCTGGGGCGACTATGATGCCGCGGGGAAGTTGCAGAAGGTAAGTTTGGCCATGTTACATGTTTTTTCTTCTTCTGAGGGCACACGAGTATTGTGATTGACCAGTTGTGTCACAGGCCGGAGGGGCGCTGTTGTTCGTTGTTGCCGCCCTTGGCTGGTACATGTGCTTCATCATCATGGCCGGGGAGATGCGCATCACCCTCAACCTCCCCGTCGGCGACTTGAGCCATCTGTGGCCCAAGACGGATGTCGAGCTGGCGGCCGCCGAGCGGAGGGAACACAGAGATTGAGGAATGCGGTGAACGGATTTTCTGAAGATGACTTGGTACTGGTACTGGTTCAGGGGCCCGGCTGCTTCCTCGCCCGACAAACTGGACTAGTGTACAATACATACTACTATTCACTGAATGTCTGTTTTCGCTACCGTTACTGCAATGTACTAGTCGATCATTCGTCATTGAAGAGCTGTCGTCGGAGTGTTGATCAAGTGGTCTCGCCATACCGCAGCTCGCCGGAGGTGCCGCCGTCCCGCTGATCGACCAATTGCGTGTAAGCCAGGCGGGCCGATTTCGTCATTGACTCCCACAACTGCAACACATTCCCACATCGATTCCGTCATGACCGCGGATAAAAAGCAGGAAGTTGCAACTGGATAGCGGGTGTGCAGCAAAGCTTCAAAAGGAATGGACTGCCTCGCGCTGCCACCTATGTTTTCCAACCTTCTAACGACATGACCTGCACAGTGGCAACTCGTCTCCTTCGACCAACACAATACCTGGCAAGAACGACCCGAACACTCACCTCTGCTTCACGATTCTTTGAAGCGCCAACAGTTTCAGTTCCACCTCGTACCAGCACAGCCAACCCCATCACACCACCTCCAACTCGGACCTTCTCCTCCGTCAAGATGTCCAAGAGCGTAGCGGCCGCGAGCCATGCCGACTTCCACCGCGCCTCCCTCTTCGACCTCAAGGGCCGCGTCGCCCTCGTAACAGGCGGCGGGTCCGGCATCGGGCTGATGATCACGCAAGCGCTGGCCGTCAATGGGGCCAAGGTCTACATCGTGGGGCGCACGGGCGAGAAGCTCGACACGGTCGTGTCCACCTACAACAAGGACATCGAGGGCGAGATCATCCCGCTGCAGGGCGACGTGACCAAGAAGGAGGACGTCGCCCGGCTCGTCAAGGAGATCGAGTCGCGCGAGCAGTGCCTGTGCATCCTGGTCAACAACGCGGGCGTCTCGAGCAACACGGTCCAGCCGGAATCCGGGTCGGCGGCCGAGATGAAGCAGAACCTGTTCGACACGGACAAGACGACCGCCAAGGACTGGACCGACACGTACGAGGGGGACGTGGTGTCCATCTACTTCATGACGTCGGCCTTCCTGCCGCTGCTGCAGAAGTCGTCGGAGCGGCACCCGCACTGGTCGGGCACCGTCATCAACATTACGAGCATCAGCGGCCTGGTGAAGGGCGCGCAGCACCACTTCGCCTACAACGCGGCCAAGGCGGCCGCCACCCACCTCACGCGCATGCTGGCGGGCGAGATCGCGTCCGCGGGCCACAAGATCCGCGTGAACGCGCTCGCGCCGGGCGTGTTCCCGAGCGAGATGACGGCTGGCGAGAGCGATGAATACCAGAAGAGCCACCTGGAGAAGTCCAAATATGAGGGGAAGGTCCCCGCGGGCCGGCCCGGGCGGGATATCGATATGGCGCAGGGTGTGCTGTCACTGGCCTGCAACCAGTACATTGATGGGCAGACACTGGTTGTAGATGGGGGGTATACTCTGTCGATGGGGCAGTAAAGCGGAGTGACTCCGTTAGCAGTGTACGACTGTGATGATGTTCCGTATAATTAGTAGCGAGAAATTCTCAATGTATTGTCGTCTTCGATTGTCAAATGTGAACTACGATAGAAGGCGCGGACCGTGGACATGATACATCACTATGACACGCCGGACTCCGGTCATGAATCATCAAAGCTGAGGCCTCCAAACCTAATCACAAATTTTGGTGGTGTAGAGTGGGGCGCCGGAAAGCCAAGATTGAGAATATGACATCATTATCGGAGCCCACAGGGCTGACACGGGCTGTGGGTCGACCGGGGCCGGCAATGCAAGCACAACCCTGGGGAGAGGACCGACACCCCCTGCTGATCTGAGGACGACAGAGTGCCGTTGCATTAGCTCCCGTCGGGACGGACGACGACGAGACGACATGGATGGCTAACAAAAGGCATCCGGATCAACAACAAAGAGACTTCGCACGATGAAATAGAATCGAGCACAAACAGAGCAAGATCACAGATCTTGATTGCTATTGCTGCTTCAATCTGTCTGTCTGTCTCGGGAGTCTTCTCTCCAGATCGTAATCAAGGCAAGGCAAGGGGGTATATTCAATCACCTCAATCCCCGGTCATTCAATGCTTCAGAGATCTCCATAACTCCAATAAAAGGATCCCGAAAAATGCAAGACAAAACCACCCCGAACCTATGTCCAATCTGGAGTCAGAATACCTGCCTGTGGTGCTGTGTACCCTGCGATTGCCCAACCGCCTAAACCATGCTATGCAATGCTCCCAAGCCTGGGGAGAAATGATGTCCTGAGATGAGGAGCGAAGCTGATACTTCCGCACTCAACGAGCACCATATGATCGTATGTATGATGTTGTGCCGTGGCTTGATGCCGTACGAAATCCAAAGGAAAGGGGGATCTTCTGCCAAAGCGCCACCGGTAACCACTGGGAAGTCTGCGTGATCCCATCCCCGCGGCCCACTGTGAGTTTACCGCGATTCCAAAGCTGCGGGCCCACCACGACCACCGACGAGTTGGGCGTACCGACGCTCGATTACCGCAGACGCGTCCCAAGTCAACGACCAACGTGATGGAGACAAGGCCCTCAGATAGCTCGGTTCATGTACGGCCGGATCCATTCAATATCCAACCACCCAACTTCGTCATACGCCTGCCAAAGGCGCGACGCCTTGTTGACGTCGACCTTGCACGCCTTCTGGGCATGCGTCTTCCGGAACTCCTGGCCGTCTCTGGCAAACTCGAGCCGCCGAAGGAAGATGCGTCTTTTGCATGTCAGATAAGTAGCGCAGTCGAGCCGCAGGTTACTGGCGAGGGTCAGCTCGTCCGGGTGGAGCAGGTGCCGATGCGGATCGTTGCTCAGATCCAGGGGGTTGACGTTTTCCTTCCAGCAAACCCTCAACTTTTTGGGTGCATTCGCGAGGGAGCTGAGAGGCGGCGAGAGATCCTCCAGGGCCATGAAATCCTTGTCCTCCCGGCTCGGCGCAACAGTCCTGACTCGGGGCTCGGGGCTGCCGGCATGAATCGCGACCGGGGCCGGTGCTCTTGGCTTCTGCGCCCTGGCTTTAGGCGCATCCGGCTTTTGCACGCGATTGGCGCGAGCTTTGGTCGTCTGCGGGCCGAGCGCCGCCGGCTTTGGTTTTGACGCGGGGAGAATACGGGGCAACTTGATGGGCCGGGACGAAGGTGCCCTGTGCTTCCGGTCCGCCTCGAGGAGTCCACGCTCTTGCCTCAACCATTGTTGGGGGTTCGCCTGGAACATCCGAAGGCAATTGGACTTGAAGTATAACGCCAGTTCATAATCTTCCCGTTTCGGCGGCGATGCCTCGCGGAATAGACTGGCCGGTCTCGAAGCGATGTGCTCATCCACTAGTCGCTCCGTTCTCGTCTTGAAGTCCACGGCCGATACTGGCATGAACAACGGCCCGGTTGGAGCACTCGCTGGAGGTTCGGTAGCGGGGTATAGGATTGGATCCTTGCTACCTGAGTCCGGCCTCACAACCGGGCCGATAGTATTGGCCGCTCGTGAGCACGGCGACACGGGCGGGGACAGAGGTTGGTGTAGAACCCTCCGCTCAGTTGCATCCGCCTTCTCGCTTGACGTTCCCGCAGGCGTGTAGCTGTCCAGAGGTGCTGGCTCAGGTGGCGACATCAGGTTGCTGATAGCGCAAGGCTTCTGAGGTTGGGACTCCATGGACGAGTATTTTGGAGGCGACATCGTGGATATGTTCTGGATTTCGCTTGTTGGGGTCGGTGGCATGTAGTGAGGAGGAGAGTATGTGCTAAAGGATGAGGAGACCCAGAGCTGCCTGGTTGGTGTGTGGTGTCCCAGGCGAAAGTCGACGTGTTGCATGGTCGGAGCGGAGCCGGCCATACCATTAAATGTGGCAAGGTGACGTGGACGACTCTGGGAGTCAAGACTGGTTGACAACACGAATTGTCTGTGTTAGGCGAATGCGCAGTTGAGATGACAGTTCGGTCGAACGTGTGTTGGAGTTTTCGGAACAAAGAGTTTTCGAAACAAGGAGGGACGAGGGTGACAAAGAGCGTGTACGCCTTGGTGCCCCTGGCCGTCTGGGGTGCCCAATCGTTTTCTTTGTATATGAGAGGGAGCAGATGCTGAGGGGAAGATATGGAACAATCCTCTCAATTGCTGGATTATGGACAATGGGAGAGCTGCTATCTGCTCCTATTCACCTATCCGAACCAGGCGGACAGTTGGGGGCGACTTTGGAACAGAGCTGCCCCTCTCCCAATTGTCGGTCAATGGAATCCGCGGGAAGAGACCGGGTGGCGAACCTGCAGACTGTGAAGCGGCGAAAGGAGGGCAATGAGGACAACGGTAGTTGTGCGCTAACTCTCTCGCCACAGAGTCGGATAATCAGGTGAGCAGCGACGAAGAAAGACCCGGAAGAGTGGAAGGGTAGGATGAAAAAGAATGAATAAGGATGGGATGACAGACGGGGAAGGCGGTCATGTAAGTAATGTCGACCGGAGGCGCAGAGCAGCCATATCCCAGTCACTTGACGACTGGCTGGGCATCGGCAGGGCTGTCCCGCCTGGGAGCCCAAGATCCCAGGAACGGTGGCCAGCCTGTCACGCCCGTGCTCAACGCGTTCTGTGGCTCCAGGCAGGATGGTTGTTCTGTGCGGGCACGAATCTGGGGTTGAGATGTCTCCACTTTCCAGTGGGACGGGGGCGTGGCGTTAACGTCAGAGTGGGAGTCACTCCCAATCGAGCCAGTCAACACCACCCTCCTGTGTGAAACCCGCCAATGGCACCAGTTCCGTTAGGCAAAAATAGGTCAGGCTTCGGGAGGTACTTCTGCCTAAACAATGGTACAAGACCAAAGTGGTTCGTCCTACATGCTGACATCAGCAGGTTTTAAAGACTTCCACTTTGCAGTCTCAACGTCCTTCGCTACTTGTCGGCTGCCTTAGAGGGACATACCAGAAACCCATCAATTGTGAGTGACGTCTTACCAAATGGTGAGAGATATGCGGTGCCTTGGTATTGCTCATCATCAGATCGCCGTGCTGAGCGTGCCAGTGGTTGACGAGCCATCTGCAAGATGGGTCGGTTTCACCAGTTTCGTGGCGCGTCTGGCGGGTGAAACTGTATAAATCTGGCCAAGTCTTGCGATGCTCCAATGCTTATCTCAAGCAGCGCATATTGGGCAAGCGAGCATACACAAGCCAGCCGCATCTGCCAGACAGGAACGGTATTGACAGAGTTCCAAACAGGTGAACTGGACTGTACGTTGTGATTCGTCGCTATCTTCGGCTGCGGCGGCTCTTTCGTCTGCTAATGCTCCCAACTGGTTTCTGAAGCGGTGTGCGGATATCCACGCGATAACTTGCGAAAAAGGATACTGGTAATTGCGTGAACGGAGAGTCCTCGGCCGAGCACAGTTCATCTGAAGTCGCTGAGTGCCTAGCACTGTGCAACCCGGCTTGGTGCGTCATCACAAAGGACTCTTCCTGCGCATAGGTCTGACTGTGCTGTGTTCTTGGGCCGGGACAGGGAGTTGATCAGGGCACTGGAAAGCCCGTTACAATCTCACCGCAAACGATTTTCGGGCAATTGAAGCCGAATGATGGCAAGTAAGGTAGACATCAGGGCTCGATTAACAAGGCAAAGAACAGATTAGTTTGACCGCATTCCCGTCGCGAGGAGGGGCAATGAGGCAAGGAGGGGCTTGGAGGGGGAAAGAGGGGCAAAGAAGGCACAATGGCTGCTTGACAAGTGGAGCTGTTTGGCAAGTTCACCGACTCACTTCAATTGAGCCCCATTTGGGCTGCCATTTGGGCATCGAAGTCGATTGCTGGTGCTTCGAGGCAGATTGTGGTGGAGCAGGCTGCCGCGAAAGAGAGGCCTAGAAATCGTTTCGGTTGTGCAGCAATGTGTCGGAGCATGGCAACATGGCCATCCTTGTTGTATGGACCGCCGGGCAAAGCAATGGAACGCGAATTGGCCAATCATAAGGTATCTCAGAAGAAGGAAAGCAGTCTGTTTGGTGTTGTGGTTCGAATCGAGTTGTGTTCGAACTGTCTTTCATGCGGACTGGGTGTGACTCATCGCTGGGCAATGGACTGAGCAATCCGGTCGGTGAGGATGTTGAACAAGGTTGAAGTCCTGTACCTTCTACCATTTTAAGCTTAGCGCAGCATGCTTATCGATAGTGTCAGGGTCTCAATGTATGTCTGTAATTGGTATTCCGTATTGTATTGTACAATACCATTGACATTTGAAATCGGCCAAGTCCCCTGATATTGTCTGCTGATACTCATGGAAGAAGGTGTGAATGTACGACACGGGCTTGATCGCGGCATTATTTATGTTGTTGCCGTGTTATGTACGGAAGTATTGTATGCCCCCCTCTCTTGTCTGTCCGCCCATTTGCCTGTCTTGTCTTGGTCCAAGACAGCCCTGCGCTCATTCCTTCCGCTACACTCGACCGCTCTCAGCCCGCAATCCCGCGATCCCATCCTAAGATAGCGGTGTTGTTGTCTTCTAACTGCGGTGCAATTCTGCTTTCTCGAGTGACTGAGGCAATCTGACTCATTCAATTGCTGATTCAGGTCCGACCCGACAATGCGTTGCCAGTGACAGACAGCGAACTGCTGCCTATAGCATCATGGTATTGTACGACTCTGACGAGTCTGAGCCGGTTTATATCTCGGACTTAAAGGACTTGATACATCAAGGACTCACTTTAGCTTCCGTCTTGCTTTGATACCTGGTTTTGAAATCTCACCATGCCGCCAACAGACCACCATCCATGCCCAGCCTGAAGTGTTCTCTGACCTCAAACCTACTACCTACCTAACAATCGTGGGTGTGTGACGCCATCTCGCATGACCTTGGCGGCGAACAAGGGACATATCGACGCGGGTCAGCACCTCCCGCAACGGGTTCACCACCTTTACAAACTGTTAGTAAGGTAATACTCCCTGGTGCCCACCTCACATGCGGCACCTGCTCTGTCAACGCCACGCCGCATCTCGCAGTTGTTCCGTTGTTACACCGCCGTCCCCATCCCACGGCTTATCTTATCACCCCGCCTTGAATGAGGGGCAGTTATGCTTCAGCGCCCACTTTCCAGTTGGAGTCGGTCACCTCGGACAGCAATCGAACCAAGAGGCAGTGTACGAGTGTCTTTTGTATGGAATATAGTGCATGCCGCTTTGTCAGGCCAATTTTCTGTGGACTATTTCCGTGTGCTGCCGGAACCTCGCCATGCTTCGTCGCCTCGGTATGTTCGGGAAACGGCCATTGGTCAATTGGTGCTCAACGCTGGCAACCTGGTGGCAAATCGTGAAATCCGATGCTTGCCAGTTGCCATTACGCGTCCTAAACGCCGACGGCATTCCACCGCTCCGATTGGGACCACCAGAGCAGCATCTCGCTATGTTGTCCACGCTTGTCTCCAGACAGTCCTCTTCCTGCTGCACGACAACTGGGACAACTCAGCCCCGGGCTTCCGGCACATCCAATGGGCTGCCTCCCGCAGGCAGAACGCGCATGAATCTCTCGCCGCCCTGATTCCTAATTGCCCAATCCCCTACGGTGCACTTTGCTTTGCTTGAGCTGAGACGGTAGCCAGCCCACCAGAACGGGCGGTTCAGCCAACCCCAAGTCTGATCTTCGACAAGGGGGCATAGCTTAATCCCCCATTCATTGTGCTTGCAGCGCGCCACTTTGGGCCCTGCAGGACGAGGGGTGGTGTTCGCTGCCGTCCTTCTACGAATAACGTATCTCGAAACGAACAACTCTGGCCGCTGACCGACCGACCGACCGCCTGCTTGTTTGGAGAGGAGGCAATCCGGGTACCTCGCATTTAGATCCACTGCATCAAAAACACAAAACAAAATAACTGCCTGAAGAAACCGCGTAACTTGCGCGTCTCTCTCGCATGGCTGACAAACACCAAAACCGCCCTCTCCGAATCTCCGACGGAGGTCGTACTCCCTCCCCCTCACCCCGGTCGGTCGCGCCTCTCCATGGGCTTGAACCCCCCGCTCAGTCCCCAGATCAAGTGAACGCCATCCAGTTGCACTCACAACATTTGAAACATGGGGTGAACCTATCATTCACATCTTCCGTGTAACTCAGTTAATGCCAAGGGTCACCACCACCACCCAGAAACCACAACCCCTCTTTCTGGCATCATCCCTTGCTTCACAAGCACATTATTAGCGGGCGGTATGCAAGGCTGCTACTAGTACACTAATCCGCACACTCCGTAGCTTTCCTGGCTTTGCCGCCTGCCATCCATCCACACACCTCCATTCCCCGTGATTGATCACTTGGTCTCACAGTCACTGCCGACCACCCCCAACTCTTGTCTCAGAAGAGAGAAGAGAGAGGGTGGGGATGGTGCCCGTGGTCAATTGACACACCCCATTCGTCGTCAGCTGAGCAAGCTGTCATGTCTCACTCGGGGAAGCAGTCATCCCACTCCAGATTACCCATTACATGATCACAAGGCTCAATCAAGCACGCCGGCCATGGGGTCTCCATTATTTGGAGCGTTGGTTGCTAGATAAGACAGATAGGGTGCCACTCCTAGTAATAAAGCAGGATGTATGTGTGAAGAAAGCAGGATTTTCTGGGTATCAAATTCTCATCGTCCAAGGTTGGGAAATGGAGGTCGGGCGATAACCAACCCTCCCCATACAAGATGAAAGTAGACATACAGTCCATACCACACCTCCGGCATTCCGAGGGTGCAACGTAAGGCTTGCGCGTGGATTGTGGCTGAGCCAGCAAGGTCAACGTTATCCGCGCATATTTCTTCATGGCCTATCTCGCTGGTAGTTACGCGTCCCGCGGTAGGCAGCACTGTAGCGTACACGGAAGCCCGGATGGACCGGGGCTTAGTTGCCACAAGGCCGTTTGGGCTGGTAGAGGTGATGTCGCGAGAAACACCATCGCCATGCCCCTTTGTGTTTGGCAACATGGAAGCCGGAGGCAGCATGATTGTGGGTGCAGAAGGCGGTGACTGGATCCCCGTTGCAGTACAAGGCGCTTGTTTTGAGGACGGCAAGAATGAGGACACCACGCCAAGCATTCGCAGTCATTGACGTCCGCTAGGCTCCGGCAATTCCTTAGTCGCTACAGACGTAAGCTGTCGGATGCGGCTCTGTTGGGGATAGAGACCACCGAGCTCAATGGACTTGGCGCACCCCATTTGCATCGTTAATCAAGGGACGCAATGGGGCCAGGGGAGACTGGCAGACAAGTCCAGTCCTGAACGAGGCTTTATCGCGAAAGTGGAGAGGACAATAGCTTTCGCACAAGCTCGGAAGTCCCCCTCGAGGCAACTGCCCACGCCCTGTGTCAACGCTTAGTGTCGTCCCGGGAGTTCCTCTCGTAGCCGAACATTCCCGGACCTAACTTCAGGTGAAGTCGTAAACCATCAAGCTCTCTCTCGTGCCTTTCCGCTCTTTGAGCACAATGACCATCTCGTCATCAAAGCCAACCCAGTTCCTCCGCTCATCCCAATCATCATCATCATCATCATCATCACCACCACCACCAACAGTACTGCCAGTACTGCCAGGCGACTGTGTCCAGGGCCGGATCTCGACACTGCGCCCCCCAACACCGGACGACCGCCCCCCCTCGAGCTCCCACACGCGCATCTCCTCGCCGCGGGTGCTCACGCTGACCGCTTTGCCGCGGGCCGTGATCTCGGCGTCGCTGATGCCCGACGTGTGGCCCCACAGCCGGATGCCGTCCGAGAGGGAGAGCGACGAGGCGTTGGACGTGCACATGTGCAGGACGAGCGTGTTGTCGGGCAGCGTGGCCAGCAGGTAAGGGTGCGTGTAGCAGAGCGTGGTCGGCCCCGGCTCGGGTTCGGGTTCGGTTGATGGGCCAGCCTCAGGCGCTGAGGATGAGGAGGAGGAGGAGGAAGTGGCGAGTCTGTTCCGGCGCCGGGGCGTTGCCGGTGATGTGGGCGGTGGCGGGGAGCGGGGGGAGCTGCCGGACTCGACAGGTGTGGTGTACGCTATTCGAGTCGCGGCGATCTCAGGGGTCGCTGTTGTGCTGTCTGTGGCTTGGCGGATATGTAAGTCCTGAATGCCAATAGACCATCCGCGCCGGGTGGAAATGGTGTAGGCCACAGATGCGATGGCCGTCTTCCCGGCTCTGCGGATCGACAGGGCCAGCGGCGGCCGCGACGTGCGAGAATCCAGCGATGTCAGGAGATACGGCGAGGGGAGCTTTGCTGTTTCTTCACGCGAATTTGAGAGGCGTGGCGTCTCCGAGCGAGAGCGGTCGTAGCCTAGGTTGTCTTCCAAACTGCCGAAGATGCTTCCGATAGCTGGGACCTGTCTTCGGCCTTCTTCATCTGGCTCCTTCTGACCCGTCTCCTTGGCGCTCGGAACGTCAAAGGTGTAGAGGGAAACCAGAACGGCCTGGGTGGCAGTCAGCAGGTAAGGGTATGAGAAAGCCATGGCAATCAGCTCGCCGTTGCTGGACTTCTCGTGCCGGTACCGCTGCTCCAGCCGCTTCTTGTTAGTAAACAACCTCCAGACCCCGAAGCTGCCGTCCTCAAAGCCCAACGCGACGTCTAGCGCTTCCCTCTCAAGCTCTGTCTCGTCCACGGCGATGCAGCTCGGTGCCGCGGCCGACTCTTGATCTCCAACAACAGTAATCTGCGCAAGCAGACTCCTACTCTTGAGATCCCACGCCCGCAGGCCCTTTATCCGGTCAGCCGTCACCGCAATGCCCTCGGCCACCTTGACGAGCATCTTCCCAGCCCCGTCGCCTGCCTCCTCACCACCACTAAGTTTCAACTCTTCCACCGCGCACTTGCCCCTGGCCCAATTGTGCCGGATCTTGTACTGCCGCTTCCAGTTAACCGAGTGCGTCTCCTCCTCCTCCTTCACCTCCCCTCTCGTTCTGAGTATCATCAACCCCTCCCTCCCCTCCCCCATCATCCGCCTCCTCTTCCCTCCCACATCCACAAGCCCACCCCGTCTTCCATCCGCCCATAACGTCCGCCTGCCAGAATAATGCAACTTATGCCCCCCATTACTACTACTACTACTAGTATTATTATTCCCAATACTAGCACCGTCCCGAAACCCAGGGATGCGCATCGCCCGCGGGAGGACAAAGCGCGCGTAGTACAGCGCCTTCCACAGCTGGGAGTCGGCCGACAGGCGATAGAAGCGGCGCGACACGGGGCTCACGGCCAGCAGCTGGTGGAGCGGGAGGAACGAGAGGATGCGCAGGAGGAGCTCGTCCGAGAGCGGGGAGAGGAAGTCGACGCCCCGCGGGGAGGGGATGTTCGGGTTTTGTCGCGAGTTTTGTCTCTGATGAACTTGGGTGGTGGTGGTGGTGGTGGTAGTTTCTACTCGGCGTCGTTTTGCGGGCAGTGTCGGTAACGCTATCGTCGGGGTCGGGTTAGATGCTTCCTGTTGTGAGTAGGAGGGGGTCTCGTCGCCGCCTTGGCCACCATCGTCGGAGGTGGTGGCAGGTTCGAACTCGGCCCGACGTCGCTTTGCGCCGGCCATTGTGATACGTAGTTTCCGTCGATCTTTATTTCATAACGGGGCTCTGCCTGCATCCTCCTCCCCAAGTTCGCGCGGTCGGAGTTGGGCTCGTTTTCTGTCTTGTTGCTGAATACCGTTGCGTGAAAAGAGGCTTCTCCCTGGCCTGCGTTCTCGGCGGTTGAGGGACCTGTGGGCCGGTGGGGCCGGACCGGGGGTTACGCTAACGTGGATCGATCGGATTCTTCGCTTTGTGCCCGTCTTGGCATTTCTATTATCCTATTCGGGTAAGGCGTGCTCTGGTGTAAGCGGCGTCTTCATCTTCCTTCGATGGACGAGACAGGAGACGACGCGTTACAGGAGGTTGTTTGGTGTCTCCATTCTCCCTGAGCGAGTCTTTAAGTTGGGGGGCCAGCTTCCTTTCCTCCGTGTTCGTTCTCTCTTCATCTCGAACCCAGAGTCTAAGAGATATCGAAGACCGGGGAAGAAAAAGCAGCGCTGGAAACAAGCGCTTGACACATATTGTGTCGTCCATCTTCTACCTGTCTTGAGAAACGCTTAGCAAACACTCCTTCCTCAAGATGGCAGCCGGAGAGCCCAGTAAGAGCATCCACCCCCACTTCAGACACCGTCGTTGACAGCCCGCATCTAGTTCGGTTGAGCCTGTACATCTATGCCCCGAACAAAGGGGCACCCATCTTCTTCGCCATTGCGTACTTCATCTCTGCGGTCTTCCATATCTGGCAGTGCTAGTAAGTGGTGTGCTTCCATCTCCAACTTCTAACCTGACCAGGTCCACTCACACAATACCACCACTGGCAGTCGCTACAAAGCATGGCGGTTGATCGGACTACATCCGGTTTGCGCCTTGTTGTTTACCGTCGGCTACGCACTGCGAGAATATGGAGCATACAACTACCTGTTCTCCACTACCACCAAGGTGCCCCTGAGCATCTTCATCGTCAGTCAGATCTTCATCTACATTTGCCCGTAAGTGAGACCGAATCCCCCCATGTGTGACACAAACATGCCTATCATCCGCTTAAACAAACCACTGACCCCTGTCCCCCGTACATATATACAGCCCCCTTCTCGAACTGGCCAACTACCACGTCCTGGGCCGGGTATTCTACTACGTGCCCTACTGCTCCCCTCTCCCTCCAAACCGCGTCCTCTCCACCTTCGGCGGGCTCATGATGCTGGTCGAAGTGCTCAACTCGCTCGGCGTCTCGCTAGCCGCCAACACGTCCGGCAAAGCATCCACACAAAAGATCGGCAGCAGCCTAACCATCGCGGCGGTCTCCATCCAGCTGCTCGTGATCCTCATGTTCTTCAGCCTGGCCGCCGTCTTCCACCACCGCTGCGCCAACAAGGCCCAAATCCGCGCCGCGAACGTCTACACCCTCCTGACCACACTATACCTATCCATGGCCCTGATCCTCGTGCGGTGCATCTACCGCCTGGCCGAGCACACGGTCGGCCCGCACAAGATCGAGATCAACAACCTCGAGGCCCTGCGGCAGCTCAGCCCCCTGCTGCGGTACGAGGTGTTCTTCTACGTGTTCGAGGCCAGCCTGATGCTGGTCAACTCGCTGCTGTGGAACGTGTGGCACCCGGGCCGGCTCGTGGCGAGCGACAACCGCGTGTACCTGGCCCGGGACGGCACCGAGGCCTATCGGGACGAGGACGAGGACAAGCGGCCGCTGTTTGCCAAGACGGCGAATATGTTCACGTTTGGCCTGCTGTTTCGCCGCAAGGGTTCGGCGGAGCGGTTCCACCAGCTTGATGAGTACTCCTCGGTTGCTGGGGGGAGTCGCGGGGAGGATGGTGGTGAGAGCGGTGCTGGGCCGCTTAAGTAAGCTAGTGATCGGTGGCGTGAAGTAGGTGGGAGAAGGTTTGATGGTTGAATTAAGTCTGTTGCTCCTGTGGCACTTTGGCAGGCGGGGATAGGCAATGTCCCGTGCGAAGAGACAAGCTAAGACAGGTCCGTGGTTTGGTTTTGGGATAACTTGGTTTTAATGGGATAGAGGGATAGAGGGATGGAGGGATGGAAAGATGATGAAGGTTGTAATACATCGGTCAAGCTGTTGACCCTACCTCAGGTATTCAATAGTTCCGTTGTTCTTGGCTCGCTTCTCATCAAGAACTTCATGCATCCGTCGGCCTTCCAGTCCTGGCTCATCAAAGCCTGACCGCTCGACTGCGAGTCTCCAGTGGACGCGTGCTCCATTCTAGGGAGTTAAGTTTCGGGACAGCCCGGCCAGAAGTTTGGTGTCATGGAATCGTGCAATTGCTTCGGCCACCTCTCCTCGCCTCCTGCTCCCTCAAGCTCGCCAAGAACCTTTCCGCAATCATATCCTTCCCAGCTCTCCGATACGCCCCGAAAATCATGGTCTTCACGTCCTCATCACCTCCCCCGAAATCCCTATGATACGACATGACAACCGCCGTGGGGAAGTAGGTCAGCTGCGCGCCAAAGATGCCCGACGACGGATGCAGCATGACGTTCACCGCCTCGGCGATGCGCCGGAAGTAGACGCGCGGATCCATGTGCGGCGGAAGCCGAGCGATTTCTTCGGGCGCTGCTGCCGAGAGGAGGTCGCGGAGGGTGCTGTACGTGACGATGCAGGCGATCCAGTAGATGCACATGACGTGCGCCGCCGCAAGCACGTCTATGGAGAAAGGTGCATCCGCCGACAGGACGTCTGGTTCCCGGTGATTATGAACTGTGCTGAGCCAGACCGCCAGCTCGGACTCCAGCCGCCAGCACCTCTGGATGAGCTCTCGGCGCAGAGCATCGCGCGACTGGGGGTCGTCTTGTGTCTTGAGGGCGTCATAGTCTTCCCTGAGGCCGGTTGTCTCGATGAGGATGTCGATTATGAGATCTTTCGGCGTCTTGGGGATCGTTTGCCAGGGGATGGTCATCCAGCCGGGGTCACTCATGGGCGCCCTCTTCCTCATCTGCAGGAAACAGCTTGCCAGATGAAGCCTCCCGTCAACCCAGAACTGATGCATGTACCCCGAGGCGTAGTCTTGAGGAGGCCGACTCATGATGAGGGCGAGCTCCCCCTCGATATGCTTGCACCAGCTTTCCGCCTGGGCTGGCAAATCTAAAGCATTGTGGCCGCAATGAACCTGGCATGGCGCAAAGTTAGCCGATGGCCCCTTTGATTTTAGAAACTTTACGATCCGGTAAGAAAAGGAGGGGGAAATAGATACGATGAGACGTGTGGGAGGCCAAGAAAGAAGGAACGGAATGGGTGTTTTGGGGATGGGGGACAAAGGAAATATACTCACCTCATACATACTGAACAGCCTCGCAGCAACAACAAGCGTCGTGTGGTCCGCCCTTCCTCGTTCCGGGTCTCGATCCGCCAGCGCCCCTGCCATCCTTCTCAGAGACGCGGTATAATACCGCAACCCTTCCTCCCTCTCCCTCTCCCTCCCCGACGCCTGTCCCTCCGTCGCCAGACACACCGCAAGCATGACCTTCCGAATCACGGGCGAGGAAGCGTACAGCCTCGGCAGCGCGACCATCCAGCCGCCGTTCGTGTAAGGCGCCGCGCGCGACGGGAAGTCCCGGGCCTCGGGGAGGTAACGCTGCCAGAACCCGCCAAGGTAGCGTTCCTCGTGCGCGGTGCGGGCAAGGGCTTCTGTGACGCCGGAATCGGGGATCCGGAGAATAGCTTCGGCTGCTGCAAATCGACGCTGCTGCAGGGCGAGGTCCTCCGACTCCCCCTCACGCTGAACGCCGGCATGCTGCCTTTCGAATTTGGACCCCTGGGCATCGCCTCCATGAATGGTATCGTGTGCTTGCTCATTGTCGGCCTCGGGAGGGTATTCGTTGACACGGTACTGCTTCACCTTCGCCGACGTCGCATTCACGAAGATGGTTTCCCGGCCGTAGCCATCGCACGTTAGGCCCTTGGCGAGACATTGGCTACAGGAAGGGCGCTGCCTGTCACACTATTCGCTCGAACAACCGATGTTTAGACAGGTACTGGTATGGGACACGCAAGCGGGAGTGGCAGACCAAAAAAACAAAAACGAAAACAAAAAAAAAGAAAAAGGGAAATAAAGAAAAAGGGAAATAAAGAAAAAGGAAAAAAAAAAGAAAAAGGAAAAAAGAAAAAGGAAAAAAAGAAAAAGGAAAAAAAAGAAAAGGAAAAAAAAGCAAAAGGTAAAACTTACATTCCCTTTCTTCCTCCTCCTGCACGTCCCGCAGCTTTTCGACCGTCCCGGAACACCAACCATCCCACTTGCTAGCGTCCAAGAAAATAAGCGAAAGAGAATGCAAAAGTGGTGGCGTGAATTGCTCCCAGAAGGGGAATCGAGAGGGGACTTATTATGTCTTACATCATGCGACAGATTCGTAATAAGCACAGCGGTCTGTTCAAAGTTACGTCTGCCCTGTGGAGTCTGGTCTCCGCTTCAGCTTCAGCCTTTAAAGGATGAGGCTCGGGTGCATACACAGGGTATTCGGGCTGGTCGGGTTACGTTAACTTCCATGCGCACGTGCGGTGTATGTAACCTGGGGTTCTCTTGTTCGTCCCGATTGGGAAGGATTCTGCGCCGCCCAATCGGCACTAGCATCCTTCCCCATTGCTCGGGTCTATCAGCTACGACAAGCCGTGGGTCTCGGCCGAGCCCAGAATCCTTCCTCGGGCCCGGGTATGTATATGTGGACGCTGTGATACTAACCCTCGTTTCACTTCCCCTTCGTGAACACACGAGGGTGATGGCGGACCACGACCACGTAACGTCGGGCCAAGCCAAGGCGACGTGTACAGCGGCGTCAATTCAAGCCTGTTGAGGAAGTAGGAATCGCATTCGCTTCTGTTGTTTGGCAAGGATGGCAAGTAACAACTGAATGTATTGTACTATGAGGCAGTGGTCGTTGCGATGCAAGAACTTCATGACGTATCTATCATCTTATATAAGAAGACCCAGAGGACACGCAGATTCCCCTCAAATTCTTGCCTCTCTTCTTCATCAGCCTCCATCCTCTTACCCCTGAAAAACACCAACAACACCCAATCCCCTACCGTGACCCTCATAGCACTCCTCGCGCACAATGGTGAAGCCAACCCGCCGGCCAGCCAACGCTTTCGTGGCCGCGGTCCGCAAGATCTACAACCCGATCGGCTTCTCCAAGGGCTACAACTTCGTGCTCTTCTTCATCTTCGCCGGCGCCCTGATGGGCTTCACGCTCGCCCGGTTTCAGTACCTCGACTACTACGGCGTCTTCTGCGGCGACACGGCCCTCGGCGAATGCTACTTCTACACTCGCGGCATAGCCGAGTACGGCCTGCTGATCCACCTGGCGACCATCCTGCCCGCGAGCTTCCTGGTCGTGTTCCAGTTCGTGCCCGCAATCCGACACAAGTTCATCCTCGTCCACAGGGTGAACGGCTATGTCATCCTGGTGCTGTCGCTCGTCAGCACGGTCGGGGCCTTCATGATCGCCCGCAACGCCTTCGGCGGCGGGCTCGAAACCCAGCTCGCCGTCGGTCTTCTCGGCATCATGTTTGTCGTGTGCCTAACCCTGGGATACATCAACATCAAGCGACTCCAGCTGGAACAGCACCGAGCCTGGATGCTCAGAGGGTGGTTCTACGTACGTTGTCATCCATCCCTTTTCCACCCTCTAATCTTTCTAGTACTAATAATTACCCCTTTACTTGTCCCAGGCCTCCTCGATCATCACCCTCCGCATTATCCTGATCCTCATGGCCATGGTCATCAGCAGCGGCTGGACGGGCGAGTACTTTGCCGTCCGTCAGTGCGCGCAGGTCAACTACACCCTCGGGGAGAGCGCCACGCGGGCAGGGTATCCCGATTGCGAGGCCTTCTATTCGGGCGAGGACCCGTACAAGCAGGCCATGGTCAAAGCGACCATGAACGGGGACACCATGACGGCTGGCGCGGCAATGGGTCTTTCGTTCGGCCCGTCGATATGGCTCGCATTTGTTCTTCATGCGGTTGGCATCGAGGTCTACGTGCGTTCAAGTTTCCATGCCTCCCCCCTCCCCCCACCCCCCTGAAACTCTCAAGCGGTTGTGTTTTGCTAACGGTGAAGCCCTTTTTTTTTTAGCTCCGTCTTACACCCTTCGAGCACGACAGGCTCCGGAACGTGTCATACCAGCGACAGATCGAAGCCGGCATGAGGAACCCGGGCATGGCCGGGCTGACTGCCGACCGACTGGGCGACGCAGTACCCTGGAAGCCGACGATTAATTCTGCCCAGGATGCAGTTCCACTCGAGTCCCAACAATCTATCAGCGAGGGAGACGAGACGTCTAAGCAGTAGGCGAGTGCCCTTCCGGGAATAGCTGTGTCCTGAGGCCACCGCCTGGGCACATTTACTCTCTTCCAATATCACCAAATGCTGGCTGTGGAAACGTAGAGGGATCTTTTCGTTATTTGTATAGAAATAGGGATTGGGGTGTTCTGGTTGCGCAGCCAAGAGTTGAGAATAGAAGTACTAGATACCTACAAATAGCGAATGGGGTAACTGGGTGGCTGGGTTGTCACGTTGAAATGTCCCTCCTATGTCCCGATCTCCTATCTTCCCATCTTCCCACCAGCCTCCGGAGAGCCCGAGGGGCGAAATGATGGGCGCAACGCAAAATCCTTTGACAAGACATGCGTTGCAGAAAGGAAGAAAATAGCCCAGAATAACCCATTTTCCCATCTTCCTGTCTTCCTGTCTTTCCATCTTTCCCATCTTTCCCATCTTCCCTCTTCTAGGTGTTTTCCATGTTCCATTTTTTCGTTCGCGCCATCTGGGCGTCTACAAGTCCCATCCGCCCTTGAAGGATTTCAATTCTGGTGAAGGACCGTTTCGACTTACCAACCAAAAGGATCGGTCGGACCAAGCTCCCGAAAAGGTCGAGAGTCACTGCTAGTTCGTTCGTGCCGCAACCCATCCTGAGCGCCGTGTAGACCCTTGGTTCCCCGATACTTAGTGCATTGCAGGAGAGCTGGCGCATCTGGCAAGCAAGCTCTAAACACCTAAACAACTCGACAGCCACCACCATACACCACACCAGAGCTCACCTTGCCAATTTTAGAGTTGACCGACAGGTAAGATGGCTGCCAACCAGGCTGATCAAAGTCTTCCTACTCTGATCAGGAACATCGTCCTCAGCTGTGGTGATGTTTTAGGGTCTCGCGTCTCTCAAATGGAATTCGGCCTCCAAACCGCTCAGGTTAGACATAAACATAACTAAAACACAAGGAGTATATCGTGGGGGCTCTGATCCAAGTCTTGGGAACTCAATGTATATAGTGCCTTTTGTGAAGTCTAGCCTTGGTAATGGTGATGCTGACCCTGTGGTGGGTCCTATCGATGACCCGTAACACTCCCCCCTTCTTAACAAAAAATTCGATGTCCTCGACGATTCACATGTCCGATTTAATCCTCATCGTCGTTTGAGCTCTCCTCTGTAGTACTTCCCAATTCCTCCCTGACGCTCTCGAACTAGAAACTGATATCCATTTCCTCCTTAGCTTCCTCGCGGTCGTCCGATTTTTCATGATCCTTGTCCGACACCTCACCCATGGTCTTGCCCGGTGTTTTCACTGCCACCGAATCCTTCATCTCTCGGTACGTCTTGGCCGTGATGTCGTCGATCTGTTTCTCGCGATGGTTTCTCATCAGTTCGTGAAGCCGCTCCGTCAGGACGTGGAGCTCGTCCAGGAGCGATCCGAAGGCCTCTGTGCCATGCCCGAATTCTTCTGTGTCATGCCGATTCTCAGGCTGTCTTCCAGCCTTGTGATCCTTTCTCTACTCTCTGCACGTTCCTTTACAAGGATTAGATGCCTTTCCTCGGCTAGAACCAACCGCCTGCCGAACTGGATTCGTTCCTCATCTAGTCGCTGAATCTATTCCTCCAAACGCCGGATTTTGTTTGCCATCCTGTGCAGTGTTCGATCGGCGTCCGACTCCTTTCTCTTTTTGTCCGACGTTGTTGGCTGGTTCGGCTTCGGGGCCACTGACGGGTGCTGAACTGGTGTCGATTGGGACGGTGCTGGTTATGGCGTTGCTGGCTGTGACGGCGGTGGTTATGCGGATGAGGAGGATTGTGCCACCGATGACTGGGCTGGATTCGGAATATGGTGAAGTGTTTCAGGGGCTCCTGATCAGGTGTCCGATCTTTTTGTTCTCGAGGTAGCGAACCTTGCGGGACTTATGCTGGCGCAACTCGTTCACAATAGAAAATCTCTGTCGACGAGCAACCAGCTGCTGTGCACCTAGTGAGAGTAAACTTATGCATAGCGCGTATATGATCATCGAGTGAGATCTTAGTGTTGTACCGCTTGCCATAGGTAACACAAACGTGCGGGTGATCAGGACGATACTGGCACTTTTCCAGGTGCGCGTCGAGTTTCATCCAGGAACTCCTGGCCGGTTTTCCACGGCCACTCCGAGTCATCCTTCAGGTTGGCGTGCCCAGCAAGTCAGTGACAAGCTGCGCATTGGTGTCGGGAGGTTCGACTCTTGGGTGGGGTTCACAGGCTCTTTTGGTGAGGACACAATTGGTTCGTCGTTGCTTCTTCCATGTCTCGGCGTTGGCATGTGAAATGGACTCATCGACGGGCCGCCTAGGGTTCGGACAATTAAGTCCCTACACAGCTCGAAGAATAGAGGCGAGGTGCCAAACTCGGTATACTAAAAAGCGTACTCGAGCGAGCTGATGCAGATTCGCATGATACGTGGGTTTAGCGTATGCATCTGACGGTCCACTGCGGTGCCGTTGACAGCCAGCTCGGCGTGGGACGACTTAGGACGGCGCGCCACGAAGGAGGCTGCCGTGTCCTCAGCGTCGTTGAATCGAGCATGGAAGGTCCGTAGAGGGATGTTAGGCGTCTTTGTACTGATCCACATCCCCGGGAGGGTTGATCAACCAAACGATGGAACCGGTTAAGCGGATGGCCGCAACGACTCGGGAGTCTGTGGCCGACCTGCCAGTTCCGAGTCCTTCTGGGTCTTAACCCGGGCAGTTAGGACTTGTGACTCACAGCCCTGGCCGGGCAGGCAGCAATGTCCGGACCACCTCATAGAGGAAGGAGGTGGCCATATAACGGGAAGGTGCGACTCTACGTGGCCAGCTGCGGTGCTTGCGCCGACCTGACGAGCAACAACATCCGCGGATAAGGGCCTTCCACTTGATTAGGTACCTAGGTACCTAAGGGACTCGCACCTTCTTGGATGTCGTAATGGGTACAAGGACTAGTATTGGTAACGGGGAAAGCCAGATGAGCCGCAATCTTTCGTATTGATGCCGGTCCGTCCATGCTCTCAGACTCACAGCACGCTTTGTTTTGTACCAGAGAGTTAGCAGTGAATGTATGACTGGTCAGAGAATACTGCTCGATGAATGGTCTTATAATCCAAATGGTCTCGATTGATGTAACCTGAACAATCAGGGCGGTCATTGATAAAATCAATGGACCCCGATTGCCAGTTGCAACCGGAGTGTGGTCAGTAGCCTTATATTTTACCAGTCATATCCATCAGGTAAGACATGATCTGCTTAGAGCATAATGTTTGACTTTGCCTAGGTATTCATTCTTCAAGAAAAAGGCGCCAACTATCCACATAACTAATCCCTTAGCTCATCTACCTATCTTGATGTACATATTTCCGTTGAACGGTGTTTCTGCTGATCGCGCTCCGTCTCTGCCGTATTCTGATTGAACCTAACTTCCAAGTACCAATATGAGAAGAGAGAAAAACAGAAAAAGAAAGGAAAAAGAACCTGAAAAATCATGCTCCCCCCGCCGGACGCAAGTGAACCATGAGCGGCTTCTTCAGCCAAGCGGCAAAGATCTTCTGCTTCTCCCAACCCACCATATCCGGTGCCAGCTCCAGGTCAAACTCGAGCAGAAGATGAGTCAAGATCAAGCGCATCTCAATGTATGCGAGACTAAAGCATGGATAAGGAACACTCATTAGTAACTAGCCATGTCAAGTCGGAGAGCGAGAACCATGTTGTCAATAGTAGGAGTAGTAGTAATCACTCACTTCCTGCCAATACAATTACGCGGCCCAACCATAAACGGCTGCAGCGCGTCCCTCTTGTCTCCGGCGTACGTCGAATCTTCGTCGTAGTCGTCAAGGAACCGCTCCGGAACGAACTCGTCCGGGTTGACAAAGTTGTCCGGCGAACGGAAGCAGGCATAGTTCGGGATCCCGACCTTGGTGTTCCCGGGAATGTGTTGCCCGCAGATGGTGGCCCCCTGCGGCGGCAGCACGCGGGGGTTGTTGCTGACCGAGGGCGGATACAGACGCATGGTTTCGTCGAGGACGGCGAGCAGGTACCTGAGCTCGTTGACCCGCGACAGCGAGATCTCGCCCTGGTGGCGGAAGGCGGAGCGGATCTCCCGGACCAGTCGGTCGTAGACGCGCGGGTGCCGGAGCACGTAGTACACGACGCCGGACAGCGCGGTCGCGGTGGTCTCGCTCCCGGCAAAGACCAGGATGGGCGCGTTGCTCTCCAGGTCGGCGAAGTCGATGGCGCCCTGTTCCTCGGCCTTGAGCATGTGCGTCATGAAGTCCGTGTATTCCGGCCGTCTGTCCTTTCGCCGCAGGAGTCGCTCTTTGGTTAGTTGGCGAGAGGTGTAGTACTCGTGCATGACGCCTTTCGGGACAAGCCAGAGAAGCGACCTGACGGAGCCGGGAGACACTAGCCGGCCCAGCATCCGTGTCCAGTTGGCGAACGGGGCCATGCTATAGACCATACTGACCCAAGGGTGGTACTTCGAGCTAGAGATGCAGTTGAATGATTCGGCAAAGGCTAGGTGGCCAATCATGTCAAACGCTGTGAACTGTAGATGGAAGTGTCAGTGAGGTTGTGGTGAGCTTAGCCTCAGGGCAACGATGGTATGCACATTTAGAGTGCTACTTACGTTGAACCATTTCGACAGGTCGACCGGTTCCGAACACTTCGTCCGCAACGCCTCAACAAGTGAGATGGCATAGCCGCTCAGAACATGCTCCTGCTCCCGCAGGGCCTTGTCGGAGAAGGCATTGGAAAGGAGCCTCCTCAGCCGGGAATGATGGTCGCGGGGCGCGCCAACGATGTGGGGGTGTGCCGGATCGTCCTGGAAGTAGTGCGACGGATCCTTGGGGTACTCTGGCTCACCATGTGCCCGATGGCCGTAGATGTCTTTCCAGGCTTGCGGGCCGATGAAGGACAGCTCATCCGGTGCGATGCGGACGACGGGGCCATACTTCAGGTGAAGGTCATGGAGGGCGAAGGTATGATCACCCTTTGCAGAGTGATATAGATACCACACGATGCTGCCGCGCGTATACCACGGTCCCGGGTAAGACCGCAAGGGGTGGAAGAATAGGTTGTAAAAGATGCGGCAAGCGACGAGGAGCGGAAGCTGGTGGGTGTCAACGTGTTAGCGTGTGCGTTAAAAGGGGTACGTTTGGTACGAGAGGTGTTGTTTACCGCGAGAACTGCAATCAGCAGACGCTCCATCTTAGTATAGAAAAGACGTGGTTACCAGTAATGGTCAGAAGTCAGTTCCACGAGAAGCCATTGAGAATAGAGAAGGCATAGTCCAACTCCCGGCTGGCCACCCCTTATATCCTAATGCCTCCGCATCACTCGTCATGTTGATCGCATCATACAATAGGACATTACCCCCCGCCATCGGAAGCTGTAAGAACCGTGCACAAAGTGCAACAATTCGGAAAATGCACGAGCATCGGGACGGGCAACTCAGTCGATCGACTCAACTCCGTAGAGCGAGCCATCCAATCGTAGGCCAATGGCAGCCAGTGTGGAGATTGAGTGCTTACAGGGACGGGCCGGATGCACTTGTGTAACCGCCCTCCAACTGCCCTGGCCATCCAGCGTGTGGTAGCAGTGCAGCATATAGCGCGGGTGTTGAAGCAAGTCAACGCTTTTCAGGTGAGACAGAAGTCTGACGTGTGGCAAGGACAATCTTCTAATGCCGCCGCTAATGCCGCCGCTAATGCCGCCGCTGATGCCGCCTCTAAAAGGGGGGTAGACACGGGCCGTGACTCCCGTGAGACTGATAAGGTCGTGTATGTGGTGCTGGGAGGCAAAGTTGATACGCAGGACTTTTTACACGTGGAATGGGCGGCTGGATTGTGTGGCGACGGGTTGATATCATCGGCACTTCCATTTGTCACACTCTCGTACAGGATCGCTCTATTGCCATAGGGAATTACAAGAGGCCGTGATGCATCGATAGTTCAATGCACGGTCCAATAACGGGAGTTGACCATACATCACCCTCTTCCTGATCCCTTTGTCCCTCAACACCGTCACGACGTCTCATACAACGGACTAGTATCCACCGCAATCTGCGCGGTAAACACATACGGCCTGTCGAAGCACCCATCCCACCCAGTCTCCGCCGACCGCCAGAATGCCTCCAGCACCTTCTTCGCCGTGAGGGGGACGCTCGAGCCGATAAAGCAGCTCAGGTCCCCCAGCCCCTCCCTCACAAACCCCCTCACCCCATCCTCCTCTTCTTCCCTTTTCTTATCTTGAAGAGGGTACAGCCCAGCCCCGGCAGAGACCCCAAGCAGCACCAGAGGCCAGATCAGAAACCGCTTGCTCCGCCTCGACTGTAGGCCAGCAGTGAGGTATACCCTGAGATCTCGCGCGTGTCGCAAGGCGGTGAAGGGCGTTCTCCAGTCTAAATCGACCAGGCCCTGAAGTGAGAGGATGCAGTAAAGCACTACAGCGGCGCGGTAGGCCTGGCCGATGAGCAGCCAGTCTTGTTGTGCGGAGGGGTTGGTGTTGGAGGGGGCTTTGGACGTGGCCCAGAGATCGGGAGAGAAGGAGTCTATCCGGGCGAGGATTGCTGATGCTGACACGGAGAAGTCATGATCATACAGAGAGACATCAGGATCATTGAGCTGTAAGTGTTGGGCTGGTTGAGAGTGGGTGGAAGCAAAGGCCTGCTTCCGGAGGTGGGAGATGCGGACCAGCTCGGCAACAAGCGGGAGCGGACACAGCTGGAAGGGAGATGGCGCGGCGTGGTACTGGTCGAGAAGGAGCGGCAGGGCGGAGAGGTGGGCTTCCGTCATGGAGAGGTTGGAGGCGGGCGAGGTTGTGTTGCCGAAGACTGCGACGCTGTGCAGTTTTGTCAGTATGAAAGGTAGTGTAAGTGTAAAGTTGACCGATAGAAGGTGTGATAGTACATACGACCAAAAAGACAGCAGCAGCGGGTAGAGGCTTCTCACCCCGGCCACGGCGGAAAAGCCGCCTCGCAGCATGATCAGTCGGTAGGCGCCGTCGAGATGGCATCGCCAGTTGAGCGAGGTGCCGTTCTGGATCTGTAATGGCAAGACCTGACTTAGCATCATCCGTACAAGCTGAGTCAAACGGATCCTAGGCAGCTTACATCGGTAAGTAGAAGCGTCATGACCCCGGCAACGATCATATCGCCGGTACGCGCATCTTCCCGCCCGATATGCTCGTTGAGAGAGCGGACGGCAAGGCCCCAGTACCGGTAGAACCTCTCGGTCAGGGTCCTGGAATACGGCCCATCCCCCAAACGATTAATCCGATGGCTTAGGGTCATGCAGAGCATGCCGAACCGTAAATAGTCGGGTGCCGCGGCGCCGTGGCGGAGACGTGCGGTTGACAGCGGGTACACGTGAGGGTTGTAGCCGCCTGCGAGTTCATGTAATGGCGCCAGATCGGTGTATATGCATGAGTTGACTGGCATAATCTGTTAGTCACCCAGTCTGTTGTTTGCCTCGTTTGATGCTTCCGCTTGAAGAGAGGGTCAAGTAGAAGCTACTTGCAGTACTCGGCGGCCTGAGGGAGGACGCGGGCCTCATGGGTGATATCGAATATTGAAAGATCATCAAAGGGCAAAGTCAGGGTAGGTGACACTCCTTTGCGCCTTGGGCGAGTCCGAGCTACGACCTTCCCAGGCGAGAGCCACTTGATGCGCGTCGGTTTTACGTGGCTGTATCCCGGACACGCGATGCCGGATGCAGAACACCTTCTGCATGCTGGCTCAGTAAAATCGCAGACCAAGCACCTCCGCCGGCACTCCCAGCAGTGGCGTTTTCCCTGCCCAGCCATGTGGTGATTGATGAAAGAAAACAGGCGTCTAAGTCTTCGAATCTCTGGTCTTTGAGGGATTCGTAAGCTCAGGCAGTGCATGAAATGCCAAGTCGGAGATACCGCATTAACAAACAATCAACAACAGGGTTAGGGTCAAATAACACCACGAACACAAACGAGGTACAACTTAATGCAGCGCGGACCGATAATGGCCAATGCTATACTACCTAAGGGAGCCATGATCAGAATGGGTGTGCAAAGATACCTCGAGGTGCCGCAATTCAAAGGCGGCTACAGAGTGCATCAAATGTGTCTCAACACTCACAGCCCTGATCCTTCTGATACAGTTTCCCAGGGAAGGCACCCTCGGCCGCCAGAGTGGCATAGTAGAGCTTCGTCTCTGCCAAGATCACCATCCGGCCCTTGCCAGCGAACTGGAAGTTGGCCGACGTGCCGCCAAGGTAAATTTTGCCCAGCAGCTTGCCTGACGGGTTGTAGACCTGCACACCGTCGCCGCATCCGACGTAGAGGTTCCCTTTGGTATCAACGTGCATGCCATCGGGCACTACTGGCGTCACATATGCAAATGTCTTGCGGTTGTCCAGGGTGCCGTCATCGTTGACGTCGTAACGGTAGCTGTCAGCGTGTGAGTGAGCGTCAAGTATCAAACCGGGAAGCGGATAGAATGGCTGGACGGAAAAAGAAAGAATAAGGAATGGAAGAAATGAAAAGAAAATCAAAATAAACAGAAAAGAGCGGTAATGACTTACATGGTTGCGGGACGCGTGAAGTCGTTGCCATAGAAGACGTGTGTCATTCCCGAGTCGGCGACATAGACATGCGAGCCGGTAGGCGAGAAGACGATACCTGACAGGGCTAAGTATCATGTCTCACCTTCCAGAATCATTTTGCTTCTTCACTCACCGTTCGGTGAATCGAATCCATCTGCCGCCACCGTGACCGCTCCCGTGGCCTCATTGAAGCGCCAGACCTGCTTTGGCAGCCCTGGCTCAGGCCGAAACCACTGAAAATACCCGTATGTCGGATCCGTGAAGTAGATCTCGCCATTCCGGGGATTAATGGATACGTCGTTAAGCGAGTTGAACTGGCGGCCAAAGAAGTTGTCCAGTATCACTGTATTGAGATGTAAGTTGTCCTGGACGGGGTCGGATGGAAGGATGGATGGTGCCGAGTGTGCTGAGGAACTGCTCACCTGTGGTGTTGTAGGGAGATTCCGGGTTCATAAGATACATGGCCGGAGCGATGTGATCGCCCTGGCCCTCTCCGAGGAACAGAATTTGACCTCTGTAGTTGGTTCCGCCTGTCGCTTTCTGTTAGCGTCTAGGGGAAGCCATGTAGAACACGGCATCCCGCCTTATACGGACCATTCGGGTTCATGACCATCGGGTCAGAATTTACAACTTCCACCTCAATCGACCCGCTTGCATTCATCTTGCTGGTAATGTCTGTGGTGATAGCGGACAGAGATATTTTCTGAATGATAGCCGACTTGGCGAGGCCAGTCCCAGCGGCTGGCGAGCCTGCATTTTGCACGAAGAACATCTCATCTTTCGCCGGATACCTCGGGGACAAGTCAGCAAGTTCTGCCTAGCAGTAATCTCCTCCCATGATTGCAGCAGCTTACCACACGGGTGCTTCATGGAATATCGGATCTTCTGTTGTGTGGTTGAGCAGGGTCAAGGTCGGATTGTCGCCTATGATGTCCAAGAAGCCTTCGTCGTAAATGTGAAAGGGCCGGGCCACGAGCGATGCTTCAGTTGTTTCCGGAGGGACAAATTGCTAGGCAAAGGATAGTGTTAGGCATAGTGTCACCTACGAACACGAGGCGGGATCTTTGAGGCAACCATCAGCAACAAATTCCGACATACCGTAAACCCATCGTGGTGGTGCGGTGGAGCAACCGTGTAAAACACATTGAAGCTCCGTTGGTCGATTATCTGGGCCTGAGATGGGATGGTATCCTCTTTGGGGAGAGCCGTGACCCCTAAGCCCGACGCCGGCCAACCCGGGTTGCTTGTCGAGAGCAACTGCACGAGTACCGCCCCAACAAGAGGCGAACGTAGGAAGGCCATCCTAGTGAAGTCAGGCACGCCAGTGTTAGGGTGTTGGAGAGTTGAGAAGAGACCATGAAAGATGCTATGACGGCGCTGCGGGGAAACGTACCTCATTTGATATCCTTTTGCCGCGGTAACCTGTAGACAATACAACCGTAGTCCTTGATGCCTGTCGGGATCACAGCGGTCACTGATTGGCCCGGCTCTTGGTAACGGATGCTATTTTATGTCGTGCAGCCTGCAAGCAACCCGACAACCCCGAGACAGCTCACAGCTCACTGTCTATCACAACCTGGAATTGTTCTGCTCACGCCAAGCCGCCGTTAGCAGCTGGGCTTGCACTTGTGCTATTTTCAGGATCGACATACCGAGGAGAACGACAGCGTCTTGTCCTGGATTTAACACTTGTGGTGAACAGCAGGAAAATGACTGGTGATGGCAAAGGAACTCAACGTTTATTATGCCTTGAGTAAAGGTTATGTGTGGTGCTCCATCATCTGTCGATGTGGTCAACCTGGAAACAGACAATGGCTCTCGTGGTGCGACAGCCACAGTGGAATTTCCTCTGTCTTCATGTACCTAGGTACTAGGTAGACAACAGGGGAAGGAGCTCCTGGGTGTTTAGGCCAACCATAGTCGATCCTGAGGGATCCGTGCCTACCTATCCTTGCCTTGCTCACATCAAATTATTCGTGGGCAACAGATTGAATCCCACCGACCTCTTCACATTGTTTCACCTGCTCCAAGCATCACAGAGCAAACGACATCGTTGCCTGCAAGGGCCTAGAGGCTAGGGTTCCCCTACTACCCATATATTACCATGCAACACCATGACTTCTAGCACCACAGCCTTAACACCCCCTCGTACCGGGTATGCCCATTCCTACGGATAGTTCCCTCCTGAGTCAAGATTGATAGCACCCTCAAACCCATCTCGGATCCATGTCCGGTGCTCCGCCACAAACTTCCATCCCGCCTTCAACTACCTAGGTAGAGATTCATCTCTTCCAGTCTACCTTCAGCTCCAACTATCATTAACAATCATCAACACTCGACATAGGACCACCCCTTCGTGAAGAGAAGAGAAAGTTTTTTGGTCCTAATCGATTCTCCTCTTAGGAGCAGTTCGACTCCCCTCGTGGAAGCGTCAAGGACTGTATTTGGCGCACTGCTTACTACTAGCTTTGCGCAGGGAGGGAGCGACACCATCTCACCTCCTGGATAGCCTGACCTTCTCAATCAATCCGGTTTCGCGGATCATATGAGTAAGCACATCAATGTTACTGTACCCTCCTGGGCTCTCACTAATCGTTCGCCAAGCCGAGTCTCAGTTGCTCCTCCATCCCTTTACCGGCTTCGTGGCTTTTCATTAATCGTTCGCCAAGCCAAGTCACCGGAAAAGGGGTTCGCTCCTGCACCCCTTCACCGGCTCAGCGGTTTCTCACCTGGCGGATCAACTCTTCCAATACACTTCGCTGCTCTCTCCTCGGGGGTCCGCGTCACACTTACTGTGAGTGCGCTAAAAGAGAAAAACCACAAAACCAGCGGCGATGCCGTCAGCACCGCCACCATCCACCGTGGCGGCGACCGTGACCACGAGAATGACCATCCATCAACACTAGCCCCCCAAGCCGTCTCTCCGCAGCTTTGCTCGACAAGAGGCTTCGCTCACCCTTGCCGCCAATGACTCGACGCAGCACAGGGGAAGCGCCACAAACCGAAGATGCTTGTACCGATAGAACAAGCAGGCGTTGCATCGCTGAGGCTCGCCAAGCCCATGGAATTGGGAATTTCCATAGAATCGGGAATCCTCGGAGAATGCGGTTGTCGGTACCAGGTGATATATTCAGCGGGGGGCTATGTGAAGCACACTGCATTGCGGCTTTCAAGACGATGCCGAAGACTCCTAAGTATCTTGCTGGTGGTCCATGTATCCGCTGTCATCGCCATCGGGATACATACGAACATAGTCGTTTTTACGGATCTGGACCTACCTCAATGTGTCCGTCATGTGCAGTTGCTATATCGGACAGAGAGAGGAACGGATGGCCGAACGATACTGAAGAACATGCTCGACAACGTGGTGGGTGTGCTCACTGTGGAGCTGAGAAGTGGTGGTGGAGCACAACAACAACAACAACATCGCCGGCTTAAATTGGCCGCAGACTTGATAGGGCTGTCGAATAAGTTGCCGAAGCCAGTAGCAAGTATAAGACTGCTTAAGGCACCATACTCCGTTCAGCCCGTAGCGTTGGAAATCAACGGGGCTCTTGCCGCTAAGAAACAGAAGGTGGTAGAAGAGGAGGAACCACCTGATGGCGCGAGGATATATGTACATGAATGGCCTTGCAGCTTCCCGTCGCCAGCGTGGACTACAGGGTTCTGTTCTGAATATCGGTGCAGGTCAGAGGCATGGAGAGTGCACTGTGTATCGTATCTTGTTATATAGAGGACGAAGATAGGGGGGTAACCATGTACGTATAAGGAGTGGATGACTACATAGTATATGTGAGTGCGCACAGAAGTAATGGTGAGTACAATATATATATAGCATATTCTGCTTTGTACATTACAGCAGCAGACAATTTTGAGCTTAGTACGCACCGAGCTTAGACGAGAATTCTATAACAGCCTCAAATAATCACAAAAGGAAATTAAGGACGCTCGAAATTAGATATAGATAGGAACAAGGACGACATGAAAAGCAAACAGCCTAAGGAACTCCCTAATAGTCCATCTAATGCCCCAGAGTGCCCACTAATATCCCAACACCTTTAGTACTACCAAACAACACCCTCCATATCAACGCTATACCTTTTCCTTCAACATCAACACCCCATGTTTTCCTCCCACCCCAACCATCATAAATGTCACTATGTGCCGTAGCGTGTATTCCGCAAGGGGTGGCGGTAGTCATACCCGTCGGGGGTGCGACTCTGTATCCGGTTGTCGTCCCAGACCTGCCTAGCGATGCGCCCCTGCCCACGAAGGGGAAAGGCGGGATTCAATGATCCGTTTCGCTACTGCCGCGGAACATCTTGTGCTTTGCTAACACGAGGTCGGCCTTTCGCACCGGGTCAAGCCAATTATCAGACACCTCCCGGTCGGTATTATCCTAGACGAACTACCCGTCTTCCTAAGCTCGTAGGAAGTCGTTCATTGCGACGGATAATGGATTGCTGCTGGACTCTAACGATACTGTAACTAACGTTGACTTGCTAGGATATAGACGGATGGGTGTTAAGACGAAACCGGGACTTAAGAGCCACGAGGGTGATTGTAAGAGGAGGTATAGTGGCCGGCTAAGGGGGTTAGTATAAACAAACCTAATATAGTAGCGGTGGTATAACGAGGAATAGAGAACGATGATGTATAAGAGTCGGAAGAATAGAAAACCGTCATCGGTATAAGGGCGTGAGTAGAAAGCTAAAGGTGGCGAGAAAAAAGCGCACGATAGGGAGGCTCTAGAAGATGAAGCTAGGAGCTTAGTTACCGTGGTGAATAACGTGAAAAACAGCAGATTTTAGACCGCCTTCGCGGAAGAAAGAAGTATCCAGCTGTGTGATCGGTCGGTCTCGAATCGTCCCCGCAACGGAATATGATATGACCACCAACCAGTGCGCAGCCGCTGTCGCCGAGGTGACTATCAGGCACCCCCCCTTCGCCATGTGTCCCGTATGCCAACTCAATGAACTCGACACCTTGGGCATTCCGCCATTGCCGTCGTTATCGGGACCCGACGCCAACCTATATATATGTCCTTGTTGTCATTCTGCTTGTCGATGGCACGCTGCTGGTGGCTTGCGTAATCCGGGGAGGCTGGGTATAAAGACATTAGAATGTGAATGGCGTTCTTTGAAGGAAAAAGAAAATAAGGATAGCGGCACTCGAAGACAGTCCCTCCTTTCGCAGAGAACACAGCCTGTTTTGCTTTGCTTCACTTTAATGAACCGATCTGAGCCGGTGGTCTCGATAACAAGACCTTTTGCCTCGGTCTCCATTTCGTTCGGTACGATGGTGTGCGCTTTCGAAATAGGCTTGTCCATACCCAAGGGCAGCGTCATGCGCGATGGGGGCGGCTTCCGCCAGAGGATCTGGCGGTGTTAGAATGCCCGCTCACCCCTTCGCGACTCTGGCAGCAGCATGGGAGTGAGCACCGGCCGAGCTGAACGAGCTGCGTTTGGTTTGGTCTTCAGCGGTGGGCTCTGGATGGATTGGGTAATTCTGCCGCAGCGATGACATTGTGTCCAAAGAGACGAGATGTCTTCCGGCGGATCGTTGTGGTAAGCGGATCGTTTCGCGATTTGGTTGTTGGTATCGGCGTTGTCGTCCCCGGCGGGGCTCGCCTTCCGTTTGTTGTTCATGGCGCAGACCTGGGACCTGCACCGGCCCTTGGTCTGAGATCCTGGTCAAGTATAGGTGCTCATTGACACTCGAAAACGAGTGAGAGGTATGCGACAGGACTGCTCTGGGAGGGCGTAGACGTCAAAGTCATCCATCAGGTGTGGATGGGGGGGGGGGTGACCAGTGCGGCGGGATAGGCACGATCGTGTGCTTCCATAGTGGCCATTGTATTGCCTCATGAACGTGGCGATGTCGTGCTAGCTGCGGCAGTGCGAGTCATGCGACAGGGCTGCTCTGAGCCTTGAGGGCTTTGAGTAGAGACGGCAACCTGTGCATGCTGGCTGACGGGTGGGAAGAGGCTTGAAACGGTTAGCTGGAAATGACGGCCTGGAGTAAGGGCGGTGGTGGTGTACTGTGTACCTACCTAGGTCGGGTGAAGTCGGGAAATTATCTTGATGGATGTATCGTCCTGGATTTGCCAGCCGTATTGATGCTGATGAGATCGGTCGCAGCCAGCGTTGAGGCTGATATTTGCCACGTCAACATTGGATGTATCGACGACATCGACTTTTGACTTTTGCTGGTACCCTGCTAAGTGACCGCGTCAGCACGATGTTTGCAACATTCGTCTGATCTCGAGAGATCGGACGAATCGAGGACCAACTCACCATGGTTGTCTTCATGAAGTTCATGTCCAACCCCATCTAAATCATGATGTGATCATCAGACTTGACCAAGACAAGCCTCTCCCCGCCTAGCACTAGCATCCTTACATGACCCGCATACGTGTTTGGTCATTCCTAGTATTGCTTCGCTACCGCTATGGTCAAACCACGTCCTTGAACCCCGGGATTCCGGCCAGTATGGCCAATCACCGGTTTTCCGAATGGGCTGAGTGTTCTTTGTTCCAATTCAGTGCAAGCACTGCTCAGCCTGTGTTTCCTTTCCGAATGAGGGTACAAGGAATCCTCTTCTCCTTGGCGGTTGTGCAGAATCTCAACGTGATCCCGCCGCGTGTAGTCCTCATCTTGTTCTTTGATGTTCTGACAGTCAAGAAGCCTGCCAACCAAGGGTAGACCGCAAAGCGATATCCCGGAGGCACTTCTATCAAGTTATATGTCTGTCAGCACTCTCGGAGCAATGGAGCAATCTCATCCAGCGGGGAACAGACGAACATACTAAGAGGGGTCAAGTCAATGGATAGAACCCGTTTAGCTAGTAGCTTTCCTTGTAAGTGGCAGTCGTCTCGTCGTGTGAGTTTGAGATGCCGCGGGTTTCGGTTGCGGTTGTCGGGGAGAAGCAGGCCCATTGTGCCTGGCATCGGTACGATGCAAAGTGCCACGCAAAGCGATTGATGGCTTCTCCGTTGACGAGCCAAACGACCCAGGGATTCGAAATCTTCGCTGTTGATTGGAGACTTCGAGTTTGCTTGTGGATTTGAGGATGGGATGGAAATGGGATGGAGAGTGGGATGGAGAGTCGGTCGATTACTAGTAAGAGAGAGAGAGAGACGGGCCACCAGCAGACTGTGAGAGTCTGTGCGGGCTACCTATTGCTTGGGGCAGGGGACTTTTCACTACTGGTAATGTGCAGGTGCGACTTTCACCACCGGGCGACCAGGCTGCTAGACAGGTGGGTAGGCGAGTTCTAGCCTAGGTAGAGGTGCCTACTTCAACGCAGCGCCCTGGTTGAGAGATAAGGTACAGCTACTAGAGTATGTACTTCACGGTCATAAACAATAAGGCAGGCACACGGACGCATAGGTACACCTAGGTGGTCTGAACTCCGATGTGGAAAGAACCCAGCTGAGTCACTGCGGTCACTTATATGCGGGAGGGCTTGAAGCCCTATGGACCATAAGGACCAGAAAGGTCTTGGTAGTTGAACCGTTCAACATTAAGGAAATAAGGCTTGATCAGACCTACATATGATTTGGAGATAAAGAGACTGACTGCAATCATGGCCGAGGGAACTAGCACACCCTGAATGAACATAGCTGAGCCTGGTGTTTGAGCAGGTAACGCTTCATCACTTCATGCGAGGTCCCAAGCCACTGCGCTGTCCGGCCTACTCAGAAACTTAGCCACTCAATGAATACAGCACTCCCCGCAAATCCGTCTCCCTGAGGTGGCCCGGGGGTTGGTTCTTCCAACAACGCTGTTCGCTTCCCCCCCTGATTTCCAGCTCTCAATCCAACATCACACTGCCTTCAAGATGTTTAGCACGCTGACATTTTCTTGAAAGCCGCGGCTGTCTTCTCACAGCGATACCTACTAACACGACGTATGTCCAAGCTGCATAGATACCGTCTTGCCTTGCATCTCTGTGTGGTAACTGCTCGCTAATTGCTACCATTCCCATCAGTCCTATCCGCAGCCCGGTTATTGCAGAAAGAACATGGTGTTTCTCTTCCGACAGCAACTTCGGGCCGCATCCTGGAAAAGCCGCTACGAGGCCGCGTCCGTACTAGTATCTACTACGACAGCAACGTCGATAACGGCTGCTTTGTTTTCCATCCGCTCCAACGGCAGGGAAGTCCACATCAAGTTGTCGCCTTCCATCCTTCTGTAACATCGTCGCCGCCGCCACTCTATACCACAAGTGCACCGCCGAGGTCAGGGACAGAGGTGGAGAGATGGACGCCCGGGGAAGAAGGTGCGTCAGAGGAGGCGGGGATAAGGAGGAGGAAGATCCAGAAGAGATCAAAGCCTTCCTTTGTTACTGGCGCCCCTTTTCGCTAGTAGCCGTGTCATGTGGACTAGTTAATCGTCATTGAGACGGAAGGCACCTCAACCCGACCTCGTAGAAGACCAAGCAGGCACAACAATCGATAGCATAGAATAGAACAGAATAGTGGCTCGGCATCTGGTGTTCCCCATACAAACATAAACCGGGAGGGATGCTCCAGCCACTCTATCCCACCCCCGTTGAGGAAGTTCCGGCCGGAATGGGATGCCCGCGGTGCCGGGTAAATTGGCGTCCGATATTGCGGCCACGGCGAACCACCAATGACCCCCGAGAGTGGCACGCTGCATGACCGCATGCCGCATATGCCTGCCGCGCCGCGGGACGAGCGCAGAATCTGGGGTATAGTGCTTCATATATCTTGGTCCGGGGCCCCAGACGCCTATCTCGGCAGGTCGCTGGGGTTGAAGGCGGCCCGAGAAGGGGGCCCCACGTCCGATTTCTCTGGTCAGAGAGAACATTGCGGCCGGTAATTGATGCTGACAGGTCACACGCTGTCTCTCGGGCACGGGCTAGGATTAGCGCCTGGGTTGGGCATGGATCGAAGAGGGGAGGTATATAGCTAGCGCAACAGGCATGGAGCCACTGGTCTTTCAGGGCATCTCATATGGCCATACTCCCGCTTCCCCTCATTGTCTCTCTATACACATCCTACGAGATCTGGTAACAGTAGAATTCTAGGATACCATAACCCAGAGGCACCATGAGGTCAACATTCACCGCCGCGTTGGCAGCCCTCGCTGCGCAGCAAGCAGCTGGCCACGCCACCTTCCAACAGCTCTGGGTGGACGGTACAGATTATATAAGTCTCCCCCCCTTGACCGCAAGGCCCTACATGACACCAACTGACCTCCACAGCACGGTACCTCCTGCGTGCGCCTGCCATCCTCAAACTCCCCGGTCACCAACGTCGGCAGCCGCGATTTCGCCTGCAACGCCGGCACCCGGCCCGTAAGCGGCAAGTGCCCCGTGCGGGCGGGCGGCACCGTCACGGTCGAGATGCACCAGCAGCCCGGCGACCGGTCATGCAACAACGAGGCCATCGGCGGTGCCCACTGGGGTCCGGTGCAGGTATACCTCTCCAAAGTACCCGACGCGAGCACGGCCGACGGGGCGTCGGTGGGGTGGTTCAAGATCTTCTCGGACTCGTGGGCCAAGAAGGCCGGCGGCGCCGTGGGCGACGACGACCACTGGGGCACGCGCGACCTCAACGCCTGCTGCGGCAAGATGGACGTCAAGATCCCCGCCGACCTGGCCCCCGGCGACTACCTGCTCCGCGCCGAGGCGCTGGCCCTGCACACGGCGGGCCAGTCCGGCGGCGCACAGTTCTACATGAGCTGCTACCAGATCACTGTCTCAGGTGGCAGCGGCGGGACGAGCACGCCCGCAACGGTGCGGTTCCCCGGAGCGTATAGTGCCAACGACCCGGGCATCAAGATCAACATCCACGCCGCCGTCAGCAACTATGTCGCGCCCGGTCCGGCTGTGTACTCGGGCGGCACGACCAAGAAGGCCGGCTCTGGGTGCGCCGGCTGCGAGAATACCTGCAAGGTGGGCTCGTCGCCGACGGCGGTGGCTCCGTCGTCTGGGAACGGCGCGGCGAACGGTGGCGGCGCGACGCCCGGCCAGGGTACCGGCAGCGGCGCGGGGGCTTGCAGCGTGCAGGCGTATGGCCAGTGCGGTGGTAGCGGCTATTCGGGCTGCACCCAGTGTGCGGTAAGTGGTACTTGTTTCGTTCATATACGTGGTGCTCGAGACGCTTCTTGACTGACGAGGTTGTTGTTGTAGTCCGGCTATACCTGCAAGGATGTTTCCCCGCCGCACTACTCGCAGTGCGTCCCTTCTGTGTAGGTAGGAATAATAGGGGGAAGGTAGGTCCCGATGGGATTGGGAAGGTCAGGATGCTGTGTGAGACCCGTTGCGAGGGGTTACATCTGGTTGAGATTGTCTGTATAGCATGCGTTAGCAAATATATTTTATCTCTCAATGTTTAGAGGACGTAATCTCAGGGCTAGCATGCTTAAGTTAGCTGAAGAGGAAAGCTTCAAGCGTGCGAAAAGTTGTGGAGGGCTTTCTTAGGCACGCTTGAGTGAATGCCAGTACTTGGGCAAATGAAACCAGCCGAAATCTTAGATGAGCTGTTGACGCAAAGAAAAGGTCTTTTGACTCAGGACCGCGTAGGCCCTCGTCTAAATGTCGTATGTACACCCGGCGCCCGACCTGACAAGGGACCTGGTGCCACTCCATGCATCCTCCACGCTTCCTACCAGCAAACACACCTCCATCATCCTCCCCTTCCACCAACTCATGACGAGCCCCCCTTGGCCAGGCGCTCAGCCTCCAGCTCCCTCTCGGCTTGCTGGTAGTACTTGGCCGTGTCAACGCCGTGCTGGTTGTGGTTGACGAAGTTGAACCAGGGGAGGACGCCGATGAAGAGCGCCGAGTACCGCGACTGGCGCGCGGCGACACCTTGCATGGCGGGCGTCAGCCGGCTCTCGCCGTAGAGCGGCAGGCCGGCCTTGACGCGGTCGACCATCTCGCGCATGTCCATCTCCACCTCGCGGGCGTTCTCGCTCATGCCGTAGAAGCGCACTATGTCCCCAGTTAGCGCATCTGGTCCCCATGCAAATACCGTGCGCTCCAAATGATCTAGAAGCCCCCTCCATTCACACCACAATAACGAATCGTGTGGTTTTCCCAGATAAAGCGCGGGGTTGGCAGAGGGTGGAACCGGTTCACGTACGGATGGAGCGCTGGTAGAAGTAGAGAAAGCCGCCTGCAAAGCCAATAAAGCCAGCAAGTCTCATCGCCTGGGCAAAGCCGCCCTTGCCAACCTGCGACGGGGCGAACTTCTCCATGGCGTAGAGCAGGCCGGGACCCGCGGCGGCGGCAACGGTGCCGTGCACATAGTCGGACGGCCGGGCGTACCGGATCACACGCTTGAAATGTCTGCGACGGCCAATTGGGTCAGATTCATCAGATTTGCTGCGGTAGATTCGGGCGCGGAGGACGTACGGGTCATTGTCGATGAGCTGATTCCGGCGTCAGTTGTATGTCGCAAATCGCCAGCCAAATGGGGCCATGAACTTACTGGGTAGTCGGTTTTGATGGTCTTGCTGGGCCATTGGTAGGTCTGGGTGGGTTGTGTGTTCGACATCTTGGCGGCGGCCGACAAGGCGTCGTCGAGGAGGTCGCGATGTGCTGAGCAACTTGATCCGAGTCTCTCGTCGATTGGAAGCTTCCTGGGTGGAGCTCGACCTATAAGTTGTGCCTGAGGCGAGAAGAGCACCGCCACGGTGAGCGCCACAACCGGGAATAGTCCAGCCACAGCATGCCCTTACAGGGATTAGCCGATGTGACGCGACGAGACGCGCTCTCGAATATATGAACGCGTTTACTACTGGTAGTTACTTGCCGTTCAGCACAGCACTTGTAAACCACAACAATCGAACTTGCTGGTACAACACAAGACGTACTTGTGAAAATGCCGCCAGGAATACGAGATAATGCCAACTTTGTCAACGACTACCTCGCTGACTTCAACGATGACGATGACCCGTTCAGGTCTCCCAGCCCAGAGCCGCCCAAGAAGACTGGCAACAACGAGAAGGAGAAAAAGAAAGATGTACTGGGTATCGAGACACAACTCGACCTGAAGAGGAAACCCAGAGCGCCAAGAGTGAAGCTGGATGAATCTCGGTTAGTAACTTGCATTTGGGACGTCGATGCGGACAGGATGGCTAACTCCCATGTCCCAGACTGCTCTCGGATAAAGGCATACCTAAACTACGAAAGATGGCACCGAAGCTCAAGTTCAAAGGCAAGGGACACGAGGTAATTCCAACTGCAGCCACCCATGTCCCCATCACAAGCACTAACCCACTCTCAGTTCTCCGACGCCGCCCGGCTCCTGTCATTCTACCAAGAGTGGCTGGACGAGCTCTTCCCCAAAGCCACCTTCCTCGACGCGCTCGCCATGGTGGAGAAGACGGGCCACAAGACGGTGATGCGCAACGCCCGGCTGCAGTGGATAGACGAGGGCAAGCCCAAGGCCGCTGCGGCCGAGGACGACGAGGACGTGGACTACGCCATCTTTCAGGGACCTTCTGCGCCGCGACAACAGCAGCCCGACAAAGCTGCGCCGGTTGTCGAGAAGGCCGCGCAGGCCGCGCGAGAGCGGGCCAAGACGCCGGTGGCGGCGGCGGCGGACGACGACCTGTTTGGGGATGATGATATCTACAATGCGACTCCGCGGCGGAATGCCGGCAGCAGTATGGCGGCGCCCAGGCAGGTGGTGAGGGACGCTGTTCCGGATGAGGATGACCTGGACGCGCTGATGGCTGAGGCCGAGGCACAACAGTCTGGAAGTAGGACACAGCAGACCGCTTCCGGTCCTGGGTCGGCGACTTTCAGGAGTTTATTTGGGAACGGAGCGGGAGGCACGGCGTCGGTGCCATCTGCGGAGCCCGATGACGACGAGCTGGATGCATTGATGGCGGAGGCGGAGGCGGAGGCACAGGCTGGGTCAACTAGGCAGAGCCAGCCGGTTGTGGGCGGGAATACTTCCGAGAATGGGGCGTCAAAGCAACAAACCGTGCAGGGTGTCGGTGACGATGACGAAGATGACCTTGATGCGCTCATGGCGGAGGCCGAAGCTGCGGCTGGCCCGCCAACACACAACACTGGCTCGTCAGCACAGGCCGAGACGGGTCAGCCAAGCGTGAGCTTCGATGACGATGAAGAGGCCATGGCCGAGCTGGATGGTCTATGGTGACGCTGCGATTTACATTTATGAGCGACGGCTATACGGATGCAACTATGTATGGTACTACGTATGATGAATGGTACTATGTATGATGAATTTGCTGACAGCGGGATTCTCAAGTAAAGAGACATCGAGAATTGAGTCTGGCTTTGACCTTGGCATGTTGACCACATCGGCGGCAGCTTCTCTTACGATGCCACGGCTCAATACAATCTTTGAGAGGCGAAATCAACTCCTGTACTCCGTAAGAATTGATCGTTTCACACTCACCTCCGAGCCGATCCGCCGAGCCGACCCCGGAGCGTAACCCTGGCTAGCTTCGGTCCCCACACCTCGGCTTTAGCGGGGCGAGCGGCTTCCCCAGATAAGCCCGGCTATTCCCAGTTACCTACGCATTACACTCAATTGATGTGAGTGATGAGGAAGCAAACCTGGGACGCACTCTAGTGTCCCAGTATCTTAGGACGACCGATCGATGCTCCGTATAGCACTTCCACGCGGGGCGGGGGGGACCGCCTCGGCACGGCCGCTGTCCGCCGTCTGGGCCACTGTCGGCAGAAACTCCCGCCGGCTGCTCTCGCTCTCCAGCAAGATGGCCGCTCTCCCGCCCGTCGATGCCTCGATCCCCTCAACCGCACCGAGCACATCATACCAGCTCCTCCCTGAGGCACAGAAGGCAGGCGCAGTCGAGCAGGCCTTGCACCAGCAACAAGTAAAGGATGTGGAGGCGTGGTGGGCATCGTCTCGCTTCACCGGCATCAAGCGGGACTGGACGGCCGCCGACGTGGTGAGCAAGCGCGGGTCGCTACAGCAGTCCTACCCAAGCTCGACCATGGCGCGCAAGCTCTGGAACCTCGTCCGCGAGCGGGAAGCTGCCGGGCAGCCCATCCACACGCTGGGCGCCATCGACCCCGTCCAGATGACGCAGCAGGCCCCGCACCAAGAGGTGCTCTACATCTCCGGGTGGGCATGCTCGTCGCTGCTGACGACGACGAACGAGGTGTCGCCGGATTTTGGCGACTACCCGTACAACACGGTGCCCAACCAGGTCCAGCGCATGTTCAAGGCCCAGAGCATGCACGACCGCAAGCACTGGTTCCAGCGGTCCAGGATGACGGCCGAGGAGCGCGCCAGGACGCCGTACGTCGACTATTTCCGCCCCATCATCGCCGACGGCGACACGGGCCACGGCGGGCTGACGGCCGTCATGAAGCTGGCCAAGCTGTTCGCCGAGAACGGCGCGGCGGCCGTGCACTTTGAGGACCAGATGCACGGCGGGAAGAAGTGCGGCCACCTGGCGGGCAAGGTGATTGTCCCGACGGGGGAGCACATCAACCGCCTCAAGGCCGCGCGCTTCCAGTGGGATGTCATGGGTACGGAGAACCTGGTCATTGCGCGCACCGACTCGGAAAGCGGCAAGCTGCTGTCGTCTTCCATCGACGTACGCGACCACGAATTCATCCTGGGCGTGGCCGACCCGGCTGTTGAACCTCTCGCCGAGACCCTCGCGGCCATGGAAGCCAAGGGTGCCTCGGGAGCCGACATCGATGCGTTTGAAGCGCAGTGGGTGAAGAGCACCAAGCTGGTGACCTTCGACGAGGCTGCGGCGGCACACTTCGAAGCCCAGGGCGTCAGCGCGGACACGATCGCCAAATACAAGGACGCCGTCGCGGCCGACCGCGACATGGGCATCTCGGCGCGGCGCAAGCTAGCCGAGTCCCTCACCCCGGGCAGACCCGTCTACTGGAGCTGGGACGTGCCACGCACCCGCGAAGGCTTCTACCACTTCCGCGCGGGCATGGCGGCCGCCACCAAGCGGGCGCTCGCCTTCGCGCCCTACGCCGACATGCTCTGGGTCGAGACGGGCGACCCCAACGTGCAGGTGTGCCGGGACCTCGGGCGCGCCGTGCGCGCCGCCTACCCGGGCAAGCCGCTCGTGTACAACCTGTCGCCGTCCTTCAACTGGATGGCGCACGGGTGCACGCCCGAGACGCTGAGGAGCTTCATCTGGGATATCGCCAAGGAAGGGTTTGTGCTGCAGCTTGTGAGTCTGGCGGGCTTGCACAGCACGGCGACCATCAGCAGCGAGCTGGCGAGGAGGTTCAAGGATGATGGTATGGCGGCGTATGTCGAGCTGGTGCAGAAGCGGGAGAAGGAGCTGGGCGTCGACGTGCTCACGCACCAGAAGTGGAGCGGGGCGAATTATGTTGATGCGGTGCTGGGCCATATCCAGAGTGGGAGTTCGGGGAGTAAGAGCATGGGGGATGGCAATACCGAGGGGCAGTTTGTGTAAGTTGTGACATGCGCGAATAAACAGGAAATTCTGTATATATTATACCTTTCGAACACAAGCCGCCAGATACCTTATTACCTTCGTCTGTGTTAAACACTGTCACTGTCTGAAGCCCTAGTGCTATTCTGTCCAGTGATTCCTTCCACGGTTGATCACACGACACTGCTGAACCGCTGTCAGCCGGCCCATTGTTTACTTATCGCCGCTATCGGCCTTATCTGTCTCAGGGTCCTACTCCACTGTGTGCCCCTCAACACCATCGCCATTGTCTCGACATTCCAGCTCCTAGGACCGACATTCTCACAACCTTACAACCCTAGACGCTAAACCTAGACCCCTATTGCCAGAGTACACGCAATGGCGTCTTCAGGTATCCTGGCCGGCCGTCTGGCTGGCAAGAACTGCCTGATCACCGGTGCCGCCGGGTAAGTCACTTCTAAGAGATAGAGGGAGGCCGGGCCTAACACTGCTTGCTTAGAGGCATCGGTCTTGAGACCAGCATTCTGTTTGCCAAGGAGGGCGCCAATGTGCTCATGACAGACGTCTCTAATGAAGCGCTGATGACAGCCTTCGGAAAGGTCGGCCATCTGGTCCCGAACTGCAACCGCATTGAGTGGAGGGTTAGTCATTTCGACCCGGAACTTGGTGTTCTCTACAGCCCCGTTGATCAGTACCTAACCATGTCCAGGTCTGCGATGTCTCCAAAGAAGCCGACGTGAAAGGCGCCATCGAGCACCTGGACGACTGGGGCGGCCTGGACGTCATCTTCAACAACGCCGGCATCATGCACGCGTGCGACGACGACGCCGTCAACACGCCCGAGAACATCTGGGACCTGACCATGAACATCAACGTCAAGGGGGTCTGGTACGGGTGCAAGCACGCCGTGCTCGCGCTGCGCCGCCACGACAAGAAGAAGGGCAGCATCATCAACACGGCCTCGGTTGTCGCCCTGGTCGGCTCCGCCACCCCGCAGCTCGCCTACACCGCCAGCAAGGGCGCCGTGCTCGCCCTGACCCGGGAGCTCGCCATCGTCCACGCCCGCGAAGGTTTTCGCTTCAATGCCCTGTGTCCCGCGCCGCTCAACACGCCGTTGCTGCAGGACTGGCTCGGTGACGACCAGGCAAAGCGGCACCGTCGCGAGGTGCACTTCCCGACGGGGCGGTTCGGAGAGGCGGTCGAGCAGGCGCAGGCGGTGCTGTTCCTCGCGAGCGACGAGAGCAGTTTTGTGAACGGAACGGACTTTGTTGTCGATGGTGGAATGACCAAGGCCTATGTCACCCCGGAGGGCCCCGCGGCCCCTGCGCCGGTCAATAATGCGCTCAAGGATAGGCTGGACTAGGGGGAGAGGGAGGATAGTGGTTCATTAGATGGGAACCTGAACGGCGCGAACAGAGTACTTTGTAGTAACTTTGCTTTATGGCTCAATCCGGCCTTATGCATAACCCCCTCACAACCTAATGCAACGCCTTTTATGTCCACAAAACAAACGTCGCACAAACTGGATGCCTTTTCGTGGTTCAGCCTTGTTAAACGTGCAGGACGGGTCCATAAGAAGCAGCCTACCAAACTAAGTACACTCCCATCTGCGCGTAATCGTACTATGTAGCTGGACTGCCCCGCGAACCAATGCCCCGCAGGACCAGGTGCTATACGTAACCGAAAGGCTTAAGCTATCTGCAGCTCACAGATTTGTCTGTTTGACAGAGCTCCCATCTTCACCACTACACTCCGCGCAAAGTTTTCCTCTCCATAGTTGATCATCAGTTTTCTTTCGCAGGCCGACCGGCCTTCATCTGACCATCATGGCATCAGAGCTCAGCGAGGCCATGCAACGATTGCATCTAGGCGATGACGCCTCCTTCGATGCCATCGATGACATACTAGACAGCACAGCACCCAGAGAGCCGCAGCAGCAAGATGACCTCGACCAACTGCGCGTGGAGCTCGAGCAGAAATACCTTTCCCCATCGACCACGTTCTCCACCCAATGGCTGGACAAGCTCCAGCAGCGCTGGGACGCGCCCGCCGACTACTCGCTCCTCTTCCGCATCGCCCCGACCCAGTCCCGCACCGTCACGCGCTTCATCCGCCACGGCCTCGAGGGCCGCGTCACCGGCTACCGCAACGTCACCGTCCCGGCGTCCCACGCCACCGCCAAGACGAGCACCTCGATGCTGCGCAAGCCCGCCAGCCGGGCTGAGTTCGTGCGCGGCGCCGCTGGCTTCTTCCCCTTCGCGCCCGGCGGCCTGGACGGCATCGAGTCGACGGCCGCTTTTGAGGATCAGCTGCGGACGACGCAGGCTGCTGCTGCGGACGAAGTGGATAGCAGGAAGAAGCTGGAGAAGGTCATCAAGCTGGGCGAGGGCGGGCTGCTCGAGGTGGCCCCGGGCCTGAACCGGGGGATTGACTTCAGCAAGAGGAGGAAGATTGCCGATGCTGAGAGCGAGCGGCAGGCCAAGGAAGTGGAGGAAGTGCTGGGCCAGGAACCGGAGGCCGCGCCTAAGGGGAGCGACGAGGAGGGCCAGCGGACGCCGTCCAGTGGCGAGGAAGCCGAGGATGGGGGTGGACAGGAGGAGGCGGAGGACATTGACGTCATCCTTCCCGTCGAGTTCCCTGCGCTCGAGCCTCGCGGCACACTTGCCGCGTCCAGCGCTAGGCGGGCTGGGCGCGAGTGGGCTCACATGGTCGACATCAAGCGGGACATACCCAACTTCCGGGAACTGGTACCCGATATGGCCAGGGAGTGGCCCTTCGAGCTGGACACGTTCCAGAAGGAGGCTATCTACCACCTGGAGAACGGCGATTCGGTGTTCGTCGCGGCCCATACGTCGGCGGGCAAAACGGTCGTGGCAGAATACGCCATCGCCCTCGCCGCCAGACACATGACCAAGGCCATCTATACCTCTCCGATCAAGGCGCTGAGTAACCAAAAGTTCCGCGATTTCAGGCAGACCTTCGATGAAGTCGGCATCTTGACGGGCGATGTGCAGATCAACCCGGAGGCTAGCTGCCTCATCATGACGACCGAGATTCTACGGAGTATGCTCTACCGCGGCGCCGACCTCATCCGGGACGTCGAGTTCGTGATTTTCGACGAGGTCCATTACGTGAACGATTACGAGCGCGGCGTGGTGTGGGAAGAGGTCATCATCATGTTGCCCGAGCATGTCTCTCTCATCCTGCTTTCTGCGACCGTTCCAAACACGTACGAATTCGCGTCTTGGGTTGGCCGGACGAAGCAGAAGGACATCTATGTCATATCGACGCCGAAGCGTCCTGTTCCCCTGGAGTACTACCTCTGGGCCAACAAGAACATCTACAAGATCGTCGATTCGGACAAGAAGTTCATCGAAAAGGGCTGGAAGGATGCCAACGCCGCGATCCAGAACAGGGATAAGGCGAAGGCCATTGGAGGGCCACCAGCAGGGCCATCTCGCGGTAATGGCAACCAAAGAGGAGGAGGCCGCGGCGGCGCACAGAGAGGCGCCAATCAACAGCGTGGCGGCGGTAGAGGCGGCGGCCAGCAACGAGGAAGGGGCGGGCCGCCCCGCGCAAGCCACGCTCCGGGCCACATGGGCCGGACAGGCAGGCCTGGCGGATTCACGTCGGCTGCTCAGGACAAGAACCTCTGGGTGCATCTGGTACAGTTCCTGAAGAAGCAGAACCTCCTTCCGGCCTGTATCTTCGTCTTCTCTAAGAAGCGGTGCGAGGAGAACGCCGATGCCCTCAGCAACCAGGACTTCTGCACCGCCAACGAGAAGAGCGCCATCCACATGATCATCGAGAAGTCGATTGCGCGGCTGAAGCCAGAGGACCGGGTTCTGCCTCAGATTATTAGGTTGAGGGAGCTGCTGTCCCGCGGCATTGCCGTTCATCACGGCGGGTTGCTGCCCATCGTGAAGGAGCTTGTGGAAATCCTGTTCGCCCAGACCTTGGTGAAGGTTCTCTTCGCCACCGAGACCTTCGCCATGGGGTTGAACCTTCCTACCAGGACTGTGGTGTTTTCCGGGTACAGGAAACACGACGGCCACCAGTTCCGGAACCTTCTGCCCGGAGAGTACACCCAGATGGCCGGCAGAGCCGGACGACGTGGTCTTGATACGGTCGGTACAGTCATCATTGTTCCGCCGGGAGGAGACGAGGCCCCTCCCGTGTCCGATCTCCGGCAGATGATGCTCGGCGAGCCTAGCAAGCTCCGGTCGCAGTTCCGGCTGACGTACAACATGATCCTCAACCTCCTCCGCGTCGAGGCCCTCAAGATCGAGGAAATGATTAAGCGTAGTTTCTCCGAGCACGCCACTCAGCAGCTCTTGCCGGAGCATGAGAAGGCAGTCAAGCTTTCGGAGGCGGATCTGGCCAAGGTCAAGAGAGACGCGTGCCCGGTCTGCGATGTCCACATGGACGAGTGCCACCAGGCTGGAGAGGACTTCAAGCAATTGACGGAGGAATTGTATCGCATGTTGCTGGTCAACCCTCTGGGTCGCAAGATGTTCTCGCCGGGCCGACTTGTTGTATGGATGAAGGAAGGCGTCCGCACGGCCGGCATTCTCCTCGCCGAGGGCGCCAGCGTCAAGAGCAGTGCTACGAACCCGACACTACATGTTCTCGAAATCAGGACCAACCGAGAGGTCCGCAACGACACGGATATCCTCCCCTTTGTGGGGCCGTTTAGGAAACACCTGACGCCGCTACCACAGGCCAGGAAGCACATCTCAACCAAGACACTGCACGTGCCGATCAGCGACCTCGTTTGCCTCACCAAGTACGTCACCCGGGGTGTCCTGCCGGATATCTTTGGCGGAGACGGTTACCAGCAGGCGAAGGATAAACTGCACCAGATCTGCCGATCGTGGAACCTGGACCACTGGGACGAAGCCGACTTCGGCCGGATCAAAAATCTGGCGGTCCACGACATCATCAACAAGCGGCGCGAGGCCGAGATCAAGGTGATCAAGTCCCCGGCGGCCAAGTGCAACGCCTTTCTGAAGCACTACGCCATGTGCCACGACCAGTGGCTGATCAAGACGCACATCGAACAACTGCGGCAGACGCTCTCGGAGCAGAACCTCCAACTGCTGCCCGACTACGAGCAGCGCATCCAGGTGCTCAAGGACCTCTCCTTCATCGACGACGCCAGCCGCATCCAGCTCAAGGGCAAGGTCGCCTGCGAGATCCACTCGAGCGACGAGCTGGTCCTGACCGAGCTGATCCTAGAGAACGTGCTGGCCGACTACGAGCCCGCCGAGATCGCCGCGCTGCTGTCGGCCTTTGTGTTCCAGGAGAAGACCGAGTCGGTCCCGCGCCTGACGGCCAACCTCGAGCGCGGCATGAAGACCATCGTCGACATCTCGGAGAAGGTCAACGGCGTGCAGACGCTGCACCAGGTCATCCAGACGAGCGACGAGAGCAACGACTTCGTGTCGAAGCCGCGCTTCGGCCTCATGGAGGTCGTTTACGAGTGGGCGCGCGGCATGAGCTTCAAGAACATCACCGACCTGACCGACGTGCTGGAGGGCACCATTGTGCGCACCATCACCAGGCTGGACGAGACGTGCCGCGAGGTGAAGAATGCCGCGCGCATCATCGGCGATCCGGGCCTGTATCAGAAGATGGCCGCCGCGCAGGAGTTGATTCGCCGGGATATTACCGCCGTGGCGAGCTTGTACATGTAAAAACGTCGAGATTTCTCATCATGGCATGGGTACGGTACTAGTACCTGTAAGCTAGTTACCTTACTCGGTTTCGGGAGTTTTTACGGCAGAAGTTGATTGTTGGGATAGATACTTGTGGTGCTGTTATGACGGATACACCATATGACCATGACATGACTTTACGGGTTCCTCCATGATCGAGGAATAAAAGGTGGCCATGGGAGATAGATAAAAAAGAAGAAAAAGCTGTTCGTGGAAAATTGAGTCCTAAGTGATGCTGAATATATCTGCCTCTGTCCCGAAAAGTCCACCCACCCACCCTCATAGGAATCCAGCATAGGTAATCCTCCAGTGTCGTCTAGTCATTAAGAAACCTTCATCAGACCCTAGCGCCCGCAACGCCTGTTAAGAAAGTCCCATCCTCTTCCCATGGATAGTGAGGAACGATGCACCACCCTGCGCAGTCGTCCTTTATTCGTAATAGCCATCATCCATCATCCCGCTGGCGTTTGTTCTTTGCTTCTATCATCCGTCCCGGTAACGATGACACCCGCCGCACTAAATCTAACCCGCACTCTCTCTTTAGTGTCTCTTCCCCTCGCCCCTTGATTCTTAAGCCCTCAGGGCCCTCAACCGCTGCTGCAGCGCATCCTCCACCTCGGGCGTCGGCTCGGCCGGCTCCTTGACCGGGTCGACTTTGCTGGTCGTCGCCTGGCTCAGCTCCTGGCCCAGCTCGAGCCCGGCGTCGTCCGCCAACTTGCCCAGCAGCTCGTGCACCGCGTCGTCGCTGACCTGTGCCACCACGGACGTGCTCTGCGTCATGGCGTCCTGGTAGATGCCGTTGCTCATGGCGTATTCCTCGTTCTGCGACCGGAACTGCTCCAGCGTCAGCAGCGTGCGCTCCGGGTTGGCGCTGCGCTGCGCCCGCTGCATCGTCTTGGACGACTGCGCCATCATTGCCGTCATCCGGTTCATCGCGTTGTTGGCTTGGATCTGGGCCAGGGACAGCTCCGCCATGTCGGCTGCTTGGTCCATTTGTGCTGCGATCGCCTGCTTGGCGAGGAGCATGCGGGCTTTCTGTGCGGCTTGTGCTGTCTCGCCCTTTTTGAGGAGCTGTCGTGGGCGAAGAGGAAGAGTTTAGTTACTAGCGGCACATAGGTTTGGGGGATAGAGGGTTTTGAATTACGTTTTGGATTTGTTTCTTCAACTCATTGTCTTGCTTTGCGGCCTTCTGGGCTTCGCGGCGGGCTTGCTTCGCGTTGAACTATCCGAGTGTTAGATTCCGCGGCCTATGGATGCTTTTGCACAGCCAGCCGCTGGGTTAAAGAGGATGATGCGTACTCGCGCCTGGAACTCGGTTTGCATGTCCCGAGCAAGTTGTCGATTCGCCATGGTGACGGTCGGTATGCGATCAAAAGCGTGATGGTAGGTTTCAACTCGAGCGATGCTGGTTAGGTCCAAGGTTGCGGTTTGAATTGCCGCTTGATGAATGAAGTGGCGCACAAGGCGGCAACCGGACCGTTCATGTCTGGGTCAGGCAGCCGATGCGGGCTCCCGTTGGCCAAACTTGCGTCGGCTGATAGTTAGCGGGGCAGGGGTAACGTTGAGATGAGCGGGGCTACTTCCTGCCGCATGACGCACGTTTTGTGGCTGGTGCGCAAGGGATTCTTTTACCGCTTCTGGGAACTCACCGTTGCGGTTGCCACATGTCTGAGGTGGGTATTTGTGGGTCAAAGGGTCGAGCCACACATTCTTGGTCCCGCTGTCCGGGCATGGATGGGCATTTTTCGAGAATTGAAGAGCATTTTTTTTGCACTGGCCATCTTCGCTTCACCGATTGACCGCAAGTCTTTTTCTTTCTCGTCCTATACACCAAGTCATCTCCTATCCCGAGGCATTCGAAAGCAGCTGCACCATGGCGACAATGCGGAAACACAACGTCACCACCTTCCCTCGTCCTCCACTTGTGGAGAGAACCAACCGTCACATCCAGATCAAGTGGCACGGCCAACTATTAGCCGACTGTCCGCCCGGCGAGGGTTACTGGGTGCTCGAAGCCCATCACGCTCCAGGTCCGTACCCTCTTTGGGGTTCTCCATCTTCTCCATCTCTCCATCTCTCCATCCACCATCCCATCCACCGGTCGTGGATCCCTGGCTAGACCCGAAAATGCTACGTCCGTTGCGTGCGACAACCCACTGACTTCCGGCGCTCCCCTTGTGCAGTGTACTTCATCCCTCCCAGCAGAGTGCGGCTGCCCCTTTCGACGACGCCCCGGTCGACCTTCTCCGAATTCCATGGCGCCGCCACGTACTACGCCATCATGAGCCCCATCTCCGCTGCCGAGATCATTCAGAACCGGATCTGGTCTTATAACGAGCCGCCCAAGGAGTACGAGGCCATCAAAGGCTACCTCGCCTTCTATGTTGGACCATGGGAGTGCTATGTCGACAATGAGAGGGCTCACCCGCCGCCGGGTGACTACTACGGAGGCTGGGTTACGAGCGATATCGAGGGTCTCGTGAAGCCGGCCCACCATCAATGGGGTACGCCCACCGCATGGGACGCTGTCTTTTGAAGGGACATAAAATGAAAGAGCAAGGGTAAAGGTAAATACTATATCTCACAAACCGCCGGCGCTATCTCAGGGGGTAGTGTTCGAGCGGCCAGCATGTTCGGTGTCTGCGGCGTTGGGGACTTAACACACGGAGGGCATTGGGCTGGTCCAAGGTCGAGTGAATAGACGGTACCGGAGAAAAGTATTTCAGCGTTATTCAAAACCTGATGATAGTTGTTCCAGATGTGGGATGTCCAGCGTTTGGTCGACTGACTTCTTCCCACACCGCCACTTGTTGTGCTTCTATCAGACTCAAAGAGGGGGGGTGCCGTCACGACCAGAAATCTGCACAGCAGCATGGAATATATCTCTAGTGCTGAATGGAGTTTGTTCCCGGCATTTTTCAGCCGCTTCCTCCGCCCACACTTTAGATTCCGTGCCGCTTGACACCGTCCCAGACTTCTGGCACCTCATCCACACAAACTAACCCACAACGGCTGCGGAGGATTCTCGTCGCTCCAGTCATTCTCCATATCCCGGATGTGACCCTCCACTGTACCACTTGGCTATGACTGCGGACAGAAGTTGGGCATTCGTCTCGCACGGGGAAATGGGAGTCAGGGATACCGGGCCGGCTGTTAGAGGCGATCTGGGATGTAACGCACTTGCGCGCAGTGTGGGGAGGCGATCGGAGAACACGACCGAAGTTCTGCTTGGCCCACAGAGCCACCCCACATAGCGATTGGGATGCTCGAGAGGCCCTCGATCCTCGAGTCATGGGATGGGTCGAGAACGGTGATCGATCGTTGAAGCGCTGCGTATGAGTCGGATGGATGTCATGACGCGGTGATGTTGGGCGGGAGACAAGGTCAGTAGAAAGGAGAAGAGAAATTGGTCGCTCATTGATGGGGAAGACAAAAGACTGCAGGTGAGGAGTCAAGGGCTGTCGAGGAGCTGCAGTGAGCCGCGCACGTGCCTGCCAAGATGCGGCGTCGTCAAAGACATGTTTCACCACCGATCGCCCCGCGGAATGGACCCAAGATGGAGTCGACGCGCACTCAAGCCTCCCTTTCATATCAATAAAAGCATCCCTCGGGTCTGCTCCATCTGGAAAGTCCAATCTAGGTCATCCCCCCAGATGGAACAGTCTTTGTTCGTAAAGTAGTCCTGTTTTCTTCCTACAGTGCACTACAGACCTGGGATCATACACTCTGAATAAGCTGACTGCCTGTACAATAACCAAGTTAACTACTAACATAGCACCCTACGAGATGCATGCAAGCAGAACACGTTGGTACTGTACAACACGTTGGCCCAAGCTGGCTGTCAGCGAGACAAACGGATCATGAGCCAATCCGAAGCCGTTCCCCCCCTCCAGCCGAGAGGCTGTCTGATGGAATCCGCCCTTTCTAAAAGACCTCCGTCGGAGTGACAGTGTCACCGGTTATAGCGCGAGCCACAGATCTCGGTTTAATGCTCCGCAAGCCTACGAAGTTACTCGGGTCCGGGGAAATTCAGCCTGATTGCACTGTTTCATGGCCTTTTCGCCTGGCAGTCTTCTATGGTCCGCCTTATATTACCTGGGCACCGTTCTGAAAAGACGGAGGTTTGCCACTGGTAAGTCCAAGAATTGGTCAATCAAACATGCCATGGTAGACGCTCGACCGGCACAGAAGGGAGATATTGTGAATACTAAATAAATCAATTACTCCCTGACGTGCGGACAATGAACAAATCCGGCTGGCCATCTCCGTCTTGAATCCTGTAACGGAGCACACATGTCTCGGTTATGTCGGGTGTCACCATCGCACCGTCGCTTCTGCAGGTCAGCCAACGCGGTGAGCCTCCGATGAATGGCGCACCCTCAAATCTCGTTCCTGGTAGGGAGTGTGCGTGGAGCGGAGGCTACACGTGTACCTATTGTAGTGCAGTGGAGAGAGGTATCGCTAAGATTAGTATAAACCGGACACGAAATCGTATCGTCAATGGACTCGAGTTTGAACGACCAATATTCGTTGGACAACTGGTGCTGTAGGTGCCACACCAACCGCCGAGGAGTGGTGGCCACAGTCACCAGAGGGGCGCAGCGTCTTGGCCGTTCAATTGCCTGCGTAAGCCGCCGCCGGCCTTCGGGGTATCGTTCGAGGACGTGAGAACTAAGGAGAATACAGGTATTTACGGAGTAAAGGTACTACTAGTACGTAAGCGAATGGCTCAGAACACCCTCCGTAACGCACTCGACGCTCAACGTTACGACTTGACGGGAACTGTGAAGGTGCGTTTACTTGCCATCCCTCCATCCCTAAGTCTGCCGCTTATGGAGATTGCCCCGTTCCGGTCTCCGTCTTTGTGCTTTCCCCCTTTGGAACTCGGATGTCGCAGCCTTCGGAGGACAATCTGGGCCAATCAAATGACCGTGGGTCCGAGTCTTGCAGCGTGTTGCCTCAGGCACCCACCCCCTTTCGCATACGTGGCCAAAAGGATAAAGCAGCCTGGTTGCCCGCCATCTGAGCGCAAGAAGCCAGTCTGTCCTTTTCGTCAACACAGCCAACCAGCTGCAACTGCGGGTCTAGTCTGGTCTCGCGAGTCATTGATGGATCTGTCATACGCAATGCGCTCTTCCTAGCAATTATTCCCTGACATATTAGTATTGAGGAACTGGGAAGGCGCCTCATTACTGCAGTCAATCTGTTCTGCAACTCTCGCCAACCTTCTTGATCAGGTCTACACAATCTGTCAAGGAACGCCAGAAAGTCCCTCCTACGTTAGTGCGAGTACAAAGCCCGAAATGGATTCATGGGCCACCAGCACAGCGTCGCCAGCCATCAAGTTCGAGGATTCGCCCACTGAGTCTCTGCTCTCAACGCCCGACGAGATGTATCCCTCACTCTTCAGCACCAGCCCCGCGCCAGGCGCCACGGTTAACCCCCTCGATATGTTGACGCCCAAGTCGTCAATTGAGGAGAATGCGGTTGAACCCAACCTGGCCATGCTCGCTGGACTGACAGCGCTCACACAAACGACCCTGAGGCAGCCCTCGGCTTCTACCACTCCTACACCGGAACCCGAGAAGAAGCCGGTGAAGAAGAGGAAATCATGGGGCCAGGTACTTCCAGAGCCAAAGACAAATCTCCCTCCAAGGTATGACGCACACTGCAACTGATATTGTATCGCACCCGCCTTCTAACTATAATCAGGAAACGCGCCAAGACCGAAGATGAGAAAGAACAACGGCGTGTTGAGCGTGTTCTCCGCAATCGCCGCGCAGCTCAGTCATCACGCGAGCGCAAGCGCTTGGAGGTTGAGGGCCTGGAACGGAGAAACAAGGAGCTCGAGGCGGCACTTCTCCAGGCACAGCAGATCAACCTCGCGCTACTGGAGGAGGTTCAAAAGTTCCGGCAGGGCTCAGGTGGCGTATCCAGCACTTCGCCATCATTCGGTGCCCTCCGCCAAAACCCTGTCACGTTCTCGCAGCAGCTCTTTGGCTCGCAAGACGGGCATGGCGCACCAGTCGGTGGCTCCAGCCCGTTGGAACAGCTCCTGCAGTCGCTCCCATCCGCGACCAACAAAACCGTTAACCCCGCGTCTCTCTCTCCTGCCCTGAGCCCCATTCCCGAGGCAGCGGAAGAGCAGAACCAACCCGCGACAGTTCCAGCTCCTGTTGCTCAAGACGTACCGTCCACCCCCGCGGCCAATGCTTCCCCCGATGCGACACAACATCCTGCAGCGATGTTGTGCCAAGACCTGCAGTGTCGATCGGCGGAAGCACCACGCTCGGGGTGGATGGCGATGTCTCGACAACAGCTGCACCCAGCACTGTCGCTGCTCCTCCCGCTCCAGTTCCTACTGGCTTCGACCTCGGCGATGGTTTCGCTATGCCAGAGGCCCTTGATGCAGATCGCTATGTCCTTGAAAGCGGGCTTCTCTCTTCACCCAACTCAACCGATTATGAATACGATCATCTGGCTGGTGACGACGCCACATCGTTCCCGCTCCCATCCTCAACCTACGAATTCGACTTCAACGACTTCATCGCCGACAGCGAGCTCAATCTCGCGCCCAGCAACGACAAGCAACCGCAGCAGCTCCACAGCCGCTCCGTCGCAGACTCGTCCCTCCTCCACTCTGAGACTCCGAACCCTTCGGAAGATCCTTACCTGCAGCCCCACTCTGGCGCGTCCCTTGATGGATGCGACGATGGAGGCATTGCGGTTGGTGTCCTCTGAGGGATACGCGGTCGACCGGGTTTGTGGAGACGGCGCTTCGGCGGCGGCAGCACTTGGGGAGCCGCAGCAGCAGTTGTCCCGTCGCGGGCCGATTGGATGGCTCAACGGAGCGGCGCTCCCGTCGAAGGAGGTCCTACTCACCCTACTGTGGGCCCTCAGAGTTGAAGAGCGGAGACTCCAAATCCGCGAGCAGGTCAAGTCCTCATCGTCATCCATACCCGGAACGTCAGGTATCCCCGAGACAACGGGCCCAACAATGAGCAAGACAAGATATGTTTTGAAGATATCGCAAAAGAGAAATCGGGAAGAAGAGAGCCGTGGAACTCCCGTCAAAAGGCGGCGCTTTTAGTGAACCATCTGTATGAATCAACCTGGGTGGGCATAGCATGGCGCAAATGGACACAAATGGAGTTGGTTAATGTTGATTTCTCGGCTGGGTTTTCACATCGCCAGGCTTTGTACTGTTGTAGGACTATTAGCTTATACCTGGACAAGAGACAACCGAGCCTGCCTTGTATCTCTGACTCGTAACTTCGAGATCATCGTGACTTTGTCCGCCTCCTGGCCTCTTCTCGTCATCGGAGTTGGCATTGCATGATCACAAGTGTTGTTGCTTCTCACAACCTTCTGCGTACCTGGTTTTACGAAGGCTACATTCGACGTCCCTAAATACACATGTTCAAAGTGAAACCTGGGACAAGGACTCGGTTCGCTGCTGTACGCGTTCCGGCCTCCCCCCGAGTGCCCCTTGCAATGCCCCTTGCTCTCTGAGCCGAGTTTAGGAGCTTCAATGGCGGTTAGGTAAAGGGTTATATAGACTATGCTAGCTTGGGACACACCGGGCACTCTACACAGTCTTTAAATCACCGGCCAGCGGGATATCGATGTCTTGCTATGGCGTCGAGTTACACTCCTTCTGCATTTCGGTGGACTGATGTTGTTCTTTCCCGTGAAGTTGAACTATATGCTAGTACTCAGTGCTGATAAGAAGCTGAATTGTGCCCAAATCCATTACAGATTACACTTATCATGTATGTATATATAACCCGCCGAACAACAACACTGTTCTCTCGTTATACGGCCACATGGCGCCATAATCCGATAGTCAAAATGCTGATAATGTCCTGTCAACCTTGCCCATCCAAGGAGATGGCCGCTGACTATACCTGTCTCCATACAACACCAGGGAGTCTAAGTAACTAACTCGGACTCCGTCACAACAAGACGGATCGCCGGCGCCTCCTCCAACAAGGCCGTAGCCCTTTTTGTCTCCCCGACTTCTTCTTCCTCCTCCTCCGCCTCGGACCGATCATCCTTCGCAACACCCAGCACCACAAAGCGGTACGCACTGCGGAACAGGCAGTACAGCCAGAACAGGTTCAGGACCTGCAGCGCGGCCAGAAGCGCGAACGTCACGGCCTGAGAGATGCCACACTTGTACTGCTCGGTCGCCCATTCGAGCTCGAAGGGCCCCACGGTGCGAAACTCGGTCGCGACGGAGGCCAGGATGTGCAGGTTCAGGTAGTGCCGCAGGTAGACCCACATGATGATGCAGAGCGCGAAGGCGGGGGCTTGGAGAGGGGAGGTGAGGTAGTTTAGCGATTTCGAGACCTGTTTGTCGTATATGTTATGGTTAGTGAATGCCGTGGATGGGGCGGGTGCAAAGGGGGGTGGGACATACAGCCAGGAAGAGATCACTGATATCGTGCGTTATATACACCGCAATGCCGACATACGTGAAATGAAACCGGTAGCTCAACCCAATCAGCGCGATGGTGATGATGTGGTGCGCCACCAGCTCGCGGAAGTCCTTGCGGCGCCGTTCCAGGCCGAGCAGCATGACGACCGCTTGCTGGACCCAAAACGCGGCCTGGAACAGGTAGTAAAACTTGAAGACTGCCTGGTGCGTCCGGTGCGGATACGCCTCGTACATGGCCCGCGTCTCGAAATACCACAGCCCCGGCGTCCGCTTCATCGTGTACAGCCCCAGCGGACCGACAAAGGCGATGTAGCACGCCGTGTACATCTGCTCCATGAACCGCTGCTGCTTGGCCCGTGAGCGGATGCCGCCTGGATGGGCCAGCGGTCGCAGGACCTCGTGCATGATGAACTCGCGGGTGAAGGAGAGCACGATGGTGTAGAAGCTGACGAAGGCCAGGTCCCAGGGCCCTTTGCCGTACTGGTCATCTTGGTGGTCCAGCTTGTAAGAAAGGAAGAGGAAATGGTAAACGGGGTTCGATTCGGTCGGGTTGATGGCGTAGAGCGAGAGGAAGCCGAGGATGAGAGCCAAAGGCAGGGCCCATGTTCGCCGGAAAAGGAAACGGAGCGATCGCCCTGATCTTTTCGTATGTCGGCTTGGAACCTTGCCCTGCTTGACCGGTCGGCTGCTTTGCGCAAGCCCGCTAGACAGTGAGAATCGTCGGCGGGAGAGGGAGTTTGACTTGGCCCGCCGACGCGGAGAGCTGCCATCATCTGCAGTTACCTGCAGAGCGTTGGCCGAGGTGCTCAGAAGAGACCACGATGTTGAGGCAGCAGCCATTGTTTTGCCAGTGCTATTAGAACCATGATGAGGGAAAAGATAAGTGACGGGAGTGGAAGTAGAAGATGGTCTGCTTGAACTTGAAGTTGAATCCTTCGGCACCCCGCGGGCGCCCGAGGCCGCGGTGGTGCCGGACCTGCCGGGATTCGTTGCCTGCGCATAAAGTTGATTTTACCGCTCTTACCCAAATCTAACATTTAGGTTTGCGGAGTAACATCTGGTACTGAAGTGTTCAGTCATCATAAGGCCACCCCGCATAACAAGTGTCACTCGTTGCCCATAGGAAGGTAGGTGGGCGTGGATGCGGTGAGGTCATGGTGGGTGGCTACACAAGGCATGTTTTCCACTCGAGGTGTTCCTCGGTGCTAATCACATTGGATGACCAGCATCGAGAAGGCTCAACCTCAATGCTTCGTTGTCCCCGAGCGTGACTCCATGATTCGGTAGTGGTAGGTTCATTCATTTTGATGATCCTTGGTGCCATTCTGAGATCCGCAGGCACATGGACTTCCAGTACTGGTAAGTGCTGACCATGCTCACAAACGAAGTCATTCGTATCCTTCGCTTTGTCATGGCGAGTTTGCGGTGAGCTGTGAGCTCCTTGGCCAGCTAGTCGGGATGCCATCTTCGCTTCATATAGTCGGCTACATATCAAAGAAATTACGGTTACACGACTCCGTATCCTTCACATAGCAAGCCACGCTGGCGATGTTGAACATGGCTTCTTCTGCATCATGTCCGCCTGGCCTCTGTTGGAAGCTGGGACTTGTGTCATTAACAAGTATAAATGCCCCCTTCCTGATCCTTATCCGCGGCCTCCTCCTCAGATCCAAAATTTCCAGCAACGTTCGCAGAACAAGAAGCAACAGCTCGAGCACTCAAAAAAAGACCTTCAAACGCATTCACAACTTCAGCATCCTCGCCTTCCCCAGCCACATCACAGTAAGGTACTATACCTCCGGTCATGGCAGGCGGTCTCGGCTCCGCAGACTCGGCACCTTCGCCCGATCCCACTCCTGCTGCGCCTCCCCCAAGCCCGACGTAATCCGTGGAATGTGCCCCCCACTCCCCTCCTTTCCCCTTGTTGAGCACAGATTGATGATGGCTAACCACGTAGTCAGTGACTTCTCTACCAGTTTAACTCCCTACACACACCCGAGCCCAGGAGTCCAGGGTCCACCCCAGAGCAAAACATGTCCCTTGCACAGTGCGCCCACATAGACGTCGAGGGGTGCAATTGCAAGAACTACTACGCACCCAAAGGGAAAAGGTACTGCGAGTTTTGCGAGAAGAACTACTGCGGCTACTATAATGACTAAGGGTGATGAGAGAGGGGAGGCCGGTTGTCAATGAGGACAGGGGAGAAGGGGGCAGGGTGGATTTATTAAGGCCGCAGGGCTGCCCATCTAACACGCTCTGGCTAGCTGTCGTTGCGTTCGGTCTTGCTTGGGGAGTGGTACACAATAGCCTTCTTTTTTTTTTTTTTTTTTTTTTTTTTTTTTTTTTTTTTTTTTTTTTTTTTTTTTTTTGAGGGTGAGAAGCGGAAGGGATATCGGTGTCGTGTCAACGGGTCCTGGTGATCACCTTCTAAGCTTCTTCTACTATTCTCTTGCCGAACACAGCAATCACGATGCTAACCTTGACTTCATCTACCAGTCACAAGATTCTACACACTTGGGACCCAGACGCCTACATAGATCGAAATGGCTGGCTTCAACTCCGCCCCCATGAAGGATGAGACCGAGAGGGCTCGTCCCCTGTGCGCCCACTGTACCGTTGACGGGTGCTGGTGCACTACTACGGTATCTCACGGGACGAGGCTCTGCGGTCCGTGCGACAGGAACGAGGCGGTAAAAAGGAGTGAGGGTGAGATTTGGGGGCTGGCCCAAATGGGAAGGGGCAGGGTGGAATAGGGTCGCAGAGCGGCCCATTTACAGCGCTGGTTAGCTGTCGTTGCTTTGCTTTGGTTTGGTAAGGGGGAGTACGCGATAGAGGGGGGGGGATATTGGCGTTGTGCTTAGCTGGTCTTGGTCTTCGTCGTCAATCCGATTGCGTTGATTTTCGTAACGGGTGATTGCTCTGGTGCTTTGATAATGACGGTGATATATCGAGTACTACATACGATACGTAGTCCTGCTACGGTTGAAAGAGAGAGCTGGGAGGTAGATCAGGCAGGATAGATTCAAAAAGACGCAATGGTTTTGCTTGGAGAAGTCTAAAGGCGATGAGCAACATTGAGGCATGCATATGTGTTGAACTTACTTCGTAGCATTCCGCCAATCCTATTAACTCCTAACCTCCCTCAACCTCGTCTCAGTCGTTTAGATCATAATCAACTACATATTTAAACCTGACGCAGCCGCCGTCATTCCATCGTGGGGAGTCAATACCAGGGTTAGAACTGGCACTTCCCTTTCCCTTCCCTGACCGCCCTCCTCGCTCTGGCTAATATCCTCGCCCTCTGCCGACAGGAATCTACCACCAATAGCCGCTATCCTTGCGTCCCATGTGGTTCATGTCTCGGGCCCCTGACTTTGAGGCATGTGCCAACTTGGCTGAAAAGGTTGATCAGTGATGCCTGGACCTCATCGAGTTCCGCACGCCCTGGCCTTTCCAGCTCGAGCTCGACTGGGATGCGTATACCGCGGTGGGCGTTCTCTCAGCGACGTCATCAGATGTCTCATCACGTGTGACGCTGACGCTCGCACTAGCCAGCTGCCTTTCCAGCTTCTTCACCACCTTCGCAGCTCTGCTGGTCGCCTTGACGCTGCTGACAATGAGATCTGCGAGGTTTTGTTTCGTTAGCACGTACAACCTTTGGTCGGAGTTGATCGAGAATGGGGTGCCATACAAGCCGGGATGACGATCCAGAAGGCGTTCAAGAACACATAGTAGCCGTAAAAGTAATACGGCTCCGGCCTCGAGTATGCCATGCCAAACACGACGTGGTCGAAGGTGCTGGTGCCGTAGTAGAGCACGTCGCCGTACAGCTGGCCCAGCGACACAATGATCTGCAGCGGATGGCGCAGGGGGTGCTCCGTCGCGATCATGTACGCCACGACGAGGGATAGCGGACCCCAGAAGACCTAGTAATTTAACTGGATCAGCCAAATCTGCCATGAATTCAAACACAGTACATAGTGGTACTCACCGCCGTCACAGTCTCCATACAGACCACAAACGAGTCATTCGTCAGATACCGCGAGTCCGACAGCGCGTACTCCTTCCACAACTGGCCCAGCACGGTCGAGTGCGCCGCCAAATCGCGGAAGTTGGCCGCGTAGTAGCCCTCCAACACCAGATGGATGCAGCCGCAGAGGACGAACCAGAACACCGTCAGGCCCTCCCCCGTCGGCAGGCTCGGCAACCCCGCCCGCCTGCGAACGCGCGGGATCGCGAGGTGGGTGAGGCCGAAGACGGCCGCGCAGGCCGTGCTGAAGATGGCCAGGATGGCCGTCACGCTGAAGTGGTTCGCGACATAGCCCGCGATCTCGACGCCCAGCGGGTAGTAGGGGTGCGTGCGCGCGGGGGACGCGCTTTTTGACGTGTCGAAGGGCCACATCGTGGGTTTAATTTGTTGGTAAATGCTTGGACCCGAAACGCTTCGAATTTCGAGTTCGCCTGCAAGCAGTACTGGTAAGTGAAAAGAAGCTGAGATCGAGTGAGCGGCAAGTTGGGCGAATTGCCTGTCCTTAAGGAGTGTTTGTGATGTTGAGATGGGGTGATGAAGCGGTGAAAGTGAGCGTCGCGACTTTGTTCCGGTTCTTATTAAGGGGCAAGCAAAATCTTGGGATATGCACGGCTACAATTGCTGACTCAGCAGACCCGACTGGTCGCTCGCCCGATGTTTTGCCGGACGCGATCCCGTTCCCGTTCCCGGATCGTCGCCGTCTCCGTAACGACTTCAAACGGCGCCGGCGACGGAGGCCGGGTTTCATCAGCTGGTCTTCGCTCCGGAAGGTTCCCACTTCCCACTTAGCTATCGGATCAGACCGAATGGCTTTTCTCTCCTAGAATGGTATAATACTGCCTCTGTCTGTTGCCTGTAATTCAAGTGGAAAAGGGTCTGGCTAGGCAAGACATGTAGCATGCAGTGTCTTTCAGTTGCCTTTCTTTGCCGCCTTGCTAGGCAAGGCTATACGGAGGGCTTGACATGGAAGCATGCTTCCGGTCCAGTCAGCGCTAGGTGTATGCGCCAGCAGTGACTCACTGAGCTGATGGTTGCCCAAACTTCGCCGGCTTGCTCAAACCGGTGAGGACTCGTACGGGTGGAGTGACGTGTTACACCCTCTATGCAGCTCTTTAACGTTGCCCTGCTCCCAGCCTCACCTCGACACTTTCCACTGTCGGTTATGTTACCTTTCTTTTGTCGGTTGAAGTAGCCGCCAAGCGGGACAAGGAGTGCCCGATTAGCATTGTATAGGAATGACTCCAGACTGTCTATAATTTATGAACTTACAAGGCTCTGTCTACCTCCATAACCTAGGAGGTCACTCGTCCGTCGTGATAGTCGATAGGAAAAGCAAGATCACATCAAGCCACCCTGACAGCGATATAGTATACAGAATATGCTTTAGCTTATGAATCCTGACTCGTAGATTGCAAGCATACCATAGAAAGTTTGGTTCCGTCCACACTTCCTGCTCTCCAAGACTTTATCAATAGCCGTAAGCATATCGCGCATGTCATATACAAGCGATATAACTGGACGCGGAGGCCCCAGGAAATTAACCAGCAAAGTTCAAGTAACCCTTTTATAGTCAGACAAAGGTACACATTCGTTTCCTGCAATAAGGCTCTATAAACTAGCCAATAATCTTGACATATAGCTTATAGGTATAGATACCTGTTAGTTAGCATAATATAGTATAGTTTAGCTCCGCTATGAGATGAACTTGAAATGGCTGTTCTATATCAGAACACAACCTGCAGGAGGGCCGCCAATACCGAATCGGAAATCCGGCAAGAAGGACGAAGCTCTATCGATTCAGTTATATCTATAAGAGATATACCTACCCGGGTTTAGGCTTTAAGACTTAGAATGCTATCAACTGCTCTAGTTCACAATCTTCTAGTTTACAATAGCTAACGTGCATTATAAGCGAGCCGAACATATAAGCGAGTTGAACACTCTCCACTACACTACCAACAATATCCTCAATTACAAAACAACAACACTAGGAACTGACAATAATTACATCAGAAACAGCTGAATCTGAGGCTTCCGCAACCTCCTGGCAAGTGCGTGCATTATGGCCAGGCTTGCTGCACACACCACAGCACCGAACCTTCGTACGAGCCCCCCCTCCACCGCCACCATCCGGCTGTATTTCTTGTGCCACCTCCCTAACCATAGCCTTTTGGTCCAGTAGATCTTTTGCATCTTCCATTGCAAGTGATCCTCCAAGCTGTATACGCGTTCTTTTAGCTCTTCGGCGCTTGCTTAGTGCTTGTTTGTCTTACAGAGCGAAGATACCTCTGCCTGAAGGAGAGCCACCTGGTGCATTATAGCTATCGTACCCTTGGTAAGCTGGTCTACATCAGCCAACATTGAAGTCGGGGAGCTATTTCGATGGTTGGCAATGCGAGTCTTAATAAGCGTTGACTATGACTCGGCTTCTCGAGGATTATATGGTATCTAGAAGACCTAAGATTATATAGTTCCCGGCCATGAGGTTAGGGGTGTTAGTATACGAAGCTTGATATCTAGCTTCGAAAGTACTGTGACGAAACCACAGGCAGTCCTGCCTCTGAAAGGGTTCGCCGGTCGAAGGTATCTGCTGGTCGGACTGTAGGTCTCGGTAAAGCCAAAAGGTTTACAAAAATGCAAATCACAATGTCTGCACAGTAGGTAAAGACTACTGCTTGAATTGCTCACTGGAGAACTCCCGGAGTCCTCCAGAACGAATGACTAGCTAACTTATATACTACGGGCTTCCCATGGATCACTGCTTGCCTCTGGTGATCCCTTATACTGGATCACCTTGGATCACTAGTGATCCCTGGTGAGCCTTATAGCTGGATCACCGAGCCTTCCCTATGCCAAGCGTGATCCCTTTTTGATTGGTCTGTTCCTAAACCGGAATGATTGGATGCGGGCGCCGCCCGCGGACCATGCAGGTTGGCCCCACCGGCCTCTGCAGGTTGATTCATGACAGTATTATAAAGCCATCATGAGACGTCAATGGAAATATCGACGCGGAGACGAAACGGCGGTGCGCGGCTATATATGAAACCTACCGCAATAAGGAAAATTTGGACCGTTCTCAGTCCGCCAAGATAATATAGTATAGGCGTGGAAATAGCTACGATGCTAGGACCCCGGTCGAGTTCATGGGCCTTTTCGACACCGTGGGCAGTCTTAGAATTCCCGGTTTTGGAGCCTGAGAGGGTATTGCCTGGCTAGAAACCTTCTATAACAAGAAGGTCTCCAGCATTGTCAACAACATATATCACGCTATATCTATTCATGACAGGCTTTGTGCATTTGCACACACTCCAGCGCATCGAGATCCCAGGCATGGAACTAGATTTCCAACTTATGAGAAATGGCTTCCGGGAGCGCATTACGACCTAGCACGGCAAAAGTTCAGGTTCTTTCGATACGACAACCTACGTTCTCGGGTTCTCAACTATTTTGCCGGAACGGTCGAGCCCAACGACGTGCTTTCTGACTTGGCACTGAGGTGGATGTTAGAAAGCATTCGGGATAAAGACCCGGGGCGGATGGTGATCCGAGATATCGACCAACACATTTACGATGTCAACGACAGACTTCGTCAGCAAGGCCAGAATGTTGGCAGTGGCGACGTATACGAGGACTTGTTCAGATATCTTCCTTTCGGCAACTTTTATAACCTTAGCATCAAAGATGCTAGGCATTTTTCGGCGCTCTTCTCCACGAGAATTAGGAAATGCTATGACAAGCTCTCTTGGAATTGCATCACTTTGGTGTCGGGATATGCTTATTCCTCACGGTGCAGATGCCTACAACTATCGGGCTGCAGATCCTGCTCTGGGTGATTTGACGATCGAAAACCAGGCATGTTTGAGCGATGATCGGTATCCGTCGAGGTCATACGACAAGTTTCGAGACTCTCAGTGAGATTCGGGGATGGTCAGGCGTCGAAAAGGATCTTGGTAGCTTTATCAAGGTACGGCGCACAGCGGTGGTTAGAAGATGTGCACCCCCGAACAACACATCTCTGTTCGAGGGCGGCGTCTGAAGGTCCACGCCGAGCTACCGGACCAGTACCCATAAAGTCACCCAAGTAGCTCTGACTTTGTAAGGCCAACCAGATGGACCACGATAACAACAACTACTGAAAAGTAGGGGCAGAGGCTATAAGCTGCATACTCTGGAAGGACCGGTACATACCTTCAAGGGGAGGACGACTGGGATTCAAGGCTTACTGTACATAAGGACAGGAGTCCCCCTGGGACTCAGCCTCCTCCTCAAGCAAGCAATACAACCGGTGTGATCCCTATATTTCATCAACAACGAAGACCCGACACCTCCTGATCTAGGAGCCATTTGTCCTTTTTTTGCCTGAGGGTCACCTGTGTGACCCCCTAAGTTCAACAGGCCGCAGCTCCCGGCATCAGTCCAGCCTTTCGTTATTCCCCCAACGGTTCCATTACCGGCGTACTGGTAGCTAGGTCGGCCAGTGGTGCCTCCCAGACGAGCAACAAGGCCAAGGCTTACGTGAGATCTGACAAGAAGAGTAGGGGGTATGGGCTCCCTTGGCGTTTCGTTCCTCTACACATGTGGACGTGGGTTGGAAACATGGGCAGGGCGCCGTGAAAAATGCATAGAGCTAGGTTTCAGGGCCCTAACTAGAGGGCTACGCTCGAACGGGAACGGCTGAGGCTTTGCATGGACATAACCACACCCTGGAGTCAGTTGAGTGTTGAACTTAGGGGCGTCACACAAGTTGTATTGCTTGCTTAAGGAGTCTGAGACTTTGGGGGATCTTGGTTCCTTGTGGTGTACATCGAGAGCCTGTATTCCAGTCTTCTGCCCCTGTTCCTGCTGTACCGGTACTTCCAGTATCATACCTAGCTTGTGGTCTCTGCCCCTGATGTTCAGCATTGAGGACTGTATCGATTTTGACTCGGACGACAGTCTGGCCAGAGTTCTAGGGGTGCTTAAGCCTTCCAGTCAAACCGTGGATGGAAGGGGCAAAGGCCGACGACGAGCGGGTGAGTACGCGTGGTGCACGCTGTATCACGAGGACGAGAACTCAAGGAAGCTGGAAGCAGAGATTCGATATCAGCGCCGCATAGTATTTTGCCGGAAATTTTGCTAGATCATACATCCCTCGTAAAACCGGCACCGCGGCAAGAGGACAGCACGCACTCTGAAGTTCGGCAAGGAGCATTCGAAGATGGAGGGGAGGTACTAGTGTTCAGTCGGAGTGAATATTTAGCCACCCCGTCTCTCCCATCCAGCCAGACTCTAATTGCATGTCAGGCAGCATGATACTTAACTAGATCCATTCTGTCCTGACAATCAAAAGCGATGGGATGGGTGCTTGGCTGTGCTTCCGGGGTTATGCTGGCACAAAGAGGAGGGATCAACAACAATAGCCTGGAAGGAGTCAAGCAATTGGTACCCTGGTTGCCAGGGCGTCTCGAAACCAGCGTGTAGAGAACAGAGTGCCTGTCCACGAAGGCAAAACCATCCGCAATTACAGCAAGCGTGACAGCCGTGACCAAGGCAACAATTCCTGCAAGGAGCATGACGTCAAAGTGAACTCCCTCTAAGCTGGTCGCTAAAAGTGAAAGGCGCGAGGGGACCGGAAGATCGTACGAAGAAGCAGGATAGCAAGAATCGATGACAGGGTAAAAGGGAATACAAACGAAAGAAACATCCCGGAAGGAAAGAAAGGGATGGAGAAGAAAAGAGAAGGGAGTACAAGGCGAGCAGATTCCGGGAAGAAAGGATGGAACAGAGGGAATCCAGAAGGCCAATAAGCGATAGACCGACGGCGTCCCATCGAGAGATGGGCGGTGCTAAAACAGGCGTGGCAAGGCGAACATCGGCCAAAGGGATGCTATTGCTCTGGAAAATGCCTTTCTCTTACAGCGCGTGGCATCGGTTACATGCCAGGTCTTGCTGTTAACCTTACTCATGCTGTTTACCGATAAATTCATTATTCAAGATCGATTAAACGATAGGTAGCGTCCGGGCTGTGGCCAAATAAAGAGAGTGGTTATGGAGTTGGCATCCAATGCAGTACTTCGAAGTGAAACACCAAACAAGGGCGGGTGACCGCGCAAGACCGAGACTCCTTGTACTAGACTGCAGCTTGGCAGCTGGTTCTTGTGGCTTCATGGTTGGCTGTCCACCAACTAGCACTAATGCTGTCCTGACGTTGCCCAAACGCGTGCCTCCCCCTTTCTCCGTTGCAACCCAAATGCATCTTAATCAAGAACTGGACACGAGGGTAAACACCAACATGGCAAGAGGTGTCAGTACCTAACAAGCCATTGGCTAGAGCGCCCCTACTGCTAAGTGCAAATAGAACTGGAACCTTCTCGTCTGGTGCATCTGACCACGACACCAGCAAAACTGTCCCCGTCAAGAGCAAAAATGGCGCTCCCGTAAGAGCAGGGGCTACCGTTGCTGTTTGGAGGGTACGTATTCATTGCCCGGCTTACCAGAGAGCATTCTTGGTCCGTAGACGTGACTCGATGCACGCAACAATTCACACGACCCTTCCCCATGTTTCTATTCGAGCGCTCAAGTCTGTCCTGCCAGGACACGATCGTCATCGATCGTGCTTTCCTGGAGTGTTAGTTAAGTAGTCCGTTTTCCCTGCTTGACTCACGGAGGCTAAGTAGTCAGGACGAGTCCGCCTATCAGTCTCCTCCCGAAGCTACCCTCCCTCCAACTACAGCCACACCAAGCAAGGAAAACGGGCTAATTAACCCTCCAGGTGAGCGGATTACTTCCCATGTATCTGGCAATGGAACAGGAAACGTGCCACGACTCAAGTGGCCACCTCTTATTAGTCCCCTGCCAATGCTGCCCCCGTCTAGTCATAGCCACACCAAGCAAAGGAAAACGGGTTGATTAACCGTCCAGACGGATGGATAGCTGCCTGCCGTATACATCCTGACAACGTAGCAGACAGCTTGGGGCATCGCCCGATAATACCCCAGGAGCCCAACCCACACCGAGCACCTCTATGGGAATTTGCCCGTTTCTTTTCTCGTTCCTGCCTCCCCGACGTGACCAGCTCCTGCCTTTCACATCTTCTGCCGTGTCAAGCCACCCCAACCATTCTCTTCTCTCCCAACTCTCATGGAAACTCTGCAGATTGCACAACCTTCCACCCACTTTGTCGTACATCAGTCATTGTCTCTAGCATCTCTAGAAGACTTGCCCTGCTATGCACTCCTCAATCACACCAAGTTTATATTCTTTCGTCAATGAAGAATGTTAAACAACCTTCTCGTCCCCCCGACGCCCATCTCCAATCTCCAAGACAATGGGCTTTTCCAAAACCAACCCCGCTCCCACAACCAACACAGCACAGGTGCCTCAAGTCGCGCGGCCGTTTTAGAGTTCAGATCTAGCCATTATTAAGTGGCGGCCTTTCATCTAAATCAGCCGGTGTCTCCTTTTGTGTAAGTCACTTCCTTTGTCTCCGAGCCAGCACGGCCTAATCTGATCTCAATTATCGCTGTCCAGTCGATATTCGCTTCACATCGTTGCGAGATTGATGACTCACAGGTATGAACCCAAAGCCGTTGTAGATACACGACGCTGGTACAATTAGTACAGTATTAGTACTCACATAGTTTGACAGCCACCACCCACCGATTAGGATTCAGATCCATGTCTCAATCTGCCTCAAATTTGCACTGGCGAGCCATTGAACAGCAGGCTCCTCGCAGCTGTCGTTCTCCAATGTCAACGACCACCAATACCTCTCCACGACCTCGGACAAAGTGCTGCTACAGATCCAACTTCAGTCCATGAGTCCATGACTGCCATCTCGACTACCACCTGCTGCGAGGTGTGTCCCCCGACTCCCAGCCCCGCGGCTATTACTGCGCTCGGACCACGTCCTCACCATGGGAACCCAGTAAGATCGTTCCAAACCGACTTTCACTTTTTCTCGTTTTATTATTCGTCAAACTCTGCTTTGTCTTTCACATCTTTTCTCCCCCGACAAGTCCCTGACAGGACGAGTCACTTCACTTCTCTCATCAAAGTGAGCGGGTGGTACTATCAAGTTCACTTCTCAGTTTCATTTCATCCGCTGCATAATGCCGTGATAGAGACGGGCGTCCGGTTCGTGTTCACGTTCCTGGCAAACATGAAGACCAAAGCCACCACTATCAACCAACTTACACCCGGTGGTATGGCCACTATCCCCATTAACGACCGCCTCCGGGAGGATGAGGAGGAGGAGGAGGGCGGATAATACATGTGTTGCTTACCTGTACACTGGAGTTTGTTTGATAAGGTAATGCCCGACGCCATTCATCAGGCATCGAGTTGGAAACTGGAACATCGCTAACACGGCCTCTGCTAGGAAGCTCGCCAATGAGGCATTTGTGCTGCTGCTCATCTCATCATTGAGCCGTTTCTTGCTACCTAACATGCCGCAGGGGCTCATGGTGTGTGCTCATACTCACTGAAGGTTCAGTCATGGGGAAGCTAACGGAGCTGAACAGATACCATGGTTCCCAACATCAAGCCTGGAGCCAAGGTCTTCCTCGACGGTACCTTAGGTCAGGTGGCATGGGCACCTTTGGCATACAGATCTCCAACTGTCACGTCACGGTGGAATGCTCTCACGGCTTGGTGGCGCACCTGCGATCGCAGCTGTACCGTCGGACTTACGTCCGGGACACCGAGTCTTTCAATGCGATCCGGGGTTCCTGACACGCTGTCGTTTCAAGAGATATGCGATTGATCAAGTCATGAAACCCTGGTGGTCCGACAGAAACTCCATTTGACTGGAGACCAAATCTAGGAATGTCTTGATGGTTCCTCCGCGACAAGTTCCAATTCGGCGTCTTCCAGGAGGCCATCCCCTGAAGCCGAGATGGAGCCTAGCGAGCGTCTGGCCAGGCAGCCGCCGCCAAGAATACGGAGGACGAAGCCAGAGGAGCACTTCACTCCGCAGGATCTTCATCCACTTTTCCGCTATCTGGCATATTACAGCACTATCAATGGCATTGAGGGGGGATACAAGGCCGGTTAGGCCATCGCGTTCAAGCAGGCCTACAAGGGCAACGTGAAGACGAGCCAACAGTGAGGACCTGACTTCTACTCGCTTTTAGCTCCTGTGGTACCTTTCCCTAAAGCGCAGATTCTTCGCCTTTGTGTTAAGAAGGATCATGGGCCTCTCTCCACCAAAAATCGCATCGACGAGGTTCACATCATCGGTCTGGCGCATGTGGACCATCTTATCAGCAACGTCAACACGGCCGCAGCTTGAACTCTGGAATCAGTCGTTCTGCTTCCCTGCCCTGGAGGGCACCGACGCTCTCGATCATGCGCCTCCAGGATCTGCACTATCCCCCATCCTTCGCACCCGGTTCAGTCCCCGACGCATTAGCTCGATTCCTCTGCTACGAGGCCTCGCCTTGCACGCCACTGAAAAGGCATGGCCGAGCAGCAGATGGACAGCAAAGCCTGAAGCAAGGGGCTAAAGGAGGTGAAGACGATATCCAAGTCTCAACTCTCCACTGAGGCATCCTCACATCGTGGCGTACGTAGCATCGTTCGAGGCCTAGTGCTTCCATAAGACCCACCGGGCATACGTGCCCGAGGACATCCGCCGGATGGGGCCGCGGCGATCCTCGTCCGGTTCGAGGGCGCCAGCTGGGGCGAGTGCAACACCAAAGCCCTCGCCGTGAACAACGCCGCCGCCGTTCCCGCTGCTGCTGTCGCATGCCGCGGAAGCCTAAGGACAGCGGCAATATCACCATGGGGCCTACGACATGACCGGCAGCACTGGTATGTACTACAACCCTTTTGGTCAATGAAAGGCAACGTACCGCCACTCCGGCTTGACAGTAACTAACGCTCTTCTCAGGGACGCGGAATTCGCCCGCGAGTGTTCCGAAGTTGACAACATGCCCGAGAGGGAGCCCCCGGGATCCAAGACATTCTCGCCAAGCCGCTCGTCCGCGAGCTGACCGCTCCCAAACACGACAGTACTAGAGCGAGCTGAAGGCCACCGATGCACTCCAGTCCATGGGAACATACACAGTCCCTCCCTCTCACAAAACCCAGACGGACAGATTCAAGTCACAGCGGTCGGTTCAGGTAGTGAGTTCATCTGTATAAGTTCGGAGTGGACAAGGCCCTGCCTGCATCAACTCATTTTCATCCTGTTCTTTCTTTTATTTTCCTTCTTTCTTTCGTTTTATTCCTGATATTGTTCCTGTTTTCCTTTGTCGTTGTTTGTATTTTTATGTTAGCATTAAGGGGAAGGAGAAGCCCAGAGGAAGAGAGAGGAAAAGGAGAAGCCCAAGGCCCCCAAGAGAGGAGATCAAAAAGAAAAGAAAAAAGCAAGAAGGAAAAAATAAAGAGAAGGAGAAAGAAAAAGAAAACGGTGCCGAGAGTGAAAATGAGAGAGTATGTGAATGAGACAGGAGCGGAAGGGAGACAGGGAGGCCCAGGGAGGATAGGAAGCGAAGACACCAAGAAGGCCGAGGATAAGAAAGAGGAGGAAGAGGAACATGTGCTACCGCCAAAGCAACCGTCACCACGCCCCCTTTGCCACCCCGCCGCTAGCGACCAAAGCGACAAAACGAGGTCACGGTGAGGCGAGGAGGTTGGCCTCCTTGCACATCTGTGTTACCTCCGGACGTTATCGTCCATTCGAAGACGCCAATGCGGCCTACATGACTGCGTTTGTCAAGAGATACGAACTTGAACTTGCCGAGCGGGAAAAGCGAGCCGAGGCCCCGGCTCCCGAAGCCCCTTCATCGAGGGCGAGACTGAAGCGAGGAACACGTGATGAGGGAGAATAGCCCTCTACAAAATGATGGCCGGGCAGGAGCGAGCTCACCCAGCTGCTCCGGATCCGAACTTTTGCCGCCCTGGCCGCTCTCAACAGTTTCGTTCTGACGTTTTGTTTCAAAAGCTACCAACAAGAAGCGTTTTTCCGGTTTCGCCAACCCCTCGTCGGTCACATGTTAGTTTGCACTGCACGAGGTGGAATACCAACATTCTTCTCAAGATCAGGCTCGGAGCTGCAAAGGGCGCTGTATACGTGGATAGACTTCTTCCACGTCGACGAGGGCGCGTGAATGCAGTTTGTCGAATGGGCGGCGGCGGCCTGCTGTTGCGCTTGCTCTGTTCCATTTGAATCGGTCTGGAAGCACCAAGAGGCAGTCTTTAGCACAGGTTAATGGAGATATCCTTCATTCTCTCTAGACCAAGAACCTTCGTGAACGCTGTGACCACTCGGCACCAGTGAAACTCCTGAAGATTGGGTCGCCAATGAGACCAAAGCAGTCTTCGAAGCACAGCAATGTCCAGAAAGTCTCAGAAGCAAAGGATCACCTTTCGGCATCCCGGAAGTTTACTCCTTGCCTTTATCTGCACCACGGCACGGGCAGGAAGCTAAGCAGTGTGTGAGATCGTCATGGCAGGCATCCCGTACCCCCTAGCGGAAGTGCCTCGATGTTACAAACTCAAATATCAGACGGACACCTTCCATCCCATGACTCGGTCGTCCCATGACTCTGCCATCCGACTTGGTATATTAAGATCAGACGGACAGAGACTGTCTAATGTGCATCATGGCGGCATCACCGTGGCTTTACTCGACGACGTGGAGCGTTCAGAGGGGGCTATGGCCGAGGGGTTTGGCGGTCGACCCTCGTTGAATCGCACCGGGGCCAAGGTCACCAACGAGGATGCCAGACATCACAGCCTGTGGAAAACAATGGCGTTGGATGCGGGGCAGGGAATTCCTGCGATTCCAGGTGCAGAGGATGCCAAAGCTGAGGCAAGGCCGCAAAGAAACCTAACCCTCCAACTCGTTTCCAGCTCCCATCGGGCTCCGGGCAGGGTCACAGAGACAGTGAATAAACTCCAACTTAACCATCACGAAGCATGACCTTGCCATCATACCAAACTCAACCGATTTCTCACCCTTCGCGGCGATGACGGCAAGCTCGGCCTCACAAAGGCGATGAGTACTTGCCCATTCACATTACCAGAAGCGGTGGATAAGGCTACGTTGCCGCCGTCTTTGGGGGAATGGCAACCTCCGATACATGGCCTACACGGTCGGCGCTCCGCAAGTTGGCACCGCGAACAGTATCGGGGTCAGGCCGTGAGTAGTGGGGTGGTCAAAGAGGCAGTGAATGCCTGACAGATTCAACCATAACAAATTAAACAGATTCGACAAACTAGTCGCATGAAGAAAGCTAGCGTGAGCACTCTGCGAGACTAAGACCGAGAGGAAGACCCCGCAAGCCCAGAAACAACATTGTTTGTTCGACCCACAACCACGAGCAACCCACTCGCGACGGCGATCATTCCGTCCTGGCTAACGACAGCCACGCCAGGCACTCGATCAAAGCTCCCAGCAGGGATCTCGGAATGATGGAGAGCATGAAACTGTATTTAAGACACTCCTGCCCCTCCTTGAGCCTGGCGATATCATCATCGACTCCGGCAACTCACACTTCCCCCGACCATCGGTTCCGGATGGGGCACGAACGGCCTCATGTATGACATGGTGATCTGTGACCCGCGCTACATTCACTGCAGCCTCCCTCCTTGTGCTAGGCATCGGCATCTTCATGATTCGGCATTGTAAGAATGGTTCTCTGGGCACAGATACCGGATCGTTTGACCCCCCAACATCTCGTCCAGCCGGTTCATCCCGCGGTGCTGGGAACTTCGCAACAAAGTCGGTAAGTGGACGCCTCTATGGAGGTATCTTTCGTCTTTGATGAGCATTGCAGCTGATATAGTGGAGGGTTTTGCAGGTGCGAGTCGATCTAAGCCCACATAAATATTCTTGTAGCTCGTCTATACGATAACCGCCCAACCGACCGAGTTCCCATAACCGACCTGTCCGGGCTCAAAGATGCCAGAAGGTAATCTTGAATTAACTCCAACTTAACCATCACGAAGCATGACCTTACTACCATACCAAACTCAACCGATCCTCTTGCTGCTGCCCGGTACACGGCTTCCCCAGAGCCGTCTCCCCAATCGCCGTATCGGGCAGCCCAGGTCGACTGCAATGGGGATTTTTACAGGGTGTTGTATTGTACATGTGTCGGATCATGTATGTACCAACACGTATGGATGCAGTGGCGGCTGAGGAGGGAGGGCGAGCCAGTTGAAGTCCCTGATCAAGGAAGCGGTTACCAGCTACTGGATGGTTCGATTACTAGTACTACTTCAAGTTGTTAGACAGACTGCAGGTAGCATGTCAGTGACTTGTATCTACAGATGTATCGAAAACCACGACCGCTACAAGAGCTTACAGGCCTCTCAGGTTCAGAATGACACTGTGAGTGGATTGGATAGTATTACAGTACCTTAGAAGGTAGGTAGCAATCACGACGAGGATCGTTTAAATAAGCTCCTGGTTCGTACCTCTTCCATCAGTCTCCGAAACGCTCGCACGAACCATAGTATAATAAATTCAATAGTAATATGGTGATCCTAGAACTTCATACCCAACTCTTCAATCCTGAATACACAAGATGATCTCCTGTTTTCATTCACAAATCACCACACAACCGGCACGGGACTCTTCAAAAACCCCTTCAGTGGCGTCGTCCCATTCAAGTCCCTCCCGACGGCCTGCACAAACGCCTGGGCTACCAGGTCCGCGCCCTCGGGGCTCGTATGTGTGTGGTCCTTGGGGTAGAGCGCGTTGGTCTTCGCACTGCCCAGCTTACGGTACATGTTGGCGACGGACTGGAAGTGGTCCACGAAGGTGGCCCCGGGCGCGCCGACATTCCTGGCCGCGAGCGCGGCGTAGGCCACGAACCGGGGCGGCGCCGGGTTGTACTGGCCGCCCTCCCACATGTTGTTGGGCGTCTGGCTGCTGACGATGACGCGCGCGCCCTTGGCGACGAGGGCGCGCGCGGCCGTCTCGATGTAGTGGTTGAAGGTGTAGACGGTCTCGCCCGTCTTGCCGGACCGGCACACCTCGTCACCCGTGCCCGGGCAGTCGCTGCGGCCGTTGTCGTTGGCCGAGTTGGGCGAGCCGCCGTCGTTGTGCCCGAACTCAATCACCACGATGTCGTCGCGCTTGACCAGGTTGGTCAGCTCGCTGAAGCGCCCTTCGTTGGTGTAGCTGCGCGCCGACCGCCCCGCGACGGCCTTGTTCACCACGGGAACCGTGAGGTACTTGGGCAGGTACTCGCCCCACCCTGTTTCCGAGTCAGGTATTGTATTGTACACGAAGCATGTGAGCGTTGGCTTTATTTAGCTGTACTACTTACCCATGAGACCGTTGCCTGTCTTGGCCGTGGTGCTGTCGCCCGCGAGGTAGACCGTCGGAGTGGCCCGTCGACAAACCTCAACCGGGCTGCCGTGAGCTCCCGCCGCGGCGAATCCGGCCACAAGGAGGGTTGACCAAGGAAGCATATTGACCGATTGCCGATGTAGGTTGCAATACAGATCCCAGAACTAGAGTGAAGGAGTGGCAGTCTTATCCCGACTTACTCGTAGGGCTAGAGCGTATTAATACTCATTACCCTCGGCACCTGTATAGCTGAGCCCCCCACCGCTTCGTATCGTATTCTGTTGTATGCTGTCCCCGGCGGCTAATTGTAAGTACTCACTCCATTACCCCGAGCCCCAGTTACAATGTTACACGGTGGTTCATCATCCGCGAGTCCTATGACCACCTCCCGTCTGCGGTGAAAAAGGGTTCCGCCACTAAGATGGCTCCACATCGGGGAGCGAAACAAAGCGGAGTGTGGAAGCCGAATAGTTTCTCCATTCAGTCAACAACCCACGGGCCAAGAACACGGAGACTGTTCATGGCGGAAGCGATGAATGCATGAAACATGCCAAGCCGGCCACGCACAGCGAGATGAATACGACCAGCTCCGTAGCGAACTTATGACCGGTGGAGTGTTTAAATAAGCATGGAATGCAAGACAATGCGTGCCTACTATGTCACATCCATCGCGCCTTTGCAGTCGACATAAGAGCACAGTTTGATCTAGTACGACAGCAAACTATAGATTTGGCCCCTTCCGACACCAGTCTTCTCGCCCGTTTGTCCTCATCTCCATGTGCTCTGTACCTGCTATAAACTTCCCATCTGTAGAAATCAAACGAACGGTTCTCTTCCACTCCCGACAGTCGAAGGCTCCCTGAGCGAGATCAGTCATCCATGTCCTCCCACGCGTTCAGCCACGGGTCCTTCAGCAGTTCGCGTGCCGTCTTGCGGTCCTCCGGTCGCCAGGCTAGCATGCCCCTGACAAAGTTAAGAAACATGGTCTTGTCACTCCCGGTGAGGAAGTGTTCTGCCTTCTCTAAGCTGTTGTCTCGTGGAATGGTAACGTTCGCGATCCACTGGCCTGCGAAGCAAAACGCAACTGTCAGCTCGGATATCTTTGTCCCCCTTTATCTCCCTGAAAATCTCCTCTATGACGAGTTAGGCTCACCATCCTCGGAGAAGAACTCCTTGCTCCTCCATCCACGCCGAAGCAAATCCAGCGGCGGCGGTCCCAACAACGCAACAACCTCCGCGAGATGCGCCCGGGTGCTGTACCGGTGATTGACCGGATCCCTGCCGCGGAATAGATGCCGCCCCTCGAAGACACTCCAGATCAGGCACCCCACGTTCCAGATATCAATCGGGTAGCTCCAGCTCGCGCCGAGCTGCACCTCGGGCGCCCGGTACTGGTTCGGCTGCGCGTGGTGGTTGTGCTTCACATCCCCGCGCACGGCCTCGCCGAAGTCGCTGAGGACAATGTGGCCGAAGTGCTTGGGCATGCCGAACCGGTGTGACGCGTACACGGGGACGGTGGTGCCGTCGTCGAGGGTGACGTGCTTCCGCGGGGTGGGTGTCTTGAATTCTTCCTTCACGTACGCCTTCAGGATGTCCTTGTCGACTATAGAATGCAGGATGTTGTGTTCGCTGATGTCTGTCGCAGCCAGTATCAGAAAGGATCTACTACTGTCATAGAGTTGTATAGATCGGAGACATCTGTGAATCTGGGCGTTTACCTGTGTGGACAAGCTTGCACTCCGTGTGCAAGTAGTCGAGCGCACTAAGGAGTTGCTGCAGGCTAACCTTGAGAAGCGCTTGGGAGAAGCGTCTGTTCGGGTTCCGATAGAGCAGGTCCCCCCACGTGTCCCAGAGTGGCTTTTGGACGAGGCAATGATGAGGTAGGCCTCCCGGCCTGTCGATGGTGAACTGGTCCAGTGCGGTTCTCAGGTACGAGCGTCCTTTATGGGAATGGCCGGCTTCCTCGATGGCCTTGCAGGTCTGGAACTCATCCCTGCACGTCTCTCCTTCCCATCTGGTGAAAATCTTCAAGGCAACGTATTTGCGCGCTCTAAGCTCTCTGTGTTAATGGAACAGGGGGGCTATTACATGGAAAGGATGGAGAACACAGACCGGAGATCTCGGGCGAGCCATACCGATGACGTCCGCCCAAAGCCTAGTTTGCCAACAACTTGATACGTGTCAGAGTCAAGAAGGTCGCCAATGTTGACAGGGTAGTAATCGCCCTTCTTGAATTCGTGGAAAAACTCTTCCTCCAGCACTTCTGAAGCAGGAAATTCCTCGAAGCCAGCCGTCGGAAACTGCAGAGGCTTCCACGGATCCGGGCGCAAGACTCGCCTCATCCACTTCACGAGCGATACCATAGCTCGCGCCTGAGATAATTAGGTATCGGTACCTTAGGTATCGGGCGTATTGGAGGATGGCAGGATCGAAAAATACTCTGGGAAGGTGCGTTGAAGTCGGGAACGCTGACTGCGGGTAAGCGAACTTCGGGGTTTGCCTGCAAAGGTTCTCTTCCCTTGATTAAACGTGCCATGAACTTCTGGTATTCACTGTGCCACAGTGTGAGAAGATGATTGACATCATCAGGCACAGATTAGGCCATACCTCGGTTAGAGGCGAAACTACTGCAGGTAAACACAATAACGCAAATAAGCTGCTTGAATCCCAGTACGTTCAGTGATGATTTGGAGATGAAAGCACACGAGATCATGTTGTGATAGTCGTCACGGTCGCCATTACACGGGAACACCACAACTGAAGAACGTCGAGACCGAATATACGCAGCATCTATGTCTGCATTCACTGGCATTCACTCACCTCACCACCGGCCTGACACTCATTTGGATACCTTCACTCGCTCACCTTCTTCAGTATGTCACAACGCTTCCATAACGAGATCAAGAAGGTAATCTTCCGTATATCTGCTGGTATTGCCCCTGAAGGACGTGCCAGAGCCCTGGAGGAGCCCTTCCAGAGCTTCTTTCAGCCGTTTACTGATCCCGGAGATCGCAGGTACAATAGGTGCTGTTCTTGACTTTTTCAACTCGCGTCAAAGCTGGCATTATCTCACACATTCTCTCTGAACTCACCAAGAGGAGGAAGAGGAAGATGCAAGCATGGTTTTAGGCGAACGGAGCGAGATATCTTGGCCCAAAGTGACAGAACATCACTAGATTCCATTTATGACGCGGCCATCAAGTACAAACTACCAGGGTATAGTCTAACCTGCCGAAACTTTTTTTTCATGAGAGTGCCGTAGCTATACAAGGTCCCGTAGTCTTGAGAGAAGAAATGCACCGGCCACCAGGGCGAAAGCCATTTCGTCAACAATTCGTCATGAAGGCAAGGGGTATACTACTGCCGCAGTCCCGCCCAAGGTCTCCTTTCCCTTGCGCATACTTCCCATAGTCTAAAGCCACCCAGACACCGGCTATGACTGCCCTTTTCTCCACTGCAGCCCGGCCGCTAACATTTCCCAGGCTGCGCTCGGCAAAAGGAAATTGGCAATCAACATCTGACCATCAGAACCCCTCAATCGACCTGCTTCTCGCAGCCGATCCGCCCCAGAAGCTCCTTGCGGTCGCTGTGACCGGGCAGGCTGACACCCGTAGTGGCCGACGCCTGCCGCTTCACGCCCGTCCTCCGCTCCCAGTTCTTGAGGTCAATCTCCTCGACGCCAACCTCCTCCTCGAGCGGCTGCGCTTCCTCATAGACATACTCCTCCTCGTCCTCGCCCTCGTCGTCGCTCCGGACATCCTCGGCGGAGGATCCGTTCAGCACCTTGATGAGGACTCGGATAATCAACGTAAACCACATAAGAGCTAGGGCTTGAATGAAGAGCAACATCGACAGGAACGACCACTTGACCGTTTCGTTGTAGCAGAACATGCTTTCCGAGTCCCATAGCGGTTCTAGGAGGTAGTTGGCGCCCTTGTCCGTGGGTGGCTCAATGGGCCCGGTGAGGTTCTCCTTGGTGCCCTTGAAGCAGCCAGTCGGCATAATATCGGGCGTATGAGCCCACACAGAATAGCACACCATCGGGTAGAAGACGTGCCGAGCGACCAGCCATGACAACACAAAAACGCCGAACATGATGTCGCAAATGGTGTGGTATCCAAGGTATTTGAGGCACTTGGCAATCTGATACACCGCGTCTGGTCGTCAGCAAGAAGTGGCGCGGGTGACAGCATCTTGATATTGTTTACGTACCCCGAGTACCAGGTCTGATACATCCATGAGGACCAGGATGAGATTCCCCACCCGCGTGTGGCCGTACCGGTACGCGGCATACATGAGGGCGCTCGTGACAATGTGGTGGATGAACATTTGCCAATGGTCTTTTCTCCGCTCCTCGATGTTGATGACAATCATCTGCTGCAGCCAGAAGCCGAGCTGCGTCAAGATGTATCCTTTCATAAGCCCGCTGATCTCGCGGTCTGGCCAACTAGTCCACAGCTCGCGGAGGTTGAGATAGGCCGGCGACTGGCGGTAGATGTACTGGGTGCTGTGTTAGCCGCCTTCCCTACGAAGGAGCGCGATCCCCGCAAACGTACCAGTCCGAGAGGCCAAAACACCGAGTAGTACACCACCATCCAGGCCTGCTCGCTGAACCTGGTTATGTCCTTCCGCTTGGACATGCCCTGCGACTTGGCAAAGGGCGCGAGGATGTACTCCATGGTGGCGGCGCGCAGGCCCGTCAAGAGAACCACGCAGAAGAGGACAAGGTGGGCATCGGCCCAGCCCAGCCCATATTTTTCCGTGCTCGGGTTGTAGTACGAGAGAGTGAAGTACTTGGCTGTGTAGTCTCTGGCGCGGGGCATGCCATGGGCGAGGAAGAGGAGGGCAAGGAGGTTGAACGACAAGCCTGAATGAATCGGGTCAGTTTCAAGGGGCAGCAGGAGCTATCAGGGGAAGCTTCAGCGCACCAATCTGGTTGTCGACAAACCACCGGGTAAGCTGCTTCATTGGGCCTTCATCCTTCCTCTTGGGACGGCGAACCAGCACGACATTGCTGTTTGCCTGTTTATAGAGCGGCCCGTTCATGTGCTGGGGCTTGCCAGTCCTCCGTGGCGCCCGAGTGAACGGCGCTGCCGTCTCGGTGGCTTGGCCTGTGCCGGAATGAGGAGAGGAACTCATGATCGCCTCGTCCGTCAATGACCCGATGAGACCCGTCGAGATGGTCCTAGGGGTCGGGAGTCGGGTGGACAAAGGAGTCTAGAGAATGGACTCCTCGGTCGAGGTGCGCCGAACAACCACAACCACGAATTGGCCAATGCCTATCTTGGTAAAGGGGTCAACGAAGGTGCGCCTTATGAAGGACGGCGCGCAGTCCCCAAGTTCCTGGGCTTCTGTGAGCGGCGACACGGCCGGGAAGGAGAACGAGCGACGGGGGGCAGGTGGGCAAAAAGGTGTTGAGCTGCCGCCAAGGTTGCTCCACCCCTAACTGGGCAGCTTGCCCAAACCAAAATCAATTTGGACGCTGGCCCCACTGAAGATCGCGGCAACACAAAGGCGGTGGGCAGGTTGCACTGCAGCATCAAGCGTTGATGTCCAGGCGCGGCCCAATTGAAATGGGGGATTGGATGAGCCAGGGTGTGCACGGACCACTATTACCGACATCAACAACGTGGAACACGCCACGCTCCTGCCCTGCCCGATCGACAAAGGGGTTGGGAGAACAGAATTTCCAAAAATTCTGTTCTCCTACGCTCAAATTGAATGGCGGGGCAGATGCTGAGCTGTGTTTCGAGACGGTCAAGTCTGAGGCATTCGAACTGTAGCGGAGACGGATGGAGCCCCCCGCCTTTTCGTACGTTTTATCCCGGCGGAGACATTGAAGTGCTCCTGCGGAGTTGGAGCAATTGGATGAACATACGGATACTAGTCGTAGTAGCTGCATTATCACGGTGGAAATGCTGCTCTCAGCCCAATAGGTGGCAGCAAGGACCCCGCACGGCCAATGGGGGCTGTTTTTGAAGCATGCGCTTTCATGGGTCTTGCCTTGCTTGTGATGGCGGTTTGTCTACCTAGCTTCGGGTTCTTGAGTTGATGATTGTCGGCTGTGAGTGTACCTTGAGTAACCTCGGTGTAAAGGTGTCCTCAGCATAATCACAAATGAAGGGGCTGTTGTTTAACTTGTATATCCGGATACCCCAGCTCAGAATCGAACGATTCGACCGCTCCGCGGATTTACATGCAGCGTAGAAGCGTTGGGGATGGTTTGGAACTGCGTCTCGTTGATTGTGGGGTTTACACCCATAGTGACCCGGTCCTACTCGCCAGTGCTGAACCCTAACCCCCAGACATCGCGACGTTCCTTTTCTGCTTGGCAAGCTGCAGCCTTGCACCCATCTCAGCTTCAACTGCCGTCGGCCTTCTCACTCACCCAAACACCCATCGTCTTGAGAGCAGCGCCCAGACCACTGCGCCATGAACCAGATCCGCGCCATTCAGGCGCTCAACAAGCGCGAAATTGAGAACGGGGTGCCGCCAGAAGCATCCTGGCACGCCGACTACCGCGACACAGCATTCATCTACTTCGGGGGGCTGCCGTACGAGCTCTCCGAGGGCGACGTCATCACCATCTTCAGCCAGTTCGGCGAGCCCGTCTTCCTCAAGCTGGTGCGTGACAAGGAGACGGGCAAGTCCAAGGGCTTTGGCTGGCTCAAGTATGAGGACCAGCGCAGCACCGATTTGGCCGTCGACAACCTGGGCGGCGCGCAGATCGCCGGACGAATGATCCGCGTCGACCATGCCCGGTACAAGGCGCGGGATGACGAGGACCTGGAGGAGTGCAGAATCGGCTGGGAGGACATGCTCCGCCGGGAACGGAGAGAGAAAGGGCTGCCGAGTGAGAGTGAGGAAGAGACGGACGACGAGGACGAGGCTCGACGGACACGGCCGATGCTGAAAGAGGAACGGGAGCTGCAGCTGCTGATACAGAACCACGATGACGATGATCCGATGAAGGAGTTCCTCATAGAGGAGAAAAAGAAAGAGGTCGAGGAGGCGCTGCGGAGGGAGCAGAGACGGGCAGAAAAGGAAAGCCGGAGACATCGAGATAAGGACAGGGATAGGCATCGTCACCACCGCTTGCGCAGGTCGACTAGAGACCATAGCGACGACGAGGGCCACGGAAGAGACAGAGATAGGGACGAGCGCGAGTCCGATAGAAAGAGAAGGTCCAAGAGAGACACAACTCCGATTGAGGAACGCCGGGATGACAGCGGGGAGGAGAGGCGAGTGAGGCGTCGTAGGGCCTCCTCTGACCGGGACCGGGACCGTGACCGTGACCATGGCCGAGGAGACCGGGATGACAGGTACAGGGAGAGAAGGGAGGATCGCCGTCGCCGAGATGACCGGGAGGACGTCGATTATCGAAAGGACCGTGACCGCCATCGGCGCTACACACGAGACGACTCGCGGGATCGTGGTGATCGTCGACACCGTGACTCGGATGATAGGAGGAGGCACGGACGGGACAGGAGTCGAAGCAGATCACCACGTTCAGATCGGGATTGAAGATATTCTGCGGGCGAGGAGATCCCCATATCACCAAGCAATGTGCATGTTATGTTAGACTGGCGATGCATGGCGGATGCACCATATGATGAGATACCCCATACAGCCATGGAAGGAATGAAAAATAAACCAGTACACCAACCACTAATGCCTAAGAATACAACCCAGTCTGTCCTGACCGTTGCTAAAGATTGTCTCCAACGCCTCGATCCTCCCACCATAATCCATGCTGGAACCAAGCCCCAAACTCCAATAACTATTCACCCGGTAAACGCCATAGCCCATACCTACTACACAACCCCGAAATCAATGACTAGGAAGATATCGCTTCCACCCCTCCCTAACACAGAACCGCCGACCGTCCGATCCCTCGTGGATAGCAAACTTCTCCCACCGAGCATTCGTGCCGGCCCCGACGACAATCAGCGTGCTCTCGTTCAACCAGCCGATAACTCCCTTCGGCGGCTTCGACGTGCCCAGCGTCGTGCTTTCCGACATGGGCAGCCCCGTCACAACGGCGGGCGTCTCTTCATCGTCCACCTCGAACGGCGCCGACGCAAAGGAGTAGACGTCCGAGAACATGCGTGGCATCATGGGGATCTTGGACAGGATGCCCCATTTTCCCTTTCCGTCATCGCTTTTGTCTGCTGCGCTCGAGCCATTTTGGGGGCTGAAAATTTGGCTGCTGCCGCCGTTCTGCTGCTGCTGCAGCATTTGGGGAGAGGGCCGCCGGGGGTGTGGCACGTCAAATATGTGCAGGGTGGACTTGTCAGACGTGCATGCTAGCATAGTCCCGGATGGGCTAAAGGCTAGGGAGAAGATGCTTGCTTGGTCGATGCCCCTTCGCAGTTCTATCAGCCGGGCACAGTTGCTAGTGGAGAAGACCCGGATCAGGGTGCCCTTTTCATCTCAACATTAGCTGCGATCTTTCACGTGAGGCAGCACGCCACAGGAGCAACCTACCGTCTCGCTTGCAGTGGACAGGAGCTCGCCGTCCGGACTCAGCTGGAGGGCCTTCACGGGCGACGAATGTGCCGGGATGATGCTCACGTTGCCCGTCGCTAACTCAACGAGCTGTACGTGCCCAGGCGTCCTGCCCGGAAAGGCGATTTTCTTCTGACCCAAGCAGCACAACCCCCACGGGTTGTTGGCTGTCTCGTAGGCTGATGACAGTGTGGGCGGTTTGGTAACCTTGTATATGCGGACGCTGTTCTGCAGCACGATCGCAATGAGGTGCGTAGAGAGCTGCACACCCCGTACAGGCGTCAAGGCGCTGATCTCCAGGATGGCCTTGCTCTTAAGCTCGTCCCAGAGAACAAGCTAGAGAATGTGGTTTAGCTATCCGCCATACTGTTCGCGGGCAAGTACGAGGCTTACCTTGTTGGTTGCAAACTTGGGCCGTTTCCCGCCACCGACGAGGCCCACGTAATTAGCGTTACCCATCATCTGAGCCAAGCTAATGCCGGCGTTGAAGTCTGTTGTATCGTGCGTCAACGACTGGCCACAGCGATATGAGGCTCTTCGGCTCACCTCTTGTGCTCCGGAGCGAACATGGTTCAGAGTTGAAGACTGGCCGATGTTAGTAATTCTGATGAATCCGCCATGCAGGGACCACGTTGAAGGGAAAGGCCTTTGGCTTGATGCCGTCTTTATCCATAGGCCTCGCCTGGGCAAGGAGTGCCAGGGTGTAGTACAAGAGGAGACCTACTGCAAAAGCCCGTATTCAGACCCGCGGTAAAGCAACTGCAGTCTTCATTAAAGGCTACAGAGAGAACGACTGTCGAAGAGGGTGTCTCAAGAGGAGTCCGCGTATTCATCTTGGAGGTGTTGACGTTGGCGGCGGAGCGCCCCCCCTGGCTAAGGCTGCTAAGCCAACTGTGCAGGACCTGCAGGTCCGGGTTAGAATATCGAAATAGCGCTTCTGTGACTGAGGCAATCTTGATGTCACAGAAAGAGCGTTATATGTTCATTCTGTAAAGAGTAGTTGAGATGTCGTGGTCGTTGGCCGGTTCAAGGTGAGGCCGGTTGCCCAGCTCTCAACGCTTGTCAATGAGTATGCCGCGCAATGAGAGAGAGATGAAGATAACGAAGCGGCCAGCCGACTGCAATGCGGAAATTGGGTCCTGCGTGCTGCGATTTGCAGAGCGTCTGGTTTAACTATGCTTCATAGCCCAGAGGTCCGATGCATTTGATGCGTTGGTAACTGAACAGGTAGGAAGTGTACCTGACGCCCCGGAACCTCAAGCTCCAGGTTGTCTCGCAGCCTGGTGGGTGCCGCACTCAGAAGCACCGTGACCAAGACGAATGAGTGACGAGTCGAGAAGAAGACCGCCAAGAAAGGCACGGACCGCTGACTTGGAGCATCTGCTCACGGCTGCTTCCAGCTGACAGACCGTGCTGGCGGAATGCATCCACCTTCACGGGATCAGGCACACGCTACTCCGAATCGGACTAGCGCTCATTGGAACGAGCGACCCCTGAATGCCGCTGCTTTTGCTGGCTGCTTGACAGCTCGAGGTCCAGTTGTTCTCGTAGCACCGCAGCATTTTGTGAAATTACCGATTTCCGTCAAGGTCCATTCCCGATCTTCCTCCTTTTCCCAACCGCAACATCAGTCGCTCGGGCTCGACGACACGCAGCAACCGCACCCAGTTTGGCGATCGCATCAAGCCACCGTTCATTTACCATCTCCTTCCCTGCTACTGCTGCCCTGAGGTCGGCGCTAGTTTTGCCCGTGCCCCCTCAAAAAACGCGACTCAGACTCCACGACTCCACTCCAATATCATGTCCTCTCCGGCCGTATGTCTGCCTCTCCCTGTCTCCCCAGCGCCGTGATATCTGCCATTCTCGATCCCCCTCGCTTCTGATCCGACACATCTGCTCCTCGAACCCGCATTTTCGCCTCGAAACGCGCCGCCGCACACGACTGTCCTCGTGCATTTCGGGCTGCGGAGCTAACATGTTCACGGCACAGAAGATGATCCGCCGAAAGAAGAATGTCAAGAAGGGCATCCAGTTCTGCCTGATGGTCTGCGGTGCCTCGGGCACTGGTGAGTGGCTGTCTCAGCCGTGGAGCATAGTGTGGCCGCAGCTAACCACAGGTTGCTGCTGCAGGTCGGACCACCTTCGTCAACACCCTCTGCGGTAAGACCGTCCTGGGTCATAAGGACTCCGACGATGCGAGCACCGCCCATGTCGAGGAAGGCGTTAAGATCAAGCCTGTTACCGTCGGTACGCATATCTAGTCCTGCCAGAGTTTGTGGCCCAATGGAAGCCTAACTGCCAATTAGAACTCGAGCTGGACGAGGAGGGCACGCGCATCTCTCTAACCATTGTTGACACCCCTGGATTCGGGGACCAGATTGATAATGAGGCCAGGTATGCCTTGCAACGAAAGCCGACTGGCTGGGAAATCTTCCGCTAACCGCGCCGCTCGCACAGCTTCTCAGAGATCGTCGGCTACCTGGAAAGGCAATACGATGACATCCTTGCTGAGGAATCGCGTATCAAGCGAAACCCCCGATTCAGAGACAATCGTGTGCACGCCATGCTCTACTTCATCACTCCCACCGGCCATGGGTACTAGTTGCCTCTTTCTCACTCCAGTTGTGGCGATGCTGACGAGATGTCTAGTCTTCGCGAGCTCGACATTGAGCTCATGAAGCGCCTTGCGCCTCGGGTTAACGTCATCCCTGTCATCGGCCGCGCCGACTCCCTCACCCCGTCTGAGCTCGCCGAGTCCAAGAAGCTGGTGATGGAGGATATCGAGCACTACCGCATCCCTGTCTACAACTTCCCCTACGACATCGAGGAAGACGACGAGGACACCGTCGAGGAGAATGCCGAGCTCAGAGGACTGATGCCGTTTGCCATTGTCGGGTCGGAGGACGTGGTCGAGATTGGCGGCCGTCAGGTTCGCGCACGCCAATATCCTTGGGGAGTCGTCGAGGTCGATAACCCGCGCCACTCGGACTTCCTGGCCATCCGGTCTGCCCTGCTGCACAGCCATCTTGCCGACCTGAAAGAGATCACGCACGACTTCCTCTACGAGAACTACCGTACCGAAAAGCTTAGCAAGAGCGTTGAGGGCGGTGCTGGAGTGTACGTCACGATTCCAAGTCCTGCTCCTCACCGTATGAGACGTACTAACCGGGTCTGCAGCGACTCGTCGATGAACCCCGAAGATCTCGCCTCGCAGTCTGTGCGCCTCAAGGAGGAACAGCTCCGGCGTGAGGAGGAGAAGCTCCGGGAGATCGAGGTGAAGGTCCAGCGCGAGATCAACGAGAAGCGCCAGGAACTGCTGGCTCGCGAGTCGCAGCTGCGCGAGATCGAAGCGCGGATGCAGCGCGAGGCGGCAGCGGCGGCGGCTGCTCAGCAAGCTACCACTCCCAACCACAGCGAGCCGAACGGCGCCGAGTAGGGTTACTGCGTCAGCTTGACCGGTTCTTCGCCAGCGTCTTGATATCCTACCGTTACTGCGCCAATCTGGCCAAACCTTGATCCTTTCTTGGCGGCCTTGTATGCGACCCGATCTTCTCGTGCAGGCGTTGGTTGTCTTGTTGTGTTTAGAGACAAAATATCCCGCCCGCTGCTTTGCGATTTTTACGATATCCGCCATTACCCTAGGCGTGGACGATTACTGAGGATGAATGGGTGATGTCGAGGTGCCAGTCCGGGGTGGTGTGGGATGGACTGTTTATGGCGAGCGCGTTGGGAGGTTGCCGAGGTGTCCAGGGCCGTGGTCTGGATGTCAAATGAGTCGCGCGGTGCCGGCCTCTATGAACACATGGTGATGGGACCGCGTGAGGGAACGGGAGCCCTCAACCCGACGGTCTGGCAGTCTTTCCTTGCACTCCGACCGACGGCAACACTTGTCTAGTCTGTATACCCGTGTCCACCTCTTTACTTGCTGTCTGCCTCTTTCCTTAATTCTACTATTGGACTTCTAATGCAGATATCACCCAATTCAATTTCCCGTTCTCACGTTTGCTGCTTGATCCTGTCCGGTTCCGGCAGGCAATCGCCATGCCATGTGAGCACCCCACATTCAGAAAACGCCGTAAGGAGTAGTACACCAAGCTCCTCAAGTTATCTGAACTGAAGCAAATCTAGCACAATTAGACCAGGTCAAACCAAAGTGAATGAAAGTATAATGTGTTATGTAAAGAAAGGAATAGATCGTAAAGGAGGAGGGGCATGTCAAAGAAGATAAATTTGAAGTCAGGTACCTTGGTGAAGAAACTTGAGGGAAAAAGCGACTGAGATCAAATGTTGGTGTACGACTTTGTTTAGACCAGAGGAGCTAGCACGCCTTCCAGAAAAACTCGACTGGTGAAATGTGTATTGGAAAGCTAGCAAGTGATCTAGGTCACTACGTCTGCCAAAATAGCTGCTGCCCAACAATGGTCAACTCCTGCCCGTTAATAAGAGAAAGCCGCCCGAAAAAGGAAACCAGTGAAGTGACTGCAACGGGCAACTTGACCATCCACAAAAAGGAGCCCATAATAAGAACGATTCCGCCCATAGCTCCTTCATTATCCCAATACCAAGAGCCCGTTCCTTTCAACCTAAAAATATTGTACATCGCAAATAAGACTCCTGAGTCACTGTCCCTCTAAACAGTCCAAATTAATGCCAACGTTACACCTAGTTGTTGTTCTGGCTGTTGAGGATCCGGAGAATAGCCAAGAATAGGTTGATAATGTCGAGGTACAAGCTGATCGCGGCAGCGATCTCCTCCTCGACGTGGTGCTTGCGCAGCACGAGCTGCGTGTCGACCAGAATGTAGCCGCTGAAGACCAGCGCCGTGAGCAGGCCCCAGACGAGCTCGGTCGTGCTACTGCGCGGGAGGAAGATGGCCATGAAGCCGAACAGGACCAGGCCCCACAGCGCGCCGAACAGGTAGGGCATCCAGCTCGTGAAGTCGTACTTTGTCTGGCAGGCGAAGGCGGTAAGGAAGATGAAGATCCCCGCGGTGAGGACCACGGCGTTGAGCACGATGGAGGCGCTGTAGAAGGACACAATCACACTGATGGTGTATGCCTCGAGCAGGGTGAAGCCGGACAGGAAGAGCAGGTTGGTCGGATAAGAGTGCCGTTTCCAGAAGGTGAGGAGCATGAATACGATAGAGCCGATGAGCTGGTGGAGACGGAGTTGGTTAGTTTCCAACGAATGAAGAAGGGATCATGCCTTTGGAGGAAGGAGAGCGTACCGAACCCCAGACGACGCCGGGATGTGACTGGATCCAGCTCTTGTAGCCATCGCTCATAAAGCTGAGGGCGCTGACGCCACCGGTCGCGAGGAGCTGAACGGTGAGAATGGTGTAGACTTTGCGTATGAACTGGTTGCGGATCTCGACGGTCGCCTCGGCGACAGAGCCGCCAAACTATGTAAATGGTCAGTGACACTGGAAGGGGAGGGGTTGCATAGACAGTCGGCGAGCGCGTAGCCGCCTTGAGGAAGGGCGTTGCTCAGGATCAGGAATCCATACCTTGAAATCATCGGGAATGTTGTCCTCGCTGCTGCGCGGTCCGGCGAAGAGACGGTCCGAGTCCTGAGCCGAGCTGCTCTCAGCCTGGTACGACGGGGGGGGCTGGGTGTAGTTGAGGTCCGGGTCTTCCTGCGGAGCAGGCGTGTATTTGACGTTGGCCGACATGACTGCTGTTGGCTACAACCGTAGTGCCTGGAATTGGTGGTTTGACCAAGAGCAATACCGTGCGCGAACTGGAGGAAGCGTAGAATTTATGCAGAGCAGTTGATGCAAGGCTTGACTATGACGAACCGCTGCACATTGATGACCCGAGAAGTGGGGATGATGTTAATCGGTTGGTGGCGGAGCTGTGACCACTGACCAGGTGCAGCAGGCCGGAACCTTCCAGACTGGCTTGAAAGCTGGGGAAGGAAGCCTCGGCAGTTGCACTGATTCGATTCCGACGAAATGCGAGAATGCAGTAATCGGGGCTATGAACCACTTAGGGTTCGGGTTGTAGCGGTCTTCCATCTCAAACCCCTGCGTGGCAGAGGCGCGAACGGAACCCACTCCTCGTTGATTTCCGCTGTTTGAGCATCAGTCGCGTCCCTCCAGAGTCCACCCATCTGAGCGTGTTGCCGACGAATTATCTGGCTGCAGCAGTTAATGCCAGTGCCGGGGCCGAGCCTGCAAACAGCCACTGAACGGGATATGCTTTGGAGGCATGAGCATGACGAAACGACGCACTCAGCCCTCTACTCAACTCTCGATCATCCCGTTGTGAAGGACCCCTGAAACAAACCACCAGAGACAAATGCGCAGGATTGCACCGCAACGCTGAGCCAGCGCAGCCATGGCGGCCAACACGAACCGCTACTCGACCTACACGGCCGCTTCGGCCAGCTCCAACTCCAACTCCAAGGATGGCGACAAGACTGAGAAGAAGGACCTGTGGAATTCCATGCTTTCGTCGGTCGCCAGCGGCAGACGGCTACCAGAGAAGAACATCATCCTACTCGGCGGCACTGTCGACTCGCAGCGCGAGTTCTTTGAGTCGCTCTCCAACAACGAGCTTCGCCGTGCGCTCGACCGAAATGCATCGCGGACGCCCCCCGTTGCAAATAGCTTCGCCCTGGGCTACACCTACTACGATGTCCTGGACGCCGACCAGGAAGACACACTTGCCCGCATCTCCCTCTACACTCTGACAAGCCCCTCGCCCGCCTTCGCTTCGCTTCTCCAGCCGCTTCTCACGCCCCAGTCCATACCAAACACACTCATAGTAGTGTTGCTGGACTGGTCACAACCGTGGAAGTGGATGCGACAGTTGCGAGAATGGATTCTGCTTCTGAGGACTGTGCTGGTCTCTCTGAGCAACGAATGCAAAGAGACTATGGAGGAGGTCATGCTCTCTTGGCAAGAACGAGGGCGGGGCGGCGGCACAAACCTCGACGGTACCGCGGCCCCTCCTCCCCCTGACGGCGAGAACGAGATGCCGTTGGGTCCGGGGGAGTGGGAGGACGCTTTGGGTTTACCCTTGGCCGTGGTTTGCCAAAATGTAACGTCCTTCAAGTGGCCGCTCAAGAGAACGACAGCTAATACTATGTACATGCAGGCGGAGAAGATGGAGTACCTCGAAAAGACACAGAGTTGGAAAGAGGAAGAATTCGACATTGTCTTACAGTTCATGAGAACTGTGCTTTTAAAGCGTGAGTTTTGTGCCTTGTGGCGCCAGAAATGACCATAATCTCACATCCTTCAGATGGCGCCTCCTTAATTTACACCACCCCTTCTGTTCCCTCTCAGCTTCCGACCCTGGTCCATTCGAGCCTGGGGATACACTCCCTCTTAAAGAAACAGCCTTTAAAACACAACGTCATCGACAGGGACAAGGTCGTCGTCCCGCCAAACTGGGACTCGTGGGGTAAGATCCGAGTGCTAAGAGACGGCTTCGACGTCGACAGAGTCAGCCAAGGCTGGTCAATAGATCTGGACCAACCGTTTCCGCATGCCCAGCCAAACAGCACGGACGCGGAAGATGGACAGGTCAACGGCGAGGACGAGCACGCAGTGGCCGACCCGGAGTGGTCAACAGTCACCCTTTACGAGGAGGCCGTGCAAGACCCAACCATGGACGCGCTCCAACTCGCAGGACGGAACACCCATTCGACACAGCTCGAGGTCGAAACGATCGATACACAGGCGTTCCTGGCCCAGCAGCTCAAGGTGCTGGATGCGTTTAAGCAGAAGAACGACGAGGCATCGCGTGAGGGTGCCCGCAACAGGACCTATAAGAAGACGAATGACGAGGAGTACCTCGTAGGCGGCGGCGACCCCGAGCGGGCCACAGAGGCCAAGGTCCTGGAGCACATCGGCCCTGTGCAGTTCAACATGGGCGGGATCCAGGTGGACGCGGATGACATGGTGCAGCGGCTCAAGGTAAGCAAGCCTTTCCAACCTTACCTCCACACCTTCCCCTTCTCTCCATCTGCCCCCAATCCCACTCTATGGTGCTCGTACTAACACGCGTCTCTCAGGAGAGGCAAGCATTCGTGTCCCCCTCGGAGCCCGAGAGCCCGACGACAGCAGATGAAGTCGTGGAAGCGACTCCGCACATGGACACGGAGAATCTGCAAGCCTTTTTCCACGGGCTCATGAACAGGAGAGGAGCGTTGACAAAATGAAAGCCTAATTAGGTCCCCATTACCTTTCTCCTACAGATACCCTGGCCAGTCAAGCCTCACGATACTAAGTACGGCTTTGAGATGTTCGTAATTAAGGCTTTTGCGGTGCCAGACGCACCGCTTTTAGATCCAGGTTCCCCGTTCTGTTCCTTCTTGTTTGTGTTGAACCTTGCTTGTAGTATTCTACAGCGGAAGAGTGGGAGAGCCCCATGTCAGTCGACAGGAAAAGGGACGTCTTGAGTTTCGGACGGTGGTGGCTGCAGTGGTTTGTGCATGCATCATAAGATATCCGTGGGCATGGATGGAGTAAGACCGCAGAAATTGTAGACTACAGTAGATACCCCTTTGGAGAAACGAAAGAGATGAGGGCCGGATATACTACTAGTAGTACCAGTCGGTGAGTGAGCAGCTTTGAACCTACAGCACAACCATTTCCCCATGTAACCATCAATTTTACCTAGACGTAGTCGCAGTGTATTACTACGTAGGTAGTATTTCTGCTGTCTGTTTTGTGGTGCATCATCTATCGGCCTCATAACGTCGGGTATGACCAAGTTAGATACCCAGCTGCTGGCGAATGCTCCTTCCTTATTATGCAAATCCATCCATCTCTCGTGCCATGCCAGTCCTCTCAAATTTACCGCTCGATCCAATACTGTATGGTGCCACTTCCAAAACGTAAATGTCATGATTGCATCTCTAATCCAACCTTCACTTCCTTCCTTTACCTGATCAAGAACGTGATCCAATAGTCAAATCCTCAACTTTCTTTTTCAAACCTTCCCAAACGCCATCGCCCTGCTTAGTACCCTCCTTTATACTGTCCTCCTCGCGTTTTGTCTTTCCTGCCCCCTCCTCCTTCCCTTCAACGAGAATCAGCACGCCGGCCTCGGCCCTCGGGCGCGTATACCACGCCCTTAAGACATCCTCATCCTCCCTGCGGTCAACCCTCGCGGTCCTCACGCCCAACCTTGCCGTCACGACACTAGTCAACAAGCCAACAAATAGCCAAGGGTACTGCAGGATCTCGGCCTCGAACGCGTTTACCGTCTCCTTGGCCTGCAGAACATACTTTTGCTCGTTCAGCAACGTCCCCAGGCGGAACAAATTGGACGCCGCAACGGCATTGGTGGAAGGCATCGCCTTGTCCATGCCGCTCTTGAGGCGGAGGATGGTCGGGCTGAGCGTCTCGGCTTCGGTCGAGTAGAAGCCGCCTGCGTAGGCGTGGCGCGGGTCCGGTGTGGCCTTCGAGTTGGGGGCTAGAGGTGGGTCGTAGAAGAGGCGGGTTTGTGTGTCTTTTTTTTTTCGGATTTGTTAGTCAACTGACTTGCAAAAGATAACCAAAGGGATGGGATGGACGGAGAGATACCTTGTAATTGTTTAGCCCAGTCCAGCCATTCTTGCTCGAACGTCGCCGTGTAGAGATCCAGCAACCCATCAATCAGAAAAGCATAGTCATCTGCAAAGGCGAGCGTCTGACTAGGGCGTTCCCAGAAGAAACGACGCAGGGGGTTGGTCTTGTTATCGGTCTCAGCCCAGAGATTGTCTCTGATGAACGCCGCTGCGGTCTTGGCGGCTTGAAGGTATTTGGCCACTCTCGCGGGATCGAGCCAACGGACGGCGCCGGCTGTCCGAGCTAATGCCGCAATGACCATGCCGTTGACGGCCACCACCACCTTCTCGTCTCTCGCGGGGCGGGGCCGCTCCCTCTCACGGTGAGCACGCAGTTTCTCCCGCGCGCTGGCAACAGAGCTCTTGATTTCCGAGGGAGGAATGCTGAACTGTTTGGACAGCTCCGTGGCATCCGCGTTGACGGACAGAACGTTCTGGTTGATAAACTCGTCAAACGGGTCCTGGTCCTGCGGCACGTTGCCGTCTTCCTGCACGTTCCAATACGCGGCCGCGACAGAGCTCGCGTGGTCATCGCTGCTGGATCCGCCCCCCACCACCTGGTCGAACTCCCTGCGAGTCCAGAGGTAATACGCGCCCTCTCGCATGTGTCGGTCGCCCTTGCGGTAAAACGAATCCGCGGCCTCGCTCATCACAAAGCCGCCATTCGACAAGCGTATCTGCGGGCTCGTGAGGTAATCGGCCAGCTCGAGCACGACGTCGGCGAACTCGTCGTCCAGCGTCAACTCCTTGCTACTATCTCGGGAATGCCCAAGCCACGCATCCAGGAACACGCCCAACAGCAGTGCATTCTCCCCTACCATCTTCTCAAAATGCGGCATGCTCCAGTCGCTCGTGACGCTGAACCGCATGAAGCCGGCACCGAGATGGTCCCTCAGCCCGCCGTCCCGGATCCGCCGCAGGGTCTTGATCGCCATCGACGTCGCATTGCCGACCTCCTTCTCCCCAATCACATCCGCCACCTCGCTCGGAAAATGCGGCAGCCGGAGCAAGAACGACAGCCGGGCCGGATTCGGGAACTTGGGCGTGCCAAACCCGTAGTCGACCGGGTCGAACATCTTGGTGATCCGACCCAGCGCCTCGTCCAGCTGATCCAGATCGAGATCCCCCGGCTCGGCAGTGGTGGTGATGGACGGCCCCGCCCCTGTGCCAGTCGAGATGGTCGTCCCGCCCCCGCCGAAGGTCCCCTCCTGCGCGAAGTCCTGCAGCTTATGCAGCATCTCGAACGCCTCCCTCCGGCACCGCTCCTCCTGCTCGACCCAGAACTTGTGGATCTTCTTGGCGATGGCCAGGAAATCGTTGTAGGGTCCCGTCTCGTCGCCGACGGCAGACTCGCCACCGCCGCCTCCACCGCCGCTCTGGGCCGCCAGGTTGCTGTCGGCCCCCGCCGCGGTGCTGTGCTCGGTGCCCGGGCCGGGCCAGTAGGTGCCGCCGAAGATCGGGTAGAGGTCGGGCGTGAGGAACAGGTTCAGCGGCCAGCCGCCCGTGGCGTTGACCGCCTCGCTGTAGTTTTGGTAGATCGTGTCCAGGTCTGGGCGCTCCTCGCGGTCGACGAGGATCGGGATGAAGGACTCGTTGAGGAAGGACGCGACGGCCGGGTTGGCGAAGGAGTCTTGTGTCGTGAGGTGGCAGACTGGGATGCGTTAGTTGTCTCTTGTCAGCCGGTGTGCATACATGCACATTTAAATGCCTGGGCCAGGCAGGTAGGGTAGGGTCCTTACGGTGGTCAGCTAGGAAGCCGATGTGCATGAAGATCGGCTTGTTCTCGGCAGTGGCCCGCGCCAGGGTGTCGGCGTCGAGCATCTGCCATGCCACGGGAGTGTCGGCATGCCTACGCACGTAGGGGCTGTCACTCTCGCCGGCCCGGTTCTGCAGCGCCGGGAAGGCCGCGTCCCGGACACCGGCAGCATCGTGTGGGGTGTGGTGCGGCTGCTGCTGCCTCTGCCCGAGCTGTGCCCGCATCATCTTGCCGGCCGTCTGACTGCGCGCGCGTCAATGCTGCAATGCGGGGTGATTCAACTAAGATAGGTATTGTAGTATTGTATTGTATACAAGGTGTTCGAGCGTTGGCGACGAGCGGTTCTTGGCCGGTGATCTCGCCTCTTCGGGTCCGCGGTTCCAGAGGCTTCGTTGATGGGTCCGGAGGGGAAAGAGAGGGGAGTTTCGTCGGTCCCGAGACGCTGGACGCATGGCCCGGTTGAACGCACCGATCGACCGGGATCCCACATCCACTTGAGGGGACGGGAATGCCGCCTGATGTCACGGTCCGTCGCCAAGCCGTAGTTTGCAGCTCGGGGGTTAGGGTCTAAGTGGGGACATGGAAGCACTTCACACTCAACCTTGAAGTGACTCGGTATTTTGTTGTAGAGTGCGGTACTAATCATTTCAACGTAATGTCGTATGAGTTCATCTGCCAATTAGAAAGTGATACTGTCACAAGAAGCGGTTATTTCGTAAGCTCTCTCTTACGAATACGGCACAGTGATGGTTGGTGGACCACGGAAAAGGATGCCTTCTCACCTGCTTATACAGTCTTCGCCAAATAGAAGATATTTAGTCATTCTGCTGTACTCATAAGCCTGATTGCTCGACGATAGGACAAGACCGCTTGCCTTCGATTAAGGTAGGGGATATTGCCCAGTTCCGCCCCTGCCAGCATCCTAGCTCCTGACCAAGAGAAAAAGCAAGACTTCCTCCCCTTGTCCCATTCCGGCCCACCCTTCCAGCCTAAACCAAAACACAAGAATGTCCGCAGACCCTACCCAAGGAAAGAACAACCCAGTACGCCTGGGTCGGCACCGAGCCTCGCTCGCAGCTCTGCATGGCGACAAGCTAATAAGCAGAACCCCAAGACTCCAACGCCCGACACAAGTACAAAACGAGCAGCTTATTTCAGAAAGAGGTGATAGCAGCGCGCTTAGACTTCCGCTTGATCAGGTACTCCCAGGGCACGGGAGGTCGCTCCTTGTTCTTGCAGTCGCCACAGAGATCGGTGACCCTGTGGGGTTGTGCCGTGATGTCAGTCGTTGCGGGTTCTGTAGATCGGGGAGAAGAGACAGGGAGCTGTTTTGCCTACCATTCGGCCTGTGTGACCTCGGGGGACATCGCTTGTGGGTGGTGGTGTAGTCGATACACCATCTGGCGGCGATGAAGCGGAAGTGTCCGCAGGAATATTCTCTCTGTAACCACTCGCACATGGTGTTGGCTGGCGGAGGGAGATCGCTACATGCAGGATCCCAGAAGATGGTATTGAGTACGAGTCCATGTGAGGAGTGGATGGTGTGGCATGCCCGTAGGAAGACTCCCGCTTGGACGGTTGTGAAGGAGGAGGGCGACACTCTTGTACTCGAAGCCAGAACCCTGAACACCACCAAGCACTGCAGCCAGAGACGATCTTGTCTCAGGAGGCGGCGTTCCTCGGCGACTCCCCGTGTGTCGGCGGCGTTCTAGCCCGGCTCCTCGTTTTGTCGACCTGCAGTTGCGCTGATGTCTCGAAACCAAGGACACAAATGCCGGATACTGGCCAAGAAGAAGTGAGAAGTCGGAACTAACTGAAGCACGATCGAGCAGAGAAGTTCAAACCCTTGCCTTGGGTACGGCTGGTTAATGCTAAGCACTATTCCCTCCGATGTCCACCCAGAGACCTGGTTCTCGTCCTCCGCCTTCGTCCCCATCAACAGGGGCCTTCGCAAAAGTCAGCCCATTGCTTCCGGCCCGCCAAGACGCCACTATCACGGCATTCTCGGCATTCTGATCGACTGCGACATGAATCCCCTAGCCGCCCAATGTCTTGGCGGCTTTTTGCTTTTCCTTGTGCGCAAGAACGCTAGGTAGCCAGGGAGGAAGACGATGTGGGGATGACACAAACACTCTCCCTTGCGCCTGGAATTCGCTGGCACAACTCAGCTGCAAGTTGCACACGGGCTATTCCACTAGTTAATGCACCTCGTGTTCGTTCCATATCACGGCGGCATCGAGTTGGCCGATCCTATGTCTCGGCCGTTGCACTACAACGCGGTTGGCTGGGGATCGAACACGGACTTTACCGTCGAACGCCGTTGGACAGAGACGATCACATCTCATCGACGCATGCGAGAGGTTGGGCATGATGAGTGGCCGATAGGCCGATATTTTGCGGAGAGGCGTTCACCAGGATGCCAAAAGGAAAAGGAAGGGGGGTGCTGTGTTTCTGATTACGTACTGGGCTTCAGCTGCGAGACACCCTCGACACCTTGACGGCGCGCCACCAAGCCCCCACGATTCATGCCCCAAATGGCAGGAATCGTCGAAGCCTGGGGCGCCACGGACCCCCAAGGCCAATCCGCACAGCGCAGCTAATCAATCAAAGTGCGCACTAGTAGATCAACGTTAGCGGGGAATTGCTGCGAGAAGCACAGTCATGCAGCCGTCACGGTAATGCATTACTACACTAGTTATGGCGGTGTATGGGCGTAAACTAGTCGTCGATGTTCATTCGAAATAGTGCATACGGGTTGAGAATGGGCGGTCCTGCTGCATCGTTCTAGACAGAAGAGGTCCCCGAAGTCTGCCGTATGAGAGGTAAGGCGGAGCCTGGCTTCTGTCCAATTGGTGAGCCACAGTCAACACTTGCTGTTCTTGCTTTTTGAAGGGATGGATGTCATGCTTATTACCAGACAGGGCCAACAACCTGGAAACTTGTGAAATAGCCTGGTCTCTCGGGTACAACTCCCTTATTACCCCGCAGTCTCCTCGAGTGTCCGAGTCTCTCTCCAGACCACGGGACCTCGATCCTGTCGGACGTGGAATGGAGATCACAACTGAACAGAGCATGTGACTTCTCACCCATGCCGTTTCCGTGGTCAGAAGACGCTGATTGCACTGTGACTGAGGTGAGGTGTAAAGGTTTCCGCCCTGTCCGGGAGCTTGGTGAAGGCCGCGAGATGCAGGAATATGGAACAGGTACCTTCCATTCTGGGAAGCGGACGACAAGCCTTGTTTCGACGTCAGCGAGACATTCCTGCAAGACGTGTTTGGATATCACGAATGGTGTCCAATCGCATCAATCATCTTTCGCACAACATCCTGCGTCTTGTTTCGATGGATTCACGAAATTCCAGGGTCCAAGCTGGTGCTGGAAGTTCTCGCCTTCCAGTTCCATTTCAGCCCGGCTCCACTTCTTCATTTCCGGGGTACTCCCGTCTTTCCACTGTTGCAGGTGTGCACTAGGAGGTAGGTATTTGTCATTTGAAGCCTGTCCCTGCGGGAAACACCGTGAAGCCGCATTAATGTACGGATACAGCCAAGACGACGGTCGACGGGCAGTTGTCGACCGGTGTCCCATGAGGAGAAGACCGGTGAGAGCAGCAAGGAGTGCTACTCTTTCTGTGTGTAGCCCGACCTGCCTGTCCTCCCCGAACATCACTCGCTACAACCCAGTGAACTCGACAGTCATACGCTGCTGGAAGTTCGCCAGCAGTGCATCCCATTCATTCCCACCTCCAGGTTCTGCGCCTTTCTCGGTGAGCTCTGCGATAGTGGCTGTTGCAGCCTGTTGGTGACAGCGAGGGCGAATACCGGGAACCCTCTACCTATCATCTAACTAAAGGTGCCGCCAACAACGCTGCCGCTTTTGGCGATGGGAGACCATTCTGACACCCCGATTCAGCCATCGCTATTTTTGGCGCTCCTCGTCTTTTGCCGCACCGGCAGAATGCAGGAACGCAACCTGTTCGTCCACCCTGCGAGCTGTGTCCGCTGCAACTTTAACCCCTACGGCATCGATGCTGATGGATAGTCGCAGGACTGAGCTTACCTCAGGGCAAGTCGTCGACCGAAACAAACCCTGAATATCCACCTTCTCTGGTCGAACTCTCATATTGCTACCTCGGGCCTGGGACCTAACCCTATCCTCACTTTCATCGCCCATCACACGTCACAGTCACACTCACTCAGAATGGCCGCCGTTTTTGTGTGAAATACAGGCTTGATTGACTTGTGCTACGCGAGAGACGGGAACGACATGAGAAGACAACAAGACGAAAATGGGGACAGAGAAAAGAGAGGCAAGAAAGAGAAGTTGGATGGATCCGAGTCAGCGGCACCCCAAGAATCCAGCATACACCCACGTTGGGACCCCCGTGTCCGAGTCCCCAGCGACCACGTCCACTTTGGTTCATCATCAACCACCTCCTCCAAACCGGGAGGGGGCCAAGGCCATCGGCACCACGACCCCAGCCTAAGACCTACTACCCCGAGGAGCAGCAGCAGCCACCACGCTCTATTTGCAAGCGCGCCACTGGATGTTGATCTGCTGGGTAAAGGCAACAGTGGCATCATCGTCCGTGATGGAGCCGCTGGCCGAGCTGTTGGAGCTGGCCAGGGCGATGCGGTTGTTGATGTTGAGGATGCCGTTGGCGCCGCACGGCGAGTAGATGTACGAGGCGGTCGGGATCTTGTCCGACTTGGTGTACACCTGGCCCTGCTCCCAGATGCCGCCGCCCGTGATGGACGTCTGGGTGGTGGTGGTGGCCGCCGCGTCCTGGCTGAAGTAGTAGGTGCTGTAGAAGGTGCCCGTCACGCCCTTCTCGAGCTGCGCGTAGCCGTGGTAGGTGCTCTCCAGCACCGAGAATTGGAAGCCGCCCGGGTACTTTTCCTCGTTAGTCACCTTTTTTGTTTTTGCTCGTTTTGGGCAACTGTTAGGCTGGGCTTGTTTTTTTTTTTTTTTTGGGTGGGGGGGGGGGGTGCTCCCAGGGGAGGGAATTCGGTCATGTAAGCGCGTACATACCTTCAGGCTCAGGTGCAGCTGGCAGTTCTTGCTCCTCTGGGTCGGGCTGATGCCGGGTCCGATGTAGGTCTGGAACGCGTCGAAGCCGAAGGTGATGACCTGAATGGCGGGTCAGTCAGCATGCCTGTTGCTCTCTTTCTCCTCCTTCTGGCCGTCCAAGGGAGAGAGAGAGAGAGGGCTTACTGTCTTATCGGGCGAGATGTTGGTGGACACGGTGCCCTGGGGGCAGCCGTTGCCAGAGAAGGTGGCGGCCACGATCTGGATGTCACTCGGGTCCGGAGCATCCGCCCAGCCATCGTTGCCAACGACGGGGGCGAGGGGGCTGGCGGCAGCGAGGGCGGGAAGGAGGAAGGCGACGGGACGCATTTTGGCTGGTGGAAGACGGTAGAAACCGGGAGATGCTGAGTGAGGCTGCTTGGAAGGTTGAGAGACTGATCGATTGCGGTGCTGGTGGTGGGAGAAGAGAGTGACGATGCCGTCGATGGCGATGGCCCGCTCTTTATATGCCCTTCTCTCCCGGTTCCTGGTGCCGGACTCTTCACGATCCCGTCATCCATCCCGATGCTTCCATTCAGCGGTCACCCCCTCCCTCTGGCACCAGCATATTTTCGGGCGCGGAGGCACAGGTTGTGTCGCCGCGAGATGTCTTGGCGGCCTCTAGTCTGGTGTTGTTAATATGCATCTCCAGATTGGCCGCATGGTACCCCCTTGACCCAGCGCCGCCCTGCTCCCGTCTCCATCTCGGTCCTCTCGGATGTCGCTGGGGGTCTTCGCCCGGAACGTAAACAATCGTATCGTCGCGGTTGTGTGGTCGAGGCCGACGTCGTTCTCGCACGTTCTCGACACTTTCGTGGTTCGCGGCAACCAATTTGCGGATGAAGTGAGGATAAATGAAGCGCATATTAAGACGGGACGCACAGCTCTTATGGTTCTCGCTTGGACCAGGTACCATCACCCAGGGAATGGCACCGCCGAGACTCTGGCGGGCTCGTCTTCGCTTCTCACTTGCTGACAGAAGTGCATCTGCTTCCACAGTCGACTTCTTTTTATAGAACCCCGCCCTCCGGAACTTGGGCGTATATCCTGCCCTCTCCGGAGGTCGAATCGAGGGCCGTCCCTTGCAATATCGGGTTTAGCGGACGGTGAGATCCATGTCGCATTGCATTCTGGCTCCAGATGTGGCCATCGGGGTGCGGAGCGTTCACAGCAATTGCGCTTTTTTTCAGGTTAGAGAAGGGGAGTGGAAGTGGCGGCGGTGATGCTTCTCCATGTTCTCCTGGAATCACGCAGACCCGGCAGACCGGCACCGGCAGCATCAGTCCAGTCGACGGGGAAATTCCTGTGCTGATCCGTTGCTTGAACCCGGGCCGCGGGCGTGGCAGGGCCGTCAGGAACCGGTTGGGAGGCTCGATGCCACCTCGTGCACCCCTCTGTTTGCTGGGCAGATCTCTCTCTGGTACGGATGCTGCTATTTTTATGTCGTTCTCAGGGGTCGTTGATTAAGCTTAAATTGAGGGCCCCACCAAAGCGTCGCAGTCAATGGCATGCATGGGCCGCAGGGCAGCATGAAGGACCTGGGGACGCGGCATGGTTGCATCTCGCTGTCGTCGTGAATTTGGGGGGGGGGGGGGGGGGGGGGGGGGGGGGGGGGGCTAGAGTCAGCTGACATGCCACAGAGATGATGGCTGCAGGGCGGAGGACCTCATTCTCTACCTTAGCACCTGACTCCTGCGTATCTCGGCTTCAGGGCTTCAGGCGACTAGAAGACAGTTCCAGGTTGCTCACAGTCAGGACACAGAGTCGTCTGGACTTCGCATCGTGCCCCAGACGGATACCCCTAGCTACCAGACTGCAATTAAACCTCTAAGAGTTGGGAACCACAGTCCTGGACTATGGATTTAGTACTATCGGCCCCCTACTAGTATCTATGTCCCTGGGAAGATGCTCTCTTGGGAAGCACGCTACCCCTGATCTCAGGCGAGTTTTGTGGCATCGTGCTTGTCAGCCGTTCAAGCGCACCTCCCGAGAGACCAGAAGATTCTCAAGAACATTTCCCGTTGACCTCGGGCGACCCGGATCCTCACTCCTCAGTCTGGGCGAGTCCAAGACTGCTACTGACTAATTGCAACTAGCAGCAGGAGGTTCGATGCGACATAACTTACCCGGGGCACAAGGCCAGTGTTACATTCTACCGCACTTCGGAAACACTGCTCCCGCGCAGGACCGAGGGAATGCTAGCTACGGTACCTACGTACCTAGACGAGTCCTTCACCCTCGGCTCTCATCAGTTGTTTATTAGGACTCGCCATGCGGGTACAATTCCGAGAGAGGACCCCGCGTTCGCCCCAGCCAGGAACCCGGGTCCAGCCCCCAAATGTGAACATGATCCCCATCCCGGCCAACATTGGAACAGCTGCGGTTGTATTCCTGTCAGCCCACCTGCACGGGGCCGCCCTCACTGCTACTACACACGCAGCTACCCGTAGGTTGTGTACACAGCTTCGCTGTGACGTTCTCGTCGATATTTGCTCAAGGACCCTCACCATATCACAGACGGCCCTCCATCACGGGCTGCTTTGGAGGTTGGGTCAATATAGCTCTGCCCGAACTAGCATTCATTGTCGTTGTAATGATACAAGAATAGAAGCACGCTAGTTATACGAAGATCCGAGTTCACTGAGTAGCGTACCGGGTTTAGTGGGAGGCGGATGACAAGACCCCTTGAATCACATTCCATCGTATCATTGCGTGCTAAGGTACCAGTATCTTCTCCTGTGGTGCAGTGGCGGTGCAGTCATGCTTCCAGAGGCGGCGTGAACGCGAAAGCCATTCTAGAACCAGCATTGGAGCGGATAGAGAAGGCGTACTATACTTGGAGTAGCCGAAGGTCAAGCACTTAACAACTTCTTCGGCCAACTGGCGTATCAGGACATCATCTCACCCACCGTCCTTGTGTCATCCTTCGTCAAGGGGTCAATTCACCACAACCTACCACGCTCCCGTCACCGAAAGGAGTAGTAGACATGTGTAAGAATTTGGTACGTTTGTTTACGCTCACACGCTACGGGGTACACTCTCTGCGTTTTACCCTACTACACATCACCCATCCCAGCCCCCTTCCCCCCCTCCTAATCTAGTATCTACCTTAACTACTGCCCCTCCACCTGCTTAAGTATCCCCTCCAAGTTCACACTCTTCGGCCTCTCAATCGGCAACCCCAGAGCGCGATCCCAAATCAGCTGCGCGAGCGGTCCCAAGCCGCGCGAGACACCAAAGGTAGCCGTGTAATACAGCGTCTCGGTGAAGCCGTAGTGGTGGAACAGCACGCCGGAGCTGGCGTCCACGTTCGGGTACGGGTTCTTGGTCTTGCCGTGCTGCTTGAGCACCTCGGGCGCGACAGCGCTCGTCTTCCGCACGAGCTGGAACACCGGATCCTCGGAGATCTCGGGCCGGGAGGCGGCGTAGTCCATGAGCGCTTCGAAGCGCGGGTCCGGTTTGCGCAGCACCGCGTGCCCGTAGCCCGGGACGACCCGGCCTGAGTTGAGGGTCGTCCAGAGGTAGGAGCGGATGTCGTCTTCGGTGTAGGAGGTGGGGAGGGTGGATTGCAGTTGTAGGATCCAGCGGAGGACTTCTTGGGCGGCGAGGCTGGAGACAGACGGGGGTTTAGTTAGTAGTTATTTCAGTTGTGAGTGAGTTGGAGGGATGGGAAAGTCCCCGTCTAGACTCACCCGTGCAGAGGCCCGGCTAGGCCCTGCAGACCGGCGCTGTAGCTGAGGAAGGGGTCGCTCAGGGCGGAGCCGACGAGGTGGGTGGTGTGGGCCGAGACGTTGCCGCCCTCGTGGTCGCCGTGCAGGGCGAGGTACAGGCGCAGCAGGTCCTGGAAGTTCTCGTTCTCGCGGCCGCCCTTGCCGAGCATGGCGGCGAAGTTGTAGGACCAGTCCTGCTCGAGGTCGATCTCGGCGGGCAGGGGTCCGCCGCCGCGGTAGCTGTTCTGGTAGATCTTGGCGGCGATGGTGGGCAGCTTGCCGAGCAGCGAGATGCAGTCGTCGAACGTGGGCTCCCAGTAGTCGGCCTTGTTGAGGCCCTTCTCGTACGCCTTGGCAAACTTGGACGTGTAGTTGAGGGCCGACACGGCGATGGCGAACTGCGTCATTGGGTGCATGTCGCGCGGGAAGTCGTCGAGCATCTTGCTGACGAAGGTCGGCAGCTGGCCCTGCTCGGCGAGCTCGCGCGAGAACTGGCGCACCTGGTTGACCGACGGCACCTTGCCCGTCAGCAGCAGCCAGAACATGGCCTCGGGCAACATCTCGGTGCCCGTCTTGCCCTTGGGCAGCTCCTTCTGGCAGTCCTTGATGGTGCGGCCGTGGAAGCGGATGCCCTCGTTGGCGTCGAGCACCGAGCCCTCCCACACCATCGCCTTGAGCCCGCGCATGCCGCCGATCGTGTTCTCCACTTTGACCTCGCCGATGACCTTGGACCCGTGCGCCTTGACCTTCTTGAGCAGCTCGCGCTTCGCAGGGATCACCTCCTTCAGCGTCGTCTTGAGGTCCGGCTCGGCTGTGGCATATGTCCGGCGGGCAGATGCATGGCTGGGCGTGGCGACGATGGGCTGTCACAAAGTTAGGATCTAATCGAGGGAACCGAGCTGGGCTTTGGAGTCTCGACTTACACGCAGGGCTCCCCTCAGAGCGTGCCGCCCGGTCCTCAGATTCAATGCCATTTTCCTTCTAGTACTTGGAATGCACGAAGCCGGACACCGAGAGACGGGTGGTGCGGGGTGTTACGTGAGATCCCGGTTATTGGCTTCGACCGTGTCTTCGGCCGTGTATTCCGTACTCGATGCCTCGGGGGCTGCTTAGCCTTCTCAACGAAGTCAAAGCTATGTGAACTGGACTAACTTGAGTTCAGGTTTTGGCAGTTTTTAGGGGTTTTATTCCCTCTGCACGCTGGGGTGTTTTCATGTGCATCGAACCTCGACTTCCTCTTTGATTCGCCGGCTCAGCATCCCCAGACGTCACGTTGGTCCTGCTCCAGCCGAGGAAAGCCGCGGGGCCCCCGCACGGGGGTGTTATACCCCGGACAAACGGTTCTGTGGACCGAGCCATTGGCCAATGACTGGGGCCATCGTTTCTCGGTGTTCTGGCTTCGATATGCACGCTGAGCGGCGAACGGCTGGCCATGGCGGCCATGTGCCCGGCCTCGGCGCTTCGATATAAGCCCGGGGGCGAGCCGCTACGAAAAGAAGCCTTCGGTCTCCCACCAGCTGAGCATCACAGTTGCTGGTGCAGCTGGGCAATACACATGCCTTGGCTGCGAGGGGTGAACTGGCTGAAATGCGACAGGGGTGTAGGTATTGTAAGTACTCGTGGAATTTCATGTAAGTTACCGTGTGGTCGGAAAGAGACAAGAGGATGCGGCCGCCCGGAGCGGCTCGCTCTGATAAAACCTTCCTGGGAGTCCTGGGACCATGGACCACGGACATTACCAAGCAAGGACATCAACATTACTAACTCCAGCTTCTCAATCATATCTTCAAGCCAATCTTGGAGTGTATTTATCTGCGTGTCCCAGCTGATACCGGTAGTACAGTAAACAAGAAGTCTTGGCTCAGCTGTGCGTCCTTACCAAGCTAGGTATGATAATTACCAGGTAAACAAGCAATTATTAGCGGGGCCCTATGACGCTCTCGGCGGAGCTCGCCCAAACTTGTTTCAATTACCCCTCCGTCCTTATCGCGAGCCTTGCGATTTACCAGTTGTCGTGACCGTGACGCTCTAACACGCTGAGTTCTAGTATTAGTTGGAGAGATCCTGCCTACTCCGAGTCTGCTATATCCGTCACCTTGTGATATTCCCGATCCTCCCGGTCTCGCCCCCCATTCTGCTATCCGCCGACCCCGGGAACCCGACAGCTCAACCACTGAGCTCTTCCCTTCCAACATGGAGATCACGGCCGAGGACCTCCCGGGCCTGCTCGAGAATGACAATTCGGTTAAGCTCGCCGGCGTCGACGTCGACGGCATGCTCCGCGGCAAGCTCGTCTCCAAGAAGAAGTTCTTGTCGATCGCCGAGACCGGCTTCGGCTTCTGTTCCGTCATCTTCGGCTGGGACATGCACGATATGACATACTATAAAGAGCTGAAGGTCAGCAACAAGGAGAACGGGTACAGGGACATCATCGCCGTGCCGGACCTCAACAGCTTCCGCCGCATTCCCTGGGAGAACAACGTCCCCTTCTTCCTCGTCAGCTTCTTTGACCCGGACACGATGGAACCCGTCCCGGCGTGTCCTCGAGGTCTCTTGAAGACACAGCTGGAGAAGTTCGCGACAAAGGGCTACGGGGCCATGGCTGGAGGTGAGTACTAGCACTACTACTACTTCCAAGTTACTAGTGGGATCGAATCCCTCTGCCATCCCACCACAGGGGCCGAGTACTAGCTAACAGGGCCGCGCAACAGCCGAGTACGAGTTCTACCAGTTCAAGACCCCGCGTGCACCTTCTTCCGACCGCGCCCCGTCTGCCGCGGCATACCTCAAAGACAACACCACCCAGTCCCTCCCGTCCCTGACCGAAGGCATGTTCGGGTACAGTCTGACACGACCGGTCCACAACCAGGACTACTACTACGACATCTTCAACACCTGCCAAGCCTTCCGGTGCGACCTGGAAGGTTGGCACACCGAGAGCGGGCCGGGCGTGTACGAGGCCGCGCTCGAGTTCGGCGAGATCCGGCAGATGGCCGACCGGGCGAGCCTGTTCAAGTACGTGGTCAAGTCCGTCGCAACGCGGCACGGCATCACGCCTTGCTTCATGGCCAAGCCACGGCAGGGTCTCCCGGGAAACAGCGGGCATATGCACGTGTCCCTGGTGGACAAAGACGGCAACAACCTGCTCTACCGCGGCGAGCGGGACCCGGACCCGCCATACGCGGACGTTGCGCACCTGTCGGACATGGGGCGGCACTTCCTGGCCGGCATCCTCGAGGGCCTGCCCGACGTCATGCCGCTCGTGGCGCCCACCATCAACAGCTACAAGCGGCTGGTCGAGAACTTCTGGGCGCCCGTGACCGTGTCGTGGGGGCTGGAGCACCGCGCCGCCTCGATCCGGCTGATCGCGCCGCCCACGGCCAAGCCGGGCGCCACACGCTTCGAGATCCGCGTGCCGGGGGCCGACGCGAACCCGTACTACGTACTGGCGGCCGTCCTGGCGCTGGGCTGGCGCGGCGTGGAGAAGAAGCTGGAGATTCCCTGCCCGCCGCTCGGCAAGGGCGAGGACGTGGGCGGCTCGACGGATATGGGCGCCCGCCTGGCGCGGAGTCTGCGCGAGGCCAACGACAGGTTTATGCGGGAGGGTAGTATTGCGAGGGAGGTGTTTGGCGATGACTTTGTTGATCATTACGGCGGGACGAGAGACCATGAGATCCGCCTGTGGGACGAGGCTGTTACTGACTGGTGAGTCTACGCCTACCTCGTCTCGTCTAGAGAGGGGAGTAGTATTGTGCGTGATGTGCTGACCGTATATACAGGGAGATGAAGAGATATATAGAGACGGTCTAATATTGGGAGGGGAACAGATGGGTGTTTGGAAGGTGGCTTGGGCGGCTGGGCCTGGGATTTATGTTTACGACTACTATGTCACGGATAGGAGATACCCCTTTGACGAGTCAATGATATCAGTTCCATGACGCATGCCTGTTTCCTTGACTACGGCCTTCTAAACACTGCCGTGCACCAGAGTAGCGCGGTTGTGTAAATGGACCATAACCTTGGCCCCTGGTAGTATCCGTCCGTTCCTCCTCTTCAGGTGACGACCACTCTGCCTCGTGCCTGGGTGATTGCTCGTCACGGCGAATGGCTGCGTGCGTATAGATAGCAGGGACTCGGATCCCGTTCTTCGTGGGCACGTCGGTACATGAGGCTGTTTGCGGACATGGCTCTCGCACTCTCTCTCTGCCATGGCATTGCAGCGAAGCGGGAAGGGTCGATCTCTCCTGGCCTGGAATAGAATGTGGACATTAGGGGTGGAGCAGACGAGATCGGAGAGCGTGCAAGCACTTACTCTGCCTGAAGGGATGCTCCTTTGTGATGGAGTTGCGGAGACGATGTCCCACGATGTGGATGCAGTGCGCGGCGGATGAAAGAAGCAGACAGGCTTGGGTGGGTGGGTAGTACTACTTTACTAGTAGGTAGAGGTAGGCACCCGACCCGTTGTCCTAGAAATACGGTGACTTCTCGACCGCAGGCTTGTTGATGTTTGGAACGGCATGCAGCAAGACAAGACGAAATTCGAAATCATGTCAACGTTCCCGTGTTGGACGGTGGAAGTGAGACTGTACACGGTCATCACTTAACACCAGGAAACAAGTAACAAGACACGGTTAGCTCGGGCCCACGGAGCTTTGATCGAGCTCAAGGTGGGTGACACGGGTATATAGAAGTCGACGTCCCCCCGTTACTTCGACTCCCCCTATCAGTCCACCATCACTGCTTCCTATTCAAACGATCTACTCATTTAACTCACCCCTCTCAGCTAACCGCCTTGTTGTCATCGAAATTGGTCATTCAGTCGGCCTGAATCTCACCGTTTCCTACTCTATCACTCCTCAGTGTCCTCACCTCACTGCCCACAAGCCGACCATCAAAATGTGCAAGGGCGAGAAAACCCTGGCCTGCTCAGATCGCCGGGAGAGCATCCGTGTCAGATACAAATGCAAGAACACCTCAAACTCTTACTCGTATGGCCTGGTATTCCGTTGCATCCTAGAATAGGGATACTCGGATTGCTTCCATTTGAACTCATGCTTTGGTTTTATGTGCGGTGTTATACTCCTGGTAGGGAAACCATGTGAAACATGGCACCTTGGTACAGTCATTTCCTTTGAATGTGGTCGCCGCCGTTGTAACCGTTCTCACCACCACTAGTAGCCTGAGCACCTAAGGCATCAAAGAGGTAGCAGTATCTCTGCCATCCCGCGTCACACCGTTATCCGTGGCCGACCTGGAAGTTGACGGCGCATTTAGTAGCAGTTGCACATGGCCGATCTCGAAGCACACCGAGTCATTTGTTGGCTTCAAGATCCCTCAGTTCCAGGTTGATGGCACTCACATTGCCGGTCTGCAAATCCCATGTTTGAACAGCAAAGTCGGTGCATCCAGCATTGCACAAAGTTCGCCCTCTCTCAGCACAAGTGAACCACCAGCTGTCCAGGAATAAAAATCTCGCACTAGCGCCCAAGTGGCTGCTAACCTTGAACTCGACTCTGCCCGGGACCGACATTTCGCAGCTGCCTTGAGTTCCACTCATTCACCAACAACAATCAGCAGTCACAGACAGCCCCGACAGCGGAAGATGTGAGAAAGCAATGATGCCCGGTGGGAGCGACAGGAGGCGTTCTCAGGCTCCTGGACGAGCAAATGCTCGATATGATGGGCAGGACTCCCGTGCCCGTAAGATCGCCAGCCCAACCTCCTATTCGTTGCCGGTATGAACTAGTAGATAGTTGCTAATTATTTTCTGGCTTCAGGTTCTGACAACCCACTCCTGACATCGATGACCGACTCGTACTCAGGCGGACCGTCCCAGTTGGCTCGCCGCCATGAACGTCAACGCCAGTCACTCTATCCTACTTATACTCTCACCCAAGACCGAGCGACCGATGAGCGTCAAACCTCCGCCTACAGCACCAACGCCAGCCGTGGCCCCAACTCAATCCCGGACCGGACTCTGGGCCGCGGAGTGTCACCGTACCCGAGGTCATCAGAAGTCACGGGGGATTTCGCGACAAGTTCTTCGAGACAGGCCCTCCCTAACCCGACTGGGGGTTCCTCCAGTAGCCACCAAGCCCGCCGCCGCTCCACGTCCAGAGAGCGAAGAGCGGCGCGCCTTGTTTCCTTTGCCGATCGCCTCCCGCGTCAGTCGGATCGGAGACCCGAAGGGCACTACCGTAGCGGCGAGTCCGGAGCCACACGTCGTTCCGAGAATGGAGATCGCTTGGACGACAATTTCTCGCTGTTGGTGTCCTACACGACGACCAGCTGTCGTTCCCCGAGGAGAAGGGGACAGGGGGACTCCTCGGAGTCCGCGGACAGCCACTCACACCATGACCGCACCGGATCTACCAGTGACCTCGGGCTCGGCTATGGGTACATCAGCGCCGTGGAGTTCATCTGAAAAGCCGCGCCCTGCGTGGGCTTGGGGTCTTGTTTGGCGTTACATCATGGAGCGGTATGAGACTCATAGCGCCGGGGTTGAGGGACTGGGAACCAATCTTGGGTGGCAGGGCGTTTGCACCCACTAGCAGAAATGAACCATCTACTCACTGTACTACTGCTTATGGTTGATTAGCATTCGAGCTTGGTCACATTGTATGATTAGGTCGTCTCCAGTTCGTGGGTGGCGTGGCCCTAAGTATGAGGCTCTGAGCTCTGATTCATTGTATTTAGAACATGTGCTGTACAATAACAACACTAGCACTGGCTATGATAAACGACATATTAGCAAACAGGTTGGATGGCCTGCGCTGAGGGCTTCAGAATATCTCCTTGTGACATACTACACATGTTCAGTTAGAGACAAAGCGGTACTGAGGTCTCACACACAGACTTAGAAGTTAGATCTCCGACTGGGGGAGCCGAGTTTGGTCAGACTGTGGCAAAGCTAGAAAGCAATCAACAGGGAATATGCACTATTATGAACATACAAGGTCATGCATGATTCACGAGGGACACAATGGTGAATACAACAAACAACACACCGACCAACAACTCCCGTGCTCAGCAGCAAATTGCCCCCAACATCTGCGCACACAAAGAAGGGGAAGCTACAACGAATCTTTATCCAACACACCCACCCACCATTGTTATGAAACAACTCACGTAATTAACTGACTCATGCTTCTTGTTCATGGCTAGTCTTTCGGTCATGGCTCTCCCTCGAAGATGTATAAAAACCGCCATGACCTCCGTCCCTAGCAAGTCAACACTTTCTTCGAAATCCAAGAGCTCTCTTTACCAGAAGCAAATTCAACTTCTATTTGTCACACACACCACCACCACAAATCACCAATCACACATCATCACATATCACATATCAGAATCGCACATTGCAATCAAAATGAGCGACAGCAAGCCTGTGGAGAAACCGGCGGACAAGCCCGCTGACAAGCCCGCGGAGCCTGATCCCAAGCCTCCGCCCTTCCGTCGTGGCGCCGTCTCGGTGGACAACAAAGACGCTCTGGCAAAGTTGAAACCAGTCAAGGATGAGGAGGAGAATCTCGTCCGGTACAAGTGAGTACCCACGAAAGAGATGCCACGGGACTAAGGCCGGGGGGTATGGTGAAGAGAGGGGTGAGGGGAAGGAGTGGTGACCGAGGGATGCGCTCAGTAACAGACACACTCCTATCATAGCATCTCAGAAGGTTGGGTCACTGAATTGAGGTTTTGATTTTCTCATAATAACGCAGTGTGCCATGCAAGAGTGTGTGAATCGTATTGCTTGATATTCCAGCAACCATCCAGCTATTCCATGGTAGACTCCCAGATCAATAGTGTTATGCACAGAGTTGGGATACAGCCGATTGGGACTTGCCCTCGTCCTGCCGGTGAGCTACCTTACTTTGGCAACCCAAAATCACTAACCAACGCGTCCATCAATCCGCTTGTTGTTTGGGCATCCTTGCCTTCCCCTTTTTCCAGCCCCAGGTGACTTGAATCCCTCAACTCCTCGAATGCAGCCTGCCTTATACACCATGCAATCCGCCCGGAAATCCGATACAGAACGTCCCTAGGAAAGGAAAAAAAAAAAAAAAAAGAATACACATGATACGGCATATTCAGCCTCAATTCCAGGTGCTTGAGAAACCCTCTCCCCCCGTCTCCATGCCGAGCCTCGCAGCCGCAGCTTGCTTCCCGAACAGCATGATTTCCAAGCCCTGCATCCGCTCCCGCAGCGCAAGGTTCTCCGTCTCCAGCCCGTGATTCCTGTATTCCAGCTGCTGGATGTATTCGGCAGCCTTGCTCAAGATGGTGGCCTTGTGCAACTTGGTGGTGCATGTTTCGAAATTCATACCAGCAGAAGAATCCATCGACACGTCGCCGGCGCCGGCGCCGGCATCCTCGGACTCGGCACTTCCACCTTCCTCGGCCAGCTTGGCTCGCTGCGCCATCAGCCGCAGGGAGGGCACGGCGTCCCGGAGCTGGAGGATCTTGTCGTTGAGGTTCGTTCGGTACCGCTTCTCAATCATATTGTGAGCCGTTTTCTTGGGCGCGAGCACTCCGGAATCACTGGAATCCTTCGACTTGAAGGGAACACGACGGGTCGAGGGCGTTGTTGTTGGCTGTGTTGTAGCGGTAGGCGCAGCGTTTGCTGGCCTGGTTGCGGGCTCCTCTTCTGATCCGAGCTTGCGCTTGGGAACACGCGAGGGGTACCGCTTGGGGCCAGCATCAGCAGTGGTTGTGGAAGAGGGCGAGGCGGAGCGCGAAGTGGACGATGTGGGAGACGCGAGCAGAGGGGCTGTCGCCTGAGCCGCAAGCTCTTGCTGGTGCACACCCTGGCTCTGATACTGCTGCTGCTGCTGCTGCTGGGCCGGCACGCTGGCCGACATGGCTTGTGACTGGTACATGCGTGGTTTGACACGGAGATCGAGGGGGTTGATGGCGGGGCTCAAAGACGAGTCCGATCCAAAGGTCTGGCAGTCGAAGAGGTTCTCGGTCTCGACATACATCTCTGCAGCGTCCCAGGTGGTGTAGGCCTCTGCCGCAGGAAGACCGAATGAGCTAGCCGAGAGGGCCGGAGAGAGGGGCGACAAGGGCGAGTGGGCCGAGTCCGAAGTGAAGTCGGTGCCGAAGTCCTCAGTGTCGAAGAGTGACACTTGCGAAAAGTCAGAGTATGTAGGCTTCAAGAATGTTAGCGCTTTCTGGTCATGACTATGAAGTAACTCAATCTCAGCCCGTGTCTTAAACAGGCTGTCGCATGCAACACGCAATCGAATCGAGGGATCCAACTCCCTTCAGAACACGATCGCACGCAGCAGGGACTCAGGGGGTTGATAGACCCTACCCCGCACAAGGTGTGGTGCAACAACCTGACTAGGAGGAAGGAGCTAGGGAAAGTAGAAAAACAACTAACAACTTGAAGTTGCGAACCGTCAAAGGACGTTGCGCTCATGTCGAACGACATCGACGAGGCAATGGTTGCTCCAGACATACCGATGGAGTGACGCTGACAATGCGCGTTGTGCTTTGACTCTTTTTAAAAAGTCGAGTGTCCAAAGCTTCTTTTGCTGAGGGGTCGAGACTGGGTGGCGACGTCAACACTTGAGGTGGAATGACTCTGTAGTGACGTTGGTTGGTTGATGCGTCTAGAAGTCCGTGGTGATCAGATGCCTGGGCCAGGGGAGCTGGGCAGCTCGAGCTCTCTTAAAACTCAAAAAACGGCCTCGCTGAGCTCCTCGAGGTCGGCATCTCCCGGCAGCCATTTTGCAATTGCAGTCTCGGCTAGGTGGTGCGCCGTCACACTGCGGCGTATTGGGAGCCTGCGAAAACTAACAAACGGATGATTTATCTTGGAGTGGTGCCAGAATGAACTCGGCCGGTTCTCGACAGTCCAGAACCCGAAAATCGCCTTCTGCATGGGCCCCAGTGGAGACGGAGCCGTCCGCCCATCCTCGCACGCGTTGGGCCGGGGATGCTCGGAGAGTGCTGGGCGCCCGTCTTGGCTTTGCAGCCTGCCGAAGTGCCCCGCTCCTCACAGTCAACCAAATCGGTTGTCTGCAGTGCATGCCACGGCGAGTAGTTATCCGAATCGCAATCCGATTCGAGTCAAGAAAACAGACATTAGGTCGGTATCCGCTTTCGAGATCCGTCGTGTACATAGTGGGCTGGTCATTTCTGTCCCATCTCCACCCGAGCGGCAGTAGATGGACATGACGATGCGCCCGGACATCGATCCGGTCAGCCCTGTTGGCCATGCCTTATGTGACAATGCATTTATACGTTTCCGATGGAAAAGAAAGAAGAAACAATTAACCCACGTGCCCGAGATGGCACAGATCGCACCCGACAGAGGCACTGCTCCCGATTGCCCGCTTGGGTACCTGACCTACAACACCCATCGCACCTACGAGACAATCGAAAGTAGAGCGGAATATCTTTTGAGGCAACGGATCACGGCAATGCTGAACAGATCGTGTCAGGGCTCGTAGGACGGTAGGAGAGTGCCGGAGAAAATCCGTTGAACTGACAGGCCGGACGTGCGTTTTTGGGAGCGGCCCGTTCTTTTCAGAAGAAAATGGCCTGATCGTTCGATGGGCGAACCGCCCCACAAAACGCGTGACCGGACAAGTCCGCCGGATATACGTTAGCGAGAAAGTACCATATACGCACAAAAAGTACTAAAAAGCACTTGGTGTAGATCGCGAGAAATTATCGTGAGCACCGCACTCACCAAGCAGACTCTCATGCTTAATGCTCCTCATGACCCTCAAAATGGCGCGGCTTCACAACCGAACGATTTTCATCTTCTTTCGGCTTCTTGGGCTAAGAGTGACCTTCCCATGACTCAGATGAGATCGCGGGTTTCGGCTTCTTGTCTTGCGAGGGATTGATGAGAGTAGTGCAGTCGCACTCCTCCCTCCGGCTCTCAGCACGGGGTGATGGATCCACTTGGCGCGGGAACCGCCGGCGTTCCACCGCGAGCCGGCGGGACATTCTCCACTTTTTCGACCGCTGAATGGTCCGGTCTCGGGTGCCTGCGGGGACTGAGCCGGGCACGTTGCCGGGGTTCACATCTCCCGGTGACCCGGATCAACCGCGCGATTTCGATACGACGTCTCGGACACTTGTTAGACTTCTTCGCAACGCTGTCTACCTACCAGTAACAGATGATCGATCAGAGTAGCCCGAACAACCAAGACACAATTGAACCATGCGCGGTGCGGATCTACGTAACAATGTACCTGCCTTCCATAGACCTTCTTCTTCAGTAGCTTGCCTGATGTGGTTGTTGTTGACTGACGTATCTCGGGTGACATGCCACAACACTGGACAGCATAAGCGGTTCCCTCCCGGTGCCATATGTCGAGTGGTCCACTTGTTACGGCTAGAAGAACGAGATCCCGGGATGTGAATATACCTTATGCTGTCAGCTGTGCCCAGACACTCTTAAGTCAACTCTCCGGGCTGCTGGACCCGCTGCGATCGACGCTACCGGAACTGGTACCCTGCTCAACTGATGAATCCAGAACTCCCGGCGCCCGCTTCGTGACCTAGAGAGGTCCTTACTAGACAACCCGTCACCCTGCGGACCGTCTAGCCGATCCGCTGCCGTTGTTGGGCGACGTTTCTCATGGCTGGTTAAGCAATTCAGCAGGAACCGCTCTCGCTGCTAGCGTCATCGAAAACGAATAGTTGACTGGGACTGTCTGGTCTGCTCCTGTGGACTACGGATTCTTCCCAAGGCAATTTCCGCTGTATAGATGATGGCGTATATCAGCACGCAACGTCTGATAGACTTCGACTCTATATCTACGTGGCTAGTCTGACATCGATGCACAATACGTTGAAGCAGTCTTGTCCCCGTTGCCCGATGCGGGTAATCAAGACGACTCCCTGTTGGAAGAGCATCCTTGACAGGTAGAGCAACAATAGTTACCTAACTAAGCCCAGGGACCATGACGCGGAATTCATATGCCTGAGGTAGCGATAGACTATTCTAGGATGCCGAAGGTGATTCGACCAAGAGAAGACGCGCCTGCCCAGAGCCAGTGGTTGACGCACATTTTAGCGCATAGGGTAGTAGCTGTCATTCCCCTGTTGGGGGATGGTCGTCAAGGGGGTTAGGGCTTCAGGTTTCGTAACCCCTAGCCCACTATCAATGCTGACCTAGCACGTGTATACCGATGAACACGACTTGGCCTGGGGCATCTGCCTCTGACCCCCCTTTCCGGAGACCAGATGTGCTCCCCGAGGATAGGGCGGACAAGCCAAAGACAGGGGGGTGGAAAGAATGAGCTCGGAAGACGGAACAGATCCGTAAGAGGCAAGCCGGTGGACAGGTCTGAAAGAACTCGACACGCTCGAAGAAGAGCGACAAGCGGAAGTGAACTGTCATGCAGATTGGCTGTGGCATGTGAGATTAGATTGAGAGATGTGAACCTGGAATGTGGAACTGGAAGTAAAGGAAGCTGGCTAGGTGCCCGGGCGAAGGAACTTCTGGAAGCCTTCTCTCATGCACTCCGGATGCTCTGCGGCTTCTCCAAGGATTTGGACCTGGAGTTGGACATTGGAGATATTAAATCACTATCTAAAGGTCGGAACCATTTGTCGAGGACATCATGTTGTGGTATCCATGGCCGGGTCCTGTATATGTGATGAGACGTCGGTTCGGTTTCGACCACTGAGGACTGAGCAATTACTAGTGCATGATGCCTCGAGTTTGGTACATTCTATGATTCGTCGGAGCAACATCGAGTACAAAGGTGCGGAAAGGTCCTCTGCCCTACGAGAGGCAACGGTGCAGCGAAGTAGCAGCGTTATACGCCCGCATCGTGCTCACCCAGCCTCTTTGAAGAAGCAATTACAGAGAGGACTACCAGGTCCTCTGTACCTAGCCAAGTCGCTTCCCCTATGACTCCTGGTTCGGCCTGTGGGATCTAGGATCCCATAACACACCTGGTTTAATATGCCACTGCCATTTAGCCCTCAGTGGCCGACCGTGGGGACGCTGGGTTGCGTTGGCAATATATGCGGATAAAATGGAAGCTGATCTTAGCAGGTGAAGATTCCATCCACGCTTCGCCCCGCACTACCAGTCGACACCATCTCCCATATGCCGCTACCACCTTGTCAACATTGTAACCAGGTCTCGTCCATGCACATCTCGTAGCAACGCCTCGCCCCAGGAGGAAGTTCCTCCGACTGGATTCGTGGGATTTAGATTAAGAAGGCCAACCTAATGGCGCCACGCGATTGCGAACCGTCCAACGGGCGTTTAGCAATTGCCCTTGGCTCCAAGCGGGTTCGAGCAAATGGTCTTCTGGACAAGCTCCGCTGTAGATCAGGACGGGCCCGGGATTCGAGATGCCGACAGCAACGTGGCCAGCCGCTTCCTATATTTAACCTTGGCGGGACGCAGCCGCTTCCCTTATAGATATCAGGGCGGTCTTGATCCAATTCGTTATTCGCCGCCGCTGACGACTTAAAGGGCTGGTGCCGCCGCTGACGACTTAAAGGGCTGGTGCCGCCGCTCCCCGTCCTTTCTCCTCGGATATCCCAATTCCCGTCGCCGAGCCCGCCACTGGTTGAGACTACTCGTACCTCATCTGGAACATCATCCCGCAGAACTTGCAATGCTCTGGACTCTGTTCGTCAGCCTTGTGGCTGCCCTGATAAAGACAGGCAAGTGGTATCTGCCAGTCAACCGGATCTGACACTTCCAAAGCAACTAACCGGAGACGCAGCAGTCGCCGCCGACGCCATCTACCGGGATCCCGACACCGGGCTTGTGTTCACGTCCAACTTCCGGCTGTACAAGGCGGACGGGCGCGGCGTCACCTTCCGCATCGCCATTCCGGACGATGCTCAACAATACAGCGCGTACGACGCCGTCGTCCAGATGGTGGTGCCCAACGATGTCGGCTGGGCGGGTCTTGCCTGGGGCGGCACGATGCCCAACAACCCGCTGCTGGTGTGCTGGAGAGGAACCAGCAACAATGTCGTTTTGTCGTCCCGCTGGGCAAGGTGAGTTTGGTTTGTTATTTGTTTTATACTCGTCCGCCCCCCTCCCCCACCCCCACTTTCAGTACTACTAGTAGTATCTCCTCGCAGAAACTGACCAGAAACTAACTTTCGTGTGAAAAAAAAAAAAAAAATAATAGCGGACACTCGTTCCCGCAGGAGTATTCCGGCGCGCAGTACACGCTCTTCAAGACGGGCACCAAGTCCAACTCGACGCACTGGCAGTTCACGGCGCTCTGCCGGGGCTGCACCTCGTGGACGCCCCCGCCGTCGTCTGGGGGATCATCGACGACCCGCTACCTCAGCCCCAGGGGGGGCAACCGGCTGGCGTTCGCCTACTCGCCGACCAGGCCGTCCAACCCCAACAGCCCGTCGTCGAGCTTCTCAGTCCACGAGGTCCACGACTACTGGCAGCACGATTTCGCGCAGGCGGCGAACCCCAACTTCGCCAACACCGTGTCGAAGCTTGTGTTGTCGTAGGCGAAAGGATGTTGTGGGATGGGATGTGATATGAGATGTGATGCATCTGGGATTGTGTATACATACATGCTACATGTTGTAAGCTATGCAAGGAGGGCTTGCAAAGGGTGTGTTGAACCGCAATGCTCGAGGTCTAGAGGAGGGGTGGCACAGGGGTGGCATGCTGGATTTTTATAGAGTGAAGGGAAGTGGGTTTGATGGAGGAAGGAGGATGGAAAGAAGGGAAGTGAGGCTTGGATATTACTCAAACATAGCCTTGTAGTCAATCTTAGCGGTTGATTGCACACTTTTTGCTGTCAGCAGGATGTTGTTGAGATGGGCCTTGATTTCGCCCCCGCAAACATTCGCTAATAAATGCTTTGGTTCCCAAAATCTATTACCACGCTGTGAAGAGGAAGGTACCCGTGAAACACAAACAACCTTGCTTTTTCCCCCATCCCATTTCTAGAGACGCCGGTGAGACCCTATCCCACCTGCTTGTAGGCGTGTGAAGCATCCATCTCGACGGGCGTCATGGGATTGAGGGCCGGGTTGTCGAACGTAATACTTCCCCCGAGCTCCGAGTACTCCGGCCCGGCTTGCAGCTCCGTCATCCTCTGAGTGCCAGGCGGCTTGTACGGTCCTGGGAGCTCTGCAGACGCCCCCATCGGGGAAGCGTCCTTGTATGGTTGGTAGTAATAATCCCCGTGCACCGCGTGCTGCTGCTCCGGCAGCTCCGCACTAGGAGGAAGAGGCATGACGTTTTGACTCCTTCTCTTCCGACGGAGGAGGAACCAGGCGACGGCGGCTATGAGGGCGAGTCCGGCTATGCCGCCTACGACACCCCCGGCTATTGCGCCTACTGGCGTGGTTGAGCTGTTCGATGCGGGTGCGGGTGCGGTTGTTTCTGGGTTTGGCGACTCGGATGTCCCGGAGCCCGTATCTGTAAGAGAGAGAGAGAGAGAGTTTGTCAGTTCGAGCTGCTAGGGATGCGACATGTGCTTCTTTTGATGGCACGTACTTGCATCTGTTGAGTTTGTGTTTGTCTTGGCGGCAAAGATATTCCTGATCTCATCGGAGCTCCACTGAACGGCCTCGAACGAGCTTGGTCCCGTCAGCTGAGAGAGTACCGACCCCAGGGTTTTGCGGTGTGCAGTCTTACCCATTGGTGTACCACGACTTGAGATCCGCATTCCTCTCATACATGGCCACGGTGGCGTCGTACGAGTCCTTCCACGTCATCTCGGTCATGTCAAACAGCTTCAAGCCCTGCGCATATGCATCCTTTTTTGTCCAGTCGCCGGTCCAGCCGCCGATGCTCAGCACTTGTCGCTTGCCCACAGACAGACAATTGTGCCACGAACGGGCGCCGCCTGGCGAATCGGCCGCCTTCCTCCATACGAAGCCGGGCAGGCTGAGAACGTAGGCGTCCTGGTATTGCACCTGAGTGCGTTGGTTCGACCCCCCGGAAAGGAAGATCTCGTAGCCGCCGTCCGAGTTTGGGAAGCCGGCAACGCAAAAGAAGGCCCTCGGGGCGTCGGGAGGGATGTCGCCGGTAGTGGCCTGCCAGTACTGCTTCTTGCTCCGCGGGTCGAAGAACGTCAGGTTACGGAAGTCCCAGGATCTCGCCGCCGACCAGTCCGGTTCGCCCACGACCGAGTGAGAGCTGCCGCCGAAGACCATGACCAAGCCGTTCGGCCCAAACGTTGGGATGTAGTGGGCCGCCGCGCCGGCCAGGGTGGTGAAAGGACTGAACGCCGTGGTGCCGTTGTCCCAGACCTTGCTCTTCATATCGTACGTCACCATGCCCGGGAGCACTTGGTTGCGCGCTCGGTACAACTCGGTCCAGCCCGATGCTATCCCGCCGATGTAAAAGCCCGTGTCGTTGGAACTTGCGTACGCCCCGAACTCGGATTGGTGAAGGCCTTTGAACAGGTTTGCGTTCGTCGGCTCCTCGACAGCCCATCCCCCGCCCCCGTTGCCATCAGGCGTGAACTTCCATAGCTGGTTCTCCGTCATGTTCATGCCCCATATCCACTTCCCGCCCCATACGTAGAAGGTCCCTTCGTCGTGGTTCGTCCAGATCGCTTGGCAGGCTTTCGACCACCACGGTCGTTCTATGATCTTGAAAGCGACGTCCGATGTGGTCCATGACTTGGAGAGATCGATGGATAATGTGGAGTTTACTGGAACAGTTTCGCTAGCCGTTAGAATAGCACTGCCGATGTGCGACGCTCCACCATCCACTGCCGTCGCACAAGAAAAAAGCCACAGTCGCTCACCTTGGTTTGATGTCCGACCCAGGATCGCCGTTCCATCCGAATACTGCGAAATCTCTCCACCATCGATGTAGACATAGTTGCCGATAACGGTCGCTGATCTCGCGAGTTAAAAACCACTTCCTCACGTCGACAGGCTTCAGCAAAGCGAGGGGGCAACGAACCTGACTGAGTGCCTCTGCGGATGAAATTGTCTACCGTCGGTGCGTCCGACAGTCCCGCGACGCCCACCACCGCCACACTCCCCAGTCCGAACAGGGCCGCCAGCCCCGATCCCAAACGACCCGAACGCATCTCGCGAGCGGTATTGCCGTTCGCAGACACTCAACACTCAGCAAACCGAAGTCATTCCAGGAATGTCAGTACAACACGAAGCCGTAACACCGTGTTACAGAAGGGTCCCGACAGTCCGGTAGATGGCGTCTGTCGCGTGAGACAAAAAGAGAACAAAAAAAAGGAAAGCGTATCTGAGTCACGACACACAACAGCGGCCCGGAAAACGCGAGAAAAATGGAGAGACATGGCTGGCAGCGACCTTTGCTTACCGCGGCGGTGCACATTTTAGGGTGCAGCATAGCGTCGCAGCGGCGCCCGTCGTGCCGCATCTGAATCCCCCTGCTTGCAAACTCCAAGCGGCCTAGCGTGGCGGGCCTGTGCCCGAATCCTACCTACCACAAGCGAGCGCAAGCGAAGGGGAGGGGGGCGCCCTTATTTCCGGGACCGGCATCCGCTGATGAAATCGTTCAGGAGGGATCGACGAAGTGGAACTCCAGGTTCTCCGCTGTTCCCGCGCATGCCGCGTTATATATCTGGCTGATGCCGTGCTGGGCCAGCCTCTGATTCGATGGTGTTGTGGTAATCTGTCTTTGCAGAAAGACTGGCGAGGCTAGTGACTTGTCATCGAACAAATCAGTGTTGCTGTATGGCTGAAAAAAGGGGGAAATGGAGGCTAGTGTACACACAAGTAGAACCTTGCAGGAGTCCGCGGTATCCGATTCGTCACGCAGCCGCGCAAAGCCGCCATAGGGCTGGCAGAGTTCGTCCCAGCCAGCTTGGCGTCGACCCGGGAAGGGAGAGGAGCCTGAGACATTGGAGAATCTTACACCGGAGATCTGAACACTTCTGGCTCTCAAGAGCGAAGACACTGCGCCGGCCTAGGTACGGTGACTACTACCAGCTATGGTCCACCTACGAAGGAGACGTAGGAAGCAAAGTACTAGTATTTCCATACGCTGGGGGTCCCGGCCATATAGCAAAGAAAAAAAGAAGTAATGAGAATGGGACGATAATCAGAGAGACTTCTGATAGGGAGGACTCGAAGAGAGACAGCGATCCGGCAATAGTTGACGGAATAGTATCCATCATGAACAGCTGTTAAACGCACTACATGGGGCACAAGGATAATGTTTCGTACATCGGACCTGTTCAGTAACCTTCACTACCAGAACCAGAACAACCTTTTTAAATCCGCGAACCGGCAGACAGAACAGTTGAGCTGTCACGTAACAACACCCCATCTGCTCCCAAGTGACACTGAAAGCATACGCAGAACAACTACTAGTACTACATAGCTGCTGTTCATGTAGCGTCCTGAACAGACTCTGTGATCAGGCATATCCCATAATGAGAGTAAACCTTTATTCACATTCAACTACTAGTAGTTGATCTTGGAACCTCCTAGATCTCCATTTGACTCCCTCAGTACTAATCTCTCCACTGATCGCTTCATCAACCTCTTGCAACAGAAGTACTAGTAAGACTTGACATGGAGAAAGCCAGTACCAAGGAAGACACCCCGTCCAATAATACCACGAACCCAGCCACAGGCCTAGCCATCCGAGCCGTCTAAGTTGCTTCCCAGGCCGCCTCGTCAACATCATCCCTCATGGCCAACGCGGCGGCGGCGGCGGCGGCGGCGGCGCTCGACAGCATCCCCAGTCACAGTGTCATCCCGGACGTCCAACCTGAACTTCTTCTTCTTCTTCAAGAGCAGCAGGACGCGACGATCCGCGTGCAAGACTTCCTTTCCCTGCGCGACACGGTCCACGCCGACGGTATCGTCAGCCCGTCGGAGGTGAGCTCGGCGACGACCAGCAGCAAGAACTCGGTGATCAGCTGTTGCGACTCGTCGGACGACAACAAGTTGTGCGCCGAGAACAAGGAGGAGGAGGAAGAGGAAGAGGTGGTGGTGGTGGTGGACTTGACACAGCTCAGTCCCGAGGAGCGGGAGAAGTACTTGGAGATGCTGCGCCGGCGGCGGGCGGAGAAGAAGCGGAACGCTGTCATTGACGCGCTCGACGATGCCTTTGGGCCGACCGCTCTGTTGTTGTTCCGGGGTGTGGCGGGCCGGGACAGGGCTCAGCGGGTTCTGAAGGGTGTTAGTGATATTGGAGAGAGGACTGGAATGGCGAAGATGTCTGATGAAGCAGGGAAGGAGACTAGCAGTTCTGATATGGTGGAGGAAGAGAATGAGGAAGGGAAGGAAGGTGGACGTACCTGAAGGAAAGGAATGGGACTGAAGGGAGAATTGGGATGCAAGAGGGAGTCTTTGGTCTCTCCATGTATCATTTGGGCATTCACCAGCGTCCTGTATCCACAGAGTGTAGCAGCATTCCTGACGGGATAGAGAAAAGCCTTTAGGTTGGGGATGAATCTGATTTGGTTGTCCTGGACACGGAGAGCAACTGACGCAATGCAATGGCTGTGTGCACAGTGAATGAGCGAGAGCCCACCAGGTCCTTAGGAAATGCGTGACCCATCTCGCTGTAACCTCTATCGCCTCTCCCAGCCCATAGGCAAATTCATCCCCAACTGCCCCGAAGGCAGGGACTCGACAAACCCATTCTTCGCATACAGCCTCCTCCCCGGCCCGTCGGCAAACAGCGTGACATACGCGCCCGTCCCGTCCTGCGGCGCATGCTCCTTGATGTGTCGCAGCAGATCCTTCAGCACGGCATCGCCCAGCCCCTTGCGCTGATGCGTCGGCAGGACCGCCATGTCGGCGATGTGGAAGTACCAGCCGCCGTCGCCTATTATGCGGCCCATTGCGACGACTTCTTCTTCGTCTCCGTCGTCTTTTCCTTCGTTGTTGTTGGCTGTGGCGTTGGAGAAGGTGATGTAGCAGCCATACCAGCTGTGTTCGGCCACGGGTTTTGCTTGCGCGGCTGTTTTGGGGGTCAAGCCGGCGGCCGCGCGGAGGTGGAGGTACGCCGGGATGGGCGGGTAGCCGGCGTGAAGGGTGTAGCCTTTCGGGAGAGCCCGGGCCTCAGCTGGAGCCGGGTCGGATGTCATGGATGCGGAGACCATTTGCGTTCTGGGATCGGTTGTTGGCGGTTAGCTAGAGTATGGCCGAGGATTGAACACCTCGACCTCGGTACACTTACCGTTTACCCGAATCACCTCTACCTATTTGAATACCTGGTTTTGCATATGCCAGTCTGGGAAGCAATAGAAACTCTTGCTGAACAACCACATCGGTGACTCACATTCGGCGTCTAGGGTCCGATCCTAGTGGGTCATTTCCTGATTCATATGATAGCCTAAAGAGGCAGGTCGGCCCCGGACACAGACCCACTTGTCGCCGGTCACGGACATACGACCGGGCGCAAGCCAGGATGAGAATCACGGATGTCGAACAAACTATAATTCAAGTAAAAGGCTTAGTCTATATCTCTCTCTTCCATCGTCTACGTTCTAGATTTTGTCTCTGACTAGTAGGATAATATGAAACAGGGACCCAACAGTTGAAGTGCGGTCATCTCACAGACCGGCGGACTCTCCCTTAGGTACTCGTAGCTATCCGTGTCACTGAAACACCGGATTTCATACGCCGAAGAGGAGGAGGAGGAGCCCGCTTCGGAATATCCACTATGGCTGCCTCGATCACCACAAGGCTAGTTGCCGAGCATGGGGCAGCGACGGTGGGAGCGGACTGAGACACTGCCAGGCTACGCGCGAACCCCGGCTCTCGTACCTTTGCCTCAGAGGAACCGTGGTTCCTATGTGGCCGTCTGCGATACTTGTCCAACAGCTCCTGGTCAGACCTAGTAATCGTCCGCTGTGGTGCTGAGGCCTTGACCTTCTGGAGACAGTCATCAACGCCTTTCCACGGGCCAGAGAACGGCCCGAGCATGGGAGAATCAGGATCCTCCTCCTCGTTGTATCCGCAGCGGTTTCCGTCCTCGAGCCAACTAATCTCCGCAGCCTCAACGCATATCGCGGTCAGGGGGGGTTTCTTTTTGATGTCAATGGGGTGCCTACGAGTAGGCTTGGACCCCTGGCCAGAGTCATTGCGGGCTGCCATTTTAGCAGCAAGCTTGAGCGACGGAAAATTTTCCTTTCTCGAGTATCGTGACTTTGGATTTTATGGTAGCGGAAACGCCTAAGGAGCTGAGAGCCAAAAGGACGAACTCTCCGGTACTGCGGTTTTGATATTCTAGCGGCTGACAATGACTTTTGTGCTCGCGTTCTTTGTTCTTGATGTTGGGAAGCCTGTGCAGTGGCAATGAGCAAGACAACGAACAAAAGCGTCCAAGTGATATGGAAGTTGTTCTAAGGATCAGAAAAGCTGGGTATCCGCAAAGCAGCGAATCCGGTGGCTTACTGCTAACTCGGTTCTAGTAAAGGAAATCTTTATCTTCTTGAGCTACATCCAGAGGGTAAGTCGTGACAACACGGCGGAGAGCGGGTTCCTGGGTTCGAACAACGTCAATAACCTGGCCTAGGCTAGAAGATATGTAGTTGTTTGGGCTCACTCAGCAGCGAGACGTCATCTGGGATGTGCGATAGAAAGGGCATATTGTACGCTTCTAATAGCATGTTGCGCAACATCTACCAAGCGGCAGAATGCGAAACCGCATCTCTCGGCACCTGCATTCTGCAGTGCGGAGAGGTCGCATCCTCTTTAACATCGGTATTCATCGCCACGGGTTACCTCCACGGGTGCGTATGAATCCCGGTCCGTTGTTGCCTCCCCCCTTTCATGCCCCTCCGGACTCATCGGTAACACACCCCGTGTATACCTAAGTACTAGTAGGGACTCCCTCGAGAACTGGGCCCCCATCCCCTCCTCCCCTAGCGCGACACGCACGCTGTGATCTAAGCGGCAGGTGATGCCTACTTCAACCGCTTCGCCAACGCCAGCGTCGCCGTCCCCCTTCGGCACGCCCTGCGCGCGCGTCTGGAAGGCGGGCGGACATCCGGGCCGCGGTGAGCCAACAACAACATGTGCGGCCTGGGCCTGCCATCGAAACCATCACGGTGAAACTAACTCGCCAATATGTCGTGGACGAGGAGGGTGGGCGCCTGTGTCCATCTTCGTGGGGGTTTCCGGGTCTGGGCCGCTCTGTGCCACGGATGCGCCGATGCCGGATGGCACACTTCTTCAGGGTCGAGGGCGGCAAGAATAAGATACGGTATATCCATAACGCGTCGACGTGCGAGCATGCTGGGTGCGGTTTGGATGGGACGGGGATTCCGGGCTAGTGACGGAGCATCTTGTGGAAGTTGGCGGTGGTTGTGTCGACTTCATGTTGCTGTGAGGTCGGTGTTAGAAGGTAGGTACTAGTAGTTTTCGTGCTCATGGGCAATATCTAAGAGGGACAGGGCAACCCCCGCTAGTTAGAATGACGTAGGGTGGGAGTGGACTGTTGAGATCGTTGCCCATCACTTCGGAACCGAGGAGGAGTTATGATCTCTGACGGTCCTAGAGCTGCCGAATCTGTTGATGAGGGACCTGAGTCGTGCGACCATCCGATCAGACGAATTCGCGTAACCAGGAGAAGCTCGAATGCTGCATGCTTTAACGAACAAGGCCAGCCGCCCACACTTTGGCAGGTAATAAATGAGGGAATTTGTCGACAATCACTAGATGGACTTTTCCAAGTGATGTTAGCAGTGTGATGTGTCAAGAGTCTCTTCGGTCCCGAAATATTTTTCTGGGCATGTCTCCTCGAGTCGACGTCTTAATGCGGCTGGCTGGCCGGTGCCCGGTCGTGCGCTCAGGCGGTGGCTTCTTATTCGTGTCGTTAACGCCTGGAATTCATGGGCAAACCCTGCACAGAACAGCGAGACTTCGAGCTCGAACCTGCAGCCAAGAGTCGGAGGCTTCTCCAAACCAACTCTTCTGGGGTTAACGTTAACCGGGGAATGACCCCCCTGGACTGCTGGGTTGCTGATCTGCCGCCTACACGCAACTCCTGCAAGGGGATTTTGCTTTTCCTCCGCGTGGATTGGCTTGCGTGCGGGTATCTGCCACTCATCCTCCATCAATACCCCGGACGGGCATGAGGTTCCAGAACGATACCTGGACAGGAAAAGGGAAACGATGGCGCATCTAGTGTCAAGGTCAACGTCAAGGGCTAATGAGTATTGACCAGCATCCCCAGAATGGAGATCGAAGGATTCAGTCACTTCTATAACTTCTCCCCAGGCCCTGCTGCTACCCCAGCCGATCTATCTGAACATCTCCACTCGTTTTCTCCTCGCTGGGCCCGTTGCATGGCCTTATTTGGACAACAGAGATCAGGGGTGCTGCGGATAGATCCTCCCTAGACCTTGGGACCAGTCTTCGACAGGACGATGTCCTCAACAGAGAGCCCGCCAGGTCCAGATGAGTCCAAGGCTTCTATCGTCGTCGGCGTCGTCACAGCTCTGCACCTTGTTTCTTGGACCCTTTTCGGCACTCGCATCTGGACTCGCGTCCGGCCCACCATCCGCCTGTCCCCCGACGACTACTTCATTATCCTCGCAGTGGTAAGCAATGGAAGTCGGGCGTGCTCTACATTGGGGCCTGAAGTTAATCGACGCACTCCACAACCGTTAGGTATTCGATGCGGTCTCGTTCGCCTTCCTGCTAGTGGCCGTCAAGTACGGCGTCGGACGACACAACTACTACCTTCCACCCGACCAGGAAGTCCTGGCCGAGAAATGGCTCTTCCTCAGCCAGCCGCCCTTCCCCTGGAGCCTCGCCTTCTCCAAGGTGAGCATCTCGTGGATGCTCCTCCGGATCCAGCGCGACATCCGCTGGTGGTGCTGGACCATGTACGCCTTCATGGTCTTGTCCGTGGCCGTGGCCATCACCTCCAACGTCTTCCAGCTGTCGCTCTGTACGCCGCTGTATGGCGTGTGGGACCACAGCGACCCCTCCGTGGTGTGTGCCGATCCCAAGAAGAGCCAGGTGTCCATCTACGTAAACTCTTCCGTTACCATTGTTACCGACGTTGCGCTCAGCCTCGCGGTATGTTCCCCTTTAGGTGCATGCTCTTTGTTCGCAACGCTGACGCCCCCGGTTTCATCAGCCTATGACCTTCATCATCCACATCCACCGGCCTCTCCGCGAGAAGATTGCGCTCACGTTCGTCATGGGCCTCGGCATCTTTGCCAGCGGCGCCTCGATCGCTAAGACTTTCAAGGTTGGAAGTTATGGGAGCACGGGTGACACGCTGATGGATACGGTCGCGCTCACGACCTGGAGCATGGTCGAGGCCCAGCTGGCGTACGTCTTCTCCTCCTTACGTTGCGATGCCATGCCTGGCTGCTAACCACTTCGTGAATAGCATCATCGCCTGCTGCATTCCAACCCTCAAGCGCCTGTTCGAGAGGATCCTCCGCCGCTGGGGCTTCATCTCGAGCGAAGGCTCGGCGACACGCTCTCGAACCGGCTACCACAAGCACGAAGAGGGCACTTCCCGAACGCGCGTCTTTAGCCAACATCCTCACGCCGCCCAAGGCCACGAGCTCAGCGAGATGCGCTCGAAGCGAGACGTCAAGCACAGCGCGGCAATGACGAACGTCGACGAGACTTCCAGCCTGGAGAGCGGCGAGATGCCCATCATGAAGCCCAGCCACAAGGGGTCATATGGCGACTTCGAGTCGGTCGACTCGCCCGCGGGGGGTAGCAGCAGTGATAACGGGGTGTACTTTAAGACGGCCATCCAGGCTGGCGATCATGGGACCTCTGCTGGGGCCTGCGAGGGGGGAGGCATCCAGATGGAAACGACAGTGTCAGTGCACTCGGAGCCAAATCCCAGGCGGAGGGAAGCGGATGCGGTTTGAGTCGGGATGTCTGCGGCGTTCAGGGGTTCCGAATGGACGATCTCCATCATACATACCGGTACTACTAATCACCATGGAATCGCCGTGCCTCTGTCCCAACATTGATCATCTGCTTCAGATCTTTCGCAGGGCGATCTGAATCCTTCGGATCCTTCGCTTCGCAAGTCTTGAACAATCCAACTCGTCCAAGGGCCCCGGGAGACCAATTCCTTGAATGCAACACCCAAGACCCTTCCTTCCCAAACTCGGAGAGGCGTGCATGCGTCAGAGACTCAGAGCAAGGCTTCGCCTCAGGTCACACCAATCGACGGCTCTCAAACTTCCCGGCTTCGAGCGCCCAGAAGCGGCGCTAACTGCCCTGGTACATTTAGCTAACCCGCAAAATGCAACCTAACCCGGTGGAACTAACTGGGGATTGGTCCGGGGCCCGGTCCGGTTCAATGTCCGCAAAATAAACCCCAGGATTCTCTCGGCGCCATGGCTCGTGTGTCAGCTCAGCTGCGTACATCAGGTACCTTAGTGTAGAAGGCCTTGTTGAAGGCGGCCAATGCCAATGTTGTAATAAACCTGCATAAATTCGACACGAAGACCGTCGCAAGCATGGACATGTTAGGAGCCGGGACAACAAGACACTCAACGCGAGGACTTTCCTCTCGGCGGCGCCATTGATAATGGCTTGTCGCTCGGAAGCTCCGGTAAGATCAACCTGGAAAAAAGAGGTAAATCAACAATCATCGCAGATCGCCTGTGTTCCACTAGATAAAGCCTCTCCTCAGGATTTGACCTTCTAGAACAATAAAATTGTCCTTCTGCCAGAAGTTCTTTGTATCGCAGCTCAACCAGCTGAGCTCAACAGCCCTGATCGCTTCGCGAATGTTCCCAGACGAGAATCAGGGTGGCAGCCCCTGCGTATGACTACGCCCGCTTGGCGTCTCCACACCGGTCAATGGGGGAATCTGCCGGTACTGAAGCATGGGATTTTGGGCCGTCCCGGGGCGCTGGAATGTGGTCGACATGGGGACTTTGAAGATTGAGATTGGTCTCATCGCTACCAAGCTGTATCGGAATTGCTCGCAAGGCACTCCTCTCCGTGACCAAGATCCTTTCGGTCACGTACAATACATACGTTGCCTTGGAGAGTAGACTAGTATGTACAGTACGAAATACCAGGGTCATTAGAAGCAGATAATTATCGTGTCGCAAAGAAGAGAAGCTATCCGGGGCTTTGAGAATGGATATTCGCAACCGACGATGTTACACTTGATGTGAGTAGATCCGTAGGAAGACCCGTCAGACTGTTGTGGTGAATAACTAGTAGTTGATAGATAGTAAGGTTGTCCCAGCCGTGCGGATCAGCAGACTCCGTTCCGATTCCGCGGTCCACTGACAACGGACCGGGCCGTCGCCGGTATCTCCATCGGTTCCACCATCTGACCCATAGCTCATCCGTAGAGTACACTACACACTGAATGGAGCTGCTCTAGACCTCGTTCACGCTTTCGGCGGCATGCTCGAGGTGCTCTGCGCCGAAATGGCTAGGGTCTGCACCGAGGGTACAATCAGTCAAGAGATGTCTTGGATGACCATTGACTGGTTTCTGCCCTGTAACGCCCTGCATGCTTTCCAAAGACGTGATCATCGAACGGCGTCTCAATAGGGGTCGGCTGTGGTTGGTCAAGAAAGGAGTAGGCCGGCTGGATGCGTGTATATGGCTTCCGATTCCAGTCGTGCATGTGAATACCCTTGGCCTGGAGGAGAAGCTCGTACTGCGGATTCTTATACGGCGCACCCTTCATGCCGTTGTTCGCTTGATCAATTGGGTCTGACGGCAGATCAAGTGTCAACTGCTTGTGTTGAACCAGTGGCTGGAGTGACACTCGTCGACGCTTGTAGCGATGGGTGCTCGAAGATTCCTCGAGGCGGGCTTCACCGGCATCTGCTCCGCTCCGGCTGCCAAGCCGTTTGTGAAGGGTAATTTTATTATTTCTCCAATACAGTCTCCTAGGAAAGAAGCATACAGGTTCTACCTCCAGCTGAGCTCGAATGCCCATCATGATGGCGGACGTGCTCTTCTCGTCCGTTCGGCGTCCGCCACGACTGACATCTTGACGCGAGCTTGTAGAAGTCTCGGCTGGGTTGGTAGTAGCTGCTGGGTGGTGTTTCGGATGAGAGTTGCAGCGAGACAGCACGATTCAGTGTTGGTTGTACAGGTGCTCCAATATGGCCATGCTGGTGTCGGTGTCCGTAGCCAACTAGAAGTCGCTTTGAGTCGACCTTATCTGTTGATAGTGTTTTCGATCACAGGCTAAAGGTTACAAGGATACTTGTGAATACGACGGTCAAGCCGCGTTGTCGGAGATACAGATCTTCTTTGATGTTCCGCAAGGCTTATTAGGCCTGGCAGCCGCATGATCCCGAAACCCCAAATGCCGCCTATGCCAATCTACCGTCAACAGCAGTGAGAACGTCGCCGGTCTTGTAGCTTTAGGCGGATGTAATATCAGAAAATGGACTGAGCAGAACATAGCGGATGTTGGATGAAAGCCGGCAGTGTTGAGTGGAAGTGGATAACCGGTCCAACACGTCAGACAGTTGAAAGACGCTATACTGATAATTCCGACTGAACAGATGGTCTCCTGGCAGTTCTGCTCGGAGCGTTGAAGAGACCGACTACCTACCCAGATGGCGCCGAGAGGGACCGTACCTACCTATGTTATATGAACAGGACGCAGCGACTCTGAGTGAAAGAGTGGCACTTCAACGTCACAGCGGAAGGCATCTAGCACTGGCGAAGCAGCGAAGGTGGTCCAGATCAACTTAATCTGGGATGACTGAATCAATTGTAATCATACATGATGACGGTGCCGCTGATGACTGTGAGCTCCCCCTATCATCCATGCATAGGCATTTGATCCCTCCGTCTGGACCCCAACCCCAACCGAAGTAACAAAAAACACCTTGCTGAAAAGTGAAGAATGGAAAACAGAGAAAAGAAAAGAAAGAACAAGGGAAAAAGAAAAAAAGAAAAAAGGAAGCCTCGAATATTCACCAAGCATTTGCCGATGGAAATGCTTCCACTTCAATGCTAGTATTGTGTGGTATTAGACGGTGTGCCCGTTAGCCTCCTGCCATACCCCCTTTCAGCTCGCCCGTCCGGGATTCGAGTGATCGTCAACAGAGGACTTCGATTCAGTCCCACCTCATCTTTCGATCCATAACCCTGATTACCTGCTTATGTCGCAGGGATCCCGTTGGAAGGTGATGACGACGCCTCTCTGCTGGAGGTATGCGTCTTCTTGAATGTTTCGCCAAGCCCACTGGGCCTGGCAACGGTAGCTTCCAAACCGCCACTCCAAAACATTAATGGCCTCTCCTTCGACGAGCCAGATGATCTCGTCGATCTCATAAACGAACGCCCTTGAGAAGTAGTTCGCGAGGTAAGCCTCGTTGACGAGGTCCTTCGGTCCCCTGATACTGAGGACGCGGGTGTGGTCCTCAGGGTCCCGCGCTTCCGCAACTGGGTTCCGATCAGGGCGAACGGCAGCCCTGTGGTTGCCGACAACGAGTCCAGGCTGACCGGGCTCATTGCAGCGGGCGAGCATGGTCTGCGCGGCCGCAGGCGTGAAGAACGTGACCTTCGCGGCCGCCGACGTATACCTGCCGGACGGAGGCGTGATCACGCACGCCCACACGCGTCCTGTCTCTCGGATGGCTCCGAGAAGTTGATTATGGTTGACGCCGGGGGGAAGGTTGGTAATCCAGACGGAGCAGTTGTGTTCCGGCGGAATGTTCGCCGGCCGATTCCGCTGCAGAGTGTAGTCTCCCCGGTAATTTGGGGAGACGCCCGCCGCCACGCGCCGGGCGATTTCGTCCGGAGTGGGATAGTCACGACGGGCCCTCGCGTAAGGGTCCGCCATTGCTGAAGGGCGGAACGATCCCGTCGCTCGCGGCTGGAAAGGCAGATCTGATCGTCTCTGCACTATCACTTGCCGCGAGCCGGCGGAGCCACCAGCGAAAGCCTGAGCCGAGCCGCCCTGGTCCGGGTGGTGGACTGCAAGCGGAGGAACCGAAAGGAAGGTCTGGTGTGGTAAGCAACTGGGCTCATGGAGGTCCATGGGTACGATACTTACGAAGCCCGGCAGAGGGTTGTATGGTTGAACGAGATTCTTGCCCCCGCCGCCACGTTCGTTGTCTGCTGTTGCTGGCGCCGGCACCGCCATCAACTGTCCTGCTGGCGCGCGAGGGTCTTGGGTTCCCTGAAAACTGACATTGGCGGGCAAGGTCTGTCGAGCTTCCGCCGCGGGGGTTGGCACCAGGGAGATGTAAAATCCATCGAACGCTTCGGTCAACGATTGGACCGGGTCGGGCTGGCGTTGATCTGCCATCCTCGCTGATTTTATGCTTAAGAAAACTTGATGTTAGCGACAGTCGGTCAAAACAGTTCATGAGGTGGAAGAAACATACTGTCGATGCACCAGCAGGTAGGATACCTCTGTGGATGACGCTGGGACGATTGATGTTCTGTGTTTTCTTGGTGTTGAGAGTGGTCGAAGTAGCAAAGGAAGTTAAAAGGTCGGTGGAAGAAAAACATGTGTAGAACTGAAAATAAATCCTTTAAAAAGACTGGATGAGCTTGGAAAGTAAACAATATTAGATGGATTTGGCTCGCCTAAATACTTCAATGTGATTCTGGCAGGTGCTATATATTCTTCTGTTCAGTGCACTTGTTTACCTCCAGCCCAATGGATTGATGAATACCCGGGAGCTTGAGGCCATGAAAGAACAATTGTCTGTTTCAAGCAAATGGGAGAGCTGACAGGCGCCCTCAAATACACTCCCACGATCTCATTATTGGCAAACCACCCCGGTGATGCTCTGGAGGAAGGGCACGTTCGATCGTGCAAGTCAGAATAGTAATTGTTCAGTAAGAGTCTCTTAACTCATGAGTCTACCCAGGGACTGGTAAAATAATAGGATCTCAAACACATGATATACTGATGCAGGTTTACTGGAAACATCAACCCGCAGCGACGTGGGACGACTGATTGCCTTTGACCACAAGCAGGGCCGGGGAGTCAATATTGTCCGCATACATCTGTATATAAAGAGCTGCGACAGTCGGTTCCTTTCATCATCAGTAAGAGATCCCAGAAGCTTCCGGGGAAATAGTGACAAGAGAAGCAAGAGATGGGAATGCCGGTTGGTCTAAGCAACCCTTTATACCCACGGGAAGCCATATGTTCGGGAATCGAATAACACCACCTTGTCATATGGTAACACTTCACGAGTTACCAAAGGGGAAGATGTAAGTTTTTACCCTCATGCCATGACGGAGCAACTCATGTAGCTGTGAGTCAACGTCTAAGGGAACACATTTCACAAGGAAAGACACGACGGCAACGAGGATGCTATCTCTTGGTGGCTGCCAAAGCATGTCCTCAGGGTGACAATGGTCAGAGCTCTGAAGAAGTGGGAGATGGATGACATGTCTTGGGAATTGGTCAGACTCACACAGGACCGTGCGGAATATTCCAATGTTAAGGCTGATGGATAACGTGGCGATCAGTCATTGTAAGTGTTTGCCGTTCCTAGTCCTAAGTCAGTGCAGTCATCTCAACTGTCAAGCGGCTTTCTCCGCCGCAAGTTTGCGTGTCTTCTCATGTTACGGCAGGTGTATTGGTCGTCTGTGTATTAAAAATGTGACCTAGAACTGTTGATATGGTACTTCAAGCAGTTTGGCATGGTCATTCATGAGTCAACTTCACAGTGTTATCTCAGGCAAAGACAGCAATGATTCAATGTTTTGGAAGCCCCTGAAGCTGACCCTAACCCTTGTGGATCACAATCACCGCAACGACCACCAACAAATGGCCCATACAAACAATTTCCGTGTTAATTCCAAAGTCTGCGGTTTTGTGACCTCAGAATCCACGGCCCATCCTACCAACGCGTGTCAACGCGATTTTACGCGTGGCCCAGCAAGCCACGCGTTACAGGGTTGAACGGGTCAACCACACCTGAGAACTAGTTACTCCCCTGGGCATGACGGCGAGCATGTCAGTTGTGTAGAGAATATGAGTGTGAGCTGATGGCACGAGGTCCAGAGAGAGGGCGTTTGTTTGGTAAGAAGCAACACATCTTCGTATTAGCAACGAAGCAATTATATCGAGTATTGACAGAGCCAAGTCAAGACGTTGAGGTGCTGCAAAATACAAGACGAAGAAATTGAGTCATCCATCCTCATCATTAACTAAGGTTATCGTAATGCCGATTGACCCCCTTTCCCGGTCCAACATCGTCGAGATGGGCTCATTTCGCTTCGCAGATCGTTGATCGACTCTCAAATGAGTCAAAATCTGACAGGGCGTCAGGCCAGCACGATCGGCGCGTCCGTCGTTGTGCGCTCAGCAGAGACAGTCGAGGCACTCCAAGCAGCACTCGCAAGTCTCGCCGCAGAGCCAGCAACAGCACATGGCGGCAATGCTAGACAAAAGAAGGCAATGAATTAGCACATCGTTCATGACGGATTCTGGAAGCAGGTGATGAATCAAGGAGTACAGACTAAGACGCAACCTACCAAGTGTACAAGCAGCCGTGGCTTTTCTCCTCCTTGGGCGGTTCCGGGTTCTGGTACTGCATCGGCGCATAGCCCTGCGGAGGGGGATAACCTTGAGGTCCTGGAGGCGGGTAGCCCTGCGGAGGGTAGCCTTGCGGAGGGGGGTAGCCACTGTAGTGTCGGGGCAGAACCGGTCAGTTGAGTGAGTACAGCACCTCAGTTCCTGGATACTCGTTCGCGAATATGTTGCGTGGCCGAAGATGGATGGGTATGCGCAAAAGGGTGAAATGGTGTGTATACTAGGAATGCAGTGGTGGACTTACCCTTGGGGAGGATACTGCGACATGATTGCTGCGTGCGCTTGTTCACGCTGGTTGATTCTTTGAATATGTTGGAGGTCCTGGAAGAAGATGGGTGAACGGGAAGAATCCGAACGAGCGAGGTTCCACGAGCGAAGATTAGATGCCCTGACTGGGAGGCCGCCTGGGTGCTTCGGCTTTAACTACACCGCTGTCGCACCTGCCAAGGGCAGGGTCCACTATGCCAACGCCCTGGGATGCATACAGAAACACTCTGTATGCCGATTATCCGCGAATGCATTTGCGACTTGACTTGCATCTAGGAGGGTAAGTGACCTGTGGTGCCGACATCACAATGATCACATGCGGATCCAGACGCGCCCTACGTACCCTGGTCAACTCATGATAAGATTCAGTTCAGCTGGAGAGAGCCACACCAAACGCTTGCTAGCCTCGGGCCGGGCCGGCGAAAGGCGTTGTTAACTCGGTTCATCAACCTTGTATTGTGTTGTATATGTACGGCCAGGTTTTCCGGTCCACTACACTACTAGTAGTGCTAAGCGGTTGCGTTTGGATGTAAGTTATAGAGTTGCTTGATAATAGGACGTTGGAGGGGGGGGGAGGGTTCCCGTCCTTCTGGCGATGGACTACTAATACTTTAGGAATCGTACCTAGGAGTTCGGCATGAGGGTATCCGTATGATGGCGATATCAATCCCGATCCTACGGATTCAGATACGGCGTGTATGGAGTAGATACCTGCAGTCTTGTTTCACGTTTCAAGTTCTTTCGGTGTTTTCCAGCTCGAAACTGGACCCTGATCTCACTAAGTGGGGCAGTGGGGATGCATCTCGGCCGAGACCCGCGGGTGTCGGGGGTTCTGGAAGCGACTGCCCGCAGCGGCGGCAGCATACTTGAGAATGGAACTCAGAACCCGACATTGCGATTCTGATGTGTCAGTTGCATGATTTCAAGCTGTTGAGCAAGAGGAAATGATTTGTGGTAGATGCGGCAACGGTCACCAAGTACGGACAGTGACTCCAGTGAGAAGTTGATCCCGTCGTCCCGCCGCCCCTGCCCGTGTAGGATCCAAGGTGGGCCACGTGGCTCCCGGCGCTACTGCCCGCCCAATAGGGCTGCAGGCAGGGTCAAGAGGGAAACCATCCGTATCGTCCATCCGAAAACAACCCAGCCATTCGTTGAAAATAACCTGCCTGGGCTGCGTAGCCTTGATTCAAAAGGTTCAAGTACCTATTGATCCACACGATGCGGATGTTTCCATGTCAGTCCATGTGTGGAAGAGTACGGTATCTAAGGTACCAGGTAGGTAGATACGGACATTTGACGGCAGCGCTTGCCAGCTGGGGCTTCCTTGTCCCTGTGATGCGTTGGGATGTTAGACCGTCGGTTGTCTGATATATGATCTATTCTCCATTGCGACCATTTTTGCTTGACCCGGTCTTGTTTACCCAGAAAGGGTTCGGAGAGCACACTCTTCGGAAAACGCACATGGACGGTAATATCGAACGCTCGCATGGCTGTACAGGGGAAGGTTGACGACTCCGCTAAAGCACTCAGAGTAAGGGGACAGGAATCAAAATTGACTGCTCCCGGCGCTACGAGCAGGGAGAAAAGGGAGAGATGTATCACCTGTGGTGAGGAGCTTTATTAACGAAGAACACATGGGGTCGTACCTACGATCAGATCTTTCGAAGCATCGCCGCCACAGCAGCGTCCAGCCCCGGCAAGCCCTCCCCGAAAGGGAATCCAAGGTACTTGGTGGCTCTCGTCGGCCTAGTTCGCATGCTTGTTCCGAAACCCTGCGCAATATGCCGACTCCAGAGGCCGGCCTCCGCAGCATCACCGAACCTCCCCATGACAATCTTGCACACCTCATCGACCGACAGCTCCGTCGCTTCCTCCTTCTTCAACCACGCCGCCGCCGCCGACCTCTTCAACGCCGGGACCAGATACCGATCATTGAACTCCCTCATCGACAGCTCCAGGGTCGACGCGAAGTAATACGCCCTCGCACCCCAGACGTTTTCGTCGGGCACCGCATCCACACCACCCACAACATACCGCAGCGCGTCCTCAACCAGACGCACATACAGCCCCGCCAACACCTCCGTGTCAACGAACGAAGTCACGTTCCGTCCGCTCGCCACGGTGAACGGGCCCCCCACGGCGCGCACGACGTCCATCCAGTGGGGGAAGGTGATGGGCGCTGCGTGGGCGCGGCTGGGCGAGCGTCCGATGACAAAACAGGGCGAGATGATGGCCGTGTGCACACCGGCGCTGGGACTGGCGGCGGCGGCGACCTGCATGTCGGTCGGGGCGTGCGTTGCGTCCGCTGAGGCGGGGAGGGAATCCACGTCGGCTACGTCGTCCCAGACTCGGCCTTCGACGTCGCCGTTCGGAGGGTCCCACAGGCGGGCGGCGCCCGAGGTGTGGATGTAGAATCTCGGTGCGGCGCGACTGGAGTGGGAGGCGAGGCCGCGCAGCAGGGCGGCGATCCCCTCCGCGTAGGGCACATCAGGGGCGCAGTCTGTATGAAAGCGGTTGTTGGGTCGTGAAAAATTGGAGGGGAAGGGGGCTAGACCTACTGATGATGAGACGAGCCTTGGATGCCGCTGCCTCGAGAAGTTCGCATTCCTCGAGCGAACCCTGGATGACGGTGAGGTTCTCATTGTATGCATCACTTAGGTGCTGGGCGTCTTTATGCGACCGGACGATGGCGGCCACTGGTAGCTCAGGGAATTTTGTCTTGAGCGCCTGCAGGACGGCAGCTCCGATATGCCCCGCGGCTCCGATGCTATGACAGGTCAAAAAGGGTTGTAGGAAGTGCTTGGAGGACGTACAAGAGGACGTCAACTGTCATTGCAGATATTGTTCAGTGCAGTAGTGAACCGAAGATGTGGGAACGAGGGAGCTTCAATCAAATCCACTTCACTGACTCCTCGCCGAACCATGAGATCGACCTCAAACCCCCCAACAGTGTTTAGTCATGCAGGAGCTAGCGAACAAGTCATATGCGCACGCAGCCAGAGTCGCCCCTTAGAGGAGTGTGCTCGTCAAACATGGGAGGGTTACATTGCATATGCTCAGCCAATGGATCGTTTCCCTCTTGGAAGTGGCCGACGCTGGGCCAATATCTATGCATTCTCCAGATTCGCTTCAGTCAGCGCAGTGCAGCACCCCACCTTCCAAGTTGCCTCCGACGAATGGCTTCGGCGGGGGTAGTATTCGCGCCTTCGTTGTTGTGCCTCGGGGACGGCCACTGTCGTCCACGGTCTTGGGCGGCCTGGGCCAGTCGTTCCAAAGCACGGCCCTCGGCAAGCGGGGGGTCGCTGTGCGCCGTGCCAAACAGAACAGCAACGACCACGGGGCAACAGGAACGTAGGCAGTGCTTGGACCGGCGAGGCATCAGGGATTGATGCCGGCCTTCCTGAATCCATAAAGAGCAGTCGTAAGTGCTACAATAGTTCGGACTGGGCATCATCTCGTCGATTTGTCAGGATTATGACCTCTGTTACACTCAAGCAAAGTCGGTAAGGCCAGGAGACAACGGGTAAGAGACGTGTTTGGACATGGAGCAATGTGCCACGATGGATCACGACCCCTTTATTTGTCTGAGGCTTGTGTAATGTAGGTAGCTAAGCCGCCTAGGCTCTATAGCAAGTCTCAGATATGAACAGGCTGAGTCTGGTAGAGGAACCATATGACTAGGTACGCTTACATTTCACATCTACAGAGATCGACACAGCTGTGGGAGAAGTATGATTACCGGCACCACGGGTTCATGACATCAACCAGGCTCGAGATCACGCCGATTACCCAACGTACCAATGAGCATAAGACAGAAGTAATTACACGAAGAAGAGCAAACGACAGACCCTGGAGGCATCATAAACACCGGCTCATATCGAGAAATCGCTTCCAGTCCGCCTCTGAGCTAGGCTTTGAGCATTATTGCAACCACCTTGCTCGACCGCTTGAGACTGAGGGAGCGAAACTGATACCGAAGATGAGATTGAGTAGTCCCAATGAAAGAAAACAGCGACCTGGGTAACCGAGCACTCGTGAGGAAGAACAATCATATTAGGGGTCTTCTATCAGGAATAAAAACGCTGGCGGTAACAGGCTAGCTGGTAACACATCTGAGATGACTCGTTCGGATCTCGGTTGCAGCCTCAGAGGACTCGGGAGGACGAGAGTGTCTGGGTTGGTGTTGCAACACCCTTCTCCACTGGTCGTCAGTCCCGAGTTGACGGACGGGAACGGGAAGGCTCAGGCGCAGCCACTATTCTTGCAGTCTTCGCAGATATCTACGCCATTTGGCACCATTGTGGTGCAGCCGTGAGTGGTGAAATGGGCGCAGGGCTTGTCCGACATGGTGTCTTTTCGTTTCAGGAGATGGATCTGAAGGTTTAATTTTGTGTTTCTATTGGGTTGTTCGTTTATATTGTTAGTGTTCCGTTTGCTCATACCTTCTGGCGGTGGGAAGACACTTCTACTCACCTCAAAGGTCATACATAGATGGAAGTGTAGGTCAAGAGCTAGACTGGCTTCGAGGGCGGCTCCTTAGGCGTGGAGAATGACTGACGATTTCCAGCGAGACTGGGGAATGCAGGACCTGGTTGACATTCCCTGGTCCTTTTCGCAGGATACCTCGGGCGCGGCATCGAGTCCTTATGCGCGGTCATCAGGAAATCTGGCCACCGATGTCCAGGGTTTGTTTGGCTCATGTTTGGATTCCCAGAATCCCTCCATTTCAGGGCCGCGTCCTTCCCAACGCACAGGGAACTGCATCCGGTGCATGGCATTGGTGTCTTTGAACTGACTAATGAGTACTAGCACTACCCTACCTTCGCTACCGGCATCGCATTCCTGACATGGCGCCATTTCCCGATCTTCCATGCTGCATTACTAGATTCTGCACTAAGTGTGCGTGCTTACCCTTTTGTGGCCCCGGCCACATTGGCTCGACTCTTGTCACAGACCCTGAGGTTGATGGACTTTGTGTGCAATTCTTGACTGCAATCCCCCCGAAGGCCATCGTACATGTACGTTGATGGCGGCAGTTGTACGGGTATGCTACATGATGTTGCCTCTGAGCCCGAGGCCGCATAATTCTGGGATCCAGCGAGCCATGATATTAGTGTCTTGGATCATGCCGACTCCGCGGGCTACGTCACATTGAACCACGAGGAGGATAAGTCTAGAACTGCTATATCACATCCAGCCTTGTATACCTGCATAAATGCCATAGTTCGAGCAATGGGATGTAAGCAGATTGGACAATCAAAATGGTGATGAAGTCGGAACTTCCTACAGCCGGGAGACATACTGCGGGGGCTTCCCCCTTTCAGCGTCTAAACCCCCACCACGCAGTGCTCATGCAGTGACATGCTGCATACTCTGCAGCTGCACGGCGCTGTCACGCAGGTTCTACTGCTTTCGTTGGATTAGTGATAAACCTTTGAGCCAGCTCGTGTGTCATTTGGAACGAGGGACGCACAAAGCATGCCCCTTCTCAAAGGCTCAGACAACCTTGGAAGCCGTGACTGTCAATGATGCAGTAGGATTCCATGTAACCTACCGCCTAAGCCTGGCAGGCCTTATTCCCGGAAAGCATTTCAAGAGAGAGCAACTTGGAAGCCTTAGAGTTCGCACTCAAGATTTATCAAAGAGGTTTGCCAAGCACGATCCATTGCCTATTGAGTTGGCCACCCATGTCCATCAACCAAGCCATCCTGTCGAATCGTCCTCCACAGTGCTCAAGTCCCCTGAACCTGTCCCAAGCACGGCACTCCCCTTGTCAACTCGTTCTCGTGGCTGCATCTCAAACTCCAGTCGTAGCGGAAATGGAAATATCGTAGTCGGGAAAGTCGTCCACTAGTGAAGCACTGTCAGTTACCAGTTGTGAAGGGAAGGCAAAAACAGGGAGTAAGATAAAGTACCTTAAGAATCCAGATTGACTCTCAATGACCACCACCCGTTCCTCAAGCCTTGATATGTCCTTTGGCCCCGCGACAAGCCGGTGCCGGTAGTCATGGCCGATTCTGCGTTGGAAGAGGAGGAGAGTGGCTCATCTGACGGTCTGGGGACTGGGCGGACAGGTAGGCGGCATAGAGAATTCGTAGCCACGCATCGGTAGCGCCGCGTGACCGTCATTGTCGTTGTCGCCATCATCATCGAGAATCCACAACACATTGATGAATCCCTGGATTGCCGTGTTCACGCAGGTGATTAGGCAGATGCCAACAAACAGGAACCCGAACACCTGGAGCAGGACGGCGACGATGGGACACGCAAGGTAGGAGGATATGAGCTTGAACGGTCGGCTCGGGCTGTTCTTCGGCCTGACTTGCTCGTAGATGTGTTCTTCGATTTCATTATCGCGACCATGGCCGGCATTGGGCCCAAGGTGACCGAGATGTGACATCGCAATGGGAGTGAAGCGTTGGGTCTGAAATGTTGTGTGAAGTGCTTGAAATTTGGTAAGGTGCCGGTTGAGGCTTGATGTTGAACAGGTCTAAGGTGCTGGGAGGAAGCAGGAAGAGGAAGGAAGCTCAGCAGGGAGGAAAATATGCTTCAAGTTTTGGAAGGCGGAAAGAATAGAATTGGTGCGTGCCTTGGAGCATCCTATTGTTCAGCATTGTCAACGCGGACCTGCCATGGTCTGTCGACGCTGCTGGTCACTCCAAGCGGAGGCTTGCGGAGGAGGTACCTCCTGAGCGACGCTAGGCCACGAATCGGCACGGCTAACCTCACAATAAGAAGCAAAATGTTTATACCTAATAAAATATGGCGAAATCTCGATGGGGCAAATGTAGCTTAGAGACCGGATGATCTCTGGTTCGCTCTGGTGACGTTGCTGGTATGGGAGCCGCCGGTGAAATCGAAATACGTGTCCGTAGTCTCGTTCCTGGCTCGCGATGACCAGCTCATAACAGCTCACTTGATTGTGAACGGGTTCATTTGAGCTTGGTATTCCAACTTCCACAGACTTTCTTCCACTCCGCCCAGTGACATTTTGGATCCGGAGCCAAACCGTCTTCGGTGTCATGTAACCCTGCATCATCAGCCGGTGGTCTTCCACAAAGGCCAGGATGGGCGGGAGAATCGTATCTAGACAGCAGCGTCTGGGCTGCCTCTGGTGTGAAGAACGTGATTTTGGCAGCGGCGGTATTGTATCGCCCTGTTGCATCCTCGCCGCCATGCGATGACCCCGGCCGGGGCCGAAGGGTCTTGATGAGTTTACCATCTCAGATATACTAATGCCTTTTGAAATTCTCGAGTGCCGTCATTGAGAGGAGAATGAGATTGCGGATATATAAGATATTGTTGACATGTATACTGATCGGGGCTGCTGGGCTAGATTTCTAGCGGTTCCCTGTGAACTGTAGTGTCCTTAGGGTCAAGGAACACTCGAATTCCATGATTTGGAGCGGGTGATCATTGAAGATGCAGGGCCACCAGTATGGGTAGTGTAGACCCTTCAGATATTTATACCCAAGTTGATCGTGCACAAATCATCTGCTGGTACAGCACGGCACTCAAACTACTTGAGCCCTTGCTCTCACAGCCAAATAGCAACTGGACGCCAAGTATGATCTAATGGTCATGTTGGTCTTTGGTGATGGGTTTGATCACTGTGCTTGTTTCTTATATGACTACGTGATTGTGGTTTCCCGATGATTGTTCTGTGAGTCTTCGCTCCGCTATCTGCATAAACAGCTGAGTCCAGTGCCTTCCGCTGATTCACAACCGGCATTGTTGATGCATTGATGCTTTGTAAACTGTAATCACGCCGTCGGAGAGTTTCTTGGTAATCCGCAACACGGAGCTCCTAGTTGGGCCGAAGGAAGTAACACAACTGCGAAGAAAAGCAAAGTGGGGGAGCTATTAACAGTGGGGTATGGGAAGCGAAGAAAGAGCCTCAACGCTTGAGATTTACGGAAATCTCGGAGGGGTGTGATCCTTCCGATGAGGGCACCTGTAAGTTAGCGTAACCAAGCCGTACTACCTATGCAGACTCCCAATGCTGGGTTGGCGGCCCAAAGAGTGTTACCGTGGAGATAACGCCATCCATGACGCAAATGCTTTGATATGTCAGCGAATGGAACATTACCCCGAGTTGACATCGTATATGGACCGCCGCTCCTGTGCTTGCTCAACAGGCAAAGCACTTGGCTACACTTCTGAACGATAACAATCTTCACTTTCAGTCAATCGCAAACCTACCATATCGTCTCTTTCACAAGCCGCAAACAAAAGTAATCATGAGTTCTCAGGACGCCAAGCTCATCCTCTACACCAACCATGGGTGCCCATGTGGGTAGACACAACAAGTTCAGGCGTCTTCTCCGTCAGCTAACTCTCGTTTCAGGGGCGCACCGCGCGCATATCACGCTAGAAGAGCTCAAGATCCCGTTCGAGGAGGTTATCATCGATCTGGCCACGCCGCGCACTCCCGAGTACCTGAAGATCAACCCGCGGGGGCTGGTTCCGGCGCTCTCGTACAATGGCGAGATCATCATCGAGTCGGCAATTGTTGTGCAGTTCCTGACCGACACCTACCCGTCTCACCTGGTCCCTGCCTCCAACGAGCCCGGTGGCGCTCTTCGCCGGGCGCGCATTGCCGAGTTTGTGGACGCGTACGTCTCCAAGGTCAACGGCGCGGTGTTCGGGTTGTACAGCGCGAAGACCGATGAGGAGCTCGGCCCATTGGTCGAAAAGGTTGTCACGGGCGTTGTCACGGAAGTTGAGCCTAGGCTCGCTGATGCAAACCCGTTCTTCGGTGGCAGCGACAAGCTCACCTTGGCCGAGGTAAGATGAGACTTACCTCTCGGTGGCGCGGCATGCTAGTTAAGAAGAGGTGGCTGATCATGGTGCAGGTCCTGACGGGCTCACTTGTCCTGCGTCTGAAGAGCTTAACCAAGGCCGACGTGTTACCCAAGCGTCTTTGGACAGCGATCGAGGAGAAGGCGCCTAACTTTACCAAGTGGGCGGAGGCCGTCACTGCTCATCCCAGCGTCACATCAATCTATGACGAGAAGAAAAACACTGAAAATGCGAGAGCGAGAATCGCGAAACTGAGGGCGAGCGCTTGAGGCAATGAGGACTCGGGAAGTAGCGGCTCTGGGCCCTGGGGCGGACGGCTGAAGTGTTCGAAACTGTGTTGTTTGAATGTCTTTTAGACATTCTAGGCTCTGATACGAGATGCATGATCGTCATAAGCTACCTTAGCAGAGAGTTTTGAGAGATCATTTCCGAAGTCCCAATCCCCCATCATCTTGAAGCGTCGGGAGACTCCTGCAACCCCAACCCCGGCTTCCCCGCAGCCGAGGCATTGGCGCTCAACCCCAGACCCACCGTGACCTCAGCCGACGCGAGCATTTGATGCAAACGCCCGAGGAAAACTTGCCAACAGCAACGAGATACATTCGGCGTTGCACCCTTCAGACTTTTCCGCCGATCCTTTCTCTAGTACTCAACGCGATCGCGATTCCTCCGGACTAAAAAATTACACAAGCTCCTTGCACTTGTATGCTGCGTCCGGGGTCTGACGCGATTGCGCTTCGCAATGAACCCCTCGGACAGCGACCAGAAAGCCCAACGGGCTATCCCACCCAAACGCTCCGGTATCAGCAACACTCTGTCGATGCCGTCGCAATTACTCCACAAGTACGATGACTTCATCACGAAGAACGCGCACCAGGTGTCACAGATCGAGTCCACGTTGCGGTCACTGACCTACATCATACCCGGTCTGTTGCCCAACCCAGTTCGACCGATGCAAAACTCGGTAGCTAGCATGCATTACTGATATCCGCGCCATTCTCACAGGCCGCTTCCGCGATGCCGAAATTGCATCCGAGTCCATCCACAGCGGGGTCCAGCTGCTCTCGCTATACCACGACACGCTCCTGCGGCGGGCGCACGCGCTGTCGAAGCTCGCCCTGCCCCCGTCCTCGCTCGCCCATCCGCCGTCTCCACACAGCCGATACACGCGGTTCTGGACGCTCAAGAGCGCGCTGTACCGGCGCGTCGCCTACGTGCTGCAGATCGTGCAGTACGTCGAGCTGCTGTGCGAGATGGCGGCCAAGCGGCGGGGCGAGCGTACGCGCTGGCGCGTCGTCGTCCTCCTCGAGGCCGTCAAGGCCGTGTGCAGGCTGCTGCTGCTGAGGATAACGCGGTCGCGGCCGCTTGTGACGCCGATGCTGCCCGAGCGGGATCCGGTGCCCGAGGAGCCGCAGGACGGAGAAGACGAGTTTGCTGTGGAAGAAGATGACGAGGACCGGCGGCAGCCGAACGGCAACGGCAGCGCAAACCCAAACACAAATGCAAACGGCTCCGCGAATGCGCATCACAGACCGCCACCCCAGCTCGGCCCCAACGGCGAGTGGACCATGCCCCGCACCGGCATGACCCTCCCTTCGCTCCCTGCGCCGGGCGACACGAGCGGGTACCTGCTCTCGCGGGTGCTGACGGCCGACGACATCAAGCCGGCGGCGAAGCTGCTCAACCGGCTGCAGGGCCCGGCGCAGGCGGCCGAGATCCTGCACATCCTGGCGCCGCTGGTGTTTGCCGTGGCGCTGGCGCGCAGTAAGGACAAGCGCAAATCGTGGACGCCGTGGCTGCTGGGTGTCGGGGTGGAGCTGGCGGCGCGGCAGTTGCGGGATCGGGGCCTGCGGACGACGCCCCTCGAGCGCGAGGAATGGAGTCGTCGTGGTTGGGCGATGGGGTGGTGGGCGATGCGCGGCGCCTTCTATGAGAACGTCACTAAGGGGATGGTGGAAGGGGTGCGGCGGCGGATGCCCGGGTTGCTGGCGGGCATTTTGGAGGATTATGAGTATCTCTGGGAGAACTATCACTTTAGCACGAGCGCCTGAGGATGGGAAGGGGCTGGCCCCCCGTTTGGGTCTACGGCAAGGCCATGCCACAGCTGAATGCCGCTGACAGAGACGCATGGCTGCGTCATCGATGAGCCGCAGGCGCACTTGTTCACTTCGATGTAAGATATTCTTATTATAATATGCTAGACGATGATATTATCCACAACTGTGGAGAGCAGATCATATCCTCAGAAAGGCAAGGAACGCCGAAACGTAACTGAACTCGCTGCAACATGATGTTGAATGAGTCTCAACAAGGGAGAATTGCCCGACCCTGGGTAGGTCAAAGTCTCAAGCAAAGTTGACAGTCTGAATTCCGGTTCAATCGGAGGCGCCTCGCTACCTACACGATTACAATCTGTCCGTTATTTGGAACCTCAACCGTTCGATGACAATCTGTCTGGTCAGGAAGAAAGAGCGGGCGACTTCGAGAGCAACAACCAGACCACCCAAAATGACTCGAACGCCCAAGACATGAAGAAAGTAAGATCGTTACATGCTGAACCAACCATCCCGGCAAAAGACCGACGTCGTTCAATTTGACCGTTACCGTCCACTCATCACAGGTATCCAAACTGTTCCTCCAAGTATGGGTATGCATCGCCCATGGTTTACAACCTCGAAGCAAGTCGGTTCTCGCCCGGCGCATGGTAGTCGGGCACCTTCATGTCGAGCGCGTCGCCCGAGTAGCCGAGGTCCTCGGCGACGAGCACAGCGGCCTTTTCGCCGATCAGGAGCGCCGTGGAGTATCTTTGAACATGATTAAAGTTAGAGACTAGTACTAGTAACTACCGTCAAACTCAATCTCAAGGGTTTCACGTACGTGTTGCAGCCCACATTATCCGGGCAGATGCTCAGGTCGGCCACCTTCAGGCCCTGCACGCCATGCACGTTCAGGCGCTCGTCGACGACGCCGTGCTTGACGATGCTGTTGCCCTCTCTCGGGGCCATGGAGCATGTCTGCCCAAAGGAAAGAAAAAACACCACGTGTCAGTCACATTCCTCTCTTCTATCTTCTCCGAGTTCAGTCAGTGAGGGGGGGAATAGGTAAGGTAATCTTACGCCAAGACAGTGCCAGGTCGTCTCGACATGGCGCTTGACCCACTCCTCGATAGCCTCGATATCCTTCTTGGAATACTTGAGCTCCTTTCGCCGGGCCTTGCGGTTGCTGCTGACGACGTGCGCGCCGGGCAGCTTCTCGTCCGGTTCCGGGACGGGCACGCTCCAGCTGCCGTGCTGGATGCCCGCGGTGATGTTGCCCGGAGCCGCGTAGCGGTTGGTGTCCTCGAGGCTGAGGTCGTAGGCGCGCGCCTCCGAGTCGTAGTCGAAGAAGGGGTGCATGGCCTGCACCTCGCCCGCGTAGGCGTCCATGCGGCGCGCCGTCTCGCGCGACTTGATGTACCCCCACACCATGGGCACCATGTCGCGCTCGTCGTTCATGAAGCCGGCGTCGAAGTCGGGCGCCGCGTACGGGTCCGCCGACCGGATGTGCGTCCAGCCGCGCGAGAAGGGGTATTCGAGGAAGTGGAACATGGTGAAGAAGTTTCCGGGGGGCCTTTTGTGGAGTATATTCGTGTCAGTCATGTTGGGAGGGGGGGTTGGAAAACGGACTTCTGTTAGTTACTCACATCAGCATGTGGTCGCCAAACCAGCCGCTGATGACCGAGTAGTGCATCACCGGCTTGTCCGGCTTGTTCTTGAAGTAGGATTCCCAGCCCTTCGTGAAGTGAGGCGTTGGCCAGGACTCGAATTCGCGAAGTTCCTTCTCGGTAGGGCGGATCTTGACGCCGGCTTCGATGCCGTTGGTGGCGAGCGGGCCGGTGCCCTTGATGTTCCACTCTTCGAAGACGCCTGGAGTGAATGGCAGTCAGCGAGGCAATGCTCCGTTCAAGGGATTGCCAAGAGAGAAACGTACGCTTCTGCACCTCGGGGTCGCCGCGGGCAAAGTCATCGAACGTCTCGGTCCCCGGCTTGGCCCGATAGACGGAGAAGGTCAGGTAGTGGTCCTGAAAGTTGAGCCCGACGCCGGGGAGGTCAACGATGGACTTGACTCCGCAACGGCGCAGCTTGTCGGGGTCGCCTGAAAAATAGTCTCAGCATTCGAGTGTCTTGCAGACCAACACTACTACTAGTATCTCCTCAGTGAGCTTGATTTGACGTACCGATACCAGATCGCTGCAGAATCAAGGGAGACGACAGAGTCCCCCCGGACACGACGATCTGCTTGCGAGCACGGAAGATGCGAGTTCCTGCATTCTACGGGTGCGTCAGTTCAATCTCTTAGCACACAACTCTGCACATGCCGCCGCCGTGACAACGCACATCACCCATTGGCTTCGTCGGGCTGTATGGTTTTGTCAGCAAAACCCAGAGCTGGGCAGGAGAGGAGATTTCAGAGCGACATACACAGTCTGCACGGCAACCGCTCGGCCGTTCTCGATGATCACCTTGTCCACTTTGGTGTTGCAGGCAAGGTACAAGTTGGAGTGGACAGCGCGCGTGGCATGGATGTAGGCATGTGCGCTATCGCTGCGGCGCCCGGTCTAGAATATGGTGTGGTCATTTGTCAGTTACCTAACTGGGACCGCCTGTGCTAACCAGGACAGATCCATGCGTTGGCAATGCCACCTACATCGCGGTTGATCCATTTGAGCCTGTGCTTTCTGTCAGCTTCACTTTCCATCACTCACGACGCCCACCCGGCGAGAGAGAGAGGCATACCAGTGTTCGGCGCCATGGCCGGTTTTTAGATCTTGGAGATCGTCAACTACTGGGATGCCCTGGGACTCGGCGGCCCGCAGGAAGTCGTCCTTGATCGGGTATGTGCTGCGCATACACATCAGCATCCGCACCGCCGTTTTGCGCAGGAACAGGGGTTCTTACTAGTTGCCGAAGGAAACCTTGATCGGCCCCTCGTACCCATGCGTGTCCCGGTTGTGCGAGGCACGCTGGTACGTCTCGTGCTTCTTCATGAGCGGCAGCAGCTCCTCAGTCGTCCACCCCTTGGCCTGGAAGTCGTCATAGTCAGACGCCGAGGCGCGCGTGTACATCTGCATCGAGGTCAGCAAACGGCATGCTCTCAAGACACTGTGTACTGTTGATGTCGCCGCTCCGTACCATGAAGTTGATGGAGGATCCGCCACCAAGGATGTGGGCGGCAGGCACAACAGCCGCCCGGCCGCTCAGCCACTTCGACGGGCGAGACTCATAGAAGGTTGCCGTCTTGGAGTCCAACTTCATGTTCCGCGGGTAGATACCGGGGCGGAACACCCACGGGTTGTTGAGGTTGTTCTCGCCGGCCTCAATGAGCAGGACCTTGAGGTTGTGGTCCAGGTTGGCCAGCCTATTCGAGGGAATACTGTGAGAGGGGCTTTCAAAGAGAATCAATGTTTGATGTGTTCATACCTCCCTGCCACCACACATCCGCAGCTCCCACCGCCACACACAATGATGTCGAACTCCTCGGGTAGCGGCGACATCGCGATAGAAGACCTAAGACCACCAAATGCGAGAAGATGTTGGGACAATCCCTCCAAGATAAGAGGCCCGACTCAACACACTCAACACCATCCAGGAGGGAAGTCCCCCAGGGAGATATCGGGCCTCTTATGTTCCTGCCATTCACCTAACCAAGTATCCAAGTCACGAAGATGCCGAACAATCTCCATCGGCTCGCAAACCCCTCTCGATTGTTGGACTCGCCGAGACGCGAATTCCCCTCTCGGACCCCTTCATCGTCTTTGATGTCCGAAAGTCTGGTTGGCCAATGCCGGCGGTCCTCAACACACCTGACCGCGCATCAACCTGCACGTCTCCTCATTCCATCAAAACAGTCTCTCGGTGATGCGAGCTGCGTGAAGTATGCACCTGTGGGAACCCCTCATCCGTTTCGTCCCTCTCCTATCACGGGAACCTCAGACGGTTCAGCCGGGATAATAATAAGGGAAGGTCAACGGCACACGGCAAATGCAGAAGGAGGACGATCTGAGAGCTGTGATTGGGGCCCGCACAAGCAATGTGTTCGCCTCGATCTTTCCAAGAACTTTGGAGATATTGCTACCACACACTACTACTACATAGTACTGAGGAAAGAGCGAGAGACACACTGATGGTACGGCTCGCACTCTTTGGTACTAATCCGATCGCCAACCAGCAAAGAGGTACGAAGCCAGCGTCGGTTCCGCAGAGCAGCACCGTTGGCCGGCTACACCCAGTCAGAGGTTAGTATGGCAGAAGCCCGCAAGCTTTCTCAGTGCCCAAGGTATGCTAGAAGCTGCATCGATAGCTTGAGCCAAACAATTACGTATGCTGTGCAACCCCACCGGCGGGTACAACTGGGCACCGGCAGATCCGTCCCTTCTCTGGGACTATATCCGTAGAGTAGGACAACACAGACGGCGCCCTCGCACCGCCACAAAACCCCTCTCGATCGAGCTTGTTTGTCGGTGTTCCTTACCCGACATCGGTTCAAACGGGCAACCCAGGGGCTGAATCGCGTCGGGAGGTGTTGATGTGCAATACACCGCTGCTAGAGTCTGGCAGCAGGAGGTTGATACTACTGGGACTAGAATCAGGGTACTAGTATAGTAGTATTCTCCACAATCCGTCCCATCGATAGGCTAAGACTCCTGTGAATGTGATATCGAAGAACGATGGAAAGTTGGAAGAGGAGCGGCAACAAAGGGGGACAGCGCGCCACTCCGCCATTCGCCTCCATCGAAGCAAGGGAAGGACGTTGGAAGGCAATGATACCTACCTAACTATTGAGTAAATATCAGCGAGCACTTACGTAGGTAGGTATGGACAGCTGCATCTACCTAGACTTCCCCGACCGTTTTCAAGGGGACATGCATGCCGAGCGAGACGCGGATTGGTGGGTAATAACGTGGGGTGCATGCCCAGGCGTACCTTAGCTCCAACGGCTTTTCTAAGAATATGAGATGTCTGGTCTCTATCCCTCTAGGGGCATAAACATGCGTAGTTGGAGTACGCCGAGATGCGGGGTGCGTCACAAGACGACACACGCGCACGGTGGTTCGTGTCTCGTCTTCTTCATACCCATACCATAAGCCGGGGCGTCCGGTTGGGACCCGAGTCTTAAAGTCGGAATAGTAGTAGTATCCCACTACCTTCGTATATCGGCATGGATTGAGCTTGTTGAAGGCAGGAAGGTCCCGGGTTGAATGTGTCGTCGTTTGTTGGCAATACTGTGTTGGCAGCGTAACGACATCTGGCCAGCCTGAAAGACCTGTACCGTTGTGTCCCGTCATGTTACATACATCCAGACCAGCACCGGGACGCGAGACCAGCCTCCAGTACGGTGATGAGTGAACGCACCAAATGCGCAGCAGCGAATCGTGATCTTCGAAATCATCGGGCTTGCCGAGGACAAAGACGGAGTGATCCTGAAGCTTTTTTTATTCCTCCTTCCCTAATCCACCCGTTTATCCAAAACAGTGTACATACTATCTACCTAAATTACAAGGCCTGATCCCGCTCTGTGGAAATGCTCCCTGCCGGCACCGTGCGGCAAGCAAGCAACAAAAGTACCGGTCATGCCTGCTTCGCAACCTTCTCCCCTTTCTGCACAAAGCGGAACGCCTTAGCAGTCTCGATCACACTGTCAATGATAATCCACCCGGGGATGACGATCCAAAACCCATTCATCATGACGAAGTACGCCCAGAAATACACCGCCTCAGGCCGGCAGTAGACCGCATCATAGACCGACTCGTCGAAGAAGAAGGTCGCGTAGTACAGCACATCGCCGTACATCTGGCCCAGGCTGACCAGGATCTGCAGCGGGTGGCGGAAGGGGCTGTCGGTGACGACGAGCCAGCCGACGAGGAAGGATAGCGGGCCCCAGGCAACCGCCGTGACCGTCTCCATGCACACGACGAACGAGTCGCGCGTCAGGTAGCGCGTGTCCGACTTCGCGTACTCCTTCCACAGCTGCCCGAAGAGGTCGACACGTCCCGGTATCGCGGCGTTGTGATACGCGAAATAACCTAGTAGTACGTATTGAGCATTTAGAGAAAAGAACTTGAATAACACTTCTTTTCTCCCGGCAAACAGACAGACAGATAGACAAACAGACAGACATGCCTTCGAAGAACAGGTGGATGCAGCCACAGAGCATGAACCACACGGCCGTCAACAGCCTGCCCCTGCCGATGCTGGGCTGGACCATTCGTGCTAGCGTGGAGGTGGTCGAGCAGACAAAGCTCACGCCAACGGCGAAGCACACGAGGAGGATCGGCACCGAGGTCTTGTTGGGCATGTAGCCGGGCAGTGCTAGATCTGGCGGGTTGTAAGGATGGCCGGCCATGCTGGCTTCGGGGGAGCTTGAAATGGACATGTCGGTTGGCCGTTGAGGTTTGGGCGCGGATAGTACGAGTTGAGGAGAGGTTGATAAGTCGCCGACGGTACGCGAATATCTGGACTTGAATGTTACGAACGAGTCGCTGACATACTAATAATATATGATCCGTATAGGGGGCAGGGGACGGAACGCGCGGCCTCCGATCCACCATACTAAAGGCTCGGCGGACACCCGACTGTCTCGGAAAGGCCAGAGCCGGATCAGATCATTCTGATTCTACTGCTATGAAGAGTGACCAGGCCTCTCCGTTGAATACGTAACGTTACTTAGACAAGGGAACTTTCAAGTCCAAAACGACAAACCCAAAAACTCAGAAGTCCATCCCAAAACTCATACACCAGCCCATCCCGAACCCACAAAGTCACAATCGCCTCCCAGAACCGCCAACCCATCTAGAGACCTTTTGATGAAACAGTAGACCCAAACTCCGCAACGTAGCCGATCACTTCTCCCGGATCATGGCGAGGATGACATCCTCGAGATCGCCCTTGAGCAGAGCTTTCACCTCTTTCGCAAAGTTGGCATTGAACTTTCTCTGGTAGGCCTGTTTCGCCGCCTCCAGACGCGGAAGATCCCAATACAGACTCACCACACGGTTGATGACGAGCTTGTCCTTCCGCTTGGTGAGGGCCTCGCGCAGGCGGAAGGCGTCGTACTCGGCGCGGTTCTGCGCCGACGTGAGCATGCGCAGCAGCGCGTCTTCCATGCCGCCGCGGAACTCCTTCTCGATGACGTCGGCCAGCGGGCGGTGGTATTTGCGCTGGTACGCCTCGGCCATGGCGTTGATCTGCGCCGCGTTGCTGCTGGCGAAGATCTGGACGACGGCCACGGCGTTGGCGCCGATCATGCCTTCGGTCGCGCGCTGCAGCTCGGTGACCTTGGCGTCGATCTCGTGCGCGAGCACGGGCGCCGCGTCCTCGGCCCGGTTGGCGGCCAGCAGCATGCTGCACAGCCGGAACAGGGCCTCGTCGACGTCGTCCTTGATGTCGACCAGCAGATCGCGCTGCGTCACGCGCTTGTACTCGGCCGTGATGGCGCGGAGGTCGGCGTTGGACCGGTTGAGCAGCACATCCATGAGCGCCTCCTCGTCTGTGCCCAGGCGATTGAGGGCCTTGTCGAGCACGTAGGCGTCGTGGCCCAGCGGCCCGCGCATGAGAGCGAGCAGGGCCGTCTCGAGCAGGCCGCGCGTCTCACCCTTGATGTCCTCCTCTAGGTTGCGCAGGAAGCGGGTGTTGTAGTCCTGCACCAGCTGCAGCATGGCCCACGGGTTGGCGTACTGCGGGCTGGTCAGGACGCGGATGAGGGCCTTCTCGTCACAGCCCATGCCCTTCATGGCTCTGCGGAGCGCCTCGGCATCGCTGGATGTGTTGACCGGCTGGGCCCATGCTTTCTGCGCGATATCGTAGCCCGGAGACGCCGGAGCGGCCTGCACTGCCGGGGCTCCGAATCCTGGCCATTGCTGCTGACCCTGAGGCTGCCAAATCCATCCGTGTTAGACAACAACGAAGTGAAAGATTGCGCCCCAATCACACCGATAGAGAGAAACATACAGGGTAACCATGCGGCGGCGGCGCCTGGCCATAACCGGCCGACGGTTGGCCGTAGGGAGGCTGTGCAGCGTACTGGCCAGGCGGAGGAGGAGGAGGAGGTTGTTGGCCGTATGGGGCATACGCAACATTCGGAGGAAGCTGCTGTCCATACGGGGCACCTTGGGGAGCCTGAGGATACTGATACTGGCCGGTCTGTGCGCCGGGCTGCGGGGGTGGCGCCGACTGATAGCCGTAGGGCGGCTGCACCGGCTGCTGGTAAGGCGCCTGTCCCGGAGCTTGTCCGGGGGCTAGTCCAGGCGGATATTGGTATGGCGCGCTTGGAATCGGTGCTCCTTGTGGAGGGTAGTTTCCCGGAGGAGCCCCCGGCGGAGGAGGGCCACCGTAATCCTGCGGGGGCTGTTGACCGTAGTAGGGCTGCTGTGAACTCATGATGCCGTGCCGCGTGTAAGTGATGAAATGCGGTATGTAAGCTGATCTGAAGCTGTGATGAGAAACCAAGTCGTCCGAGGCACTGCAAGGCGGCGTGCAATGGGCGGACAGTACTTTATGCTCTGGCGGTTCCGAGCAGAGGCCTCCCTCCCAAAACAGATCGTAAAGATGGATGACGATGGGTGATCGAGATCTCAAGGGTGGACACAGAGCTGACCCGGTAGAAGATAACAAGAACCCCACCTACTAGAAGGGGCAACCGCCACCAGCCGGGATGCAGTGAGCTCGCATTCAACACCACAGGTTTTGCGAGATGTAACTTCCCCTCGCACCTCAGCATTCGATCGTTACGCTAGAGGATCACCACCAAGGAAAGCCGGGTGGCTGTAGCTGGCTGTGTCGCAGGCTTCTTGTGGCCTCGAGCCTGCCGAGCCTGCGTAGGGCTACACAGGCTGCACAGCCCGGGGAACGAACAGACATTCATATCACTCTTCGAACGTGGTTTCCATTCGCTGTCCTGCATGTTTGCCGCTGGGGCGCATTGGCCAAGAATAACGAGAGGCTTGCACGACTCGCGGAAGTGGCGCCCGGCCGCTTAGCGTTGGCAGCGCCGACGACGCCTTACACAGTAGTGCGTAGGTACGGAATGGGCAGGCAACTAGACGATAGACCGACCCCGTAAAACTTTGGCGCGGGGTTAATTTAGACTCTATAATATGTGCGACCGAGCACGTAGAGGGCTTACCCTGGGACCTAAACTAGACGTAGGGCAGAGCGGGGAGGTATATTATAGGCTCGGGCTTTACTTAGGCTAAGTGTTATAGGGCTATGCCTAGTACCTGCCTAATCTATATTATATCTACCCTATTTCTAATATAGCCCTACTATATGTATTAGGCTCTAAAGGAGAGTCGTATAATATAATCTTGTAATTTTCTTCTTTCTTAAAATAGTTGAATAAAATATTGTAACTATGCTTAACGTATCTTATAAGCGAGCCGGCCATATAAGCGAGCCGGCCACTTTACCCGCGACGCGTCACTTCCGCGCTTAAAACCAGATTTTCTTTACAACCTAACATGTCTTCTTCTTCGTACAAGGCTAGGATAAACCTAGCCCTCGAAGCGATACAAAAAGACCAAAAACTAAGCATAAGGGCTATAGCGAAGTACTACGACGTTCGACGAACAACCTTACAAGACCGACTAGCGGGCCGGCCTGCACGACGCGACACTACGCCCAACTCGCGCCGGCTTACCGATTCCGAAGAGAAGGCTCTTGTTCAGTATATAATTGAGCTATCTGAGCGAGCTTTTCCGCCGAGACTGCGTGGTATAGAAGATATGGCCAACTAACTGCTACGCGTACACGACGCGCCCCCTGTCGGCAAGCTCTGGGCGTATAACTTTGTCAAACGCTAGCCAGAGCTCTGGACGTGTTATACGCATAGATATGACTACCAGAGGGCCAAGTATGAGGATCCGAAGGTTATTGGCGAATGGTTTGCCCTTATACGAAATATTAAGGCCAAGTATGGCATTATAGATGATGATATCTATAACTTCGATAAGACCGGGTTTATAATAGGCATTATCTTCCCGGGTATAGTAGTTATAACCTCGGATGGCCGTGGCAAGGCGAAGCTAGCCTAGTCTGGCAACCGCAAATAGGTGACGGTAATCCAAGGCGTCAATGCCCTTGGCTAGGCTATCCCTCCGTTCATCATCTTAGCCGCGTAGTACTACCTCGCCAACTGGTATCAAGAGTACAACCTCCTAGCCGACTAGCATATCGCAACCATCGAGAATGGCTAGACTACTAATACGGTAGGCCTTGATTAGATCAAGCACTTCGACTATCATATAGCGCCTTAGACAAAGGGTAAATACCGGTTATTAATCCTCAATGGCCATGAAAGCCACTACTCGACCGAGTTCGAGCTCTATTGCCAGTAGAACAACATCATCACGCTCTGTATACCTCTACATTCCTCCTACCTCCTCTAGCCACTTAATATTGGCTGCTTTAGGCCGTTAAAGCAGGCGTATGGTTGCCAGATCAAGGACTTAGTACGTGCATATATCAACTATATAAGCAAGCTCGAGTTCCTTTATGCCTTTCGCACAACCTTCTTCGCCTCTATTACCAAGAGGAATATATAGGGCGGTTTTACAGGGGCTGGCCTTATGCCATACAATCTAGAGAGGGTGCTTTCAAAGCTAGATATCAAGCTTCATATACTAATACCCCTAATCTCACGGCCAGGCACTGTACAATCTTGGGTCTTCCAGATACTATATAACCCTCGAGAAGCCGAGTCACAGTCAACGCTTATTAAGACTCGCATTGCCAACCATCAAAATAGCTCCCCGACTTCAATGTTAGCTACTATGGACCAGCTTACCAAGGGTACAATAGCTATAATGCACCAGGTGGCCCTCCTTCAGGCAGAAGTGTCTTCGCTCCGCAAGGCTAAACAGGCGCTAAGCAAGCGCCGGAGAGCCAAAAAAATACGTGTTCGGCTTGGAGGATCACTTACTGTGCAGGAGGCACAGGAGGTGGTAAGCCAGGGGGCTGTACGTGGGGAGGAAATGCAAGAAATATAGCTGGATGGTAGTGGTGCTGGGGGGGGTCGTACGAGGGTTCGGTGCTGTGGTGTGTGCGGCAAGCCTGGCCATAATGCCCGCACTTGCCAGGAGGGTGCAGAAGGGTCTGATTCATCTGTTTCTGATGTAATTATTGTTAGTTCCTAGTGTTGTTGTTTTGTGATTGAGGATATTGTTGGTAGTGTAGTGGAGAGTGGCCGGCTCGCTTATATGGCCGGCTCGCTTATAAGATACGTTATCTATAATGTATTTTATAAGCGAGCTGCGTATATAAGCGAACTGCGCAGTCCCTACTACAACGCGTCCTCTTTACACTTAATATCGAATTTTCCCATAACCTAATATGCCCCCTACTTCAAAGGATACGAGGATAATTTTGGCCCTTAAAGCTATCCAAAATGACGAAAAGTTAAGCCTTCGAGCCGCAGCTAAGCTATATAATATACTAGAATCAACTCTCTGTTCCCGACGCGCTGGTATCCCTGCATGACACGACACTACGCCTAACTTGCGCCGGCTTATAGACTCTGAAGAGAAGGCTCTTGTTCAATATATAATTAAGCTAGTTGCATAAGCTTTTCCACCAAGACTATGTAGTATTAAAGATATGGCTAACTGTGACGGATTGAGCTATCTGAACCACTCGGCTAACTCGCACCTTCTAAAAGGATGTCGACATCGCAAGTCCCCTGACCTTGTGACTCTATGGTTGTGACGAAACCACGGGCAGTCCTGCCTCTGAAAGGGTTCGCCGGTCGAAGGTACTGCTGGTCGGACTGTAGGTCTCGGTGAAGCCAAAAGGTTCACAACAATGCTTGTCGCAATGTCTGCACAATAGGTAAAGGCTATTGCTTGAATTGCTCACTGAGGAAGCTAGCTATCTGAATGAGTGGCGGAGTGGTAGAACTATATACAGCTTCCTCCCCTAGGTATCCCCGTACCTAGATCTCTGGAACATTTGGAACAATTGTTGTTCTCGTTGTTCCATCTGGAACAACGTTCCTTGGCGTTGTTCCTTAGGAACAATCGTTCTTGGCATTGTTCCCAATCTCCCCAATCCTCAAAGTGCCCATGGTGACTGCGATATGGTGTGATGCACATCTGTTACAACTAATCTCCCCAAGCTAGTTAATGCTATCGCCTCTCTTCAAGTTCTGGAGCAACTTTTCAACGGCGCCCGCCTCTCAGGCTATTACTCACCCGTAGAATTTCCGCTGATCACCCGCGGTGCTACGTCTGCTCCCGTAACTCCCCTCACCGGGCCGAGGGGCTGCATGCGGCGGCTTACGCACGTGCTGATGCTCGACGATGCGCACCTGCACTATCAAGAGACGCTGGCGGAGATATGGCTAATGTTTGGCCTGCGAGAGCGAGCCCATCAGGAACATATTGTGGACCATCTTCGCGTCTCAGGACTCAGAAACGAATACCAGTCTGCATTGGACGCTGAAATGAGAACAGAAAACAGGAAAGTTGATAAATCTTGCATAAGGTAAGAAACACCTGCCTTCAGTCAGAAGCAAGGAAGCTGTGAAGGTGACCGAATTAGGAACCCTTCAAAGATAGAAGATGTGTGGCGAGGGTCAGGGCAAGAGTGAGTATTTTTCGTGCTCAAGGTGAAAGGCCGAATTGTGACGAAACCCAGGCAGACCTGCCTCTGAAAGGGTTCTTCTGTCGAAGGTATCGTTGGTCGGGCTATAGGTCTCGGTGGAGCCAAAGGGTTCACAACAAGTGCACAAGCAATTCTCTGAATAGTGGGTAAGGTGAACTGCGTGTATTGCTCACTGGAGAACCCCTAGGGTCCTCTAGAACGAATGACTATATACTACGTAGTTTCCTTGGTCGCCTGTGGTTGCTGTCGACCCTGAGCACCCATGGTCGCTAATGGTCGCTTCGACTATGAGCGTCCATGTGTCTATGGTCGCTGCTGTCCCTGAGCGACCTTGTCCTGTCCGGCTGCAGTGTTACCTTGTCCCGTCATCTGAGTTATGCACCTTGGGGTATATCCCCACTAGTCCGTGGTATATGGTTGGTTCGTGACACACCTGCAGTCGTCCTGTTAGCTTAATTCGTGACACGAATGCGCCTAGCAAACCAGAAATTCGCATAAATGTGCGAGTGTCTGAAGGTAATAATGAACGTGAAGACTAAACAATATTAATGTTCAACGGAATGTATTGACTGCGAGTATACGGATCCGTATAGGGAGAGGCTAGAGGAGACACCATTACTTGACCTTTACAGGCTGTAAATGTTTTGGCTGCGAAAGCTCAAGTACTACTGACATACTGAGAGTGTCTGTCTATATTACACGTTAACGCTAACGTTGACGTTAACGTTACAGTTCTCATATACTATACATTACGCCACAGCGGATTTGCCACGTGCCGGGGCCATCGAGATGACGTCTCGATGACGGCATGCGCATGGCAGTGCAAGACTCAGCCCCGGATGGTATAATACTTACTAGCGATTTGCATATAAACGTTCTCCCACAGGTCTCGGAGAAATCTTTTTTTCTGTTTCCTCTCCTTGACACGAGTACACTCTACCTCAGTATCCTTCCAATTCCTACACCTCTCTACTTGATTGCACAATGAACAGTTCTCACCCAAGCATTAGGGACACGCCACGCTCAATTACCTATACCAGAGCCTACAACGAGTCTTATTCCCGACACTATAACAAGTTGTATCGACCATGCACATCCCTGAGCCTTGACGAGCGTCTCCGCGCGCAACGGGACTTGGCTAGTACCTGCGAGCACCTTGCCAAAGCCGATGCCTTGATGGCGGAGATCGACGAAGAACGAAAGACCAGATATGCCGCTGAGACAAGGGAGGGAAGCTGGAGATCGCCCTCGAACCCATACGCCTTTGACATCCCGCGTGCCACTTACCCTACCAGCAGTGCGCCCTCCGAGAGTGATCTCCGAAACCAGTCATATTCGCGCCAGCAGGGCTACAACCGCACCCACCAGAATTGGCGCGCCGAAGACACGCGCCAGGACTGGAACCGATGGATGTACGGGCGCCCGTGAGCGTGAGCACGGTTCAGGCTGTCCATCCAGGTCAAGGTGAGGATTTGTCCTGGTTGATTCGTATGGAAAGCCCTGGTGGGCGAGGGCTGTGATCCCAATTCATGGGTTGCGCGGAGAAAAAGATGTCCGAGAATGTTCATTTCCCGCTCAGTCTTGGTTTCCCGAAGGATTGCTGTCTATTTGCGCGAACACTTGGGTCGGTAGCGGAAAGGGAGAGTAAATTGCAAGAACCTGCCTCACTACCCGACTTGGTTGTGTCGAGATGAAGCCGCGAGTAGGTGCGCAGTAGGTGCTCACCCCAGGTCATCCTCTTTCGCGTAAAGCTGTCTGGCAATGTATGTACACACATATATGCATAGAGCTGGCCGTTCCTCTCCGACCACAAGGTCCACTTGGACGAGAGACGTGGCGTCGATAGTGACCCTGCCCCGAGCGCAAGCAATCTTCCCAGACAGAGTACCCCCGGCTCCCAAGCGGGACGGCGACGGCATCTTGGGCCAGCTGAGATGAGACAGCCACTGCACGCGGATCTTGCGAGCATGTTCTAGGTGTGTTGTGCCCTGTGTTTACCGCTGCGGATAAATCGATGACCTTAAAAGATAGAACGCTGGTCTCTAATGTGCTTAAGCTAAAGGGAGTGAGGAGCTTGGTGTATAGCCTCTTTTGACCTTCTTATTCTTCTTGAGGAAGGTCGGCGCCTGATAACGAACAATCCCAGAGAGAGGATGGGAAAAACAGGGGCCCGCACAATTTAAAATAAGAATCCTTGTCGCTTGCCGATAGCGGGAGCTGTGTGTGAGGGGGTGAAGCTGAGAGTGCTTGTTAGGATAGCGAAGAACTCATGTCAACATTGAAGAGACGGGAGGCAGTATTTTATTCACATCATCCGCAATGCGATCCTTATTGTGGATGTAGGTACACCGGAAAAATCTAATGCGGTGAGTACTAAGATTGGATAATAAATGCAAGGCTAAACCTAATATTATTTAGCAGACACACTGATCATCAATCCTTCTGAAGGTGGGTAGCTGGATATCAGGCCATTATCAGAGAGGGTAGCGAGATTAAAATGTGAGATGTGGTCCCTACACCACATCTCCATTCGTTATAAAGCCCCGCAGAGCTTCCTGCATGCCTTTCCTTCTATACCTTAGCAGTAGTTAGTCATTCACGACAATACGATACGATTCATCACCACTCATGTTGCCTCATAGGTTATAAAGCTCTCTTTTTCCATTGCGTGTAGCATTTAGGGCGGTTTAGCCAGTGTTTTGAAGACACCTTCTTCATTTGCGTTAATTCTACGTATTTTACATGGCATTTCCACTCACTTTATAGCTTTTGGTCAGTTTATCGGCATTTCAATAGCCTAACCACCAAGGTTTTCGACATCGCTGACGTCGTTGTCGTCAAGCTCAATTGCGTTGTATTGCATCGACATGGTTTGACCGATTTTCATTTCCTCAAAAGCAACCGACTTGTGTCAAAGTTGACATCTATAAGGAATTTATGATATCTTCTAACGTAGTGCTTTGCGACATCGTCAATTATAGTTGATTGTGACGGTGGAACCCACCGTACCATGGCACAGGCCATTGCTTAGTCATGTGCCCGGCTTCCGGTGCATGCATGCATGATTGGTCAACCTGGTTGGTACCCCACCTTCCACATCTGGGCACATGCCCTACATCCTGTATTTAGACTTCTTCGCATCTTGCAGTCTTCGAGGATTCCTTTCCTCCTGCAAGTTTAGTATTCTTGCAATATAGTCAGTTGCCCACCAGAGCCTTGAGCCTGGCCTGCGACGACAGTCACCGTGATAGTGACTTAGTATGGTTCTCGGCAATGCTAGCTCCATCTATGGCGATAGTATAATAGTGGTCGGCTTTAGATACACTAGCAGGTAGTAAAAGTATAAAGTATAGGGTCTGATTTGTAAATGGACTATTAACTAGTACTAAGAAGACTATATAGAGACTGAGATGCTAATGTTAGGCTATCCTTTTAATGCTTCAGCTTCTATCCTATCCTTATCCTATAGGTTCAAGTTATAAAGAGTTTGATTATCTCAAGTTAACACTGCTTTATATATAGATTTCAAGTTGGTCTAGCCGCTTTGCACAATATTATTCAATAAGATAAGGGACAATCGAACCTTGGATTTATATATTAGCGCGGAACAGGCGTCAACTCTCTTACTGTTCTTTTACTCTCAACTTCTTGTCTTCTTCCTCCCCAACCACCTACAACCCCCCCGCCCCCTCCCCACCTACCTTCGTCTATACCTTTTGTTTTTACGTTCCTTTTCCTTTTGTTTTACGTTTTACCCTATCTATATGCTTCTCCAGCCACATTTTTGAGTGATGTCATCATCAATAACAACGTTATCCAGCTCTGATCATGATGCAGATTGAATACAGATGGCCTAATCATTGCGTCATTGCATCAATGGCCCCATCTTGAGCCATCCTTTCCACGGCCGTTCGCTTTCACATGCCAAAGTTACTCATGGCCTTATCCGGACTGCCCTATGGAACTAGCCGATCATTGATGTCATCCGAAGCCATCTTCCGACCCTTTGTGAACTGTCTTCATATCATGCCCACGTCTGCGGATATCGCCGCTGCTGGTTTTGGCAACTTTCAGCAGTTTCTATAGAGGAGTCTAGAACTTTTAGATCAACGCAATGAGACGGCCGGCTGATTCTCAGCTGGTCGTTTCCGCAAATAGTGCACGGTGAGCTCTCCGCCCGTTAGTCTGGACGTTACGGAGTGTATCCGTACAGTTTTGAATTCTACATCCCGCCGGAGCCAGGCTCCGTACCCATTAAATTTCAGGGTCTATATTCTTAGGCTCCGTATCCGCGTGGTTGCTCACATGCCCGCCAAGAAGATAAGATAATTAGACGACTAACACGGCTAGTCAAAGTCAGCCAAACCTTCCGTCAAATAAACAGGGCAAAATCTCTCGACTCCTCTCATATCAATGCACCAGGTGACCAACTACGGCCGCGATAAGAGGATCGGGGCACCGGGATCTGAGTATGTGCAGAGCTAAGAGCGGACTCTGTTGATTGGAGACCATGTTGAGGTGGACAGGACTCACGGGAGGCAGTTCAGGAAACCCCAACACGGACGATAGTGGTATAAGGGAGCTCGTAATATCCGAAGATTCGGTGCTATGGTGTATACAGTAACTATGTCTACAGTCCTTTTAGTTGCTAGGAGGCGGAGGAATCATCCAAAGTCAGCTGTTCCTGATGTAAAGCTGTTACCAGTAGTTCCCAATGCGGATATGGGTATTGTGATTGAGGATACTTGCCGTTGAGGCCTCTATAAGAATCGCGGTGTCGGGCACCGCGGCGGGAGAGGCACAAGAGAAGTCCTGCCATTTCGTCAGATGGTTGACAGATTAGTTCCGGACCCATCATTCCATCGGGGAGGCGGCCCAAGAGGGAGTGGAGCTTTGCGAGTCGAGACTCTCGACAACCACCTCACCAGACCTTTGTGTCAGAACTCGCAACATCTGCATGATCAGTTCTGGCACCGTAGGGAGCCAACAACTCTGAGGTCATGCTCCTTTTAGTTGATGTTTCCATCGAGATCTTCTGTCCTAGGGTCGGTTCCCCCCCGATGTTCCTTTGTGGTTTACGTCACGACGGTGACGTAGTAGACACGTACGTTTAGTAGTGATAGCTGCCTCGGTTTGTGTCAGGTATCTCTGCTCAAGCATGCGTGTTGGTTGCTATCTGCTATTCTCGCATTGGCTCTTGATCTTTCTGTGGCAACATCAAATCACGGTATATAAGTATTAGCTGGTCTGACCTACACTGTGACACATCGAGCGGAGTCTGTTGCGGCTTGATCTCTTTAAGCTTCCTGTGCTCTAGGAAAGTCCTTTTTTCGTTAATCGATGACCGAAACCTAAGCAAGCATGACGATTATTACTATTAATGGCAATTCCCTTGACACCGAGTCGCTGGCTCACGGGGCTTTCAACCTCGTCCCAGAGACAGCCAAGGACTCCAACTACATCCTGATACAGACCGATGGCCCGCTTACCAAGGAGATCAAGGAACAGCTTAAGAAGGAAGAAGTTGATATCCAGGAGAGGGTGTCCGAGAACACCTACCTCTGCGGATACAAGCCAGAGACGCAACCGAAGGTGCGATGATCGCATTATCGGCATCTCGTGATATCGAGACTGACTTTCTATCTCAGGGCATCGGTAGAATCGGAGATCTGCCCTATATTACCTTCGCACAAATTTACCCTCCCCATTGCGTGATTGACGCCCGACTCAAGGGCGTTCCGGCTGCGTCTTCATCGACGAGTCCCCTCCTCCCTACACCGGACCGAAGTAAGCGCACAGTGACCGTTGATGTCGAGTTCCACAAGGACGTGGTTCCGGGCCCCGAGTTGATCAAGGAGCTCGCGGCGACCGCCCGGCTGGACCCGGAATCCCTGAAGACGGCCGGTGATAAGGCCCGAATTACCATTCAGCATCGCTACCTTGCCGACGTAGCGGAGCTAGACCAGGTTAAGCGCATCAACGAGGTGCACCCGGTGAAGCTGTACAACGATGTCGCCCGCGGAATCCTCCGTGTTGCGCAAGCCGTACATCCAGCAAGCCCTGCCACGAGGTACGAGGGTGACGGTGAGCTCGTGTGTGTCGCCGACACTGGATTCGACCAAGGCTCCCTTGACCCCGCTCAAGTGCATAAAGCATTCATAACCCCCGGTCCTGGAGCAGCGCCCGTGGCGCGGATTCAACGTCTGTACGCCCTCGGTCGCCCAAACAACGCGTCGGACCCCGACGGCCACGGCACCCACGTCTGCGGCTCGGTCGCGGGCGATGGGACCTACGCTAGCACTGGGGCGCACATCCAGGGCACCGCGCCCAGGGCAAGACTCGTGGTGCAGTCGACGCTCGACTCCGGTGGCGGTCTCGGGGGCATTCCGGCAGACTTGCGAGAACTCTTCGCGGCACCGTACAAAGACGAAAAGGTTCGCATTCATACCAACAGCTGGGGAGCTCACCCCGCCCCCTTCCGCCAAATTGAGTACAACAACGATTCCAAGGCCATCGACGATTTTGTCTACAACAAGCGCGACATGGTGATTCTTTTCGCCGCTGGCAACGACGGCATGGACACCAAACCCAACGATGGCATTGTCGACAACGCCCAGGTCGGCGCCGAGGCCGCCGCTAAGAACTGCATCTCGGTCGGCGCCTCGGAGTCCTACCGACCGGACTTCCCCATCAGATACGCCAGCTTCGGCTTCCCCAAGCAGCCGCTGGGCGCAGACAAAGTTGCTAATGACGTCCGCGGCATGGCTGCCTTCTCGTCGCGCGGCCCGACACGCGAGGGCCGCATCAAGCCTGACGTCGTCGCACCGGGAACGTGTATACTCTCGGCTCGGAGCTCTCGCGTGCACAGGGTTTTACCTGACTGGGGCATCAGTACAGGCGATGATACCTACATGTACGACGGCGGTACCTCGATGGCTACTCCACTGGTGGCAGGTTGCTGCGCCGTCCTACGCGAGGCGCTCGTCAAGAATGGCACCCCTGAACCGAGTGCTGCGCTCATCAAGGCCTTGCTGATCAACGGCGCCGTCGAGCTCGCCGGTCAGTACGTTCCCACCGAGGCAGGCAGGAGCCCCAACAACTCGAGCGGCTGGGGCCTCGTCGATGTCGCGAACAGCATTGTCATCGGCACTCCGACGGAGGACAACATTGTTGCTGCAGCCAACATGTCCGCGGGCTTCCGTGATGAGGCGGAGCCGCTCGACACGGGCGAGACTTTCGAATTCACGATCCCGACTGGGGATACTGGACGCACCCTGAAAATCACGCTGGTTTGGACGGACCCGCCGGGCGGCGAGCTGCAGAATGATCTGGATCTGATCGTCGTCGCGCCTGGTGACGAGATCAAGCGTCATGGGAACCAGCCGGGCGATTTTCCGTACAACATGCAGACACACTTCGACCGGAAAAATAATGTAGAACAGATTGTATGGGAGAGGATTCCGCAAGGGTCGGCGAAGGTACGTGTGCAGCACACAATGTAACGTCGTGGGAGGGACAGTCTTTTGCACTAGTCTGGAAAGTCTCTAATTAGGCAACCTGCTTGATCACTTGTACTAGGTATTGTATAGGTTAGAATGCATCGTGCGAGTTGGAAGACTAAATACTAAAGGGAATGCATTACCCTAGCGGCCTAGGCCCTTTGTTACCCTTGTCCGAGTCTTAAGCGATCTTCGCTAGCTGTTGCACTCTCTCGACATGCCGACCAAAGGTACCCTGGCATTAACGACCCAAGTGCCGCCAAAGTTGTCTCTTCTTTCTGTTCCTTCAATCTCAGTATGCTCATAGACTCATCATTAACAAATTGCAGAAAAACTGGTTGAGATCATTACGGCTCCTGTATGGCGCTTCGATGTTAATGGGCCACTGCTATAATACCGAGACGGCTAGGTGAGCCCGTAGATATATATACGTTAAGTGAGTTGATACTGCTGTGTAGAAAGGAAGAGCGTGTGATCAAACGTTTCATTTCTTTAGATATACAGTCAGGGTTCAAAAGTCTGTCACACCCCACATCAATTAAACGCGCGTCGCGACATGACACGCACTATCTTCTATCTTCTAACCAACCCAACTTTAGCACACCATGGTCAATTTGGCCGAAATCGGGGCCAAATTGACGGCCGGCCGTCAACCTGGCCAGGAACTATCACCGACTGCACGTGCAGCTATTATAGGTGCCGTTGTAGCTGGGGCTAGCCAGTTAGCTATTGCCCGCGCGTTTCGTATCGACAGGACGGCTGTCTACCGCATCCTTCAACGGTTCGAATCATCTACCACTGTTGAGTCCAAGCCTCGAACAGGCCGGCTAGAGATTCTTATATGTCGGGAAAAGCAGTATATCCTACAATTGGCTAAACGGCGTCCCTAGCTTATAACCCAGATGCTGATTAATACTATGGACGGCTGTATCTCCCGATCAACGATATACCGGGTTCTTTGCCATTATCGGATGCGTAAGTGGCGTATATAAAAGAGAATCCTATTGACAAAGGCAATAGCAAAGGATAGATATCGATTTGCTTGCCTTTGGTTAAAGGATATTGAGATCTTAATCCGAGTAAATGACTTAGAAGTCAACCTTAGATTTTACTAACTAACCTCTAGTCTATCTTTACCGACGAATCGTCTTGCCAAAACAATTCGAGTAACCTAACAACTTGGGTCTTCCGGTTCCCTTCTTAAAAATAAGATAAGAGCTTTGTCAACCTCTAGAGCTATAGCAAAGGTACGATTTCGATCATGATTTAGGGTGGCATTTGGAAAGGGGGGAGGACCGACCTTATTATTATAGAACGTGACTACCAACCACCGTAAAAAGGAGGATATAGCTCTTGGAGTTATCAGCAGGCATTGGAAAAGGGTCTTCTTCTAATTTACGATGGTACTTGGCACTTCTAGCAGGATAATGCCCAAGTATATACATTTGCATCCTCGACCGAGTAGCTAATAAAGCATATGATCGAGGTCCTACCCAACTGGCCAGCCTATAGCCTAGATCTTAATCTAATCGAGCATATATAGGCTCTATTAAAACGGAGGATAAAGCAGCTATATCCAGATGTCTGATTACTCAAGAAAAACTAGCTAGATATAGCTAAGTTTACTCGATGTCTTCGGGTATGTTGGTGGGCAATTGACCAGGGTTAAATTGACGGTCTTATTGACTTAATGCCCTGGCGATTGGCTGCAGTCCAGAAAGCTAGGGGTTGGTATACAAAATATTGATGGCTAGAACCAGGGCTTCTATCTATATATATCTATTTTGCTAGGAATGTTGGTGGTGTTGCGTTATATAGAGATATGTTAATAGTTGTAGTGACCTAGAAAATAGGTGGCGGGGGATTTTGATATAGGGTGTGACAGACTTTTGAACCCTGACTGTAATAACCAATGGTGATTGAGACCCTTAACAAGTTCTTAGAACCTAAAGCTAAGGTTATAACTACCTATCTAGGTACTTCTACTGCTTATCGTTTGCTTATACTATGTTAGGTACCTTATATGAAAGACTTATTAAAAGATCCCGAGTGCTTGGGATAAGATACGCAGTTCTATAAGCTGCTTAGGAAGAGGGGAAATAAGAGAATTATTATCTAGCCTAATGTCATGAATTAACCTGCAGAGGCCGGTGGGGGCCGACCTGCATGGTCAGCAGGCAGCGCCTGCGTCCAATCATTATGGGCCAGGAAGGACCAATGAGGGTTGGGAAGATTGGGAACAATGCCAAGAGCAATTGTTCCCAAGGAACTACGCCAAGAAATGTTGTTCCAGATGGAACAACGAGAACGACAATTGTTACAAATATTCCAGAAATCTGGGTATAAGGATACCTAGGGGAGGAAGCTGTATATAGTTCTACCATTCTGTCGCTCATTCAGATAGCTAGCTTCCTCAGTGAGCAATACAAACAATAGTCCTTACCTATTGTGCAGATATTGCGACAAGCATTGTTGTGAACCCTTTGGCTTCACCGAGACCTACAGTCCGACCAGCAGTTACCTTCGACCGGCGAACCCTTTCAGAGGCAGGACTGCCTGTGGTTTCGTCACAGTCCGTTCTGGACCGGAATGACTGGACGCGGGCGCTGCCCGCAGACCATGCAGGTCGGCCCCACCGGCCTCTGCAGGTTAATTCATAACACTGCTATTTAATAATAGCACCTATTCCTATAAGAGAAGAGGTATTTAGATTAGATATCTAGAAGCGCTATAATACAAAGGTATATATAAGAAAGTTAATAAACTATATTTATTCACCTTAGGTAACTTATCTATATCGCTATTATTAGGCTTAGTAACGTTCTAATGCTACGCTTATTTCTATTAGCCCTACTCTCTACCTCTTGCCTAAAACGTGTTAGAGCTATCTCTCTAATGTTATAATTTCTACTTATAATAGCTGCATCGGCGCCAGCTTGGCCCTAGATCATAGATGCTAAGCTTCGCCACTTCCCGCGCAAGACTACCCAGCTTGTCTTCGTCGCATTGCGATATAGATAGTAAGAAGCGTACGCGTTATTATATAGATTGCTCTAGCTCGAAATAGCAGCTATATATAGGCCAGCTGCCTGGTAATTCTAGCGTTCTGCTTATAGATCCTCCGCTCTAGGTCCACTATACACTAGTAGGGAATAGCGTCGACATACTATGAGGACAGGACGACTGATAGATTAGTAGGTCCATGATCGACTCCTTAAGGTCAGCGAAAAATGCGCCAAGATAACCTGAGGCAGTTGTATCACGCGTCGAGAACTGGATTGGTTATGCATGAGGTATATTACGGTGTTCGTCTTGGAATGGGTACGTTGACTCGGGAACGGGCATCCTAGCAAGCTGCGGTCTGCCTTGCTACTGCTCTATAGCCGCCCTGATGCAGGACTGCGCCGGTGTTAGGTCGGTTCCCACGTTCATCGCCAGCGTGCGACGTAGACTGGCAATCCGCCTTCGGGCGATGTGGGCGCCGCAAGTGGTCGTGAACCTTGAGAGCAGCGCGTGTACTCGTTGCCAGTTCTGCTCCTGGCTCGCGTCGCTCTATTGCGGTGGTCGAGGCTTCCCCTCCACCATGAGCAGCAGGGTAGGCTGGGTCAGGCCATACGGGCGACGGGCGCGTCTAATTCGACGTTGATCAGCTCGCTCAGGTTGACGAGCGTTGGGGCCGGTACTCGCAGCGCGAGCACGCCAACCGAGTCCACGTGGCTACGTTGTGCCGTAGCCCCACCTTTGGCGTTCGACATACCACGGAAAGGCTCGAGAACGGATGGTCACCTGCCCTTTTGGGCTTTGATGCGAGCTCTGCCAGATCGAGGTCTGCTCGCGGACTGGGGCAGCATTGCGGGGGTTGTATCCCCGATGGCAATCAATGGCACGACATGCTCAGCATCCTTCCGGCTCCTCGACCGAGTCACTGCCGGCTCCCGAGCTGGATGCTTCCTATTTCCTTGGTTCCTATGTACCACGTCGATAAAAGCAATCTGTCCACGGCGCCTTGATATAACCATAGAAAGGTTACGATATTTTAACTCGGCAAGCAACAGACTAAGCACCTATCCTACAAACACAAGCCTCCGCACTTGAACTGTTCCCATCACTTACATCCCATCCAGCCAATGGGCCCCAACTTGCCATTCTAGTCCCCATACGACACTCCCAAGATATATCCTCACACCTCACTTTCAATTATCCACTTAAGCCGCAACTCCTCAGGCGACCACCCCACTAGGTGCTCCTGCGCGCAGCCATGCATCATCCGCCACATCCACCGCCCCCCGCCGCTGTAATGAGCTATAACTGGCTCGCAATGTGTCGCGCCCGGCGTGTCCAGCAGCGGCACAAGCTCCATCCCGGCATATCTCAGCTTGTCAATGTCCGGAATATTATGGTTACCGTCGGGCGGCGACAGGAGTGACTGGATGGTGGTGGTGGAAGGAGAGAATGAGGAGCCTGCCAAGCGAGGGCACATAGTTAGCACGCTCACGGAAGCAGTTTTATGGCCACGGAAACTCATTGTTTATATGTTCATATAGGAAAGGGTTCGGGGGCAGAAGGGCAGGCGGTTGTAGGGTGTACCAGGAGCTTAGATAAGGTAGGTACTGACTGGGAGAAACAGAGCGAGCATCACGCACCGAAAGCGCCTGCCCCGCTCCTGCTGCTGCTGCTGCCGCCGCCGGTGTTGACGTTGTTGTTTGTGCTGCCACCGTTGTTGTTGGCCGTCGACGGAAACACAAACGGGCTGCGGCCCGTACTCGTTCTACTCCCACCATTACTGGCCGTGGTAGTAATAGTGCTCGTCGTGGCCACTCCGCCGGCCTGCGCAGTGGTCGCGTTCGCTGCGAATAACCCTGGAGAGCTCATGCTATTGACGGTAGCGGCCGTGTTCCCTGGATTCGAGCTGCCAAAGAGACCAGATGTGCTTGCATTACTGGGGTTGCCGAAGCTGGCGACGTTAAACTGTGGCGGAGTAGAGTTGGACGTGGAGGGCAAGAGCGTGGCGGACGCGTTGGGGGGGTAGGTAGGGGTCTCGCTAAAGTGGAAGACTGGGGGCGAGAAGAGGCCAGTTGCGGGAGGGGCGGTTGCCGCTGCTGGTGCTGAAGTGGCAGCAAAAACAGATGTGGTGCCTCCCGAATGGCTGAAGATAGACCCCGTGCTGGAGGTCTGAGGAGGGGCGCTGGTGGTAGCGGCAGATTGGAACAGGGAGGGCGCTGCAGGGGCCTGGGTGTTCGCAGCAGGCGTTGACGCGGGAGGCGCTGGCCTCGGTGACAGACGGGGCTGTGAGCTTGTGGTCACTGCTCGGTGCTGACTGCTATCCGACCCTGAAGGCGGCGTCGGATTCCCCGCGGGAGTGGGTGGCCTGGAGGGTACGGCGGGTGCTGCGGCGCCTGTCAGTCCTGAAAAAGTCTCTGCTCTCGTTGAATGCGGATTCTCAGCGAACCCCGTCCGGATCCGGCAGCAGCCGGAGGCCGGTGAGTCACGGCGGAAGCGATGGCTCGTCATCCAACGTCTGAGTCTGCCAAACACCCCGCGCTCCCTGTGTTCGATATCACCGACTCACCTGTCACCTCTCTCGGCCTGTGCCTCTGGCACCTCCGCAGGCCATCCCTGAGACTGCGGATCTCGTTCTGGAGAGCCAACCGCTGACTCTGCACCTCGTCCGACTCGGCGGCCAGCTCCGCCAGTTGGTTGGCGCTCATTCTGTCGACCTTCCTCGGCGTCAGGATGTCCGGGATCTCACAGACCAGACAACTCTCGACTGCGAGATTGATGACGTTGTCGACAAAGGTCCGCAGCGACATCTGGCATGTTTGTACGGGGTTAGCCTAGATGGTCCCGGGCGGGTTGCAGAGACGCGGACGGGGAACTTAGGGAAGGCGTTTCGACTCGCCTCATAATGAGAGATGGCCATATCAATCACTCTCGAGGTGGCAAATTCGTCCCGCTCAGCCTGGCTCAGGTCATGGACGGCCCTCTGGAGCATCTGTCGGCTCAGGCGTGCATTTGTTCGGAACAGCTCCGGGTGGACTTCTCTAAGGCGATCGACGAGCCGACCGGCCAGCCGACGGAGCGTCTTTTCCTCCATTTTGACGCTGAACTCGTCCTCGAGTGGCAGCCCGTAACCTTTTTCGTAGGGAAGAAGCAGCTGCACCAGCTTTTCACGTAGCAACTCTTCCCGCTCGACGAAGAAGGGGTCCACGCAGTCGCTTAGGACGGCTCTCAAGGTGGTTTCGTCGGCGCCGATGATGTGCGCGAAGGCCTCCTCGACGAACTTCTGGCTGACCTTCAGCACCTGCCGGAGGTGAGTCCAGGCGATGTCCTTCCACGGCTTCGCCTGCTTTTTGAACAGCTGGAGGGCGAGCTCGCTGTTGGCTTCGCCGGGGAACTCGCGGCCCAGGTTGAACGACGCCTGCGACTGCAGCTCCGCGTTGAGCTCTGTTTCGCGTTTGGCTTCCGGGTGTGGCACGCCGTACTCGTCGATCAATTCCTGCAGGTAGGCTGGAAATTTTGGGGAGTCGTCGTCATCGACATCGTTATCATAGTCGTCATCGTCATCATTATCATAGTAGTCGTCGTCGTTGCCATCGCCGTCGTCCGGATTCTCGTCGGCAGCATCCCCGTCGCCCCACAGGATCTTGTAGCGCGCGCCTTTGACTTTCATCACAGCATCAAAAGCGCGGTTCCTATTGCGCAGCTTAGCGCGCAGCTTTGTTTCCTTCTCGTCGATGCCCCCAAAGAAGTCCTCATTGCTGTACCGGCCCTCAATCCCGTCGCGGGCCAGTCGCTGGAAGTCCTCGGCGATGCCGAGCAGGTACGAGCGAAGCTCCTCGGTCGTCGACCGCGAGCTGCCAAGTCGATCTAGCGCTTCCTGGCGCGTCCTCAGATTTGCTTCGATTTCATCGATCAGGCCCGGTAAGTTTGTCCTGATGTGGTCGAGAAGGACTTTGCTCAGACGCTTCCGCAAGCTCTCGACGCCCCTGTTTGCCGGCAGGATGGAGCTCCAGGCGCCGGACCGGAAGAAGCGATGCTCGATGGCGTCTCGGACGTCATCTCCCGAGGACCTCTCGCTCTCGGACGGGTTGCGCAGCACGTACCAGCCGAGGGTGAGCTTGTGCATACTCTCGAGGCCCTTGGCCAGGTCCAGGTACTTGCACTCGTTGGCCGACCCAGGCCCGGCCAGGTCGGGCTTGGTGATGACGCCAATAGTGCGCTCGCGGGACGGGTCGTGTTTCTGGGCCACCTGCAGAACCACCTGGTTGGCGAGGTTGTTGTTTGCGGCCACGACGGCGAGGATGATGCTCTTTGGCTGGTTCATGTAGCTCGCCACCAGCTGGTCGACAACCTCCTTGTCGGCCTGGTTCTGGTCGGCCGTCTCACTGTGGAAGATGCCAGGAAGGTCGACCAGCGTCAGGGGGTATACGTCTGGTGCAGAGATCTCTACCCGCAGGATGTCTCGTGAGAACCTCTTAGTACCCCCCTCGCGGATGCCCATGCGGACCTTGGCGTCGCGGATTACGTCGGGCAAGGCCTCCCTGTTGAAGACCTCCCCGTGGAATGGCGGGTCTACAGCGTCTCCGTGCCCGGCCGGTTCAGGTGTGCCGTCCGCGAACTGGATGCTGACCTGCACGGCGGTCTCGCTGGCACGGCGCAGAACGAGCTCCGTGGCAAAGCGCGTGCATAAGTCGCCGTCGACGGGGAAGCGCACGCGCGAGATGGCTTCCAGCACGGAACTCTTGCCCGATGACTGGTCGCCAACGACGATGATCTGGGGCAGGTTGACGATGTCACCGACGTGGATCTTCCGGAGATCGTCGATTGTGTCGAGCAGCGCCTTCGACTCGGTGTTGTTGAGTTGCGCCAGCGAGTCAGCGTCAAGGGCCACCTGCGGCGGCGGAGGAGTCTCGAGAGACCCCATGCTGTGTGCTCGACTTCGCTATCCGAATTCCTTGCTTGTATCTTTGTACCCGACTCTGTCGTATCCGAGTAACTAATCGTCTTGAACATGGTCGAGTTAAGAAAGGCGCGATCCAGAGACAGGCACGGCGGTTACCCCCTTGATATAGAAAGGCAGCCTGCGTATTATTGTCACCACGGCCGACGCAGATTTCAGCCGTTTGGTCGCATGCAAGTTGCTGCAGGAAACAGGTTTCTATCACCAACACGCGTTTCATGGGTAGGAGGCTCCGGGCGCTTAGCATCAGTTCATCCTTTCAGGGGATCTTTCACTAGCCAGGGGCCCAAGGCTGAGAATGACGGGCTGGCCTCCAGGCACCGATCGCCGTACAAGGCGCACCTATACTGGCAGCGCAACGCGAGTGGTTCAGACGTTGAGGCGTCTGTGCCAAGGCCCTTCAGAGTTTTGTCCCAGTGAATTGGAACTCAATGTGGAAGACCACTGATAGGCAGTGTCGGTACACTACTAGCTGGAGTGCTCGCAGAGCTCGATCTTCCTGCAGTCGTCCCTGTTTCAGGGGTAAACCTGAAACCTGCCTCGATGCAGGAGACAAGGGCGCGCTCTAGGCTGTATGCTGTGTAACCAGCGGGAGCACGTCAGCCACCCTCCGCACGCCATCAGACTCAGGCTTTCCCGGCTGCGGAGGACCAAGAGCCACGACGGAGACAGGCGGGTCTTGATGCGCCTAACGTTGCACCCCCATGCTGGGTCGCGCTCATGGCCCAACACATATGCAACCTCCCAGTCTGTCTCTGTCAGTCATCTCCGCACCCAACCGAATGGCACGCAGTGCCGTTTGTTGTGGCGAAAGGCGTTTGAAAACAGCGCGTGGTGTTTTCTCAAGCAGCCGGTCAAAATCCAGCAAGCGCTTATCGCAAGGGGAACCAGATTGAGCACCTTTAGTTCCGGACAATGTCGTTGACTTATGTAACTCAACCTTGGCATTGGCACGACATGCAGGGCAAGCAGCAGGGGTGTCACAAACGCCCTTTTCTCAGTTCAGTAGGACGTTGATTGACTGGCAGTGGGTGGACGAAGTGTTGAAATGTTCCTCAGCGCGATATCTATTATTACTACGCGCGGGTCGGTGCTGCACTGCGAATCCACTGCCGGATGCTACACTCACACGGCACTAGCATCGCCACGGCCATAACTCTCGATCCTCTTCCCAGAGGTTCAATACACCCAGTAAGTAATAGTAGTAAACGTATATTTAATAATAAAATATACTTTTTATTTATAATAAATATATATATTAATAACCTATTAGGCTATATATATCTCATAGCTTACCTATTTTATATAGAGTATTATCACGGTCAATAGAGTTGTCACTCTAGTTAGGAGTCGAACCTACGACCTTCTATGTAGAACAGATGAAGTAGAGCACAAGTCACGTGACTCACAAATCGGGAATATCCTGGTGTAATTCTAGACCGACCGCTTAGAACCTTTTCTTTCTTTTTCCTTAGGCTTAGTTTCATAGAATTATATGCTACGAATAGCTAGCTTAATCCTATAAACTACATCATACTGTCATAGGTATATTACCCCTCTTTCTCTAATCTAGACTCTTTTAAATTTTTATTAAGTTAATCTTTATTATTAAAATATCTTTATGATGTTCCTTTCTAATGTAGGTGTATAGCGAAAGTTACATACATATGAAAGTTACACTAAACCACACCAACGCGACATCTCACTTCTACACCCACTTCCTCCACAACCTAACATGCCTCAGAAAAACGACGAAAGCCAAGTTATCTTAGCCCTCCAGGCTCTAGAGAATGATCCGAAATTAAGTCTTAGAGCTGCAGCTCGGATCTTTTCTATGGACCTAATGAAGCTTAGCCGCCGTCGGCGTGGTCAGCAGTCACGACACGATATTCCAGCCAACTCGCGGAAATTGACCGATTTAGAGGAGGCTATCATTGTTCAATATATCCTCGACCTGGATTCTAAAGGATTTCCTCCCCGCTTGTCTGGTATAGAAGATATAGCCGATCGGCTATTTGCCGAACGCGATGTAGGATGCGTTAGAACGTATTAGGCTTCAACCTTCGTCAAACGGTACCTAGAGCTTACTATGCGTTTCAATTGGAAATACGACTATTAGAGGGCCTAATACAAAGATCCAGAGATTATTCGCGGTTGGTTTATACTTATATGGAATATAATCGCGAAGTATAATATCTAGGAGGCCGATATCTATAACTTCGATAAGACTAGGTTTTAGATAGGTATTATCTCAACGGCAATGGTTATTATAAGCTCCAAACGGCGTGGCAGGGTAAAGTCGAAGCAGCCTAGCAATTGCAAGTAGATAATGGTAATCTAGGGCGTCAATACGACTGGCTAGGCGATCCCGCCGTTCATTATCATCAAGGGCAAACATTACCTCTCCTCTTAGTATAAGAATAGCCTATTACCGAAGGACTAGGTCATTATAATATCCGAAAACGGTTGGATAACTAACGAGAGAGGCCTAGAATAGATTTAGTACTTCAATAAGTATACTAAAGCTCGAATAGCTAGGGTTTATCGCCTCCTAGTCCTCGACGGCTATAATAGCCACCATTCGACCGACTTCGAGCTCTATTATAAGGAGAATAATATTATCACCCTCTATATACCTCCCTACTTATCTTATATTCTTTAGCCGCTCGATATTAGGTGTTTTAGCCTACTTAAAACAGCATATAGCAAGTAGATTAAGGGGATAATATAGGTAAATATAACCTATATTACTAAGGAGGACTTCTTTCCTATATTCTATACCGCTTTCTAAGCCGCTATAACTCCTGAAAATATTCAAGGAGGTTTTCGAGGTACTAGAATTACTCCTTTTAATCCCGAGAAAATAATCTTATAGCTCGATATCCGTCTAAAGACGCCAACGCCCTTAAACTCGCCGCCTAATAGTGCCTACACCTAGGTTTCCAAGACCCCGAATAACCTAATCGAAGCCTCCTTATAGTCTACCCTTATTAAGAATCGAATTACCCGGCATTAAAATAGCTCTCTAACTAAGATTTTAAGGGCGGTTAATATATTTGCTAAAGGGACGTCCAAGGTCATATATTAGTTAGCATTATTAAGGGTAGAGAACCAAAGCCTCTAAGCAGTAAATAAGGTACTAAGCAAGCGCCGAAGGGTTAAAAAACAACGGCTCCGACAAGGAGGATCACTTTTTATATAGGATATATAGGATCTATAGGGCTAGAGAGACATTAAGGTATAGATTAAGGAGGAAACATAGGCGGGTAGTAGTCGGAAGCCGAGAGTTAAAATACGTGTGCGGTATTATAGCAACTACGGCGAGCCTGGCTATAGTGCGCGTACCTATCAGATAGTTGTTAAAACGTCCGAGGAAGATAATTCCGAGTAGTTTCGTTCGTTTTAAGCTAGTTGGGTGGAATTAATATAGATAAAGTTAAGGGGGTATAGTTTAGTATAACTTTCGTATGCATATAACTTTCGCTATATACTTATGTTAGTCATCATAAAATCTCCTATAGCAGCTATAGCTTATTGTGACAGTGGAACCCACCATACTATGTATGATATATGCAGTATGATTGGTTGGTTGTAGAGCACATGCCCTACCTTCTATATCTGGCAAGTGCCCTATATCCCGCATCCTGTATCTAGACTTTCCTGCTTTGCATCTTCCACTTACAGAACTCTTCCTTCTGCAAGTTCAGTATCCTTGCAATATAGTCAGTTGCTACCAGAGCTATTGAGCCTAGCCTGCATCTACCAATTCGTGACACTTATTAAGTAGCATATTATAGCAGCTCCTATCTACTATATAAAATCTAACCCTTCCCGGTGAACAAACATCGGGGGCCGCCTACGCGGGCGGCCGGGCATCGCAAAAATCGGGAATTAGGTCCTTTGCGATCTGTTCTTTCGATTCCAAGGGGTTGCAGCGACGCGCAGCTTCTACGCGGCCGTATAGCTATCAGATTGCTGGTTTTCGCGACAAGAAAGTGAAGATTTTCGAGTGTACCGAAAATCCCGCACTACCCCGTACGACGACCACCGTTGATGATAACCACGACAATCTACCTATAATAAGTTTATAAGACTAGGGGGATACTAGGTACGAAAACCACCCGACTCTTTCGACGTTTTAAAGAAGAGATAGGGTACCCCCGGCCTTGCCCGGTTCTAAGGGCGCCTATAACGAACACTAGAGAGCTAGTTATATAGCGACGAGGATATAGAGCAAAAGCTGGTATCGCCGACCGATTGTACGACTAATTATAAGAGCAGAAGAGAAAGGGAATATAGGCTTGTTAAGGGAGGTAATATAGGTGGCCGGGCCCTCTTACGAGGTACTTCGCCCTTTATAATACTATAGTTGGATCTAAGGATAGGAGGCGAGGCAGGTAGATTAGGGCAGGTTAATAGCAGAGCGACCGAGTAAGCTATACCGGTATAGCAGCTTGTACGACGGCCTATTGTAAGATACGGTCAGCCTTATAAGGGAGACCTAGCAAGGTAATAGGAAGCTAGAAGTTAGGGTTGCGCCTGGCGGAAGGTGGGCTATGGCGGCTATACTAGACTGAGAGAAGGATAATGGAGGTATGGCTCTAGCTCGTACCTAGGCTATAGGAGAGATATAGCTATTCCCTCGGCGAGGGACCTATAGGAATATCGTATATGGCGGGGAGTATGCTCCCTTAGCTAGAGGTATATAATAGGGGAGGAAACCGCCGATAGGACGTACTAGAGAGTACTATAGCTAGAGATCAAATGTATGGTATCGCCGCTATAAGGAACTTATAGCTCTAAAGGAGTAGTATAGCCGGCCGGAGAGGACGGACGTATATATCGGTTATCTAAGAGGGAGGAAGTATTATGCCTCTTGTGGAGAGCTTAAGGTGCAAACCTTGGAGTCCTATAGCCTAGTATTATTATGCTTAGTCTGGTAGAGAGGTTTGGCCTTGCCTCTCTGATTAAATTACCTCTATAAGGCGGATCTTCGCGATTATGCTTAGGTAGCACGTTTGTAGAGTGATAATCTAAGGACTTCAAGGCCACTACAAGGCCTAGCCAGGGACCTAGCAAAGGCCCAGAACCGAAGCCTACGCATCGTAACCAGAGCTTACAAGGCCACCCCTATACGGAACCTCGAGACGGAAACTTGGATCCCTCCCCTAGACCTCTACCTTAACAAGAGGCTGGCCGACTTCGAAGGCCGGCTCAACGAGCCTACCCTACAGGCCGGGCTAGGCCCAGAGGCCCCGAGACGCCCACCAAAGAAAATCATCCAAGGGGCTTGCAACAGGCTCTAACGAAGGTTCCGGAGGCTGCGGGGCCGGCCCCGGAGCCCAGGAAAGCCAACAGACGTCGAAAAGGCCTCGGCTGTAGTAGCCAAATGGAACGCCTAGGCTAAAGCCTTGGGCCCACCATTGGCCAAGACTCAGGATGACTGGGCATTATTAAGAGCTTGGGAGGCCAGGTGGAAAACCCAGGTCTAGAGACAGCCAACCAAGCTAGCCGACGAAGGCCTACCAACAGTCCTCTTCACAAATCAAGGCCTACGGAAACACTAAGGCCTTACAAAGGCTAAGAGCTCCCTACTAGTACAGGCCCGTACGGAGGCTATAGGCCTACGGGACTTTCTTTTTAAACAAAAGGCCCGTAACCAGCCTACCCCCTATTGCGAATGCGGAGAAGGCCGGGAGACAGTGGAGCACCTAGTGGTTTGGTGCTCTATACCACCTATATCAAGAATCTGGCCTAGGCAACTAATATGCACCCACTGGGACCTTAGCTTTGTTTTATAGGGCCTAGGCTACCGGAACCGAAGACTTCTGAAGAAGGTACTGGGTTGGCTGATGAACTCGGGCCGGCTAGGGGAATACAGGCTCGCTTAGAACCTAGATTAGGAACTGGAAGCCAGGGAGCTCGGCTAGCCACACCCGTGGCTACGGCTTAGCTGGGCTAGCACCCTACTAGCCGTTAGCCCAAGGCCTTCCCAAGGCCTTTTTCTTTACTTGCAGCAGCGTGTATCACTGGAACCATGTCTTTCCTATTATTTTTGATGAAGGTTTTCACCCGGCCTAAACGGTACGGTTTTTCCTTTGTACATAGCAGTAGAGGGTCCGGCACGCCTTGTAAATAGCGAGGCATAGCGGAGTAGGAGAATATATATATAGCTAATATGCATACGTATTAAGTCCTTGACCTAGAGACTGTATACCTGCTTCAGCGGCCTAAAGCAGCCAATATCGAGTGGCTAGAGGAGGTGGGAGGAATGCGGAGGTATATAGAGTATGATAATGTAATGCTCCTGGCAGTAGAGCTCGAATTCGGTCGAGTAGTGGCTCTTGTGGCCGTCGAGGATTAATAACTAGTATTTGCCTTTTGTACAAGGTGCTATATAGAAGTTAAAATGCTTAATCTAATCTAGGCCTACTTTATTGATAGTCCAGCCATTGTCGGTGGTTGCAATATACCAGTCAGCTAGGAGGTTGCACTCAGTATACTAGTTAGCGAGGTGGTATTATATAGCCAAGATAATAAATAGAGGGATGGCCCAGCCAAGAGCATTGACTCCCTAGATCACTGTTGCCCACTTACAGTTGCCAGGCTAGGCCAGCTTTGCCTTGCTACAACCATCCGAGGTTGTAACTACTATGCCTGCGAAGATGATACCTATTATGAACCTAGTCTCGTCGAAGTTATAGATATCATCATCTACAATACTATACTTGGCCTTGACGTTCCATATAAGGGCAAACCACTCGCTAATGACTTTTAGATCCTTGTACTTCGCCCTTTGGTAGTTATATCTACACGTATAACGCGTTCGGAGCTCTAGCTGGCATTTAATAAACCGATGCGCCCAGAGCTTGCCAACAGGCGGCGCGTCGCGTTCGCGTAGTAGATAGTTGGCCATATCTTCTATACTACTCAATCTAGGTGGGAATACGCGTATAGAGAGGTCAATCATATACTGTACTATTGCCCTCTCTTCTAGATCGGTGAGCTTACGCGAGTTGGCTGGAAGATCGCGTCTTGTAATATGGCCGGCAAGTCGACGGCGGATAGTTCGGTTGGCAACGTTATAGATCTTTGCTACAGCGCATATACTTAGTTCCGGGTTATTCTGAATAGCCTCAATGGCCAAGATTACCCTATCTTCATTTGAAGTAGGAGGCAAATTAGGTTGATGAAAAAATTGGTGTTAAGTGTAGAGGTGATATATAGTGTAGAAAGGTGCAGCGCTCGGTGATATGCGGCGCTCGCTGATAAGATATATTAGCCTAAATAAGAAATAATAATAAAAAAAAGATAACGTAAGTATATAGCGAAAGTTATATACATGCGAAAGTTACACTAAACTATACCCCTTTAACTTTATCTATATTAATTCCACCCAACCAGCTTAAAACGAACGAAACTACTTGGAATCGTCTTCCTCGGATGTTTCAACAACTATCTGACAGGTACGCGCATTGTGGCCAGGCTCGCCGCAGTTGCCATAATGCTACGCGTGTATCTCAACCCTCGGCTTCCGACTACTACCCGCCTACGTTTCCTCCTTAATCTATACCTTAATGTCTCTCTAGCCCTATAGATCCTATATATCCTGTATAGAAAGTAATCCTCCTTATCGGAGCCGTTGTTTTTTAACCCTTTGGCGCTTGCTTAGTGCCTTATTTGCTGCTCGGAGGTTCTAGTTCTCTACCCTTAATAATGCCAACTAATATATGACCTTAGACGTCCCTTTAGCAAATATATTAATCGCCCTTAAAATCTTAGTTGGAGAGCTATTTTAATGCCGGGTAATTCGATTCTTAATAAGGATAGACTATAAGGAGGCTTCGATTAGGTTGTTCGGGGTCTTAGAAACCTAGGCGTAGGTACTACTAGGCGGCGAGTTTAAGGGCGTTAGCGTCTTTAAACGGATATCGAGCTACGAGATTACTTTCTTGGGATTAAAAGGAGTAATTCTAGTACCTCGAAAACCTTCTTAAATATTTTTAGGAGTTATAGCGGCTTGGAAAGCGGCATAGAACGTAGGAAAGAAGTCCTTCTTAGTAATATAGGTTATATTTGCCTATATTATCCCCTTAATTTGCTTACTATATACCGTCTTAAATAGGCTAAAACATCTAATATTAAGCGGCTAAAGAATATAAGACGAATAGGGAGGTATATAGAGGGTAATAATATTATTCTCTTTATAATAAAGCTCGAAGTCGGTCGAGTGGTGGCTATTATAGTTATTAAGGACTAGGAGGCGATAAACCCTAGCTATTTAAGCTTTAGTATACTTATCGAAGTACTAAATCTATTCTAGGCCTCTCTTGTTGGTTATCCAACCGTTTTTGGATATTGTAATGACCTAGTCCTTCGGTAATAGGCTATTCTTATACTAAGAGGAGAGGTAATATTTGCCCTTGATGATAATGAACGGTGGGATCGCCTAGCTAGTCGTATTGATACCCTAGATTACCGTTGCCTACTTGCGATTGCTAGGCTACTTCGACTTTGCCCTACTATACCGTTCGGAGCTTGTAATAACTATTGCCGTTAAGATAATACCTATTTGAAACCTAGTCTTATTAAAGTTATAGATATTAGCCTCCTAGATACTATACTTTGCGATTATATTCCGTATAAGCGTAAACCAACCGCGAATAATCTCTAGATCTTTATATTAGGCCCTCTAGTAGTTATATTTCTAATTGAAATACATAGTAAGCTCTAGGTGCCGTTTGACGAAGGTTGAAGCCTAACGCATTCCGATACGTCCCGCATCGCGTTCGGCAAGCAGCCGATCGGCTATATCTTCTATACTAGATAAGCGGGGAGGAAATCCTTTAGAATCTAGGTCAAGGATATATTGAATAATGACAGCCTCCTCTAAATCGGTCAATTTCCGCGAGTTGGCTGGAATATCGTATCGTGACTACTGACCGCGCCGACGGCGGCTGAGCTTTATTGGGTCTATAGAAAAGATCCGAGCTATAGCTCTAAGACTTAATTTCGGATTATTCTCTAGAGCCTAGAGGGCTAAGATAACTTGGCTTTCGTCGTTTTTCTGAGGCATATTAGGTTGTGGAGGAAGTAGGTATAGAAGTGAGATGTCGCGTTGGTGTGGTTTAGTGTAACTTTCGCATGTATGTAACTTTCGCTATACACCTACGTTAGTGTTTAGGAATATAACTTTTAATTTGAAACACTCTAGCTTCACCTAGTCTCTACTCTTATAGCTCTTCTCTATAGCATTATAATGGCTTTAGCTTTATCTATACCTATATCCGCACCTACAGCCACTTAAGAGCTTGCTACTGCTGACCTCATTCATCTAGCTACCTTATAGCTCAAGCGAGCTTGGCCTTTTATAATTACGGGTAGCATTGGTAGATACATGGGAGGCAATTGTAAAGGTCAGCTTATAGTAATCCAATATCTAGGAAGCTGCAGATGGGTTTGGAAGCAGGTAGCGATACAATAAATTACTGAATTTTATGCCCTGTTGACCATTTATATTATGGATGTATGGCTAGCTTGGCAGTGTGCTGGATGGCTGAGCTCCCCTGGTCGGCGGAGGTGTAGCTCTAACTGCAGGGGAATGTGTCTGGCACAAAGTCTGCCTTGGCGACCCCAGGGCTATAGGGTGGGCTTAATAGCAGTTGAACAGTGGCTGAGTGCGTACCTGCACTTTAAGAAGCTGAAATAGGAAAGCCGATGGCGCTCTCTTGATGGCAAGGCTCTGCGAAGGCGTACTCGACAAACTTGGGCTGAGCAGGAAAGGGTCCTGGTGGTGCAACACAGCAGCTGGGCGGCCACTCAGAACCGTTCTGGCCCCTCCATACCGCTGCAGCTGTCAAAGATGCCTGGCTCCATTCAGAAAACCCGAACTGACGAGGTACTGGAGTGAAACCCCGCTCTCAAGATGAGTTCGTCTGTTTGCGCTCTCATCAGTCTCGGTGTCCCAGCGAGATAAACCCTGCGCATCCCATCATTGGTATCCAAAGTTCAGCTGTCACAAGTCATTTGATCCGGTCAAGAGACATTGCTGATCCGCCAACCCTCTGCTCCCAGTGGCCGGTAGATCTGCATGGTGACCCTTCCCTCCCCTTACCGCAATTATGGACTTGACGCCGGTTTCTAAGAAGCAGTCTCTCTCTGGATCGGAGCCGCAGCAGCTTGCCAGCACCTCCGAGGCGACATGGAGAAATCCAGTCGATGCGTTCTTGGACGGTCTGGAGCGACCCCCGCAATCTTTGACTCCAAAGTTCGAGACAGTCCTGACAGCTGTGCAAGACGCACTCAAAGACCGGCCGTCATGGATGCGTGAGCTTTGCGAGCTTGAGCTTGGCGAGTGGGACAAAACCAGTGGCTCGCCCGACCAAGACATTGCGAAGCTGCTCAAAGAATACCTGGATCGCCGACCATGCGTCATCGACAATGAGAAGCTTCAGCGACTGCGTACAGTCGCAGATCGCATCAAAGCAAGCACTCACGCTGACAGAATTGCGGAGCCTCAAGTTCAGTTTCCCCCCGCTCTGGGTATACCAAGTCATCATGAGATTCTTGAGGCCTTCATCGAGCGACATCAGCGATACTGCCATCCTGTTGCTGGTATGGACGGCTGTGTGAGCTTGGACCTCACTGAGATCAGGAACAAGACCCAAAACCTTGCCGCCGTCGACGAACTCCTCGGGGTGGCTGGTTTCTTTCCGGATTTTGGCCCAAAGGCAGAGCCCACCGTCGAGGAAGTGCGAAGAAACTTGCGCGAACATATCCAAGTCACTCATGATACCCGTTTGGGAGACGGCCTCGACGTGTCCCTCGCGCCCTTTGACGGCCGAGATCTAAGGCAAGACGACAGTTACGTGGCAAATCAAGCCCCCCGAGTCATATTTCTTTACACTCGGCTGGCCTGGGCCATCAAAGAGTTGCGCGAGGGTGGTATTCTGGGCGACCACTTGACGTACTTGAGACGTCGACGGGTAACAGCACAAAGGACACTGTCGTCTTCCAGTGAACGGGAGGCCGAGCACGGCGAGCATGGCTTCCCAGAAACCCGACTTGTTGAACCCGCCACCGTGAGCATCGAAGCTGTTGACATGCTTTTGGACGAAGTTACGAGATTCGCTCAAAACGCATCGTCGATACAACCTCCAGCTTCTCCCAGCCTATTTGGGAGGATGACCGCTGCGATAGTTACATCTGTCGCCCCCTTCTTCGCCAACGGTCTTCTCTTGGCCGGACTGGCCGGTCTTGCGGCTTTAACATCTGTATGGAACCGTTCACCGCTCAAAGCGAGACTTGAGGCCATCATCGGAGCTGGGCAGGTGACGAACCACATAATCGAGGGATTGGCAGTGCCTGGGTTGCCAAGACTGACCAGTACTGGAAAGGAGGTGGCACCGTTGGAGACTCTTCACAGGCTTGGAGTGACAGGTCAATTCCTGAGCCTCGTACTGCAATCCCACATTCGAGGGTTTGACGCGCCCTTCGAGTTCGACGACATCATTGACCGACCCATCTCACACTTTCGGCTACAAGGCCTTGACCACCAGTCACCACCTGTCCTCGCATTTAAGCAACACGTGTCTTGCTTCCCAGACAACCCCGTACTTGTCATCGACATAGACGATACCACCGACTCTTCTCCAGCAGACTTACAAGCCACTCCAGCTGCGCTGATGGCCTTGTGGTCACCCACGAAACTGCTGATCCGCAAGCCTGTATGTTTGATAGTGCGCAGTGAGCTAAGATTGTATTGCTGATCTGCAGTGACAGGCTGCGGACGTTTCTGGCTGCTCTTTGCTAGCCATGGCAATCAAGGATGGGTTAATTGGCCCTGACGTGTTGTCCAGCACTATGACAGAGACATCACAACTTTGGCGCTGGACACCAATCAGGGAAACCGACTCTAAAACTCTATGCCGATTGACGGAAGGCACCGTGAATATCCACCGTGAAGTGCGCTGCGCGCCATACCGCGGCGATGAGAGGGCTGATGGCATGCCTATCGGGAGTGTCACCAGTTCGGAGACGACGCTTGCAGGCTCGTCCCGTTCAGCCTTAAGCCCATTCAAGGATGCTAGCGGCACACTGGAGACGGGTAGTGCTGTGTCCGAGACCGAAGGTGGCCCCCCGGATGGAGGTCCTCCAAATCCAGTCCCTACCCACGAGCAAACATCGCAGCTTTCGTCGACGTGCCCCTGGGACCGCGAGGATGAAGATAAAGCGAGACGTACACGCATGAAGACGCTTGAGCGCGTGGGATATCGGCCACCGGGGTTGAAGATGAACTCATTCCAAGTGGCCTTGCTAACCAGCAGTCTACCCGGCGTCGGTGCACAAGTTCAGGTCACGGCGCAGAAGGACGAATGGAACTCGTCCATCGACATCAAGACAGCCCCCGGTTCACCACTCATCAACGATATGGACAAGAAGTTGGGACTGTTTCTCAGTCTACATGCGGGGGTCGCGAAGAGGGTCCCGACTCGGGACGTGGTTGCGCACCACTTGTCTTTGGGTCTTAACCCCGTTGCAGCAAGGCTCCCCGCCAGCGACAAGGTAAGACTACTTTCCATGTTGCAGTCCAGAGAGCAGACCGTTTTGAGATGGTGCGAGACAATGGAGACCAAGAAAGAAGGGGAAAAGCTTGTCGATTCCCTGGATGCTCTCATCGAAGGCGCAAAGCCGAGACTGGCGTTTTCTGGGGTAAAACCCAACAGGAAAGGCATCATTGTGCCCTGGGGTGATGCTCAGCTCAAGATCCCGCGGCGGGGAAACGAATGGATTGCGGCACTGGGCGACACTGGAAGCACGGTGGCTTTTGCGGAGATTGTCCCGACGTGCCAGGAGACGCCCGAATGCAACTGCCGCATGGCACAAGAACAACGAAAGCAGCAACAGCAGCAACAGCAGCAGCAGCAAACCCAGGGTTCAAAAGCCAGCTCCTCCTCCACAAAATGGGAATTCTCCAACCCGCTGCGCCTTCAAACAACCATTGTCGCTTTCAAGACCCCACGTGGCGGCCGGCTCCGGACTCGAGAGAATATTCAGCTACAGTTCGGGAAGTCGTACTTTGTCAACTCTCCGAAGCTTGGGGTGATCGCCAAATTAATCGGACGTGCTCCGCAAACCGGAGGCGAGGGGCTGCTCTATTTCTCGGCGAGGCAGTCTAGTCTGCGGTGGCTGAGCAGATACTTCTCTTACGGAATGATCCAAGAGTGTCTGGACAGTGACCCAGATATGATGGACTGTGTGTTGTGCTCTGGCGAGGTCTTTGAAAGGTGAGTTCTTCCATTACCACTGCGCCCGTGCATCTTTCCTGACCAGGTATATCAACTGCCCTTCAACAGCCAAGTGCGGGAATATCTGAAACGAGCAGGCTTGCCTGCACAAGGAAATGAGGCATGACTCTCAACACTCACGTTGCTTCTTGTCAGAAATGGCGTCAGGGGGTCAGGTTATTGTGTGCCAGCACTAGGTTAGCCCGTGCTTGATAGCTGTTTAAGTTTGACTACCTACCTACTGTCAACGAATGTCTTGACTGGTAGCTCACATCGTCCTCGCGTGAGCCCAGAGTTTACAGCTGGTGCCATAACTAACTCCTTACAATTGTTGCCATTTGAGTGGGCGTCGAGTCAGTTGGCCGTGACTCTGTTACTTTTCAGGTTCCTTGCCATGTGTGCCGAGAGTCATGGCCCCTCGACTGCTCAACTCGCACACGATGACACGTGAGGAAGAACAACGTGTTGGCCCATCATGTCCAGTCCCACAGCTCGTGCCAGCTGAAGTCACTCGAAGAACTCGCACTGCCACATCTACATGTACTTGTATGCGTTGGCTAATTGGTGTCTCGGTGTTCCCCGAAAATAGTTACCTAAAGTCGCATTGGTGCTTAGGTTACTTCGCATTTGCAAAATAGAGAAGAGTGGAGGGTGTAACGGGCTTAGGCAGTATATTTGCAACTAGCTGAGGACGACTCTACGAGTATACGAAGCTTGAAGGAAGAGAAAAAGACGAGACTCCGGTGGCTCGCGGGCTTCGTTATCCGCGCGAGTATGCTGGTCCAGGAGCGTTGCTAAAAGGTTCGATATACTATAAGGCGAGTAGGAATAGCTTCGTTCTAGGGGGTTTGGGGGTCCGTGCCTATACTGGAGCTGACTGAGGGTCGCCGAAGCCCATGCCAGGCCTAGACCATTATAGAAGGAGAGGAGAACTGGGATATTAGTAAACTACTCTGTCTAGTTAGTATTAAGGGCTCCCTTCTTATAGCCATTGCCGTACGTAGCCCCTTGTTCTCGGCACGGAGCAACACCTTCTTATACGCCAGTTTCGAAACACTCTTCGCCTGCAGGTCGATGGCGTTGTAGACTCGGTCCTAGATGAGGACTTCGTCTAGATGATCGGCGAGGGCTGCGGCTAGGAGAGGCTTGATACGGTCGAGGTCGAAGTCGTTGGAACGGAGCAAGAGTTCAAGGCGCAAAAGGTCGTCTCGAAGGGTGTCTCGAAGGGTGCAGCTATGTGTCGTAGCAGGTAGTAGGTCGGCAGCGCGGAGGCCTTGCGCCGCTTAGAAAGGTGCGAATGAGTTTCCGGAGTTCTTCACGTCGATCAGAGGAGCACGTACTCAACCAAGCTAGACTATCATACCTTTCTGGTCAAGTTGGCCAAGCGCGTCTGGAATGCGCGAGAGCGTCCTGTCTGCGCAGACCGTATCGAACGAGCGCGGAAGGCGTGGAGACCGTTTCCGATCGGATTATCCTTGATGATCTTTAACCGCGGCTGGTCTACCATGAGGCGCGTCCTGTAGCATCCTGGCTACTTGCGCCAGCCACACCACCACTTTCACTGTACCACGACCCAAATTAGTTAGCGGAATTGTCGGAGTCCTCTGCCTGTATACGATCGATCACAGCGCAGTCCTCCACGGCAATTAGCGCTAACTCGCCATGAGACTCGAGGATGGGTGCTTCTCGGAGTCTCGACTCGAGGAAGGGTTCTTGAACGTGCGACTCGCGAGAACGCGCATATTATCGTTGTTGCGGGCGCAGCGCTTGCGGCTGGTCGCCCTCCACTCGTCAGCACCCCTAGTCGGCAGTGCCACGCTACCCTCTAGCTGTTGCACCGGGAGGTAGGTTACTGGTCGCAACGCGTCAATCCACTCGGGGCAGCGTGATGGCAGCAATGGTACTGTTCGCACACCGGCTTTGCCACTGCGTTCGTACTAGTCATACACCGGCGATATACGTAGGCGGTCTGCCCTGCGACTAGTACCGTAGCGGGGGCCGGGTTGCTACATTACTAGTCGCACACTGGCCCCCCCCCCTCCCCCCCCCCCCCGGGGACTATTCGCCATGGCACCGTGCTACCGGTCGCACACTCCCATTCCCTACGACTGTTCGCTACAGGCTCACCGCACATACCAGGGCGCAAGGCAGGCCTGCCCGTACGACTGGTATCGCTACAGCAGAGCCCACACCCGTGGTAAATCACCCGCGGAGCCTTCGCACTCACGTGCCCAACACGCGCGAGTGCGACTAGTCGGTGCTTCAGGCGATGATAACTTTGCAGCGCATAACTAGCTGCTGCGCCTTGCAGTTTCAAACGCGTTTGGTTGGCTAGGAACAGAATCTATGACACGTTGGCGGAACTTGTGGTTACAAGGCGAATGTTAGAATCACACCCGCGATGTTGTGAGAAACGGAACTGAGAAACGGTTTGAGAAACGGAATGGTAAAAACTAAGCGGTACGCGTTCTCTACCGTTTGATCCGTCTTTAACACGTGACCAAGGCTTGCTAAGTCAGCAACCTCGACCCAAAAGAAAGTGAACTACCGGATCTAGATACGCGTTTTTGCCCTCTCTACAAAAGCGACAGCTTCTGGTCTTCGTTGCTGTTCAAAGGGTGCGGTTTTTTGTCCCCATAGCTACTAGTTTTGGACCCTTCTGAGCAGACAGACAACTTTTATGGGCAAACCGGGACCTTGGGTTCCCGCTGATGATGCTCACATTGCTCAGCAACCAGGCTTCCAATTTTCCCTGCGGTCATGTGGAGCGATGGCCCAACTAACGATGCGGGAATCCCAATTGGGGCACCAAACCGGCTGACTGGCCGCTCCCGTCGTCGGTCGACGGGGCATGGGGATTCCACGGCCCCTGCCAGCCACGCCGCCGTTTCACCCGGCTCAATCCCGCCGACGCAATCGCCGCGGCCAGTTCGCAGTCCTTGGGAAATTTGTTGGAAATGGAACTGGAGCATCATATGACGGAGCGGGCCGGGAGGAATCCAACAACGACATGACCAAGACATGACACTCGAACCATTCGCCTGCCCTTGCCATTCGTTACGTTACGCTTCTATGCGCAATAGTGCGGTCTTAGCAATGCACGATGCATTACTCCGTCCACGTGTTTAGCCCAACACCCATGCCATTCCGAGGAGACGGAAGCGAAGTCATAAGCGATATGCAACTGCCGTGGGCCGAACCCCCGGTGACCCTGGTCCTGGCCCACCCACGCTGCAGGGCCCCTCCAAGGGGGAACACAACATCATGATGGCCAGCCCCTCGTTCTACATAACGATGTGTTCCGAATTATCGCAATAGGGCGGGAAATCAAAAAGTAGCAAGCTTGAAGCAATTATCCCGTGTGTATGTTGACGGATTGGGACGCTGGAAACTCCATCCATGAGCTTACACGGCTCGAATCCAGTTCCCCGAGACAGTTCGTGATTTATTAGGCTCCGTTAAATCCGCTCCAGCTGAAGTTCCAAGTTCCAGGCCGCGAATGACGATTTATCCCTCGCTGCAACGCCACCCCACCGGCCCTAGCTCGATAACGCCTTAGCATCATCATGTCTGCTGGCAAGCTCTCCTGCAAGCTTTCTCGGCGCAACTCCTCACTCGGGAAGTTCCCATGGAGAATGGAATCATCCGCGGTCCAAGCAGGATCCGGCCGCGCAGAAATACGCAGAAATGAACATGGTGCGGAGCCATGAGAAGATTGGGACCCCGCCGCAGTGGGACACAGCGTAGTAGCATGATGGACGGGAAGTCGGAAAGCGGGAAGGGTGGGAACGGGCGAAGAAGAACGACAGAATCCCTTGTTCGGAGATGGGGCTACCCGACCGACTCGGAGTAATGTACCTGTACATAAACCCGCAGAGACGCCCAACTGAGGGTTTATAAAGTCTGGTGCACACTCCGGTTCGAGACCGCGACAAGAACGAAGGCGAGAAGAAACAACACCATGCGTTACGCTCATCTGCTCCTGGGCGGCCTCGCCCTCGCCCACGCCGGTCCGTCCACCCGCGGTGCCAAACTGCCACGGTCCGGCTGCGCCGAGGTTTCGTTCTCGGTGCCCGCCACCAGCCAGAACATGGTCTTCGCGTCGCCGCCCGACCCGGACAACTCGACGGCCATCATCGACTTCATGCGCCAGACCTGGCTCGGCAACGCGCCGGCCACGAACGGCACCACCACCGTCTCGGGCACATGGACCATCGCCGGCACCTACTGCGCCCCGCCGCCGGGGCAAGCCAAGAAGCTCGCGCACAGCACGCTACAAGTGCTCATCCACGGCATTACCTACAACCACTCGATGTGGGCGGGCATGGGCTTCCCCTTCTCCTCGGACGCCGACGCAGAAGACCACATCTACAACTGGCACGCCTACGCCAACTCGCGCGGCTACGCAACGCTCGCCCTCGACCGACTGGGCCACGGCGCCAGCCCGCAGCGTCCCGACCCGCTCTCGGTGGTGCAGCCGCAGCTGCAGGTCGAGATCCTGCACCAGATCGTCGCGGCCGCGCGCAGCGGCTCGTCGGCCTACAACGTGCTGCAGACTGCCTTCGAGCGCGTCGTCATCGTGGGGCATTCCTACGGGTCCTACGTCGGCGCGGCCCTCGCGGCGCAGCACCCGGCCGACGCCGAGGCTGTCGTGCTCACGGGCTACAGTAACTACTACGACTTCAGCGACGTCATCAACGCCGAGTGGCGTGCTGCCGCCGAGCACGACCCGGCGCGCCTGGGCGCATCACTGCCCAAGGGCTACGTCACCATGGCCCGCGTCGAGGACCGCGTGGCGTCTATGTACGCGGGCGCCTACGACCCTGCGATCCCTCCCGTGGATTTCGAGGGCGAGGATACCCTCACCGTGGGCGAGATTGGCGCGCTGGGTGCCATTCTCGGGGATGCGGTCGGGTATGGCGGCCACGTGCTGGTTGTGACCTCGGTCGACGATGCCTTCTTCTGCCAGGCGCCCAAGGACAAGTGTGAGGCGCACCTGGCGTCGACGGCGAGCAGCTTCCCGGATGCGGCCAGCTACGAGTTCTTTGCGCCCGAGGACACGGGGCATGATCTGACGCTGCATTACTCGAGCACGGAGACGTTTGAGAGGGTGCATGACTGGTTGGACGAGAAGCTGTGACGGGGATGTCCTTGAATATCGATGAGAAGCCGGAGTTAGGAGTGGTAAACAAGGCCGTGAGCTTCATCCCTTTGGGGGGTTAATACTACACATGCATATTTGCAAAGGAAGACCGTGCCATGTCCAGTCGATGTCTTCGAGAAACTGCTGTCGCCGTCTTTGGAACGGAATAAGGTACGGGTCAACTTGCAGTCATGTAGCTTAGATTCTCTATGAGCCAACCACGTAGAATACCACGGCAGGGATCTCCCTCAGTCCTAAGAGTCATCGACCTACGGCATTCAGCCTGGCGCTGTCATCCCTCTCCAACCCGTAACGGCACGCATTATCCAGGTAGCGGCATTGGTGGCAGCTGAACCACGTATCCAAGGACGGCAACTGTTCTTACCAGGTCATTGGTCGGGCAAAGGCTTGACAAGACAGTTCATTAGGTGCTCAACACCACGCCTCATCCATGCCCAACACGGAATTGAATCCCGTCAGAACGAGCCACAAGCCAGTGTCTGATGGTGCTTTGGTTCGTAGCTTGAAGTGAAGCAAGAGACAACCCGGGAATATATGTCATCGACCAAGACCATCAAAACGTCCTGTTCACTTCATCCTCTTTCTCGCGAGCCGCGATGTCTCTGTCAAACACACCAGCAATATCATGATCATTGGCGACCCGCTTGCCTCACCCTCGTAATGGCGAACTTGAAGCTATGTCGCGCAGGTCCTTCTCGTAGCGCCTACCAGGTAATCCATCCATACCTCATCACCAAGACCAGTCAGAGCTGACGACTACGACGAATCCACGAGTAAAGAGGCTAAAACGGCGATCTATTTTGTTGGCTTCTTGTTAGCTGCCGAACTCTCCAGCCGATATGGGCTGTATATGCGGCGCCTTCCCTGGCGTGGCCGCGTACTTAACACTGTGAGGCTTGCTTTGAAGCTGAGGCTTGTGGTTCTCACTATCCCCTGTTTCGCGGTGGTCTTGTTGACACTCGCCGTTTGTGTCGGCGGGGTCCTGTTTTGGAGCATGGTTGAGTCGAGGTTGGGTACTGAATGGTTGAGGCGGAAGCCGATCTGGTTATGTTCGAGATGAAGGAATTACCTAGACACAAACAGGGCAGTAGATGAACTCTAAAGCCCCCGACCGAAGGAGCACTACCTGACCTGCCCCTTTACTGGATAGACAGCTGCTGTGTTCACGTTGGCCGGTATAGAAGATTCACCCATAAACGGCCGCCCTCGCGTCATGGACATCCTGAGGTCGCGGCTTCGAAGTGCGACTTCGGCTTCTAGTCCAATCCAAAGTGTTAGGGCATGAACTGGATGATCATGTACACTCAGGGGTAGGTTCTGACAAGAAAACAAGCGCCACGCCTGCACATCATGATAGTATAACTCTAAACATGATGAATACAGGTGGACTACCTCACTGGGTGACCCCCAATCTGAACTCACAGTCAAAATCAAAACATTAGTATTCTGCTCGTCCTTCCATGCCTAAAGGACAGATGCTCGACTCTTCTCTGATCCCGTGTAAGGATGAGGGATCAATCGCCAGGCTTCCAAATGTGTCCCTCACGTTGCTTGTTCGTCAGCTACAAATATCGAACTGTATCGCGCCTACTATGCATCAACCATCAGCTTCATTTGTGCATCAAATGACTCCTTTATCCTTAATAAGCGAAACCTCCGTTCATGAACGCATTTACACTCAAGTGACTCACCGGCCAAGGCAGGGTTGGGGTTGCTTATCAAGCAGGATAAGAGCTTCAAGTTCACAATTTGCAGGGATTAAAAATCACAACCCCGCCCCCGCCATAAGTTCATAACGCTTATATCGCGGTGCAAGTCGCAAGAGTTTGGGCCCCTACAATACCAATCCTTATTATTTACTCTACCCGACCCAATCCAACATCACTTCCCACTTCACCTACAGAGCGCCAAGATGTCATCATCAAATCCCCGCCACAATACCGCTGAGGACGCGGAGGAGCCCGAGCTCCTCACGGAAGACGACGTACAGGAGGTGCTCGAGGGCGATGACGCCGACGGAGACGTGCCCATGGCTTCGGACGACGAGGGTGAGGAGATACTGCTGCAGAACGACAGCATCGCGTACTTCGACGGCCACAAAGACTCGGTCTTCGCCATCGCGCAGCACCCGCTGTACCCGAGCTTGATTGCGACAGGCGGCTCCGAGGGCGACGCCGACGATGCGCCGGGCAAGGGCTACGTGATCGACACGTCGGCCGCCGTCTCGCGCCCGGTGCTCCCGCCGAGCTACAACTCGGACCCCAGCTCGGCGCAGAATACCGCGCTAGAACCGCTCTTCGCCATCGACGGCCACACCGACAGCCTCAACGCGCTGGCCTTCACCCTCCCGCGCGGCGACTTCCTGGTCAGCGGCGGCATGGACGGCCGCCTGCGCGTCTACGCGTGCTCCGCATCCGCCGACCAGTCCGGCGCCGTCTCGGCACAGTTCGCCTTCCTCGCTGAGTCGCAAGAAACAGAGGAGATCAACTGGCTCTCGCCGTGCCCGTCGCCCGACTACCCAAACACCGTCGCGCTCGGCGCGTCCGACGGCTCCGTCTGGATCCTCACCCTCGACGCCTCCGACAAATCCAACCCGATCCAGATCGTCCAGAGCTACTTCCTCCACACCGGCCCCTGCACCGCCGGCGCCTGGACGCCCGACGGCCTGCTGCTAGCCACCGTGTCCGAAGACTCGTCGCTACACGTCTACGACGTCTGGGGCGCGGCCGCCGCCAGGTCGCTGGTAACCGACAACGGCCAGACGGTGGTCTCGCTGACCGAAGCCGACCAGCGCTTCGCGGTCGAAGGCGGCCTCTACTCCCTCGCCATCTCACCCTCAGGCGGCATCCTAGCCGCCGGCGGCGCGGCCGGCTCCATCCGGGTCATCACGCTGCCCCGCCTCTCCCAGCAACCATCATCATCCACCACCTCGCAAGGCCCAGGCGCGCCCGGCACGCTTCTGGCAGCCATGCAAGTGCAGTCCGACAGCGTGGAGTCGCTCGCCTTCTCGCCTTCCACGCCGCTCCTGGCGGCGGGCTCCGTCGACGGCAGCATCGCCGTGTTCGACGCGGGCCGGTCGTTTGCGGTGCGCCGCCACCTGCGCGGCGCACACGAGGGGGAGTCGGTCGTCAAGGTCGAGTTTGTCAAGTCTTCTGGTTCTGGTGGTGGTGGCGCCGCTGCCGGGGCGGCCGCGGGGTGGCTGCTTACCTCGTGCGGGCTGGACGGGGCGGTTAGGAGGTGGGATCTGAGGGGCGCCACGGCCAGTCAGGCGGTTGTGGCTTCCGGGGAGGTGACCGGGTTGGTGAAGGAGTGGAAGGGGCATAGAGGCGGGGGGGAGGGCGGCGGGGTGTTAGGGTTTGTGCAGGGTGAGACTGGGGAGAGGGTGGTTACGGCTGGGGATGATGGGCTTGTGTTGGTTTTTGAGGCGTGATGATTCCCCCCCCCCCCCCCCTCTTTCTCTCTGTGTTGGGGCTATCACATATTTGTACATTTACATGTACATGGATGAACTGAGGTGGTTGCATGTATCATGGCGTTTGTCTAGAGAACACACCGTTTAGTAGTAATTTCTACAACCCGTGGTCTCTGGTGTGCGCACTGCCCAATTTCCTGTTGAACTCCGTCCGTCCGTCCGCCCGCTGATATACCGGCCCAGATGCCTGTCTGCCTTCTCTACATCTATCGCTTGTTGAAACGCCAGTGTCTCTCTTTTTTCCCGTACTTGTGGTTGAAAAGCCGATCCAAAAAAAGCTCGTTGCTCGTACATGGGGGCTGTTGAACCCCTTCCGGCTGTTGAAGAAGCCGTCTTTTCGTTTCCCTTAGGCCTAGGTATTATCCCCCCTGCATTGTTGTTGTCACTTCCCATCCAACTTTTATCATCTTCTCTTAGACTCCCGATGTGCTGTGTTAATCCGCCTGGATGGACGACATATGACCGCCCGTCGTGTCCTCGACAGGGGGGCAAGTGCAGAACAGGTTGAGGTCGCCGTATGCTGTACGCGTTGTCAGCCATCCATGGTCCCTCCAACAAATAGTTCCTGAACAGAGGGGAAAAAAAGAAAGAACTTACTGTCGTCCACCCTCGCAACACTCGGCCAGAACTTCTTCTCCCTCAGCCACGGCAGCGGATACGCCGCCTTTTCGCGTGTGTACGGCCTATCCCACTTCGCACCGGCCTCGCCATCGCCCTGGATGATATCCACCATGGGATGCGGCGCCATCTTGAGGACGTTCCCCTCTCTCGGGGCCCTCCCCTCCTCGATCTCGCGTATCTCCTCGCGGATGCTGACCATGGCGTCGACGAAGCGGTCCAGCTCCTCCTTGGACTCGGACTCGGTCGGCTCAATCATCAGCGTGTTGGGCACGGGCCAGCTCATGGTGGGGGCGTGGAAGCCGTAGTCCTGCAGGCGCTTGGCGATGTCGATGGCCTCGACGCCGGCCGACTCGGAGAACTTGCGCACGTCCAGGATGAACTCGTGCGCGCACCGCCCGTGCTCGTTGGTGTACAGGATCGGGTAGTGCGGCTTCAGCTTGGAGAGAAGGTAGTTGGCGTTGAGCAGCGTGATCTTGGTCGCTTTCCGAAGGCCGTCGCCGCCTGTGTGATTATTATAGTAACTGGAGTTAGCTTTTCTGGCTACTACTTACGGTAGGAATTCGGGGCCGTTGAGTAGAGAGATGAGGGGGGAGGGGGAGGAGGGAGGCTGCTTACCCATCAGCGCATTATACGCCCAGCTGATGGGCAGGATGCTGGCGCTACCAAACGGCGCGCTGGCCACGGGGAGGTTCGGGCGGTCGACATCGGTCGTCTGGCGCGTCGGGAGGAAGCGCGCGAGGTGTTCCTTGACGCAGATGGGGCCCACGCCCGGCCCGCCGCCGCCATGCGGGATGCAGAAGGTCTTGTGCAGGTTCAGGTGGCACACGTCGGCGCCGATCTCGCCGGGCGAGCAGAGCCCGATCTGGGCGTTCATGTTGGCGCCGTCCATGTACACCTGCCCGCCGTGCGCGTGCACGATCTCGCACACGCGCTTGATGTGCGGTTCGAAGACGCCGTACGTGCTCGGGTACGTGACCATCATGGCGCCGATTTCGCTGGCGTGCTTCGCGCACTTGGCCTCGAGGTCCTCCAGGTCCAAGTTGCCCGTCTTGGCGTCGCACTTGATGGGCAAGACGCGCATGCCCGCCATGGCGGCCGAAGCGGGATTGGTACCGTGGGCCGAGACGGGGATCAGGCAGAGGTCGCGCTGGGACTGGCCCTTGCTCTCGTGGTACTTGCGGATCGCGCGCAGGCCGGCGAACTCGCCCTGGGCCCCCGAGTTGGGCTGCAGCGATACCGCGTCCATGGCGGTGATGCGCTTCAACTGGTTCTTCAGCCCTCTGATGATGCTGACGTATCCCTCGGCATTCTCTGGCGGGGCCGCGGGGTGGTGGTTGGAGAAGCCGGGAAGCGTGATGAGGGACATCTCGGTGCTGCCGTTGAGCTTCATGGTGCAGGAGCCGAGCGGGATCATCGAGTGCACGAGAGACAGGTCCTTGGACTGCAGATGGTGGATGTACCGGAGCAGCTCGGTCTCGGAATGGTGGCTGTTGAAAACCGGGTGCGTCAGATACGCGGATTGCCTCTGCAGAGCCTCGGGAACATCTCCGCTGGAGGTTGCGGCCCGGAGGAACTCCTCCAGGAGTGGAATGTAAGCGGAATCCGGAGGGACCTCGGCGATTTTCTTCGTATCGTTGGCAACTTCGTTGAACAGCTCAATCAAGGTCAAGAGATCGCCCTCGTGGACAGTCTCGTCGACGCTGATGACGACTCTGTCGCGGCTTTCGCATCGGATGTGGATGCCTGCATTCTTGGCGCGCTCCGCGAGATGCCCACCCTTACCTGGGCAGTTAATGACAACGGTATCGAATGCTACAGTCTCGGAGCCCGCGTCGAAGCCATAGTAGCGGGCAGCAAGCTGTAGAACTCTGGCTGCCACCCGGCACCGCTCGGCAATCCTCTTCAGCCCCTTGGGGCCGTGGTACACGGCGTAGAAGGCGCTGATATTGGCCAGCAGCGCTTGCGCGGTGCAGACGTTGCTCGTGGCCTTCTCTCTCCTGATGTGCTGCTCTCGGGTCTGCAGCGAAAGCCTGAGCGCCCTGCGCCCGAGCCTGTCCTTGGACACGCCCACCAGGCGGCCGGGCATCTTTCGCTTGTGCTTCTCCTTGACGGCGAAGAAGGCCGCGTGAGGGCCGCCGAATCCCAGAGGGACGCCGAACCTCTGCGCATTACCAAAGGCAATATCCGCCCCCCACTCGCCCGGCGGCGTGAGAAGCGTGAGAGCGAGCAGGTCGGTCGCGGCGCTGAGCAGGGCCCCCTGCTTGTGGACGACGTCGGCAAGGGCCCGGAAGTCACGTACGCCGCCGTACATGTCGGGATACTGAACCAGCGCACCAACCAGGTTCTCACCGAGGCCTTCCAGTTCTGCATAGTCCGACCCCGAAAGGTCCATCACCCGCACGTTGATGCCAAAGCCCTCGGCACGGCTGCGCAGGACGTTGAGCGTCTGCGGAAGAACGTTCTTGTCGACGACATACGTCCTGTCGGGCAGCTTCGCCCTCGAAGCCGGCAGCGCGTTCATCGACAGCGTCATGGCTTCGGCGGCGGCCGTGCCCTCGTCCAGCAGGCTGGCATTGGAAATGGGGAGCGCCGTCAGGTCCGAGACCAAGGTCTGGAAGTTCAGCAGCGACTCGAGCCGGCCCTGGCTGATCTCGGGCTGGTAGGGCGTGTAGCTGGTGTACCAGGCAGGGCTCTCGAGCACGTTGCGCTTGATGACCTCTGGAGTGATGGTGCCGTAGTAGCCCGCACCAATGAAGTTCTTCCTGTCGGACGGATTCTTCTCGGCTGCGCTACGCCCCATGGCCGCTATTTCCCATTCCTGGCACGGTTCCTTGACACAGCGCTGCATCGGCGTGACGAAGCTCTTGCGCTCGTCCGGGAAGATGTCGCGAGACGAGAGAATCTCGGCAGGGATGACTTGCTGGATGAAGCTGTCCAGAGACTCGGCTGGCGGGGACAGGGCCTTCAGCATCTCCTGCGCGCTCTCATCGTCTGGACCAATGTGCCGCTCGACAAAGGTCTCGGACGGCGGGAAGAGCTCCGGAAACCTGGCAAAATGCGAGTGAGGGCTCGTGATACGCGGAGGGCTGTTCCATCTGACTTGAGAGCTGCGGGAACAGGCTGAGCAAACCCATGGCTGTCCACGCGGAGCAGCAGCGCGAGACAAGACCACCGACGCACCCAGGGTCTGGTTGAGGCGCCCAATCCGCCGCAAGACAGCCATTGTCGTCGTCGCCGCCATGGAATTCAACCGGAGGCGGCACTGACAGGCTGAGGCGACCGAAAGTCAGGCCGAGTGACGACAGTACGTGGCTGCAATCCCAGCGGAAGAGGGAGGGTCAAGGCAATGAACGGTTTGCTTCTACCCCGGACGTCGGGCGGAACCTCTGGGGACGGGAGAAAAAAGAGCGGAGGAAGGAGGCAAACCGGAGTTTGCCAAGCCCGGAGATGGGAACAAGAGTCTCCCAGCGCCGACGCTCTCTCCAAGCCGCCAATTGACCCCAGATTTAGGTCTTCTTGCTCAGGACAATGCGGGGAGACGTTCGTAGTACCGTTACACACCTGAAGAAGAAGAAGCAGAGTCCAAGCAACGGAGACAAGTTTGGTGGTCAGCAGATCGCCCTCCTTGTCTCCCTCTTGTCGGTGACTGATAAGAACCTATCGGGTATCCTCGGGCCGGCCTGGATTTCGGAGGGGCCCTTGTAGAGTTTGTTGCAGCGCTGGTTCGCTGGCGTCCCGATAACGTTAAGTGCGCCTCTGCCAAGCCCGCTGTGCACGGTCCTCGGGAGAGGAAAGACAGGGTTGTCGTCACCGGCCCCGGAAACCGTTCCAAAAATTTCCAGGGCTCTGAAGTTCCAGTGTTCTGCAGGAATGTGACGGACAGACGGGACCTTCAACATCCACAGCTGCCTCACCTCGTCTAGTACCCCCATCTAGAACCAGACACAGCTTCTAGTCTCACATATCCCAACGAGAAGATGTTCGGAGGCTGTAAGTCCAAGCCAGAAAGAGTCCTTCCAGTTGCAAGTGTTAACCTCACGGCAGTCCAACCACCGCAACCCTCGCCCGAGGAGCTCCGCGCCGCCGAGGCCGAGGCGGCCTTCACTCTCCAGCGGGCCGTGGCCACTGCTGCGGCGCTCTACCTCTGTACGCTCCCAACCGCATCCTTAGTGACGTTGGGTCTCGACTTAGTGTATAAATACTAACCCTAGACCATTACAGCACCCTTCGTCATCGACGCCATCTCTAAGATGTTCTAAATTTCTATGAGTACCTCTGCCATCGCCGACTGCTTTCGTGCCTCCTCCCCTACGAAGACGATCCAAACCTAGGGCCGTGCAGAGGCGACCTCATGATGGTTAGGTGGCGCCGGGGACTAGCCGGGCGACCTGGGCCCTGGGGAAATGGCAACTCTCAATTCGGATCCAGCCATGAGCACATAACACGACACTGGACGGGTTGTACTATACAATGGTGCCAACTGTATGGGAGACGGGACAATGGCGTGCATAGGACGGTATTGTAGAGCATGTGTGTACAGTACATCTGGCAGGGGACTTCAAGCACAGAAGGGGCTGGATTCAGCATCGCCATTCTGGGCTCGGCATTTGCATTCACATAGACCGGCTTTGTAGGGTTGCGGCGTCCTAGTGTGGCACGTTTGGCTTCTAGGTATCGTGGGAAAAGGATGTCGTTAACGACGCTCGACCACATTTCGGGCACAAGTTCAAACTTCAGTTCAAAGCATAGCAGTGTCTCGACGGAGGCCGGCATGGCTGCAGTGGCTTGCCGGCTTGTTTTCGAACCCCCTTCCGCACTGATATCCGGAGTTATACAACAAGATGACTACACCCACAATTCCCCTCCCGTGGCACGGCAAATAGGTCACATAACATTATTAATCAGACTCCTTCTGGGTATCATCCTAGAGCGCTGGGACGTTAAATAGGGCTGGGCCTCCGTTACTGTGCTGCGGCCGTCGCCTTGGGTGCCGGTGCCGGATTATGCTGCTTCTCCCAATCCTCGAAATCCTTCCTGGCCTCCTCCACCTGCTTTTTGAGATGCTGAAGCTGCTTGTCGTAATCCTCAAGTATCTTCTCACAGTGTTAGCCTGAATGGTGACGCAACGCCCAAGCGAGGAACCGCAAACCTTCTTCGCCTTCGCCTCAATCTCCTCGCCCAGACCATCACTCTCGGCAAACCCGGGCTTGTTGATCTCGTCCTTCAGGTTGTCGGCGTAGCCCCTGAGAATGATGAGCCGGCTCCAGAGCTCCTCCATGCGCGCGCTCAGCGCCGGGTCCTGGATGCTCTTGTCGATCTTCTGCAGCCTCTGCTTGAGCGCATCCTCGTCGCCGCTCAGCGCGTAACCTTTATTCCGCAGCACCTGCACCCGCGACGCCAGCATGAGGCACCGTTTGCTCAGCTCGGCATGCCGCCTCCGCGCGTTGAAGGCCCGCACCGTGTGCTCGAGATCGTGCCGCGACAGGATCGCGTCGAGGCTGGCGTTGATGGCGTGGAGCTTGTTGTTGAACTCGACAATGACCCGCCGCTGGAGCGTCAGGCGCGCAATGATGGACGGGAAGCCGGCGCAGAGCACGGGGATGTAGTTAGGGGCCGGCTTCTGGCGCAGCGCCTCCTCCCATTCCTTCGGATCCTCGTTCGGCCCGGGCCCGTAGAGCGGGACGGTGTGCTCATCGACCTTGTTGTAGAGGTATGTCTTGAAGGCGCAGTTTGGATTACTGGGATCCCACTTCTCCGTGATAAGTTTGATCTGGTCGGGGATCGGCTTCTGATCTAATCTCGGCCGGAAGAAGATAGTGTCAGCAAGGTGCATCGTGCGTTGGCGACGTACGTGGCCGGTAGAGCGCAAAGGCTTAGAGGGCTCGATGTGAGAACATACAACTCGAGAGGCTTCCGGGCTGCCATAATGAGCCAGCCAACTGCGGGTTGGGAGTCCCCTGTTGCTGGCCTAATGCTTGCGCGGGTTGTTGCTGCTGTTGCTGTTGTTGTTGCTGCAGCTGTTGTTGCTGCAGCTGCTGCTGCTGCTGTCCATCCTCATTAGCACCCCACTTCCTCCGGGCGGAAAGGCGCAGGAAGCTCTTACATTGCTTGATTGACCAAACATGCTGGTTCCTCCACCGCCGAAGACGGACTGGCCCGCGGGCCGGTTCAATGAGAACATGGCAGCGCTCGGGGCGTCGACCGCAACTGATAGCCACCTGGGAGGTTGTCGCGCGAACTGGATGAAAACAAAAATCCCCCTGGAGGAAGCAGGTGCTGGTGTAGCTGCAGGAGACACACCGAATTTGTAACAGGACCAAACTCCTAACGAGCTTTGTATATAGCGAAGCACACAAGACAAAGGCAAAATCTGTTCTGACACTCCGTCTCAATTGTTGATATTGGTCGCTGACTGTTGCTCGGTCGGTCTAAGCTGTGCCAGCTTTTTGGCGAACTTTCCACAAGCGCGTGTTGGCGAGCGGATGTGGTCCGAGCGTTCTTCAATCATCAACCAATAACCATCGCGAACGCAGTGGGCCTACAGGTCCGGAAGCCGAACCTCTCGGGTTGGAGCATCCGGTCACCAAGCTCCAAACCACGCATCCAGCTTCGCATCGCAGGACGGGCCCGCCCTCACAGTCAAGATGGCAGCGCGGAAGCCAGTGTGAGTCCTATGATACAATGCGCGCATACTTATCAGCGTCGAACGCCGATTGGGGCCAGGGGCGCCGTCGAATTTGGGGTGTGCTGACAAAACTCGCAGCTTCAACCAGCAGGTCCTCTACGACACCACCCCGCTGCCAGACTCGATTCCCAAGGTCAAGGAGATTGGTGCCAGCTCGGCTCCCCTCCTCTCGGCCTCCTTCTTCATTGGCGCGCGATGCAGGGACTACAATGACGACTACATGCAATGCAAGACCGAGAACCCGGGCAAGGGCGAGTTCGAGTGCTTGAAGGAGGGACGGCGAGTCACCAGATGCGCGCGGAGTGTGTAGGTCACCATCCACAGCCTGCATTTATTGCGCCGAGTACTGGGGTGGAGGTGGTGGAGGAATGGGTTAGGCTTATCTCTGGCTGTCCGCATGCTGACGCTCGATCCCAGGCTTGAGGACATTAACAAGTCCTGCCTCGAGCAGTTCCGTGCCCATTGGCAATGCCTGGAGAATAACAACCAGCAGCTGTGGCAATGCCGGCCTGCTGAGTGGAAGCTGAACAGATGTGTATACGAGAACCTGGTACGTCAGACAGCACGCCGTTCATTCTGATATATCAATCCTGACAGTGCCATCCTCTAGAACCTAGAGAAGGTCGTTCCCGACCAGCCCAAGCACTCGACACCAGTTCACCTACGGCCAAGACAGATCTTTGCCCACGGGTGGATTCCGCGGACGGAGAAGCCCTTCATCCCAGGCCAGCCGGATACATCCTTTGCTCCACGGCAAAAGGAGGCGCCGGAGTCATCTTGAGGCGCGGGCTGGCCCTTTCCTCCGCACCATTCGATAGTTACCCCTGCCTAGGCGGCGATGGCTTGCACGGGTGGTTCTGAGCCAGGACGTGTACATACACATACTGAAGATGAGATAGACAGGCTCGTCCGGCCGTACCATGTCAGTTCCCTTTTTGTTCTATAGGCATCCGTCTCCGCTAGTGATCAAGTATTCGGCTCCCGCTCGTCTGCTCGTTCTGTCTTCTCAAATTGCCAGGTGCAACGGCAACGGCGTCGAGCCAGGATGCCGAGTTGACTCTGTCAGTCCTGTGATGCTTGAGACAGATGAGAGGGATGTGAGGGCAAGACACTGATTCAAGGCTGTTCACTCATTTTCCCCAGTCTACTCGACATCGCTGATGCGGGACATGACACGGTAATTCGCGTTTCTCGTTCGTGCCAGATCGAGTGAACTCGCTCAAAGATGCAGTTATGACCACCACTGCATCGGACAGATCTCGGACACTACTACCCCGAAATGGCAACCTGACCGCTCGACGTCGTCCACATACGTCATGCGTATACTCGGAAGAAGCGAGGCACCACACATCAAGCTCCCTGGGCTTTGCGGTGTAAGGTAGCAGCGAGATCGAGATTGGGCAGTACACATGACAGTTAGGTGTTGCGTGTTCCTGCTGACGCGCTTGATTCATGTCACAAAGGATCCTATTCCGGTTTCGCGTCCTGTATGCTTTGAGACCGGCTGACGAATCTGTGTTCATGAGGGACACAACCGCGTTGCAGAGGGCAAAGGTCTTCCTGAACTAAATGGTTCAGACTCCGGCCCTTCTTTGAGCCTATGCCCCTCAACGGAGATGTTCCCAATTCCCTGTTTCTCCGCAGCTATACGACCGTCAGCGTAAGACATGCTGTCTCCTCCTTGTCTCACTGTTACGTCCGTTGTTCACGCATTGCGAGGTGATCTCTGGTTGCTGTTTGTTTTGATCTTGAAGCATCCCGGAGGACGATCTCCGCGTCAATTCCTCTCCTGTCCTCCTTCGCGGCACATCTCAATGTCTCGGGCAACCAATATCTGACATGTCCATTTGACTCCGCACATGCATTGAACGCATGCGCATTACACAGAGAGAATGATCGCAGGTGCCAAGCAGATGATGACGGATGAGTGGTGTCCCAGTCAAAGGCCGCACATTTTTGACAAACAAGCAGCTTCCCGAGCCCGTAGCTTCATCGATATCATTGTTTGGTCTGAAGTGCGTCACTGTGTCACAGTGATCCAGTAGAGAAGACATGTAAGCTGACCAACTAAACTTTACCACATAACCGCGTGACCCTGGCAGGAACAGGCCGATGAGCGTTTGATGCTAGGGCATCAAACAGGTGCAAGTTCAGTTTACGCTTACGTAGGACACAAACGCACCAAAGAAGACGTCTGCCTGTGGTTTGGTTCCCGGTCAAGGTTCGTGTCGATCTCAAACAGGTCGTCTACCTATCCCGCCGGGCCTTCCAACCCTCCCAACGGTAGAACAGGGTGGCGGCACGGAGACGAGGTGGGGCCCCGTAGGATTACACAGAATCCGGGGGCTCGTTAGGCGTTGTTTGAGGCCGCGGGGATGACGGCCAGACCTACTCGCATAGCCAGCTGAAAAGTCCGACAACGAATCATCTCGGACTGAGTTGAAACTCACGAACGACGTGTTTACAAGTCATCACCATCACCGGGCATACCGAGTCACAGCAGCGGGTGTAGACTTGCGCTGGGATGCCCAGTCTGTTCGAATTCACCAGACTGTTCCCTCCGGAGCCTCTTCCGTTCTACCAGTTCATAGTCGTAGCAACATGTACCCTTTGAAATTGTTTGTAGCGGCCTCATTGACTATGTGACGCAGAGCCTTCGTAACAGGTGCGGCTGCACGGAATCGGAAAGAGACTTCAAGTAGCGGCATGGTGCAGATGAATCTGGTACTTTTCCTCACATTCGGGATCACCACAAGACTTGTTATTTGCAGTCGGCTTTAGACCACATCTGGATTCATTAAGTCAACTGGAAGTCCTGATACAGAGGTCGCAAGATGCGGAGTCTCCTTTGTAGACTACCTATGCACGCATAACTACCTACCTAAATTGCTTACCATGTAGAAGGGAGCCTAGCACGGATCTCAAAACCGGCCCGATGCGTCCGTGTAATCCTCGGGAATTGCTCTGGTGGTTAGCAGTCTTTACTAGTATCATCCGTAGTTATGATGCGTCTCCACAAACAAGGGCGCCGCCAATCTTGTTCTCAGATGCCGAGTCCACCTCATCAATGAGGTCTTGTTTCGTGTACATTGTTGCAATTTGCTGTCGCCTTACGCTGATGACGAGGTTCTGGAGACGGCGTTTCAGTAGCGTTGGGATTACCTAAGTACCTACGCACCTAGCGATGCTGAAGAGTGTTCCAGGTTTGGGTGAGCCTGTCATCCATACTTCACTCTGATCTAACACCCAGCATACTTCAAATCCCCGACACTCACAAAAGCATACCAGAAAGATCAAAGATCGGATGTTGCATTCTTCGAGAATCCATCCAAGATCGAGAGCATGCCAAGCATAGAAAGTGGAGAGAATGACCATGGTCCCTGGCGTGTTTCAGGAAAGCGCCCTCTGCTTTTATTGGGCAGCGGCATGACGATGAAAACAAACCCATGAGGTGTGTGAAATTGCGTGAAAAGACAACATCCGCGAGGATCCGAGAGCGAGGGATGACGAAAGATGTAATCTACCTACTCATTATCTCTAGCTGGCCTACTTCCCATGGCGGAAGATTCTTGCCTGGCTGATATACTGGGCTCGTTGGCTTCGGCCTGGACCGCATGGGCATGGGACGTGAACTTCGAACCAGGAGCCCAACCAGGTTCAGCAACACAACTCCCCGCATGCCCGGTTCTGCAAGGCACGCGGCTGCGATTGGCTGCTGCACAGTACAGGGGTAGGATGACAGGGAGGGTGGAGACAGCATCTGACGCCGCGACATTGGGGGCCGCCAGGCGTCGACGTCCTGTGGAATCGAGGCCGGTCTTGAACGCGGCCATTTCAGAAACATGAGATGAACTGTCCGTAAGCTCTTAGAGCCAGTTACTCTACTTTGTAGCACCATCGAAGATGGCCGGGAGACTCGGACCCAGAGCTTCCAAGGCTCTGCACGCAACCACTAGGCTTCGCGTTCTCCTGCAGGGAACTGGTGAAGAATTGCCTGCACGTAACCTGGGACCCTGTCTTGAGGCCAAAGAGACGGCCATGGAACTCGGAGGTCTGCGGGTATATCTGAAATGGTTCTCTCACGAAGGTTGCTCTTTGGTCAGCCCACTTACCACCGGAACTCTTGCATCAGCAGCCAAAGCGGCCAGGCCGAGGATTGCAGGAAATTCCTGCTGCCTTCTGCAACTGTTTGCTGAAGGCTGACGTCCGTCCCCTTTTCATTTGATGCCCCGCAATTCCCGTCCGCGAAAATTGAAGGGGCTCGAGAACCGAGACGGACCCCCAACCTTGGATTGCTGCTTGGGATTTTGGGTTTCCGGGGATTGCGTGGATCAATCCGCCCCACCTGTTCCCGCCTGCTAAGAACATCGTTCTTTCCCCCTTGAACCTCACCACCTTCCATCTTTCCTCACTCGCGACTGCCGAGTCTAGCTTCTAGAACGCCCTCTTTGAAGTGTTTTAACTTCAGTCCACTCCTTTTTCATCACTCACCGCCCTCTTCGCCTTGACGGTTTCGCGGCGTTCAACGATTCAGAAGTCGGGTATTCGTTCCTTCAGCGACTTTCGCAATTCCATTCCTTCAAAAACCACTCATTGGCATTCTCGACGGCAGCGCTGTCACCTGTGTTTTGAGCGACTCCGGATCCGTGTGGTCGGTGCAGCATTCGTGAATCACACCTAGTCGTGGCAGATATCGAGTAGCATCGCCCTTCGTTCCCTGTCACTCCTTCACAGGCGATCTCCAGACGGCCTCGTGCGGCAAGAGACTCGACGTCATCTGGACTAAGACAACTGACCCCGTTGTCCTACCCTCCTGAGTTCGAGGATAAGATCCTATCACACATCCTTGACGGATCCCAAGCCACAGCAGTGCTGCCTTACCAGCTGGCTCTGAGTGCACCCTCGGCTTTCTTGCTCAAAGAATACCAGTCACATTGAGGTGCGTTTGTTAACTTCCTTTTTGTGTCCCTTGTTCCGGGGTGATTGGTTGTCAACCACCTGAGCCCGCTGAATCTTTGTCATGGCATACCACATAATCACTTTGTGTTCTCAAATGGTAGCCATATGTGGAAGCGGACAGGTAGAGCCATGATCATTCGTCACCAGGCTATTTGAGGGACGTTATGAGACCTTCAAGGTCGAGGGGCGGCACCTCATTGATATCTCTGCGAGCTATTCCTCACCTCCTTATGTTAAGCATCAGTGATGGGACAATAGTGTCATTCACACTTCGCGTGCAAACTAACGATCTTACTAGAACCACCACCCAACACAATGAAATCAACGGCGTTTCTCGCCCTCTGCGGCAGCGTCCTGGCCACTGCCAGCCCCATTCTTCAGGCCCGCAAGCTGTACACCAAGACGGATATCGTGGTCGAATGGGTCACCGTCACGGTCACTGAGGGCGATTCTTCCACCGTTTTCCAACGCCCCAAAGCGCACCATACCGCGACGACGATTACCATCGTTCCGGCTCCCAGCACCACCTCGGTTGCTCCGCCGCCTCCCCCGACTACCTCTTCTACTTCTCAGGCCGTTGTCCAGCCTCCTCCCCAACCCACTCCTGAGCCCAGCCCTGAGCCCAGCCCTGAGCCGAGCACCCAGGCTGCTCCGGTAGTCCAGTCGCCACCGTCCGTAGTCCAAGTTGCCAAGGTTTCGACCTCGGCTGCTCCCTCGCCTGCCCCTGCCAAGACCAGCTCGGCCTCGGTCGCCCAGCCCTCCGACTTCCAGAGCACGGCTCTTTACCACCACAACGTTCACCGTTTCAACCACTCCGCTGGCGCCCTTGAGTGGAGCGACGAGCATGCCCAGTATGCCGAGACTCTCGCTAAGACATGCGTGTTTGAGCACAACACGTGAGTTGCTTCTACTCTGTGGTAAGAAGGAAGGTCTGTTAACAATTTCCCAGGAAAATTGGTGGCGGAGGCTACGGCCAGAACCTCGCCATGTGGGGTTCCACAGCCGATCCGGAGGCCGTCGGCGCCACTGAGTCGGTGGCGCGTGCGGCAAGCAACGGCTGGTACAACGGCGAGATCAACCTCTTCCCGTCAAGCGAGTACGGCAAGGCCACTCCGGACATGACCCACTTCGAGGACTGGGGTCACTTCTCGCAGCTCGTCTGGAAGGGCACCAAGAAGGTTGGCTGCGCGTCGGTGTTCTGCCAGCCAGGTACTCTCTCGAGCATGGGCTCTTGGTATACCGTCTGCAACTACTACCCTGCCGGTACGTTGTCTGTTGAGCCTTGCAACCATTGTTTCACTCTAACAGTTATTTCCCAGGCAACGTCGGCGGCGCTTACGGTGACAATGTTGAGCCTCCTCAAGGTCAATCCACTGTTACCGCTGCCTAAGTGCAAGCCCCATCTCGGAGCAGTATTTACGAAGGCAGCCTGACCAGTTAGGAGCTCGTGGCCGGCCTACCTAACAGCGGCGGCCTTCGGCGGTTTCACTTTACTTCATGTAGCGTATCTACTTGCACAGAGACGGATCTTTTCTCGACAAAGTCGAGCTTTCTTCATCTTGCCTCCGTCTTCACACGAGCAACGTTTTCCCGACATCATCTACAACGGCAACGGGGGGATGATATGAGTACATTTCGTCCATACATCGCGATCAGTTCTCCCACGGCGGTGACGATGATGACATGAGGTTTTGGACTATCAAGTTCCTGCGGGATATAGCGGGGGATTTCAGGACGGTTGCTTTGCTTTCTCTTCGTTGGCTTGGAAGGCCCTTCGGTTCTGTCCACAGCCCGATCTTTCGGCATTTTGCTTTGTAACGAGACTTCGATTTTCCACTCTAGTAAAGCGAGTCTTTCAGGGGTTGGACTGAGATTTATCCAGGGTTTACGGCGACTGGCCGCCGCTGCTCCTTGCTGCCCTCTCATCTTCTCCTCAGATAACTTCGCGCAAGCGGCAGGGGTATGCGTTTGTTTATATCGAATCTCATGAGCCATGATGTTTTTATGAGGGTCTATTACCGTGATGATGAACTTGCTTATCGCATATCCCGACTACAGCTTCCTCATAACAATTGTCTTCTCGTCCTCCTTGGGTCGATTGCAGTCTAGAACCACAGGGGACGGTGGTCACCACATAAGGCCTGCGCTTGGCAACCTACCCCGGACGGGTCTGAAACAGGACGGCCGGGGTTCCAGCACGATTGTGGCATAAGCACCGAAACGCCTAACGTCACTTTACATGAGATGGGAATCCGATTTCACGCTCCCGACTCTCTTCCCAATGCCGGATACAGCCCGCTCAGCAGGCACTCCCTTCACCATGGACAAGAATGATTGCCATTAGAAAGAAAGCTCTCACATGGAACGCAGTGGTCCTTGCCCTCTAATCTTCCATTTACACTTTATGGTCAGTATACATTCCAGATTGCACTCGAACATTCCTGTTTATATGTAGGTCACCCGTTTCCCAACGAATTACACCGGGCAAGCACAGACAGTAGACATGTCCGGAGGGTCTTCGGTTCTGCTATGCGTTCCTTCTCCTCGCTAACCTTGGTCACCTGGGTCTTGAGCTCATCGACCGCTTGTTGGCAGATCGCCTTGCTTTTCTTTTTTCCATCCTGCGAGGGGCTTCTCTTTCTGATCCTTGAGTTCCTAGAGCTCCTTCTCGAGGTACTCAGTGGTGACTCGGAAGCTTGATGGTTTCGGCTGGTCGCCGTACTATGAATGGAGAGGACGCATTAGGCCACTCGACGCGTATCTGGTTAGTTTGGGAACTGTGACTGCTCGCCTGATATCGTAGTCGTAGCTACTACTAGTTCAATATAGATAGGCAATGAAAACTACCTTCTCCTATATATAATACTTTGCCTTGCTTCTGCCGTGCAACACATCTTACACGGATCCTTTTTACTTACCTGTATCAGCCCAGCTAGCCGGTAGCACCTCGAATGACCTAGGACGTAGTCCAATATCCCCGATCAACTTGTATCGGCTGAGCAGTGTTCCGTCTGGTGACGTTGGTCAAGTTGACCTCTCTGTATAGGTCGCTAAGGATCCAACATAGCGGTTAAAGCACATGTCGCGCGACGACCTTGAGGAAGAACATCTCCTGATATCATTATGTCAACAATATCCTCCCTGTTGTCCTCTCCGTCGTTTTTCCTGTCAGATTCTCTTGGCTGCTGTCTGGCATGCTTCTCCCTCATATGCCTGTGTAGGCTTTCCTTTCGCCTTCCTTCCCCGTCTGGCGATCCTTGTGATGCAGCCAACCCCTTTGAAAGGACATAAGTATAGCAGAGCGTTGTGATTGTGCCTCTCGCTGATGTGTTGCCTTAGGCCGGTCCGACGCTCGAAGCCTTCGTTTGGAGTATCGAGCTTGCATTTATAGCGCCTTGTATGCTTCAACGCTACATGGCTGCTATGGTGAAGTGTATGCCTTACATAGTATACGAATTCTAATGATGACGAAGTCTGGTGACCTTAGAAGGGTTCTTACTTCTGGTCGCAGGGTCCTCCAAAATGTCTGAGGACATTGGGGCCATTGTGGGCATGAAAGGCCGACGGCTGCTGCCCTGGTAGGCCGGAGTTCTCAAACTTGTCGTTGCTCTTATTAGTTTGCGAGTGGTGGTAATCGTAGGGTAGTGATGAGCTTCCAGTTGCCCGACAGCCCCTGCTACGTCTCGTCGTGCATGATGAAAGCTTTGTGCTGATGACGTCTCTTCTTCGGCAGATGGGTCCTGTCTAGCAGGCTCGGTGTAGCTAGATGATTGACCCCAGCTATACTGTGGAATGGGACCCCGATGCCCGTTCTGGACCCAAGAGGGCTTAATATAGTCGTAGTGATAGTGTTCAGATTTGGTTGTTGCAAGTGGAGTGTACGTGCGGGCGAAAACTACTCGCCCACAAAGACCTGATATTGGCATGTGAGGGAGGCCACGGTGCATTACTACCGGACTAATTATGCGAATGTGCTGTCTTGTTGGGTTGTAATTGACCCATGAACCACCCCGAGTCTGAGGCGCAAAGGCTTACGGGCCTACGGATTGTTACTAGTAGTTGTAAGGGGCTTGTAGAGACTTCATGTTCATCAATTCAACGTGAATTTAGTGGGTATTTTGCTCTCGAAGTGCTGCTGTTCGAAGACGCGGTCGTACGAGGACGTCCTCGGACATGCCTCGCGGCCGAAGAGCAATAGTGACGCAACAGTATCAGCAATCGGACAGAACGAACGGGAGCGGAATGTGTGGCTAGGGCTGTAGGCTAGATTCGGCCCCTATGATCGACGAAGGAATCTCCATCATCATCGTCGAGACATCTCCGGCGACCCGCCACACCGCGCAGCCATGAACAAGAGCCTCCTCTTTCCACTGCGTACAATACCCGCTGAGTCTCCCAAAGTGGCCAACACAGCTCCCCGCTAAATCGGCGAGTAGCAGCTCTAAGTATAGTTCCCTTGGCGGACTGGACTAATGACACTTGTAAAGAGGTTAGGTAGTGATGTGATGTAGATGGACTGAATTGGCACCCCACTTCCTTACATTTCTTCGAAGAGCATCCGCATACCTTCACGATTCATGAGAGCCCGGCAGGTAATTCTCAGATACCGCGGCAAAGCGAATCTCACAGCAGTGGCAGGGGAAGGGACTTCATCGTGGGACTTGGGAAGGGGTCTCAACATGTGAGGTCGTCTCGGGTCAGAGTTTCTACCTGAGGTTTGATGAATCTAATTTTAGGGAGCTATTTGGGTTTGGAGCTAAGGTAGTAAAAGGGAAAAGGATGTTACCTAACACTGGAATGGAGTTGGTTGTGCAGGTTGAACTGAAATACTACGCAAAAATTGCAAAAGATGTGTCCCCTCGACCGGAATCGAGCCGGTGACCTTTCGGTATCAATAAACGTCATTTACAGCCGAACGTGATAGCCAACTACACCACAAGGGGATTTGATTTGTTGTTCAAGGGCAAGCGTTACAGTGATAAGATCCACTCCACTCCTCGCAGCTCTCCACGGCCGCAGGTTGGGGAAAAGGCAGTCAACTCAACTTCCACTCGTGATAACTCATAATTCCATGCCATGTCCTTCTCTCATTAGGTAGTACGCTGCGTCAATATCTGCCTTCTGATAGTTGCTCAATGCTGACGAAAAGATGCAGGATCAGTATCGCTGTGGTATTGGAATGAAATTTGACCCTAACCCTTACCTAGCCGTGTAATTCCCTTCTCGGACCAAAATTGGCACAGGGACTTGAGCCCTTGTTCTCATCAAACTTGAACGTCCTTGGACATGGATATCACCACCATGCCACTTGGCACGCTCTCGTGGCGGTGTGATGCAAAGATAACGATACACAACGCAATGCCAGCCGCATCAACACGTGGGACGAGGCGTGGATGAGCCCGATTCTGAATTCAGCAATGCCGGACTCATAGCGCGAAAAGTGAGAGCTGAATGGCACGGGCCGCAGGTCGCCGGGGCCTGTCTCATCGAGAGTTCGAGACCCACGGCGAGATAACGCTAGTGTACAATACATAAGGTAGTGACTGTGTAATGACTGACAACATCGCCTTTGCTTCCAGATATTTTTTTAATCTTGACCAGGGTCAGTGAGGTATCAGTTCCTGGAACATCCAGTGCAGAGATTGCAGAGCTTGCATGCAGAGATTTGACCGCCGGCGACTTGTCTGCCGTCAAGGTTCTGTGCCGGTCGATCAGGACCCACGAGGCCGGGAACTCACAGCCCCATGCGCGTGCGGTGGTTATCTTTTCACCACGAAACTGTAAGTTTATAGGTTTGCATGTATTAGGAATGCCGATGGATACGAATCTGGCCAGGCCTTCCATACTCCGAGACAGCATCGGAGAGCAACAACCGAGAGGACGGGAGGCTCAGCGGGTTACACCGCCTGTCCCGACCGACCTGGACTTCATTCTGTGCGGCTGAAGACCTCAAGCATCAAAAGTTTCACCCGTCACGGTGAGGTGACGCAAGCCTGACAATCGCTGGCGCAGCCGCTACCGAGCGTTCGGCGGCAACGGTGGAAATGACGGGAACGGCACGCATTTATGGCGGCAGAACTATCGACGGGAGCACGGACACTTCACGGAAACGCTGGCCAAAGCTAGCCCCATTCGGGACTTCGCTCAGGCACACCCGCCCGACGCTCGGCGCTGCCAAGTCCGCGCCGATTTATTTTTGATTTTGGCGGCTTTTGGCCGCTTCAGGTTGGGCTGCGACGAAGTGCAGGGGAGCTGAAAAATACCGGCGATACCGTCACGGGCGGGTCCTGAGCTGTCTTGGTCGCTATGTGGAGCCTGGACAGGGCCTCGGCGATAGCGAGTTCATCCTTGCGTCGCAGCGTATCCACCGCCGTATCGCTCCACTGCAGCTTAACGACGTCTCATCCGCTAATGCGGTGGCTGCCAGCCATCGCAGAGATACGGCAGCATCGCCAAGCCCGTTTGTTCCTTGCCCAAGCAATGGCGGCGACAATTGCGACCTTGGAGGGGCAGGTCTCTCAGCTGTGCAGGACGTGGCGCGTGGGCCTCTCCCGTTCCGCGTCCCGGCGGGCTCGGGCTTGTTTGTGAGAGGAGGCAGTCTGTCTTCATCCCGCGCGGACGCCCAAGGATCGGCGTCGCCTGTGTCTTTACTTCCCACTGGATCTGGGGCCATCTCTCGTTTTGTTCCCGACGCTGCGGTTGATCCTGGCTTGTTGGTTGCTTGTTTCCTCACCGGATCATACCTCTCCATCGCCCCCAGTTCGCTTACGAGGCCGGCCAGAACGGGAGAGATACCCAGGCCAAGAGCAGAGCTATAGGGCACCGGTCACTCGCTTCGTCCTCTGCGCATTCTCAACCTCTGGCTGTGCAGCGGCTCCGTGTCTACTCTCGCTAACTACCTGGCTGGGCCCCTTGGACACCAACTCGACCGGAACAGCCGCCTCGCGGCGCCCTATCTGATGGACAACACCGAGAACTTCTACGGCCGTCCCGTCGCCGGCATGCCGTCGGCAGCCTCCACCGCAGCGCCCACCCCGCTCCGGCCCGGCACACCAAGCGAGATGGCCGGGCGCAGCCCGTTCGGCGACGGCGTCGAGTCGCAGGCATCGCATCGGTCGTCGGGGCTCAATGGCAACCCGTTTGCCAGCCCCTCGGCCTCGCGACCCCCCAGCAGCTTCGACTCGTCATCCGCGTTGGGCCGCTTCGACGGCGGGCAGCGCTACTTCCACTCGCGCCGGGTACGCAAGGGTGAGGTCGAGAAGCCGTGGACGAAGCAGGCCGATCCCAAGGAGAAATGGGTTACCATCCTGCCCATCCTTGGCATCGTTCTCGGGCTCGCCATCTCGGGCTTCCTGGTCTGGGACGGCATCCGCAGTGTCGTCAAGCACAAATACTGCCTGGTCTTGGAGGACACTTTCACCAATGGGCTGAACGACAAGGTGTGGATGAAGGAGGTGCAGGTGAACGGGTTTGGGTACGACACACAGCCGACTTAAACGGTTACGTGAAAGACAAATTGCTGACATACATTGAACACAGCAACGGCGAGTTCGAGCAAACAACGCCGGGCGACACCAACGTCTTTGTCGAGAACGGCCACCTCGTCATCAAGGCGACGCCGCAGGACGACGCGCTGATGCAGAAGAACAACGAGATCAACCTGCTCAAAGACGGCACCTGCACGTCGGACAACCCGCTCTACTGCATCGCAGCGACCAACATCACGGCCGGCAACTCGTCCATCGTGCCGCCGGTGCTGTCGGGCCGCATCAACACGCGGCGCGGCGCCACCATCAAGTACGGCCGCGTCGAGGTCACGGCCAAGCTCCCCGTGGGCGACTGGCTGTGGCCGGCCATCTGGATGATGCCGGTGGACTCGGCCTACGGGCCCTGGCCGCAGTCGGGCGAGATCGACATCGTCGAGAGCCGCGGCAACAACTATACGCACCCGCAGGGCGGCAACAACATCATCTCGTCGGCCCTGCACTGGGGGCCCAACCCGGCCAACGACGGCTGGTGGCGCACCAACAACAAGCGCCAGGCGCTGCACACCACCTACGCCTCGGGCTTCAACACTTTCGGGCTCGAGTGGTCCCAGAAATACCTGTTCACCTATGTCAACTCACGCCTGCTGCAGGTGCTCTACGTCAACTTCGACACCCCCATGTGGTCGCGCGGCAACTTCCCCGTGCAGGACGCCAACGGCACGCGCATTTTCGACATCTGGGGCCAGACCGGCCGCGCCCAGACGCCCTTCGACAAGCCGTTCTATCTCATCCTCAACCTGGCCGTGGGCGGCACCAATGGCTGGTTCGAGGACAATGTCAACGGCAAGCCCTGGCTCGACGCCAGTCCCAACGCACGGAAGGACTTTTGGGCGGCCAAGAGCCAGTGGCTGCCAACTTGGACGCAGCCGCAGTTGGAAGTCAGCAAGGTCGCGATGTGGCAGCAGTGTGATGGCGACGAGGATCTTTAGGTAGCATATTTCCCTCTCTGGCTAGGTGGTTCTAATCTCTTTCCCATTCCCTCTTTCTCCTGCAATCTTCCAGCCTTTTCTTGCCTGCGACGATGTTGAAGGAGGGGATATACATAGATTGGTTCTGGGTAAGGTAATGTCTATGGTAGCTTAAAGGTTGTCTTTTACTTCCAGGTTGTCAATTCAGAGGTACCTTAGACTTTTACACCTAGATTCTACCATAAGACAACGCGGCAACGCTGCGTTTGTCAATCATGATTTGTAAGAGCATACAAACGTCGTCAAGCGGTCAGTAACGAAATAAAGCCTCGGAGCCACGAGTGAGATAAACAACACATCACTTGCACCGTAACCTCGGTCCCGGTGCCCCTGTTTTTGAGTTGCCATGACCTTGCGAGGCTGGAGACAATGGTCGGCGCCACAGCGCTTTTTTTTTGCCCCTACGCATGTTTTAGCTGCTCGGCGACAGCAGCACAAGCGCCTCGCAGTCTGCAGCTTCTTGCCTTGGCCTGCGGGGACCTCACTGGCCAGGCCGAGAGAGGAATACCATGCGAGGGGGGTTCCTTTTCACAGTCTAGGTAGGTACACACAAAAAAGGACGCACGCTTCCTCTTCCCATCGTCCGATACAATGGTTGTGTGGCGGACAGTAGATAGCAAGATGGTAGATAGGAAGCGAGAGCTTCCAGTTGTTATCAGCCTCCTCAATAATCGCCCCGATAGCGTTGCTATTCCTGGAAGAATTGGCCCAGGGCTAGAACTTATACCGCGAGCTGAAGATGCAGGTGCTCGTCATATTGACGGGATTCATCATGACAACGCACCCGTGCACAATTGCGTGCGGCTTTTTGGCACCGGGTTCGGCTGGCTGCATGGAAGAAAAGGGAGAAAAGACTTCCTGGTTAGGTCCCTTGCGACGTTACTATTGTTATGGACTGGGAAGAGTGCTTTTAGCGCTCCCACAGAGCAAACGGAGCCCATTGGCGATGCCGTTTGAGCCGCCGGAGGTGAATTCCCGTATGGACTCTGCGAAGGGTAGCATGTAAGACGGCGAGATACCGGTAGCGAGACGCCGAATCGTGCGGTCGGATACGACGAGGACGCTCCCTCAGCAGGTGGGTAGTCACTCCCGATGCTGCATGACAGCATTATCATCACGATACTATCATGATTCCACGATGTCCTCTTCTTCCGTGACATCCGGTTGACTGGCCGTTATGACTGCCAACGCAGCATCGTAACAAAAAGTCCAGACATCGTGGGCTGGCCCTTTCCTGGTCACTGCAGATCCTCGGTGGGGTCGCCTGCTGCAGATGCGATCTGAGCAAGGGTGGGTAGGTGCCGGGGGCCGGCCAGCCGCCCTCTGTTTCTGGTAGGTTTCTTTTTTTCGCCGGTGCCAATGCTCGTATTTCTTCCACGGCCTGCATAAAACCCACCGTGAATGGCTGCGGTCTGCCCAATCGCGGGCAGATGGGTTTCAGAGATTGTGGGAAAAGCGTTAAAAGTTAACGAGTAGGATCTACATTCGACGTCGATGGAAGAGAGGATCATACCGATCGTTACCGATCGTACCGCAAAGTTACGGCATCGAACCGTCATCAATTCATCAGTCGGTTGTTCGGCCAAGGGGACGGCGCTGGTCGACTGCGCTGAATTCTGTTGCCAAAACGCTCGGCATGCAGGGGTTGGTGTGCGCTATGGTCTTTTCATGCAGGTACTCGAGGGAGAAAGCGTGCTGGTGAAAAAGTGGCGGCGCCTCATCGAAAGCCACTCGCCTTTTGTTTCGTGTATGTTTGAGACATCGCTGTCCAGCTGAATTTAGCGCATCCCGATGTACAACCCGCCTGTATCCATCGGATCGGCTTTCACCATTCAGCTCCGCTTGCTTTTCGGGGTGGGTCCTGTTGAGCGCCTTGATGATTGCGCTCCACCTTAGACGTCCAGCGAACAATCCGGTGTAAGTGGACCTCGGCCCGCTCCTCAGTGCAGACTGTATCAACAAGATGTAGATATGGCCGACCGATTAGCTGTCACAAGGCTCGACGGCGACGGTAACGATACGAGGTGGTAGGTAAATGTATGGAACAAGGGTGGTGCTGTACAATACGAAAGTTACGGTACCTAAATTGTACAATACAATGCTAGTACGTGTAAGAATACAACCCTGCTCATCACTTCCGATTCTGACCGGGCCCACAGGAAAATCGCGGACAGGGTTGAGCAGGAAGGAGCCGAGAAACGTTCCTCACAACACGACACAAACGCATCGTATGTAGCAACCACCCAGCCAACACACCCACAGTGAAATACGATTGAACTTCACGAAAGTTACCAGACTGCCGACCGGCCACAACCCGCTGGATAACAGCGGATCGACCGCGTTTGACAGCCGCAGGACAGGTTCCTCACATGTCGGGCGCAGCACCTGGGCCCAGACCAAGAAGCGAGCTGTCGATGAGTGATAGAGCAAATCCAATACTTCGTAGCCGACAGCCTTCAGCTTTCGGTTACCGCCATGGAGTATTGGTAAGGGCCTTGACAGCTACGGAAGATATGGATTCTCCCCTGCAAGATCGAGACAGCCGCGACCAAGGCGCCTTGATCGGAGATGAGCACGGCATGATAGGAAATGGCCGGCACTAACGGAGACGATGGCTTCCAAGTTCCCGCTGCGATATCCTCCTGCGTGCGATAGGGTCTGGGTTGAAGAGAAAGAGGAAATGTGCTGAACCAAACCGGGAAACCAGCTTTCCGCTATCACTTACACGGGCCTCCATCCCCCTGACCCCTGCGGTGCAACCTCAACCAGGGCGGAAGTATGCCAAGCACAATGGCCCAGCCCCTCCTCGCCAGAACGAGGGCATCTGCACCGTTGGGCCAATCGCCAATACGCTACCAGCGCGTTCCCTTCCCGGCGTTGCGTGGGCTGCGGTGTGCTGCCCACTCTTTTGACCCATGCCATGCCCTCGCTCGGTGCCGTTTCCCGAACTTTGCTTCCAAGCTTCTGGCGATCAACCCTCGTTCCCAAGCGGTCGGATCGGGCGAGGATCCTTTTATCTTTTCCAAGGAGTTTGTTTTCTAGCTCCCACCCCCCCAGCACGGCCGAGGACGGCGCTTCGAAGGTCCACCTAGACCTGTCAACCAGCACGGATACCCAGAGTCTCGGAGACCGCTCGCTCCCACTTCACTTGGCTCTCAGGAAAACGCTGGAGCCGTCCGCTCGCTTCGAGGTTCACGGGGACCTTCCACGCTCGCTCGACGACGTTGAACCGAAAGCAAGGCTGCGGTCTGGGTGTGGGTTATTTATTGGGCCGGCAGTTGCTTTGCACAGACTCGGTATCACACAGCAGCCGCCCCAGTGCAACCGTCGGGTATCATCAGGTATGTACGACTCCGGCCCGCGGCAGCTTCAAGCCTCAGGACCGGTGCCTTGGGGCACGCTGTTCAACTCGAGGTGGCGGACGAGATGCCGAGTAACTGATACTGATACTCTGTAACAGGCAAGACGGGCGTGTATAGGCAGGGTTAAACCCAGACTTCACAACGCGCTTGGGTTGTCGACGACCCCCATCACCACCGCGGAGCAGCAGCTCGAGTAGGGAGCCAGCTCTGACCCGCGAAGGGAGTTTAGGCCGCCCCGGGAAACGAAGCCCATCTATAAGGGGTCCGCCGTAGCCATGGGGATTGGAAGTTACTTCAAGGCTGAGAAGCGTCAGCCCAAGCCCGAGACTGCGCCAGCAGGGAACAACAATGCGCTGCATCAGAAAACGCCATCCCGGCCGGAGAACCGCACAGCGGTACCGGCGCCGGAACCGTCACTAGTACAAGGCGCTGAGTCGGAGCTGCACCCGCCAACGCCGCGCTTCAGCTCGCGGCCGCAGTCCATCTCCGGGCGCTCGGCGAGGTCCACCGGCAGCTCGTTGTTCCTCGACGACATCAAGCATGAGGTCATGGTCAACTACCTCTACCAGCAGCAATGTTCGCACCTGTGGGTATCAGACGGGAGCGGCGAGATCGAGGGCGTGCTGCTCCGGAAATCGAGGGGCCAGTACATGGCCTGCCCTCCGCAGCTGGGCAACTCGCCGTTCGCCGTGGCTTGCGCAGCGCTCAATGTGCAGGTGGGTTTTCTTCCCCTTTTTCTTTCTTCTTTTTTTTTTTTTTTTTTTTTGCTTGTGGGATGTGATGCTGATCGTTCCTGTTTTCTTCCCCCAGTGTGCCATGACGGTCAACTCCAGAGTCATCAAGACGTTCCTAGCGTGGTCACCGGATGCTGTCGATGTGCCGTTGATGAACGGCCTGAGAGTGCAGATTTTGCCGACGATCGATGATCTCCCCCGCGCACGGAAGCACCAGTTCGCCGCTTTTGTTGCCTCGGAGGGCCTGCTGGTCGTCTGGGACGACGATGCGCTGCACTTGGTTGCACGGGCTAAGGCGATCGAGTCGGAGCTGATGGAGCTGGTCTGGAAGGCGGGCGGCGACGACGACGGCGATGAGAAGGGCGGTGTCATCGTGGAGGAGCCCGAGGTCGACGAGGAGAGCGGCGAGCTGAAGCCGGAGAAGCGGCCGGTGCATCTGCAGAACACGTACCTGGTCACGCTGACGCTCGTGCTGGTGACGGTCTCCCTCGGCGCAGCCTGGCGCCAGCTGGCCATCGAGGTGTCGGTCGACGGCAACTTCGTCCGGCTCGCGCTGGTGGCGCTGTTCCCCATCCAGATCTTCTTCACGCTCTTCTTCGCCCAGGTCATCGTCGGCTGCTTGGCCCAGATCTTCGGCCCCATCCGGCAGCTCACCATCAACTCCAAGTTCTACTCGGCCCGGCCGCCGCCGCGACTGCGCTCCGCGGTGCTCCCGCACGTCACCATCCAGTGCCCCGTCTACAAGGAGGGTCTGCAGGCCGTCATCGCGCCGACGGTCAAGTCGATCAAGCAGGCCATGTCCACGTACGAACTGCAGGGCGGGTCGGCCAACATGTTCATCAACGACGACGGGCTGCAGCTCATCTCCGAGGAGGACCGGCGGGCGCGCATCGAGTTCTACGCCGACCACAGCATCGGCTGGGTGGCGCGCCCGAAGCACGGCGAGAACGGGTTCCTGCGGCGCGGCAAGTTCAAGAAGGCGTCCAACATGAACTTCGCCCTGATGATCTCGTGCAAGGTCGAGGACAAGCTGGCGGCCATCCAGCGCACGCCCGACTGGTCGCAGCACGACGAGGCGACGGCCTACGAGCGCGCGCTAAAGGAGGTGCTGGAGGAGGACGGCCGCGCGTGGGCCGACGGTAACATCCGCATCGGCGACTACATCCTGTTGATCGACTCGGACACGCGCGTGCCGGCCGACTGCCTGCTGGACGCCGTGTCCGAGATGGAGCTGTCGCCGGACGTCGGCATCATGCAGTTCTCGTCGGGCGTGATGCAGGTGGTGCACACGTACTTCGAGAACGGCATCACCTTCTTCACCAACCTCATCTACAGCGCCATCCGCTACACCGTGTCCAACGGCGACGTGGCGCCCTTCGTCGGGCACAACGCCATCCTGCGCTGGTCGGCCATCCAGCAGGTCTCGTACGAGGACGAGGACGGGTACGAGAAGTTCTGGTCCGAGAGCCACGTGTCGGAGGACTTCGACATGTCGCTGCGGCTGCAGTGCGCCGGCTACATCATCCGCCTGGCCGCCTGGGCCGGCGACGGCTTTAAGGAGGGCGTGTCGCTGACCGTGTACGACGAGCTGGCCCGCTGGGAGAAGTACGCCTACGGCTGCAACGAGCTGCTGTTCCACCCGATCCGCCAGTGGCTGTGGAAGGGCCCCTTCACCCCGCTGTTCCGCCGCTTCCTCTTCTCCAACATCCGCTTCACCTCTAAGATCACCGTCATCTCCTACATCGGCACCTACTACGCCATCGGCGCCGCCTGGATCATGACCAGCGTCAACTACTTCCTGATGGGCTGGTTCAACGGCTACCTCGACAAGTACTACGTCGACTCGTGGCAGGTCTGGTTCTCGATTATCCTGGTGTTCAACGGCCTCGGCAACATAGCGCTCGCCGTCATGCGCTACCGCGTTGGCGAGCGGAACATCCTGTACGCGCTCTTCGAGAACTTCAAGTGGACCTTCCTGCTGGCCATCTTCCTGGGCGGCCTGTCGCTGCACGTCTCGCAGGCCCTGCTGGCCCACATGTTTGAGATCGACATGACCTGGGGCGCCACCTCCAAGGAGGCCGAGTTCTCCAATTTCTTCATTGAGGTGCCCAAGGTGCTGAAGAAGGTATGGATGCACACTGAGATTTCTCCCCTTCCCCTGTCCCACTGTCAATGTGAAAGCTAATGTTACTCGCTCCGTACTAGTTCAAATTCTCCATGATCTTCGCCACCCTCTTCATCGTCGGCATGATCATCCTCGCCGTCGCCCCCTTCATCCCCTACAGCTGGCACATCACCGACTTTGTTGCCATCCTGCCCATGGCCACCGTCGCAGGCTCGCACTTGTTGCTCCCGCTGGCTCTCAACCCTGCCCTGATGACCTTCTCGTGGTAAGGGAAAATGGAAAACCAAAGAAAGGGCTTGTGCTGCTGTGGGGGGAGAAGGGGGGAGGGGTTCCTTCCTCTCACTTTCAGTCTGCGGGCACAGTTCCATCCGTAAATACTATATCTCGGCCTCTAAGGAACATACCATGTTGTTTGGTCTTTGTTTGCTGTTTGTTGCGGAGCGGCTGTCTGTTGTTGTCTTCCGTTGGATTCTAGAATGGTTCTCTCCCTCTCGAGCCCTATCACGGGGCGTTCTCATGTTACGACCTTATTCTGTTTTCCTTTCGTTCTACCGAGTATCTATTTGATATTCTGCGTCGCATAGAATAGGGAGAAAAAGCCACGGGAACGGGAGGGGAGTTAGCGTAGGGATATATAGTAGTACTAGTAATTGTCTACTCTACTTGTTGGCCTTTCCGACTCTCTATGGGTCTACTATGATCATTGTGATGCGTGTCTGTTTCCCCACGCTGGTTGCCTGGTTCTCGCTCTCGTTGAATGCGCGCGGTAAGAATTGCAAGAGCATCGTGGGACTTCGAAATATCCTGTCGGTCTACGAAATAGCAGACCGTCCTCAATGCTGACCCTCCCACACAATAAGAGCTGCACCAATGAATGGCTCGCCTGTGAACTCAGGTTCTTCCTATAGCAATCTTAGTGGTTACAAGTTCATGAGCTTGACGCATGGACGACTTGTTCATGATACTGTATGTTGAACAACTCAGGTATAGCTTCCTCACAGTCCAGTCTAGCCATACCGCAAAATACACAACGACAAATATAAGGAAACTACTCCAAGTCCGGCCAAACACATACCTCAAGCTTCCAGGTACTGGTGGTTACATCAAGCCCAGGCAGTGACATATCGAAGGACACTGGACCAAGGCAGTGTGACAGGTAATTACATGTCCGATGAGCGTAATTACAGGTACTTACATCTGACCTCGGCATCGAGACAGGTAGTTACACCCAAGTTTTGGGCAGTGATCGCAAACTCCGTGCCCCATGTCGGAGGTACTATTGAGCTCACACTTGACGAAGCCCAGTGTAATCCAATAACCTGTGTTCTGCTTGTTACCAGTAAACTCGTCCATTGAAGATTATGCTTTTCTACAGCAATTCAGATGCTGATTGACAGAACGTTACAATACCAACTGCCATTACAGTATGTTACATGCCAAGTGTGGGCTTGATTTCACGACCTTGTGAGACAACCCGATTGTCGGTGATGTCATGACTGGAGCACTGCTGCACAATGACATGAGCTGCGATGACCCACGATGCTTTTGGGAGTAAGGCCTCCGAGTACCTATATAGGCGCAACAACTTGGCCGTAGCTTCTCAACTTTGTTCGATACAATAAAATCGTCTGCCTTCGAATTCCAATTCCAACTCAACAACAACGCAACTCATCAGTTCCGCAGCTGACCGTTACAATCGACACCTTACGCCTGTCCAAACAAAACAAGACCATATCACCATGACTGACAAGTCGCAATTCCAGCAGGGTAGGGCAAATTTCATGACTATCACCAATCTACAGACAACGGTACTGGAGGTGACATAACTGACATAACTGACGGAATAGGACATGAGATCCCTGTCACTCAGCAGAGCTTCCCGGGCAAGGAGAAGGACTTGCCCATCGCGGCTGCGCACGAGCAGATCCCCACGGATGAGGGCAACTACCAGACTTACAAGGCCGCCGGCAAGCTGCAGGGCAAGAAGGCCATCATCACCGGAGGTGACTCCGGGATCGGCCGTGCCACTGCTATCCTCTTCGCCATGGAGGGTGCTGACTCCCTTATCGCCTACCTCCCTGAGGAGGAGGACGACGCGCAAGAGACCAAAAGGCGGGTGGAGAAGTATGGCCGGAAGTGCTTCCTCTACTCCACCGACCTGACCGACAGGGGCAACTGCAAGAAGGTCGTCGACGAGGCCGTGAGCAAGCTGGGCGGTGTTGACATCCTCTTCAACAACGCTGCGTATCAGATGATGGTGGAGGATATCAAGGACCTCTCCGAGTAACCAACGCCCCCCCTTTTCCCTTTTCACCACTAGCAGTGCTTATACCAACCGACAATACATACAGGGACCAATGGATCCACACATTCAACACCAACATCCACCCCTACTTCTACCTCGCCAAATACGTCCTGCCGCACATGAAGCCGGGCTCGACCATCATCAACAACGCCAGCATCAACGCCTACATCGGACGGCCCGACCTCCTGGACTACACGTCCACCAAGGGCGCCATCGTGTCGTTCACGCGCGCCCTGCACAACCAGCAGATCGGCAAGGGCATCCGCGTAAACGCTGTCGCTCCCGGCCCCGTCTGGACGCCGCTCATTCCCTCCACCATGAGCGAGGACGCGCAGAAGCAGTTCACCAGCCCCATGGGCCGCCCCGCACAGCCGAGCGAGATTGCAACGTGCGTGGTGTTCCTCGCGTCCAAGGATAGTTCGGCGGTGTCGGGACAGACCATCCACTGCAACGGCGGTACCGTCGTCAATGGTTGAAGTTAGGATGGAGTGAGTGCATGGGAGAATGAGATAGTAATGAAGGTGTAGCGTTCGGATATCATCACCACTCACGTTTGAGCCTTGAAATGTATGAGTGAGATGCGTGTTCGTGGCAAAAGTTCAGTGAAGATATTTCACCCTTATATTGAGTAACCCGAACACACCACTGCTCGTTTGGCGAGGCCTTCTGCATGATCCTTATTAATCTCGTGCAGCTACTTAAGACCAGCCTACGTCGACTTCTTCTTCGTAGCCCCCCCCATCCACCGTCAAATCCTGCGCTGTCACAAAGCCAGCATTCACCAGATACTCGACCGCATCAGCAATATCCTTGGGCCTGCTGGCGCGATTGGTCGGGTGCTCATCGACCTCCTTCTCCTCATTCTGCTCCGCCCACTCCAAGCCTTTCTCGTCGCCGTCCCTGCACTCGTGCGCGACCTTGATGCGCCCGGGGGCAACCAAGTTGACACGGATCCCCCACGGCTGCAGGCTGATGGCCATGCTGTGCGTCAGACCGAGCTGGCCGGCCTTGGTTGCCGCATAACCTTCCTGGTTCGCGTCGCTCTGCAGCGCGCGGAACGAGCCGATCAGGATGATGCACGGCCCGGCGTCGTCGTCGCGGTGCAGCGCCGCCTCGGATTCTTTCTCCTGCTTCATGTAGGGCAGGCAGGCTTGCGACACGATGAAGGGTGATGTGAGGTTCGTCTCGACATACCTGTGAAGTTCTCATTTGGGGGGGGGGGGGGGGGGGGGGGACGGCTGGCTGTCAGTCGTTTTTGATTTATGAATGCTTATTAGCGGGCGTCTGGAGGTGGGGACCATCGTACGCTTGCCACTCGGGTATGGTACTGGTGTCGGCCATGGTTTTGCCGTCCTTCCACCTTGGCGAGGCGATTCCGCCGTTATTGATCAAGACGTGTATCCGTCCGCCGAGGAAGTCGGCTGTTTGCTTCACTTTGTCCTGGATGTCCTGGATGTCGCGCAGGTTGGAGATAGCGGACTGAAGCTTGCCGGCATCATAGTATTCCTTCAGGTGGGTTTTGGTCGTGTGCTCGAGCTCTTCCTCGTCGATGTCGAGGAAGTGCACTTTGTAATTTCGCTCGAGGAGCCTTCTTACCAGACATCGGCCGATACCCCTGGCTCCTCCGGTGATGAGGGCGGTTTTGGACATGATTGCGTGAGCTAGCCTACTAACTTTGAGCTTGATCGTCTTATTTGAATAAATAAATTATGAACTCAACTGTTGAATATGTGCTCCGAAAGACGTGGGAATCTCGTTGTTGATACTCCGGCACGACGTCATCCAGGAGAGTCCAAATCTGGATTTGTATGGCAATTGTGTGGAGCACCATGTAATGGTCCGGGTCTCATAGGTGATTCCCAGAATCCCAATCCGTTACAGACATCATCTGTACTTAGCGAAAAGGAGCAACTGAGTAGCTGAGACACATCACTTATGAAATGACCATTTGCCGGATTGCAAGTGGGAAGGTGCGCCGCAGTATGGTACTACTACTGACAGGACTAAGTACGGTCAGTACGCGATACATACGGTCAGCACGTCAGCAGTACGGTCAATATCTCCATCAGTTAAGTAGGTATTGTACCGGCATCAGTATTTGCATCAACACCTTAGGTTAGCGCCGGTAATAATGGCCTGGAAGACTGATAATTGAGTGCCTGCATTCAGACGCCGGGGTAAAACTCATCCGAGGCGAGTAATGGCACTCGCTTCTCGATAACGATACTGTACTAGTAGTACCAGGCTTATCGTCAAGAAACCGGCTGATCGTATCGGGACCGTCTTCCCACAGCGTGGGGATATCGATATCGTTACTACTACTAGCCTGGACTCCTGGAAGACGAACGGTGCTATCCATCAACAAAACCCTAGGCCCATAACGACTCACACATAACCTCTGTGTAGAGTTGTACCGTTTGTGAGTTGCTCCCGCTCTCGACCATAAAAATGCTGAATTCAGTTCCTGGAGGGAAATGGTATCCGAATGCAACCCAGGTATCGTGATAAGAGGCTCCGAGATCGTCATCTTTATCTCCGGGTTGTATTCCGGGCTCCGGAGTGTCGCACTGTCGGGTTCCCCGCGCGCGAGCGACAAGCACTGCCTAATCGGGAAACTCGCAACCTGTCGACGTGGGCCAACATCAGGGTGGGCAGATCACGCAAGAGATAGCAGTGTCGGGCGCATCATAAAGAATGTGATTTCCACCGGATGTGTCTTTCTCGACAACTTGAGAGTCGTCCTCACTTTCAGCTCGTGAAGGACACATCAGCCGTCCGGACGTCGCACTTCCTACATTACGACCGGAGTTTGCAGCCATGGAAAAGGTCGATGGCAAGAACTCGAACCCCGCGTTGGCGGCGGCCACGCCAGCCACGGATGTCGACATCGGATCCGTCGAGAAGCACCCGCACGACAAGATGCTGCAACACGCACACGATGCGGATGAGGCCCTGAAAGCGTTCTCCGGTCTGGGGGGCGAGAGCATCGAGGTCGACGAAGCGACAAACAAGAGGTTGCTGCGCATCATTGACCGGCATATGATGCCATTGATGTGTCTGGTTTACGGCATGAACTATCTTGACAGTACGAGTCACTCACCTGCGAGTTGGTTTCGATCGGGTACAAGGCATTCTTCTAACCGCTCGTCCATACAGAGACAACCTTGTCATACGCAAGCGTAATGGGAATCAAGACGGACATCAGCTTGACGGGGGATCAGTACCAGTGGCTTGGGAGCTTGTTCTACTTTGGTAGGTTCTGTGCCTGGTGCAAGTCGCCGCAGTCCACAGGCACCTAGCGAGACTGACGCAACGCACAGGGTACCTGGCTTGGGAATACCCCACGGCCCGGCTTCTCCAGCGAATGCCTCTGGGCAAGTATTCGGCAGCCTGCATCATCATCTGGGGCCTCATCCTGTGCTGCTTTGCGGCGGTCAAGAACTACTCTGGCGCTATTGCGATCCGCTTCTTCCTGGGTGTGTTCGAAGCTGCCGTAACACCGGGCTTCGCGCTCCTCACATCCCAGTGGTACACCAAGAGAGAGCAAGGAACCCGCGTGGGGATCTGGTTCAGCTTCAACGGCTGGGGACAGATCTTCGGAGGCCTGGTGGCATATGGCATTGCTGTTGGGGTGCGCAAACACGGATCTGCCATCGAACCGTGGAAGATTGTCTTCTTGGTGACGGGCCTCCTGACCGTCGCGCTGGGCGTCTACTTCCTCTACCTCATTCCTGACAGCCAACTCAACGCACGCTGGTTGAAGAAAGAGGACCGCATTCTGGCCGTTGCGCGCGTGCGCGTCAACCAGCAGGGAATCGGCAACAAGCACTTCAAGTCGTATCAGCTGAAGGAGGCTCTGCTCGACCCCATGACCTGGGCCTTCTTCTTCTACGCTCTCGTGGCCGATATCCCCAACGGCGGTATCACCAATTTTTTCAGCCAACTGGTACGTCAAGAGGTCATAGTGATGGACTCACTGGTATCGACTGCTTGATCGCGCCATCATTAACACAACCCCATTTTCCTCTTAGATCGTCAGCTTCGGCTACACCCCAGAACAGAGCCTGCTCTACGGAGTGCCCGGCGGAGCGGTGGAGGTTGTTGCGCTGATCATCAATGGCTACCTCGGCGACCAGTTCGGACAGCGCCTGCTCTGCAGTTCCGGGGGCCTGGTGTGTGCCATCGTGGGCATGGTTCTCATCGTCGCCCTGCCGCTGTCCAATAACGTCGGCCGTCTCATCGGATACTACATGACCCAGGCCAGCCCGACCCCGTTTGTGGCGCTGCTGTCGCTCGTGTCGAGCAACGTGGCGGGATACACTAAGAAGACCACCGTGGCGGCGTTGTATTTGATCGGATACTGTGTCGGCAACATCATCGGTCCGCAGGTCTTTCGTCCCAAGGACGCGCCACGATATGTGCCCGCCGAGATCACCATTATTGTGTGCTGGGGCGTCTGCTTGCTGGATCTGTACTTCATCTGGTGGTGGTACCGTCGTCAGAACGCCAACAAGGAGCAGGCTCGTGCGAATCCCGGCTATGTCAGGCTGGAGAATCAAGAGTATGTACGGCTGATTTTCCTTTCTTGAATGTGACCACTGACAGGGTTGACACAGATGGCTGGATCTCACGGACATGGAGAATCCCGAGTTCGAATACACACTTTAGCAGAGCTGCATTCGGAGTAGTATGGCTAGTGGTTGATGAAAGCTCTTCCACCATCTATTCCTTTACACGAACCAGCTGCTGAATGTTGCGATGTCACGAGATCTTGACTGTGCCATTCAGGACTTCGACGATGCGTGCTCACTGGCAGTCTATAGTGATGTCAAGTCCCAAGCTCATTGACATCTGGTGTTGGGATACTCATTCCTCGCACTCAGAGGTCAGGGAAGTGTAATGCGCCACGGTGTGTGACAATGGTTGGCCCATCTATAGCCTGTGCCCACCACAGGAGGCGTGAGGAATGCGAGTTCACACAGGTCAAGCGCTGGCGCGGCCATCGTGAGGGATTTCATGTCCCCACGGCGCGGCGCCTGGGACGGGCCTTCCGCGACGCGCTCCGCGAGAGGTTTGAGCATGGGTGGACCACCGTCGCCGACGGCCCACGATAGCGCTGAGATCATATATGTACCTAGGTAGCCATTGGATCAAACCGTGGAAACTTGTAAGTCGCCCTGTATAATCTGATTACCTGCTAGTTGTGATGTTCAGGCACCTACCAGTAGTTTCGCATCTTGATGTGCTCGGCAGCCCTTAGATATCACGTAACCACTGGACCGCGCGGTGTGATGGGAAATCAGAGACTGCCTTGGTTCTCCGGTCATGCATGCATGTCGGATTCACTCGTGCCAGTGTCCTAGAGTCGGTCAACCGCCTATAGCCGAATGCCCAGCTCGTGGACATTCGACCATGCGGCCAAGAAAGCTTGTTCGCAGGTCGCGGCTAGCCTCTTACTCAGTATGTGTATTTCTGTCATCAGTTCATGTTTTTGTTTCGGTGTATAGTAGGTAGATTGATAAATAGTTCCGTTAGAAGTCGAATGCCGAGTATTGAAAGTCCCTCAGGTAGTAGCCCAGATTGACAGAGAGAAGCTTCAAGTTCAGCAACGAGGTCGTCATCATGATGGCTGTACGTTGAGGAAGAGCCAATGGGCAAAGGCTACAGCCCCACATGTCCCTTGAAGTCTCGGCATTGGTTCGTGCAGTCCTTGGCGATCGTCCTGATAAGAAATTTCCTCAGCTGATAAGCCTGCGCTCAGCGAAATTTCTGGTGGCGGCGGGGCACTTACTGATTGCCAACCAGACTTCCTTGCCTCATCAGGACCCAACCCATTCCGAGCCGATAGCTGGAAAGGGGGGTATATTCTGCGCATCCAGGCCTCCGAGACCTTTGCCTGGCTTTGCGCGGCGCTCACGAGAATCGGACAAGCGACAATAACCAAATTATGCCGCATTCAGTGACGCCTCCGACAATGACGGTGCCCATCAAGGCGCCCGACGGCGCTGCCCCGCCTCCCACGTCCGCCGAGGTCTCGTCCATTATCAACACCATCTTCACCGCCAAGACCTCGTCCGCCTCGATCGATGCATGCTACGGCCTGTGCGAGCTGCTCCTCAACTCGGTCGGTGTTCAGGGCCTGCACGACTACGGCGTCCTCGCCGAGATCAGGAAAGCCGCGGCCGACAAGAAAAGCGGCCTCCGACGCGAAAGCGCTCAGAACCTGCTCGGCGCCCTGTTCGAACGTTTCCCGCCACGCCAGCCCATCAGCGAGATTGTGTTCCTCCTTCAGGATGGCGGTGTGCTCAGCTGCGCTCTCGATGCGCTTGCCGACAAAGGTTCCGTTGTTCGCGACGCAGCCCAATACGGCATCGATGCGCTCTTCGCCAACCTAAGCGCCGAGGCCATGATTGCCGGCCTCCTACCCGCTCTCACCGAATACATTGCTAAGGCCGGTGGCAAGTGGCAAGGAGTGGTCGGCGCATTCAAGTTGATGCAGAAAATGGCGGACAAGGCCAAGATCACAGCGGGGAGCACAAAGGAGGAGGCCCGGGAGCAGGACTTTCTGCGCGAGGCCATGGGCTCCAAGCTTGCCAGTTTGATCCCAGTTGTCGAGAACGGCATGCTGGACATGAAATCCGAGGTGGAGAAGCAGGCGGTCAAGACCATGACGTCGCTGACTACTCTGCTTTCGAACGACGACGTGGCGCCTCGCATCCCCCTTCTCATCGAAACCATGCACCATCCCTCGGCAGAGGCCGTGCATAAGGCTATCCACGCCTTGTCGCAGACAACGTTTGTTGCCGTTGTGACGTCGCCCGTCCTTGCCTTGCTTACCCCTTTCCTGGAGCGCGCCCTCAACAACCCGTCGACGCCACAGGAAGTCCTCCGCCAGACCGTTGTCATCACAGAGAACCTCACTAAACTTGTACACGACCCGATCGAGGCGCGGACCTTCCTGCCAAAGCTTCAACCAGGCATCAAGAGTGTCGTGGAGAGGGCTTCGCTGCCCGAGGTGCGTCAGTTGGCCACGCGAGCGCTGGGCGTGATGGACAAGGCCATGGGCATGGACAACGAGAAGACGGCTGTTGTCGAGCGGACCACAGCGGACGATGTTTTCTCGCAGCTCCAACTCGAGATTAAAAACAGCAACAACAGCGCCGCCGGTGACAAGCTCGTGCTGCCGTACATTGCCTGCATGGTCAGCGAAGATGTCAATCACCGCCAGCTCGACCGCATACATGCCAGGATCGCCCCTTACCTCCGGTCGTTGATACACCCAGCTGCAGCTGAAAGAGTTGCTGCAGCTGTCCACGAGTTCTATGTGGAGGAGGACCACCGCAAGTACGGCGTTCCTGAAAAAGAGGACGACGGTGAGGTTGAGATCGTGAATGCCGACTTTTCGCTCGCGTACGGCGGCATGCTCCTGCTGTCTCATACCAACTTGAGGCTGCTCAAGGGCCATCGTTATGGCCTTTGCGGGAGGAACGGTGCAGGCAAGTCGACGCTGATGAAGAGCATTGCTGGCGGCAAGCTGGAAGGCTTCCCGCCCCAGGATGTGTTGCGGACTTGCTACGTCGAGCACAACCAGGGCGAGGATGCTGATATCAGCATCTTGGAGTTCGTATCTAAGGACCCGGTCATCGCGAAGGAAGGGCAAGAGAGAATCTCCGCCGTCCTGGAAGAATTCGGCTTCACATCTGGGCCGGAGGGCCGGCAGTCCCAGAAGGTCGGCTCGCTCTCGGGAGGTTGGAAGATGAAGCTGGCTCTTGCTCGTGCTATGCTGCAGAGAGCCGATGTCCTGCTGCTCGACGAACCTACTAACCATCTTGACGTGGCAAACATCAAGTGGCTCGAGAACTATCTTAAGACGCACACCGACATCACCAGCTTGATCGTGTCCCACGACTCCAGTTTCCTTGATGAGGTCACTACCGATATCTACCACTACGAGCCCAACAAGAAGCTCGGCCACTACAAGGGCAACCTTGCCGCTTTTGTCAAGATCCGCCCAGAGGCCAAGAGCTACTACACGCTGTCGGCCTCGAACGTGCAGTTCAAATTCCCTCCGCCCGGAATCCTTAGCGGTGTCAAGTCACAGACTCGTGCCATCATCCGCATGACTAATGTCTCGTACACCTATCCTAATGCGCCCAAGCCGTCCCTGACAGACGTGTCCTGCCAGCTGTCGCTCTCCTCTCGAGTGGCCATCATCGGCCCCAACGGTGCCGGCAAGTCCACGCTGATCAAGCTCCTGACGGGCGAGGTGATTCCCACGTCCGGCAAGGTCGAGAAGCACCCCAATCTCCGCATCGGTTACATCAAGCAGCATGCGTTGGAACACGTCGAGATGCATCTTGAGAAGACACCCAACCAGTATCTCCAGTGGCGGTATGCCCATGGCGACGACCGGGAGGTGCACATGAAGCAGACGCGGATGCTGTCAGATAAAGACCGGGAGCAGATGGAAAAGTTCATCGATGTCGGTGATGGCAAGGGGAAGCGCCAGGTCGAAGCGCTTGTCGGTCGGCAGAAGTATAAGAAGACCTTCCAATATGAGGTGTAAGTCTCTCCCCTGTTCCAATTCGTTCTTCTCATCTAACGTCACATCAGAAAATGGCGCAATTTCCTCCCTAAACACAACACCATGATCTCGCGCGAGACCCTCCTCGACTTAGGTTTCGCCAAACTCGTCCAAGATTTCGATGACCATGAGGCCTCCCGGGAAGGGCTCGGCTACCGCGAGCTCCAGCCGTCGGTCATTTCCAAGCACTTCGAGGACCTCGGTCTGGACCCAGACATCGCCAACCACAACGAGATTGGCTCCCTCTCCGGCGGCCAGAAAGTCAAGGTCGTCATCGCGGGAGCCATGTGGAACAACCCGCACTTGCTGGTCCTCGACGAACCGACCAACTTCCTCGACCGTGACTCCCTCGGTGGCCTGGCAGTCGCCATCCGCGATTTCAAGGGCGGCGTGGTCATGATCTCGCACAACGAAGAATTCGTCGGCGCGCTCGCCACCGAGCAGTGGCACGTCGTGGACGGACGGGTTACCCACCGCGGCCACTCGGCCGTCGCGCTGGACCGGTTCGAGGATGCGAGCCGGCCTGCGAGCGCGGTGCCCAGCGGTGTGAACAGTCCTGTGCCCAGCTCCAGTGCCGTCAGCAGCGCGGTGAACAGCGGGGCCGAGGATAATGGCGGACCCGCGGTCACAGGGGAGAGCATGAAGTTCAAGGCGAAAAAGAAGAAGAAGATGACGAAGCGCGAGCTGAAGGAACGGGAGGTCAGGCGGAGGTTGAGGCATATCGAGTGGTTGAACAGTCCTAAGGGCACACCGCGGCCGCCGGATACGGATGATGAGGCCGAGTGAGAGAGGAAGTGGATGGCTTCCATCGGGTCGAGAGTATACAGGGGTAATATAGGGCTGTCGGGTGATCTCGCCTTTTCTTTTGTCTTGATGGTGTTTCATGAAGAGCGAGCGAGGGATGAGTGGACCGCTGGGCTATGGCTGGGGTAATGAAGATAGAGTCTAGACGCGATTTGCGGGGTCTTTCTGGGTTGAAAAGTTCAGGATTATAGGGAAAGAGGCGTTTTACACTATAAATCGGGGAATTGCTATTCTGACCGCCGCGTTTGGCCTTTTCTTAGCAAACTGCTCGACATAACTAAGGTAGGCAGCATGGGCATGTCTGCTCCAGGCTCGTGGGACAGAACCACCTTATCCAGGTTCGGGTCTCCAATGAAAAAACCGGTAATTGATTGCCAGTTTCCGTTAGATAGGCTTGAACTCCCAAGTATACATAGTTACATCGGGATGATTAACGATTAACTAGCAATAACGGCAGTGTTGGTCGTTCCTCTGTCATAGTGATGACTTTAGATCATAACTTAGGGGGACGAGATCGGTGGGAGCGTGGCAGGAGGATTTGACAACCGGGCGAGAGTTTGGAAGGTCGCATGCTTTGAAGTGTTTTTAGAAGGAAGGTCTGGACTTCAATATGGTATGTGCTGGGGTCAGTGCATTGTTGTTAACAGGAGGACCGAACTCTGGTTGTTATTGCCATTCCATATTCTTTGGCAGTAGTCACCTCAAACATCCCTGATGCGATGCATTTGGCAAGTGGATCCAGTGGAGTGGGGCAGGTCCTGTACTTAGATTCTTGCTCGGTCAACCGACCTTGCAACCTTCATCATCAATTCATACAATCCATCACCTTCTTGGTTAACCTGTGGTCCCTGCGCTTAAGTCGCTCAATTCTTGTGGTTCATAAGATGTCCGCGGTTCCGAAGCCGCCCTTGACGCCGCCGGCGGCAACATATGGTCTAGGAGCAGCACTGCCCACAGTGCGATTCCGACACCCAGCGTACCCCCGCTCAGCTTCCGACCTTCTCGTGCTCATGGCCACAGACGGCGAAGGTGCACTCGACTTTGACATTGCGATGGTCGCTTGCTGCATTGTTGCTAACATGGGCTGGGATGATGGATACTTGGCACAGAAAGCCTCGGCAGGAAACGATGCTCTTCAACAAGTCGACCGCCCGAACGACGGCTTGTTGAGTGCGGGCGAGTACCTTTTCTGCATAAAGGGACAGGATCCATTCTCATGTATGTCACCTCTTGACTCCCTGCCCCATTTTCCTCGGCCGCAAGTAAAGTCAGCTTTTCCAACTACACCCATTTCGTTGCAGTCAAATACCCCGTCATCCCATCGTTCCATCACTGGCGCTTCCCGCACGGTAACCTTCCTTCACCGTGGAGAAACCTGCAGCTGCCCGAGTTTCCCCTGCCGCGTCCAACTGTGAAAGGGCCTGTGGTAGCAATGGAGCGCGACATTACTTGCCGGGTGTCTGGCTATAAGTCGACCACCCCTCATTCCGCCCACCCCCCATTCCGCCCACTTTGTAAGTCCACACCGCTTTTCCAACCCAACCACTTCAACTTACCATAACTCACTCAATCTCTGGCCAAACGGCCTTTTTTTTTGTATCAAACTGATTGCCAGTTCAAGATGGCTTACTCAGAGCAAGATATACAAGATGCAGTTGAGCAATACCGTCTTGGGCGCCAGTCATTGCGAAGCATCTATAGTGAGTTCGACATCCCACGCTCTACTATTCGCGACCGCCTTCGTAGTACTCAGACCCATTCAACTACGGCCGAACCGCAACAGACACTTAGCCGAGTACAAGAAGATCATCTTACGCGATAGGTCTTAGCCCAGGTCGCTCTAGGTGTCCTACCAACCCATGCGCAGATCCGGGAGTCCGCCAGCCGGGTTCTATAGGCCCAAGGAGCACCCGAAAAGACTATCGGGAAGAGCTGGATCAACCGGTTTATCCGAAGGAACCCGGTCCTCCGTACCTAGCAAGGCTGTAAGATCGACTTAGCCTGTATCAATGGCGCTATTGACTCGGTTATCCGCAGCTGGTTCCTACTCCTGAAAATCCTAGCCATCAAGGATATCTTACCGGTTAACTGCTAGAACTTTAATGAATTCGGCCTTATAGAAGGTCAGGGTATTAACGGCTTGGTAGTTGGAAGTGCCTATATACGTGTAGTACAACGGAAAGTCCCTGGTTCGTGTGTATGGACCTCCTTCTTAGAGTGCGTCTCTATAATAGGGGTATTACTCCCACTAGCTATTATTTTCAAGGGCAAGAGTGTTCAATAGTAGTAGTTTCCTATCGCCAAGGACGAACTAAAGGACTGGCTATTCACTACAACTGAAAAAGGCTGGGTAAATAGGGTGGTTGCGTTAGAATGGCTGTAACGGGTCTTCATCCCCTGGACCCAGCCGCAAGATCCTACCTAGAAGCGTCTATTGATACTGGACGGCCACGATAGCTATATAAGCACTGAGTTTATATAGGAGTGCTTCAGTAACAATATCCAACTACTCTTTTTACTAGCCTATACCTCCTATGTCCTCCAGCCGTTGGATTATCAGTGTTCTCCCCCCTAAAGCACATCTACCGCAAGCTCCTCAACCAGTTAACCAGCTGGTCAGAAACTACGGCATTAGGCAAGCAGTTGATATTGCGGTGCCTCGTCAAGGCTCGCAAGGAGGCAATTACAGCTCATAATATCAAAGCTGGGTGGAAGGCATCCGGGTTATGGCCTCTGAGTATAGCGAAACCACTGATAAGCCCTCTTTTGTTGGAAAATTCGAACCAGGCGCTTGGAAAAGACGATCCACTACTACTACCATAGACCCCGGCATCTAGGCTACCTAGCCAGACTACAACTATGGCTCAGGAGGTCGAATTCCAGACACCACGCAAGAAAGTAGACCTTCGCGGTCACCTAACCAACCTGGCTATCCGGCGGCAAGATCTTTCTATACGACGGCTTTTATTCAGGAAGGTTGAGAAGGCATTTGACGAGAAGGACTTCCAATTGGCTCAATTGCAACAGGAAAACGAGGCTCTGAAGGTTCAGTTAGAGGCAGCCCGGCCGTCGAGAAGAAAGAGGGTGGTCCCGGATCCGAACAAGCAGTTCGCTTCCATTGAACAGGTCCACCGGGCTCAAATTGAGGCTGGCCGTATTGAAGAGTCTGGCATTGAAGAGAGCAGGTCATAAAGCCCCGAATCAGATGCTTCCTGTATTGTGGTGGGTTGAACAGACTGTAATAGATGGTGTTGAAGAAGATGGGTGGTTTAGACGCCAAGACTTACAAAGTGGGCGGAATGGGGGGTGGGCGGAATGAGGGGTGGTCGACTTATGGATGCCATTGAGAAGGCACACCTCGTCCCGGACCGTGAAAGATACTGGTTCGTGGCGAACGAGATGCATAGGTAAGGTTTCATGCTGCGTTTTACTCTCTCTAGAGGGGAGCCGTTACTATGCTTCACTGAGGAAAGCGAGCGAAAGCTGACAATTACTCGCCCGTAGGTACTGCCGGCTACCACAAGAAGTAGCAGCAATCAACGACGATAAAAACATCGTCATCCTCCGCAAGGACCTGCATCACCTGTTCGATGCACGGCGCTTCACCTTTATTCCCAAGAGATTCGGTTCCTCCGAGTCTGCCGAACTTGTCACTCATGTGCTCTTACCATCGGGCTCGGCCGAATTCATAGGTCTGTATCACAACCGCTTACCCCAGCCGATCCGCGGCATCAGTGTCGAGTTCCTGTTCGCACGCTTCGCCTGGTGCTTATTTAGGGATGAACATCTGCAGTTCTTCCTATCGGATTTGGAATATGTGGTTTGCCTATGGGACAAGGCCCGTGACGAGACCCATACCCGAACCTTGCAAGGACCCGATGTCAGGTCTATTGCTCAGGTGTTCCAGCCGCCGCGATCACAGAGCCGGAGTGTCAGCCAAAAGAGGAGGTCGCTTTTGACCCAGGACCAGGACGGGGCCGATGACGGCGATGGCTATTGGTCAGACGACGGAGATAGCACTAGCGATGAGCCCGAACTCAACAGCTTTGACGAGCCACCTAGGGGGCGACGACGGAAGCGTAGCTGGGAGGATCTGGGGCGGGGTAATGGACACTTGCCGAGTTTATCATCCTCGTCTGCGACCCATTCCAGCTTTGCCGGCGGCCCAGTATCGCGGCCTCTAACTCCAAAAGAAGGGAGGGATACTACTGCGTCTCCAGCGCCGGCCAGCGACCATATCGGGAGTGAGAGGCCCCAAAAACGCATTCACACGGAAGGAATGCCGGGAAAGGAACGCCGGGTCAATGATCATGGTACCCTTTAGTTTTTCGGTTTTACTCCAGTCTGATGTATACATTGAGTTTAGCTAGTCCTTTTTTAGCTTAAGTAGTAACTAACGAGGCGTGGGAGAGTTCTGATCATCATACTGCTCAGCGTGTCAGGATGATCGGCCCTGATCTCGCCCTTGCAAGTCCGAGTCTCCATCATCTGCACATCCATCTTCTCGGCCTGCAATAATGCATACCGAGTGCATATTTCAGTTCATCGTGATGTCGTGGCTGTTGGTAGTTCCACTAGAATGTTGGTGGCCGCTTTCATAACCGGCTATGAATGCCAAGGGAGACATTGTCATGAGAACTGTCACTGTTATCCGTGCTGGGTACTACCACATTGAATATTCCGAAGGCAAGCCCTGTCAGATATTGTTCTTATTACCCCGCTACGATTAGAAAACCCGGGAGGGAGTTACAGTAGGGAAGAAACTTGCTTATATATATCCTATTCTACGGTAATGAGACCGTACTTGGCCAGGCCATTAAGGAGTGAGGCGTGCTACGAGAAAAGCTCTTTGTCACTTACAAGATCCTCGGCTCTCTTGACAAAAACATGTAGTCCTTAATCGCTATAACACTATCGAAGCCTGGTCTTAGCTATATGGACATGTACTTCATCTATCTTCCTTACGTAGCCTACATGACCCCTGAGAAACAAATATACCACGAAGCCACCGAGCTTCCGATGATCCCCATGCATCTGCTTTGGAGTACGTCGTTTGAGGACTTTGGATACTGGGTCCCGAAAGGCTGGCAGGGCAGCCGGAGGGCTCAGCAGAAATGGCTCCCGGAGTCCCGGAGCGTTTTGCGGGGCCGAATGCCCTTGCGTAGGTATATGGGCCGGTGTCGAGGGAATTGCTGATTTGGTACAAGTACCATAGTAACCATACCTTGATCAACTGTGTCTGCTCTTGGCAGTTTGCGTGTCCGGTAGTGAGATGCCGTGTAAGGTGAATAGAAACGCCTTCCAAGGTTCCCCTAACGCTGCGGCCCTCGATCTCTGATGTAGTACCTGATACCAGGTACTTGATAAATTAGTTCCTGCCTCACTCATGGATAACCTACCTGGGGTTACACTTTAGCAGGAACGTTTGGGTGTCTGAGGATGTCAGGCCCACCCAATAAAGTTGAAAGTTCAAACTTTAAAGTTTAGATCCAGGTCGGTCCGCCTCAGCCTTACCGGTGTTGCAAGCCCCGGGTTCTCCTCTCTCCAGCCGGCCTACTGTCTTTTCCTCCAGCAGTATACACCTGTCCATCTCTCACACACATATGGCTCGGTGCTCCGTGCCTCGCTCCCGCAACAACAGGAACTCCGAACTCGTAGCTCCACATGTAAGTGAACTTAACCTCAACTCTCCTCGCTGGGTCACTTGAGGTCTCGTCACACAACCAACTAGAATATGAGAAGGAGAGGGGCGACTCAACGTTCCTAAAACAGTCTTGGTTAAGAATATGAATTACATTCGCAACGGTTAGTCTTCTATATCCTATCATAGTTCTCAGTACCTCCACATCCTGGATCCGCGACTCAACCCCTCGTGATTAATATCTGTTCCCGCCTGGCAACTCCCATGCCACCGGATTTACGCCCGTTCCACCAGGCAGCTCTGTGGGTGGCACCCAAGCTTCTGCCACTGCCAATCCAGGCTCAGGGGGCTTGTAATGGTGATGGTACATGTTATACCCATTTATGTACCCCGGCACCGGTGGACCGTCCATCTTAGCTGGCGCTTGTTCCATTCCGGAATTGTTGGTGGTGGTGGTGCCTTGTGTGCGAGCGTTGGCGGCTCTCTTGAGTTTCCGTCGCGACCAAAAGAAGGTCAGACCCGCTGCTGCGAGTCCAAGTACACCGCTGGGAACGGCGACGGCGAGGCCAATGATGAGACCGTTCGATGGTTGGGAGTCTGAGGGTTGAGGAGAAGAACCCGGAGAAGACGAAGACTCGGCGGGTGCAACATTCGCAGTTACTGAGTTCGAGGGATCTGAGGTGGGCTTCGAGTTTGGTGTAGGGGATGGTGTCGTGGAGGAGGATAGTGTGGTCGTCGCCGATGACAGGGAGCTTGTCGTGGTCGTGGTCGTTGTTGTTGATAATTGGGTAGTAGATCTTGCGACACCAATGGTTGTCATGACGGTGGGAGTTCCTGAGCTTGCCCGGTCAGCCATCTTCTCAGCCCCCATATTCGACCATCGACCTTCTCACCTTGGAAGCTCAAGACATTGTCCAGCAAATCGCAGTCAAAGGGCTGACCGTCGTCACAATGATACGTGTCGTCGCTCCGGTTGGGGCACTTTTTGATGCCGATGCCGCCGTCCAGCTTGTGGCCCTTGGCCGGGTCGACACAGAAGCTGGGACACTTGCTACTCCGCCAGTCCTTGTCTGTGCAGCTGCCGCGGACATAGAGCGCCTGGTTTGGCAACTGCTTTTCGAGTCCGCTGGACATACAGATGCCGTTGCTCAGACAGACGTAAGCAGGACCGCAACACGCCGCCTGACCGGCCTCGTCATTGCAGGGGAGATCCTGAGGTGCGACGTCTCCGCTGGGGTAATAACATATCGCCTGGCAGAGAAGCAGATGTGTGAAGAGCGTGAAGAAGGTGGGAGAGAGAGGATTGAACGCCTTCATGGCAATCCAGTAGCCAGGAAACAGTCTGTCTGACTGTCACGAATTGTCTATTCTGACGCTCGAGGAGCAGTTTGGTGTGGCACAACGGAAGACAGCAGCAAGCTAACGTTGCCAGCGCCTGTGCGAGAATTATAGGACCTGAGCCCGAGACTGAATCGGGCGAGAAGGCTGCTTGCGTTGCATCCGCAATCATCGCAGCCGCGCACCAGAGGTTCCGGCCTCCACGGCAGACGTGGTCGCAACACGAATTTAGCCCCCATCGTTCGCCAAATGATACCAATAATCCGTGACCGTGCCCTGACACAATGCAGCTATGGGGTGGGTTTAAGCAGCATGTAAAGTATGTTGGTGATTGTCAAAACCGGTGGCCTGCATGTCAATTTCAAGCTTCGCGATAATTCGTCGGATTGAACCCGTTGGCCATTCGTCAACAACCCCCTGGCGGTTATTTAACGGCAGAGTGCCTCGCCGCGCGCTTACGGGACTCTTCTGTTGATTATCAGGCTACTTTCCCGATTCATTTCGATTGGTCCCAAACTCACAGCATACACAGTATAATCCTACCGTACATACAATACATACCTTAATAAGGTAACCAACAGCAACCCCGGTTCCCGCGACGTCTCAAGTCTTTGTTCTCTCCGCATTGCCGTCTCGGAAAATGCTGCGAGCCCTCCCCGTTCCACTTCACATCGTTCTCCTCAAAATCCCGCAAGAGCCCTGTCGCCCGTTGCGCATGGCCCTCTAAGCGTCTTAGCATCTATGCCCTCTCACCGTGAGATTCAGACGACATCGGTCATCGGCATGATCATGATCGTGGGAGAATAGCAAACCTCAGCCTTTCCCACGCAACCGCTCGAGTCTCCGCTCGCAACAGACACCATGCTACTGATACGGGGACGACTGTACATAGCCGTCACAGCTGCAGCATGCACATTGCTGTGGATCGTCCACTGGCTCCCTGCAATTGCCGGATTTCCCACGATACATGAGGATTGGTGGCCGAGGCGAGGTACGATGGGCGCAGAGACCCCAGGACTGGCGGGCCAAGGAGCTGACACTATGAGACTCAGATACTTACATATGGCGGACGATAGAGCAACACTACCCCTTGACTTCCTTTCGACCATTGCCGACGGGAAGACCAAAGAACTTTCCGGCCGTGCAGGCAAACTTCCCCGCTGAGACAGCAGCGGCCAGAGACATTCGGCTACGGCGGCAAGGCGCCATTAAAGATGCCTTTCTCCGCTGCTGGAGGACGTACAAGGAACACGCTTGGCTGCATGACGAGGTGACACCAATCAGTGCGAAGCCGAGAGACAATTTCGGGGGCTGGGGCGCAACGCTGGTCGACACCCTCGACACGTTGTGGATCATGGATCTCCGGGACGAGTTCAGCGCAGCCGTCGATGCCATTCACAAGAGCATTACCTTCGCCAACACAACCACTACCGACCCGATCAGCACCTTCGAAACCTCGATCCGCTTTCTCGGCGGTCTGCTCTCCGCCTACGACCTCAGCGGAGACCGCCGCCTTCTCTCCAAGGCACGCGATGTTGGAGATATGCTGTACAAGGCGTTCGACACGCCGTCCCGACTGCCCGTCCCCAAATGGGATCTCCATGCCGCAGTGCGAGGAGAGGAACAGTCCGATCCTGCGCAACTACTCCTGGCCGAGCTGGGCTCGCACGCCATGGAGTTCGCCCGTCTCAGTCTGCTGACCAAGGACCCCAAGTATTACGAGACGGTGGCCCGCATCACGGACCTTCTCAGCGAAACGCAGATGAAGACCAAGGTCCCCGGTCTCTGGCCAACCACAGTTGGAATCACCGCGGACACGTTCGATTCAGGAGACGAGTACACCCTCGGTGCTGAGGCCGACAGCACCTTTGAGTACACGGCCAAGATGATCGCACTTCTTGGAGGCCAGCAGCCGGAATACGAAACCATGTACTCCCGCAGCATAGACGCCGCGGCGAGACATCTTTTCTACCGGCCCCTCCTGCCTGGGGGCAACAACGACATCTTGGTGTCAGGGACCGTCCGCGTCGACAGCCATGGCACCCCAAGACTCGAAACATCGGCACAGCACCTGTCCTGCTTCGCAGGCGGCATGCTGGCCCTGGGCGGCCGTCTCACCGCCAACATCACACACGTCGAGCTCGCCAGGAAACTGACGCACGGCTGCATCGCCCTCTACAAGGCCGTCCCGCTCGGGATCATGCCCGAGGCATGCCGCCTCACAGCCTGTCCGGACGACGCCTCGTCGTGCGACTGGGACGAGCACCATCCGCAAACGGGAGCCGAGACCAAGGCAGAGACCATCCAGGCGCGCAACAACCTGCCCCCGGGCTTCACCGACATGCACGCGCGGTACTACATCCTGCGGCCCGAGGCGGTCGAGAGCGTGTTCGTGCTGTACCGCGTGACGGCGGACGCGGCGCTCCCGGACTTGGGGTGGGACATGTGGACGGCCATCGACAAGGCCACGCGCACGGAGCGCGGCACGAACAGCGCCATCCTGGACGTCCATCCCGGCGAGGGGCAGCCGCCGCCGATGAGCGACTCGATGGAGAGCTTTTGGCTGAGCGAGACGCTCAAGTACTTCTATCTGCTCTACTCGGAGCCCGGGGTGGTGAGTTTGGATGAGTGGGTGCTCAACACGGAGGCGCATCCTTTTCGGAGGATGCTGCCGTGAGGGAGACTCTGAGCAGAAAGTGAGAGCGCACGGCGAGCAGACCAGCTCTCTCGCTTCCCACCCTTCGTCGCATTTTGGAAAATATATTTCTCCTTTTGAGGTAGCCTAGACTGCGGGTCTCTCCACTAACAAGCTTCTTTTCGCACTCACAGTGTCCAACCCCCTTGCAGTCCCGTTACAGGCCTGTGGTCAGCTGGGGCTTGGGGAGGCAACCTTGGTTCATCAAGTGGTTGGCTCAATGTGTTTTTGATATAGCCCACGATCGGTTAGCAGATTGCTATCTATGCCCCTCCCGAGCCAGTTGGAAACTCATATGCCGGATGAATGCCCTCACCCCAAGGCAGCTCCGCCGATGGCGCCGACGCTTGTGCCAGTGCATATTGAGATGGCTTGTTGTGATATCCGTCGTGGTATCCAGCCACTGGTCCCTTATTCTTGGGCGGCACTTGCTCCATTCTCCCCCTTCTCCAGCACCATGCCAAGATGGTCGCGGCGATGAGCGCAGCTGCCTCTAATCCCGGTATGGATGCTAATAAGCGCCCACCAAGCGCCAGTGCGGCCCGCTTCACACTATAGTATTCCATACAGTGATCTACCCTACCCAAGCCCTGACGCGAAGGGGGTAAGGGCTCTGAGGGTGATGGTTGACAGGTGGAGAGGAAAAGCATCTGGGCACAGACACTGAGCTGGCTAAGACTAAGCGGTAGTGTGCTTCTTATTATCTGCAGCCGGGATGGAGTGATAATAGTCCGTCTGCGGCTGTACCATAGGAGTGTGGCCGGTATATCTATTTTGATAGGCGACGATGATGCAGATATCGGATGTTGTGACACCTCAAGCTTCGGATGCTGCGTCAAATCGGAAGCCTTCCAAATTCCAACGTTGCTCAGCTCGAAAAGGGGCTAGACCGCCATGCATTTGCTGCCTAACTACTACAGACCCAATCAGATGTGGAACGAATCTTAGCGGGTTGCAAGGGGACATTATAAATGTCTCATTACCTGCAATCCAATCCGACAAGCGAGGGCACCTAGTCGGACACCAAACTGTACAAACAGTGAAGGGACCGAACAGACAGCCACATCGTCTTTGCACGAGAAGCTTTGGAAGAGCCCCACGTGTTGGTTCTGAACAAACCATGGCTACCTGCGCAGAGTTCGAGTTTCAAAAGTGCGGCTTCGAAAGAGGTGTAGTGAAGGCAAATCCAGACATTGCAGGAATTGGCGTAAGTCGAGGACTATACTAGTACCTTAGCACAAAATGGCCCGGCTTGGACTAGTCAACGCGGTCACTAACGATGCCGTCGTCACGAGGTAGATCATCCTCTCATTTCTCGTAACAACTTCCGTCACAGTCCTTGCTGGGTTCTACCGAATCCTCTTCGACTTCATCACTGAATTCTTCCTCACACCATACCAACAGGACATAGTCCGGTTCCCGTCGGGAGACGGCTGGCTGTGGGTCAATCCCGGGTTCTGGGCCAGGGTCGTCGACAGGCTGCTTCTGGCACTGAACGACTCGCAGCTATTCACCGGCACCGCCGTGCAAGTTGCCTCTCTCGTACAGCACTGCGAGATCACCATCTACCATCTACGGATCGTCGCAGAGCTGGCTTTCTTGAGCACGGTGACCCATCTTCTAACCGTGGTGGCGATGAGTGGATATTTCATCGACAATGCCGGATCCAACACCCCTCGAGTGCTGGTCATGTTGTTGAATCTGGGCCTCCTGGGATACACGACCTGGTTTGCCTATCTTTACGAAGCCGCATCGCCCTTCGACGAGTCCCTTCAGCTGGGTTGTTACTACGCGGGTTACCGACCGCCAGTCGTCGCGTCGTTCACAGTCCGCTGGACGTTGCTTTTGCTAGCTGCCGTTCTAGGGCATTTAGTGGTGTTTCTTGCCATGTATTGGAAAGGCTTCCGCACCTGGATTGCCGGCACAAGAGGTGCCGCACTGAGATTCTTCCGGACTGCAATACTGGTTCCCGCTTACACGATATACGGGCTCGTCAGTAGTTCTCGAGTATTACGGCAAACTCAGGCACTGGGAACGCCTCCTGTTGACATAGAGGGTAGCGAGAGGGAATGGGGGTTTGGGCAGATCCTCGCTCTGCTACTCCTGGCACTCATTGTTCTCCCAGGGTGGGATTCTTTCATGGAGTAAGTGCAATAACCCCTCCTCCCTTTGCATCCCTGTAGTAATCATCTCCTCAGGACAAGCGCGGGCTTAATGGAGGCACAGAGAGAACGCGAGGCACAGGGAAAGGCTTGACGGGTTTGATTCACACCAAGTTCTCGCATGTTGAGAAGCAGAAAGAAGGTTCCTAGCTGGGTATTAGCATACCCTACTGACCCATGGGAATGCTATATACACTCCTAGACTTTCAGATCTCGAAGGGGGCCTTTTCCCTTTTTTCCACCGTCAAGGAGATCGTCTCGATTCTCGGGAAACAGGCAAACCACACTTCAGGCTAGTGAACCATGTATTCAAAAGCCTTATCCAAGTATTTCCAAGTATCAATCTACCAGTAAAAACTCTTCCAAGCCCATGGGGTCCAGCTGCTCGAAAAGCCCGCTCGGCTCACCGACCTGCAATACGGACACGCCAGCAGCACTACTAGTAGGGAGTCCCATAGCCCACGACGAGTTATCGTAACCACCAGAAGCATCACCAACAAACCCACTGCCAGTGCTCCCTCCCCCTCCTCCTCCTCCCCCTCCCAACATAATTCCCTCTCTACCACCACCACCACCACTCGTACCGCCACTCACGGAGCTTATAGCAGGACAGAACAACATGGGCTCTCTACAAGCTACAATCCCCTTCTCACCGCCCATATTCCAGTTTCCCGTCGGCAGACCAGGCTCATCACGCATCATCATCATCATCATCATCAACCTCAACCGGTCCATCCACGCAGACCCCATCCCAGCCCGGAGCAGATCCCCGGCCAACTGCAGCGCATTAGCCCGGACCAGGGGACTCTCTTTACTCGCAAAAAGGACAAGCGTGTCGGCTAGGTATACTAGATTCGCCTCGCTGCTTTGCTTTCGACTATTTTGAGTTTGCCCGTGAGGAGCAGAGGACAAGCAGTCGGACAGAAACACAGACGCAGCCATGTAGGCGGCAAAGGGGAGTAAAGGGTTGCGAATGGCCGTGCCCAGGAAATTGGCTGCCTGCGCCGCGCGGAAGACGGATACTACGGTTTCTGCGGCGGGCAGAAGGCGGGCCTCTTTCCACTCCTTCCACGCCGCGGACGATTTTTCTTGATGTTGTTGTTGTTGGTTATTAGGGGCCTTAATAAAAGAAGAACGGCCCAGGTGGAGGACGGCCATGCTGACGCATATGCGCACGGTGATGGCGTCGAGGCTGCGTGGGTTGGCCGAGGGGTTCATCTGCGGTTCCGGGAGGAAGAAGGTTAGTGCAGTCAGGTTGCTGTCGATTTCGCGGTGCCGGCGCCAGTAGGGGCTGTCAGTGTTTGTGTCTAGGTCTCCGGCGTCTTGTGGGTTGGGGGAGTTTGCGGTGTGATCCAGCGCGTGCAGGAGTTCGTTGGCGGCGAGGAGGCGGAGGGCAAAGGGGGACAACTCGTTTCCTCGGACCTGTTCCAGTCGCTGGATGCCAGATGATAGTGGCGTTGGGTGGGGGTTTTCGGTGCCGGCGGCGAAGGCATCTTCGGTGGTGGGGAGGTTGGTGCGGAGGTGTCGCTCGTCGATGAGGGACGGCCAGCCTGTAGTGGATGAGAGAAAGCGGTCGGCCATGAAGGCGACCCACCACGTTCGACGCCGCTCCTCGGCCTCGATGGCGTCCCTCGGCGGAGGCAGGCTCGGAGACGGGTCGGGTTGTGGGCTGTCGAGCTGGTGCAGCTTGAGCATCTGGGCAATGCGGACGGCGCGGCAGTGGCTGGTAGATGCCCGGGTGAAGACGGCATAGACATGGCATTCGTAGGCCGAGATGAGCAACCAGGCCTGCACGTGGGCTACCGTGGTGTAGACCTCGCCTTGGCCTTTCAGCTCGTCTGCCTCGGCATAAACCCGTGCGCGCTGGTAAAAAGGTTCAGAAAGGTGGCGGTATGTGGGCGACACTGCTGCCGCGGATGCCATCACGACGTACTGAAGACACATGGGCGGGCGCATGTGCGGAGGAAGCCGCAGGGACGCCGTGTAGCGCGCCTGGTGAAGCATGGGAGCCCCTGGGTGGATGGTTTGGAAGTAGAGGGCCGTGAGCGCATCCATGACCTCGAACGAGGGAGACTGCTCGAACAAGCCCAGATCGAATAGTTGGCCGCTTGCCGGCCCCGGATTCATCGAGGGGGTTGGTTCGGCGAATGACTGCTCCTGCCCTGTTGCACGTGTGGTCGTCCCGAGATTGGCGGCCCGGAGGCGTGCCTCAAGCTCCTCTATGCGCTCCTCGAGATCCCGCACCGTCTTGCGGGCACCGAGGCCCCGCTGCCGGGCTTCGGGATATGTGCAGCCGTCGTTCCGTTCGACACAGCGGTCACACCTAGGCCGCGTGCGATCGCACTTTAGCTTGCGGCTGCGGCACTGAGCGCATGACAGGGCCGAGAGGCTTGAGAGTTGGCCCTTTTGGCCCTTCCGTGTACCCCCGCGTGGATGCTCTTCTGCTTGGGGAGGCACCGGCTGCTGCCGCGGGGGGATTGGGCGGGCTTCCATTCTGCATCCGCATGAAATGGAACTTTGATAAATTCCGGAAGGAGCGTGTGGTTTTTGCCTGCAGCAGGAGGAAGCTGGGCCAAGAATGTTGACGCTACACAAACCGCCAGAGCCAATCACCGGCCGTTCGGAGTCCGAAGCGGGGGGAGAAGCCGGCAGCCCCGGGGCGAATAAATCGACTGTTCAGGCGCTACTATTTCGATTGATTGAGATTAGCCGCTACAAACCGGGCCGTGGGCTGCCAGACCTAAAAGACTGATTGGCTTGATGCATAGCGGGTAGGATTTCAATATCGTTAGACACATTGAAAATATCTATTAATCTTGTCGATTGATCGGCGCCGGCAGCACCCAGTCGGTGCCGCCGCCGTCCGCACGGATGCGGAATATGTAAGCGAGGCCTTCATAAGCTCGAGCTGAGCTCATAATAGAAAGGCGTCGACGCACCTCGGATCTTTAGCCTGGCACAAGGAGCTCATTGTAGAAAAGCGTCGACGTACGTCGGACTCTGTCTGCTTTGTCATGTCTTGCAGGCGGCTTGATTGGAAATACCAGCACGAAGAGAACCGTCCAGTTCTATCCAAAGTGCGGGCGAGAAGGTCTCAATGGGAAGATAGAAGTGGAGATGGGTATAAGACAGCCTGCCCTCCCGCCTCCTTCACTCCCCCAGCTCCTACATCCAGACACCACATCATCGTTCACATCATACACCGTTACACCTGCCAAAAAAGCACCTTCTATCCATAATTGAACCATACCAAACATCCCAACCAACATGACCAAACTCCTCACAGTATTCGGCGCCACCGGCGTCCAAGGCGGCTCCGTCATCCGCGCCGTGCTCGCCGACTCGACCCTGTCCAAGACATTCAAGATCCGCGCCGTCACCCGCGACGTCTCCAAGCCCGCCGCTCAGGCCCTTGCACAGCAGGGCATCGAGGTCACGGCCGCCGACATGGGCTCCCGGTCCTCGGTCGACGCCGCCGTTCAGGGCACGCACACGCTCTTCCTGGTTACGCTGCCCGACATGATGACGGGCGCGCCCGCGGGCACCGAGACCGCGCAAGGCAAGACGGTGGCCGACGCCGCCAAGGCCGCGGGCGTGCAGCACCTGATCTTCTCGTCGCTCATCGACGTCACCAAGGCCTCGGGCGGCAAGCTCCCGCACGTGCACCACTTCGACAGCAAGGCCCGCGTCGAGGACTACATCCGCGCCCAGGGCATCCCCGCCACCTTCCTCCAGCCGGGCTACTACATGACCAACTTCACCAACCTGGGCCTGCTCCGCAAGGGTGACGACGGCTCCTACACGCTTGCCGGCCCGACGGGTGCCACCAAGGCCCAGCTGCCGCTGATCTTCACCGAGGACGATATGGGTTAGTCTTTCCTTATTCTTCTCTGTTGACCCTTCCCCCTCCTTCCCTATTAGTTCTGAACTAACCCCCCCCCCCCAATTCCCATGCCATTAGGAAAATACTTCATCGCCATAGCCAAGCAGCCCCTCTCCAAGATACTCAACAAAACCATCCCCGCCGCAGCCGACTACTACACGCCGCAGCGCATCATGGACGAGTTCACGGCCGTGACAGGCCACAGGGGCCAGTACGTGCAGCTGGACCACGGCGTGTACAAGGGCTTCCTGCCGCCGCCGATCGCGCAGGAGATCCTGGAGAATGAGCTGCTGTGCGAGCACCCGGGCTTCTTCGCGGGCGCGTCGCTGACCGATGGCCACGAGCTGCTCGCCGAGGTGGGACTGAAGGTGACTACCTGGAAGGAGTATCTTGAGGCGAGGAAGGGGCAGTTTGAGTGAGAGTAAAAAATCAAGTTGGATACTGAGGGAGGGATGAGAAAGAGAGATTGGGAATCTTGTGCTTACCCTAGAAGAGGTTCTGGTTCTCTAGGAAGGAAGTGGCTAAATACACAATGTTCTGTTGACTACTTACCTACTCGGTTTACAGCCTGTGGGAAATACATAGCGACATACACACGATATCATGATGAATAAGGCTCAGTGGAGGAGGAAAGGACCCCTACACTCAGGAGTTGGATCGGTTGGTAAGGCAGTAATGCAGTCAACTGAGGATTTGCGATACATGTATCTGAGTATCCTCTGCGTCAAAGTGAAGAAATGGACAACGGTCACAGGTTAACAGCTGAACCCCCTCAGAATCCATCTTGTTTTGCGATCACGGGGTTCTAACAAGCCAAGTTAGAAGTGTCAAGCGTCTTCTAGATTTCTCCCAGCTAACATGCCCTCGACGCTGACTCGACCCTATTTCCCCCGTTTGTCTCGTTGCGTATTCGTCTAGGTAGACGGCCTCCGCCCATGCTATCAGTTCATCTGCGAGGTCATGGAGCTCATCACTGATGATCCTTGAGAGCGTGTTGATAAGTTTGCGGAAGCGTCCAAAACAAACGGACCAGCGATCATTGGTGAGCGCTGTGCGTAGGGAGGTGTAGTTTGTCAGCGCATATTTGGTCCATTCTGGAACATCGTCTTGGCCTCAGCCTATCCACACCGCCTGGACTTCTCACTCTCCCTTCTCCGACTCCTCCGATTCCTCCTCCGCATGCAGATCCACCAGGTGATCTTCGAGTGCCGGAACGCTGTCCTTGAACCGTTCATGTACGGCAGGCTTATCCTCGTCATCATCCATCGAATCAGAGTCCATATCCATATCGTGTTCTTGACCGCATCACCTGCATCCGCATCCTCTGGGATGTTCTCTGGATCGCTAGCCAGTTCTGGCTTCTCGTAATAGATAAAGGTAGCTACCTTTACGAGTGCGAGGTATTTTATCGAAGTGGGCTCGGGACTTCTTATTGTCGTTAATACTAAACCGGACGATGTGACAAATCTCGGAATTTCCTATGCCAAGGACGACGCGGCGACGATTATCGAGAATTGCTCGCTCTGTTTCTTAGCTTTGGCTCTTACCAGATGGTCGACTTTCTGTTTGTCTGTCGCCTCAACTTTCAGCGACTTCTTCGACTTCATCGGCTGCACCTTCTCCGCCATCCACGATCGTTATCTTGCCATTCCTCTACCGTATACCGGGAACCCAGCTGCTGTGGTAGCGTTTTCCCGGATCAGCCCGATGCTTTGACTCAGTGATCTCCCAGCCCTTGTGCCGATACACGGCCCATGCAAGTGCTGGTGCTGGTGATGGTGCTGGTGGCGGTGGTGATGATGGTGCTGCTGCTGTTTCTGGTGCTGGTGCTGGTGCTGCTGGTGCTGCTGGTGCTGCTGCTGTTTCTGGTGCTGGTGCTGGTGCTGCTGGTGCTGCTGGTGCTGCTGCTGTAGCTCGTGCTTTTCCTGCTGCTGCTGTCCGGCCCAGCGGCGCCACCTGAGCCGGAGAAATATAAAGAGGCAATGAGACCCGATGTCTCAGGGTTCACGATGTTAACGCGCCAAATGGCGCGAACCCCCTTCATGCTTGTCCCGTATCGGTCCGTAACTACTAGTAATAGCCGGTTATTGTTAGCAATATCTCGTTCCTCTTAGGAGCACTAAGGGACAAGGGACCAAGGGTTATGTAGGGATATAGTAGCCTGTTGGTAACATACCCTCGTCGCAGGAGCCCGCCATTATATCCGACCACCACATTCTTTCGGGCCGACCCCGGAGCTCGTCCCACTCTAGGAAATTCGAGGTATAAATGACGACCTCTCCGTGGGCGTGGATATAGTTCTCGTACGCCGCCGCGTCGAAGTCGGTAAAGGGGGCGTTACCAACCCGGACAAGGGCATAGTCCGAGATGGGGTGGCCAAGGGCGTCCTATTGTGATCAGACATTAGTTTACCACCTCCGCAGCCCACGAGGAGGGTGAAGAGTCTGACTCCCCAGTCCACGATGGTTTGGTAGGGCACTTGGGCCCAATTGGCGATCATGTCTAAAACCGCGATGGGGTCGACGTTGATACGTTCTGGGTTGATGTACTCAAGGCGTGTCTGTCGGATAAGCTTATTCCCAGCCGTGGGGCTTGTTGTGACCGGCCTTAGTCGAAGCAACATAAGGTGCTCCACGAGTCCACGATCGCATGGAGCATCGCGGGCGCATCCGACTCGGCGTGCACGACTCTCGAGATGCCTTCGAAGGAAATCCCCATTGCTCTCACAATCGTCCACAAACTGGCGGACAAGGGTAGTGCTTTCCCGAAGATGCCTGGATTGCTTTGCACGGTCGGTTTTGTTCTTAGAGTCCAGGCCATTGTCGATACATGCCTGCGTTATAGCCTGGGAGGAGAAGCGGGTTGAGCGATATGAAGAGCCATCGGAAGTATGCTGCAACTCAGACCTCGCCTGGCGAATTGGCCCTTGGCGCACGCGGAGGGCTTCACGTATCCTCGCGTGCCGGCCCAATATACTTCTTTGTGACACCACCTGCCGCACTCTGGTGACTATGGCCCAAGCCTGCTTGTGCAACTACTTCAGCACCGCCTTCCAGAAGACGTCCGTGGCGGGCAAGCTCGGCCGCTGCGCCGCGCCGAATGTCGTGTGGGATAGCCATCAGGACCAGTACTATAGTAAAGTCAGCATTAATATCCATCTGCAAAACACATGCTAACTTACCCAGGGTCCCTGGCATAGACCTTATGGTATCCCGATGGGCGATGCTCACCTAGCGCCATTTCGTACTCTTCGATAATAGTTTGCTCAATGCGCGCGGCAAGGTTGTGGGAGGCTGGGAGTCGAGGGACCAAGGGATGCCTCGGCTAGACTTGCAATGTGAAACATTGTCAAGTCCGAGCTGCCTTCTGAGTGATGCAAATCTGAGAAGCGGACGGTGGATGGGGATCATGAGAAGCCGCCTCCAAAACGATATGGTTTTGAAGAAGGGTTGGTGATGAGAGGTCATTGAGTCAGCTTGAGCGCCAGAGTCGAGTAGTGCCCGTTTAGGCTGGACCACCATTTCTTTAAAATTAGCCGATCGTTTTCGGCGATTTCTGGTTTAATTGACGGAGAAGCTCCGGAAGCTTCAGAGTGAGGTGTGGTGATGCTACCGGTCTATAGCTACTTGACCTGGACCTGGTATTGGTTAGCAGATAAACTCAAGGATAAGGTAGGCGTAACGTACCGAATGAAGATCTCATCATATGCCACAAGATGTCCCTTAATTTGCCCTGCAAATTCCGAGGATCGTAAAACCTGCATACGTATGAGCTCACGAATCGTATCCGCGAGCACAACAAAGTCGACGCAATCACCGATCATTCCGGAGGCAACTAGTTTTGCGTTAGCGAAACGCTTGCGGGTCGCCCATGAATCACTTACCACGAAACAAGTCTTCTTACGAGTGTCCGAAGAACACTCGAAGAAACGACTCGAGCCCGGGTTGTCGAAACGACAATGACTCGATTACACCAAGGCTCGTCAAGGATGCGCTGTAGCGCGCTGGTCTGCACCATTTTGTTTGTCTTAAAAGGGTCATACTCGGTGCCCGCGAGGTCCTCGTAGGCACCACGGGTCGTCCTTTCTTACCTTCAGGCTTTTCCACCTCCTTGGCGACGCGCTCGGGCTCTGCATCAGCCTCAGAACCGTTGTCAAACTCAGACTCATGGTCGGTAAGGTCATCGTCATGGAGAGCGAGGTCCGGACTGTCAACACGGGCGTCATTTCCCATGTTCGCGTCGGTGGAAAGTCTTTGGCCGACGCGACCGATTTGGCGTCGGGGCTCTCTGAGATGGCGCGCGTCTTAGAAGGCGTGAGTGGCATGGGTGCGCTGGCCTGGATTGGCACGAATTGGTTCGTGTCAAATTGCCTCATTCGGGGTCGCTCGGGTGCCATGGCTTGGGCGCGTGGGACCGAGGAAAATTTTCACAACGGCCTTGTCAACGGTCTTCAAAGCAGCTGTAGTGCTGTACGTCGGAACTGCCGCTTGGCCGATGCGGCAAAGTTTGTTTGTAGCGATGGAAGTCGGTAGGGGCCAGCAGGCTCTCTCAGTCTCCGTCGTTGGCAATCTGCGCTGATTATTGTGACGACATGGGCTGTCCACTCGGTGCTGTGACCAGCTTTAGTATTTTAATTGAACTAGAGGCAATCCCTGACGGAAGGAGATAATTCTTCGGTGGTATGGTGGGTAAAGTTGGCATCAACTAACGTCTGGAAGATGAGAGAAGTTTGGATAAGCAGAGCAGGCGGAAATTTGGAAGCAACGGGGGAGTGGCCTTAGGATGCCACTCACTTGACATGGGCCCGGGGGCAGCTGCCATGGAAATCAACCAGGTACCTAGGTAGCTACCGTACCTAAGCAAGAGCGAGGCGAGGGGCTCCTCCTGCCCTTGAAGTCAGGTCAACCCATCATGACTCAGAGGTTCGCAATTTCCTAATGAGGAGATAAGGGAAGTGACTCCTAACCACACTTAACACTTGAACTTGAAGGCACGATCTTGAGTGTCTGTAAGCGACCTTGAGCAAATTGACGCCACTGTCCAATTGCCCTATGGCAGTGAATCACCGGGTCATCTTAGCGAGATATCAAGAAGTTGTCCTAAGGACTACGACAGGATGACAGGTATCGCGGTGGACATTCAAGGAATGTAATGTACTACAGCACATAACGTATTTTATAAGCGAGCTGCGCATATAAGCGAGCTGCGCGATCCCCACCACAACGCGTCCTCTTTACACTTAACATCGAATTTTCCCACAACCTATATGCCCCCTACTTCAAAGGATACAAGGGTAATCTTGGCCCTTAAAGCTATCCAAAATGACGAAAAGTTAAGCCTTCGAGCCGCAGCCAAGCTATACAATATATGTGACGGTGGAACCCACCGTACCATGGCACAGGCCATTGATTGGTCAACCTGGTTGGTGCCCCACATTCCACATCTGGGCACATGCTCCACATCCTGTATTTAGACTTCTTCGCACCTTGCAGTCTTCGAGGATTCCTTTCCTCCTGCAAGTTCAATATTCTTGCAATGCAGTCAGTTTACCACCAGAGGCTTGACCCTGGCCTTGAACGACGGCCCTCGTGACAATATTGAACTTCCTTTGGATTGCGTACCTAGCCAGGCAATTCATCGTAACGGCTACGACCTTCCGAACCGACCCGTGCCTAGTCGACCGAGCACGTAGTACATCGTCTTAGCGGAGGCCTGACCACGTATTCGAACAACTACGGAGCCTGCACCTAGAGCCCCCCGTCGGCACCCGGAATTTTTTCACCTTATTCATCACTTCGGGCCTTCCTTCCCTGGCACTAAAGGGTTACGGTGGTAATTGGAAGTGCCATTTCTTCAAGGGTCTTCGGTATTCATTGCAAGCGCGGCAGTTTCCGACCTTCTTTCCCTGCATATGGGTTGTGTGGTAATTAGAAGTGTGTGGACCGACCGGCTGAATCCCGAATTGCAAGAGCCCTCTTTTTCTCGCACCTGCATTCAACAACGAACACGAACAACAACCGACCTGCAAGATGGACCCCCTTCAGCACATGCAGCAGGTTATTCAGAACCACGAAGCCCAGATTCAAGCCTTGACAAAGGAGCTTACCGACTTGAGGACCAAGTCGGCCCGCAAGCCCAAGCCGAGCCTCCCCGACCCCGACAAATTCTCTGGCACCTACCATTGGGATACCTGGTTTCCGGCTATTCAAGCCAAGCTCCGTATCGACGGTCAAGCTATAGGAGCTCCGGAAGCCCAGTTTTTCTATGTGTACGGTCGTCTTGATAGCAAGGTTCAGGCGCTCGTTACACCGCAGTTGGCCGTTGCCGAAGACACGAAGCAGTACGACCCCCAGAACCTGCTCAATCAACTAGCCCGTTTGTTCGATGACCCCAATAAGGTGCGCGATGCCGAAGACAAACTACAAGCCTTAAAACAAGCCGACGACGATTCGCTTCCGGTTTTCCTGGCCCGGTTCGAACGGCTACTTTACGCGGCTAAGGCGAACACATGGCCCGACAATACCAAGATCGCTATGCTTCGTCGTGGCTTGAACAAATCAGCCCGCTCCCGGCTCGATGCCCAGGTCATCGTACCCGACGATTACAACGGCTTTGTCGCAATGCTCCAGAAGCTCAACACACGTTACCACGGTTCCGGTAACCCCAAGCCCTTCAATGCCAATCACAACAAGGGTGAACCGATGGATTTGAACACGGTGGACATTGCAGCTATGGATATGCCGAGGTATGGTATGGTCCCTGAGCCCCGGTCGATGAAGAAGGCTCTGGAGGAGGACTCTGGCGATGACAACGGCGATTTGTACGATTGATTAGTATGTGTGGATGATGTACTTGGTGGATTCGGCTGTATTGGAAGACTCGAGGCGAGTCTTCTGTTCCGGGGGGGGTTGTGACGGTGGAACCCACCGTACCATGGCACAGGCCATTGATTGGTCAACCTGGTTGGTGCCCCACATTCCACATCTGGGCACATGCTCCACATCCTGTATTTAGACTTCTTCGCACCTTGCAGTCTTCGAGGATTCCTTTCCTCCTGCAAGTTCAATATTCTTGCAATGCAGTCAGTTTACCACCAGAGGCTTGACCCTGGCCTTGAACGACGGCCCTCGTGACAATATACCGGAATCAACCCTCCGTTCCCGATGCGCTAATACCCCTGCACGACGCGACACTACGCCTAACTCGCGCCGGCTCATGGACTCCGAAGAGAAGGCTCTTATTCAATATATAATTGAGCTAGTTGCACAAGCCTTTCCACCAAGACTACATGGTATTGAAGATATAGCCAACCAACTGCTACGCGTATATAATGCGCCCTCTGTTGGTAAGCTCTAGGCATATAACTTTGTCAAACGCCAGCCAGAGCTCCGGACGCGTTAGATATATCAGTACGACTACTAGAGGGCTAAGTATAAGGATCCAAAGGCCATTGGCGAATAGTTTGCGCTTATATAGAACACTAAGGCCAAGTATAGTATTATAGACGATGATATCTACAACTTCGATAAAACTAGGTTTATAATAGGCATTATCTTCGCAGGCATAGTTATTACGACCTTAGATAGCTATAGCAAGGTAAAGATAGCCTAGCCTAGCAACTGCAAATAGGCAACGGTAATCTAGAGCGTCAATGCCCTCGGCTGGGCCATCCCTCCGTTCATTATCTTAGCCGCATAGTACCACCTCGCCAACTAGTATACCAAGTACAACCTTCTAGCCGACTAGCATATTGCAACTACCGACAATGGCTGGACTACTAACGTAGTAGGCCTAGATTGGATCAAGCACTTCAACTTCTATATAGCGCCTCGTATAAAAGGCAAATACCGGTTGTTGATCCTCGACAGCCACGAGAGCCATCACTCGACCAAATTCGAGCTCTATTGCCAAGAGAACAACATCATCACGCTCTGCATGCCTCCATATTCCTCCTACCTCCTCCAGCCACTCGATGTTGGCTGCTTTAGGCCGTTGAAGCAGGCGTACGGCCGCCAGGTTGAAGACTTGATACGCACGCATATCAACCACATAAGCAAGCTCGAGTTCCTTTGCGCCTTTCGCGAGGCCTTCTTTGCCTCCATCACCAAGAGGAATATCCAAGGCAGCTTCGCAGGGTCTGGCCTTATGCCGTATAATCCAGAGAAGGTGCTTTCCAAGCTAGATATCCAGCTTCGTACACAAACACCCCCGACCTCACGGCCTAGCACTATATAACCTTAGGTCTTCCAGACACCATACAACCCCCATAAAGCCGAGTCGCAGTCAACGCTTATCAAGACTCGCATTACCAACCATCAAAATAGCTCCCCAACCTCGATGTTGGCTGCTATAGACCAGCTTACTAAGGGTACAATAGTGTCACGAATTAAGCCAACAGGACAGCTGCAGGTGGGACAACCCGACGGGTGGCGCAGGGCGCACCCGAACCAATCATTTAGGACCAATAAGAAGGAGCTCTAGGGTGCTCTAGAGAGCAGACAGAGAGCCTAGGGAGCTAACGTCACCTGCATGGATCCGGGCTGTGTATGGATCCGGGCCAGGGTCCTGGCCTGAATTCATTTCGACTGTCAGCCACAATGAACATCACGAACAACTTCATCAAACACGCTGTTTGACCGCATTTTCCAACGAATCCATGGTTTGACCTGTTTTTTGAACTCCTCTGACAATAGCTAACCTTTTCCACATACCAGTCAACCTACGGCATCACCAACGCAGTCAGCATACCACATCACCACTGCAATCGACGCAGTCAACCGACTGCATGGTACGTACTCAACCGACCGCATCATATGCAGTCAACTAACCGTATCATGAACGCAGTCAACGCAGTCAGCCAACCGCATCAACCATGGCGCCCAGTCAATCCAAACCCAAACCTCCCAAGCCCACACTCAAGAAGCCACCACGCAAGCGTACCAACAGCCAGGAAGAACGCATCCAGTCTGCTATTGAAGCCCTGCGAGCCGGGGAGGTCCCCAGCGTTCGAAACGCGGCCCACATCTTTGACATACCACGAACCACCCTCCAGGAACGGTATACCGGTCGACGGCAGAACCACCGGGCCGCAGCCCAGCACTTGCAGCGGTTGACACCACAGGAGGAACAATCCATTGTTAATTCCATTTACCAGTTGGATGCCTGGGGCTGGCCAATGTCAATCTCGGCACTAGAACATCTTGCAGCCCAGTTGTTGCTGGCTAAGGGAGACATCAAGCCTTTGGGTGAACGGTGGATCTACAACTTCCTGAACCGGCACCCGGAATTGAAAGCTCGAAGGTCCCGGGCATTGGACCAAGCTAGGAAGGACGCTGTCGATCACAACACATTACAACATTGGTTCGAGCTATATCAAACTATCAAGTTGGCTTATAACATCGCTGACGACGACACCTACAATATGGATGAAAAGGGGTGCATAAAAGGCATTGGGGACAACCACAAAGTCATTGTTCCGAGGGATTCATTAGAGCCGACCGTCGTTCAACCCGGTAACCGCGAATGGGTCTCTATTATCGAATGCATCTCGGCCAACAATTACGTCCTTCCACCCTTCGTCATCTTCCAGGGCAAACGCATTCAACAAGCGTGGATTCCCAAGGACCTCGACCCCCAGTTTGTTATCCGGGTTAGTGAGAACGGCTGGACCGATTGCAACATTGCTCTAGAATGGATCCGACACTTCGACAAGTATACGGCACCCCGAACACATGGTAAATACCGGCTCCTCATTCTTGACGGCCATGCAAGCCATGTTTCACCCCAGTTCGTGGAATACTGCGAGGAGCACAACATCATACCACTTTGCTTACCACCACACTCGACACATGAATTGCAACCTCTTGATGTCGGGGTCTTCGGGCCGTTGGCTAAGGCTTACCGTAAGTTAGTTACTGAAGGGGCATTGTTCGGAGCTGTCAAGGTAGATAACCACCAGTTCCTCCGGTATTATGAGAAGGCCCGGGCTTGCATTTTCCGGAACATTCCGGAGGCATGGAGAGGAGCTGGGTTACTACCTTACAACCCAGAGAAGGTCCTAGCCCGGCATAGGCCAGCCGAGGCACCTATAACGGCACTGGCACTGGCACCGGCACCTACATCGGCACCCGCAACGGCACCCGCAACGGCACCCGCAACGGCACCCACAACAGCACCCGCAACGGCACCCAGACCCAGGACCTCTGACCGGCCGAAGACCCCAGCGATGGTCAGTATTACTGATCAACAGGGCCGTCGAGCCGAGCTCCCGGTGACTGGCGACATGGCTACAAAGATCAACCAGGTTGTGGAGGAACTGTTCCAGATTTGTGATACCCCCAAGAGAGCCAGGCTGTCCTGGATGAAAGACTACTTCCTAACTATGCAAGCTGACAATACCACACTCAGGGCCCTGACCCAGGAAGTAGTGAAAAAGAGGTTCGAGAGCCGGAAAAAGTCCTCGAGGAAGCACTTTGGTGAGGCCCGGGTACTGACTGTGGAAGACATCCGGGCTCGCATAAGTGAAAGGGAGGCTAAGGAAGCCGTGGAAACCAGGGAAAAGGAACGTCGTATAGCATTAAGAGGGGTAGTGGGCTTTGCGAAGAGTGTTTGGAAGGACTACAAAATGGGCCCAGATGTGTTCAAGTAGGTGGGTTTGCATGTGTTTTCCAGACCCCCATTGTTTTCTGGCCATGGCACTGTCGTCTGCTTGTGAATAGCTTCAATTTTGACCCAGCTGTGATCATGTTGGTGATGGTGGGCATGGTGTTATGGTGCCCCTAAATTAGCCGAAATTGCCTGGCCCGGATCCATGCACGGCCCGGATCTATGTAGGTGACGTTAAGCCAATCAACGCGAGGGAATGGAAGCTCTCGATGGAGTCAACAGAGCACCGAGCTCTAGGGAGCTCTATAGAGCACATGAGAGCACCCAAAGATAGCCAGTATATAGTCACTCGTTCTGGAGAACTCTGGAAGTTCTCCAGTGAGCAATTCAAGCAATAGCCTTTATCTATTGTGCAGACATTGCAGCCAGCATTGTTATGAACCCTTTGGCTTCACCGAGACCTACAGTCCGACCAGCAGTTACCTTCGACCGGCGAACCCTTTCAGAGGCAGGACTGCCTGTGGTTTCGTCACAAATAGCTATAATACACCAGGTGGCCCTCCTTCAGGCAGAGGTCTCTTCGCTACGTAAGGCCAAGGAGGCACTAAGCAAGCGCCGGAGAGCCAAAAAAACACGTATACAGCTTGGGGGATCGCTTGCAGTACAAGATGCAAAGGATCAACTAGACCAGAAGGCTATGGTTGGGGAGGTGGCTCAAGAAAAGGAGCAGGATGGTGGTAGTACAGGGGGGGCGCGTACGAGGGTTCGGTGCTGTGGTGTGTGCGGTAAGCCTGGCCATAATGCCCGCACTTGCCAAGAGGCTGTAGAATCGTCTGATTCAGCTGCTTCTGATGTAATTATAGTCAGTTCTTAGTGTTGTTGTCTTGCAATGAAGGATAGTTGTTGTAGGGGAGTGGAGAGTGCGCAGCTCGCTTATATGCGCAGCTCGCTTATAAAATACGTTACGTCACATCTTCGAATCACATTGCACTGACGCTTCCGTATCTGAGCGGAGAAGGGTACGGGCCGCACAGCCAACATGGTACCATACTACCATCTCGCGATGAGCCCCAACCATAGATTAGGTAGACGAGCTTCCCATTTCCGGACCTCTGGGCATTAGGCAACTAGAGACAGCACGCTGTGTGCCTTGCACTGCTCTTAACATCTTGAATCCTCACCTTTGAAGTACCTTATCACTCTCCAATCCGCCAGCTAACATAGGTGTAGCGAGTTCCTGCTTGTCAATTGGGGCCACTGAGCCTAGACGGACGCGGTATCCGTAGGACGGAGTGATACGCTGGATACTACCTTAGCTGAGACCCGTGGGGTCCAAAACCACAAAAACGCCGAACGATGCATGATCCCCGCACCTCCAAGTCTGGGCTGTCCAGTAAGCCGGCGGCTTACGTGGAGGGTATACGCTAGACGGTGGAGCTGATGGCTTTGGGTGGGTGTGTTGAAACGCCGTAGCGTACGTCCTCGTTCCTCAACCCTCTTATAGTCGACTCGGTGTATTTCTCCTCACTTCCTCCTCTTGCTCCCCGAACGCATCAACCCCGAATCCCACACCCACATCCATGACCAGCCAGTGGCCAGCAACCATGGCGGACCAAACAATCGAAACGGCCTACGACGCCGCCCTAGCCTCCGGCGCGATCCGCGGCGCCGTCATCTGCGCATCTAACACCACCGGCGACTTCACCTACAACCTCGCCCTCGGCTCGCGCACCCTCCTCTCAGGCGAGACGCGCCCCCAGCAGCTGGACGACATCCTCTACCTGGCCTCGGCCACCAAGCTCATTACCGCCATCTGCGCGCTGCAGTGCGTCGAGGACGGGCTGCTGACCCTCACAGAGGACGTCTCCAAGTTCGTCCCGGAGCTTGCGCGCCAGCCGGTGCTGACCGAGTCCGGCGCGCTGGAACCTATCGTGGCAGGTCACCCCATCACGCTGGAGCAGCTGCTGGCGCATACCTCCGGTGCGGCATATGACTTCCTTTTGCCCAGGCTGATGCAGTGGCGCAAGGAGAATGAGGCGCCCCTGGCTGAGGGTGCTACGCGACCTGTGGAGGAGGCGTTTGCGTACCCGCTTGCCTTTCAGCCGGGGACAGGGTGGATGTATGGGACGGGGTTGGACTGGGCAGGGAGGATTCTAGAAAGGCTGACGGGTATGACACTCGGAGAGTTCGTCCGGAAGAGGGTCTGTGCGCCGTTGGAAATTGAGGCGGATGATGTGCAGTTCTATCCCGTGAAAGGGGATGCGGTGCGGGAGAGGATGGTGAATCTGAACCCAAGTGATCCTGAAGGGTTGGGACTTGCAGTGCTGAATGGTACGGGCGAGATCAACAAGCGGAGCCGGGGCGATTTTGGCGGGCATGGCTTGTTTATGACCGGGAGGGACTACATTAAGGTGCTAAGGTCGCTACTAGCGAATGACGGGAAGCTGCTCAGGCCGGAGACGGTAGAGGAGATGTTCCAGAACCGTATCGGACCCAAGGCCGAGGCGGGACACCGCGCGACGATGGAGGGCCACCCAAGTGGTGACTTTTTCCGGTTGGGAGTCGATCGCGGGACGAAGGTAGGTTACGGCCTCAGCGGCGTGTTGACCCTTGAGGATGTTGAGGGCTGGTATGGCGAGGGGACGCTGACATGGGGAGGAGGGTATACTTTCACCTGGTTCATCGACCGGAAGAACGGCCTGTGTGGTCTTGGTGCCCCCCAGGCGTCGCTGCCTGTCGACCTCGGCGTCATGGCGGAGCTAATGCAGATTTTCCGCCGTGACATATACCGCAAGTACGCGGCGTGGAGGAAGGGACAGCAGCAAGTGTCATGATCAGGGCAAAAGCACTTGAGGTGTCAATAGATGCAGCATTGATCAGCTAATACATGAGTGGTATAATCCAAGCGCAGGGGTATTAGTGTACAACGGCGATAATGACCAATCAGTGTACTTGAACAAGAAAAGATGTGACGCTCAGCTGAGGAAGGGAATAAGATGGCAGATAAACGCTTCGGACAATGTCCGCACTGGTGTACTGAAACAGAAGAATGCCCAATGAGAAACCGAGGAAATCAACATTGACAACGTAGGAACAGACTCAAGCTCCGAACCCTGCAACGGCGTCAGCATTCAAGGTCAGGTAGCAAACAGGGTCACTATTCATCGGGGCAACCTACGTCCCAGCTGCTGGCCCCTCTTGGAGAACTCCTTGGCATGGTGCTGCTTGATCTTGGCCAGCCTCGCTTCCTCCTTGGCCTCGAGCTCCAGCCTGCGAACATGTTCGTGTGCTTCACGGACGCTCTCCCGGGCCGCAATGAGGGCGCGGTCGGCCTCTCGCTCGGCCGCCTCAGCGTTCATGACGCGTTGCCGTGCCTCAACAATGGAGGGGTCCATCTCGGCCATGCTGCCGTTTCCGTGTCCGAAGGAGCGGCGGAGCAGGCCGCCGCTGCCGCGCTCGCTACCGTAGGTGCTGCTGCTGGCGTTGGTCGACCGGCGGAAGATGCCGCCGCCGCCGTGGTGCTCTCGCTCTGGGGAGATGGATGAGGTCCGTGTGCCATTGACCCCGTAACCCCCGTCGGCGGCGGCGTTCGGGTGGACCTGGGTGGGAGAGTGGCGCCGGCTTCCGAAGAGACCGTGTTTCTTGGGTGGCTCTTCGTAGACAGGTTGAGGGGCCGGCTGTTGGACCGGTTCCGCGTGGCGTGAGAACAGAGGCATATTGGTGGATGGTAGTATGGCAGTTTGTTTGGTAAGCACTTCAGGGTCTGAGCGTGTTCGTAGATGACAAAGGTCGATAGCGGTCAGTGACCCAACCCAAGCGGGTGACGACCCCTATTTGAGTCCTGCCATTTCCCATCCGGCACACCGCCGCGTAGGCTGCCAAACCTGATTTCCGTGTCAATAGCATGACGTCAAGCGGAAGGCATCAATAGCGGTAGCAAGAGCGTTGTTGAGGTTGGCTTAAGGTTGTGTTGTTCGTCCAATGAGATTGAGGCCATGACGAAAGGGGAATGCCCAGATAGGCGAACTTCAGGGTCTTGTTGGTCCGAACCGAAGGCCGTCTTACAAGCTCAGCTCAAAGGGGTCCCCAATCCAATGGCCAGCCATCTCAGGCCAAGCCTCAAGGCCCAAGAGAACCTCAGGAGGCCACGTCTGTTCCATTGCTCTTGCACGACAAGACTCAGGAGATATTTTTGATTTGTCATTTCTTGGCTCTAATCGGGAAAGTATTGCTATAGTGGAAGTTCATGGTTGTTTCGCTCTGCTTGAGCTGCTTTTGGTTCAGGGTCCAAAGTCTGGGAAGCTTGTGTTGACGCCAAGGCAATGACGCAAAGCGCGCTGGAGTAAGTGGGGCGGCCCTGTTCTTGAGGCGGGGCCGTTTCTTTTTTTGCACATCAAATCACGTGCATCGTGGCGCGTTCGTTTCTGTTATGCAGCATCCACGCGAATCGCTGCTTCCTGTTCTCAGTTGGTGCAACCAAAAAGTCAGTGCAACCAAAAGTCGGTGCCGCGGGCAAACTTGAAGCTTCCCTTATCTTGACGAGCATTTTCATTCGCCCACATCTCGTTCTGTGCAGCTGTCGACTATGGCTTCTCCAATGAGGGCCACCGACCCTCTACCTCCCGACGACCTGCACGAATCTCGGTCGCGCTCCAGGTCGCCACGATATTCGCGATTGCCCTCCATGGATCGCCGCCGCTCCTATGACAAAGATGCCCGCTCACCGGGTCGGAATGGCAGATACCGTAGCCGCAGTCGCGGTCGCAGCATCAGCCGCACACCCAGCCGCAGCAGAACCCGCAGCCGCAGCTACTCGCGATCTCGGAGCTACAGCCGCGACAGAAGTCGGTCGCCGAGCAGGGCACGCAGCGCCAGTCCTCCTCCTAAGTCCACCAAGGCAAGTCACGTTGCGGATATTGCAGTCGGCGTTGCTAACTCAATGCAGATTGTCGTCGAGCGGTTGACCAAGAATGTCAACGAGGACCATCTCTACGAGATCTTTGGCCAGTATGGTGAGATTGATGATTTGGACCTTCCCATCAGCAGACAAAGTGAGTGCCAAGCATTGCCTACTCTTTTCCCAGCTACCTCATGGTTGAGCTCCTCCTGACTATTCTGTGTGATGCAGCCGGTACGAATCGTGGCACAGCCTACATTCTTTACTTCAACGAGGCGGACGCCGAGTCGGCCATATCCCACATGCACGAGGCACAACTCGACGGCAGTGTGATCAACGTGTCGATAGTACTCCCGCGGCGCAAAGTCTCCCCACCTCCTCCTTTGGCGCGTCGCGGCCCCCGCGGTCCTCCTGCGAATGTCAGGCCCCTGCTTGGACCGTCGGGTCCTGGCGCACCAGCGGGTCGCGGCTGGAGGTCCCCTGGCCCAGGCCGCTACGGCCAGCGTTCCGACGTCTACCGCCCGCGGTCCGTGTCTCGCTCCCGGTCTCGCTCCCCGCTGCCTCCGCCGAGCGGTTCGCGTAGATATCGATCTCGCTCTCGTTCGCCATCGTATTCGTCGCGATCTCGCTCCCGCACGCCTCCAGGACGTCGGGACCGCAGGGGCGGCCGCGGCTACGGCAGACGGAGGAGCCCCAGCCGCGGTAGCTACAACAGCTACAATAGGCGCAGCAGGAGCCACAGCCGGGACTACGATCGTAGATAGTGTGTCAGTCACGAGAGTGGGAGTTGGTCTTCGGCTTTGATGGGAGGACATTGGCGTTCAGGCGGATTGCAGGAATCAAAAGGGACAAAAGGATTTCCATTCTATTCGTGCTTTTAATATTGTCTGGCTTTGCTAGGCTAATGGATTTCAGATGACGAACATACTGCGGACCTCTCACCGTGAAACGATGACTGTGCAGTGAAGTTAAAGGCCTCACAACCTCTGGCGAAGCTCCCATCTTCCAACCTGTGCTTCCGCACATCAAACCTGGGAGATTGTCAGAGGCCAAGACCTTCAGAGCCTCAAGACCCCACGCGGCATCAAGACCCCTGTAGCCAAGACCGCCACAGCATCAGAGCCTCTTCCCAGGTCGGTCTCTGGCCGTTGCCTACATACCAGGTACTGAAGGTGATGTGTGTCCGAACGGCTTGGCATGGTTGAGGCATGGTTTTTTGACGCTGCCTAGTACCTATTTGCGGATCTCCCGCTCAAATAGACACATGCAGCAGAAGAATGCAGCCCAACTGTTTCCCACATTCCCCCAGTTGGGGTCTCAGCGGTTCTTCTACCCCCCACGAAGGACCCGGCAGTTACAGACTCAGCCCTACGGGGCGCACCGGCCCAAGCAGCAGGTTACACAGGGTTCAGGTATTGATGTCATGTCACCAATACTAATACTAACATGCAGCTCAAAGCAACGTTGCGACTCACGCCTGGAAAAGAAGACAGAGAGTCTGCCACTGCTCAACGGAGTCGCTGACACCGTTCACACCTTCATGGGTGGTGGGGGCTTTGGGCCTCCGATGCTGCATGAGCCCATAGAGACGTTTGTATGAGGCCGAGTTCGTGATGACATCGGCCTTGGCAAAGGGTAGCCGACAAGACGACTGATCTGCCTGGCTCTTCGGCCAGAAACGGGACGACATCTCCCCGACTGATCTCAAGTGTTCACGGCCTCTCCCCGTCCCGAACCCAAAGAGACCACGGTTTGGTGTTTGGAAGCCGAACCAGCTGATAGGTACGCTTGCCACCTTCTGGATCAGTTACGAGTGTTAATGGTGAGATAAGGTGTGGCCCTCCCTCCCGACGCATGGAGCTGGCGCGGCTCATGTCGTGTCCCGCCCTTGCGCGATATTGAACAAGCTTTTTTTATCAGGAGCCAAGCCTCCTAGGTACCAAGTTACCTTTTGAGAGACGCTTTGTGGGAATGGCTCTTTGCAGGTCCAACCACTCAGGGAGACGGAATGCCACCTGCCCCTTGGTTTATTGTTCATCAGTTGGTCTTCGGCTTGCACCACCGTCAGCACTGCTATGTCCGAGGCGAAGTAGGTCAAATCTGATTTGCCTGACTTCATCCGGGCAGACTCAAGCTAGCCTTGCTACAGACATCATGACCCCTTTCGGACCGAATCCATGCATCGACACGGGCCCCATGTTCCACGTTATTTCAGCGGCCTTCGAGACATCAGGTGGAAGCGACTAGAGAGCTTCTCGCAGCGCTATCTCTTGACCCCCCCACCTGCGGTCAGCCCTACGATGCTACGCAGCTGCAGCTCACTTCGTGGGGGCTAACAAGCCAACACATTACTGGCTCCCTCGAAATGGCACTCGGTTTCGGATTGGGTCCATTCCGCTGTCAGGTGACAGCTTCCAAAGAACCGAGCCGTCATTACGCCGGGCCGCCCCGGACAACCGTTTGCTCCGACCGCCTATCAGTCATCCATGGTCAGTGGGGTTGAAATTCGTGCTCTATTTCCATGGCACCCTCCGGCTCCCGCGGCAAAATGGCAAGCAGGTGGCTACACAGAAGGGACAGAACCATCCATTCTCCGAGCAGGTTGAGCCTCTGTGCAACCTGAACGGGGTTCAACATACACGATCACCGCCAGCTCAGTGCTTGCTACATAGCCTGCTTACTCCAGGAGCGCGATATTTAATTTTATTTGTCATTCTACCATTCCAATAGACTAAAATTGTCAGGAGGCAGGTATTCACAAAGCAATGCACTCTTCTGCGCATTACGCCACCCACCCCCTAACCTCAACCCCAGCCCCCATACAACTTACACAAGACTTGTATGCTAGGGCCTAGCATGGTGGCGTTTGCATTGCTTGTCTTCTGTGCCATGTTACGGTCGCGCTCCGGCACCCCCAACACTGTCACCCACCTCGTCGGCGTCATCTCCGAATCCTCGGAAGCTCCCCTTTGCCCGCTGTGACGCTCGCCCTTCATGCTAATCCAACAACTCCCCTAGGTTACTACTATCACCCCCGCCATCATTTATGGAGAACATCCTGTGTAACAAATCAGAGAGATACCGAAGCCATGGCCGCCACAAGCCGGGCGATAGCCGTGTCCTTTGTGTCCGCATGGTACTGTGCTCAGCATCTACTCCTCCAATGCTCTTGTGGTCACCTAGCGCAAGCGCGCACAAGCGCAATGACAGCTCTGTCTAGTCTGACAGATGGGGCTGTTGCGCAGCCGCAGGGTGACACGGTCTTGGTGTGACGTCTGTCAGGCAGACTCTCACTGGCGGCGACTGGCTGCTCTCACGAACTGCACTGCCAGTTGGTACTTGTCCTGTGCATGCGCTCCTGTGAATGTTGGTGAGAGAGGTAAGACGGAAGGAAGATATAAAACCCCCCAGCAGCAAGAGAGCATGCGCCGAGGAGATCCATCCCGCCCTATCACAGCAACACTCCTCGACTCTTGAGCCCCTTCTGAGTGAACCCCGAGACATTTTGACTCAGAGTTCACTTCGTCACACATATATACAACACAACAAAAATACGTTTTCAGACTACGCAGTCAACCAGCCGGCCTTCAAAATCAACAGTCAATCAGGCATCAGAAAATATCTCCAAAAGCCAGCAAGATGGCCGTGATATCGGAGATATATACCGGCACGGAGATCCTTTGCAGCTACCCACCCCGTCCAAACCCTCGGCCGCCGACGCCGCCTCCGAACCCGAGACCCGGCCCGCTCCCGCGGCCCGACCCCAACGTGCCCACACCGCCTCCTTCTCCTCCTAGGCGCTAGAGAGAGCCCAGCTTCCGGGAAGCCGGGAGGGACGTGGGGACGTGGGGGGGGTAGTACTCTTGAGAGCCAGGACTCAGGACAGAGAATGGCAGATCTCCAACATCCCCCGTCCCACCCCTTGTGTCCCTCCGTGTCAGTATCTGGTATAGCGATGCATGTCAGCAAGACGAGATGGAGTTGGGTTTTCTTGTTCAGGTTCAACACACGCACGCATGCGCACAACGCCGCATCTTTTGTTGTGTCAATGACATGGGTGAACCAGGGGATAACAACTCAGATCCAGGGGGAGGCAGGCTAGATCAGATGATGAATGCACCGCAGGTTCTTTGTATGGGCAAACTAAGCTGGTTGGTGGTGTTGAATTGGGATCGGTCTGCGTGTTTCGGATGTTCGGAGATGCTGGCTTTCTTTTTGTCTTTTTTTTTCTTTTTTTCTTTCTTCTTTCTTTCCTTTTTTTTGTTTCTCGTTTCCCCTCACCTGACAGTTTTGTGTGCTGTACCAGGGGATATACAAACAACACTCAACGAAAAAGGGGGTAGCAGAGCTTATATATATACAGACATAGAATGGTTTAGGGAAACCTTTTCAAAACCTCATCCTTGACAGATTTCATTTTTTAATCATTCCAGCTGAATGAGATCTGTGATCGTTAGACAAGGTGAGGCAAAGGTAAGGTCAAGAAATGGGAATTGCAGATACCATCGGCCAAGGTCTTGTGAACTCAAGGAGTGACCGAAGCGACTTGTATCAGGTCAAGAAGCTTATGGGGGCGTGTTTGCATCGCTGGCACGAGCTCTTTTACTTCCCCTTCGCACTTCGGCTTGAAGGCATGCTATCAATCTTGCAAGGGCAGGCCGATAGGGTCGGAGACTCTCATAGTATATATCACTTCGGGATAAAATCTGTGCCTGTTCAAAGCCACGGCATACTTTATCAACAAACAACGCAATTCAACCTGGAACTTCATGTATGATGGTAGCACATGTCTGCCTAGAAACGCACTTAATAACCGGGAAATCCTAAAACCAGAAACCCATCATCACGTCTTGCCAAATTCCATTGACAATGAAACCCTCTTGTTACCACAAAGCAGGAGCGATCGCCACCTCACAATACCAACGAAGTCAAAGACTTTCCATTGTAATATCAACGCAATACCCCTGATTCACGCCCAGACCAGCCGGGCTGTCCTCTTACGGTACCCCATCCTTTCCTCCACCAATCCCCTCTCCCTCCATCCTTTTGCTTGCACCATGAGCTTCAATTCCAAAGCAACCCAACCCCAAACAATAGATGTACCAAGGAAAGGAACCTACTTCGCCTTCCCCTTCCCCTTCACATCATCAGATCCAGACGCCGATGCCTTCTTAGCGGCTACTCTATCCCGAAAAGCTCTGGTGACCCCCAACGCCTTGAGTTTCTGCATCCTGTTGAGACTCCTCGCTGCTCGGGCCACTGGTGTCAGGGGTAATGTGGCCTGTTGATTGTTCCTCCTGGGAGCCAGTGGCGGTGGTCTTGGAGTCCTTGTCGTTGGAAGGCATCTTGGCGACAATGAAATCTTCCACGTTGATGCGAAGGATTGTGATGGTAGGGATGAGAGTGCTGAAGTGGTGTGCTAGCTTTGACCTCGTAAGAAGTGCTGATGTTTGCATTGGAGGACGGGGTTGGTGATATTTTGTGGACGACCTAGCTACCTCGGTTGTGTAGGTACCTAGGTACTAATAGTGACGTGGGGGCAAGAGAGTCTGCGGGGACGCTTCGTTGTCAGAGTTCCTGAGAAGTGGGATGTTGCAAGTGCAAAGCAAGAGAAAGGAACGGGGAGCTGGTGATCCCTTTATATAGGCGTATTGTATCAGTGACTCCTCCGATCCTGTGTAAAGAGTTGGCACCCCCTCATGTGCCTCTAGAAGCTGAATGCACATGAATCTACCCTCGAAGTCTATAACAAAGATGCACTCCTACCTTGTTACAAATTTGCTTTCTCGAAGCAGCCTTCCATCGGATGGTTACTTACTCGATTCCTTTGACATGGCTGTGGTACTCACATGGTCAGCCCCATAACAGCGAGGCGTGCAGTGGCCCGCGTGAGTCCCCAGAGCCTGACTTCAGTTGATGTGTTCCATTTCGTATGGCTGGCAGCTTTGCCTTGCACTTAAGAGCATGCACTGTGTTCGGCTCTGGCTTAATTTGCCAGCCATCACCCTGTCCCCTTGGAACTAGAAAGACCGACCTGTTTTGATAGATGTGGTCGACTTCGCTGTTTCGCCAGCAGTGTCCGATGATGCGATCGTCTCTCTCTTGTGCCTGACTGCCACCATCGAGTGCACTACGTAATCCTTTACCACTTTTGAATGAGATAGGCCTGCTTCAAGCACTCCCATCCCCTTTTGAGTGCCTTACGAGCAGAGGTGTCATCCTCATGTCCCCAGACGAGAATCGGTTGCAGGGTTAGGGTACCCCTAACGTCTTCCAGGACAATCCAGGTCAGCATCTCGCGTTTTTCGTGGCGCTACACGGCCACTCGCGTAAACCTAACATGTTCTCACCAAAGGGCAGTTTCGCCTGCAGCCTACGTGGGCAGAGCTTACAATCCGGTTTTCAACCTCGGGCTTCGAAATACAACAATGTAGGCGTCGTTCTCATTCAGAGCTGCTTTCGCTCTTCCGCTGCGCGTCGGCCTCGGCTGTTCTTTCAACACTCGTTGACCCACCGGTTGGATCGCCGGTTTCAACACACCGTCCTTTTCGTCGGTTTCAAGGGACCAATGCAATCCATTCCCGACAGGGTCATTGCTGTGTGGAGATTCCGGGCGGTTGTATCTCATTGAGGAGGTGCTATCCGCTATCAGAGAGACTTGCAGAAACCGCTGTCGTCACATCCAAACTTGAGGGTGCTGGTCGATACCATTTCCCCACACGAGATTTTCGTTTATGCCTTCCTTGCTAGCGATCTTTTCCGGCTCTCCAAACGGTCTCTATCCGACAAGGCAAGGAAGAGCATCCTCAAGAGCGTCTCTACTGGCCTCGCTGAGTTGCATGACACAAACATTATCCATACAGGTAAGATGACCTCAATATCGATGTTTGTAACAATCAGCCTAACAGTCCAACAGACATCAAGCCAAGCAACATCCTGATTGATTATGAAGAAGTGTCTGAAGGTGATCCGGCAGTAACCCAAGTCCGGATTTCCGATCTGGAGGACTCGGTCCTCTTGCCTCCTGGCTCGAGCATCGGGGGATGCCTATGCGGCAACGAGCTCTGGCAGAGTCCCGAGTCCTGGGAACGAGCGAAACAAAACACCTCGTCCGACATCTACTCGCTTGCCATTGTCTCCATCTATGTCATGCTCGATGATATGATCCTCCACGCAGGCGAGGCAGAACTGAGCGGCGATATCGCTTGGTGGCATGTCCTGCGGAGGCATATTTCGTATTTTGGGGACGAAGAGGGGTTTCGCGGCCTTCTTGACCATATCGGACGGGAAAGCCCCTTTCACGAGTGTCTGATCGCCGTCGCTGCGGACTTCGACCCCGAGCGACCCAGGAAACCGTTTGCGCTGTGGCACTACGTCAACCCAGATTTCCGAGATCTGATCGAAAAGATGGCGCGGCTGGACCCCAAGAAGAGGATTACTGCGAGGGAGGCTCTGCACCACCCGTGGTTTCAGAGGGGGGAAAGGGCCAGCTGATACCCACCGGCCCAGGTAACAAAGCCAGTTGAAACTGCCTGGTAGATGTATAGCGCCATCGGATGAACGCCCGGGCCTCCTCAGTAACAGTCATACTAGTGAAGACATTAGTGACATTAAGCCTGTCATGAAAGCCAGCCCTGAGAAGAGGATCAGCCTAAAACAATGTCCGAGTACCCAGTGGCATGTGCTACTGCAAGAAGTCCTGCGTCCAAGCGAAGACCAAGCTGAAAATGAAGCTGGTTCTCGACACGGACAAGGAAGAGGAAGAATTACTATACTATGTCAAGGCTGAACAACTTACGTCAAGACTAAACCACTTCTGTCAATACTCGTATTATATAACAAAGAAAAACGACCAAAGACCTTTCGCGACGTCAGTTAACCGCCACCGTCGCACTCAGCTGAATTCATATCATGGCTATATCAGGCGAGCCGCCAGGGCCTCCCACCTGTCTTCCTTTTTTTCCGCCGGCACACATTTCTGTCAGCCTCTTCCTCCAGAATCCCCTTGTGTCGCGCTCTCTCGTCGGCCGCCTCTTCGCCCAGGAGATACAACTTTGCAATGTTCCCCAACCCGAAGTCCCAAACACTTGACGATTTGTCGCCTTCTGTGCAGAGCCACGGAGTATGTGGAGCAAGACGGTCAGCACCGGTGGCGGTGGGCCACCCCGGAGGCCCACACGACGGCGCCGGCTCGTTTGCATGCACGCTTGTGTTCGAGACTGTATCCTTTCTTGTAGGTTGCGTCGGGACTTCGTTGTCCCCGCTCCTCGGCTGCCATCTTGATTGTCGATGAGTGCCGCGAGGGTTATACTCGAACGCGCATACAAGGAGCTTATCCTTGTGCCGCCGCCGCGGGGTCAGGCGGGCTGTTTGACGAAGGGGTGTTGGCGATGTCCGCCCTCGTGGATACATTATCTTAGATGGGTCGGCGGCCCGCCGTGCCCCCGTCGCTAAATACGGTCGTCAAGAGGCGTCAATCTCGGCCAGGCACGGCAGCGTCTCCCATTCTCCAAATCCACGTTCTACGTGCTGCCCAATCGCTGCAGCTAGCTAAGAGTCCTTCCCAATCATCTGGGGAGAAAGGCGTCTCGTCAGACGTCCCGGCTGGACAATGCAGGAGCGTGACGTAGGCGATCCCCGCCGCGGGCTCGCCATAATACATTCTTGCAGTCATTGGGTATGTCGTATGGGGCTGCATGGAGGAGTGAGCAACGGCTAGGAGCCCTTGCTCCGACTCGGTGAGGTCCTCAATGAGGGAGAGACATCGGTCCTGTACCTGTTGCTGATAGGCTTGTACCCAAAGTCAGTACTTCGACAAGATGCGGTGCGTTAGGGCAAGCATGAGTCCTTTCTTGGAGCCGTACGAATGGTAGTATAAAACCTCGTCGCCATCCAGAACCTTGCCGAACATGGCTTTCTCCATTTGCTAGCACCGCGACGGGGTCGCTCCCTCAAGGAGACTTCCAATGCCACACATCCCTCTCGCCAGTGCCAGTCTCCTCCCCACAGACATGCCAATGGGACATTCTACTATGCTGGATGGTATGGAGACCAGTAACTCCAGTCCTTGGAGGCAGACAAAATCATACCCGAGGCGTTTTCTTTCGACGTTCCGCCACGACTCGGACGTGTTGTGTACGTCCATTCCGAAAATACGTCTGGCCCAATATCCAGGGACCTGCACTCATGGAGCTCATGGAGCGCGACCTCCCCCCGCGGAGGTATGTCTGCGACGCCGGCCCAGTTCATCCAGCGAGGCAATGCCCCGTCTGAGCGAAGCGGAGCGGAATTTGTGGAGAGCGTTGGGAGATAGGGGTCTTGAGCTCTTCGCACCCGAACGTGGTGGCAGTTACGAGGTGTTCTGGTTCAATGAGCGGCCGCTCTCCGAAGATGTGAAGCTCTATAATCGCTCGCGTTCAAGATGTCTCTGTCCTCCCGCGGCCGTGGGAGTGCTATGACGATGAAGTCGCGGCAGCCTGGGAGGGAAGAGTGTTAGAGAAGCTTCGGGGGAGAGGGTGGCTCGGTCTCGGGCACCCGATTTTGATGGTCACGGTCGGCACATGGCGTTGGCACCTTTTGGTTCGTCATCATACGGCCGACACTATTATGACGGTGACCCTGATCATACTTATCCATAAATAAACAATGAATCGAGGCTGTTGGTGTGTGACCTATCGCTAAATCTGGGCGAGGAAGTCACTGTCCTGGTCCTGATGCTTACTGTCGAACGTCGTAGCGCTCCGTGTCTCTGTGATGCATAGGAATTAGCATGCTTCTATGACTTCCAAGTACTACGTTGAATGGTCTCGATTTCGCTGTGCAGGTTTTGTCTACTGTATTGTTCCCACTCTATACAATTGCTCTGGTGTTAGCGGTGCGTAACGGTCTACCTGGTACATTCCTTCCGTTGTCTCCACCACTTGCAAGCTGACTGTGTATATGGTCCGGCTGAACAGCTTTCCTGTCCTCCAAATCTTTTGGATCATGTGTTTTCCCGGCAGGTTGTTCGCAAGAATCGGCCGTGTAAACACGTGAACAGGCGGGTTGAGCAGGTTTGATGCCTGACCTCTCGAGTTTTCGCACTGCTCCCGGTGCTCTTTCTCCCCGGTATTCGATCCAATGACGGAACGCAATACACAACCTCATCCGACTTCGCGAAGAGCAATTAATTTACCTCTTTACATCTTTCCACATAAAAATACCCGCCTCTTCCACGACAAGCATCGGAGATGGACGCCCCTGGCGAAGCTCTACGGGCTGCCGCTGGCGATAACGACAGCAATTGCGCCCCGCCGTCGCTGTCAATCAACCAACTCGCCGCTCTCCATCCGCGTGAGCGGCTGTTGGTCCGTCCCGAGCGCTGGACCGACCGGCAACTGTCACTGCTTCCGTGCCGCTTCCACTCGCACGGAGAAGGGGGCCGTGCCAAGGGCATGCCCACGGAGTACCGCAGCCCTGAATTATCGGACTTGGAATCCGGACGGCTTGCCATCCGCCTAGATGAGGCGGATAATCTCGAGGATCGCATTAAGCTGATCGATGACCTGCTCCGCCTCGTCTCAGAACTCGGGGACATTCGCCCCTGGTATTTGTACGTGATGCGCTTTGCTTTCAGCCCAAATCTCTCATCGGTTGATATACACAAAGCTAACCCGCAATGTTTGCGATAGGAGCAGCGCTCAACTCTACTTTAACCAGCATCCATGCGCTACGTTTGGTCCATATGGATACGAGGACAGGGAGATCATCACCGCCGCTCCTCATCGGAAGAAGATCAGCTTCGCGCTGTTCGACAGCGCCGAGCCCTCGCGGAAGCGGTTCCAGCATCTCAGGCCCAAGGATTGGCTTTGGCGTAGCGGCGCTGAGGCAGAACGAATGTCCATCCTCGGAAAGCGGCTTGCCCCCAGTGACCGCTATCGGGACCCTTATCTCGCGGCCGTCATCATCGCCATGGCGCAGAAGGAGCGACGCAAGGCTCCGCAACAGGCGTCTCCAGGATCCGGCGGCGGTTTTACTGTACGTACTGTACTACTACTTTTGTTTTCTCATAGCGTCGCTTTCTCTGCCTGTTGTTGACTTGGCTAACTGTTGCTGCTGCCCCCCGAGAACACAGGTCCGACTTCTCTTCGTCGACCGAGAAAGCCCCTCGCTCTTCCAATACGTCGCCCACGTTCAGGGCGCCTTCCTCGACATGTTTGATCACCCGGCCAGGCAGCCGCCCCCCTCGGCCTCGGGCAACCCGGGGCTTGACATCCACTGCTGGGAGATCCCCACCGATCCCGGCCCCACGTTCGCCCACCGACTTGCCTGGGCGCTGAGGACGGACTGTTGCGGGGAAGTGCACGACGATGTTGTTGAGGGGGAGGAGGAGGAAAATGCTGCCGGAGAAATGAGTGATGCCCAGGCGGGTGGGGAATGACGCCGGGAAGACAGATGAGAATGTGGAGATGTCTGAGGAGGTTGAGGAGATGGATGTTGCTGGGAATGACCCGATGTTGAGCCTATTGGTGAACGCGCTGATGAGATATCAGAACGAAGAGGCTGCGGCTGGGAGTGAGCAATGGTAGGGCAGTGTCAGGAGGTGCGCAACCGTATGGAGGTGTGACTGGCCAGTACCACCGTCGACGATGAAGGGAGTTGCTCAATCTATGTACGCTGACACTGCAGGGTGGTGGCTCGATTTGGCAGCCCCTTGCTTACGCTTCATGCTAGCAACCAACTAGAAGATCAGAAATGTATAAAATGATGTATTTAGTAATAATAGAAAAACCACCAGTCGAGCCCCGCCCTTCACGGGCCATCTACTACCTATTATCACCCAACCCCGGGGGACATGTCCTATCAAAGCACCACCAGCCTACCTTATACAGACTTTCCAGACTTTGCTCCGCCGTCATGCCAACCGGTTAACCTCTCCTTGATCCTGCCCAGAGTCTTCTTCAACAGGCCCAGCGGAACTTGATCATGTCGGACGGGTAATGGAGAGTACGAAGGAAGTTGTTGTTCTCACACACGTCGCACAGCCTCTTCCTTGGCGGCTCCGGCGCCGTCTTTGCTGCTGCTGCTGCCACTACTATCTCGGAATAAGGCGGCGGCCTTTCCACGGTAACACCAACACCACCGTAAGGGGGTGCTTCGTCTTCTTCTTCCTTCCGGTTGTTGTTGGTGTTAGTGGAGGACGACTCGGTGGGCGGGCTTGTGCTTGTGATCTCTCCTTTCTTGGCAGGAAGAGAATTGTACTGGGCGAGGGGGGATTTGAACGTCGTGCCGCCTGAACTGTGGTGCGGCCAGGCCAATTCATCTAGAATGGTGTAGTTCGGTGTCCAGCCCATTGTGAGAAGTGTGATGATGCTAAGCGGCTGGAGTTGTGAATACGAGTAGTTGGTAGAAACGGGAAGTTGTTACCGTTACCGTAGGTACTAAGCACAGCAAAGGGAGCAGTGGGTCGGGACACCCAAGAATGCGTAGACCGGATAGATGTAGTATTTATACACGCCGTACTTAATAATACAGCAGGCTCTGAATGAGATATGGTTAGCGCCCATCGCCACCCTTCAATGACTTCGCGGGGCACAAACAAGGCAAGAAGAGCCGGACTCACACGCTGTTCGTTCATTGTTGAAGACGAAGAACCCTGTGTGGTCTTTGTGTCCGCCATTTCTCTACCGCCCTCCCAAATTTGTCAAGGCACAACCACACAACGTTCGTGCCAATAGCGGCAAGTAATGATCAGTTCGCGCAAACAAGCTTTATAATATTTCGCTGATTCGCTACCTTTCGCTTGAGACAGTATGCCATTCGGTCAGCGGCAGGCTGTGTGGCCGAAGTTACAGTACCCAAACACGCCTGCAGCGGTAAGAGGAGCATGAGCTGGCAACCACTCAAAAGCTAGAGACCCTGAGTTGTTCATTGCAGCCTGAAGTGCCTGGTTATCCAGCTGGATAGCTAAGGCCCCCTCGAGGTACATTGTCACGCCGGGTTAAGCTTGTTGATAGGCGGTCTCGAGCGAGATACATGGACTTCTAAGCAGCATTTGCACACTATTACTGGAAGACCTCACAAAATATGGAAGTAGAAGTGCCCTGCTTTTAGGTTTGATCTGTAGAACTCCCGGTGATTTCCATGAAGTACTAGTAGCTAACACTACCGCGGGGCAAGACCTGGTCCAGGCCATTGATCATATGCAGCTTCTGCCTTCTCTCTGTCCCCAACGACCAAAGCACCCACCCCCAATCTCCCCTCCTCCCCTCCAAGCATCACCAAGTATGAATATAGATAGTTGGCCCCAGCCATCCTCCTCCTCGTTCCTGACTCAGGACTACAAAGCAGAGAAACCCACCCCAAGCCCAACCACACTAGCAACTACAGGCCAAATCCCGCTCGCCGATATGCCACCACCCGTAGCAGCATTGCTTGGTTGCGGGCACATGCAAGTTGCTTTTGTTGGCCCCTTCGGCCCTTGTCCTCGGTGCCCCACCTCTTGACTCTGGTGCAGGTTATCCTTGGCCTCGGCCTTGCTACTTGTGTCGGTGTCGGACTCGGATTCGGGCTCGAGTTTGATGATTGACAGGTCACGCAGCATGAAATCTTTAGTGACGGTGGGGGTGATGTGCTCTTGGCAGTGAATGGTCGTGGTGATGATGTCGTCGGGATGGGTCGGGTACTTGGCGGCGCCAAAGGCTGCCAGGGACGTCGCCGCGGCAAGGGAGCTAAGGCATCTTGCGGTGGAGCAAGTTAATAAGTACTGAGACTGTTCTCGTGTTTGGGAGTCTGTAGAGCAGTAAGGCGTTGGAACTTCGAGGCGAGCAGTTCTTCGCTATGTATGGACGTGACTACCCCGTTGACAGGGGAAAGGTGTTCAAAGTCACTTTGAACCTTGTAAGTCTTCGAGTGATTCTAGAACTCGAGTAATGGGCTCTAGGTGTTAAATGATGCCCAGTGGAGATCGGGGAAACCGGTTAGGGGCCTCCTTAATAGTGCGGCGAGTGACAATGCAGATGCCATGGTTGATGTGGGAGCATATGAGCACATCCGCTAATAAGCGTTAGCAACGTTGGAAGGACTGCTGCGCCTGTGCTCATGACAGCCAGATCATTCCTGGTCTCATCTTCTGCCACCCGCGTTGCACGCCATGGGCTGCAACGCTTTTATTCCTCAGCTTCATTCCTATGAGACCACACAGCCGTCGGCTAGGTGGTCCTCCTCGTTGTCCGGCGGGGATCTGATCTGTTTGGCGAGAGGCTGTTGCTGGGTGGCCTGTTCACCCCGGCGCTGCGTAATGGTGGACATGGTGGTGTCGGCACTGTTATTAACGACATCGATCTTCGAGTTCTGTTGGAGCTGAAGGCGCCCCTGGTTCAGGACAGCTGCGTGAACACAGCCCCTGCAGCTTTCTGCAGTCTTGCTTGAATCATACATTGTCACGATGTTGAGATGTTCTGTGCAACAATCCTGTGACAGGGCCGCGGGGCAAGCGCGGGGTTATGTATAATTCTGAGATCACCTAGTTCTTTGTTCCTCTCGAAAGAGAAGGGGGGGGGCTGGGGTTTGAAGGGGTTGAAGAGGCCACAACACCGGCAACGGCTCATGCCATAAGTAGGAAGCATACAAAGAACGAGAGGTAGGCAGTACCACACAAAGCCATATTCTAAGACGTCTCTTACTATCGTAGAGTCAACACAGACCTTGGAGCATCCTGAATCACATCCAGCAATTAGATGTTGGTTGTCTGCTACTACTAACGTAGGTGTATAGCGAAAGTTACATACATGCGAAAGTTACACTAAACCACACCAACGCGACATCTCACTTCTACACCCACTTCCTCTATAACCTAACATGCCTTAGAAAAACGACGAAAGCCAAGTTATCTTAGCCCTCCAGGCTCTAGAGAATGATCCGAAATTAAGTCTTAGAGCTGCAGCTCGGATCTTTTCTATGGACCTAATGAAGCTCAGCCGCCGTCGGCGCGGTTAGCAGTCACGATACGATATTCTAGCCAACTCGCGGAAATTGACCGATTTAGAAGAGGCTGTCATTATTCAATATATCCTCGACCTGGATTCTAAAGGATTTCCTCCCCGCTTGTCTAGTATAGAAGATATAGCCGATCGGCTACTTGCCGAACGTAACGTAGGACGTATCAGAACGTATTAGGCTTTAACCTTCGTTAAACGGTACCTAGAGCTTACTATGCGTTTCAATTGGAAATATAACTACTAGAGGGCCTAATATAAAGATCCAGAGATTATTTGCGGTTGGTTTACACTTATACGGAATATAATCGCAAAGTATAGTATCTAGGAGGCCGATATCTATAACTTTGATAAGACTAGGTTTCAGATGGGTATTATCTTAACGGCAATAGTTATTATAAGCTCTGAACAGTATAGCAGGGCAAAGTTAAAGCAGCCTAGCAATCGCGAATGGGCAATAGTAATCTAGGGCGTTAATACAACTAGCTAGGCAATCCCGCCGTTTATTATTGTCAAGGGCAAATATTACCTCTCCTCTTAGTACGAGAATAGCCTATTGCCAAAGGACTAGGTCATTACGATATCCGAAAACAGTTAGACAACTAACAAGAGAGGCCTAGAATAGATTTAGTACTTCAATAAGTATACTAAAGCTCGAATAGCTAGGGTTTATCGCCTCCTAGTCCTTGATAGCTATAATAGCCATTACTCGACCGACTTTAAGCTCTATTATAAGGAGAATAATATTATCACCCTCTATATATCTCCCTACTCGTCTTATATTCTTTAGCTGCTTGATATTAGGTATTTCAGCCTACTTAAGACGGCATATAGCAAGTAGATCGAGGGGATAATATAGGCAAATATAACCTATATTATTAAAGAGGACTTCTTTCCTATATTCTATGCTACTTTCTAAGCTACTATAACTCCTAAAAATATTTAAGGAGGTTTTCGAGGTACTAGAATTGCTCCTTTTAATCCCGAGAAAGTAATCTCGTAGCTCGATATCCGTCTAAAGACGCTAACGCCCTTAAACTCGCCGCCTAATAGTACCTATACCTAGGTTTCTAAGACCCCGAACAACCTAATCGAAGCCTCCTTATAATCTACCCTTATTAAGAATCAAATTACCTGGTATTAAAATAGCTCTCCAACTGAGATTTTAAGGGCGGTTAATATATTTGCTAAAGGGACGTCCAAGGTCATATATTAGTTGGCATTATTAAGGGTAGAGAACCAGAGCCTCCGAGCAGTAAATAAGGCACTAAGCAAGCGCCGAAGGGTCAAAAAACAACGGCTCCGACAAGGAGGATCACTTTCTATATAGGATATATAGGATCTATAGGGCCAGAGAGACGTTAAGGTACAGATTAAGGAGGAAACGTAGGCGGGTAGTAGTCGGAAGCCGAGGGTTAAGATACGCGCGCGGTATTGTGGCAACTGCGGCGAGCCTGGCTACAATGCGCGTACCTGTCAGATAGTTGTTGAAACGTCCGAGGAAGACGATTCCGAGTAGTTTCGTTCGTTTTGAGCTGGTTGGGTGGAATTAATATAGATAAAGTTAAGGGGGTATGGTTTAGTGTAACTTTCGCATGCATGTAACTTTCGCTATACACTTATGTTAGTAGTTAGTATCTAGCTTCGCAGCAGCCCTGATTCCAACGCACCGTGGCTCTCACACAGTGGCTCTTACACCGTGGTCCTCGCACCGTGAAGCTAGCTTTGAGAACATCGCCTTTGGCCCCGGCCCGAGGTCTTGGAAGCCGGGCCTTCCTAAGGTAGGAAACCAAGTGACTATATTATAGTATCTGGGTATCGACGGAGATTCATCATCTGCGCGGCGAGAAGTAGGCTCTGTCTTTGGCCTTCACCAAGTTCTCCCGCTACCTGGACGCGATCTCGTTGACATGCTGTTGAAGAGTGTCAAACACAGTGAGAATCCTGGAACATCTGGTACCAGGTATGTATACCAATGGGGGAATGGTATTATGGTAGTGGCATCATAACTCGTCTATCTCTGGGACAGGCTTCCAACTTCTGTTCAACCAAGAGATATTTGTTACTATCAAGTTATTGGTACAATACTAGTACTAAACCTCATTTTATGAATCGATGTTTACGAGGTCGGTATATACCTTGGTAATCTTCAGGACATGGTGGGAGTAAGGTCCTCTGCCCTGTGGGGACCGTTGGGGAGGAAGTCGCGCTCCTTCCCCTTGTGTTGCCACTTGCCTAACTGTGACGTCCGACCGACTTGCCACGACATGAGTTAATACGGTACTGGTGCAACTTGAGATCAATTACAATCTGGTGCTGAAACACACCGCTGGACAACGTAACTGCATCATTGTTTCTGTGTTCCATGGCCAACTTGGACTATTACACAAGAAACATTCGATTGCATTCAACTTCACCGGCAGCCTTTTTCATCGCTCCTTCACACTCAAACTTCCCAAGTTACTGAACGGTCTCATTCATTACCATCAAACATTGAGTCTGCTGTGTCAGGATGAAGTGCGCTTTCGCTCTTTTTCTGGCCGCGGCAACGGTCGTCTGGGCGGCCTTCTGGATGGAGGACATTCACCACCAAGGCATCGCCCCCTTCAACCCGGAGAATGACTATCAGGTCTTCAGAAATGTGAAGGAATGGGGAGCCAAGGGAGACGGAGGTGAGTCGAATAGTGCACTGGAGAGACCTCAATGTTAACCGCTGCCCAGTCACCGACGACACGGCGGCCATCAATGCCGCCATCAGCACTGGCAGGTGCGGTGGCCATAGTTGTGTTGGATCAACCACCACGCCGGCCATTGTTTACTTTCCCGCTGGTACCTACATCATCACTACTCCCATTGTCGGCTTCTACTACACTCAGATCATCGGTGACCCCACCGACATGCCAATCATCAAGGCCGCTCCAACATTCCCGACCGAGGCAATTGCCCTGCTCGATGCTGATCCCTATCTGGACGATGGCCGTATGTTACTTCCAATGACTTTACAATGCTTAGTCTGACTAAACGGGATAGAATTGAACTTCAAGGCGACGAATGTCTTCTTCCGCCAGATCCGCAACATGGTCTTTGACACGACCGACGTGCGGGGAAAGGCCACGGCGATCCACTGGCCGTCGTCCCAAGCGACCATGATTCAGAACTGTGTGTTCTTTCTGTCCTCTGGCGTGGACGACACTCACGTTGGCATCTTCATGGAAGAAGGTAGTGGAGGCATGATGACGGACCTGGTGTTCCATGGTGGTAAGATTGGTGCTCGCTTCGGCAACCAGCAGTACACAATGCGGAACCTCTCCTTCTATGGCTCTGATACGGCCATCCAACAGATCTGGAACTGGGGCTGGACATACAAGTCACTCACCATCGTCGACTGCCGTGTGGGCATTAACATGTCTTCCGCCGACGTTGGTTCCGTCACCCTGCTCGACAGCTCCTTTGAAAACGTCACCACGGCGCTGATAACCGGGAAGACCCCGGGAAATGCCACTGGGCTCGGGTCGTTGGTGATCCAGAACGTGATGTACACCAATGTCCCGACAGTCTTGCAAGGAGCAAATGGGCAGCCTCTTCTCTTGGGCGATGCGGAGGGGACCGTCTATGACGGGGGCTATGCGAGAGTTAGTCCTTTTTCTGTGCTCACGTGGAAAGCACTTACTAACGCAACCATCAGGGCAATACATATGCTCCACACGGCCCTTCGCTCCTCGAAGGCCGTGGGTTCGCCTTCTCCCAGCTGTCGAGCCTGAAAGTTGGGAACTGCTACTACGAGAGATCGAAGCCGCAGTACGAAGACTATCCCGCCTCCGCCTTTATCTCAGCACGGGAGCATCATGCTGCGGGCGACGGGAGTACTGATGACACGGACTCTCTTAACACGCTCTTCCGGCAGGCCGCCAACTCGACATCCATTGCCTTCTTAGATGCCGGATACTACAAGGTTACGGACACAGTATACATCCAGCCCAACACTCGTGTTGTCGGCGAAGGCCTTGCCGCGGTCATCATGGGTGTCGGCGAGAAGTTCTCCGACCCAACCAACCCACGCCCCGTGGTTCAGGTTGGACGACCGGAAGACGTTGGGTTTGTCGAAATTAGCGACATCATCGTGTCAACGCAAGGCCCAACTGCGGGAGCCATCCTGATTGAATACAACCTTAACACGCCGGCAGCTGAGAACGCCTGCAGCCCGCGAAGCCCTCCCTCCGGTCTCTGGGACGTCCATGTCCGCGTGGGCGGGTTCACCGGATCCCACCTTCAAGCTGCCGAGTGTCCCACAACGCCAGACCAGTCGAACTATGTCAACCCTGCATGTATCGCTGGGTACATGAGCATGCACATCACACCAAGCGCACGGAACCTGTACATGGAGAACAACTGGATTTGGGTTGCAGATCACGACATCGATGACCAATCGTCCACTCAGGTCAGCATCTATGTCGCTCGCGGGTTACTAGTTGAGGGCAGCCGCATCTGGCTTGTCGGAAGCTCTGTCGAGCATCACACGCTGTACCAGTACCAACTGGTCAAAGCCTCCGACGTTTGGATGGGCCAGATCCAGACCGAAACTCCTTACTACCAGCCCAACCCGCCAGTGCCAGCTCCATTCGCCCAACCTAACACAACCCTGCACGATCCCAATTTCGCGGCCGACTGCTCGTCCGGCAATCACAACGCTGCCCTGGCACTGGCCGGAAACCCCCCGTGCGCGATGGCATGGGGCCTGCGCGTCATCGACTCGCATAACGTAGTGGTCTACGGCGCGGGCTTGTACAGCTTCTTCAATAACTATAACACAAGCTGCAGCACGGCCGCGTCCGGCGAGAACTGTCAGGCCCGCATCTTCTGGGTGGGGAAGAATGAGGGCGGCGGCGATGTCAACGGGAACAGCACCACCACCGCCACCGCAAAGGGCACGGACGCGTTTGGCGTCGAGCTGTACAACCTTGTCACCATTGGCAGCGTGAGCATGATCACAGAGGCCGGGTCCGACATGGCCCTGTGGGATCAGAACCGCGCGACGTTTGCAAGTACGTTGGCCGTGTTTCGCTCGCAGGGCTGAGGGGTATGAAGACACGCCGTCTATCTGCTGGGCTGGATGCCCTGCGACGTGTCTAGGGGCGGTGGTGATAGGCTGGATGCTGGTTTGCTTTGGCAATGGTTAGGCAAAGGGGATAGGGATGCAGGTTATGGCATGCTGTATTGTTCGGAACTCACTCATCTTCTTCATATGGGTAGAGGTTAAGTCGAGTTTCGGACTACTTTGTTTATGAGAAATGAAACCATGCTGTGGAGAGTTTCTTGCATATGCGTCGTCAGTGAACCTGAGAGGGCTGCGAGCCTTCTCGCGGCATCCGGTGAGCCGATTTCCGTTGCTCCCTGCGGTACTAGCCAAGATGGAGTTTTTGTGTGTCGCACTGCTGCCTGTTGTTTAGTAGGCCAGGGACCCAAAGGTACAGGTATAGATAGTTAGGGATATTTATCTGATGGCATGCACAAAGCTGGACCCTTCCCAGGCTGCGGTTGCTCTGTGAGTGCCATATCTCCCTCGGTCCGCCATTGGAAGTGTTCACTGTGGAGCATGATTTACATCTAAGGTACCATTGAATGACTGGCCGCGAATCCAGGGAGACAGATGGGTTGGAAAGGACGATCCCTTGTCGGAAAGCTTGCGTGATTCCATTGCGGTCCAACCCATTTATCAGGGGCAGGAGAATACATCTGTCGGTTAGTGAAGGTACCCAATACCCCATACTGAGGTTGATTAACACACAACCTTGCACAATCTCAGCACAACAGAAGCGGACGACAACCCACGATCGGTCCGATCCGAAAAAAAAAACCGAAAATGGGATAATGAATGACGATCGTTCGGTCTCGCCACTTTCCTTCCCCCAATTGCCGAGCATCTCATCAGGGAGTCAGGGAGGCAAGTTCAAATGCCCCACAGGCCGGGAAATGAGGGCCTAGGCGTTGCTGTGGAGGCCGAAGGAAATGTTTTGGAGCAGTCAGCCGCTAATAACTACCATAGTCAAGCCAAGGCCGTTAGTATGTAGGGGGACCAGCGCCTATACTACCGGCGTCCAGTGCTTCGTCAGTAACAGGATCATACGGACAGTCAGGGAGCGCAGGGCATAAGACTCTGAAATAGCTCGCAAAGGTGCCGAGGGTCTTGCTCAGGATGGAATTATTAGACCCGAAGCAAGTCTCAGCCCAGGTTCATGGAGATACCAAGGCAAGGCTATAGTAGCGGCGTAGTTTGTATGTAGGCAAGGGAGCGTGGAATGTCGTTGTTAAGGGGACGGCGAGTTGGTGGCTTGGCGGGTTCTAAACATGGACACAGTGAAGCTGAGTTGTTTGTGTGGCGCAAAGTCGGCGCCGCATGAAGAACCCTCCAGCAGGCGCGTGCTGCTTGCTAGAAGGGAGGATCTAGTATCACAGGGACCGCCCATAATGTATAATAAACAAACATTAAGCTGTCTGAGCGAAGCAACAAAAAGCTCAGCTACAGCATAACCAAGCGGGCCAACCAGTGGGCGGCAGCAGAACAAAGAAAAGGGGTATCGACCAAAGTTGAATGTATAGAAGGCTAAAATGAAAGGTGAAGAAAAGAATGTCAAGGGCGTTTCTTCGCTGTTGCGCCTCATTCATCTCGTTTCCTCATGAACAACTCCTCGTCAAACACTAGTCGTGAAATGAAACCAGATCCCGACCCTGCCATCCAACTCTCTTCATATGCAAAGTCAAGATCCGTCCCAGATCAGTCTGAAGAAGGTAATAATAGCTTTAGGGTCCAGCCGGAAAACCACCGTGTGTATCGCCCGAGATCTCCCCGTGGAGGTGTGTGAACAAACCCAAGATACATGCAGCAAAGCGCGTGAATTGGGCGAAAAAGAAAGGGATAAAAGGGGTATCAAGGTTGAGGGTGAACCGCAAGCGGTAAATGGGGAGATCCCAGGGATTGGATTGCGTGGCCGTGTGGTATGCCAGAAGAACGAAGAATAAATAAAGTGTAAGTCTGAGTCAAGTCGGTAAAGGGTCCCCGGTTTGTCAACCGCTCCTTTGCCTGCCTGATCTCAAGAACTGAAGGGCGAAGGTTCCAGAGACCTCCGCAAATGTGAAGTCTTACGCGACTGTCTCGATGGCCCGGGGAATGGGTGTGAGCCTCTCTGGTTCGCCAACCAATCCGTAAGGTGCTTGCCCGAGACAGAACGGTGTAATGCTCGCATCCAGAATTGCAGATCGGTCGCTCGGTCCCATCTTGGTTGGATGGCTTGTGGCCTCTGCCAGGTTCCGGATACCCATCCACAGAGGCGCATTGCCGCGTTTAGAGCAGAGCAGCGGCGACCACACCAGCCATCGCGACAGCGGCGGCGTGCGCGGCGCCAAGCCCTGACCCGGCGTTGTCGGACGAGGTGGCAGCCGGCCCGGGCGCAGTGGTGCTCGCAATGTCCGTCAGGGTTGTCGAAGGAGAAGTTGGGTGGAACGAAGCAGTGGAGTTGCTATGCCCAGTGACAACTGCGCGTTGTAGGGTGAGCGTCTTGGTGAGCGTGACGGTGCTTGTTGAAGTTTGCGTTGTCAGGTCCGCTGCGACAGCCGCGAGCGGCATCATGAGAGCGGCGAGAACCGTTGGCAGATGCATTTTGCGGAAGATGAAGCGTGTGCTTGAACAAGGTTGTTGTGTATAAGTGAATCGGGGATTTTGTTGGAGCAAAGGGGCCGCCAAATCAACGTCGAATGTACGACAATGATATTGCGACTCGAACCAGGTACCGGTAGTATTGTGATGGTGAGATGTCCGACTGAATGTTGGTGATCGGAGACCGATGTCCGATATATCGGGGTTACTAATGGCAGAGAGCACGCAAGCGCGAGAGAATGACAGACTGAATACTTCGAGTATTCAAGGTCGGATGAGGCGCTCCAGAAGTAGACTTTGCCAACGAAGCCTGTGTGGGAGTGCGTTGGGAAGCGAGGGTTGGGCGGCGCGGGCCTGAAGAAGGAATGGGAAACGCCCACGATGTCTGGGGTCGCCAAGCGGCGCAAATTGCGATTTTGGTTGCCAAGCACCCAGACACCAACCGCAACAAAATGCTGCCTTGCACCGGCTGCAAAATGCCAGGTACGTACCCCGCGCTTTCCCCGCAAGGGTTTGGTGTCACAAGAGCCCCATCGGTACCTGCGTCTTTTTCCCACCTAGGGTGTCATCCCATCATACTCCATTCCAGTCGCTGCGCTGGCGACAAAAGGGGATCGGCGCCCCTCATTCAACTTTACGGTCTGGCTGTCATCCAGCGACCTCAACAGACAGGCCACTTTCGACAATGGAATTGCCGCCCTGATCAAGACTAGAGAAAGCTCAACCGTTTCGATGCCCTTGCCATGTTTCAAGGACGGGGACGGGTAAACAGGGCACCGTCTGAGAGTTCAGCGAGCGCGTGCCCTGAATGCAACCAAACCGTCCTGAGCTAGTGGGCCTGGCTAAATAAGGTATGCTGCCCCTGGCCGAGCCGCATCGTCGCGCGCATCCTGTTCTGTTGTTAGAACAACTAAGTGACCGCAGCCACAGCAAACAGGAAGACTCGGCGAAGGCTCCAGGCTTCCATCGGCCTGGCTTCAACTTAGGGCGCATGCTGAGAGACGAACAGTCCCGAGCCTTTTGGTGCACCGGAGGGACCAAAGAAAATGTAGCCGACGGCGTCAACGGTAGTCGTCGCAGGGAGCGGTCGAGCTCCGAGATTCACCTAATTTGCGGCATGATCGATGATTGGTGTGCCTGGCGCATGACGTGCCGTCCTTTAGCGGACCCTGCGAATGCTACAGAGCCCTAACCACAAAGGGCAACTCCCTTGGCAGACTCCAAGGGTGATCGGATGAGACAAGACAAACGCGAGACAAATTTTTGACGATCTTGGTCAATGCTCTCTCATCAGATTCCCTTTCCGCAGCCCTCTTTTTGTGGGGTCTCAGCAGGATTCCCGACCTGCTCACAAGTCGCGAGTCGCGACACTTGCTCACATGGCGGCGACCAGTTCCGATGCCCTGGGAACAAAAGATATGGTCATACATGCCTTGCAGGACAATGAACTTGGACCAAGACTAGTGGTGCCACGTGTTGTCAGGCCCTAACAAGCTGACTGTAAGGCGGACGAATGCGTTCTCCAGCTGGGCCACTCTCCAACGGCTCACGCCTCAGGAAACCATCAATCCTTGATCGTGGCGCATCTCCGGGCTGCTGCAAGGCGCAGTTTTCAGCTCTTCGGCTTCCTGACCTCCGAATCTCGGGCTTGGCGCATCGCCTGGAAAACATCACAGAAATAACCGAACTTGAGAGGATGTCAATGAGTTTATTAACTTCACCGCGGGACGTGTTGTAATCAACAGCCAGGGATGGATGTTATTCATACTGATCTGGACTTCCTCTGACTGCCAGACTCCTGAGAATTCCCAGACAAGCAACTCGGTGAAGCCGTGCTTGGCAAAAGGGGTCTCGTGGTCAAGGCGTGAAATAAAACGCGGGTAATTGTTCGTCTGTCCGTGAACGGTATCCTATTATGCCGGTTCGTAGCGCTTGTTCTTCAGCCAGTTTCAGATAAATGTACCGCGAAACACTATATATCTTTCCAGAAAAGACTTGTCGCATAATAAACATATTAAATGAAGCTGGCACCGGAATAACTCTGCCAACCCGTCGAACGCCTGAACACGCCTACATCCCGAGCCCTGTACGTACCCGAACGCCAGAAGTCATCCTGAGCCTCCCAAAATCATCAACCTCAACCCAAGGCCCCAGCTGGGCATGATGCTTTACCCCAAACCTCTACCCAGGAACCGCGCAGTGCATGCGTTCTCACACCAAGAATTGCCCCATCACAACATCACAAGGACGCCCATCGAATCCCCACCTCGATACAACTCACATTCCTCACCCGCACCTGATCCTCCACATCCGCCGTGTCTTCATCCTCGACCACCACATCATCCACAGCCTGCAGCGTCCTCGTCCTCACTAACACCACCAGCTCCCTCTCCCTCGTGAAAAAGGCGCCCACCTCCACAGCCTTCTGTATCGCCTTCCCCGTGGCAACCAGCACCACGTCATCTAGCGCATCCTCTATCCCCGCCTTTTGGCTTTTGCTGCTATTGATGCCACTAGTGGCGCTGTTCGGTTTGGCAACTTTGAGCGTCGCCACCCGCGCCGCAAGCGACAGCCCTTTTGTTGTTGCTGATTGTGGTGTTTTCTCTAGCGCCTTGCGCACGCGCTTGACGAGGCTCATAAAGCTTGCGCCGGACGAGACTTTGATCACGGCGGTGTGGGTGGCGCGTGGAGGGGGATGGTAGCCGTCTTGGTCGAAGGTTACGGCGGAATTCGATCGCGAGTGGGATGGGGAGGGCCCGGGAAGGGGACGCTTTTGGATGCGGGTGCCTAGAGGAGCGCGTCGGGTTAGAACGGGCCGTACTAGGTGAGTGAGAGCTGGGGTGGAGAGGGGAAAAGGACAAGTGAGACAAACCTTTCGGGATGGCAGGCATCTTTGTTTCTGGATGATTTGGTAAGGGCCTTGGTCGAGCACCTTCATCGTTTGGAGTAGACGCCATGGTGGCTGTTGCTATGGTGTTGGACCGTGACGTGGATGGAATAACGGATATGCGGAGCTGCGACCTGCCCTGTGTGGCATTGATGGCGCAGGGACATTGGGTGGAGAATCATGGATGTGGTAACATTCCCCTGTTTATGGTCACCAGGCGAGAGTGAGCGTTGATCGTAACAACTCTTGTTTGCAGGTTGTTGGAAGAAAGATGGGATGGAGGGGCTCCTGAACGCCAAGCCTGTTCTCACCCACGTGGATTGTTCACCGCCTGCCTCTTTAGAGTACTTGGCATTGAAGAGGTCCCCACCAAATCGTCATGCCATGTGCAGCTACTACTAGGCAACTCTACCTGCTCAGGTAGGTATCTTATCCGCTCTTCAGGACGACATGTTTCTTCAGACGCTTAGTTGATACGGAATATGGATGCCTGTCTCATCAACAAGGGATTGCAATAACTTGACACATCACCATGTCAGTTGAGATCTGGCCACATGTTGCTTCGGATCGGCTTAAAGCTGCAATTGAGACAGCTGAGGTATGCCGTTGCTAGCCCCTACTGCCTGTCCCTTCTGGAAACGCGCTAGCGGGGCTTCGAAATGGAATGGAATGCTCATGGGTGCTGATCGCGTCTCCATTTGCGCCATTGACACAGAAGCGCGAACTCGAATGGTTCGTCCAGGACCTCCAGGAAACCCTCACCAACCTCCGGCACGGTCTCGAGGATTGCTATGCGCTGCTGGCGCCCATAGACCCGGGTAACACGCTTGTGCTCAGCACACCAAGACATGAGTTCGTCAAAGGCCATGTCACCCGCGTAGGGACGCGGATCGTCAAGGGGGTCTGTTCTGTGCTCGCACTCCTCGCCATTGCCCCTCCCAACAACTGACCTCTTCCTCCCACAGACAATTCATCTCCGTCTGCGCACCCTCCCGCACCAAACGCTCACCATCAACCCCGACCACCCGATCCACCTTGCGCCGCTGACTGCCCTTCACGCCCTGCTCTCCCACTCGATCGACCTACTCAACCTCACCTTGTCGTACTACCCCTCGCCCTCCACCACCCCATCCGCTACCACCAACTCCCAACCACCACCATCACCACCAACCACAGAAAGCATCCCTCCACCACCGCCGCAATTCCTCTCCGCCCAACTGCGCCTCCTCTCCCAGTCCCTCTCAGAAGCCTCCTCCTTCCTGAAAGGCCCCCAACCCTTAACGGCGCCAGACCCGTCGTGGACAACCGCATCCGCCGCAGCCTCCCACTTCTCGCCACCACTCGCCCAACCGCACCCCTCCGACCCGACCCCATCACTAAGCTTCCACCTCAGCATACAAGACAGCTCGCTCGTCCTCTCGCTGCGTTCACTCGAACCCGCGTACGCCCCAGTCCATTTTGGCACCAAACTCGCACTGGCGATCGGCACAGCTCGCAGGCTGGAACATGACGAGGCCGATACCATCTTCAGGTATTGCTGTACCTACCACGGGGACTCCGAGCCTGATAGTCATGTCCATGAAACCACCACCACCACCACCACGAACACAACCACAGCCACAGCCACAAATCCCAGTGGCGGTGGTGGTGGTGTTGGTGGTCCAGTTGGGCAGAGACGAGGAAGCAGTCCCCCCCTTTTCAATTCGAATTCCAATTCCATCGGCGTACCCCTCTCCGGCACGCGGAGCAAGAGCAAGGACACGACGAAACCACCAAAGTCGGTGGACGTCTTCGTGCGCGAGAAAGTGCGCGTCGAGAGCGCCGATCCGAGCCTCCTCTCGCTGTCGGCCAAGCTGGCGGCGCTGGGCCACACGCTGGCGCAGGCGCGGCGGAACCTGGCGGCGGTTATGGGGGAGGAGTGGGAAGGGGAGGACTAGAGGTCCGATGCTGGGGTAGGGGCTACGTCGTCACTTGTGGTGGTGGGGGAGCGCTCGAGTTCTTCTTCTCGGGAGATGATGAAGAAGAAGGCCACGAGTTGGGTGGATGGGATTGTTGGGCACGACATGGGCGGGCATGATGGGGACTGTGATGCTTCGCATTGGCTGGAGGCGTTTGGCGGGAGCGGGAGATATCGCTCTGCGGGGTCCATGCGTTGTTGTTTTAGTTAGGAATGCGTTATTATGAGGCTTGACATGCATGGTGTTTAGAACGGAAGTCTGTTTCTTCTGCCAATTGTATATTCCATGAGTATCCGATGGCAACAACAAATAAACAACGCCGGTGATCGTGCTGTAAATCGCCCCAGAGCAGCTGCTGAAAGCCGAGACAAGTAAAGAGAAACACGAAAACAGACGTAACCAGGCTCCTTATATACATGGCACACTCCTTAGCCCGGAACCCCGTATCACGCTAGCGTCAGACTTATGAACCAGCCAAGTGCGTCTCACCCCGCCTAAGCAACGGGCGACCATGGCATGGGCACCAGAATCCGGCTCTTCATCTCCTGGATCAGCGGCACCGTCTTGTGCACCGTCTCGGCCCAGCCCTCGATGCCCCAGCTCTTCTCGCGGCGGATCTTGCGCTCCTCGAGGTCGGCAAACTGCCACAGGTGGTGCACCGTATTGAGGTCGCCGATCTGCACGAACCAGGCGCCCACGCCCTCCATCACCTCGCGCCGCGCCTTGAGCCCGCGCCGCCAGTGCGTCTCCCACTCGAGCAGGTTGCCCGGGTGCAGCGTGTACGACCGCAGCTCGAAGAGGCCACCCAGCTTGCGCGGCGGCGTCGTCGGCCAGAAGCTGAACTCTTGCATGAGCGAGGTGCGCTTGCTGCGGATCAGGCTGCGCAGCTTCCTGTCGAAGTCGGGGAACTGCGGGTTGTTGGAGATGGTGTTGAGCGAGGCGTGGAAGCCTTGGTAGCGTTGGTACTCCCAAATGTGGACTATTAACGGGGGAAGGAAGAAGCACCCATGGTTAGCATCTTGATCATGACATGTACATGCTTGTGAAACGACAAGACCCACCAAATGTGTCGCAGTCGCCCACCTCGGTCCGCCAGCTCCCCACCAGATGGACCTTATTCTCCGGCGAGCTTGCAACCCGAGGATACCAGCTGCCGACGAGCTCGACGTACTGGTCGACGCACTGGGGCTTCACTTCGTGGAACTCGATCGAGTGCACGTACTTGCCGCGCGCGAGCACCTGGCTGAAGCTGGCCTCGATCTGAGCGTCCAGCTCGCGGCCTTCCTTGGTGCCGTAGATGAGGTTTGTCAACGGCCCGGCCTTGCGAGGGGGCTCATGCTCGGCAGCACGTGCTGCGCTTCCTGTATCGCTCGCCGTAGAGCTCAGTGATCCAAGGCCCTGAGCCGTGGAAGAGGGGGAGCTAGAAGATGAAGGGGCGCGGGATGAGGCAAACCCACTGGCTTCCCGTTGCTTCTGCGCCTCCACAAGCTGCGACCGGAACGTCTTCTGCCGGCTGTTGAAGGCCTCGTGCTGGTCTGGCTGAATGTCGCCCAGAGAGGGCGCACGGTCGCTCCGGGTCGCAACTGAAGTCGCAAATGTCTTGGCCGTCGGTGCTTTCCTGACAGCACCAGCCGCGGCGCGAGTAACGCGTTGAGAGAGCATTGTTTCGGCGGACGTCGAGAATGAGGCGTGGTGTTGGACCCTGATGTTGAAGGAAAATGAGGGGAAAGCAACGCGGCCCGCGGAATCAGGTAGATGAAGGGCCCGGATTCAACGAGTCGGGGCGACGCGCAACAAGCCTCCAATTGGAGACGAAACAAAGAAATCAGGGACCGAGTGAGACCCTGAGTTTACCACTTCAATCGTTCGATATGTCGTGACACAAGGTGGTGCCAGAATAAAGTCGGGAAAGCGCACACGAGACGTGAAACGCAACGGCAGCACGGCAGAAGACGTTCGATGGGACGATTGCCAGGCAGCTTGTGATACGGGAAGGTGACTGGGTGTCAGTGGGAGGCGACTCGCAAAGGAAGGCGAGAACACAGAGGTTAATTGGATAAAGGCAGCGGATGCTACGGAGTAACTTGTCCACCCCGCACTTGGAGATCAGTTGCAATGCGGAGAGAAGACAGGAGCAAGCTTCAACCTGGTGCTTATGTTGACTGAGCTGAAGGTTAGTCGGTCAGCTGCTTGAGCTCCCAGGGTCCAGGCGCTGCTGCGTGGACCTCAAAGGGAAATGCGGGGTATGATGTCACACAGACAGGTGTCAGCTCCACCTGCCAAGCCGGAGAATCATTTCGGCGGATGCAGCTCCTGCGCACGCCTGAATAATTAGGCCGCAGTTTCCAGACTGGCCCAAGCTTCGGAAGCCGGAGCCGCAAAAAAGCGCTCGCGTTCTGACCCGACAACTTCCATCACCACCAAACCACCGAACCTCCGTCGTCCAGAGGATACCGTCACGATGTCTTGGCTCGGTGTCTCGCTCCCCAAGAAGTTCCCGACGCCAGTGTGTATGTCAATCCCTACTGATCCCGCGTGACGATGGTGTCGACATCGGCTGACAATTGATTGCAGTGCGTCCCATGGCTCCTTTCCTGGCTGCCGGTATGCCCTAACCTACGCCCGAGCATTAACTCAACGCAGAGCATCCAGAGCAATTGGCGAAAGAACCAAACCCAACTAACTGTTTCCTAGCTCTGATCGTCGGCTACGGCGTCAACTCGGCCCAGAACGCCATGATGAACTGTATGCCGGCACATCGCGGACCCCGCTTCCCTGCTTGAGCGAAACTGACCGCATGGCGCAGCCGCCGAGTTCAAGAATGACCCGAGGAACCCGAACGTCAAGGCTGGTGGTGGGCACTAAAGCGAGAACTGCGGATGGCCACGATGTGGTGTGCAACGGACGAGACGAGATCGACGACGCGGCATTTCCCTGAACGATATCCCCAAAGAGTTGTCCGAGCGACGGATTTGTATCATAGAGCAGCAGCCAACGTCAACTGAGCTGTGTTCCCGGTTCGTGTGTGCAGTGAGATGTGAGGGAGCGCATGGCTTCTGGGCTATCCCACCGAGCGCAGCACGGCTTTGCGGTGTCACGGCAGCCGGTGTCGAGAAGTGTTCGGTTGGCTTCGGCAACGAAGACCAGCAGCAGCAGCAGAGGGAGAGTCCCCTAGAATTGCCAGCTAACACGCTGATCTCAGCGTGTTTATCGACATTCACCGTCATTCTCCCGTTGACGTGGATGTTTTCGCACTGGCATAGATCAACCGACCCGTTGCTGGGCGCCCGCATTGAGAGTTCGTCTTGATACTCGCCGATATGTTGGGAATCAGTAGAGGTTACATACGTTTTTTGGTTTCGGCCTGTTCCTCGCCGGCTGAAGTTTGTTCACGGCGGACTTGGCGAAACGGGAATTCCAGGTCGTAAATACAGCGGCTCTCCAACCCAAGATATGAGAATTGACAAAATACTCTTGGCTGGTCATGGTTATAACATTGTTCTCTTGTCATATACGTAAAAGATCTACTTTAAGGTCAACTTGTCTTCTCCAGTCTGTGGCCACGACAGTGAGCTGTGAGAAGGCCCCACACTGTTACCCGATTTCTCCCCGTGCATGAGTTTGCCGAACTCACTCCTCACAACTGCGAACAGCCTCACAAACCACACCTCATGCTGCTGCTCAGACTCGCAGCCCACCAGCAAGGATTGCGAATACACACATTCCTCCGCATCCCAGTATCTCATCATTACCGGAGTACTCACTCCACCACCACCACCACAACAGCAACAACAATGGGCGACGCAATCGCCACCCCGCCATCCGAGCCATCCGCCCACCCACCACCACAACAACAACAACAACAACGCCCACCCAAGAAGAAGAATGCCGCCGCCCCGGCCAAAAAAGAAGTGCGAATCCTCATGCTCCACGGATACACGCAATCAGGCCCGCTCTTCCGCGCCAAGACCCGCGCGCTCGAGAAACTGCTCGCCAAAGCGCTCGCCCCAGCGGGCCTGGTCCCTGCGCTGCTCTACCCGACCGCACCGACCCGGCTGTCGGCGCGGGATATCCCCGGTTTTGATGCCTTCCGCCGCAGTAGTGGTGATGATCAGCAGGGTGAGGAAGGTGGGACGGTAGAGGAGGAGGAGATGGATGCGTGGGCTTGGTTCCGGCATGATCGGGCTGCGGGTAGGTATAAGTTGGTTGAAGAAGGGATGGTATCCCTGGCGAAGGGTATTTCGGAGTGGAAGGAGGAGGGTGTCGCTGAGGGGGAGGAAGGGGGAGGGGTGGTGGATGGGGTGCTTGGGTTCAGCCAGGGTGGATGTGTCGCTGGCATGCTGGCTGCTGCGCTGGAAGAAGGGAGGACGACGACGACGACGACGACGACGGGGGAGGAGGCGAAGGAGCATGAAGGGTGGGTGAGGGCGGTGCGGGAGGCGAATGGCGGGCGGCCGCTCAAGTTTGCCGTCGTCTACAGTGGGTTCTGGGCCACACCGGCGGATCTCGGGTGGTTGTATGAGCCCAAGATCAGGACGCCCACGCTACATGTCCTGGGCAGTCTGGATACTGTCGTGGAGGAGAGCCGCAGCCAGGGCTTGGTCGAGAGGTGTGAAGATCCCTTGGTGCTGACGCACCCGGGCGGGCACTACGTGCCGGTCAACAAGGAGTGGGTCATGCCCGTGGCTGGGTTCATCAAGAAGTGTGTGGAGAGCGCGGCCGACGCGACGAAGCTGTAGGGCGAGACGAGACACACACGAGTTAACGGGCTTCAGCATTTTGTACAAGCTAGACTAATACACCACATAGAACCGGACGACGACGGTATTCCATCCCATCGCCCTCCTCAAATATTCTTTGACCTCTCCACCACGCTCTCAGGCGGTATCTCGCCCTGCTCTGCATACTGGTCCTGCACCGACTCGGGCGTCTCATAGTACTCGCCCCTGTACTCGCTGCCCTTGCTGCCCTGGCTGGGCACCTCCTCGCGGCTGTGGGCCGACATCCCAAGGTTCGCCTTGGACGCCAGTCGTCCCTGCTCCGAGACGTCGCCCTGATGAGCCGGCTCGCGTCCGCGGCCGCCCAGCACCTGGTCCGACGGCAGCAGTTCGGACCGGTCATGCGTCCGGAGCGCCCGCGGGTCCTTGCCCCGGGCCTTGACGTCGGCCTCGTCGATGCTGCCGGGCTTCTGCTTGTATGCCTGCGCCGTCTTGTCCTCGGGCCCGCCGGGGCCTTCGTACGCCGACCCACGGAGGAAGCTGTGTGCCCGTAGGGTGTTTAGCCCATCTCATTCTCCTCTCGTTCCGCATTTTTGACTCAAGTCTTGTGGTAGGTAGTTTGCTCACCGTCCTTTCTCGTCCACGTCGCCGCCCTCGTCGGCGGGGATCTGCCGATCGTAGCTAGCGTTTGTGATCAGGTTCTCGCCGACCTTGACATCGGCGCCCGGGAACTTGCGGTCGATGGTGTCGTTGACGCCAAAGTCCTCGAGTCCCGAGGCACGTCCCTTGCCGGTACCGGTCTTGGACTGGTAGGTGTTCAGGTCGCGCTCAGCCTGCTGGGCGATCTCGTTGAGCTTGTCGCTGCCGGGGCCGCTTTGTGACATGTTGATGGTGCTTTCAACTTGTTGCTTAAGTTGCGGGTAGGTGGCGAATATTGGTGTTGTAGGTGTCAGGTCGGATTATTGTTAAGGATTGGGGTCGATTTATCTTCCCTGAATCAGTTGCCAGTTGTAGTTCAAACGTTCCTGGGGTTTGGTGTGTGCTGTCCTCTATATAGACGTTACTGAAGGGGTCGATGTCGTCATGGGACATGGGCCTGTCAGGTAACCAACGCATTTGAGCAATCGATCTGATACGCGATATGCAGTTCCCCACTCACCTGGGAGTCATCGTGTGCTGGTGTCATCGCAGATGGAACATCTTCGCGGATCATCTGGTGGCCGTTACGTCATTCCACGTCTCGTCCCTTGACCAACCGGTGGTCGCTGGTCGGTAGAGCGCAGCAGTCACGTAGCAAAACCAAGCCTAGCAAGCTTACCTCCCACACAAGGCACAAAAAGGCGTCCCTTTCTAGAGAGTTTGGTCAATAAGATAAGGTAGGTATTATTGTTGCTTCCGGTGATCATCTCGAGTTATCGCCCCATGCCTAAACATACAGGGCATGGAATCCCAGGGATGTGTTTCCAGGTGGTATCCCGCTACGACAACTAAGCAAGTCCTAGACAGAGGTGGATGTCCGATCAAGTTGTCAACTGCCAGGCAATAACTCTCACTTGAAACGGAATAAGAGAACGAGGGATATGAGAAGGGTGACTTGGAAGGAACTGTTGTTCACTAGACTCGTTCAACGTCTTGATAATCGAATGCAACGCCATAAGCACATGAGTAACGAATGGACCATCGATATTCTATGGAAACGCTGTCATTCATGGCTTCCCAAAGGGATTGACGACTTGCAATGGCTTCGATCTAATGGTTACTCCGGAGGTCGAAGAAGACGTAATGGTGACTGGAAGATGGGACTCACTGTCGGAACCACAGGAGGCATTGCGTCCTGAGCACACTGGTAGCGACGTCTCAGTAGAATGTACAAGGACATGAAGAGGTAAGAAGTTCTGGAGGGAAACCTCGCCCTTAAAGTCCACTCTATCTACCATTCTGCAGCTAATCAGAACTCAGATGATGTCGATAACACGGTCTTCCAGATCCTTGAAAAGGTGTGTCCCTCCCGCTTTACCAGCAAGCGACATAAAGATGCCCACTCGGTAGTACTCGCCAGCCTTCTTAGCAGGATGGATGACAAGGCCCCAGGAGTGTCGGTTGTGCTCCTCGTTGTTGCAGAGCACGCAAACATCAGCCGGGATCGTCCTGCTGTCTCCCGAGGTGTCCGACACTGTCTCGGAGGGACTACCTTGGCTTGAGCGGCCATCCTTACTCAGTTCCTCCTCCTCTTCACTCACTTCGTCCTCTTGTTTCTTTTGGTATTGTTGATCCGTTTTGTCCTCTTTACCCTCTTCGCCCTCTTTGTCCCCGTACTCTCTCCAGTTATTGGTGTAGATGGCAGGCCAGTAGTTGGCCTTATTCTTCCGCTCACACGAGCTAGACAAGAGCAACAATTCTAATCTCCCGGGTTCCTGCTTTGAAGAAACAACAGCCCAGTCCAGAACACAATATGCGTCGACCTCTCCATGATGGTATACTCTCCAGATAGTATGCGTGAAGATTTGCTGTGGTACCACTACAAGATCAACTGTTACAGGTAGCACCTTTCCTCGAACCCGAATTGTGCCCCTCTGCACTTCTCCGAATGGATTCAGCCGGGCACCCTTTAGGTCAGTCCATCCATCAATGTCACTGCCCTCCGGACGGATGTGGCGGCCTACGTAGAGGATGGTGGTACCAGGCAAGCCGTATTCGACGAATCCCCGCTGAGACACCCAGGACCAAGAGGGTGGTCTGGAACCGGTCGAGGCCCGCAGCGCGCCAATACGCTCTGGTAATAGTGTGTGTGTTGGTACATCCGCAAACCATAGTAACGAGTGGTGAAGATCCCCTTTCCATAGTCCGGCCAGATACTTGTCGCGTGTGAGGTCAAACAAGTACTTCGCAATCCCCGATACGGCTGGCAGGCGGTCGGACTCGTATGTTAGTGTGAGCGCAGAATACCCCATCACACATTCTCGAAAACGCTGATATAATTGCTCCCGGCTCAAGTTGGCAATCTGCGCCGGGTGCCAATGGATCACAAGAGGTCCGCTGAATTCGCCGTTTTCCGGTAGTAGGCGTCGGCCGCACTCGAAGTGCACCATGTACTGCCCGAAGAGGAGCTTCCTGGTTGAGAGCGCCAGCTCCTGATAGACCCAACCGCGATTTTTCCAACGCGAGTTCGCGAAGTCGAAGCCATAGGGACCAAACGTGTCCGATCCCTTCTTTTTCTGCAGGCTCATGGAAAAGAGGGTATATGTGCCCCGCGCGGGCGGGTAGAGCGAGGATTGGAAAGTGAAATCGGAGGTCGCCCGCCGGCGGTCGAGAAAGCCTTGGTGGCAGCTGGGACTGGACACGGCGCAGATGGTAAAGTATGCGTGCTGAAATACGTCTCTCCAATCCGTTCGCTCTCTCTTTCCCAGTCCCTCGAATCGGCCGGATCCTGGATGATACAGAGTGCATCGATCCACAGGTAACGAACCGATAGAGCCCTACAGACCTTGACGGCGTCTTGCATAACGGCTGACATATCCCCGGTGGGAATTGCGTGCAATCTTTCGTGCAGATTGGACGGTTCGGTCTTTGTCTGGGCAGAAGCCTCCCCCTGGTCACCCCAGCAGTAACTCAGTGCAGCATATCGGATGAGTCCTGCAATGGATTCACCAGTTATGATGAGCCGGGGTTGCGAGGCAGCATCCGTTCCGAGATCGAGGAGCCTCGTGGGAAGGGATGTGATGTCTGAAAAGGCTTGTGGATGACAGCTCGATGCATAGAAGTCGAGGGCCTTTCTGAGAAATGAGATGTTGCTAGCGCCAAGCGCTTCCCTCCGGGGGGATTTGTGCAGACCTAACCAGTCTGCTACGGCCTCTGAGATAATAAGTAGGTTAGAGTGAACAGCAAACTAAGGTAACTCATGGCGCAAGCGTACTGTCTCGAGTGAAGATCTGAAAACGAAGGGTGCCAAATCCTCGGTCCACTTCAGGTTCATCGCCGCCGTCGTAGGCATTGCCGAGATCCACGAGCAATGCCTGCAGTCCTTCAGCGCCATGGTTTACAGCATCGCGCGGACCCCAGAGATAGTAAAGGTCCATATGAACCTCTCCCACTCTCTTCACATCCTCGATATTCGCCTCTAGCACGGCGGTGCGGAGGAAACCACAGAAGGCGCAGCCAGCTGCAGCCGTCTCTGCCAACTTGGGGAAGTCGGGTGAGGCGTCAGTTCTCTCTTGGCACATCAGCGTCTTGAACCGTCGGCTGCCGAATCCCCAGGTCCGTCCATGCCTCGTGAACTTTAGCACCGGGGTGTCGTTGTCCGACGTCGCCATAAAACCTCCGCAACCCTCATCGCCAAGGCGCAGGCCTTCACAATCAACGCACAGCCTTGTATCGAGCGTAGAGTCACGGATGGGCAACATGGTAGTGGGATTCGACTCGGGAGTTTCGTTTGAGGAGACAATAGATGAGAAGCGACAACTCGGGAGCAAGAGACCTGCTATGGGCCATCCAGAATGAACATGCGGTTGTAGAGGGCAGCCCCGCTGCAAACTCGCGGCCATGCGGTGATAACAGAGAGCCTTCCCTTTTTCCCCTCCTTCGATTGTACCCAACATCACCGGGCAGAATAAATTCGGAAGATGAGGACGATCCCAAACCACCTGTATGAGGCCGAGTTTAGAGCCGCCCCAGTTCACGGGCACTTCGGCGTGCTAGGTGTGGACGGCAAAGCTGAATGGAGGAATGATCGGATATCGCCGGGTTGCCTTGAAGTTCCTGACACGAGTCCCCCGACCTTGTAAGCACCCGGCAGAGGATAGGTAGGTACTTTAATCACTTCTGCTGCACATGGGTCGAGCGTGTAGAGCTGCTCAATACAATTCGCTAATTCGAGGGCTTCTTTGCATGAAAATGTGTTGTTCTGGAGTGACTTGTTGATTCCGGCCGGGCATTGACTCGTCAATTGCGGCGCTAACTTGTATTGTATCACTTAGAAAAGCACGATGACTTGGATAGCTTGATTGATGATATGATGAGCTGATTGATCGAACGAAAAGTAGGGGCCCCAGGCCCAAGTGATGATAATATTCCTAGTTCTAGGTCGGTTGGTTGGATGATGGACTTCCGTTCGGAAGCCAGAAGTTGCAGGACCACAAGAAAACCCAGTAGTCCACCCCAGTGAGTGGCACCTTCCAACCACACGTGACATGCACACCGTGACCCACGAATATCCCCAAATGGCCGTCCTCGATTACCACGATGACGCCAACAAAAAGAGGTCCTCCTAATGGGACCAATGGTCGAGCTATTCACTGCGCCGCGGCCGCCCTCACCTCCCACGCCCGTACTTCGTACGACGTCCGCTGTTCGTGGCTCAGCGCTTCCCACCAAGCCAACACCTCCCAGAAGCCCAGCCCGCCATCGCCGGCCACGAGCTCGTTGCGAAACACCTCGAACCCTGAGAGAGGAGGCGCCAGGTTGGGGTTGGGGTACGCGAGCCCGAGTAACCCCGCGTCATCGTAGGCGAGTCTCAACTCATAGTCGGCCCAGGCCTCGCGGCGTAGCAACTCGGCCCGCGCGCGGTACGCTTCCTTCTGGTCCTCGGGCAGGGCCGCCCAGCCCGGCGCGGCGTCGCACGCGAAGTCGGGGGAGCCGGTGTCCTGCTGGAATAGTTGGAAACCGCCGACACCCCCGTACCCGTACGTGTCAGGCCAGGGGCCCGAGCCGACGAGGTCGACTCGCGAGGGGACCGGTACTGCAGAGGGGACGGGTGGCGGTGTGATTGTAAGTGGGGTGCGACGGCTGAAGATCTCAGCTTGAAGAGCGGCGAGTCTGATGTCCTCTCGGGCGAGGTGCTCTTTCCTGGACCGCTCGTGGGCTTTGAACTCGCGTTCTGCGCAAGCTTTCCAGACAGCAAGGTCCAGCCCCAGGCGGCGCGACAGTAATGTGAGGACGTGTCCAAACCCCGGAATCGCGTGGGCCGCCATGGCTCGGCAAGGGTCATACTCGTCTCGATCGTAGAAGTTGTGAGCGATCAGAAAGGCCTCGTCGTCGCTGATGACGGCGTCGAACTGGCCGCGGTCGAAAGCGTTCTTGGCCTTGGCGTGTAGCTCGGCCGGCGTACTAAGCCTGCCACCGGTTGCGCGCTGGATGTTGGCGCGTACTATGTCCGGCGGTGGCCACCCGCGAGCTTCGTGAATCTCCTCGGTGGTCAGGGAATCGGGATAAGCAAGTGCCTTGCCGAGGACGTCGCCGCGGCTGAGGAGCAGCTGGCGCTCCGCTTCGGTAAGCTGGTCCTGGTGGTCCCGGGTCTTGTCGTAGAGGCTCGTGGGGAGGTTTCCGTAGGCTGCCTGCACTGCGCGTCGTCGTCTTCGAACATCGCGATCTATGGACGCCATGATAGAGGCTTCGTTACGCCGCATGATCTCGGCGCCCTCCTCGGTACTCGAGTCGACATCAGGGTCGGGCCAGTCCTCCTCCCGATGGAGGAAGTCGGGGTCGCTACTGGGTGATTCCGCCATGTCGGATCAGTGAAGTGCTGGCTCTGGAATATTGAGCGGGAAGTGGGCCGAATTGGAGATGGTGTTGCGCGGTGCAAGCGGCACTTGCCTCGTCATCTCCTGGGAACAGGCAGAAAAGAAAAAAGGCGTCATTTTGAGGGCTGCATTTGTATGGCATGACACTGGTTTGTTTGTTAACGCGATGCCACTTGTGGATACAGGGTTTTCTCACTCTCACACTGCAGAACGACATCGTTGCCTGCAACGGCCTGGGGGGTACCGAAAATTACCATGCAATAGGCTCTAGGCAGAAATTGAAGAATGTCCACTTCAACAGCACTAAACAATAAACTCACTTCTGCTGCACATGCGTCGAGCGCGCAGAACTACTCAATAAGATTCTCTCATTCGAGGGCTTATTTGCATGAAAATGTGTTGTTCTGGTGTGACTTGTTGATTCCGGCCGGGCACTGGTCGTGACTCGTCAACTGAGGCGCTAACTTGTATTGTACAATACCACGTGACCTGTACACCCACAGATATCCCCAACCCTGCAAAATTCACTTCGTGCGGCATCGACATTTCCTACTTGGGGGTCCGAGCGTTGTTACACACTAGTCCGTACTTAAACCATGATCGGGCTTATGCTTCGTGTCTTAGGACTAAGAAGGCCCATCTGGACGATTCTTCATACAAAAGAGTAGCGACAACACAACTTGAACGAGTCCGAGTTAAGACCATCATCGCCTTGCTGTCTGAACAAGAGCTGAACTTGGCGCGAACCGTGGCACGCGCCTTTGTACTCTGCGCTAGCCGTTTTTGTGCTGACGTCGGGCTTAAATCTCGGTCCGACGTCTGCGTCCCGAATTGTTGTTGCTCACCCTTGCCACTGTGACACGGCCGCGGAAGCCCAAACCGCAAAGCAGCAGCAGTTCTGGTCGCGTCTCGGCCGGAAGGTCGAAATGTAACGACTAGCCTGCGTTTTTCTGTGGCGGACATCTTGTCCCAAGTCGTTGGGTAGCAGTCACTTAGCCGTGGCACCAAACTCGACTAGCTGTCTGCATGTGCGTCGATCCAGCTACCGATGATGGTCGACGTCTGTTGGGATTCATGGATGGATTGCTGGCTTTGTTCAGGCTAGTGTATGCTACCTGATGATCGGTGGACGCGGGAGATGTTACCCTATTCCGTGGCGGCAGAGCTCCCATCGTCCAATGACCGGATCTCGGATAGCAAGAAAACAGGGGTTTGGGCAAGCAGGGCCACACACACGCTCGAGGTTCGACGCTTTTAACCTTTCCTTTCAGCCTCTCACCTTTGCGGGAACGGAACAGGCTGGGATGAATGGCAGCTTGACCGTTAGGTCGTAGTATGGTCAAGTTTCCCCCGCTTTCTTGGCGGCGTTCTCCAACAGGCTGAACCCGTTTTATACTAGACACCATCAGTTGGCCAAGTCCTGTTGAGCCGAAAGCATCCCTTCTCCGCATGGGTAGCACGTTCGCCAAGTGCTCGTGACACGCTAGCCTGGGTCGGCATTTGGCTGCTTCCCCAGATTGGAGAATGGCAGTCCGGGGCATGTAAGCGGAGCTGCCAGAATGGATCGATGGCCCAGGCCCGGTGCATACTGTGCCAGGGCAGACCGGATCGACATGGGATGGAATATATGAAGGCGGAATAGTACATACATACACCCAGCCAGGGGACGTCGCAACCGATCTACGAATCCTCTCTTACTCTCTCTCTTCATTCCTGCTTCCCCAGTCCCAAACCCGCGTTGGCTCTGTGCGACACTTGACCACAGAGTGAGAGGTTGCTCCCCTGAAAGTCGAGAGCAGAACATCATCGCAAGAACCTCTTCGATCTCCCAGGATGACGGAGAAGTCTGGCGAGACGTGGAAGGCGCACTGGAAGTGCTTCGTCGCCTGTGGCATCATTGTGCTCTCGCCCTTCCAATATGGCATCGACTTTGGTCTTATCGGCGGCCTGCAGGCTATGCCCGGCTTCCTCAAGGTGAGTCTATTCTATCTAGATACATGTAGACATTTTAATACTATGAGTACACTCTCTGACCGTCATTTCTCCCAGATCTACGGCCACGAAGCGCCCGGTACAGCCATCGGGTGGAACCTCGACACCATGCGACAGCAGCTGATCTCGTCGCTCATGACGCTCGGCGCCTTCATCAGCTCCGGAACGGCCGGTGTCATTGCCACATACGTCAGCCGCAGACAGTGTTTGTGGATGGCATGCGTGGGCTGCGCCATTGCAAATATCCTCATGATGGCCACCGAGCACATTGGCGCGCTCTATGCCGGGCGCTTCCTCATCGGGCTGGCGAACGGGTACTTCATGACCTTCTCGCAGCTGTACCTCCAGGAGAGCAGCCCGGCACGGTACCGAGGATTGTTCCTGACGGCCTTCCAGTTCTTCACGTCCTTTGTTAGTATTCTCATCTCCCATGCCCCTTTTATTAACCAATTCAAATCCAGGGGCTAGTAGCCTTGTACTGACTGCCTTACCCAACCCAGGGCACGCTCATCGGCACCATCATCGACTGGGCCACTGCCGGCCGGCCAGACAAGTCCGCCTACCTGATCCCGCTGGGCATGATCTACATCATCCCGACCATTCTGGCCGTCGCCATGCTGTTCATCCCGGAATCGCCCCGCTGGCTCATCCTCACGGGACGATACGAGGAGGGTGTCAAGGCCCTGCGCTGGCTGCGGCCGGTTGACGCCGACGTGGACGGCGAGGCTTCCGAGATCCGGGCTGCTATCCAGAAGGAGAGGGAGCTCGGCACCGGCGCCTCAGTCGTAGACATGTTCGCCAACCCGATCGACAGGCGGCGCACCATCCTCGCCGTGTGCGCCGTTACGCTGCAGGCCGCGTCTGGATCCATGTTCATCATTGGTGGGCCAATTTAATCATTCTGATTTGGGGTTTGTTTGAGTCTCCTCTAACGATGTCAATTAATTCACAGCCTACAAAGCGTACTTCCTCGCCATGTCCAAGGTGGCCAACCCGTTCGGCATGAGCAACGTGCTGAGCGCCATGGGCATCCTGGCCATCTTCTTCAACTCGCTCATCGTCGTCCGCTACGGCCGCCGCCGCACCATCCTGATGCTCGGGCTGGCCCTCTGCGGCCTCTTCCAGCTCATCATCGCCATCGTCTACGACAAGCAGCCCGGCACGACCTCGACCGGCCAGGTCCTCGTGGCATTCACCTGCATCTACATGATGAGCTACAACGTGAGCCTCTCCATTTCCCTCCATTTCCCTCTCTCTCTCCACACACAAACAACAACTCACATGAAAATACAAAAAAACAGGGAATGATCTCGTCCTACGCCTGGCTCGCAGGAGGCGAGATCCCCTCGCAGCGGTTGCGGTCGTACACCTTCGGCCTGGCCGCGGCGGCCGGGTTCCTGTTCGCCTGGCTGACCACCTTCACGGCACCCTACTTCATCAACCCGGAGTCGCTCAACTGGGGCCCACGGTACGGGTACATCTGGGCGCCGTCGTGCGTGCTGGCCGCGCTGTGGGTCTTCTTCTTTTTGCCGGAGACGAAAGGCCGCACGCTCGAGGAGATCAATGAGATGTTTGAGGCGCGGCTGCCGGCGCGAAAGTTCCGCAAGCATGTTTGCGTCGGGCACGTCGCCGTCGGCGGGGATGGTGATAAGGTGGTCGTGCAGGGTAAGGAGGTGGAGGTGGAGTTAGGGAGGCCTGCCTCGAAGGAGAAGGCTATGGGTGAGGTCCAGCATGCGGAGACGAAAGTCTGAGTAAGGTACTAGGTAATAGGTCTGGAGGGGGGACCCCGATAGACTAATATGAGAATTATGGGCTGGTATGGGCAGTAAATGCTGTATTCGTGTTCGTGCCTGTGTAGACTTGGTATGAAGTTGCTCTATGGATTGATGGACGGCCAGCATACGGTGCCATAATTATTACATCTCCTCTCCCGACAACTATTTCTCATCAAGTGCTCGCGGGGGTCGCGGGGTCGACTCCTGCCTAGTCATCCGTGGCCGCAAGGAGCCTTTATAACAGCGTTCCCTCCTTGAAGTGAAACGTAGGGAGAGCGCTGAAGTTCTACACACTCGTCGTGTTGAAGAAAAAGAATAGTGGTGGAAGTGCCCAGAGTCAGAAATGCCAGAGAAAGTGGCCAGGTATAACCCAGGAGCATCGACGGAAAGTCGAAGCCGGCCGAGGTAATCTCAGCCACGGGAAACGCCGACATGCTGTGTATCCATTTCTCTTGCTACATCAGAATGGCACAGTACAGTAACCTCACGGATCCGCAACCGCGCCTGATCATGCCGATCCACGTCGTGTCACCTCAATTTCTTTTCCTCAACATTACGTGCCAGACTGGTCCGTTCATTCTCGGCCGAAAAGAACAAAGCTCGTCTCTCTTTGCCCTTGCGTTGGCCGGCTCAGTTCCGATTCTGGCGTCACACAGTAGTACCGTAGTCGTAGTAGCGCTCATGCCCCAACGCCGAGAACCACGAATCTCCTCTAGCAGTTGTTACACGACACTAAAGGGTGAAACTTGGCATCGTCGTTCCACAGCGCAGAGCTGGCTACAGTCGAATAGACCTGGTACTCGGATCCCCTTGGACCTGTTGGCTTTCCGACGTTCAACGGACGTACATACCTGCAGCGATCGCTTCTTGAGCTGGGCTTCTTCGGCATTCCTACCAGGGAGGCATAACGTGCTGACGTCAGATCATCACGTATGCTGTGCTCTGCTGCTTCCGACTCTTGCGTAGGTGGTCAGTAAATACCTCCAAAAGTCAGATTAAATAGATGTCAACAACTACTAGCCGCCTGCCATGACCGTCATACGGTTCAGCGGGCACGTCTAGGGGGGAAATCTTTTACCTGGCGTCAGGACTCGTGTAGCCTTAGCTCTGTGATGGGCTACTCTGTCGCCTAATCGCCAATAATCGCTATGAAACGTGACTCTGCCGAGGCACTTACACCATCCCCACCGCTATAGGGACCTGATGCCGTGACGGTGATACAGAGACAGCGGGCAAAGATTCGGAAGGAGCAGTGCATGGCGGCACGGGGGCTGCAGTGTGCTGGCATGGCATCTGTGTAACTGCTTGGCGTGATGAAAAGGAGCTTTGTCAACCTATGGAAAGCCTTGCGGGTAGGAACCGCCACCACCCGCTGGTGACGGGCCGTCTGTTAAGACCAGCACGGCAAAGGCGACGACAGCGACAGAAGAAGGCGCGCTGCAAAAGCAGAGGCCATGTGGACTCTACTAGTAACTCCTGGTGATACCGGCTGATATGTCGTCCGAGTACAAAGGGCTGGTGCAAGACCACCTAGACAATAAGAAGTGAGATTGCCGTAGCCGGAGAGCATCCCGAGTGATGGTCGCGCCGCTGCCATGCAGATGAAAAAACTTTGCAATCTATCTGACACCGTCATTATTAGTATTTGAGAGCAACAACGCCTCCCCGACAGTCCATAACTTCCTGACCCGTCCCATCCCGACGGACCGGTTCTATCTCGAGGACAATGTCGCTCCCCTCTTCAGCCTTCAGCCCTTTTGGCCATCCGAGCGATTACCGAGCCTATTTCCGCAGACCCCCGAAGAGCTATCCGCCGGTTTCAGACCACAGGCCACTGTTCGTAGAATCAACGATGAGCTCAGCGCAAACGACCAGTGCGCACACAACGCTTCCACCTGCGGCTTCCGCTACCGCTGGACACGCCGAGCCGCTGCCGGAACGGCCGATGATTCCGACCAGCGCTGCGGACTGGGAGGCCAAGAAATACATCATCAGGGAGCTGTACATGGACCAGAACAGGATCCTGAACGAGGTCATTGAAATCATGATAACGAAGCACAAGTTCAAAGCTACGTATGTCGGTCCCAAACTGAGAGTCCGGCCGAGGAGAAATGAACAATATCTGATTTGGGCGACAGGGCGAGAATGTACAAGGGCCAGTTTGCCAAGTGGAAGTGGTACAAGTACAACAAGTCCAGCAGCCACGGGTCTGCAAAGGCGACAAAAGCAACAAGGTCAACCAGAAGGAAAGGCGCCAGAGCCCGATCACAGACGCCGTTTCATCCCACGGACAGGCCGGACAGCCAGCAGGTCGTGCCCCTCTCCCAGCGCCACTATCTTCTCCAACACTTCAGCGATGAAGAATGCCAAGTCGAGTCAACACTGAACGCCTACGCCGCCCTGATCGGCCACTGGCTAGAGAGCGAAACGCCCTGGAGGAACCGCAGCCGGCGGCCATGCAGCGCTTCCAAACTTCAATTCCCACAACCACAACAACAACAGCCACAAGAACAACAGCTCTCCGTCCTACAACACGTCCGCGCCGCGCAAGACCACTTCCTCGCGGGCCGCGTGGCCCTCGGCGGGGAGTTGCTCCGCGCAGCCTTCCTGCGCATCGAGACGGCAGTCGACGACCACGGCCTCAACGTCGAGGCCGTCTGGGACTGCTGCCTGGCGGTGCCCCAGCTGGCGCTCACCCACGGCTGGTCCGACATGCTGGCCATCTTCGCGCGCTACCTGCACCAGCTGGCGGGCATCAAGCTGCCGCGGGGGCATCCCATCACCCGGATTGCCGCATTTTTGCGTAACCTCTCTTCTTCTTTTTCTTTTTCTTCTTCCTCTTTCTCCTCTTCCTCAACAACAACTACTACCACTCCTAGTAGTAGTAGTAGTAGTAGTAGTAGTAGTAGTAGTAGTAAAAACTGGTGGCAACCCCTAGAAACATACGTCTCCCTCGCATGGCAAGTCTGGATCGACGCCTCCCTGCGGCAGCGCGGCGCCCGCGACGACGTGACCATCCACCTCAAGCGCGGCTACGTAACCCTGCTCAACCCAGCGCACCCGATGACAGCCACGCTCATCGCCGATTTCGTCGTCGGGCTCAAGTCCTCCCTCGCGCAGCGCGGCGCCTTCGCCACGACAAGCCGCATCCTCGAGCTCGAGCACCTGCTCACGCGCATGTATGTGCCGCTGTTCACGCCCGCATCGGCGCGCAATGCCGAGGTGTTGTTGACCAATCTGAGCGGGAGGGTGGAGGCGAAGAACAAGGGGAAAGAGGTGCGGAGTTGGGAGTATATGGATCGCTATCTGGTGTTTAGTAGTTATAATTTCATGGCTAGTATTGCGGAGTATGGAGGAGATAAGGAAAAGGGGGAGTGGTATCGTCGGAAGGTGTGGCGGGATGAGAGCCAGCCGAGGGATTTGTTTTGGTTGCAGACGAGTTTGTTGCTGGAGTCGAGGCTTAGGGGTCAGGGGATGGATGCCGAGGCGAATGCCATACAGGAGGCCAGGGCTGAGGTGAAGGGTAGGCTGGGGACGGAGTTGCGGCTGACGGGGCGGGTGGACTTGGAGGAGCCCGGGGTGGTGGCGGATGGGATGGTCTCTCTGCCGGGTGGTGCTGACGTCCATCAAGATGCTGCCACCGTCGATGGTTAGCTAGCGACCACCGGCAATACCAGACGCATTGGAGACCGGACCGGCTTTTGCGGCGATGAGCCAACCGGATATATCCAAAAGCCGATAGTTCCGCGCCAAGCGTTCCTTCAGCTTTGCCCTGGTGATCCGTCGCTTTGCTATAAGAGAGATGCAGTAGCAGTAGCAGTGCTATTCAACCAGGCAGAATAATCTGGACATCAGCTACAGCGCGCCATCAATCATTGCTTGCTTTATCTCAACACAGTCAACAGCATGACGGACATGTACTATCCTCAGCACCTCCCCTCTCTCAGCGAGCGCGAAGCTGTCGCCGACGCCCTGTACCGGGCCGCCATCGGCTGTGACCACAACGACGCCGAGCTCTTCAACTCGGCGTGGGCCGGGGAAGACGTGTCCTTTGAGTTCCACGAAGACAACGACAAGAGAGTGATGTCTTGTCTCTCCGCCATCCGCAAGAACATCCTCGAGATAGTCGGTCCCATGGATACCACGCACAACACTTCCATGGTTCGTGTGAACTTGGAGGATGGCGCCGACACGGCCACTCTCACGGCGACCTCGACCGCCCAGCACTGTCCTCCCGGCATGGGCAGGGATCCGACTGGGCCCAAGTACACTACTGGCGGCGAGTACTCCGTCGACCTGATCAGGGATGAATCGGGAATATGGAGGATCAAGAAGCTAGTGTTGCGTATTGTATGGACGCAGGGAGATCCTTCAGTAATACGGCCCAAGCCAGAGGCAGCTGCATAAGTGGTGGATCTAGTTAATATTGAGGTCGGCGAGCTTTATTGATTGATCCCAATGCGAGTCTTAAAACGCGTTAACTATAAGTTGGCTTCTTAAGGATTTCATAGCGTCTAAAAAGACCCAAGACCAAGAACCCCTTTGTTCGATACTTAGGATGGCGAGGATGGACAGGAAGAGCCGAGAACAGCTGCTCCACAGTGAAAACGAGGAAGAGGATACGGCATGGGGAAGGATTGTTGCAAAAAAGTCTAGCACCGACGCCTCTTGTCTTTGGCGAAAACCTGCGGCCGATGGAGCATCGAAAAATGACCATGAAACAGCGGGAACTGACAGAGTTAACACATACCTGCCCTGATAATGGGGCCGACCTGCGGGACTCGCCACTTGGTTTTGCACTGCACGCATATTGTTGGTGTTCAACATCAATAAGAGCTTCCCGCCCAAGAGTAAGGTAGCGAGCTTTCTGACCTACTACCCTCAAAACAAAGGCTGTTCTCAGCAAGTCCCATTCCCAACAATCCGATTCCAGACCTCACTGGAGCGTCTCCAATTGACCTCTCTTCCTCCCCGTCAAAATCCACTGCCAACCCCATTTTCTCCTTCACAATCATCAACATCTCATCCGAACCCGCCACAATAAGGTCCGCCAGACACTTTGCAGCCGCTTCGAGAAGTCGCAGGTCAATGACCTGCGTAGATCCCTCGACGGATCCCGCCGCCGCCCAGAAGATGTACCCAACCACCCAAGGAAGCTCGGTCTCACGCTCCATATAGGCCGGGGTGTACTTCTGCCTCAGGAGTGGGTCGCAGCGTTTCCGGACATCGCGAAGGAGTTGCCAGCACTTTCGATGGAAAGCCAGGTAAGGAAACGAGAACTCCAGCGTCTCGGCTTGGAGAGTCAAGACTAGGGACTCAATGACGGATTCGGCGCGGAGTTTACGTCCTGCATGAGGAAGTTTGCCCCTCGGTCCTTTCTTGCCGCCCTCGTCGGATTGGACCATCGAGAAGGTTCCTTCCTCCGTCGACTCCTCCGGCTGCCACTTGCCGGTGGAGATAACCTGGTCGAGATCTTCGGGGGTCCAGTTGAACCGCGCACTGTTTTCTACGTACCGGCTTTTGAACGTCCGGTTCACACGGGCGCCCTCCTTGATCCCGCGAGGGCCTGCGCGGGAGGCAACTTTCGACTTCCGGCCCGGCTGCTTCTGGCCCACGAACGCCGTCACGGAGACGCCCATCTGTAGGCAGAACCTCTTGAGGTACTCATGTGTATCCTTGGAGGCGTCCCCGACATGGAAGCTCGATAACCCGAGCAGGGCGTAGACGATTTCCATGTCATCCCACTGCTTGGGCAACAGCTTTTCGCGGCGCGCGGCGTTGTAGAGATGCCAGGCGTACGAGACCGAGCCAAATGCGTTCGCGATCGCGATGCCGATGTCAAAGAGCCACGTGCGGAAATGGAACAGCATCAGGCCAGCCAGGACGGAGGAGGAGCGCAGTATCCGATGGCGATGTTTGAGCTTGCGAAGGTCTTCTGCTTGACCCTGAAGACCGGATCTCTGCTAATCTAGCGGATTCTGCTCTCAACCTGCTGCAAGACACGATCGTCCGCGGGAGTCCAGTTCTCAAACTTTAGGCATTTGTGGAAGTCGGCTTGCTCGCGCAGGGAGTCCCTCATCAGCGTAATCTGCTCCATCATCTGATGGAAGGCACGAGCGACGTCGGCTCGTAGAATGTGGTGGATATCTAAGTGGACCTGGGCCGCGAAGACGAGATGGAAGGGCACCTCACGGGTCTGGTCCATCCCCTTGATCCCTCGCAGAAATTCATCTTGGATCGGGTAATCCTGGACACGAGCAACCGTAATCAGCTCGGAGAACATCTCGTACAGGGGGATCCGGTCCTCTTGAAACTTTTCCCTTCCGGACATCGTGGTGCGATCGCGCCGGGGTCGTACGTCCAGTGAATTCCGTCCTTGTAGAGCGGGAGATTGGGGCCAAGAATCCTCACCACGCTAAGGAGAACATTGTAAGCCACCATGGAGACGTCGCCCTGAACATCGTAGGTGTTGGGGTTCGGATGTCCATTCGCGTCCTGAACATGCTCAATATCGAACCCTCTGGCCATGCAGCAGGCGAAATAGAACCTCTGTGCTATTGTCCAAACACCGTGAGACCGAAAGACAGGAAGGACCTCCTCAATCAGATCTCGGGCAAGGTCCACTGCTGCATTTGTTGCGATGGCGGCTACAGCCACGTCAATGACGCCAGTCTGGTAGTTGGTCCAAATCCAGCGGATTCGCTACCTGATCGGTTGGAGGTCGGTCCACATCATTTGGTAAGATGGTGACGGCATCCAGGAGGGAGGTCTGTTGCTCGGCCTCGTACACGACATCATCTTCCGCTTTCTCCGTCGCTGGTCGTTCCAGGGAAATGGAGGAACTGTCGGCGAACTCGGCCGGTTCGTAGCCTTCCAGAGCGGCGAACATGTTGGCGAGACGCTCAGGCTCGTCAGGCTGCTGTCGAAACGGAGGGTCGGCGACACCTGCCGGCATTCTGGGCTTGAGAACTTCCCGCACCTTCTCGAGGACGCCGAGGAAATAGGAGTGTCGCTCATTCGACTCATCGTCGACTTCGGGTCCATGGCTGGTGATGTCGTCTGCGAAACGGGATCGGACCTTGATCACCCTGTCGTTGACGGACGCAAACGCCGCGGGGACAGCGACAGCGGGTTGGCGAGAGGCAATCCATTCGGCCAGGGGAATGAAATCCTTGATGGCGACCGTGTACTTAGGTGCGGCGGCGGATTGGGCTTCCGGGTTTTGCCGGGCTCCTTTTCGAGCTTTGCCCTTGAGGCGGCCGCTTTTGGTGGCGGGGTATTGTCCGTGAGGAGCTCAGCTGGGTACTCGTGAGCTTTGGCCGTGCGCGCGAGCCACGACGCTACCGCATCTGTGTCCTATTTGTATTGCCGGTAGGCATTGAACATCGACGGTGGCAGCATCTTGAATTCTTGATTGATGCCTAATGGGTGTGGTTGAAATTCCGGCTCGCCAAATCCCCAGGAACTGAGGAACAGTTCAAGTCCAAAGTCCAAAGACTCCAAACCTCCAGCCTAAACACCGGCCGACTGTCGCTGCAATGACTTCTGCCTACGATCTCATCGGCCAGCATTCCTCTAATACCCTCTATAACCCAGAATATGTGTCTTACACGGATAAAGAATGGGCCCGGCCATACCCATCGATGCAAAACCTCATTGTTCACACAACCATCGACGATCAGGACATCGTCCACGCTACTTTCGATCTTGCGTTCATGCCTCTTGATAGTGACGAAGAGAAACGTGCTGCCGAGCCTGCCCTTGCACCAAACAAGCGGTACTGGATGCTCGAGACGGAGGCTGACGTGGAGCACTGGTGGCACACAGAAGTCTCCGACATCGTGATGGCGGCGTGGGCCAGATATCCCGCCATCGTTCAAACCTGCCACACCAAGCCTCCAAGCGAGATCCACATCTCGGAAAACGTGGACACGACCTACGGCGTGTATTTCGGCAACTGGCGATATCCCGTAGCAATCGGGGAGATCAAGAGAAACCTGATCAAGAAGAAGGAATGGCAGACTAATAGCTTGCGTGATTCACAGCAGAAACTGGCGCGTGAGCTCCGCGGGTGAGTGACGTTTATATTGCACGCACCTGGGTTGGTTGTCTCGAGTATAGGATTCTATTGGGCTGGGGTCTCGTCTTAAATCAAGTCTAACTGTTGAGTCGACTAGGTATGCCGATAAGTATCAATGTCCCCAAGTCTTCTGCTGGGACGGCCGAACTTTGTTGGTGCTCCAGTTTCGGGCCCATAAGCTCGAGCACATCAGGAACGCAGACTGCCCAATCGACTGCTGGGTCATCCCCGTCCAAGGATCTATGTGCACCTTCTGGTACGCACTCTACAGGCTCATGGTTCAGGGATTCCGCAGGTGCCAGGGGGTCGTTGCGGCCAAGCCTCTCCGTGTTGGCACCTTACAAGAGCATGGGCGAGAGTTTTTCACCGGGCGTCCGATCTGGATGGTTGACGGCCACTCTGGTACCAATCATCCAGATGATTATGTTCGGGTCGTCGATGGTGCCACTGGGGGTTTGTTCTGGAGTCACGAAATGGTTGAAGATTCGGTGTGGGAAACCGAAGCTTTCTGGCGCACACCAGACCAAGTGTTGAACCAGTAAGACCTTTGCGGTCTTTATGTTCAGCATGGCTTTCACGCCCTTCCACATATCTGGCTTGGCTGGGCGCTTCACCTTCTTCGCCCCCTTCACCTCCTTCACTTCCTTCACGCTCTTTTCTCTGCCTGACCTCTGCACACTACAACAGAATTTTTTTCCTGGTGAGCTGATTCGTGGTCAACGGTCTTTTATGGGCGCTTTCTTCTATAGGTTATATATAACGTATCTTATAAGCGAGTGACCCATATAAGCGAATGACCCACTTTCTACGCAACGCGACACCTCCACCCTCAACAACACATTTTCTCTACCATTGAGGATGCCCGCTACTTTGAAAGAGGATAGGTTAAACTTGGCTCTCCAAGTTCTTCAAAACGATAAAAATCTAAGCGAACGAGCCGCAGCCAAGATCTATGGGGTCGACCGTAGAACCCTAGCGCGTCGACGCGCCGGAAAGCCTGCACGATGCGACACCACGCCCAACTCGCGCCGGCTTACCGATTCCGAAGAGGAGGCGCTTGTTCGATATATAATTAAGCTCTCCGAGCGAGCTTTTCCGCTCAGGTTATATAGTGTAGAAGATATGGCCAACCAACTTCTATATATATACGACGCGCCCCCTGTTGGCAAGCTCTGGGTATATAACTTCGTCCAACGTAAGGAAGGGATCCAAACGCGCTAGGCGTATAGATACAACTACTAGAGGGCCAAGTGCAAGGACCCAAAGGTCATTGGCGATTGGTTTGCCCTTATATAGAACATCAAGGCCAAGTACAGCATTATAGATGACAATATCTATAACTTTGACGAGACTAGGTTTATAATAGGCATTATCTATACAGGTATAGTCGTTATAACCTCTGATGGCAGGAGCAAGGCAAAGCTAGCTTAGCCTGGCAACCGCAAATAGGCGACAGTTATCTAGGGAGTCAATGCCCTCGGCTAGACCATCCCTCCATTTATTATCTTGGCCGCACAGTACCACCTCGCTAACTAGTATACCGAGTGTAACCTCCCGGCCAACTGGCGCATTACAACCACCGATAATGGCTGGACTACTAATACTATAGGCCTAGATTGGATCAAGTACTTCGACTACCATATAGCGTCCCGGGCAAAGGGCAAGTACCGGCTATTGATCCTCGATGGCCACAAGAGCCACCACTCCACCGAATTCGAGTTCTATTGCCAGCAGAATAATATTATTACGCTCTATATACCTCCGCATTCCTTGCACCTCCTCTAGCCACTTGATGTCGGCTACTTTAGGCCGCTAAAGAAGGCGTATAGTCGCCAGATTAAGCACTTAATACAGATGTATATCACCTACGTAAGCAAGCTCGAGTTCCTCTATGCCTTCCGTAAGGCCTTCTTCGCCTCTATGACGGAGAAGAATACCCAGGGTGGCTTTGCAGGTGCTGGCCTTATGCCGTACGATCCAGAGAGGGTGCTATCCAAGCTAGATATAAGGCTTCATATACCAACACCCCTGAACTCGCAGGCCGGCACACTACAACCTTGGATCTTCCAGACACTATACAACCCTCGAGAAGCGACCTCGCAGTCAACACCCATCAAGACTCGCATTGCCAACCATCAAAATAGCTCCCTAACCTTGATGTTGGCTGCTATAGACTAGCTTGCTAAGAGTACAACGGCGGTAATACACCATGTGGCTCTCCTTCGTGCAGAGAACGCTTCGCTCCGCAAGGCCAACGAGGCACTAAGCAAGCGCCGGAGAGCAAAAAGAACACGCGTACAGCTTGGAGGATCGCTTGCAGTACATGATGCAAAGGATCAACTGGGCCAGAAGGCCGTGGTTGGGGAGGTGGCACAAGAAAAGGAGCAGGATAGTGGTGGTACAGGGGGGGGTCGTACGAAGGTTCGGTGCTGTGGTGTGTGCGGCAAGCCTGGCCATAATGCCCGCACTTGCCAGGAGGTTGTAGAAGCATCTGATTCAGCTGTTTCCGATGTAATTATAGTTGGTTCCTAGTATTATTGTGGTATAATCGAGGATAGTTGTTAAAGTTTGGCAGGGGGGTGGGTCATTCGCTTATATGGGTCACTCGCTTATAAGATACGTTATGCCTGACTTTGAAGTATTAGTTACATCCTCTCAGCGAGATTGTTTCAAGATCCAAGTTCCTTGAAAAGGTGCACCCCTTAGCCCATGCCGCGAATAGGTACCTACTTCTCATATGCTGGCGGAGTACAACATTATTCTCGACCTGATGGTGCCTGCCTCCTACCAGTTATGGTAGACTGCTGTGGCGGCGGGGCCAAGTAATAGCAACCTGGAAGAGACCCAACAGCCGAAAACCACTATCATATCCGGCCTATCTTAGCACTATACCTATAGCAGCTCTCACTACAATGCCATTCCTTATCCAACCATTACCAATAGCTCTCGGAGTAATCGACCGTGACCTCCTGCCCCGCGGCGATCCCTTTGTTTACTCTAACACGATGCGCTCGACGTTACTTCACACAAAGGTCTGCAGCTGTGCGTTGCGGCGGCAGCTGTGGTTCACAAAGCGCTTGTAGTTGTCCTGCCGGCCCTGCCAGATCTGGTAGCCGCGGCTGCTCAGTACGTCCATGTCCTGCAGGTCCTTGGTGACCAGCCCGACAAACTCGCTGACGGCGGCGCCACGGTCGAATGAGACCAGCGCCTGCAGCCTATTGTTGCGTCCGTTGGCTGTCCGGAAGACCTGTACGGGCGGTGCTTTTCGGGACGGAGAGCCGAACAGGGAGGGGAAATAGTAGCAGGCGTTGGCCTTAGGGTCGTCGAACTGCTCCCGGCCGTAGCTACGGCAGCTAAACCCGCCGGCGGTTTTGAATATTGTGATCCGTGGTGGCACCCACCGTGGATCGTCGTCGTACCAGGCGCGGACGTTGATGATGGACTCGTTGAGGTGTTCGAAGTTAAACAGTGGGTCGCGGTCGATGTAGATGTAGGGAGAGCGAAGCGGCACTGGCTCGGTGGCGCCGCAGGGGAAGACAACCCAGTAGCTCGGCCAACGATGGCTAGCAGTTGGCGCCAGTTTGGATGCAGTGTGTCGGCCGCCACCTCCATCCTCGAGCGCAGCGACCGCAGCATCTGCATACTCTTGGCGTCGAAGCCGATACGGTACTTGCAGAAGTGGTAGATAACCATGCCGGCAATCACGAGGACGACCCAGCCCCCGGCATCCTTGATCTTCCTTGTATTCGCTCCAGATTCGCATGTGGTTGCGCATCTCCTTCTCGGTCCAGCCGAAATCCCGGCACGCCTCCATCAAGGCCGCCCTGCGGCACTTCTTTGTCATCATAGATAGATTAGAGGCTGTGATAAGGCTGACGTAGGACTCGAAGAGCTCGACCTAGCGCGCCTGTACGACGACCTCGGCGGACGCACAGGTCCGGCTTGCCTGGGTGACTTTGCGGCAGAAGAAATTGCTCTGGTTGAACGGCGCAGGGTCGGCCATAGCAGGCAAGTGACCACCCAATCTAAATATATGAGGAGACTGAGCCGCTGCGCTCGTTGCGTCGTGGGTAGTCGCAGCGTTGGAGGTGTTTGCGGCCAACGGGGCGGCCCGCCACTGCTCCAGAATTCTCCGCAGGTCGAGGTCGATGCCGCCGTGTATCTGCTCCCAGATGCCCACGACAAGCTTATCCAGGGACGCTTCCCGCAGAGTGGCGACAGCGTCGTCGTACGAGCTTTGCTCACTTGGGAAAGCTACGGGCGGGGACCTGCATCTGTCGTTGGCTGTCGATACCATCCACAACCGTCACGTGGGAACGAGAAGGTCGAAGCCCACTGACCCCCTTTCGACGAGGTGGTTTACTTATACCGGGTGAGTCCGGGTGAGGAGTGGACGGATCGGATGCGCAAATGGTTGGGGATGGAGACAGTGACCGGTTCTCTGGCATTACAGGTGGCTCATGTGGATCCTTCGCGGCGTCGATGTGTTACTCGGAGCTGTCGATGGTGCGGACGCCGATAGTATACTTGACAGGTCAAGCTGTCTCTATTACACAAATTAGATTTGTAACGACGACGACGAATAGGATCGCCTTTTGGGATTATGATATTTGGAAAACAAGAAGCACAAAAGAAGAGGGGAGGAGAGGGGGAAGAGGAGAACGAACAGGACAAACAGGACAGATAGAAAGGAAAGAAAAGAGCGAGTGAGCCAGAACATTGCAATGCTATAGTCCGGGGTATATATGGGCGCATTCATGCGTTTAGTCTCGTGGAACCGAGCATCATAGTCCCAGACTCCCAAAAGGCCATTTCGAGAACAGTGCAACATGACTTACTGAACAAAAGCGGGCGCCGCAAGACCCTATCCTGCAGCCGCCGGGCGTCGTTTCCGAGCTCATCGGCTTCCTCCAGGAACAGCTCGAATTGTAAATGTAATGCCGGGCGGGTTAGGTCTTTGATGCGGTCAGTGGACGAGGAATCGTGTAGTGCTTCCGTGATATGGCCCATGGGCGAGGATGTCGCTGCTAAGGGTCTGCTGAAGAGACTCCAACTGTGTAGAAAAGTCCATGCTTGCCTCACCTTAATGGGTGAGAAGGAGGGCTGAAGGAAAGAGAGGTTGCTGTTCCCACGAGGGAAACCGATTCAGCCGATGCGTCCCGGCTGCCGGCATTGGCGAGGCAAGTGGGGCTCTGTCGGGTTCTGGCCCGCGCACCGATGGAGCCGGGATCCACTGGATCCACTGCACCTTCCGGGAGCTGCCGCCTCCGGGGCATTTCCCGATCCGTGGTCCCGGCGGACCCACCAAGTAAAGGGGGCGTTGTTGCATGTCTCCGAACTTAGTCGACAACGACATGAAGAAGCTGAGGACTCCAATGCCTAGGATGCCGAGCTTTGAGACACCCCTGATGTTTTCCCCAAGCGTGCCTTAAAGTTCGTCGACAAGTAGATAGAATCTCATCCGTCCGATTTGATTTTCCCCAGGTTGCAATCCAGAAAACGCTCCAATAGCTCTGGATCAGCCAGCAGGAGTGCAGGGCGATTGAGCCAGAGTTCGCTACTGAACGGGATCGAGTTCCGGTTCCAGACGCCACACAGTACACTGAGTGACTTCCTTCGCTGCGCCCACCTGTTCGAGATCTTTCACCAGTTATACTCTCCGGCCACCTACTGCCACCCGTTCCGATTTGCCCACCATGACCCCCGTGGCTGCCTGGGTTGCCATCTCCCACACGTTCGCGGCCATCGGCTTCCCCGTGCTTGTCATGCTGCTTATCCCGCTGCGCATCCTGCTCCTACCCCGTTGGTTTGGCCTCAAGGAGCTCCGGGTGCTGGACGATTTTACGGCCACCAGCAAAATTGTCCTCGCTAGCTTGGGTGGCAAGCCTGTTCTACCGGAATATTCTAAGGGGGAGGAGTGGGAGTTGAAGCGGAGGCATAGTGAGGCTAGGTACGGCGTGCCGAGGCAAAGGGCTGGAAGTATTCATCGATGAAATGGGACTGCGTTGCCCTACTCTGTAGTACAATACAAGGAACAGCATATGAGCGTTGATAATTGACTATTGGCCGTGGTTGTGCATTGAACGGGGTCGGAAGCGGCTGGCCACAGGCGCTAATATTAGGTTGACTTTTGGGTTGGAGTGTATATAGAGTGGTCGTAGAGTCCGACATGTATACCTATATTGTGTCTCAAGGGGGAAAGGTCCAGCAACCAACTCTTCGAGTTACTTGTAAGTTAAACCCCAAGACTAAGGTAGTATGTACCAAGTACTAGTTACGTCCAATAATCCTAGACCGATTGGTAGTACTGCTGACGTGCTAGGTGCCTATCTAGTTTTCTCAGGCGCTGAAGATGACGAGTGTGAAATCGAAAGCACCAAAGTCTCCCGATCACTTTACACTTCAGCTTGAAATAGATTGTACAGTCTCTGTACATACCAGAAATCTCCAACACGATTTAGGTCACGCCGCGTCAAACGTGCCCCTTGAGCCCAGGTTCCCATAACGTTCCGTTTTACCCATACTACTAGTATATACTACTAGTAGTAGCCCTAAAAACGCTAAAGATCCTTCGTCCTCTCCTCAGCGTCAGCAATCCACCTCCTCACCTTCTCCTCGTCCCTCACCCTCAACCCAATCTTAAACGGCTTCGGGTCCGTCGTCAGCGCAGTCGGGTTGCGACTGCACTCGATCGCATCGATGACGGGCGCGTCGGCGGCGGGATCGCGCGGGCCCACGATCTCAAACGCCGTGATCAGCCGGATGTAGGCAGTGTACAGCTCGCGGTTGGCCAGGTGGCTGCCGGCGCACATGCGCGAGCCGGCGCCGTAGGCGTAGTGCGGCGTGCCACTAGTAGTTTCCTTGCTGGAATCGTCGTCGTCCAGGAAGCGCTCGGGGATGAATTCGGTTGCGTCGCGGAAGCGGTTCTGGTCGTAATCTGCTGCGTAGGCGTTCTGGTCAAGGGACATATGTGTCAGTTGGTACAGGTCATGGTTCTAAGATACTTAGGGATGTGCACTGAAATGAGTGAACAGGGACGGGATATACAGTACCATGAAAAAAATAGTCCCAGCGGGAATGACGGCGTCGCCGTAGGGAATGTCCCTGATGCTGGTCCGGGGCAGGCAGATGGGGATCACGGTCCAGAAGCGTAGCGTCTCTTTAACCAGCGCCGTAATGTAGGGGACTTTCTCCTCCATCAGACACTTCTCCCACGCGTCGCCATCGGGGTATACCTCCTCGATCGCCCTCAGCGCTTTGGCTTGGATAGCCTGGCCCTGTGGCGTGGAGAGTAGTGCAAGGCCCATGACGATGTTCCCTGGAACGGTGTCCAGACCGGCTGATACCATGGTCAGGCAGATGGATTTAAGCTCGGCTTGGGATAATGCGTTAGCTAGGATGGAATGCTAGGTACTTTATGTATGTAAGGTAGTGGACATACCCTCGTTGAGCTTAGCCTCGGGATCCTTGAGGATATTCCCAGTGATGCAAGGCCTGTCAGTGCCATTGGCAATATGCCTCTTCAGGTCGTCCAACATATCCGTCAGGTACTTGTCCCGGCGGATGCGGAATTCCTCGGCGGAGGCGTTCTGCTTGGCAAAGAGACGCAGCAGCGGCACATAGTCCTGCCAGTTGTTGCTCGTAGACCGGAAATTGGAGATCTCGCGCTCCACGACCGTGATCTCCTTGAGCAACTCGCTGTTGACGTTACCCGAGATGCGGAAGCCGTAGTTGAGAGTCAGCGACGTGTTTAGGGCGAAGCGCGCGAAATAGGGGGTGGGATCGATGTCGTTGGTGCCACCGCGGGAGTCTTCCAGCAGCTCCTTGATGCTCGCGGTCGACTCGAGGTCGAGGATTGGCATGTAAGACCGGACGGCAGGGCGGTTGAGAGCCGCACCGGCGGCCTTGCGTCTTCTCTTGCAAGACTCGTCCCAGGGCGACGTGCCGATGGTGAAGCCCTGCGAGGAGGAGACGACCTTGTGGAAAGTATGGAACGTAGGACGCGAGATCAGCGAGGACTGGTGCGTGATCCAGAAGTACTTGACCGTCTCGTAGGAGTTTACGAATATGACTCTCTGTTTCCGGGTTATGTTAGTATGGATAACCCTTTGCGACATACTGATGAAAACGGACGAACCCTGTTGCCCAGTCGGGTCTGAAAGACCGGTCCGTACTTGCGAGCCCATTTTTGTGCCACACGAGCATGGTCGGTGCCGAGTTGGATGAGATTGCCAAAGACGGGGATTCCGGGGACCTCGGGGAGGTTCTTGATCTTGGGGATGTCGGTGTGGTTGAGCAGGCGGATGAGGATATAGATAATGACCACGCCAGCGGCGTAAAGCACCTGAGGGGTCGACAATTGTGACATGACTCGCTGCCTGTTGCTGTACAACAACGAGGAATCAAGTGTCTTCCACAGCGGAAGTCATCGGACAAACGTGTAGGATATGGAGGATGTCCACCTATGAAGTCTGGTAGATGGGTAGGGGGCAGGCGTCGTGCTTAGAACTTGCAACTTCAGCTGTTCACAGTAAGTTGATGCCAAGTGGAGGTTTTAATCTCGGTGAGATTCCGCAAACCCGTGTAAACCCCGCATTGTGGTGTTGGGCGACCATCACCACGTTGCACCGCATGGGGATCGTCATCACTGCGGAGCAGCGAGGATGCGGGGCCGATTAAAGTAATGAAGGACCGGTGAGGAATGCCATCAGCTTTCTCATCAGATCCATTCCAGTAGGTACTGAAACTGCCCCGTGCATAATAGCCTGCTAGGCCGCCCTAGGCCAGGTAAGGCGAATGCTGTCGACAATCCAGTGGTGAGACATCCAGGATGAGATGTGGGGGTCGAAACCAGATACCCAGATGGAGCATTTACCGACTTTCTACGCCAGACGGAGGAATTCCTGTATCCACGGACACCTATCGTGTTTGATACAGTCTAAAGACCTGAGCTACTAGACTCCTGCCATATGAGTATTTCGGAACTTGAGCATCGGAGTTTGCCTATACATATACGGTACCTTTCTTAGACCACCCATTACCTCTCTGATCCCAACCATCGAACTAACCCCAGCCAATCCTATTAGGAACTTTGATACATATTTGTACTCACAGGTCAGTTCGGGAATAATGTTGTCAACCCGAGTTTTGTTCGTCTCCGTCAGCAGGCGGTTTCTTATGTCAGACGGCAAATTCCACAATGTCGACCTCAACAAAACCGCTGTATGTGGCTCCATAGCTCCGTTCATCCTTGTTCAACATGAGGTATATCCCAGAGCTCAGCCCCGTTTCCGCGACCACGTCGATTTCCGCTGCCTTACTGGACGCGAGGGAGGAGTTATCTCTAAGGACGGAAGTCGAGGCTCCTGGAAGGTCGGACACGGTATAAAAGTAGTGGGCAGGGAGGTAAAGGGTTATGGTGTCTCTAGCACTTGGAGACCGATAAATGGTATCGAAGCTGGCTATCTTTGGCTGGCTGGCAGATCCGCCGTCATCATGCTTAGTCGCCTTCGCGGGCACCGGCAGTTCCTCTGCGCGAGGGGGAAGACGCAAGTGTCGATCGATAACAGATTTGGACCGAATAGGGTCAGACGAGCTACTATGGTTAGACTTATTCTTTTCTTTTCTCGCCTGTTAAAGTGACTCTCAACGGCCCGTTGCAAACAAACCTTTGCTTTATTTCCTCGATGGAATGAACCTTCATCTTTCCCTCCACCCCCCTCTGACTCTTCTTCTCCTTCGTCTTCTCCCTCACCTTCTCCTTCACCCACGGTTGAGCATCCTTAGCGGCATTGGCTGCCTGCATTCCAGTTTCCACCGAAGGGTCGCTGGCTGGGCCGATGTGTAGATTTTGTGACTCGGATTCCGCCATCTTGGTGAGCAGGCGCGTTTTCACAAGTGGCAGTTCGCCAGACAGCAGAGAGGTAGGTAGAGAGATATCGACACGCACTCGGCTGACGGCCGGCGGGGATGATCGACAACTGCCGCAGCTGCTTACGAAGAGACGGCCACTCCTGACAAGCCCTCTTCGACTAGCGGTGACGACACTGTCGTTGGCAGCGTAGAAGAAGGAGCAGAAGGCTGGGGGGGGGGGGGGGGGGGGGGGGGAGGTGAAGACAGCAGGGAGAAAAGAAAAGGCCGTAAGGAGGAAAGAGAACAAACACTAGAATCGCTCACACAAGGCGTCGCACAGACGGCGGTGTTGGAGGACACCGATCCCCAGGAAGTGGCCAGGATTCTTCAGATCCCTGCCGTGCTCGGCTTCCTTCGATTGCTGGTGAATCTGATGAATATACTTGGATATCTCCCGGTGGGAGATGATGTAAACAGGGAGAAGGAAATGAGGAATGTGAATATGCAGGAGGAGAGGAAGGAGCAAGCGTAAAGCTTTAGAGCGGAAAATGGAAAAGAGGCTGAGTGCCGTAGGGTAGCAAAACCAGTACCTTAACCAGGCACCAAAGGTTGCAAGTCTGAGCAATAGGAAGGCGCGATGGGTGTGAAGATGCGTATTACGGTACTACTAAAGTGTCGCGGGTGAGTGAGATCTTCTCGTCACTGACCCCCTCAGGTGAGGATTAGGGCTTTCCTCCTACATTTAGTCCAGCCAATTAGGTACCTACGGTTGAGCCACTCCTTACATACACAGCCACACACACGAATCTGGTGATGCACGGCGTGGTGCTGTGGTGTGTAAAATGGAAGAAGCATAAACAAACGTGGCTGGCTGGAACAATCATACCAAGAGGGGAGCCCTAACCTCTCATACAACTCCCTTGTGGCCTTGGCGACTCTCTTCCATGTTCACTCACCCCGTGCCTTACCGTAGCAGCCACATCTTGGTGCCACGCCTATGGATGGGATGAGCAAGACCATGTGCGGTGGCTGTGACGAAGAGGAGGTCAATCCAGGGGTTGTTCTGTGTTGCAGTATGCAGCAGAGAGGTCAGAGGCATAAAAGAGGTTGAATGCTAGGTGAAGAAGGTGATGTTCCCATCTAAGCCAGGGAGCTAGCTTATATGTGACAGGGCTTAAAAGCCATACTGAACATAAAGACCACAAAGGTCTTTAGTGGTCCAACATTCTGGGTGGTGATGCTTACGTTGTTGTGGATCTTGAGTTGCTGGGTGTGTACCAGTCAGGAGCAGAGATCTCGGTCCGCCAAGTAGCTGGTCACAAACTTCAGGATTGGCGAACTAAGAGTGTGCTGGAACTGAACAATGGCATACATCAGGGTTCGAATTATTTGCTGGGAACCAGGTGTCATGGTCACGCGTATCCAGGCATTGTGGTGTCGAAGGTGATCGGCTTTGTATCGCACAGTGGCTGACCACATGTTCCTCGTTGGCGTCAACGGGTTTGGTCTGCACCATTAAACACGTCGCGCGGTCGGGTGACTCGGCCCCTTTTCAAGGTCACAGGGATCACAGTCCGAAGTGTAAGTCAGTCATGAAAGAAAGATGCGCAACATAGCTGTGTGCTCATGGTCCTGAATGCCAAGTCACGTTCTCCTCCGGAGAGGTATAAACACCGGTTCCGGGCATATCCTGCTCCAGCTGTCTCATACTGTGAATTCCCCAGGTCGATCAGTACCAAGAGAGATCGAGACACGAATCCAAAACGACTTCGAAGTCTCCCAAGCAGCTTACTGCCTCACATACCTGCCAACCTTGGCAATTGCAAAGGAGGTACGCACCCTGGACCAGCATCAAGGACGGTACCATGCAGCTCTAAGTGTAAGTGCTGCTAACAAACCCATGCGCAGAAGTCACCAATGCTACCAACCACCATGTGCATGTACCAGAAGATGATCTACATCTGCAAATAATGCCCGGGCACAGGCTGTCGCATCCATGGACTCAAGTTAATCTCGAGGTGCGATAAGAACCATTGTGACCCCATCCATATGAGGAGGGAACTGGACCCGCCTCAGGAAGAGGAAATCGATAACACATGCGAATACCACGGGTATTTCTAATCACACGCCTGCGCTCGGTGAGACCGGGGAAGCAAAGACCGTGATTATGGTCAATAGGGCGTGGTAACCTGTGGCAGGATGGGATACGGGCCACATACGGACGGCGAGGAGAGAACCTTGGAGGAGTTAGGCGCTGTGTCGCTACTAATTCATTCGTCTTGCTTTCTATTTGTCAGTATCGCTACCGATGATTCACTTGACCATCAGGCTTGTCCCAGGACAACAGTCACGATCGTGGTACCATGAAATAAAGACGCCGAACAACCGTCCCCACTCGGCTAAGGTACCTGGAGTGTTGTCGGCATATATAAGTTGAATTTGACACTCCACCTCCCACTACTACTTGTTCCCCCTTCCCCGCTTTCAACCCCTTACTCCAAACCAGGGGCAATCACCAACCTCTCCCCCCTAACAGCCCCCTTATGGAGCAAATCCCACGCCTCCTGAACCTTAGACGACCCACCCAGCGTCCGCACAGGAACAACCCTCAACTTCCCCGACTGCAGCGCTTGCTCAAGGTAATCGCACCATAACCACTCGGTAAACTCCTTATTCTTCAGATCAAGATAGTCATCCACATACTGCGCAAATAAGCCCCTCACCCCCTCCGGCAGTGTGACACCCGGCCTCAGCCCCATAGTCGACAGGAACAACCCCCCTCCCTGAGCAGCCAGGACGGATCCCAATACCATCTGATCCTGCGCCGCGTCGGCCGCGGCAAGGACCGCTTTGAACGGTCCCAGCACAATCAAGTCTTCGGAAACTGTGGGCGATTTGCGGTCGACAAAGTGTGCTGAGCCGAAGGAGTGGACTAAGTCGGCATTGTGCGCGGAGGCGACGCCTACCACGGTGTAGCCTGCTTCTGCAGCTAGCTGGGTTGCGTAGGCCCCGAAGGATGAGGAGGCGCCCCAGATGTGGACTTTCTCGGCTTTTTTATTTGGTGAGTGAGATGATTTCTCGAGGCCGAAGTGGAGGAACAAAGCGCTCGCGGCGCCGTAGAGGTTGGAGACGGAGGCTGCTTGTTCGAATGGGACGTCTCCGATCTGGAATTCGAGTGTTAATGGTTATTGGAGGGGCTTTGATCGGGGGACTTCGCTTGTTCACATCGGCTGTGAGCTCCTGCGTAGTCAGCGCGTATCTCTGGTAGCCGCCGAATCTGGAGTCGTTCCGGATGGTCCCGGCGCTGTTCGTGACGATGCGGTCGCCGATGTTGAACCGCGTGACGGCGGAACCCACTTTGACCACCACGCCGGAGAAGGATACTGCCAAAAATGTGAGTATTGAGCGTGTGATGCGCTTGAAAACCATAGGTTGAAAAAGGGCTATGACTTACAGTCGACGATGGTAGGGTATTTCAACGGAAATGGGAGTATTCCTTCCTGGATCTTGTACTCGGCCGGCTGGACCGCAACAGCCTTCACCTGTAGCATAACTGAAGTTAGTTTGGCGCTGCTGAAGAAAGCGGATCAGCTTCCCGTCGCTTTGACTAACCTCGACCAATAGTTCGTTGTTGTCTGGGACGGGGGTATCTGCGGGACCGACTTCCAGCTCCTTCCCAACGCCTGGGAGCCAGGCTGCGGTGTTCTGAGTTGATGTCATTCTGGGCATGGGCACGGATTATTCGGATGAAAATGCTAGATCGCGATCCTACACTTAGTTGTATGAAGAGATGGAAAGGGGATAAATCGGTTCACAGCAGTAGTACTAGTACGCGCTACCCTCATTTTACATAATGCCCAGTAAGTCGATTCCTGGCACTCGCCGTTTCTCGAACATGGTAAGACAGCTTACCAACTCGGCCATAGCCAATAACTGCTTTGGAGTGCTTAGACTCGTGCGGCCTTCTCTGGTGCCCGAGGGAGGGTATCCATTGCGCTTGTTCAACCCCGCCGCTACAGTATGTCTTGCACTAGTGCAGGATGGGGGTCGCCGAAGTTCGGGAAGCTCCATGCGCGACAGGGTTTCGGATTCTTTCCGGAAGAGGTAGTGTTCGGAGATAACGTTAAGGTGGGGCATCGGCGACAACGACACAAGCGTGTGTCCATATTCGCCGGCATCGTCGCCACAATCACCGACGCACCAAGATAAACAGAGCAAATCATCACTCCACCATTGAGCCAGCAGTTGCGCTATCCCCGCTTAGGACAACCGGCGTTCCGTCCATACTCAGATCCTAGATAGGGCGGCCCGCATGGCCGGGGGGCGAGAATCCGTTTTGATTTTGAAGGTTAGGACTACCACCAGAGATGGCGCCGGCGGCGTCTACTGGCTACGTCAATCTTAACCCAACTACCGGATTCAAAGAAGGTGGCTTGTGGCGGCCCAGCGTCCATGTCGCTTGCCATCGACGTCACTGTCTAATCGTTCGATAAGAGAAGAGCTACTGGATGTAGGCCTAGGATCCTGGAGCTACTTGAAGCTCTTGGTATCATGACTTCGGACAGTGTTCGCCGAGGAAAAATTCCACTTTTGGGAGCATCACTGGAGTTTGTCGATACGCATAACGCAGGCTATTTAATGGCGCCCCAGCGAGGCATGTCCGGGCCGATCATTTTATTGTTTCCGCTATGGATCGCCAAGGATATGTACGCAAACCTGCAGGACGATGTGGCGAGCCGCAAGGAGGGATTGTGTCTTGAGGTCTTTCGGGAGCTAGCGGCGAGGGGGATGAAGATTCCGGATGCCTTGGCCAGTTTGTCGACGAAAGCTCCGTAAGGGGTTGGTACTGTTAATGCAGTCTGAATTTTCCGACCTGCTAGTCAGAACATATCTCTGGCTAGATGTACCGAACCAACGACATTACAGCAAAGTGCTCCTAGATGTACACACTCAACCCAATGACAGCATCTCCCTCAATACATAGCCCATCCACCACTAGCCGAAATAACCTGCCCACTCACCCACCGACTCTCCTCACTCGCCAACCACGCCACAACCTGCGCGACATCATCCACCGTGCCAACCCGATTCTGCACCGGAGTCTGCGCTTTCTGCATCTCCACAATCTCACTGGGGATATTCTCCATCAGCTGCGTTTGCACCGGCCCGGGGTTGACCGCATTGACCGTATGCCCGGCCCCTCCCAGCTCAGCCGCCCAGCACCGCGTCATCCCCTCCAGCGCCGCCTTGGACGAGCAGTAGACCGACAGGTTCTTGAACCCGTGCCGCGCGCCCACCGAGCTGATGTTGATCACCCTGCCGCCGGGGGCGCGGAGGTGGCGGAGCACGGCCTGGGTCATCAGCATCGGCCCACGCACGTTCAGGTCGTAGATGGAGGCGAAGTCGTCGGCTGTGATTTCGGGAAGTGGTTTGACGAGCTCGGCTCCCGCGTTATTGACTAGGATGTCGATGTGGGCCCCGAAGGAGTGGATGGTCTGCTCAATGATGTGTTGCGGGGCGAGGGGGTCGCGCAGGTCGGCTTTGATCTTGATTGCTTGCGAGCCGTTGTTGAGGGAGGATATTTGGGAAATCAGAGCGTCCATGGCGGCTGAGCTGCTTTCGGATGTGTATGTGCCGGCTACCTGTTTTGCGGGGTGTTAGTAAGAGGCAAGGAGGTGTTTACTTCCTGGGGCGGTTGCGACTTGCCTTCGCACCACGGCGAGCCAGCTCCAACGCGATTCCTGCGCCGATCCCCCGCGAGGCACCGGTTACAATTGCAACTTTACCCTTGAGATTGAAGGACAGGTTGGAGAGAGCGCTGGGTGACTCCATCCTCTTTAGTAGGTTGTATACGGGTTGTGGTTCAGGGTTATCCGTGGCAGCCAGGGTTATATATGGCGAGCCCCTGCCAAACAAGTCGGCGTTTCGACGTATAGGAGACGGCACGAATGCGAGCTGTAAATGGAGAATTGCTTATGACTTGCCCAACGTGACGAGGAACTTTGGTCAGACCTGAAAGCTTTATTGTCAGGTGAGATGTGTTGATAACTACTAGTACTTGGGTTGAAGTTTTCGGCTAGATGATTCGGAGCAGCGTATGCTTAAATACACGAAACAACCCCCCATGCCTACACTCTCATGGGCATGAATGACATGACTTATCGGATCTTGGAGTGCATTCCAAGGCAGATCACCGAAACGGTTCGGTTTCCAAGTTTGAAGTTGGCAACTCCCCACAGGCAGTATGGCACATCAGAGTTGGCTTGGGGGCGTGGCTCCCCGGTTTTCGGTGTTAAGCTCCGGCTCCACCCGATCTGCCAAGCTCCTAGCTGCGGAGCGCCGAGGGAGAGGTATAGAAGAACGCTAATACTAACCCGTTTTGGCTTCATTTCACAGTGGGCCTGAAAAGGCTTGGCAAACATCTTCGGCGTTAACCTCAACACCTACGACCTCTCAACACCTAACGCCACCAAGCTTCACAGCCTTGAATGGCACAGGCAATCAGATATGTACAGTTTCTTTTGGCTCTTGCCATGGCGCGATATGAAGTCACCTCTCCCAGAAAATGATCTTGTGATTACCCAGTCCCGTAACTTGTAAGGAGACTTCAGCGCAGATCCTTTCGGGTGCTCCGCGAAAGGGGCAGCCGGCTTCATTGTCTTGTGGCCTCATGGTAAATTCACAGCCGTGAAAACTCAGCTCCAACGTTTACTCCATACAGCCAGAACAAATCTGGCTGTTTGGTCATGTTCCAGTAATGCCCGCTATGGAGCTCCTCTCGCTCTTCCTATGGCAGCCGGTTGTTGCCCTACTGGAGGGTCAGCGACTTGACTTTCTCAACTCTCTCTCTACACGGTGTTCCCAAGAATTCCAAGCCAGGACTAATCGCTCTCTCAAAGCAAGAACAAGAGAAGCTTGCGAGTAACACCAGCAAGGGACACACATCTTCACTCGCCCGACACGCTCCCTGCCCCGCAGTCGTCGCCATTGGGTGCGCCGCATCCCCGACAAGCACTACCCTCTTCACAGTTCGAACGGCAGTAGACTCTGTCACTTTCCGATGCCCTGCTGCCACAGACCAAATCAGCAGACAGCCCGCTCTCCATCATCCGCCAGACGTTCCCACCCGGACCTGTCCTGTTCGAGACACCGTAGCTGCGTGCCTATGATTACCTCTAACCCGTCAAAGCTCTGCGGCAGCGCGCGCCCGTCCGACCGTGGAAAAAAGCCCGGCCTGGCTCATGGTGAGCAACGTGCTGTTTTGGTTCGGGTGTGAGTCGTGTGACGGGCGGGGAAAGCCTTTCTTTGATGCACGCAAGCTGGAGATCTGAGACTCTGCTGTTGGACTCGATCCAGTTTCGGGGCCAACTCAAGAAGTGGAAGAAGCCGTCCGTCTTGTCTTCCGGAGGCAAGACCGGGGTTGAAAACGGAGAGCTCTAGCCCATTCGAGGATCTAGATGCGTGCGAGACATTAGTCCGCCCCGGAACGGAAGCATTCCACTGATCGATGTTAGATGGTGGCAAGTTTCGAGGGGTGGGAGTTAAGTCTGATCCAGGAGGTACTAGTAGATGTCTTGCATCGTGTAGTATACTTCAGGGGACTGCGGCCTTGGAAGGTTTAGATTCTTGCAAGGAGCCTGGGTCAACAAAAGTGAGGAGGATTTGGATGATGTTAGCTGCCTGCCAATACTAAGGATGGAAAGTCCATAAAAGTTGCATGCGCCGCATCTATGTGGGGTCCCGCACCGTCTCGTAGGAGGAGGTAGATAAACCTTTGCCGCATAATTGAGATCAGTTGGAACTTTCCCACGACCCTCTCAATTGCTTTTGGGCCCGGAATGGCGCGGTGAGGTTGGCTAGTCTGCGATCAATGATAGGGCCGCTGCCGAGCCCGGCTTCTAGGCTGCTCACAATGAACGAGCACGGCACCGGCAGAATTCGAGACTCGGCCGGACCACGCAGAGATCCCTTTCCAGAGCTTCCGCCATCTTGAACCGTACCTCAATAGCCGTCTGAGAAGTAGATAAAGGTAAAAGGCTCCAGCACGGATGACGGCCTTTTTAGCACGCCGGTGAGCCTATTAGAAAGCCATTTCTCTTGTTATGTCTGGCCATCCCTATTATCGACATTTCTACAGCATCTCTCACATTACCAATATCCCCTACCGGCTTTGCGTTTACCTTTACCTATCTTCAACTTCAGCCACTTTCAGCCATGAGGAAGTACACTGCACCGCCGCAACCTCCCAGCTCGAAGCCGGAACGCGGCCAGGCTTCCCTGCCTACTCGGCCGAGTACTAAACTGCGTTCTCCCAACCCGAAGAAGACGGAAAGCGGCCCAGCTTTCAAACTTCCTGGGTCGGGTTCTCAACCACGTGCTCGCAACCCGAAGAAGGCGGAACCCGACCCGGCTTCTTCCAAGTCCCTTAGGATAGACTCCAAGCCGCATACCAAACCAGGTCCTCCTCACCCGAAGCAGCCGGAACCCGACTCGCGAAACCTGTGGGAAAGTCCTACTTCCACGCTCACGGTCACGATCGATTGGCGCGACCGCAACCCCGGGGACGACGAGAAGCTAAAAGTGGAGAAAATATTCAAGAAGAAGATGGAAAGGCTAGGAATCAGAGAAGGGCATATCAATGCCACCGCTTCGGGGTATGTTAACACCCTATCTAACTATCTATCTAAACCTCGAAGGAAAGAAAAGGGAGGCCCTGGTAGGGGTCCTTACTAATAACTCTATACTTACCTACTCTCCTCACTCTAGCCTTAACTCAAAACTCGTAGACAACAAATGGGCAAAGAACAAGTGGACATTAAGATTCAGCCAGAAAATTGGTAGGACACTCTGGCTCAGCGAGATGACGATAGTCTTCTCTCACCAACCTTGCTATAACGACGTCATCGACGTCTACATCCCGCTTGATCCTGGCGAAGGGGGACTGCAAGATTGTGCGGGCTTGCCGGGGTTTACTTAAAGATATCCTTCAGTCATCGTGTCGTATCAACCGTGGTCTCACTTTGGCATCTCCAGTGTTTCCGGTAACGTATCTTATAAGCGAGCGGGACATATAAGCGAGCGGGACATATAAGCGAGCGGGACATATAAGCGAGCGGGACACTAAGTTCTTGGCACGACGCGTCCTTCTTCATCCACCTCCAACAACGCGTTTTTCCTACAACTAAAGATGTCTTCCACTTCAAAGGAAGCTAGGGTAACCTTGGCCCTCAAAGCTCTTGAAAATGATACGAAACTAAGCCTCCGAGCCGCGGCCAAGCTCTATAACGTGCCAGTTTCAACCCTCGGCTACCGACGTACCGGCCGGCCTATACGACGCGATCTTCCAGCCAACTCACGGAAGCTTACCGATCTAGAAGAGAAGGCTATAGTCTAGTATACAACTGAGCTATCTAAGCGAGCTTTTCTACCAAGGCTATATAGTATAGAAGATATAGCCAACCAACTGCTACGTATATATAAAGCGCCCCTTATCGGCAAGCTCTAGGCTTATAACTTCGTTAAACGCCAGCCCGCTCTCTATACGTATTGGCCATATCGATACAACTACTAGAGGGCCAAGTATAAGGACCCAGAGGTTATTGGCGAGTAGTTCGCGCTTGTATAGAATGTCAAGGCCAAGTATGGCATTATAGATGACAATATCTATAACTTCGACGAGACTAGGTTTATAATAGATATCATCTTCCCAGGCATAATAGTTATAACCTCTAATGGCCGTAGCAAGGCAAAGCTGGCTGTCACGAATTAACCAACAGCAGGCTGCAGGGCAGACGGCCGTATGTAGGGACGTGGGGGCGTCCCGAGCCAATCATTTGGACAACTAGGCGGACCAGTCAGAGACAGGCAAAAGTGCTAAGGTGCCAATGTCGCTGAGCACTCTGCAGGATGTAAGCGATCAGAGTGATCAGGGGCATATTACAATGAGCACCTGGGTGCTCATCCGAATCGAAGCACTAAGCGCCCAAGAAGATAGCTAGTATATAGTCACTCGTTCTGGAGGACTCTAGGAGTTCTCCAGTGAGCAATATAAGCAGTAAGGTAGCCCTACGTTACTATATAGACATTGCGACTTGCATTGTTATGAACCTTTTGGCTTCACCGAGACCTATAGTCCGACCAGCAGATACCTTCGACCGGCGAACCCTTTCAGAGGCAGGACTGCCTATGGTTTCGTCACACTCGTAAAACAGCTCTTATAGCCCACAATATCAAAGCAGGGTGGAGAGCATCTAGGTTATGGCCGGTTAACATAGCCAAACCCCTGATGAGCCGGCTTCTGTTGGAAAATTCGAACAATACAGCCGGGATTGACGAACAGATGGCTCATATACAAACTCCGGCACCTGTTCAACCCTCCCAGTCCTTGACAGTAGCTACCAGCGCATTTCTCAATACACTACAGAAGAAGTTAGACTTACGTGGTCAACTAAACAGCCTAGCTATCTGGAAACAAGACCTCCCTACACGCAGACTTGTGTTCAAGAAGGTTGAGAAGGCTTTTGACAAGAAGGACTTCGAATTGGCTCGCTTACGATAGGAAAACGAAGCTCTGAAGGCATAGTTGGAAGTAGCCCGGCCGTCGAGGAGGAAGAAGGTAGTTCTTGATCCAAACAGCGTATTCGCTTCGATTGAACAGATCCACCAGGCGCAGATTGAGGCCGGCCGTATAGATGACTCTATGGCTGAAGAGAGCAGGTCAGAAAGTGCAGAATCAGGGGTTTCTTGTATTGTGGTGGGTTAAATAGACTACGATATACGGTGTTGAATAAGATGGGTGGGTTTGCGGCCTAAGATTTGCCAAGTGGTCCGAAAGTGGGGTGGTCCGAATGGGGGAGGTCCGACTTAAGCCTTTGCCGCAAGTAGGATCATACATACGCCAGGCATCTAACAAAGTAGATAAAGTTACAAAGTCCGAGACGAATAACGACCTTACTTATAAGAGGTACCTTACTACGCCAGGAGGAAACTATAAGTAAGCCCATTTCTCTTTCTGTATCTGTCGCCATCCTTGTCATCCATTTCGATCTCTCACATTACCAGATCCACTACCAGCTAGCTCTACCTTCACCTCACCTATCTCTAATATCAGCGCCACTTCAGCCATCATGCAGAAGTCGAAGCCCTTTCCAAGAGATCCGGACCCGATGCCGCAGCCCGGGCCGGCGTCCAAGCCTACTGGGGTCGCTTCCAGGGCACCGCGTTCTAACCCAGCTGCTGCGCAGTCTCCGGTCGAGATCAAATGGAATAATGCCAGGTGTGGCACCACAGAGAAGAAAGCAATTGAAAACGCCATCAAGTACGAGTTGCAGATTCGAGGAGTCACGCAGCAGGGAAACATTACGGCCACAATTGAGCAGTATGTTAGACCTACAGTATTTACTACAGTACCTTACCTTCAACGCCTAGAAGACAGTGGGACGTCGGTCCCCTTGTGTGTAAGAGGTAGTCTTACTAACTCAAGACTCGGTAGGCGTCACGAATTCACTATCTCCTCAGGCAAGGAGGCCATCTGGGCAGTGAATATCACGGGCAGCCCTAAGCCGAAGATCTGGCAGATACTGTTCAATTACAGTCTCGCCCAGGGAAAGATTACGAAGATCGACATTCATTTTGCTTGATGAGGCGCCTCGTCTTTGTTCAACACATCCTTCCAAGCTTGGTTTTGGTTTTAGCATCTCCGGTGTTCCGTTGTCTGGGGTGGTGGTGGTTGTTGATAGGATGGTTGGTTACCAGGCACCTTAGGTTGCGGGCGTCCGTCAGGCTTACGGATCCGTAGTGCTAGGCAGCTAGGACAGAAAAAGCCACACCCTGGTGGTGTCATCAGTGTACTAGTAGGAGCCAGCCGCCTGGTTCATATCAATCCAAGGTTTTCATCATTTCATCATCTAAAACTTTAAATAACTGGATCCGCGTCAGCCCACATGTCCTTTTCTGTTAGTCAATTAGCCACGCTCACTCATGGTGTGTGCTTGCAGTGTCTGTGCCTATAAAGGTTGATGAATTGGCGAATCCTTTGCATGCGGCGCATTCTATGTTAGCTCTCCCGACCGCTCATACGTCGACTAACCTCGCCGCAGGCAGGATCATACATGGCCCAGCCAAACAAGACCCACTAATGGAGATCATCTGAACTTTACCGACAGCTCCTCCGATCGCCTCTCAGGTTTGGAACGGCGCGGTGAGCTCGGCAGCAGCCTCGGCTAGTCTCAGATCGATCCATAGGGCTCTTGCTGCGGGCGGCGTCTATCCAGGTCCGGCGTACCCAGTTCCACTGCTAGATCTGCACAGTACTACATACCGTACATACTACACTCGAAGTCACTCCCGTAAGGCCCACGGATAGACATCGGTTACAGAACTTGCAGGCACATTGAACAGAATGCTTCTTACTTTTAAGTTAAGGTCCAGGCAGGGGCGTGTGTTCTAGCTTTCGAACTATTTGTTAGGACGTGTAAGAATGGGAATGAAACGCGCTTTTGCGACATTTAGGCTCCGACAAACAACCACGGCGGGATCCGAGACTCGGCACTCATCACCGTAGAAACTCCGCAGAAAGTACACCGTGGCCATCGGTGCGTAGGCAGAAAGGCCGACCGTTTGAGAAATGTGGACCAAAGGGACAAAATCGGATGCAAATGACGGCCTCGCGTGGTATGCCAGGAAAACTATAAGAAGGGCATTTCATTTCTTTGTCTGGTCATCCTTGTCATCGACAGCGTCTCTCACATTACCAGTTCCACTACCAGCTTTACACCTTTGTCTCACTTATATCAGGATCCAACACTTCAACCATGTCATCCCTCAAGGGCAAGATTTTCAAGAAGAAGGATAACAGTAATGGGCAGCCGGACCGCGGGTCGGCTTCCAACACAGGTACTGGCGTGGGCCATCGGCCGGGCGACAGGCCCCTGAAGCAAGTCGTATACGACAACGGCATCGACTGGGGCACAAATAGTGCTTCTCCCAACGAGAAGCGGATCATTGGATCCGTGGTCAGGGAAGAGATGAGAAAAAGTGGCTACACTACCGCTACGACTGAGGGGTGTGTTAGAGCTAACCCTTTGAGCCTCGAATACCGGGGCGGCCTTCTCGTGCAGTCTTGCTAACTCAATACCCAGTCGTGCCATCCAAGGGCCGGAGAACAAAAAAGTCCGCTGGACAATCATTCTCAAGCTTCACGATGTTAAGAAAGTGAAGATGATCATCGATTACACTATTGGCAATGAAAATGAAAAGCCAAAGGTCGAAATATGGGACCTTAATAACCGTCCCCTCAATCGTGCCTGAGGCGCCTAGGCTTTTGTTTGCAACACATCCTTTCCTTGTCTTCGGTTTCGGTATTGGCATCTCCGGTGTTCCCTGTTGTCCATTTTTTTTTGGGTGGGGTGGGGGATGATGGTTGTCGATGGGATGGTTGGTTAAGGTGCTAGCGATCTGGGATTCGCAGGCTGAATTTGAGGAGTTACACCTATGGCAGTGCCATCAAATAGAAATGACCAGAATGCTAGTTCTGTCGACCCTTCTCCGATTTGCTTTGCACTTCCATGACTCCTCGACAGTGGTACTGAATGTGGAAAGGGAGCAACTCCATGTTGCACAACGGCAATGCCAGCTCCGAGTCATTGCAATGGGGGCCTATCAGCGTCTACATGGAATAATGGTCGGATAAATCAGAAACGCAACGGCTTACGATGGCCCCAACGACCCATTTTGGGAGATGTCTTGGGCTCACAGGAGACACAGGCTAGATGATGAGACGCGTGGTGTACTTTAAGAAAGAGGCGTAGAAGGCGATACCGCGGTTACGTAAGTTGGCAAATGGAAATGAACATGAAGGACTTAAAGGTGGGTGTCAAGTTTGCTGAAATGGGGCAGAGATCACAAGCGAGGTAGGTACCGGAGGTGCCGGTACAGCAGGAACAAGAGCAGAAGACTGGGAAACAGGCTCTCCATCTACATAAGGAACCAAGGCCCCCAGAGTCTCAGACCCCTCAAGCAAGCAATACAACCTGTGTGACCCACTAAGTTCAACAATACTTTACTCTAGCAGGCAGCCGTGTCGAGCTAGGTCGGGGTCTCTAGGTCTTGGCTGAGGCCTGAATATTGCCACTGGCTGGGACGCTTCCTTAATGCTTAACATGACCAATGCTCGATCGTTATGATGCACGACCCAATGTCATACCGCTAAAGCCGCCCCCCTTTCCTCGATAAGCACTTGAGTAGTTCCAACGATCTCGTCAAATTCCTCCCTTGTGATGGACGGCTTGTTGTATGTCAGCGCAATTCCGAACTTGCGAACGTCCCCAGCAACCCTATCCATACGATCCCAGGGATACTCCAGTTCTTCCTCCCTCTGGCCCCAAGACATGGCCGACTTCCGCGGAATCTCATCGACAACAGGGGTAAAGACGATTCGGATCCTCCTCAGTGGCGTCCCGCGCGCAACAGCGGCGTCGGCAAGCCTACCAAGGAAAGCCTCCTCTTGTTTCCCGAAGTGGTCCAGGTACACCGGCCGTCCATCCTCCGCGTCAAAGACCCACTCGAAGGTCTCGAGGTGCGGAGCCAAGAGGCTGGCCTCCCCTGTGTCAGACCCCGTGGCCCAGAAAGACAGGCTCAGAAGCCGCAGGCGCACAAACAATGTGAAGTTGACGCCAGAGAGCCGACCCGCCAGAGGCTCCTGAGGCGTATAGCTTGACATGCTGCCGACGTGGACTGACTCGAGGGTTAGCATGTGCGGGACTAGGTACGACCACAGGGTCAGCAAGTCTAGCGCGTGCCAGCCGAAACGACGGATGCCGAGATAGGTGAAGTGCTCCAGTTTTGCCGGCCTCTTCAGCAGGACGTGGATTGTCTGCGGCTGTTCGTAGTAGTCACTGATGGTCACCCTAGTGAATGGGGCCCGGTAGCTGGGGCTATCACAGCAAGTCGTGTCAGTCAAGGTATCTGACTCTACCTGAATAATGGAGATTAGCAATGTCTATGGTACCCACAGCTGTATGCGAACCGGGAGCACAGATCTAGTAATGCCAACCAGCATTATCTCCTTGAGTCCAGGATAGCGATCGACCGTGATGCCCTCGAGCACCGGGAGCACATGTTGTATATTAACAGGTCTGCGGCACCCGGTGATGGCCAGACGCTCCAAGTGAGGCATGTTCGCCAGCGCCATCATCAGGCAGGCACAAGTCTGCGGAAACTGGGCATCTTCGAAGCCGTGGTGCACGCGTAGTGCCCTGGTGTTGACAAACACGGCGAGAAGACGGTGCAGGGACTCCAATCGGTTGAAGCACGCGTCAAGGTCAAACGCCAGTTCCTTACATAACGGTCCAAGGCCGGGACTTTCCTCAATGCTGCGGCGGAGGAGAGACACGGCTTTCGGCACTGGGTTATACGCATTCTCCGCAGCAGCTTCCCCTGTCTCTTCAAACCTGGGCACATTTCCCGTCCGCGGTGTTTGAAGAAGGTGTCCAAGGTAGATCCGGGAGTAGAGAATCGGGAGGGCAAGCTGGTGAAAACGGCGGCAAACCAGTGTCAGCGCCCACCGGGTCGCGTAGAATTCATGGAATGCACAGGTGTCCGGATCGTCCGGCCATGATGCTGCTTTGTCGATGATTTCAACCAGCACCTCGTCGGGCAGTCGGAGGACGAAGCAGTCCGGCGGTTGGCAGAGCGGACCTGACATTGGGACTGCTTGGCTCGTCCCCGGTCCTCTCAACCGAAGCAGAGGTTCCTGGTTGGCTTCCAGAATGTGAGGTCGCGACGGTGTCGCGTGTGGGTAAACAGGCAGTAGCAGTGCGGTCAGCACAGAGCAGAGAAGGAACAAGTGGGGGGGTCAGCTCAGGTTCTCGAATGGGAAGGCGCGACCGGGTGACGCACAGTTCCAGAATCCCGATCGGTCAACCCGCAGCTTGGGCCTCGGAATAGCTTGGTGACCGACATACATGCATGCTAACATTGAACATTCCTTCTAGCCACTTGAAGACAGAAATGCCAATCACATATCGTGGACCAGCTGCTCATGATTGGATAGACGTGAATGAAAAGCGAGGCAGCGGCGGGGATGAGATTCCTCCTCATGGTGTCTGTTATAACCTGACTTATCCCGGCTTCGCAAGCCACGAGAGCGCGACGCCCAGCCCTCGACCGACCTGCTACTTCGTCTTGGCCGCCTCAATCTTCGGCCCCGGCTTGGTCGCGGTGATGGCCACGTACCGCCAGTGCTCCTGGTGCAAGTACCCCTGTGCGCCGGCAACCGTATTGATGAACCACCTCTCCAGACGCAGCAGCTTGATGATGAAGTACGGAATCGCGGCCATGACCCAAAACAGCCGCAGCATGGGCCGGATGTTCTTCGAGTAGTCCTCCTCCTTAATGTCGCTGAACCCGGTGTGCTCCAGCATGCTGGCAAACACGCCCTTGTGCGAACGAGCGTTGGTCGGCATGGCCGCGTACTGGTTGACCAGGTTCATGTCCTCCACCACGTGCTGGGGCACTCGCTCGTCGGCGTCGATCTCGTGGTCGTACTCGAAGAGCACGAGCCGGCCCCCGGGTTTGAGGATGCGATAGAAGTCCGCGAGCACCTGCTCCGGGTCGGTGGCATGCACGAAGGTCTCCATGGTGTAGACTCCGTCGTGGGACTGGTCTGGGATAGCGTCGAGATGGTGGTAGTCCATCTTCTGGATGCTGATCTGCCCCGGCGGGAGGCCGGCGCGCGCGACGTTGCGCTTGGCCTTGGCGATGTGGTGGTCGATGATGTCGACGCCGGTGATGCGTAGCCCGCGCCGGGCCATGTAGAGGGCCACATGGGCCACGCCACAGCCGGCGTCCAGCACTTGCGATCCCACAGGGAGATCGAGCGCGCGGAACATTTTGTCTTCCATGGCCCGCAGCGCCTTGCCTACTGGGAAGGGCCAATATGTGTCCTTCTCATAGTATCCGAAGTGTCGCGTGCCGCCCAGCACGAGGCGATATCCAATCCGCGACTCGAGAGATTCATAGTACGACTTGAGGTGCGGGTTGGGCTCGATGAGTGGCTCAGTGGAGTCCCTCCGGTGGGCAGCCATGGGAATCGTACTAGCGGCGGGCCGGACCGAAGTTACCGAACTGGAAGGCGCAACGCTGCGCGCGAGACACAGTATGGCAAACTTAGGCGCGAAATATCCACGACAATAAATGTTTGGGTTTTGGATTGGCCGGCGACGGGAGTCGAACGAGGTATGGAGATTGTCGGAAGAAAACAGTTGTCCCCAAGCCAAAGAGAGGTTACCTGCATGACTGTTTCGCCAAGCGAGGGTGCAGCCAATTGAACCCTTGCCCCACCGGAGAACAAGGGGGTGAGCTCGGCGCTTAACGTTGAACCAAGTCCTGGCACCTCCGTAAGTTGATGATGTTCCAGAAAATGCAAGTATGATGAATGTCATTGAGGGGGATGGTCAAAAGAGCGATTGACTTAATGTACGGAGTAGATCCGGCCGACTGGGGTGTCCATGATAGTTCTGCCTGGGATGATGAAAAGCGTCGGGGTTCCCGCGGGGTGGATTCTAGCTCTGCCCGACTTACCTTATTGTCCCACTGTGCCACAGGGTAGCTCAGGGTAGCTCCTTCCGCAAACAGTTCCCACAGCGAATCACAATTTTGAAGGTGAGAGGGACAGAGTGTACTGTCGAACATATCCAAATACAACTTGAAACCTGTTGCTACTATTCCATACTCTCACATTCTCAGCGCACGGCCGAAACGGCACCCTATGGAACGACAGTATGACCTGTCGCTCTTGAGGAAGCCACCTATCGAAAACAGAATAAAGCAGATGTAGCCTGCCTTGCATCGACCAAAAAGTTGTCAAGGTGTGCTCAATGAGTACCCCCACCATGTTTCTTTTCCAAGCAGCCTGTTGGCTGCAAGCTCGTCCATTCGGCCACCCAGCTTCTCGCAGCCGCCATACCCCCGCAGCAGAGAGCGTTGCCTCAGAATGATTCAGTCTGTCGACACCGCACAGCATGGCGTCTCTACTGCATCCCGTCTAGGAAGTCGAGGCGAGGTTGCACTGCATAAGATGTTGGTTCTCCTCGCAGGGCCCTCACTTCATCACAACCGCCTCCGCCGTGCTTCCCTCGCGTCGTCTCTTCGTCTCGCTGATTTTCCTCTGGATTGACAGCAACTGCCAATTCAACATCGATGCATATGTCTTTGGTGCTGCCGGTGATTCTTTCTCCTTTCTTTGTTTTTCACTGCATTTTCTGTTTAATAGCTTCTTCTATCCGTTCCCACGGCCTGGTGCCGTTTGGTCTGACTTGGCTCAGGCAGTCCTTCATCGTCTCCCTCACCTCCTCCCATCTCTATGGCAATGAACGCAACGCTATCTGCATCAGCTAACTCGAGCTCCTCGTTTGACATTTACCAGCTCGTTGGCTGGGTCTCATCTGATACCACGCGCGGGAGTATCGACATTCTTTGGATCTGCTGCGTCATCATCATTCTATGCTGCTGGGTCTCTACGTTTCCCAATGTCCCATCCATGAATGACAAGTGGTATCACCCCCTTGTTGACAAGGCTAACCTCGCCTTCGTCGGCTTATTGGGTCCGAATTTCCTCTTCACCATTGCCCTTGGCCAGTTGTCGAGCGCCAGGCGGAGCGTCAGGGTATGTTACACTAAATTGATGAACCCCCCCCCCCCCCCCCCCCCAACCCCCCAAAATTTTTCCAATAATGAATTAGAGCTTCAATTGGTTGTCTCGTCTCGTCTCGGCCTCTAACTATACTCATTTATAGCTATTCCGAACATTGCCTCAGCGTCCACTCGAATGGAGCCTTGTACACGGGTTCTTTGCGGATATGGGCGGATTTCATCTCGCAAGCGCCGACTATTCCCCTTTCCCCGTCAACGCCGAGCAGCTTCATTATCTCATCAGATATGGTCATGTGGACTTTCCGAACTTGACCAAGCGCGACATCAAAGCCCTCAGCCACACCGATGGCCTATCCAAGTTGGTTCTCCCACAGACGTGGCGCGACAGCCGCACCATAGCTATAGTTTACCAACCGTAATCCTAGGTTACTTATCCTCTGGCAGGTGCTCTGGTTCTCCGTATCGGAGTTGCAGCGTATCAGAGAAGGCCTACCCATGACGACGTTTGAGCTTACCGCTCTCCCCTTCTCTCTCATCATGCTCATCACCTCGCTGTGTTGGTTTCCGAAGCCAACCATCTCCCGTCCTATCATCCTTTATACGAAGGACGGGAGGAGCATTGAGCATATCCGGATGGCGGCCAGGAATTCGGTGTGTTACTCCCTCGCACCTTATCCCTCTGACACATCGAATTCCGGCATAGCGGCTAATGACTAACTCCCGCGGGGGTGCGGGTACTCAACAGACTCACCCCGACCTCCGCTCAATCTGGTACCGCACCCCTCTTGACTTCATCTCCCCCTACCGCCGATTCCGCGTAGACGTCCACTGGTCGAAATACGAACAGCTCACCTACATGGTCCGCGTGCCGCTCTTCTCCCGGGAGATCAGGGCCCGGCCGTGGGACCGACTGCCCTCCGCTGCTTGGTTGGTAATCGACCGGACGCTGTTCGCACCCGCCTTCCTGGTCAACACAGTCTTCGGTGTCTCGCCCCTGGCGGCATGGAACTTCCACTTCGCCACCCACGGGGAAAGGCTCGCTTGGCGTATGTGCGGCATCTATCACGCGCTGTTCTCCATCAGCTTGGGCGTGTACTACATCTACGTTGTGCTGCACCCTCCGCAAAACACAGAGGCGGGGAAGGCTCCTGGGACGGCTGGTGCTGCGGCTACTACTGGTAACACCAGTTCGTCGGCGACCCTGCAAGCTGGTGCTAGTCCAAGCGAAGGCCAGCAACGCCAGGGGGGCGGGAAAGGGCAAGCCTTTGGGGTCACGGCGTCTGCCGACGTGGAAGCACGCTTGGCGAATTCCGCAGAGCATGTCAGCCTGAGACGCAAACGTATCATCCAAGCGGCGGTAGAATGGCTGGACCGCTGGCGGAATATCTCTCCAGACGGCGACCCGGACATGGAAATCGGTCTTCGGGCGACGTTTCTTCCTCTGGCAGGCACCTTTCTCTACATTTTCTGTCGTATGTTTTTCTATGTGGAATGTTTCATCGCGATAAGGCAACAGCCCGTCGGCGTGTATAAGGCGATGAACAAGTTTCTGCCCTTCATGAACTAGGTCGCTGAAGGTATCATTGTGGAGAAGGATGAAGCAATGACTGATATAGATCCCTAGGTAAAATTCAAGACCAAATTTCCTCGTCGGAACTGAGAGTTCGGAACGTGGTGCGAGACTTCCGTCCTTCAGTGTTCCCGCTGTCCCGAGATGCTGTCGCGCAACAGGCTATTCGCTGGGCCTCCCAAAGCGGCCGAAGGCAGGCACAGAAGCGGTCCACAAGACGATGCTCTTGCCGCTTCGGTTGTCGCACGACGCCCGTGCCATGGGAACGCCTTGTTCCCAAAAATCCCGGTTTCGAAGACAATACACAGTAAACGCACGGATCGAAGAGTGTGCAATCTCATATAAATAAAAAGCTTTGTTGGTCGAAGCCGGGCTCCCCAAATCTCGGTTACTGTACATATATGTGAATGCAATGGCATGCAATGGACTTAGTTACCTTACCTCTTCAGTTGTGTGATGCAAAATGACAGGCAGGCTCTGAGCTTCTGGATCTTTCGCTTGAATGCGGACCAATGGATTATGGGCTACCTACCTAGTTGGGAATACTAGTAGTTATCGTTCAGGTTCTTCTTCACAATGGTGTTTGTCGGTGGATAAAAGTGACGGCGACGCCCCGGTTCCCGTGAGTTGATTCCGGCAGAATGGGTCTGCGGATGCAAGTGCCGAATGGGGTGGAGCGTCGGATCCGAAGTAGCCGAGCCATGGGCTTGGGCCCACTGTGAGAGCAGCTCGAAGTTCAAGTTTGTTTTAGAGCCTCACCTCAATTGGAGGTCATGTCAACAAACGGTTCATGACTGGAGAAGGAAAGCGGCATCCTATGGTCGACCCTTCAAGCTCAGCGATAGCCTGCAGGCTTTGCTAGACGCGTAACTATCAGGTTGCGTTATCACATCCTGGAGGAATTCGCGGCCTTCCATCAAGATTTGTTCTCAGGAACCAATGCAAGATCCGGCGGATCGCCACCAAGTTCTCGGCGGTTTGCCGTTTCCCAGCCAAGCCCTGGGCAGGGGCTTCCGAGATTAAAAGATTGACGGTGCTGATTCGCTAAGGAGCATTGGCCAAGAGCCCCGTCCCGTTGCAGAGTCCAGGGAACCTGGCAAGCGCGGTCCGTGTACCGGGCGGGCTATCCCGCTTTTGTTTCGGTACCTGCGTCTCAACATGCCCCTTTTTACCCCTTCATTCCTCATGTCACTGTCACCGCGTCCGCTCCTTCCAGTCGTTGTCGACCCCTCGAGACAGTCGAGTCCGCTCTTTTTTGATCAACCGTCGCTCATTTGGACACGAATACCCGTCGCGTTTTGCGATCCGCTCTCTAGAACTAATTTCTTTTGGCATTGATCGTCTTTTATCCTTTTTTTCATCAGTTAGCCCACTTTTTTAATCCCGAACGTGCTCCGTTCCGCCATTGGCAAGCATCGAAGTCGCCGGCGACACTCGAAACACCAAAAAGAACGGCATGCAAGCTTAACCGTCAATGCGATAGACCGCCAACGCTCTTCCAAAAAGCGGCCTGCTTCCGAACCACCTAGAGTTCCGACAGCCTCCATCACTGCCCTTCGCTCACATCCACGGTCACATCACCATGTTGTTACCACGCTCGTTCCATGCCACAGCCGTCACGCTGCTGGCATGGTCCACTCTCGTCCGTGATGCTGCCGCCCAAGTCACAACCGATTGCTTCCCGATGAACTCGACATGCCCGCCCAATCCCGGCTTCGGCATGGACTACAACTTCGTCTTCAACACCTCACAGAATTTTGATGTCTGGGAAACGACAGTCGGGCCTGTCGAGTGGGACGCGGAACGCGGGGCGATCTTCAGGATCACCAAGCAGGGCGACTCGCCGACGATCCGAACCAAGTTCTACTACTTCTTCGGACGCACCGAGATCCACATGAAGGCGGCCAAGGGCACCGGCGTCATTAGCTCCATGATGATGCTGAGCGACAACTTGGACGAAATCGACTGGGAGTACTTTGGGAGCAAAGGCGATGTGGCCCAGACCAACTACTTCGGAAAGAACGTACAAAACTATCACAATGCTGGCTACCACACCGTCCCAGGCGGTGTCCAGGACGACTACCACAACTACACCAGCGTTTGGACGAAGGACTTCTTGGACTTCTACATCGACGGAGCCAAGGTCCGCACCCTTCTGCCCAAGGATGCCAACAACTCGTACTATTATCCCCAAACACCGATGCGCCTGTCGATCGGCATCTGGGCCGGCGGTGATCCGAGACTGCCGGAAGGCACTCGAGATTGGGCCGGAGGCACCACCGACTACAGCCAGGGACCTTTCGAGATGTTTGTGAAGAGCGCGCACATTACCGACTACAGCAGCGGGAAGGAGTACGAGTACACGGATAAGAGTGGTTCGTGGCAGAGTATCAAGGTGGTCGAGTAAGCTGCAGCACTCCCATTTCTTAACCCCAAGGACCATGTGTTAACCATATCTAGGGGCAACTCGACGACCCATGACATCCTGAATGCTGAACCAGAGAAGACGCTTGCCCAGAAGTGGGCCGAGCTGCCCACCGGAGCCAAAGCAGGCGTCTACGCCGGTGCTGCCGGCGTCGGCGCGTTGATGATCTTTGGCGGTCTGTTCTACTGCATCCGACAGCGTCGCCGTGGCGCCCGGGAAGCCGCCGCTGCCGAGGCCCGCGCCCAGGCCGAGCGTCTCGAGCTGGAGCGGTTCAAGAAGGCCGGCGTGGACCCGGACAGCTTCGCCTCGCAAGCGACCGAGTACAATGCCAAGGAGATGCACCGGGACGGCATGATGGACAAGGACGGCTACAGCGTGCCCCCGTCCCCTAGCATCGCTGCGGTTGAACCCTCCTCGCTCCTCGACAGCAAGTGGGACTCGGCGGCGCCCTCGATGAGTGCGGCCGTTGCTCTGCCTCTGCTGCACGAGTCCGCACAGTCACCGCCTGCCTCGCGCGCCGGGCCCTACTCGGACCGCAACCCCGGATCTCCCGGCTCGCCCCAAGGCATGATGAGTCCCCCGCAGCAGCAGCCGCACCGCAGTTTCACGGCTCCGGATCCCCAGATGCGCATGGCTTCTCCGGCACCCTCACAGCACGACTTTGGCGGCATGCAAAGAGCGGCTAGCCCGGCCCAGCTAGCGCATCCTCAGCCTCAGAGGAGTTTCACCACCGACGGGTACGGCGGGCAGCAGGACCAGGGGAACGGAGGAGCATACTGGGGTAATGGCGCCGCGTACAGGTAGAAGGAAAGTAGGGTAGAGGTTAGGGCTAGTAGACGATGAGAGGCAATTGAGGTCTGGATATTCATTTTCTCTTTAATTTCCATGGATGTACATTTCATTTTCATTTTACTTTTTTTTATATATATACCATTGGCATGAGCTTGGTTTTGATGAATGTCGCGCTCTTTGGATACGATGGGGTTCTTTCTCTTTGGGCTAGTGTTTCGGTTCGATCTAGGAATAATAGACGCAGCGTTGTCCACTACGTGACCCGTTGGCGAGCAGCATCATCACCCCGTGCAATGTCTATCGGGTTGGAAGTGACACGGCAGCCCTGGTTCACTTGAATCTCCCTGCCCTTCCTGCCTCGTAGTATTCGCCGGTGAGTTGACGACATGGGATTATCTACCACGGCACTCTATGACTACTAGTACCTAGTACATGCTAGGTGAGGTAAGGTAGCCAAAGTCATTCCAAGTTTCTATCTCAATCGACTTTTGGTCTGAGGAAGGTTGGCCAGCTGGCGCTGATTCCAGGTCTGTGGAAGTTGATCGATGCTGATTCTGATCGCTGATTGATTCGAGAGCACGAATAAGGAAAGTGGGTCTCCGAGGTGCCCCACAAACCAGACCTCCCATCAAGCGCCCACAGAAACCGACCAGGAAAACGGAGGCAGATCGCCCTCTTATGTTTTGAGGACCTGTCACTATGTACTAGTATCAGGAATGACTTCTAGGTACGTATGCAGGGAGCGCCGCGAGGGTGTACGAAAGATTTTACACGGCACGGCGGCCACAAGGGGCTCCTGCCTTACCACCTATGGCATCTTCGAATCTGGCATCCGCTTAGAGTACGTCCCTCGACACAACCCTACGGTTGCACCTTGGGGCCAACAGCGTCGGTACTGCGCAGCAGTTAGGTTAGTTACGCTAGGCCATTTGGCTGTAGAGTTTATCAGTGTGTCTACAACGCCGGTGTCCTTGTCAATTCACTACCAACTTCGGTACTTGCTGTGGGGGACAACGAAGTCTCAATGCGAATATACTCACTGGGCCTCTTAAAACGGCCACCCGGCTCCCCGCCTTGTATTGCCAATAGGGTATCCTATAGCTTCACCGGCTGCAGGTTGAGCTGCGGGGCAAAGTGCATCTTGCGTTTCCGGAACAGGCCATAATGGTTGCGTGCAGCGAGGAAAGTGGATGGCGTGCGGAGCGGGGTTTCTTATTTGATCCCCAACAGTGAGCCTCAGTCACGATCCCGGGCCGAGCTACGTCGGGTGTTGCTCCTTTTTCAAACACAATCAAGAGAGAAGGAAAAGCGCTTATTAGGTACAATATCTATCAATTAAAGTCTTTCTGGCACCAGTCAACAAAGCCTCCCCGATCCTACCTTGACGTCTAGACAAGCGCAAATGGCGACGACCGTTTTGACCGACGAAGGGCACTTCGCTGGCCTTGGTACTGATGATCGAGGATGCGTGTTTGAGATGGATTGCCCTATCATAGTCCACACTCTCGTTGGTGCCGATACAGACATTGTTCGCTATCCTGTTCGCGAGTTCCTCGAAACAGCGCTACCAGATTCGGGTTTCAAACTGCGGTGGCTGCACATACCGGTAAACAATATGGATTGGGTTGAGGTAAGTCGCCGTACGTTTAGTCTAGCTACAAGGTTCAAGAAATTGACAGCCAGTACCCCCAGACGTGTATGCGGAAATGGTATCCTGGCTCCTCCGGGATAGACGACAAAAATCCTGGATGCTGAAGCTACGGCCGGCCCTGTTTCGCACGATCAACGCACCTCTGCACTCCCGTCATATGGAGCCTTCATGTACAGCATACCAGAATTCGCAAAATGAAGGCAGCGCACGTGTGCCTGGTACCGTGCCTACCATAAGCGATGCGGCAACCGAAGGACTACCAGCGTCCATTGCCGTAGACCCAGCCGCGGAACTGGATTTGGAGCCGGCTGAAACCCAGAGCAATGGGCCAGAGGTGGGCGGGCCACAGCAACCTTCCCTCTCGCTATATGTAAGGCCAAATCTGCCTTGGCACTATAGGGAGCATGAGGCGTGTTAACTGATATTTCTCTCTCGTCATTAACTAGCTCCCATATATGAACTGGGATGCGTTCGGAGACTACCAAGCACTACGTGGCTGGTACGATTCAGAGTGGCCCACGCCGCGCGATATACCAATAACAAAACGTCAACGTATGGAAGAGTACCTCGCCCAGACGTACCTGAAGGCGGCAAAGCCGCTCCATCCGAGGAGAACTCTCGACCAGTTCTACTACTCATCCTTGAGGAACACGGACGCCAGAGACGCCGACCAAACTATATCAAAATGGACCGGCGCCGGTCTGAATGCTGATGGTCGCCTTAGTGCAGCGGATGATAGTCTGCTTATCATGGTTGATCAGCTGTGGTGCTGGGTGCTCGATGATAGTAAGTTTTTCCCTTACTGGTCAGAACTCAGGAGGCGACAAGATGCACTGCCAGTGCTAGGGCTATCATTAGAACGTACGGCACACTGACGCTGATCGGAAATATGCAGAAACAGTTCTGACCTGCTTCCCGTCTGGCGATCTGCAATACCACAGTCAAGGCTTCACGGACTTTTATACGAGTGTTGGGGAAAGCTGGTCATTCTGCGAAACGGTGTGGGATCTGCATTGTCTCTTCGTCAAGGAAGCGGTCTCCTTTCTGTTTCGTCAAGACAACCGGCAATTTACGGACCTTATCGAGACGTATCGATGGGTTGTCGGCACCAAGGATGCCGCTCAGACCGCTTACTTCGAAGAGTACAGTAGAAGCCACGCGGCTGGGCACTCGGGTTCTACAGCCCTCGACGATCGACAAGAACTGAAGCTTGTCCTGGAAGTCACAGACGTTATTGATGAGCTGAAGATGATACGGCACCTTGTTCAAAAACAGAGAGAGGTCCTGAACTCTCTTGTCATTGCGCTGCGAAGACTCAACGCCGCGGACGAGAAGGATCCCGGGCCACAGGAATCTGTGCAAATTAGACACAACACGTTCACAAATAGGGACCACGGCAGAATGTTCGTCAACATCAGCCATGCGCGCCATGAAGGTTTAGCCGAGAATGCAGAGAGCATAAAGTTGCTGGCACGCGGGATCAAAGGCGCGTCGCAAGAGACCGTCGTCTCGGCCGATGAGACGCTTGTTCGGCTCCTTGCTGAGCTGGACGCCATGAGGAATGACGCCGACTACACGCATAAGATGGCATGTACCCCCGGTCCGTGACTGGTTCATCAAAAGATTACTAACGTTTCGAAAGCTCATCAACCTGCTCGACCTGAAGCAGAAGGCAGCAGCTTTAGCCGAGGCTCGATCGACGAGCCAGCAGGGGCGTGTCATCATGCTGTTCACTATCGTTACAATCATCTTTGTAAGTCCCATTATACCTAGGTACACAGAGCTCTCGGGAGTTTGGCCCTACATCCGGACTCCGGTATACCCAACTGAATCCCTTGGCGTCTGGCTCACTTCAAAACTGGCTAGCTACCCCTGTCATTCTTCACTTCGTACTTCGGCCAAAACGCCTCGGAGATTACCGGTGACGAAAAGAACCCGACTTCCAAGGACTTATGGCAGGTTGGCGGTAAGTACAGGATTCCAGAGAACAGACGCACTCGGAATCAAGACTTGGAGCATCCAACCGTGTTTAACAATTAAACAGCCCCGATTAGCATTGTCATCATCATTTCGGCCTTACTGGTTGCCTACTTTATCAACAAGCCGGAACGCCTTCGGTGTCTTAGCAAGCTAAGACCAGGCAGACGGATTGCCCGGGCTGCGTCGTATGTGTGATGGTCCGTAGAGTAACTGAGGCTCGCTAGATATGTCAGGCGCTGAGCGCACAACGTCATGCTTAGCATACATGGTGGAGTAGGAGCTCCTGGAAGTTCTGGAACTGATCCGAGGATCGACGAAGACCGCTCCGCTCCTACTAACGATTTATCCCATCCTATCTGACTGTGTACGACAACGACAAGCTGTTGCAACCACCGAAGCAGAAACCGGTTCCTGTGCTGAGAACCTCGAGGAAAGTAGGGTATATATGGCCCGCGCAACACAAGCCGGTCAACATTCGGCGCAAAGATGGGGTTAGGGTTACGGCATCGATCCGACTCCGGCTGCTCGGGCCGAAGCAGCTCGGCAAGATCCGACCGAAACTTTCGGCAATTTTTCAAACAAAAAAACTCTTCTCCATCCGCCCTACAAAAGCACCATCCTGACCTCCGGACGCCACACATCAGCGGAATGATTGGCTGCCCTGCCCGGCTAGCTCAATCGGTAGAGCGTGAGACTCTTACTCGAGAAGCTTCTCCGTCATCTCAAGGTTGTGGGTTCGACCCCCACGTCGGGCTCAATTCCCGTCTGAATCTGCATCTGCATCTTTTTTCCTCTGTTTTCTCTTCTAGAGAGCAACATGGCTTTCTCTTCTTGCGGGATCTCTTTCCCATCCATTAGGTGGAGTATTTCCTGTTCTCGCTATTGGGAACGGGAGTTCCGTTGCCCTGAACAGTTCATCAAGGTGAGAAACTTGTATTATTACAGCTCGGTGTTTCGTGTTCCTGATAGGCTTCAGCGTTTCAGGTGGTGTAGGGTCTAGGAGACATCTCATTTATGTTCCTTGTTTCTTCCTATGCCCTTTCCCAGAGAGGGACTCTCCCAACCATGTCAGGCACCCGGCCCTCTTGGTTGTGCGGCATGTCAGATCCAGGTAAGCGCATAGCCCCTGAATCTTCACATCCAGTAAATTGTGTTCCTGACCGCTTTGTCCGGCTTGCCCACAAAACAATGGGATCCAATCGGGTCTCAAGCGGGCTCAAAGAGCTTGCTTAGTCCGGCCGGTTCGAAATCAATGACGGAGCAAAGCTTCCGAGCTCAGGTCCCTATCCGGACGAAGAGCATGGGACTGACATAGGGCTGCTGATCTGGTACCCCCTTTCTGCCATACAAGCAGAGCTCCTTGCTCATCAAGCTCCCTAGCTCAAGCTCCGATAGCTTCGATCCTTGGGGCAAGCTCGAACTCGCGGCTGGGGCCGGGGGGCTTCGACCCAAAGGCCACGTGTACCGTATATGGTAGGACGCCATCACACCGCTCAGCCCGAGGCAGGAGCTAGAGCTCACGCCGGGCATGGATATAGCTTTTCAGTTAGGTGGCATGATTGGGTCGGGCCAGTCCTGTTTCGCATCGGTGATCAAGTTCAGTGTCGCATCGCCTATGACCAGCTTGCGAAAAGCGATATCCACGGTGGCAAAAGCCGAGCGATACGAGCAGGCAAAACTTGGTTTGCTGTTGATCAGATCAGCCTGGAAGTCCCGGAAGGATACGTAAGTTGCGAGCTAAGGAGCCTCGAGGGAGCACAAGAGAAGAAGACAGCTCGGCCAGCAAGGAACGATATGCCGCTGGAGGCTCAGCTCTGCGCATCTTTGCGGGAAATGGAATGAAGGACAGCTGCTAAAACAAGCGCGGAATGGTTCATTGGAGAATATAGTAGTACTCCCCAGTGTAATGTGTCTAGTGTTATGGCAAGCTATCCAAGGCGCAGCACACATGGTACGATTGTGGCGAAAGGGACTCGTCATGGGAATGTCATGATGTTGGTGCCAAATCAGGGTCGAAGTTGCGGCTGAGATCTGATCTAAAATCAAGGTCACGATCGAGCAGGAACGGAGGCCCCACAAAAGCTGGGCCTTGCCAATTGTGGCGAACCCCCACAGTCGGCCCCTCAGTAGCAGTGTCGGTGCTATTCGAACTTTGCTCGGGACGGAACAAACCCAGCAAGATCTAGAACCTCGCGGAACTCAAGCAGGTTTGTTGGTTTGTAATAAAGCAAACACCTGAACCATAAGCGAATCAACCCGCTACGGCAGAGCAGGTTGAAGCTGTGTGATATGCAAGCCAGATTGGGCCAGTCACGGTGGGAGCTCCAGCCACACCCAAGCACGAACCTGGGCGTAAGATCCCCGATATCCAAAAGCGCAGGTGACGGAGTGTTTGCTAATCGGCTTGCTGTGTTGGTTGGTTGGATTCTTCAGATGTTCAACTGTTCACCCAGTTGGCGTTGCATCCGGGTCGACGAGTGGGAGAAAGTTTCGACATCTCTCTACTCGTTTAGCAGAGGCCGAGCTGTTCAGTTGCCTTCTTTCTCATCGGGCTCGACGTTCAAGAGGTCTCGTGTTGCGAGTGGACAGGTGTGTTGGTTGAGAGAGAGCCTGCAAGCGTAGGCACTACCTGGGTAGCTTCCTTCACCGTTCAAGCCGAGAAGCTTCTAGAGCTTGGACGTAGGCAAAGCCGGAACCTCATCCGCGTGACTGACCTGCCTCAGGTGAAGAGGCTTCCATGGGTTGGGTATCTCACAGCCGGACCCACCGAATACCGAACGATAGATACCTAGTGTAGGATAGCACCCGAATGCAGGGTGCTGCACCCTCGATGACTGATGAGAGACGTGCTGTCGAGGGGCCCTGCCTGCCCCGCTTCTTACCGCAATGCGGCTTCGGACAGCAGGTGGCAGCGCGAAGATGTTTCGCTGATGGGCTGAAACATCGATTGTTGTTGCGCATACCTCAGGCTGTCGTCCACGCGCTTGCCAGTAGTCGGGGCGGTCTAGACCGCAACCCATTTGTAGCTTCCAGCGATCTTCCCGCCGTTCATCAATCTGAGGATGTGCCTGCGCGCATGCGGGACAGGTACGGTGTGTATAGCGGGGCACATGGAGGGGCGGAAACCCAGCGCCATCGGCTTGGCTGACCGCAACGTGGGGAAGCTCAAGACACACACAATGACATTGCTCACATCTTCGATCGGCCTTTTTGTGATGCGGTGGCAGTGTACGACGGAAAGGTTGGAATTACATGTATGATGGATATCTCGACCAGAACCGGGAATCAGAAAGCGGTCGAGTCACGCTGCGTCAAAAGTGCGCTTGGTCCTCGTCGGGGGCGGGGCAGTGGGCACGATTGGAGATTGGGAAGGCGTAACGCAGGTTCCCCAAGAAAATTGGCGTCGCGCAAGCTAGCGCGAGCAGAGCCTTGCAGGGCTTGCAGGCGGCTGGAGGCGGGCGGGCGCGGAAACTTGAAGTCCATCCATGTGCTACTACATGCCATGGCGTGGACCCTGATGGGGGTCGCCGTCAACTTGCAGCTTCCGACTGGCCCGCTTTTGGACCCTTTCCCTCTATCCAAGGCTGCGTCCCGGCGCAAACCTGGAAGTCCCTGAACTCGACCTGGCACGCCCTGGGTCAAAAAGTCATTGCGAGCACCGAACCTACGACACCCACCCGGGCCACATCATGGCGGGGCAGCACAGTTTTTCGCTGGCGTACACTAGTGTAAACGCGCAAAAGGGCAAACCGATGTGTTCCTGGAAGATGGGCAATGGCGCGAAGTGCTTATGAGCAGGCCCCTTGCCCCGCAGCGGCCGCAGCCCCGGAGCTTTTCCTCCGGCCTGGCTTGACAATTCGGTGCTATCGTGTTGGGAGAATTCAGGTAACAGCGAAACACATGGCGGGTAGCGGATGCGCCGAGCGTATTCCTTTTACCGGTCCGCGTTGAGTTTTGAAATGCCCGCCTTTGTCTCTTAGTGGGCAGCTCTCTTGCCCTTTTCAGCATTTCGCCTCGACCTGCCACCATGATTCGGCCATACTGCAGCAACTTCCAGGGTCATCAGTTGCAGTGATTGACAAACCGAGGTGGGTTCACTACCTACTCGCTGTGCCAAGCCTCCAACTTTCCCGTCCCAGTCGACCTATAGCAACTGTTGGGAGAGGTACCGTATCGACCGGCCCCTGGCCAGGAGACCGCCACCGCACAGCAGAGGGACTTCCCGCGAAACAAGCCACGTCCCTCTCTCCAAGGGGGGTTATAGGTGGTTAAGCCACACCCAAGAAGGCAAACAGGTCAACACAACCACAGCCCCATGTCTCGTGACGGTCCCGGACACCAACCCCGACACACAAGCAGGACCACCTCCCGACGTCGCCGAGAACGCTAGGATCACCGCCGTTGATGTGCACTGAGCACCACACCACTGTGTGCCCGGCTTGTGGGAAAGACTATCTGGTCTATGTCGAGTTCTGCAAGGACTTCCATCCTCCATTGCTGAGGTGTCCCAAGGGGACTGTCATCGTCCGCCAGGCCATGGAACAGGGAGGCTGCCCGAGCCGAATCTGCCCAAACAGCCCGGGAGGTGGTTGTGCCTTGATGTAGCGGGGGGGAGCAACGCGGAGGTGAGACTCGGCCTCCCGTCAGGAACCAACAGGTCGTGGCCGGCGCCTGATGCCCGTTACAGCTTCAACCCATCGGGTCCGACTTCGACAATCTGATCGAGACCCTCATATGCCGGAACATCGAAGCCATACTTCTTGGCAATTGCGGGTGCGACAAACCTGGGGATCGGTCAACGACGACTAACGGGAAGAGCGGAAGGGCGGCGACGCGGTACGTACCTGCCGCCAATGAAGTGACGGCCCCTAAAATGCTTCACCAGGGGTTTCGGCGCCGTCAGGCTGACCAGGACATCAGGGTGGAAATTGCTACCGACACCCGATTTAGGAGGGCCTTCTTCGATATCCCAGGATGACGGAGCATCGACCGACGTCACAGGAAGTTTGGTCTCCGCCATGGCCTGGATGACAGCTGGAAACGGTTCGCGGACCTCGCCCGAGAAACTGAAACCTAGAGTGGTTTAGCGAAGAGAATACGACAACGGCGGGGAGGGGACCAAGCGCTGGGAGACACGGACCGAAGATGGCATCGACAACATGATCGGTCGATTGGAGCGCAACCGGGAAATCATCAACGAAGGGGACGTCGAGGTCCTCCAACTGTTTGGCGAGTCGCTACGTACACGGATAAGCAGCGAGCCACGAGAGGAATTAGTGGGCTTCGAAGAGCTGATGGTGGCGTCTTCTCAGGTGCGGCCAACTCGGCCGTGATAATAAGGTATAGAGCCAATAGAGAATATCCCCACTCATTGAGACGCTTGCGATTTCAGGGGTAAAACCCCCATGACAGAGACCAGCGATGGGAAATCGGGACGGAACATCAGGTCAACCAGAAGAAGCTCGCTACATACCTGGTACAGCTCATTCTTGGGCCGTTTTGGGTAGTAAATGGTCGGCTGGTAGCCGTAGTGGCGGAGATGGCGGGCGGCAACAAGGCCGTCACCCCCTGAACGGCACCTTGTGAGCGCACTGGCCAACACACCCAAAGTCAACAGTTTCCCTGGAAAGGTAACTCACCGTTGTTGCCGGGACCGACTGCAACCAGAACTCTTCTGCCCTTACTCACGGGATGCACCCTGTATACTGCGAGAAAAGGTCAGCCAGAGTTCACCTAATCTCAGGCGATCCATTTTTTTGGGTTCTCGTCCCGACTGACCAACTTGTGAGACTGAAAGCCCGGCGAGCTCCATGAGCTGGTCAAGGGAAAACGCCCCAGTGCTCATCAACTCCTTATCCAACGCCGCTGCAGCCTTTGCCCCGAGGGTCTGGATTTCGTTACCATTGTCAGGAATTTTTATCCACAGACGTTGGGTAAGGAAGTGTTGAGCGGACGTTTCAACTGGGGGACGGGACGGCCCTAATAAAACACAGACCTTGAGTGCCATCTTAGGGCAACCGTGCGGGCTTAGGGCTTGTACGGAGGTAATAGCCGGTCCTTTTCCTATCTTCTGGAAATGTAAGTTTGGGATACTAGCGAGGCAATGGCAATGGCCGTCGTCTAGACCTTAAATGTCCCGAGGTCGCGTTATTAAGTGCAGAGGAGGGGAATCAGGCTAACTGACATCACCGTGCCTCAACTTGGTGATCCCGCTGTCGTGCCCCATTGGCGCGTCTGATTGGCCCACTCATCCCCAGAACAATGCAGTGGGGCCCAAAATTTCCAGCCGCTGACCTGTGCACCTCGAATGGGCACGACTGCGAAACCACCACCAGATCGATCACAGCCAGCAAAGGACGACACTGCCAGTCAGCAGTTTGAGATCCGCCAACCCCCATTCGGAAAAAGAATGGTGGTCAAGATCAGACTCGCGCGCTTCGGGCGCACCAATCACCCCTTCTACAACATCGTCGTCGCCCACGCCCGGTATGCTCCCCCCGTTCCGCGCCGACACATCTCCTTCCCGCCCTTTCTAACTCTTGCCTCTTAGAACTGCGCGCAACAGCCGACCTCTAGAAGTCATCGGCACATATGACCCCATTCCCAAGAAGGACCCCTACGACGACTCGGGGCGGCTGCACAAGGACATCAAGCTGGACATAACAAGGGCAAAGTACTGGATCGGCGTGGGCGCGCAGCCGACAGATACCATGTGGAGGTTATTATCAATGGTACGACCACCGGCCTGACATTGATAGCAAGTGAGAGAAGAAGGCTGACATCTCCGCTTACCTTAGGTCGGCATCCTACCGCCCAAGTACCGACCCGCGGCACCGGCACCGAGCCAGAACACACAAAGCACCCCACAAGCGAGTAGGAGCCAGGCCTGACGAGGCTTCTGCTCGACATATTTCAGCAATACTACATCATTGGGTATTTCCCAACTTTTCCGTTTATACGACGAAAACCGCAAACGACAGCATGTACATACCAGGCGTTCTTTTTGCGGGGCCCAGACTTAGACTTGGACTGTACGATATGGAGAGAAAGTGAGAGTTATAAGCCAACTACCGGACTTCGATGCTTGCCTGAGGGTTTGGATAAAGGTGGTGCAAAGCCCGGAGGCAGTGACATTCTGCGGCTTGTCCTCGTGCGGCGGTAGAGTGGAGGCGTTGGACACCTTAGGGGACTGATGGCGTGGTGGTGTCGGGATTCAACGGCCAGTCAGGGGCCAGGTCGTCGGTACCTCGGAGCAGCTGGGATGGGAATAACATGAGTTGAGAAGGCGGAAACATCGAATTTTGCCAGGGAAGATGGATGTCGCCTTGCTGCAGCGGTAACATGCTCATCATGCACGATCCAGATCGCTTAGGGAAACCGGTGTAGCTTAAAGTAAAGCTCGGTCCCCAAAGCCTTACCGGCATCCAGATCAACGAAAAAACTCTTTGTCTCCTAAAGGCCCTACCTAGCCGTGAACCTTCCCCGGAAAAACGTCGTACATTCGCCCCGACGCCAATAGAACCAAGGAAATCTGCCCAAGTCCCCCCTTTCCAAGCCTTAGCTGGTCATGCATGTGGCACACACCTAACGACAAATCTCCCCAAAGTAAGGTAGATGCGCCATCCGAGATCCCATCAGTGGTCGACGGTCAGTATATCAAACCCCCGTCTTCTTATCTTACCATCTTCCTATATCCCGCTGTCTCTCCTGCTCCAGTGCCCCATAATCAATGCTTGAAACTAAAGAAAGTGTTGACAAACAAGCACACAATCATAACACAGACCCCGTACGCTGACAAGAAAAAGGACAGCTTCCGCAGCAGGCCCGTCTCGAGATGCTCCAGATCCCACCGCCACTTCCTTCGCCATCGCCACAGCCAGCGGCTACCAGACCGCGAGCGCGTACTCATCCCGCTGGCGTTGGACCGTACGGACCGGATGGACCGGAGGCTGGCGACACTGTTTCCGAGAACATCCTCACCGGCCTCGTCGTCATCGTCGTCCGTAGCGCTCAAATCGACGTCGTCATCCTCCTTGGACAGGCGTTGGTGGTGGATGCTGTCCGGGTCGCTGATCTTATAGTAGAACAGGCCCGGAAGGATGAACGAGATGGCGGTCGACCCCGTGCTGCCGACATATGCCAGGACGCGGTCGAGGCTGGAAACGTTGAGGGCGGTGATGTAGCTCAGAATCAGGATGGCGCTGGTGATGAGGGCGAAGCGCAGCTCGGACATGGCCATCACCGGCGCGCCATGGCTATCAAGAGAGGCGGCGGCAGCGTTGCTGGACGGGAGAAGGGGCTGGCTGCCTGAGGGGACGCTGGAGCCGCTCGACGGCCTCTGACTGCTGCCGGGCCGCCAGCGCAGAACTGCGTCGATGGAGGCGCGGCACGGGTGGATTTGCAGGGGGATGCTAAATGTCACCAGGGCGACAATCGCTGCTTTGGCGATGGTCGAGGCAACGGATGCCGGATCTGTGATGGGAATGTGAGTGGGTGATCCTCAGGGGTAATCTTAGTAGCGCACTTACACATGCCAACAATGTTCCCCTGAATATCATTGCCGAACGTGAGGTACCCGGTGATGGCGACCAGGATGTAAACCGATGCCGCGGAGCCAATGCTGGCGCCAATAACAGCAACGATGCTGCCAGGCGTGTTGTCCTTAATCTCATTGAGAATAGAGAACATCTAGTGGGGGTCAGTGACAGATAATGAGGAGGTCGACCCGGGTAAAACTCACATTTTGGTGGCACGTGTAGGCAAAGATAACCACGGGCAGGCTGCTCAGGGCAGCTACGGGTCCCTCCCAGGTGATGACACGGATATCCCTGTTGTTCGGAATTTCGTCGGCCGCGAAGTGGTAGACAACCAGGATGATGAGATAGCCTATCGCAAGCAATGCCACCACGCTTGTGTACTTGAGAGAATCCAGCCTCTTCGGAAAGCTCAGCGGTATGATGAAAAGGATGAAGAAGACGGTTATCCAGAACCTCCGATCCTCCAAGAACGGCCAGCCCAAGTCCGCGCTGCCAAAGGCTTCTGCAACGCCTGGCATTAGGTCGCCGATGATGATCATATAAGAGACGCCCACTCCAAAGCATTTGATGGCGATGGCAGCATCGAACACCACAGCGGCGTTTGGGTAGGTAATCTGGGAGAGTGCGAAGAAGGAAGATGATCCCCGGTCGAGGTAGCGCGCGCAGCGTGACTGGAGGTAGAGACCGAACGCCGATGTGAGTCCGCACCACACAATCAGAAGGACACCGAGCATGATACCGAAGTGGGACATGGCCGATGGCATGGCAAGCGTTCCAGCGCCGATGACTGCGCCCGCGTTAGCCTTGTTTCCCCCCAGACGCTGTTCATATATCCGGACGCACTCGTGTTCAGGAGGTTGATGTTGCTGCTCATCATGGAGGCGTGCCCGCCGCCCATCTTCGGGCTACGTGTTCGGCGTTGGCTAAAGTCAATACTGCGTCAGTTCCTAGTCAATTCCATCAAGGTTTCTAGGCCTGGTGTACGCACCCCGCCATGATTCCGCCCGCGGTAGCTCCTGACGCACTGCCAGACGCTACCGTCATGTACCCCGTCATCCGTCGACCGCAGGGTTCGTATCCGGGCGCTCAACCGCAAAGATTCGGTGATGAAGCGTCTTTCGAGGAGCCCGTGGTTGTTAGAGTGGCCGTACTAGGATGCGCCCACCATTGCCGCCATCGGGGACATTCAAGCGTGCGAGGACCCCTGAAGCGAATGGTCAGGGATATGGGTATCGCTCGTCAATCGTGATGATGCGTCCAGTAACCTTCAAGCGAGTGACTGTATCTATTATGCTGCTGCGACGTCCAGGACGTTGAACTGCTCGCAAGTGATGGCTGTCGGAAGATAAATGTTCACAGGCGGTGAGGTATTCGATGGGTTGATATGAGTTATGGACACCACGACGACGAAACATTCCAGGAGCACAGCCTGCCAAGCGGGCCAAGCCGAAAAAAGCTAGAATACCCTAACCCGGATAACTTCGTCAAGTGGAGGGACTGGACCCACTGAGTGGCATGGGCTTTTATCATCAACTTGCACCCCACCCTGCATTTAACAAAGAAACAAATACCGTTTCCTCAAAACCGACCTCCGTTTTCTTCGCATCAACCCTCCGCTTCAGTTTCGGTTCACTGCACAGTGCACTGGCAACTCTCAAATTAACCTCCGTTTCCGCTAACCAACCTTGCAAACCTCCGTTTTTGCTCACAAACGTCCGTCTTCTGCTCACAAACTCGATTTTCGTCGTCCCAGCTTCCGTTTTCGGCGTACCGACCTCTGTTTCTCGTGCACCGTCCAGACTAAGACGCGCAGATAATTGCCAAAAATGGCTAAGTGTCAGCATTCCGGCTGCCATACAACAACAGCCTTTGCCAATGAGGCAGCGCTCGTGTAAGTGAAAGAACCAGGAGATAAACACCCAATTCACGATTGCTGGTGTTTAGAATTAATTTTTGCAACTTCTTCTAACATAACCTATCACTGCAGTACACACATAGCCGACTTCCACAACCAAGTCTCCGTCTGCAAGATGTGCGGAAAGGACCTGAAGAACGCGGAGAGTGTCAAGAGACACGAGAAGATGCACAACAAGATGGGTCACTTTAAGTGTTTGCTCCCTGGTTGTTCCGCCACCTCCTGGCGAAAGGAATTGATTGGGAGCCATCTCCTGAACCACAAGACCGAGCTTCGCGAGGTCTTGAACGTATTCGCCAGGTTCAAGGATCGCGAGGACGAGCTCCAGAAGGCCATTGAACTATACGAAGAGTTCAAGGATGACATTGACGTGCTCCGCGCGGCTCTACACTTATACAAGGAGTTCACCAAGGACATGGTAAGAAGGGGATCTTGCGACGGTTTCTTCAGACACGGGCTAACAGTTTCAAAAAGGACATGGCCGCCGAGCACGCCAAACACGCCAACAATGCTGGGAACTAAGTGGGATCCGACAAGAAGGGGAGGGGTTATGAGTTCTTTTGGTGCTGCGTTTCCCGGAATAGGTGGATTCGGTTGAGGACATCTGCGAGCGCAGAGCAGGATGCATGGAGCTAGGCGTTGGTCGGTTTGGGAAATTCTCATACGGCAGTTACGGAGTTCTGGTTCTCGCAATCATCAAGAGTCTCCATTCTGGGCCGTGTGGCCTGCGGCTACTACATACAATGAATAGTAGACATGCCCTGAATCCCTAATTAGGCTGCTATGTGTCCACGGGTGACAGACTGGGACTACTCCTGGTGCGACGAATGATTCCTACAAGCTCTGGCACCGGCACGCCTGATGTCGCCCTCGGAGAGTCACAAGTGTGTTAGCGCTGACCTACATCCATCTACCGAATCTAGGCCAAGGAGGTGCCGCGCACCTTCCTTCTCGACGGGTCGTGACGTAGTCAGGTAGCTGAAAATGAGAAGGGGTGAACGATAGAAGAGCTTCCCTTCTGCTTGTGCTTCATCTGTCTTGTTCCTGTATCTATTTTTCTCTTTACCCCACCTTTTCAATCGACTTTTGTACTTGACGTTGCTCAGACTACTCGCTGGGCCTCCCAAAGCGGCCAAGCCAAGGTAGCGATTGGCGGGGAGCTGGGTTTGGCCGCTTTGGAAGGCCCAGCGAGTATCAGTATGGAAGAGCTCTGCGTACGGTTCATTTGTGGATTTTGGGTGCCAGCCCCAGCACCAAATGTGTGTCGGTGAAGTAGGTATTAGAACGTGCAACGTACACCTGGGGTTTAGTAAAGGCAAATTCTGGGCATTGGCTGGAACGAACTCCTGTTCACTTACAACCACGCAGTCAACCTCCACAAATTCAACCACCTTTTACCCATGTTCTTCAGAAGCCACTCCTTCGGCCAACGCGAGCACCGTGATCCACAAAGCTGAACCGACTTTCCTTAATCAGGTCACTTCTCTCAACCTAAGGTACCTAAGGTACCTACCGTATAGAGTCCGCCATCCCGTTCTCTGCCTCCTCCATTCACTTTCCCGCATCTTTGACAACCCATCTTTGAGAACCCTTCGAGCACTAGAGCACCAAGCGTCGCAGCATGGACCCGTGGATACAGGTATTTGTTCGCTGCCCGCTATGTAGATGGTCGGTATTCGCAAACGGTGGCCCGAATTCTCCTGACACCTGGGCAGGCGAATTCCGCGTTGGTGAGCAATTCATGCCGTTTTCCCAAAGTTTTGATTTACTTTCTTCTGCTAACGTTGACACAGTGTGCATCCGGCCCGAAGGCGTCCTTGTTACGGGGGTTGGTCTCCACGTTGATTTAGGACAGGGCGGAGCGTTCAGTGCCCCAGTCGACCGAAAGATGCGCTGCAGTGATGCCGGAAACGTTCAGTCAGTCGAGATTCCCTTTTACGTTATGCAACGCCGGTATCAACCTTTTTCCCGAGACCGGCGTGGCATTATCATCCATGACGCTTGTTGGATTTTGCTGGAAGAAGCGTTGCGTCCAGCCCCGGTTCCGCTCCAGAGACTTCTTGAGGTGTGCAACTCGCTTCCCATTCCATGCAGATGTAACGCCCTTGCCTGGGTTTACAAGCTCGGGGGTACTGCTGCCGCCGGCCATGTCAACTAGTTCCCCTGGGAAGAAGAAGGGTATGGTCGCTGCGAGCGGGACCCGTTCTTTGGGACGAATCCGTGGCAGGTCCCTGAAGTCAACATCATCTTGGCCGAGGACCCGGAGCAACCGCCGATGTTTCAGCAGACGGCCTCATCGTTTCATACTTTGAGCATAGATTGCTTCGTATCCCTTCCACAGGAGTTGTGTGCACCGACTGCCATGCACCTACCAACAGCAGATGTGCTTCGTGCTCACCTGGCTTCAAGAGCATTCTGGCCCATATTTCACAGTCAGCAGTTTTGGGCTTCCAGATTCAAATACTCTCCCGACCGGTCCTGGCTATTCGAGGCTCGCAGCAGCCCGCCTAGCGACTGGCGGTGGCTTTACGGTCGGATAAACAACGCATTTATCGGCCCCGGTCTTCGCAATAGGCGGCGGATATGGGGGTTGCTCCAAGAAGTGCCTCCTATTCTAGCGCTTGCTTGGAACGAGCTTCCTCCTGTTTTGCCCACAATATGGTCGCCGGATCCAGGTTTGAGCCCAGTGGATAACCGTGTGGAGGCTGCTGAGCCTCATCGGGATACAAGCAAGTCTACTAGCGACGACTTCAGCAATAGTTGCCGTATATTCAGGACCCAGACCATTGCCGTTCCTGCGCAGCTTGCTCGCATATCCGCTCATACCTTTGCTTTCGGCGATGAGGAGTATATTGTAGGAATGAGTCTCACCATCAAAGCCGGAGACACCCTTTGCTTGGGATACCGGTCCCCGTCTGCTCATTCTGTCGAACTTTCGGAGATTTGGGGGCTCCGCCTGGCCATGGGACCTCGCGGCCTTCGGGTCCTCCAATGCATCACTGGACAGGCAGATTCTGAATCTCCCTGGCTTGGTTCCCCAGATGATATCCCCCTAACTGAGCGTCTAGTAGCCGCCGACCGCATCGTGATATTGGAGGCTGGCTTTGATGCAAGTACCCTTCGAAACCACATTGAGTTCTCTCAGGAAAGAATGTCTCATGCTGATATGCACGCAGGGATGTAAGATGGTCAGTATCGGGGCTTATCCTGGATCACGGCATTGCACAGAAGTCTTGGAGCACGGCAGCAGATTGAGGGCTTCAGGGCTGTGGTATCCTACTATCCCGCCGCGGAACCTTTGCTTGAACGAAGAGTCATTTCCACTACTCGAGCTTTACGCAACCGGATACAAGCCCCTGTTCGGGTGCCATTTCGGGGGCCCGGGTGGTAAGTACCTTCCACACATGACCGGGATTTGGGCGACATCCAGCATCGGGGGCATACTTCGCATCCAGTTCCGCTTTGACAAAGAAGTGCGGGCCGAGTGTCGATCCTTTGGTCGTCTGAAGGAAAAGGATGAAGAGGCCGTCGTTGACATCTCTATCGATGGGCCTGGGGGCGAGCGTATTGAAGCCATAAGGCTACGTCACTTTTACCCCCTAGCTAGCGAATCATTCTGGGATCTCGAGATGGTTCAGGAAACACTCTTGGTTCGATGCAAGGTATGTTCGATTCACTCAGTCTAGCCGCTTCCTCGATCGTCACTTACTCACCCATTCAACTGTCAAGATTTACACAAACTATGGGAGATCATTCCTCGTGTATAAGTGCGGAGATCTATACCGGGAAAAGCCCGCTTCGGTGAGAGAAGTGACAGCTGCTCCAGGCGCTGTGATTACAGGCGTTTATGCCGCCGAGGTACGTCGATTCACACGGCAGGTTGCTGCGACTGAAACTGACATGGCCTGCGGTATAGCACCCTGAAGATGACAAGTTTAACGCAATTACCGCCATGGGTGTGATAACGGAAAGCGTTGAACTCGTAGGCTCTTAGGCATGACTTATCACCAGGCTGCCTATCACTAGTACCCGTGGTTCGCATTTCCATCCGCAGACAGCCAGTTAGTTGCGTTACCATCGTTGGTAAAATGGTAGATGTGTTTGAGTTATGTATCAATTCAACAACTCTCTACATTTGGTGCCGGCTTGAGTGAAATTTATTCTGTTGCTTTGAACATCTCACTTTGATTTACGTTGCGGAAACTGCTGATAACCATTCTGCAGGGATGCAAAATATCCAACAGCATGTTCAACGCCTTCCTCAACGATGCTGACTCGGAGAGTAAGATCTGTCGACCAGATAATCTGAGTGAGGCCGACGAATTCCAGCGGACGTCCGAGTTTCTGGGCCACAGGCTGGGAGATTACTACCACAACTAGGTTTTCATAACGCACAAACGGAATCACACATCAACCTCCGCCGGCCATACGTACATAGCATATGCCTGGATTACCGCGTATGCTCCGCGCAAGATCGACCTGGCTCGGGAGCTGCCAGACAACCCTCCGCCTGGCTTCTCGGAATTTCCCCACGAGACCTTGACTGTTGCCAGAAGATGGCACCATTCCCAGTATATAGGTTGAAGGGTGTTGTCGGATATGCGAAGGGAAGGCTATCTCGACATGGTTGTATTTGTACGTTCTTGTCAATGAAGACGAGGAGTTCACACTTCGGGAGCCGTTCCTTTAGACGGCAAAGTTATGCCCAATACTACTGTCCTGCATATCTAACTTCTCCGGGGTTTGAGTACCTGCTGCTAATACAGGTTGATGCAGGGCGATGTTACATATTCCCATTTGGCGACGATTCTTTACGATCGGCCCACGATGCAAAGAACTCATGATCGGTTCTGACCTGTATACAAGATACGCCTGCTCTTCCACATTCTGGGAGACTGGAAAAGCGGCTTCGCAGTGCTCAAATAGTACTGAGTATGCTCCAGGTTGAGCCGATTGTATCAGTGGACGGCGCTTTCTTTGTAGCCATCGGCGGCGTGTTGACCTGGAGTAGTAGCATTGGCTTCGGCGTAAGGAGCCGACAACGTTCGTTTGTTCGCTTCCTCATCTGTATGATTGAGTATAGTAGCCTCAGGCGGACTAAGTGAAGCCCAAGGATAAGTTACAAGGGTCTCATAGTCTATAGGCTATAGATCAGGTCGTTATATCCTCATGATCTCATCAAGGAGAATTACTATCACGGGTTTTGCATCTCATATTGTGAACTCGCCTATAATCGGATTTGACACAACTGATTAGACCTTTGCCATAACCAAAGCCACCTCAACCAGCAGATTAATGGAATTACATGTCACAAGCTGCTCAGTGAAGATTCAACATGCGCCTGTCCCGGTGTCCGCACCCTACACAGCCTACTGCACGTCAAGCGACTCTGAGCTTTAAGGTGATAATATATTCTTACTGCTATGGAATACCATAGAGTTAACAATCAAAACAAGAGATAACCCATAGTCAATAGGGAAGTCTAGGCTCATTTGCGATGTCCTCGGCTCAATGGACAAGTCCTATGTCGTACGTTACATGTTACGATCTGTACATTACGGTTACTCTTGTTGCGCAAATTCCATACGCATTCCACTGTATGTACTGTACTAGTACAATACAGACATACAACCCCGGCAGTGGGGAGCTCCAAGGCGCAACTGAACGCGGTCTGAATCTGTGGGGTAACAGGAAACGCGATTGCCTAATGAACCACCGGATTGACAACCCTCAGCGAAGACTGGTTGCCGTTTCAAAGTCGGCCACGCCCGACACGTAATTCCATCCATCGAGCTTGGAAGAACCCGAGGATTACGGTCGACCGCAGCTCCAGCGACATCAACATCATGGACAACACACTAGATCAGACGTCGCTGGCCACCATCTCGCTGCTTGAGGCCCGGCTGCGGCGGATTGAGCACATCCTGTACGGTCCTTCCACTCAACCGACTGAGCCGCCAGCAGAGTCCGCGACATCCTCCCTCGCCGATCTCGAGCGCCGCTTCAACCAGCTGCTGCGGCACTTCCGCGTCTACGCCGAGATCCTCAAGATCTGTACGGTCCCCCCCTTCCTCGCCTGCCTCCCCCTGTAGTCCTACCTTCCCGCTAACGAACGCCGGTGTCGAACCTACCAGATAAATCCCACCCAACCCTCTTCCAATCCCCCACAATCTCCAACCCCAACAACAACCCGAACAACAACAACACATCCTGGCCATTCCCCCGCGAAGAACCACCAACCCAACTATCCCCGCTCGCGTTGCGCGAAACGGTCCTCGCCTACGCATCCTCCTTCCCCTCGACCGCATCCGCCCTCACGGTCATCACCTCCGACACGCCGATCCCGGACGCGAAGCAGAGCGCCGAGCTGGCGGCGCTGGGCCCGCGCATGCGCGGCGTCGAGGCGCTGCAGCGCGCGCAGGCGGTCGAGATGTCGGAGCTCAGGCATCGCAGCGAGCGCGCGCTGCGCGCGTGGTACGAGGGCGGCATCCTGCGGTACGGACAGACACTGGCTAATGTGGAAGGGCGGTTTGAGAGGGTCGAGTGGGGGGTTCGTAGGGCCGCGCGGGAGCGGGCGGAGGCGGAAAAGGTGTGAGAGAGAATTCATGCTACTAGGTCGGTTTAGCCTGGCGGGGAGGTGCTTTTTACTAGCCTGGCCCCGGCCTGGATGCTTGATACCTACCGAACGAGGGCACGCTACTCTCCCGAGTGAGCTGGGGGGGCTGGCTGCACGTCAACGGGGACCACGCCAGAGAGGTCGAGGAGGATCACGGCCGAGGTTTACGGATATTCTACCACCATTTCACCGAGCAGGTGCTAGTTTTGGGGCGGTCAACGGGGGAACAAGATCTCGGTGAAAGCACAGTCAAGCCGAGTATCTTACTTGCAGGAGAGGAGCTGGAGAAGTATTGGGATGAAGCCTTGGCCATGCCCGTTGCCAGCAATGGCTATGGGCGACGCCTGAAACAAGCGGCAGCTCTCAGAGCTACCTGCCTTTCGACGCTCAGGGAGCTCAGGGAGGCTCACGCTGCAGCGGAGCACCGCGACCTGGGCTGGTATTGTACATGCCCGTTGCCTTTATCCCTCCAGCTAAGGCGGGCTATTGAGGACTAGGTCATTCGGGGATGCATGTATTTAATACGGAGATGGCAGGAGCAAAACGTCATCGATTTATTGAGCATGTCTTGCGCGGTGCATCCAGCTGGTATCATGCGACGCTTCTTGGGTCCGGCACTTGCCATCCCGTGTTTCATAAGCCAACTTATCCCGCCACTAGGGCAGATGCGTTGCAAATCCCGCCCTGCGGACTTGGCTAACGGACAGATCGGCTTCTCTTGGACGGTGACACCGTCGTTGCTGTCGCACAAGACAAGACAATCAACCAGTAGGCACCTCAGGGCGTCTAGACCGCCCTTGACCAAGCGGGATAGACATCTCGGGGCCCCGACAAGATGAGCACCTTCCCTGCGCTAGACCATGAGCTGGGCTGATTCCAAAGGGGTTTTGTTCCGGACCTCAGTGCCATCACAGCAAAACATCACAGCAAAACATAGCGAAGGTCACGGAGACCAGTTCGGCTGTCGTAACTTGATGGCCGCGGCACGGGAATTTCAGTTGCACTGACGGGTGCAATGGACATGTCTCGGTGGTCGACTCGCCCCCGCACGGAATGCGAGCCCGTGCGGTAGATGCGCCTAGATTTCCGTCGAACCGTGAAAGGTGGGAGGGAGGGAATTAAGTTGTAGGGCGCGCGTCCTTAGCTGAGTCCTACCTGCCTATCATGGAAGTCGCCTGCAAGCTTCAATATTGCGTGGCCGATGAAGGTGCGCGCAATATGCCAACAACCTCGTCGATATTGAGAGATGCAGCCGTCTCTGGTGACCATCTTTCTCATTGGGAAGGGCATATTGCGCTGCCCATCCCCATGGGGTGATGTCGGCTTGCTTCAGCCAATTCCTTGGTCGGGTCCGGATTGTCTCCTTGCATTCGAGATGGTTGAATGCAGGAGCCCTGACTGTCGATCGATGGCGGCATCCCTCCCATCTAGACATACTGACTGAACCCTACCAAGAGGCAGCGTTCAGTCACTCTAGCACTCCATGCGCCCTTTTAGGTCATCACAAGTCTCGCCTGCGTCAAATAAGACACGCCAGCATTAGCAAAGACTATGCTGGAATCGGTTTCTGTTGACTGTCGCTCTTGCACGAACCTAACGAACTGTAGCATCCTGTGCGACACCCCACCTGAAGCGGCTGCCGATGGGCGTGCACGACGCCAAGTCCGTGGACAGGGAGGACGATTCCAGGCGTAACCCTTTGGTGAACCGCGATGCCCGTGTCACCAGCCACAAGCTCTTTGACATGGCGTTTTGAGGTTGCTGTGGGGTTCCCACCTGTCAGTCAGTGATCAAGGGTGCAGTTGAAACGGGCCAGCCCCTGCATGCCGTCAGGAACCAGGGGTGCCGGCTTGAATTGCAGGCCAATCAAGGTTTCGGCACAGGACCTTTCTGATGTCAGTGAGAGGAAGCTCAACCTTTCGAACTCGAGCCGGCAGTCTGAGATCCAAATCCACTTGTATTCTATGTGTTTCATCGTTGCAGATAGTTGGCATGCAAGTCTCGACATAGGGAGGTAAGGGTTTCCTAAGTACTAGTAGGTAGTGAGATTATCGTACATACAAGCCACCCATAGCCATGCGCTCACCCTCTTCAGAGGCTCAAGTACACCTAGCAGCAGGCACGACGGGAGTTGCAGACGAAGAACTGCCAACAGTCGCTGTCGCTGACCGAGACACACCTGGGCGAGGGATCGAGTCTCGTGTTCAGAATCCATTTGCCAACCTGGGCCTTGCTAGGAAATCTAAATTAGGTTAACGGTTCTAGGCCGAAAAGCAATCGTGACGACTGATGTCAGCGCCGTATTACGGCATCTGAGCCCACCAGCGTATTTGGGCAACCGGCTAGGCGACTCATAGTGGTTATCGACAGCAACTGGGGGTCGAAATCGAATTGAATTTGAGAGAGAATTGATGAGATGAAGAAGACTCGACCAGGTTACGCGGCCGCGAAAGTTGCACATTGTGTCTGCTGGATTGGCTGGAGACACACAGCCCAGCAATTGTTTCAAGCGGAATGCGGGCGGTCCGCAAAGCTGCAACCTCAAAGTGGCCCTTGCGTTCCTTAGCGTCCTGTGCCTGGCGAGACCCACCCCCTCCTCCTGGTCCCTTTCTCGCGTCAGGATTGGACCATCGTGTCCAATTCCAGCGAGTCCCACGCCCCCTGCTTCTCCTCCGCAGCCCCGTTGGCAGTGCGGCCTCCGTTCCACGCTTTCCACCCTCCATCAGGCGAAACGGCGCATTGATTCATTTGCTACCCTTCCCCCGTGCCTCTTTTCCCGGCAGGTTTTACTCTTTCGCTTCTTCTCGACGCCTTCCCTTCCCATCGCTGGCCACCGGGTTTTGCACGCGCCAGCTTTCGATTTTCATCAACGAGACGCTTGACATCGATTGAAGCACGCTGGCGGGTACTGCGGTTGCGACACAGGGGCACAGGGCTTTTTTGGACGACCAGGATTTGAGGGGCGCCGGGAATTGGGACTCGATCTGGACTGATGCACCACGTCTTCCCGAGACTTCCCTTCGAGCACGATTTCAACACCAACAACCTTCGGGCCCGGTGTTTTTCGACTTTCTACGTCCATTTCACCACATTCGCTTAATCGCCGTTCGCGAGACGAGCCTCTTCCTTATTGGGCTCGTTTTCCCTCTTCAGTCATTCCTTTGCTTTTCCTGACCGAGAGCGACCGGCTTTAACGGCCTTCGATTACTTTGATTCGATTTTAACCGATCACGTTCGCCCCAGCGTCCGTTGACGAAGCATTTCGCTGCGAAAAACAAGGTCCAACGGGCTGCCGCTGCTACATCAGACGATTGGCGGCTTCAGGCTCGCCTGCGAGGTTTGCGTTACTTTGGATTAACCAACGCGCAAACAACCGTCGGTCTGCGCCACTTCCCGGCCGTCAGCCCTCGCACATATGCCCTCATACGGCTCACTTCGCTCCCCGTCACTTAGAAAAATGGAATACTCTAGGGCCCAGTATGGCCGCAAGCGCATGAGCATCGGGAACATCATCGGCGACCCGTTTGCTCTCGCAACAATCTCGATTGCCGCGGTGGGTCTTATTCCCTCCATGCCCCCACGGTTTAGCGCTTCACCTGCTGACTGCCCTTCTTCAGCTTGCATGGATGATTTCCTTCGTAGCAACAATCGTGGCACACGTCCAAGTACCCTTCAACTTCCCACTCTACACGTACTGGGCAATCGTCTTCTATCTTGCAGTCATCATTGGCGTTTTTGTCGTGGTCGCGTCGGATAGCACACAGACATATCATGTTGCGCTGGTCGGTTACCTCGGTTGCGGCTTGGTACTGTCAACATCGTCCGTCAACGGCCTGATCCATACCAACCATGGCGCCAAGGAAGCCTCGGCCGCCGGTTTCATCCTTCTCGCAATGGTGACGGTGCGTTCTCTTCGGTGTGGTGTGAGCATAATGTGCATGTGCTGACATCAATTTAGATCGTCTGGATCTTCTATTTCGGCTCCGCCCCATCAGCGGTGCCCCGTGCGTACATTGACTCGTTTGCCCTCGCTAAGGAGTCGACATCCACAAACCGACATACCATGACCGGTGGCTACGGCAGCCGCAGACCGGAAACCTCGACCTCGGTGCAACCGCCACAGATGTACACTGCTCAACTGAATGGACTGGAAAACCCATCACCGGTGGGTGGCATGGCCTCGACGATGCGGAACTCGACAACAGCCCCGGCATTCACGGCGCCTAACCAGAAAGCGGCCACGCAGGCGCCAGATGCGGAAATAGTACCACCAACTGAGTACCCGTATCGGGCGAAGGCTATCTACAGCTACGAGGCCAATCCCGAGGACGCTAACGAGATCTCGTTCTCGAAGCATGAGATTCTCGAAGTCAGCGACGTCAGCGGCAGGTGGTGGCAAGCACGGAAGGAGAACGGCGAAACAGGCATCGCGCCCAGCAACTATCTCATCCTATTATAGTTTGGGATGATCCCAGCAGGCGTCGATTGGGGGGTTTTTTGGCCATGTTTTCGAGCAATGAGGACACCCAGGGCAAAACGCATGATACCATGTGGATGTGATGTCTCTTTTTTTTTTCTATCTCCCGTCTGGATGACGTTTTTCTCTATATACCCTACCCCCACCGAATCGACCATGTCCGGCGTTACATGAACGGCGCTCCACGGCGACGGACCGAGCCGTTACGCGCTCCGTGTCCACGTCCCCGATGAGGAGGGGCTGCGAGCATGGGACAGCGCGGTGTGATAGGATGCGCCGGCATGCGAATTGCCTTGTCTTTGGGACGTGTTGGATGTGGCCAAAAGATCTGTAGTCGTGTTTCTTGGGGCTGGTCTGACTGGTTTTGGCTTGGCTGGGTGTTCTTCTCTATTCTCTGTTTTCTTTCCCCTCCATCTCCTTTCTTCTCTTGGACGGATTCCCCTCTTGAAGCCCGCATTTCTGTTTGACCTGGAGTGTACCACTTTGTGTACGTGATAACCCTTCTAAGGCCGGCGTCCCTGCGTACAGGGTCTCGCTGGTCCGCCGTCCACCTCGATGCTCACTGTCCGAGTCGGATATAGATGGTGGTAGCATGGCAATGGAATGGACTGAGTTCTGAAAGCTATGAGTGTGCAGGTCTCTCCCTCGGAACATGAGTGCCCAAACGTGATTTGACAGGGCGGGTAGCTTGCTACTTGTATACTCCCATGTATGCCGACTGAGACCGCAGAATTTCTGCCTCCGCGTCATCCTCAAGCCGCACATTTCACTTGCCAACCAGTTTGCAAATGTGAGAGTGCTAGGGATTCAGGTTCGGTGTATGCCTCTACCATGAACACCACCTCATCTGCCCAACCCACGGGCCCGTCCGGGTGATGGGCATCCTGCGAAGCAACCCAAACTGCAGAGGACGAGCAGACCTCTCCCATATCTCGACGGCATCCCATCAAAGGTCTATTGTGAGTCTCGAGCCGAGCTGTAGGCCTTCCAAAACGCGTGGAACACTGCCGGCCGTCTTATAACCCCCATTGACGTCCTTGACTGGCGCCCATTGAGCCCATACAAATGCCGAGCGGACCAACATCCCGTCCCCGCTTCCCCCGTGGTTCCGAGTACCTGGTTAAGCCTGGTATGAAGCCTTCCTTTCGTAGGGCGGTCCTCTCGAGGGATGGCCCAGGTCTTGCTCCGCAGACCATGGGTGATATCTTGCCTCAAGTAGGCAGCGCCACGCTGTGAGGTCATGCCAGCGATGTTCGCGCAACTTCTACCCCAAGTCTTTGGGGACTTGTCACCACGGAGCCGGACTCTAAATGCCCGACCTGGCCCACATAAGTGCTGTCGTAGGTAGCCTTGTATCGCGTTCCAATGCATTCATATCCCCCTGGCACCCACCCACACACTCACGCCTGTTCCAACCTCATCCGCAGTTCCCGCTCCTTCTGCAACACCTCCAACTCGAGCCGCTCGACACTGTACTTGAGCGCCTCCTTGCGCTGGCGCACCACCTTGGCCCGGAGCGCCGCCCCGCCGTCGAGCGGCCTCCTACCTCCTCCCCCTCCTTGTTTCCCACCACCCCTTTCCTTGCCCTGTCCCTTTGCAGCACCCGCAAGATTCTTACTCCCACCACTCCTACCACCACCAATTTCTTGTCCCGAGGAAGAAGAAGCAGGAGGAGGAGGGTAGTGCGACAGCCGGCCGGCGTTCAAATCCGCGCGCGCCTTGAGCGTCTCGATGCGCCGGGCCTGCCGCTCCAGGTGCTTGTCTGCGCGGTCGAGGAGGAGGGCGACAAAGGGCCCGATCTCGTCGTGCAGCGAGGCCTCGGCGGCCGCGAGGGTGGGTTGGGGGATTAATTCGTAGTGCTATTTGTTCCGTCACACACACCAGTAAGATCTGTTAGCCTTTTACACTAACCTAAGAAACCTAAGCCGGAGGTTGTCAGGGAGTGGGGGGGCAGGGGAAGGGGGAAGACGTACGCGAACGGTCTTGAGAATGGATGAGAGCCGGGGGAAGTCTTGCACGCCTGCGCCGAGGGTCGCGACGGAGGATTCGAGGAAGGAGAGTGAGGTGCGCAGCGAGGCGACGCAGTCGCTGTATGTTGCGGCGGATGACGATGATGACATTTTTCTGTTGGGCTGGTGGTGTATCGAGGGAATTGGTTTTGGTTTGGACTATGGTGGTCCAGTGGGGGCGGCAAGACATTTGGTTGCTCGAGCTGCCCCGCGGGGGGTTGACTTGGAGATCACGTCCGAGCTTCTGATTGGATGGAGAAGAATTGGCTGCGTCAACATCGTGGTGGGGCAACGCAATCGAGATCTCTACGGGCGCGTCACGGTCTACGGCCCTCCCGATACCAAGACAGAGACTTTCATCGGCCGCCGCTTTGTACAGCGCCATGTGACTCTTTAATGGTGGCAGATGCATCTGTATTGCACCCGATCATCTCCATTTCATGGCTTGTGGCTCGTGGGTTCTATCACATGTCCAGCATCCGGCTTCTGCTGGCACAATTCGTGGAGATGCGGTCAAGAGTCGGTGTAGTTTCTGACCGGCTTCATAGGCGAGCGGAATGGAGTCAGACGGGTCAATTCATATCGTGGCCACTTCCTTCTGTCAGGCCACCCACTAGCGTCTCAGGAATGCCCCAAAGTCTCCATCCGTATCCTGAAGGTTATGCCGCGAGGACAACCTATATCACTATTATGAATGCTCTTGACCAACCCGTGCAGATTGGCGCGGCTCCCTAGTGTGTCGTCCAGGCGCCATATACCACTTTACATCATTTCAGGTCCTACTGACTCCGAGTCAGAGAATTCTATGATGGGAAGGCGTTGAACGCGGTACGGAGGACTCCTAGTACGATTCTTTGAAGGTGAGCGGGATCTTCCCCTAGATGGCCTTGGCACATTCACTCGATGATACGAAGCCGGCGGTTCAGCGGCGGTATACTCAAAGGAGATTGGACACGTTTCCGCCTTGAGCGTGACTCTTCATATGCGCGAATGACAGCCTATACGGGTCACTTCGATATATGAGAACTCCAACAAGCAGATCCCGGCATTGCCACGATTAGTTGGCCAGGCCATCAGCCTTCGGGGACTAAACGGTCGACAGCCCAGAAAGAAGAAAGAAGAAAATGAATAAGCAGTCTGTTGTGAGCGGCGCGGGGAAGTTGGCTGTTGTGCACTGCCACCGTCGGGCTTGTGTATGGCTATTTGCGTACATATTAATGATCCATCTGACGCTTCCCGATTTTTTTACCTGATCAATAGAAGCGAATGGGAGTGGCAGTAATGGGAGTGGCAGTGGCCCCTTGGTTGAGTTGAAGTCTCATGGACCATCGTCTCTCACTCCTCTGCATGCCATTCGGCACTAGCAGCACTTCACCGAGTGGCTGTTGCTATCCTCCAGCGGAGTCCAGCTACAGGTTGCTCTTCAAGGATGATCATGCATCATACGACCTGAGCTAATCGTTGTCACTTGCCTCCCGGCGTATCCGACGATCGCTTCATTACACTGCGTCTTCCTCGCCTGCGAATTTGGTCAATCGCTCGCTGGGACGGCTGGGCTTTGCCCTTGACAGAGGATAGACCGTTCCGGCCACCTCTGCATGAACTGTGGCTTGGAGAATCCAACACGATTGGACGGGTGGCTATGCCACACTCTTAATGATGCTGCTTACGTCGATAGCGGTTGAGCCTGGGACCAAGAAGCCCTTGAATTTGCAGCCGGAAGGAATTGGACAATTCTGCTGTGGAAAGCAGCTGTTGATAAAGGATGCCTTGTTGCATCTTGTTAGAGACCACCTCATTATCTTTTGCTGGAGGCGATTCCACGATGTAGCTCTAGGACGACGATGTTCGTCTGGGCAAACTGCACTCACTTTGGCCTGAAGTGTGGAGGAGGAGAGCTTGGCGAAGATCAGAGGGGAGTTCACGGCCTAGGCCCGGCGGAGAGAGGACGAACTGATGACGGCAGTAATGGTTGATGTCATGGAACTAACCGCCAAGCCGCCAGTCACGCTCTTTTGATGTGCTCAAAACACCTGACTCGTCGGAGCAATTATTAGAGTTGTGGAGTTTACTGGTGGGTAATGGCCCTCCAACAGCTACTAGCAAGTAAGCAGATAATACCAGGATTCTCTAACATTCTCTAGCCGTGTCCCAGAGCTTCGGCCTCAGGTTCAGTCGCCACCTTGGGCCAAGCCAGCCGGATGAGCTCTGCCCGATGCCCATTGATGATGAAGCGAGGCAATTTCGATCCCTGTGCCCGGCTGCTGGGCTAAACATAGCAATAATGTGGAACTTGGCACATGACAAGCCCGCCTCCCGATGTTGTCGGGATGATCGGTCGAGATGGGATGTTCCCGAGCCTGGAGGGAGGCGGGAGCGCTTGAACGAGTTCCAGACATCTCAGCGATCATCGAAACCCGACACTTTACAGCAGGAACTGTCCACTTGTCCCGGATAGAACAGAAAGTCTCGCCAGAGGCAATCACACCACTACCAGCACAGCCTTTAGTGGGACACTGCCCGGCCATGACAATGCTGTCCAGCCCCAACATGGCCAGAACAGCACCGAACTGAGGAGCTACATTCGGGTATTGGTACCGGCGAATAGGAGTTTGTAATCTGTCTTTTCCTAGCAGGATGAAATCATGGAAGAAGCAGGGTTAATCCAAAGACACGCTAGTACCTCTGGGAACGCAGCGCAAGGATGATGGTTATGTCATTCGGGCATCAGCCTCTTACCATAGAAGCCCATGCGATCCATATGGTACGACTTCCAATGCAGATGATGGCCTCGGGGCTGAGATGGGTGGCCAAAGAGTGACAATCCCAAAGCCACTTGCTTTAGTAGATCGACCGGCTGAGGAGGCTTGGTAATGGCTGCCGTTCAAATCTAAAGGAGTACGATTGAGTTGAATCTAACGCACCATTGATCGTTGTCTGGGCCGCTGGGAATCCAAGAGGAGTATATATCGATCTTAAAGCACCATCATAATCATCCCTTCGAAGCTCGAACCTTCACACCTCACCCAAGTATTCTCTCCAAGCAGCTATCCCAGGGTAACCCAACCTTTACAAACTACTGAAACTCCATTCTTATTCTCCCCGCTAAAGATGCAGTTCTTTGATATCATCATCGCCCTCTTCGCCAGCGCCGCTATGGCAGCCCCTGCCCCTGCCCCTGGCCCCGCCCTCGTCGAGCGGGACGGCCCCAGCGGCCACGAGGTCCAGATCCGCGGCTTCACCTACGGCGGCTCGGGCTGCCCGGCGGGCTCGGTCGGGAGCATGCTGTCGGACGACCTGACGACGCTGACGCTCATCTACGACGCGTTCGTGGCGCAGGCCGGCAAGGGCATCGAGCCCAAGGAGCGCCGCAAGAACTGCCAGGCCAACGTCAAGCTGCACTACCCGCAGGGCTGGCAGTACTCGGTCTTCAAGGCCGACTACCGCGGCCACGCCACCCTCCCCCCCGGCGCGACGGGAACGTGCAAGGCCACGTACTACTTCTCCGGCAGCTCGCAGCAGGTAAGTCAGGGTTAAATAACTACTTACTTGTAGTTACATGCTGTTAAAGCATAGTAACAAAAATATAAATAAAAAACAATACAGGTCTCGAAGGCCCAGGACTTCAAGGGCCCGTACAACGCAGACTACCTCAAGACAGACGCCTTCGGCATCGAGAGCACCGTCTGGTCGCCGTGCGGCGCCGAGGGCATGCTCAATGTCAATTCGGCCGTCCAGCTGGACCCGCTGGCGTCGGAGCAGCCCGCTCTCCTGACGGTAAGTACTAGCGCTCCCAAGTCAAGTCTTATTAGTCTGAGAATATTCTGGTTGCAACCAAGGTGGTTGTGGTGGTTATGGACGGGGTATTTTGTGTGGGCAGAATAAACATAAACAGATTGCTAACAACCCCCGTTTTTTCACCTGTACCATCTAGTCCGAGTCGACCGATCTCAAGTTCAAACAGATCCACTACCTGCAGTGGAGGAAGTGCAACAAGAAGGCATGAAGGACTGCATGGGGGATGGTAGACAGGGGATGAAAGCGCTGCGAAATGTCGGTTTTCGGTGGGAGAATGTGATATCAGAATTGAGGATGGAGGGGAACTGGAAATGTGAACTCTAGTGAAGGGGCACAACTGGACATTGACTCACTTGTTTCCTGTTGCGGATGCGGTATTCTTTTCTTTCCTGTTTTGTGGAGTTCAGATTGTCATCTATGCTCACATGGCCCGACGCAATTATGTGTCTTTTTGAAGACAGTCTCCTCTGTGTCTGGCAAGAGGGTGGGCGATGTATGAATAGGTTGTTATTGTGACTGCAGCGCGTTCATCGCCGTCTCTCATCTTCAATAAGGTGACCCTGTGGCGTGCATTCATGTCATTCATGTCAATGGATGTTCCTAACTCAAAACGACCGTTGGTCTGTTCCACCATGCGCAAATGCCCTACAGCAGCTCTGATTATCCCCCTTCTACCACGGTACAAGTACATGCTCACGCATTCTTCGCACCCCTCGCCGCCTTCAGCTCGCTCTCTCCCTTCTGCGCAATGACATCGTCCTTCGCCAGGCCGTCCTCAGTCCCAAACGCCTTGTCGACGGCCGCATTCAACCCTCCTCGTAATGATTCCCCGGCTCCCTAATAACCCCCGGTGTTAGAACAGCTAGACTCCCTCGTGCGGAGATAAAAAAAGAATGGTAAATGCGATCCATGCTGGTACTTACGTGGACGCCCGTAAAGAGACCCTTGACCGTGCGACCAACTTGTTCGCCCCGGGCTGCTGATGCACTCCCTTGTAGATCCGCCGCGTCATTAGATCAGATTTCCGTTCCGTGTGTTTTTTTGCAAGGGCTAGGAGATGCCTGGGTAGGCTACATACTCGTTTGTTGGCCAGCTGCAGGTTCAGCCGACGTACTGCTGCTGTACACCGGATCGGGGTTGTTGTTAATGTTCTGAGTGGTGGGCCTCGCAGCAGTGCCCGTGGTGGGGATGCTGGGGTCAACATATCCTTCGGTTCTTTGAGTGTTCATTGTGAAGCTAATCGATTCAACAAGTGGTGATTTCGCGGTTTGTTTTCCTATGTGCGATTCATATTCCAGGGGTGTTTGAAAGTTGACAGGATGGTGGTTTGTTATATATGGTTTCTTTGTGGGTGACGTCACTGTGCGCATACCTGTGATACATGTCTCACATTTCCCTGATTACAACAACTTGAAAGGTACGGAACTTGCTCTTGTGGTCGCCGTATTTGGCTGCATATTATGGACGCTCGCAGACAGCAGCCAGGTGCCACTGCCGGATCTTTATCTAACAATGATGCTTCGGATTCATAATCTTCAACATCGCTCGAAGGCCTCGAATCCTGTACCAACCACGAAGACGAGCAGGAAGAGCGGCAACCCTTGACTCAAATGCGGGACTAGGCTATTCTCCTGAGATCTAGGATCTGACTAAGATTATAACTATCGGAGCCGTAGGAACCATGGTCGCCAGCGGCGTCCGCAGTTGGGTGCCGCTGCCCCGGTTGGAGACAGCTGCTGGTTAATAACCTCGTTTACCGTCTTGGATTAGGCTTATAGTACTGCCCGTGTAAACCGAGGCAAAGTAGCTCTCAAAGCTTCAAAGGGTAAACGAACACATAATGCGAGTCAAAGTCTCACTGATCACGATCACGGACCTGAGCTTCAGCTTGTCAGGGCCGACAGATGTGAATACCGAGGTCCTAGTCTCAGCAGATGCCATCAGATCCTAGAAAGGCAAACGAGCTGGCATGTCATAGTTTTGCAGACTCAGGGCTCAAACACAGGTACCGGCATCCGCAGTTCCGAGACCTTGGCCATAGCACAAAAGCTCATTGCATCGTCTTGTGTTACATACCGTAATCATCATCGCCCAGCATTCGTCATCTAATTCATGCACTTTGTTTACCACTCGGTGATAGCGTCTTGCCGTTCTCCCCGCCAGTAGCAATGCTCGTCGCATGGAGGCTCACCATCCTCTCCCCCGCCCTTTTTGTCCCTTTCCTCCCTGGGGTAGACGCCCGGTCCAAGCAGCCCGCTGGCCTCGTTGATCTCGGATATCACCCGACATGTGCCAATACAGGTGAACATAACCGCGTCAGAACCTGCTGAGTTTTCTTTCACGGACGCAAGATGGATTGATCCTATTATTGGTTGCATAGCAAGATCACCAACGTCACAGGCACCGGGTTTGAGACCGTGCTGCTCCCTGCGGACTTGGATTGCTCGCTGCCAGATGGTCAACAAGATAGTGCGGGATCCCGCCAATGGGGTTTGGCTTGGATACAGGGTCATATATCTGTTGGCGTTAAGGAATTGCGAAGAGTCGACGTTTTTGAAGTCAGGATGCAACGGCGCATTATCTGGTGGACGTAACTTACCATCCTACAGGCACCCGGGTACTTACCTGCGATGGGATTATGGCATGTAGTGTAAAGCCTCGAACTGCTATGGAAATCATTTGTGGGAGCAGCAAGACTTGCACAGCCTGTCTCACATGCAGGCCGATGTCACCGTGTCTTTCTTTGATCCTCTGCCAAGCCATTTCGAGGGGAAGTGGGGATTTGACTAGACACGAGAGGGGTGGCGTTATCGCTGCGCTTGGGTACAAATCCCCTCATCATCCTCACCGATCTCCTCTCCTTTCTTGTTCCTGTCCCCATCTTGCAAGAGGTGACTCTGTCCTAACACACACTTTGAAGGCACTTCCGGCCTCTGCCACAAGGAGGCCGCCACTCCGCCCTGCAAGAATGGCCGCATCCATACTCACCGGAATGGCATGCGCTCGTCTCGTCTCTTTCATCTTCTACCAGCCTCAGCTACGCGGCCTGTCACTCTTTGCCGCCTAGTAGCCAGCACAATGACTTTGACCTGTTGAATCCATTTGCCTGGGACCAAGCAGCAGCCAACTATCTCGACCTTGATCCCGCTTCAACAGCAGCAACGGACTTGTCAAGCCTGCCCACGCCCGAACTCGACCAACAACACAACGACAACGTACCTACACCCCATTTCGACACCTCGACACCTTTTCTTGACTGCTTTCCATCAACGTCTTTTCCCGTGCCCCTGAGCTACTCGACAGACACTTCCCTCAGCAACACCCCCTCGACCAGCACCGTCCAATCTCCTCCGGATGAAGCACCCAACAACAACTCAAACGGCGCGGCCGCCCTTGTCCCCGGCCTCAAGTTGCCGCCGCAGCGGCCATCCAACAAGCCAGGCCGCAAGCCGGCAGCGGCGTCTTCTTTGACGCGCACCACCGACGGGAGGATCACCAAGAAGCGCATCACCACAACAACAACAACAACCCCGTCGGGCCGGGCATCGCTGCTCTTCCCGGCGGGAGATGAATTGGACGACGACCCTGACGACGTCGTCCTGCGCCGACAGCGCAACAACCTCGCGGCCAAGCGCTACCGACAAAAGAAGCTGGACCGTATCGAGGAGCTGGAGAAGGAGGTCGAGCGGGTGAAGCAGGAGCGGGATGAGCTGAAGATCAGGGTGGCGCGGCAGGAGGCCGAGGTGGCTGCGCTGAGGGAGATGTTGCAGTTGCAGAAGGGGGGTGGGAGTGGGACAGGGTCAAAGGACTAGGGCTGGGGCTAGGATTGTATGTAATGTAGGTAGCTGTCTGGGAGACAGATCAACTGGGGGAGCGAGGACCATGAAAATCTAATTTACCACGGAAACATGCCTTAACAATGACTGCCATGCCAGGTTCTGTTTCCCTGTCAGCCAATTCTATTGCCATTCATCTGCAGGCTCACTGTTGTAATGTGCTTCCTTCTGGTTACGCTTGCCAAATTGGGCCAGTCTGACAATGATTCTTGAGGTCGGAATACAGCTGGGTTCCTTCACCCGTGTTTGTGTCCAAAGGGTTCGGGTTACGTGCTCATCCAAAATGGCGGTCCAGAATGGCGGAGCCCACCAATCCCAGCTCAAGCTGCCCCCTTACACACCACGGTGTGGATATATCCAGCAATTCAGATGATTCATCGTGATTCATGTCCCCACCATACCCCTGTGCCAGTTCTATGTACATAGATTCCGGCAAAGTTGCCGACTCACCCGGCTTCACAGCTGCGTGCAACGCTTTGCGGCAGCTTTCCGCGAACTTTTCACTGATCTGATAGCGCTACATACAATGCCAGTTACAACGCAGGTACATACAAGAGAAGCTACTTCGTCTCTGTACGCGTGAGTTATGCAAGCCAACATGATGATTTGCGTGGCTCATGGTCGTTGGCATCCCTTTACAGTATGTTATGCTCGTGCAGTTGTAACTCCGAGAATCACGTCGTTGGACTTCAAGAGCGGATTTAAGCCCTTTTTACCATCGTTCGGCGTTTGGGCTTGAGATGAGGTATATCCGCAAGGGAGTGTGACGCTGTGATAGTTAGTGCCGAAGTGCATCGGGGACGAAGGCGATTTATAATTTCGGACCAACTGTCGCCGCACTGGTTGCTTTGCACAAACAGCCATTTGTCATGGTGTTAAGCGGGCCAAGCTGTTAACTCCGATCAAGACCCAGCGGATCGGTGAGATCATGGACCTTATCTGCTCCACATCCATCAATCCCCCGTGCCGGGTGGGACATCTGGGTTTTCGATAGGCTTCGATCCACGATGCCCTCAAGGTTCGCATATGGTCAAGAGCGGGCCAAGAAGCAGCAAAGGGACATTGGTGAGTCAGGCCGTGCAAGCTCACCGGTTCTTGCACTCTTCAATCATAGTGTTGCAGGGCTCGCTGTCTGCAGGGCCGGGTGCGGGTGATGATGAAATCTCACACGCGTATTTGACTTTCGGCTTTACTCTGTAGGGAAGCCCCGACGCTGATTACCGTGTGGGATGGATCCCTCTCGCTGCCGCTGACCCCCATAACCCTGCCGCTTCGGTGGTAATGACAACGGGGTGTGGAACGGAACTGCATTGCTGCTGAGAAATCAGCATCGAGATATAAAACTCATAGATCGAGGCGGCTCTCTCTTGCAAATTGGTGATCGAAAGTCTGCTCGACATCGAAACACCAGATTCCCCCAGTGGCTTGTAACCCGCAGCCCTCATCTGTGCGATTCTTTGTGAAGTTTACGTGCGGATTCCTGCGAGCACTGACCGCCAACTGGGGGCACCGTTGGTCTTTCCCCCTTTGAATCTAATACTGCATCATATTCAAATTTCTTTTTCTCGCACCGCTCCTTCCAGCACACACTCTGCAAAAGCTTGAGATTCGGAACCATCCAAAACAAGCAACAATGTGGGGGCATTCGCCCGAGGAGGCGATGCGCCGAAGTGCAGCAGATGTCTTCCCCGACTCGCTGCACAACCGCGATGAATTGCAGTCCCCCGTGCCCCACGACACTGGCGATTCTGGCGACACGACGACAACGGTGCCGCCGTCCCCCGAATCCGAAGGCATATGGGGCGAGCGCGAGATTGGCGGCCCTGTTAGTCAACGGGCAGCGCTGCAGGACTTCGAGGAGCTCCAACACCAGCTCAGCGCCAGACTGACGAGGACGCGGTCTCGCGCTTCCGCCGCGGAGAAATCAACGAAGAGCAGAAAGGGCTTCTTCCAGCGCATGGCGTCCCACGCAAGCGGCAAGTCCAGGGGCGCCGCGGCAGCGGACGGTCAAGGCAACGATGAAGAGGCCGGGCGAGACGATCTTGACGGGGACGAGGACGACGTGACGGTGAGCCCCGAGGAAGACAATTTCTCTCTGGAGAAGTTCATGCGCGATGGCCACCTCGAGAAGCGGACTGAGAACGGCGAGTCGGCCAAGAAGCTGGGCGTGGTCTTCAAGCATCTCACCGTCAAGGGCGCCGCGACGGGTGCTACGTTCGTCCGAACCCTGCCGCACGCCATCCTCGGCACTTTTGGCCCCGATCTGTACGGCATCATCTGCAAGTTCTTCCCGGCCCTGCGAATGGGTCACGGCGGCGAGCTCCGGACGCTGATCAACGACTTCACCGGCGTGGTGCGGCACGGCGAGATGATGATGGTGCTTGGGCGGCCCGGCAGCGGGTGCAGCACCTTCCTCAAGGTCATCGCTAACAACAGGGACTCGTACGCCTCTGTTGAAGGCGACGTGTCGTACAGCGGCATCCCGGCAGACGAGGCCCGCAAGCGGTATCGCGGCGAGGTGGTCTACAACGCCGAGGACGACGAGCACCTGCCGACTCTGACCGTCGGGCAGACGCTCAAGTTCTCGCTTCTGAACAAAACCAGGAAGAACCTGAGGGGCGACGTGAACCTCATCATCGACGCGCTCCTGCGCATGTTCGCCATCAAGCACACGGAAAACACGATCGTCGGAAACGCCTATGTTCGCGGTGTCTCGGGCGGCGAGAGGAAGCGCGTCAGCATTGCCGAGACCCTGGCCACCAAGAGCACCATCGTCTGCTGGGACAATTCGACCAGGGGTCTCGACGCCTCGACAGCGCTCGACTACGCCAGGTCGCTGCGCATCATGACCGACGTCTCGGATCGGACGACCATCACGACCCTCTACCAGGCGGGCGAGGGCATCTACGAGCTGATGGACAAAGTCCTGGTCATTGACGAGGGCCGCATGCTGTACCAGGGTCCTGCTAAGGAGGCGAGGAAGTACTTTGAGGATCTCGGGTTCTCCGCGCCGCCACGGCAGACGACTCCCGACTTCCTCACCTCCATCTGCGACCCGAACTCCAGGCAGTTTCGCGAGGGCTGGGAAGACCGCTGCCCTAAGACGGCCGAAGAACTTGAGAAGGCGTTCCGCAACAGCCCCGCTTACCAGAGACTCCTCGCCGACGTCGAGGACTTTGAGCAGCACCTCCAGCAGACAGGGCACGCCGACATGCAGCGTTTCAAGGAGTCGGTGCAGGAGCAGAAGTCGAAGCGCGTGGCCTCGGGCTCCAACTACACGATCCCGTTTTGGAAGCAGGTGCTGGCCTGTGCGCGCCGCGAATTCTGGCTGATCCTGGGCGACAAGACGGAGCTCTACTCCAAGTACTTCACCATCATCAGCAACGGCCTCATTGTCGGCTCGCTCTTCTACGACACGCCGTCCTCGACCGCCGGGACGTTCCTGCGCGGCGGTGCCGTGTTCTTCTCCATCATCTTCCTCGGCTGGCTTCAGCTTTCCGAGCTCATGAAGGCCGTGTCCGGTCGTGCCATTATCGATCGCCACAAGGAGTACGCCTTCTACCGGCCGAGCGCCGTCACGCTCGCCCGTGCCCTCGTGGATCTGCCCATCCTCGTGCCTCCCGTCATCTTCTTCATTATCCTGATGTACTTCATGACCGGCCTTGACGTCGATCCCGGCAAGTTCTTCATCCAGCTGTTGTTCACGTACGTGACCACGTTCTGCGTCACGTCCCTGTACCGCATGCTGGCCGCCTTCTCGCCGTCCATCAACGACGCTGTCCGCTTCTCAGGCATGGCCCTGAACCTGCTCGCCATCTTTACTGGTTACGTCATCTCCAAGCCGGTCCTGCTGTCGCAGAAGATCTGGTTCGGCTGGATCTACTACATCAACCCGGTAAGCATTGGCCTGTCCAAGCCTTTGTGGAGAAGTTCTAATTTTCTGACCGTCTTTGCAGTTGAGCTACTCGTTTGAGGGCGCCCTGTCCAAGGAATTCCACGGCCGGGCGATGGAATGTGCCCCAGAACAGCTGATTCCCCAGGGCCCTGGCGTGCTGCCCGAGAACCAGGGCTGCGCCATCCCGGGCGCTCGCCTCGGCAGCACCAGCGTTCTCGGGGATGACTACCTCGGCACCCAGTTCGACTACCGGTTTGGGAACCTCTGGCGCAATTTCGGTGTCGTTATTGCCTTCTCCGTGCTGTATCTCCTCGTCACCGTCGTGGCCACGGAGAAGATCTCGTTTGGTGGTGCGGGCGGCGGTGCGCTGGTCTTCAAGCGATCGAAGCGGACGGCCAAGCAGGTCAAGACGCCGGGTCCCGCCGACGAGGAGAAGGGCAACGTGTCGGGCCACTCGTCGGCCACCGAAGTGCCGTCTGGTGACGAGGATGCCGGCTTCAAGGGCCTGACGGGCAGCGACCGGGTCTTCACGTGGGAGGACGTGACATACACGGTCCCGACGCCGGCAGGGCCTAAGCGGTTGCTCAACGGCGTCAACGGCTACGCGAAACCCGGCGTCATGGTGGCGCTCATGGGAGCCAGCGGTGCGGGCAAGACCACGCTCCTCAACACGCTCTCGCAGCGGCAGACTGTCGGCGTGGTCGGCGGCAGCATGCTCGTCGACGGCAAGCCCTTGGGCGGAGACTTCCAGCGCAGCACCGGCTTTGTCGAGCAGATGGACCTGCACGAGGAGTCGGCCACGGTGCGGGAGGCGATCGAGTTCTCGGCGCTGCTGCGCCAGAGCCGCGACATCCCACGCCAGGAGAAGCTGGATTATGTCGACCGCGTGCTCGACCTGCTCGAGCTGACCGAGATTCAAGACGCCATCATCAGCTCGCTGGGCGTGGAGCACAAGAAGCGGCTCACCATCGGCGTCGAACTCGCCGCGCGGCCGTCGCTCCTGCTCTTCCTCGACGAGCCCACCAGCGGCCTCGACGCCCAGTCGGCCATGTCCATCGTGCGCTTCCTGCGCCGGCTGTGCGCGGCCGGCCAGGCCATCATCTGCACCATCCACCAGCCGTCGTCCGACCTGATCCAGGAGTTCGACAAGATCCTGGCGCTCAACCCGGGCGGCGACACCATCTATTTCGGCCCCGTCGGCCGCGACGGCTCCGCCGTGGTGCAGTACTTTGCCGAACGCGGCGTGCACTGCCCGCCGGGCCGCAACGTGGCCGAGTTCCTCCTGGAGACGGCCATCAAGGGCGGCAGACGGCCCGATGGCAGCCGCATCAACTGGCCGGACGAGTGGCGCGCCTCGCCGGAGAACAAGCAGGTCCTAGCAGAGATCCAGCAGCTCAAGGCCGAGCGCGCCCAGATTACCGCTGCCCAGTCTTCCAAGGAGTCCACACCCACGGTGACGCACGAGTTCGCCGCCCCCGTAACCTCCCAGATCCTCCTGCTCACCAAACGCATGTTCATCCGCCAGTGGCGCGAGCCGTCCTACATCTACGGCCGGCTGTTCACCGCCGTTGTGATCGGCATCTTCAACGGGTTCACGTTCTGGAAGCTGGGCGCCTCCACGGCCGACATGCAGAACCGCATGTTCACCTGCTTCCTGATCATCATGATCCCCGCGACGGTGCTCAACGCCGTGCTGCCCAAGTTCTACTCGAACCGCGCACTGTGGGAGGCCCGCGAGCACCCGAGCCGCATCTACGGCTGGGTCGCCTTCTGCACCGCCGAGGTGCTGAGCGAGATCCCCGGCAGCCTGGCCGCCGGGGTGTTGTACTGGCTGCTGTGGTATCTCCCCACGGGTCTGCCGTATGATGCGCCCAGTGCGGGTTACGTGTTCCTGATGACGCTGCTGTTCTTCCTGTTCCAGTCCAGCTGGGGCCAGTGGATCTGTGCGTGGGCGCCGAGCTTTACCGTCATCAGCAACATCCTGCCGTGCTTCTTGGTGGTGTTTTGTCTGTTTAATGGTGTCGTGGTGCCGTATTCGCAGACGAATGTGTTTTGGAAATACTGGGTACGTTTTTCCTTTTTCTTCTCTTCCCCTCCCCTCTGATTTTAACCACCCTGTTATCTTATTCAAGACTGACATTCATGGGAAAAACCACAGCTCTACTACCTCAACCCATCCTCCTACTGGATCGCCGGCGTGCTATCCGCCACCCTCCCCGGCCAGCCCGTGCGCTGCGACCCCTCCGAGGCGGCCTACTTCAACCCACCTTCGGGACAGACATGCCAGGACTTTGCCGGCGGGTTTGTCACCAGTGCCGGGAGGGGGTATCTCATGAACCCGAACGACACGGCCGACTGCGGCTTCTGCCCGTACACGGACGGAGCGCAGTACCTGCAGACGCTGGGCATCGATCCGAGCGTGAAATGGCGCAACTTTGGCATCTTCCTGGTGTTTTGTGTCACGAATTGGATGCTGGTCTACTTCTTTGTGTACACGGTCAGGGTGAAGGGGTGGAGCTTTGGGTTTGGGCCGCTGTTTGGCGGGGTTGGGAAGGTGGTACGGGGTGTGAAGGGATTGTTGGTTGGGGGGAAGGAGAAGAAGGGGGAGGAGAAGGGGAAGGGGAGTGCTTAGGATAATCGGGAGAGGGAGTATTCATTCTAAAAAAGGTTGTTAGATTGGGGTTGGGCAGGTTGGGGATTGGGCAGGTTGGGGGTTGGATAAGGCGTGTCAAGTCTCGATCGGATTGGCGTTTGGTTGCATGCCATGGAAGGATACAGTCTTATACGGATCATAGATCTGCTAATTGTGTTGGTTTGGGGAAGGGGTTGGATGGGGTTTACTAGTAATGCTAGATAGACTTGGAGTAATCAGTCAATCAATCAATAGTTGTGTCCATTTGCAAAGAGAACCACCCTCCGTTAGCTGTTGAGAATCCGTCTCTCGTGTCTGTCTGTCATGCCAGCCCCTGTTTGACATGTGATCTGGTTCTCATTCTGGACTTGACACGCGCCTTGCTTAACTACGCCATCGTTATCGGTCCACCATCAATAACCCCTTCCTCCAACCCCCCTAAAAGTAAGAAACACGTCATAACGGCACAGGGCCCTGATCGATAACTGGGCCAAGAAACTAATGAACTAAACTAGGAGCCAAAATTAGGATGAAAACTTGTTGCAAGATGAAGAGTGAAGCTTCCACAGTCCTAAAAGAGTTGCCAGTGATTCCAGCCTTTCAACACCTGCACCTCGAGGGTATGGCTCCTTCCAACTCCACCCGTTGACTCTCTCATCTTCCCTCTCTCCCTGAGTCCCTTGCTCCCTCACTCCCACCCACCAACACCTTCACCCTTCGCCTACTCGCAAACTTAGTACCTTGCCTTACTTCCTTCCCCCAACCTTCCCCCAACCTTCCCCCCTCCTTCCACTTTTATTCTTTAACTATATCAGACTCAGAACCACCACCACCACCACTTGCAGCCCACGGCAAAACCTCCCTCATCACCACCCCGCCTCCCCCAACATCCACAGCCTCCGCGCCAGCCAGGAAAAACACGACCCTCGCCCACTCCGTGCCACTCGCATTTCGCCACGCGTGCATCGTGCCCCGCTGCACCACCACGTCCCCGACCCGCAGCGTTCTGGTCTGCCCGGAATCGAGCGTCAGTTCCATGCTCCCCGCCACACACACCCCCAGGTCGAGCGTCTCGGTCCGGTGCAGGGGGAGGGTGGCGCCGGGGGGCCAGTCGCAGTATCGGAGGAGTGTTTCGCCCGGGGAGGGGAACCAGATACTGCGGGTTGGTGGTGGTGGTAATAAGTGAGGGGAGGAGGAGATGTCGGCGTCGGAGGTGAATGAGAGCCGGGAGGAGGGGTGGGTTGTCGTTGTTGTTGACCAGGCGTCGTGCACGACCATGCCTCCGGCGGTGTAGGAGGGGATAGGGGAGGGAAGGGTGGTGCTATCGGACGGGAAGAAGATGGCGTTGTGGGTGGTCGTATCGTGGGTGGTGGTGTATCTATTTGGGGAGCCGAAGGGGCATTTCGAGTGGTCACTGCTGGCAGGATTTGTGTTTGTTGAGGGCGGTGATGATGAGTCTGAGTTCGGGTTGGACATGGTGGTAGATCTAGAGTCTGAGACCTGGAACTGGAAGGGTGCTGTTACTTGGATGGAGATCGGCACTATATTGTGGAAGGCGTCTTCTTAAGCGATTCCGATGTCTGCGTAATGAGGACAGTTGGGGAGATGAGGGGAGAGATGCTTGGGAGGTCGCACCCCTCATCCCTCGGCGGGAGAAATGCGTCGCTCGGGAAAAGGTTGCCCGATGTGAGGTCCAACCGATATAGCCTATTGCGTTGCGTCGTCGTCCGGGCTTCTCTATCTCATCGCGAATGCAGGAATGGCCGAGTAGCACTACCAAAACTAACTCCGGCCAAACGGCAAATTTGCAGCTAAGAGATGATGCTTATACTGGTGAGGGGCGGCGTGAACTATTACCTCAGGTAGTCTAGCTCGTAGTCCTGTGTCTCGTTATAGTATTACAACCGTTTCTTACGGGCAGAGCCGTACCATGTTATAGAGTCGAGTTTAGGGTAGGAGGGTTGTGAAGACCTGATCGGGTCTACAAAGGTGGTTTATACCTGCTAGTACCCATACAGGGTATTCCCCTAGGCCACTGGGGCGAGTTTTAGTCTAGCCATGACCTGGTAGAGCACGTTCTTGTCGATCCTCGTCACGTCCTTGTAGCCAGTGACTCGTGAGCACCTCAGTAAGGATGTCGAGGCATTGACAGTGAAAGGGGAAAACGACGACGCCCCAACCCCAGTGCCGATCCGGCCGGGAGTAACTGCTGCGCGTTAGGCGACTGGCTCTGAAAGGCTCGAGGGACTGCTAGTAATGGTATAGAGAAGATACCAATAGAAATCTCCCAACTGGTTGGTTCGGGTCTACAGATCAACCAGTCAGTGCTTGAGGAGCAGTACAGCATTTTCAGAAGATCGAGACCCCGAGAGGAATAAACATACCTATCCCTATATCACAGTACATGATACCCTGCCGATCGTAGCCGGTCAGCATCGACATTAGCCGATCCGTAACAGTACCGAGTTGAGAACCTGAGCGCACACATACGTTCTCGATTTCGGTCATGTTGCCTGAAATGAAAGCCGTGTACGGCTCAGGCGCGTCAGGACCGAGACCCAAGCGGCAGCTTTCAAGGAGCCATTGGAGGCTCTCGTCGTTGACAATGCCCGGGTCGTAGCTGTTATCTTCGTCGTCCTTGTCCCATTCATAATCCTCATGACGTTTTCATGATCATAGTCGATGCCGGAATTGGGGCCCTCATCGTCACTTTCCGATGCAGTCCGTCCGTCGCCCGAGTCGTTTCGCCCCCGTCCTCGGCGGTCCCTGTTTTGGGCGACGATCCTCCGTCGTCGTCGGAGCGCGCTGGGCGCCATCGACCCGAGCTCGTAGGTGCCAAGGGAGCAACCGCATATGGCGCAGCATGGGTCTGAATACCCATGTTGTGGTAAGTGGGAGAAGTTGCAGCAAGCAAGAAATGGAGAAACAGTAGAGGATTGGAAAACAGGGCTCGTGATTGCTTAGAGCGAAGGAGAGGTTTGGATTGATTGAAGTGAATGAGGACTTCTTAGACAATCAGGCGGCTTCGCTGGGTTCACGTGCTCTGCTAGACAAGTTCGTCCGTCTGCGCGATATGAACATCAGCCACGATCTGATCCTGCGCCGACCCTGCCATCTCGCAGTCCCTCAGCAGCGCCTCCTAACCTTTCCAGACACCAAGATTTCGATAGATCCTTCAGTAAAATCGAGTATTCCTCCCATACGTCACTCTCTCCAGCGTCTTCGGCCGTCGATTCCAGTCCAAGATAGGTCGCCTTTCATGCACAAACACCGAACACAACAGTGACAGGGCACTGTAAGTCCAATCAGCAGGTGCAGCCCTAACGACGCCCCGCAGAGCGGTGCTCCTCCCGGTTTGATCCTCAATGCTCGGCCGTCCTGCGATGATGCAAAGCTTCCCTACATGTACGTAGCTCTTCGTCTGGACGTGTCTTATGGCATCCGCCGACTTAAATGCGTCTGGAACAAGTAGGAAGTTTTCGGAATGCTCATTGTGCTGGCACCACTATCAGAGTGATCAGGCCACCTGTGACTCCCTCGCCACGTCGGCGGGTAGCACAATCAGGAAACGGTATGCTGCATTGTAACTCTCCAGCCAACCGCCCGTTCAGAAAGGCCAAAGGCAATAATGCAAAATTTTGGGCGCAGTCTTGGGCCCTTGGCACCCCTCCAGTGATAAAGCTCTTTGTGCTGCAGCACCTCGCTCCGCCCGATTCTTGCCACAACCGAGGCAATCAATTTGAAAAAGAAAGTGGAAGACTGAGTAAGCAGAGATCAAAGTATCGAAGTCAAGTCTGGGCCGTCGCGCCGTTTCTCTTTCCTCTGAGCCTGATCTCGAATGAATTGAAACCATCTTGCTCCTGCATCGGGATCCTGAACTCTGAAGTCGTTTCTAGCCAAGGAAAATGGTGAGTGAGGATGGACCAAAAACCTGCACCAGAGAGTATCTAGTACCCCGCTGATTTGTGTTTCTAGGATGTCATCGGATCGTTCGCCGCCGTCACGCAGCTCGCCGGCCAGCTGGTCAACCTCGCACAGCAGATCTTCCGCGCGCGAGAGACGATCCGCCGAGCACCCAAAGCCATTGAAGACCTCGACTCGCAACTATGGAGATTATTTAATACTTCGAAGCAAGTTGCGGACGAACCGGCGCTGCAGATCAAGACAATACATGAGGCATTAGAAGACATCTACGACATTGCTCTAGAGCTTCAGGCGAACGTTGAGAGAATGAGAAAACAGCAGTCAAAGAATCGAGCGTTCCAGCTCCTACACGCGCTTGTCTTAGGGCAGCGAGATGAATCTGTTCTCACAGATATCGTCGGCCGCCTCCGAGACGCTCAAGATACCCTCGGCCACCGCATCAACGTGGCGCATGTCGGGACCACGGCGGGCATGGTCGAGGTGGTCAACAGGATCGAGGCGGGAGTCGTGAGCATACGGAGAGACGTCCATGGAAAGGTCGACCAACCGCAACTCGATATCAGCAACAACATGGTCGGCGCAGCCACGCAAGAGAACTCCATCGACGTGTGGGAAGGCGTGAGCCTGTCTAGGGGGGTGATCAAGGATAATCAAGCGTGGAACGGCAGCTGGCAGAGGAACGCCATTTCCATTGGAAGCAACGCAATAAAATGCACGGGTTGAGATGCGGAAGATGCGAACTCAAGCATAGGTACGCACTGCCGACGGTGCACGTCTCGGGATCTGCGTGGCGTTGACGAGTCGTGGCCATCTCACCACCATTTTGCTTCTTTTCTCTTACTTAGCTAGAACCCAATATAAGGCAGTCTTTCTCTCGCACCGTTTATGCCTTTCCGTGCTCTCCATCCTCTGCGATACAAACACCATGAATTATGCTATGTAAAGAGTAGTGATGACAGAGAACGACTAAGCCGGGCGGACACCCGCAACGACTGTATCCACCACCACCCTAATATATTCCAGGGAGCGGCCCGTGCGCAGGAAACGGCCGTTCCCGTGCTCCCGAGTCCCGAGTCCCGGCATGAGGGTGCCGTACCCACACGCCCAATTCCTTGTGACAGTTTGCCTTGCTTAAGCCTATGCCACTATAGGTGATATGCCCTCGTTCTTCCGAGGTATGCTACGTAGCTACTCTATCCTATTCTATATGTTATTTGACCTGCTTTGCCAAACACCGGAATTATACCTTAGTACCATACCTATCATGGCCTTATAACACTAACGTATCCACTTATTCGAACCACAGATAGTCTAACCACATTCAGAATTTTCACTGCGTAGGAATTGCCGCAGATGCTGCATACAGTCAGCCCTCCACATAACGATCCGAGCCATAACGATAATCTGAGTATAACGATTAATATCTCTGGCCCGGCCAAATTTGTATGGGAAATGGTTAGTCCCTGATTATTGGGATTACCGATTGGATTTTCGGCTTAGTCACTATACAAATCGCTATATCCAGGGAAGTATTACCCCCTGGATTTTCGGCCCGGAACCCCCTTTTTCCGGCTTTCTGCTGTTTTTCTCCTCTCCCAATACCACATTTTTCATCGTATGCATCAATCATACCCAGTTTTCGATCATTTTAAGTGCTCCAGAGAGCTATTCTTTCGCTCTATTTCATACCAATACTGAACACTTGGTGATGGCTTCATTCAATGTTGTCTGACGTGTCCGTTTTGCGGTATGTATGCCAGATATGGTAATGTGTGGGGCTACTGAGCATCACGATTCCCGGACATTACGATCAAATATGCTGGCCCGGACCCAATCGTTATGTGCAGGGCAGATTATACTGCCCGCTACTAACACTAAGCTTAAGCCGGATAGCGGCAAAGTTGGCGCAAAAAATATGCGGAAGATGGTTAGACCATTTTGGTTCGAATAAGTGGACACGGTATCTCCCGTGGGCCCTCTCCGGCACCCGTATAGCGGCACCTTCTTCTTGGTGCGAGGAAGGGACCTAGGTGACTTGGCCTCCACAGAAAAGCCTCTCTCGGCTTTTTCCCGAATGCTATGGCCGGCAGTTACTTGGATCCCGACGATTAGCCGCCATTACCAGACAACGGGTACCACTACCATCTGACCCGTCCCAGGGCGACCAGTAACGGCTGTCCACCAGCCGCCGGTGTCACCACCCTCAACCAGACATCGTGGCGGGGGTGCCCAAGGCAGACACGAGGCAGACCACGACCCTGAAGGGAGCCGCAACAAGCAACCATGCGCACCAAACACTTCCCGTGCGGGGAAATGCGGCTCTTCAGACCGGGCACCGTGCCCAAGGCTGCGTTGTTCTTTTCTCCTAACCACCAGACATCGCCCACCAGGTCAGGCTCCACGAAACGAGAAGTTTGCCTACCACAACGCTAGCCTCAGAGATCTGCCTTGACTAGGCAACTTCGACAGTGTGTCAAGGCACTAGCCTTTGCCGCCATGGCTTCAGACGAGGCCACCGAGGTTCCGTACGAGTTGTGTGTTCAAGGTATGACGGAGACCCGTCCCGTAGCACTTGACGGCAGCGGCCCGAGACAGACAAAGCCTCGCCGAGACTCAACCTCTCGTCGAAGGGCCAACAAGAGTTCAAGGCGTCTAGCTAACTCGGGTCACAACGCGACATCTTTAGGTCCCACCGACGACCAGCCTGTGAGACTCAAGCTCGGCTTCCGCGATACCGTGGCCAAGTTCCTGTCCCAGATGGCCGAGCGGCACCACGCCGCACCCGAGAAGGTGTTCCTGGTCGTCGACGGGAACTTGACCGAGGCGCTGTTACCGTTCGCCCACAAACCCGATCTCACCCACAGCTACCCGATGGCGCAGCTGGTGCCCCACGGGGGAAAGGTGGGCATTCAGATCGGGCTCGGCGGCGCCAGCGCTTTTGGCCCTTTCATCCTGGGCCCGCCCACAGCCTCACATCCCACTGCAGTCACGGGCGATACCTATGAAATAAGTACGCGGCTACCGAGGGGTCTTCTCCGTTTCTTGATCGCGGAGGCGAGCATCCAGAGCACTGCTAACCTGCACGATTGGCTCCGAACAGCGCATGTCATTGCGCTGGATGGCGCCAAACAGATGACCGAGGCCGAAGTCACCCGGACCGGTGAGAAAATCCGCGCCGTGATACAGAATGTTTATGCCGCCGGCTCGCAGACGAAGCAGTACAGCAGGATTATGACGGCGGATCAGCTCAAGAAGACCAGGATACTCGACATGATGGAGGAAAATGAGGCTTTGAAGGGTGTTGATCCCCAAGTGGCATTGCAGAAGATGTTGGAACTCTGAAGGATGAATAAGTATACATTGTTGGCCTGGGGGCGGGGGCCAAAGGGCAGGCCTCGTGTTTGCCACATTCGCTATAGCTTCTCTGCGTTTGGGTTAGCCTCGTTCGGCGCCATCCGCTCTCGAGCAAGACCACTGGTATCTGTTCAATGTCACTTGGACTGATGCTCAGCTTCGACATGGAGACTACGACTGGTTGGCTGTTGATGGCGTCACCAGCGTTGGCGGTTAGTCCAGCTCGCTAGGGGGTTGTGCGTTACCATCCGTAACCTGCTTTTTGATAGGCGCCGACCGGAATATGTTTGAAGTCATTCCTATTTTCTTGCTTTGCGTCCCCGGTACGGTATCTCGATTACACTTATCATCTCAATGGTTGGAACCTTTGGTGATTTGTGAACTGATGTCCGATGCAGCTATGTCCGCCGGCATAGCAGGTGTCAAGGGAACTCTTTCGTCAAGTTATTCGGCATACCAAAGCACTGCTGCACAGCCCACTCCCTTCACGTCCGACCTGTTGCATACCATTTATGTTCCTCTCATATCCATGTATACTTCTGATGGTCTGTACCAGGCAAAGATACAGCTGTGTGCTTAGGTTTCTCATTGTTACCTACCTAAGGGTCTGTTTTTTTTTTTTTTTTTTTTTTTTTTCTGTAAACGACAGCGACCGCTATAGCGTTGGCTATAAGCTTGGTGCACCCTCTTCTGTGGCTAGTGGATGACATGGATGACAAACCGCATAGGAGGTGCACAGCAGGCACGAACCGTAGATTACCTAACCTATGAAGGGCGCTGCTGAGTCCTGACTGAGATGATTATATTGAATAGGCCTGTAGAAAAAGGAGATTTGGGCTTTCACTGAAGATGGGCCAAAATCACCCGAAAAGCCAGCGTCCGACGACTCTCGAAAAGCTCTATCTAACTGCACCGGTTGCACACGCCCGCAGGGCGTTGCGGCCAGGTGGGAAGGATACGAGAAAGGGGTATTCGACGGCGACAAAGACCCCGAAAAGAAAAATATCTCACGACACGGACCACCTGTTGCTGGAGCAACAACAGCTACCCCTGATAGCACCAAGCAGCAGTCAGGGGCTCAGGGGCCCCTAACACTCGCGCGGAACCCGGCTTATTAGCCTTCTTCTTTATAAATTCCTTCTTATAATACTAATTATGAGGGGCCTATTCGGGGTTACAAGCCTAGCAAATCGGGCCGCCCGGGTGCTAGTTATACTCCTTATAGTGGATATAGTAACCTACTCTCGATAATAGCCAAGGGGGAGAGAAGACCCCAGGGCTACCTGACAGCAGAGAAACGTCCAGATCTGGCCCCTGCCACCGCAGACACAGTGTACGTTGCATACATGTTAGTCCTCAGCAAGTGGAGAGCGGGTATGGAAAAGAACCCAATGGGATCATCAAATAAAGTGACGTCCCGTGTACCCATGCCGGAGTGCTACCCCTGCGGTGCTTCATGCTTGGCTCGCAACAACGAGCATCAAATGAACGAGCCGGCGACAGAATGAGAGCAGTGAAGATCACAGAATCCAGGACTAAGATAGGAAGGAGAAAAATGAAGGGAGACGGGAGAGAAACGAGGAACGAGAGTGAACGGGGGAGAGCCAAAGCCCGAAATCCAACCCAGGAGCAGGCGGACGGCCTCCATGGGATGCAAGCAGATCACTCTCATCGTCCTGCAGCATACCACCTCCCCCATGGCGCCTAGCCCGCTGCAAGACCTTCACGGTTCACCAATAGGGGCGTCCCGGGTGAGATGACGGCCTCGCCCTGCAGCTGTGGGCTGCTGCGGGCGTGACGAGGTGCAGGTTTTCCTTGCGGCAGCGTGACGGCGAGAGCGGTCTGACTTTGCCTCCATTGGACAACGGATCGTCGAGAGGGTTGCACCATCTTCAGGCCAGGGTATTTATGGCGGTGTGTGCGTTGGATACGTGGCAACACGGTTGTGAAGGGAGGGTCGCCATAGGCTGCCTTTGGTGGTGATACACTTGGCCGTGTGCGAGATATGCGTTTGGGGTTGTACGGCTTGCGGTGGCGGTTGGGTGAGGTCAAGTCGTTTACGAGAAGCGATAATGTGAGGCTAGTACGAGCGAAGGGTGGCGATAGTGTGGGCACTGAGAGATGTTTAGGGGCCTCGGAGGGGACCAAGAGAGTAGGGCGAGGAGTGAGTGGTGAGGGGAGGGGAATGAGAAAAGCGAAAGTGACAGATTGGACAGCCACACCATCAAGCGGTGTAATCAACGCACCTTCCTATGTACGTGGCCTACTCCCAATCATCCGACAGCGGCGACTTCATCCTGTTCCGCACCCCACCTGTGGTGATCTCGTCCTCAGTCGCATTTCACTCGTTGCGAACACTCACACTTATATCTGCGAATCTGTCTTGGAAGACTCAAATCATCATCACGAAGTGTGAGCATGTGGCGGACGATACTACCAAATCTGTCCAGGTGGTCACTATTGCCACCCCCGCGGGCGCCGACCCCAGATCAAAACCCAGGCGACGCGCCTCTCATTGACCCTGACGAGAGCAGCATGGCCTCCAACGACGCACCACGCGTGATCATACCCAGCTCCAGCGCAGGGACTGACAATGACTCGCCCCATGCTCTTGAGCTCAAGATTGACGAGCAAACTCTCATGGAGTATGATGATCGCGACTCGGCCAAAGCTGGCCTGGACTCACCCGACCAGAGGCCCGCTGAGTCAGGGTCTCCGGCCGGTTCGCCTTTTGTTGAGACCTCCCCCGTACGACGGAACCTTCCACTTTCAGAGCACCTGTTTACCGTACTCATGCTGACTGCTCTCAGCACCTTGGGGATGCCACGTCACGATGGCCCATGATCGTGGAGCCTCTGTTGTCACCACGGTTATTAGGCACAACCACCTGGGGTCCTGTCGTGGAGATGGTGGAGAATGCGGGTCGATTTTCCTTCCTGATCGTATGCCCTTTCCTGGTTCGAGAGTTGGGCTCGGGAGGCAATGTGCGCGGCCCGTTGGATAGCATGCCTCTCACGAGGCGCCACTTGGTCGACCGCCTCTCCCGGATTTCGGGTAGACGTGAATCGGCCGCCAGTGAGACGGCTGGTAAGGCTCTACAAATTATCGAGTCCATACCGGAGGAACACGATATCAACGTTGCAGACGAGGGGAAACTCACTTTTGACCATCTCGACCGCCATTACCCCCCGGGCTCGACGGTCTACCGCAGAGACGATGGCGGCTGGCGCGCATACAGGGTTGACAGGACCGAGCGTCCCGGCGGTCCAGGGACTGACTTACACGTGCACGCCTTCTACCTGGACTTCGACGAGTCCGGAATGCGCCTCGTCCCGCACTCTGCGCTGTTGGTGGCGCCGTCGTATCCCTCAGCGCGGAAGGTTGGGTCCCTCGAACTGGTGCCGGGTTGGTACATACAGGAAACCTCTCGAGGCATCGTGGACCACCTCAGCAGCCGGGGGAAACGGTACTGGTTATGTGGAGGAAAGCCGAGGTGTTTCGAATACAGAGGCAATGCATGGCCAGTCCCGCTGGGCGCTGTAAGTTGCTTCGCAATTCCACAGATTTCCGACAAATCACAACCCCATGAACCGCCGACACATCGTCGGAATGCTGGCTAAATATCTTGACAGCAGCCTCCACGGGTAATGGTTGACTACACCACGCCTAGCAAGCATCAAACCGCGGACCGGCCCAATCATGTCCGCAGGTGTGCGATCTGTGTCGCAGAAGAGGCAGAGTTCGGGCCATACCCCTTGGTCGGTCGCGACCATGACTCGGAAATCTGCATCAGACCGGGGCTGGTGTCTGAAGGTGATCAAGAGTATCGGATTGAACAGGACTCGACAAGTTTATTCCGATATTGCCCCGCAAAGACTTGGGCTTTCAGCCTGACATACAGGTCCTGGCGGGAGGTGCGCGTCACGGATCTACACGACGTGATGTATCCGGATGTCTCCCAGACCAAACTTTACGTGCTACCGAACGTCGAGGAACTACTTGAGTCGTTGCTGGAGTCGTACATATCTGAGATTAAAACCGCACCCTTGAACCTCCCGCGCAAACCTGGTGGACGCAACGTTCTTCTTCAGGGCAATCCTGGGTCGGGAAAGACGTTCATCGTGGGTAGGTAGACGCTCTGCATACCTGGACATAACAGAACTGGACGGGAGGAGTCGGCTGACTTGGTTGCTGCTGCAGAATACCTGGCCGACAAGTACAAAGTGCCGCTCTATACCGTCAACTGTGCCTGCCTCGGAACGGATCCCGGCGTCCTGGAAACGAGGCTGGGGGAGGTCCTTCGGAGTGCGGCAAACTGGGGGATGGTGCTACTGCTCGACGACGTCACGCTGTTTCTTCGAGACCAAGATCCCTCGCAGTCACTGCTCAACTCGGTTTTCCGGTTCCAGCTAGCCCAGTCTAGGGCCCTGGTGTTTATGACCGCCGTCAGCCTTCGAACTCCGGACGACAAGTTCCTGTCCCACGTCGGCGTCGCGCTGTGGCTGCAGGGGCTCAGCAGCAAGCCGCACTGCCAGAGGCTCCTTTGGGAAAGCGCAATTCGGTCGCTCAGCTGCGAGTCCAAGTCTGACACGGAGCTCAACAAGATGCTGGACGAGCTGTTGACATCCAAGCCGGTGCAGCATATGGATGGGCGGCAAATCCACGCCTGCGTCCGAGCCGCGGTGGCTCTGGCACGACAGAGAGACCGTGCCATCAACAGCAGCCACATTGGCGAGGTGATTGCGCTTGCCGAGGAGTTTAGGAAGTCGGCCCGGGGGAAAGGACCGCATAGCCCCGTGGGCGTCATGTCGGTGGAAAGGAAGAGCAGTGGACAAGGGGTGCAATAGCCTGATTGATGTGATGTTTGCGCTTGATGCTGGACCTGCTCTGTGCCAAACACATGCAGCCAAAGTCCGGCCCAGAGTCTGTCTTGGGTATTCAGGTATAGTTACCACCGTTCGTTCCATTTCCTGCCAGCTACTGATCTCTGTTTTTATTTACTGGAGTGCTTTTTTTTGCCTGTCATCATTCCACTTCGTTCTAAATGCGCAGTGGACACGGTTCTGCCAGGCAATAGAGCCGGCTTGAGTCCATCCAAATGAATATTCGTGAGCAGGGAAGCCCAGCCGAGCCTTAACTCTAAGTCGATGGTGTGATTAAATGCAAGCGTCAGTCGCCTGGTTTGTCCGCTGGTTTCCCTCAGACTGTTCCCTCCATGAACCGGGACAATGGTAGGTCCATCTTGTACATTTGATTCAAGCCTCATCTTCATGCTGTGATGGCCAGTGGCAGTAATCCATGAATCATAGCCTTTGCATTCAACCTGTACAGTTGGAAAAGCAAGCTCGAGAATCTCATTCGCATCCGTGAGGTGTTGAAGGAACTCATTGTTCCAGCTCTAGTGTAGTTCATGAACTCTAACATCCACTAAAACCCCTTATTTAATCCCCAAGCAGTTCCGTTGCAACACCGTTTCGAATTACGTCAAGCACCTCTGACGACCAACTGGTCACCATGACCCGTAATACAGGCCCCGATCGCATCAGCCATGACAGGCCATGCACGAAATCAGCAAACCTCTTCACCCCCTCATCATGGTCATTGCACCGGTCATAGAGCGCGTCGATTTCGTCGAGGACGATGGTGACAGAGTTTATGTCCGCCTGTGCCATGCGATCTTTGAACGCCGCCCACAGAACACTGGCGGGAATCTGCGCGCAGTCGAGCTCAACACCACCGCGCTTCCTCTGTCGCGCGCTGCCGTTCTTTGCGCCTCGAACAGCAGGGAGTTGGGCGAGGAGATGGCGTACGACGAGGGACGGCCAGGAGCCCACGTCGTCGGGCTGCTCCCCACAGAAGCAATGGCAGACTTGCTGTTTCCTCCACTGGGCGTCGTGGACTGCCTCCACCGCAAAGCGGGTGGGCCAGCGCTGTCGGTGCGTGTACTCAGTCCCATCTATGGTTAGAAGGACGGACTGGGACGGCGAGGCAAGCCACTGCGTGAGCGCGCTCCGGATGTCGGCTTCGTGCGCTTCTAGGCAGTCCTCGTAGAAGGCATCTGAGAAAGGTTCTGTGTCGTCCAGATCGCAATCGCGTCTACAGCGGGAGTAATCGTCTTCGTGGCCTTCTAACATGCTGAAAAGCGCCGTGGCGTTCGCAATGTCGCGAAGGTGCTGCTCCGAGTCGGCCTGGCGAGAGGCACTCGGCTTGTTATTGCCGTTCTCTAAAGGAGCCGTGACTGCCGTGTCCTGCAATGGCAATGGAATAGGCTCGTCGCTTGGGCTGGGTATAGCGTTCACTATCCAAGCATACTTCTCGACTGTGGTCATATTAGCACAATCAAGTGAACAGACATGTCAGGCAAGTGGCCAAGAATAGCCGTACTGTCAGGGTGCAGGAATTGCAGGGCCTCTTCAGGGGTGTATCGGCCGTTGATGAAACAGATATACTGATGGCGTGAGTTGTCGATTTTGATCTTGGCGTTCAGAAGTCCACCGTTTGCGGCATACAATCCCTTGACTTCGGCGTTGATATGGGAGGAGCAGGGCACTTGCGCCATGGGAGATGGAACTGCAGGTCGAGCGGCAGTGACATGGATGGGCTCCACAGCACCGTTCGCCTAGGCCAATGACCGGTGCTTGGGCAGCGCTGGGCATTGAGGACGGGTGCACCGCTGAATGTGCAGTAATGATTGCGACGTGGGCACTGTGAAAGCCCCCAGATTCTGAAACGGTCCACTCGTACGGAAGTGCCAGCCTGGTGGTGGTCAAGCAGTGCGCTTGGTCGACACCAGGCTGCCTGCTCGCTTAGCTTTGCCCGTTCGCAGGGCATACTGGGGACGACGGGACGCAGAGAGCCAATGCTCGCTGGTAGCATGAGTGGTGGGGTTGTTACACAATGGTAACCCGGTAAAGAGGAACTTTCTGAAGGACGGCGCTTAACTTCGCTAACCAGTTAGGTAGGGTGCCTATGCGCCTAAAAGTACCTCAGGGAAAGCTTGAGGTTACATAACCCATTCCAGCTATGCGATTGGTTTGCAAAACACGACCCTTTTGGTTTGAGCCTAACCCCATGAGCATCCTGAGACATCGAAGCCACGTGCTGTGTTGTCAAAGATATCGACACGGACCGGCCTACAGTGGAGCACACCGGCATTTTAGAGGCACATACCTACTGTGGTATAAGTGAAGGATGGTGCTCTTGCGGAATGGGTCCAGATAAATATTGTTACATGGGTAACATGCTAGGAGGGTTGTGATATGACCTACATGTACGAGGTACGGTATCAACCACGGACAGTGTACTTCTAGTAATCTCCTGATTTCTATCCATCCACGAACTGCAGCATTAACAAAGGCTGCTCTTTCAACTGAGCTAGACGGTCCATGCGCTCCAGGATTGCCTCAATCTCATCGAACGTTGTCTTGCCCATCCATGTCTGTGCTATCCCCGCCCTACTTCACGGAGCTTCAAAACTCACCACCGGCCTATCTTGTCAACAAATTGTCGATAGATGTCAGTCAGCTCTGCTTTTGCCCGCCTAGGACGGTTCCTGTCAGCCTCGTCGCATGCTTGAACACGGCTTTCAGAGACGGCCCTGAGAAGACATCCGAACACGTCGTTCATGTTCCGAAGCGACTCGACTCCCAAACTCTTGCAATCCTTGATGGGCGCGAGTGTCTCGTCGAAAGGGCCGGTGCGCCCAAGAGACTGCCATGGAATGCGACTAAAGAAGAGGAGTTCGCCCTGTGACAGCATGAGATCGGGCCCTACGTCCTCTCGTAGCTTGCGTGCATCGAATATTCGGATGTCATCCGGCAGAAGCGCCGCAATGATTCGAGTCCTGCACATCGGCTGATGGCCGTGATAAACGCGTAGCTTGTTTGCCCAGCAGCGGGCGTGATCTTCATCCGTGAACACAGAGACAAAGCAGGTGTGTTTCAAAGAGCTCCAGTCGAAATGGTTCCTAACATTCCTCAACAGATCCTCCCTCTCTAGCAAAGTCTTTGGCATATCCCTCGCCCACAGCTCTCCCGTTACTCGCTGTGTCCTTTGGAATATGGGACGCGTCACTCGCCACAAAACCTCGGGCAGAGAGTCCTGCGATACAGTGTATTTCGCATCGGCGGAGCTTTCCATAGCGCTCCGATTCACGTATGGCGGAGAACGACGAGGCAACCGTACAATCAATAGATCAGAATGAAGCAACAGGATGCAATTGCATTTCCTGCCGCCATGCCGTGCAGGAAGAAGCGGGCAAAGCAACGCAATGTATGCGATATGCCCAGTGCGCGGTGAAGGCTCCAGCAGAAGGGGAAGCGGGGTAAAAGGAAGCAGAGCCGGCGGCTACGCAGAATGAGGCTCAAACAGAGTCTCATGCAGTGTCACCACCATTCTGGAGCGGCACGGCCACATGGCAACCTACCCCGTCCAACACACCCGAGAACTCTGCTGTATGTTACCACCGCCGTCGGCTCGACTTCGCATTTGGCTATACATAGTGACTGTACGCAGTTGGGAACTTGGGATTGATCAATAATATCTGTTCATCCTTCTTTGGGCCGTACCTAACATTTCGCGGCGGTACCTAGGAGATACAAGAGCTATGGCAGACGTAACATATAACAAGAAAAGGAAAAGTGAAACGACTGCTACACTAGGACTGCCGAGCTCGCTATGCGCCGCTCGGGATGCAAGGACATCGGGCGGAACCCAAACCCACCGGGCGCCGGAACAGAAGAAAAAAAGATACCACGGCACCGAGATGACCGCCCTGATCGGCGACCATATCAGCGGCGTCAACCCGTATGTTAACCTCGTGCCCCTGAGGCCCGGACCCTACGGGAAGAGCCGTGTCCACCACGCCGTGGCGGCCATGGCCCAGATCGAGAAATTGCAGAGTCAAAACGGCGGACAACACGCTGTCGTCTCGGCCTCGTTTGGGTACAAGAGAGAGTCGGCATCATTGAATTTGCCACCCGGAAGCAGGACCAAGACCGACGCTTTCGAATATATGATCCCCCGGCTATAGAGAGCCAACGTAGACTTTGTCTCCGCCGTCGCCAACATTGACCTGGAAAAGGACCCCGAAGGTACGAAGACCAAGGCCGTTGATTACTCGCCCGATTGGCTGGGCGGCGATCACGCAGGCGATGCGACACCTATCTTCGCCATCGCCGTAGGCAATTGTGACATCAACGGGCATTGCGCGCCCTGTTCCAGCTTCCTCTATGACATACCGGGTACGGATCCGACGAATCACAAGTACCCCGACTTTTACAACATCGGATCTGGCCTCCTTAATCCCACCAAATTTATATTTGAAGACCCCGTGGGCGAAGAAACCATCGAGTACAGCTGGGCCGAGAGGAGCGGCACCAGCCATGCCACTGCCCTCGCATCCGGCCTGTTGTCGCTCCTGATCGCCCGAGACCCCGGCACGTTCAGCAGCGCAGGGGCACCCACGAAGCAGGGCCTGCAATCACTTGCGCGGCGGAAGAAGGGTTCCGCCTGGCCGCCCGACTACTCGCCCGACACGGCCGGCTGGAGCGTCCCGCGCGCGGCCACAGACCGGGAAATCCCATGCGACCCGCCCGCAGGCACCAATGATGTGCCCGGGCCCGAGCGCCCGAACGTCCGTGATTTATTATTAGATGATGAAATCCCCGTCGACCTGACCGTAGACGTCCTCGCCGGGCCAGCCGAGTATCAGAACTACCTCGCGACGGCGCCCTGCGTCTCCGCACGACCAGGAAGATTGAACCCGCCGGTATAGTCGGAACCGCTTCCCCGATGGGTGATCCCAGGACGCTTGAGCCGTATGAAAAACTCTGGTGAGGAATTCTGCAGCGCGGAACAGCTTGTAGAGTCGAGCCAACAAGGAGCTACGAACCAACCTCATCCGACACCGCAAAGACAAACATCCATTTGTGTGAGGGAGGTTAATGGGAAAACATTGCTCCTGCGGTGATGATAACGTATCTTATAAGCGAGATGAACATATAAGCGAATTGAACACTTTGACCGCGACGCGTCTTCTCTCCATACCACAACCAAAATCCTCTACACCCAACGATGTCTTCGGCTTCAAGAGAGTCTAGGGTAATCTTAGCCCTTGAAGCTATTCAAAAGAACCCAAAACTTAGTCTTCGCACCGCAGCAAAGATCTATAACGTCACAGTCAATACCATCCGAAACCGACGCGACGGCAAGCCTGCACAACGCGACACTACGCCCAACTCGCACCGGCTCACCGATTCCGAAGAGAAGGCTCTTATTCAGTATATAATTGAGCTATCTGAGCGAGCCTTTCCCCCGAGACTACGTGGTATGGAAGATATGGCCAACCAACTGCTATATATACGCGACGCGCCCCCTGTCGGCAAGCTCTAGGCGTATAACTTCGTCAAACGCCAGCCAGAGCTCCGGACGCGTTATACGTATAGATACAACTACTAGAGGGCCAAATGCGAGGATCCAAAGGTCATTGGCGAATGGTTTACCCTTATACGGAACGTTAAGGCCAAGTACAGTATCATATATGACGATATCTACAACTTCGACGAGACTAGGTTTATAATAGGCATCATCTTCCCAGGCATGGTAGTAACAACCTTAGATGGCCGTAGCAAGGCGAAGCTAGCCCAGCCTGGCAACCGCGAATGGGCGACCGTAATCCAAGGCGTCAATGCCCTTGGCTGGGCTATCCCTCCGTTCATCATCTTAGCGGCGCAATACCACCTCGCCAACTGGTATACCGAGTGCAACCTCCCGGCCGATTGGCGTATTGCAACCACCGACAATGGCTGGACTACCAATACAGTAGGCCTTGATTGGATCAAGCACTTCGACTACTATATAGCGCCTCGGATAAAGGGCAAATACCGGTTGTTGATCCTCGATGGCCACGAAAGCCACCACTCAACCGAGTTCGAGCTCTACTGCCAGCAGAACAACATTATCACGCTCTGCATACCTCCACATTCCTCCTACCTCCTCCAGCCACTTGATGTTGGCTGTTTTGGGCCGTTGAAGCAGGTGTACGGTCGCCAGATCGAGGACTTGATGCGCGCGTATATTAGCTATATAAGCAAGCTCGAGTTCCTTTGTGCCTTTCGCATAGCCTTCTTTACCTCTATTACCAAGAGGAATATACAGGGCGGTTTTATAGGGGCTGGCCTTATACCGTACGATCCAGAGAGGGTACTTTCGAAGCTAGATATCAAGCTTCGTATACCAACACCCCTAACCTCACGGCCAGGCACTGTACAATCTTGGGTCTTCCAGACACCATACAACCCCCAAGAAGCCAACTTACAGTCAACGCTCATCAAGACTCGCATTGCCAACCATCAAAATAGCTCCCCGACTTCGATGTTGGCTGCTGTAGACCAGCTTACCAAGGGTACGATGGCTATAATGCACCAGGTGGCCCTCCTTCAGGCAGAGAATGCTTCGCTCCGCAAGGCCAACGAGGCGCTAAGCAAGCGCCGAAGAGCCAAAAGAACGCGTGTACAGCTTGGAGGATCACTTGCAGTAGAAGATGCAAAGGATCTACTAGACCAAACGGCTGTGGTTGGGGAGGTGGCACAAGAAATGCAGCCGGATGGTGGTGGTGCAGGGGGGGCTCGTACGAAGGTTCGGTGCTGTGGTGTGTGCGGCAAGCCTGGTCATAATGCCCGCACTTGTCAGGAGGTTGCAGAAGCATCTGATTCAGCCGTTTCTGATGTAATTATAGTAGGTTCATAATGTTGTTGTGTTGTAATTGTAGTTGACTGTTATAGTATGGTGGCAAGTGTTCAATTCGCTTAAGTTATATGTTCATCTCGCTTATAAGATACGTTACCAAGGTGGGAAATGGGAATTACTACTGTACTAGAGAAAGTCATTACATATTGTTCGGTATGAATAGTAGCCACCATCTGCATGGAACTTCACTCGGGCATTATCAGAGAACAGACAAGTCCGCAATTTCCCTTATTAGTATTGTGGCTAGCTATAGCATTGCTATAGACTCTTGGAGGCTGGAGCAGACCATCCGAGTCCAATAAGGATGTACCTCCATTATGCACGTTCCTAATACCCCATTCATCCCATACGTCCTGACTTGGGGGTCAGGGTTGGCGTATTATTAGCCAAATCCCACACCCTTACGCCTTTGCTCAAAGGTGCAAGATTTGCAAAGGTGCACGAAACGAGAGCCCTTTGTGGCAGACACTATTATCTGATAATACGGCGCCTTGTCGTGCTATTTATAACGCTCACTACTTTAGTTAGTCGATGAAACCTCGGCAACCCTAGACATCGTTCTACACCTACCACCACTCGGTCGACGCCACGTCCTGACGAATCAGTTCGGCAGTCCTGAGTGTGCAGATTAACGAGAGAGTTGTCGGAAAGATTCAAGCGCTTCTTGGGATAGGTTCATGAGGGAACCGCCCTCGCGCAGGGCGGACGCCCGGATACGCAACAAACATTACACTGCCGATTACAGGCTCACGATTGAACGGCTCTCAGGCGAGGTATTGTCGATGGACCAGTGCTAACTCAACCTTGCCATCATAGAGCAGGCAGCCCCGCGAGATGTCGGACCGCTTGGGGGAAAGATCAGAAGGGGATATAGCATAATAATAGCAACTCAGGCCTCGCCGTTTTCACGCTCCGCTCGAGTTAAGGTCGAGACACCGGATTCACAAAACGAGTGCACCTAGCAAGCGAGAAGTGGGATTTCCGGAGCAAGCCGTGTTAGACGCCTTGCAAGAAGAATCTGACGTGAAGATCGCCATTCTGCACTGGCTACGATGGGCGCCCCACAATGATCAATCCCACCGAGAATCATCGATCTAACACCTTCTTGGCTAGGAGATGGAGAATCTACGGATTGGAAGATGGAGGCCTTGAAGATTTTACAGCACTCCCGTATAGGTTTAGCTGACCAGATCCTCACGGCCGTCATATCACGTCTCGACGAGCAGGACTCGAATGTCAGAAGCGCTGCCTTGCGCGTCTTGGCAGCCAAGAAGACTTGCCGCATGTGCACGTGGTGCCGCGGCAGGCGGCGGCTGGAGGGGCAGGCGGGGGGTTTGGGGCGAGATTTTGTGATAAGACGGAGGCCGCGGCAGCCGAGGGTGGATGAGGAGAGGTCCGTTGAGAGAATACGGGAGGAGAACTTCTAGTCAAATCTGTCGGAAGTAGTGGAGACCGTGCGTTCAATGTCCTAGACTGCTGCTCTCGAGCCGGATCTTCACCCAACTTCTCGCTTCGCCCGTTTGCCACAGGCCGCCTCTTCGAGATCCGGCTCTTCCAGCTCGTGCAACCGCCTCTTTCCCCGTGGCTTGGACCCCCCACCCGGACTGTCCCAACAAGTATCGGCGACTGGCTTTTGGCGCCCGTCCTGTCGAGGGCTCGAGGACGTTATGGCCAGTAGTGGCTGTATGTCGGCTTCTCGGGGGCTGGGGGGTTCCGGCGGCGGGGTTGTGGGCGTAGCTTGGGACTCTGTGAGGGAGGGGCCAGCGTCGCTGGGAGATGGTGGCAAGGCAGGGTCTGTTGGAGAGTCGTTGGCCGACGACAATGGTGCTGGGCTCGCGACCGGTTCTGTCTTGAACGAAGCGGTCGGCGATTTGGGCGACACCTCCGGGGCACCCTGCGCAACGCCATTAGAGGTCTTGCCATCTTTAATTCGCGCCGTCGTGCCACAAGTCGGCTGTGGACTCGGTGGTGGCAGCTGCGGTCGTCCCGGCGAGGCCGATTCTTCGGTGACCCCATGATCCAGGAGGTCCCAATCGTCGGAAACCGTCGGATAGGGCGAATACAGGTGGGGCATCTCCTGCGTTCCGGTGTAAGTGAAAGGAGATCTCTCACGGCGTGGTCGGCGCTCGTCAAATTTGCTTGTCTCCCCAGCCCCAGACGATGCCACTGGCCAACCGGATAAAGCTGTCCAGGCTCCCGGAGCGGCCGACTTTCCTCACAGCGTCCCACGCAGGCTTTGGCGAAGAGGGATTCTTGTCATATATGACCGCGTAGGGGATCTCGTCGAGGACTTTCTCGAGTTCGGCGCCGCGCTCCTTGGATTTCTCCTCGAGGAGTTCGAGATGTTCGCGGTTCCGGGCCACTTTGGCGGCGGCGAGGGGGTCAGAAAAGAATGCATCCTCATCAAGCAGCGGAATAGTGATGGTGTTGAACCGCTGCCAGTAGTCTGTCCATAGAGGTCTGCTGTCGCGACATCCGACGTGGTTGGGCGGCTGGGGGTGCCACCCACTGGGGTGCGTAGCTATTTCTTGTGGTCCTGGAACTTCTGGCTTCTGAACACCATCCATCATTCAGCCAACCGACCTAGAATGAGGAACATCATCATCACTGGGCGTGGGGCCCCTACTTTTTGTTCATTCAATCAATCCATCATACCATCAATCATGCTATCCAAGTCATCGTCCTTTCTCCGTGCCCTTGCCGCTCGCCACGTATCCGATTGGCACTTGTCCCGTGGAGTGTTGACCGTGTGAGCACGGAGCCAATGGCGTGGTTGATGGCGATTCAGCACTGTGCTGCTTGCATGCTTTACAAGACGCCCGACGCAGGCATAGGTAGCCGGGCGGCAGCAGGCCCTCGTCAGGCAGTAGGCAGGCAGTACTCTGCAGGCAGACATGCGGAATTTTCTCCAAACAACAACGAACTGAACACCGTCAACTGTTGCCCTGTTCCTTCTAACTGTCTCGGACTCTCGGGGTCTCAGACGAGTGCCTACCGGGTTACCTTAGCTCCCTCGCTCTCCCTCTGGCCTAATGGGCGGTCTCTTCTCTGCTACTATGATCCTGATTAGTCTACATTGTATTGTTATTAACTACTAGTGTTTTTTATTCATTTACCTTCCCCAACTCCTTATCCCCTCCTTGTCCCCTTCCTTTCTCCTTCTTTTTCTTCCCCCCCTTCCTCCCCCCCACCTTTTTTCCTCCCTATTTATATCTGGCATCCTCGTTGCTCGCTCTATCGCCCCACGCCATGTCCGGCCATACTTCCACTGCTTCTACCCAACCATTCACCGGCTCGGCCGAGGTCCGACGCCGTATCGCCGGGGGGAACCCTCCAAATCAGCCCTCCTACGATGCCTCGGCGCAGCCATTTACCGACTCTGCTGAAGCTCGGCGTCGTGCCGGAGTTGCTGCCCCGGAACCGGCGCCCCAGCCGCTCCAACCGACAGCTGACGAACCACTGCCACCAGCACCCATGCCTCACCATCACATCCATGATACCAGCCCATCCGAGCCGCCACTCCCTCCGCCCACATCTAGACCCCTTGATTTTCCCATCGAGGGCCTGGCCGAGGTGTTTGCCAATGCCTCTCTAGCCACGTTGCCGGATGCTCGACTGGTGCTTGCGTCCCCCGCTGGCATCTCACGAGACGGCTCGGATCCCGTCATCATCCCTCTTCCAGGGGGGTATCGGCGGTTGGGAATACGGTTGGCATCGTCCAGCGGACCCGCGACGTTGATTTTGTTATCGACCTCCCATTCTGGATCCAGAGCAAAACCAAGACTTTTCAGTGGACACGCCAACAACTCAAATGCCACCTGTACTGTGATCCCGCCAGCGACGATTGCCTCTTAGTTAATGAGTCCTTGGGCCATATGTGCCTGACCCGCCTCGTCCCTGCTGGAGATGATCAACCCATGGTTGTACGTTTGTCCCGGTTCGATCGCCACGTAGTTTCTCCTGACGTGTGGGGAATCTCTATTTTCGAGCACACGGATCTTCGCCAACGTTTGCTTGACTTTGCCTCCTTCGGCGGCAGTTCGTCGTGGATATCTCCGAAGCCCCAGCTACCATCCCATCGTCGAGCAAGCACTCTGGTTCTAGCAACGACGAGGTCGCCATCAAACGGCGACGATTGCAGGGCGATTTATCCGGAATTCTGCTTTCCCCGGCCGCAATCCGCCCACCCCATCACCATCCCTCCGACGCTGATGCGATCGCCGCGCCCAACAACACCAATGCGGCCGCTCTGAGTTTGGCGCTAACACGCCGACGCCCACCCGACAGATCAGCTAGCCGGGTGTCCCGCTTTTGGACCTGCGGGATGGCGAGGTAGCTATTGTTAAAACAACTCAGGCCAAGGACACGGAGGCGCAGGCGACTCATGTCACCACTTGGACATGGTACAGATTAAGGCGGGTTGGGTTAGTTGCTAACACCACTGCTTCGAGCGTCTTTGCTGGCCAGCACTCCGAATTGCCTGAACCGACCGTGGCAAAAGTCATCAGATGCAAGGGAATGTCCTCTAGCGACTTGGTTAACTGCTCCGGAAAATAGCGGAGGGAGTGGGACTTGCTAGATAGGTTACGTTATGTAAGTCTTTTACTATTAATAATTACTAGTACGTACATCTACCTCTCAAGGTGCTCTAACGCCTAATAAAGAAGTATCGTCTCTCTCTGAGGATATGACGACCGCCTTTTTGCCGTCTACCTTGAGCGTTTGCCCTCGTCACTTCACCGTGGCGCAAACTCGCCATTTCAAAAATGAGTCACGCCCTGTCTAAGACAAATTATGTCAACACACTGCCTATGATCCTGGATCCTTCTAATTTTCGTCAGACCATGCCCTAGACAAAACCCAAAACTCTATGTAAAACCAACACCATCCAAAACCCACCACAGAAGCCAGCCCGCCTTAGCCAGCTGACCTTAACCAGCCCAGCTCAAAACCACCCCAAACTCGCTACCGATCTTGCCCTCCCCTCCCTCACCACCCCCTCGCCCACTTCACTCCTACCCTCCCCTCTCTGACAATTCTGGCCCACCGCCCGGCCAACGGGTTCCCCGCCGGTGCGCAGCGTCCAAACATCTGCTCTGCCATTGCCCGCGCGCCAGCAACTCCCGCCGCAGCATCCTCCCTCGCCGCAACAATCTCCAACACCGCAGCGATTCGTAACAAAACGGCTTGCGGTGAAATTGGCCATAGACAGACTTCTCGTGTGCACACGAAGCCGTTATTCAGATGTTCTACGGGTTGATTGAATAGCTGGCTGGCTGCAGTGTTGGCGATACGTTGGCTGTGGTGGTGGAAAAGGAGGCGTAAAAGTTTAACTATGTAACCTGTAATTATTATCACCGGGCGGAATGAATATCCATCCATCCATCCATGCCTGCAGGCTCTCAGCTCTTCCAGGACAGAAGGCGGCCACGTGACACTCTATTTTCCCTGCTTCTTTTCTCGTCTTAATATACCTTCGCATCAAGGAGAAAAGCATTGGCACGTACTACCAACCGGTCTCAAGGCCTTGGTTTCCCAGTCTGGATCTCTTTCAACGCCTAGGAACGCCCAGCTCAATCCCCAGTTGAGGCAGAATCACCATGAAACCCGTGCAGCCAAGAGTCATTGGAGTCGGCACAACATGCTATGCGACGACTACGGACGACAAGACAGTCCTCAAGGGCCACCAGGTCTGGCCTGGCGGGAACCTCGTGTTTGATTACGGGGATTCCTGCGAGGAGCGCCTGGCACGGGAAGCCACCATCTACAAGCACCTCGGGCGGCACCCCCAGATTTTGGAATGCTTCGGTCTCGAAGAGGTGCATCCGGGGATCCACTCACTCCGCCTCGAAATAGCGCCCTTGGGATCCCTGCGCGCATACATGCGCCAGATGGCCAACAACCCCCCTCCCGTGTTGTGCCGCCTGCGGATGGCGCTCGATGTGGCTACAGGCCTGGGCTACTTGCACTCGCGGGGCGTCATGGCATGCGACTTGTCGTCAACGAATCTGTTTGTCTTCGACGACCTCAACGTGAAGCTCGGCGATTTCGGCGGTGCTCTGCTGGAGGGAGCCGACTTTGAGTGGGATCAGACACACGACACTCGCTATCACTTACCTGCGCGGGGCAGGGCATACGACGAGGTGCCGATCATGAAGAGGGAGCTCTTCAGCTTGGGGTCGGCCATATATGAGATTACTGCATAGGAGAGGCCGTTTCCTGATCTGAAGACAACGAAGTGGATACTAGGTATGCCCGAGACGAGTTTCCATCACTGGGCGGCAACGCGGCTCGGCAGATTATCCAGAATTGCTAGAGCGAGGTTTATGTAACGGCGCAGGAAGTCATTGCGGATTTGAAGGTCTTGAAGGCCGAATTCCACGAGGAACTACCAGTACAAGCTCTCGCAATCTAAACAAGTAAGCCATAGTATTCCGTCTGCATCCAAACAAGACCGCCCAACGTACCCCCTCTCTCTTTGGAATAGGTGTTCTGGAGCAGCAGCAATACCAGCGCTACTGTTGGGTTTCCTCAAAAGTTCAGTTAGCGGGGGAGGACAGACAGCGTTATTAGTCCCGGAAGTCTTTGCCTCGAGCCCCTCTGGATAGGCGCTGCATCAAGCAGGGCAAAGTGGGCAATCATTGCGGCTGGTTGAGCTACCCAAGAGTACGCTCGTGTCAAGCGAGAGGTCGGGGCAGAGGAGGTCGAGTTTCTTGTCGCACTGAGTTTTGATCTTGCGGCTAGTTGTAACATGTGGGGCCCCGGTCCTCTTGCAATTATCGTAACCGTTGACGTATTTGCACATGATGAAGAGGGGAACGACTCGTTTGCAGGTGTTGGATGATGTACAGATAATTGAACAAGGCTGGTTGTTTTCCAACAAAGAAGATCCTGACTCGAACAAGGTACAGTCATTCACATTGTGTGTCGATGAGTCCCGGACGAGCTGCTCTTTATAGATGGTGATCACTCACCGATGTCCCCGCCAGAGAGACAGAGCTCGCCCAGTTACATTCGGAGCCTCGTGTCGGCTGCCCTCCTCAAGAGCCAGGCGCACGCAGAAGGTCCTCAAGCGAGAATTCGTGACCCCGACGATTAGAGGTTGCGCGGATGGGATGAATTGATACCGGAGCGGATTGAGCTGGCGACGCGAGGTGGGCGGTCTCACGTGGGGCTTGTTTGGTTGAGTGCGGAAGGTGCGATGGATGGGGGCGTGCAACTGTTTGTAAAATTGGGGGGCATGGGACGGGATTTCAGTTATTTCTCCCTGCAACAATTTTCAGGACCTACATATCATCAGTCATTTGAATTTCGCTCGTTGCCAGTAGTCAATACGCCTTTGGCCTCCAAGGATAATCTCGAGCAGATGGTGGACATTGAATCCTAGGCATTGGAAGCCACAAGCTGAATAAGTCTACAGCTGATACCCGAAATTTCGACGGTGTCGAAATAAATAGCTTATCAGCAACCAAAAGTTTGACTACTAGTACATACACGTGGGTTGGAAGAGGGCTCGTTCAAACCACGGCACTTGTTCATAAGACTGAGACTTTTGATAGGGTAAAATCTAAACCTAACATTCGCGGCGCTACCTAGGAGATGCAAGAGCTATGGCAGATGTAACATATAACAAGAAAAGAAAAGTGAAACGACTGCTACATATAAGAGAATAAGGCAGCAATGAAAGGCCACACAAAAATAGAGAAACGGAAAGGACACAGTCTGCCACGCCACCACCCACCGCCCTGACACCAACCTCAACCCAATGGAAACCCCCCCACCAAAACCTTTCGATCCTTCCTTCAAGAAAGTCGGTACCGATCCCGTCACCTCACAACAACCTGCGCAGCATCACCGCCCTTCCGTTTCTCCACCTTCCCCAACCGCTTGGTGACCAACCTCAGCGCCTTACCAGCGACTTTCAAGCTCAACCCGGAATCGACCCTCTTCACCTTCTCCTCGGCCGCACTGCCTCTCACACCGACATTCACCGAGATCGGGAAAGTAGCGGCCTTCTTCTTCGTCTTCCTCCCCTTGGTCCCTTCTTCAACACTCTCCTCCTCCACATCATTGGGAACGGGAGGAATGCCGATACCCCTGGCCGCCAAAACGGCCATGTGCCCACGCACAGTGGGATTCTGCAGCAGTTCCTCCAGCCGCAGACTCACTTCCTGCTGCTGCTCGGCAGGGAAGAGGTACGCAAGCTGCGCTAGGGCAACGATGTCGCCCCCAAGAGAAAAGAAGGAGGTGTCCAGGTCTACGCCCTCCATCGTTGCGGTCGACGTCTCTTCGGGTGTGGTCGTGTGCAAGACACCCTGCCAGGCGGTGCGCACCGTCCTCTCCAAGCCACTACGCTGCGCCGGTGACAAGTGCGCGACATCTTTAGAAGGAAGCTCCGCCTTCTCTCCATCTGCATTGCAGTCATCGAACGGCACCTGCTTAGGAGACCGACACAGCTCAGCAGCCGAGGGCAGCGCCACGTCCGGGTTCGCAGCAAAAAGATGTGCCGCGTCGCAGAGCATGTCCAGCGCGCGCTCCCCAAAGTCCCTCGGAACGGCGCCGCCCGCCGCAAAGCTCAGCATGACCTCGTACATATTCTCCCCCTCCTTCCCAACAGACTGCGAGAAGACAGACAAGTCGGCAAAGTCCTCCTGCGCGGCAGACACACACTGCACCTTGTACTCGGCCTCACCCAACCGCATGGAGACTTGGTCCAGACGATCAACGTTCTGGTGCTGCACGGTCGACGAGAAGTAGGTCCAGCGCGGCCAGGTGGTGCAGTGCCTTATGATCTCGCGGAACCCTAACACCTCGTGCGACATGTTGGCGACCTGCTGGTCCTGCACCTGGCGCAGCAGGTGGCGGGCCGTGGCCGTGTTGCTGCCGAGCTGCACGCGCACGGGCACCAGATTGAGGCAAGGGCCGATCATGTTGCCGACCCCCTCGACGGCGGCGTTGCGCCCGCTGATGGTGTGCCCGAACACGACGTCGGCGCTGGCCGAGATCTGCGCGAGCACGTACGCCCAGGCGGCCTTGACGACTGTCGCGGTCGTGATGTGGCCCGACTCGACCGGCGGCAGGAAGACCGTCTTCTTCAAAGTGACAGTTGCCTTGGAGGCGGTGGTGCGGTAATTCGGCCCGCTGCGGCGAACGATCTCGGTCATGGACGAGCCCGCAAGGAGCTGCTTCCAGTGCTGGTAGTGCTCCGACGTCAGGGCCCCCGCCGACGCCCTCAAATAATTGGCGAACGAGGGCGCGGGAGGCACCGTCTCGCCGCGGTACGCCGTCTGCAGCGCGTCCAGGATCTTGGGGAAGCACACGCCGTCGTACTGGGCATGCGAGATGCGCAGCAGGATGCGATGGCGCGCGCTGCGGCGCTGCTTGACCACGGTGAACTCGACAAACGGCTCGCTCAGCTGCGGCCTGTCTTCTTCACCACCACCACCACCAGTTCCAGGCTTGTACTCGTCGACCGACCCGTCCACCTCAACGACGCGGAACGCAGGCCTGAGCGTGCGCAGGACGACCTGCAGGAAGCGGCCGCCCGAGGGCACGAAAACGGTGCGCAGGATGTCGAGCCCCTGCACGAGCCGGAAGCACGCGCGCTTGAGCTGGGCGACGTCCAGGGGCCCCTCGCCGTCCAGGGCGAAATGGTTCAGCATCCAGCGCGACTCGAGCAGGGCGCCCGCGACGGCGAGGGATTGGAAGTCGGTCGCGGGCAGCACGTCGGCGATGCCGCCGCGGAAGACGCACACCTGCGGCACAATGCTGGTCTGCAGGAAGGCGTCGACGTTAGAGGCCGCGAGCAGCGAGAAGCGTTCATACGAGTCGCGCCGTGTGGGCTGACTGTTTGTCGTCGTCGTCATCTTCTCGCGCTTGGCTAGCTCGCCCACGGCATGCATGTTAGCGGTGGCGCGCATCCGGGCGACCATGTCGTCGAAGCACGGGTGGCGGAACACGTCGGCGACGGTGAGCTGCAGACCGAGGTCCCTGGCGTCGCCGACAAGTTTCATGGCGGCGATGCTGTCGCCGCCGAGATCGAAGAAGCTGTCCTGCCCGCCGATCGCATCCTCGGGTTGGTTGAGCAGCGCGCTCCACAGGCCAAGCAGGATCTTCTCGTGCGGACTCTGCATGGGTGTTTCGAAGGCAGACAGGGCGGGAGAAGAGACCTCCGGAGACGAGTCCATGTTCCGCAGCGTCGTCGGGCTCAGTGGATCGCTTTCGCTAAGCAGCTTGTCGAGCACCTCGTCCTTCTCCTCGGCTGCCGGCGTACCGTCAAGTTCTGCGTCAAGCTCTGCCACAGACTGCGAGGGCCGGTTGATGAATGCGTCGAGGACGCGCGCCATGGTGCGGGCGACCTCCTGGGCCTGGTCATCGCTGATGTGGTCGGACCAGTACCGGAACACCACGCCTTCGCTGGACTTTGACGTCTCAATATTCACCGTGATGGCGTACTGCAGGTCGTCTGGTTAGCAAAACCGTCACCACCGTGATCACCCATCATCGCGCCACTGCTTACCTCACTGGGATCATGACCCTCCTCCATCTCAAACTCCACACCCTCATCCTCTCCCTCCCTCTTCTTCCCCTCATTCGTACTATGACTCTGGGTCGAAATACTGGTGTTATACAACACCTTCTTGCCACCCAGACCCAACTCATGCTGCACCCTCGCCAGACTGACATGCTGAAACGGCAAACTCTGCAAATGCTGGTCCTGCGCCTTTCGGAACACCTCCTCCAGCTTAGTACTACTAGGACCACTCAGAATCTGCACCCGGCAGACCAGCATGTTGATCAGCGTGCCCACGACCTCACCGATCTCCTGAACGGGCGCGTCACGGCCGGCCGTCAGGTAGCCGAAACAGACGTCGTCGCGGCCCGTGTACCTGCGCAAGACCAAGCCCCAGGCGGCGTGCATGATGTTGGCCATCGTAACGTGGGTCTGCTCCGACAGGCGGCGCAACTCAGCGAACTGGAACTGACTGAACGGCAGTGCCGTGGAGCACAGTTTCCTTTCTTCTGTCAAGGACCCAGAAGTGATGGTGGTGGTGGTAGGGGTGAGGAGTTTGGGGAAGTAGCACGGCTGGAGACCCTCCAACTGGCGTATCCAGTACCTTGTGCCCTCTTCGGCGGAAAGCGTGTGGATGTATCGGACATACTCGCTGTACAGAGGCCCGGGACTGGGGTCGAGCGTGCCCTGGTACGCGGTGGCAAGCTCCTGCAGAATGATGGCCAGGGAGCCGCCGTCGATGGCGGCATGGTTGACCTCCAGCTTGATCAGGGTCTGACCCGTGCGGGTCGTGCAGATGGCGAGGCGGTGCGGGAGCTGCGGCTGTTTACTACTAGTAGTACTACCAGTAGTATTGTCCCCCTCCTGGAGGAGAGTCACCTGGCCGAGTCTGGCCATGGCTTCCCCGTCGTCGCGGCTCTGGAGCAGGACAGCCCCGCACGGGGCTTTCCGCAGCACGACTTGGTCAAACACGCCGCCGCGGCGCACGCTCTCAATGAACACGGTCCGCAGCGCCGCATGGCGGTCCACCACCTTCTGCCAGGCGCGCGCGATCCGCTCGGCATCGAGGCGGTAGCGCGGGTTGGTATGCCGGACGCGGTAGAGGGCGTGGAAGAGGTAGGCGCTCGGGTTGCGCAGCTGGCTGATCAGCATGCCCTCCTGGACCGGCGTGCACGGGTAGATGTCCTCGACCTGGGCGGAGAGCGAGCCCTGGATACCGGCACACGGAAGGGCGATCCTGGTGAGACTGTGTAGGCCGTCGTATGTCAGCGGCCGCAGCAGCGGGTAGTCGCTCAGGGTTGGCTCCTCGGGCTGGTGCATTAGCGCCTGAACCATCTGCTCGAGCGTGGTCTTGCAGTTGCTGATCCACCGCCGGACATCGTTGGCTCGGCTCAGGCTGCTGTGGTACACGAAGCTGAACTGCAGCCTGCCGTTGACGACGATGGCCGAGATCTCAAACAGTGCCAGTCTGCGCGTCTCGGGACCGACATCAGCGAGGCTGTCGGACTCGTCGAGCTCGAAGTGCCGGATCAGCGAGTCGCCCTGCTCGTGGCGTTCACCATTCTGCACGACGCCGCCGCCGAGATAGTTGAACAGCACCTCCATCGGTGACCGGGCCGGGTCGGGCGCGCTGCCGAGGTACTTGTGGGCGAAGTAGGGCCTGCCGTGGTCCGGAATGCTGCGGCGGATGTCCTTGGTCCGGCGCAGCGTGTCGAGGGCGTCGCCAGTATTGTCTGAAGGGATAACCAGCGGACAGATGGAGGTGAACCAGCCGACCGTTTGAGACAGGTCCGCTTGCGAACCGGCCGGGGCCTCGCGCCCGTGGTTCTCGATGTGCAGCGTCGGCAGACTCCGGTCGCGGAAGGTGCGTGCAAAGGCGTGGGCGACCGCCGCGAGGAACAGTTCGATAGGCTCCGACCGGAACGCCCTGTGGCAGTCCACGAGAGCTTGCTTGGTCACGTCCTCGCCGAGGCTGAACGTCTCGGTCACGGTCTTGCAATACGTGAGCGGCCCCTGTGCGCCCCAGTAGTCCAGGTTGGGCGCGGTCTCCTCGAACGGCAGCAGAGCCTTCGGGTCGACTACCCTTGTGTGGGCAGCCTGCAAAGCGCACCACGACCGGAAGGATAGAGGCGAGTCTGCCGCGAGGGAGCCGTTCTCGAGCGTGTCGTCCAGGTCCCGCACAATGATGCGCCAGGACACCATGTCGATGCAGAGGTGGTGGGCGACCATAGAGATGACGATCTGGTCTTGATCGGCCAGTTCGAACAGGTCGACGCGGAACACGGGGCCGTGTTCAATGGACAGGCTGGTCTGTGCCGCTGCCACGGTGGTCGTCATCTCGTCGCGAGAGCTCAGACGATGCTCGAGACAGCCGTAGGTCGAAGGGCTCATCTAATAGGAAGTCTGGTCAGTTTCAAGCGAGCAAAGTAAGCATGGAAACTGGTGAGGAATCTACCTTGGCAATCCGCTGTCTCCAAGTCCCGTCCTGCGTGCGGACAAAGCGGGCACGAAGCATAGAATGACGCTTGACAATCGCCTCGACAGCCCGCTTGATGGTGTCCATGGCAACACGGCGGACGCTGAGTGTGAAGCTCTGATTGAAACGGGCGTCGCCATCGTAACCGGTGGCTGAGTTCAGATACAAGCTCTGAATCGGGGACAGCGCGAACGGCTCCTCAGTTTCCTGGTCGTCGTGCACCGCAGTCTCGGTCGATGACGGCACTACCTTGGCGAGCTCGGCAAGGTGGGCGAGCGACTTGGACCGGAGCACGTCCTGGATGGACAGCTTGATCTGTGCGTTGCGCGCCCGGGACACGACGCCCATTGCCGTGATGCTGTCTCCGCCTGCCATGTCGGTCAGTTTCACGTAACCAACTGGAGAAAGATGGAGCAGGGTCAAAGATCATCTTACCAAGACTCAAGAACTGCTGGCTGAGCCGGACACGGCCAACAGGGACATTCAACTCCTTCGCCCAGATCTCCCTCAGCTCTTTGACAAGCCCCGTGGCGTGGATCTCGTCCTCGGCTTCCTCCTGGGCGCCAAAGCCCAGACTGGTCGCAATGCGCTGGTACGCCGCATCGTCCAGCGCCTCAACCCACCGCGCCACTCGCCTCCGATCCAGCTTGCCCGACACCACAACCGGCATGCTGCGGAGCACAATCCACGCGGCGGGGACCATGTAGTGCGGCAGGGCATCAGCCAGCCGCGCCCTGATCGCGGCCACGTCCGCGCGGGCCTGGACGAGCTGCTCGGGCGGCCCGTCCAGCACGCAGCACCCATCGTCGCCGTTGCCAGCCGTGATGCTGCTGCTTTCCTCACTCACACCCGCCAGCGTGACCACACCGACCAACTGCTTCCTGCACGGCCCCAGCTTGGGCTGCACCACCAGCCCCAACCGCACCCTGCCATCCGCCGACAACCGGCTCTCAATCTCCCCGAGCTCGAGCCGCTGGCCATTGACTTTCACCTGGCCGTCCCGGCGGCCCAGGTACTCGAGCGTACCGTCGGGCCGGTACCGCACCAGATCGCCCGTGCGATACACCCTCGTGGGCGGCGGGCCGCAGGCAGCGCTCAAATCGTCCCTCGCCCACCCGGGGTTCTCCACAAACACCCTCCTGGTCTTCTCCTCGTCATTCAAATACCCCCTGGCAACAAGCGGTCCACTAATCGCCAGCTCCCCAACAGCCCCGACCGGTGCCAGCCTCTCATTACAGTCTTCCCTAGCCTCCACCACCCACGCCCGAGCACAGGGCGTGGCCCGTCCAATGACACTCGGATCCCTCTCCCTGGACAAGTCCGGGTTAACCAACGCCAAAACACTGGTCTCGGTCGGGCCATAGCCATTCATCAACTCCACGCTATCAGCCCAGCGAGCGACCGTCTCGGCCACGACCGCCTCGCCACCGCACACCAGCGTCTTGAGCGTCCCACAGACTTGGCTCGGGTCCAGCAGACTAGTATTCGCCACCGACGGGGTGAGGAAAGCCCACGTCGCGCGCAAGCGTGCCATGGCAGCCCCCAGATCGTGGAGGCGCTCGTGCTCGGTCGGGACACACACCGTCCCTCCCAAGGTCAGGGGCGTCAAGGTTTCCATGAGCGCCACGTCAAAGGTCAGCGAGGCAAAGTGGAAGGCGCGTGAGGACGAGGTCAGGTGGGTGGCGGCTGCGTAGGCGCGCGACGAGGAGCAGAAGTCGCGGTGGCGCACGACCACCCCTTTGGGCGGGCCCGTGCTGCCGGAGGTGAAGAGCACGTAGGCTGTGTTGGTCGGGTCTGTTGTGGGTCCACCACCACCACCACCACCAGGGACTTGTTGGGAGTCAGGGCAAGGGAGGAGGGTGCGGATCATGGCGCCATCTACCGCTACACCGGCGATGCCGGAGCCAGAGAAGCGGGCGGCGTGGTCAGGGCTGCAGACCACGAGGGGAACTGGCCCGATGGACTGCAGGATTTCCCTCTGCCGTGACACCGGGTGGGCCGGGTCGAGGGGCACAAAGGCGCCGCCAGCGAGGAGGATGGCTAGCAGGACCACCATGGCCCAGGCCGAGCGGTCGAGACAGACCGGCACGAGCGTCTCGCGACGCACGCCGAGACTCTGCAGGTGGGCCGCCAGCCGCGAGGCGTAATCGGAGACCTCGCCGTACGTCAGCTCAGCGTCCCACGCGCAGATGGCTGCTCTATCAGGGTAGGCGGCCGCCTGGTCGAGGAAGAGACGGTGGATGCACGAGTGCACGGCCGCTTCGATGCCTCCTTCTTCGTCCGTGGCGGCGAGGCGGTTCCATCGCGCGATGAGCGCCTGGTCCTCCGGGCTGAGCACGCGGATGTCGGCCAGCGTGGCGTCTTTATGGTCCTTCTGGCTGGACCGGTCGGCCAGCCGCTTGAGAACGGCCTCGAACTGCGAGACCAGCCGCTTGCTGTGCCATACAGAAAGCACCTTTTCATTGTAGTGGAAGGTGGCCTCTATGGCGCCCGTGTCGGCAACGCTGCATTCCAGCACGAGCGGGTGGGTGAAGAAGCTGTCGGTCGTGGATCCGCCCTGGAAATCCCAGTCGGCCTCCTCCTCCTCTTCCTTCGTATGCTGAACAGGCGACGCGGCCTGGATGACGAGGAGGTTCTGGAACTCACAGGCCGCCGCGCAGTCGGCGTTGAGTCTCTTGATGTGCTGCAAGCCCAGGTGCTGGTGCGGGACGACGCGGCTGGCCAGGGCGTGCAGGCGGTGCAGGAAGTCGGCGAGGCGCATGTCGCGGAACGGCTGGACCCTCGTCGGGACCGTGGCGAAGGTCGGCCCGGCCATCTCGGCCACGCCGGGCACGTCGTCGATGTTGCGCCCGGCCAGCGTTTCGCCGAACACGACGTCGTCCGTGCCCGTGTAGGCGGCCAGGACTATGGCCCATGCCGCGCGGACCAGCGTCGGGACGGTGATGTCGGCGAGGATGCCGCTTCGGTGGATTTGGACGGTGCGCGTCTCGGATCGGAAGACGGGCGTCTCGCTCTCGTTGGCAACGGATGACGGGAGCTGCGGGAAATGGGAGATGGAAGACGCGCCGGTCAGCGACTCGGTCCAGAACTTCTCCGACGCGGCCGTGTCCCGCTGTCTCAGGTAGCGGATGAAGTTGGCGTAGGGAGCGCGGACGGCCGGGGTATAGACGCTGCTGTGGTACACGTCCTGGACCCGTCTCGCGAGCAGGCGCAGGCTCCACCCGTCGTAGAGCGCGTGGTGGATGGCCCAGACAAACGTCCGCCCTTCCTCGCCATCAACGATGGCATATCTCGTGAGAATTCCGCCATTCTGCGACCCCAGCGCCTTCCCCCTTTCTACTGCCTCCTCCACGGTTGGATCCGTGCACCACTCGATCGGCTTGGAAGCAACCACAACCTGCAAGAAGCCAGCCGCGGCAGTGTGCACGATGCGGGTGCGCAGCGTGTCCGTCTCGTCCACGACCGCCTGCCACGCGGCCTTGAAGCGGTCCATGTCAACATCCGCGGACAGCTTCAGCGTGTTCACCGACACATAGGCGCCGGCCTGTTTATTTGCCAGCGCCACCAGCCCCTCCTGCAGCGGACTGCAGGGGTACATATCCAGGATCTTCTCAAGGTCACCACCGAACCCGCACTGCGCGGCAACCTCCTGCACGAGGCCCTCCCGCCCCTTCGCAGGGAGCAAGTCGAAAGGCCTCACATCACCGTGACGAGCCCGCTCCTCCTCCGAGGGAGCCTTCCCACCGGCTGCAGCAGCAGCAGCGGCCATATCCTCCAAAAGAGGCTTCTCAAACACGTCTAGCACCGACAAGGCAATCTTATGCGCCCTCGCGGCACCAACAAGCCGCATGGCCGTCAACGAGTCGCCGCCAAGACGGAAGAAGCTGTCCCCGCGGCCCATCGACCCGGGAGACAGGCCCAGAACAGACTCCCACAGGCTCTGCAACCGCTTCTCCATCTCACTTGTCGGTGCGGCAACGGCACCACCCTTGGTCCTACTATTCCCCCCTTTGGTATGAGAAGAAGAAGAGAGGCGATAGCGCGCCACGGTGTCAGGGCTAGCCTCCTCCTCGAGCGCGTGGCGCAGTCGGCGGCGGTCAAGCTTGCCTGCGCTGGTCCAGGGCATGGCGCTCACGGGGACGAAGAGGGTCGGGACCATGTACGATGGCAGATGTGACGCGAGATGGGCTTCCAAGGCACGCGAGAGCTCGTGGAGCGGTTCCGTCATGGGTAGCAGAGAGAATCTTGTCGGGCTGTGGCTACCAGTAGTAGTGGGCACGGTGAAGAACACGGCCAGACACTTGGCTGCGGCACGACCTTTATTAGTGCGGATAATAGGCGGCGACACGACCTCGACGGCAGACTGTGTCGTGTCCTTCTTGATGTTGTTGTCCGGTAGGCCGCCGCGGACGTGGAACTCGATCTCGCCCAGCTCGATGCGCCGGCCGTTGAGCTTGACCTGCGTGTCCTTCCGCGCAATGTACGAGACCGACCCGTCGGAATTGTATCGCACCAGGTCGCCCGTGCGGTACATCTTGACATTGTCGTCGTTGCGAACCCACATGGACGCGGGGAAGGCCGGGTGCCTCGTCCACGCCGGAGATTGGATGAAGGCCTTGGCGGTCTGTTCGGCGTTGTTGAGATACCCCCTGGCGACGAGCCGGCCCTCGACGACCAGCTCACCCACGGCCCCGATGGGAGCCAGCCGGTCCGGCGAGTGCGGATCAACAACCCACACGCGGCCGCCCACCGCATTCCCGATGGTCGCCCGGTCGCGGTTGCATACCCGGCCGGACTCGTCCACCTTCGTGCTTGTGGTCGCCACAACGGAGCACTCGGTCGGCCCGTACGCATTCACCAGGGCGCATCGTGTGGTGGCCCAGCGCTCGATATGCCCGGCCGCCATGGCCTCGCCTCCCGTAACCAGCGTCTTGAGACAGGGCACGCTCTCGGGCCGGACGGTGCCGGCGACGGAGGGGGTGAGCAGCGTCCAGGTGACGCGCATGGTGCGGATGGCGGCGGCCACGTCGTTGAGGCGGTCCTCGTCCGACGGCACGCACACGCAGCCGCCGACCAGCAGGCACGAGAAGGTCTCCATGACGCTGGCGTCGAACGTGTACGAGGCGAACTGCAGCACGCGCGAGTCCGGGCGCATGAACATGGCTGCCGCGTGGGCCGTCGCGCCCGTGCAGAAGGCGCCGTGTTCGATCACCGTGCCCTTGGGCTTGCCGGTCGTGCCGGACGTGAAGATGACGTATGCCGGGTTAGAGGGTGTGGCCCTCGAGACGAAGGGGGTTGTGTCCATGATACTGTTGTCGAGAGCCGCGACGGACTGGCGGCTGACGACGATAGCCCGGCCAATGCCGACAATCTTCTCCATCCTGGCCTTGTACGCCGCAGAGCAGAGCACCGTCGTAGCACCCACATCTCGTATCAGCTGCTCCAGCCGGCTGTCGGGATGGGCCGGGTCGAGGCTGACAAAGGCGCCGCCGGCCTTGAGGACAGCCAGCTGCGCGACGACGGTCCACGCCGACTTCTCAAAGCACAGCGGGACAAACACCTCGGGCCGCACACCGCCGACGGCCATCAGATGGCGCGCCAGCGCCGTGGCAGTCCGGTCCAGCTCGCGGTAGGTAAACTGCGCGTCCCATCCGCACACAGCGGGCGTGTCGGTCGGGCGGGTGCGCGCGTGCTCGGAGATAACCTCGTGCAGACACCGCTCGACGCGGGGCAGCGGCTCGAAGGCGGCATTCCACGCGCAAATTTGTTTGATGCCAGCGCTGCCGAGCAGATCCAGCTCCCCGACGGTGCGGTCGTCGCGCGCGTCGGCGACCAGATCGCGCACGGCCTGCGCAAAGGTGGCCGCCACGTGGCGGATGTGTGCGTCCGAGACGGTGTTGCGCCAGTAGCTGAAGTGGATCTCCACGGTCCTGTTGGTGGCCTCGACGTTGACGGCGACGGCGTACTCGCTCGGATCTTCGGCGCTCACCACCTTGTACGCCAACTCTTGCTGTTGCTGAGTCTGAGTCTGAGCCTTCTGCTCCTCAGCGCGCTTCTGGTACGTAAAAGCGGTATTGAACAACCCCGACCCCGACACCCTCGCTGAGGCTAAGTTCAGCTCGTGCTGCATCTCAGCAAGCGAGCAAGCCTGGTGCTCCATGGCGCCCGCGATATCGGTCCGCAGCGTGTCCAGCGCCTCGCCGATCTCCGTGTCGGCGGCCAGCGGGAGGCGGCAGACCAGCATGTTGATGAAGGCGCCCACGGCCCGCTCGATGTGTGGCACGGGCACGTCTCGGCCCGACGACAGGTAGCCGAACAGCACCTCGTCGGCACCCGTGTATGCGCGGACAACCAGCGCCCAGACGAACTGCAGCAGGGTCGACTGCGTGATGCCTGCGTTGACGCAGTACTCGTTGATTTGGGGGACGTTGTCGTCGAGCGAGATGGCGTAGGAGCCCAGCGATGCTGGGAGGTCGTCGACCGCGCCGTCGGTGAGGGAGGGGAAGAGGCACGGCTCGGCGCCGCCGAGGTAGGCTTTCCAGTAGCGCACGCTCTCGCTGCGCGGTTGCGATTGGATGTGAGCGATGTAGTCGCGGTATGCCGGCGCCGGATGGCTGACTGCGCCCCGGGTGTAGGCGTCAGCCAGATCGTTGAGCAGGATGGGCGCCGAGGAGCCGTCGCAGATCGCGTGGCTGATCTCCAGCTGGCACACCACACCGCTGCCCCTAAGCTTGCAGAGTGACAGTCGATGCGGGGGTTTCTTGTCGTTGTAGTTGAGGGGCTCGAGACCCTGGAGCTTGCGCACCGCCTGCTCTTCGTCGCCGTCGTCCTCCTCCTCGCCATCACCCAACACCGTGATCCTCCCCGGGGCATTTCGGAGAACAACCTGGTCCATCAGCCCCTCGTCACCTACGGTATCGACAAAGATCGTCCTTAGAGTGGAATGGCGGCCGACAACAGCCTGCCAGGCATCACACAAACGCTGCACATCAACCTCGGTACCCGCGAGAGCGTCCGCCCGGAAAACAGCCTTGTAGGCGTACTTCTCGGGCTCGCGCAGCTGGCTCAGCAGCAGGCCGCGCTGCATGGGCGAGCACGGGTAGACGTCCTCGACGTTCTGGATCGGCACGCCAACGTCGCGGAGCCGCTGGTCGAGGTTCTCGAGCCCGTAGTAGGACAGCGGCAGCAACGGGAACGCGCTCAGCGTCTTTTTTGTGGAGCGGTGCTGCATCAGCCTCTGCGGAGCTCCTTGCAGCAGGGAGCGGCACTCCCGCACCCAACGCAAGATGGCGTCCTGGTGCTTCATGTGCTTGTTGTACGCGAACGACAGCCGCATCTTGCCGCCCACCACGAGAGCTGACACGTCGATGAGGGCCAGACGGGGCACGTCCTTGCCGATGTCGGAGGTCGTGTTGACGCCCTGGCCGACGCTGTCGTCGTCAAAGGGGCGCAGGTACGTGTCGGTCCGCGTCAGCTGCTGCATCTGCCCGAGGTAGTTGAAGGCGACCTCGACCGGCCAGCGGTGGTCGTACTCCTCGCGCCCCTGGGACGTGAGCAGCCGGTAGGCAAAGTACGGCCGGCCCTTGCCCGCCAGGCGCCGACGGTAGTCCTTCACCCACCGCACGGCGCTGACTATATCGTCATCTGCAACTCAGTTTAGCACAACCTCCCGCCTTGAGAGCCTTTTCGCGGAGAGAGAACCTACCAGAGTACGACTCATCCGGCAGATGCACGGGGTACAGTGTCGTGAACCACCCAACCGTGCGCGACAGATCCATGGACCCATCCCACACCTCCCGCCCATGGCCCTCGTTGTAAATGGTCGGCACCCCTCGCCTCCCAGACGACGCATTGCGGTACGACAGCAGCAGCGCTGCCAGCAGCACGTCCAGCACGTCCGTCTCCAGCCGGGCGTGGCACTCCGGGCCCAGCAGCGCTGCCGTCGTGTCACAGTCCAGCTCGATCCCCTCCGTAGCAGGGGCCACATCCCCATGGACGTTCGGCACGCCCTCCATGCCCCAGTACCGCAAGTCCGCGTCGGCCGTCTCATGGTGCGGGAGCAGCGCCCTCCCGTTCCGCTCCGCCTGCGCCTGGTCCGACTGCTTGCGGCTCCAGGCCTGGAAGGACAGCGATGTACTCCTCGGTCTGACCTTCCCTGTGGCGAAGAAGTCCTCCAGGTCTTGCAGGACAATCCCCCACGACACGACGTCTATGACGAGGTGGTGGACGGTGATGAAGACATAGACCTCCCCTTCCTCCCCTTCCTCCTCCTTCTTCTTTCCGACGACGAACCAGTCCGCAGCCAGCAGCGGGCCCCTGTGGATATCCAGCGCCCGCTGCGAGGCCTGGATGCGCTTCTCCATCCGGGACAGACTGCCGATGGCGTGCGCCTTGAAGCGGTACGACGAGCGCACGTCCGGCGTGATGCGCTGCCGCCAGCCGCCGGTGCCGTCGCGCCGGAAGCGGGCGCGCAGCATCGAGTGTGTCTCGGCCAGCGCCTGCAGGGCGCGCTGGAAGGTGTCTGCGCTCACACCACGCTTGCTCTTGGCGGCATCAGAGAGGCGGAGCAGCACGCTCTGGTTAAACTGCATCTGTGTATCTGGTGACGGTTCGCTGGGCCGCATGAGCTGGAAGTACAGCTGCTGGATCGGCGACGGGTCGAACTCGTAATGGTCCTCCTGGTCTCCGGTGCTGGATTGTTGACGTTGTTGAAGATGTTGTTGTTGCTGGGTTTGGGGCACGTCGGCCTTGAGCGCGAGATCGGCGACGGATTTTGCGCCGATGATGTCGGGCACGCTGACGCGGATGTTCTGGGCGCGACAGCGCGCCATGACCTGCATGGCTGTGATGCTGTCGCCTCCGAGGTGCAGGAAGGAGATGTTGCGGGTGATTCGCGAGGGGGGAATGTTTAGGACCTGGCTCCAGATGGATTTGAGCTGTTCGTCGACGGAGAGGTCTTGTGCCCGGGCTGTGTGGGTGTCGGCGGCCTGTGCTTCCGAGTAGGCCGCGTTGATCGTGTCAAGTGTGTCCTCGGTCAGGTCCTCGACAAACCTGGCCACGCCGTTGCGGTCCAGCTTTCCGGACGGCAGCAGCGGGATCGAGCGGAGCACAAGCCAGGTCGACGGAACCATGTATGCCGGCAGCTTCTCGCGCAGCCGCTCCTGGATCTTCTCGAGCGAGGAAGACGCCTCCGCCGTCGCCACCCACTCAAACCTGGCCGCATTCCCTTCTGCAGCCACTGCCCGCAGCGAGAGCACCGCCACCAAACGCTTGACGCAGGGCCCCGTCCGTGGCAGCACGACCACGGCATGGCGCACCGCCTCGTCGGCCGACAAGTGGTGCACGATCTCATCCAGCTCCAACCGCTGCCCGTTCAGCTTGGCCTGCGAGGCGTCTCGCCGCCCCACATAGACCATCTCGCCCGAGACATCGTCGCACACGCGCACGAGGTCGCCGGTCTTGTACATGCTTCGCGGCTTTCCGTCCCGCACGTCCGGATAGCGCAGGTCTGCGTCCAGCGCCCAGCGCGGGTTCTCGATGAACACCTCGCGGGTCTTGGCCTCGTTCCCGAGATAGCCCGTCGACAGCGTCGGGCCCTCGACGAGCAACTCGCCCACCGACCCGAGCGGCACCAGGCGGTGGTGGTTGTGCGGGTCGACGATCCAGCAGCGCCCGAGCCCGCGGCCCAGGTTGGCCGGGTTCGACGAGCGGCGCACGCGCGGGTTGACGGTCGCCACGACGGCGCACTCGCTCGGCCCGTACGCGTTGACCAGGTGGTCCACGCGGTCGGCCCAGGCGTCGACGTGGCTCTGGGCCATGGCCTCGCCGCCGAGGATGAGCGTCTTGAGCTGGGGCACGTCGGCCGGGTCCAGCACGCGCGCAAAGGACGGCGTCAGCAGGGCCATGGTCACGCCCATCTGCTCCATGGCGGCCGCAATGTTGCCGTTGGTGCGGTCCTCGTCGCGCGGGACGCAGACCGTGCCGCCCATCATGAGCGTGGTCAGGATCTCGACCAGGGAGGCGTCGAACGTGTAGGAGGCAAACTGCAGGAAGCGGAAGGGCGGCGTCATGTGCATGGCTGGGCCGTGGGCGGCGGCGCCGGAGCAGAAGGCCGTGTGGGAGACTGGGAGAGAGCTGGGTTAGCATGGTTTCGTGTCTCCTAGGGGGTGTTCTGCCAACTGTGGGGGATTACGATATGGGAGCGACGGGCATGGAGAGAGCTGGATTTGACTTCAAATGCCAGAGAACTGAAAAACGAAAATAGAGAGTTGTCATGTTGGCAATATCATGCGGCGCTAGGGTAAGAGAATCGGCGTTGCAACCCATCAATTGCTCAAGTGTGGACGAGCCAAGAGATGAAGCAACCCGCCTCGATCCAGATGCAGCTGCTGGGACAAAACTCCAAGTGTGATCAGGGATTCTATCGTCCGAGTTTCTTGAATTTGGATGGTGAAAGCCACGCGAGTCCGACTAGCGCATCACATTCTCTTTTCGAGCTCGCGATTCTGCAGTCATGGTCCGCCAGTCGCTCTTGCATCTGCAAGTTGCAGGAGCCGTCGTGAACCTCATGGTGAGATTATAAAAGACCATGCTCACGTGACAGTGCAGGGGCCATATTTGCACAACACGATGTTGGAGTGCAGCTAGGAAAGCACAAAGGGAAAAGGGGCGAAGAGAGATGAATCTTACCAATGGTTCCTTTCGGCTTGCCTGTGGTTCCCGACGTGAATATCACATATGCCGGGTCGCTCGGGAGGCACTCTGTTTGTGATCATCAATTCCGTCAGTAAGTGTTATTCTTCCAGTCCTTTCTCGAGTGGAGCGTCTCTGACAACAATTTCCAGGGACCAAGGGGAAAGTAAACAAAACAAAATGAAAATGCCAACTCACCATCCACACCAAGGTCTTCCAACACAACCGCCTCCTTCTCACCCACAAGCTGTTCAAGCCTCCCCTTATCAACTGGCACCACCCTCCCCACCACCTGGGCACAAAGCCCCTCATACCTCGGCGAGCACAGCACCACCCCATCTTTACAGCCACAATCCGCGACAATCTCCCGGAGTCTTGCCACAGGGTGCGCCGGATCGAGCGGCACAAAGGCCGCCCCGGCCTTGAGAATGGCCAGCATGGCCACGACGGCAAAGATTGATTTTTCGACGCAGAAGGGCACATATTGTTGTTGGAACCTGCCCCCTCTTGACTCTGAGGCTGCGCGACCGACGCCCTTAGAGACAAGGTCGCGCGCGAGTGCCGAGGAAAGGCACTCCAGATCCCGGGGGGAGAGGGTACCGTCCCACCCGAGGACTGCAATCTCGTCGCTGCCGCGGCGGCGGGAGAGTGAGTCGGAGATCAGGTCGTGCACGCGCCGCTCGATGGTTGGGGTCGGGGTCTGGTTCCACTTGTGCAGCGTGGCCTTGTCGGATGGGGTTAGGAGGTCGATTTCTCCTACTACTAGACTGTTGGAGGAGGAGGGGGAGGCGAGGCGGGTGAGGAGCGTCTCGAATTGCGCCAGCATGCGGGTCACCTGCCATGGCGGGATGACGGCCGGGTCGAAGAAGGCGCGGAGCTGGATCTCTTCTTCTCGTCCTCCGGTCTTTATCTTGTTGGTGCTGGTGTTGGCTCTGTTGACGGTGCAAGTGACATTAAGCGGATAGCTGAAGAACTCGGCGCCCTGCCGTCCCCCGTCTCCCACCATCTTCCCCCACAGACTACCCTCCGGAACCTCATCATCCGCCACATCGACGGCGAGCAAATTCCGGAAATTGCACGCCCTCGCCGCAGCGGGAGACAGACCCCTGATCCTCTGCAACCCGCAGAACTGGTGCGGAATGACGTCGTTCAGCTGGTCCTGCACGTCAGCCAACATGCGCTCCACACTCGCGGCACGATCGATGCGGACCCGTCGCGGTACGGAAGCCAGTGTCGGCCCCACGAGATCTTCGATCCCGGCGAGCGCGACGTCCCGCCCGTTGAGGATCTCGCCAAAGACAATGTCGTCCGACGAAGCGTAGATGGACACCACCAGCGCCCAAGCCGCGCGCAGATAGGATGCCAGCGTCAGGTTGGTGTCGCGCGGTCGCGCGAAGCGGATGGGCCGCGAGACTTGGCTGGTTGCCTGCACGCGGTAGCCCGGGTGTGGGAGGTGCGAGGGGAAGTGCTGCGCTGCTGCTGTGGTGGTGGTGCCGGCGTCGTCGTCGGAGAGTTTGGCGGTCCAGAAGGCGTCCGATGCGGCGAGGTCGAGGTTGGAGAGGTGCTCGACAAAGCGCGAGTAGTGCGGCACGGGCGCCATGATGGTGGCCTCCTCCTCCTCCTGCTCGAGGTGGCGGTACCGCGCCTCGACACGCGCCAGCAGTGTTGGCAAGCTCCAGCCGTCGTAGAGCGCGTGGTGAGCTGTCCAGGCGAATGTTGGGTGGCTATGCTCGCCGATGATAGTGTAGCGGGACAGGATGCCGCCGTCGTGCGGGGGCAGGTGGCGATGGCTTGGGGAGGAAAGGTCGTCGTGGGATTTTGCGGTCTCCCAGGGGATCGCGCCGCGGACGACGACTTGCAGGAAGCCGAGGCCCTCGACGAAGACGATGCGCGTGCGCAGGACGGCCTCGGTGTCGACGACGTCCTGCCAGGCGCGCTTGAACCGCGTCAGGTCGGTGCCCGCGGGCAGCTCCCAGAAGTTGACAGCGACATAAGCGCCGGGCTGCCGCTGCGAGGCGGCCACAAGTCCGGCCTGCAGCGGGGTGCACGGGTAGATGTCTTCAATGGCAGCAAGGTCGACGCGGCAGATGGACGCGACGTGTGACTGCAGCTCCGGCAGGGGCATTGCACCTTTACCCTTAAGCAGGGAGAACGGCTCCGTTGGGCCAGGGAACGGTTCGTTTTGGCCGTCGACAGGGGCAAAGTCAGCCTTTTCACCCTCAGCCAGCGCGGCCATATCGGAAAGCGTCGGCGACTGGAAGATGCTGGCCACAGTCAGGACCACCCCCTCCCTGCGCGCCGCCGCAACCAGGCGCATGGCCCCAACCGAGTCGCCGCCGTGGCGGAAGAAGCTGTCGTCGGCGCTGATAGCTTCGGGCGCCACCTGCAGCACCAACGCCCACAGAGCCTGCAAGCGCTTCTCCATTTCGGTCTCGGGCGCGCGGCCACTCGACGCCTGGGCGCCCAGCCGATAGTCTGTCACGCCGCCGTCGGACAGGGCCCCGGCCAGTGTGCGCAGGCGGCGGCGGTCCAGCTTGCCCGACGACGTGAGCGGCATTCTGGAGACGGGCAGGAACAGGCTGGGCACCATGTACGAGGCCAGCTTGGCAGAGACCGCGGCGACGATGGTCTGCGCGAGGGAGCGGAAGGCGTCGTCGACGGGCAAAATCCGGACCACCTCGTTCACCTCCTGGGAAGAGGAAGAAAGCGGAGGAGCAACGCAGACAAACACCGCCAGCGCCTTGGCCTGGCCCACGGTCACCAACTCCACCGATGACTGGGCCGTGACCGGCAAGCTGCTCTTGACGTGGTGCTCAATCTCGCCCAACTCGATCCTCTGCCCGTGCAGCTTGACCTGGGTATCCTTCCTGCCCAGATACACCAGCGAGCCATCCGAGTTGTACCGCACGAGATCGCCCGTCTTGTACATCCTCCGGGCGCCCCTCTCGGCATGGCGCGGATCCAGCACCGCCCATCGCGGCATCTCAATAAAGCTCTTGGCCGTCTCCTCCGGCCGGCCCAGATAGCCGCGCGCCAGGATGGGGCCCTCAATCAACAACTCGCCCACGCACCCGATTGGCACCAGCCGGTTGTGGTTAGCCGGGTCAACCACCCACGAGACACTCCCCACGCTAGTGCCGATATTCGCCACATCCCCGCGCGAATCGAGATGCAGCTTGTGCGTGGCATTGATAGAGCACTCGCTCGGGCCGTACTGGTTATGCAGGGGCACGGCCCCGCCCCAGACATCCAGCACCTCACGGGTGAGGGCCTCCCCGCCGACGGCCATGCCCCGGATGGAGGGGACCTGGTCCGGCCGCAGCAGGGCCGCCACCGTCGGGGTGAGATCCATGAAGTTGGCGTCCAGTCGGGCTATGGCGCCCGGCAGGTCGCCCAGCCGGTCGGCGTCCGAGGGCACACACACGCACCCGCCGTGGATGAGCGTCGTGAACATCTCCTCGAGCGAGTTGTCGAACGTGTGCGCCGCAAACTGCAGGAAGCGCGTGTGTGGTCCCAGGCCCAGGGCAGCGCCGTGTGCCAGCGCGCTGGAGACGAGCGCTTGGTGGCAGAGGATGACCCCCTTGGGTTTGCCCGTGCTGCCGGAGGTGAACATGATGAAGGCCGCGTTGTCGGGGGTTACGCCGGAGTGGATCTCTCCTGCTCCTTCCACTTGTTCAAGTTGTGAGAGCAGCCCCGGCCCGACAGCAACCACATCCGGCACCATCCCCCTGAACAGACCCGCCCTCCCCTCAGAAGTAACAACCACCTTCGCGCCAGCATCACGCACCTTCCCCTCCAGCGCCTCCGCCGGGTGTGTAGCATCCAGGGGCACCACGCCGCCCCCGGCCTTCAACACCGCCAGCATCGCAACAGTCGTCCAAGCCGACTTATCAAAGCACACGGGGACCAACACCTCGGGACCGACCCCAAAGTCCCTCCTCAAATACCTCGCCAGTCGATTCGACAGGTCATCCATCTCGGCATACGTAAAGTCCGCATCCCACCCACGGATCGCCTGCGCCTGCGGCCGGACACGCACCTGCCTCTCGACCATGCGATGCACACATTCGGCCGTCGCGGCGGGGAGGTGGGCGTTCCAGGCCCAGATGCGCTCTTTGCTGGCCGGGTGCACCAGGTCCAGACCGTCCTGCTGCGCGTCGATGATGTTGGTCAGGGCTTGGACGAATGTGGCCGCGACGTGTTGGGCGTGGGCCGGGGTGATGTGGTCGGTCCAGTAATCGACGTCGATGAGGGCTGTTGTTATACCGCCTTCGTCGGCCATCATCTCGATGTTCAGGCTGATGGGATACTCGGTTGGGTCGTGGATTGGGGTCAGATCCTCGCACATGATGATCGACCCTTCGGCAGTGGAAGTCGTTGTCTTGGGCTTTGCTTCCTGCCGGCGGTAGGAGATGCACGTATTGAACAGCGCCATCCCGCCCGGCATGTTCAGCGCGTGCTGCACCTCGGCCAGCGACGCCTGCGCGTGGGGCATGCAGGCCAGCTGGTCGTGCTGCACAGATTCCAAGAGCCGGAGCAGCGAGAGCTGGTTGCCGCCGTTGTCGTCAGGTAGACTTAGCTGCACCCGCTGCGTGGCCATGTTGATAAACGGGCCGACGGCGTCCTCCGACCCTTCGACGCGCGCGCCGTCGCGGCCCGACACCAGATAGCCGAAGCAGACGTCGGCCGTGCCTGTGTAGCACGCGAGCGTCAGCGCCCAGGCCGCGTGGAAGGCGTTGGGCAGTGTGAACCCGCGCAGCGCGCAGAAGGCTTGCAGGGCGGCCAGCTGCGGGAAGTCGACGCGCAGCGAGCACAGCTGTTTTGCGTTCTGCTGCTCCGGGTCCGGGCGGAGGGGGATGCCGTCGTTGAGCACGGGGAAGTGGCACGGCTCGAGGCCCGCTAGATGGTCCCTCCAGAAGGCCACGTCGGCCGCGGCGTCGCGCTGCTGCAGGCTGGCCACGAAGGGGCTGAACAGCGGCCGGGGCTGCCGCGCGAGTGACCCGTCGTAGGCCCGGCCCAGGTCGCGCAGGAGGATGTCCATGGACGCGCCGTCCATGACCGCGTGGCTCATCTCGAGCACGCAGAAGACGCGGCTGTTGGTGTTGCCGGGGTCGTGGAAGACGGAGAGGCGGTGCTGGGGGGCGCCGTCGCGATACGGCATCGGCTCGAGAGCGTTGAGCAGTCTATGCATCTCCTCTTCTCCCCCGGGACACTCGCGGACTAACACGGGGGGCTCGACATCCTTCAGTACCACCTGGTCGTAGCTCCCGGCCCTCGCCGGGCTGATGGCATCCACAAAAACAGTGCGCAGCAGCGCGTGGTGGCGCACAACCTCCCTCCACGCTTGCACAACCCGCTGCGCACCCACTCCCGCTTGACTCTTGTCGTTCCGCTTGACCTCAAACGCCCGCCGCACCGCGTAGAAGGCACCGTCCTTAGTCCGGCTGAGCAACAAGCCCTGCTGGATCGGCGAAGCGGGATACACGTCCTCAACAGCCGCCCACCCCTTCTTCCCACCGCCCAGCACCAAATCAGACAACCTCTCCCTCTCAAACGAATCTAAATCCCTCTGGGTCAGTTCCGGCATCAAAAACAAATCACTCACCGTCAGTCTACTACCCTCCCCCACCATAGCAGGCAACACCGCTGCCGCCTCCCTCAACACGCCCTCACAATTCCTCACCCAACTCCGTATCCCCTCCTGGCGGCGCATGTGCCTGTTCCACGCAAACCCGAACCGCACCACCCCGCCCTGCACCACCACGGCCGAGATCTCAAACAGGCTGAAGCGCGGGCAGTGGGCGCCAAAGTCGGCCGTCCCGCTGCCCACGTGTGCTTCCCCGGCCATGAGCGCGCCCTCGGCCGGTTGGAGGAGCGCGTCGTGGCGCTCGAGCTGCTGGTAGCGGCCTAGGAAGTTGAAGGATACCTCCATGTCGCGGTGGGTGTCTTTCCAGTTTTGTGTGGTGGTGGTAGTGGTAGGAGTGGTAGTAGGGTGGTGGAAGCGTGCTGCGAAGTAAGGGCGGCCGTTCCCTGGTACGCGACGGCGGAGGTCTTTTACTGCTATGAGTACCTCTTCAAATCGGGAAGAAGAAGCGGGAGAGGAGGAGGAGGAGGGGAGGGCGATAGGCAGGAGGGTAGTGAACCACCCCACCGTCCTGGCAATATCAACCTCCTCCTCCCCCGAAGAAGAAGGCGGTTCCCGCCCATGCCCTTCATTAAACACCGCCGGCGGCAACCGATCCGGAAACGTCAGCCGGAAGGAATGGATCAGTGCCGCAAGCAGGAGCTCGACCGTCTCTGTGCGGAACGGGGTGTGGCAAGCAGTGAGCAGCGCGTGGCTGACGTCCGGGGGGAGTTCGAACCCCTGGCAGACCACGTCGCCGTACACGTTGGACTGGGGGTGCTCCATCCCCCAGTAAGCGAGCCGGGCCGGGGGGATGTCGGCTGAGGCCGGGAGGACGCTGGTCAGGGGTGTGCTGCTGGTGGAGGAGATCTGCAGGGCTGTCCACCGCCGGAAGGGGAGGGATCGGTGCGGGAGGTTGGGAGTTCCTGATGGGTGGGAGAGGATCTCTTCGAGTTCCTCGAGGATGACGCGCCATGAGACCAGGTCGATGACCAGGTGATGCGCCGTCATAAACAAAATCTGCTGCTGCTGGTCTTGCATGCCGTCGAAGAGCTCTGCGGCAAACAGCGGACCGTGCCGCACATTGAGACAGCCCTGGGCACTGGCAATACCAGCATCCACGTCGCCACGGGTTACAGTACTGTGGGCCCGGAAGCGGTACGACGACTCGATGTCGGCGGTAATGCGCTGCTGCCACGGCCCGTCCGTGCCGCTCGGCTGGAAACGCGCGCGGAGCATGGCGTGGCGGCGCACGACCACCCGGACAGCCTCGCGCACGGCGGCCGCCTCGACGCGGCGGGCCAGGCGCAGGCAGAAGCTCTGGTTGAAGTGTGCGTCGTCACCCTCAGCCGCGCCGCGGATGTCGAAGTGGTACTGCTGGATCGGGGAGAGGTCGAACGGAGTGTCCCCATCCTCGTCGTCGTCCTGCTGTTCTTCTCTGTCTTTGTCTTTGTCTTGTTCTTGTTGCCGGGCCACCGCCGCCAGCTGGCGCAACGACTTGGCCTTGAGCACCTCCTGCACGGTCAGGTGGAGGCGCGCCTTCTTCTTGGCGTGGCTGGCGCAGGCCATGGCCGAGATGGAGTCGCCGCCCAGGTGGAGGAAGCTGTGCTCGTCGCGGCTGATCTGGTCCGCGGGGAGGTTCAGCACCAGGCTCCAGATGTCGCGGAGCTTGGCTTCCTTCTCCGTCAGCGGGTCTTTTCCATCCTCGGCCTCGGCCTTCTCGGTGGAGCGGTGTCCCATGAGGATTTGCTGGCACTCCTCGGCGCTGAGGACGCTTTCGACCCATGTCGCAACGGTCTTGCGATCCATCTTCCGCGAGGACAGCATCGGGATGGACTCCACGCACAGCCACGTCGACGGCACCATGTACGCAGGGAGGCGTGCGCCTAGCCGTGTGCGGATGCTCTGCACGATGGGCTCTGTCAGAGACGGATTTGCCGTCAGCTTCAGCGCCGCAGGTCCGGATTGAGAAGTCTGCGACGCGACGGAGGCGTCCGAGAGCGAAAGCACGGTAATCAGCCGCTTTGCGAGCGGGCCTTGTTTCGGAAGCAGCACCATAGCATGCTGCACGCTCTCGTCCACGGCCAGATGGTGCTCGATCTCACCAAGCTCGATCCGCTGGCCGTGCAGCTTGACCTGCGTGTCCTTCCTTCCGACGTAGCTCAAGGCCCCCGCGGCCGAGTTGTACCGTGCGAGGTCGCCCGTCTTGTAGAAGCGACGGTGGCCGGCAGTTGTAGGTGGTGGCAGGGCATATCGCGCCCAGGCCGGGTCGAAGATGAAACTCTCCTCCGTCTTGCCGGGGTCGTTGAGATACCCCCGGGCCAGACTCGGCCCCTCGAGCAGCATCTCGCCCACACAGCCCACAGGGATCAAGCGGTTGTGGTCGGCCGGGTCAACAAGCCACACCCTCACACCGCACGGCAGCCCAATATCGGTAGGCTCGCTGTCGGGCCCCATCCGAGGATTACACACGGCCGCGACCGAGCTCTCGGCGGGGCCATACCCATTGACGAGCTCAATATGCGACCACGTAGCCACATGCGCGGAGCTCATGGCCTCGCCGGCCAGCACCAGCCTCCGCAGGCCGGGCACGCTGGCCGGAGTCAGAAAATTCACAAACGACGGCGTCAGCACGGCGTGGTCGACCGCCATGCGCGCCATGGCCCCCGCGAGGTCGTTGAGCCGCTCGTGCTCGCTGGGGATGCACACGCTGGCGCCCACCATCAGCGGGGTGAGGATCTCGACCAGGCTGGCGTCGAAGGTGTGCGCCGCGAACTGCAGCACCCGGCACGTGCTGTCGATGCGCAGGGCCGGTGCGTGGGACCGCGCGCTGGAGCAGAAGGCCCGGTGCTCGATTACGGTGCCCTGGGTTGCAATGTCAACAAAAGGTTTTTCCAGGCAGTAAGCATATGGTCCATGGAGGCGATAACGTACCTTGGGCTTGCCGGTGGATCCGGAGGTGAAGATCACATACGCCGCGTTGGTGCTGGATGCAGAACGCTTACTCTCCAGAATCTCTGTCTCTGGCTGATCATCATCGACCACGGTGCTGTCATCGAGGGGCAGCACCGTGTCAACAACGCCATCAACCTTCTCCACGAGGTGACTCGAGCAGAGCACGATCCTCGCCCCGACAGACTCGCACAGACCGCGTAGCCTCTCCACGGGGTGCGACGGATCCAGCGGCACGAAGGCACCGCCCGCCTTAAGCACCGCGAGCATGGCGACGACAGTCCATTTCTAAGATCCATCCCAAGTTAAGTCAGTCTCCCATTTCCCATATTCAAAGGGTATGTAGTACGAGTAGGTAGAAACAAAATATTCTTACGGATTTCTCAAAACACAAGGGAACCAAAACCTCCGGCCCAATCCCAAACTGCTGCTGGGCTAGCCTCCCCGCCAGCCTACCCGCAAGGGAGTCCAGCTCGCGGTAGGTAAGCGACCCGTCCCATGCGCACACGGCCTCCTTGCCGGGCGTCTCACGCGCGCGGGCGGCAATGACCTCGTGCACGCACGCCTCGACGGGCTGCATGTCGGGGCAGGCGGCGGCATTCCATGTGCAGACTTGCTCACGGTTGGCGGGGCTCATGGTATTGAGATTGAGCGTGTTTAGGGTTAGGGCGTCCTGGTATTCAGAGGCGAGGAGGACAGAGGACATGATCTCCGCCAGCGTAGACGCAACCAGGCTGGCTTGTGTGGTTGACATGCCTAGATTGGTGGTGCTCCATTCTATAGAGAGGGTTATGTTGGTTGGGGTGGTGGTTGCTACCAGCCGGAGGCTGTGGTGTTTCTGTTTCAGGGGTTAGTTACTGGGTTAACGCTAACAAGGGAAGAAAGTAAACAGCACTTTAGTTGCAGAGGGAGGGTTAGGGTTGGATGCAATCCCTCCCTCCCTAGCCATCCCGAAAAGGGGTACTTAGCAAGGGATAGATGGGAACACAAGAAAACGAAATGAGGTCATACCGGGTCCAATGCACGACAGCCCATGGCCGCCAGTGTCTCGCTAACGCCTGGCCCACCACCACCACTCCGCAGCACGACGATCGCTGTGTCGAACAGCTGCTGCTGCTGCTGCGAGTGATCGCTCTGACTCGGAATCATCATCAGCTTGGGTGGAACCGGCCCGGCCACTTGCTTCAGCTGGGCCAGCTCCGCGGTCGTGCGGCGCACTAGCCCAGCCACGGACGCGTTGTCATCAAGCAGAAAACGCGCCACAACAGCCGCCGCAGTCGGCTCATTCTTGTTCTTGTCGTCGCCGTGGCAGAGATGCTCAGCAAAACTGAAGCTTACGTCGTCCTGTCCCGTGTAGCACCGCAGCAGGAGCGCCCAGGCGGTACGGAGCAAAGCGCCGAATTTCTCCGGGTCGGTGGCCGACAGCGCCGTGAGTTCATCCGCGTGTTCATGTTCGATCGGCACCGGGACCGAGAAGACCTGTTGTTGTTGTCCCGAGCCGCCGGGTGCACGACTGAACCGTGGGAACCGGCAGGGCGTCAGGCCCCGCAGGTAGGTTGCCCAGTCGCTGATCGCTGCAGTCGAAGTCATGATGATTTTCTTTGATTGGGTTGGGGTGGGACTGCCGGTGAGGACGCGTACGGCAAGGCAAGTGTGAAGACGATATTAAGGTTAAAGTAAATAATATGTTGTGGTATGTGAGATCGGCGGGTGATGAATGCAGGGTTCAAACATACAACGGCACCAGATGATGCAGCGTAGAGTGTGCGGTGTGTGTTCAGCAAACTGAAACACTGAACCTCTCACTCACAAAGGTTGGTGGTGAGAGAGAGAGCAAGAAGCAAGAGCCACAGATGGGTGATTGTGGGACGGTCGATGATTCTGCGAGTCGTCCACTATAGCTCTCACGCATGCACTCACTATGCTAACGAGCTCATGCACAAAATCTCAACTTGAACCGGGGTCTCATCTCCTGATCAAGTTATACGAGGGATCGTTCCAGACCTCTTCCTCGGCCCTTCCATTCTTCGGCCTCCCGAGTCATTCGTCTTGTTCTGCCCCCCCTCCTTCCCCCTTGCTCCCCATCGGGGTCGCCCCTTCCAGGTCTAATTTCCCAGCTGAAAGAGTAAGGTAAGAGAACAGCCGGTTAGCTGCAGTCGCAGCATAGGGTGACATCACTGGGGCGAGAAAGCGAAATAGAAAAAACAGAAAAGCCTGACGTGATGAAAGTCGGTTGAAATTTTTTCATGTCATGGACTCATGGCCAGACCCAGTTCTGAGACAGGTTGTGTGACTTGTGTCCAAAAATACCTCCTGGCGCGGCTGGATAAACACGGCGCACCAGATTCACCAGATTGTTGGGATGGCGATCGACGTCGACGGTTGCCCTTCTAAGAAGGTGGACTGTGTGGGCTTTTAACACGTGTATTGCATTCAGTTCCCGCAAAGTGGCGACAGACAGGGACTTGACACTTCCTTGACAGTGCAACTGGCTGACAGGCCGTCGACTGACCGAGACAGGCACGACAGGGAGAGAAAGACAGAGATAGAACCTTGGCACTGCTGCAGGGGCCCAAGGGAAGCCTGCCTGCCTTGCAGCCGCACTCTATCCCCACTAACTAGCGAATAACAAACCTGGAAGGTTACGTGTAAGCAGCCGGCTAGAACAGCTGGGCAGTTGCAGTCGAACGAACTGTCACTAGCGGCGGAAATCTATCCGAAACCCCACATCAGGGAAAGGGCTGTGCCGATCCTCCTGGGCTCCCGGTTGATCCGTCAGCGTGCCAAGCATCGCCCGATGGCCACTAGGGCGCGGCAAGTCGACGGCAAGTGGGCGGCAAGTGGGTCCGGCCAATCGGAGATTCAGACGAGCGAAAAAGGTGCCTGTACCCGCCTTTTTCGATCTCCAGTTTGGACTTTGGAACCGGGCCTGTCATCGAATCATGGAATGGGACGGCCAAGACCAAGAGCTGGGATGAAATGAACTGGCTCAACTGACTGGGCGGGCCATGGTGGGGATGTTGCCGCCGGCTGTACAAAACCTTGGTCATTGCGGGCGGGAGCCAGGGCAGCCGCATCGTGGCACGGAGCGCGGAGCGGAGCGGGCAAACTTGAACCTTGGCCCAGCGCTGCCCAAACGGGCAAGCTGGGAGTGCAGTGTATTAACTAACGCCAAGGGCAACACTACATCCAGACATATTGCAATACCACGACTACAAGCAGGCCACTCGGGCTTCCTGTACCAATAGAAGCGGCTGAACGAGTGGCTCGGCTAGCCAACCACAGACGCCACTTACACCATAATTCTCGCTGCTATGCTACGCTACCCGCAGCAAGTCTGACATATTTTTTTATTCACGCCATTCTTGCAGATCGTTGTTGCCAAGGTTCGCTGGCTGTCGGCAGCCCGCCGGCTCCGCCAAACACTGGAGCCGCAAAATATGCAGACCGGCTCCAGACTGCATCCACTTGTGATCCAGTCCTCGCTCATGTCAGGAACCAAAAAGTTCCTGGTTACCCAAGTGGATCCCTAGTTGGTTCCGCACACTAGTTACACTAATGAACGGGGAAAATATCGCGAAAAAACAAGGAAACCGCATTCTCGAACAGGCCGCCTCCCTGCTTTCCCGTCCTGCTGGGTGTGCAAGCGTAGATGTCGATGACGAGACACGGAAATCATGGGTTCTGCGATCCGGGAAGCATGGTATATTCGTATTCGGGCCAAGGCCCTAATACCTACAGTGGAAAAACAATTGTTTCAGCTCGGGGCAGCCGGCACTCGATTCCCGAGCACCCCCAGGCGATGGCAATATGCAAGGTCTCATTGCGGGGGCCAGTACCGACTTACAAGCGATTTGCTGCTTCGATGCGTTGTCACACACACGGAACTACTAGTGTGGTGTACCTATCTCCTGTCGTCCGGCGGGTCCAACCCGCTCCCGAGAGCAGCCGAAAGGCGAAAGCGAAGCGGGCTAGATACCTACCTAGGTAGGTAGGTATTCGATTACTCCGTACTTCGTTGACGAGCATCATCAGAAACAGCAAGAAAAAGTTTTGGAACGTTACGCCAGGCTTCTCTTAGCCCTTGGAAAATTCCATCAGCTGTTCGCTTAAGGGATGGGATCGACGGGGCGAGGGCGGGCCGAGACCCAGCAATGGGCTGCTCGTGCCAGGGTGCACCATTATTTTGAAAAATGACGAGCTGGAATTCCAATATCAATCCCGACCTGGGACCTGGGTTTCACCCTCGACGCATCGTGGTCGATCCAAAGCGTGTCAATCGAAGATCCGGTCCTCTTCCATCTCCATCTCCACGCCGGGTGCTTTCGCGACTGGGTGCTGTGTCCTGCTGTCTTCCCATACCCGAGAGGGCGTTTACTACTATCACACAGTATACTCGCTACCCCTATCCCTATTACTTACTACCTAGTAGTCATCCCCTGGCTGTATCCGGTCCGGCGGTGCTGCCCTGGATGCCCGAGCTCGGCCGCAGCTCCATCACATCCGTATGGCCCAATCGTCTGTGTCCGGTCCGGCGTGGTGTGGCCGCGTCGACGATTCGTTCAGCCCTCACGCCGGCGACTGCCGGGGCGGCTTCGACTTCACGCTGCTGTTCGAGGAGTCCATCCTGACGCTGCTGCCCGCGGGTCTTATCCTGCTTCTGGTGCCGCCGCGCGTCTGGTTTTTGTGGAGGCGCGAGAAGAAGGTCGCGGCTGGCTACTACCTGTCGGCGGTGGTCAAGATAGTAAGTCGCAGGTTTATCTATTTACTATAGTCCTATGCATACCGCACCTACCTGTGTTTGTGGAACAAAAAGAAAAAGGAAAAAGGAAAAGAAAGACAGACAAACAGACAAATAGAAACAGAGCTCGACTAACCCCCTCCTCTTTCCTTATACACAGTCCGCATGGACCCTCCTCTTCTCCCTCCAACTAGCCTCCCTCATCCTCTGGGCAACCCCCTCGGCATCGCCCGCCCGGACACGGACCACCCTGGCGGCGGTCATCGTCGCCCCGATCTCAACCTTCGCCCTCGCTGTGCTCTCCTACGCCGAGCACAGCCGCGCCGTACGCCCATCCACGCTCATTGGCACCTTCCTGCTCGCCACACTGCTGTTCGACATCGCGCACGCCCGCACCCTGTGGTTACGCGCGTCTCTTTATTCCTCTTTTGGGGGTAGTATCAGCAATGCCATCGCCTACCTCGCCGTCGCGGCGTGTGTCGTCAAGGGCTGTGTTGTCCTGGTCCTGGAGGCGGTCGAGAAGAGGCGCGCCTCGCTGCGGGATCGGTTCCGCGAGTACCCGCCCGAGGCGACGGCCAGTATCTTTAACCGGGGGTTCTTCTGGTGGCTGAATCCGCTGTTTCGAAGGGGGTTCTTCGGCCGGGAGCTGGATGTCGATGACCTGTTTGTGTTGGACAAGCATCTGAGGGCTGAGTATTGCTTTGCGCGGTTCCAGGCTGCTTGGGCGGGTAGTGAGTATTTATTTCTATCCTTTATTTTCTTTTCTTTTTTGTTCTTTTGTGACGGTTTGATTGTTTTTTGATTTCTGTGTTTCATCTACTAGTATCTTCCTCCATCCGCCTCAATGTCTCTCCGTCCTATGTTTTCCACGACATTCTGCCTCCTTTCCCCCCCATTTGCCACGTGATGTCATCTCACGTACTGACACAAGACCGCGACAGTTAGACAAAAGGCAAAATCAACGCCAACCTCAAACTCAGCTTCACCGTCAGAGAAGCAGAAACAGACCCCCGGCCCATACGCGCTCCTGGCGGCGTCGTACCGGGTCCTGGGCTGGCCGGTGCTGCAGAGCATCCCGCCGCGGGCCTGCCTCGTGGCGCTCAACTTCTGCCAGCCGTTCCTCATCAACCATGCCATCACGCTGTCGCAGGAGGCCATCACGGACCACACGACGCAGGTCGGCTATGGCCTGATTGGGGCGTATGTGTTCGTTTATGTTGGCATTGCGGTGAGTGGCTCTCCTATTCACTCTTACGTTTCTCTTCTCTTGGCCCCTTAAGTTCTTACTAGTATCTCTCTTTTCCTCTCTACTTGTTGCGTTTCACCTAGTATTCCCTCCCAATCGTCTTCTCCTCTTCTCTCCTTTGCCCTTTTCTTTTCTTCTTTATTTTTTTTTTCTCATCCCTTTGAAAAATCTCAAAGTCCTGACATTTATGCCCCCAGCTCGCCATGGGCCAGTACCAGCACCGCACCTATCGCAGCATCACCATGCTCCGCGGCGGCCTCGTGTCCCTCATCTACCGCAAGACGGCCGCCGTCAGCCTGCGGGACGTCGACCCGGCCACGTCCATGACGCTCATGAGCGCCGACATGGAGCGCATCGTGCAGGGGTGGCAGACCATGCACGAGATCTGGGCCAATGCGGCCGAGGTTGGCATCGCCATTTACCTCTTGGAGCGCCAGCTGGGTGTGGCGTGTGTCGTGCCCGTTGCCGTGTCCATTCGTAAGTTCCCTTTTTCTTTTTTTGTTCTTTTTTCTGTCTCATCCCCCTTCCCTGTTTATTTATCCGTCATACTAACACAGACCAGTCTCCCTCCTCGGCTCCCTCTTCGCCATGAACTTCATCATGTCGCGGCAGGCGATGTGGCTCGAGGCGATCGAGAAGCGCATCTCAGCCACATCGGCCATGCTGGCGTCCATGAAGGGCGTCAAGATGTGCGGCCTGCAGGACACGCTGCTGGGCAGCCTGCAGCAGCTCCGCATCGACGAGCTGCGCATCTCCAAGCGCTTCCGCCGGCTGATCATCTGGAACATGGTGTTCGCCTACTTCACTCAGGTGTTCGCGCCTGTGCTGACTTTTACCGTCTTCTCGCTGCGCGCCCGCGGCAACGACGGCAGCACGCTTGACACCGCGCGGGTCTTCACTTCGCTGTCGCTGTTCGCGTTGCTCTCGGAGCCGCTGGCGTCGCTGGTCATGTCGCTGGCGACTTATCTTGGCGCCGTCGGCAGCTTTGTGCGCATCCAGCAGTTCCTGCAGTCCGACGAGAGGGCCGACATGCGAAACTCGCTAGTCTACAACAGCAACAGCAACAGCGATCCGGACGACCTGTCTTCCTCCTCGTCAAACGAGAAACTGCCGCGGTTCATCGACAACACCACCAACAACAACAAGACCGCCGCCCCCGACGCCATCACAGTCCGTGATGCCAACTTCGGCTGGGACGCTGACAAACCACCCATCCTGCGCGGCATCAACCTCACCGTCCCATGGCACAAGCTGACCATGGTGGTCGGCCCCGTGGGGTGCGGCAAGTCGACGCTGCTGCAGGCCGTGCTGGGCGAGGTGCCCACGCTGAATTCTTCCGGAGAAGGAGGGGGGGTGCAATTGGGATCGCTGAGCATCGCCTACTGCGCGCAGAACCCGTGGCACATGAACGGCACCGTGCGCCAAGCCATTGTCGGCTGCGAGAAGTATGACGAGAAGTGGTATACCCGGGTTGTGCAAGCGTGCGCGCTGCAGCGGGATTTCCGCGAGCTGCCCATGGGCGACGGGTCGAGGATTGGGAGTAGCGGGGTGGCGCTTAGTGGTGGGCAGAGTCAGCGGATTGTAAGCTTTATTACTTGACCTAACCAAGGAGGTTGTCAGATTGTTCTGGACTAACCGTTTTTCCTTTTCCAGGCACTAGCACGGGCCGTCTATGCCCGACGGGAGATCGTCATCTTGGACGACGTCCTCAGCGGGCTGGACAACTCGACCGAGAACCACGTCTTCCACAGCCTGCTGGGCCAGCACGGGATCCTGCGTGAGCTGCAGTCCACGGTGCTTCTTGTGTCGTCATCCGGTATGCATATCAAACCAAACCTACCTTCTCCCACTTTTTTGAAGGACGAATTCTAACCCCCAGCTCAAGCCAAACGTCTCCCCTACGCAGACCACATCGTCTGCTTCGGCGCAGACGGCGCCATCACAGCGCAGGGCACCTTCGCGGCGCTCAACGCGGCCGGCGGGTACGTGTCCTCGTTCAATCTACGCGCAGCCGACTGGGCGTATGTCCAGGACAAAGAAAACAACAACAACGGCGACGGCAATAATGATATCGGGATCGTGCACACGGTCTATGCCTCGGACAGCGAGGCGCCCAACAACATCCCCAATGGCTCGCGCTCGTCCGGCAGCAGCGAGACGGCGTGTCCGCCGGGGCGCAACAGCACCGAGGCTGCTGACACCGGCCGGCGCACGGGCGACGTGCAGATCTACCTGTACTACGTCAAGTCGGTGGGCTGGTGGGCGAGCGTGATCTTTGTGGTTGCCATTGTCGGCTTTGTGTTTTGCCTGTCGTTTCCGAGTAAGCGAACCCAAGCTCAACAGGGAGGAGAGATTCCGGGACTGTGTGCTAACTTCAGTTGTTCCTTTCTACTAGGCGTCTGGGTGCAGTGGTGGGCGGCCGACAACGAGTCGCGACCCAACGACCGACTGGGCTACTGGCTGGGCATCTATGCCATGCTTGGAGGCGTCGCCATTGTGTGTCTGTTCATCAGCTGCTGGTATGTTGGTTACTACTACAACCCCAAAACCAAAAGATCACAAAATGGAAGGCTCACCAGAAACAACACCTTGCAGGCAAATGATTGTCACCATGGTGCCACTCTCAGGAGAGAAATTCCACTTTGCCCTGCTCAAGACTGTTCTCAGCGCCCCGTTGTCCTTCTTCGTCAACACCGACTCCGGAGAAACCATCAACCGGTTCAGCCAGGACCTGCAGCTGATCGACATGGAGCTGCCCACGGCGGCGCTCAACACCTTCGCCACCTTCGTGCTGTGCATCGCCCAGATGGCCCTGATCGGCGTCGGGTCCCGCTACGCGGCCATCTCGTTCCCCGTCGTGCTCGCCGCGCTGTACCTGATCCAGAAGGTCTACCTGCATACGTCGCGGCAGCTGCGCCTGCTGGACCTCGAGACCAAGGCGCCGCTCTACTCGCTCTTCGAGGAGTCCCTCGCCGGGCTGGCCACCGTCCGCGCTTTCGGCTGGCAGCGCGCGCTGGAGGAGCGGAACCACGCGCTGCTGGACCGGTCGCAGCGGCCCTTCTACCTACTGTTCGCCGTGCAGCGCTGGCTGACGCTGGTGCTGGACCTGCTCGTGGCCGCCGTGGCCGTGCTGCTGATCGTGCTGGTGGTGGCCCTGCGCGGCACCGTGGCCGCCGGCGGCGTCGGCCTCGCCCTGCTGAACGTCATCCAGTTCAGCCAGAACATCAAGCTGCTGGTCACCTTCTGGACCCAGCTCGAGACCCACATCGGGTCCGTCGCCCGCATCAAGGCCTTCACCGAGACCGCCGTGGCCGAGGACCAGCCCGAGGAGAAGCAGCTGCCTCCCCCCGGCTGGCCTTCCACGGGCGCCATCGAGTTCGACAATCTCTCTGCCACCTATAAGTGAGCAACCCCCTTCTTTCTTTCTTCCACATAACCAGCACCCACACCGACTCCCTCAAATACTACTACCCTAGGTAGGCAAGGTAACTAACGCTCTCATGAAATTCTTCCCTCAAGCCGGGACGACCTAGTCCTGCACTCCGTCTCCCTGACCATCCAACCAGGAGAGAAAATCGCGGTCTGCGGCCGGACGGGCTCCGGCAAGACCTCGCTGATCATGTCACTCTTCCGGCTCGTCGACCTGCAGCCGGGCTCGCACATCCGCGTGGACGGGATCGACATCGCCACGCTCCCGCGCCAGGAGGTGCGCCGGCGCATCGTCGCCGTGCCGCAGCATCCCTTTTTGCTGAAAGGGTCGGTCCGCCTCAACGCTGACCCGCTCGGCGGTGCGTCTGATGACGACATCCTCGCGGCCCTGCAGTGCGTGCAGGTTAAGGATATGGTGGATAAGGTTGCCGGTGGGCTAGATGCGGATATTGAGATGCTTAACTTGTCGGCGGGGCAGAAACAGCTGTTTTGTCTTGCGCGTGCCATGCTGAGGCCGGGGTGTATCCTTGTTTTGGATGAGGCGACGAGCAGGTGCGTTCTTCTTTTCCTCTTCTTTCCTCTCCCTCAAGAAAGAAGAACCCCCTTGCTAACTTGAAATACTCCATGCAAAAACAGCATCGACGCAAAGACAGAAGAGGTCATGCAGCGGCTGATCCGCCGCAAGTTCGCCGGCCACACCATCATCGCCGTGGCCCACCGCATCGAGACCATCATGGACTTCGACAAGGTGGCCGTGCTCGACGCTGGGCGCCTGGTCGAGTTCGATAGCCCCTACGCGCTGCTAGACAAGCCCGGCTCGGCCTTCGCGCGGCTGTACAATGCCGCGCTGGTCGAGGAGGAGGAAGCGGAGGAGGTGGTAGAGGATATGGATTCCTTGAGCGTGGGTAATGATATTAGCGCTGGGAAGGGATTTAAAAGCGGGTGAACCTCATTAGTGGTAGTAGTATTAGTTGTAGTTCATTCCATTCTCTTTCTGGTAATACAATAGACCATGCTTGTTGACCTTCTTTACCCCTTAGCTTATAAAATGTCTTGTTTGATGTCTCGGGGCTTGGAGCCCAGTGCTCACCTACCGGGAAAGTTGTGCCGTTCCGGTTGATGGTGATTTCTTACTGTAAAGTCGGTTGCTGCTGAAGTGTAGCAGCAGCCTGGCTCCTCGTGGTCATTCGAGTCATCTGCGTCTTACTTTTATCCCATTTCTGAACGACGATCCGTTGCTCGTTGTCGAGTAGTAGTCTGATTCGCTCGCCGCTTGCCTCCTTGCCCCTTTTGATTGCAACTTCGATTCAGAAAGTTCGTGTGTTCCACGTCTCGTCGCTCCCCAACTAATTACCTTGTCCCAACTGTGTTGTTGCATACATCTTGCCCCTACTGATATCAACGCTATCCTCGGGGCGACCCACGAATTGGCGCAGGATGGCGAAGGTGACGGTCTGCCTGGTGGACGGGGCTGACCCAGCTCATCTTTGGCGACCTCACATTGTCCGTGAGGAATAGGAGCATCCCGTTGTCTGCATGAGGGTCGGCAGGGACGATCGGACGCTTATGCTTCCTCCGCTGGTGTTCCGGGTCACAAACGGCGAGGTCCCGCCCATTGAGAAAGCTGATGAGCTTCGGCTCGTCCCTCGTGTTCATGTTGCAAAGCCGCGGCACTGAAGCATTCTTCACGCGCCTTCAATGCGCTGCCTGCATAATTGTCAGCGCTCAACTCGACATAAGTGCAGGATTGGCAGGATTAGTCCGATTTGTACTTGGGAATGAATGCTGGCTGGGATTCTGAGACTCTAGCTTGGTTGTTTCGATGCTACTGTTGCGAAGATACCCGAGGGGTCGGAATTTTCGGCGACAGGACCAAACGTAAGATGAAAATCAAGATCAATTTCGTTGAAGAGAATTGGCATCAAGTAACTGTAAGGAGGATGTGACAGGATCGAACGCTGTCCTTCGTAATTTGAACGATGGCCGGTACTCGAGGTTGGCTTAAGGGGGAGCGAGATGGAGTCGGAGTAGCACCCAGCTGATAAAGCGTCTCGAGAGGGGTTCGATAACGGTGAAGTGGAACGCAACCATGGCCACGGCATCGTCGTCGGTGAGTGCCTCGTCCGCGATTGAATATGTTGCCGAAGAGCGTTTGTCTTGGTACGGCTTCAGGAATTGGATGACTGACTCCTTGGTGCGCCTGGCCGAGGAGTCCGGGCCGGATCGATAGGCGGCACATGCATCGACGGTGGCGCTACGCAGCGTCTTCCACAGGCACCCGCAGAGCAATGACCGCCGGTCCAGGAGGAACTGCTGGTGAAAGGTTGGAGATGCATGGACCAAGGCCCTTAGGCTTTCGTAGTCGAGGGCACTGAGAATCTCGCGGCGTATTTCGGCGGGGAGGTTCTCTAGCGGCGCGTTGACTTGGGTGACTGTTGGTGGAGGTCTTATTGCTTGAACTGGGATTCCGGAAGGCGCCGCGTCGCGTGAGGCCGCAGTTGGCTTGGATGTGAACTTGGAAGATAGCCTGGTATAGAATTTGGAGAGAAGCCGCCGGAGCTTCCCCATCTTCGAACTAGGTGAGCCTTCAAAGTTCGAACTGCAATACGTGTCATATAAGGAGTGGGTCGGAGATGGAAAGTGACGTTTGTGAAGGAAATAGGTAAGGTGGTGATGGGTCAGGTGACTAGTAGCAGGACCCATGACTCGGGGGTGAGTCGCAGGGTGTACCGTGTAATTTGCGAGGCTGGCTCGTCACACTAAACAGCATATATGTCTTGGGCAGCAATATTTGGCAAGCTGAAGTATCGAAGGCACTCGCCTTGGAGTCGCTGCGATAAGCTCCTGGTATGTTAGAGGTGTACTTCACCACTTTGCTGGACATGCATGTAGAAACCCAGGTAGGCACACACAGACAAAGTTGCAGCTTGCAAGTTGACAAGGAACCAACACGACATCGGATTGTTGTGGGGTCCGGGTCTATTAAACTGCCCGGTGGCAACTGCAGGCTTGATGGTCCGAACGCTCCAGTTGCAAAGTGCGTTTAACGTTAACTCTTTTATTAACGTTAATTACCGCACTGTGTGGCTGCGCCTATAATAATACTGTAATAATAATAATAAACAATACTGTAAGGTACGAATGGAGCCAACAACATCCCATCTTTTCTATCACGCACGCAGATAGAGCTATCGAGATTGCCATCCATTTGGCTACCACGTAGACTACGCCAATTCAATTGCTTTCTTGGCCATCTGGATCGCTGGAATTCAATCATCAAACCCCTCTCTTCTGCTCCGGTTTATGTAAGGACTGTAAGGTCCCTTACCCGTGACCGAACTTGTGTTTGTTTGTTTCTTCATCATTAGCGTTCGGTGCCGGCTCTGGGCCAGCAGCACATCAGAGCCATCGATATCTTCCAACAGACGCCGTGCAGAACACCTGCACGTCGGCTGAGAGGTCTCTCGTTTCAAAACCGGCTCCATCGTCCAATCCTGGGTCCGTTAAGCCTTCGCACCTGGCTTGACCCCTCACGGCCTGGTCCCCATGGTCTGGCTGGATGCAGGGTTGCCGCGAAGCCCGGCACTGCGCCCGAGGTGGGACGCTACCAATACCAACACATCATCAAGCGGCAACGAACTGAGACATGCGCCAATTTGGGAGCGAGCGTCAGCGAGTCGCGCCGTCGGCACCAGTAGGCTGTGCCGTTTTGACCCGGGCCCGCCTGGACCGAATATATCATGGAAGAAGGTCGTGGTGAGGTCTTCGACTGGAGCAATCAAGCGCGGATATATAAATCCCCTTTTCTTCCTCTCTCCTCGGAATGCTCTTCTTAAATCTCGATATAGATATTATCATCTCCGCCTCCGAAAGTCTAGATTGAAGGCCTTATAGGATTTGTATCGATTCTTGTTCAATTTTCAGTATCAGCCTTTCTCGACATCCTTCTAGCTTCGTGATCCCACCTATTTTTGCGCTATGTGCAACTTGTGCCCCAGCGGTGGATTCCCGATGTCCAACTGCTTGGACAAAAGGTCCTCTTCAGCCCCGAGCCCACCGCGGGCTCCTCGCTCGGTAAGCGCACCGTGATGTGGCAAAGGCTCACGGCTGCGACGGCGCGTCCGCAACCCCGACTCCCGGGCCTGGCGAGACCGGAGCCAGCGCCACGCTTGCCCGCTCAGCCACTAGGGCCTCTGCAAGCTCCGCTATCTCAACGGCAACGGACGAATCGGTCAAGACTCTCAACACACTTGCCAACATCATCAGCCGTGACCTCCACAGCCTTGACGCGCTTGCCAAGGAACTCAAGACGTGGGCTGAGCAGATTGACCCGGCCGTCTACGCGCAGAAGCAGATAGGCGACCTTGCCGACTGGCCACCCGACGTCAAGAAGGCCTACAAAGATTACAAGGCTGCGGTGGATAGGCACCATGTAGCCAAGGCCGCCTATGATGCTTACTTGGCGACTAATCGCCAAGTCACGAACCCCGAGAGGCCCGAGATGTTCCAGAGACGCGCAGAGCTCGCAATTAAATGGGGCAAGGCGGCCTGCAGGTACGCAGTGCACCCTTTCTTTCCACTTCCCCTTCTGCTTTTTATTCATATCTCTTCCTCCTTTCCTCCTCTTCCTCCTTTTGCACCCCTGCCTTTCTAGTTCTGTTGAATCTATCAGGCTATACACTGGTGGACTCCATTTGGCTGACTAGAGGACCTGTTCCTGATGTCTAGAGCTGCAAGAAACGAATTCTCTTCGTCGAATCATGCGGCCGGTACGCATATCATGATATACCGAGTGTCTTAAGGCACCTCAATCAGGGTGAAACTGTAGGCAAAAGCAGCAGGAATGCTATTAAACAGGCAAGGTCCAGCATCGAAGGTGAATTTGGGACACCAGTAGATCGGCGATGGGGGTGTGGTTGCTGACCGAACCTGTTCCCAGAGGTCTTCTTAGCGCTCGGTCGCCAGGCCCCCGGCAATGAGTTTTTTGACCAACTTCCATACTACCAACGTCACTGAAACCCATCGATGCTCCACCCTCACGGTTTTGGAAGGCAGCGCCTGGTTGAGAGAACCGAGGGGTAGCGTCGGCGAGGATGCTGACTTTCGGCCTGTTTCCCTTTCATTTTAGGTATAAGAAGAATGGGCCAAGGAGCAGAATGATGCCAGGGTCGGCGAGGGCAGCAACCAGGAGAAAAGGATTCGGCCGACCAGCCTCAGCCTCGGGGGAGGAGGAAGCTTTCGGACGCTGCGTTGGCGGCTGCAAAACAAGGGTGCTAAGAGAAGAGACCGGGGAGAGAAGGCCATAGACCGGGAGAAAAAGGCGAGGAAGGGGGCAAGGAAGGTCAGAAAGTAGGAATTAGGGAGCGGGCTACTCACTGTGGTAGCACTCCCTCCTGGTTAAGCCCCTAGTAGGTAGTAAGTAATCATATCGACGAGGAGAGAAGTTAGGAACAGCTTGATTCTTGACTCTTGCTTCTATTCCTGTGATGCCATGCCCGATACCAAGATTGCTGTTGCAGAACAGCAATGTAAGCGCGGGGCGGATTTAGCGGGGTGAGGCGGTTCAGCTGTTGCTATTTCCGGCGAGCTGTCAGGGGCAGACTGCCCCAGAGATCTGCCGCTGGGCCCCCTGCTTACTTCTTGGCGCGGGGCAACATTTGTCCCACCTCACTCTTCCAGAATGCCAGAACTGAGCATGGAACGTCTACACGAAAGCAATGAACTTATTATGAGTATACCGCATTGAAAAGAGTGTGGGGTCGACCGCCGTATCCATATCTGCAAAAGAACCCTTGCTGCTTCCTGCGAGATTCACCGAACCGCCAGGTGGTAGCCACTTTCGTCGGGTAAGCAATACTCTGATAACATGGCAGGATTCTAATTTTGTATCGAGCGCAATGGATAGACTCCAGGCATGGTGGCAGACGTACCTGGTGAAGCGCTCAAAGCCATGGTCAGACAGGGACGGCGTCGGGGAGATGTAGCAATGGAGTCCAGCGCAGGGAGACGAAGCCCGACCACCATGTCGAAGAGACGGAACGTGTGTCTCTATAAGAGAGTCAACTCGTCCGTCGTGTCTCAAACAATCACCAACCACAACATCAGCAGCTCATCACCAGTCAACCCCGACCTCCGACCTGGTCTGGTGCCCCTCCACTCAACCAAAATACTGCCCACGGAATTCTCGGACTGCTCGCCTTCAGATTCAACTGGCAACCTCCAACCCAGAACTTGAGCTCTTTCTACCTGTACTATTTTCCAATCAACATGAAACTCCAAGTCGTCACTGCCGCCGCCGCTCTGCTCGTGGCCTCTGTCGCGGCCCTCCCCGCCCCTGTCCCCATCGACAACAACCACGGCCTCCTCCCAGACACGGACGACTGGGTTGACGATGACGGCGTCGTTGAGGTTCGCGACACGGAAGCTGTTGTCGCCGACGTGCTCGAAGCCCGCGAGGTGATTGCGGCGCGGGATGTGGACGCCGACGATGATGATGTTGATGATGATGTTATTGTCACCATTGAGGTCGTTGAGGCCCGAGACAATCATGCCACTGAGGTCGATGAGACGGGCAATGATGTCGGGGAGGGAATTGCTGCGAGGGACGCTGATGATGACGATGATGGTATTGTCGTTACGATCGAGGATGGGCTGGAGACCCCTGATGAGCACGTCCCGGAGGCCGACGATGTCGACGATCTGGATGAGGCTCATATCAGCGAGACGATCACTGCTCGGGACGTGGAGGGTGGTGAAGATAACATTGATGTAACGATTGAGAAGGGGTTTGGAAGCCATGACGAGCACGCCTCGGAGGTCGAGGAAGTCGACGAGCTGGACGAAACTCATGCCAGCGAGACGATCACCGCACGGGATGTGGATGATGAGGGTGATGACATTGATGTGACGATTGAAGAGGGACTTGAAGCCCGTGACGATCTCGCCTCCGAAGTGGATGAGGTTGAAGAGGGGGATGAAGTGGATGTGGACGTCACCGAGGCGATCGTCTCTCGGGATGTGGAAGATGAGGATGTCACCGCCACCATCGAGGTGCTGGAGACCCGCGACGCTGACATGGCTGACGACGCTGACGCCGACAACAATACCGAGGATGCCCCGTCCGCGGTTGAGGCGCGCAAGGTACAGATCGACGACGCAGCCGCCAACTTCAACTTCACCTCCGACTTTGGCTTTGCGCTGGACCGCCTGCTGGCCGAGATCGAGTCGATCCCCGACGACGTGCTGGCCGCCGGCGACGAGGCGCTGCACAAGTGGCTCGTCGAGCACGGCGAGCGCGCGGGTGACGACAACAGCGCGACCCTCAAGCGCGATGAGGACTCGTCCGACGACGCCGCCGTCCTCCTCCTCGAGCGCGGCGAGCTTCTGGCCCGGGCGTCGTGGTGGAAGGTCACCAAGTGCGTCGCCGCCATCGTCCAGCTGCTCGCCACCACCGCCGTGCCCGCCGCCAAGCTGCTCCGCATCAAGAAGTACATCGAGGCCCTCGGCGGCGTCAAGCAGGCCGTGCAGCTCCTCCTCGGCGCCACCACCAAGGCCGAGAAGCTCAGGGCCGGCGGCGAGGCCCTCGTCGCGCTGTCAGCGGAACTGCTTGGCATCAGCACCGTTAAGAATAACTGCTTCTAATCCAAAGGATGCGGCCGGGAAGGCGGGTGAGAAGAAATGGAGACATGTATGGAGTTGTTGGCTACAGTTTGGTGATGTTTGCTCTGCCTTTCTGTGAGGAATCGGGCCCGGTTTCTTCGCTGTAGATAGTTAGTTATCATGCCAGACTGCTTGTTCCTTTGCAAATATCAATCTGTACATGCTTTCGACTCGCGCGTCCTTGTGTGGTAGAGCAGTCTGGAAAAAGGCTGCGCAAGGATACAGTATGCACGACTTACCCGACTGTGGAGTCACAAGTATGATGAACCTCTCATTATTGCTTCCTGCTCTGCATTTCGATGGAATTTACTTCGGTCTGGTTTTGGTATGCTTGACGTCTTGTATTGCCGTATTAACTGCTTCATCTGACATTTGGGTGCAGGTAGAACTGCGTTCTTGCCCCCACAAACTCAATTTCCTGAACCGACTCGAGCCACACCCAGAATCTGGATTCTAACCAAATGCCAGAAGTCTAGAACAACAAAGCTTCTAAAGCGGAAACTGTAATCTACTTCAGTAACTCAGCATCGAAAACAACTACCTCATCACGGACAATTCTCATTGAGCTCTCTGCTCCTGTTCATCCCCCAGGCCAACCCCGGCACCTGCGCGAACAGCACATCCAGCGTGGTAAGTCAAGTCTGCTGGGTCAAGCCTGTTTTCATGTGTCGTGTGACTAACTGAAGACTAGATATTCGACACATCGACCTTTCCCGCACGATTCCAACGTCGCAAGCAACAATGCTGAGTCTGGGTTCTATATCCGATCTCCTCAAGCGGTCACCCAGACAGCGAAACGCGGCAAACGATGTCGCACCGGAGCGTCGGGACCAGCCGAATATCAACCCCGCCGACATCAGCATCGATGCAACAAGCGGCGACGAAAGCAGTTTGAACAAACAGTCGCCGCTGGACCACTCAGGCTCGCCGACTTCCGAGTCGACTGCCAGCGCACTCGAGGCACTCCCAGCCGAGCTGCGAAACCAAATTCTCTCCTCGGTCGCTGACATTGGAGTTGAGGAGCTGAGGGCGCTGGTGCGCGCATCACCCGTGTTCCATGAACACTACCGACTGGACCGCAAAGCCCTTCTCAGTCGAGCTCTCAAGTCCTCCCTTGGCAACCAGCTTGTGGATGCCTACGCCGTGCATACGTCTGTTTCACTTCCCACAAGGCGCAGAAAAAATATCAGCCTGGAAGATCTGTCGCTTTACATGGACAAGTATCACAGCCTGCGCAACTTATCCCCCGATCAGCTCCTGTCAGAGATCAACATGGACGAGGCGGATGCCATTGCCATGGCGTCCTTCCACCTTTCTATTATCTGTCCGGTTGTGGAACAGTGCGCCGTCCTCTTCCTCCAGCATCTGGATCCCTCACTTCATCTCGACAGTCTCTCCTGGACGAAGCGGGCGCGCCTCCTCCGTGCTCTATACCGTTTCGAGCTCTGCCGTAACCTCCTACGGTACGTGTGCGGGGAGGATTACGAGATTTTAGACGTGTTCTTCTGCAAGCTCCACCCCTGGGAGATTGAAGAGATTGACTGTATTTGTTCCTTGTGAAAGAGAGGTACGGTCGAGTGTGCGACATCCTGCGATCCATTGACGAAATGGAGTCCTTGGACCTCACTGATGGCCGTGAGTATCCTCTGAGGCAACAACTGTTGTCCATCCTCTAACACATCGGTGTAGCAGACGAATGCGAGAACGCGATACAAGGAACGGCATCACGAGGCCTGTCACTGTTCGTAGAGGTCTGGAAATTTTCCAATGCCGTGACTTCGAACATCTGCTTGAGACAATCCGGCTGTACATCGTGAATACATGGTTTTTCATCGACCAGTTTTTCAGGATGGATTGTCAGGGTAACAGGCGTGAATACTATCCGCCCTCAGAAGAGGACCGGGCCGCGGACACGCGCGAAAGGCTTCCCTTCCTGTGCGACAGGGAAGACGCGCCTCCGTCGGTATGGGTCACCTTAGGTGAAGGCAGGTATAAGAATGTGTACGGCGAGTATATTGATAGATCCATCAAGGAGCGGGGCATATGTATTTTGGGACGACGGTCGTCTGGAGAAAACTGGAGGCAGGGACAGGGTGGTGCATGCGCGGCACTTGTTTCGGACTCGTCAATTTCTATGAGACACTGGTGGATTTAAAGAACGAACGAAATGCTCAGATGGCCTGAGATAGCCTGTAGGACATCGATCAATTGATAAACCCGATGTGCTCAACGGCAGCATATGACGGTGCTCGCCGCCATACCCTTCCTCGCGAGGGCCTTGCCATGCTGATGGTGGGAACCGGATTGGTGTTCCCCGGAAGCCGTCCTCTCGACCCCAGAAAAAGCCCAGCCCACCCCAAGTCGGCCGCACCTGCCAACCAATCCCATTCCCCGCAGTCATGTGTCTTCGGCACTAGGCTAAAATGGGAAGACGGTCCCAAGGTTCATCCCAAGCCCTCCTCACACCCCCTCTCGTTCCCGCTCCTCATTTCCTCCCTTTCTGTTTCAATCCCAACCGCCCACCATCGTCTAACTCCCTCACCCATCAATTCCATCAACAACCTCCCAAAATGATCGCCTCAAGCCGGTTGCCTGGCGTCGTCGCCCGCCTGGGTATGAAGCAGCCCGTTCGTTTTATGTCAATGGCGCAAGGACAGGGTACGTTCTCCACTGAGTGTGGGCCGCTCGTCAGCTCGCTCCACCGCGGCCACGATCCCACGATCGCTGACCAGGCCATCTCAACATTAGCTCGCGTCCCCAGCTCCATCATCTCCACCATCTCCACCGCTCGCCAGGCGACCGGACGCAATGGCCTGCTTCTCAACGGCGGCCGCAACACATTCGCTTCCACCATGATGCGCGGTGCGATGCAGCGCCGCGGCGTAGTCGTCGAGTCGACCGCCGCTGCCCTGATTACCGCTGCCAAGGTGCACGGTGCTGGAGCCGCCACGATCGGTCTCGCGGGTGCCGGTGTCGGGATTGGCACCGTCTTTGGCGCGCTCATCAATGGCGTCGCTCGCAATCCGTCCATGAGAGGTAAGAATTGATGGCGGCAATCCGCCGCATCCTCAGCCCCCATTGCACGCAAAGGAATTGACGGGGACTGACGAATCCTTGGCAAATTGCAGGCCAGCTTTTCTCGTACGCCGTTCTGGGCTTTGCCTTCGCCGAAGCTACCGGGCTGTTCGCCCTCATGGTTGCCTTCCTCCTTCTCTACGCCTACTAGACAGGGGCTGCGTCCCTCGCGGTTGCATCTCGCATTCATCAAACAAGAAAGGTCAAAAGGGTGGCAGACATAGCCGGCCCACCTGGAATCCGGGGAAGTGGGGACAAAAGCCGTTGAACCACGCGAGCCGACTGCCGTTTTAGCGCTGGTCCACCCACGCTCCAGTTGGAACCGGCCGGGGCCCCTGGCAAAGTTTCGCGCGATGTTGATTGCAGATGGACCAGCCGGTGTAATTTTAGATGGTGGATTTGGACCCTATTTCTATTGCTCCCGCAAGTCCGCCACTTCTTGCTCAGACAATAAACCATCTGTACCTTCTTTTTATTATGGCCCTGTCGAGATTTGACGCGGGAGCGGACATTTTCTCTGTGGATCCATGTCCGCTTTCCGAGTCTAAATCTCTGCACCAAGCATCCGGTGGCCACTCGTCGACCCCACGCGTCTGCCGCTGGCAACATCTACCAATATGACATCGGGTTAAAGCTGGAGACTGAAGCTGCATACTTAGTAATCAGGCAAGGATTAAGCTGTCAGTCACGCTCGGTGCTTTGTTATGCGGGCTGCGGGAAGATTATGCGGCATTTTGTTGAGGTTAAGGAGCATTCTTAGACCTTGCGGATACGTGCGGCTTAGGTCACCCGTCTTCTCCCTCGCCCTTTCACTCTATTGGATGCTCCCATTAGCTAAGCTGCATGGTCCATGCCATAATGCAACCGAGACGGTATTCATATATCTACGACATGAACTTCACCTCTGGCGGCTGGGTCAAAAGAAAGCCATCGCCCGACTTGCATCATAGCCGACATAGCGTTTAGATGCAGACGCCGTCCCTTTCATGGGGAGCCAAAGACAGCCACTGAGAGTCCACAAGTTGAAAGACTCTGCTTTGACAAAGCTAAAGCCAGAATCATCGGGCATGCTGGTCAGGGTGCGTCACCCTATCCCTCTGCCCTTGAGTGATAAAGCGTTATTTGCATTGCTTGCTTGTGATCTATCATCTATGACACCCGCAATCTAGAAGATGTTTCTTACATATAGGTAGCGTCGTTTTATCTGTAGTTATGCCCTGACCAGACCCTGTTCTTTGATGCCGGTTTGATGCCACGGCTTCACCGGATCAGACAGGGAGAAAGTGGGGCCGGGTCCCTGTTATCACACCCTACAACTAGCACGATTGTCGTCAACCTTGAGCTCCTCATAGGATTACCACGACAAGGTCGCTATGAACCACAACATGCTGCTCAGTGCTCACCGGTATAGCGTAAGGCTTTGAGCGCAACCGTACTCCCACTGTTGAGCAGCTACACGGACTTTGCCGCACTCGACACAACTTCAACTAAGTACGTATCCCACCAACATTCCCGCCGAGACTTAGCTAACGTGCCTTCCGAGCGGGTGGTGAGCGGTAGACTCCTTGGCCTGCGGATCACTTCGGCAGCATCTCTCTTCCGAATAACTTCACGACCGGTTGTGCGGCATTCTACCACCGCCAGATCCCCAGCAACACCTGGGTGCGGCCCGCTCCGCAACGCTGATATTTCCCAGATATAAGGTATTCGGACGCACCCCCTTTCTATTCCGAAGGCTTCAGGTCTATTCGGCGACGCACTGTAGTACGGAAGAAGCGGGTCCCGCTGTCGAATAGACAATGTGGCTTCACGTGCATTAATGGTGTGAAGACTGATATTATGTGCCCGCTGTGCTCGCCAGACACGCTCCGTGAGACCCGCTCCGTGAGACCCGCTCCGTGAGACCCGCTCCGTGAGACCCGCTTCCCGGTCCGGAGTCCTATAAATTCCTCCACCGCCGCAGCCGATATTTCGCTTTTTTCTTTCTCTCGCGCGCAACATCTTCACACTCTTCACCCTTCGCCGCACCATCTTCGCCCTCTTCGTTCCACGCGCCTCCGTCGGTCCTCTGCGCTCCGGCTGCCCTCGTTGCCTTCGTTTTTCCCCGTCCGGTTCTGCTGTCGTTGCGCGCGCCGTCGTTCGGTGTTCGTCCTCAGCCCTCCGGCCGTCCCACCCGCTTGTGCCCTCCCCTCCCCCTTCCTTCTTTTTCCGCCGTGCCCGTCGCCAACAGCATGGCGACCGTTACCGCCCTCCTTGAGCTCCCCGACGCGGTGCTGGTGCAAATCTGCTCGCAGTTCTGCCCGCACTGCGCTGGGGAGGACTGCCTCGACGGCTTCGAGCTGCCGGAGCGGTTCCGGGGCCCGGGGTACTTCGGTACCTTGGCCGCCCTGGCCCGGGTCAACGTGCGGATGGCCCGCCTGGTGCAGCAGGTGCGCCTCCACGTCGTGTGCGGCCGCCGCTCCGGCTGGACCTACTGCCTCTCCCGCCTCGTCCGCATCTTGCTGGAGAAACCCGAGCTCGCGGAGCACATCCGCGTCATCCGGCTTGGTCACCGTGACGGTGACCAGCAGTTCGTGGGGTGCTTCTCCCCGCGCCAGGTCCAGACGATGGCGGCGCTTGGGGTGGCCTCGGCCGTCTACGGCCAGGGCTACGCTGCGCTGGCAAAGTTCGAGGGCCTCGAGGGCACGGAGGACACCTTGTTCTTCCGTCACGCCCAGGGCCTCCTACACGCCTATGGCGGGGATGACCGCTGTCCCGGGAGCGCCCCCTTCGCCAAAGTAAGTCCTCATGTTGTCCTGATCCTGCTCCCACTAGCGCTAATATTTCATGATCAGGAGATGTTCCCTGTCGCCCGCTTCAACGCCTTCGTGCTGTTGAAGCTGGCGAGGAAGGCGACGGCCGTCGCCATGCTGAGCGAGTGGCCGTTCGTTCTGTTTCCCGCGACCAAGCCGACCCCGCGGATCCAGGTCAAGGGCGCCACCCCCCAACCGCCCACCAACACCGTCGACCTCGGCCGCCTCCCCCAAATCGTCGAGATGCGCCTGGACACCGACAGCCCGTACTTGGGCACGCTCGGAGCTCAGTCCGGTCATGGCTATGTGGAGACCGGCCCCCGTGCTCGGCCAGCGTGGTACAAAGTCGACCTCGCCAAGGTCGTCGGCTTGCTCGTCCGGGTGCCGAACCTCCGCATCCTCCGACTCCGCGGAGTCGATGCCGGCCCTAGCGCCAGCGCCATCTTTGCTTGGGGTCGCCTTGCCGTGACCGGATCGACGCTCGCCAACCTCACCACGCTCGATCTCGTCTCCATCAACCGCGACGCCCTGTGCGACATCATCCGGTGCTGCTCGCCCCGCAGCCTTCGCCACGTATCCTTCCAAATCGCCCACGGCGCAGAGGGCGACGCCCGGCCGGGGGACGAGGTCAAAGGGACCACAGTCCTCGCGCTGCTCGACGAATTCGACCTCGCCGAGAACCTGCGCACGTTGCGCATTGACACGGCCCACAACTACCTGTTCAAGGATGGCATCCGCGCGCAGAGCCACGACGACATCCGGGACGACGGATTCCGGACTGTCGAGTCCCTGCGAGACCTGGCCTCGCTCCGCCACCTGTCCCTCTCGGCCGACAATATCTACTTCCCTTCCCTGTACCCGCGCGTGCTGCTGCGAGACAAGCACACGGATGGCAAGAGCCACAGGGATGGCGAGCGCCTGCTCACCCTGCTGCCTTCGAACATTGAGACCCTGGAAATCACGGGGATTTATGCCATGCATGTGAAGGACATGCGCATGTTGGCCCGCGCGTGCGGCGATGACGACCATTACAATGATGAGGATAACTGGTCGGACGATGAGGGAGATGATATCAGCGACGAACCATACTCCCCCATGTCCGTGGACTCGGCCATCATCACTGGTACCGCATCATCATCACCCGCGAATGCTCGTTCTTCAACCGATGCAGTCGAGTACCACGACAATAACAACAGCGACTCCGACATGGACATAGAATCACCCTCGTCCTCCTCTTTCGACCAGCGGCCTCACATCAGATTCCCCAACCTCAAGCGCGTCATCCTCCGCGCAGGCGGTATCACCGACTCACTGCATCGTACCCCCTGGCCGTTCCCGGGCGAGGATCCCGACAACGACACCCTCAGCGAGGTGACACGTGCGCAGTGGGAGAATCTGGCAGACAATGCCAAGGCGCAGGGCGCCGAGTACGACAGCGCGATTAAGAAGCTGTTCGCGGCGCGCGGGGTCGAGTACGAGTTTGACGAGCCGGAGTTTTATTTCGCGGAGTACACCGCCGATTACACGGAGTCTCCATGGGACTATCATTCATGATTGGACGGGATGGGGGAGATTTGATGCTTTAGGTTGGGGTTCTGGCTGGTGGTTTGGAGACTGGTGGATCAGGCCCTCAGGGTTCATCACTTGAGTCTCTCGAGTTCTTCCTCTCTTGTCGGTTTGCGCGTTTCGGTTTCTTTTATTTCGTTTCTTCCTCTGCCTCGTGGTCATGGGATGGTTATTGGCCAGGTTTTATCGGCGGCGTTGGGGACGGGTTTCGCGGTCTCGAGTCCACTGCATTTTCCTTATTTTCATTTCTGACGGTACGGGACCGAGGATGAGAGCCTGATCTCCTTTTCAGGCGGCAATGGCTCAACGGTCTTCGTTTTGGTGTGGTAACCTTTCACTTTGAGGGGATTGCACCGTGGTGACGACGCTGCCTTTTTGCGATTTCAGTTCGACGAGTGACAAAGTCCTGGTCTAGCAGCTTAGGATTCATTTGGCTCGACCATCTGATTCATTGCTTAAGGACAGTGGCAATCAACAGGTTTTCAGAATCCAAAGTGCCACCATCAGGTTCGACATGTGTCATGTGAACGCCGCTTGATGGTCATGCGAGTGGTTCGGCAAAAGGACGGTGTGGGAAGGTGCGAAGGGGTAAGGTACATAAGGAAGAACCTGGGCAGCCTGAGGTGGGACGGGCCCGACGGGGGATTCCACCACCGATGTGACATGCCACTGCGGTTCTTATCTCTTCCTCAGCCTCATCTTCTTGAGTGATTTATTTGCGGAGACCGGTAAGGGAACGGGTAAGTCCGGACTGAATGAGCATTCTGCGCAATGAATAAGCTTGCGAAAAAGGAGACCCAACCCGGCAACCCGATGCCAAGAAGTGACGAAGATCCCACCTGACTTCAAGTTGGCAATGAAGAGCTGGATCTCAGGACATCTGCATATTTGTCAAGCACCGTTGAGATTGCGCCCACCGCACTCTGTATATCCTTTCAACGTCGGTCGGTTGTTAAGGCATGTTTGAGGATGTGTGGGTCTTTGTTTACCGGCCCCCTGAACTGTACATATCTCAGGCGTGGCATACAAATTGATCTCACAATTGTTTGGTGCTATCCATTTCAATATTTACTTGCCGCTGAACCGTCTCTCGCTTCTTTAATTTTGAATTATTGGCGGGGTATTTGAGTATTCTGCTACTTTCCGCCGTACACTTTTCAACATCTCACCGATCTCGATTTTTCAACCCTTCCACCCCATTTTTCCCCCACCAAGAGGCACACTGCCTTTCATCTGCAACATCGTGTGGCCGTTGTACATCACCTCTATGCTCTGTTTATTGTGACAGGGCAGCAAGAAAGCAAGGTACCGTCAGAATCGTAACGAGAGCTTCACCAAAGTTGCTAATCAGGTTCTTGCTCAGGATTTGTGGCCATTCCTCAACGAACGAATCTCTCATCTCGACGAACAGAAAATGACGACCCAGGATCCAGGCCAAGGCGATCCCTTGGAGAAGTTTTTTCCTAGTCTTCCGATCCTAAATGCCCGGACGGAGCTAGATCAGGTCCTTCTTCCATGCATTCATGACAAAGTGGTCGACTTCCTCAAGGAAGTCATGCATCATATGCATGTCCCTAATTCCTCAATGGATGCGAGCTTCCGCCGTTTTGACTTAATGGATGAGGATTGCAAACTTTTTCTCCAGCATGTATCGGATGCTGTGGGCCATGGAGTAGAACGGCCTCATCTGCTTGTCAGCGCAATTGCCCATTTGGCGGTTAAGGCCTCGATTCGCACAGATGACCATAGCGCCAAGGCCAAATACCTTCGACATTTTCGCTGGGTAGCGATGGGCAAGAAAGATGAGGAGTCGCCGTACGAGAAGCAGCAGACCGCGAATGAAGTCGACCACGCTCACCTCCCGAGAGCCCAGATGCCAGGAAGTGTGCGGGCTGCGGAAGCACCGACTCAGAGCTGGCTGCGTGCGCTGGATGTATTGTTCGGACCGCTGGAAACAAGACCTTCGTCACGGCTTACTGCGGCAAAGCCTGCCAGATATCGCATTGGGAGTAACACAGGATCTCCTGCAACGGCCTTCGGCGATTCCACCGCGCAGCATCGACGTTCCAGGCGATCTTTGCTCTCTTTCTCGAGTTTGCAACTGACCCTTATCGGCAATTTATCGAGATCCGCGAGGAGAACAACATGATTCATGCGCTTCGCACCACCTCGGAGACGGATGTGGGCCTAGGCTACCGGGGCGATTTCATTCTATGCAGACAGTCGGCTTTGGATGGTCCATCTGCGCCTTCCAAGGAGGCCTGGTCGGCTGCCCTTTTCTCGTCGAATTGCGTAGAAGTCACCCGAGGGGCTCTTTCCATTTTTCAGCTCTCGGTTCGACGTAAGTATTCCGTTTCATGGCCGATCGTCATGATGCACATGTCTGACCATAGTTTCAGCTACCGCCAAGTCGATCTAAAGAATCATAGTCAACCCGCGGAACATGCACAAGGGCTAGTATACCTCAAAGGACCTGATTCTCAACTATAACACCCTTTGGGACCATGAGATACACCGCCTTACACTGCCAGGTGGCCAGCGGGTTATCCTGGATCCCAGTGCGCAGCAGTTCGGCTGGCTCGAGTACATTGCCCCGGCTGATCATTATGTCAAGCACCGCATCCGAGCTATTGTCGCCATCGGCACAGAACCCTTTCCACCTCTCAAGCTAGACATCGTTTATGAGAAGCGCATTGAGATTGCCAAAACGTTCGTTTCGGAACTTCGGTCTCACTTCAAGCGATCTTGTGGGAGCTACGCCGAGTTCCTCGAGATGAAGAACGACGAGTTTAAGGTCGCCCAAGATACCGTCGTGAGGGAGGCGGCGTTCATCCTGGAGAATACCCTTCGTTCGCTGAAGCAGGGCGATCTGTACAAGTACTACTTGTTGCCCCCGCTCATCACCATTGAGATTGCGGATGACCCAGAGCTTTGCAGGAAGTTGAAGGATGTTTGGTTTTCCAGGGAGGAGTATGAGAAGTGGAAGGATTCGCCCAGGGTGCTGCGCCAACAGTACCTCCAACGATATCGAGAGGTAGTGGGGAGTCAGGGTCGGGATGTGGATGTTCTTGCAGATGTTCACTGGGGACACGTGTTTATGATGTAGAGGTTTTCGAGGGTCAGAACTTAGGGGTGCCTCCGGCGGAATAACTCCATCGTCCCTGCACCGGACCTACGATCTGGTCCGGACCTAATTCAGGTATCTAACATTACTCTGTATGGTGGAAGGTGCAACTCTCTACGCTTTGCCCTGAGAGGCCACTTAGGTACCTTACATTAGTACTATTAGTCTAAGTATGCTAATGTCAGCGGGAGGTCTGCCGCTGCTACACAGTCAACACAGTAGACCTTCGCCCCCCAATCCACACCACTAATTTCATACTCGCAATTTGTACCGAAGGAAGCTGTTTGTCCTCGGCGTGCGAGGGGCCACGTGGGATCATTGAGTAGCCATCCACTTTGATAGGTAGAGCCACACCGAAAAAGGGGGAAATTTCCAGGTTCCCTCCGCTCCTTTGAGGGCTGATGGCCCAATACTCCCTCTCACATCGGACGATCCAAGCATAAATCAACCACACTACACATCCATCAGCGTTAATCTCCTCTCGTTCCGAATACTCCACGTATAACAATTCGTATCTGCAATAGGAGACTTTCACCAGATTCCATCCCTTAAGGTGTTCCAGGTTGTTAGGAAAAAATTTAAACAATACCCAGCTCCAATTCCAACACTTCGCTAATCTGATACAACAGTAGCCGCATCCCAGACACCGAGAATCCCGCCTAAACAACATGCCAAACAACCAAGGCGTTGAGGGGCCTCGCCATAAGCGACGATGGCAAATCCCTCTGGGTGACGCTGCAGTCCGGCACCCTTTAGTAATAAGAGTGCAGCGTCTCATCGTCGACGCACCACAACACCCATCTACTGCAACTACTTGTACTGCACTCTCGGACAAGCAGAAGCAAACCAGTCCGAGCGAGCCGTTATCAGAGGAGACCACTAGTCCGAGCAAGCCAGTCTGAGGAGCGTTGCATGCATGCGGGGGTCAGGCGAAGGCCGTGATTCTTCCGGCAAGAGCAGTGTTGGATGGAGAATGAGTATTTGATACTCCGATGTTGTCATGATACATACTAAGTAGGTATCTCGTTACGTTCTTTGCTCAACAAGACTATGCGTAACGAGCTACAGACGCAGCAAGTAAGGTACTCTGGGCCATGATCATTCCCCAAGGATTGACATGGAATTGGTCCTGTCCATCATGATGCAAGCATCTCCGAGAACACAGCGAAGATAGCTGCTGTGAATATGCATGATGCGAGCTGCGCGTAGCTGAAGAGAGAGCAACCAGCCCAGCTAACTTGCAGCATTTCGTCCTCCGAAAGCGCACTTCTGTCAGCTAGTGCTGCTTGGATTCGGAGACTGGCCCTCCGCGGACGGATTCACGACCGAGTTGTGCGGCTCTAATTGGCTCGATGCGTGGTCTTGTTCGAGCATTCATCCAGACGAGGAATCCTTCGAATCCTTTCAGTGCCAAGTCTATTCAGAATGTGACTCTCTACTATCTAGTAGGCGTAATCACTGCGTTTCCCCTCTGCTCCTGCGCCTCCTTCGAGAGAATAACCGGTCGCTTGTCCCGTCATCGCAGAGACGATCGACACATCATGATGCACGTGGACGATAGTGGGCGTTGCTGGCGTTGTTGGGTTTGGGTAGAACAGGGCAGTGGGAGCTTGGCACGCGCTGAGGCGAAGGAACACAACAGTTGGACTTTACCTATATAAAGCACAGGTCTGTTACCAACCTGCTGCAGAGGTCTCTAACTCTCCATCCTTCTCTCCAGCCCTCTATCAGCCTTCACGCGCTATACAACTCGAAGTTTCGCTCTCAGGATCATCGCCATTTAGATCCCTTTTCTCTGCTCCGGTAGTACTTATCTTGTAAGTTATCTGTAGAGCAGCACATATTCACGAGCATCCTGGTAACTGACGGCAGTTCCAAGGTCACAATGAAGTACACTACGCTCCTCACGGCCGTCGCTCTGCTGGTCACCAGCGCTCTGGCTCTGCCGAACCCGATGCCGAACGCCGAGGCGGAGGCCAGCCCACAGATCTGCTACTGCAACCTCGGGTGCTACGACAGCTGTGGACAGAAATTCTGCTGCTGAGATTGCACGGGTCTTGGGAGGGAGCGACAGATAGCAAGGGACTGGGACCTTTTGTGTGACGAACCTACTTGATTTGGTCGGATCCTTTTGGGTTATGTACGCCTCGGAGATACGTACAACATCCGTACCTTAGTGATTGAACTTAGGAAGTCACATAGGTTGTATTGCTTGCTTGACGAGTCCGAGACTCTGGAGACCTTGGTTCCTTGTGTACATGGAGACCCTGTTTCCAGTCTTCCGCCCCTGTTCCTGCTCTACCGGGACCTCCAGTACCAGGCTAGCCTGTCCTTGCTACTCCTGATTTCAGCACGTAGCTAATTAGGGTAGTCAGCGATACTCAGTTCAATTTGCTAGAGCCTAGTGCACACCCGTTGAAAGCATGAGACCAATGATCATGACCCCAACCAGCTTGATTCACCGACGCGGAACACTCCTCGTGCGGGACCCTTACGGGTACCGCGAGTAAGGCCGTCGCTTCGAGAACTTTTTGCCACGCAGATACTCGAGAGCAAGCTCTATGGCAGTTGAGAACCTACCTAAGAGTCTCGTCGAGCGTAAAATGTCTGACTTGTGATGTCAATTGGAGTGTGTTGCAATATGCAGAGGTCAGAGGCAGAGACAAAGTGTACTGTGGTATGTAGAGGAAGAGACTCCTGATGTGCTAAGATAATCAGAGCCTAGGTGTGAGAGGCCTTGAAAGCCATAGTCAGCACGAAGGCCACAAAGCTCTTGGTAGTGTTCAAATAACTTTAACAGAGCAGCGGTCTCTGATGCACCCTGTAGTACGATGGAAGGGAATCGGCCCGAGTTCAGACACTTCACACTTCGGCCTCTCGATCGGCTTTCCGCCACGAAGTCCCAGACAAATCTAACGCCGCCGGCCCACCAGGACCAGTCCATGTACACCCTACTCCCGGCCGCCAGCAGCGCGTGCATGTTCTACATCCATCTACGCCAGCGCCTTTAGCCCGACGGACCTTATCATGTGGCATTGCTGCAACGGGACTGCAACGGCGGAGGAGAGCAGTCCACATGGTCGCCGCGGTCATAACCCGGATAAGGGGCAGCTCCTTGCGGTCATGGAATGCAGGGAAGGTGACGGGTGGCATGCCATCTCATCCTCGTCCATCCAATATCCTGACGGGCCATTTTCGGACACAGCATCAATTCACTTTCTACCCGATTGGGAGCGCTGGCACAACGCTACCAGATATCTCAAAAGCACATTTGTGGCCCTTTGGCGTTCCCCTGCGTCGAAGCGAGCCCTGGGGTCTGTCGCCCGATATTGCTCTCCCATTGAGTTTCCGCATGCGGGCCCATGCTGAGGCCCGAGGCGAATGCCGAGGGGACATTCCCATGTGCGGAGCTTTCTCGGGTTACCGCCAAGGTGGTTTTCGACGGCGGCGGTGACGCGGGATGAGTTCCGCCGTGTGTGCAGCTGGGTGCACGACTCGGTAAAGCCGGCAGGCTGAAGTGTATTAATATTTAGCCTCATTCTAGACGCCGTTGGTACACCACAACAATGGCCCGGATAGTGCGAGGTGCTACTGCTTGGCTTGTTTATATTAATTCAAACGCTCCGTTTTGTGTATCTGCTCACTCTTTGGCAATCCGACCCTACCGCCAGGTTCCTGAATTGATAGCCGGCAACCGGATACTAGCCAGACTGACAAGGACGAGGATGGAGGGCTTCAAATTACGCGCGACGTCCCCCATCCCGCTGATCTGCACCCTCCCTCCTCGCCGATCCCGCAAGAACGTGGTCCCCTGATTCGACTGTGACTGCTGTCGAAGAAAAATGAAATCCATCCTCGTCGGCCTGGCAGCAGCAGCCGCCCTGTGCTGGACGGGCGCACTCGGTGTCGGTGCCAGCCCAGCCGGAGACGGGGATGTCGCCGAGGTGGCCGCGATGGCCGCCCGCCGACACCTCTCGCGACTCAGCACGCGGCACCGCAACAATCACAACAACGCCACCAGCGACTTCGCCGAGCTCGGCCTGCGGCAGGACAACGGCCAATGCGGCGCCCAGTATGGCCGGTGCGCGGGTGACCTGTGCTGCTCCAGCTACGGCTTCTGCGGCGACTCGATCGACCACTGCCACCCGCTCTTCGACTGCCAGCCCAGCTACGGCGTCTGCGGATGGCCGAGGACGACCGCCGCGCCCACGCCAACGAGCACCACATCCTCCACAACTAGTAGCAGTAGCACGCCTGCTCCCCCTACTACTACCACCAGCACCACGCCCACCACAACTAGTCGACCAACAACTAGCAGCAGCAGCAGCAGCACCTTCTCGGCCCCTTTACCTTCGGGCTCGCTCCAGGTGACCACCAACGGGCAGTGCGGTAACAACACGATCTGCATCGGCAACCCGAACTTCGGCCCCTGCTGCTCCCAGTTCTTCTGGTGCGGCTCGTCGCTCGACTACTGCGGCGCCGGTTGCCAGGGCGCGTTTGGCGCGTGTTTTGGCGTGCCCGGCCAGCCGGGGAATCCGCCTACCAACGGCACTACCACCACCACTAGTGCTTCTTCGAGTACTACTTCATCCGGCGGGATTACTACTTCTCCTCCTCCTCCAATTACGACGACGACGACGAGTACTACCAGCAGCAGGACAACAAGCACGACCACATCGGCATCGCCCACCGTCTCCATCCCCGCCGGCATGACCTCCAGCCGGGACGGGCGGTGCGGGAACAACGTGACCTGTCTGGGGTCCAACTTTGGGCGGTGCTGCAGCCAGTTTGGGTACTGTGGCGATGGCGACCAGTATTGTCCGTACATTGTCGGATGTCAGCCCGAGTTTGGGTACTGTGATCCGCCCCCTTGAAAACTCTTTTTGACCTCTCTCATTAAAAGGTTATGGTGGAGAGGTTGTATTGTCGCAAGGGGAGGGGGAGAAGAGGAGGAGGGAGGTGGTGGGAATGGACGGGGGGTTTGGCGAGTCTGGGAAGTTGTTGTAGACTTATTACTTGGGTGATCAAAGAATGCTAGTAGTACCTTAGTTGATACTCTTACCTACCAGCTAGGTCTCCCAAGATGAGCAGATAGCGGCGGTATAAATTTTTTTTGAGTGCAACCTGGGAAGGATGCTGCGAGTGATGCCAAGATGCCCATGCGACTTTGGGATCCTTTCTCCTTTTGGGTTAGTAAATAAACACAGTGGCTGAAGATACAGATCATAGACTTTAGAAAATATGCTCGCATGAAACTGTGTCTGCTGCCGTGGATTTTCTCAATCATGTGTAATGTCGTCCTTGAGACAATGCTAGCCAGTCAGGGTTGTCGCTACGACCTTGGCTGTTACCGGGTCTTCGATAACCGCGTCGAGAACTTGAAGTTGATTGTTGAAAGACACGCCAAGGCCGATGCGGTGAGGTGGTCAGGATCTCCCGTGTCCACACCCGCGGTGTTGTCTGACGGGTCCGATAAATATTGTTCCCTGATGGATTGGAGGCTGAGGGCAGATGGCATGCTGCTGTCGCCTAACCATTGGCGCAGTCAATCTCCAACCCCTGCCGTTCCCGGTGCGCCTGCAGGCTGCAGCGAAAGACAGCCATGGGGCCCATGATGATTGCGAGCGGACCAATCATGCTGTTGCCTCGCACTAGAAAAGGTGAGGGCGCGAGATTATCTCGGATTGTGCTGACAGGTGGTGCAATAGAGTTCGTTGACCATAGGGCATGTATAAGAAAGACTTCCAGGGAGCGCGTCCAGCAACGTGAAAAGAGCTGCCCATTCACTCACACATATCCTTCACGGCGACACGGCTGTGCACGATCACACGATGTTATCCCTGCCGAAGATTGTTCTCCCGTTGCTGGCCATTGCACACACATGCACGGCCGGCTGGCAACAAACATCCTATGTTACTCTTCCCAGGGTCACAACATTCCGGACAGTCAACGACGAATCCAAAACCGTCACGGTCACGGCAGCCGTCACGGTCTCCCAGGTCGCCGTCGAAACCGTCGTTGGGAACCGCTACTTGGGTTATAACGGAGCCGGGAAATATATCACCATCAACGTCACCACGACCAACAGCATCCTCCCCCCTGGTTTCGCCGTCCCCACCAACGCGCTTCCAACCCCCTCCACCACAGGCACACCCTTCATCCAGACGCGGTACTTCGTGCCGCTGACGGTGTCCAACCCAACCTTCTGCAGCAACACCCAGTTCCGGTACACGGAATCCGCCCGCGTCAGCGTGCCCGCCGAGCTGCGGTCGCAAGCCACCAACACGGACTTGGCCACGCTGGTGACCACCTACGCCTACACCAGCACCGACGGCAGCGGCAAGGCCGTCACGACGTCGCTCTGCGACGTGTTCCTCCACGCCAGCGTCGTGGGGGAGCCCAACGGCGTGGAACCGACCATGACCGCCGTCGTCGAGGGTGGGGGTTACCTCTACGACTGCGAGGATCCGCGACGCCGCGTGTGCACCGGGTCCGGGCAGAACCAGGACGCGACGGGCTCTGGCGGGTGTGACGGCGTGTACCCGCCCACGGCTGTTAGGCACGAGGCTGCTCCCACTAGTACTGGTAGTAGCGTTGCCTCCTCGGGCGAGGGGGCGCCGAAGCCGAGTGGAGCTGGGAGCTGGAGGGATCTGAGAGAGCGGTGGGGATTGGTGCTGCCCGGTGTGATTATTCTGCTTTCGCTCTCGGCTAGGTGTTGACACTGTTGAGGAATAGGATGGTTATCTATGCTGTTGTCGGTGTTCCGGGTTAAGTAATAATGAGGGAAACGGTATAGATGATAGATTATGTATACTAGCACCAGTCATCCTTCATGAATATATTGTACGTATACAATGCGAAAGGTTTGGCCGGTAGTTTCTTCATACGGAAATCAGTAAAGCTGGCGACGACTGCTCATTTTGACCCAGAGAGCTGGACTTGTGTAGTTGTGAGAGCCCGAGAGATGGGCTGACTTGATAGACTTGGCGGTCTGTTTTCATTCGCCTGCAGAGCATCAACGAGAACGGATCCATCGAAAGGTCATGTTACTAGTTTCGCCTCCTAGACCTTGACAGAACCGTGATTCAGCCTGGAAGGACCTCATTTGCCCGTCAGCCTTCCGAGGAGCTGCCCTGTGGAGGAGACGGAAGAGCTTCAGCCGGAAGCCACCCAGTATGCATGGGATATATCCTCGCAGTCTCTTCTTATTTTCCGCACATACGAAATAACATAGGTTTCGCCCCAACCCATCACCGTTCTGTTCTACTTCTCTCCGGAACAGCAACACCACTGATTTCCGCCAGCTCCGCCAGCAGCTGGTCCTGCAACCCTACATCATCCGCCACCGCCTTGGGCTGTTTCTCTCGCGAGTTCACAAAATAACCCCCAGGACTCCAGCCCTCCTCCCCTTCCCCAAGCGCCAGCATCACGTACGTATCCACGCCATCCTCAATGCGTTCCGGCGCCTGTCGCCCGCCCATCTTCGTCGGAACCCACCCCGGATGGACAGAATAGCACCCCGTCCCAGCTCCAGCCCATCGCCGCGCAAACGCCTTCGCCAACATGACATCATGCAGCTTACTATCGGCATAACTCGTCCCCTCCACCAGCTCCCTCCCCCTCCGATCCGCCCTCCCGCCCAAATGCGCATCCGACGCAACAAACACCAACCGCTTCGGTTTCGCCATCAAACAGGTCAATACATACGGAGCGAGGGTATTGACAGCAAACAGAGTCGGCAAGCCCGGCGATTTCCCGGGGACGCGCGCCATGTCTTGGTAGACGCCCGCGTTGTGGATCACGGCGTCGTAGGGCCCGTGGCGGTCGGCCTCGGCCGCGAGGCGCTTGGTCTCGTCGATGCTGCTCAGGTCGGCGACCAAAACTGTTTCGGCGCCCGGGCAGGCGGCGGCGGCGGCGCGGGCGCGCTCGGCGTTGCGCGCGTGCAAGATGACGGTGTGGCCTTGGCTGGTGAGCCGTTTGGCGGTTAGGGAGCCGAGGCCATCGGAGGAGCCGGTGATGAAGAAGCGGGCCATTTTCGTTATGGGGGTGGCGGTTTTGGTGGATTGGATTTGTTGTTGGTCGCTGGTGTTGACAGGAATGGAGGAAGTCTGTAGAGAAGGGATGTCCACTGTTAAGTCGACGAGCGTAAACGCCTGGACGGAGGGGGGTGGCGGGTACCGTATGTCGGATTGATAAAAGGGTGCTAGTGATCCGGTGTCGCCTTGCTAATAATCCCTTAACTCCGAACCGCATTTATAACCACGATTGCGTGGTGGTTGGGCGGTTCGGAGCTAGCTTTGGATCGACCACAATGCCCGAACATTGTGTCTCCGTCTGAAGCATGACGTCAACCTCCACGAGACAACGGCGCGGCCGCAGTGGTTGTCGCGATTCCTGTGCCTGTAGCCTGTATGTATCGTACCCATTTAGTAAGCCAGGTGGAATAGATGGAGCTTGCAACACCAGACGAAACTACACAAAGCACGCTGTCTCGACCAGATTCGATATATCCAAAAACACGCCAAACTGGTATATTCCGCCGGAACCACGCTATGCCTGTCGACCGGACATCACCACTTGCCGCGTCCCCTCTCTTCCTCTCTTCGTCTCCCACTTAGTGCTATCGTCACCCCCTCCCTCCATTATAATCCGCCCCCCCAGCCTTCCTCAACCTACTCACAACCTCCTGCTCATCCAAATCCCTCCTCTCCCCAGCATCCACCTGCACACTGTAATGACTCAGCACCTTCTTCACAGCCCCGGCCTCCAGCCCGGCCCTCGCCTTGCGCATCACCTTGGTGTTCGGGCCGATCCACACGACAAACGCAAACTTGACCCGCTTGCTCTCGGCGTCGTTGGCGTACTCGACCCGCACGTACGCGTACTGCACCTCGCCGTCGTCCAGCGAAGCCGCCAGCTCGGCCAGCCCGCCGGTGCCCGTCTTGGACAGCGTCAGCGCGTTGCCCGTCGGTGCCGCGTACGAGATCAGCAACCAGTTGGTCGCGTCCTTGTCGGAGCGTACCGCGTCGTACGCGGCGAGGATCTCGGGGCTGTCGGCGCCTGACATTTTTTGTCCTTCTTTTCCCTTGTCTTATCTTGTTTCTGTTCCGTTTCTTTCCACCGGCTGGCGTAGGGGCGTTCCTTTTCGGAGTCTCGGTGCTTTGTCGGGGTTTGCGAGGGGACTTTGAAATGGGAACGGCGCGAGGGGCAGGGTCGGTCGCCAAATTCGTCCAGAGGACGGAACCGATGGCCGAGGAGCAGGCTCGGGAGAAAAAGGTGAACGGCTGGTAGAATCGGGGCGCGGTGCTTGGGCTACTGCTTGAGGTCCGAGGAAGATGCGGTGAGGCAAACCCTCCTCTGCGAGATCGCGAAGAGGGACACCACTGGCCCCTTTTCCGGGGATTTTCAGGGTCCGATCGGATGGGGACATGCTTGGCGAAGAGGGACCCTAACCCTCCTGACATGGAACGGGACACCCTTGCAACATCCTGAATCATTTCACGGCTCGAATGCGACATGGGACCCAAGGGACAGCGCAGTACTCAACGTTGATAATCCAAGAACACGCTAAATCAATGATTCACAGCCCCTTCAAACAGGACATCACCAACTCCCACTAACCCTCAAATCCCTCGAACTCAGCCCCACCCTAAACCCATACCGTCCCTCCGTAGCCATACGCCAGTTCTGCGCCGTCACATCCCAATAACTCAGATCCCTCCTCGTGAGACTAAACGTCACCGTCTTCACCTCCCCGGGCTTTAGATAGACCTTATCAAACCCCCTGAGTACTCGCACAGGGAAGTCCACCACCGCTCCTTCCCTTTCCTTGCCACTAGCATCAGGATACTCCAAATAAAGCTGCGGCACCGCCGCCCCCGCCGCAGGCCCCTCATTCTTGATATCCACAGTAACTTCGACATAGATAGCCCAAAGATCCGGATTCCCGCCCTCGTCACCACCAGCCTCGCTGGGCGGCTGCACGGTATCATATCCCTCCGGGTACGGGTACTGCCCCACCTCGATGTCATCCAGCTCGGACGAAGACAGGTACGGGTAGACATATTTCTCGAGCCGGCGGAACCCGGCGGTCGGGAACAGCGCCTCGCTCTTGGGTGGAATGGCGGTCGGGTAGCTGGGCGGTTGCGCGGCCGGAGAGGGGCGAGGTTTGGGGAGAGGGGACTTGCGCTGCCGGGGCGTGACGCGCAGGGTGGTCAGGGCGAAGGAGGTGTAGCTGAGGCCGAAGCCGAACTCGAAGCGGGGTTCGATGGCCTGCTTGTCGAAGTAGCGGTAGTCGATGTACAGCCCTTCGGAGAAGTCTTGTTGTGGAACGAGGCCGTTGGGCCGGTAGAGCACCTGCCCGCCGGGGCCGTAGTCGGCGAGGGACTTGCCGATGGTGAAGGGCAGGTGGCCGGACGGGTTGGTGTCGCCGAAGAGTACGTCGGCGAGGGCGTTGCCGGATTCCTCGCCGGGCAGGTTGGCCAGCAGCACGGCTTTGACGTTGGGCAGGTCGATCCACTTCTCCATGAGCACCGGACCGACGGCGTGGATCACGACGATGACATCGCCGGCGCCATCGCCACATTTGGCCGCCACGTCGAAAATCAGATCATCGCCGCCGTTTTGTAGGTTCAAGTTCGGCCGGTCGCCCTTCACATCTTCCCACCCGACGAACCCTTCGCCGGCATCGGCGTTGGCGAAGACGATGCACAGCTCCAGCTCGTCGACAGTGGCCTTGTCCCCGCCGCTCAACGAGGGCTTGTTGGTCAGGTACTCATGCAGCTCGACTTTGGAGCTGTCGAACTGCTTGCGGAGAGCCTCGACGGGTGAAATCAGGTATGGGAACTCGACAGCCCCGGAACCCCAGCCAGAGCCAAGCGTGCCTTGGTTACAGCCACGGTCTTTACAGTAGTTGGGTCCCTTTCCAGGACCAGCATCCTCCCCAAAGATGCCGACCTTGAACTTCCCGTCATGTCGTTTCCCGGTGGCCTTCTCCGCCGTGCTGCGACGCAGCTTGAGCTTCGAGTCCGACGGCCCCTGGCGGCTGATGGGTAGCAACCCCTCATTCTTGAGCAGCACCGTACCCTCGGCTGCCACCTCACGCGCAATGATCGAGTGGTTGGCCTGCACGTCCACAAACTGGTTGACCACCACCTGATCCTGCGCGCTCGGGCTGCCTGGCGCCAAGACGCCCATGCGGTCGTCCGTCCAGGAGGAGAAGTTGGGGGGCTGGCGCGGGAACTTGGATTCGTCGTCCTGGCCGAGCTGGAACCAAGCCGCCACGATCCGCGTGACCATGTCGTTCAGCCGGTCCACGGGCACGCTGCCGTTCAGGACGGCCCTGGTCAGCTGCGGTCCCCACAGCGAGTCGCCGTTCGCCCATGTCAGCCCGTCGCCAGGCATGGTCATGTCGAGGCCGGCCAGCGCCGTGGCCACGCCGGCATGCTGCGCTAGCCAGTCGCTCATGACAAACCCTTGGAATCCCAGCTCGTCCTTGAGGATGCCGTTGAGCAGTTTGCTGTTGGCGCACGCGTACGAGTTGTTGACCTGGTTGTACGAGCACATGACCGATGCCACGCCGGCCTTGACCGCGTCGGCGAACGGCCACACGTACAGCTCGTGCAGCGTGCGGTCGTCGATGTTGGCGCTAACGGCGTGCGGCAGCCCCCACTCCCACGGCTGGCGGAAGTGCTCCTGCTCGTTGGCCACGAAGTGCTTGATGGTGGCCATGACGCCCTCGCTCTGGATGCCCTTGACTGTCTCGCCGCCCGCCACCCCTTGCAGGTACGGATCGGCCCCGAACCCCTCCCAGTTGCGCCCGCCCGCCGGCATGCGGCCCAGCGGCCCGACGCAGGGGCCCAGGAGCACGTTGATGCCCTTCCCGCGCGCCTCCATCGCGTGTGCCTTGCCCCGGGCGTACATCAGCTGCCGGTTCCACGTGGCGCCCACCGTGATAGCCGCGGGAAACGCGGTGATGTTGTCCGCGAACCGGATGCCCAGCGGTCCGTCCTGCAGCTGCAGCTGGGGGAACCCGACGTGCACCGCGGGGCCGTTGGTGCCGACGGCCAGCCCCATTTGCCAGCCCGTGCCCGTCGTGACGTTGACCTTCTCGGCCAGCGTCATCTTGCTCACCATCTTCGCCGCCTTCTCATAGCTCTGCGCCCAGCTCTTGGCCGTTCCGCCCTTCGGCGTGGGGTACCACGGCGGCGACTGGCCGTAGGGCGGCTCTTGCTTGTATTTCTTGTACACGAAGGCTCCGCCCGCGCTGATGATGATCCAGACCACGATCACGCTCGCCAGGACGCCGATGCAGCAGCGGCTCCGTCGGCCCAGGAAGCGTATAAACCACCATCGCTTTTGGGGTTTTATGTTCGGAGGAGGGGACGCCGAGCTCGCGTGGTCGGGGGGTTTGGGGCGGTCGACGTAGTCGGTTGCTTCGAGGTCCGAGTCGGAGCCATGGCCGTCGCTGCTGTCGATTGATGCACGTTTGGCATCGCGCAGCAGGCCTTGCTTGCTTTCGTCGCCCGCCATTGTCCCTGAAATGCCAATGGGAAGCTCTCCGTCAGCTCGGAAGGGTCAGTTGGACAGTCGACTGGCCATCGAACGTTTGTCGCTGTGTAGAATGCGGCGTTCAACAGCAATCCGGGCGCAATTCAGCTCCCAGGTCACGGAACATCGCTTTCCGCAGAGCAATGTGCGCAGTCCCCGGCGTTTGTTGGCAAAAGGACGGGAGTCGTCAGTCGGCCTGGCTCAGATGGGGCGCGATTGACGTCGGGTCGGGACCGTGAGACACGAAAGCCCAGCTTTGCGTGTCTTGGGCCAGGAACACGATCCGATTGGTTTCCTGTCCCACCTTGCACTCGTTCTCAGCCATGGCTCGCAATCGTAACAGCTCAAGCTGTGACACCCAAGAGCCATAGCGGGTAGGATAGGTGTGTAAGACGCCTTCGCTTTGGTCCAGGTACCGTGAGCTAAGAATTGTCGGGAATCTCACGGCAAGCTCAGGTCGGGCCTGTTTTGAGCTCTCACCTTGCTGGCATGAATGCCGTCAATTGACATCTTCAGGGACCCCCACATTGACCTGAAGGTGGGGCACCAAGCGACAGGCGAGCTCCGACAGCTATCTTTCTCGGCAGAAACACTGATACGTAGAACGCCTATCGAAACAAATTTAACGAGACAATCCTAGCTTTAGGTGAGTTGAGCAACCATCAATTCTCAGTCATCATCGCACCTTAGGTATTAGGTATGCAAAGCAATGCGATCTCTTTCCTCTTCGTGCTTGCTGCAAAAGAGGTCCACGGCGGGGCGCCCCGGGCCCGGCTGATTGGCTTAAGCTCCTGCATCGGCATTGGCTCCCCACTCTTATCTTCCATCGCTTCCATATCGCACCTCTGCCAAGCAAACACACTGGCTTCCTTATCTCGACCGGACTCCTTACCACGTACAAACAAGGCCATGATTCACCAATTCGATCGAGTAAGTTATCAGCCCAGCGGCGACCCGAAGCAACGGTTTGATTGCTTCCCCGCTGCAAGATATGTCTTACAAGCGCTGGATCAAAATGACCAGCAGATGGAACAGCAACCCTGGCCGCGAATCTTGCTTCTCCGGTGGGACGGTGTCATCATGTTCGGCACCCACGACGGGAGTTTGTTTTTTACGGTACGCACTTAGATCACTCGATCATTGTATGTACCGATCGAAACCTCGATTATGACCTAACTGATCTGGCTTATCTATGCAGAGCTGTCAATTTCGCGAATTCGCTGATAGAATCTATCTGCCCAGTCACAGTGGCCCCGCCACGGGGTGAGCTTCCTCGACTCCTTGAATGTGCCCTGATGGGTTGAGAGTAGAACGCCATTACACACCACGACAACGCCTCGTCGCGTAGCGTCCCTCAGAAAACTCGGCGATAAGGCAGTGGCTATATTAGTGTCTTCATTGCGGAGACACGCATGCCGCAGTGGGGGCTCGGGATGGCCCCTGGCATCCCCAGACTCTGTTCCCGTTCGGGCATTTGCTGTGGGTAGCCAACCCGGACACGATGCGACAGCCGGTGATAAGGCAAGATAAGGTAACGGTGACAGCCCGGTCCCGGCCGTGAGCGGCGTCGGCAGGTGAATCGCAGATCGATGTTATATACCTTGGACAATGCCTGCACTGCCGTCCATCTTCCTTCCGATCTCATGACCGTACAGATTCCATCTCCTCTAGCCCTCCCAGTACCCATTGGCCTGGCACACCTACGATGGAAGCGGTGGAACACTCTGATCACAGTCCGGCCCTAGGCCAGGGAGTCGGCTATGGCATCGTCCTGGGCCTTGGAGGCGTCTTCGCCCTGGGTATGTTCACACTGAGGGTGTCTGCTCCGAGACAAATGCAGTGATGTACTCACCAGACCCAGGCATGATACTTGTCACCTTCATCCTGCGCCGATACAACCGTGAGCTCCAGACATCCGAGATGTTCAACACGGCTGGCCGCACCGTCAAATCTGGTCTGGTCGCGGCAGCAGTGGTCTCGTCGTGGACCTGGGCGGCAACGCTGCTGCAGAGCACCGGCGTCTGCTACCGGTATGGCGTCTCGGGCCCGTTCTGGTACGCGTCCGGCGCCACCGTCCAGATCCTGCTGTTCGCCACGCTTGCCATCGAGCTCAAGAGACGTGCACCCAACGCCCACACCTACCTCGAGATCATCAAGGCGCGATACGGCACCTTTGCGCACATCGTGTTCCTGGTCTTTGGGCTGGCGACCAACATCCTGGTGTCTCTCATGCTGATCGTCGGCGGCTCGGCCACGGTCAATGCCCTGACGGGCATGCACACCATAGCTGCGATCTACCTCCTCCCGGTCGGCGTCGTCGCGTACACCCTCGTGGGCGGCCTGAAGGCGACCATCCTGACGGACTGGGCACACACCTTCATCTTGCTGATCATCATCATCGTCTTTTCGCTGACCGCATATGCTTCCCACGATGTCCTGGGATCGCCGGGTGCTGTCTATGATCTGTTGGTGCAGGCAGCAGCCCGGCACCCCGTCGAGGGCAACAAGGATGGCAGTTATCTTACCATGCAGTCGCGCGAGGGCGCCATCTTCTTTGTGATCAACATCGTTGGTGGGTGCTGTCAACAACCACATAGCAGTTGAGATCATGAGAAGCTGACACAAGGTGCAGGCAACTTCGGGACTGTGTTCCTCGACAACGGGTACTACAACAAGGCTATCGCCGCGTCCCCGGTGCACGCGCTCCCGGGATACATCATCGGCGGGCTGTGCTGGTTCGCCATCCCGTGGTTGACAGCGACCACGATGGGCCTGGCGGCGCTGGCCATGGAAAACACGCCCTGGTTCCCCACCTTCCCCGACCGCATGAGCGACGCCGACGTGAGTGCGGGGCTGGTGCTCCCCTACGCGGCCGTGGCGCTGCTCGGCAAGGGCGGCGCCGTGGGGACGCTGCTGATCGTCTTCATGGCCGTCACCAGCGCCACGTCGAGCCAGCTGATCGCCGTCAGCACCATCTGCACCTACGACCTTTACCGCACCTACTTCAACCCGGCCGCCAGCGGGCGCCGCCTCATCTACATGAGCCACGCCGTCGTGGTCGGCTACGGCATCTTCATTGCCACCTTCTCGGTCGGGCTGTGGTACGCCGGAATCTCGATGGGCTACTTGTACCTGATGATGGGTGTCATCATCTCGGCCGCCGTTCTCCCCGCCACGCTCACCTTGATCTGGTATGTCCCAATCTCTACTCAATACACACCCAAGCTTTTGAATGCTAACCCTATGAACCAGGGCGGGCCAGAACAAGTGGGCCGCCTCCCTCTCGCCGATCCTGGGCCTCGCCTGCGCGCTGATCGCCTGGCTGGTGACGGCCAAACGCGAGTGCGGCAACCTGGGCGTCGAGTGCACGGGCTCCAACAACCCGATGCTGGCGGGCAACGTGACCGCGCTGCTGGCGCCCATCCCGCTGATCGCCATCTTCACACTAATCTTCGGACTTGATAAGTACGACTGGAAGTCGATGATGGCCATCCGCCGCGGCGACGACCACGACATCGCTGTCTCCGCGGGGCTCGATGATATCGAGGAGATACCCGGGCAGCAGCAGAATACAGAGAGCAACGGCAGCGGTAGCGGTAGTGCAGCGTTCGAGGAAGAACAAAAGAAACTAGCTCGCGCAGGCAAGATCAGCAAGACCGCCACGGTGGTGCTGACGCTTGCCTTCTTGGTGCTATGGCCCATGCCCATGTATGGGTCGGGTTATATTTTCAGCAAGCCGTTCTTCACCGGGTGGGTGACGGTCGGCATCATCTGGATCTTCTGCTCGTTTATTGGCGTCGGCTTGTTCCCTGTCTTTGAGAGCCGTGCTACGCTAGTGCGGACGGTCCGGAATATTTATCGGGATCTTACGGGTCGGTCGCATCCCAGGACTATCAATGCGCAGCAGCTCGTTGGTGGGGAGGGGAGCAAGGCGCCTACGCCGGGGGATGCGACGCCGACTAATGAGAAGAAAGGGGGGAAGGAGGTTGTTGGGGCGGCGTAGTGGCCACCATGCATACCTACCTACTTTTAGTGTGGAGGGTTGTTTGAATGCGAGAGGATGGGGAGAGCACCGGCCAACTCGAGAAGGAGATGGCCTAATGTTTGGACAGATATTGATACCCATTTAGGCAGGAGGGCTACATCAGCACAATGGATGCTTCAGTTATCCTTTCTTTTGATTCGCTCGCCAATCCCTCTGCATAGCACATGCATAACTATCAACTTCCCTTTTCCTTTCGCCTTTTTTTTACCCAACGGAAAATCAATCCCAACTCAGTTGAAGACCACCGTCTTGGTACCATTCAAAAACACCCTCCTCTCGGCATACCACTTCACCGCGGCCGCCAGCACTTGGCTCTCGATATTCGACCCCTCATCCACCAACTCCTTGGGGCTCATGCTATGATTTACCCTGGACACGCGCTGCTCGATGATGGGGCCCTCGTCGAGGTCGGCCGTGACAAAGTGCGCCGTGGCGCCAATGATCTTGACGCCGCGCTCGTACGCCTGGTGGTAGGGCTTCGCCCCCTTGAAAGACGGCAGGAACGAGTGGTGGATGTTGATGATGCGCCCGGACATGGCCTCGCACAGCGTCGGCGACAGCACCTGCATGTAGCGCGCTAGCACGACCAGCTCGATCGCGTGCTGCCGAACCAGCTCGAGGACTTGCCCCTCCTGCGCGGCCTTGGTCTCACGCGTTACGGGCAGGTGGTGGAACTCGATGCCGTAGCTGGCCGCGAGGGGGGCAAAGTCCGGATGGTTGGACACGATCAGCCGGATGTCGACCGGCAGCTGGCCCGTCTTGGCGCGGAACAGCAGGTCGTTGAGGCAGTGCCCGATCTTGGACACCATCACCAGCACGCGCGGCTTCTGCGAGACCGGCCGGATGTCGTACGTCATGGCGTACTCGGCCGCCAGCGCATCAAAGGCCGGGCGCAGCTGCGCCGTGATTCCCCCTTCTTCTTCTGTTGATGATGGTGAAGGCCCGAAGTGCACCCTCATGAAGAATTTTTCGCTCGTCGGGTCCGAGAACTGCTGCAGGTCCAGGATGTTGTGCCCCTCGCGCGCAAAGATGCCGGTCACCGCGTGCACGATGCCCGGCTTGTCCGGGCACGACAGCGTCAGGATGTGGTCGTTGGCCATTGTTTGAAATTGCTGGCGCTGTGTTTCCTGCCGATTGTTCCCCCACCTAGTTGCAGTGTTCCTGAATAATGTTTGAGTTTTCTTTTCTTCTGCCGATGAAATTCAAAATTCAAAATTCAAAATCGGATGAGTCGAGAGGTGTCCACTTTGGCTTGTCTCCCCCTTGGACTTTTGAGCATTGACCCATGGGGTTAGGGTTACCCTTGAGTCACCCACTCACAACTCACCTCACCTAAGTCTCGTCGTGTAATTAGAACCCTCCACTCTGATTTCTCCGGGTTCCGAGTGAGATATCTATCAAATTCGATGCTCTCACCTACCGCCACGATGCATCGTCCAGCGCAGATTCAGGCCTTGGACCTCTTCTCAAACCCGAGATATCTCCGATCTCGGAGGTATGGGCAAAGTGGGTGTGTCGTACGTAATAATACCTCAACTCTATAAGCACGGGTAGTGTCGCTTCGTTAGACAACGAATCCTTTTTGACTCGCCCCTCGCAGCGGTTAGGGTTACGTTGAATTAAGAATCCTGATATCGGCACCACAAGTCCGGGCCGAACTCCTGATTCAGGATCTCGGCCCGGAGGTCAGGCCTACCTTAGGCACACGTTTAATCCGTGCGTGGTCTCACCGTGTCGAATCAGGTTCTATTATGCCGAGGAAGGAACAAGCTTCTGAGGGTTCTGGTGTGGATCTGGACGCGGCTGTGTACCTACTACTAGTACTCGTCAAGTCGGCGAGCTGGATTTGGCCGTTTTGGAAGGCCCAGCAAGTATGTCGGCCTTCCACTTCGGGCGGGGGAAGGCCCACCCCTCTTACTACCGTACCTCCTCTTAACTATGGTATGTACTACGCAATTGCGTACCTTACATGGGTTCGTAATCATCGGTCTGAGTCACAGTTTGACGACGGTACACTACACGCCACCTGTTGCATTCGGGGGCCTCATTAAAAGGTTGATGAACAGTCTCCTCTCCTTTACTTTGAGTGCTCAACTCCTAAGAAGGCCAAGCCTTGGCTGACAATTCCAAACAGTACTTCGATTCACCGTTTACCTTGGTCCTTGACTCTTAGCCGCGCAATAAACGCTGTACAATGCCGCTCGAAATCCGCCCAGCCGTCGAGGCCGATAGCGACAGGATCGGCTGGATCGGCCGGGACGCCTTCCGCGACTCGGGCTCCGAGGCCGTCTTCCCGCCGCACCTGTACGACAAATCCGAGACCGGCGACATCGCGCTCGACGAAGCGCAATGGCGGGCGGCGAGGAACCTGGCCAGGATGAGAGAGGGCAAACCAACCTTTGTGTGTGTGGATGTCGCCGAAGACGATAGTAACGATACTGGCGGTCCGGAAAGGATCATCGGATACGCCCAGTGGGAAGTCCCTCTGCCGCCGGTGGCAGGCGAAACCGGGGAGGCCAAAAAGTCCGGCTATTATAACCAGGAACCATTCCCGCCTAGTTTGGATCAGGACGCTTTGTTCAAGATATATAAGACGGTCGAAGATGAGACGAAGAGGGCTCTTGGCCCCGACGGTCATAGCAAAATGTGGTGTAAGCCGCCCGTGGATTTCCCATTTTGTTGTGAGAACTGTGATTGGAGCTAATTAAGCAATATATAGACCTGATGTCGCTTGCCGTCGACCCGACCCAGCAGCGCCGGGGGATTGGGCGGAAGTTGATGCACCACGGGCTGGACTTGGCGTCACAGGCCGGAATGGACGTGTTCCTGCTCGCCACGCCGGCAGGTCGGGGACTGTACGAGTCGCTTGGGTTCCGCCAGATCGGGGACTCGTTCCTCCTGGCCGACATCCCTCACTACGCAATGCTGTGGCGGCGATCCGGGGCTGGCTCGGCTTGATCTCTGCATGTATTTTTGTTCGCAGGCAAAGCCCCGGGGAGTGCTGCATCCGCTTAGCTACATTCGAGGCTCTCTCTAGCTTTGATATGCCGCTCTGATTATAATTACCCGCCCTTTTCCTTCCTTCCAGCACTTCGAGGGCGGTTGAAACATCGGTGATCGGCTATGGGACGTACATTGGTGACCCCTTTCGCAGTTGCCGGACCCCCCCGGACCCCGAGGTGCCGCAGATTGTCCTTGGGAGCGTCACTACTCTGAGGACACGCTTTGATTGACGGTTCTCTGCTGCAACTCGTAGAACCGCTTCTCTGTCCAGTCGAAACATGGTCGTGTTTGAATCCTTTCCTCAACAAACAGGCGGCGAAATGCCTGCGAGGGCTGAGGTCGGTTGCATCCCAATCCTGACTTGGCAACAACACCGACGTCTAGAACCACAGGGAGCTCGCATTCACCAACATGACACATCGACCGCAGCCCCCGGTGGTAACCCGGAGTATCACAGACGTCGACTTCCAACGCGTTCATGAATTGTGAGAGGTAGCTATCCCGGACCGCATGACGCTGGGTTAGACGCCCTTGCGAAGGAGGAATCTGCATCTGTCGCTGCCAAGGGGCTGCAGGCCGCAAGCTTCGCTACTACGAGCCCTGCGACGAGCTTGACACGGACGCACCGAACCCCGTTCGAAGCGAAAGCGTCCTGTGGTTCGATGACCAATGCGCAAGTTCCTAACAGTCAAAAAGAAGCAGTGCCTCGGGCATGATTTCGATTCGGGATCCTGCCCAGCCTAGTTATAGCTGATGTGGAGCAGCTAGAGGCGGCAAGTCTAATAAAGACTGGACTCTGCTTGTCTGGCATGGATACTGGCTAATGGAGGGATTGTCTGGTTGTAAAAGTACCTACCTATGTATAGCTATTGTCCCGAGTGAGTCAACTGCTGGTGCCTGCCCGCATCAGCGCAACTGAGCATATTATGTGTGTTCAGCTTGTCTGCGAGTCTGCGACTCGGTGTTTCTACAAGGGCGGGGTCTGGACCGGCCGTTTTAGGAGGCCCAGCGACTAGAGGCAGGTCCGCCCAACCCGCACACTTGTGAAGATCAGTCAACTTTACCTCGCGCTTCCATCGTGATATTTGTTCTTTTGGCTTTCATTGGTATCGTTATTTCTTAAAGAATTCACTGTCGACAGGGTGTCGGAGAAGACCTCAATGGACTCCGTTGAATGGAGGCTGTTGCTGAGCAGTCGCATTGCTGAGTGACCGGTTCGCGTGCGGCTGTTTTGGATCGTGGCCGTTGAAAGTCAGCAACCCCGCAGCCCCGCCCGTCCTTACGTGGAGCCACAGGGGTGGGCTGCGAGAGGAAATGCACGTGACATGAGAGCCCATGCTCAAAAGGTCGCCGAGGTGGAAGGAGCGGGGGACAGCCTATAGTGTAAGCGATCCTGCGGCCCCACGTAGCACCTTATTGGCCACTTTGGCGCAAATGTATTGTAGTGGTTCCCAGGCTACCCTTCACACCCTACCAACGTCCATGACATCACTTCCGGCGCCAATGCTCCACCTACCCATCTCCTCTACCACAGCATAAGGACTAATTGCTCTCTTTACACCGTACCTTACCCTAATACGTATCCGTTCAATCGTTACACTGATGCACCGAACCTTGCAGTAACCAGAACCTCCCCACCGTGAAATCGCGCGCCATTCCGGGCGGCACAAAGACAGTTAGTTGCGCCAATGTCCAAGATGGCGACCTACAAAGCAACCCTTGCCGCAACGACAAACGCGCCCGGAAGAAGCAGACCTGCCCCGCGCCCGCGTCGCTCCCGCGCGTCTGGATCCTTCCACGCCGGCGAGCCGTTTCCTCTGCCATCCCCCTGTGACGAGACGAGGCCGAGCAGGAGCCGGACAGCCCTACTACTGTCGCTCGCCGAAGCCGCCCCCCGCCGCCCACTCCGTCGGCAGTCGACGGCCAGATACCACACCTTCCCGACCTCGCCGCCTCCCACGCCTTCGGAGCGCCAGCGGTCGCCGCTTGAGCCACGCCCCTGGTACAGGCGGCTTACAGAACACAATGCCACCAGCGCAGACTCCACTCCCCTACCATGGTCGCAGCTCTATCTGCTGGCGATCCTCTCGCTCGCCGAACAAACGGCGCTCAACTCGATCGGCCCCTACCTGCCGACGATGGTGGCGTCGTTCGACGAGATCCCCGACGGGCAGGAAGGGCTGTACGTGGGGCTCCTCGCGTCGGCGTTCGCCCTCGCGCAGCTGGCGACCAACCTGCTGTGGGGCTGGCTGTCGGACCGCGTGGGCCGCAAGCCGACCATGCTGCTGGGCACGTCGTTGCTGATGGTTTGCTTCCTGTTCTTCGGCTTTTGCGGGACATACGCGCAGCTGATCATGGTGCACGTCGCCATGGGCCTGCTGAACGGCAACGCCGCCATCGTGCCGACCTGCCTGGGCGAGCTCACGGACCGCACCAACCAGAGCAGCGCCTTCACCTGGCTGCCCGTCATTTATAGCATTGGGAGCATTACGGGCCCCGCGCTAGGCGGGCTGCTGGTGACCGCGGCGGAAGGGGCGAGGTATCCTTTCGTCTTGCCCAATGTCATGGTCACGGGGCTGCTGCTCTCAAGCGTCATCGTGCTGGCTCTCTTCTTCGAGGAGACGCTTGATCACGTGGAAAGCAGCGTTGCGGGAGCAGGTTTGGACTTCGTGAAGGCAGCGCGCGAGTGGTGCAGGGATGGATTTCGACGGATGCTGTGGCGGCCTACCAGATTTCGCGACGAATTGCCCGTGTACGAGGGCGACGCTCCCGAGAGTTCTGGCGACTTTGACGATGAACAGCAGGGCTTACTCGGCGCATGCGACTCAGACGCTGACGACAGCAACGTGGGCGCGAAGGAGGAAACCTCGGCGTTCCGCGAACTACGTAACCGCAACACGGTCGCTGTGCTGGGCACATATCTCGTCTTCCAGCTCGCCAACATTTCCTACAACTCGCTGTATCCCATCTTTGCCTCCACGCCGCCGCCCACAGGCCGCGACCTGGGTCCCGGCACCATCGGCGTCAGCCTGTCGCTGGCCGGTTTGGCCACCATCCTGTTCCAGCTGTCCATCTTCCAACGACTCAAGGCGCGCATCGGCAATTTGGTCACATACCGCTACTCGCTGTTAGGCATGGCAATCAGCATGGCGCTCATGCCCTTCATCGGCTACGTGGACGGGTCCGGCAAGGGCTGGCTGTACGTCGAGCTGGGTGGGATCTTGGTGCTTAAGAACATCTGCGCGGTCGGCGGGCTCAGCAGTGTAATGCTTCTTGTAAGTCCCTTGAACTGTCCTGGATGTGATGTGGTGTTGTTCCATCAGCTAAACTCTGTATTAGATCACGAACTCGGCTCCCTCAAACGAGACGCTCGGCACACTACAGGGCCTTGCGCAGACGCTCTCTGCCGCGGGCCGCAGCGTGGGGCCGTTTCTCTCTGGCGGCCTGTTCACTCTATCGACCCGGGTCAAGCCGAAGGGGGAGGCTCTTGCATGGGGCATTTTCGCTGGGATCACGCTTGTGGGATGGCTAGGCTCCTTTGGGATACGGAATCATGGTCTGGAGAGTGCGGAGTTTGAGGATGGTACTAGTAGTAATGACGAGGAACAGGGGTCAGAGGACGAGGGGTCAGAGGATTATCCATATAGCGATGTACATTATAGGCCAGATCAGCCCTAGCTAGATACACTGGCTAGTATTACTACTTCTATTTATCCTCTCTCCTTTATTTTTAATCCAATCCCCTTTTTTTACTTTCGAAGTTTTTCCTGTCCCTCTGTTCCTTTTTCTCTTCCGTCCAGCCTTTAATCTATCTCCTTTCTCATATCCTCTTCCCCGCCCCTATTCCCCTCCTTTCTTCTCCGTTTATTTCCTTACGGCGATCCGAACCGGGCCTAGATTACTAAGCCAACCCACTAGAATAAGGGCCGAACCTTGATACTAGCTTCTTCGACGCCCTGTCCATATAGGTCTACGTGCCGACTAGCAAACGGGGCACCGTCTCGGGCGTCGCAACCGGCATCCCCAAAAAATTCCAACCGCGACGATATGCCTACGATGACACCCTAGCCGGCCCGCATGGCGGGCTTCGCCGCAACACGCCGGGGAGCCATTCACGCGAGGGGTCAGAATACGGGAAGGAGGATGAGATGGTATGACCTTGGGTAGTCCTTATCGTAGTTCTCTGAATACAATCTTAGATTTGAGTCAAATCATGAATCATTAAGTTCCCGGACTTGATTAGGCAACTCCTATAGCGTCGACACCAACGGCGGGCTGGTCATTCTTTTGCCAAAAGGTCGCCTCTGCTATCCCCCAACTCCTCGCAAGTCACCGCCGAGACCATCACCACCAACAATGGCACTACCATCATCAAAGTCAATAGTCAAAAACTAATGCCTCCCGCTAACGCACACTACATTTCCCGCCCCGATGACCTAACCGCCAAGGCGGGTGGCGTGGTGACCGTTACGTTTAATCGTGCGGAAGAGCAGGCGGGCGTCGGCGGCGGCGGCGGCTCCGGATTGGCACCACCCTATCGTTCAAGGGTGGGCATCCAAACGTGAGGGTGAATAACTGGCAAGGTAGCCACCCTGGTGCACCCGTGCGTAGCGGAATGTTGTATGTTGGGGCGATATATGGTGAGAAGCTTCGGTTTAGAGAAGAGCCGATATTGACTGACTATTTCCGTCGTCGAAATAGACACTGGTCAACTCCCGCGGCGCGTACCGCAGCTATGGGGAGGCGTATACCTAGAAGATTCCCCCCGGGACATTGCGGGAGGGTACCGTTGCCCTGATGGTTCGCGTGTGTGGCTGGTCATGAATGGTTCTCTCAAAGTGACAATTATTTCTCCAGTTACATTGGGTAACGTGGTTGATAAGCGAATGCTCCAGACAAGCGAATGCTCCACAAAGTTGCACCTATATAACAAAATGTATATCAATCCCACCAAAACCGCTTCAAACAAATGAAACTACTCGGAATCGTCTTCCTCAGACGTTTCCACAACTATTTGACAGGTACGCGCATTGTGACCAGGTTCGCCGCAGGTGCCACAGCGCCACGCGCGCGTCTCGACCCTCGGCTTCCGACCACTACCCGCCCGTGTTTCCTCCTTTATCTGTACCTTAACCTCTCTCTGACCCTGCAAGTCCTTTGCATCTTGTATAGTAAGCAATCCTCCTTGTCGGAGCCGTTGTCTTTTAGCTCGCCGACGCCTGCTTAGTGCCTCATTTGCTACTCGGAGGCTTTGGTTCTCTGCTCTTAATAATACCAATTGATATATAACCTTAGACGTCCCTTTCGCAAGGATATCAACTGCTCTTAAAATCTCGGTTGGAGAGCTATTTTAATGCCGGGCAATTCGATTCTTAATAAGGGCGGACTGCAAGGAGGCTTCGGCTGGGTTGTTCGGGGTCTTGGAAACCTAGGTATAGGTACTGCTAGGCCGGGAGTTCGAGGGTATTAGTGTCTTCAGACGGATGTCGAGCTAGGAGATCACCTTCTCGGGATCAAAAGGAACAAGTCTAGCGCCTTTAAAACCTCCCTGAATGTTTCCGGGCGTTATTACTACCTGGTAAGCTGCGAGGAATACGGGAAAGAAGTCTTCCTTAGTGATATAGGTTATGCTTGCCTGTATTATCGCCTCGATCTGCTTGCCGTATACCGTCTTAAGCGGGCTAAAACACCTAATATCGAGCGGCTAGAGGATATAAGATAAGTACGGAGATATATAGAGCGTAATAATGTTGTTCTCCTTGTAGTAGAGCTCGAAGTCGATCGAGTAGTGGCTATTATAGCCGTCGAGGACGAGAAGGCGATAAACTCTAGTTGTTCGAGCTCTGGTATATATATTAAAATGCTTGATCTAATCTAGACCTCTCTTATTGCTAGTCCAACCGTTTTCGGATGTCGCGATAACCTATTCCTTTGGCAATAGGCTGCCCTTGTACTAAGAGGAGAGATGATATTTGCCCTGGACGATAATAAACGGCGGGATTGCCTAGCCAGTAGTATTAATACCCTGGATCACTATTGCCTACTCCCGATTGCCAGGCTGCTTTGACTTTGCCCTGCCATGACGTTCGGAGCTTGTGACAACCATTGAGGTTGCAATAACGCCTATTAGAAACCTAGTCTTGTCGAAGTTATAGATGTCTGCCTCCTAGATACCGTACTTTGCGATCGTATTCCGCACAAGCGTAAACTAGCCCCGAATAATTTCTGGGTCTTCGTATTAGGCCCTCTGGTAGTTGTATTTCCGATTGAAACGCGTAGTAAGCTTGGGGTTCCGTTTGACGAAGTTATATGCCTAACGTATACCGACGCATCCTATATTGCGTTCGGCAAGTAGTCGATTTGCTATATCTTCTACACCAGACAAGTGGGGAGGAAACCCTTTGGAATCCAGGTCGAGGATATATTGAACAATGACCGATTCTTCCAAATTGGTCAACTTCCGCGAATTGGCTGGAATATCGCGTCGTGATTATATACTACGCCTACGACGGCTTAGCTTGGTATAATGAACCGCATAGATCTTAGCTGCAGCTCTTAGGCTCAAAGTAGAGTCTTTCTCAAGAGCTTGGAGGGCTAAGATTATCTGGCGTTCGTCGTCTTTTGGATGCATATTGGGTTGCAAAGAAAATGTATGCGAGGAGAAGGCGTTGTATAGGCGCGGTAAAGTGGAGCATTCGCTTGTCTGGAGCATTCGCTTATCAACCACGTTATACTTAGTAGTATATGAAACCTGTTTTGGAATATTACTATAACATACGCCTAGGACTTGCTCTGGCTATTGGGGGTAGACTTTATGTAAATGATGGATAAGTAGACGAAACATTCATCATTGCCCCCTTAAGCTATATTTCCCAATACATTCTAATGCAACTAGAAACAAGAAGGACTAAATCATATGCTCTATCATGCGCTTAATGTACAAACAAGTTGGGTATTCATATACAAGTTGGGTAACCACGCTGTCATCCCCGTAACCCTCGGCTCATAGACGGGAAGCGCAATTACTGCGGCAAAAGCACGAGCCCTTAATCCTCACATCCGCGCCGGCCAGCGCAAGCTCAAGCTGGGGACGGATCATGCGCGCCTCGTCGTCCCGACCGAGACGCAGCAGACATTCGTGCAGACCATGGAGGGCCCACACGTTGTTCCGGTGCTGATGCGACCGCGGCAATGTGTCGTCCAACCCCAGATCCGCCTTGTAGACGGCCATGGCCTGCTCGACGCGGCCCTGCTCGAGGAGCAGCGCGCCGTACGCATGGCGGGTCGGCTGCATCCAGCCCCACGGCTCGTCGTACGGCAGCGAATCGTCCAATATGACGGCCCGGCGGAGGTGTTCGAACCCGAGCTCCACGTTGCCCCGACGGTACTCGAGCTCGCCGTCGAGCATGGCACCGGCGATTTTGAGGATGTCGGAGCATGCGTTGTTGAATATTGTCCGCGATGGCGGCACCCTCTTGACAGCTTCCCGAAAGAGCTCTCGATGGCGGTCGGCTTCCTCAATCCTCCCGGTGTTGGCCATCGCCACAACCTTGGCGTAGTAAGCCATGGCCGTTGTCATGGCGTAGAGGTCGGTATCTATCGGGATCTTCAGGTCGATGGCGTCTTGCCAACGACCGAAGCGGACGAGAACGTGTGGTCGCATGGACAGGAATCCCTCCACCCAGTCTGCCATCGGGGGGGACTTGATGCGCAGCAACTCTGCAGGGATCGTCTGCTCCAGGAGGTCTGCGGTCTCAAGCGCAGCGGCAGACTGTCCGGCAAACATGGCGGCGTACAGCCGGAAGTGGAAGTTGTGGCAACGGTAGAGACTGTAGAAATTGAGGGGTCCCTCCCTTGCGAGAAACTTCATGTCTGCCCTGATGGCAAGTTGATTGGCGGCGACCGCGTGCCGATAATTGCCGCAGAGAACGTCGATATGCGACGGCATATGGTTGAGATGGCCGGCATCCGGGACCAAGCCACACAAGTCCTCGGCAGCCCGGAGCGCTTGCTCGGGATGGCGCGACTGCTCCATGAGGTGGATATATAAATGTAGCAGCCCGGGATGTTTCGGGTGCTCAGCCATCGCCCGTTCCAGCGCAGCCTTCGCCTCCAGCGTTCCCTCTTTGACAGGCTCCCCCGTCCGCTCATCCCACAGTGCCCACGGGGTCAGGTTCATGACGGCATCTGCATAAATCGCAGCGACGTTTGGGTCACTGGGATACTGCAGGTACGCAGCCTCCATGGCCTGGGCGTAAGCCGTGTTGGCCTTGTACCCGTGGGAGGCGGTCATCCACGGCGTGGGGTAGCGTTGTTGGAGGGCGTTGAGGAGCGCCCGTTCCAGACCAGAGGCGTGGCGGGCTTGGTGGAGGCCCTCCGAGACGGCTTGGCTCGCCTTCATGACGTTACGCTCCAGTTCGAGCTCGTCAAAATGTCCCCAGGGCTTGTTGTAGTTGGGCCCCAGGGCGAAGGCGATGCCCCAATAAGCCATGGCGCAGCCGGGGTCCGCCGCGGCAGCCCGCTCGAAGCAGCGGACCGCCTCCTCATGGTTGAACGCGAACGTCCAGATAAGTCCGCGGTCGAACCATGATTGAGCCTTGTGGCTCACGGTGGAGATGGGCATGTGGAAATCCCCAAGGCTGTAGTAGCCGTCCACGCCGTCGCCGTTACCGTCGCCGTTCCCGCCGCCGCCGCCCAAGGGTACGGGCTTACGACTCCACGCCGGCGACATGCTGAAGGTAACGCTGTGCCGCGGGGGGGAGTTCGAAAAGTGGATGCGGCGTGGTCGCTCCTGGAGTAGTGGTTGGCTGGGGTAATTAATTAGTGAATGCAAGGTGGGACTGCGACGGGAAACCAAAAGTGGGGATTTCTGTTGCAGCTTGCTGCGTCGTGCGTTGTGAACCAAAAGCTGCAAGTGGACGCGGGAAGTTGCCGTTGCAGATTGCAAGATGGAAGTTGGTTGCAAACACGTCTTGGCCGTTGGCAGAAATGGATGATTGGCCCGGCAATTAAACGACCGGCAACGGACCGCCAAGTCATCACTGTCACGTGTGTTGCCACTGGCCACTTCGCTATTTTTGACCCAATCGCGGGGGAAATAATTCAATAAGCAACGGTGCATCGACCGCCCGGCCACGCATCGATGACAACCACTCACATTGGCATTTTACATCCGCACGGTGATCGACATACCTTTTTTGCACAGTATCAACCCAGGCGTGATCGGAGACTAGCATATGACAGGCTGCGGGGTTTGCGGCGAAGCCCGCCGCGGGCCGGCTGGGGTGTCATCGTGGACACCTTGTCGGTTGGCATTCCTCGATGAGGCAGGTTACTGGGCACCGAAGGCGGCACTGGCAGCTGCACCTAGAGCCAAGCGGCACGAGCCTCGGTGTCCTGATTCAGTTTGACATTTTGATTTCTAGTGCGGCTCAACAGGGAATTCATCTATATGTTGGGGACGCCCCGTCCGGGCTTTGGTGAGACTCCTGTCCGACCTGTACAGCCAGAGCTCGGGAGAGTGAGATACTAGGTAGTAGTTGTGCAGCTCCTCATCCACACAATGAAGGAATTTGCAAGCATCCTCTACCTGGCCTCGGCCGTGCTGGCCTTCCCCGCGCCCGGCGAGACCGTCGGCGCCCTCGTCCCGCGCCAAACCGCCAACCAGATCACGGACCAGTACCTCTTCAGCATCACTCTCCCAGCCTTCACAGCGAAGCGCAATGCCCGGGATCCGCCGACCCTGATCTGGGACTCGGACGGATGCAGCTCGTCCCCGGACAACCCGTTCGGCTTCCCCTTCGTTCCGGCCTGCCATCGCCACGACTTTGGCTACCGCAACTACAAGGCCCAGAACCGCTTCACCGATGCTGGCAAGCTGAGCATCGACAACAGCTTCAAGAAGGAGTCAGTTTGCTTTCTGCTTGCCTGGTGTTGAGCAACTGATTGATGTCCGTCCAGTCTCTACTACCAGTGCAGCTCCGTGAGCGCCCGGGGCGTCTGCGAGGCTCTCGCGGATGTGTACTACGCGGCCGTGCGGGCCTTCGGCGGCGATACCCAGGGCAAGCGGGACGAGGACCTCATCCGGGAGTACGAGGAGAAGGTGGCCATCTATAACAAGCTCGTCGCCGAGGCTCAGGAGAGGGGCGAGCTTTGGCGTATTGACTAGGGCAGGACAGTAGCAGTAGATAGCTACTAGTACTCTTGGATAGCAATATAAATATTAGTGGAACTCCCTTATGTAGTGAGGTCACTACTCCACGAAGTACTCAATCCCATCTCGAGGATGTCATCGGCCTGATCCGCTTCCACCGATCCGTCATCGAGCCCCTGACCGAGCGGTATGCGGCCTGGGCTTTGGAGGCTCTACCTGTTCCGACACGGGAGAAAAGACCTCATTCCAGCTCGTTTGTCGACCGGATATTATGGAACTCGCTGCCGGCCGCTGTCAAAGCCGTTCTGACGTACCGCGCGGAGATCACCAGCCCTGTTCATACCCAAGTGCGTGAGCAACCTCGCCCGTCCCACCCCAGCAAGGAGTGGCCGCTCAGCGACACGGAAAGGCGGCGCATTCAGCGTGGCATGTACCACTGGGAGATCTTCTGCAACGTCGTCGGCGACAAGGGCGGAGGCCGCAGCTCTTCGCACTATATCGGTGGGCCAACGTCGTCGACTGTGGAGGACGACTATATTGAGCAGCTGTATGTCTTCGCCCTGTTTCCCGCCCGGCAGGTCGAAGAGATGCTCAGCATATATGAGTTCATGAACGACATATACCTTGGCATCTTCCAGCAAGGAGCCGGAGTTTGGGGAATAGACGCCTTAGACGCTGTTCCAAGCCCAGAGTCTCGGTTTCGTACGCTGGTGCCGCCTTCCCCCTGTGATAAACGACGGTAAGTGTATATCATCTTTTCAACATACCCTTGGACGTAAGGTCAGGAACCTATTGACACCCGGGATTTAGTAGTAGTTGTCAGGGAGGCCGCTCGCAATGTCATAATACGCCACGGCCTTGGGCTGTTTGCCGACATATGCAAGACCTCAGATCACAAAGAGCGGGCCGCAATGGTACAGCACGGTCTTCCTCCCGTTCCATATCTACATCGATGCCTGCTGGGCTTGGGATGGTGGATGAGTTCGCTGTGGTCCGATAGGATGCAAGCACATCGCCGCGGGAGGTTCTACACGGAGCACGACACAGCGCAGGACAGGAAGGAGGAGACGCCGTTTGTCCAGGATACAACGGAATCGCCCTCGGCTGCCTGGGTGCTATTCTGGCGCCGAGTAGCGAGCAACCGCTTTGGCAAATACCACTTCCCCGACTCATTTCGCCAGTGGGGACTGGTGATGTGGGACGCTAGGCGGCTGAAAGTATCAGGCCACCATGCCGCTCTGGAATCATACACAGAATTGGCGACCACTCTAGCCCCTCGACCGACTACATTTCGCCGAGCCAACGGTACCATTGACACGGCCAACACGGCCATGCCGTTCTAGGCTCTAGAACCTAGAGAGGCAATACCCCAAGCTTAGGTAGTAGTTGTCACCTGCACATATACTTTGGGATAGGAGACAGAACGAAACCTGTTTCGGCCGTTACCAAGTCGCAGCTTTTCTCAGTTCTCTCCTTTTCTATTTTTCCCCGCAAGGGAACACGGCGACCGCCTACAGCTTGTCACCCGGTCTTGATGCCGCCTCCGCTGGCGCTAATAACACAGCCTGTGACCCACCTAGCATCGCGACCACACAGAAGCCCCACGGCGTCGGCCACATCCTCGGCCTGTCCAAACCGCGGGATGCTCTGCGCGGGGAAGAACTCATCCTGGAACATCTTGACCGCCTCCGGTCCGCAGTTGACGACAGCCTCGGTCTCGGTCAGACCGACTGTGACGGCATTCGCTGTTGTGCCGGACATGAAAGAATATCTCTCGTCCTTGCCGCCAAAGGCCTGCGCCCAGGTCCGGCACAGCGACTCGCCGGCCGACTTTCCCGCCGCGTACATGAGCTGATCGCTCCAGGGCTGGCGCGACCGGATGGACGAGATGTAGATGATGCGGCTGTCGGGCTGGAAGTAGCGCCTGCGTACAAGCTCCTCCACGATCATGACTGGGGTTTGGATGTTGGCCAGGAGGCTGCGCTGGATTTCGTCGGTTCCCATCTCGCCGATGATACCCGGCATGGGATCGCTGGCGGAGTTGACAAAGATATCGACTCGGCCGTTGAACGAATCTCTGGCCTCGTTGGCGATGGTGCTTGCGCAATCGTGGGAGAAGATGTTCGCGACAAGTCCTTTGATCTGAAGGGTCTCCGGTCGCTCTCTCGATGTGGCTTCAAAGACGCGGGTTGTCATCTCGTCATTCAAGTGTGATGAGATAGCCTTGACGCCCTTATCACCCGTGCAGGTTCCGAGGATGGAGCAACCTCGAGAAGCGAGGTTGAAGGCAATGGCGCGCCCGATGCCGCGAGAGGCACCGCTGATGACGGCCACCTTGCCTATGAGGTCTAGCTCGCGCACGGTGGACATGTTGGTTCGGGTGAGTCGATAAATATGGTCTGTACTCTTCCCAGTCCAATAAGCTCTTTCGGGTTTCTATTTGTCCTGATGCAGGACGGGTTGTAAAGTAAATACAGGGACTTGGCTAGCTACAATGGTGATGGTAAGCATGCCAACCCTCTGTGCGGGGTATCATCGTCTCCCGGTCATGTCCGACAACAGAACCAATGAAGCCTCAGAAGGTGTCTGCATCCTTGTGTTTTTGCTGGTATCCTGAGACAACGGGTCGCTAATTCTCATAGATCACCGCGTCCTGGTGTCAGGATCCGTTGACGTGCGTGGCGCACACCACGACAGAAGACGTATAAGGACAATCAGTTTCTAAGTAGGTACTATTCGCTCCTGCCGCTGAGGATTCAGATGTGCTAAGCATATAGGCAGGAATCTCGTTCAATTTAGCATATCAATACAAAGATCGGACAACAGTAACTCCCTTAACAGTCTCGATGATACTCTCTCCTCTCAGCCCTCACCAGACCCGGTAAGGTTCAGTCTAGAAGGCCACACATGGCCAGAACTGCCGCGTTCGAGCCTCCTTCGCCGTTCACATCCCCGACATAGCCGAGCCAGCCCCGGCCAACTTTGGTAAATGCCACGGCCACCTCCTCCGGCGTTTCACTATCGCTGTACCACACCGCCGACTTGTCGACGTTCTTCACGAAGAGGGCCTTCTGGCTGTATGAGGGTAGAAGCGGGCGGGATAAACCGCGGGTGCCAGCTTGTTGGCGCAACTTGACTGTTGTACGGCAATAGGATCCTCGCCGTCAAGGGAGGCCGATACGAGCGAAGAAGCGATCGAATTGGCCCATAGTGACCATGCTGCTGAAGCATCCTGCCACCACGACGGTGACTCCTTCACGAAGACGGTCTATGACGCGCTCCAGGACCTTGCTTTGGCGTGTTATGGCTCCGTCGGTGACAAGGATAACGGACGGCGCGGTTCTTCGCTGAGCTTGCGGAGGGCGGCCTCGGTTGTTGTAGCTCGCTCCATCTTGGCTTTGGAGTTGAGCTGTGAGACGAGGCTCCCATAACAGTCGTCAAACAGGCCCTCATACTCGAGGCATAGTGCAAGGATACGGGTGTTAGAACCGAGCCCAGCATTGGTGGGTGCAGGCGTGGTTCGGGAAGCAGCCTCGAGTGTGACGTCTCTGAACAGGGGTTCGGCCCTCCCCGTTTCAGCCGCCTTCTTTGCCCAGGTGTCGGCAACTGCATTTTGCTCTCTTGGAATTCTCCAGAGAGCAACGCGCAATCCGCGATCCCCCAATCTCTCCGTCTCGCCCAACAATAGCTCCCACAGATCTTTGTTCTTGACATTGTTGCCAGTGCCTGTCTTCCACCCGTTGCATATCCAGCCCCTGGTCCAGCCTGTGGCTCCGTCAACGACATAGGTCGAGTCCGTTGCAATGACGATGCTGTCAAAGCCCCTAGCTCGCCAGTCACAGAGGCGCAGCGCGGCGATGGCAGCCCGAAGCTCCGCTCGGTTGCTGGTTGCAACACTATCAGCCCCGAACGACCTTTTGTCCTCGAGCCGACCGCAGATCACAGCGTCAGGCCCATGCACCACCGCCCAGCCTGCACGAGGGTTTGCCTGCCCGTTTCCCATACCAGCACCGTCCACGTAAACAAGTACTTGCCCGGGTTGGTTGGCAGACACGTACCAGACACTTCCAACTTCGCCGACACGAGCTGGGAGAAAGACTTGAGAAGAGCTGTGTGCAGGAGGGATGAATTGCGTTGGAAATACGGATCTTACACCCCGCCTTTTCTCTATGGTCACTGTCATCTGTGCCAGGGTGGTAGACAGATCTTCGCCTGCACCGCCGACGGTGGTGGGACCTGTGTATGTGCGGACAAATGAGCAGGTATCTGCTCACCAGCACGAGGGCATCCTCGCTCTCCTGCCAAGCTGGCCTGCACTGATATACAGCCAGCTGTGCCTCCTCCATCGAACCGTGAGTGTAGTATGGAGGCATGGCCGCGCCCTCTCCCCATTCATCGACCAGTGCATCCCAGAAGTATGGATTCGTATCGTGTACGGTTCGGCAGAGCGTCCGGTACTGACGCTCCAAGGACGTAATTGTCCTCGCAATCGTCTGTTGGTCCATGTGTCGGACCCTTGAACGCACCAACCTTCCTACAGGCCGTGTCGGGCTCAAGCGTCTTCTCGAAGTCGAACCCAAATTGTGACTCCGAATATGCTTCCAAATCGAGACGGAGACGTAGCTTCAAGAGTGTGAGCATGACGAGATGACTGAGACTCAAGCTTCTGAACATCATGTCCACTGGCTCGAACGCATCGGCTTTGCGAGTGTCCAGATATGGTAGCGTCGTATCGTCCCAGTCGTAATTGCCGTCAACGTCAACGGTCGCCCGCCACTTGAGGAAATCGTAGTATTCCTGCTCTCGGCCAAGAGGTAGCAAGAGGCCAGGGACGATGTCCCGCGCACCCAAGTTGTCGCTCCGGCAAAGGCGAAGCATATCGGTGAAGTGGTCGAGCGCCTTCTCCATAGCAACTGCATTGTTGACTTTGAGGAGGGCGTCAGCGGCGTGGAACCGCGCCATCATGTAGTCGCGTGTGTCCAAGATACCCCAGAAATGCCCCATGCCATTCTTGAAAACGTCCGGCGGTAAGGAGAAATTGTCAGACTCCTTAGCACGAAGCGCGGCTTCTTCACGGTCAAGCTTTTCTCGGGCCTTCTTGATGGTGTTACAGACCGCCTTGTGCTTCGATCGGTGGGTCGCTTGGTGCGACGGGCCGCAGTAGCTGACAACCCTGCAGCCACTGCAGCGGCACAGCATAGAAGTTGAGGCGTAAACGGGGCATCTCTGAGGTGCTAGCCCATACCCGACGACGTCCGATTCGTCGTCTGAAGAAGAAGCGTAGTCGAGGTAACCGATAGTATCTATAATAACGGGCTAGTGTAGAACTCGTCAGCTGGGCGTTGAAAAAAGTTTCGGCAGTTTGGCCGCCAATTGATGCCACAGAGGACAGGCAGAAATGCAGCAGATGCTTGCGAAATTCACAGGCCGGGTAGAAAATGAACTTAAAGTCAGCCAAGGTCACCATCGATCGTCGATCGGTTATTATGGTGGAGCTTGAAGTTTGAGATGGTGTGGGGAGCTTGCTGCTTGGGAAGGGGTCTGGCCGCTAACCCCGCACGCCCCACTACCTAGTGCCGTACCGCCCCCCACATGCCACCTACCCTATGTGGTGAAAGTCGTGGGGCAGAGCGAGAACCCGTCCCAAACAAACCTTTATCTTCACGGTCTTTCATCAGTCAGTTTCTAGAAGCATTATCAAACACCGCCCAGTTGGCTGACTTGCATTTAATTGATTGGTTCTTGAACATCTAGAAACTGGATTTCGTTCATCGCTTGCCTGTCCGCCTGCCCAAGATCTTGCCGCCGCTCAGAGCTTTTAGCAGTTCTCTCGGTCATTTGAGTCGAAGTATCAGCTGGGCTTGAGAGTTGAGACTGAGTGCATCGCAGTTTCTGCCTTATATGCAGACTACGTCACTACGTTCTTGAGAGCTGAACTCTGCAGCCACTGTGGTTGTAGTAAGTAGTACATTCACCTGGTGGGTATGTAATCGCAGTTCACAATCTGTTATCGTCTCATGGCCAGTCAGCTTAACAGGCGGGTAATGAGCAAGTCCACCACAAGGCTCGAACTGCATGCCCTCTTCACATCCTTCGCTGAGCGCTGGATGCTGGCACTAATATACATTGCCACTGCAGGCGAGCTTCCGGCAGTCTCTCATCAAGGTTGAGCATTTTCTCCTCTTTGAGCATCAGGCGGCAACGCGCAACGGTTCTGTTGTAACGGTTGATCTCCGATACTCTGCATGCGGCTGAAACAGTGCATGGAGGCCTCACACTCCCCTCCAACTACCATCCCCTTTCACTTTTTTGACCGCTATCAAGGATGCTCACCACATACACCTTCCCTTTGCCACCATGGAGACAATGGCTTCGTTTCAGACACTCTGGGAGCAAGCACTGGAGGAATACTTCGCGACAACAAAGCGGACCGACAAGGAGAAGGAGAGTATCCGCAGCATCACAGATCCCGAAGCTCTACTTACGCGGGTAGAGGCGGGCAACAAAGACTTTGTGGGGTTCCGGGCCAAGCATACACGACTGCGAGATGTGTTGGGACGAGTGACTGGGTTCATCACGATTGTTGCCAAGGTGGCGGCGAACGCTCTGCAAAGCGGCCCTCTTGCACCTCTATCGGTCGTTCTCGGCGCCATCAGCTTCCTGGTGAAGAGTGCGGAAGGAGTCAGTACAGTATACGACTCCGTCGAGGATCTATTCGAGAAGATATTTGCATTCACAAGTCGGCTTGAGCTATATCTCGTGGGGAAGATCCAAGCTAAATTGCAGGGGTTGGTTGTCGGAACCCTGGTGTGCATCTTGCGAATCACCGCTCGCGCGGAGAAGTTGGTACGCGATGGACGATGGAAGAAGTACACGCAGCTTTTATTCCTCGGCCGAGATGAGAAGATCAAGGAACTGCTGCTGGAGCTGGGCAAGCTTCTTGACTGCGAGCATCGCTTGGTCGCGGCCATGGCATACACCATCAACTTACGTCTGGACAGCAAGACCGATACTCTGGTCGAATCGTCGACCAAGTCGTTGGGCGAGCTACAGCAGGTTCGGGCAGCGCTCGAAGACATTAGACCAGATGCTGCTAGGGCCCGCATAGAAGAGCATCTGATGACAGATACGCACCGGAAAAGCCTCGCTATTGATCATGAGTACCGCGAGACGGCGCTGAAGTCATCCGGCGAGTGGCTCCTTGCCGAACCAGCGTTCCTGGACTGGCTGGACCGCAAGTTGCGCACGCTATTCATCAGAGGCGGCCCCGGAACAGGGAAGTCTTACCTGTCTTCCATCTCGATCACAAAAGCAAAGACGACATACCCCTCAGATGACTTCGAGCGGCACAGCACCTCGGTGGCTTACTTCTACATCAAGGAGCACGACCAAGATCTTCTGCATCTGGCGAACATGCTGAAAAGCCTGGCGTATCAGATCTCCCAATCCGACTCGGCTTTTCGGAGCCACGCCATCCAAGTTCTTAGCAAGCCCGAGAGTGTCGTTACGCCGCGCATGCTCTGGGCACATCTGTTTCTCAATTTCTTCCAGTCCAGCAAGGCGCAGAGCTCAGCATTGATCATCCTGGACGGTCTTGACGAGGCTCCGAGGAAGACACAAAGGGATATCTTTGCCCTGCTTGCATCGATCCATCCACCGGTCGGCCAAACCGCATACTACCGCTTACAGGTAGCCCTCTTCGCCCGGCCCGAGGTGTCGGAGCATTTCCCAGTTGGGTTTGGACATGGCATAGCAACTATTGAGATCAGCAACAAGAACGAAGGCGACATCGCCGCTTATGTCAAGGAGCACGCAATGCGGATCTTAGTGGTCCGTCAGACTCTGCGACAACAGACAAAGAAGGCCGCTGCACAGTTAGCTCGTGATATCCGCGCTTGCGTTCTAAGCAAGGCCGACGGCATGTTCTTTAAGGTGGCGCTGATCATGGACCGGCTTGCCAACAAGGAGACGCGTGCAGCCCTCTTCGCCGCCATTGACGCATCACCACCCGGTCTCGACGCCATGCTTTCTCACATCTTTGCGCGGCTCCTGGTGGCAGACGAGGACGTAGATGTTGACGACTTCCGGGAGATTCTGCTTTGGATGAGCTTTGCCAAGCGACCGCTCTACCTCGCGGAACTGTATGGCATCGTTCGTGAGCGGACAGGTAGGCCGCCGGATGCTCTCGAGGCACGCATGCGGGGCCGCTTCGCCACTCTGTTCAAGGTTGGGAGCGCAAGTGGGAGCGAGAAGTGGCATCAAGGCGCCTTCGCGGCGCTAGACGACAACGAAGAATTCGATATAGACGATGCAGAGTTCGACAGTGACAACGATGACAGCAGCAACATCGACGGTCAGGATCAAGATTCACTAGGGGTCATTGCATCACACGGTCACGAGCACAACGGCGGTCGTAATAGAAGCAGAGCGCGTGTCGGCGACATGGGAACGCTCAACAGAGAGACGATGGAGCGGTTCTGGGCGGTCGACGTACGGTTTGCCCACTCCAGCATCCGCGACTTCGTTGTCAGCAACAGCGCCACTGGGATCGGTGTTTACATCAACCCCCGCGCCGCCGATGCTGGCATAGCCTTGCAGTGCATAAATCTCATTCTTCACACTCCAAACCCGGAAGAAATGGTGGACAGCTGCAGCCCTTTGTGGTATGCGACGACGTATTTCGCGGACCATCTCCTGTCAGTCGATTTGGATATTGCCCCACAGCGGCAAGAGCAGGAATTCGTTACCACGCTGTGCAAACTGTTCTTCAACGACGGGAACTTGCTGAGGCTGATCGACAAGCTTTATTACTGCTCCTACGCCAAGGCCCTACACCAGTTCTTCGTCGACCCATCCTTTCTCACCGCCATCCAGACTCGGTTCCTGGCTCGGGCGAGGAAGGAGTGGTATACACCAGCCGAGTGGTCTTGGATCCAGACATGTCTGTCCAAGCGTGTGGAGTTCCTCCGGCCGTTGGCTAGGCAGGCGGCCAGGATGTGGCTCACGCGGACGGGGCACGACGACGTTGCATACCTGTGGGCCGAGCGGCGCCAGCTCTTCCACGTGTGGATTGTGCATTGTTTCTTGCATGGAGTAAGCGTTCCCCTGGTTCGTTCTGCCACCTTTCAGATACACTCGTTCTAATGCCAGAGTGCTTTCTGCTACTAGGAACGAAGCCCCGAGGACTGCTGGCACTCCGATATTGACATTGGTCGACTGGTGGCACTGAAGCCACCGGATACAGATACAATAACTGCGTTTCTTGATTTTCACCCTAGCATCGAGAAGACCTGCCACTGGCACACGGCAATCGGTTGGTTGCTTTACCAGTTGAGCCAGGCAGATGCCGCCGTGGAGCACTTCACCGAGGCGGTCAGGCTGGACAGCCAGTGTTGGAGCGCCGTCCGTGGTCTAGGGTTCTCTTCCGCGCGGGCGATGGAGTACCGGAAGGCTGGTGAGCAGTTTGATCGCGCTGTGCAACTTGTTCCAGACAGCCTGAGAGACGCCGTTCGAATCCTACGACGGGACCAAGTGTCTATCATGGTGGCTCAACGAGGTCAAGATCTGAACAAGGCTGTCATCCTGGTCCGGAAAATGCTGTCCTACGTTCCGAATTTCCTCTCAGATCTCGGCACCACGATACTCTACATCCAAGCCCTGTACGGAGTCGGTGACTTCGTAGGCGTGCGTAACGTCTTCCGAGACCGCATGGCTATGCATCGCGGGCAGTGGGTGTATCAGTGGGTCAATCATCCGGCATATGGGTATGGAGACGCAGTGATCCAGCAGGTCTTTGAATTCAATGAGGTGAGACTGGAGATTGGCCGGGCCCTGCAGGCTACCAAGTCGCTAGACCTGCTGATGGCACCGGTTCAGCACTTTTTGGACGGCGACAACGCGGACACCACGTTCGCTAGGAAGCCCTGGGTGGCTGGGTGGCTGATTGAGATACTGTACGAGTGTTCGGACAACATCGACGATCCACTCCAGCTGTGCGAACGCGTTCTCGACCCGTCTTTCCGGGCCCGTCTCCATCCCGACCTCACTTGGGCGGCTAAGAGCTACTATCCCATTATGCCGGCGCAGAGGCACGCATCCAAGCTATACTACCTTCGCGGGATCACAGCTCTCTCCCAAGGCCAGATCGCCCAGGTCCACGCCAACGTCGACAAGCTAAAGGAGCTACTTTCCACGCCATATAGCGACACAAGCGACACAGACAATACAGAGATGCTTCAGGCTGTCTTGATGCGCCGGGCCGGCGGGCGGTACACATCGCAGTGGCGGCAACTCCTTGGCCCCAGAATCGTCGACTCTTTGCAGGAGCTACTAGTAGCGTCCGACAGCTCCGCACCACCGCCAATTCACGGCCTGATCCACGGCCTATCGCGACTAAGCAACCTGCTGATCGCGGCCGGCGATGCGACCAACGCGTGCACCGTTATCGCCTTATCCCTCCAGGGATTTCCTCCCTTCCAGAGCGAGGCCGAGTGGCGCTCGAAGGGGCGTCGGAGCTCATATTGGCTGTGCGACGGAGTGTGCACGACGTATGATAACCTCGATAGGATCTACAATGAGGTTCACCACGAGCTGTTCTACTGCACCGAATGCTTGGATGTGTGCTTCTGCGGGCCCTGCCACACGATGTTACGGACGGGAAAGCTGCCTTTCCGCATGTGTGGTCAAGACCATCACCTCGTCAAGCTGTTTCCTATTCCGCAGGAGTACATCGGTGTGGCCGGGCGCGTCATTAGGGAGGGAGACGGGTCAGGGGTCGAGGAGTTACAGTTCGACTTGAATCAGGAGTGGTTGACAAGACTGCTCAAGGAATGGTCTGGGCTCGTAACATCTGAGGATGAACCTTCTGGGGATGAAACGGGGGCCAATCTTTGATACCTTCTCCCTTACACTCGAACGATTGTCACTATGTGGACGACCAAAACATGCCTCGAGCCAAACATTTATTCTATGTTATTCTTAGTACTGCGCCTATCAAGCTCTAAAAGGATTGGCATCAGGCAACGCCGTAGGAGTGTTCTTGCGAGCCTTGGAATTAATCAGGTGCGCAAAGGACGGTGACCACTCCACACGCGGGTTGTAGGGCTCAAAGTCAAAGAGATAGCCCAGGGTGCGCAGAATGGAGGTGGCCGAGTACGACACGACCTCCCCGGCGGCATTCGCGGCTTGCTGCTCGACGTGGCCCTTGCTCACCCAGGGGGAGATGAGCAAGGTGGGGATGCGGCCACCGAGACGGTTGAACGGGAACGTGTACTTCCCTCCGGAGGGTGTGGAGGCCGTGTACGTCAGGTTGTCGGGCCTGGGAGCGAGCGGGGGAGGGACGTGGTCGTGGAAGCCGCCGGTCTCGTCGAAGGTCAGGATGAAGAGCGTCTCCTCCCACAGGGGGCTGGCTCGGAGCGCTTCGTAGACGTTCTTGATGAGCGCCTCGCCGGCCGAGATCAGGCCGGTGGGATGCATCGACGTGGTGCCCACGCCGCAGCACGACGGGTTGATGAAGCTGAGCGAGGTCAAGTTGCCGGCGGCGGCATCGACATAGAACTGCGACAGGTTGACCACGTTGCTGCTGAGGCCGGCGTCATACGTCCACTGGAACCATGAGGCCTCGGGTCCCGTGCCGCCGGCCGGGTCCCAGTAGTTCCTCCACTGGTGACCCTTCTCCGTGAGCGACTGGAAGATGGACGTCTGGTTGAACCCTTTGGCCGTGAAGGTGGCGTCGTTTGTGCCGTGGCCATAGGAGCTGCCGGACACAAGCGCGAGGCGGTTGGGGTTGGTGGGCTGCATTGCGCGTCAGTGTTCGGATTACAATAATGGCTGGATGAGCATAACTCACGCCGGGGACAGCCGAGTGCCAGTGGTTGAAGGTCACGAAGTTCTTGACCAGCGCGGTAAGAACCGGCACCTGCTCCTCGGTGTAGTAGTTCATGACCTGCTGCACCAGAGTGGAGCGGTTGACCTTCGAGCCGTACAGCCGCAGCTGCTCATGAACAAAGCCCTGCTGGGTGGGCTTCAAGCGGCCGGACGCAATGGCGTCGTTGTCCGGGTTGAAGCTGCCGTAAAACTGGAAGTTGTTGCCGTAGACGGCATGGTCCGGGTCGTTGGTGATGGAGTCGTAGCCGTTGGCAGCCGAGCAAACAGAGCCCTCGCCGAGGTTCGACACGTTGTAGGGATTGCGGAACGGCCCGTTGTGGATGGGGTTGTCGAGGCCCTTCTGCTTCTGCCCGCCCAGGAGGTTGTCAAGCGACCGGTTCTCCATGACCAGGATCACCACGTTCTTGATATGAGCCTTTAGGCTGTCGATGCTGCTTTTGTCATGAGCCGGCAGGGCCTGCGCCACAGCCAAGAGGGCCAGCAAGCCCTGAACTGTGGTGAGGTGCATCTTGACGGGATCAGAGCTAGGCGCAAAGTGATGATGGCCTGGAAGTTCGCCTCTCTGCGAGACAGTGTATGTGTCGACAACAGCGGCCATCGCCTTGTCTATTATACCCGATGTTGAAGACATGCCCCACCCACCTGCACATGCCTCTTCACTCTCCCGCCGTCTCCAGCGGCTTCAACCTACGTGCTTTGCTTTCCTCGTGTTTGGATTGACAATATTCGTACATCCATTTTCATCACCGGCTTCTTTTTTCGATACAGTACTCCACTCGGAGTCGGATGCCGTGTCGGCAGGCACACTTACACGCACACAGCACTCGCTCCCCAAGCACCACGTGTCCTGCCTTGTCCCGTGGTTGCATCATGTTCCCCCATTGGCCGGTCGCTTCCGGTCCGCTACGACGTGCAAGGGGGCCATGGTTGTTGGATGCTCGATCAAGCTTTCGCCAAGACGGGCAGGTCTGTCGATGCCGTTATTCCCGGCAACACCGCAACACCCCACAGTACGCGGGGATCCTGACCGTCCTGCCTGTTTTGGCACCGAGATGCGGAATCGAGATTCGGCTCACCAGTGAACGCGTGCCTGATTGTAAGCGGCCTGTCCCGCAGTCTCCACCAGATGGGTTCTCCCGGCGAGAACGTGCCTCTCAAGCTTTGGGACAGCCAATGAATGGTTATCCCTTGAGCATGCAAACAAACAGTTGTCGTTATTGGGGAGAGTTGACGGGAAAGAGAGGAAATCAAAGGATAAGTAATATGCTGGACAGCCTTGCTGCAATTAGTCGAGGTTTACGGTGAAGATATCTTAAGCTAGTCCTCTGCTCATTTCGTGAAGGGTCGCCAAAGCTACACCCGTTCCATACGCCATACACTCCAGACTGATGTCTCAAGATGTCACGAGTATGGCGTCCTCTGTTGGACACGCTGGGGCTGCAGCCGTCGGGCTCCGGCCGCCCAAATTCCCCTGTCAACTCGGAGACGCTCCCTCTCTACTCTTCCGACGCGGCAAGCGACACTTCAGACCCAACAACGACAAACCCACGAAATAGCAGTCTGGATGGCTACACAAGTCAAGTTCAAGTTCCTCCACCGGCACAACCACCATCACCATCACCTCCGGGCACCGGGGAGGTCAGCTCCCAACTCTTCCAACGCCCGACACTATCCCGCTTCCTCGCCGATTTCACGCTCGGCTTCGCCGACGGCCTGACGGTGCCCTTTGCGCTGACGGCGGGCCTCTCGTCGCTCGGCCATACCGACACGGTCATCTACGCTGGCATGGCCGAGATCTGCGCGGGCAGCATCAGCATGGGCATCGGCGGCTACCTGTCTGCGCGGGGCGAGGTGGCGGCGGCGGCTGCCGCGGATAAGGCCGGCGCCGAGGGTGAAAATTTTGGTTCTGGTTCTGGTTCCGGTATTGATGTTGAGGTTGAGGTTGCCGATGTCGTCCAGGAAGAGTCAGAGTCGGAGAAGGGCGGCTTCTTGGCTGCGTGGAGTAGTAGTGGCAGTGACAGTGACATTGTCGTCGTCGCGAACTATCTCGAGCCGCTGGAGCTGCCGCCGCAACTGCGCGAGATGGTATTACAACATACACATGGTTGTCCAGCTGTCGTGGAAGGGTTGCGGGAGACGCAGCGGAGAGGCGACCGCCAAAGGGACGAGGAAGGGGAAAATAGAGACGAGCGATTGCCGTCACCGCTCATGGCTGGGTTCTCTGTCGCACTTGGATATCTCCTGGGCGGCGTGCTTCCGTTGTTTCCTTACTTCTTTGTAAGGCACGTCAAGGACGGCCTGTCCTGGAGTTTTGGGGTGTGCGCCGTGGCGCTGTTTCTGTTCGGCTTCTGCAAGGATTTTGCGTTGAGTGGCAAGCCGCGCAGGATGCGCGGGAGCGACATACGACGTAGCGCCTGGGAAGGTGCGCAAATGGTATTTTTGGGGAGTGTGGCGGCGCTGGCCGCCGTATTGTGTGTAAGAGCGTTTGAGGGCATCCAAGTGGATCATAGTGAGCAGTCGCCGTAATGAAGAAGAGACAGGCCCGAGACAGGCCACACGTTCCCAAATGCGTGATTACACGAGAGCCTATTGTAGGTGATCTGCTATGGAGTCACCCCTCTGTGTCGTGGCATCCTAACGTTCATCTTCCACTCTTCTCAGCACCCAACGGAAGCCAGACTCCGGCATCAATATCCCGCCTCAGCCGCTCCCTCACCTCCGGCGAGGGCCGAGCAAAGCCTCCTGTCCTCTCAAACCACTCCTCCTCTTCGGGCGTATCATCTCTCCCAAAGTAGGCATTCCGATACGGATACCGCCCGAACCTGTCCACAATCGGCTTGTGGACATCCATCAGCATACACATCCAATACGTGTAGTCCTGCACCGTGGCCACCTCCTTCGGCGGTCCTGCAGCAAACACGCGCGGAAAGCCGTAGACATCCGATAGGATCGCTTCCCGCTGTGCGCGGTACGGATCCGTAGTCCGCGTCACCTCTTCCACCTGCCGCCGCGTCTCTTCCGTGAGAGCCAACGCCCGTTCCTGGATTGCGACCTGATCGGTGTGAACAAACGGTGCAACAAACCAGGTCCGCACGAGCACCCAGTAGCCAAGGGTGGTCCCCAGCGCCTTCCACCGGCCCCAGGATGCCGGTTTCTCGGCCACCTCTACGGGCAGAGCGTCGAGTGTCTGGGCGTACCGAAGGCTGATGACGTCGAAGTAGGCATTCGTCCAGCGCGCATCAATTCCTTTGCAAAGGCGCCGCGGCATCTGGTCGACGAGGAGCTGCAAGCCGAGCGCCTGCCGGGGGAACTGCGGGTCGGAGCTGGGCGGGAGGAAGGTGGTCAGGTCAGGGATGTTGCCCAAGCCCAGCTTGCTTAGAGATACCAAAATAGGCCAGACTGCTTGGACGACATCGCTGGCGAGAGGAGGTCCAGCCCCGAGGAGGTTGCCAGCAATAATCGCGAAGTCGAGAGGTTCAGTTGGTGAGAAGGGGATCACGGTGTCGACGACGAGGTTGAGGAGTGCGGGGGTGATGAGGGCGCGGAGCTGGTCGGCCATGGCCTGTTGCTCGTGAGAGACGAGAAAGTTCCTCCGAGTAATTTCTATTAAAGGAAGGAACCGACGAATGTGGAAAGGGTGAGTTGTTGAGGAAGATCGCAGAGGTGATTGTAGTTCCCGGAGGCTCCGTGGAAAGCGTTATCATATGAAGCCTGTAAGGAGTATCATTAGGACCGATCATACAGGTGTGGGGCTGAGCGGCTGCTTTTAGCTGGAGGTCACCTTCTCCCCGAGATTAGTAAGCTTACCTGCGACATTTAAGCTGCAGCTAGTATGCTACCCTTGTGTATTAGTAGTACCGCGGATATCACTCTAATAACCGCCCCACCGCCCTCCCCATGTTCTCCCATACCTTCTGCTCAAGCAACTCCCTAATCAAGTCACTATGACAAATCCACTCCCTCTCAAACTGGTCCCTTAACACCTCGCCTCTCCCCTTCCTCTACCTCTCCTTATCCGCCTAAGGTAGTCATACTCCTTCCTCATAGCCCTTCATAGAGTCTTGGGTTCTTGCTTGTCGAAGTACTAGTACTTGACACAATTTAAGATTCACTCCTCTCCTTTCCACCCATCGCCGACCCCTCTCATCCATTGCACTCCAACCAATTCCAAGCCATGCTTCTTCACGAACTCCTCCGCTCTAAAGCTCCGTCTCTGGACAAACTCCTCCCCTCCGACGTCGGCCTTCTCCAACAGCAACCCTTGTTCTGGCTCCCGAAACAACAAGAACAAGTACCTGTGCGGTCCCGACTCGTCCTTGGGTCCCGGGGCGAGGTACTGCGTGAGCGTCCTCCCTGTCGTCGTCACACATCTCGGCGTTGAGTTTGAGTCGGATTCTGCGGCGTCGGAGGGAAATGGGATGTTAACCACCACCCAGTGCCTCCAATACGCGAACTTGGGGTCGTCGGGAGTCGGCGCGTCAGGGTCAATCAGCATGAAGGTGAACTTTTGTCCTGATAGTGATGAGAAGGCCGTCGAGTCCCCAAGAGATGTGATAGAGACAATCGGCGCTTCCTTGACTTCGCTCACGCGCACGAGGGTGCCATTGGAGATGTGCTTGCCGCTAGGGAAGGCGACCTTGATCTCAACCGTGGGTGTGAAGTTGCCGTTGAGGACTCTAGACGGCAGCAGGCTGGCTTGCTTGAGCGAGTCGAGAAGCGGGTTTGCCATGGTACTGGTATTGATGAGGACAGTAGGGCGGTCGGGAAATCGGGACTTGTTGAGCGGATGGCCTCCAAGGGAATGCTGTGGTGAATATGGATGCTTATATTGCCCTCAGTCGACGAAGAGTGTCGGGGAGTTTGTAATTGGTGGGATTTGTAAGTTCCGTTCTTGGCGGTTATGCACCAGATGTCGACCAAAGGAGCCAATTGATCTTATCCAGAAACTTGAAGATGCCAATACTCCCTATGGGCCCGCATCAAGAAGAATGTTGGCGATGGAATCTGGACTGGGACCGTCCTAAGACATAAAGGAAATCGATGCAAAGGAAATCGATGCAATGGTGAGTTGCTAGGCTGATACCGCACGCCACGCTAATGCCGAGTTACTGAACACTCGGTGCTGCAGTTGCCTTGGCCATTGTGGTGGCGCTGGTGAGAAGGGAACAGCGTGAAAAAGCTCGCATGGACTTCCGTATTGTAACTGAGACTCTAAGACGGCTTCAGAGCTTGCGAAAGGCCAGGTCCCAGTTTCCGTTCGTCACTCTATCGGTATTCGGAGAGCTCGATCACAGGAAACAGTCATCCCTCTAACCAGAGAAAGCACCTTTCAGCTTACAAAGACATTATCATATGCTCAAGTGGAGCAAAGGTCAAGTGGGGAGAGAACTGCCTATCTCCGCGCAGGGCAAGAATGACTATGTCGGGCAAGACAAAACCTCCAACTTAGAATTGCTTACCTATGTGACCTGGGTGAGGAAGCGTGCAATCGCCGTTCTGCTCGAGTTTATATCGCTATCCTCGTCCAGTAGTCGCCGGGTATTTACTAGGAGTTACCCACCTTCGGAAGGATTGGGGATCATTGTCTCCGCTGAATAATAAATGTGGTATTTGTCATCCAACTCTCCTACTCATATGGTTATGTTTCTCCGGCGCAGCGACATCGCATTAATAAGAATCTCATGGCGTTTGGTGTAAATACTTCCTTCCCATCTCTGCAATGTTGACATGAGCTCTTCGCTATCCAGCTAGCACTTTCGGATTCACCCTTAACCCTTACACCCCGGCCCCCCGCTATAACTCGGAAACTCTTATTACGTTGCCTTAACAATGTCTTCTTACAACCTTGTCCCGCCTCGACGCGTAACAGCGTCCAATCTGCCCCTGCCCTCCAACGTCCGAGAGGACGAGCATGCCGAACCCGGCGTCGAGGTCAAGGTCGACACTCTAAAGACCGCGCCCCTCCTCGACGGCACATTGATGCGCACGGTCGTGGCCACCAATAAGCAGATCCCAACTAGCAACGACGGCCAGTAAGTTGGCAACCGATTGCTCGGTTGATTACCGTACAAGTGCTGGTGGTGCATACTGACAAATTCTCCTCCATAGTGGAGAACTCCCACTCGACACAGTCCCAGGCATGGGCATCGTGCTCCCCGGCGGCTTGAACATGTACTACCTTGACGTTGCGCCCAACACGGAAGGTACCATGCACCGCACCACGTCGACAGACTACTTGGTGGTCATCTCGGGCAAGCTGAGCCTTATGACACCCGGGTCTGAGGCGTACTCCGTCCAGGATGGCAAACCAACGTATAGAGAGGCCGTCGAGACGGTATGTCACGCCGGCGAGGTTGTTATCCAACGAGGAATGATGCATGCGTAGGGCCTTTCTGTCTATCCCGGATTTTATTCGCTCGAATGCTTAGTACTGACTTCCCTATTAGACTGTCTAACCGGACGAATGAGTGGGTGAGACTGCTTGTGGTTGTGCTGTCGTCTGAGCCAAACAAGGTGCCCGTTGAGGGAGCTGACGGCCATAAAGTGCTCGCCGACACATGGCTACCTTGAGCTCAGATGGAGGTCAAAGGTCAGGTTAAAAGCCAGACGCGGCAGCAACTGAAGGTACCTAAATTTCAGCGCGAAAAGGACTGTTGGTGAAAAACAGTAACTCGGGAGAAGCATACCTAGTCAAGATAGAGAAGGGTCATTTATTCTAAATACTAGGTTACATGCTAGATAACTACCTGGTCCTCAGCTCTTTGTCCTGGCGCGCTTTGAGCACGGCGCGATTACCCAACCGCACAAGCTCGGCGGCAAAGTCGTCCCCCATCTTCATATGCGTCATCTAGTCTTGGGCGGGCCGGCGGAGGCGCATCTCCTTAATCATCATTGGTGCCGAATCTGGCAAGCCCAAGTCTGTCTCGGCATCCTCATGGAGCAGGTTGTAACAGGTGCCCAATGACCCTAACCCTGCCTCATCTGCGTCAAACACCCATCTTATCACGGACCCACTGGCCCACCTGATCTTCATTCGACGCCAGGAACGTGGACTTTCAATTTGGCCGCCAACTACCACGTTCGCCAGATACATTAGTCACTGTTGCATCAAACAGAAAGCCAACCAATTTCGTGGAAACCAGCAAAGACATAAGTCAAGTAGCTGAAGTATCCATCTGTTTAGTAGGTATGGAGGATCTATCGACAAGCTCGAATGCCAGCGATCGCTCGTCAACGCCTGACGTCTCGAAGTTACATTCAAGTTGTCACTGGTACATGTACCAGGCACGGCCGATCACTCCTCCTCAAGATGCGGGAGACGGCGACCTCTACAGGTGCATTGCATAGTCGATTACGGCCGAAAGCCCTTCTCCGTCACTTGGCAGGGAGCGCGCGAGTACCCTGATCTCAGCCACTTTCCCAACCTCGACCACGTTGAAGTCTCCCCAGTAGCCCTAAGCCCTGCTCTCGCTGCCATCTGGAGAGACTCGACGATTCTGGACTACGGTTCCTACGCGTCTATCCGAGCCTTGGAGCATGGCGACAGTCCCTTTCCCATTCTCAAGCTCGCCCATCCGGACACGCAATCCCTCGAGCTCATCCAACACGAGTTCAACATCCTCAGCGATTTGAAGTCGCTGGGCCTGCCGGTTCCAGAGATCGACACACAGCCCATTGTCGACGGCGGGCGAATCTGCGGCTACCGGATGAAGGCGTTAACCAAGCTCAAACCATCCGAGCTACGTTGTCGGCAGCACGACATTCGACGCGTTCTTCTACAGCTCCACTCGGCTGGATTCTGCCACGGGGATGTGACTCCCAGCAACATCATGCAGGACGGCAGCGATCGCATTATATTGATTGACTTTGGCTTTGCGGGGCGAGCAGGCAGCGCCGTCCCGCCTTTTATCCCTAGCTGGGTGTATGCTGGTGGCATCTTCGAGCCGACTGGTGACTGGAAAGCATTCGAGCGGTTCTTTAGAGAGCCCTGAACCTTTAGGGTTTATGGTCCTTGCACCAACCCGACCAGAATGCAATCGGCACCTCCTCAACGCCCTTACAATCCTCCATCCCCTGTTTGCCACAGGCTTCCAGACTGCCTGCGTTGACAGTGCAGCCGCAGTTGGACCATTTTCTGACCTCCTGTTTGTACATGTCGGAACCTACAGTTGAGGCCGGTGCTCCTCGAAAGGAGACAAGTCATTATGATCCTCGACCTTAGGCGCACGGCACATACCGGGGCAGACATGAACAGGAACTCCTCTGTCGTCCCTTTGCATCGCCATGGATTGTATAATCACTTGCCCTTGCGAGTGGCGACTGTTTGCCCCCATGTTCGATCCGAAAAAAAAAATCAAGTAGCTGCGAAGTCAGCAAGGGTTTGTACAATGAGCTTGATCCGACACCAAAACGTCCACATGCGGCTTCGCTCCCCTCTTAGGCAGCGTCTCTGTTGTTTACGAAGAACACGACCTGCACGGTGATATCATCCCGGAGTCGCCGGGAGAATGGAGCGTCAAACGCTAGCCGGGCCGCTACCAGCTCGTGGTGATTTCCACCCAGGGAGTTACGCACCAGATGCACGGCGGCATTGTTGTCCTGGATGGTCGTTCTTCCCTCGACAAACCCCGGGTTCACCACATTTCGAAGCTGGCTGAAGTCGAACGGTTCACGAGTCGAGTCCGGATTCGTGCCTCCCTTGTCTGACCCATTCGACTCGAGCCATTTCCCTACTAACTCGACGGCCTGCTGGTCGGAAAGCCTGTCCCACAACCCATCCGTTGCCATGATCAAGACGGTAGGTTTGCCGGGGTCGATCTTTGTCGCCGTCATGACCGGCTCAGCAGTCAAGTATGGCGGCGTACGGACGTCGTACTTTGGCGGCAATGGTGCTGGGCCGTGAAATCTTCGCCTTAGATCCTGCTGGAGTTCCAGCGGTGGATTCTCGTGCGGCGCGGGTAGTGCCGCGCTTACGCTAGCGCTTCGGGCGCCGGGACGATCCCCCCCAGTCTTGACTTTTCTGCCACCTTGCCAATGCGATACGCCTGCTCGCACTCCCATGCATGGGCTGCTCACACCCCCATCTAACCGCATTCGGAAGGGCGCCGAGGAGTCAAGCCACACCAACTTATTGCAGGCGACTTCCCCCAACTTGCAGCCAGGCATGGGAGTCGAGCAGGCGGGTCGTGCCAATTGAGTCAAAATTTGTCTTAAATTAGACGCTCGTTGCATGAGGTTCAGCTCTGGGCAGCGGCTAGATCGTGGGAGCCAGAGGCAATGGACCCGTCCATTGGATGAAAATTGTGGGACTCACAATGACCACGGCGCTTATGGTTTGTCAGAAATAGTGGATCCGATTCCTGCACGACTCTCAGCCATCCATTGATCACACGTCACCCATCTTGAAACCTTCTTCCCGGGACACATAACGAACCGAGACCTCGCCCTCCCTTCCATTCTCATCGCCATGGCCCGCATTCGAGCCCAAACAGCGGCCCAGAAGGCGCTTCCATCACCGCGCTTGACGGAAAGGATAAATGGACGGCGTATCGATTTACGAAGAACGTCTATGACACGTGGATGCCAGAGCATTTCAAGAACATTTGCTCCGCCATCGATCAGTTGCCACCGGATTTGGACTTCGATGTCCCGCCGCTTTCTGAGGCAACCGGGCTTTCCCAGCATTTGGGGGACTTGATGTCGGAGGCCGGCTCCGCTTCAGAGCCCGTCGAACCAGATATCCAGTCGAGCAATGCTTGGCAGCAAGGTGGCACTCCGGGCACCTCATTCACAGTGCCGGAGGGTGGGAAGAGGAGGAAGGCTTAAATCGAGAAATGAATTTATCCGCCGTTGTCCTACACAGCACCAGCCGGCAGGCACCGGCGCGATTGCGAAGAATCTGCCAGCGTTGCCAGTACAATACGGGCTTGGTTTCTAACTCATGAGTGGACGAAGATGCTGATACGCCTGTTCAAGATGAGCACGCGCAGGAGCCTTTGGCTACCGGTGGGTTTCTGTCTTATTGAGGCTCCATATGCGAAGCGGGCCAACCAGGACTTTGCACTCTTAAGGAAAGCATTAGTGATAGATCCTCTACCTCACGGCAGGAATTCGCTCTCGTGGTGGAGTTTCGCCAATAACGGTGTCAAACTCCTACTATCGGTTAGCTTGTGCCTCGCAGAGGTGAGAATTCTTCTCACCTTCATTAAAGCAAAGACCCGGACAATGGCATCCGGATCACCTAGCCCTTTAAAACGGCCAGACTTGGTCCTGTTCATCACGAGCTCTTTCACGACTCGAGCCAGCTATGGCGCGCTGGACACCATATCTTTATTGGTAACTTCCTTGTTCTGCACTTGCGCAATGATAACTTTAAGCCTCGCTCAATACTAGACCACTAAAGTATATGACCGCCCTGCGTATATGTCTGATCGCGTTGTATCCTAAACACGAAGTGAATCGTGCTAGATGGAAAGAAAACCGTCTGGCCTGGTAAGAGGACGACGTATCTCTATTCGCATTCGGTATAGCTATATAGGCGTCACATCTACTTATCTTCTTCTTGCTAACTTAGGCGAGACATTTAACTAAAGCCGACGTGCCCTTCCTGAACTATAAGCCAGGTTAGGTAGCTATGACTATCTATGTACGGTATAGTATTATGCCCGCCTTCGGATGCAAGGCCCTATCCGATTACGTTATGCTATATACTCTAATCTTCCCCGGATGCTGCTATCCTCTCGGCACTACTACCTACTAGCATGGCATTACGTACCCGGAGGAGGAGCTGATAGTTCTCTCTTTCTAGGAACGCCGGTAATACTAAAGGTAACGGGCTCTAAAGATCCAGAAGGTTCCAGGGATTGTTTATCGGCCTCGGGCTAAGGAATCGGTCTTGGACTTCTAGTAGTGTAAAACCACCAGTAGACTTAGAGGTTCACCGCAGTCGAGAGATGTCACGTAGCAGTAATGATGCATAGCAGTAGGTGTTCGCATTGCTCAACAACTGAACCTTAGGGACGAAGTCTCCTCCCTCTCGGAAGCGCATCGACTGCGTATCTATATGACATCGGTGGCTCCGCCACTGATCACCCTGCTGCTGCATGGTGTCTCCTTGCATCTAACCTCCTTAGTGACAGTGGTGACAAGTAGTGTCCTGCTTTCAAAGGACTTGTCTTTAGTGCTACGGGACGGTGCCTAGATAGATACGCGCCGACCAAAACTAAGATCTCCTAAATAGCACAAAGTAGCTGCTCGATCGGGCGGTCCTTCCTAGGCTACTAGAAACGCTAATAACCCTTTATAAAAAGTGCTATGTTAAGTGACTTAAGCTCCACCCTTTGTGTGGCTTCTTTTCCGCTATCCGGGATGGCTCCCCTGTGGAGGGACTGCTGTCGGACTATGAGTCCGTACGTGTCGAAGCATAACCAGAGGGCAAGTCTCCAATGGAGAGCTCTATACGGAAGGGCGTCGTTTTCGGGGTCTCCGTCCTTAAAGTACTAGGTATATACGCATCGCTGCAAGTTGTCTGACATCCATCTCACTTTCAATTAAAAAGAGGCTCCAGGTATAGGCTCAATGCTATCAATGACACGATACTAACTATAATTACGCTCCAATTTTCAGCGCTCAAAGAGTAAAGATGTCGCCCCCTTGAACCCAGTTTGCCTTCTCGGCCCAGGGCAGAGTGATCACGAACATCCCCTTGACAGCGGTTACAGTAGGTCTGATGCAGCCCGGATGCCCGAAACCAACAGGCACGCACCAGGCGACAAGGGACATCCGACGGAGCTCTCTGAAGGGGAAGATGCGCAGCGGCCTGTTGGTGCTACGCGACCACTACTGGTGGGGGATTGATCCGATTGGCAGATTTGCTGTTACGGCATTTGGGCTCTTTCAACTTCCCCAATCTGGCACCGCGTCGGGGGACACCCACAAACAACCGCGGACAAGAAAAGGCTGCCCCCAAAATCTCGTTATTCTGTCAACTGCAACTTCGACCTGCCCAACTACAGCTGCGCTTTGCATGCGAATCGCTTCATCCTGCATCATGCCGCCCGTTGCCTCCGACAATGACCTCCCCAAGTTGCTCAACGCCAACGGAACAAGTCAAGCGTATTAAGAAGCTGGTGTTAGAGCATCTTGGAAGCGCCTCCCAGCGCGTCGACAGGCCGCCCCTGCAGGGGATGTTCAGCCGGACCTTCTTCGTTACGCTGGCTGATGGACGCGAAGTGGTCATCCAATTCCGAACCGAGGAACTGAATCTCGACGCCTTCAAGGTAGCCAAAGGCGCCCTGGGCCAAGTCGTCCCCGATGCTGTGGCTCTCAAAGACGGAGAGCTGGAGAATGAGGGCGTCTGGGCTTACTCCCTCGAGCGTCTGCGGGAAAGATGTGGGTCCACGGCGTCGCCGGCAAGGGCGCTGAAGGCCGCGTAGCCGTCAATAGGTCGCTCGGGCGTGTGCTCTCCAAGGGCTGCATTGCCGACAGCAGCGGCGAGGCTATGTCAACAAAAGTCCGGCCGCATCTTGAGGCCATACTGGCCAGCCCACTGGACGAGGTCGCGACATATCGACCCTTGCTACAAGAGTTCTTTGACAAGCTGAACGAGATTAGCAAGCTACCACTTTGGGTCTCGCACTACGACCTTAACGATGTCAACGTCCTTATCGACGAATCATGTGAAGTTACCGGCTTGGTCGACTGGGAGTTGTCAACGCCGAAACCCTTTGGCGTGGGTCTCGGCCGCATCCAAACCCTGGCTGGCGAATACACGGGGGGCGAGTTCTGGAGGCCGGACGAGTTCGAGGTTGCGGAACGAGCCTTTTGGAAGGAGCTGTTTGCTGGGATGTCCCAGAAGACTCGTGAGATGTTGGAGAAGAATATCGGTCTTGTCCAGGACGCTGTTATTCTCGGCACGCTCTTGGACACCTTCTTCTGGGAGGATGGAAAAGTAGGCTGCGGCGAGGTATCCATGAAGACCCTTCCCAAATTCCTTACCTATCGGATTCCCCAGGCAAGGGGGCATGAGCTCCCGTACAAGGAGTAGAGCTCTCGATCTGCGTGATTCAGACTGGGAAGCAGGACGTAGTCACAAGAGAGATTCAGATACAAACAATAAAGAAACTCTGTTGAACAGTATAATCGCACCTTGCTCGAATCGGCAGGTGGAAAGTCCACGCTCATCAAATAGCAAAGGTATTGACCTCCAGTTGTCACTCGAGGTGGGCTGTCCCCTGGCCCGGATACGGCGTCCGAGGAGCTGTACGGGGGTTAGATCCTCCGGCTGCTTGTAGAGGGGTACGGCGCGTGGTGCGTACTACACCAGGTTCAACTCGGAATTCGTGGCCAGCCTTGCTGATACGCTGCGGGGGGTGCTGCTGGAGCGAGGACTGTAGACGTTTCCCGTTGATGATATTGTACGTTACTATTTTGAATTTTTTTTTCACTCTGGCAGAATACCTTCGCGCTTCAGTTGCACTCAATTTCGAGATCTGCACTCATTGTATATGACATCAAGCCGCCAACTACTTCACAGTATCGCCGGATTTGCCTGTCGCTTTTGACATATAGTACCGTACTGCCCTGATTCAGAAATCTCAAGAGCGTGGAGCATTCTCATGACAACTGTCGTAGTGACACGCATGCCACGTACCATACTGTCAAATGAGTTTTTAGAATAACGGACGATGGTGGATTGCATTCGGTACGCTGATATACCAACGGATGTACTATGTGTATTGTCTCTGGGACGCAGTCTACTGTCTACCTTACTGTCTAGGTGTTAGGAGCAATTGGCGAAAGCCGAGTACTATTCTCCCCAGATTGACACCTCCATGGCTGAATCTCCGAGGGTGGGGACGAGGCATAGGTGCACACCACCCAGTCCAGAGAATCCATCCCTCCCAAGGGAAGAGACAGACCTTCGAGGGCTCGGAATCAGCAAAAGCGATGCGCATTGCTTGTACTGGTGGAGACATTGTGGAGCTGGTGGAGCTGGGGAAGATGTTGTGCAGCCGACAGCTGCCGACTGCGACCCTTGGGTACCCGGTCACGTGCCGCTACATGTACTGTAAACATGTACTTCATCCGGTCATAGTCCGCCAAGCATGTACCTACACTTGTCACTAAAGTACCTACGCACATATCGATCTCCCGCATGAAGTTGGTGGGGTAGCCTGTAGGGACTAGGGAGGGATCCGCTTGCCAAGCGAAGGTAGGTAGGTTGGTGAGGGTAGCCTCTGGCGAGTGGCAGCCTGCTCTCAACGGCACAACGAAGGGGTGAGCGAATCTCGTGTACCAATAATAACTGAGCAAACCATACTCACGTGAGGTTCACATGTATGTACAATACTAAGCCAAATGCAGCAAGCAGCTTCGTCATGTGTCTCGACTGTGTCAACGACTGTGCACAACGCACTAAACCCAAAGCAGCAAACCCTTCGCCATCGTCTGTACTCTGTATGCGTGAATCGGATTAATCGAAGTAAGCAATAGCAGACAGTTGGAGGAGGAGTGTTGATTACCCCGTGCGTTCGTGAGGTAGTATAATCGGGATGGCACGGTAGTCCACGAACGCTTCATGACGCCCGAGGACGTCATTGAGTCGTCGTATGTCATTCACTCCCCAGTCCTAGGCAACGTTGCCGTCTGGGTGGATGGTCATTTCGACCACGACGAGTACTGCCCTGGCTCGGAGACGAGATACGACGACTCGGACTGGGAGCCGGATACGGACGGAGATCTGGATGACGACATGTCCGACTGGGACAGCGACGAGGATTCTGGATATGGAACGGGGGATGACTGGGGTAATGTTGATAGTAGTAGTGATGAGGAAGACTCGGAGGGGGATGACGACAGTTAGGACGGCGGTCTTTTCTCGCTTTGATGTTTTCTTTAGTATACTAGTAATCTACCTGGAACAACAAACTGTGGTTGAGCCCCTATATCTCCACCACCGTTGTGATTCTCCTGTCTACACCAAGTAGCCCGACCAGCAGGTTCATACCATCAACAGCACCATGGGTGGCTCCGCGGGGAGACTCCCCTCTTGCGGACGATCAGTACTAGTACTCGCGCAGCGCGCATTGCATATCGGACAGGTGTCGTGGCGCTCCAGGAACCAGTTTGCGATGCATCCGGAGTGAAAGAGATGGTGACATGGCAGTGTGCGGACCAAGCTCTCGTCCTGGAAGCCCTCCAAGCAAATGACGCTGCGGGGAGTTTAAAGAAAAGGGGCAGTCAGCATCAGCCCAAAACTCTAAAAAGGGAATGAGACAGCATGAGGGCAAGGTGACTTGCCAATCAACAGACTGACCACATTGGTCTGGTATGATGTTTGCTCCCTCTACATCGGCCCGCATCTGCTTGTAAGTCTGGCCCTGTTCGATGGGATAAGGGGGCGGGCTGCGGTGGGCTAGTGGGATGCCATGTCTCTCGATTTCGGTCCGCAATTCCGGATTGGCACGGGCCGCGGCCGTACGCATCCTTCTCCTTGTCCTTATTTGACTTGCTTGTGAGCCAGGAGGTATGTCTCAGTCAGAGATGGAGCTTGACAGATGAGGCCAACATACATGATCATGAGACAAACAAGGAGGGCCATGAATACTATGAAAATCCCAAAGATGACGAATCCAATCCATATTGATGAGCCGCTGTTCCCATCGCTGCTGCGCCTCTGGGTCTGGGGGGATGGAGGGCGATCAAAGGTCGGAGGGGTCTCGGTGCTGCCCATGCTAAGAGTAAGGATCATGACAGGTACTGGTACTACTAGTAAGGATGTCCGTTTTGGGGCTTTCGAGGTTCCAGACAATGGTTGGTGTCTCGGAGCGGGATCATGATGAGAAGTCGGATGTGGCCGTTGCCAACTTGAAGTTGCAACAGTAATGCACTGCGGCCGGACCGTGTCAGAAACCTGGAGTCATGTCGGTTGAGATCCGGGGAACAAAGGGGTTGAGGGGTTCATACTCCAACAAACTCCAAACTCCAAGAGCTGCACAGCCCCAATGAATGCTGTCAACGACGTTGGCCAAGACCTGGGTAACCACCTCCCCACGTCATCCCTTTGCTGCAGCTTTACGACTATGGAGGTCTTTGACGTTCTAGTACTGCGTGCTATCCGCAAAGTGATATATAATCTGGATGCTTGTACATCATCTGGCGTGTGGTCAAGGGGCATGTCTTGTGAACTGAATAGTACCTACCATTTCTGCGTGAATCATAATGGATCCATTGGATAGCCACAATTTTCCGTCGCCGGCCGGCGCCCATATTGATGGTATCGTCAGCACCGCCGCCGAGAGCAAGCCAGGTGGGAATCCATTTTTGCTTACCGATCTTTCAGAGCCTGTAGCTAATTGTTCTATCGGTAGATGCTGGGTCATCACCGGCCGAAGCGACCCCGATACAGCCAGATCCCGGAGAAGAAAGCCTCTTCAACATCGGGGACAGCCCGTTTGGTCTGTCGCCGGGACGTCTGTCCAGGCTCATAGAACCCAAATGCGTTGCCGCCCTGCAAGCGCTGGGAGGGTTACCGGGGCTTGAACGAGGCCTTCGGACGGACGTCCGAGCAGGCCTCAGCATCTACGAGACCAAGGTGCAGAAAGCGCCGGACCAGCCAAACGGGGGCCCTGCAAAGCCGCCTTCGCTTCTCAACAAAAGGGACTCGGACCACTACAGCGACCGTCGCCGCATCTTCGGCGAGAACCGGCTGCCGGACCGCAAATCCAAGTCGTTCCTCGCACTGGCCTGGGTCGCGCTGCAAGACCGCGTGCTGATCCTCCTCAGCGTGGCAGCAGCCATCTCACTCGCGCTGGGGCTCTACCAGACCTTTGACGGCCACCACGATGAAGGGCAGGGGCCGGCGCGCGTCGAGTGGATCGAGGGCGTCGCCATCATCGTCGCCATCCTCGTGGTCGTCCTGGTCGGCGCGCTAAATGACTGGCAAAAGGAGCGGCAGTTCCGCAGGCTGAATCGGAAGAAGGAGGATCGGTTCGTGACGGTGGTGCGGTCGGGGCGGGCGGCAAGGCTGTCGGTGCATGACGTGCTCGTGGGCGATGTCATGGTCGTGGAGCAGGGGGATGTCATTCCCGTGGACGGGGTGCTGATTGAGGGGCACAATGTCAGCTGTGATGAGTCGTCGGCAACGGGGGAGTCGGATGTCGTCAAGAAGATGCCGGCAGACGTGGTCTCGCAACATTTTCTGCAGCGGGATGTGAACGAAAGAAAGCTGGACCCATTTCTGCTCTCTGGGGCTAGGGTACTGGACGGCGTCGGGAAGTTTCTTGTTACCGCGGTCGGACCACACTCCAGCCTCGGGCGGACGATGATGGCGTTGCGCAATGATCCCGGAATGACACCGTTGCAGGCGCGGCTAAACATCCTCGCAGGTAGGTACCGGGTATTTATGAGCCCATTGTCGAGGGTGTAGTCAATGCTAACGAGGCTCCTCAGGGTATATCGCCAAGCTGGGGAGTGCGGCAGGGCTGCTCCTATTTACGGTGCTCCTGATCGAGTTTCTGGCGAGACTTCCTGGCAACACAGCCAGCAGTGAGGAGAAGGGACAGACCTTCCTCCGGATCCTCATCACGGCCATCACCATCATTGTTGTCGCCGTGCCCGAGGGTCTGCCGCTGGCCGTGACGCTGTCGCTCGCCTTTGCCACCAAGAAAATGACGAGGGAAAACAACCTCGTGCGGCACCTGCAGTCGTGCGAGACCATGGGCAACGCGACTGTCATCTGTTCGGACAAGACAGGGACCCTGACACAGAATGTCATGACAGTTGTCGCGGGCTGTCTGGGCATAGGCGGGATTACGTTTGGCGATAAACCGTTCTCGCCTCGTCGGACGGAAAGGGGAGGTTCGGACAGTAATGGAATATCCACCACTCACGATAGCACGGGAGAGAAACAGCAGCTCACAATATCAGAGCTGGCATCTACCGTGTCCCCCGAAGTCCGCACGCTCATCAAAGAATCCGTCGCCATCAACAGCACAGCTTTCGAGGGCGAAGAAAACAGCCAGCCCATCTTCATTGGCACCAAGACAGAAACGGCACTCCTCGACTGGGCCAGACAGAGCTTCAGTCTCGGCCCCCTGGCCACGGAACGCACCCAATATCCACTCGTTTACGTCCTGCCCTTCAACTCCCGCCGCAAATGCATGGGCTCCGTCATGCGCCTCCCCAACAACAAGCACCGCCTGCTCGTCAAGGGCGCACCAGAGGTCGTCCTGGAGCAATGCAGCACAGCGGTCGCCGATCCCGCGCAGCCGCCCTCTCCCTCCCCGCTCCAGGAGTCAGACAAGAAGGAAATCTCCAACATCGTATCTCAATACGCATCCCTGTCCCTCCGTACGCTGGCCCTTGCATACCGAGACCTCGACACCTGGCCACCACCGGAGACTGGGAGCGAAGAACAACACACCGATGATGGCTACGCAAACCTGTTATTCCACAACATGACGTGGCTCGGTGTGGTGGCCATCCAAGACCCCGTCCGCGAAGGTGTCCCCGCTGCGGTGCGCGACTGTCGGCGCGCGTCGGTGACCGTCAAGATGGTCACGGGCGACAAGGTGGAAACGGCCCGAGCCATCGCGCGCGAGTGCGGTATCATCACCGACGACAACAACAACAATCATAATGGGATTCGCGTGATGGAGGGCGCCGAGTTCAGCCGGTTAAGCGAGGAGCAGCGGCGGACCGTCGTTCGAGAGCTGTGCGTACTCGCCCGGTCGAGCCCCGACAACAAGCGCGTACTGGTGGAGTCGCTGCGCGCGCTGGGCGAGGTGGTGGCCGTGACGGGCGACGGCACCAACGACGCCCCTGCGCTGAAGGCGGCCGACGTGGGCTTCTCGATGGGGGTGACCGGCACCGAAGTGGCCAAGGAGGCGTCCGACATTATCCTGATGGACGACAACTTCTCGTCCATCGTCAAAGCGCTCGCATGGGGTAGGGCAATCAACGACGCCGTCAAGAAGTTCCTGCAGTTCCAGATCACGGTCAACATCACGGCCGTGGTGCTGACCTTCGTGTCGGCCGTGGCCAGCAGCGAGGAGCGTTCCGTGCTCAACGCCATCCAGCTGCTCTGGGTCAATTTGATCATGGACACGTTTGCCGCCCTGGCGCTGGCCACGGACCCGCCCAACGGCAGCCTGCTGGACCGCGCGCCCGAACCGAGGAAGGCGCTGCTGATCACGCTGACCATGTGGAAGATGATCCTCGGCCAGTCGCTGTACCAGCTGGCTGTGTGCCTGACGCTGCATTTTGCAGGGCCGTCGCTCTTATGGTACTACCCCGAGCCGCAGCTGCGGACGCTGGTGTTCAACACGTTTGTGTTTATGCAGATCTTCAAGTTGGTGAACAGCCGGCGGATCGACAACAAGCTCAACATTTTCGAGGGGCTGCATCGCAATCACCTGTTCATGCTCATGCTGGCGGTTATGGTGGCCGGGCAGGTGCTGATTGTCTTTGTCGGTGGCGATGCCTTTGTGGTTGTCCGGCTGAACGGTGTGCAGTGGGAGATTTCGCTTGTGCTTGGTTTCCTGTCGATTCCGGCGGGAATACTGATACGTCTGGTTCCGGATGCTTGGCTACGGGCCTGTGTGCGAAGAGTGCCAGCCTTGCCGCGATGGCGACGAAAGAGACAAGAGAAGGACGAGGAGGCATGTACTAGTGCCAACGGCCGAGACCTCGAGAGCGCCATGTTTGTGGTCAGGGACGACCTGGCCTTCCTCAAGCGGGTCCGCGGTGGGAGAATTGCGGCGTTGAGCGAGGCCATTGCCGTCCGTCCAGGTCAGAATCATGTCGAGCTTGGCCAAAGAAGGCGTTCCAAGTCGACGGTGCAGTCTGCGGTCGGTATGCCAGGTTTACTTGCCGCCAGCATCGGCGCAGCCCGAAGTCAGGACCACCCGCAGTGTCGAGCAGAGTAGCCCCTGATGAAGTACCTTATACCTTGGACTGCGATGATATCATGAGCACACAGAGATATTCAGGGAGAAGTCTGGAGCATATGACTATTGTCATCTGTTTGAGTGCGATATACTCACAGCAGAAAGGAAACGAGAGAAAGTCAGGTACTGTATAGTATCCTCATTGCGAAGTAAGCCGCGGGTTAAAGCCGAACTGCGAGTATGCCTACGCCTTATCCTCCTCCAACCGGGCCAAGAACCCATTTACAGCCATCTGAAACGCATCCGGCTCATCGGCAGGCGGGTTATGTCCCGATGCCTCAAATACCACCAACTCGCTGTTCCGGATTGCCCTGTGGATGCTCTCGGCCTCCTCGACCGGGCAGATTGGGTCGTGCCGGCCCACCAGGACAAGAGTAGGGGTCTTGATGTCGGAGAGCCTGGACCGGACGTCGAACCGCGGGACGCTGAAGGAAAAGGCGGCATTGTGCGTCTCCCAGTGCAGATCGAACTCCTCACTGGCGCCTTCAAAGTTTGCAGGTGCAGCCGACGACTCCTCGCTCCTCTCCCGGGAGTAAATCGTGACGATCTCAGCAAGCGCCCGTTCGCAGTCTTCCCTGTCTCGGACGTTCCCAGACCAGAGACGGACTTGCCGGGCCGGGTCTGGCGTGATACGGTGAGAGGTCAGTATTGCGCCGAGAGCTCGAAGAACGCCTATCGGACCGGAGGACCAGGTATCCCGGAGGATCAGAGACGAGAGACGGGTGGGATGGGTCAGAGCGTAGCCGAGCGCAAGGAAGCCGCCGTACGAACCGCCGGCCAGAACAAACGTCTCAGCGCCAGCCCAGGCTCTGTGCAAGAGAGGTTAGTTAGGTAGGTAGGTAGGTAGGTAGGTAGGTAGGCGCAGCAGCAACTCCCGAGACATTCCACTTACCTCAGCTCGTCCACATCAGAAATCCACTGCTCGTCGGTGAAGGGACCCTTCAGGTCACTCAACCCGCTGCCTCTGGCATCGTAAACGAGGACACGGAACCTGTCGCCGAGGAAGCTGTAGGCCGACTCGGGTTCCGTGTGGCTGGACAATCCAGGCGCGCCGTGCAGGGCAATGAGCAGGGGCTTTTCCTTGTCATCAATCCCCAGGACACGCACGCGCAGGTTCGCGCCGTCGCTCAGTTGGACTTTGGTGTCAGTGAAGGGCATGGCTCGTGTCGGCTCGTGGTGCTCTGGTCAGGTGAACCGTGGGATTTTGGAGCTTGCCCGATACCTTCCAAGGTTATTAACATCCGATGCAGATGGGGAGCTTTATACTTCGCGAGCATAGTCTTCTATGGGCTCAATCATTGATAAGCTCCGTTGTATAAGCCGCGATTCTAAACCCTCGATTTCCTCTTTGGGGACCCCCTCGCTAAGCGATGTCACAAGAGTTACCGGATCGGGGAATTGCGTCGCTCAGCGAGAGTTTTACCCAGCGGCGAATTACGCGAGACACTGCGACTCTCAGGGAACAACGACCAGCCAGAGAAAGCAGAATATAAGAAAGCGAAGGTATGCTTATTCTTCGTATAGAAACATAACCAGTTCGATACATGATTATGCGAGACAGTAATAAATCTAGTATCTGCTGGTCAAGACTGCGATTACCTGTTTGCATAGCGACTATAGACTCGCACTTGCAGGTCGGGGTCCTGTAGCTCCTCTCAACGGTCTCGCTTACCCGACAATATCACTGTCAGCCAACGTCCATCCACACGTGTTACCTCGTACCAATCGCCCCAGTATTCAGTCCCCAGTCCTCCCTAGCCAGCAGCGCTTTGATAGTATCCAACCTCCTGACCAGATTCCCGGTGATCGCAAGCAACCACTGCAAGTTCAATCTCCCGGCCTCAGCAAGCTCCAGCACACCCCTTTCGATGCGGTCCTCAAATTCCTCCAACCTATCCCGTATCACTTCCACCCGCTCGCGCACCCCGCTAGCCACCCCGAGCAACATCGCCCGCTTGACCGCCACGTCCCGCTCTCTGTTTGGTGGTCGATAGCTCCCCAAGCTTACACGCATGTCATTATCCCAAAGGTACAGTGACGGGTTGGCGCAGATGTCGCAGAGGAGGTTGAGCTGGCGCTGGTGCAGCAGTGCAAGCGTCATGAGACGCGTGCAGCCCGTGTCGCAGAGGACGCAGGCCAGATACTTGCACGCGTGCTCCGAGGCCGAGTCCAGGACGGTCATGCATACGTCAAGGCCTGCCGAGCCGCGCTGATTGAGCGTGGAGATCAGTTTGTTGCAGGCGGCGTGGACGGAGGCATAGCATGCATCCGGGCATTTCTCGCCTTCGCTGGCGACCATGATGGTCGTGGAAATGGGAGCTGTTGTCGCACCCGTCGACGGAAACATGTCGATGGGGTTTGCAAAGTCTGTTGTGTGTCGTTGGCCGGAGGGGAAAGAGTCTCCCTGCATAATAATACAAGACTATCTATCAGCGACGACTTTACTCGATAGTTGTGAAAGGGAAGGTTACCTACGACATTTATCATACTCTCTGAGGGCAATGGAAACAGAGGTTCCTTGCTCCACCCTTGTAACAGTACCGTCATCGGATCTCCAGCGGCAATGTTAGGGGTGTCAGGGGCGTCCACCGGGACAGAAATCGCCTCCTCAAGGTGCACCTCGGGGCCCACATCAGCTTGGGGGCCGTCGCTCGCTTTCCGTTTGCCCCTCCGCCGGGAAATGCTATACACGCATGACTCGGGCTCCGCCGCTGTAGCGCACCTTCGACACGGGTTCCCTCTCGAGCATTTCACGCGGGCCTTACGACACGCGTTGCAGGAGGTGTTGTACTTGCATATCGCCGGCTGCGGAGTCACGGTGCGGTTCGAAATGTCGGCGTGTCGAGACCGCCCACTCGTTTGCAGGGAGTTGACTTTCCATCGGCTGGTGTAGGCCGGGGGTACGCCGCTGGAGGCTGGCATCGGTCGTCAAAAATGGAGGAATTATATAATACCTAGAGGGGATAGATTGTTACGTTATGTCGCGTCTATGAACGTGAGGGTTCTTGGAGGCAAGACAACTTCTGGAAAGATACCGCACCCCTTCCACATCCCTAGATCACGTGCTTTGACGCGTGTGGGGTTTCCTAAATGCGGGTGACCCGCATGCCCAATTCCTTGTGCCAGATCTTCAAGCGCAGGATAGTGTTGGAGAAGAGGAAGAGCGAAGATGAACAAGAAGGGGAGAAAGGGGCCAATGACACGGTTACAGGAACTTAAGTCAGGACATCACCGAAACATGCGCCCGAAATGTATGCTTTGCGACACCCCCTGCGGCTCTGCCAACGCTATCTTCCCAATGCCATGTCGGTTATTCCGAGACCCATCGATTTGGTGGCTTCGATATCCGTCCGGATCTCGTGACGGTTTCGGGTTTCCTCGCCAATGCCCCAGACCAGTGCCTCCTTTTAACCACCTTGCGCGGACCGAATTGATGTTGGTGGGGTAACTCATCCTTGGAGCGCGAGGTCCTAATTGACTGCTTTGCGCTGCGAGGCCTCAGCTTTCTCTGGACGGCTGCCCTCTGTGCGATGACATCCGGGTTTTCTGTCGCGGCAGGTTCGCCGTGGTGCATCGACTGCCGCTGCTGCTCAATCCAGTCCAGTAAGACCATGTGCCGCTTGATGTCCCGCTCACCGAACCCGATGCATTGCGTTATGGGATATATATCCTTCGCAGGAGCTTCGGCCAGCTCCTTGTTCAGCTTGTCGCGTTTCCCCTCAAACTCCTCGAGGCGTCCAAGCTGGTAGTTCTGAAACTCGATCCACCGTTCCAGAGGGCTCTGTTGCTAGAGATCCTCTGTCAAACGTACATCACCGTCAAGCCCATGCCGTTGTCAGCGTTCGCGAATTCTTTGTTCCAAGTCTTCAAGTTTGAATCTGTGCCGCATCCGCTGCTGATAGAAACGGAACTGTTTCCAAGCGTTGAACTGGGCCGTAAGCGGCACATCATCTGCGCCTGGGAATGACTGCCAGTAGGCTATAATCGCCCGGCAGTTATCGGGCGGATTCCGCAACATTAAAACGTCGAGGCCCGGCGGGTAGCACGGTGGGCAGCCCTCGGTTTCAAGCTTTTGGCGCGACTCGGCTTCAAACCGGCGGGACTCCTCAAGTTCTGCTTGCTCATCCACGGGCGGCGTTACATCTCTGGAGCATCGCAGTGTCAGCGCGCGAGGAGAGGAGCAGAAAGCAACACACTCACCTTAATGCCGCCTGAAGCATATCCGCCTGAACTTTGCTTCCTGCCTGCAGTTGTCGTGCTTTTTGGGTAACCAACATCCGCTCTTCTGGCGAGAGGTTCTCAACTCCCGGGATCGTGACGAGACTATGCGGCCCAGGTGGGCAAGCGTCAGCTGTGGTCTCGAGCAATTGCGGCAGAGGAAGTTCGAGTACAGCATATCTCCATAATCGTCAATTTTCGTTTGTAGAGCCAGCTCATCCAGGTGAGATATCCGTATGGCAGTCTGCAATCTCTGGCCACCAACTGCAGCACCCTGGGCGTCAACAAGCGTTGCCGAGGGCCAATGGACGCGGTGGCTTGCTGCAGTTTGGTGGCCGGTCGGGTATGGAAATGAATGCGCGTCTCTCTTCCGTACACGCAGCTGCCTCCCCCCCCCAGTCTGCTTTCCTTTTCCTCTCCCACTTTGCTTTCCTTTTCCTCCTACTTTCCTTTCCTTCTCCTCTCCCACTTTCTCATGCAGCAAACTGCCAGCGCCCTTCCACATTTCCTGACATGGGCATGTACGACCATAACGTCTTCGCAGTCCTGACACCCCAGGACAACAAGAATAAGGCCAGTAGCGCTTTCAAATTAGCCCACAATGCGAGATGATTCCGGCCCGCTGTCGGGGCGTGGCTGAAAAGGCCACCATCAGCAGCCGAGAGCCCACGCCAGCCGTCGATGCAGGTGCACAGGAAGAAGGGACCGCTGACCGCCTTGTCCTGACGTTCTCTGAGCTTATGCAACTCGAAGGCTTAGGAGAGGGGACCATGGCGGGCACAAGCACGGCGACGTCTCACATCCTCCTGGGCTATCGGGGCACCACGGGCATTAGCAGCCGCTAGTTTCGCGTCGTCGTCGATAACAATATGCGCATCTGGCTGTACGACCGCTACTCATCGCATGGGACCGCGGTTGGGTATAACGGGCAGAACGAGGGGGAAATACGTCTGAGTGAGACGTGGATCCTGGCGTACGGTCCCGGCGAGCGCAACCCCTTTGACCACATCACCGTCGTCTCGGGTGGTCTCATCATCAGCATTGAGTTTCCTAACCATCAAGGCAACGAGGCACGTTACATTGAGAACCTGCGCGTACTCATCAAGAAAGCCCGGGAAGACGAGGTTCCGGGCCTCGGGGACTCGGCCTCGTCAGCCCGGTCACGACCGAACCACCCAGTGAAGCCCAGGCCACCTCTGAACGCCTGATCTACTTCAGAAAACGCGAAATTGGGAGGGGCGCGTTCAGTCGCGTGATCCGACTCATCAGAGCCCGCGACGGCAAGTACTTCGCTGGCAAGATTTTCACGCCGCCACCGACCAGCAAAAAGAGGCGCCGCGGGGACATCGACCCAGCATGGACCACTGGGATTCGAAGAGAGTATACCATTGTGAAGGAAAATCCCCATGTATGCTTCTATCCCTTGGTTATTATTTTTGCCTTTCCTTTCCATCCTTCCTCCCCTTTCTACCTTCTTGTTTTCTTTGTAGTTTTCATCTTTTCTTCTCTCCGATGGCTACCAGGTCATGATAAGGTACCATATCCAGGCTTGAATACTGATGATTACCCACAGTCCAACATTGTCCAAATGATTGAGTTGCACGAAAGCCCTGATATCATGATCATCATGCCCTACTTCAAGTGCGGGAACATAGTGCAGGCCGAAGTATACGAGGAATCCAAGCTCGTGACCGCCTTCGGGCAGCTCCTTGACTGCCTCACATTCTTGCAAACGCGAGGCATTACGCACCGTGACATCAAACCCGACAACGTGTTGGTGGAAGTGGCGCCACGCTTCAAGGTCACACTAAGCTACTTCGGTTTGTCCAAAGCCGTCACCGACACGACATGGCTCCAGACCTTTTGCGGAACGCTCAAGTACACCGCGCCCGATGTGTTCCCTTTCAGCCAGCTGCGCTACGGGCCAGCTGCTCATGTGTGGTCCCTCGGTGTGATGGCAGTCGAGTGGTTGTACGGCTTCCCGGCGTTGCCGGCGGTGCCCAACCCGGCGCAGAACGCGTCACCGGACCAGTGGCGTGCCGGGTCCCGGACCTGGGTCGACATCCTGACGAATCAGCTGGATGACCAGGAGGAAGGCGCGGATGTCGAGCTGCTGCAGGGCATGCTGGTCGTCGACCAGACGAAGCGACTGAGTGCTTATACGTGCCTCGAGAAGGGCCTTGAGAACGGCTTGTTTAAGCGGTGAACCTTCGACGGGCTCGTATGTGTGCCCGGACTCCTGAGGAAGGAGCTGACAACATGTTCGTTGGCGGAGGTGGCCCACCTGTACGCACCCGGGCGGATGCCGAAGACGATGCTGTTGACGCTACTCTTAGTAATCTGATAGATAGTTCGTCCTGTCGGCCTTTCCTCATGTCCTCCATCAAGTAGTAACTATCCGATTCTCCTGAAGTTCCCCAAGTCGGAACTTGCAGACTTTGCAATGCGAGATGCCGCTCGTTTTTCTTAGTCAGGGGCCGAGCTGATGTCCGGATCGGATCATCCAAAAGAATTGGGTGCAGTTGAGGCTGGCTTTACTCTGCGTTTGGGTGTGGGTCCGGTAATACACCTCCACCAGCCACCCGGCCCTGCACTAGCCACCTGGGCCCACCACAACCACAAACGCCCACGAGAGTAAGGTCTGTGCCTCAGAGACTAGAGCGATCAACTCCTCATGGTTGTGGCTATTGCTACATATACGAGTCCGTCCGATGGACCATGTAAGCCGGTTCCCGTGTCATGATCATATGCTCATGGATCTCCCTATTCATCCTCTCAACCCTCTCCTCTCGCTCGCGCTCCCTTCGCTCCTGCATCTGGAACTTCCGCAGCGCCACAACGTGCCGGTGTATTTGCGCCAGGTCGGTGGACATGAGCGCAGCCAAGTGTGACGCGCCCACGACGCTCGAGACGACGGCCCAAGCCGTCGCGTTGGGACCCAGGACCGAGCCCGCAAAGGCGCCACCGAGAAAGATGGCGAGGAGGGGGAGGTAGGCGAATCCTAGGGTGGTAAAATAGGCGATGGAGCAGATCACGAGTGAGCGGTTGAAGGTGTAGATGTAGACGTAGAAGTTCTTCGTCGGTCTTGGCGCGGGGGGTGAAGAGCAGCTGGGGGGTTGGCTCTGGTCGCCCAGCTCTGCGTTATCGGAGGATCCAGGTTCGTGCATTATTTTGGAATTGTCGTGAAGGTTAGGTACAGATCCATCCTGGAGAATGGAGGGACCGATGGAACCCCGGTTCTCGCTATAGAACACTCTCCCGGTGTCGTCATTGCCGTCGTCCACGTGCTCGATCCTCAAGGAGTCTTCATCAGCTCTATGCGTATGGGCGTGGTCGGATGTCTTTTGAGAGTCATCACTCCTGTTATTCGCGCGAGGACTAGCCCCTTCTCTTCCGGCGTCAATGTCTACGTCCTCGCCCTGGTTGTGTGGGCTAGCAGTTTTCTCTGTATCAATAGGGCTCACTGGCATGGGTTTCATGTCTGTGCAATCATCTTCCGGCGCGGCTTCGTGTTCCTCGTGTTTGCCCGAGCCCCGGGCGCTGGACTGTGAAGCGCGGCCTGTCAAGGGAGGGGCACCGGAACCCGAGACGCTCGCATCCGACAAGACGGGATGGCCACTGGACCTCCTAAGCAGCACGTCGACTTGTAACACCGGCCCCGGCCCACTCGTATAGACTTGCCGAAGCCAGCGGCCGGGGGTGGCGGTCCTCTGTTCTTGGGGCACAGCCGGATCTCCGCCTCTCCTGCTTTCCTTGGTAATTACCGACTGTGCGACTTGATAATTCAAAGGGTCAAGAAGGCGGACAGGCGTGTAGCCTTGTTGGCCGGCGGTGGTCCAGAACTCGAGCCAAGCGTCGCTCGTGTCCATGGAGAACCCTTTCTTCGCCCGCCGAGAAGCTGCGGAGTGCACGGTTGGTTAACTAGAGCGCGTTTGCTAAAGCTATTGAACCCGGCCCGGGGACTTTGTTTCCACCTACCCATATAATTATCGTACGCGGGCGTAGCGAAGAAGAGAAGTGAGAAAATGGGGATGAGCTGTCCGAAGGAAAGCTCCCACTGCGAAAGTGGCGGCAGAGCCGTCCAAGACACGAGGAGGGATGTGAGGCCAAAGGTGAAATAGAACACGAGCCACGAAAGCTCCCAGAAAAAGGAATCGGCAAGGTCGCCGAGCAGAATGCGAAGAAAGTCCCGGAGTCCGCGGGCGTCCGGCTTCGCAGCCCAATCCGGCGCGCCCTGGCCCAGGCTACTCTTCGCTATGCGCCGCTGGTTCAGGACGACGCGTCCGGGATCCATCATCCACTGGTACTCTTCGCCCAACCCGAATATCCTGCGGAAGAAGAGCTCTTGGATCCCGAGGAGTCGGGCCATCCGCCGCACGTACCCACCCACGGCGATCAGGATAAAGAGGAGGGACTGCAATATAGACACCGTGACCTGCATGCCGTTGAGCCGCGGGTGATGGAGAGGAGGCACATGTTTACGACGCAGGTTAGCCAGGCGGTGGAGGTGGACATGCGGAACGCGTACGCAGAGAGCTGGTGGAGCTCGGAGATGCGGACGTAGAGGGATAGGGTGATGGCCAGGCCGAGGAGGAGAAGCTGGTCGTTTTGGCTGCGGAGGACGTCGAAGAGGATGGCGTCGACTGCTTCCCTGGTGAATATCGACTCCCCGGCCTCGCCCTCGGGTTCTGGTGTGACACCCTCTTCGTCGCGGGTTGGCTTGCGCTTGTGGAAGACATGCTTTAGGGCTGTGACGATGACGGCGTCGATGTCATTACAGAGGCTGGGAATGGCGAAGCGGAGGTACAGCGTGATGGCCATTGCAAAGGCGAGGCACGTAGATATGAGGAAAGCTATGATGACCTTCTTTTCAATTAGCAGAAACCCATGGAAAGCTAGGGGTTCAAACATACAACGAGCCCGGCGACATCGGGATCGCCCGGATCCTCCAGCTGGCAGGAATCCGGCAGTTCTATCATAAGCGTCGACATGTTACGAGTCTCAAGCGAGGTAGCTCAAAGAGGACGACGAGCTCGTCAGGGCGTTTGATAGAGAAGAGTTATAGCTGTGATGAAGCATTCTCAAGAATAGAGTTTACCTCTGGGACGGGAACCGTCAATATATATTCGGTGGGGCACCTTTACCAGGAACGAAGGTTACGCTTGGCGGGTTTCTAGCAAACAAGCTACCCAATCGCTCAATGAGGCGGGGACACTATAACTCAACATCGTCAATGTGGGCAGCCTGATTGCGAAGCCTGCATCCTATTCGTCTGGGCAAGGAGAACCAGGGCTCCTATGCCCTTTTCGTGCATGGCAGCGTTACATCAGGCCACGCTCCTGTTACCAGTCAGACATATCTGGCAGCGAACGGGCGCAAGCCGTATCTAGCCCAATGGCGGCAGTCCTCCTTTTGTAGCCTGCATGTTCAGCTGGGATGGCACCCCTGCAACCAGAAGAGAATTCATCACTACACACCTTGTGCCACACCCCGCTTGACCACTGCGAGGCTCCCGAGGGAGGCGCCAACGTCGCGTCGCGATAGGCAAGCACGACGGCATAGCTGGCACCTACATGACGCACGTGTACCTTCCAATCACTAGCTTCTTAATGGCGAACTTGTATTACCGCCTAGGTAACCTGAGCAGGTGAGGAGATCTCGACGTGCGTCTCGATATACCATCGATAAAACGGACCTGGTCTCCCAGCCCGAGAGAAGGCAATTCGCCAGACGCGTTTGAAGTTCCAATCATAACTGTCACAACAACTTGACATCTCCGATCCAAATTTGTAGGTCGCAGTGACCACCAGACCAGTGGGCAATAGCTCCTCTCGAGTGGAAGGAATCTTGAGCTAATGCCGCTCATAGATGTGCACTTGGAAGAAGACTTTACGCACGGGCAAAAATGGAGCTTGCCAGTCGGAACTAGCCAGGCAACGAGAGCACAACTGTGGGAATAGCTGTGATGACCTCCAGGCCACAAGGTGGACGGTGATGCGAGAAGGCACTTGCGCAGCCTGCAAATATGCAACCCCGCCAGACAGCAGCGACACTGATTGTTGAGCGTTGAAAGGAAGGGCATGCTGCTTGGAAGACTGGCAGCTGTGCACAGCTGCCAAAGAAGTGTGACACCGTGGATTCGTCGCGTACAGTTCAACCCCTGAATGATTGTTAGTGCGGAACTTACGACAGGGGTTCTGCTCTCAGGCCGGAAATGACACTCCTAAACCACGAAAAGAGCTGGCTCAACGCAGAAGAACAGGGCATCTTGCAATAACCTAAAAGGGTGAGTTCATCTGTATGTTTTTTCCGGAGAAAATTTAGCCGTTTTAACGTTAAGATTGAGATTTTGGGGTAGACCTTGGTCTTCAAGTCAGCCGCTAACGAACATTCAGGATATCCAGAGGGCCGTCTACTCAGCCAGGCAGCACGTCTCGCCAACCGACCGCAGCGTAGGGCACTCGTTGCCAAGGTTGGAGTCATATTGGATAAAAAGAACGCGAAGATGGCCGCTTTGAGGGAGGCTCTGCAAACCGCACGCAGGGACCTAGAAGCTCAGAAGCAACGCACGAAGACTAGAGTCAAGGAGAATGCGAACGACTCGTTCTCGTTTGCGCGTGTTGAGGATATACCTGCAGTTCAGGAAGCAAGTGAGAGAACCCCGCCCCCCAACCCAAGCGGAGGAAGGCAGTCAGGCAGAATAACCTAAGTTTGAGCAGGGACAGGAAATGATTATCTATGGTCTGGATCTTCTTCGGCAGGCTGAGGAGATGTAGAAAACTAAGATTTAGTACACCTGCAACGCTGGCTTACCTTACCTCTCAAGTTCCTTCTTGTGCACATCACCCACAACACCGACGTCCTTCGATTTTCGTTCCAACGGAACCGCCGAAGTATTGTTTCATTTTTTTCTGAACGGTTGTGAGAGCGATGCCTGGTTCCGTCGACCGCGGGTGGGTTTTCGAGGGCTCAGCTGAACAGGATCCGAGTAGAGGCAAACCCGCATACAGCGTGCTAATGCAGTAAGACTTGGCCATGACTTCGGCTCGGAGACCCTGCAGCGAATGAACTCGGCGGCAGTGGGGCCCTTAATCCAAGCTATCGAACGATGGAGTCTTGGAGATGTACTCGGAAACTTTCTCAAACGGACAAAGTCAGTTGGTAAGGCACACAGATGCAAGGAATCGTGAAGTAAACGGAGACTGAACTCCAACATAGCCTAAGAACACTAATGCACGGCCTCCAAACTAAGATCATGGGGGATCGTAAAATCCTGTACTCCGATTTTGTATCCATCATAGTATTGGGCATATAATTCCAGTCGGCGACGCTGCTTCTTGGATTGAATCACTTCACTCTCATTATTCCAGCAACTCATCGGACACTTGACCATACGTCCCCTTTTCTCGCTCGTATCGAAACGGCAAACACCGCACAGGGATATTACACTTTCAACATGCCAGCGCTTCACAAAGTTGCCGCGGCCGCCGCCCTGGTGCTGTCACTACCATCCCTCGCCGCCGTAATCCAGCGGTCCGGCAACGAGACGTCCCGGAACCTCAATAACCGCGCCGCGGAACCCCCCAGTCCTGTCGCAGACGGAATCGACTGGGCCTATGACTTCGAGGTCAAGTTCCAGCCCCTCGTGGACTTCGACACAGACAGCTGCTACAATGTCCCCGCCATGGATAATCACAACCGCGCGTCCGAAGGGCTTAATCCCGATTACGACTCGGACGTCAGTACCTGTCGCCCGCGCTCTGCTCTCGACCGCGGCGGCTCCAACGTCTACGTCCGGGGCCGCTGCAACCGGGGCTGGTGTGCCTTCGTCTTCGCCTACTACTTCCAAATGGACTTTGCATGGTCCTTCCCTTTGAACAGCTGGAACCACCGCCACGACTGGGAGCACGTGGTGGTCTGGGCCAAGCTGGGCCAGCCGCGCAGCGTGTCAGTCTCGTGCCACGGCGACTACGAGAGTCTCGTGGCCAACGACCCCGACCTCCGCTTCGGTGAAACGCCAAAGGAATTCCCCTACTACCACACGACGCTGAAACCCGCGGCCACGCACCCCAAGGTCGTGTACCACAAGGACGGCGCCCGCACGCACTGCTTTCGCTTCGCCAAGAAGGCCGACGACTCCGAGGGCCCGGAGAACGATCGGGGCGTGTGGATCCGCAGCGGCCTGGTGAGCAAGCTGATGATGCCTACGGAATGGTGGGAGACGTTCCGATCTCACGAGTGGGGCAGCGCGCACCTTGCCTGGGCCAACGAGGACGACTTCGCTGGGCACCTTATCAAAACGATGCCGCAGGAGGCGAGGGATGATGAGTTCGATTGCGCCTATGACGAGGTGCCGGAGCTAAAGGGTTGGCCTAAGGACTGGCAGAAATGGTTGTAGAGGTGATGAGGGAGTAAAGTTGGCAAGGAAGCTCCTCGCATATGCTGAGTTGCTCCGCTTAGACGCCCATTTATCTTGGGTAGCGGATGCCCTTCCCATTCCTGTTTTCCGCGGGACACGACGGTAAACGAGAATAATTAGTTAGCTAAGTATGTACATACAAATACACACGGCCATGCGCTGGACTCGTCTCTGCTCTAATCTTTTAAGATTAATGGCGAAAAAAGAGGGTGAACAAATGAACGAGCAGGATAACTTAAAATGTAAATGTCCTATGGACCACAGACATAGCGCTCTGCTTGATCCAGCTTCGAAGCAGTTGCAAATCCTTAAGCGTTCGGGCCTAGAGACGGCATCATTATGTGGATACTAATAGCTTGACTGAACTGAACTGCCTGCGACAATATGGTGCATTTAACAGGGTCAAGCTGGCTGTTCGTAACACTCAATTCCATTAAACTAAGCCTGAGGAAAGGAAAGGAAAATGTTTTGGGTAACCGACCTAGAATTACACAAAATATCTCCTAATTTATAGGTCACGTGACCTGTGCCCCACTCTACCCGTTCTATTTGTTCCATCAAGGTCGTAGGGTGTGACGAAACCACAGGCAGTCCTGCTTCTGAAAGGGTTCGCCGGTCGAAGGTATCTGCTGGTCGGACTGTAGGTCTCGGTGAAGCCAAAAGGTTCACAACAATGCAAGTCGCAATGTCTGCACAGTAGGTAAAAGCTACTGTTTGAATTGCTCACTGAGGAAGCTAGCTATGTGAATGAGTGATAGAATGGTAGGACTATATATAGCTTCCTCCCCTAGGTATCCCTATACCTAGATGTCCGGAACATTTGGAACAATTGTTGTTCTTGTTGTTCCATCTGGAACAACGTTCCTTGGCGTTGTTGCTTGGGAACAATCGTTCTTGGCATTGTTCCCAATTTTCCCCATCCTCATTGGTTCCCCTCGGCTTGTAACGATTGGACGCGGGCGCTGCCCGTTGACCATGCAAGTCGGCCCCCACCGGCCTCTGCAGGTTAGTTCATGACATGACTGCATTGCAAGAATATTGAACTTGCAGGAGGAAAGGAATCCTCGAAGACTGAGTGCGACGGGAAGACGTAGTCGAGTTGTCAGCTGATACGGGATCTCCTGACGAGGAATCAGGCTATACTGAGATAACATTATGAAGAGCGGACAGGTTATGGAGTCGTTCGCGTGTGAGGGGATAGCGTTTAGAGTCGAAAGTCGGGCGCGCCTCGACGTCTACTTGAGGTTTGAACGCAAGGGTAAAGCCACTCTCAGCTGCAAGTACCTTTGTTAGTGTGGGTCAAGCGAGCGCACAGTCTGAATACTGTTTCGCATAACAGGAAGAACAACACTCTTTTCGTTCTTTTGAACACACGACACCAAAAGCCTGTTAAAGTGTTACGTTCGCTTATTATTATACGTTAACTATCGCATTACATTAGAGTCTGCTCCTGTGCTTAATCCTCGCTTTCCAACCACCCCTTACCACCTAAGCGTCTTTGACCTTGCCTCCCCTGCCTCCCCTTCCCCTACCTCCGCTGCAGTGTGCCCCGCTCACCCCGCCTTTAAGGCAACATGCACTGGAGCACAAAAATCTCCGCCCTCAAGACATCACGCGTCCCACCATCAAAGTTTCCTCCCATTCTCCCCCGTATCACGGTCCCACAAGCATAGCATACCTAGCATCATGTCCGACCAAGACGCCCTAACGCCACGTGTATTCCTTGTGCGTCATAGTAAGTTCTACGTCTGATCGGGCTTGAAAGAAAGCGATATTACGTTCATGGTCTATATAGCCCGTTTTTCGATAACAAACTTTCTGCAACTAGGAGAGACAAGTTGGGCCAAGTCGGGCCGCCATACAGGCACTATAGAGATTGAACTCACTGCGGAAGGTGCCGCGCAGGTCTCCTCAACTACGGCAAGTTTAGTGGGTGCCGGTAAACTCCTCGACCCGTCCCGCCTCGTGTATGTCTTCATCAGCCCGAGAACAAGGACGAGAAGAACGTTTGAGCTGCTCCTGTCGCCTTCCCTCGGCACCGGTGAATGGAACAAGAGCGTTACCTACACCGAGGATATTGCAGAGTGGAATTATGGTGATTATAAGGGGCTTATGGCCGGGGAGATCAGAAAATTGAGAAAGAAGAAGGGGCTGGACCGGGAGAGGGAATAGGATATCTAGAGGGATGGATATAAGGGTGGAGAGTATATTGTGCTGAACTTTCACCTGTTCCTAATACCGTTGTGTCTCCTCTCTCTTTTTTCTTTTTTTGTTGTTGTTGTTATTGTTGTTGTTGCTCACTCGTCAACCTCCAGATCTATATAGTAAGTTAGCGAACGTCTAGATAGACTTCTCTTGCAAATTCGGAAGATCTAGACGCCGCACATGAATAGGGGGGAACCCGCTGATGTGCTGCTCGTACGTTCTCTCCTCTCCTCCTGCCCCCCAAACCCCACAAGATTGCATATGTTTCTCTCCCCTTTTTATCTTTACGGTTTTATAACTAAAAGCATGAGATTTATAGGTTGCATACGGCCTCATCCTCCGCTGCTTTGTAAAGCGCTGGCTCGGCTTCTCAATTGACTTCCCGCTCCAAATGATATTGGCCCCAGGCGCAATTGCAGTTTTGAGGTACGTGAGTCTCGGATCTCATATCATTCTCTGAAATATAGATTGTCAAGTACACGCCTACCAAGCCAAGCCAGGCCTTTGCATTGACACTTAATTTCCCCTCCTAAAAGCTACAAGAACAACAACATCGAGGAGCCAGCATTCCACGTTGGTATATCACTCCCATTTGTAGCAGAGAGCGGGGAATCGTAAGCGAGAGTTATGGCCATCATAGATCGATTCTGTTTGCTACTGCTTAAAGCTATCACTCCAAGCATAGAGAGGAGGATATATTACTCTGTTGGGACAACACTCTTATAACTAAATAAATACTAAATCAGCTGCCAACCAGCAACTTTCCTTGCCGTTGCATCACTAGGTTTAAGCGTTCTGAAGATGCAGTCCAACCTAATTATGACAAAGCAGAGGCTCAAAGGCCGAGGCAAGCTACGGGGAAAGGACTCTCTACTGTCGTGAATCACAAGATGGAGAGGAACAAAGAGAGAGGGACTCGGAGAGCCCTTGAAACCAGGACTATATACAGGAGCAAGTGGAGCCTGCACATGCAAGCACGCAATGCGCAAGGCCCACTGCGAGTGTCAGGAACAGTGAGGTGCCTGCACCGTCATACTGATGAGTTGGTCAGGGCCATACACTGTTGAAAGAGATCCTTCCCGCTGCCACCAGAGCGGAGTGAACGCAGGGCTCGAAGGGTCTGCAGCGCCGAGGGAAGATCAAGAGCGAGATTTCGGACATCTGAATGTCGGTCAGAGGAGTAGCGCAAGTGGCGTCGAAGCTATGCTGATCCTACCTTTTGTGTCTGTTTGCTACCATTAGCTGTTGCGACAATTAGTCAAGAAACCCTCGGCCAAGGTACATAAGGACCATGTCAAGACGGTCATAATATCGCGGTCACTTTCTTCATCGTCGCCCTAGAGACCCGGAGCACTGCCATCGCCAACTTTGCCATCCACACTCAGTACCACGACTGCCCCGCTAGCTCCTCGCAAAATGACGGCTCCGTAGAGAGGTGGCCCAGCAGCCCGGATCGGACATTGGAGGCGGCGGCATCCTCCTTAGCTGTGGAGATGGAGGACAACATCTCCTCGAAGGCGTGGCCCAGCCTCTCGTTGTAGTCCGTCCGCTGCCGCAGGATCTCGCGGCCGGCGGCGAAACCGTCCGCCGCTGGGTTAAGAGACAGCTTCAGCGGCAGAGACAATCCGATGATTGACATCGTCTCTGTGTCCGTGTGCTCGGCTATTACGGCCAGCACCTGGGGACCTTTGAAGCGCCGATCGACAAAGAGCTTCTGTATCGCGTGGCTATTGTGGATAATAGCCAGCGTAAGCGGCGTCCGTCCGTTGCGCGCTATGTCCTCTATGCTGGCGCCCGATTCGAGCAGTATGCGCGCACACTCGACGTTCTGCGTGATGACTGCCGAATGTAATGCCGTGTGGCCCTCTGGATTGTACGCGTCGATCAGCGCCATGGTGGAGGAGCAGCTTGACCATCTCTGCCCGGCCGCCAAAGCTGGCCGCCTTGAGCGGGCTGCTGCGGAACAGACCATCTGGCACTTTGGGGTTAGGGTCCGCGCCGGCTTCGAGGAGGATGCAGACGGCTCTGTCGTCGTGGCTGTCAACTGCATGTAGGATCGTGCTGCGGCCACTACGATCCGTAGAGTTCACGTTGGAGCCGTGGTTTATAAGGAGCCTCATGTTGCTCAGTTGTGCTCGGGCTATGGCCCAATCGAGCGCCGTGCGGCCCTCGGCGTCCGTGGCATGGACGGCGTTCGGGTTCTCCTTGAGCACAGCCTCGAGCGAACAGGAGGATAGGCCGAAGACGATTTGTGAAGCAGAGGGATTGCTGCTCCTCAATCCAGTCATTGCCTCGGCTATATCTGATGCACCTAAGCGCCTTAAGCTCCGTATCGCTGCACTTCTTGCGGAATCCAAAATCAAACCCATGTTGTACGACCTATAACGTATTTTATAAGCGAGCTGCGCATATAAGCAAGCTGCGCAGTCCCCACCACAACGCGTCCTCTTTACACTTAACATCGAATTTTCCTATAACCTAATATGCCCCCTACTTCAAAGGATACAAGGGTAATCTTGGCCCTTAAAGCTATCCAAAATGACGAAAAGTTAAGCCTTTGTGACGGTGGAACCCACCGTACCATGGCACAGGGGCGCCCACTAGATGCGCGGGTCCGCGCAGGATTAGTCAGCCTAATTGATTATGTCAGCCCAAAAATTACCCCTGAATTGCCGTGCCCCTGAACTGCCACTACGAACACCACTCTGACTACCTAACTAACGTCACCTGCATGGATCCGGGCTGTGTATGGATCCGGGCCAGGGTCCTGGCCTGAATTCATTTCGACTGTCAGCCACAATGAACATCACGAACAACTTCATCAAACACGCTGTTTGACCGCATTTTCCAACGAATCCATGGTTTGACCTGTTTTTTGAACTCCTCTGACAATAGCTAACCTTTTCCACATACCAGTCAACCTACGGCATCACCAACGCAGTCAACATACCACATCACCACTGCAATCGACGCAGTCAACCGACTGCATGGTACGTACTCAACCGACCGCATCATATGCAGTCAACTAACCGTATCATGAACGCAGTCAACGCAGTCAGCCAACCGCATCAACCATGGCGCCCAGTCAATCCAAACCCAAACCTCCCAAGCCCACACTCAAGAAGCCACCACGCAAGCGTACCAACAGCCAGGAAGAACGCATCCAGTCTGCTATTGAAGCCCTGCGAGCCGGGGAGGTCCCCAGCGTTCGAAACGCGGCCCACATCTTTGACATACCACGAACCACCCTCCAGGAACGGTATACCGGTCGACGGCAGAACCACCGGGCCGCAGCCCAGCACTTGCAGCGGTTGACACCACAGGAGGAACAATCCATTGTTAATTCCATTTACCAGTTGGATGCCTGGGGCTGGCCAATGTCAATCTCGGCACTAGAACATCTTGCAGCCCAGTTGTTGCTGGCTAAGGGAGACATCCAGCCTTTGGGTGAACGGTGGATCTACAACTTCCTGAACCGGCACCCGGAATTGAAAGCTCGAAGGTCCCGGGCATTGGACCAAGCTAGGAAGGACGCTGTCGATCACAACACATTACAACATTGGTTCGAGCTATATCAAACTATCAAGTTGGCTTATAACATCGCTGACGACGACACCTACAACATGGATGAAAAGGGGTGCATAAAAGGCATTGGGGACAACCACAAAGTCATTGTTCCGAGGGATTCATTAGAGCCGACCGTCGTTCAACCCGGTAACCGCGAATGGGTCTCTATTATCGAATGCATCTCGGCCAACAATTACGTCCTTCCACCCTTCATCATCTTCCAGGGCAAACGCATTCAACAAGCGTGGATTCCCAAGGACCTCGACCCCCAGTTTGTTATCCGGGTTAGTGAGAACGGCTGGACCGATTGCAACATTGCTCTAGAATGGATCCGACACTTCGACAAGTATACGGCACCCCGAACACATGGTAAATACCGGCTCCTCATTCTTGACGGCCATGCAAGCCATGTTTCACCCCAGTTCGTGGAATACTGCGAGGAGCACAACATCATACCACTTTGCTTACCACCACACTCGACACATGAATTGCAACCTCTTGATGTCGGGGTCTTCGGGCCGTTGGCTAAGGCTTACCGCAAGTTAGTTACTGAGGGGGCATTGTTCGGAGCTGTCAAGGTAGATAACCACCAGTTCCTCCGGTATTATGAGAAGGCCCGGGCTTGCATTTTCCGGAACATTCCGGGGGCATGGAGAGGAGCTGGGTTACTACCTTACAACCCAGAGAAGGTCCTAGCCCGGCATAGGCCAGCCGAGGCACCTATAACGGCATTGGCACTGGTACCGGCACCTACATCGGCACCCGCAACGGCACCCGCAACGGCACCCGCAACGGCACCCACAACAGCACCCGCAACGGCACCTATAACAGCACCCACAACGGCACCCACAACAGCACCCACAACGGCACCCATAACAGCACCCGCAACGGCACCCATAACGGCACCCGCAATGGCACCCAGACCCAGGACCTCTGACCAGCCGAAGACCCCAGCGATGGTCAGTATTACTGATCAACAGGGCCGTCGAGCCGAGCTCCCGGTGACTGGCGACATGGCTACAAAGATCAACCAGGTTGTGGAGGAACTGTTCCAGATTTGTGATACCCCCAAGAGAGCCAGGCTGTCCTGGATGAAAGACTACTTCCTAACTATGCAAGCTGACAATACCACACTCAGGGCCCTGACCCAGGAAGTAGTGAAAAAGAGGTTCGAGAGCCGGAAAAAGTCCTCGAGGAAGCACTTTGGTGAGGCCCGGGTACTGACTGTGGAAGACATCCGGGCTCGCATCAGTGAAAGGGAGGCTAAGGAAGCCGTGGAAACCAGGGAAAAGGAACGTCGTATAGCATTAAGAGGGGTAGTGGGCTTTGCGAAGAGTGTTTGGAAGGACTACAAAATGGGCCCAGATGTGTTCAAGTAGGTGGGTTTGCATGTGTTTTCTAGACCCCCATTGTTTTCTGGCCATGGCACTGTCGTCTGCTTGTGAATAGCTTCAATTTTGACCCAGCTGTGATCATGTTGGTGATGGTGGGCATGGTGTTATGGTGCCCCTAAATTAGCCGAAATTGCCTGGCCCGGATCCATGCACGGCCCGGATCTATGTAGGTGACGTTACAGTACATCTGAATACCGCAAAGGGCATGCCCTTGAGGTCCTTATATGGCCAACTGCGTGGCACTTCGAACACGTGGTTGGGGCCCGACGGGCCTGGGCCTGGGCCTGGGCCGCCTCAATCACTTCAAATTGACTGGGCTCCCGCTTGGTACTCGACTTTAGGAGTGAGCTTCGAGCCCGAACTGGCTCAATAAGCTGGCGAGGCTCAAGGAGCAGTTGCGGGGCTCCCTCGCGCTTCAAATGCCAGTGCGGGTGGAAGTGGCTAAGAAGAAGAGCCTCGCCTTGCAAACTCTCAAGCGTGTGTAAGCATGGTAGCCTATATACTCGAGAGAAGGTACCTGTACAAGTAGGGGATAGAGGAGGGTCTATCTTTACAAGCAGCTTCCGCTGTTCCTCAACCTTCCTTATTGCCTCGTGTGATACCTAGCCTCGTACTGCTTTATAGAGTGCCCCTGAAAGCTCAAGAGGAGTACGAATTTGTTGCTTTACTTGGCGTGCTTATAACTTAGAGACCTGGTTCTAGAGAGCTAGTTGGATTGCTTTCCAAGTATCAAAGAGATCAAATGTTGACCTCCTTAAGTAGGACTTAAGGAGGGAGTGAATCCCTTTAATATATAAGGTAGCTATATTGCCGAAATAAGTTGACTGGTTAACCTAAGTATAGACAAGCTTCTCCTTGAATGGAATAAGCCAGGTTGTCTTGATATACCTAACCTCTTTGAGATACTGGGGAAGGTACTTTTGTTGTATTTTGGCAAGGCGTTTAGTGTAGTCTTCCTTGGTTGGCGAGTTGATAATTGAGTGCCAGAAGCTATAGAACTCCTTCCACTCCTTGGCCTCTTCGAATGCTGGTTGGCATTATATAAGAACTGCCTTATTTGCATGCTAAAGACAAAGGAGCGTTATAGCCAAAGGGAAGAGAGCTAAAGCTGCATTTATAACTGTAAGGCAGCGGTCTATAAGAATAACAGATGGGAGAGAAGTATTGCATTGCTTATATAGTGCCCTCAACCGCTCAAGCGCCCAAGTGTAATCTTCCTCTGTCTCGCCACTCAAGAACGCGAATGCGATATAAAAAGACCGCTGAGCTATATTAACGCCAATTATATCGAGGAGAGGCATGCTATACTTGTTGGTCTTGTATGTACAATCAAGAAGGAGAAGCTCAGGGTAAGCTTGGAGGTAGGCAAGCGAGTCAGGGTGAGCAAAAAGAACAGCTATAACCCGACTATCTGGTGCAAACTGGATTCGGCTCCAAAAGCCCTCCTTGTCGAGCTGGTTGGCTAGTGCTTGAATTGGACTATGGCCTTCGTAAGCATCTCGACGAACATCCGCGATCCGGTTATAGATATCTTGCCGTATAGCTAGCGAGCTACTTTGTCGTATAAGAGTCTGAATCTCCTTTGGCGTAAGGCCAGCATTCGTAAAAGCCGCAAGCTATGAAGTTCCTCCGGAGAGTTGTCGATGAATTGGGTGCGCAACTGGGTGTTGACTTGGTTTGTGGTTGTATATCGAGAAGCGGCGATCAAGACGGTGCTTTAGAATCTAGGTATGATCGGAAGACTCCTTACCCAGTACCGAAAAGGGGCAGCTGGTTACTCGAGAGGTCGTTCTTCTTTGACGGTCGATTTGGATGTCGGGTGGCCTACGGCCCCGATCGCAGGCGAATGTAACGGTACGTCTCCCGCTCTTTTCGGTGGTCGATTTTCCAGTAGTAAACGCGTAGCCCCTTGTTCTAGCCTATGTATTGATTGCTTCGAACAAGGCCTGTCGAGAGCCGTATATATTCTCGGGGGGGAGGCAGTCGTCTGTGAAGGTGGTAGCCATCGTAGGAGCGCTGGCAGTGATGGTGGTGATGGTGGTGATAGTAGTGATGGTGGCAGTTCAGGGGCACGGCAATTCAGGGGTAATTTTTGGGCTGACATAATCAATTAGGCTGACTAATCCTGCGCGGACCCGCGCATCTAGTGGGCGCCATGGCACAGGCCATTGCTTAGTCATGTGCCCGGCTTCGGTGCATGCATGCATGATTGGTCAACCTGGTTGGTGCCCCACCTTCCACATCTGGGCACATGCCCCACATCCTATATTTAGACTTCTTCGCACTTTGCAGTTAACCCGCTCCACAGAAATGCCCCGCCAAATACCCCGCCGTGGTCGCGAGGGAATTTCATTGGGCGCGAATACAGCCCAAGACTCGTGATTCAAAAAGTCGCAAACACAACCCAAGACTCGCAGTTAAAAAAAGTCCTAGGACAGTCGCTGCCCGTTCCAAGAACGCCAGACAAGATCGAGACGCAAGATGAAGGTTTGAAAAAGGCTGCTGAATGGGTAATGCCCCTTGTAGCCATTTGGTTTGTGTTCTATAACTTACTGAAGACAGGCCGGCGTGCCAGAGCATGACCTCGAATTCAGCACTACAAGGGGCTCGGAGCCAGTGGCTATATACGTAGAGATGCCGTTCGGAGGAATACTTGTCGAGGAGGACTTCCTAGATATACCAGCGGGAAACTGGCTATATAAGCCCGACGAGCTCAAAAGTGAATTGCTAGGTGTAGGCGGGGTTATAATTCAGTACATTAAGAGGAAGACTTAGTCAGAGGGCTGGTGGTGTTTAGGCTTTGGATAACGAGTGGAAATAACGATACAAGCTGTCACGCTGGAAATAGGAGCTTTTTGCCAGCTCCCGCACAGTCGAAGAGTCTCTCCAGTAAACCTCGATGTATTCGGCAACAGGGGTAATACCGCTATAACCATGCGTGTGAATGGAGACAAGGAGGCCCTGGTTTGCAAAAAACTTCGAAATCTCTGAAGAAGGTCTCTAAAACGACTGCACTATACCAAAGTTAGTATTAGTAATCGCATATCAATCAACGGCGACATACGCTAGTGAGCTACGTACGTCTTCTCTGCTATCACCTTAGACACAACGATACGGAAACGCTCTCCTATCTAGCTCGTTCGATACTAGCCTGACCGGTGCTCAAACCTGATATTGTCGTTGATATTTTGAATCGTCTTGACCAGAAGTTCGCTCGAGTGGGTGCTTACAACGGCACGCCTACAGAGGTTACCGGCAAAAGTTTTCAAAGTGGGCCAGGTACCGGCAAGGGTCACATACCACCCCCTGAATGTACCAACGCGTTATGTGCAACCATTAGAAAACATCATCAACATAACCCACCACCTTTGCAATGGCTTCAGAGCGCCCCTCTACACCACCTAGCCAGCGTTTCAAGAACGCTGATCTTACTCGCAATGAGCGTCTTCAAATTCAAACCCTCCGCAATCTTGGCCTTATATACAAGCAGATCATTGTATAACTTGGCCTTACTTACAACTAAGTTGGATATACTTGCCGCGCTCCAAATATTATACCAAAGAAGCGCTCTGGTTGCCCTAGTCTTCTTAACCCTGAATAAGTTAAAGAGTTAATCGCTTTTATTACCTCCTCGAAAGCCTCTCGCCAAATGCCTTACTTGAAGATCCCTCTTACTCTTAGCTAGGACTATTCAAAGTACGCTATCCGCTACGCCCTTTATAATGCTGGCTTTAAACACTATATTATATATCGAAAGCCTCTGATTACCGAGAAGAACCGACAACTCCGCCTTAACAATGCTCTGGAGCGTATCTACTAGCCTTTCGAGCGATACTACGAAATCCTTTAGACCGACGAGACCTGGGTAACGGCAGGCGCCCATCGAAACGTCTGGGTTATACGCCGTCAAAACGAGGTATACAACCTGACTTGCATCGTTAAGCGTAAATAACGGCCAAAGGGATAGATGTTCTAGGGCTTATACTTAGTAAAATATAATAAAGGGCCTGCTCTTTTCTAAGAGAAAGAATAGGGGTTGATAACTAGGGAAAGGTACTTAGAGAGAGTTATCCCCCTTATTGATAGGTGGTTTTGGCTTTATCTAGGCCAGGTATTTATATATAACAATACCTCTCCTTATACTGCTTAAGTCACTTGCGAAGAGCTAATAGCTTAGGGGATCTCTGTTTATACCTATCCCCCCTTTATGTGACGAAACCTCAGGCAGTCCTGCCTCTGAAAGGGTTCGCCGGTCGAAGGTAACTGCTGGTCGGACTGTAGGTCTCGGTGAAGCCAAAAGGTTCACAACAATGCTGGCCGCAATGTCTGCACAATAGGTAGAGGCTATTGCTTGTATTGCTTACTGGAGAACTCCCAGAGTCCTCTAGAACGAGTGACTATATACTGGCTATCTTGGGTGCTCTCATGTGCTCTATAGAGCTCCCTAGAGCTTGGTGCTCTGTTGGCTCCATCGAGAGCTTCCGTTCCTTTGTACTAATGTGACGAAACCACAGGCAGTCCCGCCTCTGAAAGGGTTCGCCAGTCGAAGGTATCTGCTGGTCGGACTATAGGTCTCGGTAAAGCCAAAAGGTTCACAACAATGCTTGCCACAATATCTGCACAATAGGTATAGGCTATTGCTTGTATTGCTCACTGGAGAACTCCTAGAGTCCTCCAGAACGAATGACTATATACTGGCTATTTCCTATAGACGCCCGCGCTCGCTGTCGTCTATGGGCGTCTATGGTCGCTGGTGCTCGCTGGCGTCCTTAAGCGTCCATACGGACGCTCCTGGACTGTCACGATTTGACCACATGCAGTGACCCGGTGGGGCGGACAAGGGTGTATCCGCAGCCAATCATTGTACACAGGGATATGCAAGAGCGCTCGCAGCGCTGATGAGCATATGCAGGAGCGCCCGCTCACCAGGTGAGCGGACGAGCAGAATCACCTAGGCTCACTGGTGAGCCATGGTGAGCGGACCA